GTCAACATATCAGCTGGATTGTGTTCTGTAGCTATTTTCTGAATAGAAAACTTGTCTTCCTCCAGAACATCACGGATAAAATTCAACCTTACATCAATATGTTTGGTTCTCTCATGATACACTGGATTTTTAGCCAAACTCAAAGCACTTTGACTATCACAGAATAACACCGGTTTCTCCACCTTCAGACCCAAACTCTGCACCAGACCATGTAACCAGATACCCTCCTTAATACCTTCAGTCATTGACATGTATTCCGCCTCAGTCGTCGACAATGCAACCGTAGGTTGTAAAGTAGACTTCCAACTGACTGCACATCCAAACAGAGTGAAGATAAAACAAGTTAGTGATCTTCGTTTCACCAAGTCACCCCCGTAATCAGAGTCTGCATAGCCAACAAGACCATCACCATGGCCTTTATCATCATATACCAGACAAATATCAGACGCTCCTTTCAAATATCGCAAGATCCACTTTACAACTCCCCAGTGAGCTTTACCCGAATTAGCCATAAACCTGCTCACCACACTAACCGCATAAGCGAGATCCGGTCTCGTACATACCATCGCATACATAAGACTTCCAACTGCACTTGAATATGGAACCGTCTTCATGTAACTAACCTCTTCATCTGTAGCCGGTATAGTGCTTCGATCAAGTTTAAAGTGTGCCGCCAAAGGGGTACTTACCGGTTTGGACTGATCAACAGAGAATGCCTGCAAAACTTTCTCAATATACTTTTCTTGAGAAACCCACAACCGTCTTGCTTCTCTATCACGCCAGATCTCCATACCAAGTATTTTCTTTGCCGCACCCAAATCCTTCATCTCAAACTCACCCTTTAGTAGAGCCTTCAAGTCATTAATTACAGCCATATTTTTAGCTGCAATTAACATATCATCCACATACAACAGCAGATACACAAAGGAATCAGTAGAAACTTTCTTCGAGTAAACACAGTTATCAAACTGATTACGAGTATAACCATTAGACACCATGAATGAGTCAAATCTCTTGTACCATTGCCTCGGAGACTGCTTCAAGCCATACAGAGATTTCTTTAACAAGCATACCTGGTCCCCTTTAGAACTGTAGAACCCCTCCGGTTGAGACATGTAAATCTGTTCTTCTAGATTACCATGAAGGAATGCTGTTTTTATATCAAGCTGCTCCAGCTCCAGATCAAAAGCACCCACCATTGCCAAAAGAACCCGAATGGTTTTGTGTTTCACCACAGGAGAAAAGACTTCATGGTAATCGATTCCTTCCTTCTGTGAAAACCCTTTTGCCACCAGTCTCGCCTTGAACCTAGCAGGTTCAACACCAGGAATTCCCTCATTTCTTTTAAAGACCCACTGGCTTCACCCCTTTTGGTAGTGCAACAAGATCCCAAGTCTTGTTCTTTTCAAGAGATTACATCTCTTCATTCATTGCCATAATCCAGGTTTCTGCATCTTTACTCGCCACAGCTTCTTTATATGTCTTTGGCTCATCAGAGCCAAGATCATCACCAACCGCTAGTGCATAAGCAACAGAATCCATGTCACACGTATTGACACATCCTGCAAACCTAGCTGGTTTCTGAATATTTCTCTTTCCCTTTCTTGCTGCTATGGAATCTTCAACCCCAGTACCAGCGTCATCAGCTTCCCCCTCAACCAGTTTCCCTTGAGGTTTTGACTGATCTGGTTGGTCGGATTGATCAATAGTATTATCCTGCTGCTTTTCCTCTAACACAACTCTGTCAAGAGTCTCAAACTCCACCCTCTGGTTAGCACCACAATCTTTTGTACCTGCAATACTTTCACAACCTCTACTCTGATCAAGCAGCAGATTCATCAAAGGTTACATCTCTGCTAATAAGAAATTTACCAGGATTTTTACCTTCTGTACACCACAGTCGATAACCTTTTACTCCTGTTGCATACCCTAGAAATATGCATTTTACCGCCCTCGGCTCCAGCTTACCATCATTCACATGAGCGTATGCAGGGCATCCAAATATTCTTAGATTAGAGTAATCAGAGGGTTTACCGGACCATACCTCTTGAGGAGTCTTTAAGTCAATTGCAGTTGATGGAGATCTATTAACCAGATAGCTAGCAGTGTTTACTGCTTCAGCCCAGAATTGCTTAGACAAGCCAGCAAATATGCGCATACACCTAGCACGCGCCATGAGGGTTTGGTTCATTCGCTCTGCAACTCCATTTTGTTGTGGTGTGTGTCGTACAGTGCGGTGCCTCACTATACCTTCTTTCTTGCAGAAATCATCAAATGGAGCGTTGCAGAACTCCAACCCATTATCAGTTCTTAGAGTCTTGACCTGTTTACCCGTCCGTTTTTCAACCATGGTCTTCCACTCCTTGAACTTCCCAAACACCTCATCTTTAGTCTTTAGAAAGTACAACCAGACCTTTCTCGAATAATCATCTATGAAAGTGACAAAGTAAGAACACCCGCCCTGCGATTTCACCGGAGAGGGACCCCATAGATCTGAATGAACATACTCCAGAATTTCTTTTGAAGTGTGGTGACCGGTACTAAACCTCACCCTGCGTTGCTTCCCTTTTACACAAGCCTCACAGAATTGAATTTTACCTATCACATCCCCACCAAATAAACCCTGCTTGCTCAACACAGACAACCCTAGCTCACTCATGTGACCTAATCGCCGGTGCCACAAATTTGTCCTGTCATCGTGTTTATCCAAGGACTGAGATACCGCCGCCGTTCCCATCACTGAACTGCCCTGTAGAAAATAAATTCCATGCTGCAGTTTTCCCTTCATCATTACCAGCGCACCTTTCAGGACTTTCACCCACTCACCTTCACCATGATATTTTAAACCATTCTTGGCTAAGGTCCCAAGAGAAATCAAATTCTTTCTGAGTTCAGGAACATACCAACAGTCAAATTTCCTGACAGTACCGTCATGCAATTTTATCTGCACTACCCCGCTCCCTTTTATGGCTAGAACCCCATCATCACCTAACTTCACCGTTCCATTCCACTCCTTAAAAGAAGTGAGTAGATCACGAGAGAACGTCATATGGTGAGAAGCACCGGTATCCATAATCCAGGAATCAGCAGTACTAGCACTACACGCTGTCAGAACTTCACCAAAGTCCCCATCATCAGAACTGTCTTGTACCACAGCAGCACTGCTGCCACTGTTACTAGAATCAACTTTTGTATTTCCCTTCTTTTGTGGACAATCCCTTTTAACGTGCCCTTTCTCCTTGCAAAGATAACACTTAACTTTGCTAGAGGATTTTGATTTTGAACGCGACCTCCCATTCCCGTTACCCCTCTCATGTGGTCTTCCCCTACCTGCAAACAGACCTGAACCAGAACCCTCTTCCAGAGAAACCTTTCTTTTCAATTCTTTGGACATAAGGGCATCTTTCACATCATTAACAGAAATTGTAGTTCTACCATATAGCATAGTATCTACAAAATTCTCATATGAACCAGGTAGTGAACACAATAAAATTAGGGCTTGGTCTTCATCATCTACTTTAACCTCAACTCCTTGAAGATCAAGAATGATACGGTTAAAGGTATCAAGATGATCCTTTACCTGAGTACTTTCGGACATCCGGAGGGTGTAAAGACGTTGCTTCTGATATAGCCTGTTCGTGAGGGAGTTGTTTTGGTACTTCTCACACAGTTTATTCCATAACCCAAAAGCCGTTGTCTGATCTACAACCTCCCGTAACACCTCATCAGTAACTGACAGCAAGATCGCGGAATGAGCCCTTGCCAAAATCTCCTTATTTACCTCCTCCTTCGTGTCTTTAGGAAACTTGTCTTCTCCCTCCAACGCAGCCGCACATCCTTGTTGAACCAGAAGTGCCCTCATCTTGACCTTCCAGAGCGTGAAGTCATTCGACCCATTAAACTTCTCCAGATCAAATTTATACGAGGACATTTTCAATCAATGAGATATGGCTCTGATACCACTTGTTATGAGAAAACGAGAAAGAAAGCAAATAAAGAACACAGAGGTTTTACGTGGTTCGGTGACGGTGTGTCAACCTACGTCCACGGGCAGGAACCGGAGAGATTTTATTATACTGATTCAGAGATTTACAATGTGTCATCCGACTAAGAACCATAGTTGTCTATTTATAAGCACCCCAAAACACCCTAAACCCTAAGTCCATTTGTTATTAATTAGGATAAGCCCAAAAGGAACCCTGCCAATTGAAACAGTCCTTTCGCTTTGGTTTAGGGTCGGGTAGACCGCTAAATCCAAGTCACGTTTCAACACTTACTTTCTGTTGAAAAATCTCGTTTTCGGATATATAATTAATGATTATATTTCTTTAACTGTTCAAATTTTTTGGTGGGACGATCATTCTGGATCCGACATAGTATTAGAGTCTAGGTTGGGTCCGTCTCAATTTGCATACATATGCATGTGTAAAGTTCGCATGCTTTTTATGTTTCCGAATGTATAATTAATAATTATGTTTTTCTAATCAATACTTTGGAATATCATTATCACTATTTGTTGATTGGATAACATGTAAGTACAAAGACATAACAATAATAAAATTACATAAGCACATCTTTGCCCGGTACTACATATACGTCATTTCCCACGTCATTTCCCACTGTGTTTAAATATACGTGGGGACGTATATGTAAAAAAGTAGATATTTTATTACTTGAATTTTGCCGGTAGTAAAAATTCAAACCTAGAATATGAAGTCAAACCATACCTTTCACTCAACAACCCTTCCTGATCCAAGTAAAAGTAAAAACATCAACTTCACTAAAGTCAACAAGACTGTAATTCTAATTATGACACCTCTGCTGCTGCTGCCGCCGTGTCGTAATAAATTAAATCGCATTTACTTGTCGGCAAGTGCAACTGCGTTGGCAATCAATTACCAATATAATCGACTGATTAAGGATGCATGTTAATTTCATTGATTACGATGAGAATGAGAATAAATGGTCGGCCATAAACAAATGCCAATCAACTTCCATCATTTCCAATCCTCAAATCCAATTAACGATAAAACCATAAATCAACCCGACAGCATTACAATTATATATATTCGTCATCATATACAAAATAAATACACGTGTAAGAATCTAACACAAAATCCATGTGTATACACAAACTCTGATGATTGCCCGAAATGGGAAGGGAAAATCGAATCGATCCTTCTAGTTCTAGCTACTGCAGGTAAGGGTGGGATATTGGCGGTTCAGGACATATGGCTGAAAAGCGAGGATAACTGTGGGGCCCTTCTAGAATGCCTTGGGCTACGACTCTATTCCCAGCCTCTGTTAAGTGGACCCCATCCCAGCTCGCGTACGACCCAGGATTGTCACAGCACTGCGACTTTTCGCCACCGCATCCCGCCGATGGGTTGTAATTGTACGGCCCTCCGCCGCCGCAGCAGGCTCTCAGAACTCGCCTCCCGAACCCTGCAGCCACCCATTACAATTTACAATTCTGCCGAGTTTTGGATATATAGAGGAGTAATAAATATATATTACCACAGAGGTTGGGGAAGAGATACATGCGCATTGCGGCGCTGTAATAATCGGCGTAGATTATGTTGACTTGAGGATGAAGCTTCCTGATCCTCTCCAGTTCCTTGACGAGAAGCTTGTTGTGGTACCTGGAGAAGGCATTTAGCCAATTGAGACAGCCAGTCCTCGGATCATACTTGTCGGGGCTCGACTGGTAGAGTGTTAAGTATATAGGCGAACAACCCAGAGGAAGATTGCCGGGGACGAGAAGAGTAGCAGCTCCAAGCCTGATGAGCTCCTGTAGTAATAAATACTGTATATAATTAATTGGAGAATCTTTTATAGAATTATGAAGATGAGATGAAGCTTAGACGTACTTGAATTGTGGATCCGATGTAGCTTACGACGTGAGGGACTAATGGTTTGAGCTGATAGAGAGATGTCCCTTGCTGGAGGGGGTAATTGTAATCGTTTCCTCCGATCTCTCCCACCACAACCAGAGACCTTTCCAGATACTGTCTGCTGTCTGTATGTATTTATGTATGTATGAGAATTGACAAAACACTTACTATGGTAATTAGAATCTAAAGCTATCGTATCATAACGGTAACCTGCAAGTCCGGCCAGGAAGGTTCGGAACCAGTCCAGCTGATTTCCCAGGGAGGAGTTGGTGATCGGATTGTGATATCCATTCTTCTCGTAAAACTCACACTCGAGCGCCGTAGCTCCGGCCACCGCGAAGTTCACGCCTGTTTCGAAACTCCGGCGATCTTCCTCCTTGTCATTTCCTCGCCGGGGAAAGTAAGGGTTCAATAGAGGCAGCCCTAATCTCTGCGCTGCAAGAATGAAAGTAAACATAGTTAGAACTAACTGGTTCGGAGTGTATTAGATTTGGGGAAGTAATTCCGGCGTACGTACCGATGAAATCAATAACGAGGCGGCCGTCGGAGTATCTTCCGGTGGGGTGGTTGAAGAAGGTCCGGCCGAAGGGCGGGCTAGCCGACGGCGGCACGGTGTTGTGCACGCTCGGGAAAAGGATATTCCCTGTGTCGGCCAGCGAATCGCCGAAGCTGACGATTGATTCGTAACATCCAAACATCGAATCGTTTCGTCCTCCTCCTCCTCCTGCTGATACTGATCTTGATACTGCAAATAGAATCATTAGGAAGAAAGCAGCATTACCTGCAACAGCCATTTCTCTTATTTTGATTTTAAATTTTCTTCAAAATGCTTTTGCTCTGTTGGCGGAGACAGAGTTCCGAAACAGCAGAAATATATGTTGGATACTCCTGTGTACAGTCATCCCTTCTGAGTGCTTAGTTCACGACACGTATTGAAATCTGGTCAAGCATAATTTTTTTATTCTTTTTTTTTTTAAAAATTATTAATTTATTGCCTACCACAGCTGAGCGAGTCCTGGTGCAGACGCTCGCCGGAGAACAGCCTTCCGCCTTCCCGGCGGCTGTGCCGGAATGAGTAGGACTAGCCGGTGATTTGAGAACTAATTAACATGAAAATAATAATAATAATAATAATAATAATAATGAAAGTACGGGTTCAATAGAGTGATTTATTATTATCTTTTTCATATTTACATATTTGAATGATGTTGAGCTATTGTCTTTAATACATGTATTTATTGCTTTGCCAAGTTGACAGAATCTTTTTCTCTCTGTGTGGTTTTTTCTTTTTCTTTTTTTTTTAAAGAACATTTCATTTGACATTAACTTTTATATAAAATATTAAGACATAAAATATAATTTTTTTGACAAAAAAAAAGTATCAACTAAACAAGTACAAGAATTAATCGTATGGATGTAATTAGTTGATCAACTTTAATAGAAATAAATAAATTATAAAATCGTTACTTGTCTTCCACACATAACTGTGTATAGTTGATCGAGTTTATTTATTTATTTATACAAATAACATTAAAAAAAGTCACGTTGCATCGTGGCACAACATCTCTCTAACACGTTCATCTTTCAACAATTATCTATCAATTTAATTATAAAATGGGACATGTACAAATATTTCTTAGATTGTCTTTGATACAGAAAATTTGATTCTAGAAAAATGAAATGCAAATATTTCTTACATTGTCTTTGAGTAAGAAAATGTAATTATAGAAAAATAAAATAATAAAATTATAGAGAAATAAATTTTAACAAATAATTAAAAATTGATGCTTTTTATTCGGTAAAATTGATGCTTTTATTTGGTATAATTAAATTTATTGTTCGGTAAAGAAGAAAATTCAATTGAAAAAATATAATAACATAGAAATATCAAAGATGACAAAATAATAGATAGAAAAAAACAATGAATGGAATAAGAATTATTTCACTAAATAAATATTAATATATTTAGTTAGTGAAATTTTATTTTATTTTGATTTTTTTTTATTTATTTGGATAATATTTATTTAATAACATAGATTTGTTTTGCTGTAATTCACAAATTATTAAAAATGTAATTTAGTCGGGTTAAATTTTGTCACTTATCATAGATGAATAAATTGACTTCTCTACTCATGATGGAATAATTATATTATTAACATCTACCTTTATTTACATATATATTTTTGTTTCTGTCTATTAAAATAAAATGCACAACTCTAGGCTCTAGCTGTTCAATGGGCCAAGGCATGTCCAATATAATAAATTTAAATCTGACGTAAACATCATCCACGTCCACTAATTTGGGATCAGCTTGTCACCAATTGAGCCAATTATTTTTATATATATATTTTTTTTAAAAAAAAAATTATAATGTCATCAAATTTAGAGCCGACAAAAATTGAGCCGAGCCCGGGGCAAAACCAGGTCCAAAATGCATGTCCAAAAATGTTTCAGTTTCAAATTATTGGTTGGTTTGGCCCGGTAGTGTTCAAATTTCTTTTTATTTTATATTTTTATTCGCGGAGCCACGTAGAGCTCGGGGGGTCCTGAGCCCCCCCGAGCGGTCGTCCCCGGCTGTTACGTTGACTATATTATTTGTTATATATGGTGTGTTTATTTAGGGGGTTTTGGAAAATTTGAGTTTGAATTTTGAGTTGAATTTGAATATTGATGTTTCTTTTGTACTTAGGTTTGGTTAGGAGTTTGGAAAATTTTGATATGATTGATTCATCAGAGTAATAAATATAATAATATAAATATGTATTAATTTGTATAATTTAATTATAAATTTATATTATATGTACATATATATATTTATAAATTTTTATATATCTGTATTATAAAAAAAAATTATTTACCATAAAATGACATATATATTGTATATATTTTATTAAATTATACATATTATAAAAATTTAAATTTACATTTATAATTTAAATAAATAAATAAAACATGTGAAGTAAAAGAAGCCTAGTTTGGCGCCTAAACCCTGTCAACAGTGGTCATACAGTAGTTTTGGTCAAAATTACACTGAAGAAACACACTTATAGATCATTTGTCCGTTTAAAATATATATTTCTACCATCAATTTCGTTCAAAATAATAAAAATTACTTATTTTTCGACCTCAATAAAGCCTTTAATTCGCCCCCTCGGCGGAACAAGTCTAGCTCCGCCACTATATATATATATATATATTACATGGACCCGACCGGAACAATACCCAACAAGACCCCATGGAACGACATATCCAATATTTTTTTTACAATTTTAAAAATTTAACTTAAAATTGGGCCCAAACTCGGATCCGACATATATTAAAATTTATAGATTATACTCCCACCGTCCTATAGTTTTGTTTATCATTTTTGTCCGTCTAAAAAAAAATAGTCTTTGTTTCCATAAAGAACCTTATCACCGTAAAACTATCCTTACTTTTTCATTTTTATTACACAAATTGCTATTACTTTTTACACTAACTTATTTATATTTTTTAGCAACTATCAATATAATATAATGTTAATATTCATTAAATCCGTGACCAACCCAATTAAAACTATATTAATGGGTATAGAGGACGGAGGGAGTATTTTATTAACAAATATTATAATAAAATAATAAAAATAAATAAAATAAAATAAATTAAAATATATTAGTAATATATTAATCAAATCTAGGTGGGGTTAAAATTTATATATCATATTTTAATCAAAAATATTATAATAAAATAATAAAAATAAATAAATTAATCTAAAAACATATTTTTAATAATCTATATAATTAAAAAAATTTCATATATATAATTAATGTACTAGTAATATATTAATCGGATCTACATGGGGTCTAACTCCACTCTTGAACTCGAGACCCAACTCCAACTTGATAAAGGTATTCAACACTTTACTTGGATCCGAACCTAATATCCAAACTCTAATAAATGAATCGGGTCCGGCTGAGGTCTCGGGTCTACCCGGAAACCGTAAGTTTCAGTTTCATACACAAACACATAAACCAGTAGCAAGATTCGGGCATAATCTATACCGTAATGTAATCCTTCCAAGTCCAACGCACTGTATTTATTTGGTAAGGACAGGTTTGATAAGCTTACAGCAAAGGCTCATCATCAGTATTCATAATAACCCCCACGCCCGGACATGGATTTACCACAAATGCTTCTCAAATGAGGATAAGTATACGAGCCTTCGAGCAAGGCCTCGGCAATAAACCCGTTGGCTGCCTCCGTCGAGTGAATTCCATCCCAACTAACATACAAACCTGGATCGTCGCAGCTCGTTGCTCCTGGAACACCACATCGCGCCGATGCATTAAAATTGTATGGTCCTCCTGCTCCACAACAAGCTCTAAGAACTCGGTCCCCGAATCCTGCATTGCATATACACATTTTTTTTAGTGCCATTTTAGCTTTATTCATCGCAGTTGGAAATTTGAGAGTGTACCAAATTGTTCGGGGGAAAGATAAAAGCGCATTGCGGCGTTGTAACAATCTGCATATATTATGTTGGCGCAAGGATGAAGCTGCCTTATTCTCTGCAGTTTCTTTTGGAGAAGATCGTTGTGGTAATGGATGAACTTGTTCAGCCAATTGAGACAGCCAGTTCTGGGATCATAGTCTTCGTCGGCACTCGAATTCTGGAATAGTGTTAGAAAGATAGGCAAACAACCAGCAGGTAGTATCCCCGGGACAAGGATAGTCACAGCACCATGCTCAATCACTTCCTGCAGCATATGTTAGGACTTGAAATAAATAGGCTTCAAGATCATTCTTTTGATTAGAGATGTTTGATGTTTATTACATACTTCAATTGCAGATCCGATGTAGGAAATAACTGCCGGCACGAATGATTGAAGCTCTTCAAGAGTTGTTCCCTCCTGGATTGGATAACTGTAATCGTTGCCCCCGATTTCTCCCATTATAACCAAAGAATTTTCGACATATTTTCTTCCATCTGTATGAGCTATTCAGTAGTCAGAATTACACTAATTTGAAAAAAAAGGGAAAAAATTTACCAGGAATTGAGGCCAGAAATCTTCTGAACCAGTCCAATTGAGTTCCCAGAGAGACATTTGTGTCTTGATTCTGATATCCAATCTTGTCGTAGAACTCGTAATCAAGCGCCGTGGCTCCGACCACCGCGAAATTCACTCCTTTACTGAAACTCCGGCGGCGGGCCTCCCCGGTTTCTTCGGCGGCGTACGGCTTCACTAGAGGCAGCCCCAAACGCTGTGCTATACAAATCGAAGGGCGAAAGAGAAGGGAAGAGTGTTTATGTACCAGTCTGGCTTTAGGAATTAAACGTTCGATTCAACTGCTTTTATGTTACCGATGAAATCAAGGACGAGGCGGCCGTCGGAGAATCTTCCGGTAGGGCGGTGAAAGTAAGTCCGGCCGTAGGGAGGGTTTGCAGAGAGCGGCGGGCTGATGTGTATACCGCCGACAAGAATATTACCGGTGTCCGCCAGCGAATCGCCGAAGCTAATAATGGATTTGTAGCACCCAGACACCATCGATTTGCCACTCGAATTTTCAGCTGATGACAATGACACCAAAATCAAGAAAATCGTACATATAACCCCCATTTCTGCGGATCCTTTGGAAAGAGTGAAGCAACGACGCAGCCCACGATCACAACATTATCTTTAGGCAATCAAAGCTCAGGACAATTTCATTTCTCATTAAGCACATCGTTCACGTGGGGTAATATTTGATTGTTAATGATAGCGAAAGAACAAAGGAAAAAGGTAGGAACTTGGAACCCTATCTCTTTCCACGCCACACGACACGATTTTTATTTCTTTTCCTCAAACTTGACATATCTGTCTTCTACAAGACAATCTAATTACAGTAAGGTAGGAAACAAACAGTGGAACCAAATCTTTTATTTCTGCAGAAGCTTGAAAACAGGACCCCTATTGCGGATTTGGGGGTCGACTATTAGCAGAAGAGACGCGGGAGCCCCATTCCAGCAATTCTTTGCTGGTGTCATCCTTGTGAACAAAAACTTCGATGAAACACAGTGACTCTTTTTCTGGGCCAGTTGCTGTTGCTATTGCTTCCACCAGTTCATCTTCTGTCTTCACCTGAAGACCGCCGGAGAATGTGTAAGAAACCAGAGCAGGGGGAATTATGTTGGTAAGAAATTAAATGATGGGATTTATTTTAACCTTGGCTGTCCAGCATTTGCCTTGTCCGTTGTTGATGGCGTCCACAAGACCTGTGTAGTCCCAATTCTTGATTACATTGTATGGACCGTCGTGAATCTCTACTTCGATCGTGTACCCTCCATTGTTGATCAGGAATATTATGCTCCTCTGTCCGCATCTTATCATAGTAGAAACATCTTGAGCTGTAACCTACACCCGATTTTTATAGCTTAATGAATCATTCACTGTTGGTAGAAACTAGAAAAGCCATTGTTACTCACCTGGAAACTTCCATCTCCAATGCAGGCGATGACGCGCTTGTCCTTCACAGCCTGAGCATAACCAAGAGTTGCGCCGACGGACCACCCGATGGATCCATACTGCATTTGGAATTCATAGCTGTATAGAGAAAGCAAATTGGATCAGTGTATTGATTCACAGATGAATAGAGAGCTGATTGAATTCACTAGTTTCTGTAGTTTACCCGCAGTTTTCCGGGAGGCGAAGCTTCTGACAATTGAACCATGAATCTCCAGTTTCAGCAATCACTGCAGTGTTACCACACAGCATTTCCTGCAATCGAACAGGACGCCGCCAAGAATTGGCTACTAAGTACTAAGCCATCTGTTCATCAAAAAGGACATTAGGTTTGTTTCATTTCTACCTGAATGTGCTTGAAGAGAATGTTCACTCTGAGTGGCTCTTCATTTTCGCGCTTCAAAGCAACACCGCAAGGAACATATATCCTTCGGTAATTCTCCATAGCTGTGCTGTTCTTCTTCAGCTTTTTCGCCAATGCAGCGAGGAAATCTTTCATGAATACCCAACCAAACGAAGGGCCATTGCCGATAGTCACACGATTTGGCTGCACGATCACGGATTTCTCCTTCTTGATCAGCAATGAATACCCAACGGAGCTGTAGTCATTAAAAATGGGTCCAACAAACATATATGCATCAGCAGATTCTACTATCTCCCCGCAGAAGCTGGAGCTCACTGCACCCCAGTATGTCCCGATGAAGTGAGGATGGTGCTCTGGAACCAATCCCTTTCCCGACGGCATAACAGCAATCGGATAGCCACAAGAATCTGCAAGATCGATAAATGCTTGTTGCGCCCTGGAAAACCGAAGCTTGGGGCCTCCTATGATCACTGGTTTCACAGCTTTGTTCAGAAATTCGGCAGTTGCTTCCACTGCAGCTTCCAGGCCAAGCTGATTGCTGGTCCTGCAATGAATTAAATTAATTGATGAATCACACATATAAGTTGTCCTGTAAAATCATAATATTCAGAAGTGACTTACATTGGTGCAAGAAAAAATGGGACAGGTTCTCTGGCAAACGTTGGATGAGGAATACCAGGCAAATTACAGCTTATGCTAATGTACACTGGTTTGCTTTCCTTGAGGGCTGTCGAAATCGTCGTATCGATCAATTCGTGGGCATCATCCAAGTTATTAACAACCGCCTGTTGCAGAATGAACGTAATCAATGTGTTATTAAATAGTAGTGCCTTACTACAGATTCGGCAATTTGACTTCACAGAAAACCTAATTTATTACCTGCGCACAGGTGATGGTCTGGAAACATCGGAGCTCCTGAGAGAAATCCGGCAGCCCTATGGTATGATGCAGAATTCGGTTAGTCCCATAATCGTTAGAATTGGGGCCGCCGGCAATGCAGATGACCGGTAAATTCTCGCTGTACGCCCCGGCGATGGCGTTGAGGACGCTGAGGCCACCAACGGTGAATGTGACGACGCAGGCGCCGACTCCTTTGGCTCGCGCATAGCCGTCGGCGGCGTACCCGGCGTTGAGCTCGTTGCAGCAGCCGACCAGATTCAGGCCGGGTTCGGCGATGAGGTGGTCGAGTAAAGTTAAGTTGAAATCGCCGGGAACGGAGAAGACGTCGCTCACGCCTATCTGAACCAGCCGGCGAGCCAAGTGGCGGCCCAGCGTCCCGCTCTGTGACATGGGAATCGCTTCCATGTGCGATCTTTGGAAGGGACAGACAGAGATGATTGCTGTCGGAATAAAATGATGTCAAACGATCTGTATACTGTATGCGTTGTGGGTTGATAGTGATCAGTGTCTGTACTGTAAGTATTTATAGAGAAGGGTTTCAGCAAAGTTTCAGTGGGTGTAGAAGATACAGCCTTACTACTGGGGGAGGTTTAATGGTATTTTGATGTCTGCCAGTGCCACCTTTGTTTGATTCTTGAGACGGCGTCGTTTGTTTGACAGGCTGTGCGGAAATGCAATACAAAAATACCATCCGGTTGAAAAAGAAGTCAAGTTGTCCACTCAATGACTCATTTCTTTTGCACACTGCAAATTTATCTGTGGATCGAGCAAATATTATTAAGAAAACCATGAAACTTCAGAATCCAGAGTGGGAATTGCAAAACCAGAGGCGTTCCTGGTTTCAGAGGCGGGTTTCACGGTAACTTTAATCGCCAGATAATATATAAAATAATCATATTACTATCATCTTCCTATTATATTCCATAACACAATACAGTAATCGGGCCTCTGGGCTGGGCCTGGAGCTGGCCCGATAGAACAGTCGTCGATAGTAGTCATAGTGATGACATGGGATCGCCGGTCGAATTTATATCTAACCTGCTGGACACGCGTCGATTCAGGAGGGGTTCGACGCTGGATATAAATTCGACCGACGATCCCTTCCGCTCAATACGGGATTTTGATTTGTCTCTCTTCTGGCTTGGAATCTGCGATTATGAGGCCCAAGATTTATCTATTTGGAGATTCCATCACCGAGCACTCCTTCAGCCATGGCGGTTGGGGAGCCTCTTTGGCAGATCACTTCTCTCGCACGGTATCATGAAATACCCTACTAGATTGCAATCTTTGCTGGTGATTTCTTTGTTTGATTTTGTTTGTTTTGGGGATGGAAAATGGATTGCTTAGGCGGATGTGGTGTTGAGAGGCTACTCAGGATACAATACGAGGTGGGCTGTGGAGGTGAAAGAGAGAGTATTTCCGCCGTCGGACGGCCGGGAAGATGTGGTGGCTGTGACGGTGTTCTTCGGGGCCAACGACGCCTGTATTCCCGACCGGTACGCTGGGTTTCAGCATGTGCCTCTGGATGAATACAAGCAGAATTTGCAATCCATTGTTGCCTTTTTCAAGGTAAAAAGCTTCAATTGAACCTTCAATCTTGCCATTACAGCTTTTTGCAATTACCAAGTGTGCTTTAATAATGTCTTGATTTGATTGTCATTATTGTATCAATGAATCTTTGACAACAATATACTAATAATCATTTGGGGGATCTCTTATTCACTTGTTTATATTTCTTTGCCCTTGTGTCGATAGTTGCAATTGAATATGATTTCTTTATATAGTGGGTTTCATTTACTTTTTTTGGTTAATTGGACTTGCTGGTGTCTTCTGCTATTCCTAAATCTTTTCTTACATAGATTCTGTTGGTTATGACCTCAGAAACGATGGCCCTCTGCTCGTGTTGTCCTCATTACACCTCCTCCAATTGATGAAACTACTCGGCTCCTGTAAATCAATTTCTGTTGTGAATTTGGATGATTTCATTTTGGATGATTTTATTCAAAGGGCATATTGAGAGTGAAATTGTGAAATTTATGCAGGCACCCTTATGCAGACAATCCTTCAGGCCTGCCTGAAAGGACAAATGAGGCTGCCGGCATCTACGCCAAACAATGCCTTGCTGTTGCCGCTGAATGTGGAGTTGCAGCAATAAATCTCTGGGAGAAAATGCAGGAGAGCCCCGGATGGGAAAAGGCTTTTTTAAGGTACTTTGCTGCATCTAAATATTTATTTCTACGCGTTGCTGTATTTCGTTCTAAGTCGTAGGCATACTCTTGATGAGCCATTTCAATGATCTGCAGCGATGGTTTGCATCTCACAGCAAAAGGCAATGAGTTTGTGTTTGAGAAGGTGGTCGAACAGCTAAGGGAAGAACAAGTAAGTCCACAGACTCTACCAGTCGATCTCCCGCTTTTTCCTGACATCGATCGAAACGATCCCCTCAAGTCTCTTGCGAGCTAATTTATCCCGGGGTGACCATTCATCTGTCACTTTGAGTGCCATGCCAATGTTGTTGATGTTTATCTGCAAGATCTTATGATTGTTATACATGGCTATAAAGGCTAGACGATACATCCATATTATTGATTTAAAACTTTCCTGAGAAGGAAGTCTATATATGTTGTTATATGGCTATAAATGCTAGACGATACATCCATATTATTGATATTGATTTAAGTATCTCCTGAGAAGGGAGTCTATATATATATATATATATATAAATATATATGTTTTAAGCACCCAAATGTACCTAGTAAACACAGCATAAATGAGTGTATGAACGGTGCAATAAAATTACAAACAGTAACGCATGTTTAACTCGTTGGAACACATGATCGTTTATCTTAAAGAACGTAGGAAATGGTGGTGCGCATCGGGTCCTCCAGGGCTCACTCTCTCAGGCCTTCCATAGTAACTTGGATTTCTCTTCTCTATTTCAAACTCAATCTTCATTACCCGGCTGCTGGTCATTACATGCCTCACGGGGCGAGCAGCAGCTACTGCAGATGAAACAAGGAGCAAATATACAATCCACAAACAAAATTTCGACTTACTCATCTTATTTAGGACTCTGATCTGATGCAACTATGCAAGTGTTCAATCTGATCCATCATTTATAGTATTTGCTTGTGTGCATATGACAAATCTAGCTTGCTTTATCAGGTTAGGCCAAATTCAAAAAGAAATTCAAAAGCCTCAGCCTTTTGCATATAGTATATGATATTGGTTGATGACCTGTACAGCCCACAAGCTCAAATCTTACAGCATGGCAAGATCAGTGCTGCAGAAGCACAGGTTCATGTACAGACACCATAGCTTTTACCAGAGTACATAATTACAAAAAAACACACATCAGCAGCTTCAACTTATATTGATCTTATAGGCTAGGTCTCAGGTAAGGACGAAATTCACTTTGTGCTCGTTTATCTTCCCCGTCGGATGATGACTCACAACCCATGTATATGCCAAGTTCTTTTTTATAGGATGGAACTCCCGACAACCTTTTAAGTGAAAGTCCACATAAGTCATTAGCGGATCCACACATATGCCACTCTCCAGATCTAGGCTTGGTAAGAAAATTTGAACATGTTGTAGTCTTCCCTCCATTGCTGATTAAGCTTGCATTTCAGTTCCAGTTGCGGCTTAGTATTTCCTGAATGAATCGAAAGGCTGACTTGCAGAACTCAGTAGTGAATATTATACTCTCTTTAGTCTTTAGAGAATTTTGATTCTAACTTCCTTAAAAGTTGTGCTATGAAGTTGCATTCAAACAGTATATATAGTCTTGCGGTGATGTTCGATGCCACGTCTGTTGTCGACAGAATTTTGTTTTCGGATCGTATTAGGCCTGTCCAAAACAGCCTCCAAGTAAGTCTCGTATGTAAACGAGAACTAATGGAAAAAGACAACAAAATGTAATGGAAGAACATTAAGGCTGATAAAATAAACATAAACATATACATAAAGTAAGAAACAAAAATAAAATACAAGAAATGAAAGGAGCTTTATTAATTCCCTACGGTGTTGCATATGCCCGAAACCAGTAGCACCATCCAATCCACATTAACTTTAATGAGTCCAAGAAATCGAAATTTATGTGCCATTGCTTTCTTTTTTTCATTGAAATGATTTTGCAAAAACCAGCGTTGTAAGGAACCTTGCAGGCGAGAATTCCGGATCATATATGCAAGTTTCATTTTCTAAAGAAGTTTGTAGGCATCTTTGCAATATATGCACATTTACGTACTAAAATGCAAAAAGATTATTGTGCTGAAATCGACAATGTCAAATACGGAGCGTAATGGCCTGTGGAAATCTGATCCTCTTATCTTGACCACAAAACAGAACAGTTGCAACCATACTCATCCATGCCAACTGCTGAATCTCGAAGAACACAGCACACAATCTGCTAAACATGGCGGGGATCGTCGGAACTTCCTCCGCTGCTGCTGTATGGACTACCAGACCCATATCTTCTCACTCATCCAAGACTTCTCTCATTCGTCCCCTTGCCGTTGGTATCTGCACTGCATAGTTCCAGCTTTGGATAAAAACCCTTTGTCGCATTTTTTATGTTCATGTTGCAATGCTGCATTTAGTGCTTGTCTGGTGAAGAATTTCGCGTTCATATACATCTAATTGAGCTTGTACTTCGATTTCAACTCATGTTGGGCAAGTGTTAATAAGGGTTTTAAGTGGGCTTGTCGCCGGGTTGCTTAAAGACGATGCTTTTTTGTTTGCTGATGTAGGGCGGAGTTCTTGGAAGAAAATCAATGGCGGGATTGGAGCCCCACTCAAGAAAGAGCGTTCGCAATTTCATGTCGCTGTATCTAATGTTGCCACTGAAATCAGCACTGCGCAAGAACAGGTTCGGTAATCGTTTTCTTCTAGGGCTTCTGTGTGTTTTTGATTGAGGAATGCTTGTGTTCTTAATTGATGTGAATATGGTATAATTTAACTGAACTGTGAGAATTCGTGAAGTTAATTATTCTTTTACAAATCTAGTGATTTCAGAACACTTTTTCTTTGTCATATTGCTGAATGGATTTTAGGCTCAGAAGGTTGCTGAGGAGAGCCAGAGGCCTGTATATCCATTTGCAGCTATAGTTGGGCAGGAAGAGATGAAACTTTGCCTCCTGCTGAACGTGATTGATCCTAAGATAGGAGGTGTGATGATCATGGGTGACAGGGGAACCGGGAAATCGACAACTGTGAGGTCTCTGGTGGATTTACTTCCTGAAATCAAAGTAGTTGCTGGCGATGCCTTTAATTCAGATCCTGAGGATGCTGAAGTGCAAGGTCCAGAAGTTCGTGAGAAGCGTATTAATGGCGAACAGCTCCCAGTCATATCCATCAAGATCAACATGGTTGATTTGCCGCTGGGAGCTACAGAGGATAGAGTTTGCGGAACAATTGACATTGAAAAGGCTCTTACAGAGGGCGTGAAGGCGTTTGAACCTGGTCTCTTGGCGAAGGCAAACAGAGGGATACTTTATGTAGACGAGGTCAATCTTTTGGACGATCATTTAGTAGACGTCCTCTTGGATTCTGCTGCCTCGGGTTGGAACACTGTTGAAAGGGAGGGAATCTCTATTTCCCACCCTGCCAGGTTCATACTCATTGGCTCTGGAAATCCAGAAGAGGGAGAACTTAGGCCTCAACTTCTTGATAGATTTGGTATGCACGCTCAAGTCGGAACAGTGAAGGATCCCGAGCTTCGTGTAAAGATAGTTGATGAAAGAGCAAGATTTGATAGAAATCCCAAAGAATTCCGCGACACCTACAAAGCCGAGCAAGAAAAACTCCAGCAACAAATCACCACTGCCAGGAGCTCGCTATCAGCTGTTACCATTGATCAAGAGCTCAGAGTCAAAATCTCGAGGGTCTGTGCTGAGCTGAATGTTGATGGACTAAGAGGCGATATAGTCACCAATCGGGCAGCGAGAGCACTGGCAGCTCTCAAAGGAAGAGATAAAGTAATCGCGGAGGACATTGCAACCGTCATCCCAAACTGCTTGAGGCACCGTCTCCGGAAGGATCCTTTGGAGTCTATTGACTCAGGGCTACTAGTGATTGAGAAGTTCTATGAGGTTTTTAGCTAAGATAGATAACTTTTGCAGTCCTCAAGCTCATTTTTTTGGCACTGTTGGAGTATTAATGAGCATAATTCAACTCATATTGCTAATGCAGATCTTTGTTGTTAGCCATGGAATGATCTATATATTGTATCGATGAAGCTGTTGGATTGTAATGACTATTGATTGATATTCTGGTTTTACTTCCTACATTGTGCTTGAGAATCCTTACATCAAAGTATACATATACAAATGAAAATATAATTGATATAAATATCTGAATTAACAAAAATTCAACAAAATGGTCCCGTAGCTCAGTTGGTTAGAGCGTTGGTCTTATGAGCCGAAGGTCGCGGGTTCGAGCCCCGCCGGGACCATTTAATTTTTTTATAAGTCCACAATTTATTCTCTTGCGAAATCACATTTCCTTGCCCTTGCATATACACATACATACAACAACCACAAAAAAGTGTCTCTCTCTCTCTCTCTCTATAAGTAAACCTTTAGCTGGTAGCCTTTCTTGTTTATGCATGTGTCAGTACCTAAATCGATCACACCTCTGAATTATTACATGATATGCTCAATCCTAAGCTTTTTTGCTTTGTTTTGGGTAAAGTCCCACATGCAGGAAAAGAAGCAGCCTTTAAATCTGACAAAGCATCTCAAGAATCTTCACCCATCCTTTCGACACAGTTTATTGACAGTAGTGGTTTAATTTACTGTGCAATCTCCTTGTGTGTGTGTATAGCGTTGCAGCACTGTCACTACCATGTGAAAAAGATGAACGACAGTTGGGATGTGCATATTATTATTAATCCTCTCTGCTTTTGACTTTTCAAGTTTTTGAAAACGATATTACAGCTTAATTTGTTTGAGAAACTGAGTAGGAGTTCGTTACATCATAGTGAAAATCTTATGTTGTTAATACTGCAATAGCCAAGAAGAAATTGAAATGGGAGATTACATAGGACTGATGATTTGTCCAAATCCGAGAGGAAATTAACAAAATCTTGAAACCTAATCCATTCAACATAAAGGAAATGATCACATTATATATATATATATATATGGTCGGCGGGTCTAAACTAGATAATGCAGAAGAGAAGATGGTTTGCTGGAAGATGGAATCTTATCCACATTCTCATCCTCTGTCAATGTTGCAGTTGCAGCAGCAAAATTTGGGATATCGATTTCCTGATTGGGAAGACGAAACCCTGAAAATGGAGGATTAATGATGGGGGAATTATCAGGAATGCTGGACTGAAGGGGTTCCCTTTCGCTACAAATCTGGCCGCCGCGGCCGCCGGAAACCGGCGACCCTGGAAAATGGAAAATTCTCTGCAGCCGTATCATCTCTAAATTGGGATCGAAATATTCCGGCGACAAGAATGCATCTTGACCAAGTGCTGAATCTTCAGCGGCGTAGGAAGACAACAATGGCGCAGTGACATTTGTGAGGAAGCCGAAACTGGACTGATGATCGGAACTCGTCGCGTCATTCTTTCCGGCGGCGGCGACGGTGGCCTGGAATGGCGGCGATTCCTGCAGGGCATCAATGGCGGCTTTGGCTTCCTTCATCAACCAATCAATTGCTTTGCTGGGGCGGTCGTAGCCGAGCCTGTCCTGCACGTCGTAGAATTGGATGGCGGTTTTCGGCGACAGCCTGACGCGGCGGTCCCTCGTCCCCCTGGCGGTGCAGACTTTGCTGTGCCGGTCCCGTCTGCCGTCGCCGCCGCCGGCGGCGGCGGAGCGATGGACTGCAATTTTCTCCGCTGCTGATTTCCTTCTCTTTGCTTTCAGTTTAGGCGATGATGAAGATAAACTGAAACCCTCTCGAATCATTTTCTCTGGTGAAATTGCAGACGCAGATACTGCAAATTCTTGCCATTCTGCTCCATTGACGACATCGACTGACGACCTTCCTCCCTGGCAATAGTTGCTGTAAAATGCCTCCTGGAATGCTGCATCAAATCGATCTTCTTCGTCATCAGGTTGTTGGAGAGGATGAATATCCATATCCAATTCTTTCTCCCCCCCTTCTCTTAATTAATAATCGATCCACCTTTAAAATTGGTTACGGTGAATTTGTGAAAACCCACCTGTATTATAAAACAGTGAAATATCCAAGTGATTAAATAATACTATGTAGTGTAGACGACGACGACGACGACGATGACGACGTATCCATCAGATGCAGACATATATATATATATATATACACATCATATTCATACTGTGTCAAAGCACAAGCTGCCTTTGTCTCCCTGCTGGCATTATCATCAATTCTTGTCCTCAGAAACTGTTGTCTGTACTAAGTACTAATGAAACCCGTAAGTGGGTCGACTCAACTCATCGTCTTGGGATTCACAACATCTGCTGACTCATATTACTTCATTCAAATCAATATATCTGTCCACATAAATTCTCAGAGTAGAACTGTAACAAAGTTCAACACAAACTGATTGTTCCTCCATTGGTTAATTGTGTATTTACAAATGGTTGATTAATTAAGCTGCGTGATTTAGATCGATCCCTGCACGGAAATGACATTAATTCTGAAATATATCGAGATATTGATCTCGTACATACATGTCCAACATTAATAACTTCGAATTAATATAGTTAGTTAGTAACCGACACTGACAATATATATGGCATTAATATCCACCTGAGGTACGGTCATATATGTAGTCACCATCATCATCGCCATTGATGCATGTGTTGAGCTTGATAATTGAGGATATATTATTCATTACATAAAATACTGTGTTCTATCTGGTGTAGTAGTGAGAAGACATTATTGTGATAAAGCCCTGAATGTATTAAGTATATGTATTTATGAATGAGATGGCATGGGACCCTCCTCGGCTCGAGGAACAAGGGCTTGATACTTTGATCCATGCGTGCCATGTTCTCATCCTTTTTTCTTTTTTTTAAAAAATATATATACACTTTTCTTTTGTTGTGTGTTTGTTTTCTTAGTACCTCTCTGATCAGGACTTGCTGCTGCAATGAATTGGCTTCTCTTTCCCTTTTTTCTGATAATAATAATAATAATATTGTATGTCTTCTTCCTCTCGTGAAAAGGAAATGAACTTGTGATGCTGGAATTTCACTATTTACTGCACCCAAATTGAGCTCAGAAAGATACCTGATGCAGAAAGTGCAGAGCAAAAGAAAATCATGTGGGGAGAGAAAGTGAGGCAGGTGAAGAAGCAGCAGCAGCATGGGGACGAAAACGGCATGTGGATGAAAACCCCACTTCACCCATGATTGATCGATCGGATGTCTCATGTTTCTCTCTCTCTCTCTCTCTCTCTCTCTCTCTCTTCAGCATTCCATCAAAGTACAATGATAAACTCAATATCAACATTGACACAGACAGACAGACACCACAGGGAAGGAATATAATTTATCATCTTGCATATGGTTTCCAATTGTTCAAATCTGGTTTTTCAAAACACAAAATATGAACCGGATGATTATTTTTCGTTGTTGCAATTATTTTTCGTTTTAATTTTATTCCATTGTCAAAGCATCCTTTTAATTAATAAAAGAGTAAAAAGAAATAAGTTAGCAAAATATAAATACAACTTCATTGCTAATTTATAGGAATTTCAAGCACAACCTCAACACCACTGAGCCCGCAACCTTTAATTAATTCTAAGTATCAATCTATTCATATATATATATTACTGACCAAGATCCTACTTAGACCCTAATATGTTTGGACCTGTACCCGAATCTGTCATGTATCTGCTAGATCGAATCCGGGTTTAAACCATGGATCCGACCCGATCTTCAAAAATATATTAGAGATTCGACTTATATCCGATCCAATATCCAAATAATTGGATCTGATTCCAAATAAATGGATAGGATTCAAGTCTTGTCTCGGACCTATCCGTCCCAATTGTCATCCATCTCTGTGCTTTTATTACACACATTTAACTCCCTCAATCAAATTAATCAAAACCTTTCGGCAAATGTAAGAGAAATTTAACAACAGCATTGAGTGGTTAAAGCCCAAACTGTCCTCTGTTCATCATTCAGCAAAACCATAACTAAAAATGTGCAACAGAATCTTTATTATTCAGAGGAAATGCCTATGAAACAAACACATCGAAACTTATCAATTCCACTTGAAGAAAAGCTGAACCAAGTAATACAAGGTTAAGGAGAAAGGATAGAGAGCAAATGCCAAAATGCATGTCCACAGAGGATAAGTTTTGCATCTATACGCCAGAATTCCGATGACGGCGCCGACGAACAGGATCGTCAGAACTTCTGCTGAGAAATCCCATCTCAAGTCCTTCGCGTACACAATCGCCAGCAGCGTCGTCAACCCCGCCACGTTGTTCATGATCACCGTGCCGTATATCTGCATTTTCGAATGGAAGAAATTAAAACACATTTGTAACTAACTAACTCACTCTGCTTCCAGCCCCCTGAGTATCAGTTGATCAAGAATTAATGCAATGTACCTCGGAAAATGTCAGTGAAGCACTTATTTCGTTCTTCTCGCTCGCCGGCATCAATGCTGCTATGGCAGCTCTTGCGTTCATCGCCACAGGTACGATGACGAAGGAGATGCTGAAGGATGATAAGTTCATCGCGAAGGATAGCTGCAGAATGTTGTTCATCAGTGGCCCTCCGAGGAAGGTAAGCATAACGATGCCTAATGCGAGCTGGAAAATGGATACGAAAAATGCGCGCTTGTCGAGTGTTTTCTTCCATACGATCTGCGAAAGCGACAAACTCAACTTATTGCATCATGGCTTTGATCGAATCTTTATGCTAGCAGATGCTGTGCTTACCTTGTCGAATTCGTCAATAGCTTTACTCTTGTCTGATGTTTTCGCAACGCTAATGGCCTTATTCAGCCACTTCGATACTCCCTCTATGAATTCTGGTTCGTTGATTATTTGATCGCCGTCCTTATCGAAATCCTTGAACAACTCCATGATGGTGTCCTCAGATTTCGCCTTCATTTCGCCGAACTTCACAGTACTTATTAGTTGATTGAGTTCAGAAAATGATATCGATTTATCTCCATCCAAGTCGAACTGCTTGAAGAGACTGCAAGAACAAAAAATGGTATTAGAACATCCTTCGTTGCACAGACAGAAATAAATGAAGCAAGAAAGCGCGAAGAATCTACGTCTGGATGCGACCAACATTAGGCTTCCCATCTTCACCGATCAGTGATTCAGATTTCAGCAGCTGAGTTTGAGCATGCTTCAAAATCTTCGACATTATCCTGTCAATTTCCTTGGGATCATTTTCTTTATTCTCTTTGAATATCTCCAAGAGCTGCAGATCGACACGACACAAACAATGTTTAATCGATATTCTTCATCAGCTCCAACAGAGTCTCCCCTTCCTACTTACCTCCTGAAAAACATCTTTGGAAGATGAGTTGTGGTTTTCAGATGAATTGTTGGTTTCATCGATCCATTTCTTGCATCCCTTGACAAATTCTTCCTCGGTTATGCTCCTGTCGTCGTTGGAATCAAAAACTTTCATCACTTCTGCCATGGCAAACTTTTCATCGACCTTCACCTTCCCACTGCGGATGATATCGAGCACCAAACCACTCAACTCAGTCTTGGTGATGCTGTGATCATCATCCTTATCTACGTTGTCGAACAGGCTGCAAAGTTGGAATTAAACCAGATATATAAGAACCTGCCTTCACTCACTAACAAAAATTCTCGCGCAAACATCTTACTTTTTTATAACATCAGTGTTGAGCTTCCCCTGTTCGTTCACGAGCTGTCCCTGCCGTTGAATGTGCTTCAGAAAACCTGTTCGAAGAACTTCGTACTTGGTGTAGTGTAAGCTCCTCTCCTGAATCTTAGGATACAAAATCTGAAGAACAAAAAAACACCTTCAACTATAAAATCAAACCACTTGTCATCTGCAGCAAATAAGCTAATGTGTGGTGTTGCTTAATCCACCTGATAGGCGAAGTACGACAACAAAGACAATGTCGACACAATCAGCGCGATCAAAGTCATGGCGCGCACTCCGGATGCCGTATGAAACAAATTAACCAATTGCACGATGACATAAGGAACTAAAGATAGGACCACAATGCCTGCAGTCGTCCGAGTCTCGGGATCAGTTTTCACTCCAATATCTGCAGTAAGTTCGACAATAGTATTGTTATCTCCTACACACTCGCTAAATCGAATTTGTTGGACTAATGGCATACCTGTCAAGAAGGTGAGTTTCTCCTTCGCCAGAAAACAAGATGATTGCGGAGCCAATTCAGAATGATCGTTATCCAACTTCCGTCTACCAAAAATTACACAAATCCCCCATTGCAGTGTGAGACTAAACACAGTGCTTCCGGCGTAAAGTCCTACGCCAAACGAGACCTGCGATTGAGCATTCTCTTTGCTGCTGAACACTCCTGAAACTGATTGTATTTTTCAAGCAGAGGCGACATCAATAAGAGCACTTTTAAATCGAAGAAATGCAGTACAAAGACACCTGATGCTGCAAATTCTTACCAATCATTAACACCATCGATGGCAGGGACATGAGGATTCGGAATATGATTCCCCCGAATTTCCCAACTCCGAGTATGCTGAACAAAACCTTACTCCCGCTGCCTATCTGCTGTCCGCCATATGTGAGCAGGAGCTGATACACAACAATCTGGAAGATATATCCCAAGGGGTTTTCGGCACAGGGCAGGAAGCCATATTGGTGGTCGCATGTGGTCGGGATGGGCGGCGCGGCGCCTAATGTCTTAACACTTGATGTCTGGTTATGGACAATATGATCAACTCCATCTGAGGTCAAATGATCATCGGATGAATTGAGCCTCAGAAATCGGCCCTCAATGATGGCTATGAGAACCAAAATCGAAACCAGGCGTAGAAGAGCAGCAGCAGCCATTGATGGACAGCTCGATGATTGCAGGATTGGATCCAGGTGAGGACGTCATATATAGTATAACAACGATGGATACATCGACAGTACGATGTAATAAAATACTTGCAAATTGCAATCTATATATTAGTTACAATGTGAATGCTTCTAAATCCAATGAACTAACTAGATTCTCTAACAACCAATTCTGTAAGTATTTCCAAAAATCGATTCCGGGGATAACCTCCATTTCTGATCATTAGAAATCAATAGTACTTCTGTGCAAGAACAATGGCAATGATTTTGTAACTACAGGCTGTTAACAATGATTTTTTCTTCTGTGAAATAAAATGTGTAAAATCCAAGGGAGGACGACGACATCGCAACCAAGACAAAGAGAAATTCAAGTCGCCTTTATTTAATGATAAATAATGAATAAAATAACAATAAGTGAAAGTTGATCCAGTGCTGTTTTGCATCATTAACACCCAATGGATTTTAAATAATGAATATCTTAATTATCTGTCTGTACCTAATCTTGTCTCCAGCAATGCAAATTGCATTGCCCACTGACACTTCTTTAACTTGTCAAATAATCATTGCAATCGAACTTAAATTTGTTAGATGAAAATTAAGCATTAATTAAGAATTGGACTAATTCTTATTCATGTTAATTTTTTGCTGTAACCTCAGATTCACAGGGCTTCGTTCACGTCTCTGCATGTGATTCATTATTCTAATTAAGTAAACTATTATTTACAAGTAAAAGTTTTTGTTTCTTGTACCATCAATAGAAAACCCACGTGCTTAATGGCTCTTAAAATAAGAAATTACAATTACAAGTTACAAGTGACCCTCCACATTTATGATTATTCTTTTAACTGGTTGGGAGAGATGGTTATACATATAGTAGGCCGTGTACTAATTTGACTCAATCAACATTGCCAAGGAGTCACGTAGATTATGGGTGGTCTAGTTCTTCGTAAAAGAAGTTGGTAATTATTTTGAAAAAATAAATAAAATAAAATGAAACATCCACAATTAAAAATATAAATAAGCAACAGTTGAGAATTCAAAAAAGAAAATTAGCAAGGATCTAACTTACAAAATTATAAATAAGACAATAATAACTTTGGATTTTACAAGATTTTACTATTTGACTTGTGAGCCATGGCTTTAGTCCACCGCCTGATTTAAAAGACCAACAACAGGTTTGAAGACCAAATTCTAGCTCTAATCCAACCTCATCAGACAAATATTTCACTGCAAAATATATAACTGAATCTAAAATGTCCAACTTATGTTCTAGCTATAATACAACAACGGCCACATGAAATTGATGATCAGACAGATATGTTGCTGGATCTCCTATCATGAGCATCATCTTCATGGTCTTAACCGATTTTCGAGGCTATCCAAAAGCAGAGGTGGATAGATAGATCAATGCTAGCGAAATCGGATAAAGCAGCACGACAAGGTAGCCTAGCCAGCGAGGGAATGTTGTCCGAATGCTCGCAATCAGTGTCATCACAGCACAGATTATCAGAACTATCAGGACTTCCGGGAATGCATTGGCCGACAAGTTTCTTGCATAAACCGGCGCCAGGAAAACTATCAGCCCGATAATGTTGTTCATGTACACTCCTCCATATATCTGCATATGTTTAGCATAAGCCCAAATGGAAATCAGAATTTAACTAAGAATCTCTTGTAAGAAAATCTTGTGTTGTGTAGATTAGCATTAGCATGGCATATATACCGCGGAGAGTGTCAAAGAAATAGATTTCTTTGACTTCTGTCTGGCCGAAGCGATTGAATTCACCGCAACTCCATAGTTCATGGCGAAGGGTATGACCAAGTAGGAGATACTGAATGGGGAGAAATTCGCAACCTGGGAGAAGTTCACCACGCTGGTGATCAACGGCTCTGACAGCGCACACAACATGACAGTCCCGAGTATTACAAAGAATAAGGCCCTGGCATAGTTCAACCAAGAATTATCTATAGGCCTTCGGCTTATGCCTGTGCCGGAGCTGTTCGTCAGTAGTCCCTCCTGCGACTGACTGTCCTTATCCTGTGATTTCAAAATGTGAGGAAGCAATGGTAATTTGAGGATTGTGATTCAGTGGAGTTGTTCTTAACCAGTACCTGTGAATTATTGCCACCTCTGAAGAGTTTGATGGAATCTGAAGTTTGGTCTGATAGGTCAGACACTAATTTTGTCATGCCTTGGATAAATTCATCTTGACTGATGAGATCGTCTCCGGAGGTATCGAAAGATTTCAAGATGTTCTCGATGTCTCTGTTCGTGTCCAAATCATTCTCATCGGCTATGTTCACTCCCAGCAGCAACACCCTTAACTCTGTGGCCGATACAGATGCATTTTTGTTGTGATCGATTTTACTAAACAGCCTAAAATTTACGCCAAAAAGAAAAAAAAAAACTCGAATCATTTAAACTTATTTCGAAAGTGTCATCTTTAGAAAAGGAATTTTTTCGATACACCAACTTACGATTGTATTTTTTGAACATCAGGTTTGCCATTTCTCGACAGGAGCCGCAACAGCTTGTCTTTCGCGTATTTGTTCATCAAGTACTCGAATCGACGGTCCTGAATCCACGGCTGGAATATCTGTATAATAACAATCCTTTCTGCATTACAAATCTTTAACAAAAACTCCAATTCTAATTCTCTTGCAGAGCTTTCTATTACCTGATAAGAGGCGTAGGCGAGCAGCAAAATAACGGTAATGATGAGAGCTATAAGGATGACCACTCGTTTCGCTGCTTCCGAATGGAAAGCTTTCGTCAACAAAATGATAAGAAAAGGAAGCAAGGTTATCGAAATCAGCCGCGCCGTGTAGCTTGTCTCCACATCCGTGACGACGCCATAACCTGTTGTAATGTAGGAATTAGGAATGTAATTTATAAGGATCCAAATTGTCTTGCATTTTGAGAATTAAGGATAAGGAGAAGCTATTGTCGGCACCTCTCGATGAATTTGTCGTCTGATCATCAGCTGTCGAAGCTTCGGAGAGATCATAGCTTCCAAGAACAACAACAATGCCCCATACCAATGTCAGAAGCATAGCTGCTGTCCCTGCTATCAATCCTATACCCAAATTAGCCCGTTGCTGCGCAGCTTCATCGGATCCTGACAGCGAAGAAACTGGAGTACGACGTTGTGATCAGATTTGTTTGCAATAACAGTGTAAGAACTCATTTCCCACAATGTCGTGTAATAACATTAACTGATTCATTAAATCAATGGTCAGCCAAGACTTTTCAAGAACCCACATTGTGCACTCGACAACGATAGTTACGACATGTATATTTTAAGATGAAGACAAAGACAGGGAACTCACAAAGAATCAGGACTATCTGCGGGATCGTGCCGAGGAGCTGGAACAGGCTGGCGCCGACTACACCCGGCCCGATTATCTGGAAGAAGAGCTCCGACCCGGTTGAGACATACTGTTCGCCGATGGACAGCAGCAGCTCATACACCACGATAAGGAACAGCAGGCCCCAGACATTGGAAGAGCATGGCAAGAATCCGTACGTCGGCTGACAAGTCTCTGTCGTCGCTGACAAATTCCATTCAAGAAAAGATGGGCTGCTCTGATCAGGACGTGGCAGACCCGAATCCTCCATGATCAAACGGCTGTAAGCCAGATGGGTTGTGACAAGAATAAGCAACGAGACGAAGCCCAAATTTCTCATCTTGGCCATCATGAAGATGATCTGACGATAACTCGTGAGTAGAACAACCCGGAGCGATTTGCAGAGATCTTAAATCTTTAATATATAGACTTTTCCAGCTTTGGACTTTGTAGGCATTGACTTGAACAGAAGCCAACACTTGCAATTTAAACAATACGTACGACCTCCATTGAAGTAGCAGCCGGGAAATATGTTTGTATTCAATATTTACAAGTTGTCTGCGCATGCCGAGGCGAGGACAACCTTAACTAACCACGTTTCTGTTAGGAAAAGGAAATGATATTCAATTCAAATGGTTAACAATAAATCTAAAACCCTCTGTTGATTTCTTCTCTAATTTGTTGTTTATGCATTGGCAGACTTGATTGGAAAGTTTTGTAGCCAATAGCCATCAGTAAACGCAGATTTTTCAAACTCAGCCTGAAGATAGGTTAGGTTGGATTAGGTTAGGATGACACGACACTTACAATATTTTATTACATTTATGGTTAGTGGGGATTTAATAAAATTGACAGCAGCCCATCAGAAATAAACATGGGAATTTTGTCCAAAACTAACCGGGGTTAAAGAAAATCAATCAGGGAGGATTTCTTGATATAGCCAACAATTAAAGAACAAAGTTCACCAGTGAGTAAATTGTCTATCCTTAAAACTGTGAAATACAATTCACCGTTGGGCATTAATTCCCACATGAGCCTGCTAAATAATGAGAATATTTTCCAATCAAGTGAGGGAGTTCCACGAACCAGGAGGCATTGACTATGATGGTCTGGGATTTGGCAGCTTTTGCTGGTAAAATTGTGGAGCAACCTCTGTTAGCCATGATGGATCTATAGCCATGACGTTTCGCATGTACTGACGATCAGTTGAGACGATGGAATGGAATACAACAGCCTTAGGATTGACTCTGCACCATAAGAATTTCAAGATAATGAATCGAACTTCTAAGTTTGTAGATAATAATAGAACAATCTTCATGTGCAGTAAATTGCTTTCGACAAGAATTAATCACAAATATAGAAGAGATTGTTTGAGAAAGTATACAATGTAATGTATTATCAGAGATCTTCACTTACCTGAATAACACAGAAGAAGGATGAATATAAACTTCCTGTGAACCTCTTATGGTCTTGTATAATCCATTGTGACTGAATGGCTTTAACCAAATAAGGGAGAAATAGTTAAGCCAAATCAGACAGGTCGAATAATTTTGAATCATATCAGGTTGGTTCTTCACTGTGAAATATCAAGAACTCCTTGAAAACAGAAACAAGGCTTACCTCTAACAAACAAGCATTGGCGAAAAATCCAGCAGTGACTGCCTTCCTTATTGCCTGCATAATCAAGAACTTGCATTCATCTTCCATTTGGAAAAGGTATACGGCTTGGTAGTTTAGATTCGAGGAAAAAAGATGTAGATACAGTGTTTAGGGGAGCGGTTCTTTCTTTCAGATTCTTCAAAATTTGTAAGTACAATCCACATTATTTGAAGCTCAAACAATCAGCATTTAGAAAATAAATTGTTTTAGCTCATCAAACACTAGTGATTATTTAAAATTAGGTAATAAATAAAACAGTATCAAATACTTTGGATACAAATAACAACATGGTTAAGAATTAATTTGACCAAGAGTAATAAATTAATCAACAAGAATTTAATTTCCTTTCTTCCTTGACCAATCAAACCAATATCCACATTTAATTACCTGTACGTCACCTTCACAAGATTTTATGGGGATACCTAAACGTTGTACAATTCTTCTCAACTGTTTTCGGATTTCATCAACCTTTTTCTGCAGAGAAACGAAAGAGATGTCTGAAGACAGATAAGAAACATGAAAAAGGATGAGGCAAACCAAAGATACTTACCATAGCATGGAAGTTCACATGATTCTTGTGACACCAATTTGAAGATTTACCAGACTCCATAAACCCTTTATACACATTTAAGAAGGTAATATGATCACCCTGTAAATAGGAAAAAGGTGATAGATATCAAAAAAGTTTTACTAAACATGAGGTAATTAAGCATAATTTTAGCTGTTAACTGGAAGAATTGAAAAAGATTGAAATTCATGTCACCTGGAAAAATAAAAAAAATAAAAAAGCTTAATTTTCAGGCCATAGTGTAACAGCTAAAAGTTAATCTACTCAGGCATCAATATTTCAAGATAAACTTGGGAAAATATAGCCTGTATATTTGATTTCATTTCATTCATTTACATTCAATTGAACTCAGTGATTGTGTGCGCTAGATATAATGAATTGAAGGTCCCCGCCAAGATCCAGTCTAACATACCAACTCGAATTGACCTTAACTGACAAAATACATAGCGAAATGGCACCATGAAACCTAGGAACAGAAAATTATGTAATTTTAAAATTACTGATTTAAAAACTTAGAAAAAAAAAAATCAAATGTGGTCACCTTTTTTCCTAATAATGCCAATAATCACTTCTGTTAGCAAAAATGGAAAATATAAAAACAAAATCATAAATTAATTTTATCACACCTCTCATTACAAATATATATATATATTATTAATACAATCTCTCAGGTAATTTTTTTTTTTCTCTTATTTTTTTAGCACAAGACTTGTCCAGCCTAAAGGTTGCAAGTCACTTTTATCTACCATGTAAAAACTTTGATCACTTGCTTCTATTCAAAGGTTTGTTTTTTAAAGCGACGTATATATGGTGTATCAGTCAGAAAAAAACCTCAGCAGCAGCATATTTCAATTTCGCTTCATCCAATTCCTTTTGTGCTCCCCAGCCAGAAAACCAGATTGACTGCACATGGAATAAGAAAAGGGACTTAATATAACTTGAGAAAATAGAAGGATATAATTGTGTATTTTTAATAATTGGCACACCATATATATATATATATATATGTAAAACGGAAGAAGAAAACGGGACCTGTATGGAAAGCACAGCTGCAATGGTGATGACTTCCTCTGTACAGCCATAATCATTTGAAGCCAAAATCATTTTAGAGATCATTGGATCCTGCAGTCAACATGTATCTATTAAAATCTGGGCAGAGCTTATAAAGTTAAACATATCTTTTGCAAACAAACAATTCAATGTTACCATTGTTATGTTGCACCAAGCATCCAAGAACCAAAGTGAACCACAAAAGCAACAAGCACCAGGACATAGATGGAAATAGGTTTATTTTATATGCTCATGAAGGAATGTAATTGAAAGAAATGACTTGTAGGAATAGATTCAAATGACTCACGTTACATGGATACCAACTCCACCACCAAAAATGTATATATATATATATATTATAATAAAAAACACCATATAATTACATAGAAAAGAGAGCTCCACAATAAGGATCCATGCATCATAAAAATTAAAAAATTAAAACTGCAAGAAGTATACTGTGCAGACACTCTGTACCTCCTTTCAGGAGAACAGGAATTTGTATACACTTAAACATAGAAAACACCAGTAATGAAAAAGTAGCACTTGTAACAGAAACATACTAATGGAATCTCTGCAACTTGGAATCCAGTAGGGGAAGTGAGTTTGGCATCATCATCAAGGACTCCAAGACAATACAATACTTCAAGTGCTCGAATCAGTGCCTGAGGAGTTGGTGCTGCAGGCCAATCAAACCCCAAAATATTGTCTATCCCCAAGGCTTTTAACTGTCATAATCAATATGAATACAATCACAATCATGAAACCGGTACAAGGCATTTACAAATGTATTTCATCAAATTGCACTATCGTTTGGTTAGAAAGAATCCAGCACCCAAAAGGCATAATGTTTTAAAACCTGTAGTACATCATTCCATAAACATAAATAAATGCATTCTAAAGAACAAAGCAGTGTGACGAAGTAGACACATGAATAAGAAGACTTCAGTGGTATCATCAAGTAATTTGTTGATTGCTTAGCAGATTTCTCATTAATATTTTAACTATTTTGCTTTACTTCCCGGGCATATCATACATGTCTTTTTCATGTTGGAAGTACCAGGCCAAAACAAAGGGAGCATTAGGTTTATTGGAAGGTGTATCAGCAATAGAACGTGAAGAACCATCGTATATCTTGAACAATCATGGAATTTCATGCTTTAACCACCACCCGTGTTTAATGACACTCATAAAGCTATACTTGACCTACATAAAACATTAGTTCAGCCACTCTTGAGTACTACTAATCATTGGAAATCCTTAAGTTACTGGAAAAGAAAGAGTGAGATCAAACAAAAAAAATTCAGATGCACATAATATTATTAGATTATAATGCTTACCTGAATAACACAAGAAACAAGGTTTGATCTCTGCATCTCTGGTATACCATTAGCAGGCATCTCATTCAGGAAATATTCCTCTGTGTAAAGCCTGATTATTGTCAACAAAAAGGAGAAAAAAACTCTGATATTTTAAAATATGTTACAGTTAGTGTAGTGAAGCTAGACCATTCCATCCACTTAAGTAATGGAACTCTTATACATATGATGTTACCAGAGGATCTGTTTATAGTTACGCACCTGTAGCACTTTCCTGGCCTAACTCTTCCAGCCCTACCAGTCCTTTGTCGTGCAGAAGCCTTAGATATTGGCGCAACGATCAAACTTTCAATATCAGTCATCTGTTGAAAGTTATAAGTGATATTAACGTAACGATCGAAGTTTCAACTCAAGTTTATTACCCTTGCAAAACTTAAATAATCAGAAAAATCAGTGGTTTTTTGTTGTCAATTCGATTAGAATTATGACATTACACCACAGAATAATGTCTAGTTCAACAATAAATGAAACTATTCCATACCCAGTCCAATTACCCCAAAAGTGTTAAAGTGACAAGAAAAAGCATTTAATGTTGGTCTTGAACATAAAAAGTGTCAACAGTAACATAGCCAAGTTAAATAAGAATCAACAGTATGAAAGGAATTTGAACATTTTCTAAAACTATGAAGGGACTGGAAACAATCTCAAATCAAATCCTTATGAAATCAATGTTATAGTACATAATAGAGCTGCTGTATTTCTCTGATTTCACCATATAATTAGCTTGTTCACACAATGTCCGAAGACGCATAAAGATGTTATATTATGAGGGAAACCTTTGCCAGTCACTACTAGGAAATATGAACTATAAGAGATGTTGCATAAGTCTTAAGAGAATCATTTTAAATAGAACTTCGAAAAAAACCAGGGGTTTGTTTCGTTTACTTTTCAACTACATTTTTGCGTTGTGCATAAAAAAATTCTCCCTAAAAACATCAAATCCAACACCTATATTTCTTTGAAATATTATATAAAAGACTAGTTTCTATTCAAAGCATCATGCTCAACACCTATTTTTTATTCAAATATTTACTATTTTCAAAACAACCAAAATACTTCCAAAACACAATTAAACAAACCTCAGTTCATTAAAGCAAGATAAAAACCTATAAAAAAATATACATACCGGATTGTAGAAACGTTGCTTTGAAAATCCACTGTCAACAACATAGACAACACCCTGAGATGAGATCAGGAATGAGTTAGAGATAGGCAACACCTCCAGTTCTTACCTAAAACCCATTATAGATATGTTCAGTGTGAAGTGGTTACCTCTAATGTCAAGGAGGTCTCCGCAATATTGGTTGATATTACCACCTTTCTCTTCCCACGAGGAGTTGGAGAAAACACAAGATCCTACAGATAAAACAAGATTATATATTGAACATGATGGCATCATATTTCTGTCAAGTAGGAAAAATCAAATACTTGATCGGCACGTGGTAGTCCAGAATACAGAGGCAAGACAAGCAAGCCTGCAAGAGAGTAAAAGAACAAGTAAATGAAGGCAAGATAATGGAAGTGCAAAGAATGCACAAACTTAAACTAAGAAATGATTCATACTCATCAGTGAGAACTCCCAATATTTTATGAAATACAGATGCAGTTAAGGTGAAAAATAGAGGCCATAACTGTTGGAGGGGAAATAATCATAGATTAATTACAAACTTATCCAATTTTAGAGTATCATGTTAAGAATTATGCATCCTCCATGGGTAAAAAACATAAAAGTTGGTAAATTAAGGTCACAGTCCCAATCAAAAGTGAGAAGTTCTAATTCTTATTGAAAGACCGGGGCATTTCAAATACCTTTCTTTCTATTGTGGGAATCTTCTGTAAGCAACTGAATTGCAGCATCAATGTCATCTTGACCAGTAAGAAAAACAAGTATGTCTCCATTTGGCTCCTAAAATGGTACAACTCAATATAAATCGAAAGTGCTGGTCATAGTTTGGAAAATTGCTAAATAATCATTTACAAAGTTGAACATTGCGAGATTGAGGCAATACATACATGAGTATATTTTTCAAATGTCACTTAACCATTGAGTAAACATGAATGTATATATAATTAAAAAAAATGATCTGAATATATTATCATTTGAATATAGATAATATTCCAAGGAAGAAATTTAGGAGGCAAGCCTTGAACCACCCATGAAATTCTGAGGTTTTCTTTAAAAATCAAAAATAGCATAGAGTTTGTGTCACAGCTCTTGATAAGAAACAGAATAAGCAAGAAAATGTAAATACGAAACTCGATCGCACTGACAATTTTCCCAACGTATACCAGACCCACTTTGACCATACATTGCTATGTCACAAGTCAGCCCAAAAAGTACTTGAAGAATTTGGCATACCTCATCGTGTATAGATATTACAGTAGAAACAGCAGCTTGGACATAATCTGAAATAGGTTCCTCAACATAGAAAATTTCCACATTATACCCTCTACCCTACACATTCAGAAAAATTTCATCAAAATACACTTACCTAAAATCTAAGCTATAGGACTGATTAATATCTAAGAACTAAAATTCAAGTCACTAGTACAATATACCTCAACTGACAATATGGCAGGATCTTTTTTTGGTCCATGATCTGCTTCCTCTGCACCTTGATGCCTTCGATGGCTATGGATCATATTTTACATGGAATGAGTTCAACTAACCCAATAAGAATTGACTCATTGCATAAACATAGCACAATAAAACTGAGGATTTACAAGGTTAAAAAATGGCAAGGGCGGCACAGTAAAAAATTGTGTTTTACTATTCTTCAAGGCGACACCTATATATCAAGTATCATGAATCCAAAAGTAGGAAGCAAATTAGCTCATACCAAGTCTGTGCTGATTAAATATCCTTAAAATATGTTAATCATTTATTACATTTCTAACCAAAAACACTGAATCTCAATCCCTTGGAAGCAAACAAGTAAATCTTATGTACTGCTATAGTACTAATCATTGTAAAAGAAATAAACCTGATATTGAAAAAAGAAGCCATTGATTGTGCTTCAATTGTTGCTGATGAGATTATAAGACGAAGCTCGGGCCGACGCCGTTGGATCTGGTTATCAAATATTAGCGAATGAGATATATCAAGCAGAATATCGAACATATAATAAAGAAAATGAAGAAAGAACCACCACCACATATAGATGCAAAAGACTACCTTTTTAAGGAGGCCCAACAAAATGTCTGTTGAAAGCGACCGTTCATGAGCTTCATCTACCATGATGACACTGTTCAGCCAAAACTAAAGGTTTCCAAACATATATAGAAAATACATATACACGGTTTCCTTAGGTAAACTAAGAAATGGCAACTCCACAAAACACAAATTAATAGAAGCTCAAAGCAATACCAAGCTAGTCAATGATTAAGAAAAGAAAATGGTGTACACGGCTGATCTTTTGGCCAGGCATGTAGATATATCTATTTATGTTAGCTGGATCTATTGTAAACTATGGTTTAGGGTGAATAGTAAAGTGATTTCTCAACTTTGTGTTGGGCTTCAACATTCATGGCATTAATAGAGGTAAATGATTTTTACAAGAATTAAAAAATGATCTCTTGAAAATTTTGGCCTACCTATACTTGCTTAGCAGAGGATCGTCCATCATCTCTCTCAGCAATACTCCATCAGTAAGAAATTTGATCCTTGTTAGTTCCTAAGCATCATCATAACCACTTATTAATGCATACATTGAAAGCATGTGCAGCCATACCCCAGGTAATCTGTAAAACCCTTAGTCCACAACTATGTGCAACTTGTATGAAAAAGGTAGCAACTTTGCCTCAAATTAGACAAATAACGAGATAAGAACAAGTATAAAATACTCACCTTATTGGAAATATCTTCAAACCGAATTGTGTAACCAACTTCATCTCCTAGTTTAACACCCATCTCTTCAGAAACTCTAGAAGCAACAGACTGAAATCCAAATTATCTTAATTATCATTGAGTAAATGTAATAAAATTATACAAGACCGCAGCATAGCACAGTCTCCCAGAAGAAATTTTGGGTGAATAGCAACAAAACTCACATAGGATATCAATAAGTAGAAGTTGCATCAAGTGAGGTTTATAGACGCTAAACTAAAACAACCAATTATTAGTTACAGTAACACAACCACAATTCTAAGCACTATGATATAATACATAGCACGCACCCATTATGGACAGCAACTTAAAACATTGATAAGAAGTAAATATATAGTGTATATCCATATGATGAAATAAAGAAAATTAAATGAACATGAGAGGACTTCAAGAAAAACTACTATTGCCAATTTTAGAGGACAATATAATAGTACAGCCAGAAACCAATTCTCTCGAAATACAAATAAGTAGCATATAACACAGTTATGGTGCTCCATAATGCAATACGACGCTTCTCAACACATGCACCTTCTTGAAATTGCACAGTATCAGAATTAACAAAAAGAATACATATTGGTAAAAATGATACAAGCATGTCCATGACAGGTTACGTAGAATACCTGCACAGCCAAACGTCTTGGTTGTGTGCAAGCTATCACCCGGCCACCGTCAGCCCATCCAGCTTCTTTTAAATACTTTACACGGTCACATTGGAACAAAGAGATCACTTTTTTAAGTAAAGACATTGAAGGCAGCACAGCTCAAGAGTCCATTAGATAAAAAGAATTGTGAAGTAGTAGTATTCAAGATAAAGGAGAAAGTTAAGGATCTTTGAGTGTTCAGAGTAGCTTATCGATCATTTGTACAAAAATGAAAACAAATCTTCGAACAAAGCTAGCCCGAATAATCACACAAATTTCCTAGCACTGCTACACGAAGCAAAATGATACCTGGGGAATCTGCGTAGTCTTTCCACTGCCCGTCTCGCCAACAATAATGGTCGTGGCGTGCGTCTCCACCAAATACAAAATGGCCGTTCTATACTTGTACACTGGAAGCCTCCTCCTCTGCGCTTCAATGTTTGCGTACCCGTACCTATTTCGTGAATTGAATTATAAAGACCACTCAACTCATAAAAAAGAGTCCGAAGAAAAGAGCGGGAAGAAGTTATTTCTACCCAGAAGATGCCGATGACGAGGAAGCGTAGAACAATACACCCCCTTCTTCATCGTCCTCAATGCGCGGCTTCTCTGCTCCGGGTTTCCAGAATCTCGACATGATCTATCCTCTTCGACGAAAGAACCCCGAGTCGTGTTTTCTTGCTTTAAAAAGCAGCTCTTTAGTCACAAGAAAGTGAATGCAAATAAAAATACTGCTTGAACCCTCGAAACCCCAATTTTGGCGCAGCATATGCAATGGACGGGTTCGGATATCCTGTCCGACACATCTCGCTCCTGTCCATCAGAGAGTTTTATTTATCTTTTTTTTTTACTTAAAGCTTGAATGAATAAAAATTTGGAGAAGAATGACATTGTACATGCTCTAATATGTAAATCAAGTCAGTAAAAACTGGTCAGTGGTGGTAGACATCCCAACTTATAATTCAATCATAAGATTGGTTCATCCAACCTAATTTTTTTTAAAAAAAATTGGCATGATTCTGTAAATATTTATAGCCAATAAATTGTGATAAACATAAAATTTCTATAAATTATAGTATATAATTTGGATTTAAATTAATTATATTTTTTAAACAGGTCATTTGGTTCGATTAATTTGATGGCGTCTTTAATCTGAAAGAATTTGATATTTGATTGACATTTTCAGACTTTCCAATTCTAAGGAATTCGATTTTAAGATTTGGCTTTGTCGAACTTTGGAGGATTTTGATGTTTTTAGTCATCGATTTTGGATTGATATCTTGTATAGATGATTAGAGATTTTAATTTTTGACGAGATGGATCGTCATGTAATTTTTGTGTGTCAAATAAATCGACTAAAATTCCTATGTAAAAGGGACGAGTGACCAAATATATGCAGAGTTGTATTGGAAGGTCAATTGCAGAGGAGGCCCCGTGGAAAGCTTTACATCTCTTCAGTTGGAGATGGTCTTATGAGTGAACTTGAGCTTCGGCTGCCAGTTATTACATCGTCAAAAAAGTAAAATAAAAACTACTAGTGATCATTGAAAATGGAAAAATGCCACTCAAAGGGCCATCCATGGTCCCTGCCATTGCCACTTTCCATGTTATCCGTATCTGCCTAATACAACCACCACTCTCCATTGTTGCCACGCCCAACTCCTTCTAATCTCCCATTGTCAAAATAAGTTGGTTATAACTTTATAACCATCGATTTTAAATACAACTTAAGAAGGTAATACCCAGCAACATCCATATCTATACATATACAGCATTGCAGCTATGGTACTTCAACTATATATTTATATCAAGAATGTTTTCTTGCATGCGCGCAGTATTTTAGTAATTTAGTGGATCCAGAATCATCACAGCTCAGAACCCTGGTGATAATTAATATTCCTAGTATTATCCAATCTCTGGTAATGCACTGCAAATGCAAATTGTAGTGGAAGTGCAAGCCACTTCTTCGCTAACTTCCATGAATGCCAACTATAAAGCCAAACATTGACAAAAAGAAATCCCTAAAAAGTTCATCATCCAGGGCTCGTGGCTTGATTCCTGGACCCACCCATATCATGAATGGTATGGATTGGATTCACCTGGGACTTTGGTTCCCCCAAAACCACCCTGGTTTTTCAGGTCCACAGAATTCAAACAATCCCTTTAATGCCTTCTCTAGTCCACACCTTTTTTTGTTCTTGATAGAGCAGTCCATCAAGAAAATTAATTAACACAAATTTAATAGGAGCAATGTGTAGAAGTTTAGAGTGAGTGGGAAATCACTGTTGTATTTGTTTTCTGCAGAGATAATTAAGAGGGCTCTGTCTGAATTGGTGTGGATGTCACCTATTGCACTTGCACATGCTCTGCATTTAATGAGGTTTTCTGATATGGCACATTGCAATTTTTCCCCCTACTTTTGTGACCATTTGATTCCATAACTAATCCATCAAAAAACTCATCACTGTTCCAGTTTCCATATTTTTATTTTGAAGGAAGAAGCAACTTTCCCTGTGCTGTTTGTTTCTCTTTCACGGGGTTTGATTCTCTCTATTTAATATTTATCCCATTTTGGCTCAAACAACACAAGGACTGAATTGCCTTCCCCTTTTGCATATATACTGTCTCTACTGTTGGCTAAATTGTCCACAGCTGCCTCCCCACATCTATATTCATCTTGCTGTCATGTCTGTTTTCCCTGCAGCTTTGCTTCTTCTCATTTTCTCCTTCACAACCTCTCACCTTTCATTACAAATTCACTCATTGCCTATATCCCACCGCAAGCCAAAGTATCAACTGTCAGTTGGTTTCTATGCAAAGTCATGCCCTCAGGTTGATCAGCTTGTTGCTTCTATAACCTCACAGCAGTTTAAAGAAGCCCCCATTTCCGGCCCCGCCACCATTCGCTTGTTCTTCCATGACTGCTTCGTCGATGTAAGCACTACACAGTAGACACCACTACGAAGATACATAAAACACTGCATAACTTTCTTTCTCATGTTAATTCAGATAATTCGATATATGCTTTGGCTTGATTACTGTAACAGGGGTGTGATGCTTCGGTGCTGATTTCTTCAAAGTCTGGAAGCAGAGTATTAGCAGAGAAGGATGCAGAGGACAACAAGGAGCTGGCAGTGGAGGCATTCGACACCATAAACAGAGCCAAGGCATTGGTGGAGAGCAAGTGCCCAGGAGTGGTGTCCTGCGCAGACATCATCGCAATTGCCGCTAGAGACTTCGTGCATTTGGTTAGTGCAGTGCTCAAAATCTTGTCTTTTCAACACATGTATGATGATTACCGAACAACACATTGAACTGTTGCTACAAAATTAGGCCCTCATCACATGCTCTGAATCCCTGATAATGGCCGGTGCACCTCCATTTGATCTCAATGGACCTACCAATAATCCCATCATGCTACTTGAATTCTTCTCTGAAAATATGCATGGAAAGATTAATCAATGTAGTTTCATAGTAATAGTGGTATAATATGTCCAATTGTATTAGTTTTAGATTGTCAGGAATCACGAGACAGATACAATGATTTAGGAGTACCATTGATGAGAGAATCTTGTAAGCACTTACAAAGATTGTTGACTGCAAAATCTAGAAGCCGCTGCAGAATAGGACATCTGATATACAGATAGATCAAGAGTTGTTTAATGGGGTGACTTATTAATGCTGCTCTAACTTTTGCATAAACATCTATGCAACGTCCAAACATTGATGCAGGTCATTGGGCATTTTTTAAACCCAAGAACAGCTGTGCAAGTTTAGCCTCTACTTAGTAGACAAAACTCTAGATTAGCTTAGATACCATACTTAGCCAACAGCTGTCAGCATCCCATTTCCTGAAATACGATGGCGGATATTCAAGGGATCAAAATTGAGCACTTGAGGACAGAACTTTGAATATTATATATGATTCACAAAAGCCTTGGATGAAATATATGATTCTTGGTTAACATCTGGATTATTATCATTTTTGACAGGCAGGAGGGCCGTATTACCAGGTGAAGAAAGGAAGGTGGGATGGAAAGCTTTCCATGGCTTCCAGAGTACCAGCCAATCTGCCTCGAGCAAACGCCACCGTGGACGAGCTTCTTAACCTCTTTAAATCGAAGGGATTGACACTGGAAGACATGGTTATCCTAGCAGGGGCTCATACCATAGGATTTGCACATTGCAGGCATTTCGTGAACCGATTATACGACTACAAAGGCACAAGACAGCCTGATCCTTCAATTGACCCAAGGCTCCTCAAGGCCCTCAAAATGTCGTGTCCGCATTATGGAGGTAATACTGACATTGTAGCACCATTTGACGTGACAACTCCATTCAAATTTGACAATGCATATTATGGGAATCTGGAGGCCAAATTGGGCTTGCTCGCCTCGGATGAAGCACTGTTTTTGGACGGCAGAACTAAACCTTTGGTTCAGACACTGGCGAAGGATAAAGCCAAGTTTTTTCAAGCGTTTGGAGTAGCTATGGACAAAATGGGATCCATTGGCGTGAAGAGGGGTAGAAAACATGGAGAGAAAAGAAAGATTTGTAGCCTGCATTCGGATTAATTTTATAAAAAAATTGTTGTATCTAATGCTTCGATTCCTACACTTGTAATTGGCTATTTGCTTCATTCGTCGATTCAATCTTTCCATTCTTTTTCCTTCCTGATTAATAAGAATTTTTTGATTTGGTCCCTCGTTTTCTGTTAATGGATTTTATCAAATGGTCCGAATTGGGCCGGCCCCTTTGATCCATTTGCAATCTTTCGTGACAACAACAGTAACAAAAAAATGGAGCCTTGACCATGGCTTCTTTGGATTTCTGGATTTCGTTTCGCTGCAAATCCAAAGAAAGCTTGACTCCTCAAAGCCGGTTCGCTACCGTGCGCAGTAAGCGCACGACTTGCGTTGATTTCAGCAGGAGGAAACCAACGATCAAATCGATGAGGGCCGTAGTTCAGCGAGTGGCTTCAGCTAGTGTTGAGGTCATTTACGCGAGACTGTACTCATTTACTTACATTTTAACACTCACGCTCAAGAAGCTGTGCGTAGTATGTTCCTGATTTACGTTTGCTCAACGTTATTGCAGGTCGACGGCCGCACGGTATCGGCGATTGGGCCGGGGCTGTTGGTTCTAATCGGGCTTCATGAAAATGATGTTGATTCTGACGCTGAATACATGTACGCATGAATCGAAAATTTTGCCCCTTTTTTTTTGCAAATTTGAATGAATTCTGTTGTTTTTAGGGCAATTTTGATTGTTGTTTTGTTGGGTTTGCAGATGCCGCAAAGTGTTGAACATGAGATTGTTTCCCAATGAAAAAACTGGGAGAAATTGGGACCAAAGCGTAACTTTCTTGCCACATCTTCCTCTGCATTTCATCCTCTTTCTACTTGTTATTCACAGTTTACCTTGCTTGAATTATGTTTGTTGTATTTATTTAATTTCTGAACTGGCAGAGATCATAATTATCTAGCAAATAGTTTCCAAGTCTGTTCTTCCTTAATGTTAAAAAGAAGTGTTTACCTGGAAGCAGCATTCTGCCATTTCTTGAACAAACAGAGTTCTGTTGTTTCTAAAAATTCAGCACTAATGCTTACATGGGTTATGTTGATTGGCAGGTTATGCAAAAGAATTATGAAGTTCTATTAGGTACCATCATCTCTCTCTACTTTCTCTTCTGTGTTGTTCTTAATCTAATCTCCTGTTTGGGAATCCGTTTTCTTTTTTTTTTGTTAATTGGAATTTATTTGGTGCAGTTAGCCAGTTTACATTGTATGGCATATTAAAAGGGAACAAGCCTGATTTTCATGTGGCAATGCCTCCAAACACTGCTAAATCATTTTACACTTCTCTGGTTGAAAATTTTCGAAAATCTTACAGGACTGATGCCATTAAAGGTAATCTGATCTCCCTCCTTCCACACACACTCACTATTTATTTCTTTTGAGCTTAGCTTGCAATCCTATGCTGTAAGAGAACATTGCAACAAAGAAGTAATTTTCATATAGTTGTCGAGCCAATAGCCCAAGCACGTGTTTATTATGGAAGTTGTTTTGATTCTCTAGGATTATGGCATCCTCAAAAATTTATGGGTTCTATTCTTGACAAACTTGTGAGCCCTGTTAAATCACACCTGTATTGATCTGTGGGTTCAAATACAATATTTCAACAGATATATTAGGATCAGAACTTGGATTTGGATCATGTATTGGGGTTCATGTTCTTGGTAGGCATGAGATTATAGAAGCTTGATTTAGCTAGCAGATTCATTTGATAAAGCTAGACATCTCTTCGACATCTAAATATGCTCAATTCTGATTGCTTTTGTATCTGTGTAGACGGCATATTTGGCGCAATGATGAAAGTGAGTGCTCCTTCCTAGCTCTACTATTTTGAGTTGCTTCTATCCCATTCTACACACTTAATTTCCTAACATGCACACTGAGTTATGCTGTGTTTCCCTTTTGTTTCAATCGAATGAAGGTTAACTTGGTTAACGATGGCCCAGTGACGATGCAGCTCGACTCCAGTCCATCGTCTAAGTGAGTGCAAACCTTTCTTCTCATCACCTGAATATCAAAATTTCCATGACAAATTTAGACATCTAATCTTTCTCAGGAGTGAGAATGGAGAAGCAGAAGGATCATAGACGATAGTCTTCAAGTTCAACATGAGATGATAAAGGAATGCATACAAAAACATTCTTCCCATTTGCCATAGTTAGTATTTAAAGTCATTGCTTGTAGTGAGACGAAGCTAATTAGTAAAAGAAAATGAGATCCACTCTTCTCCCTTGGTGGCTAAATTCTGGACATTATGTCCATATCATTACCACATCGATCAAGAGAAACAATGCTTGGGAAACTTTTTTTTTTTTTTTTTTTCCAATGTTCTAATTGTCACATAATGTCAAGAATTTAGCCACTTAAAAATGCTTGACATTATTGTTTCAATCATTACCACTGGAAAAAAAATGTCCATATCATTACCACATCGATCAAACAATTCCAGTTTAGAAAAAATCATTTTTGTAACAAAATTTTTTTGTCTCTAAATCTATTTTTTCCGTTACTAATGACATTAGAGACGGAATTAGGAATGAAATTACGTTAGCCACGTGAATTTTAGGAACGAAATTCCGTTACAAATAGATTATTTTTTTGTAGTGTACCTGAAACCGATCGCTCCATGTTCTTCAATTAAACACTATTCAAGAACTTCACAAGTAGTTCACTGCGACCTCCATATATACACATTTTTCAGCATAAGTATACAACTACTACATCTCAAGCCTTTAATAATACTCAGGCAAGGGTTATGGCAGCCAAACGCAACCTGACATGTTTGTTACAAAGTTGAAGAGCAACATTCAACCTTACGTCACTGACTTCTTGTGTAAGTTTATGTTGCTTATTTTGTTGTGAAGATGAAAATTGTCATATTGAACATTGTGTGAAGTGTGTGCTCGAGGATGGTTATGTATTTTAAATTACAGTAATACCTCTTAAATTTAATTTGAAAATTATATTTTTTTTCTAAGTTATGAATTAATTTAAACTCGTCACAGTTTATAATCTTATCCTCTACAAATTTAGTGAAATATAATAGGATCAGTATTTTCTTAAAACATAGAACTTTGATCAGTACTGTAAATTCTTGATCTATTTGTAATGAATGCAGCCGAAGCATTTGGCTATGCGGATTTGACGGTGAGACTCGAACTCGAAACCTAAAGGCCCTATACTATGATAAATGACGTAAATGATCATCAAATCTAAAAATTTAAGCTTTTAAAGCCGAGTCCATCACCCAAAGTAAGTGTATTAATTCATTTTCTTGCATTTAAACAACTAACCAGAATGTAATACGGAAATCGAAGGAGCTAGACCTCTTCCAGTACTACATAGTTCATCTCAGAAACCTAGTGGGACTGTGGGAGCCGATGAGCTCAAAAGATTGTCGGTAATGTATTCGCCTTGATAAGCATGGGATCGAATGACTTCTTTCTGAATTATTATGCTGGATCAAATCGATCCAAGCAGTACGACGTATAGCAGTATCAGAACTATCTGGTTTCTTGCATTCTAAAATAATGTCATAATGGGGTATATGATATCTTCTCAGAGAAGAAAATAAATGCCATGTGGGAGACGACTGTATTTGTATGTTTAAATAAATTATCATGATAAGTTATCTTCAATTCCCAAATCGTCAAAGAAGCAAAACAGCTGCATATGTGTGTATTGTGTAATAAATAGATTAATCCTTCAAAAATCCATCAATAATTGGACGAATGGACTTGAAGATGTTGTAATAAGCTGCCTGAGAAGGGTGGATAGCATCCCAAAACACATACTTTGAGTCATCAGGACAGACCGCCGACAACGAATTGCACAGGTACGAACTCTCCAGCATCCCGCTGCCGCAGCACCCACGATTCACATTTTCAAACCCTGCAAAACTCACCGTCAATTTTGACCGAGATGAAGAACCCTGAAATTGAATTAATTGATTATTAGGGTTACCAAATTGTTGAGGGTTTCTGATCATCTCATCCAACGGCTTATAGATATCAATGTAAAAAACACGAGCCCCATGGCTCTGCTGCATTGCCGTTAGCTTGGCCTGAAGCAAGCGGTTGTAATCACGAGAGAGAGCTGACAGAGATTCGACACAGCTCCGGTGAGCCAAGGAGTTGCCGGAGTTCAGTGTGATGACAGCTGGCAGGCAGCCCATCGGCGGGAGTCCCACAAATGCAATGTTCCTCGCCCCCATCTCTAAAAGACCCTACAAAATTACTTTATCCATTATAAATACATTGATACATATCTATATATATAATGTGTGTGTCTGTATTTTTCCACCAAACTCGACCTATAAAGTAATGGCGGATTGTACAGATTTTTTTTTTTTGTTTTTTTTTTATGTCGTGGAATATGCAGCGATTATCCGAAAATGCGCACTGAGCAAACCCCGGCCGGATCTAATACCCTGCAAACCAAGTTCGAAAAAATCACACTAGACGAACCATGTGTAGCAGGTGATCCGAGAGTTTGAACCCGGTCTCAAATCCAACTCCTACGCCATACTATCCCTTACCGATTTTGAATTCAGATTTTGAATTCATTAATATTAGGTTGGTTCTTCAGACCTTGACCTACCTAACGACGTACACAAACCCACAGCAATTTAAATGCACCTCTGGGACTACTGTATACATCGAATCCAAGAAAACAGAAGAAGAATCGATCAAAATGATGAATTATTATAATTAGGGTTATTATCATTACCTGGAGGAACTGTTGAACAAGCTGTAGGATGAAGTGCTGGTAGGCGGGGAGGGTGAAGGTTTGGCGTCGGATTGGATCTGCGCCGTAATAATTGACGACAAAGTCGTTTGTCCCGGCGCTTATGATGAACACAGCCTTGCTGATGAGAGTGCTTGTGGCCTCCTTCCCTATGTAACCCTCCATTCTTGATCTATACTCCTTCAAGAACTGCAGCTGCTTCTGGATCGATATTACGCCCTGCACAACCACCAACAATCATTACGTACATTATGTGTGTATGTATCTATTTATATGTATATATATGTATGTAATTAACATTTTCCAGCAGCAAATCCATAGCAGTGGAAATGGATCTGTATTTTTTCAAAAAAAAAAAAAAACTTGTTACAGCTATGCGTGATTAATTTTTCACTTTCATGCAGTGTAGTTTTCTCATTATGAAAATTTAGAGAGAGAAAGAGAGGGAGAGAGAGAGACGCTTTGGAGAGCAGTGAGAGGGTCGAATCCGGAGCTAGCAGAGGCAAAACAAACTCCATTCCTGAGGTCCTGGAGGGTCAATGATGGATCCAAGTAGACACGTATGTCGCCTTTCAGACCAACATATGAAGCTGTTTCAACACCAAAATGTCTTTAAAATCAACCTATGTATATATACATATATACATCTTGTATAGTTGTATATATCAATCAGCAGGTCAGATACTGACTCACCTACAAAATCAGTGACGAGTCTGCCATTGCTGAACCTTCCAGTGGCAGTGTGGGTGGGGAAGTCCTTCCCATACGGCGGAAAGTTGCTTTTCGAAGTAGTCTTAATATAGTTATTGTTGCCTGCATCCACCGTCGAGTCGCCGAACACGAAGACCGCCGGAATCGACGACGACGACGGCGAATTCGAAGTTGTAGAATAATTAAACCCCAGCTCCCGAGTTTCAGCAACTCCTAAAATAAGGGCAGCCAAAAGGACGAACAAACTTGAGGAAACTGGATGGAAAGAACCGGAGAGACGACATCCCAACATTGCTGGAGAACTCACTAATTAAACCAAACCCACTCGGTTCTTCACAAACCAGACAGCTAAAAGAAGAAATTGGTTATTACAACATGTGGCTAGTGTCTATTTGTCTCTCAATACACATACACACACATATATATAAACATAATTATGCTGAATAAGTAAGAGCAGTAAGATATTTTTTTTTAGGGGTTCAAAATTTCGAACAGTACATGACAGATTTTTAATTAGTTCACTCAGTGCAGATGATATCCAAGCAGCAAGCATTCAATGTTCGTATTTTCATCATCATAAATAGTGCAACAAGTAGCTGTGCACATTACCATTATTAATCATACACCAATCATATATATATAATATATACATATACCATAGGTAGTTTTCTTCCTAACAATAATTTATACTCAATCAAGTTTGGGTGTTATTTTCATCAAACTCTTGCATGAAAGAAGCCTCCAATCCTCTCTGGATACAGCTCAAGCATAATAAATAGACCTGCACCACTTTTGATTTATGCAAAAAATCAAATCATTCCAGCAATTTGCAGATCTTAATTTGTACAAGAAGGCTACAGGCACATGCAAATGAGCCCACTTTGTTAAACTCAAAATTATCCATAACTCATCAAGAAAACATGTTAATTCCTATATGCTTCTCTATTTATGTAAAAAAAAAACGTTTCCTGAGGTGACTGGGATTCATCACTTCCATTAAAGAATATGAAAAACAGAAGCCACAGCCACGTATGTGGTGTGTAAGAAGGGAACATATAAAATAAAACTAAAAATGTGGAAAATAATAATTGAATGTTTCCACCAGACTCACATTAACTACCCCAACGCACCACCATAATTGGTTGATGCCTCTGTCCTTTCACACCCAACATAGCATGCTATCAATATTGAATAAGATCATTTTATATACTAAATTAAATAAGTATTTCCCTGTTTGTATAGTAGTAGGTCCTATCAAGAAATAAAAGCTAAAAAGGAGTGGGCCTTTTTGTTGCTGAGGTACATTGCAGGTTATGGGCGTGGGCATTGTGCTGGTTCCAATTTGATGTAAAAATTGGATCTTGAAACTAATGTTTATTGTGAACTTATTATTCACTTTCGTTCATCCAGAGGATGCAATGAATCTTGTTTCTTAATAGAGATGACAATTCTGGTATTGCTTCTTCAATAAGCTCTCATTACTTCTTTTCCCCAATTTTTTATTAAAATAGTATAATTTAGAACCACACGCTTGTACTTGTCCATGGAATTGACTTTTGATTTTTCCATTCCTACTTTTTCCACTGCAAACAAACTACAACCTTGATGATAAAGGAATGGGTTCCAGTTATTTGCTAGCTAGCAGTATTAAGAAAATTCAAGAAATTCTTCAAAGAATAGCTTTTCAAATTTATGGCTTCATTCGTGCAATGTAAGCGTCTGTGTATTTTTTTTTCTTCCACTTGTTTCTACAGACAATAAAAGAGGAATGAATGATTAGGATTCATGATTGGGTCAACTTAGGATGATTAAAATAGTTTATCTTCAGGCAGGGGATTACCTTAATCATGGGAGTATCATCCTTGAAGTTTGCTACTCACCACAAGTTTCCTACTCAGTTTCCATTAATAAATGGAGGTAAACAGCATTGCTTAGTTAGTTCAAAACATATAGATATATCGGATTCTTTGTCATGGCTGTTGAGAAACAGAGCAATGGTGTGTCATCAGAGGATTTTCTTGAAAATGTGTGGGCGAATTTCATCTCTGAAACAACGGCTAGCAGCACAAACCAGGATGGATTTGGATCATCAGAATCATTACAAGCTTTGGAGAGGTTGCCAAGTTTAGGCAGATGGATTTCCATGGGGGCCGAGGCCTGGAATCAGTTTCTTGATGGAATCGACACTACAAGCAATTGTAGGAAGAATACATCCAACATTGTATTAGAAAACTCAAACACTTACTCAAATGCAGATATTAATACACCTGCAAAAGTCGCGAAAAAACAGTTTAGAGGTGTGAGGCGCCGGCCGTGGGGTAAGTACGCAGCAGAAATAAGGGATTCATCGAGAAAAGGAGCAAGAATTTGGCTCGGGACATTTGATACAGCCGAGGAAGCTGCCATGGCTTATGATAAGGCTGCTCTAAGAATTAGAGGCCCCAATACATATCTAAATTTTCCTATCGAGACCGTTGTAATTTCTTCCTACGATGATTGCCTAACTTCTTCCTCGTCTACCTCTTCTACAACTCGTTTTAATAGTAAGAAAAGGGTGCCGCGGAAGAGGCGCAATGATTATTTGGAGAGCTTGTTGTAACCCTTGTGACAAAAAAATGTTCTTGTCTAGCATAAGTAATGCAATAAAAATTGTCTTTAAGATGCTTTTCCGTGTAACATATCCATTGAAAATCCATGAATTCAAACACAACAAAAGCTTGAAGATTGGGAAGCAAAATCAAGAAACTTGCAGAAACACACATTATGAATCCTATTAGGCTTCCGAGCCTTTGTGCATCAAATCTTCTGTTGTACTCGAATTGGACATACAATTGCTCGAATCATTACCTCCGGCTGCCAAGCTGCGGTCAATCTTCTGAAGTTGCGATGACGCAGCAACAACATCGGGAGGGAAATTGAGGAGAGCTTTTGATCCTCGCATTTCCATGGCTGCTCTGTCATAAGCCAGCGCGGCTTCTTCCGCCGTTTCGAATGTGCCTAGCCATATCCTAGCGCCCTGACGTGTCGAATCCCGAATTTCGGCAGCGAACTTGCCCCACGGCCGCCGCCTCACGCCTCTGTACTGCTTCTTCTTTGTAATGGAATGAGATGGCCGGAGGCTGCTCACTGCCATCGATCCCTGATGATGATTCCTCGCCGGATTCAACGTGCCGGCTTCGTGTAGGACTTCATGCAGCACCATCTCCTGCGAGTCATCGTCGTTCAGAGGCAAAGCCATGCCAAGAATGATTCTTTTTTTTCAAGGGACTATTGGAGAAGGGGAATTTGTAGGAAATTTGAGTAGGAATTGAACAGGGGCTTGATAATTCTGAATCGATCTTTTAGGGAGTGTTGCAATGGTGATCAAACAGTATCACCAATTGAATGAAATCTATATGTTTGAGTGGAATCAAAGTTGTTATTGTCCTACGTGAGAATGACTAGGAAAAGCCAAAAGAGAAACCACCTGTGGGTGACGAATGTGGACATCCCGGTTTGAAATTTCAGGCACTGGACGACGCTGTCCCTTCCCAGAATATTCCTGTTCGGTGGGCCGCTGACGAATCACACTGCAAGAAGACAAGTCAAATTCAAACTAGTCTCTCTCTGGAGTCTACTCTCCAATCCATTGCTTGTACGACGGAAAGTTGATCCGCGTTGGAACTTTGAACAGTTGAACAAAAGAAACATCCTGGGATCATAATAAGTAATTAAAAAAAAACTGGATTTGGGCAGACTTCTAATCCTTCTAGATGACTGTTAAAATTCTAGAAATGTTTGCCAATTCATCTCGATTCTGCGGCGACTTCAGTCTCTCGCGACGCCATAATAATCTTCGACCTCGCTCTCCGGAAAGTGTCGCCGCAGTATCCGATCATCGTCGTTCAAAAACAGTCTTGAATTGACTGTAATTTGGTATCTAGAATTAGACCTAATTCTAATTGGGGCATAATTGTGAAAGATTGGGCTTCGGCCCAAAATACAGGAGCCCAGTAAGAAATTTGTCAGTATAGAAATATCATTTGTGCATGGAGTAATTACAAAGCAAGCAATCCTCTGCTTTTGATCATATCCAATCCAATATTATCTGTAGATGTCTGTATGTACATTCCATAACTTTCTCAACACTTCAATAGCCAACAAACTGCCACCACTATACCTAATTGCACCCAATTCTCTGCGTATCCTTAAACTCGAAGATAAGGAAAGTCCTCAAGCTGCAATCATTGCCCAAGTAGCTAATAAATTTTTTACATACAGAGACCTTATAACAAGCACAAGTGTACAAACTAAACATTGGATTACAGAAAGAATGGATATATAAACAAAGATTGATAGAGTAGACGTTAGAAAAAAACAAAAAAAAGACCTGCAGGGGGGAGAGGGATGACTACTGCAAGATTCATAAAGTGTGTAACCGTAGGCGACGGCGCCGTAGGGAAGACATGCATGCTAATTTCTTACACCAGCAATACATTCCCAACGGTCCATTTCCACTCTGCTACAATACGATTTTCTATCGATGTGTATGTCTATGGTTTATCAAGCATTTTATCGTGTATGCTTGATGATGTAGGACTATGTCCCGACAGTATTCGACAACTTTAGTGCCAATGTGGTTGTGGATGGAAGCACTGTGAACATTGGCCTGTGGGATACTGCAGGTTGTCTATTTTAGTCATAGTTTGAAGGGTGGATTCTTGTTTATATCTTTCATTATTTGATTTGATATATATATATATATCTTGTAATAATGTGTATGAAGGGCAAGAAGATTACAATAGACTAAGACCATTGAGTTACAGAGGAGCTGATGTGTTCTTGTTGGCTTTTTCTCTGATTAGCAAAGCCAGCTATGAAAATATATACAAAAAGGTTTGCTTGGTTCATTCTTAAATCAAAGAGTTTAGTCAATCTTGTATGTTTAATGCTTATTTATTTAATTATTGATAATTGATTCAATGTTTTTGGGATACAGTGGATTCCTGAGCTAAGACACTATTCTCCAAATGTGCCTATTGTACTGGTGGGAACCAAATTAGGTAGGTAGATACATACATAATTGTATTTTTTTCTTGACACTTCATCCGATGTTAAGATAGATATCTAAATGTGTTTTAATTTGATGAGACGATGCAGACCTGAGAGAAGATAAGCAATTCTTGAGTGATCATCCAGGAGCAATCCCTATTACAACCCCACAGGTCAACTTCTCACCAACTATCATTATATCAGATTTTAGTGAGATTTTTTTTTATAAAGTCTATTTAGGGATGCAAAATCCAAGAATCATAATGTGTAAACATGATCAGTATATATAAATGCAGGGGGAAGAACTGAGAAAGATGATTGGGGCAGTAGCTTATATAGAATGCAGTGCCAAGACTCAACAGGTTATTAATCAACATATATACATATATATATATATCTAAATCCTGAAATTTTATTTTTATTCTTTATTTTGATTCCAGAATATAAAACTTGTGTTCGATACTGCCATTAAAATGGTGTTAAGACCTCCTAAATTGAAGAAAAAGCAAAGCAAGTCCAAAGCCAAGTCCAAGTACGGATACAGACCGTCAACAAGATGCAACTTTCTTTAAAATCAAAACTCGATTACATTTTTGCGAACTCTAGTAAAACTCAATTTTTATTTCCTACTTTCTCCCCTCCCTTAGATTTTAATTTCAATATTTTGTAATAGATAAGGGTGTCACACGTTCTAGGTGCACACCAATTAAGCCCCTTACTCATGTTGTATTACATATCATAATCATTGAAATTCATTCCCGTTAGTTACTTTTGAGAAACTAAATTTCCAATAATTAATTCCATGGAAATTGATCATTTGTACACACCTCTACACACAGATATATGTATATATATATATAAATTATAATTATTCTAATCACAATAGGTATGTTTGTTAAGAAACTGATTACAATGCTTTACACCCCACATATATACACACATATGTCCAAGATTCTTTCAATTCTTGAAAATAGAAAGAGAAAGATAAAAAAAAAAAAAAAGAAAAAGAAAAAGCCGATATGTATGTATATGTATTTATGTAAGTAATGTAAATTAAGATTGGTGCATGGATAAGTATCTTGTTGCTGCATTGTTTGATAGATTCTTCAATTTCCTAGGAATAAAATAATGTAATAATAATAATAATATTAGGGCATAACTATATATATGTGTGTCCGTGTTTTGCGGATCGTGACAGACCACTATTAATTCCATTACAAAAACGACTATAATACACACTACACTACACTCCTCTCCTCTCCTCTCTCTCTTGGACAATTAAATTAAACTGAAATGCACAAGTCTTCAAATTCTGTGCCAAAGGTTTATTTTCTTTTTTTTTTCTCCATTTTATTTATTTATTTATTTATTTAATTTAATTTAATCTAGTTTCTGATATTCTACATATATACGTATGTGTGTGATTTTGTTTAAACAATAATATAGATAAGAAAAGGGTCAACTGAATATATATATATATAGGTATGTAAATTTTAAAGTGGGAATAATTAAATGGGAAGACTGTTGAGAGCATTTAATAAAAGCACGTTTGCATTAAGTGATCGCTCTGTTGCCGTATTTGTCGCTTCATACACACATACCTATTCCTATTCCCTTTTTAAAATCTATTTATTTATTTATATATTAGTTTTAATTCATACTATAACAAAACAAAACAAAATAATTATATCATCATTAAAACAACTAGAATTTCAAGAATGCTTCATTATTGTAATCTTTCACATATCCTCTTAATTAATCCCTAAATTTCTTCATTCTTTGAAAATGTCTAAAGAAAACAACTAGAAATAGAATTAAGGAGTAGAAAAGAAATAAAAAAGAAAAAAGAGGGAGGCATGCAATTTTTATTTTTTATTTTTTTAAAACAAGTAGATGTATGCATGAGCATCCAATATCTCATCTCCATTTTTGTAGGAGACAAATGGGAAGAAAGTGAAGAAGCAAACGCATGAAAGAGGGAATAAAGCTGCTCACAATATAATTACATTACACCAATATATACTACATACATGTTTGTATCTATCTATCTATGTATATTTTGATTGAGAGTAAATGAATACCAACAACAGCAACAGCAGCTAGCCCCATAAATCTATTTATTGAACTACAGTGGTTGTTCTTCTATACAGTCCAAGTTATTGTGTGGGTTTGATTGATAATAATTAGTAATTTTGTAGTTTGTTTAAATTGATCAACATAAGTTATTTTTTGAAGAAGAAGATGATGATGAGAGAGAGACAGAAAGATGGTAAAGAAGAAAGGTAATTATGAAAAGTAGGGTGTAAGAAAGAGTACTGTAGTCTTTCTCTCCCTCCCATATCCATATTCATATTCATATTAATTAAGATAATGTGTCTGAAATACTTGAGATGGGATTGTGGATTTTTCACCTTTTCAATGATACTTCCTTGTCCATCCATCTCCTTCCATTTCAATTCCCCTTATCAGGAAAGTTATAACTTCAATTTTTTTTTTTTTAAAAAAAAATAATAATAAAAGAAAAGGGAAATTAACAGCATTTCAGTTTTGACCAATGCCTGAAAATGTTTACATATTCTAGGAATAGTAGTAGTTAAGCTACTTAGATATATTGATCATATACATGTCGAGTTGCATGAATGGGGGAGGATATGATCAAATGATAAAAAAAGGACAAGTCGTAATTAGCTTTAATTTCCAAAATACATTTTAATTAATTAATTAGTAGAAAAAATAATATATATATATATATATATATATAAAACCCTAGCCTGTTGGGGGATTGGAGGGGATGATGGCCTGGGGTGAGTCAATAATTCAAGAAGTGCCATTAATATTGGATTCAAATCCAAGAAACCAAAATTGAATGCTTAAGAGAAAAAAGTTTGAATTTTGCGTTGGACTTTCTCGAATTTCCATATTACTCTCTTTTAATTAAATTGTCTCAAAATAATCCAGTCAAACAATACTAAGCTGTAAATTAATTAACAACAAGTGATCATAGATCCAATGTGATGCGGAACAGTTTCACAAATATTTCTCTCACTAATTGATTGATGTTATTTTTTATTTATTTATTTTTTTATGACAGATGAGAATTATTTTTTGTTAGTATGTATTATATTTTTTATATATAGTTAGCAAGAATTAAATAAATAAATTATATTATATTTGATTGATATTGGCAGCACCGCCATAATCAGAGCAGTAGCTAATATATGTTTGGCTTTAAATCCACCGCTTCCCCAAATTCCTACTGGCTTTCCTGACGTCCTCCTGATCGATCATGTTGTATCTATATATATATATATTAATTATTTTAATTTAATGAATTTTATCTGTAATATATATTTATTTAGTCAAAATACTATAGCAACTTTCAATCTATTCTCTATTAATTAATATCCACTAAATACAATCCAAAATAAAAGTCTTTTCTCCTGCTCGCAACACCAACAATCTGAAATAAAGAGACAAACTTATCAGAAATATACAATTCATCTCTCTCTCTCTGTATCTCTCTGTGAATTACTTCATCACACAGCTCTGAACCTGCCCACCTTAGTGCATTAAGGGCTGCCTTCTGATCTGATGGAGATTCTAATATAAGCCCCAGCATGTGCTCCTTACAATGTTCACTTTGCTTATTGGAACTGGTTTCAATTCTGCATGACAGAGTAAGAGAGAGAGAGAGAGAGAGAGAGAGCTTAGCTTGTAGAGAAACAAACAAGAAGTATTCATTGTTTTATAAATTATTATAATTTTTATTTTTTATTTAGCACATTTTGTAAGAGTAAGGTTAAGAGGGGGTAAAGGTGTAAGGGTATGGGTACGTGGCTGTCCTCTCCTTCTTACACTTTATATTTACTTCTCTTCCACTTTTGGTTTGGTTCTTTGCAGGCTATTCTTGTTGTGGTCTTTGCCGTTTTATTTTCTCTCTACTATTTATATTTTACATATTTTCTTTCCCGATCTAATTAATTTTAAGTAGTATTTTAATTAATTGGATGATCAAGGAGTAGGTGATCTGGAAACGGCTATAAGAGGAGAGCTGTAGCTGTTTACTTCAGTTCAGTTAGAGCTGCAGAAGAGAAGTATCTGTCATTCCAATTCTAGTTTCGACTCTTCCAATCATGGCTTCATCCAACAGACACTGGCCAAGCATGTTTAAGTCCAAGCCCTGCAACTCTACTGCCCATCATCACCAATGGCAGCATGACATGAACTCCACCCTAATCTCATCCACTGCCTGCAACATAAACCCTTACTCTTCAGGTGATGTAATTATAGTTATACTTATATTCATAACCCTAATCATTTGTATATGCATATGTACTGATTGATTGATTTTGGCATATATATATATGTATATATGTATAGGGTCTGGATGTGAGGAAAGAACGCCGGAGCCGAAGCCGAGATGGAACCCTCGGCCGGAGCAAATCCGTATTCTGGAAGCTATCTTCAACTCGGGAATGGTGAATCCTCCCAGAGAGGAGATCAGAAAGATTAGGACCCAATTGGAGGAGTACGGACAGGTCGGAGATGCCAATGTTTTCTACTGGTTTCAGAACAGGAAATCCAGAAGCAAACACAAGCAACGCCAAACCAAATCTCAATCTCAGAACACTCCCAAAAATCCTTCGCCGTCTGCCACTCCGGCGGCCTCCGCCGCCGCCTTCGTCGCCGCCCCAACTCCTTCTTCTTCCTCTTCCGAGAAATCATCCAACAACAACTCCAACGATAAAACCCTTTCTGCCGTCGCCCCAACCGCCAATGTAATCGACTTGCTCAATTCCAATTCTCCAACTCCTTCTGTTAACCAGCCGTTTCTCCAAACCTCCTGCGATTTCTTGGCCGAGCCTTTCTTCTTTCCGGTGCAGCACGGCGGCGGAGGATCAGCGTCGTCTGCGAGTGTGACCCAGGGTTTCTGCTTTCCGGCAGACGTCTCCGCCGTAGTGGCCGATCAGAGCGTCGAGAATTGCCAGAATTTTCTCCTGAGTGATCTGATGCTGATGAGCAATTTCTCTTCCAAGAAAGAAGACGAGCCTGAGAAATTACTGAAACAGCAAAATCTTAGTTTCGCTGCTGCTGCTGCACCCACCACTGTTCAACCCACTGTTCCTCATCACTATCTCTCCATTCCATCGGCTAACAATCAAATTCTTCAAGGTAATTATTCAAAATCCCGTGCTCTTTCTCCTTCAGTAATTATTACATTGTGTTCTTGTTCACTGCTTTTAGTTTCCTGGCTTTTCGTACTATGCAAAATTTTAGGGTTTCGAATACACGAACAGGCTCTTCTATACTCAGAAGAAAATTAAATCAGAAAACCATTGATGTATACAATTTGGAAGAGATAGATCGATGGGGTTAATTTCATGTAATTAAAAATGAGAGAAGACAGGTGTTCTTGATTTCATTCCATGTCAGTTATGGAGTCGTCATTGACATCACTCACTGTCCTTATAGACTCTCTTTTAGGGCATTTGACATGGGTTTGGGGATGCAGGATTGTGTCACATTTGGAAAGGGACAATGATAGATTTGTCCATGGCCCGTAAATTCGTGTTCTTTGTCCCTCAGAACGTATGCATGGATTGACTAGCCTCCTAATTTGCTCCCAATTAGCCCCTCTCTCTTACACAAAAACTGCAATTCAATTACATGTGATGTCATGAATCTACCAAGCTTTGTCCATCATAATAACCAGTTTAATTAATCGAAAACATTGTAATTACTTGACTGATCAATCGATCGATTAAATCTTAATTTGCAGGAGCAGGCGTGGGAGGAGATCATCATCATCACAATCAAACTCAAAATAATGATCATCAAGTCGGCCCCACAAAGTCGATGGTGTTCATCAACGATGTCTGCTTCGAAGTCGGCGTCGGACCGTTCAACGTGAGGGAGGCATTCGGAGACGACGCCGTTTTGGTGCATTCGTCGGGACAGCCTGTGCTGACCAATGATTGGGGAGTGACGCTGCAGCCCCTCCAGCACGGCGCCTTCTACTATCTTCTCCGCCCCTTCGCGCCTCCTCCCGGCGGCCATGTCCATGCCCATGACAGGTCTTCCATTGATTTGGTATAAGATCACACAATTTCATCAATTTCATATTTGCATTTATTTATTTATTTATATCTTCAGTGACTAACCGTTTCGAGGTTTTGAACAGATTTAGGGATCAAATCGATGAGGAAGGCTGAAGCAGTTAAATCAGGCTCCATCCATGATCGTTAAAATTCTATCTACCTAGTGTTTTTATGTTTGTTGCTTTCCATATATATATATATATATATATTTCTAGGACTATTTCTCCTTGAGGTTCTTCTGGAGAACAATCATTTATTAATGCTAGGAACTGCTTTTTATATAAATATATATCTATTTAATCTGATTAGTGTCACCCATTTTGGGAATGGATTGATGTTTATTGCTTTGAACACAGTTTTATTACTTTCATGCTCAAATGGATCTAAGCAGCAACGATGTCAGAAATATTTGGACCCTAATTGGAGCTAGTGTGATCGTACATGCTTGATATAGAATGATGTTAATCTTGTAGAACATCCTTTAAAGGCATTATTAATTTGCTAAGGTAATTAGTAAGGTAATTCAAGAAATACTACTATTCTTAATCCATGATGTAATATATATATATATATATATCGAATCATCGAAGTTGTGTGGCCAGGAGGGGGTTTTGAATGAGACAAATCTGTAATATTCTTGATCTTTTTGGCTGCTTTAATCCAGCCCTTTTGAAGATGTATGTTCCCAATTTCCATGGCCACAATGACATGAAATGAAGAAGATGACTGTTTGAAAATTGCAAGAGATCGATGCTGCAGTGTGTTGTCATTCCAAAACAGAAGAATCGTGTATGTGTATACCCACACTACACTACTACACTATGCCCTCGATCGGCTTTTCATTTCTTGCTTGCAACAGACATTACAATCATCAGCCTTTTTTCTTTTTTTTTTTTTTTTTGTGGGTTTGGCTTGAACAGTTATCTAAGATCACCATTTTAACTTATCTGCACTTCAATTTGCAAATAGAGCTGTTTATGCTATGAGGGTTAACAGATTACATGTATGTATGTTTATCTGTGTGTTGACAGGTCAGTTGGGATTGTGTGTGTGGTGCAGAATGATTACGTGCAAATTGGTCATAAAAAACCACTGTTTCTGCAAACAACCAAACCCAATCCCAATCCAAACTATTGATTGATTTGAGAGTTGAGTGACTCTCGAAACGTCAATAACAACACTGAAAAAATTCCTTTTTTTCACCTCACCACATGATCCCATCACTGTCAGTAATTGTGTTTAGCATGAAACGTAAACAATGATGGGAATAAATAAAAGAATTCATTGATTATTAGTTAATAAAAAAATTAATAATTAATGATCATCATCATCCTTCTCACATACACATGCATCTACGCAATCTCACACAGTAGATTTATGATATTTTCCTTTTTTGTTTTTTTTTTTTTTACCAACTGCCAAAGAAAAATACAAAATTATGAGTTTGTCTGATGTTTGAAGCTAAGGTAAGACAAATAAGTGTGGAGGTGAGTTAGGTTAGGTCTTTAAATAGGACAAGGTTCAGAACATCATCGAAAGCTGTATTGTGGAATTGACTCTTGGATGTATGTATCATATGATATCATGTATTCCAAACATTTTTAAAGAAGGGCTTCGAAGAAGAAGACATCACGTCATCATGGTCAACAGATTCCCATATCAGTTGAGACAAAATCCTCATCTTTCTTCGCTATGTTCAATTCAAATTCATCCATATGTTGACCACAATAACTAATATCCGAGATTTCCTCATCTTTTTCTCCTCAAGTATTTCTTTATTTATATATATATTATTTATATGGGCTTGCCCAGACAATCTTAACTCGATCCATATGGAAATAGGGCCAAGATTGGTACCAAAAACCCAAACCCAATTGATTTCAAGATTTGCCAAATCCAAAGTGCTAAAATTTATTATCTATACAGCCATTTCAGCAAGGTCCACAAAACATTCTGATCAAACACTTTCAAGCTATCTTTTTGTCTTCTTGAGAATTACAACAGCATTGACATTCACAACACCTCAATACAGGAGGAAGTAAAACTCTCATGACTTATACAGAAGTCTCATCATCTTCAACTTGAAGCAAAGAGAACCATTGAGGTCTGCTGGAAACCATTATTGGCAGAAGGATGGACAACCATGATCCGCAGCACCTGCAATAATTCAGTGGTGGTGGGACTTGGAAGTAAGTAGAGTTGCAAAGTTGCAATCTACATCTCTTTTTAAGTAAAATAAGAATCCATTGTGATAACTAAATATAAAGATTCTTACTTTCATTATTTGAAACCTGAATGGAATATAAACAGATAAGATCATTACTGTCAGAGAAAATCAATACCAAAAGAAGCTGAGCAATTTCACTAAACTTGAGAATTCACTCAACTTTATATGCTATCCAATATCAGCAAAACCACAAACTCATGTTCCAGATAATATGCATATCATGTCATAGATGCTCTTAACCAAAATCCCAACAGTAACATCCAACTCTAAAACAAACATTTGACAAGCAGATTATCAAAATGTTTAAAGGATCTTTTGTGATTCTGGAAACTAATCATACCCAAGACATAAATTTGAAAGATACAACTTCTGGAACATATCTTGGTATGTAAACAAACTATGTCAACATCATCCAAGCACGAACGAAAGAAGCACGGCAACACATAGGATGGATGAGCAAGAGACAACCACAGTTATTTTCATGAAAGAAAGATCCAATTAATTATATAAAAAGACGGAAATCAAAAGGCAATGTAAGTAGCTAATCCACCAAGGTCAGCGAGATCGATGATCCTCAGCAGCAACTTTATCTACATCACCATCACTAGCGGAGTCAGAATCCTTTACACTCGTATTATCAGGTTTAAAGGAAGGAAGCGGATTAGAGCCCTTGATAACCCAACCGAGAGCGAAAAACGAGAGACCGGCCAGAATAGCGGTGCCCCAAGCGTGAGAGTACCACTTGCTGTACTGCCTAATCGCAAACCGCCACTGATCTCTGAGCGTCGCACTGTCTGGATTCACCGACTCCGGCGGATTAGGGTAGTAGGATCCGCGGGAATATTCTCCCGCAGCGCTCTGGATTTTGGGCGTCGGCTTATCCGCCGGCGGAGCGGATTTGTTGTCGGAATTTCGCCCGGAGATTTCAGGATCGCCCATCGATTCTGCCCTGCAGCTCCCCGCACGACGAACAAGATGATTTAAGTTATTAATCCTAGGATTCAACTGACAGGGGTAGAAAATTAATTTCGAAAAAAGTATGTATTACAAATGCAATTAACTTTTTGTATTTGCGCTTCAAACCTCGCAGTTCCAATAATATCAAATCATAGCACACCTCAACTTAGTTTGGACCGGAAGAGAGCATTTTTTATTTTACATATTCAGTTACCTCAGTATAGTATATTATGGTTTTGTTTCCTGTTTATTAACATATTTTTATACTGTGCATGAAATTTTTACTGCACTTCAAAAAATTCAAATGCAATAACACAAAAAATACTGTAGAAATCATGAGCATGTATGAATATTGAAGTATCCTCCAAATGGTGAAAAACATAAAAAAGGAAATTGGGAGTTGAATATTGTTATAAGCAGTTTCCAAGTAAAACATATATCCTTCCTGTCCATTGGAATTCAGCTAAACATCATTTCATATACCAAATCAAATTGTCTTAGTTTTATGTTGCAGAACACAATACAAATAAATATCATTTGCGAGCTTCCATCTTCTTCTGTTCCTTGGCTGCAACAATCAAAAGTTTAAACTAGCATTAGTCTCAAGTAGGGATGGGGGGAGATGAAGGATGTGGTTATATTATCAGCGTGAAAGGATCTTAGCAACTGACCAGCTTTCTCCTCTTCGCGTTTCTTGGCAGCTTCGGCTCTCTGTTGTCGTATAAGTGCCAAGCGTTCTGCAAATTGAGAAGAGAATGTGTTGCGATGAAGTATATTAGCAAGTGTTCATCCAAATTGACAGTGTGCATTATTTTAAACAAGAGGGTATATATCTTGTCACATACAAGTTTACAACAAAAGAACAGTGTTCTTAAGAAACCGTAGAAGTAAAGGGATCCACCGACAAAAACAAACAATAGAATCAAGAATTTTAAACAAATATCTGAAAAAATCACATATACTTTACCTAAATCTTTTCTTGCTTGCTCAGTCTTGCCTTGTTCTTGAAGCCTCATATACCTTTCATGAGCTCGCTGCTTTTCAATCTCCTCTCTAACATGAATATAAAAAAGTAAAAAATTAATTCACGGGGCGGAATAGTACAAAGCCTATGAAATGTAATCGACATTGGCAGTTTGTACACTATACAACATATCATTATAACATTCATTTCCTGAAGAATTTGATTGTTATACAACAACCTGGCTCATCTTTATAGTGTATAGGGGTTGATTAGTTTTGAATTATAAAAGTGTCAGATATTAAATATGCACATTTGTAGTATCTAAAATATGAAATTATTAGTTTTGAGTATTTACGCACGCATGCATACATCGAGAGATTTATGCATGTGTTCAGAATAAATTATTCTAAAATGGTAATCAAATAAAGCCTCTGGGCCTTAGGTTTTCTCAGTCTATTTCATATACATAAACCTATTAAAAAAAAAAAAAAAAGAGGAAGAAGCTGAAATTCAAAGCAAAGATGTTTTTCTTTTTTTTTTTATAACTTCCAATTGAATAGCTTGAAAAACAGCAATCCATCACTAACCTCTCACGCCTTGATAGTTCAGTTGTTTTCTCCACCTGAAAGTATAAATTAAAAGAATCAGAATAACAGAAATAGATGAACTAACAAATACTTCACTCAAGTAACTTACATCAACATCACGTGCTTTCACATTCTTAGGTTTCACAAGATTGGGATTCTCAATCTGTATGATACCCTGGGTGCCTTTCGCTTTCTGTCAATAGTGTCACCAAACATTAGGAAATATTGATTATTTTTTTGCAAGTGCATATAGGCTTGCAATAAGCAATATGCTACTACAATTCTACTCACTTCAGATTCTTCCTCAGATTCCACTTCAGCCTCTGCATCTGAAGTTTCATCTTCCACTTCTTCCTCTTCTTCCTGTCAGGAATAAAAATATAGTACGAATAAAAGAAAAACAACAAAAAAAGATGTAAGTATCAAGATATGCTGTCTCAGGATCCATTCTCTGACTCATTAGCAGCCATGTTTAGCTGAAAACATAACAACTAAAGAAAGAGAAACTATACGCACAATTCAAAATGATCTGAGGAAAACTAACTAATCAAGTGCCCTAAGATTCACCAAAATAAACAGCTCAGGTATATCTATTAAACGCCAAGAAGGTATAATAGAAGCTTCTGCCTCAAAGATTATTAGAAATATTTATAACCTCCCAATGAAATATGATGATAACACATCTTCACTTCAATTCATAATTGTAGCACACAGCTGACAAATAGTGAAGAAATAGTACCTTCTTGAAAGTGCGGGGACGAGAAGAAGTGCCAGCCACTGAATGCAGAACAACATGAAAAGAAAATTGTGTTGGTAAGCAATACAATTATGAGCATGCCTATCAAACACTTCAGATCAAATTATCCCTCGCTTCTCATTTCACACATCTCTGCGCCAGTTCAAGCCCATGTTACAGACACAGCCATCTAAAAGGCCAAACACTATATTTGCTCAGGGGTCATCAATTCATGTCAATTCCTATTCCTTCTTTCTCATTCTCTCGTCTAGCTTCAGGAATATTATTTTCAATTCATTTGTAAAAACAGAAGTCAATGGTGTTTAACAGCCATAATATACTTATAACATTGTCCCATACTCCCAACAATGGTAAACATAATCTCCATGTCTAAAAATAATCCAGACAGATTAATATGTTTGTTTCATAGAAACTTCTACAGAATTCTCTGAATAAAATATATTTCCAAACAAAGTAGCTCTGCATAAAGCACATGCAATTGCGGACAGAATCAATTGGAAGGAAAAACCCAAAAAATAAAAAATCTCCCCTATATTGATAATTAAGCCCATCAGCTGTACATAGTTCACCGTACAAAGGAAAATCGTAAATGGAAATATTATTCAGGTATAGGCAAAAGACAACCCTGACCACAACTAACAACCAAATCAAGGGCTTCAAATGCTGTCAGCGGTAATGAACGTCATTAAGAATAAACTCCATCCTAATAATTTCCCCCAAAATAAAGGACAATATCCCAACAAAGGACACAAGTAAAACTCCAGTAATTAAGAAACATTCACAATAAATTCTTCGTATCCACAAGATCGGAAACCATACCAAACACCGAGGCGGGGAGGCCTAGTCAAGACCAGATCCTAAGCAAACATAAAAACTCGTAATTAAAAACGTACACATCTCTTCCGGGGTTGAGAAGTGGCGGCGCCCAGTGGGCTTGCCCTTGAATTTGCCCCTTCCCATCTCACCGACTCGAGTCGACTCTCCTCGCCTCCTGGAGTGCTTCTGCGTTATAGGTATCTGAGCGAAATAGGCGATTGAAGGAAAAAAGGCAAAATTTCTCTGATCTTTTGGAGGGATCCTTTAATCAGATTTGCCCTCTTTCTAAACCCTAATCGAGGTAAGCGGTGATTGGGATATTACTACGTAAACGCGCGTGCCTCTACTGCGTTGGTGTGCAATTTAACAAGTTACGAATAAATAAATAAATAACAAAGAAGTTCCGATTAAGATAGTAAACGAATAAATTATTAAACTTTTTTGTACGTGTAATTAATAATCAAGTCTAGTTAAATATTTGTATTTGAATTTCAATCACAAAAACATTAAATTCTCTATATGTGTTAGAATTTATATTTCAAACATAAAGCAAATATATTTACCGATAAAAATGTATTTTTTTATCAAAATATTATTTCAAATAAAATTAAATCAAAATCATAACTTTTTTTTAATGTTTCTTTACAACAACATTAGAATTTTCTTTAAAATAAAAATAATAATTTAATATATGAAAAAACAAATGAATTTTTTTTCATGAATTAATTATATATAAAAAAACAAATTTACTAAAAAATTCTTTAAATAATGGTCTCATGAATTATTTGAATGTACATTCTAAAGTATAAAAATAAATGAAGAAACTTAAAATAAACATGTCCAAACATAAATAAAAGTTAAATTATTATAAATAAGTATATAAATAGCCGACATGTGTTACTGCTGATAAAAACAATCTTACAAAATTTCAGCTAAAATCAATAGACCTAACTAAAGCAAAGCAGGAATTGGGATTTGAAGACATCAAAAGCTCCAAAGCTACTATTGCTCCTCCACCTGGATGCCTGACGATGAGACGAGGTTCTATCAACCCTGCAATAAACACATTTTTAGCAATCTAACCAAACCTGGGATGAGAGAATCCCATAAAATCCATTACCTAACTACAGATTACATATATATGTATATGTACCAGGAGAAAGATTCTTTCTGCCATATAGTTCTCTAGCCAATGGATTTGATGCCCAATTATTAACTGCAATGCGATTGGTTGGTTGAAATCCGATGATTTTCCAGTCAGTCGACACCACCACCTGCACAACATGATATAGAAAGCATATATAAGATTGTAACACCAGATCAGTACCGATGTGCATTGCAATTATATGTTGTTATGGTAGATGTATTATGGTAAGACTTTGGTTCCTTAAGAACACAATGTGCTTAATGAACTTTCGGAACAGGGCAATAAACAGACAAGTCAAGAAACAAATCTTATTTCAGATTTGCTTTACAAGAGTACAAATTTTAAACTTATTAGAAATACCTGATAACTTGCAATATCTTCCAAGGCTTTCGTCTCTTCAGAACTTGTTCCCGGAGGTAAATTTGATAAAACGTCATCATCTACTTTCCTCAGAAATTTGGGAAGTTCACCGATCCATGCGCAGGCACCAGAGTCTTTCAATATTTCTCCCGGCCAACCATAAGAATCCTTCAATTTCTGAATTATTGCAACGCAGCATGCATCCAGCTACATGTAAATCAAATGTTACTTATAAATTAGAAAAACAGAAAAATCTAAAACTAAGCTTCACCACTGGATTGCAAACAACCATCTCATTTCATAGGTATATTCAAATTCTCAATGATTTAAACAGGTAAATATTTTACATAGTAATAATGTCAATTAAACCCCCAACCTCACAAACCACATAACTAAACCTTATCTCTAGCATACCTCGTAGGGATCCACGGAGTCTAGGGGAGTACAGCTCATCTCAGATGATAGTTGCTTGGTGTTCTCCTGAATATGTTTCTTTCCAATAGGCAAATGTGGGAGAAGTTTACTCAGAAGACTAATTGTCACTAGCAAAATACCACTCACAAGTATAGTTGCAAACATCTTTAACAAAGAAGGGCCCTGAAACAAATACCAGAATTATTACATTATTTCCATAATGCTTCGATTATCTAGAAATACATGTGTGGGAATAACAAACATTAACATCCATCAATGTAGTGGGAAAGTTCAAGTACTGCAATTAGCCACCACCTTATTCATGGTCAGGTTGGATAATTTTGTCATAGCGTAACATGACAGTGTCTTGCTAGGCAGCGTGAAAGAATCCTCATAGTACATATCCAGAATGTCAGCCAATCCAACCTGTGAACCAAAGAAGTTCAAATTATTGAACGGCAAGCATATTGTGCATATATAAGACAAACATATATATGATGTATTAATGTTGGTACAATGCTAATACCTTAACATATGAAACAAGACATAAATTCTTGATACTCTTCTATGGTTCTATTTTAGCATACAAATTGTCAACTCGGTCTTAAATCATCTAACACCATAGTCTATAGAAATATTTTACTCATCATGTTATCACAGATACCAGACATACAATTACTCCAACACATTTGCTCAGATGAACATGAATAAAATAGTTTGATTGCTTAAGCAAATCACACAGATTGCTTGTTTTCATTGTGGTTATAACTACTCATAAATATAACCCATGTTGGCAAAAGCGAGTTTAGAAAATCAACAATACTTCTTTTTATAATATTATCCATGCTCAGTCATCAAGCGTATATATTGGCATCGAAGTTGTTCACAGCTATAATTGCAATCACATCTAGAAAGAGAGCAAATTACCATTTGGGAATGTGTTAGAACAATTTCCCATCTATTTTCTTTAGTTCTCTTCCACCCTTCAAACTTCACACCACTGAGCTTATTAGCATCAATTTCTAACAGGTATGAAGGTACCCATTCACTTATCCAAGAACAAAACTCCGGGCCACCAATTTTTTGCAATCTCAAGAATGTAGACGATGTCCACCAACTGTTCTTCAATTTTCTTTTCCTGAGTTTAACTTTCCCTCTTTCTGAGGAAAACTTTTTTAGCAGTGTCCTAGCATTAGCAATAATCTCATGGTCAAGAAGATTATACAGCACAACTGAGGAATCTCTGGATGAGATATGTTTGTGCCTTTTAGACAAACTAAAGAGCCTATTTGCCATGTTCATAGACGACTCATGAAAGAAATTTCTTTTAGTGCTTTCAAGAGCAGCAGTGCATACAACCTCTGCCACTGCAGAAATTATCCTTTCATCCGATGAGCTGAAGTTCAACAATACAGGTACCTGCCGATGGGAAATCGAATAAAATAACTCATCACCTGCAGATCAGAAACATATAATTAAATATTACACCAACAAATAAAACCTATTCACCATGCATAATGAAATGTTAAAATCATCTCACCTCTCTCGGATTTTCAAGATCATCCATATTTCTTTCGGTTCCAAGACTAAAAAGTGTCAGGTCAAGACTCCAAAGATGTTGCAAAACCACTTGTCTGAAAGTCATGGCAAGTATATTTTTTGACATAGTTCCATCCAAGACTCCCTTTTTCAGTGATTTGTTAAACTTTATAGCCTTCTCTTTCACTTTCCTAACAGGTAAAAACTAAGCAAGAATGACAATAAATGATTACTCAATCATAACAAATTAATAATAATTTGGACTAGAAAAAATGTTGCAAAATGAATATTATTATCACTAATGTGCTTATTAAAAGTAGAATTAATGTAAACCCAGACCAACAAGCAGAATACATGAAAATAAAGGAATCAAAAAATTAAAAATCAAACCTCAACAGACACTCAATACACATTTATAAAATGAAAACCAAGAACTCACCAATCGTGTTGAAATAGTGCTACAATCCTCATATTGGCCAGGATGTACAGTTTCCACAACCATGGCAGTGAGTCCAGAAGATATATGCTCATCGGCGGCTTCTCCGCCGTCTGCAGCAGCGGCAGTAAGAGCCTGCTGGAAGTCGACAGCACCCACTACTGTTAGCCTGGCCAAATCATTCTCGAACGTCCTCACGGCCGGCAAAGTTTTTTCATTAAGATCGAAATTGGCAACCGCTTCGAAAACCGCTTGCTCCGACGACAGAGGTTGATTGTTGGACGACGAAGAGGAGGAGCGGGGACGCATGGAACGGTATTGCATACGCGGAGAGAGTGAAATCGCAGCAGATTTTTCGGTGAAAGATAAACGTGTTGGAAGGTTGAAGAGAGGAGTAGCAGCCATGGCCATCGTAATGTGAATTTGGGCAGAGTAGGGTTTATCATCACTGAACGCCCATCTGGATCGGAACCTCCGGTTCAAACCGCCGGTCGCCGGTTTTCGAACCGATTGTTACAGATCAAATCTAACCGGATTCTGTTCGAACCGAAACCGTCCGTCGGGCGACGACTGTGGATGGAGGAGAAGGTGGAAGTATAATTTTTTTTTTCACACATGTCATTAAATAAAATTTAAATTTAAAAAACCTAAAAATTTAAAAATCAATATATATAAATTGGTAGTGGGTTTGTTTAAATAGGGATTTTTCGAAGATTTTAAAAATTTGAAAGTTTAGAAAAAATAAAAACTTGATTTAATATTTTACTAAAAAAAATATATATTTGATTAAACTGGTGGGCTATGAATTGAACACTTTAAATTTATGTGGGCTCTATGGTGGGAAGAATAAGCATAAACTTTTACCAAGAAAAAAAAGCCCAAATTGTATGGGGTGTGATCCAATTTGATTCTTTTAATCATACAATAAGCTTGAAAAAGAAAAAGTATATATAAATTATATATAATGAATAATAATAATGTAATGAAAAGACATCTCATATATCGATAATAATAGCCGATGACTGTACCAAATTAAAATGTTGCAGCTAGGCTTAGGTTACATAACATAAGGCTGTTGATGCATGTCGTCCAATAAAGTTTTTTTTTTTTTTTTAATATCATTATTTTTGTTGTAATAAAATTGCAGCAACTACTGTATCTGTGTTGTGTTATGTTTGGAAGAACGAGGAAGGAGATGATGGATTAATTAGATTAGGTCAGACGACAAGATTCATTACTGCATTTGTTTGTTTGTTTGGATTCTTGAAAATCGAATGATCGAAGCTCTAAAGATTAAGACGACCGTACTCATTCCAAACACTATTATTTAATTTATTACTAATTTTAATGTGAGTGGTTAAGGGACAGGTTCAGTAAATGTAAGGGGAGGAGGAAGAGGAAGAGGAAGAAATTAGATTTATTATTTATTTATTTTTATAAATATGCATTGAATGTAAATAATACTGGCGTCATCTGGTCTGCAATAAATTGTTCTGGATGGATCAGTTTATATAAATATCTTGATTTTTATTTTATTTTATTTTATTTCTCCAGATGTATATGCCAACGTCGCTACTACATGCAGGCTAACGATTTCATGAAAAAGCTTCCATTCTAATGGTGAAATTAGTTAATTGGAATGGCCCTCCTTCTTCTTCTTCTCCAGACTTGTCTGTGGACTCTGAAAATCTGAAATCGCCATTGAATTGAATTGAAGGGATGACTGTGAGAATGCAGACAAGTACCACGTACAAAATGGTCAAGTGGTCATGAAATTGGACTTGGAGTTGAACTCCCTCCTCGCGTGCAAGTCACGTGTGGTGATTGGAGAGGGTGGAATGGACAAAAAAAACTTATAAAGAAATGGAAATGGAAAACAGTGCCCGAAAAAGTCGAGGGGAGCTCTGAAGTCTGTACTGTACTCCAAACACTGCTGCATCTGTCCCTGTCTCTTTCTCTTTCTCTTTTTTATTATTATTATTTTAATAAATAAGAAATTTCTCAAAGTATTATTTATTTATTTAATAGTGATGGCATCTGGTCAAACCATCCATGATTAAAACTTACTACAAGGATCATCATCGTCGTCGTCATCTATTGCTGGGCTGCATTCTTACATAATCAGCAAACTTACATTATCAGTAGCTGTTTTCAGAATTCTTGAAATGGGACCTGAAGAGATTCATCGTCATTGGAGTGAATCTATAAGCTATTTACTTTGAAACTTTCCATTAGTGGAGAGATTTTCCAAGAAATCAACACCCCTCTTTTCTTGGGACATTGCAATACCTTTAGGACAAAAAAGATCCTTCCTTCATGGTAATGGCTGTATTTATTTTCCTTATCATTGCCTTATGGAGTTAAGAACATTCTCGTGAATACCCATTCCTTGTGATCAACAAATTACCAAAAACGAAGAGCTTGGAAGAATCATTCAACGTAGTATCACCTATTTCTTTAGGGAGCACAGAATCAAGCTGGTCCAGGGACTCCAGGTCCCTGCAAGAATCTACAGGCGATGATGATCTTTGCAGGGGAGTTGAGGTCCCGGAAGCTGGTATGACTGGGAAAGGAAAAAGAGCATCTAACAAGGAGCAGAAGTAGAGAACACCATGCGTGAATGAATGTAATAAAAGAAACAAAGCAGATGCAGATGCAGTTACAGGTGCAGCAGATCCAACTTCCCAAAATCAATCAATTAATTAATTTCATTAGCAGTTAATTAAAGTTTAAAAAATCTGATAAAAATGTCCAGGACATGGCAGCCTTTTGGGAAGATGTGGGCAGTCTAGACTTTTTCAAGAAAACAGGACGTGAATGAATTGATTGAAAGCCCGTTACTTTCCATGTCCAAAGATCACTTCTTTCCTTCTCCCATGATAAAATTAAATTAATTTTTTTTTTTTTTAAAAAAAAAGTAAAGATGGATAAAAGGGAAAGTGGAGTCACAATCAAATTGGGTCAGGGCACCCGTTTTGTCCGGGTTGCTGGATGTAAATGGAGCTGCAGCCTGCAACAGCACAGCCATTAGATATATATATAAATGGATGAAATGGCTTTGATGGGGACCTTCCCTGTCAAACTTTTGCCCTTCCTCTTCTGCTGAAATTACAAAACGATGATTAAAATTTTTGGGTTTGGCTGTGGTATCTGGATTGGAATTATTTAGCGTCCATGTGAGAAATAAATAACAATGTTTGGGTGAGTAAAGGAATCGAAAATTGGGACCACAGTTGGGGTACTTAAAATGGGGGAAAAAGCAGCACCCTTTACTGATCTGCATGTAAAGATGATAGCTTCAGCCTTGTTGTATGAGAAAAAAGAAAGAAAACCCTAGCAGCCATGAAATTTGGACAGACAAAGTAGTTACACAAGAAAAAGGGCATCCGCCATTAAAACACTTGTGGGTAACTTGCCTTTCGTGCTTTGACAATTTGACAGCTAAAAGAGACTTTTACCCAACTTGGGCTTTAAAAAAACTCAAACCAGATTGATGATGATCAATTTATGCATAAACATTAATACACCCCACCCCACTTAATTCACCTGTCTCTGGATCCATCAGCTCAACAACAATATACATACATATATATATATACACACATATATGTCGTCGTCCAAATCATGGTTTGTTACCAAGTTATTCTATAATTAGAATCAGCAGTGGGAAAAGAAATAAAAATAAAAATTGACAGGAGATGGAATTGACACAGTTGAATTTAATACGGCAAAGGGACACGACGGAGATTTGCTGAAGATGAAGGGAACAGAATAGACACCCCCGAAAATAATGGGAGGTTTTCGAGCACAGAGCAAACCCTAATTCTCACACCCATTTCCCCCCTCAACCAACTCCCAAAATACGACACAGTGGTGCAGTCCAATCAATACGTACAGGCACATGTATCTATTACCTATACCCTCTATAAATAATATAGCTACATATATATGTACGTATAGAGCTTCCTCTATTCTAGAGAGACTCTCTGATACACCACAGAAGTAGCTGTTCCCTCCACCCAGCAGTTGCAGCGCTGCAGTTTGCAGCTCTGGCATCTGCAGACCCATTATATACAGTGTGTGTATGTATGTGTTGTATCTTTTTTTGATGGGCTGTATGTTTGTTATTATTTGGAAGTCTGTATCAAAGATCTGCGGAAATAATGATTTATTTTTATCTTTTTTTCACTCTGTGTTATAATTAAAGCGAGAAAGATATTTGTCTGCTTGTGAAAAAGGAGGAGCATTTTCTTCCCCACCCCACCCCAAGAAAAAAAAAAAAAACAACAAAAAAGTGGGTGTTGTTAAAGAAATTGAACCTTAAATGCCTGATCACTGTAATTTTGATTATGGGTTTCTTTTTTTTTTTTTGAGGAAATTGAAATTAGACATTAGAGAGAAACGAGCAATCAGTTTGTAGTGAGAGAGGAAAAAAAAGCTAATGGTGCTGTGGGTGAGGTGCTGAGTTAAAAAGGTACTGTATTTCATCCCATCACTCTCTCTCTCTCTCTCCGTCTGTCTCTCTCACACACACACACTCCCCACATTCCCTTTCCCTTTGATACTGCTGCTGCTGCATATGGAAAGCAGACGCCACTCACGGAAACTGCTATAATTTCCCAGCGATTCCCTCGAAATTCCGGGCGATTTCGCCGCTTAGGGTTTGGAATATGATTTGCGCCTTGATTGATTTGAACACCGTCAACAATGAAGACGACGCCGCAACGTCTTCCGGTTCTCCTTCGACGTCGTCGGCGGCCTCGGCGAGTTTGGAATCGCCGCCGACTGAGGTCTGTATGGAGCTCTGGCACGCCTGCGCCGGACCGCTAATTTCCCTGCCGAAGAAAGGAACCGGCGTGGTCTACTTCCCCCAAGGCCACCTGGAGCACCTCCCGGAGCATCCCGCCGTCGCCTACGATCTCCCCCCTCACGTGTTCTGCCGCGTCATCGATGTGCAGCTCCATGTAATTAAATTAATGGCTTCCATTTATAGTTTCTTTCATTTCACTGGTTTTTGGTTGCCAATTTGAGTCAATGTTGAGAGTTTGATTGGGTAGGCGGATGCGGCAAGCGATGAAATTTATGCTCAAGTTTCACTGGTTCCAGATCAACAGGTACACCTTCATATGCTCTTTCAGAAGCTACATTGCTTGATTACACCATCAATGGCCGTTCTTTCTCTTTCTAATTTTATGTCACTTTACAGCTTATGATCCGAATTCCATAAAATGGTTTGGCCCAGGAGCACTTTGCAAAAGGGACATTTTCTTGAAATTGTTAGCTTAGTGCACGTTAAAACAGAAAAGTAGTTCTCAACCGTGTGAACTTTTTAGTTTGCTTAAGGCTTAGACATCTTAAAAGGGTAACCTTTTTTTATTAATGAGAAAGATTTCTATATGAATTTTATAATGTTAAACCTGGAAATACGTAGCAGGTAGTTAGTTGTCTTGTCTTTAATTCATATGGGTAAATTTTATGTAGCTGAATTAGTAGCCATGATGCAAGAGGGAAAGGAGAATTATGTTTTATTTCTATTCATTTCTTTCTTAGCTGATGATACTTTTGGCAATTGAAGTTGTTGAAATAGAATGGTGAATTTTCGAATGCATTGTTGTAAAGTGGTAATGTAAGAGCATGGAGAATTCATTTTCCGGCAGATGGATAAGAAATGGAGAGATGGCGTCATCGGAGAGGCTGAGGATGAAGATCAGGAAGGTGTAGAGAAGTCCATGACACCCCATATGTTCTGTAAAACGCTTACCGCCTCCGATACGAGCACGCACGGAGGCTTCTCGGTTCCCCGTCGTGCCGCTGAGGACTGCTTTCCTCCTCTGGTGGCTAATTCTTTTGTCTCACTAATGTGGTTTCAAACTAAAGTTTCGTTCCACCGTATTGACGATTTTGTTGTTATTAGGATTATAAGCAGCAGAGACCTTCACAGGAGCTAGTGGCGAAGGACTTGCACGGTATCGAGTGGAAATTCCGGCATATTTACCGAGGTAAGATATACATCTATCGACGCTTATACCGACTGTTGAACATCATCTTGTTTTAGTATTGCACAAAGGTCTAATATTTATTTAGAACAGGCCAGCCTCGCCGACACTTGCTTACTACTGGTTGGAGCGCCTTTGTCAATAAGAAAAAGCTCGTGTCCGGAGATGCCGTGCTTTTTCTAAGGTTTAAGAACAAACCATACATTTGTTCGAGCTCTGACTGATATTTGTTTGATCTCTTAGATCACTTGTTTTCTTGCAGAGGTGGTGATGGAATACTAAGGCTTGGTATTCGTCGAGCCGTGAACATTAAATTTGGCGCGACAATCCTCCCTCCTAAGAGCCATCAGTTTGCTGGTAGCAGTGTTGCTGCGATCGTAAATGCTATATCGATGCAGACCTCATTTAGCATTTGTTATAACCCGAGGTACAGTTTATCGAACCTTTTCTGTGGCTCGTACTATATAATTTTTGTTCGATAAACTTGTTTTTGTGCATGTTAACAGGGCTCGTTCATCTGAGATTATCATACCTTACCATAAGTTCTCTAGAAGCATTCTGTGTTCTTTGTCATGCGGAATGAGGTTCAAAATTCGTTACGAGACTGATGACTCGTCCGAAAGAAGGTTGAGTTTTTTCAATACAACCTGTCGCTGCATATGTTGCGAATTAATGGAACTGATTTTCATTCGTGTGCTGAACGCAGTGGCCTCATTGTTGGGATTGGTGACGTCGATCCTACACGATGGCCCGGCTCAAAATGGAAATGCCTAGTCGTATGTACTTCATTTTCAATTCCACAAACTTCTCTAAATCATTCTTAACATTGCGTCATCATGTTTGAACTGATCTGCAGGTTCGATGGGACGACACGGAGGGCAATCGCCTCAGTAGGGTCTCGCCATGGGAGATTGAGCTAACTGGCTCTCTCTCGGCGCCCAACAACTCTTTGTTACCGGGCTCCAAGAGAAGTCGGGCCGGATTTTCTGCTTCAAAGCCAGATTATCCGCTTCCCAGAGGTCCCATAACCGTTTTAATTTCCCCGCTTTTAACTCGATTATTATGTCTTGCTTCTTCGAAGATTACTTACTAGGTAGATGATGTTTGTTAAATCTAATACAGATGGGAATGAAGTTTGCAACTTTGGTGAGCCTTTGAGGTTCCAGAAGGTCTTGCAAGGTCAAGAAGTATTCAGTTTCGGTACTCCGTTTTTCGGAGTGGAAGCCTCCCGGCTACACCCGACGGGTATGCGGTGCTATCCTGGTTCCCGAATTCACCCCGGGGGAAGCCGGAGTCCCTTCGAGCGAACCCTGCTCGATGAATCCTTTCAATTCCCTAAGGTCTTGCAAGGTCAAGAAACTATGCCTATCCTCTCATACGGCAGAGGCGGCAGCGGTGCCGATTCTAATCAGGCACCGGGACACAACGCTGCTGTGAATACAATCAATGGCTTTCGGGTGCCGCCGAATCATGCAAATTGCTGGTCTAGTCCTCGGAACCAGGTTTACACCGCTCCCCAAGTTATGCCGCCTTCGTTCTTGCCGTCACCGATGTCGCCTCCGTCCGGGCTAATATTGCAGCAATCTTACTCGGACATAGCGTACAACAATCAGGACAAGATTAATAGATGGGAACAAGACTACAGCGGCAGCCAAATTCCGGCGGTTCCAAGGCCGGCATTTGTTAGAGAAAACGATCAAAGTAGTAGCTGCCGGCTATTCGGGTTTTCCCTGAGGGAAGAAAAGGACACAGCAGCGAGCGGCGCCGAGGAGTGCCGCCCGACGGTAATGGCGAGCAGCTGCACTAAAGGAAGCGACATGCATGTGGTAAGAGACCGACTTCTTGATATTGCACTTTAAGGCCTCCTATTAACTAACTAGTCTACTTCTGTTCTGTGATTTTTATGCAAGAAAACAGAACTTGCTCGTGGGATGTTTTATAAATTATATATATATATATATATAGAGAGAGAGAGAGAGAGAGAGAGAGAGATGTTATTATGTGCCTGTATTTTGTTTGTGCTGCTGTTTTAATTTCATCGGAATCTGTTCATGGATCTGTTTCTCTATGTTCGTTTCAATGGTCCTGTCTGATCCAGACAAGAGCTAGCCTAGTCTAGCCTGTGTGTGTGTGGAAGCTGCAGAATTAATCAGAGCATGTTGGGAATTGAGTGTGTTGATTTAGTGTTGGGAGATGATTGAACAACCATCATGCCACTTCCCTCTCTCTCCCTCTCCACTGCAATCAATCTTGTATCCAATTTTAGAGAGACAGACAGACAACTGTGTGTTTTTCCACCCAGCAATTATGCTTGTCTATTTCTAATGCTCCAATTTTATTTGGAGGGTGGGCTCCACCTTTGACAAACATAGATCACTACGATAGAACTATTAAAATTGGACCATAATCATTTTGCTTTCACCCATGCTCTATTTAGATAATTTAATTTGTGTGTTTAGTTTATTGTTTATGTGAGCAGATGTGCTGTAATTAAAATTTTAAGAAAATCTATCCAGATGGTAACAATAAATAGCATTAATTGCGACCGAACGAACTTTTAGTTCGAAATGACGGACGGCTACAGCGAGGTTCAATGGCGTGGGCCCATGTGGAAATCAACGGTGCAGATCTATTCGGGGTGACGATGTCACCGTCACTGTCAGTGACCGCCAATGACGGTTTCCCTGATGCCTTAAATTACGTCACCGCCGTTGACGTTAAAGTATTTCCCCCAGTTATATTATAACTGCTCCTCACCAAACGAATTTCCCCTCCGCTCCGCATTCACCATGCGGAAAGCACTCGAGCTTCTAGCAGCGGCCGGCGAGGACGGGGATCAGGACGGCGGAATCATGAGGAAAGTGGTGGCGGAAAATGCGGTGGTGATTTTCGCGAGGAACGGCTGCTGCATGTGCCACGTGGTCAAGCTCCTGCTGCACGGGCACGGCGTGAGCCCGACGGTTGTTGACGTTGACGAGCTCAATGAGGTGAAATTAGCCGGAGAATTGACGGAGATGATCGGCGGCGAGGAAGGTCCTGGAAGCGCAGCGGCGATGCAGTTTCCGGCGGTGTTTGTCGGTGGAGAATTGTTCGGAGGGCTGGAAGAAATCATGGGCGCGCACATCTCCGGCGAATTGGTACCCAAATTGAGAGAAGCTAGGGCTTTGTGGCTTTGAGGTTTTAAATTTTGATTCAATTCATGCTTAATTACAAGTAATTTGGATGATAGTTTCTTCGAGATTCGATATATAATCCTTTTACCTTTTCTGCATATACGTATATCAATGTGCATCATCTTCGGGCAATATTCATGATTATGACGCCGAGCTCCCGGACCATAGCTGATAGTAGGGAGTCCAGGAGACCGCCATAGGATTAGTACTATAATTAAGGAGATGCATTTTTTGAGATAAAAGTAATTTTATTCATGATGATGATGAAATAGTAGTGTTGATTGCATTTGCATATAAATTTAGTGCATATTTGTCTGTAGTGCAGAGGCCTTTTCAACTGTCACTTGGTATACATACTCAAACAGCAGCTTCAAGGATCACGAGGACGAAGATGGACATAGCTTTACATAAATACATCAGTATAAAATTGCTGATCACTATTTTGGTATAGAGCAGAGAAAGAACAGTAATGATAATAATATATATATGGTGGGGGAGGAAGAGTTGCATTATTTAATGTGGATGGTGAGAAAGGAAAGAAATGGGCGTTGATGTTGGGAAATCAACGGCTGAGATTGTGGCTGGAGTAGTGTCGTGTCGTGTCGTGTCGTATTCAGGGATGAATGGATTTGGCCTTTTGGGACAATCTTAGATCATGGGTGTCTGTCACTCAGTTAGTCATTTTAATTTATTGAACTAAGGTATGTTACTTAGAAGTGTGCTTTTATCACCCAACAATTCTACAAAGAAGAAGAATAAACAAGCATTTTGGCGAAGGCTTGAGTTTATAATTATTAAATTACCCATTTATAAAAAATTCCTTCTAATAATACGTTGACGGCCCGGCCCAATTGGTCCATCTCCACATAAGGGATCTCTCACTACAGCCGAAAATATTAATTAATCATTAAGTGTAAATCAATTCGGAAAGAAATTTATACAATTGAGTTGACGACCCAAAAAATGAAAAAGGAAATTCCGAAAAGAGAACACATGAATTGACGACAAGAAAATTACCTTTCTTCACCACCTTTTTGTTGCAATATATATGTTCAGAGACATGTGACCAAATTTCACAAACTATGTATGTATGTATACATTAACATAATTAAGACAATCTAGCAACTGTAATTGTATAATTTATCCTCGTACAACTCCTCAAATCCATACACATTAATATTAAAATTAAAATTAAAAATTCGTAATTCCAACACCCACCAAAAATTACCATGACGCATGTATTCGTTGCCTACGCCCATCACGACCCGAAGAAGTTGTACCCGTCTTGGGCCGCCGCCGCCACGTAGACGCTCCCGCCGGCGCCGGCGATCAGGGAAGCATAGAGCTCCCTCTCCACCAAGTTGTGTCCGTTCACGCCGCCGCCGCCGCCGTATTGCGCCGCCGCCTGGATCTTCCGGAGCTCCTCCTTGAGCCTGTCTACTTCTCCATTCAACCTGGCATTCTGCGACATGACGCTTTCGAGCTGCTGCTGCAGCGCCTGGTGGCTCGCCTCCAAGCCGTGGTTCTTCTCGCGCGCCCGCTTGTTCTGATACCAAATCGCGACCTGGCGCGGCGGCACGCCGAGCTCCGCCGCGAGCCGCGCCTTGAGGTCCGGCTCGAGCTTGTTGTTGTAGCTGAAATTGGCTTCGAGGACCCGGACCTGCTCCTGGCTCAGCCGTTTCTTGTTCTTCCGAATTAGCTGATGATGAAGAAAACGTTGTTGATGATTATTATTGTGATTATTATTTCTCGATTGATTCTCATCCATTGCGTGATGAATGATCAGTAATTATAATTCATTCATTAAATTAATTAATAAGGCAGATTTATATACAGAATTAGAGAATTAGGGACGACAAATCATATCGAGGGTAGGGTAGGGTTAGGGTTAGGGTTAGGGCAGAGGAAAAAATGGGTGCTCTATCATTTTCGCCAGGGAACGACGTCGTCACGTGGCCTGCCCTACGTACTAACTAATTTACTACTGTACTATTTATTTCATTTCATTGTGGGGATTATTTAATTACAATCAATATTGAAATTTGGATGATCACAATTCACAACAGACAAAAAAGCAGGCGGTCAGAAATTCCAAATTTCCATTAATACATGCTGTGAAAATTTCACTTGAAGCTAGCTACTGACAATAAAAAATATATGTATATGTCATAAATAAATAAATTAAGTAAATGTCAACTGCGCCGACAATAAATTGCCTGGGGTGTGTAGAGTAGAGTAGACAGTCGTCACTCTTAGTTTAATTTATTAAATATTTCTAGTCTTAGGTTTTGAAATATGATATATCTGATCGATGATCGTGTAAGTATTACGTGCGTACTCTCGAATAAGCAAGCAAGCCATGATCGTTGAATATGAGCTCCCTATAGCCACGGCTATGCCTATTCCTATTCCTATGCTCACATGTTCAAATTAATTTAATTACAAGAACTAATTAACATAATGCTGATCACAAATAATGTTATTAATGGATAAAATTAATTAGATATATATATATGTATGTATATAATTGTGTGTACGTACGTACATTACAAACTAACATGAATAATGGTGACTATGCACCAATCGAATCTAATGTAATCTGGTCCGGTCCAGGGTCTTAGTACGCGACACAAGTAGACAATGTAACCGTAACATTTGGTTATTAAAATAATCAATTAATTAATTAAGATGGGTTATTGTACAGCTGGGGGCATGTCCTACACATCATTTATTGCCCATATACATACTTACATACTATATATATATATTTTTTTTATATTTACTGTATAATAAATGTAGCAATTAAAATCAGTCGAAAACGTTACTAATGTAACGCTTATATTACTATTTACGACCGTAAACGTTATCTTTATGCAAATATAGATTAATGAGATAAATTCCCCAAAATGCCCTTGGAATATAGCACTGTCTCGTGGGTATAAGTGTAATTCCACGTATGGCCATTACCTTTTTTTTTTTTTTTTTTTTTATTTCTTTTGCTTTCGGTATTTCCTTATTAAAGAGTCAGCACGCTCTTTCTCCCCTGCATTTTGGTAACTTCGGTGGCTGACTACGATGAGGCTTTCCGGCGCCGGAGAATCTTCCCCGGCGGCGTCTTCCCCGACCACCAGTCAGGCTGCTTCGGCCAGCGTAATTGATGGACCAGCAAGGCCGATCCGACTGGTGTACGCCGACGAGAAGGGGAAGTTTCACATGGATCCGGAGGCGGTGACGATGCTTCAATTGGTGAAGGAACCTGTGGGCGTGGTTTCGGTGTGCGGTCGTGCACGTCAAGGGAAGAGCTTTATCTTGAATCAGGTGCATTAGGGGGAAGTGAATTGGATGAATTTGTGAGTGCGTTCGTTGACTGTGCTTGATTGCGTAGGGCTTTGGTGATGTTGGAATATTGGTTGAACAATGATAAAGTTATAATTGAAATTAGGTTTCTGGACCCTGGAAGATGGGATGTACTGTGATTAGTTTGATCGCTGTAGCAATGAGGCACTTCTTTTGCTCCTTTGAATCAAGAAGGTCGAGAAGCAAATAACAAGAATTGATTCTTTGTTATTTTGGATCAAGAAGGCTTCTGTGCAACGAAAATTCTAGCACTTAACGTTGAATTTATATGTTTTGTATCTGTGAAGATGAGAAAGAATGAAATGTTCAAGTGGGCATTTTACTTTGGAAACACATCAGAATTTTATATACTGATAAAAATAAGTTACTCTTTCTTTTTTGTCTCTACATGTTATTGGAAGGGATCCTAAAAACTCATTTTATTTTGTAAAGTTTTTTTTTAATACAACTGTTAATTCCCACTATAATTGTCTGTTTAGTTTAAACAATTCACTCAATCCAAGAAAACTTTCAAACTTTGAAATGGAATTCTTTCAACTACCACATGCTTCTAATTAGTTCCCTAAACATATTTATTTGCAGCTTCTTGGCAGGAGCAGTGGATTTCAAGTGGCATCAACACACCGTCCTTGTACCAAAGGTATTTGGATGTGGAGCATGCCACTGCAGAGAACTGCTCTAGATGGAACAGTGTACAATCTCTTACTCTTGGACTCTGAAGGCATTGACGCATATGATCAATCGGTCAGCTTTTCTTCTCACATTTACAATAATCTGACAGTTTTCTGTAGTTCATAGGTTACAATGTCATATTGATTACTAGATTTTCATCCTAACTCATTCCAATTCTGTATGTGTTCTTGCTGGACATTTTGCTTGCCTGTACTTTATATTACTTTTTCTTTAATTTCAATGTTTAATAATCTTGTTTTACTTTACTATCAAAATATTGTACAGGGGACATATAGCACACAAATATTTTCGTTGGCTGTTCTCCTATCAAGCATGTTCATATACAACCAGGTAAAGATGCCATTTTTAGAATGGTTTGTTTTAATGTTGAGCCTAGTGGTCTTGACCTTAATTTCTTGTATGATATTCTTTGAACTTAATTAGACAATTAATACAGTTAAACAATTGCTCATTCTTTGATTAGATGGGTGGCATTGATGAAACTGCACTCGACCATCTATCTCTTGTGACCGAGATGACCAAACATATTCGTGTTAGATCTTCTGGGGGTAGGAGCACAGCCACAGAGCTTGGGCAATTTTCCCCTGTATTTGTTTGGCTATTGAGGGTAATTATCATAAGAAAGATTCCCATATGTGTAATGATTAATCATCACTTTGATATTGTTTGGACATACACGCTTGCAGGATTTTTATCTGGACTTGACTGAAGATAATCGTAAAATTACCCCACGGGACTACCTAGAGATTGCTCTGAGTCCAGTTCAGGGAGGAGGAAAGGACCTAGCTGCCAAGAACAAGGTTTCTATGTTTTCTTCTTTCATGGAATTTTCATTTATATAACACATGTTACAATGGTTCATGGTTAATGAAGGCTCTACTGGTGCATGATAATGTTTAGATACGAGAGTCCATTCGAGAACTTTTCCCAGATAGAGAATGCTTTACACTCGTACGTCCTCTAAGCAATGAGAATGAACTTCAGCTGCTTGATCAGATTCCTGTGGGTGTTGCTTGAAACATTTATTCAAGTTTATATGTCGCCGCTTAATTTGCATCTCTTAAGGTTCAACTACAATGATTTATGGATCTTGTGCAGCTGGACCGTTTGAGGCCAGAATTTGTTTCGGATCTAGATTCTTTGTCAAGATTTGTTTTCGAGAGGACAAGGCCGAAAAAAATGGGGTCAATTGTGATGAATGGGCCCATTTTCGCTCGTATTACACAATCATTCCTGGATGCTATAAACAGGGGTGCGGTGCCTACAGTTACATCTTCATGGCAGGTTAGGATGCATTATAGATATGTCTGAGTGTTTCTTCTTCTGCTTTCCCTTTTTTGACATTTTTTTTTTTTTTGTTCACAACATACACTTCTATATGCCTGGCAATTCTGTTTCTCAGGCCAACTGAATATTTACTGCTTCATTCTGTTGTAGTATGGAACTCTGAATACACAGTACACTTACATTACAACAAGTGCCATAATGATGCTCTACTTAGATATCTGGCACAGAGTTTGGAGGAATTTGTTCAAATAAATTGTTTGGTCTAGAACCAAGTCATGTATCTTGTGTCCTCTTTTTGTATATGCTAACTTGTTTCTGTTTTGCTTAATTCCATAATCCACACTCTTGCTATCCGGTGATGAATATACCTTCACCACCAAATTAGGTGTTAATATTTCACTTTGCTGTTTGATCCTATGTCTCATTCTCTCCACATGCAGACTGTGGAGGAAGCTGAATGCCAGAGAGCATATGAATTGGGTGCCGAAGTCTATATGTCTACTTTTGATCGTTCCAAACCTTCAGAGGAAGTAGGTGTTACATTTTTCATTTTTTTTTTTGGCTGCTTTTGCTTATTGTACTTTCTTACTAAGTTGGTGGACTCTTGTAGGCTGCATTACGAGAAGTACATGAACATGCATTTCAGAAATCAATGGACACTTTTAATACTACTGCTGTTGGGGCTGGTGTGACTAGGCAAATGCATGAAAAACGTCTTCAGAGTTTCTTGAACCGGGCATTTGAAGTAAGCTTTTACCTTTAAGATCTAATAATCGTAAGTTGTTTTGTCAACCCTACATTATATATGCCAGACTTTTGTTCTTTTTAATATAATTTATTTTTCCTACTTATCAACTTCACACCCTCAGAAAGCTATAAACAAAGAAGTGCAAGTGGAAATTTTCGTTCTTCTGAAACCTAATAGATGATTATGAAAGGCCAGAGAAGATGTAATTATTGTGCTGTTTCCTCTAATGCCATTTTTGCATAGCTTGTAAACATTCATTCAGCTACCAATCTTAACTCATTATGACTTTCTCGATCGCAAGTGATTTCCTCAAAATTTGACCTGCATCATGGATCTAGCATGGATTTCACTTTGAAATATGTAGACTGCAGTGATCTTGACTTGTGCTGTTTTTATGATCATGGATTTAAAAGCTTTAAATAGACTGCACTGTGTTTGAGTATAACCTATCGGCTGTATGAAAGTAAATGTGTGTTTTCACTGTGAAATAGTGGTGTAGTTTGCAAGTTTTGGGCTCACACAATTTTTTTCACTGAGGTACATATTTTAATTACTCACTATCATGTGTGTGTTTGCATAGGTAATTTTGAATAGTTGTATACATTTTTACATATCATAATGACTTAATTAATAAATTTCATATCCACATTCTTGGTTTGTGTGTAATGGATAGTTCTTTCTTGTGAATTTCGTGTCATGGTCTTTTAATGAATTATGATTCCAGGACATTAAAAAAGGAGTTTACAGGGAGGCTTATCTGCAATGTTCAAGTATGATAGAAAATATGGAAAATGATCTCAGAAAAGCTTGTCATGCTCCTGATGCAAAACTCAACACTGTCATAAAGGTCATTATTTGTAAACACTCATAATGAATTTCTTTGTATAGATACTGTTTAAGATTAAGAAATCATTGAACAAGTAGGACCCTTAACGCAAGTATAGGTTTTTGATGGCCTTATGTCCAAATATGAAGCTACATGTCATGGACCAGAGAAGTGGCAAAAAGCAATTGTCTTTGTACAACAAAGGTTTTCATGGATCTCTTGCTGCTTATTGTGTCATTTCGTCTACTAAACCTTCATCTAATAGTGTGCTCTGTTTAGTTTGGAAGGTCCCCTACTTCACTTCATCAAGAAGCAAATAGACCTGGTTGACAGTGAAAAGAGTACATTTTATCTAAAATGTCAGTCGATGGAAGATAAAATGGCGTTAGTAAACAAGCAGCTGGAGGCAAGTGAAAATTTTAAGTCTGACTATTTGAAGCGCTATGAAAATGCTATCAGTGACAGGAAGAGGCTCTCTGATGGTTATACAAGTCATATAACCAACTTGCAAAAAAAATATAGTTCATTAGAGGAGAAATCCTCCAATTTATCAAAAACACTGGAGACTGAAAGGCAGGAGTCAATGGATTGGAAAAGGAAGTCCGAGTTGTTTTTAACAAAACAAAAGGCTGTAGAAGAGCAGTCCATTGCAGAAGTTGTACTGCTCAGATCTAAAACTTCTGCTGCTGAAGCGAGATTGGCTGCAAATCAGGAGAAGGCTCGATCTGCTGAGGAGGAGGCACAGGAATGGAAGCGTAAATATGAGATTGCTGTTAGAGAGGCAAAAAGTGTACTTGAAAAGGCTGCTGGTATCCAAGAGCGCGCTAATATTCAAACACATTCTCGAGATGCTGCCTTAAGATCAGAATTATCTGATGCTTTGGCAGAGAAGGTCAAAATCTCTCTCTCTCTCTCTCTCTCTCTCTCTCTCTCTATATATATATATGGATACAAATGCGTGCATTGTGTGATGGGGATGTGTACTTGTTTATGTTTTGTAGTTGTTTGCCTTTGTCTCTATTTCGAAATAAACTAGTTTTACAATTTGAAGGTTCTGTGTTTCAATTCATGTGTTCAACTTGGCAGGACAATGAAATGAAGGAAAAGGCAGAAAAAATTGAGCAAGCTGAGCAACAGTTAACAACTTTGAATATGGAGTTGAAGGTCAGATTTGGCAAATTATTATCTCCATTGTGCTGCTACACTTCTGTATCTGTGTAATTGCTCTGCTTCAAAGTATCTAAATTTGAAGTTGTTCAAAGTATGCTCAACCTAGTGCTCATATTTGTTGATTTATTTCATTGCTTTAGTAATTGACAGTGACTAAAACTGAGAGGTGTGTCTGTTCATTTAGATGCTTAGTCATTTATGTGACTGGTGATTTGTTGCTTCTTGCTTCATAGATCTTTCATATATGTTTTGAAAGTATGGATAAAGAAATCATTTTTTGTTGTTTAATCGAAACAATGTGTTATTTTGAAAGTACATCTAAATTATAATGTTGTTTTTGATGCACTATATATTAGCGTTACTATAACTGATTCATTGTTATTTTTCCCACTTACAGGCTGTTGATTCAAAAATTAAGAATTATGATCAAGATATATCATCACTAAAGTTTGAAATCAATGAATTATGCGAAAAGGTAAAAAGGTCACAGGATGCTGCTCTTTCAGCTGAGAGCAAAGCTAGAAATTTGGAACAGGAGAAGATACATTTAGAGCAGCAGTACAAATCTCAATTCAGTAGATTTGAAGAACTCCAAGAAAGGTGTAGAGCTGCCGAAAAAGAGGCTAAAACAGCAATTGAATTAGCTGATGAAGCAAGAGCAGAATCCACAACAGCACAGAAGGAGCAAAGTGATCTTCAACGTGTGGCAATGGAAAGACAAGCTCAGGTTGAAAGAGCCAAGAGGCGCACCGAGGCTCTGAAAAGGCAAAAGGATGAATTAGCCAGTGAAGTGGAGAGGCGCAAAGCAGGTGAAAAAGATGCCTTTTTAAGGGTAGAATTGCTAGAGGAGAGACTTAGAGACATGGAGAAAGAAACCGACTCACTTTTGCAGTCAAATAACTATCACAGAAAGAATAATGTTCAAGTGCTCGAGAGTTTGTTGGAGACCGAACGTTCTGCTTATGCAAAAGCCAGTAAAAGGGCAGAAGCCCTTTCTGTTCAGCTCCAAGTCACACAAGGAAAGCTAGATGAACTTTCTCTTGAATTAACTGCCCTTCAGCATAGCGAGAAGTCAACAATGGATGGTAAAAATAGAAATGCTTCACATCTCAAGCGCACCAGGGCAGATGAATTTGAAGTGGGAATCAACTCAGTTCATGATACTGGCACAAGCGGCAAAGTATTCAGAAAAGATAAGAGAGCTAAGAGCAACATTTTCTCTAATCCCGATGATGGCGGCTCTGTATTTAGGAGTGGTGTGCAAAGCAATAGTCTGCGAACCAGCGCAGAGGACTACACTAAATTTACAATGCAAAAACTGAAACAGGAGCTCTCCAGCCGCAATTTTGGTGAACAACTGTCGCGACTGAGGAATCCTAACAAGAAGGACATTCTAGCATTGTATGAGAAATGCGTTCTCAATAAGTCTTGAGCATCTGGTGCTTGTAAGTAAGAAATATTGGTCATGATCGGGTTGAGAATACCCGAGTCCTCATCTGTGTTGGCCTCAGAGTCGAACCTGGAAACATAGACCTGTAGGGGCTAGAACTCAACTTCCTCCTTTCAGGCAAGCTTTCTGTTTGTGCAATTATAAAGATCTTGCCTTGGGGCGATTCTGCTGGGGAGTCGAGCAGTTGCTGTGCAGAGGTGCATCGTGTGTGATTGATATTAGTTGGTAACATTGACAGTAGTTGTAAAGTCATTCCTGATGATTGTGCTGGCTTATCTTTTCTTCCAGATTGCCTGGTCCATTTGTGGTATAGATAATATGTGTTTGGTAGTTTCTGGTTTTCCTGCTGCCTGCAGTTGTGATGTTTGTGTAGTGTTGAAATGACGTTGTGCTGAATTGTAGTTTGTATAGAAATTAAGATCTTGAGTATATGGATTTTTGTTTTGTTATTATTGTTTCTGTTATTCTGAAAGAATCTTAATTGAAGCAGGTCCATATATATGAGAAGGTTTACAATTTCATAAATGGACAATAGAATCAAAATAATTTAATTTCAAAAGAAAATTGGCATAAGATAATAAACAATTGATAATTAACATACACATAATTTGACAAATTTCCTGAGGATGTATAATTAATACAAATTCTAGATCACTAGCAAAACAAATCTATACATACATATTCTTGTGTAGAGATGATCAAGAAGCTTATTTAATTAACCACTAACAATAACTTCAAATCTCTTATGCTCATTAGCAGCAGCTGTTTCATGCTCCCATTTATTCCCCTTTCCCAATCTTTAATTTATTTTTCAGGCAAATTAAAGATTAATTCCACATCCCATAACTACTATATATTATATATATATATTACTATATACCCTAATAATAGTATTCTTACAAGATCGATGAACTCCATGTCTCCCTCATTCCCCTTTTCTTGCACTTGAAGGCAAATGGATAAAGCTGGACGATCCATCGCCATGGACAACCAAATTCTGATGAATCATAACCTGCGGTGGACTGTCTCTGTTGGCATTATTATTGTTACTGTGGCTGTAAGAAGAAACAAAGGGCTGATCATTGTAATACTCCACAAATCCAGGTGCTGCATTATTATTTTTCCCAAAATGGGTCGATTTGTCGGCTGCAACAGTCTCTTTGATCCCACATTGTCGGGGCTGTGTTTGGTAGAACACTTTGGATACGACGAGCTCTCCATCCTTCTCCTCCTCGTTGTCCCCTAAATGGTATTGGTGCATCACCCAATTCGTCTTCTCCGGCTTCCTTTGCCGGCCGTAGTTTGTGTAGAGAACAAGGATTTTCTTGTAACCTTTGACGCTGCCTGCTGCTGTCGAAACCGGCCTTGTTTTTCCGGTCTTGTGCCACCGGGTTTCGCCGCCGTCGGCGTCGGTGTGGACCTTTCTCCGCTTGCGTGTCCCCGTCGTGTAGGCCTTCGATGGCCGGTGGAAGAAATGCCGGACTTGGCCATCTTTACTTACTCCTGCGATCACACATTTTCAGACAAAGCAATGAGGAAGAAGAAGTTTGTCCTTTTCATGTAGATTAGGGTTCATCAAGAATTTATTTTTATTTTTATTTTTGTATGATTTTGAGCAAATGGGAATCGCATTGTTTTGGGGATTCTTACTACTTAGAGGAAAAAGCCTAACGTTGTAAATAGTTTCTATATATGTGTGTGTGTGCGCTTGTCTGTATTGGCGATTGGGTAAAATGTTATTATTACAATTTTGGATTCTAATTCACTTGGCATTGGAAGCAAGAAAAGCACCATTTATTAATTTCCAAAAGCAAATACATATGCATTATGAGTGGAATTAATTATTATTTTACTTACTTGTGAAATTGATTTAAGTAATTAACATGACGGATTAATTTGGATTGGGTGATGAATGATCTGGCATAGAAATTTCAAGAATGGCGATGATGTATGTATGCAAGTACCTGGTAGCCTCTCGGGATGAGTGTAGCAGATCCCATTTTCACCTTCGATTGTGGGAATGAATTTGTCGATGAGAGGATGGAGTTTTCTTGTATCAGACAGGACTTTGGCATCCAGGTGTTGTAGAATTTCTTGATCAGATGGATCAAATTTGACCCCAGCAGGCAATCCAGGCAAATCTTGAATTGCTCCACTCTAAGTATGTGCTCATCATTTGATTACATTTACATACATACATGCATATACACAATTAAGACTAAGATACAATATCAAATCACAAAACCCTAATCTTGCAGAAGAACATAACGAACATATATATATAGCTAAAATGGAATATATATATATATATATATATGTATGTATGTATACCTGATCTTGGAGCTTAAAGGAGTGGCCACAGGAAGGGCAAATTATTGTCCTAAGATTGTCAGCCTTTAAATTAGCAACTACAGCATCATCAGTAGTGTTAGTGTTGGGAATAATTTGGAGGGATGTTTCTTCATCATTGTCACTGGACCATGTCATGATTTCAGAATTATTATTGCTCTGATCATGCCCATCCCCTCCCCTCCCCTCCCCAGATAGGGTTTAATTTCCTCCACCTGATAGATATATGAACCTGGTCGATCGATCTCCAATTCGAAACAGCCAACCAGCGACAGATATTATGTCAATTAATTGACAAACAAGAACAAGAATAAGATCAAGAAGAAGAAATCAGAGGAGGAGTCTCCCTTGAAAAGCCCTCCCTCAGGGCCAAAGAAGGGAAGAAGGATCAGAGAAAGTCTAGAGGGTCAGGGTTTTTCATTCTTATATTATCTGATCTGATCAGAGAAAGAAAAGAATATGGAACAATGGTGATTAACTAATAGGTTGCTTGGACGTCAAGTTTGGTTTTGTTTATGTCTATTTATACACACTTGTACTGGTACTACCACTACCACTACCACACAACATATATATATATAAATAAAAATCCAGTCTTTATGCAATTAGGTCTCTCTTTTGGTATGTATCAGAAATTGAAGTGTAATCACTACATAGAAGAATGGTAAGTAATTAAAGTATTGGATTCGAAAAGGGCAAAGCAATCAACTACTCTCTTGAGTACTCGTTCAAATTAAAATAGTAGAATTGGATCAAGAAGGAGTGAAGAATTAATATGAAATGAAATGAGAGGGTAGAGTGGATATGGAGCAACAACAACAACATACAACAACAAATGGTGTGATGATATATTCTTGGGAAGACATTTCACCTCTTTCCTTTACCAAAGTGTCAACCTACCTGCAGCCTATAGCTAGCTAGCTAGCTGGAGTGCCCTTAAAGCTTCTCTTATTATATAAAATTAGCAGCTACACAAGAAATGCTACCTGCAGATATCACTGTACCATATACATACATACATACATACATCCAACAACTAAGCTAATTTTAATATGAAAGTAACAAACAAGTGAATTGTACGTACACCAAACTTGTATATTTTTGCCTTATAAGCTTATTCGCCTGGCACTAGTATTGTTTCATCCTTGTTTTTTTCCTTTGCGTACACTTCTCCTACCAAGTAAGGTATAATCTCTCTCTCTCTCTCTCTCTCTCTCTCTCTCTCTCTCTCTTATAGATATACATATATATATATATGTAAAGCTGTCATTAACACATATACTTATTCACACACATACCCATGTGTGTATGTGTGTGATTATCTGATTGTGTCTTAATTAATTAGCTAGGTAGCTTTATGGATGAATAATTAAAAGGTGGGAGTGGGAAAGAAGCTGCAGTATGTATATATGATCATTACATATATGTTGATTCCACTGGTACTGTTAGATTCTTCGGATCTGAGCATTTAATTATGAACACCTAATTGCATGGGGAATTCATTTCAATTAATCCCAATTTAATTCTACTTCAACTGCCTCTGCCTGCCTTTGATGATATGCAATTTCTTCTATGTGTGTGTTGGAATACATGCATGATACATACTACACACATACTATACGTACAAATATATATATATATATCAGAATTCAGAACACCACCACCACTATATATATGTATATGCATGTAAGAAGTGAAGTTTGAGAGAAATGCATTTGAACTCTTGGTGGGTCAGAGAAGTGGGAAATGAATTTAATTAAAAGTCATCAAGAAAGAAAGAGCAAGCAGGATCATTAATTATGTATATCGTTTTCCAGATATATATATATATATATATGATCAGATATTGAAGAGTTATTTCTTTCATGTATGTATGTATGTATGTATGTATATCCATTAAAATTAAGCTTCTCAAAGAAGCTACGCAACTCAAAGCTTAATCATGAAGCTTTAGCATTATTAGGGTTTCCTTAACGTGTGGAAGAGAGCTTTCTTTCCCAGATAATGTCAAATTCCCTTCTCTAATTGGATCTCTCTCTCTCTCCCACCACATTTCTCTCCTATCTATCTATCGATCCTATCCTATCATCAATCATCAATCATCAATCATCACCAACTTTTATTTCATTATAATTTTTGTTTTCTTCTTTGACGACAAATTACCTTCTCTGCGCGTCTCTATTAACTATAGGACAGGGTTTTCCAATGAGGAGGAATTAATCATTGGTTGAAATGGGCAGACGGGCTAAATATGTACAATTTGGGCCTCTATTGGGCTGTAATTTTATTAGTAGCACCATTTAGTACACAAATGGACCATTTAAGCCCATTATTTTATGACGTGGACCCGTTCTCCCTCCCCTGACCCGACCCGACCGACAAATTAAAAAGCCTCTCATTAAATGAATTTTCCGACAGGCTGGTCGATCGCCATTGAAGAGAGCTCGGAACCTTCCACAGGACCACAAAGAAAAGCACCTGTCATGTCCACACCACCATGGCCTACCCTACCCTCATCACACTAACGCTTTTCAAATTTATTACAGCAGTAAGTATAGCAGAGCTTATAACTAGATGGATTGGGAAGAAAGAAAGAACAAAAACACGAACCTCACATCCAGAAATTTTACCATTTATATAATCATCATCATCATCTCCCTGCAGCTCACCAGAAATGACTCTGACCGAACAAACTCCCCCGGTTGATGCAAGAAAAAAACACATGTTTATATAATCATCATCATCACTCTCGGGAAACCGTACCAAACATTACACACATTACAAACAACACGAGGTATAAATCTAAACTAAGAACACATGTTTAAGTAGATGCTGGTGATGCCTTCATTCGCAACTCCACTTCTCGTTTTCGACTCGTTTCCGTGTAGAAAAAACTCGACGATGATGTTTTGTTTTTCAAATCGGGATCAGGCTACGCTTCCGTTGTCTGAGGCGACTTCGTAGTAGTACGGTGTGAGTTTACCGTCTTTCCCGACGGTAGCTTTGAGATGATCGCCGATCTCTTGCAGCATCTTAACTATACGTCGCATCGAAGGCCGGTTGATCGGGAGCGGGCTAGTGCAGAGTAGGCCAATGTTGAGTACCCGGCATATTTCGTCCTTGAAGCACGAATCGAGATTCGGGTCGATGACATGGTCGACCCCCTTCTGATCGAGCGTCGTGCATGCCCATTTCACGATGTCCTTCTCGCCGAACTCAGGATCCACCGGAAGCCGGCCGGTTACCAGCTCCAGAATTACAATGCCGAAGCTGTATATGTCGCTCTTTTCGTTCACGCGAAGCGTGTACGCGTACTCTGTAACGACGATTACGAGAAAATAAATTAACGTTCAAGGATAAAAATACAGCAACAATGAATACAAGATTGATCTACTAACCGGGAGCGATGTAGCCACAAGACCCGGCGATTACGGACATGGATTTCGTGCCCTTGGCGTTAGCATCGACCACGGTGGCGACACCAAAATCCGCAACGCGAGCACCGTAGTCTGCATCGAGCAATATGTTATTCGACTTCACATCTCGGTGAACGATCGGAGGCGAACAATCGTGATGTAAATAGGAAAGTCCCTCGGCGGCATCCATGGCTATCTTGAACCTTACAGGCCAGTCTAGCAACCCGGCTTTTGTGCTGTGCAGCAAGTCACCGAGGCTGCCGTTGGGCATATACTCGTAAACCAAAAGCTTACAATCTCTGGTTGTGCAACAACACCATAACTTCACAATATTCTTATGCCTAATCTTGCCCAGAGTATCGACTTCTGCATCAAAACCATCGTTTTGATGGTTCCCGCCTTTCTCCAGGTCGCTGCTCGGATCATCTGTGGTTTTCGAACGTCCCCACAGCTTTTTCACTGCGACTGCCTCGCCATTGCTTAAAACCACCTTGTAAACCTTTCCGGACGAACCACTTCCTATGACGTTGTCTTCATCCAACGCATCCAATATCTCGTCCTCGCTGAAGCCCAGCTTATGGAACGACATCAACGTCCATTTTGATCTATCTATCGAACTTTTCACCTTCTTGAACTTTTTGTACTTGAAGTAGAACCAGATTACGCCGGCAACGAGCATGAATCCGGCGAGCACAAACATCGATCTCAACAGCCACATGTAGCTGTTGCTCTTGGCTCCATCTCTTCCATTACACAGACCCTCAATATCACCGCATAATCCCAGATTCCCTAGAAAACTATCTCTATACATCTCCTTGGCATAAAGAGGTGGAATATCACCTGAAAGTCGATTGCTCGAAAGATTGAGCCGATTGAGTTTAAGATTCTGCAAGGTTACAGGGATTTTACCAGACAACTGATTCTCAGATAAATCAAGATAATTTAGAACAGTCAAATCCCCAATTTCATCAGGAATATCCCCAGAAAACTGATTGTTTGCTAAGTTGAGCTCGTTTAGCTTCTTCCAAGAATGAATCCCACTTGGAATTTTACCAGACAAGGCATTATTCTGGGCGTAAAGTTTGACTAACTGTCCAAGATTCACAATACTGCTCGGTAAAGATCCAAAGAAGCCATTGTTATCCATAGAAATTTCGAGTAAAGTATCCAAAAACCCAATTTCATCAGGCACCGTACCGGAAAATTTGTTAGCTGATAAAATTAAATTAGAGAGGTTAGACGCACCGGCGATGGTTTTGGAAATTCCGCCGGAAAAAGAGTTGCCGGCGAGATCAAGGAGTGAAACGTGAGGAAGGCCCCAAAATCCTGCCGGGACCTCACCAGAAAGGCTGTTGTGCCCTAATCTCACGCGCTGCAAGCTCCGGCATTCTGCCAGAGTCGCCGGAATCCCACCAGAAAGCAAATTTTCAATCAACAGCAGCTCTTCGAGAGCTCCATTAGAACACAGAGTTTCAGGTATCTGGCCGGAAAATTTGTTGGTTGAAACGTCAATCCAGCGCAGCGACGACCTCCGGCCGAGATTGGGAGGCAACTTTCCGGTTAACTGATTCTGGAACAGCCTCAGCTCGTAGAGATTTGGAGAGTTAGCAATGCTTTCCGGCAATTCACCTCGCAGGTTATTCTCGTAGAGATTGAGTGACTCGAGCGGCAACTCGCACAACTCGGCGGGAATCTGACCCGTCAGATCATTCATGGAGGCGTCGAGCCGCCGCAATGCAGACATGTTCGACCATCCCTTGCTCGGCAGCTCGCCGGACAACGAATTGTTGTAGAGCTCCAGCTGAACAGCGCTCGTCAGATCAGTGAGCGAACTCGGGATTGTACCGGTTAGCGCATTGAACGCCAGGTCTAAATCGGTGAGTCGACCGAGTCGACCCAGCGAGTCAGGGATTTCACCAACCAAACTCGTCTCAGTAAGCCACAGCACCTCGAGTTTAGTGAGGTTCCCCAACTCCGGCGGGATCCGACCCGGAGAGAACGTGTTGTACGACAAGTTGAGCTGCTTCAGTGTAGAAATGTTGCCGAGAAACGCAGGGATCGTTCCTTCCAACAAATTCTCCACCAGCGAGAGCACTTGGAGCCTCGGAAACGCGCCGAAGCTCGCGGGAATGTTACCGGAAAAGTTATTCCCTGTCAAATCGAGGTACTTCAAGTTGGGGAGATCCGCTAGCCTGCTCGGGAGCTCGCCGGTGAGGTAGTTCTGCGCCAAATCGAGATGCTCCAGTGACTGACACAAGGCGAGGTCGTCTTCCAGCAGCGTCGAATTGACGAAATTATCGTAGAATGAAATGGAGCTCAAGCTTTTGAGGCGACAGAGAATGGACGGGAAGGGGCCAGACAGATTGGAGCTGGAGAGGTCCACGGAGACGACCGATCCGGTGGCGGAATCGCACACGACGCCATTCCATTTGCACGGCGTCTGGTCGCTAGGGTTCCAGTTCGACAGCACCGCATTTGGGTCGTCGAATCCCCTTTTGGCTCGCAGCAGATACAATCCTTCTTCATTAAGACAGAAAATCAGAGGCACACACTGAAGCGCAAGAAGGAGGTAGAAGAGAAGCAGACTCCAGCGGCAGCGGCGGTGGCGCTCCATTTTCCGGCGGGTGCGAGCTGAAGGAGAAGAAGACAGAGAAAAATCTGAGGTGGGAGTAAAAGAATTGGGAAATTGACTACGACTATGACATGTTTGCTGAATTGAAAGTGACCTGGAATTTCACATACATATAGACAAAATATATATATCCATTTTAATTTAATTTATCACAATATACATAAATAAATAAATAATTATCAAAAATTGCCACAGTTGAGTCACCCGTAGTCACTCTGTCAGATAAACTTCCAACCATTAATTATTGCAATTTTATTCTTAAACTGTAATGATAAATTCAATCTAATTTTAATTTCCCCAGCCGACAATCATATCGAAATTGGAATAGTATTTTTATGTCACTCATTGGTAAATATTTTGGAATTATAAATCAAAACAAATACATATGTAATAATGTGTCATTTTCGAACATTATCAAAATGAACCAACCAACCAATCCTCTGTTTCTGTGTCACAGTGTAGTTTTTTGTTCTTATTTCTTCTGCTTCCAAAACCCACCCGAATCTGAATCCAAGATTCACTACAACCTGGGTGAAAATGAAATTGCTCTTCTGTCCAAAACTGACACCACATTAATTTAATTTAAATCTAAGCTTTGACGATGCAAGGAAATGTAGTGGACAAAGGTGCACAAAATTTCAAACTATGCGGCGTAACTTATATTTATTTATTTATTTTGTCATGTATTAATTTAGAGGTTTTTATTTTATTTTATTTTATTTGTTTGCAGACTTTGTAAATGTAACACATGTGACAAGTTTTTTCCCCTAATGGGAATTGCTATTGCATAATAGAGTACATGCGTGAGGATATCGCAATCATAATGAACAATTTGACCAATGACCATACAATATGGTAAAATAATTATAACTAATATTCATTGCTTTATCTACTCATTGGTTATTGCATTAAATTTATTTGTTTCTCAAATGTTCATTTATATATAAGTTTCTTAATTACAGATATTACCCAAAAATAAAATAAAATAAAGTGAAATTAACTAGGACAGTAACAAAACGACACGATGGCATTATTTAATGCTTCACCAACCAAAAGATCATGGAAATAATATATAATTATTATTCGGTGAATTTTCGAATAAACAGAATAATGATTATTGTTGTAGGTTGTTGATGATTTTACTCGACAGTTAATGTAGTTATTTATAATTTGATCTAACAATTCTTGACAATTAATTATGTCTTGAATTAAATACTTATCTAACAGCTGCACTAAATTCAAAAACACATTAATTTTCATTCAACGATGTGTAGAAATACAGTGATTTGATTAATTATTTTTTGGTGCAGACATGGACATGATATAATGAGTTAATGTTGGTAGGTAAAATGGACCATATTATTATTGTTTGTAATAATAATTAGTATTATTATACATTAAGTGTTGAAATTAGAAGTATTCTTCAAGTTAAACCAATTAAATGTTACCATGATGAATTTCATTGCCACATGCCTTCACTACAATAATAATAATAATAATAATAATAATAATAATAATAATAATAATAATAATAATTCCATATTGAAGAATTTTCACTACATTGATTAGGTGTGTATGTGTATATATATATATAATGATTGTCGAGGTAGAGATACTTGGACAAATTGTGTTCTGTTTTATTGAAAAGGAAATTAGCTGTCCAAATCACTTTCTAAAATGGCGCGAGTGTCATTTTGCGAGGATTAACTCGTGTTTTACATGCAAACACGCTTTTTAAAATGACCTTTGCCTCTTGGATCATCACTGTGTTTGCCATTAAGCTATGGGAGATGGGCGGCTGTGAGTAGCGCTTTTAAGTGTGGAAAGATGCGCTTCTATTATTCTTTTGGTAGAAGTCGCACTTTATAAGAACAAAAAGTTGAGTACAAAGCGCTTTCAAAAAAAAAGAAAACTTAAATGATGAAAATAGCAAAGTTTGATTTCTTGTTACACAGAGGCAAAAGTATAATTTATACTACAAGGGAATATAGAAATGTGAAAAGCAACCAAGGATGATGAAAGCTAGTTGAGGGCTTTAGTGGTCCCATTCGAAATGGAAAAGGAGAAAGATATAATCCAATGATGATCTACTCCTTGTATTCTAAATTTCACAAGACTTCCACTCTCTTTTCTCTCTTTCTACATATATATAAATTACAATTTCATGAATATTTGAAGATTGGGAGCTCTCATACAGATCTTTCTGGGGCCCCCATTGCCAATCCTTTCACAAACTTTGAGGCAATAAAGATCACAGACACCCTTCCATTTGAGATTTGTTTAATTCAATTTCTTGGCACTTTGATCATATGGGGCAGTATGGCATGGCATGCATGCCCTCCTCAACTTCCTTTTGCTGTCTTTCAGTTGAATACTCCTATAGTTAAATAATGACCCAATTAGTGGCAAGATACAGTAAGCTTAATTAATTAGCAGCAGCAAATAGGAGTGATGATGATGGTGATTGCCAGTTGCCACTGCTGTGGACAATAAGCAAGAAGTGGCTAGCTAGCTAGATAGCTAGATAGCTAGCAAGCTTATGCCTTACTCACATCACATGCGCACTGTAATTCTCTTCTTTACAGTCAATATCATCATCAATAGTGTGCACACTACTAGTGATCACTACTTTTGGTGCAATTCTTGATTTTCTTCAGACACATGATTACTTTAAGAAGCCTGTTTTGGCGACTGGACTTGTCACAACAGCTAGGCTGTAAGCATCTTGGGCAGGTGTGCTTCACTTTAAAACAAACTTGTACTAATAATCACTCAATCCTTCCTTCCACTAGTAAAATACTACGGGTAGAGTAGTAGATCAACTATATAAATCATCATCAGGTGAGTAACACCTGTATCAGTAGCAGGTATAGGTAGAGACTAGGGTGGTATATATATATATTCATATATATATATGTTCTTTGGCACCTGCAGGACTTCTGATGAAAGAAATACAATAAATATAAATTACTTTTATGAAGATGATGATATTGTATTTAATGGTGGATTGGAAGGTAATGACTGAAGGGGGATAGGTTTAAATGCTATTCACGTGGAATAGCAAGGGGAGAGAATATATGAAGTCAGACTCAGGAGGGGATGGTCCCTGCAGGCACTGCCAGCCACCGTCTTCATTTATTTCTAGTGTAAATTTAATTAATTAATGGCATGAAATCACAGCAGATAGATTCCCATTAAGAATGCAATCTTGTAGTTAAGAACCAAAGAATCATGTAATGGGGGGTTAGTTCAACTAATCATCTAATTGATTAATCCAAAGTTAAATACTAACAAATCATACCCACATATGCATGCAGACAAAAATCAAAGGGAGGGAGGCTAGAAATTGTCTAAAAATATCATGAAACTAAAATATATAAATTTGTTACAACATCATCAACAGCTGTCAAGTGTTGTTTTGGTACTTTAGTCCTAAATAGACATTGATTGACTGCTATATATCCCTATGGCTCTCTTGACCTCCATGCAAAGACCTTGTAAGGTAATTGTTGGATGTTTTATCCATTGTATATTGTGTGTATTGCTTGCCAGTTTCATGTATTTTTACACACAATGACAAAAAAATTCAACTTTTAAAGGAGAAGAAAGACAAGATGGGAAATTCCCAAGCCATGCTATGTCTGCGGCTAGGGCATGGTCAATTATTTTCCAAAATTCTGATGTAAGCAAGACAGTATATATATACCCAAAAAAAAGGTTGATAGGAAATGAGATTTATGTAGTGGAGAAACAGGAACAGAATGATTACATGAATAGGAGCTTTATGTAATGGAGAAACATGAGCCCCTTGAATAGAGGGAATAAGTGGTGAGACAGACCATTGTAATAAACCATGAAAGGGCAGAAACATAAGCAAAAAAAAAGTGTCCTTGCTACCAATAACATCAAGCAGGCAATGAAATCAATACTCCAATCTTTCCTTCTTTTTTTCTTTCATGCTTTAGCACAAATAATAATAGTCCAACTAAATGGCTGAATTTATTTCTTCAATCCCACCTAAATTCTTGATTCATGAACATGGGCTCCTCATGCACCAGGAAGGGAACACTATGATGCTATCTTTCATGATGATAATATCCCACAATTCTCCACCTTCCTTTTTTTCTTGATTATACTAATCCAGATTCTGATCAAAGCTTTCAATTATGATAACGGATAGAGTGGTTGGGGCCCTATTAATGGCCTTTGTATGAATTCAGAAATTAGGTTGTTGGCTCAATCTGCTTCAAGGATTAAATAGTCCTAATAGCAAGTTATTAGTGGGTACAGATATTTTCTTATTTATGTATGAAATATGTATTATCTAATTCTCATCTACTAACAAACATACAGTTTTTGTGCCCTTAATGGAAGAAGTTTTCTTAAACTCATCTCTTTTTATCCAGTCATTAGTTCAACTAACATATGCAACACACGTTTCTGTCCGTGGACTAAAATTAGATTAACACTCAAGGTATACCATAGTGCCTTGAAGGGTTGGTATTCAACTATTTTAATATTTGGTTTGAAATTAAAATTATACCTATTATTTAATTAATTGCATTTTTAGACATTTGTACAATACTCTTCTCCAGCTTTAACTACTTTTCTATATTAATGAAGTATTAGAATACATTCGCAATTTTAATCTGTTGTAATTTGCAAGCTAGACGTGAATTAGTGGTACTACTGAACAATTTAGAATAAAATTTCAAGAATTTCAAAAATTAGAAGATGTCTTGCAAAATTAATTGGGTTCAAAGTTCCATCATTAATCCTAATTCCATGATTTAATGTGTGTTCATTAAATCGGTGGTGTTACTGCCTTCAATCAATTATTGTTTGTCTACTACATGCAGTTTCTTATAAGGGCTATCCAATTTCAAATTACACAAAAGGTAACATTTGGTACAAACAGGTCACCAACACTTACTATACATCTAATTATGGCTGATCCTGATCATGCAACTAGTTTTGTTTTGTTTTGTTTTGTTTTGTTTTGAAGGATTTTGGTGGATTTTCACTATTCATCCAATTTTTTTTCCCCAAAAACATCAAATCAAACACCTATTTTTTATTTTTTATATTATACTAAAAATCAATTTTATATTCAAAATATCACATCAAACCCTATTTATATCACATCATACAACTATTCAAATTCAAAATTTTTACTATTCAAATCCCAACTCAAAATCCAAACCCCCAAACAAACACACCCTTACTAGCTGGGGACATTGGACATAACCAGGCCCAATAACATGTTGGGCTAACACTTCTAAGGCTTAACATCAGTGTTATTGAACCAATAAAAGTAGATACCAAGAAACAACCAGTTGGACCAGATGGAAATGTGTGCCCTAATTCATGATTACGTGTACTCCAATACTGCATTTTAGGAACGTCATGCATCCTTTCACGGGAAGTTGTGAAGCATAATATCCTACCGAAAATTCACATTTTAGCTATCAATCACTAGCAGATTGCAACAGCAGTTGTCATAAAGATAATAGATATTCCAAATAGAGGCAACAAATAATGGTGTTGTAAGACCAAAAAAACATAACAAAGCAGGCGAAAAGAATCAAGAATAACAAACCCAGCAATAAAGTCACATGTTCTCAGCCAAAAAGACCTGACATGCAGTGACGATGCTCTCTTGAAATAATATACTATTTCAGAACAGAATTCAGTTATTCACAGAGCATGAGAAAAAGTATAGAAAAACATTACTAAGGAAGCCAACCTTTAAAATGTATAGGCAGGATGATTCCGAATCCCGGAAGAAAATTTTGGTTCTTTCAGTTTCTTGCAAGGCAAAGATATCTATATGAGTTCCCTTTGCTTCCACTCCAGACAGATAATTAGTTGCATCTCTTATAAATGTGTTGTGCTGCATTAATTCCATTGCAAGCAAATAACACGTCCGAAATGGAAATCAAGGTAGCTGAAACTGCAACCGGGCCAAGTCAAGAAATCTCTGAACAAGATGTGCCATTGCTGGAAAATAAAGGTCTGCCTGAAATTGAACGAACCCTCATCCAGCAAGCTATTAGCCAGACATTTGAGAGCACCGCAAACCTGGCCAATCTTCTTCCGACAGGATCGGTGCTTGCTTTTCAGCTTCTGGCCCCAATATTCTCAAACCAGGGAGAGTGTGATGCCGTTAGTCGAATGCTCACGGCTGGGCTTGTGGCTCTCTGTGGCCTGTCTTGTTTCTTGTTCAGCTTCACAGACAGCTTCAAGGACCAGAAGGGGAATATTTGTTATGGGTTTGCCACCTTTCGTGGCATGTGGTTCATTGATGGATCAGCAACCATACCACCAGAGCTTGCAGCCAAGTACAAGCTGAAATTTATTGATTTTGCACATGCATTCATGTCAATATTGGTTTTCGCAGCCATTGCATTGTTTGATCAAAATGTAGTGCACTGTTTCTACCCAGAACCCTCACCTGGAACAAAGGAGGTCCTCACTGCACTGCCCGTCGGGATCGGAGTTGCCTGCAGTATGTTGTTTGTTGTTTTTCCTACTAAACGACATGGTATTGGCTTTCCACTCACTGGCAATTAAATCTGCAAACATTTCAAATTGATGAGGATGTATGCTTGGCCTTGTTCATCACCAGGGCATCACTGCTTGTTGTTCTTTAATGTGAATAACACAAAGTGAAGCCAAAAACCTCTGTATATTATAATCATTCAGGTGAGTGTTTAAGGGTGATATCATCCTTCTAACAGAATCTGAATCCATGAAATGGTTCACATAAAAGTAAACACAAAATACAAGAAATTGGAAAGCAGCACAAAAAATTCTTGCAAGTCAAAAAATAATATGAGCATAAGAGAAATTCTTGCAATAACCTTTTATTGGCTCGCCAAGACTTCATTCATTGATTCTTACAATGGTTGAATCTAACATTAGATCATCATGCAACAGACAAGGTTTCCATGAAACTCTAATCATGCCCAAGACTCATGAATAACTATCCATATAGATCCAATTACAATTCACAAAGAAAATCAGCTTACCAACTTTTATATTCAACTTGATGAAGTACTCTGGAATTCATCCATCAGTTTAGAGTGTAACAATTCAGCAGCTTCCCGCACTTTCTTCCTATCCCAAAATCCATCCAACAAGGAATTCCATGTTGTCACATCAGGAATGCATCTATCAGTTACCATCTCCTCAACTATCCGAACAGCTTTGTACAGATCTTTCTTGCAGAAGCAGTGTATAAGAGATTCAAAGGTTTTTGCCTCGACTGATATGCCTCTACTTCGCAAGCTAAGATATAGCTGGAAAGCCTGGTTAGGATGACCCTCAGAACAAAGACCTTGAATTACTCTGTTGTGAATGCAGACATGAAGGCCCCATGTTACACGGTTAGGGGTAATACCTGAAAGAACCATTTCATCAAGGAAGTTTGCTGCTTTCTGGAATTTGTTTATTTCACAAAAACCAATAATTATCTTTGAGTAAAGCCCTGCATCAGGTTTCAAGTCCTGAAGCTTCATTCTGTCAAGAATTTGGACTGCTTCATGAATTTTACCTTCCTTGCACAATCCATAAATCAGGGAGCTATAAGTTATAAAATTTGGAAGTAGGTTCTTCTGAACCATCCTATCGAACAGTTTCATTGCTTGCAAAGAATGCCCATTCTTGCAAAGACCATCAATAAGGGAACTATAGGTATAGACATTGGGCTCAATGCTCTTGCTCTTCATCTCCTTGAGCAATTGCAAGGCATCATCCAACCTATTTAACTGACAAAATCCGTGTATCAAGCAACTATATGTAACAACCGTGGGTGAGCAGTTCTTTGCCTCCATTTCAATCAAAAGCTCTTTGGCTTCAAGAGTTCTCCCAGCTCTACATAACCCATTAATCAAAGTGCCATAAGTGTATGAATCTGGAGTGTGCCCCCGGTTCGGCATCTCCCGGAAGATCCGGAAAGCAGAATCCATAGTTCCGCTGCTCTTGCATAGTGCTTTGATCAGAACATTAAGCGAAGCAACACTAACTGGAACCCCTGTCTGCCTCATAAACCGATAAAACCTGAACGCCATTTTCAACTGGCTTTCGTTGACAAGAATGGAAAACACTGTTACATAAGACTTCGCCGTGGGCTCAACTCCATAATCCTTCATCATCCCAAACACCCTCAGCACTTCATGGGGCTTGTGAACTCTAGCATAAGCCCTGAGAATGGACAAGAATATACCTTCAGTAACATCGCACTTCTCTCGCTTCATCCTTACGAGCATATCATCTGCGGGTAAAAACCTGTTAGCAGAGAGCAGTCTCCGAATCATCAACCCAAATGTACTATGATCGTGCCGGAAGCCATTAGAATACTCAGCTGTGGCAGCGTCGAATATGGACAGTGCTTTATCCAAATCCTTTTCGGACGAAATCAACCCCTCGACGAGAGCAGGCGTGATATTCTTTGGCCACTTCATCATGCACCTATTGCCCCCTCCTCCTCCTACCCTTCTCAAATACTTTGCTTTAAGATTTTCTCACAGTCATTTCGTCGAACAGTTTGAAGCCCATCAACGACCATAAATTTCCGCCAACATAATCGTATCATTCAAATTCACGTCACCACATGTAACGCCACAACATTAAGCACCACCCCAACAATCCGAAGCCGGATAAGAACGACGTCCACTTGCTCGCCGCCGATTTGCTCGACGCTACGTGGACACTCGGATTCACTGATTCATATGAACTTACGCAGCGACAGACCAGAGCCTTGTCAATTGCCCTTTCAATAAATGGGCCGAATCCTCCTCCGCCTATAGTATAGAATGTACGGGTCGGGTTATTCTATTGGGCCAACCCAATTACCCATCTGCTCAATTATATGTATTGGAAGGAAGGCCCAGTTGGATAAAAGTGGATAGAATGATGATGATGGATTGGAGGGATAATGCAAAATTTGATTGGAAGAAGTGATAGAAGACAAGCTGAAGGTCTGATTTAGAGCCTTACAGTTGGAGGAGGATAAGATAAGAGTGGCCCACTTCATGTGCACGTCATCCAACTATGTAATTACGTCAGCTTTTCTTTCCGTGTAATTAATAGTGTACTAGAATACTTCTTAATTAATTAATTTAATGATATAAAATCACATACTATTGCCAATTTTGGGCTCGTTTACTCTTTACCTACGAATTTTTCAAAGTTTTTGCGGTAACATTTATTTTAATATTATATTAAATATCAAATTTTGACTTTTAAAATTATATAAAATTTAAAATTATTGTCTAACATAGCATTGATATTTCAAGTAAAGATTATTTAAATATTATTCTTTCTAATTTTTTTTCAAAAAATTTCACAAAACAAACATACTTCATTTCACATTATTGATCCAATTCAACTCAAGACATTAAATGAGTATTTATTGATTCTCATCTTATTTTTATATTATTCCATAGTATTTCAATATCTAATATAAAAATATATCTATTTAAAAATGCAGGATTTTTTTTTAATTACTATTTCAATTAGTAAAAAGTTTTTAAATATTTTTAAGAATATAAATATTGTGATTTTGAAATTAAAAGTAAAAAGTTTCAAATAATAAAATATCAATAAGAATTTTATTTAATATGAATTTTCGCATTATCAAAAAAAATTATGATATTTAAAAAGACATTGAAAAAATAATAGTTTATATTATTATTAATTAAATTAATGGATAGAACATTTATATAAATTATGGATATCAAAACTTATTTTTAATGGAAAACATTTCTACCGTATTTTAATTTTCATCCAAAAAAAAAAAAATCAGAAAAAAAATAAAATATAAAAAAATCGAAACTAATCGAAAAGTATTGTAACACACCCTAAATCCGTGAGATAAAATAAAATCGGAGAAAAATCTAAAGAATATCGACCGCTCGTTTTGTCAGGCGGAAGCATCCACTCAAACGTCCTCGCCATCCTCCCCGGCGCATGTTAGCTCGCCCGTAGCCTCCGCCACCACCACCAACTACAGCAACAAATTCTCTGCATTACCTGCAACGCACCACTCTCTCGGCAGCCAGAATGGAATCTCGCGTGCTCAGCGGCGCGACCATTCGCGGCCTGGCATTGTCAATGAAGCCGGCATCGAGGCTCACTGGAACCTGCAGCTTCCCGGCAAAGCTCACTGGAACCTGCAGTTTTCCGGCGAGGCACAGCGACCGCGGAAGCTTGGTATTGAGGACGCAAATTCCACCAATCATTCCGCAGGAATCTTCACCGGTCAGCGTGGTTTCTCCAGCAGCGAAGAGGATTTGCCTCCATCCGTGCTTAGCAGCATCCTCTTCGCCAGCAGAAGGCAGCCCCGGCGGTAAGGTCGGCTTTCTCGAGAAATACCCCGCTCTTGTCACCGGATTCTTCTTCTTCATGTGGTAAGTTACGTGACCTTACTAACCTGCACCGCTGGTGCACGATCCGCTCATCGTCGTTTGAATCGTCTAACTGAATTGATTGAATTTTAATAAACTGCCATTGCTGCTTGTATAAGGTACTTCCTGAACGTGATATTCAACATCATCAACAAGAAGATCTACAATTACTTCCCCTACCCCTAGTAAGCATCTTATAATTTAAGTTTTAATCACTGTGATTAATAAAACTTGGACTGATTGATGCTAATCAATTGGCTATCCATCCCTGCAGTTTTGTGTCCGCAGTTCATCTCCTTGTTGGTGTTGTATATTGTCTACTAAGCTGGATTGTAGGCCTCCCGAAGCGCGCCGTAAGTGATCTCTTCAATCAGGGATGGTTCATGACGTTAATGCTATTATGATTCTGTTTATCTTGGTGCTTATGATTCGTGTATTTAAGCTAACTAACCATGTCTTATGATGTTGTTGATATTTTTAATAACAAGCACTAACATGTTTGTCGCCACGTCTTTATCTGTGAATTCATTCGAATGGAATCTGTGTAAGGGCATATGCAATATTTGCACTCGTGATTGCATTCTGAGGGATTTTCATAATTGCAAACTTACTGATGATAAATTCTTCAAGGATGCAATAGTACACGGGATTCTAGTTTCTTCTTTATGGTTTCAAATGAGAAAGAAGTTCATTTGCATGGTTATTCACTAAATCTAGAGTCGATTATTGATGTTCTGCTTTCGTGTCTAGCCAATCGACTCAAACCTCTTGAAGCTGCTCATCCCAGTTGCTATCTGCCATGCTATAGGCCATATAACTAGTAATGTCTCTTTTGCTGCAGTTGCAGTCTCATTCACTCATACCATCAAAGGTAAAATATTTATCAATTCAATTGAGTTTAGAGCAACGATATCTTTTGCCTTATTAAATAGTCTGATTTTTGGTTCTTTTGCTCTGCTTGGATCAGCACTTGAGCCTTTCTTCAATGCTGCGGCTTCACAGTTCATACTTGGACAACAGATACCGTGGGCATTGTGGTTGTCGCTGGCTCCAGTTGTTATTGGTAATCCTTAATGTTGTTTTTGTCAAAATCTACCGTTCACTATACACTTTCATGTAATACAAAACAAAAGAAGTGAGCAGCTTTGCTCTGAATTGTGGGATGTGTTCTTATCTTCTATGTTAGTTTTAAAATATACAGAATAAATTGCAGGTGTCTCAATGGCATCCCTGACTGAATTATCTTTCAACTGGACGGGATTTATTAGTGCTATGATTTCCAACATCTCATTCACTTACCGGAGCATATACTCGAAGAAAGCTATGGTTAAATGCTTCCCTTTGTTTCTCAATAAAACTGGAAGCTATGGCTCGAACTTTCTATTTGATCAATAGGTTCTTTGCAGACCGATATGGATAGCACTAACTTGTATGCCTACATCTCAATCATCGCCCTCATTGTCTGCCTCCCGCCTGCCATTATTGTAAGTCTAGCAAGACCAACAGCAGTGCCACTCTTACAACCTTGGGTTAGTTCCTATTGCTTTAACAACATCTTGATTCTTTCCTTGTATGATTATCTTGCACAGATCGAGGGACCTCAACTGATGAAGCATGGATTCAATGATGCAATTGCTAAAGTGGGTCTTACAAAGTTCATCACTGATCTGTTCTGGGTGGGAATGTTTTACCACCTCTACAATCAGGTTAGAGCACTATACATACATATATAAACGTCGTAATTTAGCCTAGTGCAGCTGTCTCAAAACATTACCCTCTACAATGATTTGGAACCTGAGAATCATCGATCATGCTTGTTTCTGTTTCAATATCCTCAGCTGGCAACCAACACCCTGGAGAGAGTGGCGCCGCTCACCCATGCAGTTGGGAATGTCTTGAAACGAGTTTTCGTGATCGGTTTCTCCATCTTAGTCTTTGGTAAGAACTCTGCTACTCTGCCTGGCCCCAATCTAGTAATAATTACAATGATATAAACGACTGATTTAAGTATGAATGAAAAACTCTTAACAGGTAACAAGATTTCACTGCAAACCGGCATCGGCACCGGCATTGCCATCGCCGGAGTTGCGATCTACTCCTTAATCAAGGCCAAGATGGAAGAAGAGAAAAGGGTAAGCAGCAGAATCCACACTCAGCAATACTGTTATTATTCGAATTACCAGTCTGCTGTTCTTCAATGTTGAATGACTGAATCTCTTTTTATGTTTCCTGACAGCAAATGAAATCATCCTGAGCAGACACTGATGCAAAGGCATGGAAGAAACCACTCTCCAACCTGCTGCTGCCTTTTATTTATTTGTTACCAAAAACATTTGAAGAACTTCTCTCCCCAACTACGTGTTTGTGTTATTACATAATTTCGTCGACACCCATTTCTTCTCTTGAACTTGAATGTTCTCTGACTTGAATAATATTTGCGCCTGTCCCCATCGTTGAACCCATGATTTGAATTTGTGTCAATTTGCAATCATTTTGCCTAAAAACTGGATCTTGATTCTTGGCCACACAGATACTTGGATCAGTATATCCCACGGCTCATGAATTCGTTGGCCCATGTAAAAGAACAAAGCCCAATAATGTTCTTGAAGATTGGCTACACTAAAGCAGCACAAAACACAAGATTACAAGTCAAATACACCAGGAAATACCAAAAACACCCAGAACCAGAATCAGGCAAGAAAGTCTCATGTAGCTTTTAATGCACAAAATTGGGAGATGTATAAATAATAGTAGTAGTAGTATTTATTTAAAAGAAAAAACAAAAAATAATGATTTTGAAGAGTCAAGTCAAAGCAATGGAAGATGGGATGCTGAACAAGAAGACTTGAAAAACCCAAAGGGAAATTCCTCTGGCACAAATATAAAGACCACTTTCTCTTGTATTTCCGACAAAAAAGAAAAATTAAAGATGGAAATTGATAGAACCTACAACAACTGTTGTTGCTGTTGTAGTTTTTGGGTTGCTTTTAATTTCAAGACTTGGTTATTAGTTTTATTGTGGATCTCCAATTTTCGTCGTGGTTCATGGTTTCTCTCTCTTTGTTTTCATACATATTCTCGTTCTCAATCACACCTGTCTCCATATAATAATTTGCCCTATGCGTGTTTATTATTGTTACATTTACATCACATGCGCCACAAATTCCTCTCTTTTTTGTATTCTTTCCTGCCGAGATAGGAAGAATAATTTTATTGTTAGCCCTAGCTTTTTCGAGACGAGTCATTGATTCTAGGGCTCCTGGGCTGCTGTTTATCTGCCATGGAAGCGGGTTCCGAAGGGGAGATGAATAGGAGCATGAATCAGAGCCCTGCGGAGGGCTCTAAGAGGCCTAAGCGCCAGATGAAGACGCCGTTTCAGTTGGAAGAGCTCGAGAAAACCTATGCAAGTATGTTTCTTTTTGTTCTTGTTATTCACCTTTGGGATATTGGGAGCCTTTGTCTTCAATTGTAGTTATGTTGTGTTGAAGAGTTCATCTATTTGGAAAACTTATCAAATTTCTTGGTATATTTTTATGTATCTAATTTATTGAGTTTGTATGTCTGGTTTTGCATTTGTTGCTAATTTATAGATTTGTGCAAGTAAAATTTCAACATTTTTTTTTTCTTTTTTTGTACTATGTATTTGGTGAAGCACAAATTGTTATTGTTGGATTTCTAGTGAATATGATTACGAAGCTAAGGTATATTTTTTGTTGTGTCTTGAGAATCTGCTATTAGAATGTGTGGGTGTGTTCTGGATTTTTATTCTTGTTATATTTATAATTTTGATTTTTGAGGAAAGGCCGCATGTTCTAGTTATATGCTCTATTGACTGGCTACATATAACTCCTCTGTGGTTGTATGCAGTGGAGACATACCCTTCTGAGGCTACTCGTGCAGAATTGTCAGAGAAATTAGGCCTAACTGATCGACAGTTGCAGATGTGGTTTTGTCATAGGAGATTGAAGGATAAGAAGGAGGCAATGGGACCGGCAGCCATGAAGCCCCACACTCCTGGGTCTGGTGGAGGAAAGGGATCAATTGAATCCCCTAAAGAGGAATACCATGGGCAGGGCTTTGGTTCTGGTTCCAGTTCTGCATCTGGCTCTGGATCTGGCTCAAGTCAGTTTGATAATGGAAATGGCTCTCCAATGCTTCCCACTAGGTATTATGAATCTCCTAGAACAATTATGGAGCGTAGAGTGATAGCATGTGTTGAGGGGCAGCTGGGAGAGCCCTTAAGGGAAGATGGACCAATTTTAGGTGTGGATTTTGAGGAATTGCCCCCTGGTGCATTTGGTACCCCAATAGGTAATTTCTCTTGTTCTTGCAGTTGATTATATTTTAACATTGACATACTAGCTTGGTATCGAGGCTTTTGACGAAATTGATGTTCTATTTTGATTTCCTATTGAAATGTTTAAAATGTGGCATTTCTTGATCTCCCGAGAAGGCTATCCTGTGTGTTTAAATTTGGAGTTGAAATAACTCAACTAGTGAGCATGGTTGTCATGGCGACGCCTTGGTGTCCTGGCGATGCAGACAAAACGCCTCACAGTTTGGCAAGGCCAGCATCTAGGCGTCGCCAAAATGCAAAGGTGATGCCGAATGGCAAGGCGGGTCAGCCAAACCCGATTGAAATGTTATGACCCGCCACATGACCCAATTAGAATTTAAAACCCAGTTAGAATATAAAACCCAACTAAAAACCCTAGGTTGCATTTCACTTTCTCATTCTCCTACTTGCCTCTGTTTTATCTGCCGTCTGTCGCCCGTCGCTGTCCGCTGGTTGTCAGTGTCGCTGGCCGGTTTCCGCAGTCGCTGTCTATAAGGTTTAATTACATGTGATTGTAAGGTTTATTTGTATCTTTATTTCTCTTCTCCTACTTTATTTTGTTGATTTTATTAATGATTTTGTTGATTTGAGAAGTTAATGGTGTTTTTAAATATTAATGATTATGTTTGAAACTTTAAACTGATATATTAGTATTTAGTATTTTGATGGTGATATTTGATATTATGGCATGTAGATCTTTTTGTTAAACTTACTAAAGGTTTAGTAATGTGAAGTTAGAATTTTATATTGTATAATAAATGTTAAAAATGTATAATAAGTATATCGCCAAATTGTCACCATAGCGGGCGCCGTGTCACCTAGGCGATATGGCGGTCCGGTGGTGCTATGTCTGGAACCTCGCCATGACAACCTGAAGTTCTCAGTTTACTATATTAACAGAGTAGAATTGATATATGTGGCTGGAAGTCTTTCAAGATTGTTGATATCTGTAGACTGGCTCCTCCTTTTGTATACCATGGACAAAATTACATCAGGATATCAATACCAGTACATTCTGGGTTTGTTAATTGCAAATTGTTTTGTGTTATTGTGTTTTTTTTTTGTTTTGATGATCTTGAAGTGACATAGTTGTTGAATCTGAATTTTTTTTTGGATGAAAAATGGTGTTGGGTGTGATGCTTTTGGATGGAAATTGATAGGTTGAATAGTAAAAAATGGGTTATTGTTTGAATAATCGAATAAGATTGACTTAAAAGAATTCCATACAGTTCGGTTTGATTTTGGGGGCGTGTGAGCTCCTGTTTCTGTTTTTAAGCTCTCTCTCTGTGTCTCAAGGTGCAGTATAGGTTTTCTAAAGGCCTTGAAGTTTACATGCCTAACATTTCTTTATGTTACTTATTCAACAGTGCCTACAGTGAAGCAAGACCAGTACAGGAATTCTTTTGAAAGCAAATCACATGGACAATATGATGTGAAGCACAAGAAAGTTAGTTATGTCGCTTGATAACTTGTGATTTTATAGTGACTGATCTATAAATTTTTGTGTATGAATAGTTTCGTGCAAATTGATGGTGCCAATTGTCAGATCTAAGCAGTCGGTTGCTCTTTCTTTGACCATCCTATTGTCTTCTTAACTTTTTTATTTTCATATTGTAACCCTCTTCATTTGTATTATATACATGCATACATTGTAAATAAATATCAACTAAAAGAAATGTGCTGAGCACCCCACCACCAGTCATGAAGGTGGATAATAGAGAAAAACCTAAAAGAAAGGGTCTTTTTCTTTTATGGATGTACATATATGAATAGCTTGACATTTGACCTGATTGAAATATAAGAGGTTCCATAAAATGCAGACTAAGATTATTTCTATCAATGAGAATATATAAATACATATATATGGCTGAAGTTCTGAAAGTTTTGATTATCAGGCTTCATCCACTGGTCCTCACGAAGCAGTCGAGTCTAAAATTCAAGCTGACCCCTATGAGTACATCCCTCCTTCTTATATCTATGGTTCTCCAGTTGATGTTGTGAACACGAAGACTCTGTCAGCGATGCATGGAAATGGTTATCCGCCTCAGCAACATGTTGTTGAGGGCCAGATGAAAAACTTGGACGCACATCCTCAGCCAGTTACTCAGATGCAGTTAGCTTCATCTTCAAGGAATTCACATATCATTATGCAAAATGAAGATAATATGCCCAAGGAGAGAAAACGGAAGGTACATCCAAGACTACTTGATTGTGTGTAGAGTATTTTAGTACATCTACATGCAATTCAATTGCTAATTGTTGTCTGTAGAGTGATGAAGCTCGAATTGGAAGAGAAGTTCAAGCCCAAGAAAAGAAGATTCGGAAAGAACTTGAAAAACAAGATCTTCTGAGGCAAAAGGTATGAACGTGTTGTGATTTTATATATTAAGAGTCCTTGGCTTTCTTGTTTGCCCAGAACATCTGGATTAATGTTTGCTTAAATGAAGTATGATTATTTTCTCTCCAGAGGGAGGAGCAGCTGAGAAAAGAATTGGAGAGGCAAGAACGTGAAAGGCGAAAAGAAGAGCAACGAATGATTCGAGAGCAGCAGAGGCTTGAGGAGAAGTTTCAGCGTGAGGAAAGACGTGAAATGGAGCGAAGGGAGAAATTTATGCAGAAGGAACTTTTGCGGGTATGTTAAACTTATGCCACTTTTGCTTTCATCTTCATTGTTCAATTTTTGTTCACCTTTTCTCTTTGACTAATTCACTTAATTATGTCATGTATATATCTAGGCTGAGAAGAAGAAACAAAAAGAAGAGCGGCGCATAGAAAAGGAAGCTGCAAGACAGAAGGCTGCAATGGAAAGGGCAGCAGCACGGAGAATTGCTAAAGAATCTATGGAGCTTATTGAGGACGAGCGTCTGGAACTGATGGAATTGGCTGCTTTGAGCAAAGGATTACCTTCTATTGTTTCTCTTGATTACGACTCATTAAAAAATCTTGAGTCATTCAGAGGTTGGTGTTGCTTAGGAAGAAAATGTTATATATATTAGTTGAATAGTGCTGTGAAGGATTTTAGACTGGAAAATCAAACATACTGATGCTTCTAGGCCATGGTTGAATCATGAGAATATCCATTAGGGTTCCCTAACAATTTTCACCATATAGGATAAAATTGGATCTGGCTATGACCATCCTATATTCATAATTTGCTACTGTTTGGTATGTCTTGGTGGATAAAATACTTTTTGTACTGATGAAACTTTATGTGATTCAGAAGTTCTGTGTGAATTCCCTCCAAAATCTGTGCAATTGAAACTTCCTTTTGCCATTCAACCGTGGATTGATTCAGAGGAAAATGTTGGGAATCTCTTCATGGTAGGGATTTTTGGATCCAATTCTATTGGTCTGTTTCCCCTCTTATTATCCGTTTCTCTTTTGGAATGAGAGTAGTTGGTTTCAGTTCTTGCATTGCACTAATTTATTGAATGATCATTGTTGGCTTTCCAGGTTTGGAAATTCTGTGTCACATTTGCCGATATTCTTGGGCTTTGGCCTTTCACCCTTGATGAATTCATACAAGCTTTACATGACCCGGTAAGCTGCAGATATATTTGAAATTTGTTATGACATGTCATCTCCTCTCAATAATAAAAATTGCTTGACTACAAAAGCATGGATATGTTATTTCCATATTCCCATTCCCAGTTATTTTGTTTCCTTCAATTAAATCAAAGAATGTGTGGGTTGATACTTTTGCTCCACAGGATTCAAGGCTGCTTGGTGAGATACATATTGCTGTTCTTAAACTTATTGTAACAGATATCGAAGATGTTGTAAGGACACCTTCAGGCGGGCCGGGCACAAATCAATACAGTGCTTTCAATCCTGAAGGTGGACATCCTCATATTGTTGAAGGGGTAATTACTCCATCTTAATTCAATGCCCTTCACTTTCTCTTCTATGACACTATCTAATATCTGTTGCTATGTATATTTTCCATTTCTGTAACAGGCATATACATGGGGTTTTAACATAAGAAACTGGCAGAGGCATTTGAATCCATTGACATGGCCTGAAATATTGAGGCAGTTTGCACTCTCTGCTGGTTTTGGACCACAGTTGAAGAAAAAAGGCAGTGATCAAGGTTCCCAAAATTATAAAGAGGAGGTACCTTGTTTTCTGTTTTATCTGATCTAAGAGGTTCCAATTATGAATGTTCTGTGATAAAAAATGTCTTGATATGTAACTTTTTCATCTCATGACCCCCTAGAGTGGTCGTGGCTCAAATATATCTTTTCTGCTAGATATCAAGACTCCTTAGCCATAACTTGATTTTTTCAATCCATTATAATAATGTTGACACTGATATATGTGATTATTCAACCCATGATCTCTAGTTTTTGAAATTTTATCACTTCATCACCATGATTACTGCACTTGTTGTCTTTCAGAGAGGTTGTGAGGATATTGTGTCCACTCTGCGGAATGGTTCAGCAGCTGTGAGTGCAGTTGCAATGATGCAAGAAAAAGGATTGTCCCTACAACGCAGGTCAAGACACAGATTAACTCCTGGGACTGTTAAATATGCTGCTTATCATGTTCTTGCTCTTGAAGGAAGCAAAGGACTAAATGTCATTGAACTTGCTGAGAAGATTCAAGTAAGTATTAGGTAGAAAACTGTAGTCTGGTTACATCCAACTATGTCTAAGTTTGTTTATTTTGTAGAAATCGGGGCTTCGTGACTTGTCAACCAGCAAGACTCCAGAGGCTTCTATATCTGTTGCTTTGTCAAGGGATCCAATACTTTTTGAAAGAATTGCTCCATCAACATACTGTGTACGACCAGCTTTTAGGAAGGATCCTTCTGATGCTGAATCAGTCATTGCAGCAGCCAAAGAGAAGATACTGCGATATGCAAATGGTTTTCTAGCTGGTCAAAATGCTGATGAGGAAGAAAGAGATGATGATGATTCAGACAGTGATGTTGCTGATGGCACCGAAGCTGATGCTTTGGCCACCCCATTGAACACCAACAAAATTGATGAACCAAATGAACTTGACTCTTGCTTACGGAATGACAAAGAAAAACCCTCTGATGATGTTGATCTGAAAAATGAAATTTGTTCCGCTGGTAAGAATGGCTTGCTTCCTTTCACATTTCTACTTGATTTTGCTTTACTTATCAATAGCTGTGTCTAATCAAATAATTGTTCTTCTGAAGATAATGGGGATGGAATTTCCCAGAAAGGTGTTGAAATTGATGAGAGCAAATCAGGCGAACCCTGGGTCCAAGGGCTGACGGAAGGTGATTATTCTGATTTATCTGTTGAGGAGCGTCTGAATGCCCTAGTGGCATTGATTGGAATTGCAAATGAGGGAAACGCAATTCGTCTAATTCTTGAGGTCTGACTTTCTAGTGGTGGTTGTTAAATTTGATAAATGGAGATTGTTACAATCTGAAGTGCTGTCTAACAAAATACATTGTCTCAGGATCGGATGGATTCTGCCAACACACTTAAAAAGCAGATGTGGGCTGAAGCACAGGTAGACAAAAGGCGAATGCGAGAAGAATTTATTAGCAAGTATTGTGATACTTCTTCCAATGTTGGAGCAGAGAGGGGTTTAAGTCCACTAGAAAATAAGATTTATGATCCATCATCAGCCCTTTTAGAGAAAGACAAATCCTCTGCTGTGGCTGAGGATGTTAGAAACAGTGTCGAGAATCCACCTCAGGACCCATCAATGGGTCATTTCATCTCTGCACCTCAACAGAATGGACATACAACAGAGAGGTCACGATTGCAACTAAAATCTTATATAGGCCAAAGAGCAGAAGAACTGTATGTGTACAGGTCCTTGCCTTTGGGCCAAGATAGAAGGAGAAACCGTTACTGGTACTTTGTGGCTACAGCTTCTTGCCTAGACAGTGGTGCAGGTAGAATCTTTGTAGAATCACCAAATGGCCACTGGAGACTTCTTGATTCTGAGGAGGTAGGCAACGCATATTAAATGTTTTACCAAACTTTTTGCTTTCAGGTTTTGACCTATGGATGTGTATAGGGTTTTATGTTTCCCTAGTTTTCCTTTTGGGGGAAAAATTAATGAGATTGATGACGGGGTTAAACTATGCGAGGATCAAATTAAACTATGATCCATAAATATGATGATTTAATTATCATGTTCAGCCTTTGGGATGAAGTTCACTGTCTTCTAATGCTTTTTGTCTGGGCATAAAAATTAAAATCATGTTTAATTATCCTAAAAGTGTTATATGCCCTCTATCATGTTCTGCAGTACATAGAATATACAGATACTTTGCATAATGTTCATCCATTTGTCATTGTCTCTTGTTATTATTGCTTCTATTCTTGGCAAATCATGAATTATCTAATTTGATTTAGTTTTATGTTCGGACTTGTGCTCTCGGTGCTAAATTTATTCACTGTGCAGGCATTTGATACTCTTTTGACATCTTTGGACACCCGGGGTACTAGAGAATCTCATATGCATATTATGTTTCAAAGGGCTGAAGCTTGCTTCAAGGAATTTGTTCGAAGAAATCGCTTAGTCTCTAATAGTTTGGACCATAACAGAAACAAGGACCAACAAGAAACAGATCAAAGAAATTGTAGTTTTGCTGGCCCCAGTGTTGAGAGTCCTGGCAGTGCAGTATGCAGTTCAAACTCTGATGTTTGTGACCCATCACAATCATTTAGAATCGAAATTGGAAGGAATGAGGTAGAGAAAAATAATCTCTTGAAGAGGTATGGAGATTTACGAACTTGGATGTGGAAGCAATGCTTCAAATCGTCAATTATCTGTGCCATGACATTTGGAGAGAAAAGGTGTTTGCCAGTGTTGGAAATCTGTGAGTTTTGCCTTAATACTTATGATGCTAGTAAAGTTACTTGTCCTTATTGCAATCGAAATGAAAGCTCAAGCTCTTCTCCCCTGAGAGTTGGTTTGATCAAAGCCGTGCTTACTTTACTCGAGGTATTGTTACAGAGCGCCTTAACAATTATTTGTCGTACACACTTCTTCACATGCCGTATCCTGTTCTGTTAGTAATTTATCGTAACTACATACAACAGGCTTCCATTCCCTTTGAGGCTCTCCATTCTTCCTGGACTGATGACCGAAGAAAATCTTGGGGCCTCGAGCTGCAGAATTGTTCTTCCATTGAGGGTCTTCTACAGGTTCTCACTGAGCAGAAATGCTTAAGAATAATCTTTTAGATATATGAACTGTACCATAGTAAATGCGCTTATAGTTTTTCCATGGTTCCTTTATTTTTTTTATGGATCATTGGTTGAGAGATCCGACTAAACAAGTGCTCTGCAACTTTCAACAGATAGTGACACAGTTTGAGCATGCCATTAAGCGTGATTATCTGTCGGCGGATTTTGAAACAACGGAAGAACTATTGTGCTATTCGGATGCAACTGGACGTGCTACTAGTGATTTTACCCACAGCGAATCTCTCCCTCAACTTCCTTGGGTGCCAAAAACCAGCGCTGCTGCTGCTCTGCGGCTGTTTGAGCTTGATACGGCTATTTTTTACACCTCAAAGCAGAAGTCTGAGTCTCAAGATGAAAAGAAAATGGAAGCTCTACCAGCTGAGTGTCACCTTCCTCTCTCCATTCCCTAAACCCACACACTGCACACAATCTTATATGAACTCAACTTATAGGAAAGCAAGAAAGTATCTTTTCATTGATTCTATGCGCAGGATTTAATTTGGAGTATTTTGCCTATAAGAGGTTGTGGTAGCTTATTGCTAATCCCAAAATAACCAAATTGGTATTTATGCATGAAGTTAGAGGACATTCTGTTGACCCCAGCCTTCTAAACTTATTTTCGTCTGCCTGCAGGAATCTGCCCAACGGTATAGTTACACAAAGGACATCCAAAAGGCTGAATCTATGGAGCTTGATAGGCGTGGTTCTCTGAAGGGGGAAGGGTGGGATACTCGTCACGGCACTCCTGGCAGCTCTGGTTACAGGCAAGTCCCTCGTGCTCGAGGTGGGCGCCCGCGTGGAAAGGCTCAGAAAATGTTCAAGGGATCAACATCACAATCCAGCAAACGGAGTTTGAAAATTCCCCGGAAGCAGGATGCAAGATCTACCGGACAGAAGATAGGGCGCGGTCCCAGAACTCTGCGGAAGAGGAGAATAGATAAGAAATTCCTCGCAGAGATTCCACAGGACGACCTACAAGATGCAGGCACCTTTGGGAATGTTGAAGAGGAGCCAAGAAATTCAAGCAGAGAGGATGTAGATAACTTTAGCCCTCCAAATATTGTTGCTGGAAATGACAACAGCAGCGACAGCATGGAAGAATCCGGCGATCTGGATGACAATAACAATGCGAATGAGAATCTATACAGGTACGAAAATTGGGGAGGAGCAGCAACTTTTGATGCGAATTCAAATAGAAGCAGTGAGATGATGGAGGAAGTTAGTGAAGAGGAAGATTGTGAAAATGGCTACGCCGACGGGAACATGGAGGCAGTAGACATGGAAAGCAACGGCTACCCTTCAGACAGGGTCGAAGGGAACCAGGAGGATGACGACATTGACAACGACGAATCGTCACAATCAATAGCTTCAAGGGATTACAGTGACTAAAGAAGCTCACAGAATTTTGGAGAAGAAAATAATCAAAAGGCTCGATCTTATACAAAAATTATATATATGACTGCAAGCATAGCATTAATGTTGTCTAATTCTTCAGCTTACATTCATATTTCCTCCTCTAGGGTCTGAGAGGGAAAAAAAATGAACCTGTCATTTGATTGCAATTTGATCTTATCATTTAGGACAATGTGATTTCGTGTACAATGTTGCAGAAAGAATCTTATATTCTCTCCCATGGCCAATAGGCCTAAAGGCATTGAGCAAAACTATACAAGAAAGAAAGACAAAATGCAGGCAGCAATGGAACAAGATGATACACACACTTCTTCAGCCCTATGCAGACAACAGTTTCTTGATCCCGGATTTCTGTTCCGGCGTCAAACTAGTGGGGAACTTTATGTTAAACTTGATCAGAAGATTCCCCCTCATTGTCGGCTCTGTAGGAAACGGCATCCCTTCATCCGGCACCGTCACCGCATAAGTCGGATCGATCACGCCACTGATGCGTTTAGTTAATTTCCTTCCATCGAGCGTAGTTAGATGGACCGTGCACCCTGTCAATGCCTCGGCCAGCGACACCTCCTGCGTGAAGTAAAGATTCTTGTCGTCACGTGTGAACACGCCGTGTGGCTTCTCATCGATTATGAACACCAAATCTGATGGAATTTCATTCGGCTGCTCATTCCCTTTTTCTTCGAATATGATCTTTGTCCCCTTATTACAGCCTGGTATAACGTCAATGGTGAGAGTCTCGTCCACCGTTATGGTCTTCCTGCACACATTAGAGATCATGATCGTCAATTTCTTACACATCTCACCAGCTGTTAGAATTAGAAACCTGAATTGGATTTCTTTCTTACTTACCCACTGGCATCACAAATCAGTCTGGAAATCTTCATCTTCTTCGTAGTTCCCTTGTACAGCTCTTCCAAGCTGCACGGCAGCTTCTGCTCAATCGGCGGGGCCTTCCTCAGGGCCGAGCCGCCGACCGGTCGGCTGTCTCCGAAGGAGCTGAGGATGTCATCCCCAAACATCGAACCGCCGGAAAATGTGGAACCACCGCTGGCGCCGGCGCCGGCGCTGCCGCCCATTCCTCCTAATGGGATCGAGAATCCAAAGAACTCTGCAAAGATGTCTTCAGCATTCTTGAATCTGAACACATTTGGAACACCCCCTGTCTGGAAGAAGGTTGCGCCGCCAGGCCGGCCGCCGGACGGCGGCGGAACTTGCCCTCTTAAACCTTCCTCGCCGTACTGATCGTAAACTGCTCTTTTCTGGGGATCACTTAGAACCTGCAAAAGAATCAGAAAAGAATTGAATGAATGACGACATTTCCATTGTTGCTAAAACCCTACAGGCTCAAATTTCTTCAATTCAATTAGTGGTTACAGACATTCGTTAACCCCAAAAAAATGTGAAATCGATTCATTAAGCGATTCAAATTCCAATTTCGCCGTTACATCAACATGAACAAGAAAGCAAGGATTGTAAAAAAATCCATACATCGTAAGCTTCAGAAATCTGTTTGAAATTGGCCTCAGCTTCCTTCTTGTTGTCAGGATTTTTATCAGGATGCCACTTCAACGCCATTTTCCTGTAAGCCTTCTTCAATTCATCGTCTTTAGCATTCTTGTCCACCTGCAATATGTTGTAGTAATCCACACCCATCTTCTTCTACTCAAATCAATCGATCGATCGATCGTCGTGAGCAATCAGTCGGTTGATTTTATGGCGGAGGTGGAGTTGCGGGAAGGGAACCGAAAAGGGGCGGCGGAGATATATGTCTGGTAATCAGTTGGGCATGTTCTAGAAAACCGTCGAACTTTCCAGATCTTTACTCGCCGATGGTTTCCCCCATTTTTGTAGTAAATAGCTAATATGAAATCATTCTCATTCTCGTTCTCATCATCCATGCAGAATAAATTCTTGAAATATTTTCTGGGCCGAACTTTACAATGGGCTCATGAGATTTCATCAAAATGTGGGCTTTTAGCTTTGAGGCCCAAATTCAAAATATAAGCAAGGCCCGCTTTGTTGAGCCCAATATTTAAATCCAATTCTTCCATTTAATTGGCAAACATTAACAAAACAATTTGGTGAAACCTACAAATTTGGATTCCGCCAATCACGCAAGAAAAAGGACAAAAAAGGTGTTGACAAAAGAAAACAGACAGACAACATTTATCAATTGGTCAAACAGAAAGCTAACATAACAAAAAACCCTTAATCAATCCTCATTTCTTGGATTTGGTTGACTTTAAATTGCTGCAACAACAACCAGCCAGCTCCAGTGCACTATAATTATTTCAATTTCAGATATAAAAAAATAAAACCCTTCAATCGAAATTTCTTATGGGGACAGAAGAAATTACTAACATTTACATTCGCCCACATTCAATAATTAATCTTGAAATGCAGTAAGTACTATTATTGTTATTGTTGAGATAATTTACAAAGACACATGCATGCATGATGCATGTCACCACCAGCAACAATTGAAAAAGGGTTGCTGAAAATTTATTACAAAATTATGTGCGTTGTTTGTTTGGCAAAAAAAAATTGAAGGGGCATTGAAGACCACCCAAAATTATATAAAACGTAACTGCTCATATATTGGAGATTGGGAAATAATTTAAATTAAGATTTGAATGCCACGGAAAAGTTATGGTTGCAAACATTTAATACAATGGAGAAAAGCCAAGGAAGTACGTTACAATATTTCAACCACATTAGGTGATGGAAGATTTATTATTTATTATTAATTAATTAATTATTTTACCTGCCCTACCCTAACATTATGGTCTCATTGTCATATTGATTCTTCCCTTTTTATTTGTGCAATACACAAGAACAGGGAACTACTTGTCATGCCTTGCCTTACATGATATGTCATTACAAATTTACATTCAATGTTAAGAGTATGGGACTCTTTTCATCTTATTAGCATCCCCAATTATGGTTTAATCCATATTCTTACTATATATATATAATATGTAATGAAATGAAAATGTTGATGGGGGGGGGGGGGGGGGACCCATCATGGTGTGGATAGTAGATAGGCATGCAATTTGTGATCAAGTCTAAAATATTTTTGAGAATTTGTGGGCACATGCATGCTTGCTTGCTTGCTTTAGTGCACTCAATGGCAAGACTCAATAATAATAATAATAATATTTTCATGTCCCACCCACCCACAATCCACGCATAATCAACCGCTCATACACTTTTTGCATTTTGGTTTTCCATTCCACTAATGTGTATGTATGTGTATATACTCATTTATTGAATTTTTCCCATTAGTGGGTGGTGTGACCATTTTATTCAAGAGGAAGTTGGATGCAGTTTAGTTTTTTTTAAAAATTTTGAATAAATATTGGGGCCTCTGATTTTGGTTACAGATGATGGCCTCACCCCACTGACTAAAAACCCTTCTAGAACTAATTATCATTATTGTTCACCATTACTACACAACTTTGTTAATCTCCTTGAGGGAGCGGTGCCCGGGAGTTCGACGCCAGGTCGCATAAAGTAGTGCAACAAACGCGGAAATGGATCCGAGATCCATGGACCTCCCAAGAACCACAACCCCCCACTTCAAAATAAACCACAATTTCAATTAGAGCCAAAACGACCCATCTTCCTAAATCTCATTTACGAGCTGATGGGACCCAATTTTCACCCATTCATGTCCCCATTGGCACCATGTAAGTTGACACTAATTTCTTGGCACTAACCCCTAATCCACCCCCCCCAAGACCCTCTATAAAATGACACATATCTCAAGACTCCCACTACACTACACTATACACACTCCACTCCACTAACGCATAATCTCATCATCTTCTTCTTCCTTATCCCTCCAATGGCTTCCCCCGCCAGCCAAATCCCCTTCTTCTTCTTCTTCTTCTTCATCCTTTTCACTCTGTTACCCTCTTACACTCAAGCAAGAGACAGCCAATTGTTCAACAAACTCCCAAGCACCACCAACAATGACGTTGTCCCTACCCAAAACCAGCCCGATTTCATCCCCGACACTGAAAACAGCTACGGTCTCTACGGCCACGAGTCCGGCCAACTCCCGCCGTCCACCACCACCGCCACTCCACAATTCACCGAATCCGATCAACAGCAGCAGCCGCCGCGCAAGTACCTCCCCAAGAACTACAACCCCGTCGCCTACGTTACCCAGCCGGAAGAGATAAACGACAGCGTTTCAATTCCTAATGAAGAGAAAACCTTCCCCGTAAACCCTAATGGCTTCCCCGTGAACCCTAATGAAGAGAAAACCTTCCCCGTAAACCCTAATGGCTTCCCCTTGAACCCTAATGAAGAAAAAACCTTCTCCGTAAACACTGACAGTTACAATGGTGCCGCCGAACACAACTTCTACAACCCCCAGCAGGATGAAGACGACTCCGCCTACAGAAACTACGCCGCCACCACCTCCGCCGCCGCCGCAGAGGGAAATAATAACGATTTCTACTACAATGGCGGGAACAGCTTCAACAGCGAGCCGCAGAGCCGCCGCGGAAACTACCCCAACGGCGGTTTCCAGCCGAGCGACACCAGTTTCAACAGCCGCGAAAACTATTTCAACGGCGGATTCCAGCCGCAGGGGATGAGCGACACCAGATTCATCGAAAACGGAAAGTATTTCTACGATCTCAATTCCCAGAAGTACAGCAGCAATCACCCCTACGAAAGCCTCAAGGGTGCCCGACCGACGGCGACCGGATATACTGGCAGCTTTGGCGGCGCCGATTGGGACCGGGAAAACATTAACGGCGGATTTCCCTGAAACGCCTCTGGTTGAATTGGGAAAAGATAATTTAGGGCAATCTCCATTGATGTGTTACATGAAGGTTCTTCTCAGTTCTGTTACTGCCGTTTAATTTATTATTGAAAAAAAAAAAAAAAACATTGATCGATGGAGTGATACAAAATATATATGACTTAAGTATGTCCTGTTTTTAAAATTTTGTGCTTTTTGCATTTAAATTTGTTTAAATTATTATTTTTTTAAATCTTTCTATATTGTACTTTGTGAGCAGTGTGACAAAAATAATCAATATTGAATAAATGTATATTAATTTTATATTATAGTACATGATGAGTAACACTATGGGACTATTTCACCATTTGTAATAATTATTAAGTTCAATGGTGAGCATAATTATGATCCCAAGCATTGCTTTTTTATAAAAATAGAAAATAAATTGATAGTGTGACAGACCCACAAAGAAGTGCAATTATTAAAATAATAATTTGGTTAGGGTTAATGTCCAAATTACAGATGGTAGAATCTTGTCCTTGGATCTAGTTGGCAATGGATTAGACAAAATACAACATAGGAGTATAATTAAATTAATTTTGGTACAAACTACTAAGAACCCTAATTTTTAGGGTCTTTATTCTTTAATTTGTTGTGATAAGAGTAGTCAATAAAGTTAAAGGTAGAACAAGTATTCTTATTATAGAAACATGTTTATGTGTATTTCAGTGTCTTTAAAATGAGTATTCTTCTGCTTTAAAAAGTAAAAGATGTGTTCCTCCTTTCTCTAAATAAATACTATTCTTTTTGGTCTCTTCCTCTGTTTTCATTTTTTGGTCAAGGAAAAAATAAACTTGTGTAAGGGCAGTTGATTGTTTTCAAATGAAGGTTGGAACATAGGAAAAAAAAAAAAAAAGAAGAATAAGTCACTTGAAAATCAATATAAAAATTAGAATTTATTTTTGAGTGGGTTGATTTTGTTTTTCCAAATGTTATGCTATAAATAATGTACATACAATTTACATGCAACAATGAAAGTGATTGAATGTAACTTATGACCGAAAATTATACACACACGTTAAAAAGCGTAACGATTTAATCGTAAATGCAAATAAATGCATGGGTTGATTCGATTTCCATTTCTTGAAGTGAATTGAATCAAAGATCCCCCACAAATTTATTTATTGTTATTAAATTAAGTAACGTTACCCACTTAATCCGACGGTCACTAATCCACATGATTTTGCTATCAAGCATTCAATCAAATCAAATCAAATTAAATTAAATTATATTAAATGTTGTAAATGGAGTTACATAAGTCATTTTCAAGGCGGATGCAGATTTGGGGCAGGAGAGGAGGGACTGACCGTGTGGTTGGAGTGCCTATTTCAACTACCCTAATTGCCCGGGAAAAATAAAAAATATAATTAATGAAAGAACTGTCCAAAGGCAAAAGTAACACTTTCTTTTTCTATTTAATTTACTCTTACCCTGAAAAGCATAGAATTAAATAAAGGTGGCGGTCGGATCCTTCCGCAACTGACGTGGCCGCCCCGTTTTTCTGTTCTCTGTTATGAAAAAGAAGTATTTATAAATTGTGAAAATGATATTTAAAAATACATGTATATATATACCCTTAATTATGCCATATATCTAGGCTTTCATATTTCACATATTTCTTCAAAAAAAATTTTATTGAATTAGGACCTCGTCTGGTCTGGTCTGGTCTGTCCCAATTGCAGCAGATGATGGAATGCTGTCCTAAACTTGGAATGGTTGGTAATGATAAATAGATAGAGATGGATGTGGGAGACAAATTTAGAAAATGGTCAGCTGGACTGCTCATCCTTCATCATTGCTTCAACCACATCATGTCCTACTACTACTTCATCCCCCGCTTAACCATGAATACCTATTTACTATAACCATGAAAATGCGTCAATTTATTAAATTCCCAGTAGGGCACGTCTGCTCTTCTAATGCTACTTTTTTTCCTATTGAAATCACAATAAAATCTTGGAAGAAACCATATTGGTGGAAGAGACAATGACATGCAAAAACAAAATAACGAAATGTAAAACACATGATTCCAAGAATGAGACAGTAACAAGTAAAAGATAAGGAGACTAAGGATATTTGGGCAAAAGTCCACAGGCAAACTCAAATATTTTACTTCTCCACATTCAAGCCATGCAGGGTAAGAACCAAGAGCAGTATTTTCTATACACCAACAATTAAACCCAAAATTAGTTTAGTACTATCACAATTTCACCTTAATGCCAAAAAACAAACTAATTAGCGAAATCAGTGCACCAGATTCCAATAGCATAAAGTTAATTGAATTCACCCAATACCATCCATCAACAGCTCCAGCATGCTCAAGATTCTTCAACAACATTGACCAACTCGTACTCTACAAGGGATAAGTTGTTATCCTCTTTCACCACAAATTTTGCTGGTTCAGTAACTTCTATGCGACCCCATTTGTCCACCGCTAGCCTCATGGACCCCTTGAACATGTCGATCTTTGCATTCCGTAATATCACAGTGTTACCTGGCTGCATCATGTCAACTGCATCGAACAAAAATGCTTATTATATTAGACTACAAGTAATTAATTATCAACCCACAATATCGCCCAAGCACACAGAGGAGAATATGATGTATTTATACATAGAAGTTGAAAATAATCCAACATGGTATTTGAAACAGTTTGGAAAGTCTAGTGAGTCTACTTTGACGTAGAAAGAATGAAAACAATAACTCAAGTATTATGAACAGAAGATTTATTTGAAGAAATAGGTCCGGTCGGTGGATAGAATTCCCGTAACCGCCTGCTTGTTAGTAAAAGGAATGCTATTTCAATGGAATCCTTTCAATTTTGAATTTCTTCTCCAATAAGAGAAATAGCAGAGAAAAAAAGATGTACTGAGGAAAAGAAATAGAAGATAGGAATAGAATCTCAGACAACTAGACAAACAAAGAGAGAGAGAAAAAAAAAACGAAGAAAAAAAAAAAGAGAATTCTAAAAGCAAAATAATGAGAATTTTTTCATGCATAGGTCCCATACTGTAGGCTCCAAATGCATCAACATGCATGATTAACAAACGATGCAACCATCACAGCCACCTTACATTGTGAATGAGTAACATTCTTAGTTGCAACTTCGCCATTTGCCATTATCTCAGCAAACCAGAAACATTGATTATACATCAATCATATATACATCTTAGTCACTTCAACGATCGCCTAAAGCTTTCAAGTGATTGCCCAAACTTAAAAGCTGAGTATTATGAAAGACCTCAGGTTAAGCTTCTATTAAATATACACTAATCACACCCACCACATTACTCGATGACAAACTACAGATTGTAACATGGAGAAATGCCAAAATGGTCCCATCATTTATTGAATATTCCATGCGACACAAAAATGAATTAAGTTAATCACAGCAAGCATAAACTTGTAAAAAAAACTAGCTCCTATGCCGAAATCGTCCTACCATTTTGCAGTTTTCAAGTTATTTCCCAAACTTATAAGCTGAGTTTCCTGAAAGAACTCAGCCGAAGCTTCTATTAAATATACATCAACCACACACACTACATTACTCAATGACAACTACAACTTTCAACATTGCAAAATAGTGTAAATTAACCAGCGCATACAGAAACTCATAAAAATATTAACTACCACATTGACATTTTAACATTGCCACAGCTAATCACATGTATATGTTTTTCCTAAAGGCATAAAACTTCAAATAAAAAACATCTGTTAGATACCATCGACAGACTTCGAAGAATTTCATAACAAAGTTGTGAAGTTGAAGTACGAAGACACATGCAGGGCATCCATTTGTTTACTCAATCCATACAAAATCAGAACATTGACATTATTCTATTTAAGGATAGCCACCAAACTATCTAACGATCTCCAGATAAACCAAAACAATTCTATAGCAACGTATTTCAAGAAGAGGCGTGCAAAACACTCTACTCAGACAAACTAAAAAACAGCAACGACCAAGAAATCATGCGTGCAACCCAAAAAATTAAATAACAAAAATGACGGACCTTGGTCGTTGCGTGCGGTGAAGAGGATAGTCCCCGTTTCATCGCCGATGAGGCATTCCGCAATCTTCGTATTCTGGTTCTGAGGACCACGAAAAGTCGGATTGCGCGGCTTCTTGTTCAGAACAGTAGTTGCGTTCACTACTTTCACCACCAGCGTGTGCCCATTCGTACCCGGTTTCAGTGACTCCACTTTGACGAACACCGGCTTCCTCAGTCCGGGCTTGCTCTCCACAGCGCCACCGTGCTGCTGAGTTGTCGACGGGGATTTGCTTGCCATCGTCGTCGGGAGATGGATGAAACGAGGTACGCGAAGAGCGAGGACGGAGGTTTTAGTACGATTTTGGGAGGGCAGACGAATCGACGAAACCCTAACCCTAACCCTAAAATCGATTCTGTGGATATTCGTAACCTATCCACTGATTCAGTAGTGGGTCGTTAAATGAATAGGGCCCAATTCTTGGCGAGCATTCGAAATACATTTATTTGGGCCGGCCCAATTCTTATCCTCCATACATCGTAAAATTCTAAAATTGCTACCAAACAAACAGAATCCGACCAACCGCATATGGGCGGCGGCGGTATGCACCGCCGTAATAAACAAACAAATAAATATCATTATCCGACAACTTCGTCACAATAATAGAGGTTTTACTTTTTGGAAAATCATTTTCTAGAATAATAATTGTAACTACCAATGGCTAGCCACATATTATTAAAAACAATTATTATATTAATATAAGTATTATTCACCTGCCCTGGTTAAATTCATTTATGCACTCGTGGTGGCCAGGATTACGTTAATTAAGTATAAGATAAGAAATAGTCTAACAGAAGTTGATCGTGGAGAATGGCACCCAAATATGTACGGTACGGCATTATTAAACGAATTTAGAAAAAGAATGATCCCAAAACAATACTGTAAAGACTATTAGTATATGATATGAAGTCCACGTCATGCCAGTTAGACTCCCACGGCACCCACAGACCGCAGTTATCCTTTTATCAAAATATATATATACATACAGAGAGAGAGAGAGAGAGAGAGAGAGAGAGAGCCACAGAGGTGCAGAGCGAAGGGAAGACGCCGTTTGATTTGGATTTGGTGTGTGGATTCGGATTCGATTTACGAGTTGGAAGTTGGAAGTGGAATTTGTTGAGTTAGAGAGAGGGTAAGAGGAAAGGATGCTGGAGTTTTTCGTGCTTGGGTGTGCAGGAATCGTGGTGTTTCTCCACGGGGTCAATTTCTTCTTCCACGCCTTGGCTTCCAATCTCGCGATGCGCCATGTCAGGTTTGATTTGAACTCAGATCTTCTGATTCTGTGCAATTGAGGAGGAGAGGATGATCACGATTTGAAATCAAAGAATTCTGATTCAATTTTGGTTAATTTCTTTTGCATTCATACCATTCTTCTTCTTCTTCTTCATCTTCTTCTATTGCGATTCTTACTATGGGTAATTCTGGTTGGTGTGGTGCTACTGGTCCACTTTGCTGAGACCATTTTCTACACAGTTTGGTAGCAGTTGGCCCTAATTTTACTAGGGATCTTAAGGCTGTCTGTCTTTACCAGTAGCAGTAATGGTGGACAAGAACTGAATTTGTTGTACAATTTGTGTTCTGCAACAGTTTCTTGGGAGTGGCTGCTGCTTGGTGAATGATGCCAACCAATAATTCAAATGAGAGGGAGGAGACAACACATTCCTGCCACTCCCCTTGTAAATATATATTTTTATATATATGTATGTATCAAGATTAGCTTATATCAATGATCAAGGCAAATCTTGCCCATCTGTGTAGCTTGAGAGTATTGTTCTGCTGTGCTATGGCCAATCACCAATGGTGAATTTGATAATGAAACCAAATTTGACAAAAACATTTCGTACCTAGTGAAAGAAGAATAGTATATATATATATATATATATAGACAGACACGTACATACAACAAATGAATAATGCATTGGCATTCAATTCAGTGCTAACCTCACCTTCTTCACATTAACAAAGACTCATCTGAAACAATAGTTAACAATGAGTATTTCACCTTAATCCGAATCATACCATTCTCGACGCAAAGTTTTGCGCCCGTGACCACCCAATACCCCGGCGGATCTTCAGGGCCTCTCACCATTTCCTTCGTGTCGACAAAATGGGACATCTTAGGAGCCCGTGCAGGCGATGGAGGTCCTCCCGGGTAAACAGCTGAGTTTAAATCCACCTTTACGGGTTTCTCGGGTTGGTTCAGAGCTGAGCTGAAGGGTGTGCTCATCAGTATCGAGATTAACCCGGATTTCTTAGACAGACTTGTTGGCCCGTCCCATTCAGAACGGCGAATTATGGCTGATGCTACCATTGAGAACCCGAGTCTAAGGAAAAGGACCTTTTTCATGCCAAGGACCTTGACCTCAAACCAGGCCTTTGTCACGATGGAGGCTGAGTCATCGATCCGTGTTCCATGGTACTCAACAGGGGCAGTGCATATATGCGAGAATATGCTCCACTTGACAGGTTCAAAGTACCCTCGGTCTACAGACTCGTCGTGTGGCTCATAGCTGTGGTCGGGTGAGAGTTGAAGAGAATCTGGTAGACTCGACAGGTGCTGCAGATGGATAGCCAAGTGATCGCTCCTCTTGCCTTCCAAATATAAGCGAATGCCTGTCACAGGCCGACTACCAGTATCAACCTGCAGATGATTGCCGTAGCAAGTATAAATATAAATGATGTTTTGCAATCTATAATCCTGGAAATCATTCATAAGATGATGTGAATTATGGAAAAAACAGAGTAAGCCATATTCACCTTTATGGTATTGACGTAAAGCTTAGGCCCCAATAAAGTGAACTGAAGAGATGGAGACGCTTTCTTCTTCCGGCGAGGGCCAAGAGGCAGATCATTGTATGCGGGAGCCCATTGGCGAGGTAATTGATACTCCAGGAACTGTGTGAGTTCCTCTAGAGGTGGTTTATCTGCAGTAACAATGCATCATTAGACATTCTAAGCTACTGAGTTAACATGAAAGTAAATATGTATATATATATCTGCAAGTACTGAAAAAGTTAACACTTATTTCAACTTCTAGCCATAAATATAAGGGAAGGAATATAAATTAATTGATCTTGATTGAACAAACTCACATCGTAAGTAGAGATTAATTGCATGGGTCAGGAAACCACTGCCTCGAATGCCACTTAGAAGGGATGCAATGGGGATGAAAGACATTGAGATGACATTGGGGTACTGTGATACCGTTGAAAGCCACTTTTTATGGCATTGGCCTTTATCGAAACCTCCTCTTCTGATGTGCACACTGAACAGATCCTGCATAAGTAATTGTTGATTCTTCGCTCAAGGAGAATGAATTCAAAGGATCGCCTTCGGACTACTTACATCATTTTTCGAGTGAGAAGCAACGGGTGCTCTTACAGAGCTTGCAAATGGTAGCTGAAGATCCCAGACCATGGATTGTTCAACCTATTAAGTTCAGAAACACAATAATAATCAATAATTGGCAGTAAATCATAGCACTAACTAACCATCCCAACCATAAAATAGAAGTTCGTGGCCAGCAAAGAAATTTAGTGTTTGATATGGATATAAGTACTAGCCAATGTGGCATTAATGTGAACATATATTGTACCTTCGACTTTCCAGAAGAAATATTAGAGCCAGGAATAGGACTCTCACTTTCATCTTCACAAAATTTTTCATCAGCTAATTGCTTCAATAGTTTCTGCACTTCAGTTGGCTGGAGATTTGAGTTACGAAGTTGCTTAATATGAATTACATCTTTACCTCCCATCTTAACACCAACTACCACATGAGTACCATATCTTTCTATAAACCTGAAATTTCAAGTCCGCAGCTTCAAATTAGAAACAACCTAATGAACATCAGAAATGCATGTTTAATGACACTGCATGATAGCCTATGATTCTACATGCATGTATATAAGTTGGATAAGCAGGATTTATGACCAAATTGTTTTTGAAATCTCAGAAGACTTCTCATTTTAAAAGTTTTGAGATGTATATTCATGACCAGATGATACAGACGAGTAAATAACCTTATGCTGGTTTGAAAGCAGAGAAAGAACGTGTTAATTAATCAGCCATCTTTGCTTTTAGTTTTAATGATACGACAGGCAAATGCATGAGATTAGAAACATAAAATTATAAGCCATCCTTGAGTGCATTTCGTGGAAATTGACTTCAGTTTAAAAGATAATGCAGCAGATAAAACTTTAAGGTTCCAGGAAAGGATCTAACTCGGCAAGTGCAGCAGGATCCCATGTCGGAGGCACTTCTTTCTTCAGTTTATTTGAGAGAGTTATTTGAGATCTTTCCAACTCAATTGTATATAAAGTAATGAACCAACCGTCCAAAGCAAGAATTTTTGCAGTGGATGCATCATTCTGCCAGCAACCCTTGAAACCGAACATTGCATTGAACATACCAGAAGGTATTTTACCAGATAAAGAGAGCTCATGATTAAAATGCTCCGACATCTGAACACAATGGAAGCATAGTTAAAAGGGTTCAATATGTATTTCATGCGGCATTGTTTTGAAATTAACAGAAAGGATTAAATATAAATATATTTATTTGTGCAAGAATGAGAACAGGATTAGTTCTGCTTTTGCATCCTTGTTAACCCTTATGCTATTCTCCAAATGTCACATTCACTGAAATGATACAACTAGAAGTTGATGCTTTGGTAACCTATTGTAAAGGCTAGACTAACACCTAATGTGGTTGTGAATTCTACTGCATGTCTTACATATTCAAAGTTGTTTTCACGCTATTCACCAAAAATGCTTCCACCGAAAAATATGAACTTCATAACATATTTTTCATTTGAAATATTACATTAACATCTAATCACTATTCAAAACGTCATATCAAACGCCTTTTCATGTCACATGTAGTGCCTATTTTTTATTCAATTTTTGTAACACTCCTAAAACCAACCCAAAATACTTCCAAAACGTATTTAAACGCCACCCTGCATATTTGAATCATGCATGCATACTAAATACGTACATACATAGACATAACCATAGGCCATCATGTAAAGGCCTAAAACAAGTGATCAGATGTTCGAATGAGAATTGAAGAGATTTGGTGAAGTTGAAAGATGCTGCAGAGTACAGATGCATAGCCAAGTGATCGCTCCTCTTGCTTTCAAAAAATTATACATGTGGAAGGCCATGTCCTTGGTGGTCTATTTTGAACTTTCTGCCTAAAAATAGAGTGCATTCTAAGAATAAGGCTAACTATACAACATAGAGCAATAAACCTAATGAATAGAGCCTATACACCTGAACAATTTCCTCAATAATATTATATATATATATATATAATATTAGCATTTAGGAACTCCAGAGCAGCTCTGAATGGAGTTGAAACCAATATATTCACTTTAGCCACATACATGTTCAAACACAATAAGCACTACATGTATAACTCATATGTTTTTAACAGGGAATCCCACAGTGAATGTTTTGCCACATAATTCGAACTTCCAAAAATTGAACTATTAGACAACAATGGCAATGCAATTTACTTATATATATCTTCATTGAGATGGTAGACAGAGGGGCATCGAAATTTTAATCGACTAAGTGGGTAGTTAAATTTAGCAGTACCACTTCTGTCTAACTTTCAATCAATCTGTTTTAACTTACCCAACTTTTTCAATGTAGCAACTCCAACTAGTTGATGCATTTTTAAACAAGCAAACATCCTTTCATCCATTAGAATTCAAAGAAAGTAAAAGAGAACAAGTTTCTGACTAAGATTTCCGAGAAGATCATAGAAAAATTCAATAACTTTAAAAACAAAAAACCAAATTAAATTTTGCACGGGATTTACTTGAGCGAACGAGAGCGCATCCGAGCTAAACCTTGTGCGTTCGCCTTTATCGCACTTGATTGAAGCAGAAACATTTGGAACGAGAATGTTACCAGGAACAACTAAATCCTGACTAGTAGTCCGATCCAGCTCTATAAGAGCCGCGCCACTAGGACCAGGCTTGCAGGCCGACAATCGGATATCCGACGTCAGATCGTAGCCAAATCCGATCGCCGATACAGCCTTTTCGGCCGCCATCTGCGCGTCCATCCGAACATTATACGCCATTGAAGCTTCGATAACTCAGGCTTCAGTCCGTCCGCAAGCGCCTGCTTCGCTAAAAACGAAAACAAAAATAACTGGAGCAGGAGATATAATTGATTGTGGACGTTGACTCCATTCTTTCATTTCAGCAATTAATGATATGTGCAGAGCCACAGCAGAAGTCAATGACTAAAATACCCTTCCATTGCAGCGGGAAAGCTGAGGGTTATTTCGTCAATTCAGCGGATATACACTATTTTCAGTAACGCGTCTGATTTAGGAAATTTCATCAAAATAATTGGGAAAAGAACAGAGTTGAAAAATACATATATATATATATATACAACTCGACGTTACTGATACAATTTAATTCTATTCCTTGACTTAGTCCAAGTAATTATAAATTTATTTAAAAATAAAAACATAAGCTGTCATTTGGACTTAGGATGTTAAACAGAACCATAAAACAAGGAATTCTAATTAATCCCTTAATTAGGTATTCTCAACTGAAACGTGGACCTAAAGAGATCATCCACACAATTATGACTATTATTATTTTTATTTAATTTAAGATGAGATTTGAAAATTGAATTAATTAATTAATTTGTGGGTAAATAAGTAAATGCAATTTGTATTCCGTGTGGGGAACGTTGACTTAGACCGTTCAATCTGATGTGGTGTCTACGACTCCCGTCTCCCAATGTGAAAATACGAATGGCGGCTGGCGACTTTCTTTTTTTTTTTTTTTTTTTTGCCGCGCTGCCCAATTTGCCGGTTGCTTCACGCCATCAACGACGTCGTTTAGGGAGATATTTTTAATTAACTAATATATAACCTATAAATAATACTCTGTCCGTCCAAACTAAAAGTGTATATTTACTTTTGGCGCGGAGATTAAGAAATAATAGTATTTTAATTATAGTACGTAGGTAAAAATAGTGAAATGATATTTTTGCCCTTACTTTTTTGGTATAAAAGTAACGATGTGATGTAAAATATGGGTATTTGTGGAAAAAATAGAGTATTTAATGAAATGATTACTTTGTAATTGGACATCCCAAAATAGAAATATATATGCTTTTTAGCTGGACTGAGAGAGAAATAATAATAATAATAATAATAATAATAATAATAATAATAATAATAATATCTATATATACTTGGTTTGTTCCGCGTAATTTATTCTATATTTTATTTTGGTTCGTTCTACATAATTTTTTTAAATATAATTATATATTTTAATTATATTTTAAATTTTATGAATTTTAATTAAATTATTTAATTATCTTAATTTTTAATTATTTTTATTATACAATAATAATTTTTAGTAATATATTTTTTAAATTCAATTAATTACTTATTAATAGGATTTGTATAATAGCGTACATGGTATTGGCACATAGTGATAAGGCATACACCTTAAGTTTAAAATGACACGTTGTCTGTTTGTGTGACTGCGTCGTATCGTACTATCTGCAATAGTGAACATTCATTCCACATATGAGGGCATATTGGTCTTTTCGCCAAAGTGTAAAGCGTGGAAAATGCAGTGATGTGGCCGGTGATGTTATTTTCTGCAAATGTCAAGTCTGAAGGGTTTGATCCAAACAAGGTAGGTTTAGTGTTGGACCGCGACACCGACGGCCGGTCCGGCCGGCGGCCAGCTCGTGTTTCTTGCACTTCCGGCGAATTTCCACGCAGCCATTGTGGAAATTTCTCTGTCGGATTTTCACTTTATTTTGTTTAAGATATTCAGTAAGTAGTGAGGTTGTTTGTTTGAAGGATTAGATTTTTTTTAATATTTAAGAAAAATAGAAAATGGGTGGCAGTAAGCGCGTGCAATTTCAGATGCATGTAGTACAGTAACAGATCCACTTTATTCCAACACGCCGGCATTGACATCTGCTACGTGTCGGATTTCTAGTGGGTGATAGCACGCGGTTCACCGAAAGCGCGATTTTATGGGGTGTGGTAAAAAGCGTGTTACATCACTACACGCGATTATTCATTAATTTCTGGGATAATTTGGGGATACATGAATAATTTGTGAAGAATATTGAAATAAAATTGATGAAGAAAATACAACAAAGATATGTTGTGGGGGCGGGGAAAAGCTAATTACATCAATAATTAAATTTAATTTTAATCAATACATTGTAACGAATATTGAAATCAATAGAAGTGATAATTCGGAAATTGAAAAAAAAAAAAAAAAAAAAGGAATGGCGTAGATTGCAGATCATGGTACGACGAGGGGTCACGCAGAGATTATTACCTATCCAGCAGTTGGACTGTCCACGTACCCTATCGAGAGTGCCGCCAACAGACCCTATGGTGCCACGTAACCCTGTGGGCCCCAATAGGGGGGGCGGCTATGTACAATCTCAGCCTTCCCTGCAGTTCTATATATCTATGGCCATTTCTGATTGTCCGATCTGCGCCGGTATTGATTAATCGAGTGATTCCGACATAGGTAGGTGTTCGTATCATCGTTTTCGTACATGTGATGGCGTCGAGGGCTACGCCGGCGGGGAGGGAGGGGAATGGGAATGAGAGGCATTTCCGGGGAGTCAGGCGGCGGCCCTGGGGGCGGTACGCGGCGGAGATCAGAGATCCGAGGAAGAAGACGCGTGTCTGGCTGGGGACATTCGACACCGCCGAGGAGGCTGCTAGAGCCTACGACGACGCCGCCAGACAATTCCGGGGAGCCAAGGCGAAAACGAATTTCCCTCCTCTCGTCTTCGCCGGCAAGAGGACCGCCGATTTCTTCAATCCCAGCCCTAGCCAGAGTAGCACCGTCGAGTCATCCAGCCAGGACGGCGGTCCGCCGCCGCCGCCGCCGGCGGTGCAGGATTTGGCGGCGTTGCGCCTCACTCTCGGCCAACATCCGATGAGATCCGCGTTTCAAAGCCACGGCCTCCGGGCTTCCGGCGCCGGCGGAGGTATACCGGTGCCGGCGACGATGCTTCATCTCCGACCGGAATCCCGGCAGGAAATCGCCGACCTGATCAACCAAATGCGACGCGTGCCGGCGGAATCCAACGGCGGCGAGTCGCAGAGTGAATCCGACTCGTCGTCGGCCGTCGTGGACCTGCCGAAACCTCCTGCCGGCAAAGGCATCGATCTGGATCTCAACCTACCTCCACCGCCGGAGAGTCTCGCGCTTTCGCTTTAAATTGACTTCTAAATTTAGAATTATTACATTTATACCTTTTTGTTGGGACGGTAAGAGAAAGTTGGATGATTTGATTCGTTTTGTCCTTCGTTGAACGCTCGCCGTCGGCTAATGTGAATACTTGTAGCTTTATCTCCCTCCTGTTTGCGACGGCCGACTGAAAATATTCGCCGGAATTTCAGGCTGTTGTTAATTAATTAACTCCACCTTGTCGTGGTTCATATCATTTTTATTTTTATTTTTTTTTTTAAAAAAACACATCCGGCATAATCTCCACCAGTATTTCTGCTTTAAATTTTATTCACCGGAATAACTCGCCGGAAACTAACCGGGAATCGGAGCTACTCGGCGCTACTGTAAACCGCCTTGATTTTAACGCAGATACATTACGATTTCCGATTTATTAATTTATTGAAATTTGGATCATGAGATTAAATTAATTTTGTATAATATATGTCGGTTTGCACATGACACTCAATTCACATAAGAGGAAGAAATAAATTATGATGCTGTTAATTTTGGGACAAGAGCACTCAATTTCTAAGCTCAGATTCAATGATCCAAATGTCGTCGTACAGTAAGAACAATTATTTCTTCCTCTTAAACAGTCAATAGCTTATTATTCGAAAATACCTCAAATCCTGGTACAAAAGCACCGTCTGTTGACGGCTTTTGACGAATTATTGGAGCAGAAATTTCGTGCACGATTTTTAACGGCAGCCGACAGGTTAGGCACCGCAGTGATTCGACAACCGTCAACGCCGTCAGCCGCCGCAGAGAGGTGGACACGCAGCCAGCCGGCTATTAATACATACTAATTTAATTTTAATTATCATAACGTAAGACGGACGCCGCCGTTGACGCCGCTTAGCCGTTTGTCTCGATCCCGACAGCGTTACTGGATTGCGAATCATACGTACCATGGCCCATTTTGATTCTCCACACATACGCGTGCCACGTAACCCTCACTCTAGAATATCAAATCCATTCAATTTCCACTGTGCGCCTATTGCACCATAATTATAATAAAAATATAATAATAATAATAATAATTTAAAATTAAAATTAAAATTAAAATAAAAATAAATAAAAGCAAAATAATTAATATTATTAGTCATGATAACCTGTGTGGGCAGCCCCAAGAATCTGATAAGACTTGTGGCTGCCGCTGCCGAGTGATGACACGCTTTATTAGGTACAGACACGACTTATGTATTTTAATTAATTATAAGTATTTTTTAATTATTTTTAGTTGCCGGTCTCGTTACACAATTAAATTTTCCTGTTTTCGTTCAATTTTTTCCATGATGCAACTTCAATAAATCAAGGACATTACTTTACATGTGACACCACGACCAATTCAACATGTAATGATTATATTACGTACTATTTATGTAACTTTTGTAAAAATTTATTTATTTATATTTATGAAATGTGCAATACATGAATGAATTTATAAAACAATTAATAATGGCGTCTATTTTTAATCAATGCATCGTCGTTATTAAATAAACACAAGTCGTTATCTTCACTACACCATCTATACATGTGTTTCACGAAATGTTATATATATGGCAAATTAAGGCGATACGAATAATATTTTGTTTGATTGATGGGTTTGTTTGTCCAAAAATATTTATCCAACACAAATTTCAAGATATATATATATATATATTATATTTTTTATAAATTTATATTCATAATTCAAGATAAGATATCAATTTTAATATTAATAACACGATTTTTTTTATATAATTCACATCAATTATTTTATCAAATAAAAATATTAAACAAACAAACTCCATATGTGTAATGTTTTGTTAAGATGCAAACTATATATCAAACAAATCAAAGAACAACCAGAAAAACAAACATTTTTAGTCCGTTTATGTTACCATGCATCGTGCTGATTTTTCCAATTATAATATGAAAAATTGGCAAACATCATATGCTTTCAAAAAATAATACTGAACTCTAACTCGTGAAATACAAATATTCCAAAAAAAAAAAAAAAAAAAATTTAATCGAAAAGATCTCAACCATCAACCACAATCACGAAAAAAGAGGATTCTTCAGTGTCAGTATTAATTTAAATGGTTAGAAACCGTCCACCAAAACCTCGAGAAAGAGGAAAAACTCTTAAAAAGTAAAACGAACCGTAACTGCATAGAAACAGGGGAAAAAAAATCTCAAGTAGATAACATAAATTAAATGAGAGTAACGTTCGAATATTTCAACAACATAATAATAGCCGCAATTCAAAATCTACATCGTATAACTTCGATTCGTCAAGTCAATAGGTCTAAAATTTAAGATATTGGGTCGTGTTACAAAGTTTGGTCCAACGGCAAGGGCCACTGGACATTAACACATTGCCGATGGATACAACTTATGATTTTAATCCTAGCATCCTTCGTATGCAAATTGTAATATTTCATTCCTCAAAGTGATAAGTATGAATTTATTTTTTTATGTAAAATTTTAAAAATAGTATTTTAATTATACTAAATAGTTAAAAATAGTGTAAATGTAATATTGCTTTTATTTTTATAAAAATAATAATTTTAGGGTAAAATAAAAGTATTTGTGAAAATAAATCATTCATTTTCTTAAAAGTATTTAAATACAAATATTGTGGCCTCAATTAAGCTTTGTTAATTTATGATTTAGAGCATATAGAGAAGATCACTCCTCGATGTCCATCTATTATTCAATGAGGTTTTTTTTAGATATTTTTTATTTATGTTTGATGGGTTATTTTATGAGAAGAAAAGTATTATATATATATATATATTTTTGTAACTCGTAAGTTAAATAATAAAATAAAAAAATTGAATTAAAAAACATATCCCCCTCTAACCGTTGATTTAGTCAAAGTAACTCGGATTATTAATCTATTATTTGTTACATATTTAAAAATTAAATTTATATTATACGTAGTAGTGTAGTGTGTGGCGGTAAGGCCGCCGACAGGTTCCGAAGAGAGTGAGAAAAGCCGACAGTGACACAAAAGCCGGCGCATGACCCACGCGTCCCTATCCAAAACATACATACATACATACATACATTTTTATTCGAATTAAACAAACTTATCTCCAAATAACAACTACTTATTCATTTCATAAAGTATATTCAAATTTAATTACCACTATTATTATTTGTTTAATACCAAGTAGTAATGACACGTTATAATAATTTAAAAAGGTTGTCCTGTTAAGGCTACCATATCGTATCGGCGCCGAACTTAATTAAAATACTATTATAGATGTACATATTTTGGTTGGGAGTTGGGTCCCTCTTGTGTATATATACTAATATTTGGACACGTATAAGATGTCCTTTTAACCATCATGTTCTTTCTTACATTATTCGATCACTACCCAGTCCAATGTTTATTAATTATTTATTAATTTAGTTTTTGTCATTGAATCTTGATGTATGTATGTATGTATGAATGAATGAATGAAAAATGAGAAGCAAGTGGAGGCATTTTGTAAAGGGGCCACGTGAATCGAAGGCGAATCCGTCCAAGTGAAGTCCAATGAATATACTGTTTTTCATACGAATGAAAACTGTATGCTGTAAAGGCAGCCACCACGTTGTACTGTTTTTTTATCCTTTTAATGGAATTTTTCCTCTATTATTTATTTTTATTCTTTATCATTTATTTATTTATTTAATTTATATATATGCCCACACGCTTGCCTCTCTGATTTTTTTTTTTTTTTTTTTTTTTCGTTTCAGGAATTTATTACAAGTATTGTATGAAGCATCTTTTTCCTCGGAATATTGGTAGCGCGTGAGGGAATCGGCGTCTGCGGGCGCGTGGGCACACGGGCGTGTCGATCGAGGCTGGAGCGCTGATTATGTTATTGTAATTGTGATTTGGATTGTTAGGATTGGGAGTGATTATTAGCCGTTGGATCAACGGCGGAGATTTGTCGATCCGATCCGATCAAATTAAATTAAATTAAATTGCTTGTAAATGATGAAACAACGTTGGAGGATAAGGAATAAAAATTGGATAATTGAGTCTCATTCGGTGATATTTACAAAGGACGACAAATCTGAATCCGATCTGATTCGGGCCAAGACGATGAGATCTCCGCCGTTGAAATTTTAATTAAAAAGCAGTTAATAGTAAATGCTTAGAACATCGAGGACCTAATCCAAAAAAAATTAGTAACGGCTACATCCACAGAGGCGGCGGCTCGTTCAGGTCTATGGCCAAGCCACGTCTGACCATTCCAAAATACTTCGGCGGAGCATTGGTGTCGCCGGCGGGAGTCGCGGCGGCGGGCGGCAGCGCTCCGCCATTGTTCGGAGCATTCGCGTCCCGGAGAACTCCGCTGTGGAGGAAGTCGTGGATCATTACCCTACCGGACGGGGAAATCCAGCGGTGGTCGGACGGCAGGTTGAGATCCAGTGACAGCCCGGGCGGCGGCGCCGGAAAGTTCGTCTTCGCCTTGGCGCCGCGGAGGGACCTGGCGGCGCCGTCGTAGGCCAGGGCGGCCTCCTCCGGCGTGTCGAACGTCCCCAACCACACCCGCGTCTTCTTCCACGGGTCGCGTATCTCGGCGGCGTAGCGCCCCCACGGCCGCTTCCTCACCCCCCTGTAGTGGCCCTCACGCGCGGACGCCATGGACGACGGCGGAGCAGCTGGCCGGAGATTCTAGATAGAGAAACACCCTAGAGAGAGAAATTGAACCCAAAAAAAAAAACGGTGGTGAGTGAGAATGGGTTTGGTGGCTGAGGTGTGGGAGAGTTATTGTGTGCGGCGGTGTATGAAAAGTTTGGTGGGCCCCACCCGGTCACCCGTAATCGTCGGCTGGACGGCACGAACCCCTCTATAAACAAACACCTGGCAGTTATTCCCTGCGCCGCGGACCAGGGGGTTCCCGTGCACCGTCGCCGTCGGATCCATTCAGACATGCCGTGTCGTTCGCTACTGTAATTAATTAATTAATTCGAAACCTGCAACGCAAATTCCTATTGGAGCAAGAGGTTGGTACTATAATTGAGGAAGTTAATTAAAACGGGACATTAAACAACCCCCAAACAGTTAGATAAACAAGGCCCTAGGCAGCTTTTCTTCCTCAATAATTACCAAAGAAACCATCTTCATAAATAATACCTACAGACTAGACCACATCCAGCAGTAAAAAACCGACAACTTACACTTACTTACACTTACCCCCACAACCCCCCCCCCCCCCCCCCACTACCGCAGTAATTATTACATGGGGGCGACCAGCGACCGGTCAAAGCCGTTTCCTGAGGGAATTGTATCGAACCGCAGGGGACCACAACTGTAGAGGCGAATAATGAAATGTGTGGGGGCTGAAGGAGGCAAGCATGAGCCGCCGCCTAATGCGACGTGTCGCGACGTGGTGGCGTCGGCCGTATGGGCCCCATGATGACGTAAGCCCTACGCTACGACCTACCGACGCCTTTCGCACGGACATCTCAGCGGCGCCTCCACCTTTTTTTAAAAGAATAATTTATTATTATTATTTTTCGATATTGGGGTTTTAATATTCTGAATGGATTGCGTAGCTGTCCAAGTTAGGATAAATTGTAGGCCTGCGCAGCCTACGTACTGCTAATAGTAATAATATTTTCATTATTTATATTTTGCAGGTGGGAATTTTATAATCATCTCTCTTTTGTGGGCGGCTTTCAATTTTCTTTTCGGGGCTCAAAATTTCGGGTAGAAATGGTCAATGTAACGTGCAAAATCGTAATTTATTTCATTTTAAATCAATATCTAATTATTTTTTTTATAATCCTATACCAAAATTGAATTAATGAATTACCCACCAACTACACAAGTAACGTAAAATTGGTGCATTCGCCGTTTTTATTCAATTATTTTGCAGCCCATTTTCTAAGATTTTATTTTATTTTATGTTTATGGAAGAAGATTTGGTTGCTGTCCAGATAAGATTATAAGAACAGAGTAGATAAGTGGAGTCCAGCACGCCAAATTGCTGTGGTTGGTGCTAGGGAAATTAATGCTAGGTTGTCCGAGCCAGACACGTCCATAATAATAATAATTTAATATTATTTTACCCAAACTTGAGAAATTGATTAAAAGTACTAATAATAATTAAATAAACACAAATATGTAAATAGTGAGAGAGAAAGTGCCTGCCTTATTATTTTATTGATAATAAAAATAAGAATTAATTTAAAGGGGACGTGGAGGGTACAGTGTCAGGTGGGCACGTGGGTGAGGTGCAGTACGTAGTGGTGTCGGAGTTGAAGGGGACAGCCCTAGTTCTTACATCGGGGACCCCCCCGCGTCCCGGCCCATGGCTCTCGCTCTGGCTCGTTGAGTCATTGCGGATCCGTGGACTTCGGCTCCTGGCGGCTTCCACGTCATTCGGGTGCTGTGCTCCTGGGACCTCGATTGAGCGAGTAGCGTTAGGCTAGGTGGTGTGTTTGCAGGCTGTAATTTACTTTATTTATTTTTAAAATATAAAAATATTTATATTTATGAAATAAATCTGAAATAGCTGACGTAGGATTGAAGGGGAAAAAGTTGATGGGCGAGGGGAAAGTATTTTAATTAATATTTAATTTAAATTGATTTGATTTGATATAAATTTTAGGGGAGATGATGGATGGACAGTTGGGGAAGACGTGACCTCTGCTCTTATTTGTCACTTTCACTTTGTAATCATCGCCGTTCTATTTTTATTTTATTTTTCATTGTATGCTTCTCCAACATTCATTACATATTAATTTACATGTTGATCTATTAATGGGCCGTTTAATAGGAGGCATTGTAAAGCCCACAATAGCGGTCAGTGTCTTAGGCCCACAATTTTATGGGCCGGAAATTTCGATTTTTGGCCCAAAATATTGTTGGGCGGGAATCAATTAAACTCAAAAACTGGGTTTGGGGGCTGATGGAAGATTTCAACTCTATTAGATGATTCTGATCCAGATTGTCATGTAGACTTTAATTCGTTTTGGAGGTCGTTTTGTGGGGGAATATCTAGCTGAATTTTTTGTGGACAATGTTGGGGATCATCAACGTTGGGTCCTTTTCATGTGGTTTCTGATGTGCTTGATTCTACTGAAAGAATTTTTATGTCGATTTTTTTCAAGAACTCAAAGATTATATCTATCGGGAAGCTTTGTGAGACGTGATCTCTGTTTCTGTCTTGCTCCGCCGGCGATTGCTGCTTTCTTTAACCTACCTTAATGGCCCTGTTCTTACAGGCTAGACTATCCACCTCCGGCAAACGTGGTGTGGATTAGATAGGGAACAATGAAGTGGAAAATGGAAATGGAAGAGACAGTTACACCTGACCGCCAACAGAATGAAGGTTGCTGCAGTTTTTTATTTTTTTATTTTTTTTCATCCTTAATTATGTTTTGGATTTTTCATTGAGTTGTTTATATGATGCTTGCATCATTATATGGAGTGATATGTGCCATTTTGTTGCTTAATTGAGTTCTTATACTGCGATGTAATTATCTCATGCGTGGTAGCCCAAACATTTGATGCTCACTGGAAAGAAGATCGTGGAAAAGACAATCTAACTTCCTACATTTCAGGCAAATCAGTAAGAGTTTTGAGAATTAGGGTTGAATGTGGTAAATGTATCATGCTGCGATTAGCTGAATGATTGTATGGATGGAATCAAAGCGAACCTACTTCTGTGAATCCATGTATACTACGTCATGACTAGGGAGTTGATAAAGGGTATGCATGCCTGCTGTTCTACGATTTAGTTCCTGATCCTCGGACATTAATGGCTAGAGAGCCCCTTTCCCCTGAAATTTAGATACCGAAGCTCTTTAAAGGGACTTCTTATTTTAGCCATCCATCATATTAGACCTTTTATCTACCACATATTCATTGCCATTCATCTTTGTCAAGTGTTTGTGGTATCCAGATAATCTGCGGACAATTTGCATATATGACGAAGGATTTTCTTAATGATTCATGTAACTTTGATGCACTTACTTATTGTATTCAATTGAGTGTCATGTCCATAAAATTTTGTGGAATTTGAAGAAGGGTATTATCCTTGTAGTAGATTGCAAATAATTATGCTTAGCAGATGCTTTGTAATTCACTAGAGTTGGTTGGTGCTCCAAAACTTTTTAATGATCCACAATCTTGGGGTGGAAATTTCAATCGTTGGTTATATTCACAGGCTACTGGGAAACTTGTCCAATGTCCTGCTTTAGCACGTTGGATGCACATATATTTTGTTTGATTTCTCAAGTCGAGCTAGCATTGGTCCCACCTTGAATATCTTTGAGCGCATACTTGTTACAAATACGACAAATTTTCAATGAAGTGTGACTTAGGTTTGAATTATTTGCTGTCGGCATGTTTTTAGATTCAATATTTAAAGTTTCTGTTAGCACATCTGATCTAGAAATCGATCTATCTTCTTGTTAATTAATTAAGTATTACAACTCATGTATTATTTGTATCCATTTGGATTTTAAAAGAGTTTGACTTACGCTTACGAACATTTTCTTAGTTTGAAACTTTTATTCCCTGCTTATGTCCTTTTCTTGTGTTCTTTTAGACTTGTAATTTTTGTTTAATTCCACTTGAATTTCATCTGAATTCAAACTCAGGGCCCTTGTTTATATCGAACACACATGCTCTGCATGAGCCTTCAACACAGCTGCTACTGAATACTTACAAAGGAAGCAAATGAAGTGAATAATCACTCAGTGATGAAAAAATCTGCAGTCACATCTGAAGGGATTTTTGTCTCATTTACAACAGGTATGTATGCTTTCATATCTGCAGCTCGTCTTCTCTCTGAATCATGATTGTATGTTCTTCAAAATCCCAGTTTGTGTTACTTTAATCTTTTTAGCTCTGCAGATTTCCCATAACCTGGATATACATTGTCTGATTCAAAATTTTTGTCTATTTCTTTGATTATAATTTTTGTCGACCTTTATTTTAGTTTTGTGCGTTCAAAGTTTGTATATATTTCTTTGTTTTGGAGGTGGCAATGGAGATGGCAGGCTCGATATTGACTCATTTCATTTGTTTAGTTTTTGATGTGTTCCTAAAAAACTTGGGAATGCTAATGGTAAGATATATGTGGGTGCTAGGAGGTAAGGCTCTGTTTATTTATTTATGTTTTTGGGTGTGTTGTGAATTTAAACATAAAAGGAACGAGATAATGTTTGAATAAGTTTAGAGACACTTGTGGGTTTGTTTCCTTAAGATTCTAATACTAGTTTTTGTTTTGGTTTTGAGTTTTAGTTTTTTAATTGTTATTTAAATGTAATGTTTTTGTAAGAAAAGAGTAATTTATTTTTATAATTTACAAAACCAAACCGTGTTTGTTTGGGGTTTGAATTTTTAATTGTGATTTAAAGAATAAAAATTTTTAATTAGATGTTGATAGGGTATGTTTTTATTATTATATTAAAATTGATTTTTAGTATAATATAAAAAATAAATTTTGATTTAATAATTTTGAAGAATTTTTTTTTTTATAAAAATAAATAATAAAAATCCTGAAAATTTTGATAAAATAACACACAGCCATACTATAATATATTTTATTATCAATATATTTTAATTGTTATATTGACATGTTATATTTTAAATTCACTATTCATTCTATTTTTTCCTAAAAAAATATCAATTCAAAATATCGCATCATCAACACCTGATATATCGGAAAATTTTGAGAACATACCAATTTTTATTTTTATTTTTGTAGAAGTTAGCGTAAATGTGTTTAATTATATTATAAATTTATTCCACTTAGATTAAATAGTACAAAATTGTTGAATTTAATAAAATGTAGAAGAAAAATAAAAAAAATAAATTATACGAATTCTTAAATTATGAGGGAAATATTAATTGACATGGAGTTTCTTGTCCGAAAGTGGACCAGCTGACACATTAATTACACCCAAATTAATATGGGCCAGGCCTACTATCGTTATACCCTATAAGATAATAGAATGGAATGGTAAATGATCCAAAATTAAAATAATAGAAACATCAGTAAAGTCCATTATTATAGGTATTATATCAAAATGCTCTTACAATAATTAGAGTAATGATGACCGAATCTGCTTACATTAATTATATTCTATGATGTTCGTTGACCCTGTTTTAATAAATTTAAGTACACTATAATAATAGATTGTCAAAGTCGCGCGACCACTTTCAGCGCTTTTGGTCTTCGACTGGACAGGACTGACTGCGACGCCTGTCACTGTCAACCCCTGTCACTGTCAGTGGCGTATAAAAAACGGCGTTTCATCAGACACCAACCCACAGCATCGCCCTTTCTCGTTCTCCGCCGCTGCCGCTGCCTGTGTTCTCTGTGCCCTACCCAGCTTAGAATGGCATCGTTCGCACCGTCTGGACCATCCACCTCCGGCAGGCGAGTCAGGGAGGCGGATACCGGAGACGAAAGAGCTCCAAGTCGCCGGAGAAGCGGAGGAAGCGGTAATTTACTCATCCTCGGTTCTATCGCTTTCGATTTCCCTAAATGCTTAGTTTATCGGAGATGCTTGCTTTAATTGTAATGTCTTTTCGTTGTGGGAGTCGCGTGATGTTCTACTTTCATTTTTCTTGCCTGATCTGGTTGTGTCTGAAGAAATCCTTGTTCCCGAGTTTGGAGGTCGATGATGCGTTCTTTTTTGGATCTGATTTTAGGGCTTCAGTTTGTGCTGTTTGTTTTCGTGTGTTTGAGCTTTGATTTCATTCTTGTGCTGTGATCTAGCCATCTTAGCAGAACAGCCCCAACGCCTGATCCTCAATTGAGAGGATGAGCATAAAAAAATGATTTATAACCCCTTGCATTTAAAGCCAAAGATGTTGATGTCGTTGCTGTTTTTGCAAGCTAAAAAAGCAAGTTTTGAGTTCTTTTAGATTTAGGGTTGCATATAGGTGAATTATAACTTATTCATTGGCAGAAGAATTAATTGGGTGGATTTAAAGTGAATCTAGTTTTTTGGATTTACGCGCTTAAATTGTGTGGACGGTTAACGTACTTCAACGAACTTCTGATTTAAAACAATTGCGAAAAGTTGGGCTTCGGTTTCCGCCTGTCCCTGTCAAGAGAGTGAGGTATCCATTTTATCAGTGTGAGGGCCTTGAAGTCGTTATGACTGTTCGTTGCAGATACGACAAGGATATTTAATAGATAGTTCGGTTAAGATGTGATCACTTTATTTGATTTCATTTAAGGGAAGTTACCAATGGTAGGTTGATTAATCATGGAATATGTAATGAATATGGAAAGTATACTGTCCTTTATTACTCACGAATTAATTTAGTTTAGATGAAGTCATGTAATCCCCTGGAACCGGTCGGTGCTCTAAAGTTTTTAATGATCCAAAATTTTAGAGTGAAATGTAAGAAACTATTTTGTATTCCCGAGCTGTATAATACATAAGAGGGATCAATTGTAAATTCTAGAGTGCTTTTGAAACCCTTATTAATCTGAAAATGTTGAGAACTATAATTGCAGCTGTGAAGATTTTTACTTGATTTTTCTGTCTATGCAATGCAGACATAACTCAAGTGGAAGATCGTATGGGAATGATACATTCAAGCGCTGCGTTACAAGGACGATGTTTTACTGGAATCCCTACAACATGTGGTGATGTTGACAACATGCACGCTTCAACATCAGGTAGGTCAGAGTCTAATGATGAGGATATTTAGTATTTAATGATGTTGAGGTCTGATGTTTGTACAAATCTCTATCTTTTCTAAATGATCCCTGGATTTTCTAAATGATTCCCTTATGTCTGATAATGCAGAAAGTTATTGCACCGACATGGAAGCTCGAGAAAGTGCAAGGCAAGTGCCTCCAATGTGCAATCTATTTGTTAATTTAATCGGCCATATACCTTACGAATTAATTAGAAGTGATTGTAATTGTAGTGCCTCACTTATACTGGAAGTAAACCCTGATGATAACTTTGTTTCTTAGGTCACCTAGTCTAGAGCTATGGTTGAGAGACTCGACAGGTGTCTCTAGCTCTACCACTGTAACCGGCACAGGCAGCAGCACCAGCACCGGAACCTGCACGAAGCTGCCCATTCCCTGCGATTTTCATGCCAAAGGGTGGTGTATTCGCGGGGAATCATGCAGGTTCCTTCATTCTGATCAAAGGCTGGGTACGTTCAAGAAAGTATATTATTTTTATGTAAACATTTAACCTAATCTAAGGTTAGGTAATATATGTAGCTTTATTTGAATCTCATCTGACGATCATATATTTTCCTTTCTTTTTTGTTTTGGTAGGGGGCGGGTCTGTGGCAGCTTCAAGCAACTCCGAGCTCAGCTTATTCAGAAGTAATATCAGGTAATTTCTTACTTCGAAAATGTTTCTGTAATTGTGAGCGATGGTATGAAAGGAATGTCTAGTAAGAGTAGAGATACTGTGCATTGATTGTAGGATTAATGATATTTCGAATTCTGATTCCAGATATAATTTATATTTGTTCATGCTTTTTCAGAATCGATCCAGAGTCCTTTTCTTTTCTGCAAGTGAGTTTGACAGTTTTGGATTCATATGATTGGAAACCATCATTCCCATTTATCCCATCTCATCATATAACTAAATACTTATTAAATAAGGAAAATTTGGACAAAAGCTTTCCCGACCATGGCTTGTCCGCCAGGAGTGGTTCACAAAGTCAGGTTAGTACTATGTTGGATATGGAGGTTTTAAGTTTGTTCATGTTGTTAGTATCATTTGTGACGATGCATTGAACTCTAATTATCATAATAATTTAAATTTTTTCTGCTGAAACAGAGGTTTGATCTGAAGGTCGATGACTCTGGAGGGAAGGATGGGACTGGTGCTGATGCTTCAGGCATAAAAGCACCGAAAGATTTTGAAAATGCACTCATTGTGCATGTGAAAGAATTGCTGGAACCTGCATGGGCGAACGGCTATTTGAGGAAGGATGATTTCAAAGAAATTGTGAAGAAGTCAGTTGATAAGGTGCTTTGCTCCTTCCAGCCTCTCAATGCCCCTATGCCTAGCACAAGTGAGGAAATTAAGGCATTTATTTCCTCATCTGAAGCCAAAACTAACAAGCTAGTGCAGGTCAGTCGGTAAATCTTGTTATGTTCGACTAATAGTCAATAGTAGTTATCAATGTGCTTCTTCTTTTGATTGAATTCTGGTTTATTTCCGTTGCAGGGGTACATTGATATTTATCGGAAATCATGAGATTGCTGGGCTACAAGCTTGTCAATTTTAGTACCTATTGCAAAGTAAATCTCTAACCCTTCTTCGCAGGCATTACTTTAATCTTATTTGGTTCAGACTTAAGACAGCTTGATAAAATTGGATTGCTATGTTCGTATGTTTTGATAATATTTGGATTTAAAGATGCCATAACATAATGTGCATTGATGATATATGTTATGTTAACGAATTGTGCATAATGTCATGCTGTGTTGATGCAAACGTCGACCCCCAAAATTTTCATTCAAAACTCTCCGTTGGATTCTATTATCCACTTTTACTTTGATCTGGATTTAGTGTTGAATTTGTAGGATTCTTTTTACACTTTAATTTGTCCTCTAAATTTATTTATTTTATTTTACAGATTTACTCTGATCTGTATGATTTTTTATACACTTTCATTTGTCTTATAAATTTATTTTTCTTATTTTACAATTTTACTTTGTTCTGGTTTTTTATAGTTTAATTTGTAGGATTTTTTATGCACTTTTATTTGTGTTTTCTAATTTTTGCCTAGATATTAAGATACTAAGGATTTGTTTCTTTTCCAAAAATTTTTCAAAACATTTTTAAAAAAAAATTAATATATTACATACACTCATTACTTTTGCTATATACACAATTTCCTATACCTCATATCAACAAATTTTCTTCAAGTTAAAACACAAAATAAACACACCCTAAACAATTTTTTTCCATCAGTTTTCTTTTTTTCAATCTACTTCTTGTTTTAAACAAACCTTGCATATCCGCCTCAAAAACAGAAAAATCAAAATCACAATCACTAAGTGAACAAATTCTAAATAAACAACAGTTTTAACATGTCGAGCTTCTATATTTTCATGCACAAAGCTGAAAAGTATGTGGTAAATGCTTCTTCGAACATTTCAAAAGATACAAAACTACCATTTGGTGCTTAGCAACATGCCACCATGTATATATATATATATATATATTATGCATTCCTATATGGACATTTCACACAAGAACAGATTTTTTAAATCCTAATAATTTCATTGATACAATGATGTATTAAGGCATTAGAATTTTGTATGTAATCCACATAATCCAAATATTGTAATATGCAATATAGAAAAATAGACAATAGTAAACAAGTTAAAGCGAAACATTTTAAACACGTTCCATACAAAATTCTACCATCAAGATGAATACACCCCTTAATAAATTGGACGTAAGTTTTGTTAATATTATATGTTCCCTACCACTATATTTGCTATTGTTTCCAATTTGAGACGGCCCAAAATATTTGCGACTTTTCCTTATTTGTACTCAATCTTTTCTCTTTTACCTTTACAAATACAATTTCAAACAAAAAAAATTAAGATTAAAAATAGTAATAATAATAAAACAAAACTTATCAAAATTATACCATCTAAAAAGCTGTGACCAAACTAAAACTAGCAATCTTAATGGGACGGAGTGAGTACGACCCTTAAAAATGGTTGAGTATTAAATGAACTTTATTTGATATTTCATACCTTTTTCAGTATTAACTATCTTATAATATTTTACATCTGGTTAATATTGAATATTCTAACAATATATCAAACTAAATTATTTCTTTTGGTTGAATCTTAATTACCTCATACTCAACTCACTAAAAGTATGTGTACTTAGTTTAGCAATGTAATGTTGAGTGAGCGGAGATCAATTGATAGTATTAATAGAAATATCTATAAGCAAAAGTAATTTTCGAAATAACAGTTTTTTATTTTAGTTGTACTGGATATATTCATAATTAATGGTGTTTATTTCATTAACGATAAGAGTAAGTATGCAAATGACTTTCCCATTTCGCACAATGAGGTTGCTGTGACAATTCAATGACAAGTGTCATACATTTTCATTTATAGTATTTTCTCACTTGTCTTTTTGTTGGTTAATGAGCATTTGGATACATGCTATACTTGGCAGTTAAAATAAATTGCACACTTGGCTTGCTTACTTTGATGAGTGAGATTGAATGTTATTTATTGGTCATTTTGTTTTTTATCTTTCTCCCATTTTAATAATTTGTCCAAAAGTTCACAGTTTTATACTAAATCATATAGTTTTATCATGCTAATTGTCAAATTGAGAAAATACTTGTGTTTTGCATCCTTATATTAATGATTGGGTTAATGTTTAAAAGAGGAACATTGTTATCACAAATTTCCCTTATAAAGTAATATATAATGTTTGAATTATGTGACCAACCTTTTGGGCAATGATTTGCTTGATAGGTTGCCCTGATATTCTTTTAGATGTATGTATAGTTGAATTTGGGGAAGTGTGGTATGCGTAGAAGAAATTTAATTTAGGAGTAATTTATGAATATATAATGAAGTTTGAATAAATCTACAAATATGTTATTTACTAAATAGGAGAGAACTATATATAAAGCAGTGACATTTATTTTTCATCAGTTAAAAAAGATGAAGCAGGCATAGGTGAATATAGTAATGCGTTCTTGTTCATGTGCTTAATTCTGGGTCACATCTAACTTCTCACCTAGGGAATTTATGTTGAAGTCTTTTTGATAAATACTTTGAAATCTTTCTTCCGAATTGTGAATTCTACTAGGAAATTCTAAACCCAGTAATTTGCTAATGTAATGTTATTTTGACGTTCAGGATGAATTCAACCTGGCTGGACTTTTATAGAAAACTTAATTGAGAGCTGAAATGATGAAAATGAGGAAAATGATTTCTTGGTGCTGTGTGGTTTCCTCAATGCGAAGCATGTGGTTCCAGTTGATCTTTGTGAAGAGGTGCATTCAATCTGTACAAGGTTTGGAAAATGTCGCAAATACTATTTTGCTGAAACTCTTATCTGGTGCTCTGTTTTTTCATGTATCCTGGACAGTTTTGGCCTTTATTGGATTCTTTAAGGTTTGGTTGCTTAACTATTGATCTTCTGGCATGGCCGCAAATAGGTGATTTTGAAGATAATGTTTTACTTTTATCAATCTATTTGGAATTTGATGTTTTCATTTACTGACTACTATTGTTTTTGCTGCCTGTATCTTCTCTGAAACCCAGGTTGGAACATCTGAATTCTGACATGGGCTCTTGTTGCTGCTCCTGGATCCAAACTGAACAGGAATGAAAAATCGGAACACATCTTGTCGGACTGGAGCATTTATCCAAGGTACTTGTTCTCAGTTCTTTTATATATCTGCAGCCTGAGATTCCTGCTGGATGCTATTTGGACATCCTGGTTTGGATCATCGGAATCTTGTATCTTCGGGCGATTCGGTAATGCTTTACTTTTCTTTATATATATATATATATATATATATTCCCCACCCCTCCATATATATATATATATATTTCGTCCAGCGTGGGAACAGCAGGTAAGCAAAAATCTATTTACTGTCACAGTCCGCACACAGAATCGACTCTTTCACATATGTGCAGGATTTTAAGTATAGAGCTTTGTGAATATTCCTGTTTTGGATTAGATGATTTTTGCACTGTATGAAAGATTCTGTGACAGATGAGGAAAAAAAGTGCGAGAAAAATGAGTTGCAGAAATGAATGCCTGTCAGTATTGATGCGTACGAGGCTGATGATGTGGGGTATAGAGTTGTTGGGTTGTTGGGTTTGGGCGTTAGCGGCGGATTTCACGATGCAAGACCTTTCGGTTAATGGCTCTTCATTTTTGTGGCCGCCGTGAAGAGGCGGCCGCCGCCGGGGCCTGGTGGCAAGGGAAGGACAACATCGGACCTCACCGCTGCACACTTAACACAGGTGACCATTTTAAAGTTTTCATTTTTATCGCTTCTTTAAATTGTGAAACGAAAGTGAATTTTATTCCATTTCTAGATGTCAGTGTTGCGATTTTGGGGATGAAATAATAATAATAAAAATGAATAAATAATACATCTGATGCCACGTCATCCTACAGCTGTGCCTGACTTATATTATTACAGCTAATCACGTACAGGTTTGATTCGTTTGAAAATTGAATTTATATTTGGTCGACGCTTAGGAATGTGCATTAATTGGGGTTTATTTGGGAAATTTATTTGACATTTCATATGGTATCGGTTCACAGGGTCGGGCCTATTTCTATAATTCTTTGATTTTATATAGTAATAATATTCCATTATATAGTCATGTCTATTTTTTTTATCAGATAATGTTATCTAGTTATGATACTTGTGTTTATTCTAATTGTTATATATATATATATATATTTGGTTCTAGGTTTATTATTTCGAAGTTTCCTATATTTATATTAATCCTTGACCGATTTTACTGGCGTCAACATTTTATTAATGTGATTTTTATTTAATAAACGAACAATTCATAAATGCGGGCCCCCTTTTAATGATTGCAAGTAGAATAATATATTGACATTGATGGACAAAGTCGCGCGCCGCTTTCAACCCATTCGGTGCCGTCAAATAAAATATCTGTTTCTTCGCAAATTTGTTCAAAGCTGGCATAACCTATTTGGAGTGTTTGTGTACATCAACGTGACTTTGACAGACGTCTGTGACTGCACTGTCTGTGGTGCGAGCAATGAATAAATGCCTTGCTGGAAGTATCTTGAAGCGAAATGGAGTGCTGTTTAGATGAACCCACATGAAATACATGAGTTTGGTGAGTGATAAGATATTTTATATTTAGATTTATATTTAGTTTATATTTTTTTGTTAGATTAGTTTTTTATGGTTGTTTTATAGGAGTATTAGATTTATTTGATTTAGATTAGAATTTGATTATATCTATTAGATTAGGTTTGTTTTGATTTGAGTTAAAAAAAAAACATCAATTTTTAAGTTTCCGTATCTAAGATTGTATCAGAGCCTATTATTACCACGTTTCTAATCCACATTTCTCCGGATACATTCAACTTAGAATGTATTCGGAGGTCTTTTGAGATCACATCGTCTATAGTTACAAGACTAGCTGCAAATCTGCCTGCAAAATCTGTTTGCGAATTTGTTTCTGAAAGTTGTTTGCCATCTATCTGCATATTTGTATGCCATCCGTCTACTATTTGGGTGTCTATGATCTTTCTACTATCTGCATATTTGTATGCCATCCGTCTACTATTTGGGTGTCTACGATCTTCCTACTATCTGCATATTTGTATGCCATCCGTCTACTATTTGGGTGTCTGCGATCTTTCTCTATCTGCATATTTGTATGCCATCCGTCTACTATTTGGGTGTCTGCAATCTTTCTACTATCTGCATGGTTGTGATCTATCTGATGTCTGCGCTCTGTCCATTGTCTATTGTTATCTGTATGCTTCTGTGATCTCTATGCGTCTCTGTGATCTGTCTTTGTACATGCATATGCAATTTATCTATGTTTGACTCTGTTTCTATTCAGAGTCCAGTCTGCATCTGTCTACAATCAACTCCGACTCCCGGTCAGAGTTTTGTCGGCATATCCATCTGGGTATCTATCTACGAGCCCTAGTATGCTATTCACTCATATCCCATCCATGCAAACTCAAGTTAGTTTCTATGGACTTGAGCTTGAAGCCTTGAAGGTTTAGATTTAGATTTAGTTTATATTTTGATTAGATTAGTTTTAATAGTTTTATATTAGATTTACTTAATTTAGATTAGGATTAAGTTGTATCTATTAGATTAATTTGTTTTGATTTGAGTTTTTTTATTTTTTTTTGAAAAAACAGCAATTTTCTAGGTTTCCGTAAAATAATCCAACAATGACTTTTTTTGGGGTGGCCAACTAAGTATTTTCATTAGAAATAGTATCCAATTCACAAACTTACTTTTGGGGTGGCCAACTACGTATTTTCATTAGAAATAGTATCGTGTATATATACACATTATTTGGATGGCTTGGCCTGGTCAGTACCCAGCCGGGCCTTTTTTGTTCTAACGAATTCGAATGATTTGTATGAGATCGAATTTGACAACAAAAAGACTTTTTTTATTATACTCAATTGAATATTTTATACTCACGCAACAAGAAAAAGAAGAAAAAGAATTTCTATCCTTTCTCTTCTTTTATTCTAGTTTGGGAGGGCAGAACTTTTGGTTTTTTCATGTTGTCAAAGAGTTGAACAATGGTTTTTTGTGTTGTCAAAGAGTTGAACAATGGTTTTTCGTGTTGTCAAAGATTTGAACAATGAAAATAGATGGCGAGTGCCTGATCGAGTTGATCAGGTTATGTCCAAGTAACTAAAGTACTAGTTAACATTAACAGAGACAAATCTTCAATTTTCGATAAAATCAAAAAAGACGTTGCGGAGACAGGATTTGAACCCGTGACCTCAAGGTTATGAAATCAAAAATGAATATTTGTGAACAATGTAGATATCATTTGAAAATGAGTAGTTCAGAAAGAATCGAAGTCTCGATCGACCCCGGTTATATATGCATTACTGTAAAAATCCTAATGAGTCCATGCCAAAAATAATGAAAAAATTACTAAGGCATCAATCCCTTATATATAGTCATGACTAAAATGAGGAAGACACTCGGGACGTGGTTAGTAGGCTTAGTCATGGACATGACAAAGTTATATGACATTCTTCCATCTGAAGTCCAAGCTTTCTATCTTTGTTTAGGTCTTCAAGTAGTGACTGCAAGGTTGCTAAGTCTCTTTCAATCATTGAGGCTGATTGAGGTTGAGTACAACTTCAATTTGTTTGAGGGCACCACGTAAGTCAACTAATTCGTTGGATTTTTCGCTCCTTAAGATCTTCTCTAACATTAAATTTCCTTTTTCCAAGAGCCCATGAATGTAGTAAAACTTTAATTCAATATGCTTCGTCATTATATTAAATGAGGGATTCTTAGCCAAGTGAATTGCATCTTGACTATCACTATGAAAAATATTGTTCTTCGAATTCTTTCCCGATTCAAGCATGAAGCTTTGCAGTCAAACCGTATCTTTACTATCTTCGGTAGCTAACTGCAATATATTCAACTTTTGTAGTCGACAAAGCAAACATCTTTTGAAACTTAGATGTCCATGAGATTGTTGTTCCTCTATGGGTAAATCCATACCTGGATGTGCTATTCCTCAGATCGCAGTCATTTCCTGCTATGTTGGAATCCACAAATTCAGCCAACCAAGGCTTCATTCTCTCGAAGACCAGTGCTTTATCTATTGTACCTTGTAGATACTTTAGTATCCAATTAACTCATTCCTAATATTGCTTTCCGTGATGCTCATAAATTGGCTAACTACTCTGATTGCATGTGCAATAGCTAGTTTTGTACCAACCATGATATACATCAAGCTTCCTATGGTGGATGCACATTCCAACAAATTCTTCGGCGAGTCTTTGTTCAAAAACTTGAATTAACTCTCCAAAAGTGCGGTCGGTGGTTTTGTAACTTGCATGTTTAATCTCTTCAAGACCTTGATGTTTTTACCTGCGAGAGTCGGTCTCTCATTCTCCCGGTCTCAAGTTTTAGCATGCCCAATATCTATCTCCCACCTCTTCAAGTTTCTTGATGGAAAATCTTTCCGCCAATTGTTGCTGTAGTGTTTTAACCGCTTGAGCACAAGAACCTACCAATAATACACTGTCCGCATATAATAGAAGTATTATTTATGAACCATTTAAACCTCTTATAGTAGCCATCAAACTTCTGGTGCCTGTCCTTTGGTAGTTGCTTAAGGCCATGCAAGTTTTTCTTCAACTTGCTTACAAATAGTCTATATTATTTTACATTTCTTACCGGTGCTGCCACTGCCGCTTGCTGGTTTTTCTCTACCCTGCCGTGCCTACCCCAATAGTGTTTGCCAAATAATTGGCGGAAGATGTATTTCGCTCATATTTGGTTCTCTTGGTTTTGATTTCTGTAAATGTTTAGTTTATCTTAGATGCTTGCTTTATTTATCCAGCCATTCCCTTGTCGGTCACACATGATGTTTTGTTCTCATTTTTCTTTCCTGATCTGGTTGTGTCCAAAGGTATCTTTGTTCTTGTGTTTCGAGGTGGAGGTGGCGTTTGTTCTTTTCTCATTTTTCTTGCCTGACCGGGTTGTGCTTTGGTTTCATTCTTGTGTTGTGATATAGTTATATTAGCATAACCGCCCGTATGTCTGACACTTAAAGGAGAAGATGAGCGTCAAAAATACTTTTTAACTGGTTATTACCATTTTTTAGTTTTGTATAGTAAAAGATGAGTTTTGATTTTCTTTTAGATTTAGCGTTACATATTGGTAACTTATAACCTGTTGATTAAGAGAAGAACTAGATGGATAGATTTGAGGTGAATCTAGCTTTTCGGATTAACCAGGTAAATTGTGTGGATTGTCGAAGTCCTTTAATAGAACTTCTGATCTGGATCAATCATGGAACATTAGGCGTCAGTTAACACATGTCTCCATCAAGAGCTTGGGTTATTCGTTTGCACGAGGGCGTTGTAGTTGTTATAACTGTCAGTGCAGATACGACAAGGATATTTAATGATAAAACTACTAAGATACAGATTTTTATTTGATTTAAATGAAGGGAAATGATCAATGGTAGATCAATTAATTTTGGAAAATTTAAATGAACTCATGTAATCCCCCGGAATCAGTTGGGGCACTGAAGTTTAGATGATCCACAATTTGGGAATGAGAATGTGATCTAATATATGGTCTCATATAATAGAGGACTGTAATTCTGCTCTTGGCCAAGCGGTGCTGTAGGACTACTTGATTAATTGATGAAGCACTTATCATAATTCAAATTAGTTGAAGATGAAAGGTTCTGTTTCAAATTATGATAAACTGTTCAATAACTAATTGGACTTTGTACTTCTGTGCAGTTTACATAAGGAAATCAGTTATAAATTCAAAAATATTTCTGAAACCTGCCCTTTTAATCTGAATGTGTCGATATCTATAGTTGGAGTTGTGAAGATTTCTACCTGAATTTTCTTTCTTTTCCTTGCAGATATATATCAAATGGAAGAGCATATCATTCAAGCACTGCTGTTCAGGTAAAGTCTTATAATGTAACCAGTCTCTGTATGATATGGAGCGATGCTGGTGGCCTGTAGGCTTCAACATTAGCTATGAAAAATTCTGACAGTAAGGATATTTAGTAGTTAGTGATATTGAGGTCTGAAGCTTGTGAAAAATCTCTCTTATTTCAAATCACACTTATGTCCAATTATGCACAAGTTATCACACCGACATGGAAGTTCTAGATAGTGCAAGGCAAGTTCCTCCTATGCGCAATCTCTTTGCTAAAAATATTCTACACACTGTTATCAAAATGTTCTTCCAATAATTAGAGTAATGATTACATAAATCATATACTATGTTGTCCAATATATACTTAATAAATGCTGACCCTGTTTTAATAGTTTTAAGTACAGCAGATTGTCAAAGTTGTGCGACCCCTTTCAGCACTTTTTGGTCTCGTACTGTTTGACTGGACAGGACTGACTGTGACCGAGTGCAACGCCTGTCACTGTCAGTATGGAGTATAAAAGGCGTTTCGGACACCAGACACCAACCCACGCCCCATCGTTCTCCACAGCTGCTGCTACCGTTCCTACAACTGCTGTTTCTCTGTTACCTACCCACAATGGCCTCGTTTGCACCGTCTGGACCATCCACCTCCGGCAGGCATATCAGGGAGGTGGACACCGGAGACAAAAGAGCTCCAAGTCGCCGGAGAAGCGGAGGAAGCGGTAGTTTACTCATCTTCAGTTCTATCGCTTTTGATTCCCTAAATGCTTAGTTTATCGGAGATGCTTGCTTTAATTGTCATGTCTTTTCGTTGTGGGATTAACCTGATGTTTTATTTTCATTTTTTTTGCTTGATCTGGTTGTGTTTGAAGGAATCCTTGTTCCCGTGTTTGGAGGTTGATGATGCATTTGCATTTTTTTTTAGGAGTTCGATGTGTTGTTTTTGTGTGTTTGAGCTCTGATTTCATTTTTATGCACGGAAATGGAAGTTCGAGAAAGTGCAAGGCAAGTGCCTCCAATGTGCAATCTATTTGTTAATTTAATTGGTCATATACCTTATGAATTAATTAAAAGTGATTGTAATTGTAGTGCCTTGCTTATACTGGAAGTAAACCCTGATGATAGCTTTGTTTCTAGGTTACCTAGTCTAGAGCTATGGATGAGAGATTCGCTGGTGTCTCTAGCTCTAGCTCTAGCTCTAGCTCTAGCACCGGCACCAGCACCAGCACCAGCACCGGAACCTGCACGAAGCTGCCCTTTCCCTGCGAATTTAATGCCAGAGGGTGGTGTATTTGCGGGGAATTATGCAGGTTCCTTCATTCCAATCAAAGGCTGGGTACGTTCAAGAAAGTATATTATTCTTATGTAAAAATTTAACCTAATCTAATGTTAGGTAATATATGTAGCTTTATTCGAATCTCATCTGACGATCATATATTTTCCTTTCTTTTTTGTTTTGGTGGGGGGGGGGGGGTGTGTGTCTGTGGCAGCTTGAAGCAACTCTGAGCTCAGCTTATTCAGAAGTAATATTAGGTATTTTCTTCCTTCAAAAATGTTTCTTTAATTGTGAGCAATAGTACAAAAGGAATGTCTAGTAAGAGGAGAGATACTGTGCATTGATTGTAGGATTATTGATATTTCGAATTCTGATTCCAGATATAATTTATATTTGTTCATCCTTTTTCAGAATCGATCCAGAGTCCTATTCTTTTCCGCAAGTGAGTTTGACAGTTTTGGGTTCATATGATTGAAAACCATCATTCCCATTTATCCCATCTCATCATATAACTAAAAACTTATTAAAGAAGGAAAATTTGGGCAAAAGCTTTCCCGACTATGGCTTGTGCAGCAGGAGTGGTTCACAAAGTCAGGTTAGTACTATGCTGGATATTTAAGTTTGTTCATGTTGTTAGTATCATGGGTGACAATGCATTGAACTCTAGTTATCATAATGATTTAAAGTTTTTATGCTGGAACAGAGGTTGGATCTGAAGATCGATAAATCTAGAGGGAAGGATGGGACAGGTGCTGATGTAGCAGGCATAAAAGCACCGAAAGAATTTAAAAATGCACTCATTGTGCATGCAAAGGAATAGCTAGAACCTGCATGGGTGAAAGGCAATTTGAGGAAGGATGACTTCAAAGCAATAGTAAAGTAGTCAGTTGAAAAGGTGCTTCGCTCCTTCCAGCCTCTCAATGCCTCTATGCTCAGCACAAGCGAGAAAATGAAGTCGTTTATTTCTTCATCTGAAGCCAAAATTAACAAGCTAGTGCAGGTCAGTCTGTAAATCTGGCTATGTTCGACTAATATTCAGTAGTAGTTATCAATGTGATTCTTCTTTTGATTGAATCGTGGTTTATTCCGTTGCAGGGGTACATTGATATTTATCGGAAATCTTGAGATTGCTGGGCCACAAGTTTGTCGGTTATTGGTACCTGTTCCAAAGTAAATCTCTAACCCTTCTTAGCTGGCATTACTTTAATCTTTTTGGATCAGGCTTAAGACAGCTTGATAAAATTGGATTGCTATGTTCAACGTGTCCTATGTTTTGATGATATTTGGATTTAAAGATGCCTTAACATAATGTGCATAGAAGATATATGTTATGTTAACAAATTGTGTATAATGTCGTACTGTGTTGTTGCAAATGTCGACCCCCAAAATTATCATACAAAAATTTCTGATGAATTCTATTATCCACTTGGTTAGCGTTCTAAATTTATTTCTCTTATTTTACAGTTTTACTTCGATCTGGATTTTTAGAGTTGAATTTGTAGGATTTTTTATACACTTTAATTGTCCTCTAAATTTATTTCTCTTATTTTACAGTTATTCATTTATCTGAATTTTTAGAGTTCAATTTTTGGGATTTTTTTATGCACTTTAATTTGTGTATTCTAGGTTTTGCCTGGAGTATTAAGATACTAAACAGTTTGTTCACTTGCTTTAGGGAAATTATCAATTATAGGTCCATTCATCATGGAATATATATTGAATATGGAAAGTATACTGTCCTTTATTACTTGCGAATCAATTAAGTTCAAATGAAGCAATGTAATCCACTGCTATTGGTCGGTTCTAATGTTTTTCATGATAAAAAATCTTAGAGTGAAAATCAGGCTTAAGACAGCTTGATAAAATTGGACTGCTATGTTCAACAATTCCTATGTTTTGATGATATCGGGTTTTAAAGATGCCTTAACATAATGCATTGATGATATATGTTCTTTTAACGAATTGTGCATAATGTCATGCTGTGTTGATGCAAATGTCGACCACCAAAATTTTCATACAAAAATTTCTGTTGTATTCTATTGTCCACTTGGTTAGTCGTCTAAGGGTGTGTTCTTTTATCACAATTTCTCATATTTCTACTATTGATAAAAAAATTTCCCCCAAAAAATATCAAATCAAATATCTATATTTTTTTATATTATACTAAAAATCAAATTTGCATTCAAAACATCACATCAACACCTATTATACAACTATTTCAATTCAAAAATTTTACTATTCAAATTCCAACAAAAAATCCGAACTCCCGAACAAAACACCCTAAATTTATTTATCTTATTTTACAGTTTTACTTTGATATGTATTTTTAGAGTTGAATTTGTAGGATTTTTTATACACTTTTATTTGTCCTATAAATTAATTTCTCTTATTTTACCGTTTTTCTTTGATATGGATTTTTAGAGTTGAACATGTAGGATTTATTATACACTTCGCCAAAAACATTTTATGCACTGTTATCAAAATGTTCTTACAATATAGAGTAATGATTACATTAATCATATTCTATGTTGTCCAATAAATACTTAATAAACGTTGACCCTGTTTAAATAGTTTTAAGTACAGCAGATTGTCAAAGTTGTGCGATCCCTTTCATCGCTTTTTGATCTCGTACTATTCGACTGGACAGGACTGACTGTGACCGACTGCGACGCCTGTCACTGTCAGTGTCTGTAAGAGTATAAAAAAGGCGTTTCATCAGACACCAACCCACAGCATCACTCCTTCATCTTTCTCCGCCGCTGCCGCTGCCTGTGTTTCTCTGTGCCTGACCCACCTTCGAATGGCTTCGTTTGCACCGTCTGGACCATCCACCTCCGGCAGGCGTGTCAGGGAGGCGGATACCGGAGACGAAAGAGATCCAAGTCGCGAGATAAGTGGAGGAATTGGTAGTGTACTCATCCTCGGTTCTATTGTTTTTTATTTCCCTAAATGCTTAGTTTATCGAAGATGCTTGCTTTAATTGTGACGTCCTTTCGTTGTGGGACTCAAGTGGTGTTTTATTTTATTTTTCTTGCTTGATCTGGTTGTGTCTGAAGGAATCCTTGTTCCCGTGTTTGGAGGTTGATGATGCGTTTTTTTTTTCTTTCCCTGATTTGATTTTAGTTCGATGTGTTGTTTTTGTGTGTTTGAGCTTTGATTTCTTTTTTGTGCACTGAAATGGAAATTCAAGAAAGTGCAAGGCAAGTGCCTACAGGCTACAATGAGCAATCTATTTGATATTTTAATTGGTCATATACCTTTCGAATTAGTTAAAAATGCTGTTAATTGTAGTGCCTCACTTATACTGGAAGTAAACCCTCATTGTGCTTGTGAAGGAATTGCTGGAACCTGCATGGGAAAAAGGCATTTTGAGGAAGGATGACTTCAAAACAATTGTAAGGAAGTCATTTGAAAAGGTGCTTCGCTCCTTCCAGCCTCTCAATGTCCCTATGCCCAGCACAAGCGAGGAAATTAAGTCATTTATTTCCAAATCTGAAGCCTAACCAACAAGCTTGTGCAGGTCAGTCGGGAAATTTGGTTATGTTCGACTAATAGTCAGTAGTAGTTATCACTGTGATTCTTCTTTTGATTGAATTCTTGTTTATTTCCTTTGCAGGGGTACATTAATATTTATCGAAAATCTTGAGATTGCTGGGCCACAAGCTTGTCAATTTTAGTACCTGTTGCAAAGTAAATCTCTAACCCTTCTTCGCAGGCATTACTTTTATCTTTTTTTGTTCAGGCTTAAGAGAGCTTGATAAAATTTGATTGCTATGGTCAACAATTCCTATGTTTTGATGATATTTGGATTTAAAGATTCCTTGACATAATGTGCATTGATTATATATGTTATGTTAACGAATTGTGCATAATGTTGTGCTGTGTTGATGCAAATTTCGACCCCCAAAATTTTCATAAAAATTTCTGGTGAATTCTATTATCCACTTGGTTAGTGTTCTAAATTTATTTCTTTTATTTTACAGTTTTAGTTTGATTTGGAATTTTAGAGTTGAATTTGTAGGATTTTTTATTTACTTCAATTGTCCTCTAAATTTATTTCTCTTATTTTACAGTTTTTCATTTATCTGGATTTTTAGAGTTCAATTTGTAGGATCTTTTTATGCACTTTCATTCGTGTTTTCTAGTTTTTGCCTGGAGTATTAATATACTAAACAGTTTGTTCACTTGCTTAAGGGAAATTCCAATGATAGGCTGATTAATAATGGAATATATAATGAATATGGAAAGTATACTGTCCTTTTTTACTCGCAAATTAATTAAGTTTAAATGAAGTCATGTAATCCACTGAACCGATCGGTGCTCTAAAGTTTTTCATGATCCAAAATCTTAGAGTGAAAATGTAAGAAACTATTTTGTATTCCCAAGCTGTTTAATACATAAGAGGGATCAATTGTAAGTTCTAGACTACTTTTGAAACTCTTATTAATCTGAAATTGTTGAGATCTATAATTGGAGCTATGAAGATTTTTACTTGATTTTTCTGTCTTTGCAATGCAGATAAAAATAAAATGGAAGATCGTATGAGAAGGATACATTCAAGCGCTGCCTTTCAGGGAAGATATGTTACCGGAATCCCTACAACATGGAGTGATGTTGACGACATGCACCCTTCAACATCAGGTAGGACAGAGTCTAATGATGAGGATATTTAGTATTTAATGATGTTGAGGTCTGATGTTTGTACAAATCTCTATTATTTTTAAATGATTCCCTTATGTCTGATAATGCAGAAAGTTATTGCACCGACATGGAAGCTTGAGAAAGTGCAAGGCAAGTGCCTCCAATGTGCAATCTGTTTGTTAATTTAATCGGCCATATACCTTAAAAATTAATTGAAAGTGATTGTAATTGTAGTGCCTCACTTGTACTGGAAGTAAACCCTGATGATAACTTTGTTTCTTAGGTCATCTAGTCTAGAGCTATGGTTGAGAGATTCGGCAGGTGTCTCTAGCTCTACCACCGTAACCAGCACTGGCAGCAGCACCAGCACTGGAACCTGCACGAAGCTGCCCATTCCCTGCGATTTTCATGCCAAAGGGTGGTGTATTCGCGGGGAATCATGCAGGTTCCTTCATTCCGATCAAAGGCTGGTTACGTTCAAGAAAGTATATTATTTTTATTTTAACATTTAACCTAATCTAATATATGTAGCTTTATTTGAATTTCATCTGACGATCATATATTTTCCTTTTTTTTTTTGTTGTTTTGGTGGTGGAGGGGTCTGTGCCGGACACCGGAGAGGAAAGAGCTCCAATTCGCCGGAGAAGCGGAGGAAGCGGTAGTTTACTCATCTTCGGTTCTATCATTTTGGATTCCCTAAATGCCTAGTATATCGGAGATGCTTGCTTTAATTGTCATGTCTTTTCGTTGTGGGACTCACGTGATGTTTTATTTTCATTTTTTTGCTTGATCTGGTTGTGTCTGAAGGAATCCTTGTTCCCATGTTTGGAGGTTGATGATGCATTTTCTTTTTTGTTAGGAGTTCGATGTGTTGTTTTTGTGTGTTGGAGCTTTGATTTCATTTTTATGCACCGAAATGGAAGTTCATAAACTGCAAGGCAAGTGCCTCCGATGTGCAATCTATTTGTTAACTTAACCGGTCATATACCTTACGAATTAATTAAAAGTGATTGTAATTGTAGAGCCTTACTTACACTGAAAGTAAACCCTGATGATAACTTTTGTTTCTTAGGTCACCTAGTCTAGAGCTATGGTTGAGAGATTCGACAGGTGTCTCTAGCTCTACCACCATAACCGGCACTGGCAGCAGCAGCAGCACCGGAACCTGCACGAAGCTGCCCATTCCCTGCGATTTTCATGCCAAAGGGTGGTGTATTCGCGGGGAATCATGCAGGTTCCTTCATTCCGATCAAAGGCTGGGTACGTTCAAGAAAGTATATTATTTTTATGTTATTTAACCTAATCTAAGGTTAGGTAATATATGTAGCTTTATTTGAATCTCATCTGACAATCATATATTTTCCTTTCTTTTTTGTTTTGGTGGGGTGGGGGGTGTCTGTGGCAGCTTGAAGCAACTCCGAGCTCAGCTTATTCAGAAGTAATATTAGGTATTTTCTTCCTTAAAAAATGTTTCTTTAATTGTGAGCAATAGTATAAAAGGAATGTCTAGTAAGAGGAGAGATACTGTGCATTGATTGTAGGATTATTGATATTTCGAATTCTGATTCCAGATATAATTTATATTTGTTCATTCTTTTTCAGAATCGATCCAGAGTCCTATTCGTTTCCGCAAGTGAGTTTGACAGTTTTGGGTTCATATGATTGGAAACCATCATTCCCATTTATCCCATCTCATCATATAACTAAAATCTTATTAAAGAAGGAAAATTTGGACAAAAGCTTTCCCGACTATGGCTTGTGCAGCAGGAGTGGTTCACAAAGTCAGGTTAGTACTATGCTGGATATGGAGGTTTTAAGTTTGTTCATGTTGTTTGTATCATGGGTGACAATGCATTGAACTCTAGTTATCATAATGATTTAAAGTTTTTCTGCTGGAACAGAGGTTGGATCTGAAGATTGATGAGTCTAAAGTGAAGGATGGGACAGGTGCTGATGTAGCAGGCATAAAAGCACCGAAAGAATTTAAAAATGTACTCATTGTGCATGTGAAAGAATTGTTGGAACCTGCATGGCCGAAAGGCAATTTGAGGAAGGATGACTTCAAATCAATAGTAAAGAAGTCAGTTGAAAAGGTGCTTCGCTCCTTCCAGCCTCTCAATGCCCCTATGCCCAGCACAAGTGAGGAAATTAAGTCATTTATTTCTTCATCTGAAGCCAAAGTTAATAAGCTAGTGCAGGTCAGTCGGTAAATCTGGCTATGTTCAACTAATAGTCAGTAGTAGTTATCTATGTGATTCTTCTTTTGATTGAATTGTGGTTTATTTCGTTGCAGGGTTACATTGATATTTATCAGAAATCATGAGATTGCTGGGCCACAAGCTTGTCGGTTATTGGTACCGGTTCCAATTGAAACCCTGATGATAACTTTGTTTCGTAGTTCAGCTAGTCTAGTGCTATGGATGAGAGATTCACTGGTGTCTCTAGCTCTAGCACTGGCACTGGCACCGGCTCCAGCACCGGAACCTTCAAGAAGCTGCCCTTTCCTCGCGAATTTCATTCCAAAGGTGGTGTCCTCGCGGGGAATCTTGCAGGTTCCTTCATTCCAATCAAAGGCTGGGTACGTTCAAGAAAGTTTATTATTTTTATGTAAACATTTAACCTAATCTAATGTTAGGTAATATATGTAGCTTTATTTGAATCTCATCTGACGATCATATATTTTCCTTTCTTTTTTGTTTTGGTGGGGTGGGGGGTGTCTGTGGCAGCTTGAAGCAACTCCGAGCTCAGCTTATTCAGAAGTAATATTAGGTATTTTCTTCCTTCAAAAATGTTTCTTTAATTGTGAGCAATAGTATAAAAGGAATGTCTAGTAAGAGGAGAGATACTGTGCATTGATTGTAGGATTATTGATATTTCGAATTCTGATTCCAGATATAATTTATATTTGTTCATTCTTTTTCAGAATCGATCCAGAGTCCTATTCGTTTCCGCAAGTGAGTTTGACAGTTTTGGGTTCATATGATTGGAAACCATCATTCCCATTTATCCCATCTCATCATATAACTAAAAACTTATTAAAGAAGGAAAATTTGGACAAAAGCTTTCCCGACTATGGCTTGTGCAGCAGGAGTGGTTCACAAAGTCAGGTAAGTACTATGCTGGATATGGAGGTTTTAAGTTTGTTCATGTTGTTTGTATCATGGGTGACAATGCATTGAACTCTAGTTATGATAATGATTTAAAGTTTTTCTGCTGGAACAGAGGTTGGATCTGAAGATTGATGAGTCTAAAGTGAAGGATGTGACAGGTGCTGATGTAGCAGGCATAAAAGCACCGAAAGAATTTAAAAATGTACTCATTGTGCATGTGAAAGAATTGTTGGAACCTGCATGGCCGAAAGGCAATTTGAGGAAGGATGACTTCAAATAATAGTAAAGAAGTCAGTTGAAAAGGTGCTTCGCTCCTTCCAGCCTCTCAATGCCCCTATGCCCAGCACAAGTGAGGAAATTAAGTCATTTATTTCCTCTCTGAAGCCAAAATTAACAAGCTAGTGCAGGTCAGTCGGAAAATCTAGTTGTGTTCGACTAATAGTCAGTAGTAGTTATCTATGTGATTCTTCTTTTGATTGAATTGTGGTTTATTCCGTTCCAGGGGTACATTAATATTTATCGGAAATCTTGAGATTTCTGCCTTGCTGGGCCACAAGCTTGTTAATTTTTCGTTCCTGTTCCAAAGTAAATCTCTAACCCTTCTTCGTAGGCATTACTTTAATCTTTTTGGATCAGGCTTATGACAGCTTGATAAAATTGGATTGCTATGTTCAACAATTACTATGTTTTGATGATATTTGGATTCAAAGATTCCTTAACATAATGTGCATTGATGATATATGTTATGTTAACGAATTGTGCATAATGTCTTTTTGCTGTGGGACTCGCGTGATGTTCGATTTTCATTTTTCTTGCCTGATCTGGTTGTGTCTGAAGAAATCCTTGTTTCCAAGTTTGTAGGTCGATGATGCGTTCTTTTTTGGATCTGATTTTAGGGCTTTTGTTTGTGTTGATTGTTTTCATGTGTTTGAGCTTTGATTTCATTCTTGTGCCGTGATCTAGCCATCTTAGCAGAACAGCCCCAACGCCTGATCCTCAATTGAGAGGATGAGCATAAAAAAATGATTTATAACCCCTTGCATTTAAAGCCAAAGATGTTGATGTCGTTGCTGTTTTTGCAAGCTAAAAAAGCAAGTTTTGAGTTCTTTTAGATTTAGGGTTGCATGTAGGTGAATTATAACTTGTTGGTTGGCAGAAGAATTAATTGGGTGGATTTAAAGTGAATCTAGTTTTTTGGATTTACGCGTGTAAATTGTGTGGACGGATAACGTACTTCAACAAACTTCAGATTTAAAACAATTGCGAAAAGTTGGGCTTTGGTTGCCACCTGTCCCTGTCAAGAGAGTGATGTATCCATTTTATCAGTGTGAGGGCCTTGAAGTTGTTATGACTGTTCGTTGCAGATACGACAAGGATATTTAATAGATAGTTCGGTTAAGATGTGATCAGTTTATTTGATTTCATTTAAGGGAAGTTACCAATGGTAGGTTGATTAATCGTGGAATATGTAATGAATATGATAGTATACTGTCCTTTATTACTTGCGAATTAATTTAGTTTAGATGAAGTCGTGTAATCCCCTGGAACTGGTCGGTGCTCTAAAGTTTTTAATGATCCAAAATTTTAGAGTGAAAAGTAAGAAACTATTCTGTATTCCTGAGCTGTTTAATACATAAGAGGGATCAATTGTAAATTCTAGAGCGCTTTTGAAACTCTTATTAATCTGAAAATGTTGAGAACAATAATTGGAGCTGTGAAGATTTTTACTTGATTTTTCTCTCTTTGCAATGCAGACATAACTCAAATGGAAGATCATATGGGAATGATACATTCAAGCGCTGCGTTACAAGGACGATTTTTTACTGGAATCCCTACAACATGGGGTGACGTTGACAACATGCACGCTTCAACATCAGGTAGGAACAGAGTCTAACGATGAGGATATTTAGTTTTTAATGATGTTGAGCCTGATATTTGTAAAAATCTCCATTATTTCTAAATGATGCCCTTATCTCTGATAACGCAGAAAGTTATTGCACCGACATGGAAGCTCGAGAAAGTGCAAGGCAAGTGCCTCCAATGTGCAATCTATTTGTTAATTTAATCGGCCATATACCTTACGAATTAATTAAAAGTGATTGTAATTGTAGTGCCTCACTTATACTGGAAGTAAACCCTGATGATAACTTTTGTTTCTTAGGTCACCTAGTCTAGAGCTATGGTTGAGAGATTCGACAGGTGTCTCTAGCTCTACCACCATAACCGGCACTGGCAGCAGCAGCAGCACCGGAACCTGCACGAAGCTGCCCATTCCCTGCGATTTTCATGCCAAAGGGTGGTGTATTCGCGGGGAATCATGCAGGTTCCTTCATTCCGATCAAAGGCTGGGTACGTTCAAGAAAGTATATTATTTTTATGTTATTTAACCTAATCTAAGGTTAGGTAATATATGTAGCTTTATTTGAATCTCATCTGACAATCACATATTTTCCTTTGTTTTTTGTTTTGGTGGGGGGCGGGTCTGTAGCAGCTTCAAGCAACTCCGAGCTCAGCTTATTCAGAAGTAATATCAGGTAATTTCTTCCTTCGAAAATGTTTCTTTAATTGTGAGCGATGGTATGAAAGGAATGTCTAGTAAGAGTAGAGATACTGTACATTGATTGTAGGATTACTGATATTTCGAATTCTGATTCCAGATATAATTTATATTTGTTCATGCTTTTTCAGAATCGATCCAGAGTCCTTTTCTTTTCCGCAAGTGAGTTTGACAGTTTTGGATTCATATGATTGGAAACCATCATTCCCATTTATCCCATCTCATCATATAACTAAATACTTATTAAATAAGGAAAATTTGGACAAAAGCTTTCCCGACCATGGCTTGTCCGCCAGGAGTGGTTCACAAAGTCATGTTAGTACTATGCTTGATATGGAGGTTTTAAGTTTGTTCATGTTGTTAGCATCATCTGTGACTATGCATTGAACTCTAATTATCATAATAATCTAAATTTTTTCTTCTGAAACAGAGGTTGGATCTGAAGGTCGATGACTCTGGAGGGAAGGATGGGACTGGTGCTGATGCAGCAGGCATAAAAGCACCGAAAGATTTTGAAAATGCACTCATTGTGCATGTGAAGGAATTGCTGGAACCTTCATGGGCGAACGGCTATTTGAGGAAGGATGACTTCAAAGCAATTGTGAAGAAGTCAGTTGATAAGGTGCTTCGCTCCTTCCAGCCTCTCAATGCCCCTATGCCCAGCACAAGTGAGGAAATTAAGGCATTTATTTCCTCATCTGAAGCCAAACTAACAAGCTAGTGCAGGTCAGTCGGTAAATCTGGTTATGTTCGACTAATAGTCAGTAGTAGTTGTCAATGTGATTCTTCTTTTGATTGAATTCTGGTTTATTTCCGTTGCAGGGGTACATTGATATTTATCGGAACTCATGAGATTGCTGGGCTACAAGCTTGTCAATTTTAGTACCTGTTGCAAAGTAAATCTCTAACCCTTCTTCGCAGGCATTACTTTAATCTTATTTGGTTCAGGCTTAAGACAGCTTGATAAAATTGGATTGTTATGTTCCTATGTTTTGATGATATATGGATTTAAAGATGCCATAACATAATGTGCATTGATGATATTTGTTATGTTAACGAATTGTGCATAATGTCGTGCTGTGTTGATGCAAATTTCGACCCCCAAATTTTTCATAAAAAAATTTATGATGAATTCTTTAATTCACTTGGTAAGTGTTCTAAATTTATTTCTCTTATTTTACAGTTTACTTTGATCTGAAATTTTAGAGTTGAATTTGTAGGCTTTTTAATACACTTCAATTGTTCTCTAAATTTATTTCTCTTATTTTACAGTTTTGCTTTGTTCTGGATTTTAAAAGTTCATATGCACTTCCATTTGTTTCTTCTTGCTTTTTGCCTGGAGTATTATGATACTAAACGGTTTGTTCACTTGCATTTTTTTTCTCTCAGTTTTCTTCTTTTCAATCTACTACTCTTTCTAAACAAATATTGAATATCGGCTTCAAAAACAGAAAAATAACAATCACAAGTGAACAAATTCTAAATAAACAACAGCTTTAACATGTCAAGCTTATATATTTACATGCACAAAGCTGAAAAGTATGTGATAAATGCTTCCTCAAACATTTTAAAAAATAATAATTTACCATTTGGTGCTTAGCACCATGTACAACATGACGATATATGTGCATGATATGAGCTGAATAGGCAATTGTCTTAAATCACCTACTTTATACTTTGTGCCAGACATCAGCTTAAATAATGGGTAGAGCTTATGAACTTAACTAATAGCTACCATTTAAAATAAAATTTATACAGTAATAAATTTGTTCACTTTAAACAAACAAGAATCACTTCTTTGCCTTCGACACATGATTTTAGGTTAGCATGATTTAACATCATTAAAACAAATGTTCAATTTAACTACATAATACAGTATAAGTGATTAGGTACATTTATAGTGTGGGGAATCATGTAGATTTTTTCATTCTGATTAAGTACATTCTACAGGACAGTATTTTATATTTGTATGATAACATTTAACTTAATCAAATGTTAGATGTCATATGTAGCCTTATTCGAATCTTATTGGTGATCATATATATATTTTTTGTTTTATTTTTGTTTCTGTGGCAGCTTCAAGTGACTCTGGAGTTCATCTTATTCACAATTAATATCAGGTATTTTCTTCCTTCAGAAATGTCTCTTTCATTGTGAAAAGGCACGGCAATCACAACAAGGTGACTTAAATGCTATTTTGGTACCATGTTCTTTTCTTGCATCCTAGAATGCAGTTTTTGCCTTTATTGTAACTTTGAAGGTTTGAGTGCTTCACATTTGATCTTCCAGCATGAACTCAAAATAGGTGATTTTGAAGAAAATAAATAACTATGTCAATATTTGGGAATTCGATGTTGGGTACTGACTGTTATTGTTTCTTTTGCCTGTGGGCGCCCTCTTAACATTGGCTTATCAGTTAAAAACTCCCCACCTTGGGAACCTTTTCTGGAACCTAGGCTGGACCGTCTGAATTCAGACATGGGCTGTACTTCTTCACTTCAGATCCTATTTCTCTAAAACTGTACTCAAATGAGTGCTCCTGGATCCAAACAGTGCCCGAAAATGAAATCGCCCCACTTGATGAAAAATCTACTCTTACCACAGAGCATTTCCCCCAGGTACTCTTTACTTTTGTATCTGCAGCTTGAGATTCCGGGCTGGATGCTATTTGGACATCCTAGTTTGGCTCATCGGAATCTGTAGCTGTCTATGTTTAGCTTTCCCAGCTGGTGCATCTTCAGTCTATGCGGTAATCCTTTCATTTACATAAGTTAACCCCATCCCATATATCGATTGAAATTTCGTCCAGCGTGATAACATCAGGTAAGCAAAAATCTCTAACTGTTACAGTCGCCAGGGCAGCTTCTGGTTCTTACAAATATTCTACAGAATTGACATTTTCACATGTGTGCAGGATTGAAGTATAGAGCTCTTGTGAATATTGTTTCCTGTATTGAATTAAATAACCTTTGCAGTTTATTTGAGATTCTGTGACAGGTGAGGAAAAAAGTGCGAGAAGAATGAGCTGCAGAAATGAGCGACTGTATTGATGTGTACGAGGCTGATTCCACGGAGGTTTATTTTGTTCGACATTTATTTGGGTCTAGACTTCTTATTAATTTGAATATTCCTAAATCAGTGTTATGTCATGTAATAAAAGAACAATTTACATCCAAGATTGAGTATCCCCTGGCACCTACTGAGTTTCTTCGCCTCTCCAGAGTTCACAAATAATTTATGGAATGGCTAAAAGATAATTTATCGATTAAATACCAAATCCTAACTGACAGACGAAATTGATCAGCAAACCCACCAAAGCAGTGTGTTTGGCAATTCATCGCTTATGTTTTATATTTATAATTAAAATATATTAATTGTTTAATGTGGACCTAGCCCGTCTTAATGACTGCAAATTGAATAGAAATAATTGAGTCGTGGGGCCGTTGTCAAAGTCGCGGGTCCATTTCAACGCTTTTTGGCGACGCTGACGAATAATCTTTATCTTCAGCAAAATTGTAAAAAGCCAGACAAACCTAATCCGGAATGATTGTTTGTTTGTACGAGACGCTGACTGATTTTGACTTCGACGTCTGTAGGTGTCACTGTCAGTGTACTGCTAGGCCGAGATCGAAGAGAAAAGGACTTCTGTTCGCCATTAGAGCTGTAGTTTGCTCATCTTCGTTTCTCTGGGCTTTGATTTCTCTACTTGATTAGTTTATCTGAGATACTTGCTTGAGTTACCATGCCTTTCCGATGTGGGATGGATGCGATTTCCAGTTTCAACTATTTTCGCCTGATCTGGTTGTGTCTGAAGGAATCTGATTCCGAGTTTGGGAGTTTGGGATGGATGCCTTTTGTTTTTATTCATTTTATAAAATCTGATTTTAGAGTACTTCCTCGGTTTTTTTAGTTTTGTTTGTTTGTGCTTTGATTTCATTCTTGTACCATACCTTAGCAGAACGGCCCTAACGTTTGATACTCATTGGAGAAAATTTTGTAAGGCAGCTAGTGAATCTTGATTTTTTTTTTTGAATTAGGTTTGAATTTAGGTTATGATACCTTGTTGATTGGTCGAAGTGTTAAATGAATGGATTTTAGGTGAATCTAGTATTTTGTATTATAAGGGGTGAAGTGCGTGGATAGTCAAAATCCTTAAATGCGACTTCTAATTCAAGCCAATTGCCGAAAGTTCAGCCTTTAGCTAACACGTATCAGTTGCCACCTGTTGCTGTCAAGGGTTCTGAGGTATCCATATTGTTTACATGCTATTCATTGCAGAGACGACACGCATATTTAATGGATCGTGTAATGTAGATGATAATGGTCACCTGATTTAATTGTTGGGAAGTTATTAAGAGTGAGTCGATAATTATGGAAGAGTTACGGAAAATATAAAAAGTGTACTATCCTCTCACACTGACAGTTAAGTTTCAATGAAGCCATGTAATCCACTGGAGTCGGTTGGTGCTCTAGAGTTTTGTTCGCCCACAATCTTGAGGTGGATACGTAATCAAGTATATTCTTTGATACAATAGATTGTGCTTGTGATGATCTTGCACTAGTTTTCATAAATATTAGCAAATCAACAATTAGCAATGGTTGCTACTAGATTCCCTACTTTTTTAATTTATTCAATCCAATGATTTCTCATTTGTGCATCTAATATAGCATCGATGTATGGATGCTTCATTAATGGTATTTTTTTTGTTTATTAATGTCTATAATTATCATGCACACATGGAAGTGCTTGGCGGTGCAAAGTAAGTGCCTAGTTGCCAACAATGTCGAATCTTTACTAATTTCACCATATAGCTTAATATTTAGTTAGAATTGAAATTAACTCGTCGAACTTTGAATGCCAAAAAGCTGTCAGTTCCCTGCGAGTTTCCTGTGAAAGGCTGGTGTATCCGTGGGGAATCTTGTAGGTCCTTCATTCCGATAAAAGGCGGGGTACTCTTAACGAGATAGGTTAATATTATTGTTCTAATTGATATAGTTGACCTAATCAAACGTTAATATATGTAAACTTTATAAGTCTCACCAGAAGATCATAATATCTTGTTTTTCTGTGGCAGCTTCTTCACGTGACTTTATTCAACCACAACAAAGTTGTGGTAACATTAATTTTAGGTATGCTTCTTCTTCCTTTGCAAATGTTCCTTTATTTGGGAAACGTGGCACAAAGGGAATGCTTAGCAAGAGGAAACATAATGCTTAATAATTGTAGCATTGTTGATGTTTTGAATTCTCATTCAAGCATAAAAATTGGTTCATGCTTTTGCAGAATTAGTGCTGCATCATCTTCTTTGCAAGGGATTTCAAAGGTTTTTGGTTCTTATAATTATGAGCCATCAACCCATTCATTCCATCCCATGATACTACACGAAATATGTTGTTGAAGGAAAATAGTTCCAAAAGCTTTCCTAAACAGGGTTTATCTATTTGAAGTAGCTCACAAATTAAGGTTAGTATTACTCGCTACGAGGAGAGTTTATGTCCTATTCTTGTGATTATTATGAAAGATAATGCATTGAACGCATTGATTTTATATTTGATATGCTTGGACAGAGATTGGATCTGAAGGTTGATGGAAGGAGCGCACAGAAAGACTTTGAGGCTGCACCTGCTGTGCATGTGAAAGAACTGCCGGAACCTGCTTGGTCTAAAGACCACTTGAGAAAGGACAACTTCAAACTACTTGTGCAGAAGTCGGTTGAAAAGGTTCTCGCCTTGTTCCAACCTTATAATGTTCCTATTCCCAGCTCAAGTGAGGAAATTAAAAAGTTTATTGGCTCATTTTGGGTGAAACTTGAAAAGCTAGTTGAGGTCAGTCGCTTTGCTGAATGGAGGTTATGCTAACTAAGTAACTATTTGTTATTAGTGATTATCAGTGTAATTATCCTTTTGATTGAAGTTTGGGTTATTGACGTTGCAGGATCATAGTAAGATATAGCGGGAGCCTTGAGATTTCTGGGGGACAAGTTTGTACATAATCTTTACCTGACCTAAAGTAAATTTTTAACCTTCTTTATGGGCATTACTTAATTTTTGGGGGATCAAACCTAGGGCAGCTTGTTAAAATGGGACTGCCGTGTTCAACAATGCTATGTTTTGGAGGAAATTTGGATTTCAACATGGCAGAACATAATAACCCTTCTTTATGGTATTTTTTTCTGTTTAACAATGTTATGTTTTGGAGGAAATTTTACTATTTGGACTCTGCGTTTCCCGAAAAAAATACATTTTTTCTTCTCACAAAACATCTTATCAAACATTATTTTAATACCAAACTCAAACCAAAATTTTACCAAACTTATCAAAAGAAACATACCCTTAATGTCTATAGTTATCATGCGCATATGTAAGTGCTTGACAGTGCAAAAGAAGTGCCAACAATGTCCAATCGCTGCTAATTTCACCCTAAAGCTTCAGATTTATTAGTTGAATGTGATATTAATCACACTTGTCTGACTTTAGCAGTGCCAAAAAGCTGCCAATTCCCTACGAGTTTCATGCAAAAGGCTGGTGTATCCGTGGGGAATCCTTTAGGTTCCTTCATTCGGATAAAAGGGAGGGTACAATCAACAAGATAGGTATTTATTATTTTTCTAATTGAAGCATTCAACCTAATCAAATGTTACATAATATATGTAAGCCTTTATTCAATTCTCAAACGGAAAATCATAATTTCCTGTTTTACTGTGGCAGCATCTTCAAGTGACACTATTTAACCATAACAAAGTTGTGGTAAATTTAATTTCAAATATGTTTCCTCTTCCTTTGCAAATGTTTCTTTAATTGGGAAATGTGGCACAAAGGGAATGCTTAGCAAGAGGAGACATAATGCTTAATAATTGTAGGATTGTTGATGTTTTGAATTCTGATTCAAAAATAAAAAGTTGGTTCATGGTTTTGCTGAATTAGTGCTGCATCATCTTCTCCGCAAAGATTTCAAAAGTTTTTGGTTGTTATGATTATGAGGCATCAGCCCCATTCATCCCATCCTATGATATTACCTGAAATATGTTGTCGAAGGAAAATAGGTCCAAAAGCTTTCCTGAACAAGGTTTATCTATTAGGAATGGCTCACAAATTAAGGTTGGTGTTGTTCGTGATGAGGAGAGTTTAATTTGTGTTCATCTTGTGATCCGCTTGGACAGGGATTGGATCCTAAGGTTGATGGATGGAGAGCACAGAAAGACTTCGAGGCTGCACTTATTGTGCATGTGAAAGAACTTTTGGAATCAGCTTGGTCTAAAGGGCATTTGAGAAAGGACGACTTCAAACTAATTGTGCAGAAGTCGGTTGAAAAGGTTCTCGCCTCCATCCAACCTTATAATGTTCCTATTCCTAGCACAAGTGAGGAAATTAGGAAGTTTATTTGCTCATTTCGGGCTAAACTTGAAAAGCTAATTCAGGTCAGATGTTTTGCTGAATGGGGGTTATGTTAATTATTTGTTATTAGTGATTATCAATGTAGTTATCCTTTTGATTGAAGTTTTGGTTATTGACGTTGCAGGCTTATATTAAAATATACCGGAAGCGTTGAGGTTACTGGCAACAAGCTTGTACAGTAACTGACCCTGTACCAAAGTAAATCTCTAACTCTTCTTTATGGGAATTGATTTATGTTTTTGGGATCAGAATAAGATAGCTTGTTCAACAACTCCTAAATTTTGGGTCAAATTTGGATTTAAAGATGACTAAAGAAAATGTGGATTTATGGTACTTGTTCAATGAATTAATATGCATACTTTATGCTGCAACATGTTTTGCTTGTTGTGTTTATGCAATTAAGTGAACTAATTTTTCATTAGAAAGTTTTGTTAAATTTTCTTGGAAATTGTTTGTTGATGAATACTTATTTGCATTTCATGTGTTCTATGAATTTATTTTTCTACTTTTACTATTTTACATGATATGTATTTTTAGAGTTTTTTTTTTTTTTTTTTTTTTTTCTAGAGTTGAAATGATAGGATTCTCCTTTTATTTTTCCCTAATTGTGCAGAAGTCTCTTGAGAAGGTTACCTTATAATGTTCCCATTCCTAGCTAAAGTGAGGAAATTGAGGAGTTTATTTCCTCATTTTGGGTGAAACTTGAAATGCCAGTTCAGGTTTGTCGCTTATGTTATCTATTACTCCCTTCATCCCAATTTTTTTGTCCACATTATTGTAAATACAAAAATTTAGGTAAAGTATAATTAATAAGTAACTAAAAAGAAAAAAACAAATTATGTGGGACGAACCGAAATAGAAAATATGGACATTTTATGTGAGATGGAAATAGTAGTTAATAGTGATTATCAACGTAGTTATCCTCTTCATTGAAGTTTGGGTTATTGTCATTGCAGGATTATATTAAGATATGCTGGCCTGCCGGGAGCCTGAAATTTCTAGGGGACAACTTTGTACATAATCTGGTAATTTTTCTTTATTGTACATAATTATCGTGCGGACATGGAAATACTTGGCAGTGCAATGTAAGTGCCAACGGCCAATCTTTTCTAATTTCACTACGTAGCTTAAGATTTAGTTATAAGTGATATTAATCGCACTTGTCTTTTGTGCATTGGCAAAAACTGCCAATTCCCTGCGAGTTTCACGCAAAAAGCTGGTGTATCTGTGGGGGATCTTGTAGGTTCCTTCGTTCGGATAAACGGCATTATACAATCAATGCGATAGGTAAATATTATTGTTCTATTAAAGCATTCAACCTAATCAAATGTTAGGTACTATATATAGGCCTTATTCAATTCTCAACGGAAGATCATAATATGTTTTTTTCTGTGGCAGTTTCTTCAAGCGACTCTATTCAACCACAACAAAGTTGTGGTAAATTTAATTTCAGGTATGTTTCTTCTTCCTTTGCAAATGTTTCTTTAATTAGAAAACGTGGTACAAAGGGAATGCCTAGCAAGATGGGACGTAATATTTAATAATTGTAGGATTGTTGATGTTTTGAATTCTGATCAAGCATAAAAATTGGTTCATGTTTTTGCAGCATTAGTGAGGTATCATCTTCTCCCCGAGGGATTTTGAAATTTTAGGTTCTTGTGATTATGAGCCATCAACCCGATTCATCCCAGCCCATGATATTACCCGATATATGTTGTTGAAGGATAATAGGTCCAAAAACTTTCCTGAACAGGGTTTATCTATTAGGAGTGGCTCACAAATTAAGATAATGCATTGATTTTATATTTGATCTGCTCGGACAGGGATTGGATCCGAAGTCAGATTGAAGGAGAGCACAAAAAGACTTCGAGATTGCACTTATTATGCATGTGAAAGAACTGCTGGAACCTGCTTAGTCTAAAGGCCATTTGAGAAAGGACGACTTCAAACTAATTGTGCAGAAGTCGGTTGGAACAGTTCTCGCCTCGTCCCAACCTTATAATGTTCGTATTCCTAGCTCAAGTGAGGAAATTAGGAAGTTTATTTGCTCATTTCGGGCTAAACTTGAAAAGCTAATTCTGGTCAGTTGCTTTGCTGAATGTGGGGGTTATTTATTCTTTCTAAATTACTCTTATTTCTGATCATGCATAAAGTTATCGTGCCCACATAGAAGCGCTTGGCAATGCAAAGTAAGTACCACCAATGTCCGATCTCTGTGCTAATTTCATCATATAGCTTAAGATTTAAGTTAAATTTGATATTTATGTCACTTTGTCTGACTTTGGTGGTGCAAAAAAGCTACCAATTCCCTGCGAGTTTTACGCAAAAGGCTGGTGTATCCGTGGGGAATCTTTTAGGTTCCTTCATTCTAATAAACGGCAGTATACAATCAATGCGATAGATAAATATTATTTTTCTATTGAAGCATTCAACCTAATCAAATGTTACGTACTATATGTACGGCTTATTCAATTCTCAACGGAAGAAAACCATATGTTGTTTTTCTGTGGCAGCTTCTTCAAGCTACTCTATTCAACCACAACAAGTTGTGGTAAATTTAATTTCAAGTATGTTTCTTCTTCCTTTGCAAATGTTTCTTTAATTGGAAAATGTGGCACAAAGGGAATGCCTAGCAAGAGGACGTAATATTTACTAATTGTAGGATTGTTGATATTTTGAATTCTGATCAAGCATAAAAAATGGTTCATGTTTTTGCAGAATTAGTGAGGTATCATTTTCTCCCCCCAGGGATTTTGAAACTTTTAGGTTCTTGTGATTATGAGCCATCAGCCCGATTCATCCCAGCCCTTGATATTACCCAATATATGTTGTTGAAGGATAATAGGTCCAAAAGCTTTCCTGAACAAGGTTTATCTATTAGGAGTGGCTCACAAATTAAGGTTAGTGTTGTTCGCGACGAGGAGAGTTTAGTTCTGTTATTCTTGTGATTATTATGAAAGATAACGCATTGATTTTATATTTGATCTGCTTAGGCAGGGATTGGATCCGAAGTCAGACGGAATGAGAGCACAGAAAGACTTCGAGACTGCACTTATCTTGCATGTGAAAGAACTGCTGGAACCTGCTTGGTCTAAAGGTCATTTGAGAAAGGACGATTTCAAATTAATTGTGCAGAAGTTGGTTGAAAAGGTTATCGCCTCGTTCCAACCTCATAATATTCCTATTCCTAGCTCAACTGAGGAAATTAGTAAGTTTATTTGCTCATTCCGGGCTAAGCTTGAAAAAGCTAATTCAGGTCGGTTGCTTTGCTGTGGGGGTTATGTTAACTTTTTGTTATTAGTGATTATCAATGTAATTATCTTTTCGATTGAAGTTTTGGTTATTGACGTTGCAGGCTTATATTAAGATATACCGGAAGCGTTGAGGTTGCTAGCAACAAGCTTGTACAGTAACTGACCCTGTACCAAAGTAAATCTCTAATGCTTCTTTATGGGCATTGATTTATGTTTTTGGGATCAGAATAGGATATAACTTGTTAAAATTGGATTTCCCTTTTCAATAACTCCTACATTTTGGGTCAATTTTAGATTTTAAGATGACTAAAGAAAATGTGGGTTTATGGTACTTGTTCAGTGAATTAATGTGCATAACTTGTGCTGCAATATGTTTTTCTAGTTGTGTTGATGCAATCATGTGATAACCTTTTTTCGTATATAAAGGTTTTGTTAAATTCTTTCGAAAAATTGCCTTTTGATGAATACTTGTCTGTACTTCATGTGTTCTACTCCCTCTTAAATTTATTCCCACTTTCTTTTTTAGTTCATTCTATAAATTTATCTCATTACTAATTTTGGAATAGCAAACTACATTTAATTATTACCCTTCATTCAACACTTATCTACAACAAATATCACTACCTTTATTACATTTTCTTTCTTCATTTACTTTAGTTTCTAACGAAATTTCCAAAAATACCCCCGCCAATCTCTATACTTTTATCACTTTTTCAATAAAATATTTATTTTTCTTAGTCTTCACACCGGATCTAAATGGACTAATTTTAATGGACGGAGGGAGTATGAATTTTTATCTCTACTTTTACACTTTTACTTGATATGGATTTCTAGAGTTGAAATGATAGGATTCTCCATGGAGTTTTACTAATGTCTTGTTTTTTGTTCCCGAGATATGTAGGATAGTATAGTACTATACTTTGGAGGAAAGGATTGGATTATATAATTTTTGTGTGTTAATCAATACACAATTATCATACAATCCCATCCTATGAAGCATAGTAAACACACCTTCAATAAACAGCAAATGAACATGCTGAGAAAATACATTTACAAAGCTGGACAGCTTGCGAAAAAATGCTCTCTTGAACATTTCAAATTACTCCGAACTACCTCTTGGTGCTTAGCGGCATGCAACATGTTGATGTATGCGGTAGGTTTGATGTGAATTGGTAATAGTCATAAATTGCCTACTCTGATGCCCAAGTATCAAATATCAACTTAAATCAAGAACATATGAACTTAACTAATGGCAACCACAATAAAGTACAGTGCATCTTAAGTTTTAACTATTATAGTGATCGATTAATATATATATATATATAATGCCGTTTGAGTAAAAAAATAAATTCATGTTTCAAGGATTCAACATCTCATTTTGACATGGAGTAAAACATTTTTGAAAAGATATTCTTATATTTGGTAACAAAAAACAATTGAATCTTTAATTATTACCGAATCTTTTCATGTGTCCTTCTAGACCTACAATCTTGGCTTCTTCTGGAACTTTCAAGATTTGACTGCTTCACATTTGATCTTCTGGTATGGCCTCAAATGGGTGACTTTGAAGATAATATGTTGCCTATATCAATGTGTTTTGTTATTTGATGGTGTGTATTAACTGTTGTTTTTGTTGACTGGACGAACTTCGAATCTAAATTCGTCGTATTGTTTCTTCACTTTCAGATCATCTTTCTCTAAAGTCTGACTCTCCTGGATACCTAGAAGGATGGAAAATGAAAGTGAATCGCTTGATGAAAAATCTGCGGTCACATCTGAAGCCATTATCTTCGAATTGGAGCATTTCATTTACCTCACGTACACGTGCTTTTATATATGCCATTTGGGATCATGAGTGGATGCTATTTGGACATTCTAGTTTGGCTTATTGCAATCCTGTAGCTGTGTGTATGTAGCTTTCCAGTCCAGTGCATATTCGGACCATTCGGTAATGCTTTCCTTTTCTTTATATTTGTTGCCATTCATCCGTACATATTTCCTCCAGCATGGGGGGACATCAGGCTACCATAAATCTATTGCTGTTACAGTTGCACACAGAGCTTCTGATTCTTACAAAAATTCTATGGAATTGACACTTATATTGCAGGAGAGAACTATATATAAAGCAGTGAGACAATTTAATAATTTCCGCTGTTGAAGACAGCAGGCATAGCTTATACTTAACTACTAATGAGCTCTTTACGATGTTAAATTTTGGAGCACGGCTAACCTGCTACCTAGGAAATTCTTTTTGAAGATCTTTTAATAAATATTCTGAATCTTTCATCCGAGTTCTAAATCCCTGCTAGAAAATTCTAACCTTGGTAATATGCTAATGTAATTATATCTGGACATTCATGATGAATTCAACAAGGCTGGATGCTATAAAAACTTAACTGAGAGCAAATGGAATGAGGAAGATTGTTTCTGGTGCTGTGTAGGTTCCTCTGCTCACTCTATCGTTTTCATGTGTCCTTCTAGATCTACAATTGTGGCTTCTACTGAAATTTAGCTGCCTCAACTTTGATCTTCTTTTGCAGCCTCCCATGGGTGATTTTGAAATAATATATTACGTATATCAATTTGTTTTAGAATTTAAACCAGGGCTCTTGTTTCTGCACACTTTTGGATCATCTTTCTTCAAACTAACGTGAGTTATTGAAATCTGCTCCTGATATAAGGAAGCCGGTGGCGAAAAGTCTGTTGTCACATTGAAAGCATTGTCGTTGAACTGGAGCATTTATCCCAGGTACGCCTGCTTTTTTTTTTTTGATCGAACAGGTACGCCTGCTTTTTTTTTTTGATCGGACAGGTACGCCTGCTTTTACATCTGCAGCCTGTGGTTCCTGTGGATGATATATGAATATCCGAGTTCGAAACTTGTGGCAATCTTGTAGCTGTGTGGACGTAGCTTTCCCATCTGCTGCATCTTCTGTACATTTGTTATTGCTTTCTTTTTTAATTATATACACATTTTGTCCAGCGTAAGGATATCAGGTAAGCAAGAATCTGAAAGAATATGAGTTGCGGAAATGAGTGAATGTATTGATGCGGACAAGGTTGAAGATGTGGGATTCTCCCAAAAAAACCTACCTGAATTGCTGTGTCTGGACCGCGGCGGATTTCCCGATGCAAGACCTGTTGGGCATTTGTTCTTCATTTTGGCGGCTGCCCTGAAGAAGCGGCCGCCGTCGTGGCCTCGAGACAACCATGGCAAGGGAAGGACAACGTTGGACCTCAGCGATGCACACTTAACACAGGTGACCATGTTAAAGTTTTCATTTTTATCGTTTCTTTAAATTATGAATTCGAACGAATTTTATTCCGTGTTTGTATGCGACGGAAAGCACTTGCCAGTTAAGATTTGAGGGGAAAGAAATTAATTAATTAATTAATTAATATACTGATGCCACGTCATCGTGTAGCTCTGTGTGACTGTCTGATATAGTTTACTACGGACAATTAATTATTCAGGTTTGAATATTCAATGCAGACCTTAATGATTGCTGCATGAATAAATCAATTAATTAGCAAAGTCGTGCCTCCCTTCCAACGATTTTTGGTGTCGTCAAATAATTTTCAATACGAATCTATTGTTTGTACGAGACCATGATTTTGACTGACTATGACTGACTCACGACTTTGGCTGTCAGTGTCAGGTGCGGGGTATATAAATGCGGTGCTGACACTGACACCGAAACATTTCACACTGTCTAGACGCCTAAACATTTGCGTTAGCTTTCTTACAGGACACCGCCGCCGCTAGCTGCATTTCTCTCTACCCTACCTCCTACCCCAATGGCCTCATACCCACCGTCTCAACCCACCACTTCCGGCAAACGTGTCAGGGAGACAAGGATCGGGCATAGTGGGATCGAGATCACAGAGGAAAGAGCTGCTATTAGCCAAAGAAGCATTGGAAGCGGTAGTTTCTTCATCTTTGGTTCTCTGGATTTCTATTTCTCTAAATGTTTAGTTAATCCGTGATGCTTTGTCTCAATACAGTGCCCTTAGTTGTAATTTGGTTTTTTTGCCTCCACTTTCTTGCCTGATCTTGTTTTGTCTGGAGCAATCTCTCGTTTGTTTTTCTTCCTTTTATTTGAATCTGATTCAAGAGTTCCTTTGATGTTGTTTTTGTTTTGCCTGCTGCTTTGATCTATTTCTTGTACTGTGACTGATCTGGATATCTTAGTTGTAAGGCCCCAGCGTTTGACATACAATGGACAATACGAGCATGGAAAAATGTTTTATAACTTCTTACATTTAAGAAAAAAAACATGTACTTGCCGTTATTTACATAATGCTACAAGTTGGTTGCGGATGCCTTTCAGAAATGGGAATTAATGGAAGGATTGTAGGTGGATCTAGTTTTTTGGATTTAAATGGGTAACCTGTGTATCTTATTTCATACATGGGATAAACTGTGTGGGTAAAACTTCTAATTTGTTTCCTTCCACCAAAAATTAGCCCTTTAGTCCTACACATCGGTTGCCACCTCTCCTGTCTCTGCTGGAGACATCTTGAAGCTGTCGTGTTATAGCTATTTGTTATAGATACGACAACATCTTGAAGCTGTCGTGTTATAGCTATTCGTTTTAGATACGACAGAGACATTTAATAGAATAATGGATAATGCTTACTTAGATGTGATTACCTATTTGATTAATTGTGGGGAAGTTATTAATGGTGGGTTGATAATTATGGAAAATTTAATGAATATGAAAAAGTGATTGTATGCTCGGAAATTAAATAAATATAAATGAAGTCTCGTAATCCAATAGAGTTGGTCGGTGCTCTAAAGTTTTCATGACACAATCTTAGGGTGGAAAACTGGAAATTTAATAAAGTATAGTAGATTGTGGTTAGACAACATTGGTTTTTGCTCATAAGTATTAGGAAATCGACAATTGGCAATGGTCGTTGGCTATGGACTAACTTGTAACTTTGGCTTTTTTGGTTTAACATAAATATCCCAAAGATTTACCTAACTTTATGGAGTAAATCAAGCTGGTAGTGGTCCCACACCCCGATATAGCTCCTTCACGCATTTCAATTATGTCTTATTCAATATTTTGGTTTCACATTTACGCATCTAATATAGACATTGATCTATTGGTGCATCATTAATGGATTCTTACAACTCAAGTAAGTTTCTAATTGCCATTATTTGTATTTTGTATCCTTTTTAGCACTTTTTTCCCCCAATATATTGTTTTCTTTCTCTTTCTAGAAAATGATTAAAGAAAGCAGAGTGAACTTTGGAAGACTTTGATAAATATGAATAAGTGCATTATGCTCTCATAGGCTGAAGTTCTAGATAAAGTTGCAAAACTAGTTTAATGAGGTCTGAAACTTGTGATAATATTTATTATTTCTAAATCACTCTTATTTCTGATAATGCAGAAAGTTATCGGGACCACATGGAAGCGCTTGGCAGTGCAAAGTAAGTACCACCGATGTCCGATCTCTGTGCTAATTTCATCATATAGCTTAAGATTTATTTAAATTTGATATTTATCGCACTTGTCTGACTTTGGCAGTGCAAAAAAGCTGCCAATTCCCTGCGAGTTTCACGTAAAAGGCTGGTGCATCCGTGGAGAATCTTGTAGGTTCCTTCATTCGGATAAACGACAATATACAATCAATGCGATAGGTAATATTAATTTTCTTCAAATGTTATGTACTATATGTAAGTCTTATTTAGTTCTCAAGGGAAGATCATAATATATTGTTTTTCTGTGGCAGCTTCTTCCCGCGACTCTATTCAACCACAACAAAGTTGTGGTAAATTTAATTTCAGGTATATTTCTTCTTCCTTTGCAAATGTTTTTTTTATTGGGAAACGTGGCAAAAAGGGAATGCTTAGCAAGAGGAGACGTAATATTTAATAATTGTAAGATTATTGATGTTTTGAATTCTGATAAAGCATAAAAATTAGTTCATGTTTTTGCAGAACTAGTGAGGTATCATCTTCTCCCCCAGGGACTTTGAAACTTTTAGGTTCTTGTGATTACAAGCCATCAGCCCGATCCATCCCACCCCATGATATTAGGAGTGGCTCACAGATTAAGGTTAGTGTTGTTCGCGATGAGGAGAGTTTAGTTCTGTTCTTCTTGTGATTATTGTGAAAGATAACGCATTGATTTTATATTTGATCTGCTTGGACAGGAATTGGATCCGAAGGTTGACGGAAGGAGAGCGCAGAAAAACTTCGAGGTTGCACTTATTATGCATGTTAAAGAGCTGCTGGAACCTGCTTGGTCTAGAGGCCATTTGAGAAAGGACGACTTCAAGTTAATTGTGCAGAAGTCGGTTGAAAAGGTTCTCGCCTCGTTCCAACCATATAATGTTCCTATTCCTAGCTCTAGTGAGGAAATTAGGAAGTTTATTTGCTCATTCCGGGCTAAACTTGAAAAGCTAATTCAGGTCAGTTGCTTTGCTGTGGGGGTTATGTTAACTTTTTGTTATTAGTAATTATCCTTTCGATTGAAGGTTTGGTTATTGACGTTGCAGGCTTATATAAAAATATACCGGAAGCGTTGAGGTTCCTGCCAACAAGCTTGTACAGTAACTGACCCTGTCTCAAAGTAAATCTCTAACTCTTTTTTATGGGAATTGATTTAGGTTATTGGGATTAGAATAGAATAGCTTGTTAAAATTGAATTTCCCTGTTCTACAACTCCTAAATTTTGGGTCAAATTTGGATTTAAAGATGACTAAAGAAAATGTGGGTTTATGGTACTTGTTCAGTGAATTAATGTGCATACTTTACGCTGCAGTGTGTTTTGCTAATTGTGTTTATGCAATCAAGTGAACCAATGTTTCATCTAGAAAGTTTTTGTTAAATTTTCTTGGAAATTGTCTGTTGATGAATACTTGTTTGCATTTCATATAGGGTGTGCAAAATATTTGAAATCCGTAAATTCGATCCAAATTTACAATTTGGTTTGGATTAAAATTTTTATAAATTTTAGATTTTTGGATCAGTTCGAATTGGTATACTAAAAATTCGAACCAATCCGAGAAATATAATATTTTCATATAGTTTTTTTATTATATATTTAATGTTCTAATAAAAATAAAAACTCAAAATTATTAATTATATTTTAATATACTTATTTTAATTTATTATATATATATATTTAATGTTACAAAACAATTATAAAAATCTGAAATAAATTTTTAAAAAATAATAAAAAAAAATAGAATTTCGGATTATTTCGTATTTTTCAGTTTGGTTCAGATTTTTCGTTTTGGTTCTGATTTTTTTGTTTGGATTTCGGATTTCGAATTTTCAGTTCGGATCTTATTGATTTTTTCAAAAAATTCGAATTTTTGGATCAGTTCGGATTTGGCAAAATAGGAACCGAAATCTGAATACTCACTCCTAATTTCATGTGTTCCATGAATTTATTTTTCTACTTTTACTATTTTACATGATATGTATTTCTAGAGATTTTTTTTTTTTTTTCATTTTTTTCTAGAGTTGAAATAATATGATTCTTGTATGCAGTTTTACTCATGTAATTATAGTATTATACTATGGAGGATAGGAAGAGGGTTTTTGTGTTTTAATTAATGCACAAGTATTTTATAATCTCATCCTATCAAGCATAGTAAACATGCCCTAAATAAACAGCAACCGAAAATGCTGAACAAATATATTTACAAAGTTTGATAGCTCATTGAAAATGTTTTATGAATATTTCAAAAGATTTCAAACTATCTGTAGGTGCTTAGCTGCATGCAACATGCTGATATATGCGCTAGGTTTAAAGTTGTAACAGTCATAAATCACTTAATGTAACACTCAGTATCAGATATCAATTTAAATTAAAAACTTACGAACTTAACTAATGGAGAGCACCATAAAGTACAATGTTTCTTTGTTAAGTTTAAAATATAGTTTATATAGTGATCCATTCATCTATATATTTACACATGTAGAATGCACTTTGAGTAAACAAAATTCATGTTTCATGGATCAACATCTAATTTCAACCTCCTTGAAAGTTAAAACTGTCCAAATGAACTACATCAAACTGATTGTCATTTTTTTTAATTTTTTTTTTAACAAAGATGCTGTTAACTTATGCTGAATGGTGCAAGCTAGTGAAAATTTAGCACATTTATAGGATTTTAATTACACACACATATATAAAAGCCATACATCTAGGGTTTGTTTATTTCGAAAGATAGAATTATAGGTCTGTTCACCCAGTTTTTTTGAATTGATTGATTTTTTGTATGTGATATGGAAAATTATATTAAAAATATAAAATATATTATTTTAAAATATTATTTTTGGGGAATTGCTATTCTAAAATAATTCTTGCATTAGCAGACCCATGGTACATAGGTTATTTTAATAAATTATATAATTAATTGATTAATTAATATAATGTTTGTTTTGTTTGATTAAATATTAGATAAAGTTTAATTTGTATTTACTTTCCTTGATTATATCGTATGATTATTCTTTTTTACTTTATAATAATACACTATAATTTAATTATGATATTATCAGGATGTATAATTTGATATTGTTTTTTTAATATTTATTAAATATATTTAATTTTATCTTCAAAATTATAAATTAGTATTAGCATTATATTATATTATATTTTTATCACTATTAAGAATAATTTAGATATTTCATTAAGTATGATTATATTATATTAGGGGAATGATTGAATTAATTATCCTCTAAATTCATATTATTGTATGAGTTTGTAGTTACATGGTATCCTAATACATCAAACATAGATATTATCCACCAGAATAAAACACCCATAATGTACAAAAGATTTGAACATATTCACTAATAAAAATCTTTAGTCAGGCATGCAACATCATACTTCAAAAAAATGTGACGCCATATTAATTCTTCAATGTTAACTTTGAACATTGCAAAAATCAAATAAAACTCCAATGAACACTTAAACAATATAATAAAGTTATTGCCTGAGCACTACATAATAATGGATGTAGATTTATGTCAAAATTCGACAATCGTATAGGACTTACCTTAGCTTTGCATACATGGTTTCTTAAGGCAATCTTTTATCAAGAGGAATCAGTCATTGTATGGTTTGTAGAAACAAATCATCTTGAATTAGAAATTTAATAAATTGAGGGATAGAACAAAGATGGAAAACATTTTTGAAAAGACATTCTTATATTTGGTAATAAAAAACAGTTGAATCTTTATTTATTACTGAATTTTTTATTTGGTAAGTTATAATAAATATTTAGATAAAGCATAAATAATTACAAAGTATTAAATATTAAACAAGTGCAAAGTATTAAAATTTAGAATCTTATTTATGTTAAGTTACAATGGAATCTTTATTTAATTGATATTCCGAGCTTGATAGTTTTGTGCATTCATACACAAGTACGAAATATTAGAATTTTTCGCTTCACATGCAAAATATAGTTCACTTATTTATAAAAGTAAATATGTTGCGTGGAGTCCTACATTCACACATGAACAGATTTTTAAAACTCTGATTGCTTGATTGATATAATAATGTATTAAGGATTTAGAATTCTATATGTATTTCACATAATCCAAATTTTAAAATATGTAATATACTATAAAAATAAGCTGCAGTAAACAATTTAAACACATACATATTATGCATTTTTTATTGGGCTAACTGATTATGAAGCAAACAGTGCTATCTTTTTTTTCTTTAACTTAAAAGTGATATACAATTTATTAAATTATTTAACCAATAGTTTGAGTAGTAATATACCATTTATTTGAACCCTTTCAGTAGTGATTTGTTTTTTTCTTGCTTGTGACATTTGTGTAGTGTGTATGCATAGTTATATTTGGGTATGTGTGATAAGTATGCAGGAATTTTAATTATAAGTAGTTTTTGCATATATATCAATGTTTGAATAAAATCAATAATTGTGTTCATACATAAATACTAAAGAAATATATATAAAGCAATATGAAATTATTTTTCATCAGCTGGAAAAAAAAAAAAAAGGCTCAGTTAATAGATCAACGAGTTTTTGTTTATGTGTCAAATTTGGGTCACACCTAACTTGCTACCTAGGGAATTCTTTTTCAATAACTTTTGATAAATATTTGGGAATTTTTTCCAAATTGAAAATTTCTATTAGAAACTTATGAAGCCATTTTAATATTTTTTTTGAACATCCAGGATGAATTTACCAAGGCTGGACTTTAAGAGTACTTTACTGAGCGCAAGTGATGAAAGAGGTTGATTTGTTGTGCTGTAAGTTATCCTCACTGCAGCATGTGGTTCCATGGTTGATCCCGGTGTAGAAGCATGGCAATCTCTGGAAGGTTTGGAAAATGATGAAAATATTATTTTGCCGAAACTCTAATCCTCTGCTCTGTTCTTTTCATGTGTCCTTCTAGACCTGCAATTTTGGCTTCTTCTGGAACCTTAAAAAAGATTTGACTCCTTCACATCGATCTTCTGGTGTGGTCTCGAATGGATGATTTTGAAGATAATATGTCGCCTATATCAATGTTGTTTTTGAATTTGATGGTGTGTATTAACTGTTGTTTTTTTTGTCTGGACGAACTTCTGAGTTTAAATTCATCCTCTTGTTTCTTCACTTTCAGATCATCTTTCTCTAAAGTTCGACTCAGATGAGTCATCTGATGTTGCTCCTGGATAAATAGAAAGCTGGAAAATGGAAGTGAATTGCTTGATGAAAAATATGGGGTCCCATCTTAAGGCATTTTCGTCTATTGGAGTGGCTCATTCACCTCAGGTATGCGTACTTTTATTATATATGCAGTTTGGGATCCTGAGTGGATGCTATTTGGACATCCCAGTTTGGCTTATTGCAATCTTGTAGCTTTGTGTATGTAGCTTTCCCATCAGGCGCATGTTCGGACAATTCGGTAATGCTTTCCTTTCATTTATTATATGTTCCCATTCGTTCATCCATACATACATTTTTCCTCCAGCGTGTGGGGACATCAGGTGAGCTAAAATCTGCTGCTGTTACAGTCGCACACAGAGCTTCTGATTCTTATAAAAATTATGTGGAATTGACACTTTGGTTTGCAGGATTTAAATATAGAGCTCGTGTTAAATGTTCCCAGCCTGTTTTGGATTAAATAAATTTTGCAGTGTTGGAAAGATCCTGTGATGGATCGGGAGAAAATGACTTGCAGAAATGAATTGCGTGAATTGATGCGTACGAGGTAATTAAGATGTGGGATTCTCCGAAATAAACCAACCTGAGTTGTTGTGTGGTTGTGTTTGGACGCCGGCGGTGCCTGGAGACGACGGTGGCAAGGGAAGGACAACTTTGGACCTCACCGCTGCACACTAACACAGGTGACCATCTTAAAGTTTTCATTTTTATTTATTTATTTATTTTAATTTATGATGGGTGCGACAGTGGAAGTAATAAATAAATAAATATATATGATGCAACGTCCGAATACAGCTGTAACTGATTTCTGATTTAGCTGTACAGTTATTAGGCCCAGATTTCAATGTATATTTGTTGTGAATGCCCAACAATTTTTATTATTAATCATTTACTTATTTTTATTAATGGGAACTTGCCATAGTGCGTTGTTTGAGTAGGAAACCTTTTGTTTCCAATTATTTTGTTCACATTTATCCACTTCGATTTAATACTCTGTGTTCAAAAAAAGTTTGTGTAGGTTAATCAATCAATATATAAGATAAAGTTGGATGAAAATTCTAGAATAATAAACATTGACCAACATGGACTAATTGAAGAGAAATAAGTAGAATGTATCTGAATGTGGAAATCACAAGTGCCAGATTTATTCATAATTATTCGTCGGTGCACTCGACTTATTCAAATCTTTGGTTGAGATTAAAGCCAAAATAGGAAATACCACCATATACGTAAAGCATACAATATGACTACTAACCTATATATATGAGATAAAAATCCACACATGTCATAATAGGCATTTTGATGGAGGCATTGTCTTGTCAGCAAATAACCAATTCATTTAATTTTTTTCCAAAAACCTATAGCTTCTAAAAATACTTTTGTATATAAGAAAATTTGGCTTGTCAAGCTAGCACAGTCGAGCAAAATATGAAAGTACCCATATCTTACACACATATATATATATATATAGACACACCGGGGATAACTTACTTCATCACATTTCTGCAGTTTCCTTTCATGAGAGTAGGAGACTTTTGGCTTCATCAGCATTCTTAGCTTTGAGGCTTTTTCCGGTATGTGAAAACCTGAATATAAGAATTACGACCCCAAAAATGTTAACAGATTATTTACATAGTACAGTAGGGTAATATTTGCTGCTTGTGAGTATTGCGCTAAAGAACCAGCCATCTACCAAATCAAAGAGCCTGAGATAATATGAGAATAAAGATAGCTAGCACACAAAAAGGCAAACTTCAGGGTACAAATTCAGCAATTGTAGTCTATTGGCTTTCTTATAAATAAATCATTTAAAAGAAAAAAAAACAAAAAAAAACAAAAAGGATAGAAAATTGAGCCATTCATATATCCCAAGAGAATAAACCTTACCAGATTTTGCTTACTAAAACTAGAACGAATTTCCCCCAACAACAGATGCTCATTCAGTTGCTGCAACTGATTGTCACTTGAATTTAAGACTGTAAGATTGTTCTGGTTGTTCATAAGATCACAATCTTTTACTATTAGCATTTCAATTTCATCAGCCTGTGTGGATGTTTGCATGGCAACATACTGCAAGAGATGCAGACTTAAACCATCACAAATTTGTATCGGCTTTGGTGTGGAGAAGAAAATATTTGAGTGCAGGAAATTACCTGACATAAGTGCCCAACCGATGTTTTAGTACTGCAGCAGAGGTATGGCCTTTTCAAGTGGGGAATGTTATCCTTGAGCAACGAAACAAGTTTAAGACTAACTTTTAACTGTCCAATGAGATGAAAACTTATCAGTTTCATAGCTCAGCAAGGATATTAATACTGAGAGAAAAAAACCATCCCTAAATTTCCATAATGAAATGAAAATAATCAATATTTTTCACCTCATTGTTTTCATTTAAAGATTCGAGATGATTTACTAGCTTTGCAATCCGGTTATTCCTGGAAAGTTTGCCACCAGCCCAACCAATCCCACCATGGCGGTTATTACTGCGCAAACCACCTCTTCCCCAGGCAAGATTTTCAGCGCTGCTAATTACCGCAGGTGAAGCACCAAGTAGTTCTTTGTTGGCTTCTCTACCATTACCAGCATTGTTTCCATCTGCACGGGATCCGGATGCTTGTTGTGAAGCCCGAGCTCCCCTTGATCTTTTATATCTTTTAAATTTTACTTCAGCACAACGTTCATCAGCAGACGATGAATCCTTGCCACCATCATTTGTATGAGCTCCTTCCTCTTCTTCAGATCCATGGTTTTCAGCAACTTGATGGTTTCGGCGGCCCCTCAAGTTTCTATAATTGTTCTGCCTCCTTATAATCGAGGCTGCAGTGAGCCTGGCCGAGGTTCTTTTCTTTCCCAGTGCTTCTGCTTGTCGACGAAAAGTTTGGGCAATTGAAGCTTGAATCTGTTAAACAAATGAAATATTATTAAGACGATGCAGCTCCAAAAACAGGCATCATTTCATGAGTGATACTTTTGCTATGGAAAACTGATAATTATTGTCCTTAAAAAATAAGACAAAACTCTTGTAATTTCACACTACTGAAAAAGTTGAGTTAATGGCATGACAATTGAAATAATATTTAACACTGGGAGATGTTACCTGCTTATAGCGAGCCTTCTCCTCTTCATGAAAGGCCAGTTCCTATAACCACAATAGATCATTTTGAATGAACAAATACAATAAAACAAAAGAAAACAAATTCCATAACTACTACCTCTTCCTCATATTTATCAATGTCTGGATATAGAGCGGCAATCAAAGCATCAAAGTTTGGATCATCTCTCAGAGAACGGCGACTAGCACAATGTGTTCGGCAAGCAGGGCATTCATTATTTCTGCATGCAAGTCAATAGTAGATCAAAGGACAGAATAAATCAATTTCTTGTTAGTACATAAGTTCCAAGTACCCTAGGCGCATAGATTTGTCAATGCATTCTCTGCAGAACCGATGCAAGCATTCCATAACTGTCCTTGTCTTCCTAATGATACCTGTCCATAAAATTTCAAAAAGCATGCATTACACTTTTTTAAACAAAAAGGGAGAACTAATGTCCACAATAGATTTTGATTGCATAAATCCCTGTGCTTGTAATATTGGAGAATCAGACCTAGACATATTGGACACTGCACTTCCTTCCGTATTTCTCCTAACTTCACAGCAATAAATCTGAAATCAACAGCATCCACATGTTAGAGTAATTCATACTAGTTGCAAGCAAAAAGATGCTAAACCTTACAAAGCTCTCAGGGACTGACTACAATTCAGCATGTCAATGACGAAAACTATCATAAGCCCAAAAATAAACACCAGAGCTTGTAAAAACAGACATTTTACGCACTGTGGAAATAAATAAAGCAGTTGCTTTGATGGAGGTGACTAAGTACATCCAATTAGACATAACTTTTTTTCCACATTGTAGTACTCGTACATGTAAATTAGAAGTGAATATTCTTCAATTAAAATCATCATCAATTCACAAGACACACTCTCCCCATTCTACCTTAGATAAAATGAGGTTGGAACATTCCAGAAAACTAAACTGGGGATCGATGAATGAAATTTGGCACGTGTCTAATATTTAACAGAAGAACAGCATGACAAGTTGGTTGGTGCCCACAATTTGGAAACTACTCTACCATAAATACCTCATACCATTAAGAAGTTCAGACTTCCAAAATTACACTTTCGATTGATTATAAAGAAGACCCAAGGTATTCTGGCAACCAAAATAAAACATCCTGAATAAAGTTCGCCAAAATGCACCTTGATGAACCACTCCTTGTAGGAACAGCCATGTTCAAAATATCCACCTTATACCAGCCAAACATATGGGGCAAATCTAAAGTTACTATTATGAGGATAATTAGTTACGTGTTACTTTGAAGATGGAATCCAGCAAAGACTCCTGGTCATTCAACAACTCGAATTGCCATAGTATATGTCCACTGAAAACTCTACAGCGCTACTTTGATCAAGCTCCTTCTTACTCCTTAACAATATATGAGCACAGAATATTTTATTTTGACATTATGGATCACAATATCATGATAACCACTAAGGAAGACAACCCTCAATGATCTATTACAATTACATCACAATCATAATATTACCTTAATCCATATATGAAGAAAACACAAACAACCTAACTGTCGAAGCATGTTCTGAATGTAAAGGTAAGATGATAACAGACCTGAATATGCTCCATTACTACTAGTAAACCAGCAATACATCTAATGTCGTTCAAAAATTCAATTATGTGATGCAGGTATACTTCTGAGATGGCATGCAGCCCATTCAACATGGTGATCAAGTACTTACAGGGGAGAAACCAGAGTCACTGATAAGAGTACAGATTAAACTTCCAAACTCCTTTACCATCAAACAAAATTAAGAAATAATTCCATCAGAGGTTTAAATGTCTAGGATTTTCACAATAATCCGAAATACCCTCCCCAACGAATTATAAATAACCCATAGCATGGATCAATAAAGCATGCAAATCACAAGCTACACCTGCTCATCGCTCACACATCAAGATTCGAGAAACCTAACACTAGGTACCCGATTCGAATTACTAACAAATAGATACACTTATTTACGTATGTGAGTGGCGTACGCGAGGTGCGTTCGTCGCCGAATGGATGTATGTGCATATGTAAAGGTAAAGAAGAGAATAAATAGTAGAGCATTACTCGTCTTTCTCTCCGTCGCTAGATTCACGGCTCTCGTCTGAATCTGGATTAAAAACACGTAAATTTACAAATAATCAACAATCCCGATTAAAATGCGGACCGAAAGTCGAATTTAGTGCGACACAAAAATAACGTGTTCGCGTGAACGAACACACGAATATACATCCAAGCACATACCGCAGGCGTCCTCCTTTTCCTTCGTGTCTTGATTCTCGCTGCCTTTAAGCGAATCATCAGGTTTATCTGGCTCGAGCGACGGCGGTGGGGAGGGAGATGGTGTGGTGGTTTCAAGCGAGCGTTTTTGGGCGGGCATTGAGTTTCCTAGACGGCGATGAGCTTGGTGCAGACGACGGTGGGTGTGGCGGTGGCAGAAGTGGTGGAGAGACGAGTCAGCTTAGAAAGGGAGGCAATCGAGTGTAGCTTCGTCTGGGAATTGTTGATAGTTGTTTTTTATTTATTCGCTGTATGTGATCTGGGCTTGATCCTCTCCGGTGCTGTGTGTCCAGTTTCATACAGTTTCAGCTTGCCCGATACTGTATTGATAAAGCGCGATTTCGTCAACTTGAATTGCACTTTCGGCTCTTGAAATTTGGAAGAGGAAAAAAATAGACATTGCGTTGGGCTTGTTACGCAATTATTTCACAACCCAATAGACGTAATTCATTATTATAAATATTATACTTTAACATGTATTACACAAAAAAAAAAAAAAAAAATGTAACATAGATCCACATTATTGTATTTTTATGTATATGTTTGTTCTCTGGTTTGGAATTGGTTGAGTGATTGTTTCTTAGTGCTGAAATTATTTGGAAGAAAGGCTTTATAATTAATTAATTTATTTATTTATTTATTGATTTACTAATTACACACACACAAACTGACAGCCGATCGATTCGAGGAAACAAATCCAGCAGCTGACGGTGACATTGACTGACTCACTGACTGACAGAAGAGAGTGAACATTAATTAATTAATTAACTAAGTAATTAGTTAACAGCCCGGCCCGATGGATGGAATTCATCATGCGAAGGAGCTCTTGCGCCGCCGTTCATTGTGTCCGGCCAAACGCCGGCGGCAGCTACGCTTCGCATCGTCGAACTCCGGCAGCTCATGAAACCTGTTAATTTGGTCAATTATCGTACAGCTTTACATATATATATATATATATATATATCATCATGTACTCAGGGACCAAATTAAGTAACCTGCTGCACTGCTGGCAGAAGCGCTGACGTGCGCCGGCGACGAGCACGGCGGCGGCCTTGGCGTGATACTCGCACACTCTGTGGCGACGATGGTACGGCTTGGCATTCGCCATGTCGGCACCGCAATCCTCTACCTGACACGAACGCTGCTGCTGCTGCACCGTCGCCGTCGACGATGATCCAGCCCTTCTCTTAGAGGGAGGACTCAAAGTCAAGGCTCCTTTCTTCTTCCTTTGCCCACCTAATTCTACATCATAATTCATTTCAGTTTCGTCTTCTTCTTCCTCCTCCTCCTCCTCCTCCTCCTCCTCTTCTTCTTCCTCGGATTCTTTAATTATAACCCTCTTCCCTTCTTCCTTAGCCTCCTCCATTGTCTTTCTTGAAGAACGCAGCAGAGAGCGAAAAAGATAAACGAAGGAAGGAAGGAAGAAGAAAGAGGGTGGACCAGTACTATTACTATAGTATTAGTGTAACTGTTTTGGGTATTTTGGTTTAGCTTTTCAGTCACGCTGTTGGTTCAATTCAATTCATGTAAACCGAAATTGGAAGCTTCTCTCTCTCTCTCCACATCTATGTTCCAATCCCAACTCACTCCACTTATTTATTACCTTCATCTTCCATCGGCTATGACATGACACTACAGATCAATTCATGTCTTAATGTACAGTAGTGTACTGTGCTGCTGCCTGCTTTCTTTTACAGTTTTACCTCACCCAATCCAACAAACCGCCATTAATTTACAGTGTTTGGAAAGTGAAATTTAATTCCAGTTCACCCTTCTGCCATTACTGCTGCATAAAATACGAGGTTGGTTAATTTAGAGGACCCTTCATTTCATTGTCGGAATGTATTTCCCATTCAATCTTGAGATAATTGACAGATTCCATCCATCGATGTACGTTTTGCAAAATTGGCATTGGCATTGGCATTGGCTCCACCCCTGGTAAATTGGTTAGTTCGTACATGTTATATCAATGTAAGACCAAGCAGCGTGGTCCACCTCTTTAACCAGGACAGCTGTCTACAATTTCCCGATTTAGGTCTATTGGATCGGGTCAATTGGCCCTGTTTCTTGTTTTAGCCCATTAAAAATGCACAACCATTTGACCAATATAATTACTAGGCCTTTTTTAGTCCGTTTTCTTCTGGGCTTCGGCCCATACCCACGCAGACACACACACACACACATGGGTATGTGTGTGGATATTTCTTTATTACAGTTTATAAATGGGTTTAGTTAGATTTGGGGGATATAGGAGGGACCACAAATCCAGGATAAAGACTTGTGGAACAAAGATGGTCCCCTGGAGTTAGGCCAACAGCACTTGCACTCATGATTTTTTATTTTTATTTCTCTGTCCATAAGTAACAAATAATTTTATTTAAAAAATATATATATATATATAAATAAATAAAATAGGTTGTGACTCTGTCATAAAAGATTATTTGAAGTTGACTCCCACGAGTCCTAATTATGTGCATTAAATATGGATTAGTGGTCCCGTCCCTGTCCCTCGTTCGCTACTGACTCGAGATTAATTGCCTTAATTCATTCCATTACATTACCAAACCCTAATTTTATTTATTTATTTGAACCATGCATGCAATTTGCAAATATTATTGGCTTAATTCTTAAATTAGATGTTTCGTGTATATATGCTCTGATTAACTAATGAGTTTAAATAATATGTATATTAATTAATTACTATAAGATGTAAAATATATATAATATAATGGCTGAATTTGGATAGTTTTAAAGTTGGGGGTAGAAGTTGCCCGTTTGGGAAATTAATGAACACCCTGCTTTAAATATTTTGTCGTCTTCTGTCGCTGTAGTGCATTGTCATAAATTAACTCATATATAATTCATACATGTATATAGTTCGACAATCTAGTCTAAGAAGAAAGAAATGGGCCTCTGAATATATATTTCTATGTATGTATGTATGTACGTATCAATATCCTCCATTGATGTGTTAGTTCAGTTCTTGGTGTGATTTGTCTGCTCTGCTTCCATTTGAAGCCAAGTCATTCATTTCATCAAGAAATTAAAGAACCACAGAAAATCCAAATAAAAATTCAAACAAGAGGCTCGTTAATTAATCTCCAAGCTCTTTAAAAATTTCCCTCTTTTGGGTTGGTTGCGTTTTATTAATTTGATTCTATTTTAAGTTTGACTTTTTTTAATTTGTTATCGAATTTATTGAGGGAAATCTACCAGAAATTGTCATTTGTCATTTTGCACACGTATAGTGCGATTATCTTGGCTGGTTTATGCTTGTTTTGAGATTCAGGTGGACTCAGTGAATATATCTTTTATTCTATAAATATAAATCTTATATATATATATATAATAAATTAATTAATTTAAACATATATATATATATTTATAATGTGTGGGGAGTGGGGGGAAGTTTCCAATGGGGACAATGGTCCTCATGTTGATGCTTGATTAAAATGGAGGGGGGCATGTGGAGTCAGGTTGACCAATCCACTTTGCCATACCCCATTTTCAATATATATATATATATATGATTGTGTGTGAGAGGGAATGTATTGGCTCCGTTTATACAGTGATTAAAAAAATTAATAATATTTAATGTGATATAAAAATATATATATATATATATATACCAACAAGTTTTAAAAATATGTATATGAAGAGAATATTAATTAGTAGTATATTTGAAGAGGTGTTAGGTCATGGGTGTGACTCAAACCAACTTGTATGTGACGTACAATGTCTATGTATATATATATATATAATATGTGTGTATTTTATTACATGAATATTATAATTATGTGTCAATTTCATTCTCTAGGACTGCACAAAAGTTTGGTTTTGTTCATCCTACATGTATCAACAACTGCAGTATGAATACATTAGTACTGCTTTGTTATATATATATATATAAATTAAAAGTAAAAAATTTTAAAAAATAAAAAAATCTAATTGGTTAATTTAGGATGATAATGAAATTCATTCGCGAGTGAGAATTCATCACATGATAACCTATTATTAAATAAATTTTGAAAAAGTAAATACAAAAAGGAAAAGATAAGGGAGTATATGTTTTGGTCCCATTTAATTTCATGTGCTGATTTGACCATTCATATATACATACATTTTTATGTTTTGATTTTAATTCACGTCATGTATATATTTATATATATAATTTGCTATTCTGTGTGCATTTTTAGACAAATATTATAATTCCAGAAACACTATTTGCTTTAAATAGCCCCAAGTCCCGATTCAAATTTGAATGGAGTGATGCTATATATGGAGAAAGTATATATTTTTAATAATTTTAATCTTTTAAAAAAAATTCTTGTCATAATATATATATATATTTTTTTACCAGGCAATAAAATTAAAACACAGAAATATATATATATATATATATATACCATTATAAAAACTTGACCAATTCTTGTATATATATATATATATAAAGCAGGACGTACGGATGTACATGATGAGACCAACCTTTCCATTGTCATTAAATGACAACGAGAATAACGTTATTTATTTCTTTTAGGAATATAATTATAGTTAGAGATTATAAACGAAAAACACTAATAATCTCTTGGAAGCTAGTAGCTGAAAAGGGCATTCAAATTATTGCCTATTTGTCCATCGATCATCAAATCAAACATTTTGGAAGCAGGGAGGCATACGAGAAATTTTTATTTTTTTATTTTTTTTAAAAGACACCCACCCCAATATTATACAATTAATCACACAAAATTAAATGCTATTAAAATCACAATCTCACACATTCAAACCCTAAAATAATTAAATTTCACAATTTGGGAATTAGTTATACCCAATCACTCATTAAACAATATAATAACATGCATGCTTTAATTGGATTTATGAATTAATAAATAAAATTATATATATGGATAGATAGATAGATAGAATTAATCTGGAGATGATGAAATCCCTCGGGTGACTACAAAATCCGAATGTTTTTATTATTTCTCAGCTTTTGTCTCAAGGGAGACCACATGCCCTCTTGTGCTTTTGTGTAAGTAAATTTTAAGAGCATAATAAATAAATAAATAAAAATTTCTGAGTTACATACGTACTGCTGCATGCCAAATTTTATTATTTAGTTAATATTTAGGAAACTGGGGATGTGTATGAGAGAATAAATGGGATCTTGTGGTCATGCATTCACATGGGAATTAGATCAGCTGTCTCCTTTTCAGTTTTCTCTGTAAGTGTAATAATTTTTTGGGTGTCCAAAAAATCCTTCAATAATTCAAATAAATAAATCTATTTCATGTAACGGAAATAATAATATCTGTCTGCATGGGCATAATATGTTATATAGTTTATTACTTCATCAATTTTAATTTTTGCTGTCGTGTAATTAATTAGTTAAGTGCAAAAAAACATAGTCTGTCGGCACAATTAAGATCTCACTGGTGCAGCCTAAACACTATAGACGTAATAGTATATATTATCTAGTAAATATTCTTGGTGCACAAAACAGCCAGAAAACTGCGATGTAGAATAATATATAGCCAGTTAAATGAATAATAGTAATAAAAAAATTTATTGTTAAAGAAAGCCCCCGATGATTCAGCAAAAAAGCAGAATAAAAATAAAAAAAAAAAAAATTAAATTATTTATATTGGGTGATGTACAGATAGTTGCAATTATTATAATAGAACAAGAATAAGTGGGATTTGCTGTTCGTGTCTGGGGTTTTGAGCCCTTGGGATTCCCTCTATCTCTGTCTCTCTATCTCTTATCGTACATTTTCAGAGGCTCCCAGGAGCTGAGCTCCAGTTGAATCCTGACCGTTAAACATCGTGGGGGTGGTACAATCGACGGTGTATGGGTTGCATGGAGATGCAGGGCTTTTAAGGTAGTGTGATGTTGATGATTGGGAATGTAATGTTCTATAGAAAAGAGAGAGAGAGAGAGAGAGAGAGAGAGAGAGATGGATAGATAATAGAGAGAGAGAGAGAGAGAGAGAGAGAGAGAGAGATTGATGGATAGATAATAGAGATTTGTAATATTGGGCTCTGCAAATTCCATTGTTGGCTTGGCTGCCCTTTCTTGAACTTCTCGAGAATCATTTGTCATATGCTCCCTGCCTTTACTTCTTTGTCCTCTTCTTACCCTCGGAATGTATAAAAATGTATGTATATATATATGTATATGTATGTATCTATGTGTGTGTATGCACGTCCCTTCAATATCTGTTCATACTTTTTTTTTTGTTGTTGTTGCAGGGCTAACAAGAATATGTCAGCCGTGAAATTTCAACACAAACAAGAACATAGATTCAGTTGTTTATTCTTAGATTCGATTGTGAATATTATGGAAGTGAAAACTTGGAAACCCTACAAAGAGAGTGAAATTTGTTAGGGCTCAAATTTTTGGTCTCTCTCTCTCTCTCTCTCTCTCTCTAAAAGGGGTCTTTACAGTGCAGAATAGTTGATTGGCATTCCCACTTGATTCATTCAAATTTTTGAGAAGTGTCTGTCTCAATTAAATACATATATTAGGACAGAGTGAAACGGGATTAAAGTAATTGATCTCCAATCAAATAATAATAATATATAATGGTCTTGCTGACTGTCCCTTCACGTGAAATTACAATTCTAAAGAATGAATTAATTCCCTGTCTAATCATTCTCTTGCCTTGTTCTTCTCTCTCACTCTATTTCTTTCTCTCTCTATCTCTTTCGCAGTATTTGAAGCGAAGCCCGTCAACGAGTGAGTTCTCACGACGTCGTCCCGTCACCAGCTCCTTGTCTCTTTGCTCTTTGTTTCAAACGATTCCTCGAGCACAAATGCTTCGAAACTCTCAGAAGATCACGACCTCCATCTCTCCAGGCAGCACTGGCAATCAATGGCCACAGGTTCCTCTCTCTCTCTCTCTAAATTATTAGACTTGTTGTAACATGATGACCCCATTTTTTGTTTCGTAGCTTTTGTCATGGAATATCCCCCAATTCCGTGTTGCTAATTCTATTGCCCTAAAAAGTAATTCGTCTTCCCCCTTTCTTTCCTCTTTGCTTGCTCAGAACCAGATGCTACTTGATGATCAGAAACCCACTCTCATGGCCTCATCATCATCCGCCAACAATAATCACAACAACAACAACAACAATAAAGCCATGGAGAAAACCAATCAAGATCATCAGCCTCTCAGGTGCCCTCGCTGCGATTCCTCCAACACCAAGTTCTGTTACTACAACAACTACAGCTTGTCTCAGCCCCGCCACTTCTGTAAAGCCTGCAAACGCTACTGGACCAGAGGGGGAACTCTCCGGAACGTCCCCGTCGGCGGCGGCTGCCGGAAAAACAAGAGGGTCAAGCGCCAGGCCCCTAGCGGCGGCGCCGATGGAGGAATTTCGTCGTCCTCAGCCTCAGCAAACCCTAGCGTTCAATCTTTGACAGATCTGTCCCCGCCATCGAGTCACATCAACAATCCTTTGTTCTACGGCCTTTCTACCAGTCCTCTCGAGCTCAATTTCCCCTTTTCCGGCCTCGGATCGGCTAGGGTTTCCAGCGCCGGATTCGATCTTCAGCATCAGATGAATGGGCTTGGAATAGGTGGTTTCTCGTCGGGACTCATGGCGGCGGAGCTGCCGTCCGGCGACCAAAAAAACGGTTTCAAGCAAATCCAGGACGTGCTCGCCGCTCCCAATTCCCCGTTTTATTCATCTGCGGGTAATCATAATAATTCTCTCTTCTTCGGATCTTCATCGAACTTTGCAGCAGCTTCGACTTCAACAATGGCGTCTTTGCTTGCTTCCGGGCTTCAACAACACAAATACAATACTGCTAACAGCGATCATCATCTGATTCCGTATGGTGAAACTGAAGCTCAATTAAATGGAGAAATGGGGAAAGAATTGAAAATAGGAGACAACATCAGGTTCCCTCTTATGAACCCTAATCATCATCCGACGGCCCAGATTAATTCCTCCGATTCTTCTTCTCTCGTATGGAACACAGCTGCAAATGTTGGTGCTTGGTTCGATCCTTCAAACATAGGTTCTTCTTCATCAGTCCCTTCTCTGATCTAGCCACTTCACGCCATTATTATTATTATTATTATTATTATTATTTCTTTTTCAAAATTTCTTTGCTTCGATCTCCATCTCCCCTCATTGAATTCGTTAACTTGGGTCTTTCTTCAGCGGGTGGTTCCTCTTTCTGTCGAGTCTTTAATTTCCTTCTTCGTCCCTTCCTTTGTTTGCTTAATTATATTACTTAGGTGTAATAATCTGATACCAGGAACGAATAAAAAAACACATATCAGAATCTCGATTAACCATGGTAGAACTGATTTGGATCGGAGTGTTCCTGTCGGCAGCAATCAAGCACTACATCGATCATCATCGATCAGCCTGCAATTATTTTTGAGTTGGGAGGCTGTCCTCATCGTCGTTAACTCTGCGCTGAGAGGAACCTCGGATCCTCTTCCCATCTGCCAAAAAAGCTTTGCCATGAGCTGCAACATTATCGTCTCGGAGGGCATAATTAATTAGCAGAGAAGCTAATTAAGGTTTGATCCTTTATGTGAAGTTTTCCAGTTCTTGGAATATGATTATGTGTATATATACATCTATATAGATTATTTATATCTATCTGTTCATGACGCTGATTTAATGTTTTGGCACATTATTTCAGTATGTTCGTTAGGTTTTGGGGTGGGGTTTTAATTTTTTTTTTTTTACATATGTTGGATTTAAGAGACTTTCTTGGAGAAAGTGAAGAAGGGTCAGATCATTAGGACTGTCCTAGTGTTCTTTTTTTTTTTTTAACATTTGTTGATTTTGATGCTCAGTTTAGAGGAAAGGGTTGGGTATATTGGTATTGGGTAATGGTATACAAGAGTGGGAGATCCTTATTTCAATGTAAGTTCAAATTTCTAAATTTAATTGCTTTTTCATGCTTATATGTATATGATTTCTTTTCTTCACTCTGATCTGATTAATTTCTTTATCTAAACTTGTTGCAATGCAAAAAACAGCATGCAGAAATTTTCAAAATTCACGTATATGTATGTATAGTATTGCAGTAGAGGGCAATGTGAAGCTATATCTCAAAGTATAGGGGCTGGAAATGATATAATTTAGATTTCAGGGCGCGAAAAGATACACCCTCTTGAAATAACTCCTCGGCCCGTAAAGAAAGTGAAAGTTATACATTTGGCCCACTTTGTATAATCCCATTAATGCTCAACGGTAAAACAACAGTAAAGTCATCCAATTAATGAGTAATTACTGTTTGAATCAAAACTTCAGTTATACTCAAAGCATCAATAAAATGTTTTTTCAATTAAGGATATTCTTGTTTAAATTATTAATTTTTTTTGCATATGTCGTAAGTAATTGACTTGACCCTAATGGGCTAATTTCTAATGCGTGTTTAAAGTGACTCCCCACACGTGTTTGGCGAAGTAAATTAATTGTACATGTTAATGCAATGAAAAATTCTTAAAAATGTGACCTTTTTAACAGTAATGATATTAAGAAGGGTAACAAGTACAGCAGAGAGTACATTATATCTATAGAGAGAGCGAGAGAGAATAATTGGAGGGTAGAGAATCCAATGGAATTCTACTAACTACTCGTAGTCCTGATGAGATGCAATGCAAGGATGGTAATGATGAGGCTGTAAACTTAAAGTGGAAGAGAATTTGAAGGGCCTGCAAGGTTAGACTTAGGCACGTGGAAAAGACAACGTGGACTGGAGCCATTAAATTAAAGCATGCTATTGTATTCGGACACTTGTGCTGTGTGTACGAATGTATGTATAATCAGTAATACTACAATGGACGTCACGTAAGTATGTATGTATGTGTATGTATATGTATAATGTGTGGAATCATTGAGTGGACCACAAGTGTTGCCAGAAATTACGTTAAAGTGGGGTGGAATGGTCATCTTTGATTGGGGCAAATTAATGAAAATACAATCATTGAGAAATACTATATATTAAAGACGATTTACAAATGAAATGAAATGAAATGACCAGAAGACTAGAGAGAGAGAGAGAGAGAGAGAATGAAATGCAATGATGATTGATGGTGCGTAGTACTCAACTCAACTCAACTCAACTCATCAGTACTACTGATCAATATTGGATCATGCATATTGAACAAACACTCATTGTTTTCCAAGCTAATAAAAAACACCTAACATTTGGGGCCCTTTATTGTGCATGCTTGCCTTATTCCTTATATATTGGTAATATAATTAATGGACCCTCGATAGATATATCGAGAACCAACTATTCTCATGATGTAGTAGTAATGTACTTGGGATGGTAGTGTTAAAGCTAGACACTGGATTGTTCCTTCCTGCACTGTCTGTGTGTATATATATATATATATATATATGTGTGTGTGTGTGTAATTAATAGTGTGAAAGGAATATTTTCACTTTGTTACAGATATATGGAAATCTATATATTGTGTTTTATTAATTTGATTATTATTGTAAGATGTATATCTATCTACAAAGTAATTAGTTAATGGAAATTGGATATTAGAGAGACAGACATTGGCGCATGCACACCACATTACATAAAGAACAGTCTTATCTCTATCAACTTTTATATATATATATGTATAATGTATGTAGGCTGACAGTTAGCATGTCCATTCATGCTTTATTCCCATAGCTAAACACCTTCTTTTTTGACAACTTTTACACTCCACAAAAACCCTATTTAATCATCGTAGGAACAATTATTCTTTCTTTCTTTCTTTCTTGCAATTGTCATCTGTTGATCACAATTGACAACTGAGACCAATACTAAACATTATACAATGTCGTCAGAAAAGAAATAAAAATAAAATTAAAAGAACATTACAAGAATGGTATAATAGCACACAGAGTGTATGAAAGTCCACTTTTAACTTTTAAATTGTATAAGTAAGGACAAACCTAATCAATTACTTGTCTAAGGTCGATAAATATATATATTGTTATTTATAATCCATTTAATTTTCAAATTTAATTACATAACTATATATATTAAGCCAACTTTTCTACAAGGGAATTAATCCAAAGTCTTCCCAAAACACCCCAATAACTCAGAAACAAGAAAATTAGAAATTAAAACCTAATCAGGATGGATATCCAAGAAATATCTGGGTGAGTTGAGGATTTTTGTTTCTTTCTTTTTTAATTTCTTGCCTTCGATCAGTTAATATATCGTTGCATGCCCGTACAATTTACTGCGAAGGTGGAAATCCGAAATGATTATGATCGGACCACCGGTTTGGATGGATTGACGAACTCGGTTGACTGTCGGCGGCGTTGGCGGCGCCGCCTATCCAAAGCCCGTGGCTTGCGGCGGAAGAGCTTGCAGCTGTGTCTCTGGTAATAAAGCTTTGATTCAAATAACTGGTCAGTGCTCTCGGAGGATTATCATTCAGATTCTGCTGTGATGTGAAGAAATCATTCAACGGTTGGAATTGATTTGGCGGCGGCGGCGCCATCATAGATGTAAGATTTATTCCAGGCAAAAACGACAAACTTCCACCATACTGGCTGTTCCCGCCGTCTAGATTCACGGCGGCCCCTTGATTGGCCCTAGGCGGTGCTGCAGAATGTAAGAATCCCCCGCCGGAGAAGAAGGAATTAGCCATCGACGGCGAAGCTCTAACTGAAGACTCGCCGGAAATCATGCCGATGTAGTTTCTTGAAGGAATTGGGGGTGATGAAGAATGAGGTGTTGCGATGATCTGGGATCGAGATGAAGATGGTATGGAAATTGGCCTAGGGCGTTTGCCTCTCCGGCAGCCGCCTCCGACGGGGACGTTCCTGAGAGTGCCGCCGTGAGTCCAATACCTCCGGCAGGCCTTGCAGAAGTACCTCGGCTGTGCGAGGCTGTAATTGTTGTAGTAACAGAACTTGGTGTTGGAAGAATCACAGCGGGGGCACTTCCGCAGCGGCTGCTGCTGCTGCTGGTTGTGGTGGTGGCCGTTCCCCGCCGCCGCCGCCCGCCGCGGCGTCTCGAATTTTTCCCGATCATTCCTGCCTCCTCCCTCCATGCTCCGTACACAACCGGACCGGACAAATTGGGCGTATATATATATATAGCTAATTAAATGAATTAGGGATTTGGGGATGAAATCGAAATCAGCTTTGGATATATGTTAATTCAACGAAGGAGATACGAATGCAATCCCAAGACGTCTTTTTGGATTTTGGGGATGATAAATTGGAGTTGGGAAACATGGGACAACAATGGCGCCATCAGAAGGATCGTTGAATTCTTCTCCACCTACTTTCAAAAACCAGGAGCTGTTATTAAATTTGTATTTTGGGGGTTTTCTTTCTTCATCGTTTTTCTTGAAAAGTAACGAAATATATAATCTGGAGGGATTTTACATTTACTGCCGTAAAGTAAATGAAAGTTGCTGAATTGAAATCAAGATATATATATATATATGTATATAAAAGCAGGTAGCAAATAAATTAAAATTAAAGTAGGTTGAGAATGAGGGAGAAGCACTACTCTCTCTACAGCTGCCTTTCTCTTGTTCTTCTGCTTAAGGCTTAAGGAAAATACTTATAAAGGAGGGGGCTGACTCTGTACGGACCATATAAAGAAAAAATAGAAATTAAATTAAAATTGAGAGGAAGATGGTCGTCGATCGTCAATTCAAGGTAGGTAGGTGCAAACAGAGGTGCAGATTCTGTCTGAGAATTAGAATAAATTAGAGACAACATGTTACCGATCGATCCATATATGTCTTGCTGTTGCAGCAATATAATGCCGATGGATCAGATTTGGGACTTCTCAGTAAATTGAAAGGGACAGCAAACACTAACAAAGAACCCAACCTGCAAGCAGTCTGAAATTAATAATAATAATGATATAGTGGACCAGGGCAGGGAAGGAAGGAAGAGGCGGCGGTGTGGTGGCGGAGATAGAGACGGCTGCGGGGTGGCGTATTGAATAACAAACCAGCATACAAGAAAACATTTTGGTTTCTTTTATTGCCTAGTCAATGCAGTTATATTTTCTATTATTAGTCCTATTATGTAGGAAGCAGTTGTTTCATTTTTTTCTTTTGCGTGTATTAAGGAACCAGTTGTAAGTCTCAACCTATATAAAAAGGCTTCAGTTTTTCAGCAATAAAAATTATCTTCCTTCTTCGATTCATCTTCGTATTAAAAACACTGTGTGTGTTCAACAGTCTGGTATCAGAGCCAAAAGGCAGTAAGCAGCAACAATGAGTGATCCTCAAGTCATCGGTGGAGTCAAGAAACTCAACAACAACAACTATAACTCTTGGTCTACATGCATTATGTCTTATATGCAGGGACAAGATTTATGGGAAGTTGTCAATGGAAACGATGTGGTTTCACCAGAAGCTGAAGATGCGAACGGAGTGCTTCGGAAGTGGAAGATCAAAGCTGGAAAAGCTATGTTCGTGTTGAAGACGACGGTCGAAGAGGATATCCTGGAGCACATACGGGAATCGAAAACTCCCAAGGAAGTATGGGATACGTTTACCGAGTTGTTCTCCAAGAAAAATGATACAAAACTTCAACTTTTAGAAAGTGAGTTGCTGTCGATAGCGCAACGAGAGATGACAATCTCACAATACTTTCACAAGGTGAAGTCTTTATGCCGAGAAATCTCTGAATTGGATCCACAGGCTCCTATAGGTGAAGCCAGGATGAAACGAATCATCATCCATGGTTTGAAGTCAGAATATAGGAGCTTTGTCGCTGCAATACAAGGGTGGCAAATTCAACCATCACTTGTTGAGTTTGAGAATTTACTTGCAGGACAGGAAGCCTTAGCAAAGCAGATGGGAGGAGTCTCACTGAAGAATGAAGAGGAGGCACTCTATGCTGAGAAAGGCAAATGGAATTCCAAGAAACATGTTCGTGGGTCCAAGAAGAATGACGATAAGACAAGAAATCACCAAGGCGAAAGAAGTCATTTTCTAAAAGGAGGTTCAAGGGATCCCACAATGGACAAAAAGTGGCACCGAAAATGCTACAATTGCGGGAAAATGGGTCACATAGCAAAGGACTGCTGGTCGAAGAAGAAAACTGTGGAGAGTAATGCGGCTACCTCAAAATCTGAAGAAGAATGGGATGCAGAGGCCATGGTTGCTGTCGCAAAAGAGGAGTTGGCACTCACGGCTACTGATATTAAATGTCAAGTCGATTGTGATGATGACTGGATCATTGATTCAGGCTGTTCAAACCATATGACGGGTGACAAGAAGAAATTCAAGAAGCTGTCTAAATACAAAGGAAGCCATGTGGTGGTGACTGCAAATAACTCAAAATTGCCGATAGCTCACATCGGTAATACAGTAGTTTCCCTTCAAAATGACGATATCAAGATTCCACTCCAAAATGTTTTTCATGTTCCGGGTATGAAGAAAAATCTTTTATCTGTTGCACAATTGACTTCGTCTGGCCTCTATGTTTTGTTTGGTCCACAAGATGTTTGGGCATTTCAGCATATTGAAGTTCCAAAAGAGCATGTGATGAAGGGACAAAGAAAAGAGTCGGTCTATGTGATGTCTGCAGAAGCTGCATATGTGGATAAGGCGAGACAAAATGAAACGGCAGACTTGTGGCACATGCGACTAGGTCATGTTAGTTATTCAAAGTTGGACATAATGATGAAGAAGTCTATGCTAAAGGGGCTTCCACAGCTTGAAGTAAGAAAAGACACTGTATGTGCTGGATGTCAGTACGGGAAAGCACACCAGCTGCCATTTGGAGACTCTACTTCCCGAGCAAATGAGCCACTAGAGCTGATTCATTCTGATGTTTTCGGTCCGATCAAGGAGGCCTCAACTAGTGGAATGAAGTACATGGTGACCTTCATTGATGATTTCTCAAGGTATGTTTGGATTTATTTTATGAAAAATAAATCTGAGACATTTTCAAAATTTAGAGAATTCAAAAGGACAGCAGAAGGAGAAATTGGTAAGTGTGTTCGTTGCCTTCGTACCGACAATGGAGGAGAATACACTTCAGATGAATTTTCAGATTTCCTTCGGAGTTGCAAAGTGCGACGACAATTTACATGTGCTAATACCCCACAACAAAATGGAGCATCTGAAAGAAAGAACAGACACCTAGCAGAGGTGTGTCGGAGTATGCTTCATGCGAAAAATGTCCCTGGACGTTTCTGGGCGGAAGCAATGAATACAGCAGCCTTTGTCATCAACCGGCTTCCACAACAAAGGCTAAGTTTTCTCTCACCTTTTGAGAAAGTATGGAATTTGAAACCTACAGTTGGTCATTTTCGTGTCTTTGGATGTGTATGCTATGTATTTGTTCCTAACCACCTACGCAGCAAAATGGAAAAGAAAGCTGTAAGATGTATCTTTGTAGGATATGACAGCAATAGGAAAGGATGGCGTTGTTGTGATCCTACAACTAATAAGTGCTACACGTCCCGCAATGTAGTGTTTGATGAAACTTCCTCGTGGTGGTCCTCTAGCAAAGAAGAACTTCCTGATTCAAATGCTCTGCAGAAGAAACTTGAAGTCCCCCAAATTCAGTTGCGCTTAAATGACGCTGAAATCGATAATGGTGATGAAAAAGACTTGGTTCAAAATTCTTGGCAGACTGGTGTACATCAAAGACTAGTGGAAGAGAGCGATTCCACTGAAGAAGTAGTACCAACTCCATTAAGAAGGTCGACTAGAATAAAGTATCCAAATCCCAAGTATGTTAACGCTGCCATAGCGGAAGAAATCGATGCAAAAGAACCTGAGACATTTGAAGAAGCATCCAAAAATCCTGAGTGGATTAAAGCTATGGAGGAAGAAATTGCCGCGCTGAAGCATAATCAAACTTGGGAGCTCATGCCAAAGCCAGAAGATGTGAAACCCATTTCTTGCAAATGGGTATACAAACTAAAGCGCCGCACAGATGGATCAATAGAGCGACATAAAGCTCGACTGGTGGCTCGCGGATTCTCTCAACAGTATGGGCTGGACTATGAAGAAACATTCAGCCCTGTTGCAAAGCTTACAACAGTGAGAGTTTTATTAGCACTTGCTGCAAGCAACAATTGGGATTTGTGGCAGATGGACGTAAAGAATGCATTTCTGCACGGGGAGTTAGATCGAGAAATCTACATGATACAACCGATGGGTTTCTATAGCCACAACCATCCTGAGTATGTTTGCAAGCTTCGAAAGGCACTTTACGGATTGAAACAGGCACCACGGGCATGGTATGGTAAGATAGCTGAATTTCTTACACATAGTGGTTATTTAGTGACATGTGCAGATCCTAGCTTGTTTGTCAAAGCTAATGAAGAGAAGCTAGCTGTTATGCTAGTATATGTGGATGACTTGATCATGACAGGAGACTGGGAAGAAGAAATACAACAAACCAAAAAAAATCTCTCTGTTCGTTTTCAAATGAAGGAGCTTGGACAACTGAAGCACTTTCTTGGCTTAGAAGTAAATCATACTCATGAAGGAATATTTCTTCATCAACACAAGTATTCCACAGAATTATTGAAAAAATTCGGAATGCTTGAATGCAAGCCAATCTCAACACCAATGGAGCAAAATGCCAAATTGTGTGCACATGAAGGGAAAGATCTAGAAGATGCCATGATGTATCGGCAATTAGTGGGCAGTCTCATCTACTTAACGATAACAAGGCCAGACATCTCCTTTGCAGTTAGTGTGATGAGTCGCTATATGCAAAATCCAAAGAAGTCTCACCTAGAAGCAGTCCGACGAATCCTAAGATATGTCAAGAGCACACTTGACTTTGGAATTAAGTTCAGAAGGGACGAAGATTGCAAGCTACTTGGCTACTGTGATGCTGATTATGCAGGAGACCACGATACCCGACGCTCAACTACTGGATACGCTGTCATGTTTGGGTCTGGAGTTGTATCTTGGTGTAGCAAAAGGCAACCAACTGTGTCATTATCGACGACAGAAGCGGAGTATCGAGCAGCAACTATGGCAGCTCAAGAAATCATTTGGCTTGTGCAATTGTTGAAAGAGCTGCATCAACAAGTCAAGTATGATATCTTATTATATTGCGATAACCTATCAGCAATACGTCTTGCCGAAAATCCAGTTTTCCATGCAAGAACTAAGCATGTGGAGGTGCACTACCACTTTATCAGAGAAAAAGTCTTGCAAGATGAGATTAAACTGGAACATATTGGGACAGAAAACCAAGTTGCAGACTTATTCACAAAAGGATTAAGCAGCAACAAATTGGAAAACTTCCGTCAACAACTTGGGTTAGTAAAACGGACTGAAGCTGGTATTGAGGGGGAGTATTGAATAACAAACCAGCATACAAGAAAACATTTTGGTTTCTTTTATTGCCTAGTCAATGCAGTTATATTTTCTATTATTAGTCCTATTATGTAGGAAGCAGTTGTTTCATTTTTTTCTTTTGCGTGTATTAAGGAACCAGTTGTAAGTCTCAGCCTATATAAAAAGGCTTCAGTTTTTCAGCAATAAAAATTATCTTCCTTCTTCGATTCATCTTCGTATTAAAAACACTGTGTGTGTTCAACATGGCGGTGGCGGTGGTGGCAGGCAGGCAGCAGCTAGCTGACTCAGCTTTGTTTTTGTCGTCTTGTGACCGCAACTATTCTTGTATACTGACTGACTGACTGACTGACCTCATCTGTAACTGTCGTTTCATGAATTTTTATTTTTATTTTCAAAAGAAAGAAAGGGTTTTACGATTTTGAATTTTTTTTTTTAAAAAAAAATTTAGTATATGATATAATTTGATATGGTATTTTTTCTTAAAAAAATAATATAAACGAACAATACAAAGATAGTGAATGTTCTCTAAGAAACTGAAGATAATGGTCAAATAAACAAAGTCGATATTATATAAGGGGAAAAAAAAATTGATTACCTCATTTAGCCAACGGAAAGCCATTTTTTTCCAAAAATAGAATTTCAATTTTGTTTAATTTATTTATTCGTTCTATTGTTTATTTTAGTTTCATGATGGAGGATAGTTGCAGTGCTCTATATAATGATCAACGACTTCCTTTAACGATGGTGTGTGTGCTAAGTTTGATACCTTAAATTCTCATCAATTAATCCATTAAATATTTATATTGCAACCCATATTTATTTATTTGTCTGATTTTGACGTGAACTTCAAATATAGACTAGTCAGCATCCAATTGACCAATTGAGAATTCTACTCCAGTTTACCATTATTTTCAAGATTGTTACAATGCCTGCCCTTATTTTCCTCAAATTCTATTTAATCTTATTTCAATTCAAGTCTTGTACCATATCTATTTTTTTATAATAAAGAAAAGTGAAATATTATATATATTTATACAGAGAGAGTGAGTTTTTTTTTTTTTTTTTTTTGTGGTGTTATTTTCGATGCTAAGAAGAAGCAGGTTAGTAAAATATTTGATGTAGAAGACGAGGGTGACGCATGTTTGTCGTTTACAGTTAGAGCGGTTGTAACTGCTCTATCTTCTGCCCGTTTATGGGCCTGCCTAGCCCAATAACCTTTTATTATTTTAAACTTGGGCCTCTAATTTCACAGCCCAATTTTTTCCAAGTGACATTCACTTCTTAAAATTCCTTTCAAAGTGCAATACCAAATATGCTGATAGGTTCAGTTATACCCAAAAAAATACGTATGTTTTCAGAAAAAAAAAAAAAAAAAAAAGCAGAAAATACTAAACGACAGCGCCGCCACCGGCGCCACCGTATCTTAGGAGTTCTTCCGATGCTCTCTGACCGGCTGCCTGATGTGGTCCTCCACGAACTTGTCCACGCCGGCGTCTTCCTCGTTTCCGGCGATCTCCGACGCCTTCTGCTTCATGTGGTGCACGGTGATCCTCACCTTCTCCGCCGCGCCCTTGCCCGTCTCCGCCACCATCCCGGCGGCGTTCTTTGTATTCTCCGCCGCAGTTTGTGCAGAATCCTCGGCCATCTCTTTGACGTCGCGCGCGTATTGTTTGGTTACATCAGCCATCTCCTCTGCGGTGCCTTTGATCTGATTTACGCCTTGTTTTGTCTTGTCCGCCGCCGTGGCCGCGGCGGCGGAGGCCTTCTCCTTCATCCCCTCAGTACTGCCCTTCATTAATTAGGGCAACATGGGAAATGAAATTTTGTAAATTTCAATAATTACCAAGATCCGATTATGATCGATGTTTAGGCACGTACCTCAGATTGTCTGAAAGCAGTACTGAAGCAAACCCCAGAGACATTAATGGCCCCGCCATTGTTGCTGGAGAAGGAGTTGCAGAGTTTGAGAATGGCGCTTTTAGCAATAGACATAGCCGACGACTGCTCAACAAACAAATTCGAAAATATTGTCCTGTGGATTCTCTTTCACTCGATTCTGTTCTTCTCAGTAAATATACAACAGTGAATATCTATATCTATATCTATACATATATAAATGCAGTTAATTTATAACCCCATACAGTAATTAGCATTTGTCTTCAAGATCAGGGAAGAAGTCGACGTAAGCGTCAGACACGTGTAGTTGACGTTGCCACGTGCTTATAACCCCGCCGTTTTGCGGTTCTTGCAGTTTATTATCTATTAGTATAGTATTTTTATTTTAAATATTATACTCCTCGGGTATTAAAATTTTATTTTTTATTAGAAATATTTTATTAAATTTTTATAAACAATTTAAAAGTAAACAGAATTTTTATATTTAATTAAATAAATTTAATTGAATTTTTTATATGATATATAAATTATTTTATAAAAAAACAAAATTTTCTTGATCCATAAAAATTTGAATACAGTATAGTGAATTAGTGATTACTTATATAGAAATGGATATACAATACGCAGTAGAAGAAGAAGAAAATAAGTGATAATGAGAAAATTAGACTGTAAACAAAAATTGGCAACATGAAAAATTAATTTTTGCCGGGTAATGGATGGAATAACATTGGCAAGCTATACCTCCGTGCAAGTTTTACAACAAGAAGGGTGAATGAGAAACCATGTTTTTATCACCGGCAGGGTTTATCATGCTCCACCGGAGCAAGTCGTGAGCGGCGGCAGGGTTTATCATGCTCCACCGGAGCAAGTCGTGAGCGGCGGCAGGGTTTATCATGCTCCACCGGAGCAAGTCGTGAGCGGCGGCGCCGCCGCCGCTGCTGATTATGCTGAACTGGTTCTCCAGGCATTGTGGCTGTGGATATCTGTCGTGGATTATATAAACCTGTTGTTCCACCAATAATGTTTGGTGGCATAGAAATCCCATATGGATTTGGCACCTGTAATTAAAAAGAAAACAAAAAATTAATGACCCTAAGGAAGACGATGATCGTATAATATTGTAAAATAAGAACAGTGGAACAAACCTGGAATGGAGTTGTTGGTATGGATTGAAAATGGTTCGAAGGCCTAGAAGAGTAAGTCGTCCAGAAGACACTCCACCAATCTTGGAGGAATTTTTCTGGAGGGGAATCTGATGCATGATCCAAATTAATCAATCATTTAATTTAAATATATAAATACTCATACAAGAATTAATGTCAACAAACAATTAGTGAGCATAAAACCACTCTCAAGAACAGCAAGAAACAGCCTCGAACATCATATTATGTGAAAGAAGTATTTGTATACCAATAACAGATGAACTCAAACGAGCCTCAGCGGCGAAGGTATCAGCAACTGATCGCATATTATTTGCCACTAAATAGCCGTAAATGCATTTCTCCAGCCTACCAACAAATTATAAACCAGAAAGAAATTACAATCAAAATGTTTAAAACCAAGAAATTTAAGAACTCACTCCAAACTAAGATGGATCAAAAAAGATAAGACTGTACGAAACTTGCCTTTCTTGACTCTCCTGCTTGCCTTCCATGGCAACTGAAGAAGATTGGAAATCAGATCGGAAGCACACAAAACCCAAAAACAGATGAAGGGATGAAGGGGAAAATGATAAGAATTAAGGGAGGAGAAAGGTGTTTATTAATTGGCAATGCGTGTGTGAAAATTTGTTTAAAAAACCACTAAAAACTTGGAGAAAAATCGGTATGAAGTGGGACGATCGGAATGGTTCTTCCCTCCCCTATTTTATTTATCCATTTTTATCTACTAATTATTTAAAAAGATACTCCATATGATAAAAATATCTTAATTTCAATGATTGATTTATACTCTATTGACCTGCACAATGTATAAAATTACCTTGTCGCTATTCATCAATACCATTCAAATTATTTTCATTATTGTTCCAATATACTCATGCCATTGTCACTCAAATATAATTATATATCCATCTCTGCAGATGCACTTCAACCTTAACCCAAAATCCACCCTTTCTTTTCTTTTCTTTTCTCATCCTTTCCAAGAATCAGAATCCTCCCATCGTCCTCACAACTGAAATGGATCCTGTCCACCGACATGATGAAATTCCAGAACACCAGGACGAGAGTAGTGTAAGCCGTGTGTGTTTTAAATTCGAATGCCAGATCACTTGCAATCTTGATTTTCTTGAAAATTTCTTGATTTTGAATACTCTTGGAATCTATAGTTCGTTCCATTAATTAATTGTTTCAGAATACTTGAATCTTTTTTTCGAATCTTGAAAATGAAGCAAGAATCTAATCTTGAATGTGTACAGGTACATGATGCTGGGTCTGATAATGAGCAAGAAGATGTCCCACCAAATCCAATGGCTGACCAAAATGCACAAAGTTTTTCAGCTTTGATGAACAGTAATCTGCCCGAGCAAATTGTATATACAAGATCTGAGAGGCGTATTGTTAGAGTAATACATCGAAATCCCAATGTATTTCATCGACTAGGCAAGTTTATTGGATCCCTACCTAATCAATTCATAATATTAATATACTTTCTTGCTGCATTTATTCACTAGTTATTACATCTTATGAATGAATGAATGATCAAATTTCATATTTTCGTCGCAGGATTTCAAATTGCACGACTCACAAGTATCTCCCTGATCAATAAAAAGACATATTGCTGTGATATTTCCAAGGCTGGAGACTACATAGCTGTTGCTGGAAAGTTTGATGGAGTTGAGTTTGATCATCATCTTTCATTACTTCACTTCTGCTTACAGCTTGACCTTAATTTGTATGAATTCTTTTTCTTACAGGTGATTCTTTGGGACATTAAAAATTCATCCTTGATAACCATCAGGAATAACTTGGGACTTGTAACAGACATTCGATTCAGGACGGATGAAATTGCTCACTCAAACATTTTCATAACTTCTTCTCTTGATGGACCTATTAACATTTTCGATGCAGATGTATGTATTCGACTTTGCTTTTTTCATGTGATTACTTGTAGTGAGTCAGACAGTCAGTCAGTCTCATTGTTAACGCTATTACAGGCTCAGTGTCCTAAGTTCATGAACCCTACTCTTCCTCGCTACTCTTTTCTTCCTCGTCACGACGCCATTTCTGCAGATTTGCATCCAGTAGAGCTAAGTGCATGCTGGCTCTGTGGCGATGGCACGGTCTGGTATTGGAACTTTGGAGGCTCACTTTCTTGTTCTTATATCATTCTTCGGGTCAGTTTATTCGATTCGATTCGATTCTATTCTGTGTTAATTAACGATCATCTTGTCTGAAGTAGCTCTGATGGTGCAACTGCAACTGCAACTGCAACAATATATTAACAGGGAGCTAATCTATTGGTGAGATTCCAGCCTACAAGAGGCCATCTTTTGGCGACTATCATCAGGAACAACATCATCTTGATCGACTGGAAGACTAAGACAATCAAATACAAGTTGGAGGTAATAATTAATTAATATAAATAGTTGCTTGGTGTACTGTACTGTGGTGTTCTTGACCTAATTTTAAATTCCTTGCTCGATTTCAGGGGCACAGGACACGCGTATTGAGTGTAAGCTGGGAACCCTCAGGTGATTTCCTTGCATCTGCGAGCATCGACTGCGCTTTCATTTGGTCGATTGAATTCGGCGGCGCGTGCTTGTACACGCTCCAGCTTCCCAACACTCTATTGACATCGTGTGTATACCACACCGGCCCGGTCAATAACCTAATTTGGGATCCGCAGGCTGTCATTGTGGGGACGACGACGGTATGGAATTAGTTGCAGATTCATACGTACGGATGGGATCGGAGATGATGATTATTATTATTATTATTATTACAGGGAGCCTACTACTTGTGGAGACCAGATGTAAATATTTGTTTATATACGAGGTTTCCCGATGAGCAGAGCGATCCTGCATCTGTTATTTTTTTTGTGCGTGCTGGTTCACCTCACTGTAACAAGATGGGATCAGTCAGCCATGAAGGGACCTTGAAGCTATGGGCGATCAACAACCTTATATAACTCCCCAAAAGACAGAATTTCAATGGCGGAAAGAAGCTCTTAGTGTATAAACAAGCTTTTGCTTCAAGAGAATATGTGCATATATAATGAAACTTTAGGAATTCTTTTCATTTGCTATGCACGAGGAATTTCATTCATTTGCTTACGTTGCTTTTCGATTCGATTCGTGTTTTGTGAATGGGCTGCCATACTCATTTGATAATCATAACAAGACATCAAAGTTATGATATCTATAAATGAATTTTTCTTACGGACTTAACTAAAATATTTTTTTTAATCAATGTCATTTTTTGAAATAAAATCTTTGACGATAAGTTTGATTTTATATTTTTCAACTGTCATTTGAGTTTGTGTTTGATCCTGAAGATCCATATGCATCGTATTAATTTTTTAAATATCATTGTTATCAAAAGTACAAACATATCATCATTTAAATTAATTCTTAATAATAGTATAATAAAAACTGTGCAATCCAAGATATTTACAAGTCACAGCTGAAACTATTTAGCAAAATTCACAATTCTAACCAGAATTAATTGAATAAAAATTATCAACTGTTTTTATTTTTGAGGTCATGAGTTTATTCTGTCAATCATCACAAATGTTTTCCATAAGCTGTTTCTGAAAGAGATATATATATATATATATATATCCATCTGATCTGCAGATGCACTTCAACATTAATCCAAAATCCACCCTTTCTTTTCTTTTCCTCTTCAAGAATCAGAATTCTTCCATCATCTTCGCTTCTCATCGATCTCACCTGCATTAAATCACAACTGAAATGGATCCTCTCCATCAACATGATGAAATTCCAGAACACCAGGACGAGACTGTAAGCAGTTTTAAAAGTCGAATGCCAGATCAGTTGCAATCTTGATTTTCTTGAGAAAATTTCTTGATTTTGAATACTCTTGGCATCTACAGTTGGTTCCAGTAATTAATTGTTTCAGACTAGTAGAATTTTTCGAATCCTGAAATCTTGAATGTGTACAGGTGCATGATAATCAGCAAGCAGATATTTCTTCTCCAAGTATGGTTCCTCAGGAAGATGTCCCACCAAATGCACAAAGCTTTTCAGCTCTGATGAATAGTGATCTTCCCGAGAAAAATATATATACAAGATGTGAGAGCGGTATTGCTAGTGTAGATCAAAATTATCCTGATGTATTTTATGATCTAGGCAAGTTTCGATCCCTACATAATAATCAATTCATACTATCAATATACATTCTTGCTGTATTTATTCAGTAGTTAGCACATGATCTTATCAGGATTTCAAATTTCACGGATCGCAAGTATTGGCCAGATCAAGGAAATGCTTACAAGCTGTGATATTTCCAAGGCCGGAGACTACATAGCTGCTTCTGGACATTTTGATGGAGTTGAGTTTGATCATTATCATCCATTACTTACAGCTCGACCATAATTTGTATGAATTCTTGTTTTCTTTTTGTGACAGCTGATTCTTTGGGACATTCGAAACTCAACTCTGAGAGGCGTCGGGCTTAACGAGGGATATATAACAGACATTCGATTCAGGACCGACGAAATTGCTCACTCAAACATTTTCATAGCTTCTTCGTTTGATGGACCTATTAGCATTTTCGATGCAGATGTATGTATTCGACTTTGCTTTTCATTTGATTATTTGTAGTGAGTCAGACAGACAGTCAGTCTCATTGTTAACTCTATTACAGGCTCATTGTCCTAAGTTCATGAACCCTACTCTTCCTCGCCACTCTGTTCTTCCTAGTCACGGCGCCATTTCAGCAGATTTGCATCCAGTAAAGCTAAGTGCATGCTGGCTCTCCTGCGATGACAGGGTCTGGTGTTGGAACTTTGAAGGCTCTATTTCGAGTTATTATTACTTTCTTAAGGTCAGTTTACGCGATCCTCTGTTAAAGATCGATCATCTTCTAAAGTAGCTCTGATGATGCAACAATGGTGCAACAGGGAGCTTATGGAATGGTGAGATTCCAGCCTACTCGAGGCGATCTTTTGGCGACCATCATTCGGAAGACCGTCGTTTTGATCGACTGGAATACTAAGAAAATCAAACTCCTGTTGGAGGTAATTTAGCAGTGGCTACTCACCTTGTCCTAATTAAAATTTGTCGACTGAATTCTTAGATCGATTTTCAGGGGCACAGGTATGGCGTGCTTTGTGTAAGCTGGGAACCCTCAGGCCGTTTCCTTGCATCTGTGAGCACCGACTCCGCTCGGATTTGGTCGATTGAACATGGCGGCGCGTGCATGTACACGCTCTACCTTCCCGACACTGTAATGACATCGTGTGTATACCACACCGGCCCGGCCAATGACATAACTGTGGATCCGCAGGCTGTCATTGTGGGAACATCGAAGGTATGGTGATTAATGGTATTAATTTATTTATTTTATTATTACTATTGTTGTTGTTGTTGCAGGGGGCCTACTTGTGGAGACCAGATAAGGAAGAAGTTTTATATACGATGTTTCCCGATCAGAGGAGTCCTCTTACTCTTCTTGCGCGTGCTGGTTCCCCTCACTGTAAGAAGATGGGATCAGTCAGCCAAGAAGGGTTCGTGAGGCTATGGGAGATCAACCACCTTCCATGACTCCCCAAAAGACAGAATTTCAATGGCGGAAGAAGCTCTTACTGTATAAACAAGCTTCTGCTTCAAGAGAATCTGTGCATATGCATAAATCTTTTCATTCCTTTGCTTGGCTTTCGATTCATTTTGTGAATAAAACCTTCCATGATTTATCACACAAGTATTCCAAAACTGGCTTTCGAATAAAACCTTTGGCCTTATATCATTCACTGCACAAGAACTAATCTATGAAATTCATCTCAATCAAATTCTACTAAAAACTTATTAACAAAAACTAACCTTGATCGGGATTCTCCTCCTCTTGACCCTCATCCCAAAAATACCAGTAATTTCTTAAGTGGGATAGTAATTTTATTCTGGATTTTTCTATAGACAGAAACGATCAAGACCAAATTTAATTTATTGATTAATCATTTATTATTATTTAGTTAGCCCAATTGGATAATGTTTATTTTATACCAGAATATAATCTGTTTCTGATTATCTCCCTAAGAGAATGTTTTTTGTTGTTCCAATATAAATATTGCATTTGCATGGCATTGTCATTCAAATCCATATATCTCTGCAGATGCACTTCAACATTATTTCAAAATCCACCCTTTCTTTTCTTTTCTTATCCTCTTCAAGAATCAGAATTCTTCCAATCATCTTCACTTATCATCGATCTCACTTGCATTACATCACAACTGAAATGGATCCTCTCCATCAACATGATGAAATTCCAGAACACCAGGACGAGACTGTAAGCCGTTTTAAAAGTCGAATGCCATATCAGTTGCAATCTTGATTTTCTTTAGGGTTTCTTTTTTTTTTATTTTCTTGAGGGTTTCTTGATTTTGAATACTCTTGTCGTCATTTAATTCCAGATGCCTGCTAGTACGTAGTTCGTGCCATTGCTTAATTTTATATGAAAAATCACACTTCCAACATTTACACAGGTAGACACTGTTGAGAATGATAATCAGCAACCAAGTACAGTTCCTGAAGAAGATGACCCACCAAATACAACCGTTGACCAAAATCCAGAAAGTTTTTCAGCTCTGATCAATGATGATCTGCTCAAGAAAAATGCATATACAACATCTGAGAGCAGTATTGTTAGAGTGCGACATAGAGTTGCGACACAATATTATTACATAGGCAAGTCTCGACCCCTACGTATATAATCAATCAATTTATAACATACTTTCTTGCTGTATTATTCAGTAGTTAGCACATCTTCTGAATGAATGAACAAATGCCCTCTTGGATTACATATTGTCATTGCAGGATTTAAAATTCCCCAAATCAAAGTTTTGGGCCCGATCGATAAAATGCTGACATGCTGTGATATTTCGAAAGCAGGAGAGTATATAGTTGCTACTGGACCAGATTTCAATGGAGTTGAGTTTGACCTGATCATCTATCTTCCATTACTACTAATTCTTGCACTTCTACTCACAGCCTGAGCATAATTTGTATAAATGAATTCTTGTTATAAACAGATGGTTTGAATTTCTTTTTTGTGACAGTTGATTCTTTGGGACATCCGAATGTCAGCCATGATTAACGTAAAGAATGACTTGGGACCTATAACAGACATTCGATTCAGAACCGATACAATTGCTGGCTCAAATATTTTCATAACTGCTTCCCTCCTGGGATCCATCAACATTTTCGATGCAAATGTATGTACGATGTTGTTCTAAACTTTTGTTTCTTTCCGTTTCGGTTTTGGTTATAATTTCATTGTTAACGTTATAGGCTCACTGTCGTCCCAAGTACATGAACCCAACTGCTGTTCGACACCCTACTCCTCCTCGTCACGACGCAATTTCTGCAGATTTGCATCCGGTAGAGTTAAGCGCGTGCTGGCTCCGCGGCAATAGCACAGTCTGGTGTTGGAATTATGCAGCCTCAATGTCTTGTTATTACCAGATTCTTGAGGTCAGTTTCCGCGATTCTCTGTTTAAGATCATCATATTCGTCGCAGTTCTGAATCTCAGCAATTGACAGGGAGCTAATATAGTGGTGAGATTCCAGCCTACGCGAGGCGATCTTTTGGCGACTATCATCAAGAAGAACGTCATTTTAATCGACTGGAAAACTAAGAAAATCAAACACCAGTTGAAGGTAAGCACCTGCGTCGCGCGGCTTACACCTTTCTTAAGTGTTCTTGACTTGCTCGATTTTCAGGGGCACACGGCAGGCGTAATTTCTCTAAGCTGGGACCCCTCGGGTCGTTTCCTCGCATCTCTGTGCAAAGAGCGCGCTCACATTTGGTCGATTGAAAATGGCGGAGCAAGCTTATACGTTCTACCGCATCCCAACTTTCCACTGTCATCGTGCGCATACTTCAGCGCCCCAGACAATGACGGCGTGGGTTACCAGGCTGTCATTCTGGGATCCTCGACGGTATTATTAACCTTAAATCTTCGGCTCATTCATACGCAGATTAGATTATTCGGGATGCATCTGTTTTGCAGGCGCTTTACGTGTGGAGACCAGATAGGAAATTTTTTTCGATGAGGTTTCCAAACCTGGACGATCCCGCTGCTTATTTGGCGCGCGCTGGTTCCCCTGACTGTAAGAAGCTGGGATCAGTGGGCCGAGAAGGGTACATAAAACTATGGGACCTCGAAATCTATCCATTCTGTTAGAAACTGCACATAGCATTCCTCCGGACCGTGTAATCTTTTTGAATTAGTCATGAGACAACAGGGGAATTCTCTTTCGTGTTGAAGAACAGAGTTTCTGCTTCTCCTTTGCCACGGCCAAAAAGATCGAATTGTTAGTGAAAAAGGAGAGATTTTGAAAGGCGGAAACTCTTACTGTAAACAAGCTTTTGCTTCAGTTCAAAAATGAATCCAATGAGTGTATCAGTTGCAAAACTATATTGAGTTACTTTCTGAAAAAAATCAACTACTTTTCTTGCTTTGATTGTCGCCGGCATCTTTAGGTTCGATCCCAATTTCTTGCATTTGTTGCTCAACGGAAACAAGACCAGTTTGAGCAAGAAAACTGCATAGCACACAGAAAGAATTGTTTAGAAACTTACTCATCGAGAGAATGTTCGATTCAACATATCCAGGTATCCATACTTCAAACGATGTATTTCATAACCAATGTATTAGAAATGGATTTACAGAACATCATAGATCATCCTAAGTATCATAGAAATTCTAAGTCTGTAGTTTTGGTAAAATCAAGCAATGCACAGCCCACTGCTTGTAGTGCGGAAACTCCATTGAAGGCTTGTAGATTAACAGCTCAAAACTAGAAATCAGAAGAATCTTTTGATACAATTACCCATCCAGAAGATGAACCCAGGGATTGATGATACTCAAATGCAGAAAATCAATGCAACATTGGGAGTGATAGCAGATTGAAGAAAAATCCAATCGAAGAAACGAAACTAAGACTTCAAACTACACTTGATTGGAGGAAACATACAGCTACTGTTACAAATTCCTCTCTGTTTGTTACAGATTACTGATTCACATAAATTCAGAAGAAACACACAGAATTCACTGTAAGAATGTTAAAAGCCCCAATTCAAGCCAATCAGAAAGCTAAGGATAATACTATGCAAAACCCTAATTCAATCACTCTTCAATTTGGTTCCTAAAAAATGGAATACAAAAACAATGGCAGAAAAAGTAAATTCTGCGTCAAAATTCATACGAATTATAATAAGAATGAACCTACAAACCTGCAGAGGAGGAAGAAAAGGGTGCCAGCAATCAGAAGAAGGAACGTGACATGGAAAATCAACGAAGAATCACTAAAAGAGAAGGCTAAACCCAGCATCGCAGCGAGGCACATCCCCAGCATAAAAAAAGCGATCTTCAGCGTGTTCCAAGTCGGACCCTGAAAATTTTCGCCGGAAAATATCAAAATTTTGTGTGAATCGCCAAATCTGAATCTGTTCGAAGAAACAAATAAGTGATAAATGGAGAGAATTAGCACAAACGTTGACGCCAGGAGCTAGGGCACCAAACAAGACTGCTTCAGCAGAGGATAAACCCTCCTTCCTCGCCGATCCAGCCTCCATGTTCAGGTCCAGATCTCGGTGCACCGTTATACGGAGGATGGAGGCGGCGCGTGTGTCGGAGAATTAGGGATTCGCACAATCAAGCATGATGGGCCTGCGATTAAACGCCATGACAAATCAACAAACTAATTATTAAATTAATTAAAATATTATTTGCTGTCACAGGGACATACATACACAGGTCAGAATTATTAGGCGATCAAGTAGTGGGAGGTGTTGGGCTGTCAGGGCCCAAGGAAGAAGATGAAGATGAGCAGATGTAAAGATGAAGAAGAAGAATACCAAGTCAATATTTTACATTACAATAGTGACTCTCCTATTGCAGACAGGCGACAGCGATGTCTGACGACGATCTCTGCCAATCTACTAATCAAGCAACAGTGTGTCCGACTGTGACCCGTTCACTAAACTCCATGGAAATTATTCGATTCCGAGATAGTTGACAATTGTTGGGTAAAAGTAGCAGTAAAAATGATTTTTCACATTCAAAAATGGGGAAGGGTTAAATTTCATGGTGAAAGGATAATGAGCTAATTGGGCAGAAATGGCGGTGGCCAAATACAGGAACATGAAATGAGCTTGAGCTTTAATGGCGGGCCACAACAGAAATATAATTCATAAACACCCACATGAACAGAGAAAAGAAAACAGACGAAGCCCCACAAAAGCACACGAAAACGCAGAAGCCACCATCCTTGTTTTCTTGTTTCTTTTCCCCCACAACATTGAAACTTCAACTCTCCATCTATTCTCTCTCTCTCTCTCTCTCTCTCTCTCTCTCTCTCTAACTATATATATATATTGGTTTCATCATCACGAGTCTCACTACCATTGTCACCCCCACATCTGCATCACTTTCTAATATCTGTCCACTAACAAGGTCCCCCCTTAACAGTAACTTTCTTCCCTGAGGTCAAAAGGGCATATCATGTATTTCTCCTCACTGCATCCCAATTCAAAAGCTGCATTTATAGTGCCCAAGGGAATTCAAAGGGACAGCACCGATTGGGTCAATTTCTTGAATTCTCTTCTCCAGGGCCCGCATTGCCAATCCACTAAATTTTCCAAGCACTTGGTAAATGATGATGATGGAATATGTGTTTTTTCCAACTTGATGTATTTTTTTATTAATTTTTTCTTTTTCAAAATGGAATGATATGGAAGTCAAATTAAAAGCTTTATATAATTAAATGGGGCTCAATTAGTCCACACCAAGCCGTAAACTGCAATTAATAGTTGTGAGAATCCGAGGGGACATTACAGCAATTATCAGAAAATGAGACTCGCTCTAAGGACAAGAATCAACAATTCAACATGCAATTTTTAATTTTTAGTTTTATGTCTTTGTACAGTTTGCTAGTGAATTATCAGGAGCATTATCATGCTAAAGAAGTTAAATGGCTACGATTAGTACACATAGGGTTCCACATAAAGCTTTGTTTTTTTTTTAAATAAAATTTTTGTGAGTTTATTTTTCTTGCCCATCTTTGATGAACGGTTAGTTGATTGGTGAAAATGTAATGGCCGTAAGAGATTCAAATACGTGACGTAATTTAGCGGGTCCGGGCCCTCAGCTCCGACACAGAGTCAATCCCATTCACGCGTGGACCCCACACCATCTACGGCGGCGATGCACATGGGAGCTCGCGTCCATGGATCTCCCACAAATGATGCATTCAAACAGAGCAGAGCCTTGTTTGGCACAAAATTTTCCAAACTAAAAAAATAAAATAAAATAAAATAAAATTTTGGTTGCAGACCTCCACCCCGATCTTTATACCCGTCGTCTTCTTCTAATGATCAAAAAACAGTGATATAAGAAATCAAGAATGTGCTTTCATTACATAGTAAACCTCGTGCCAGGCAATCTTTTGGCATCTATCCAACTCCACCTCCACCTCCATCGTAGAAACAACAAAAGAGTCTAAAGATTCCTTTCCCTTCTTTTACTCATCCACTGACAGCTAACCCTTCTCCACTTTTGAAAAAACACCCATATCTTCCTTCCTCAGTAATTCTTGGGAGATGCGTGTGGGCCCCACGCGCCCAATTGTTTAGATCCATCTGGGCATCATCAGGGCCCACCGCCCCCCCTTGCTTTATCATGTGCACCACTTCACGAAGTTTGTTATTTTTGCCTAAAAATTCCGTGAATTGGCAACGAGGTCACTCCACCAGCTCGATGACATACTTTGACAAACTTGGGAAGAAACAGTCAAACAGAAAACCCTTTTTCTTGAAAAGAAAATCCATTCAGGGAATAATCTATTCTATTGCAGAGAAAAAATTGAAGAAAAGATCCATCCATGGAGATCAAATGTGGCTGTTCTTTTCTTCCACTCATCCCTTTTTCCCAATTACACAACAATTACTATGACACAACATCGTTTGCTCATCCCAATCATATGTTGTTTTTTTCTCTTTTTTTTTTTTTCGACATGTAGAGGAATGGTACAGCTTGATAAATTAAAGCACATAGCTACGCCCAAAAAGAAAGAAGATTAACCAAAATAAAAAAAAAAGAAATTCGAACTCACTGATCAGGACTCGGCGGCGCCGGTTGAACCCACAACTCTCGGCGAGGTCACCGGAAACAAAGACAACAGTCGGGGCTCCGAATCCCGCGGAGTACTCGCCGGAGATGGATGTAAATAAAACCCCTTTTCCTTAATTGCCTTGTCCTCCGCCGCCGTATCCAATCTGCTGCCACAATTGTTGCCTGCTCCGCCGCCCGTGCGGTGGAAGGGATCGGGGATCAACGGCGTCACGGGGCTGAGCACCAGCGACGGGAAATCGAGAATACTTGGAGAAAGAATTTCCGGCGTGGCGGGTCGGGGCGAGCCGGCGTACCCGTTAAAGTATCCGGGGCGGGCGTTGACGAGGCCGGGAGCCAGAGGGCTGATCTTGAAGTTTTTGAGGCTGTTCCGGCGCTCGTAGAGCTTCGAAGCGGGTTTGTCCTTGCGGAGCCCGGTCTTCATTGGCGGGATAGGGTTCCGAGCGGGTTCGGGCCGGGCGGCGGTGCGGGCGGTCTCGGACGACCCGGTTAGCATTTGGACCACCTGTTTGAAAGAGGAGGTGTCCGCCTGGACGAAGGTCGTCGGGTACGGGTTGCTCGGGTCCGATCTGGTCATCGGAATCGTCGACGGCGGCGATGGGCGGTTGTGCAGGCCTCCGCCATTGGCGCTGGTGCTGCTGTTGCTGTTACTGTTGCTGGAGCTGTTGGAGCTCCGACTATTTGGGGACGGAATTAGGGTTTGGTTTCTGGTTTCCTGAACAACTGCTGCTGCGGAGTTCTCCATTGTTGGGTCTGATTTGAGTTTGGAGAAGAAGTAGAGACTTTAAAGGAGAGGAGGAATAATAACTTAGATATATATATATATATATATTATTTTTATTATTAAATAAATAAATAAATAAGAATAGGAAATTTGGTGATATTGCGTTACTATTACTTCTTGTGTTTTCTTTGGTTTGGTATGAAAATGCTTGGCTGTGTATTTCTGGTTCAACTCTCGTACACCCACTCGCGCTACGGCGCGTGACATATTATGTAATTTATTACTTAACAATTAATTGGAAATTATTTTTGTACTTGGTCAAGCTTTTACTCTAATATTTGAATTTTACCAACATCTTTATTATTTTTTAAAAAACTAGATTCATTAAATAATATCTAAAATAATACTTCAATTATTCTATAAAATTCATGCATCGAACAAATACTAGTTAGTAGTATAATAATAAAAAAGGAATGTAATTTATTTTATTTTATTTTATATAGCGTATGGGGACCAATCTGATTATTAATTTATTACTCGTTACTTTTTAAGCAATGCGTTTAGTGAGTTGCCACTAATTGGTCCAATTAATTTTCTAACTTTCTTCGTTAAATTTAAATTATTTCATACGAATATTAATAATAAATCTAAAGTATGGCCCTTTTGCCATAAGACCAAACATTTATGGTAACAATCCTTCCAATCAATATACAAGTTTTTAGAGTTGTTAAATAACCATGAATAACTATTGTCCAGCTTTAAATGTAAGATCCTAACCAGCAAGCCATGCTAATCAAGTAGTGTCCGCATACTGATCGGTCAACACAAATTCTATCAGTGCACTTTTGCCTTTATTCATGCGCATTCTACATTTAATTCTATAGTTTTTTAAGCAGGATTTTCAAAAAAAATATGAACATATTATTGACATTAATAGTTTATTCAGTCTACTTGATTTTATTATACATGCGAATTAGTCTAGCACTGATCGAACTCCAGGATATTATAATAAAACTTGAACTTGCGCAATTATATTCGAATTTTATACTTATTATATAATTTTTAATACTCTCGCGGTCCCTTAAAAAGAAAAGTAGGTGTTTTTTCATTTTGAATAGTCCTGAAATGAAGTACTATGTATTTATTTTTCTATATAGTAAGTATACTATTATTCAAAATATTTTTACAACTTAACTATTGTCAATAACCAATACACACTATTGACAAAAATATATATTTTATTCTATTTTTATTTAAACTACACATTAATATAATACTAATATTTAAAATTTTACGTGAAAAAAAAAACAAAACAAAAAAAAAAACATTCTGTTAGGCTTATAAATTAAATATATTTAGTTCTATTTATAATTTATTATACTAGAATATTTTAATTAAAAATATATATTTGGATAAAAAAAAAATTATATGTTATATTAATATATAAAATAATACAAATATGCTATTACTGACGAGTTTAGTCGAATTATCTATAAATTGAACTTAAGTCGACTGTTTAAACTAAAAAATATATAAATCAACAATTTATTCGCTTGATATTTGGTTATCACTTCGATTATTATTATTATTTATCTTTACTATTCGAACTTTAATTTAATTACAAAAATAAAATAAAATAAAGTATTGCAAATACTTTCATTAAAATCTTTTTTTGTTAAAATAGTAAAACTAAAAAAAAAAAATGGATAAAGAAACATACTCTTAAGACTTTGTCTACTAATATATTATTATTTTTCCTATAAAAACATATTAATTTTTTTTAAAATATTGTATTCATAACAAAATTTTAAATTTAAAGGGAAAAAATCCAGCTAAGCACACAAGAAATTAAAAAAAGGAAACGGGTGGTCATTGAATTGACTTAATTCCACGTGTACTAATATCATTGGGTCTGACTAGGAAAGTAGTATATGCACCCGGACTTCGAACTTAGTCAGATCCCACTCCGTAGTGGCGTGGACCATATCCAGTCGACGGCGTGGATCATTCTGGTGCCGAAGTCCCGGGTGCTTACAAGAATAACAAGGAAGGTGGTGGGGAGGGGATATAAGCAATTAGAAATTGTCAATTTAAAACCCATATTCCCATTTGAATATACTCTTTGCTTTCACTTTCAAACCCACCATTTTCATAATTCAATTAATTTATTATTATTACATACACAAAAGTCATGAGTCCAAATGCAGGGTACTTTCAAGTAGACATTTTATTTGTTTTTTTCTGAAGCAGCTAATAATAATAATAATAATAATAATAATAATTAATAATCATTATCAAGATATAAAATTATGAGATGATTCTTGGTTGATCCAATCTAGTGTATTATTCCAATAAGGTTAAAAGAAAGTATTACCAAAACAACATAACATTCCACAAACACTAAACCAACCCACTCTATAGTCTGAATAAATAAGATAACATTAAAAATCATTCCACCTTGACAGCCAACATAATTAATATTTAACCTTAATTTTCAACTATGAACACTTGATGCCAAATAGAATAAGTTAACCAACTGTTGGTAAAAAGTTGTCTTTATATCTTTTTTTTTTAAAAAAAAAATGAACATTGGAAGTGGGGCTGAAGTTTGAATAACAAAAAGTGGTCAATTGCAAGAGAAATTTCCCTAAAGGGTTACAGGTTAAAATCATTAGCAAGTCTTTAATTATTTCAATAAACCCTCCAAGAAAAAGTATGATTATACTTTCTAATATTGATATAAATATTATTATATTTTTTCTTGACGTTCTCAATTGGCAAACGTAATCAAATTACAGCCCTTAATAGTCATTTTATACGGTCATTTTCTGGATGGGCTTATTTCACATAGAGCCCATGAATTGGTGGATTGCTAGTGGGCTCATATAATAAAATCGTAACTTTGGCCCAATATGACAAGGCCCAAAATATAAAGAAACAAATTAGGAAACAAATGTACAGAGGACAGCATGGGCAATGCTATCATGTAAAGAAATTATTGTCCCGACCACGTGACAAAGCCTGTCCATTTTATCCACTTTAACAGTTTAACCCACCTTCATTAAAAGAATGGAGAATATGATTGATTATTACTGTTTACCCCTCTCTCTCTCTCTCTCTCCATTTTCTCTCTCCAAAACAGAAGTATACGTTGGGAAGTGTTAGAACACTGCCATGAAAAGTCGCTATCTCTGCTCGTTTTGTCCAAACACAGTCTCAAAATCCAATCTTTTTCTTTATTCAATTTGCTCTAATTAGGGTTTCAAACACAAGATTAAAGACAGTCCCACGTAAATTCAGACATCATTAGAGGGTGCTAATCATCGATCGATCGGACAAACAGTAGTAAGGAAGTCAAAGAAACCACTGTACGTACAGAAACTCATGGAAAATTAAAATTAATGGCAGAGCAATTTCTTGTGGGGTTCGAAGGCGAAGGGCCCGACGGTGAAGAGCACAAAGGGCAGTTTCTTGGCGTCGGCGGCGGGGGGCTTCTTCGACGGTGTCAGAATGGCGCCGGAGACGCCGCTGTGGAGGTCGGTGGTGACGTTGCAGGCCGGCAGGGGTGACGACACTATGTAGACCTTGCACTTGTGGGACCCGGCTGACGTCAGCTTCTGCGGCATGAAGAAGAAGTAGCCGTTCTTGTCGGTCTTGCCTTGCACCACCAGCCCCGCCTTCGTGTTGTTGCATTGCAGCTTCACCGCCGCCCCTGAAATTATAAATAAGACAACCAGCTGAAATTAAATCGGACCGCCATTGAAGGGTTTTAAGGAAAATTTTCGAAGCTTTGGGGTAGAGGATTCCGACCTGGAAGGGGGCTGGCCCCCATGAGAGTATCGACGCCTCTGTACTTGCACGACTTGCAGAACACGACGCCCTCCACCGCCACGAATTTCCTCTCCGGCGGGGGCTTCACCGGCGGAGCGGCCGGCGGGTGCGCCGGGGGAGGAGAAGGGGGGTGGGATGGGGGTGAGGCAGGCGGGTGGCTGTGGTGGTGGTGGTGGTGGTGGCGCGGAGGTTGGGCTGGGGCCAGCGGCGGAGCGGGCTCTTGAGCGCCGCCGTGTACGGCGGAGGCGGAGAGCAATAGAAGCAGGGAAATGTGGAGAGCAGAAGCCATTGCAGAGTGAAATTTTGTTAGTAGAGAGAGTGCTGCAGGAAGAGTGTTCTTATAGGGGCTTCGAAGCGGCAATTGTTTGGAATTATTAATAAAAATATATATATATATATAAATTAAAATGCGATTTTGGGGAGACGAGCCATAGTCGCGTGTCACGTAGCACGATTTTGTGCTATTTGCACTGTCCCGTTAACACGTACACAAATCGCATTATGCATCTCTTTCTCTCCTACGCTTTTTATTTTTATAGGTTCTTTTTTTTTTTTAAACACATAGTAATTGATAATCCATATGCTAATTAGATTGTATCATACATATAATTTTAGAATAATTTATGTAAACCCATATCAGTGTAGGAACAGGAACAGAAATAGTATGTAATAATCTAATACAAGAATGTTTTTTTTTTTTTTTTTTCCATAGAAATATTAATTTTATATTTCTCGGAAAATGAAATTCAAAACAATGTAAATACCTTCCTTCCCGGCTACTTTTCGGCCGTATTTGGGCAGACTGCAGCACAGCAGACATATTTTTTGCTTTGTCTGTTTTGTTTTGTTTGTTTGTTATTAGATGCCAAATCTACCAAATGTTTGTTGTTAGGGGTGGAGAAGAGAATCCAATTATTACTATTATTATTATTATTATTATTATTATTACAGACATTTTTATTGGATTCTTTGAGCAAGATAAGATTCAAGAAGCATAAATATTAATTAAAACTACAAGGCATCATATACACTCACGTGGTCGTATTCATTAGTGCTATTTTAATTATTGAGGCGAATATATCTTCTTTTTTTTTTTTTTATTTGCATTTCAGATGTAGAGATGCACTTTATTTTATCATTCATTGGGCCCACGGCCCATACAATTTATTTTCTTGAGCCCAGACTACATTTGGTGATACCACACACGTCTCGTGTGCACGTTTTGTTGTGTTTATTTTGGATTTGGATCAATGATAAATAACATAAAATTAAAAAATAAAAATAAAAATAAAAAATAAATCTTTACCCGAAACATTTATTGAGAGCTCGAAAATGGTGTATTTATATAAATAAAATAGTTACTGTAAAACGACGAAGATATTTTAACAACGGTTAGGTTAAAAGCATGCAAAGACGACGTCGTTTACGGCCACACTATTTCGACCGAGAACCGCGGCAGCTCCTCTTGGAACTGATCCTGGCCGTAGATCATACGCTCAGCCGGTCGGCATCTCGCGGAACCACCGGTCCTGGCAGCTCCTTTGGTGTCTACAGACGACGGCGGCGGCGGCTCGCGATAAGCTGGATAGGTATTTATTAGGTTTTCGACATTTTCGTGGCGTAGAAGCTCCGATATGAGAAGCACAATCGAGGCCATCGGAAATTGAGATTTTGAATTCACTGAATTGCAGACATACAGGATTCGTGGTTCTGAATTTATAGTGGTTTGAGAATTGAATGCGAACACAGAAATTTTGTTGAGCTCCCGGAAAGGGGAAAACATGGGGCGGGCGACTAAAACGCAGTCGTTTTGGTGTCCTTCAGTCTCCGTTACTGCTGCTGTTCGCTGATGGTTTTATTCGATGGGTGTTTTCGTTATTTCAATTGTGCTTTGATATATTCATCCAATAAATTATTCTTTTATTATTATTATTATTATTATAATTTTAGTATGTTCAATAAGACTATATGATAATTGATTATAGAAACATATTTGAATTTCCATTAATTGATTGCTTCAAAGTTGACATATGATAACGAAATTGTATTTTCTAGACACGCAATTTAATGAAATTGAAGGATAGCAATTTAATGATATTGTCACCGTCACAATTTTATATTATTAGAATTTATTAAAAACAAAAATCAAATAAGTACATAAAATATGTATAGTACGGAGTACGTTTCTCGTAAAATATTATAATTGAATATTTTATTATTTATATATAAAAAAAATAGACCCGGCCCATGGTATAAAATATTCGGACCGAAATGCAGCCTGCCGGCCCATATATTTAAACTGAACTTAACAAGTATAGCCCAATTATATTTTGTTAATTTTCTTTTAATAATAATTTAAACTGCGGTCCCGGATCAATAGGCCCAGATGGTCCAGGTCTGCATTTCTTGCAGCAGTCCAAGTCCCACCAGACCGGACGGGACAGACACGACTCTTAACTAACTAACTCTAGAAATGTTTCGAAATTTCTAAATTCGAGTGACTTCTTCAATAGCAAAATTGATACAATAATAATAATAAAATTATTATCTTTCCACGTCACAATACTGAAATTTAGTTCAATAAATAATCAATATTGGCCATGCCTTCGTCTGGAATCGATCGAGCACAGTCATACATTCATGTGCCTAGCCTAATTTTGCCACGTGCCAATAATTGTGTGGCGCTATTGCCCTGACGCACGTGTTAGCACGTGAATGTCATGAGAGCGCTCGTGTCCTAAACCGCTCCAGTCCTGTCTACACCATGCATCACACAGACGCCAATCTTCTCTCTAATATCAAATTCTCGTAATTCTATGCTGGTTATTTGACTGTAGATTTAGCCAAATCAGTACGTAATTATGCATCACAAAGATATCAATAATCTCACTAATATCAATTTTTTTGTAACAGAGGGGATGGTTAAATGTTGATTTGATTAAAATAATTAATATTTTATCATAAGATAGGATTAAATTAGCAAATTACTTTAAAACAATTAGCATTTAATCGAGACAAATAACATATATTGTATTATATATAAATATATAATGCGTAAGTTATATATTATACTGCATAAGATTATATAATGTGTATAGTATTCACATTTATTGTGTGTGTTATATATTATTTTGTATTGAATAATCTGTTTACCGTACTATTGCTAAAACTATAATATATTATGTAACATATAATTATATAATATGTTATCAAAAAATATGTGATATATTATATTAATATGTATTATTTTTATTACAAACATATACTCCTTTCGTCCTATATAATTTGTTCCTATTTTTTATTTTCGTCTGTTCCATATAATTTATCTTTTCTTTTTTTGGAAATATGATTATCCACTTTAATCACATTTTAAGTTTTTAAATTTTGTAATTTTTTAAATCTTAATATATAATTATTTTTACTAAATAATAATTATTTCTACTAATACACTTCTTAATTACCTACTCATTATATTTTACCTAAATTCTCGTATATACAGTAACACACCCAAAAATATATGGGACGGAGGGAGTACTAATTAGATCAAATCATCATCGTCATGCTGGTTGAGTCAAATCAATTGACCCAATCATTAAGCTAATTAATCCAATGGCATAATAGAGGGTCCATATGAATTTTTGCCTTAACAAAAAACTTAAGCATAATAATATTTTTATTAAAATATAACAAAAAAATTATTAACTAGTGATGAGAAAAAATATTGAAATAAGTAGAAAAATAATGATAAAAATATTGTTTGTTAAAATGAAAATAATAAATTTATGAATAGATAATGTTTTTAACAATAAACGAACTACATAAGTTTATAAAAAAATTAATAATACTAAAAAGGGGAGAGAGAGAGAGATTTGCATAATTGTCATTATTACCATTAACATTTTTCTTTCATATATGTGATCTATATTTAATATGAAATTAAGTAATTGTATTTATTATTTATTTATTTATTTATTTATGATATCGGGTATAGGCTGATCCATATCTAAATGGTATGCAAATTGGTCCCTCAAGTGCAACGTTACAGCCACAAATGTAAGAACAGCAGATATCATTACAGTATCAGTCTTATCGTTGTCTACCCGGAATTAATTATAAACTTTTGGCCACAAAAAAATCATAATATATAAAAATAATAAAAACTGTTTGACTATACATATGTATTTGTCTATTTAGTATACCAAAACATAATAAACACGTAGTATTTATTAATCCGAGCAGGTAAATAAATAATTACTAAAATATGCTGAAAAACTACTCATTTTGGATAAGCTCAGCGAATATGTTCCTATCTCGAAATTTTTTTAATCAATTTAAATAACACCAACATGAATACTATTATTACAGACATTAAATAAATAATAGTCCCAAAAAATAAAATAACATTAAAAATAAAAAATAATAATAATAATAATTGCGAATCCACCCACTCAAATATATATATCTAATTCCCTTAGCGGCATATATTCGCAGCTTCTACACTAATGAAGTGACCAACCCAACCCAACAATTATTGTCCACGTCAAAAGACGATAATACCCCTTGTCGTTTTGCGACGTTGGCCAGGAACCCGCGGGAAAACAAAAACCACGAGCCTGGCGCCGCGTAAGTACTGTCAATGATGTATATGGGCCCCACTACCACCATCGGATAAGTTCTACAGTCGACGTCACAGATCTTGCCACGTGGCATAACAATCCAAATCGTGGTGGTCCATGGCGCACGGATTAGGATAGGATAACGACACGAAATTGCAATAGAAAATTTTTATTTTTGTAATCGGAATATTCGAAATATATCCAAAACGGACACAAAGCGATGAAATTATTGACCCGTGGCTGACGTGGTCAAGGCTGTCTAATCCGAGACACCCTCATCCATGTGTCCACGTCGGACTTTTGGGGCCCACTTAATCGCGGTATTTAAGCAGCCTCCGCCTGCACTTGCCGTAAATGAAATTCCATTAGATTAAATCGTTTAACAACACGGTCGCCGGAGAGATGTCCAGAGCTCAGATAAGCCACCGGATTCTGACGTGCGACAGCCGGGAAATCCATGTTTCAGGTGATCCGGCGATCAACTTGTCGGACGACACCGTTTTTCAGTTTCTGAGCGAAGAGTTTGAGGGGACGTCGCCGACGAGCAGCGTCGGAGACGATGAAGATGAAGACGAAGAAATCGAAGAAGACAATCGGAGGGATGAAATCAATCGGTTTTGGGAGAGTCAACATCACCTGTTGCAAGTAAGTTTTTATCATCTCTCCCGTTTTGTCCAAAATTGAATGAATTTCAAACAACAGATCATCTCGAATTGTGTCCGATAGGGTTTCCGGTCTGAGTAAGAAATTGGGGATTTGGTAAACTAATGTCCGCATAAGAACCCTAACAATTTGTGAATCCCCAATTCTTACAGTCAACAATACGAAGAACGACGTCGTTGGAATTAAGAATCAGAAGCATCACTAAGGAAGCAGTAAGCGAAGCACGGTCCACGGGGACCGTATGCTCCTGCGGCGGCCGGCGATTCGACGGCGGCTGCCGGAAATGTCTGATGGAGGCGGTTTGCCGCCGCCTCCAAAACGCAGGTTTCGATAGCGCGATTTGCAAGTCCAAATGGAAAAACTCCGCCGACATACCCTCAGGTAAGAACACACTTAATTTCTTCTTCTTCACAACTTCTGTCATAACTCCAAATGTTTTCTTACATCGCCATTAACGCACAGTCGTCTGGTCAATTTCTGCGCAGGCGAACACACGTTTGTAGACGTAATGGACAGATCGAATCCGAAGAAGGAAGTGAGGGTAATAATCGAGTTGAATTTGCGCGGAGAGTTCGAGATGGCACGGACACACCAAGAGTACGACAATCTGGTGAAAAGGTTGCCGGAAGTCTTCGTCGGAAAAATGGAAAGGCTGCTGGAGCTGTTGAAGATTGTGTGCGGCGCAGCGAAGAAGTGTATGAAAGAGAAGAAAATGCACATGGCGCCGTGGAGGAAGTATCGTTACATGCAGGCCAAGTGGCTGAGAACCTGCGAGCGCCTGACGGCGCCGCCTCGGCGGCCTTTGACGGCGGAGAAATATGCCGGCCGGAATCCCCGGCCGACGGCGTCGATGCTCACTGTCGACTTGAAGAATTTTTCGAGCTTGCATAGGGCAGCCGTTGCTGTAGTGTGAATGGAGATTTTTTTGTATTTTTGTTTTTTTTTTTTAAGAAAATATTTATTTATTTTATTGTTTGGTTGTGACGTGTGAGTATAAAAAATAAAATTATATTTACGATCAAGCGATAATGATGCTGACATTATAATTGTAGGTAAATGATAGATATTTAATTAAATAAGCATATCATTACTTCCATAACTTTATTTGCTACTTCTATATTCAAACTAATTAATTAATTACCAATGGCTACAATCTGTGATTGCGGTAATACATACAAATAAACAAACTACAGGAGTCACTAATCAATAAACCTTAGCAGAGAGATACAGGGGACAGTAACTACGTTATGTACAAATCCCAAATAATACATGAAATCAAATCAAACAAACAAGCATCATTTCTCCTTCCTCATCTGATCATTTCTTCTTCCCAAAATCCATCCTGCAATAAAAAAAAGTCCAAATCCATAAGAGGTGCAACAAAATAAACAACACTTTGTAACTTACTGCCTTAAAAGAAACTTACTTACAGCCTGCCTAAGACAAAGATCATTGCATTCATCCTCAATCTCAGCCTCAGTCGTTGTCGATATCGACGTTCGATTTCTTCCCCGTCAAAATCCTCGAAATTTGGAGTCCCCGACTGAACGCTTCGTTGAAAAGAATCCTCGTCTGCATCTCCTGGAATCCCGGCATCCACGACAAGAATGCCAGCGGCGCCATTACAATCAAACCAAACATCATGTCATACAATCGAGCCAACGACACCACAGTATCCCACACCAAGCTCGACTGCAAGAACGGCCTCAGCACCTGCGCGATCATCAGCATTCCCCATCCCGTCGGGACAAATGCCAGCAGACTCTTAATGAAATCGATAACCGTCACCCGAGTAAAATGCAGAAGCAAAACGATCACAAGAACCGTTAACACAATCACGAGGAATTGAACCAGCCTGTAGTATATGTGCTCCTTCGCAGCATATTTGTCGCGTGCATAAGCGATAACGATATAAATACCCACGACCACGATCAGATAAATCCACGACAGCAAGTAAACGCCGATGCTCTTGCTATTACCGGCTATGTTCAGATGATAAACAATCCCGTACTGGAAGAAGAAGTATCGAAGATCTAGAATGATCTCGAGCAACTTCCCCCAAAGCCCCGTCGTTCGCAAGTGATCCTGCTCTTCGTACCACCACGTCTCCCAGCTCTGGTCGGCTTTAACTAAAATCCCTTTGTACCATATCCATTTGATGAAGTCGTCGAAATCATACACCGTTTTCAGCCAGTCGAATCCCGATGGATTAAAGATGAAGGGTGCCATAATCCACGAGACGACGAGGAACCAGCTCGATATCGTCATAATAATGTAGACAAATGTGTTTTCACCGATCGGGCTGGTCGAGGCATAGACGATCAAAATGATTCCAAGCTCAATAGCCTTCACGAAATGGCTGCGGGCATATAGACGATAATTTTCCGCGAAACTCTTGTGCTCGACGACAAAACCACGCCCAGTTGCTCGGTACTTGGCTCCGCCGTGAAGTATTGTCCGCCCGAAGAAATGCGACCGCGTCCCCATTGAGAAAGTATAGAAAAACGAAGCGAGCTGGAACTGCATCGTGATGAAATCCCAAATAGCCGGAAGGAATCCTCGCTCCAACGAATTCTCCATGATCATCGGAAGGGCGGTGAAGATGCCGATCTGGATAGCAAACTGCTGGTTCAAAATCGCACCAAGCGCCTCATTGTCGTTGGCATTTTTGGCGTAGCCCTCGACGCCGCTGAGGGAGAGGTACAGACGCCCCCAGAGAAACGAATAGACCATGACGATCACGATCATGTTGTTGTAGTAGTATCCCACCGTCGTGTAGAACACAGATAGCATTCGGAAGAAGTCAAGCCGGTGGCCCAACCTGTATATATCCCGGCTCAAGACCTGCTCGCCGTTACCACTCGCAACCTTGGCCTCGAACATGGAGATCTGATTCAATCCGACGTCTCGTCCCTTACCTACTTGGATGTATTCATGGTGCGACACATTCCCGCCTCTTAACGTGCAGTTGAATCCGGCGTATATGTCTTCGCTGATGTTGATCACTCTAGAAGCCTTGCTGATGCCGCCTCGGGTCAAAAACCAGAACCTGTCGAAGACATCAGGATGGCCGTAGTGCATTCTAACCTTGAGAGGATTCGCAAGAACGCGTTGCCCCAGCGTGACGAAGCTCATTTCCTGAGCAGACATAAACCAGGCGAGGGACGAGACCGAACCTGTAAATATATTTTCCCGAACGCCCAATATCGAAGGCTTCCGAATGCCACGGTTGATCTTAAACTCCTCCAACAGATTGCGCATCTTGAGCGCCTCCTCGAAGTAGTTGTCCTGGTTCATGTCGATCGTCTGCACAGCATCGCCGCGCGTAAATATAATCGCATGGTTCTGATTCTCCGGCTTCCCCTCCCCAAGCTTCAAAGGGCCAGGCAGCTTGACACGGTAGATTTCGACTTCGCTTTTCGATCGTTGATCGTACTTCACCAACACCGAATAGTAGTCGACCTCTTCTCTCCCCTTATGAACCTCGTCCACATAAGCAACTCGAAGGGCCTCGTTGTTTTTCATCATGTTCGAAATCTCCTCAGCACGGTCATCGCGTTTCGCTTTATGAACTCCGTACATTTGACAGGCAACCACATAAGTGTACTTCATAAACGCCGTTCCAAACTCGTCTCCCTTAAAAAGCAAGCTGATGCTGCTTCCAGCCCTCGCAAGATTCTGCGGATTCGGACCGTTACCCAAGCCTTGCATATTCCCATTGCTCTGCGAAATCTGCCCATAGATATCTTGCGATCCTTGTCGAATGTCCATCTCCGAAGCATAGTCGAGAAACGAAAGCATTTTAAGCGCCCTGTAGTAGTACATCATTCCTCGGACTGTTCGCGACAACGTCTGGCCACGGTAGGATGCCCAATGTCGAAGATCCCTCGACTTGCTTTTCCATATCTCCGAGTCGTCTTTCATCCCTTCCCTCCGCATCCGCTCCATAAAATTATTCCACTCGTCTTCGTAGATCTTCTGCAGATAAAACAGGATGGAGACGCCGTCTTCATTCTGTTTTCTGAGGGCTTCTTTCCCGAACAGCACTTCCTCGTCGTAGTAAGGAGTCAGGACACTGAAGGCCATCATCTGCTCGACGTGTGGCGCGCGAGGCATGTTCATGAACAGCGAATTGCTAAAGAAGGCAATCCGTCTTCTTGCCTCGACATTCCTCGGGATATTGTGCATCGAATCCCGAGAGTTGAGAATCGTGAGCAAACGACGCAACTGCCTGTTAAAAAAAGCATCGCCAGCATCGGGTAAATTGACAGCATTCTCAAACAGCAGCCTGGCCCCGTTGTCTTCATCAATAGGCCATAAACCTTCCTGTTTCAACATAGCCACCGACTTCTTCTCCCTCGGTAGCTCCCGGACTGCAAGCTCATACAACGCCTGCAGTACATCCACCACTTTATCGATTTTCTTCTCGGGTTGAAGGAGAAGCTTAATCAAAGATATTAACTGCGCGTGTATTTTCGGGAGAACCAATGTGTTGTATGTTGCCGTGAACTTTTCGTACTGAACATTGCTATCCACCCCTGCGAAAATTCTCGAAGCTATAGAATGTTCCTCCGAGTCGTACTTAATGATTTCAAGAAGCAAATACTTGACACTGTCGTAAGCTTCAACAACTGCGCATCGTCTGTACTCATTTTTGCATATATGATTCCACACATACCTGTCGGATGCATCAGCCATATCGACAGCCTCATCCAGTGCAAGCAGCAGTTCGTTGCATAAGAGTGCGCAAGGCCAGCGTATTACTTTGATATCCCAACAATTCGGTGGCAATTCCAGAAGCTCGAGTTCGTGGTCACTGATGAGGTCTTCTTCTCTGAAAGTAGCAATCATTTCATTCCATATCAATGCGAACCGAGTGGCTTCAACCTGACTTGATTCCATCTTCTTGTAGGGCTGACCGAGGCCATACCGGAGCTTGAAGCGCTGAATCGCGTCGCGCAGTTTATGGACAAGTGTTTTCTTCGAAGTAGGAACTTGATCCTCCGGCATCAGATTAAACTGCAACGCACTTGCGAAGAACTGGAATCTAAGTCGAAGCTGGTTGATGTTACGGATCTCGCCTATATGAGAGAATAGTCCAATAATAGACCCTACGACGGAAGAGACGACTGTGTACCAGATTTGCAAATCCACCAAATATATCAAGACAACCGGCGCCCACAACATCACCACTGCAACTCTGTTTGCGCTCGCGAAGAATTCATGCCATTGGTATGTCACATTTCGGAGGTTTAAGAGAGCTCTAGTAGGTCCGACCAGAGGCCTGATTTGAAGAAAATAGCTGAAGATAAATTTCGAAGCCAGCACAACGATCCAGAACAGAGAGTACTTAACATTGTCGATAAGCCCCTCCCTGACCCCTCGGCCAACAAATGCTCGGGTATGGAACCACCACATTATATAGTAGAAAACCGGCCAATCCGTCTCCTCAATCAGATTTCGAATCCATGGGAGGATGAATAAGATCAGAGCAAGTGTTTCAGGGATGACGAAAACTCCAGCAGCCTTAAGAAACATATAAATTCTTTGGTACGCCTCGTCCGACCAAAATCCGTCGGAATTCTTTTGACTCCATATCCTCGCATAGAAAACGCCAAACACGACACCCCAAGTCATAGCTACCATACTTTTCAAAACCATTCGGATACCAAGCAACTTCGTCTCCCTCGTAACCAAACTATACTGAGTACCTGCATCAAGTATCGACTGAACAAATCTCAATCCAGACCATGTAATAAATACCGTAAGCAGCTCCACCTGCACGTCCCTATCCCCCAACGCCTCCCACGGATACGACCTCCCTGCCCAAGCAACAATGGCAGCAGCCTGAAAATACAGTATCAGCAACACCCACAACCTATCAAAGCTCCTAAACACATTCCAAAACGTCCGCTGCTCGACAAACCCCGTCTTCCCCACGCGCCTCTCCCGATCAGCCGAGAAGAAGTTTGCAGACAAATCAAAAGGCCATTTGATCTTCCTGAAACACCTCCTACTCCAGAAATACTCATTAATGTCGTCATAGTTCCTCCAGGCAGAATGGGGGGCTGTCCCATTCCTACTCCTGGATACCTCATTCTTGATAGTGACATAAACAGGTGTTACTACATCATTCAAGAAACCGAACTCCTTGCAAGTAGAGGGCACGAAAAGCTGCCCGGTGTTCTCATCCATATGGTCATCAAGAATGTAATTAAGCTCCATAGTCATGTGATGATATATATAGCACAAGCATTCTGGGGCGAATCGCAGATTTGCAGCCTCGCCCCATACCAGTAAGTAGAGAGATACGTACAGCAATTCGCGGCGCTGTAGCTCGGGGTTGTGGCGCTTGGGGAGACGGACCTGAGATCTTTTCCAGAGGTAAGAACACCATGACTCGTAGTTCTTGAGGAGCTTGGTGCGGAAGCGGCGGAGGATGCCCGGGTCGAGGCGGTCAGGGGCGGCGGGCGGCGGGTGCAGCCGCATTTGGGCGTTGGCGAGGTGGAGGACCAGATGCTCCCGTTGGTTGCGGACGCTGTCGGGTTGGAAGCCGAAGAAGAGGCCCAGCCAGTCGAGGAGGTCCATGCCATCGTGCCAGGGGACGAACGGCGGCTTGCGGAGGTCGCCGGCACAGCGGAGGGCAGCGGAGGCGGCGCGTACCTCGGGATAGCGGAGGGAAGGGTGGTCGGAGAGGACGCTGTGGATTGGGATAATGTTGAAGGGCTCGGAGAGGAGAGGGGGCGGCGGGCGTTGCTGCGGCGGCGCGTTTGCGCCTCCCCCGCGGGTGGGCAGCGGGCGTTGTCTCAGATTCATGGCATGAGCTGCGGCGGCGAAGAATCAATTGGAGGAATTGCTTCCCTGCTTCACCAAAAACTGCAATTTATTGAGACAATGGAGGATTAAAAGAACAAAAACATACAAACAGCTCAAACTGAATTAAATTCAACTTCAATTCAAGAACACCTGATTTTCAGCCACACCAGATTTGTCCTTCGAATTCCATCCTAGTTCCAAGTTAGGAAGGAGGCACGCAATTATCACTGTTGGGGGGAAATCGGAGTTCTTGACTGACTGGACTGGTCGAAGCTAACGTGGGTTGTGCGGTCCGGAGGTTACACTAGCGACATAGTCAGGGTTAGCTCACGCGCGAGATAGGGGCGCGTGATAAAACTGCAAACATTTCTACCATGTAATAACAAATTTACACGTGCGTACCAATACCATTTCCGGTCCATACCCTTGTTCCAATTCCAACAGTAATATTTACCGGTTGCCTTTTGGAATTTCTGTATGAATCTAATTAGGTCACGCCAGTAGTCATGTGACCCTGTTCTTTTTTTATTACAACTACCATTTACATGCTGCTATTTTTCACCTACTAGTTTTCAAATTTAATTATTATATAATAAAAAGATAAATATATACATCCACTGTGGGATTCTACCTCGGGGTCAAAAATATGCATAATTATTAAATCATTCACACCCGTGTTTGTCAGGGAAATCTAATCAGCTTTGATTGTGTAGCTGTTTGATGAAATGGTGATTTCCCTGGTAGGTAAATTGTATACAGTGCAACAGATTCTTGATCTTATCGAAAACATGACATGTCGAAAGCTGATTAATGAAAGGACGATTAAAATGATGGGTGACTTACATAAGTGGTTTTCTGTGTTGTTCTTTTTCTGGTTTCTTTTGGGCACACACTACACGCGCCCACTACGTAAGTAGGAGTAGAATTATAAAAGTGTGTATAGGATTGGATATTCCATATTCGCATCATTCGCAGTATGGGCTAAATGGACACTACCTTTTTGGTCACATCACGTATAATAAACCCAACAAAGCCCACCAAAATATATGTATAGTAGTATCCCGATACTCCACGAATCCCATCCACAGAGAAAAATTTAAAAAGGTATGAGAAAATATTGGTCTTGATATATACACAAAGATAAAAAGAAAAAGAAGCATATGATTCCCGTGTAATAATGCCAGCTGTGTTGTGTTTGTACCTCTCATCTGCTTTCTCAGTAACGGTAAATGTGGTCGGAGTACATGTGGGCAGTCATGTTCAAGGATTGAAGCATGGCTTCCCCACGTTTGTTGAAGCTGAAAACACACAGTCCACCGTTGTTCACGTCGATGGACCGAAACCTGAATCCATAAGCTCAATGTATAAATGTAAGAAATGAGGATCACAATTTCTCTGGAACGGGAAAAGCTTGAATTTTTAAGCATACCTCTCTGGCCCGAGTCCAAGAGCTGTGCATAGTAATGCCCTCAGGATTGATTTATGAGTGACCACCAGGAAGTTTTCGCCCTGACATTTAAAACCCTTAGTGAAGATGATATGAATCAGTGCAAGGAAATATATATATATATATATATGATGGGATCCTCACCGGTGTAAATAAGATTTCCAGCCAAGCTTCACGGGCAGTCTCCCACAACTTCCTTACAGGATAGACACCATTGACACAAAAGTTGCTAGGATCTTCTCTCCACTGCATAAACTCCTTGGGATATTTCTTCTTGGCATCCACTGCCTCCAAACACTAAATGTGATTTACTAAGTGATCAACAAAAGAAGCTAAAACTAATCCCAAAGAAGCCCATTATCTTTTCATTAACATTGTTTTGCATGCAAGTGTTAAATCTACAAATTAAAGTAGTTCTATAATTAACCAGTATAAAGGGGAACTAAATGGATAGAATGTCGAGGGGAAGTGGGGCGTAGCAAAAGTGACGGACCATTTCTCATGCCTTCAAGATGATATAAATGAGCCTCCTTCAGTGAGTCGAGGTAAACCAACGGCTGCTCTCTTCCTTCCCATAAAATTTCAGCAGTCGACTGAACATAAGTAACTGGCTATGTAAGAAGCTGAGAGAGTATACAGTATTGAGAATTATCGAACTTAAGCAGAAAGAATAAACCTTGGCACGGGATATTGGACTGGAGAAACAATGATCAAATTGTATTTCAGCTAAAGATTTTCTACACCTCTCTGCTTGTGCAGCACCGGCTTCAGTTAGAAGCGACAGGTTTGAGCTGCCCTACAAGCATAAAAAAAAGGACAGTCAAGATTGAATCACTCCATCCGTCTATTGCTTTTAGGTGAAATTGAAAACAACAAAACAAAATTAATATACTAGAAGGACGGTGAAAGAATAATGTGACCTAAAGATGTAAACTTTATATTGTTAAAATGTACTTAGCTTCCCGCTCAATAAGCTTATATGAACAAGGGTAGTATCGATTCCAGACTTCAATGGTAATTCAACAACTCTCTTAAAGCATAACCAAACCAGGAAGTGCACTGTGCAGATCAAGTCAAGAGCAACAAACACAAGTCAGGCAGAAACCAACCTGAACTCTGCCTTCTTTGTTCCAAGTGCTAAGTCCATGTCGCAGAAGCGTCACTTTCTTTGGCGATGACAGCAATTTCTGAGAAAGCGAGGTAGTTGCTCTTTCAAAATCGTACGCACCGCCAGTCAATGAAGCATCGTTCCCCGCTATCTCTGCAATGAATAATTCATGGACTCCTCAAAATAACACAAACATCAAACTTAAAGACGTGCGAGCGAAGAGGACGATTGAATCTCATTCCAATTTCCAAGTCCAAAACAAAAACAATTGCAGACTTGCAGAAATTTAGACACAGCAAAAAGCAGATAACCATCGATTTGCAGCATCCAACAATTCACACAAATACAGGAAGCAAATCAAATACGTACCAGTGGCAACGGATTGATGATCAGGAGCGGAAGAAGAGCAAAGAATCCGAGCAGAAGGCGGTGCGCAGGTAAGAAGTTTCGGGGGCTTGGTGGATTCTGTGACACTAAAATTGGACAAGAAGGAATTGAACACAAGAGTGGCAGTAGCAGTAGTCATTCTGCGCTCTAATCCTGATGGTTATGCAGCTTTCTGCCCACTGCTAAATTCCTGCCTCTGGTTTCCGGATGAGGATTTATGTATACGTATATGTAGATACTTTTCGACTTCAACATTTGCACTTCCTAATTACGCTGGCATTTTGCTTATAGATAGAATGATAGATATACGCGACAAAAGAGAGCAAAGCAAGAGAGAAAACGGGCCTAATTGAAATGGGCTTTACTTCAAATAATGGCCCAGCTCAATTAGGACACATAAGCTTGCTTTTAATAATATCAACCTGTAGTAACAATGGAAGGAGAAGATGTGGTGAGAGACTGTATCTAATAAAGTCTTAACAATACAAAAACTCAGAGAGATATACTGGGCAAAATAATTGGCAGATAAATGCTCTATAAAACTTCTTTTTTAAAGAAAGTTAAAATCCAACTGCTAAGAAGACAGGGCTTGGGGAAAATCTTTCAGTCCTCAGGAAGGAAGTCCTCATCTGAAGCATTTCCAAGAAAGGACCCCAAGGTTTTCCTTAAAATGCTGAAGGTTTTATCATCCTGTGTGTGGCAAGGCAAAGAGAGCAGGAAGGAAAATTTGTGATTACTGCAAAATAGGAATGGAATGGAAAGTGAAGCATAAACCAAGAGAATGAATGAATTCACCTGCTTCTTTTTCTTGAGGGATTCCTCCAGTTGAGCTATTTTTTCTGCACTTGACTTCTCATGTTCCGACAGAATACTCTTCTCCTTCTTACCTGGCAATGGCTTTTATGAATTATGATTATTCTCTGTTTCAAAGTAGAAAAAGGGGTGAAAGATCGAATATATAGCCCCTTTGCTCACTTAGTTGTTCGTAGCGTGAAAAAAGCCTCTCCTTCTCCTCTTCATATTTGGTAATGATATCTGACAACACCAGCAGTGTTTGAGATCACAAAACGGTCATTAAGCTTGGATGCAAAATTCAGCTACTAGTAGACCATGCTCTCTAGAAAACAAGAATCTTGTAAGTTGAATGAATAAATTGAAGTGTGGGAGACTTACCTTTCATGGCCTGCAGATGTGAGTTTTTGTCCTTGCAGAACTTGTCATAAACTTGTTGAAATTTTGCAGTCTCACTCTTCAGTAAATTCTCACACTGCACAAATCCAAACACGCCCTGTCAAACCCACACAGGGTATATATAATTAGGAGGATCCAACAACTCTCCATTGTAATTACTCAGGGGAGACCTCTTTTGAGTTCTTTGACAGCATCTTAGCAAAGTTTTGCCTGTCATATATGTTCAAGAAAAATGGTTCAAAATGTAATTAATTAGCGCGGATTATCAGGCAAGTGTAACAGCAATGAGACTAATGCAAATAATAGTATTGATCAGGGGAATCCCTGGATGTCACCTGACCTTTCTTTCTCAAGTTTTGACTTTAGCTCATCCAGACTTGATTTGATCTCTGAAGCCAAACTGTCAGCAAAACAACAGAAGTAGATTGGGCATCCTATAGTGTTCATGGACTTGATGCATAAGTTAATGGAATCGCTTTATTTCTGGTTAGGTAACAAATGCACTACAGCAAAATTCTAATTCCAAGTCTAGATTTCGTCATAGTAGAAGGAAATGAAATTGATTGTGCACCACAGGATATGACTTGATGAAGTCTTCTTATATATGGATCTCAAGTACGTTGGTTTGTTTGCTTTAAACAGCACCGGACTAGTCTACAGAAGTAAAAATAGATATATGAAATTTAAGATCAAGCCCTAACTAGTGTCCTTGTGAATGCATGCAACTACAGCATATGACTAGGGGTATATCCATGCTTTAGTATCAAACTATCAAAGCAGATAGTGATATTTTACGTTGAGATGCATCAACAGAAAAACAGAATCATTGATTAGAACATTGACTGTTGGTAACAGGTGCTTCGAAAGTTATATGCAAATTGAATATCCATGGAGATTAGGAGACTCCAGTCTCTATAGTGTACACAACATAGCGTCGATTGAATTTGAATTTGTGTCAAATTAATGCAAAAACAGTACAGCAAATACTCGTTTCAGATTTGGTAAAATATACTCGGTCATTCACCTAGAAATCGTCTCTTCGTTCTTTTTCTGTCCGTCCTTCTGCGCCTTCTCTTTGATCTGCTGAAGAGCACTCATGATGCCTTTAATATCACTGCATTAAATTCACAATTTTAGTAATTCCATCTCTATTAAATCATCAGTGAAAAGGTGAACGGAGCGAAGAACTCTCTCTGACCTGGAGATGGCGGCGTCAAAATCGTCCTCCACGGCGATTCGTTTTCTTCGATCGGACTTAGTATTCTCCGATTCCAACACTCCTCGTTTACCGCTCGCCTTTGTTGCAGACATTATGAAGCTGGTCTCCGCTTCCAAATCCTTACCCCCACCCGTGTTTCCGGTGGATGTGTCGATTGTATCGCAGCTCAATCTCCGTCGGGTGAATGCACGAAAAATGGCGCTATTGATTCAAATTTTGGATGAGCATTTGATATAGGTTTACTTTTAGCGGGAAACAGTAGCGCGTGTCTGTAGTTATTATTTTAAGTGTTTGGACGGTTTTTATTTTATTTTATTTTATTTTTATTATCATTTTTTTAGTCAATTAGACTTGTAGGACTGGTGTATTTTATTTTGAATATAATACTATAAAGAAAATAATAAAATTTAATAAAATTAACTTCCACATCAGTGACATCACTGTATCATTCTTTAAGGAATGCGAAAATAATATACTGATTGTTTGGTACGGAATTTAAATACCAATATTATACTGTATAGTCAGTAAAAAATAAGATAAATGATTTTTTTTTTTTTTGTATAAAAAGTAGTAACAATGATGTAATATAAATAAAAAAGTTTATTTATATAAAGCGATTACATTGGACAAAAATAGAAATATATTATATTTAAATATAATAACTTAAAATTTTAATCCGTAAAACATCCTGACATCCCAACAATATGTTACTAATTTTAAATTTTTAATTGTTAAAAAAATTTGAAATAAAAATGAAATATTCCATATGATATTTTTATATAATTTTAGATAATAGATAATAGTATAAATTTTTCTAAAGAACCGTGTTTATATTTTGATTCCACGCGGATCAGAAATAATGCCCACACGTATCGGAAATAATTTCTTCAATCATTTCTATTCAAAGAACCGTGTGTATATTTTGATTCCACACGACTCTTTGTGTTAATACAACAGAAGCAATTTTCATTACGTAAAACCGTGAGATATCTTATTTGTTTGAAATTACGATTTGTTTGGTTATAATTTCAATTGGAATTTCTGATTTAAATTTTTATTTAAATAATAGTTTGATATTGCCAAGAAAAAATGTATAATAAATTAAAGAAAAAAAATTGATTATACATTTTGATTTCATTTTTAAATTTTTTAATTTAATTTTTTTTATTTTAATTAAATTAATTAGTTATCATACCCATCTCTAGTTATTTATATTACAACATAATTATTTTCACTAGTATATTCTTAATTATCTATTAATTATACTTATCCTAAATTCTTGTGTATATGGTGACCCAAATATCCAATGTGGGACAGAGGGAGTAAGAAAACTAGCACAATTTAGTTTCATTTGTCTTGTTTGTTTGTTTTTTTTATTTTTTATTTTTTTTTGCTTTTTGAAATTTAGAAAAATCTAAAATCACCATTATAGTTGTTAAGCAATTACAAAAAAAGTGCTCAGTTTAGTCACACCACTTAGCCGATTAGTTAAATACTAACACGAATGGCAAATTAAATTGAATTTATTACTTTTTAATTATTATTATTATTATTATTTTGAAAATGACATAAACGAGATAATGGAATATATCTAACTAATAAAATTTAATAATTTTGTTATATATATTAATATTATATGTGAATCATAGTATAATTTATGTTATCTTATAAAAATAAAAAATTTGTATAATAAAAATAAAGAAAATATATATTTATATATAATTAATATAGTTACATTTCATAAAAAAAAACAAAATTTTAATATAAATACTTGTTTAGAATAAATGTATAAAATTATAAAAAAGTCATAAATAAAATGATATTGAGCAAAATATAACATTCATGGTCTGGTGGTGGTACGTGAGTTGGACATGTGACACATAAGATAAATCACATCAACACCTATTTATATCATATCATACAACTATTCAAAATCAAAATTCTTAATATTCAAATCCCAACTCAAAATTCAAACCCCAAACAAAAACACTATGAGATGATAGTCTAGAAAGTTATGAGAATTTATTCTACAACAAGTACACATCAACTTTAAGGGTGGTTGTTATTTATTTATTTCCATGTAACCTTCACAATTTATTATCTAAATACATTATTTTATCTTAAAAAAAAAAAGAAACATATTAAATTTATATATATATATTTTAAAAAGAAACATATAACTTAATACAAAGTAAACAATCAAATCCCAAATTATTTTAAGTCAACAACATTATTCAGCAGGTGGACCACATTTTAAGCACACAGTTTAAGTTTTTATAAGAATAATTTATTTTGCTTTTTGTTTTTATATATATATATATATATATTTTTGTCTTTGTTAGGTACCTCACAACCACTTGCATTCTAGAAGAAACTGCTTTAAATATTATTAATAATAATAAATTATGTTTTCGAAACTAGTAATGACTTCATATTTTATTTTAATTTTATTTATTTATATATGGTAACTTATTAGAAACATTTCTATCTCTTAACTTTCATTCAAATTTATATATAGACTTTAGCTATTCTTTAATAGTTTAAAAATATATTTTACAAGTGTCGTAAGGGATGATTTGGTGGTGTGAGAGTTGATGTGTGACTATGAGATGATAGGTTTAAACCCTGATTTTCAAAGTATTAGATTCAGCGCAAAAGATCGGGTAGCAATTCGTCATAAAAAAAAAAAAGAAAAAAAAAAAGAAAAAATAGCAAAGTTGTTATGCCCTATAAGTAGTGTTTATATATTTATTTTTGAATAAAATTCGAATTAAATTGATTATTCACTATTGCCTGACGGTGACAAAATTAAATTATTTGAAAATAGACTCCTCCTCAATGTATAGTGGGCGATTAATCGACGGCAAATATAATTCTTACCTTCTAGAAGGAGGAGCACATATTGACAAAATTGCCCCCAATGACTTAACACACCTTCTAGTATTTTCCAAATTGGCCAATTTTATTTTCAATTTTTATATTTTATGATAAAATAATTATAATAATACTACTAATCAAAACTGCTCTAGAAACAATGTTCTGTTTAGAGAATTCTGAATATATAAGAAAATGACAGCTTGATTTAATTAATTTATTTATTTTTCAATTATATATGTTAAGTCAACATCATTATTTATTTATATCACGTCGGAACTCACAATAGCTATTCGAAAGTACGCACTAGATAAGCTCTAGGTCGAATCCTACAAATCAACTTGACGAAAAAATCACACTAAACGAACCATGTGTGACAGGTGACCTGAGACGTTGGAATTTGAACCAATGACTTCACAGTCACAAGTCCAAGACCTACACCACAGAGTCATTCCTTACGGAACAATTAATAATACTAGCGTCACCCGGATTCGAACAGGAGACCTTCCGTGTGTCAGAATTGTGAACATTATTATTCTAAAGAGATTTAATAATACATTGTAATAACGTTAATTAAATAATTAAGAATTTCCGTGGATGCCACGTCATATCTGATCAGAAGTTGCTAAATTGTTATCCACCGATCTGACGAAAAGATAAGTGACTCCATGGTTACCAAGCACCGGATAAATCTGGATCGTTCAAAGTAGGGCCTACTTTATGAACGGTTCAGATTTGTCAGGACCTCCGGAGTTAGTCCTTACACTGTACGTGTAAAGCTTACCCTGTTTGCCACGTTAAGTCTATAAAACCATCTCAACAGCCCCATTAGCGTTCGTAGATCATTTTTCCTTGAATTTTCAATCATCCAATCCACCGGCCAATAGCGTAATCTCTAATCTGACTCCTCTCTGGAAATTTTGTCGAAGCTCCTTGATCGAATTGGTAAGTTGTGAGTTTTCAGTGTTTTCGATCTAATTTGTGAGCTGATCTACGTTGTAGATTGATTTTCATCTCAATTATGTTTGCGATAAAGAAGCAAGTATTGTGATTGCGTTAGACCTAATTTGTTCGATCTGCATATGTGATGACAGCAGTCACTTTTTCTATTTGTTAATGGCGTTTTCAATCCTCTTGCGCGGTGTTTGGGGATATATCACTCTGTAGATTTGTTTTGTATCAATTGTGTTTTCGGAAGAGCAATTTCTCCGCAACCTGCAGAATCTAGATCTGTATCCGTGTGTGATTCTCGATCGTTCGTTTTTATCATAATCTCTCTGAGATTTAAACTTCATTATCTTGATTGGGGAATTTTGTGTCCAAAGTCTGTGGTTAGGGTTTCCTGTAGTCTCAATTATTTGATGCCTCATAAACTATATATCGATCACTTGGATCTGCTACATGAGAATTTTAGTTGATATATTTCAGCATTTGAACAGATTAACTATTGCAAAGTTGCTGATTATTGTTACTTCAAGCATCAGATCTTAGGCACTAGTGTAACATCCTTTTTCTTTCTTCTTTATCAGGGTTAAGAAAGTGGAAATTAGAACCAGGCTATAGAACAGCAAGCACATGGCGTTTGAGCAGTATTTCGTGCAAGGGTGGGAATCAATTCCTGCACCAACAACAGAATCTGAGAAGGCTTCATCTCCTTGCTTTGATTGCAGCATATGTTTGGATTTCGCAAGGGATCCTGTTGTGACACTCTGTGGCCATCTCTATTGCTGGCCCTGCATATACAAATGGTTGGATGCCAATAATTCCGCTGCTAAAGATAACGAGCCCCCAAAGTGCCCTGTTTGCAAGTCCCAAATATCTCAAAGCACCATAGTACCTCTCTATGGACGGGGACAATCCCTATCAGAATCCGAGGGCAAGGTTATACCTCCAAGGCCAGCCGCAATCAAGGGACTCACAACATTCAATCCTGATCAGGAACAGCAAGAATCTCGCAGTCCTCGTACATATCCCCACACCTTCCCAACTACCTACACCAACTCTGTGCAGAACTCTTCGCCCATGTTTGTTAATAATAGCAGTTCTGCAACAATGGCTTCTTTCGATTCAACAATGGGAATGTACGGGGAAATGGTTTATGCAAGAGTGTTTGGCAATTCACAGAGCCTATATGAGTACCCAAACTCATACCACACAGTGGTGAGCAGCACTCCAAGATTACGAAGACAACATCAACAGGCTTACAGGTCACTTAACAGAGTCTCAATTTTCTTGTTTTGTTTTTTCCTTCTGTGCCTCCTTGTATTTTGATAATGTTGCTGATAGTTTTGCTACCCGAGCATGAGGTTGTTTACTCTGTACATATAACGCGGCATTGTCTATATATACCCCCTATACAATGATAAAGATTTTCCAGCTTAGTTTGTAGAATAGAATATATAAAATCTGGATTGTGTAGAACCAGAGGGCATGTTGTAGTTGAATTGGCAAACAGATACAGATTCCATGGCCCAATGTGACCCTATGAGTCGAATAAAGTTTGCTGTATACATACTGTCCCATTTGCTGCTACAATTATCATGAGGTTCATGCTGATGTCATTTTTTGTCAGATTTATTCTTGGTCTAGAAAGAAAGTTAGCGCAATAGTCAGATTTGGAGGCCATACTGGTCCTTTAATTAAAGCCTTTGTTCTTAGGTTTCATGTCCTTTGATTTTGCTTTCCTTAAAAGGTTTCTTTCATATATTCTGCTTCTATATTTAAACAAGAAAGAATATTATGGGTAGAAGTGATATTCTCTTGTCCGACAGAAATTTTGAGTATAATTGTTTGATGCCTTAAAGAATTCTGAAATGAAACCTTTCGAAAATTTTTAAAGTAAAATACAATTTGAGTATATCCATCTTCATCTTCAATGGCCAGTAAGGTTTAGCTGTGTGTATGGGAAACAAGAGTGAATATTGCAATCGTTATCCAATAGTGAATATTGTACTCATTATCCATTATTACAGTAAAATTTTCAACCCTAGCTACCATATTTTTTGGACACATTCATTCACATATATTTCTCGTAACAGTGTCACAAATCACCCCTCCCTCATGTATTGCCGATGTAACTAATTTTACACAAAGAGGTGAGGTGCAATGATTAATCATCGTCTTCCTTTTTAAGGCTTAACATCATCAGTAGCAGTCCAAATTAATTAAATTAAATCAAGGCAGTTAAGGGCCATCATTAATTAGGTCAGAAGCGAAGTTGGACATCAGTAAAATAAATACTAAAATACGAATCTGATCTTATCTCCAATCTTGAGGCATCATCTTAATTAATTCAAGAAAATCGTATCCTGCATATATATATATATAAATGAACCCAACAAATTTATTTATTTATTTAAGAAAGCCCAGAAATCATTGGCAACAAACAATTATTATTAAAGAACATAGGATAAGATAGGAAAGAGCACCAAGAATGGGCCCCCTCCCATCCCTATTTACAGAATCATCATCATCATCATCATCACCACACACCATCATCAGCTAGATTAGAGATGGAGAGACTGGTGTAAGTGTACCTGTGGTCTGTCTAATCAGTCTCCCCCTTCAACAACAGTTGGATTAGCCCAATTTGAAGCACTGCCACTGCGAGGGATGCTCTGCAGTCTGGTGAAGAGATCCACCTGAAAAACTATGGCACAAACCTTTCCTTCATCGTCCTCTCTCCGAATCCCTCTCACCTTGTTCAGTGGATGATCGAAGCTCATTACCCCACTCTCACTCATGAACATGCACCCTGCAATGCAACATAAATACATACATACAAATGCAACAATCTAGCTCCTCAAATTCCATCAATCAATCATAACTTACCAGGAGGAAACGGCGTGTAGCACTTCCCGCATGTTGCCGATATCACATTCGGGTCGTCCGTGCAGACCAAGGACCCGTCGCCTGCCGTTCCCCAGTGAAGTTGCACCGATCCCTCGCGATCCTGGAAATAACATCCGCCATTGATTAATTTCAAAACAGATAGATGACACTGGTTATATATAAATGCAGCTTGGGTTTTTCGAAAAAAAATAAAAAATAATAATAGTATTATATTGATAAACGAGGGCTTCATCTATACTCTGGCAAGAAACACGGTGGCAGCTTTCGAGTCGAACAGAATGAAGGCGAATTTCCCTTTGAGTTCTTTGATGACTTGATCGGGAGGATATGGAGCTCGGTCGTGGAGAACTTTGTAAGCCTCCACTATAATCATGGCTTCCGAGGACTGTCTGGACAGCCCGTAGTGTCGTCTAAGATCACAGGTGTTGTCCAGGGCACCCGAAAACAAGCAGAATATATCATCCATAACCACAATGGACCTGGTGGTAGCAGAAAACAGTAACAACCCCTACCAGTGATGGTGCAAAAGCATCGAAAGAATAGATTTTCAAATGCCAGCCAATACCTGGGATACGCTGGATTTTCACCCTCATGTGACAGAGCCAAGAAGCAGCAGCCATTGGAGAGATTGTAGAAGGTGGAGTCTGATTTCCACGACCGGTAAAATGCTGCGATTTCTTCAGGGGTGCTGCAGTTGGGGGTAGCATAGGGTAGGCTTAGCTCCTTCGGCAGCCTGCCAATTGATTTCTCGAATACAGCCAACATTTTGAAGTTTAGGGGAAGTAAGGACTTTAGATGAAAGAAAGAAAGTTTGATATAATAAACGAGAAGGGAAATCAAGAAGGAAGATAATGGCGATGATGGGGATAGAAGTAATGATAGTTATCCATAAACTGGTGTTTGCTATTGAAAGGAAATTGCAAAAAATGACACGCACCTGGTAAAGGGAGGAGAGTCAATCCAGTGGGTGGCACTTTTGACAATTTCCATGGCTACCGGATAACACCAGCCGCCCAGAATGTGACAATCTGCAACTGAAGTTAATCCTTGTACGCTGTTCGAGGAATGAATATGGACACACTTACCTGTCGAGTTCAGGTGGATGAATACAAACAAATCTGCAGCAAAATTTGGTGAAAGCCCATGCTGCCATGCCCACCTGCCTGGATGATGAAATTCACTTCATCTGAAACTACATACAGAAATGGAGAGATACATGGAGAAGTGATAACAACCAATATATTTATGGCTGTAATTTTATCAGACTTACTAATATATAATATTCTTGTAAATTAAATTGATACATACATATCAATTAATTCTTTATCAATGACTTGGAGATCTCTTTTACATCTTGAGGAAGTGTATTCACTTGATGTATGCTACTGTGCAGCCGTGATTCATCAGGCTTTCTTCTTCGAACTTGGCAATCCGGGGATGGTTTGTTAGCAATTCGAGGACACACTCCTTCAAAACACCGGTGCCCATTCCATGTATTATGAAGAGAACTGAACTTGACGCTCTGGAATCGATTTCAATGTTGAGATGAAGAATAGCTTGCTCGGCTCGCATCCCCCTTAAGTCCACAGTGTTTTTCGATGTCTGCACTTTCGGGCCAAAAGAAACCTCCTCTTCCATTTTTGTGGCTTCTCCTAGGTTCCTCAGTTTCTTGAGTCTCTTCACCTGTTGACCCTGCAAAATCAATTTCTTTTCAACATTTTCATTTTTGCCACAGTTTTGATATGTAGGAATAGGAATCGAGTATATATATTCAAACACCACTTGTCAGCTAAATGCAATTCTATTGCACAAAATTCAGTTCTGGAGAAATTCATACCAGACTGCTAATCTCAGTTTATGTGAGACTGAAACATTTAGTTGTAACTACTTCCAATTGCATAAATAAAAGAAGAAAGTGAAAATGATGACAGTTGCCAAGTTTAATTATATACGGGAAAGATGTACCTGTCTTGTCGAGCGTGACACTGAAGTACCGTGTGAAGGAGAATCAATACTGTTCATATTTACCCGAAGTCGGACTTTCCCATATTGGACAAGAACCATGCCATCATTGGATGGTGCTTCAACTACTGTAGCCAATTTATTCCTTAAACTCTTTACAATGACTTGTTCTCCAATCTGGGGAGTATAAGAGCTACTAGCAATTCTGCTGACAGAATCGCCTTCAGAAGGCTGATGAGCATCGACAATAGATGCTATGGCAGATTCTGTTTTCTTCAAGAGCACATTGTACTCTTTGGGGTTTGTAATCCTCAGCTGCTTCTCAAACTCTTGAACAGCGGCATCAATCTCAGCCTTCACAGCGTTCAGCTCGTCTTGAATCTGCTTGGATTTCTGAGCCATAAGAGCTGCTTCGCGAGCATCAAGATTGACGGCCTCATCCTGAACCTTCAATCATGGAAGAAAGGGAAGTTAAATTAAATTAAATATAAACATGCAAAACACGTTAACTAGCCATGAATCTGGCAGGTAGATAGATATTATATGAATATAACTTCGCCATCATTGACTCCTGCTATATTACATTCAAACTGTATTCAGCCTAAGATACTGTAATCAATACCAAGAAACGTGGAAAGCCATTCAATATTACACTCTATGGAACAGTTTATACGGACAACAGTTATGAAACATACTTTACCTCGTGATAAAGCTTCATCACATCTGAATAAACAGAGGCAGCTCTATCTGCGTGATCTTTTAGCTTGTTTCTCTCTTCAGCAAGGGACTGATATAACAAACTATTAAGATTCTGCATTTTCTCTGGTGTAAGCTTTTTTACCCAAGAATGTGCACGATCAATTATTGTACTATCAAATCCAATTATCTTGGCAATACTTAATGCATTTGATTCACCCATGCTTCCCCAGAGAATCCGGTATGTCGGTTGTAAAGTTTCCAGTGAAAACTCCATTGCTGCATTCTCAAAACGTGCATCTTTCTCTTTTAAACGGGTCAAATCTGCATAGTGGGTTGTCACAATCGCCAGATTGATTCTCTCCTTCAGATATTGCAATATGCTAGCCGACAGAGCGACACCTTCGGAAGGATCAGTCCCACTCCCAATCTCATCGAGAAGCACAAGAGATCTTTCAGAGGCCACATTCAGGATTTTACAAATCCGCGATATGTGTCCACTGAAGGTTGAAAGGCTTTGTTCTAGAGACTTCAATTTAGCATATGAAATTCTATGTAAGCAGCCATTATATACAAGAATTGCCAAAAGCAAGAAATTCCTGTGAGAGAATCAATTACCTGATGATCACCAATATCAGCCAGAACAAGATCAAACCATGGAAGGCGTGGCTCCTTCTGCGCCACGAGATACATTCCGGCTTTCAGCATGATCGAAGCCAAACCTAGAGTCTTCATGGAAGCAGTCTTACCCCCTGTATTAGGCCCTGAGATTACCACCACCTTTACTCCATTTCCAATTTTAAAGTCAACGGGAACAGGAAAATCGAAAGCAGTTGTTGTAGTGTCTGGTTTCTCCATAGCTTCTCCAAGCGAAGACTCCAGCAACAAAGGGTGCTGCATACCATTCACATCCACAAATAAAGAATCAACTTCAGTATCCTCGGATGCTCCAGGGCTTAAAATGGGGCAGACCCCATTCATCCACCTAGCATGACCAGCTCTTGCGAAAGCAAGATCAACTTCCAAAACTCTATCTAACAAATGTAAAATCTTTCTACTGGATTCGGCAATTTCAGAACTAAGCAAACTTAAAATGCATTGCTCCTCTATCTTTTCTGCATTTGATAGTCTCACCTCAAGATTGTTCAAGTTAACTGCCTCTCGAGGTTCCATGAAGTATGTTGCACCAGAGCTGCTGGTGTCCAACACTACCCCGTTAGGAAGCAATGATTTATGAGTAGTTCTAACAGCCACACACATCCTTGATCGACGTTTTGTTACCAGAGGCCTGTCGATTCCACCGGCCTGAAAAATCTGACCGGCGGTCATCTTCAGCATTGATTCTAGATTTTCCATGTTCGTTTTCCTCTCTGACCTTATGATTTCCAAATCTTCACTAGCTCGGTCGAGGACTATTGACAAATTACAATCTAGACAAAATTCGATTTTCTGTTCCAATTCCATCAGAAAATCGCACTTCCGAAGAATTTCAAGCAGCGGCAAACACCTGTTTCGAATGAAAAGAAAATAAACCCCAACGTATCAAAAATCGAATCCACACGTGCCAACAGTGGGAAGCGAGAGCAAACAGAACTGTTCACTCTTCAAGTTCCGCAAGAAAGTTAAACCATAGCAGCTCACCTATCGTATGAATTACTCAGCGAAGAGCTTTCCTCCATCTGTTCCACCAACGACCTAGCCGATCTTAAGGTCCTACCGACAGAACAAATCTCACCGATAGAAAGCATTACTCCAGAAACGGAGGCATCAACAATCGAAGTCACGTCTTCGATTCCAGAGAAGTCCAACGGCCGAGAGATCATCGCCGCGGCGGAAGTCTGGTCGAGAAGACGGCGGCTCTCCCTCGGGCTTCTGCCCAGCCGAACATTACCTGATTGAGCTGCCGCGACGCCCATGGAGGTGGACGTGAAGGCAGCGAGCTGCGCGCATACAGAAGGCCACTCAAGGATTTTGAGCGTCTCACTTTGAAGCGACTCAGCGAGTTTGAGTCGCTCCGTCTCCGACCCACCCACGGAAACACAGGAAACAACGCCCGGCCGCGACAACGCCGGATTCAGCAACAACGACGTCGAATTCCACACCAAACCATGGCAGAGTTTCATGACGATAACAGCCGCAGAATTCGAACTCCCCTCCTATCCACCTCTGGAAACGACGCAGAAGCAAAATTGGTGGGAACCAAAGCAACTAAATATAAATGGGCCGAAAGCACATAGCCCAAAAGGCCCAAACCCAAAATCCAGCCCATAACACAAAACTTAAATTAAACCACTGATTATTACCAAACCCAAGGCTTCATTCAAGTCACCAGTCCATGACCCGCAGTAGTTTATGTACAATTGAGCCTTGACAACCCAAAAAAAAAACACTACAACAAAGTACAAATAAACAATAACTCAAAACCTACGAGAAACAGACACAAATATAATAAATGTCCCAACAGCAGCAACAAACCATCCTCTCTGTCTATATTATATATCATTCATCCGTAGCAGCGAGAATTAGGGCACCACAAGCCATGGCAGCATGCTTCCCTTCTTTGTAAACAAGGTTACCTCCAACGAACGTAGCCATAACCTTCCCAGCAAGCTTCGATCCCATGTACGCCGAAACACTCTGACCAAATTCGACAACAGAATTTTCATTACAAAGTAGGATGTAAGAATGAAAGCAATGTGTGCAAAGGAAAGAGCATACCGGATGCTTGAGGTACACGGGATGATTATCGTCGAGTTCGAATTCTACGTCGGGGTCCCATACAACGATATCCGCTTGTTTCCCTGCTGCAATGGATCCCTGCAGTCGGAACCAAATTCAAATATCATAATGTAATGTTCTTTCATCGATGAAGTAATAACATCTTATTGCGTTGGTAACAACCTTATGATCTTGCCCGGCGAGTTTCGCAGGCCTTTCACTCCACCATGACGCTATTTGATCGAGACTGACGTTGTGGTCGCGACCATACGACCATGTCGCCGGTAGGACAAACTGCGCAGTCGACATTGCAGGGTATTAGTTAGCTAGTCACAACGTTGTCCGAAACAATTTATCGAACCTGCAAGGAGGAGACGCCGCCCCATGCTCTGAGGAAGTCCCCCTCATCGAAAAGTTTAAGTTGGGGGACCGAGGGCGAGTGATCCGAGCTCAGCATGTCAATGTCGCCATCGAGCAAAGCATCCCACAGCTTATCTCGATTGTCTGAATCGCGAATAGGCGGGGCGCACTTGAATCGAGTGTCGCCGTCTGGGATTTCCTCGGCAGAGAAGGCCAGGTAGTGAGGACATGTCTCGGCCGTAATGCTGTCTCCCCGACTCCTTGCTTCCTACAACATAAACCGTTGTCCTGTCAAACACACTACTCCGACATAACCAAAAACCTCAGACGCCGCGCGAAAAAGGCAAACCTTAATAAGCTGCAAGGAAGATCGTGCGTCGACAAGATGAACAACGTGAAGATGAGCTCCGTCAGCAGATCCTCCCGGTCGAGTGTCTTTCGCCAGCTCGACGAGCTCCTTTACTGCAGCTTCTTCCCTGAAAATAGAAAAATTCAAACACATCTCAGGATCCATGAAAATCGAAGCATCGAGGTTTAAAAACAAAAACATTACTAACCATGAAGCAGGTCGTGTCTTAAGATATGTCGAATAAGACCTCGGGCTGTCAGCCTTGTCAAGATCATTTTCGACTTCTTGTTCAACCTCGGCATGTACAAGCAACGGTCTTTTATACTTAGCCAGTACAGACAGCCCTGCCTGAATTATGCAACCAAACCTTAGACGACGAAGAGTAGCTGGTTCTACAAAAATGACAAGCAACGTACCTTTATATGGCTAGAATTCGTCATCGGAAAGTCATTGATTCCGGAATTAACCATGAAAGACTACACAAAACAAAATGAACACAAGACAGTACAACATAAGAATCGAAACAAAACCTGACTTCGTATTCATTCATACAAGAATGGCAAGAAATCGAACCTTGAGACCAAGTGCTCCGGCTTTAAGAAGTCGCTCCAGAGTCTCCGTATTAACAGCATTATCAGGCACCAGACCACCCCAAAAACCTGCGACAAACAAACAGTTATATCCAAACAATAGAATTCATACATCTGGTGCCGAAAAGAAGTGAGTAAAAACAGCATACCGACATCAACAAATATCCTCCCTTTTGCAGCCTTCGTCTTCATACATTAGCAGAATATTGTATGGACCGGGAGAAGAAGCAGAGACAGACGACCAACAAAACATTCGAACTTTTCATTTTAACAGTCCAAGAGAAAGTCTAGAAACCTTAAAGGTTCAAAGATTTGAACTTCGATAAACTTAGAGTTGCATACGATACCTTAAGCTTAAGTGTCTCTTCCGAAACCGTAGAGGGTACACTATTCAACGGCATGTCGATCAATGTTGTGATCCCACCTTCAAAGCAAGAACAAAAAAAAATCTGTAATTCGATGGCAATCCCAAATGGATAACAAAGAAGATGACGAATTTGCAGATACCAGCTGCGGCTGCCATTGTTCCCGAAGGGAATCCTTCCCATTCTGCCCTTCCAGGATCATCAAGATGCGAGTGCCTGTGACAAACAATTGATAGGAATTTTCGACCAATTTCATAGATCATCAATTGGCAATGGTAGGATGGGGTTTTACAGTCTCTTACACATCAATCAAACCAGGCATAACCACAGCTTCTCCATAATCCATGACACGCTTACTCTCGGCATTAGGTCGCCATTCATCTCCCTCGATGACAGATACTATCCTGCCTCTCTTTACCTCAACTGTGCATCATCCACATTCAAGAATCAGATTATGAACAACACTACCAAGGAGAACAAAATGTTGTATGAAATCATCTACGAAGGAACTTCAAACAGTGGATTCTTGACAAAATCATCTACCAAAGTTACCTGCACCGGAAATAACTCCGGTCGGAGTCACAATACGTTTGCTAGCAATCCAATAATGTCTGTATTGTATGAGGCTACAGCTGCTCCTGTAAGTCTGAAGTACATAATGCACAGACACACAGTTCAGCAACAAAATTGAAATCACTCAGAGTTATCAGATAAACATTGAATCTCAGAGACAGAGCATATATTAGACACACAATCATTCATTCCCCCTTTCAAAAATACAAAAGAATTAAACACATCTGAAACTGATGTTAGGTTAAACTCATCATTATCGAAAAACAAACACAAATCACTGGATCAAGAACACACTGGAAACTCACCTCCGGCAGATCATCGAAGAACGATATCAAAAAGTTCGAAGAAAATCAAACCATCACTAAACCTTGGATTGCCGGTTTCCCCCAAGAAACCAAACCAACTTCCCTCGAATCCCAAAAATCCAAAAAGTAGAAACTAACCAGGACTATTCAAGAAAAACAAAACCATTCAGAAATCATTTATTCATTCATATAGGTGAAGTTTTCCCCTTCCTTTTTGATTGTGGATGCACAGAAATTACAGAAAACATTCGTTCGTTCAGAAAGAAGAACCACTTTTTTATTTTCTTTCCGGGTGAAGCAGAGACATCCCTCAATAGAACAGAAAAAAAAAGCAAGTGGGCATTGAAAACCCGTAGACATTACAGACCTGTGGATATATATCGAAGTAGAGTAGGATAAGAGATGCGAGAAGAGGCAGCAAGGCAAGAACCCTCAATTTTCCAGATTCCATTTTCACTTTCCCGACCCTACCTTCTCTCTCCCCACCCTACCCTTTCTGCTCGGCGCTCGGTGAGTATATTCACAGTTTCTGTATCCTCCCCCACTATAATCTCTGTATATATAACCAAAAAAATAAACTGCAATGAAAAGTTATTCTCATAGATGGCTCCATTTTTCATGGAACCAATAAGGAAAACGAGCCCTATGGTGCTGAAACCGTCGAGTATTCCTCCGAGCTCCCGGGACCCCGACACCAGACCACATGAACGCCTGAACGGATGCTGCGCATCAATCTGGCCCTTGAGATCCCGGGTGCTTCCTATTTCTTACACCGGCGCGGTGATTTTGGGAAATGTAGAAGCGCCCTCGTCCCCGCAGTTGCACACTACAGCGTGACGGACCAATGAAATTGCAGGAATGTTACTCCCCCCGTGACTGCCATAATCGACGTTATTAACAGCTTTCCGAATTTTTCTCCGAATTATTTTAATAAATTTTAGAAATATTTCAGTGAAGCAAGTGGATGCTAAAAACAAAAGATACCCCACTTTCTGGTTTTTTCCATAAAAGGGCTTTCCTTTGTGGGTCATCCTTATTTCAATCCCCAATTTCTATTTTCATATTTATTTATCTTTTATTTATTTCATTACATCGTTCGAGACTTTTCGTTGAATTTTTGGAATACAAAATCAATTTCTCAGTCATAAATTAGATAAGGAAATCGAATAGGGTTGAAAAAGACAGCTTTTTTTTTTTTTTTTTAAATCGTGAATCTTTTTTATTACATGAGAGAATCTTTTTTTTTCTAAGAAAATTAATAATTGCAGGCGGCGGCCGCCGCAGTCCACACGTACTATAGACTTAGGAAAAAGCATATGTAATAAACGTAAAATAGAAGTCCCCATTTGCAAATAAAAAAAAATTAGCTCAAATTGTAAACTAAACACCACATAAGAAATTTGTGTCGAATTTTAATACTACAAGAGAGAGGCGAGACAGGACAACATAGAAACGACATACTATTATGATACTACGATGTGAAGTCACTGTAATAACTAATTCGGAAATTCAATCTGAACAATAAAATATAGTTCTAAATAATAATAATAATCATTTTCAAAATATGCACTGTAGTAATGTAACGAAGGATCCAGAAAGTGTAAAGGTAGGTGTGGTGAAGTTACCCGCCTCGTGCAGTTCCAAAATCGTGAGTCAGGTCACGTGACCCGGCGCGCATGGGGCCCACGTGCTTTCGCATGTCGCTATAATTCAATGTTTTTAAGCCGACAAAGAAATTAAGAAAAAAATGCAGAATCTTCAAGATTCCCTCCCTCTGTCCCACAAAATTCAGTAATAATTTCTCTTTTTTAAAAAAATAAAATTATTATATAATTTATTTAATTTCCCACCGGCAAAACAAGACGTGTTGGGAATTCGCACCATAATAAGTGCATTTACAGTGTGAATCCCAACTCCAACCCCATTCATCAATAAAAACATTGTAATGTAGAATACATAGCCATTACAAGTTTATTACGTAGTGTCCATGAACTAATAAATTTATTATACAGTACTCCATTAGTAATATTTAAACATTCCGCAATATTTTTTAAATATAAAATAATTAATTATATTTAATTTTTATTTCACGCTTTATCCTCTTACATAATCTAAATAAAAATATATATATATACATTTTTTTTTTCAATCACATTATCTAATTTTCAAATTATTTTAAATAAATATTGCACCTTATTTAAAACAAAATGAGTATAAAATATAAATTTATTACGTAGGAATAATATGGATGTCTAGTTGGCAACTTTATTAATCTTAGGTTCATTCAACTTGTTGCATATATATATATATATATATATTTTATGTGAATAATAATTAATTCATTTTCTCCTCTCTCTCTCTCTCTCCATTTATATATTAATACATTACTAAATATGTATATATCATATCTATATATATGTATGCTTATTTATTGCTTTTGAGTTTAGATAAATATATATATTAATATACTTGCACACAACATACATACATTCATATATATATATATTATATATACATACTTATACTTACCTATTTATATATTTGGTTATCCATTATATTAATACGTTATCAGCAACAACACGAAGGTTCTTATTTATTTTTATATTATTTAACTAACTTATTAGTCTCATCGACAATAATATTTTAATTTAATTTACGGATGTAAAAATATATCTGATTTTTTGTAAGATCTATTTGATTTGTGGTAAATGAGAGATTTGTGAATTTAAAATATATCATTCTCCCGAAAATTCGATATAATTGACTTAAATAATTAGGACAAATGTTATATAACCGTTTCAATAAATGCTAAATAAAAAAAATAAGTTATACTAATGATCCAATATGCCGTGCATTTTTATCAAGAAAAAAAATGAATCAAATTTTGTTATTATTGCAATATATGTTGATTATCTCAATTTAATTGAAATTAGTAAATAGATCAAAATTGCAGTTGAATAGCTAAAGAAAGAAAGAATTTGAGATCAATATTTTGAAAAGATAAAATATTGTCTGATTGGATCATGTTAATAATGTAATCTTAATACATCAATCCACACATACTCAAAAGATATTAAAATATTTTTATATGGATAAATCGAGAGAGTATACCAATGGTGGTCAGATCCTTAATCCCAGTTAAGATTCATTTAGACAAAAAGAAGAAAATTAATAAATATTTGGCCAAGATGTACCATATCTTAGTGTTATTGGTGCACTAATATACCTTGCGAATTATATCAGGTCATATATATTTTTCAGTAATTTATAGGTCAGATCTAGCGCATCCCCACAAAGTGTCATTCCATATCAAATACATTTTTTTTTTATCTTCAGTGGACTTATGACCTCAGTTTATTTTATTCGAATGAATTTTTAAATGAATTAATTGGTTATACTGATGTTAGTTATGTCTGATCCACACAAATTAAAATCTTAATATGATTATTTATTTACTTGTTGTGGATACGCAATCTCTTGGAGATCTTCTAAATAAACGATAACAACTACTTCCTCAAACTATGTTGAGGTTTTAGTAATTCATGAAGCCAGTCGTGAATGCGTCTTGTTGAGATCAATGACTCACCGTATTAAAAAAACTTGTGACTTATAATGTATTTCCTCCTAAAATATTATTTGAAGATAATGCAACTTGTATAGTTCAGTTAAATAGATGATATATTAAAGACAATCAGATAAAACCCACATCTCCGAAGTGTTTTTTACACTCATGATCTTCAGAAATAGTAGTGAAATTAATATGCAACAAATTATATCGTCTGAAAATTTTGCAGATTTATTTTACCGCGGCTACCGACTGCAACATTCAACAAATTAGTGCAAGAAATTTAAATGCGTTTGATGAAAGCCATCAAATAAAGTCCAAAACAGGGGAGCATATTAATATAAGAATGTTATACTATTTTTTATTCATTACGATTTTTTCCCACATATTTTTTTCTTATAAAAATTTTAACGAGAAACATTCTTTGTATAAAGCATTTAAAGAAATTTTTTTATTAAAATTTTAACGAGACACATTATCCATATAAAACGTCCAAATAAAAAAAAAGTTGTATATTTAGCTGGCTACAAAATTATTATGTAGTGTACACATAGTAATAATATGGATGCTTTATTAGCAACTTTACTAACATTACATGCCTATGTTTATGTATAGATTACATGAATAATAATTCATTATTTTTTTTCATCTCACTCTTGAGACCGTGAGGTCATGGATTCAAACTCCCAACGCTTCAGTTCATCTGCCGCACATCGTTCGCCCAAATACTTTTTGAATAGCGGCTACAAATCAAAATACTAAAATACATTACTATATATATACATATTGCTTTCGTGTATAAAAAATTACAGATATATATACATATATATATATATATTAATATACTTGCACACCACACACATTCATATCCAGATATACTTACCTATTTATATGTTTGGTTATTTATTATATAACATTTAAACATTATTCCAAGAATTTCGCCCCTCATTAAATTAAAAAACAAAAAAAAATAGATTCTTACAAAGAATCTCCAAGCCCATGAATCAAAAAGATACTAAAACTAAAGCCCAATAAACAATCAAACCAAAATATACTCATTCAATAGCAATCAAGAAATGAAAATATACATATATATGCTGTATATAATGTCCTCTGTCCCAACAAAGAATCAATCAATCATAGAAGGTTCTTGACGATGATCATTCAAGAACTAAACTTCTAAGAAACTAAGAGATATGGCAATACATACATGAAACAAATTCGATAAACAACACGACCAATCTAGCAAGACATTCCCAAAAAACACATTGCTCCTCATTCTGATTTCTTCGAACCGGTCTTCGTCGACGAAATGCTGCGCTTCATCCGGCTAAAAGGCCCGACGGTCCTATCCATAATGTACATGTAAATAATCTGGCTCCACGACCGGTAGGCGTCGAGCTCGTCGTAGAACTCGGGGGCGATTTCCTTCACCATGTGTAGCTTGGTGCCGGGGATCCTCGGGAAGTCGTGGTGCTCGTTGTGGTAGCCTACGCTCCACGTCAAAAGATTAAGAGGGCCGTAGTACGAGTACGTTTCTTGATCCGTGTCGCTGAAAACATAGTGTTCGGAGATGAAGTGCCCGGCCATCGGGTGCATTCCTCCCCCGACAAATGTCGATAGGATCAAGTAAGCCAGAGATTTCCAGCCCCAGAAATGGACTAATGCGACGTCGAGCGAAATCTGGACGGCGAAGTTGACGAACTCCCACATGCCGGGGGGCTTCGGTTTGAGAAACAGGGGACGGAGCGCATAGAAGAACAGCTGGAACAGAACCCATAGGGATTTTGTGAAGACATTCCTCACGAGCTTGGCTTCGACGAGGCTCGGGACGTCCATGTCCATCCCGTCAACGCCTTGGTAGCGGTGGTGCTCGAGATGATACTTTTGGAAGGTCACCGACATGGGGACGCCGATGGGGAGGTTCGCGAATATCCCGAGCCATCGGTTGTAGACGGGAGTCGAGAAGGCTAGATTGTGGCTGAGCTCGTGGATTGCCAAGAACAGATTGTGGTTGAGGAAGGAGCCGAAGAAATAGGCCACCATTAGGATCTTCAACCATGTGGCGTTGTAGACGAGGGTTGCAGTCCATAGCTGGAGCAGAACAACTGCAGAAATCTGCAATGCACAATTCCGATTGAATTTGATCACCATACAAATGTGTAATGTAATGATCAGAATGATAGGAAGAAATTATCCTTCATCAAATTCATTTGATACGTTATGAGAAGAAAATGCCCCTTTCTTCTGTTTAGACAGCTTCTCTAATGGTGGAAAGGATCAAATTCAAGTATCTGTCTCTGTAATTTTCGAATATCGAATCCCAAACAGTAGACTGTTTCTAATGCGAATGTGTATACTGTATTATGCAGCAAATTATACCTACATTATGCCACAAATCGCCCAATGCAACAGCGCAATTTCAATCAGAAAATAAACCCTAATAATAACAACGTACGCAAACTTCCGCAGCAAGACGAAGGGAATAAACAAAAAAACTGCACAGAATCGATGGATCGATCGAATTGATAAGAATCCATAATAATGTCGATCGAGATCATCGAAAATTCCAATGAAATCAATGGAACGACGACGTGATTAAATTCGATTCCGTTAACGTGCGTACGTACCTTGAGGAAAGCAAGGGGGTCAGGGCCAAAGAGCTGCTTGATCTGAGGGTATTTGGAGAGGATCTGGCGTCTGCGCGAGGCGTGTGGCTCATCTGTGTAGGACCAGAAGAAATCTGCCGCCATTACTCCCTCTTCATCCCGAGTCTGGTTCCCTTTGTAACCCCCCATTTTTATTCTTCTTATTTTTATTTTTGTCTCTCTCCCTCGCTCCTCCTCTTCCTCCTCCTCCTCTTCCTCCCTGCAGGCTGCAACAACTTTCTCGTAAGAGATAGAAAAGCTGTGAACCTGTGGTGGGGATGGGGGTGGGGGTGGGATGGAGGGGGAGCGTGTTCATCTGGTTTGGAAACTGGCGTATATGTAGGTGAGATTGGGTGCGCAGGAATTGCGGGTTACGGCTAAACAAGTACCAATATATAGAGGACGTTGCTGCTTTCTTGGCGCTACAGGACTATCCTTGAAATAGCAATAGGCTGGCCTGGCTGTTACTTGTTTTGGACGAGGAATCTCCTCCACGCTTATACACAATGCATTAAATAGTCTCGTTTCGTACTCGTGATTTGTAATATTTATTACTCCCTGCGTAATGAAAGCTTATACCCATTTGACGGCCATGTGTTTTAAAGAAAATAGATAAAAACATATTTTTTTTATAGTAAAAAATATATATATATATAAATTTAGATAATAAATAAATAAATTTGAATGACAGAAAATGCTAGAATCGAGATCCATCTCTAACTCAACAGAATGCATCTATCTTCTCCCTCTCTCTATGTGTCCATATGTGGTTTTGGAAGGAGAAAAAAAAGACACACAAACATGGATATGTTTCTTATTACTATTAAACAAGGTTGTGTTTAAAAAATAAAGTAGTATATATTTTTAAACACGCCAGTATACGGCCGTGTCGTAGAGAGAAAAAATGATTGCAAATTACTTGACGCTGTCTCACCTGCATTAATCATTCCCAAACTTGTCGCCTTTTTTACACTGGAAATGAGAGCTATTGTAAGTGAAAAAACGTCGACAAAGAGAAGAGGACTGTGAGTCAGACGGTGAAGCTGTCGGTCTTCAGGCCACTATTTTTGCTCTAATGGCCCGCTGGGATATCATTTTTCTAAATAATAATAAGTTAGTAAACAGATTAACAAGTCATTTCGGATTGAATGGATTTGAGCTAATCGAATTTAGATCGAGTATTTTGACCCATTTAAGTAAACAGATCGGGTTTGAATTCAAAGTTTAGGGCCTATTTATAAATTTAATCCGATTCGATCGATTGCCATCTCTAGTTTTATATTGTATTTTAATTTAACACATAAAATTTATACAGTAAATAAAATACATGATATTTTATTTATTTTTACTGAAACACAATAAAGAATTTTCTTCGTCCCACTTCAAAAGGATCATTTCGAACTTTGTAATAGATTAATAGATAAAAATATACTTTAAGTTGGAATAGAAAGAATATTATATTATTATAATTTATCTTTTTTATTTAATTTAGTGTTTTTCTTTTTGATGACGTGATGTTTTTTTGGCTGTTTTTCTTGTCAATATTTTCCATTGTTTTTATTTTGATTAAACTTCAAAAACTATGTTTCCGTTTAGACAGAATTTTTTTGAAATTTTTGAAATTTTGAAAATTTAAAAGAAAAAAAAATTAGCATTTGATTTAATATTTTGTAAGAGAAAAAAAATATTTTTACAAAAATAAATAATACCAAATAGGTGAAAGATGATAGTGTAAACAAAATAGTTTAATCAGTTCCAATTTCAAATTATATTTTTCAATTAATTTTATTCGATCAGTCTAGGCTTGATCGCATTCCCTCATTTCCTTTTCCTTATTTGTTCATCGCAAGCAATATTGTGGGATTTTAACTCCCTTTTTGTATCTATACCGACTTGCCCACGCAATTAAACCGACCGTACGTCAACGTTCATTTTCAGCAACAACAAATATTTATGAAAAATAAGAAATAAGTGAATAGAAACCATAAAGAAACTCTTGTCTTATCAGTAAAAACTGTACAAAAAACAGCTAACCTATTTCATATCTTCAAAAAAACAAAAACAAAAACAAAAAATTACACATAAACAGAACCACAAGCAGGCAGCTCGAACTGAATCAAGTTTTGGGGAAATTTCTACAATCTCCGATACCTTCATTCACGAATGAGAACGAGAACCGATCGATAGCATCGACGACAAAGAGTGAGCCAATCCGGACACGATCGCCGCCTTCACTTGGCCTCTCTTCGGGATCGGACGCCCGTACTCCGTCCTCCTCAACGAATTCCTGCGGTTCAGCTTCGCTAATTCGCCGCTTCCTTCTCCCATCTCTGCAAATTTTTCTTCAAATCGAGACTAGAAAAATTAGCGCTGAAAATTCTGTTGATGGCGGTTACTAATTTGGCGTATGGTGTGGTAGTGTATCCTCTGTATATATAGTGAATTTTACATTCCGAAAATGCCCCTGTACTACCGCCTGTACTGTACCGCCCTTGTAATTTGCACTTGCAGCATGGCGTTTGGTTAAATTAAAGCATAATAATTGTGGTTAGTGGGTGTAATAATTCAATTAAAATAAAATAAAGTGACATAAAAACCACGTGCCATAAATGAATTCCATTTATTTGCACAATATAAAAATTTTAAAAGTGGGCAATGGTACTGATGGACGCCACTTACGTCCAATCCGTCTCACCTTTTTCATATTATTAAATTATTTTATTTTATTTATATTTCATCAGTACACTGAATGATTAGTTTGGACGATGGGTAGGGAACTTTTATTACTATATTAATTTATTTATAAAGATTAAAGCATTATTTAATGACAATAAGGCTAATTGACAGGCTGGAGAATAATCCTTTTTTTTAATAACATATCATTGTTAGAATTCTGAATTATAATCCAAACTTGGTGTGCTTTGATTGGGACTATTTCTCAAATAAAAAATACAAAACCATCAATTTTTTTTTTTTTTTTTAAAAAAAAATCATTAAAATTTTTATATAAAATATTATTTTAATTTTTATTATTTTCAAATTCCAACTTGCTTAGAAGTTAAATATTTTTATTAAATATTGAATATTTATTATTTTTTTAATAAAGAGTATAACCATATATATACGTGAACGAAAAGAATAGAGAAGTGGAATGAAAATCACGTGGGATAAAAAAAACATGCATCAAAGCCCATTGTTTATGTTTGATGCATGTGTGTCTGAAAAGTGACAACTTTGCTACGTACAGCAGCAGTACATTGTATGGACGTCTTTGACATGTTTTATTATATATATATATATATAGTTATACCCTTAAAAATGTTTTATTTAATTAAAATAATTCAAAGGAATCTCAGTAGATTAATATAAGATCTAGAAAAAAGATACAATTATTTGAATACTGCATCCTTAGCTCTTAAGCAAATTCACAAAGATCTCGATCGAATCTGACTGCATTTCTTGTGTATCATTATTATTTTTATAAATAAACTTTATTGGAATATTCCCTATGCTGAATTATTTCTCTTTATTTAATTTTAATATGTCACATGTCATTTTATTTTCTCATTGGGTATTTTATTAGTACTATTTGATATTTGAGTCAAATAAAATAAAATTGAAATGGAGGGCTAATGGATAGTTTGAAAGAGGCCCAATTGCTGTTAGCCCAAAATTCAACTTGGGTCATTATTGTTAAATTAAATTCCAGGTAGACGAGCAAGCGCAAATGCATTAAATATGATTCGGTTGGAGCTTTAAAATGACACTGATGTGATAAGCTAAATTAATATATAAATAAAATTAATTAAGCGCGTTGGATGTGAATCCAATGATAATATTTATAAGTTTATTATAATGTGTATTCAATAAGTGGTCGGCCCTCCGCATTGGCTTTTAATGATTCACCTTTTTTTTTTTGAATTTTTAATTTTCTTAAACGCAGGCACCGTCAATCAATGAAAAGAAGACAAGGCAAAATTGAGCTGAGCATATCCTTACAGTCTGAAAGTCAAAATCCTTCAAGACTTTTTTTTTTATTATTATTATTATTAAATTTTAATTTAATTGAGGGGTGTGTGGTGTAGTTATTACACAAAACCAAACTCTCTAACTCAATCCCATTGGCCAATGGTGTGTATTGTAATTATATGTATGAACTATGAATTACCCCCCACCTCTCAACCTCCATCTACCCTCATTAAAGACAGTCTCCTTCAGTGCTCCCGGGACCTCAGCGCCAATCAGCGTCTCTTCACAAACTCTTAATACAGTGTGTGCTCAAGTCCCGGGAGTTACCAACACCTGCACTCATTCAATGCACCATGCTTACATAAAAGATGAAAGGGAAAAACTCTGCTCTCTCGGCTCTCCAAACAAACAAACCCCAAACATGAAGAAGAAATCCACTTTACTCATTTCCTTCCTCCTCCTCTCCGTCGCCCTCGCCGCGCGGCTCCCAGCCGGCGGCGGCGATGCGTTCTACGAGGAGGAATTCTCGGCGGCGAAAAGATCCGACGACAATGGGCCGGGCGGGTTTTTCGGGCCGGGCGGCGGGTTCAACATACCCGGGTTACCACCCGGGTTGGGCGGCGGGTACGGGGCCGGGTACGGCGGGCCTAGCGGCGGGTATGCGAGAGGCGGGACCTTTAGGTCCTCTGTGGTGTGCAAGGGAAAGGGTCGGTGCTACAAGAAGAAGCTCATCTGCCCGGCCAAGTGCTTTTCCTCCTACAGCCGCTCCGGGAAGGGCTACGGATACGGCGGCGGCGGCGGCGGCTGCAACATCGACTGCAAGAAGTGTACCGCCACTTGCTGATCGACGCCACCACCGGTCAGCTCGTTGCGTTAATGCTGCTACTGCTATTATATTATAATTAGTTAATTAATCTTGAATGGCTCGGCTCGGCTCGCTGCAGGCTCGGCTTATTATAATTACATGTGTTTTGCTCAATACATATAATACGTATAAGGAGCTATGAATAGAGGAACGTATAACGGGACGGGGATATACGTATGTATGTATGTATGTATGTTTTGTGTAGTATTATGTGGTGTGATGTATTTTCCACTGTAAAATCGTTGCGTTAGAGTTAGTTGAGTGAAGCAGCTTTACGATAATCGCAGCAGACTATGAGGTTTTACAGACTGGAAGGAATTGAAGGCCCAACGTATGTGCTTACTAGTTACTTCCTCTTCTCTTGCAATAATAATAACTTATCATCTTATATGCACTACTTCCTTTCATTCCGTAAAATTAGAATATGGGAAATAAATAAAAAAATATTATTGGAAAATAATAAAAGTAAATATATTAAGGGTGTGTTTGTTTGGGGGTTTGGATTTTGGATTGGGATTTGAATAGTAAAAATTTTGAATTTGAATAGTTGTATGATGTGATATAAATAGGGTTTGATGTAATGTTTTGAATGTAAAATTGATTTTTAGTATAATATAAAAAATGAAAAATAGGTATTTGATTTGATGTTTTTGGGGGAAAAAAATTAGATGAACAGTGGAAATCCTCCAAAATCCTTCAAACAAACTTTGAAAATTGTGTTACAACTTCGAAAAGAAAAGAAAAAAAAATTATGTTATTTTGGAAATATGTCTCCTCGTCTTGTCGAGTAGATTATTAACGTAGTATTATAGTATACTTATTCAACAAGTCTCGATTTTACATCATTCAATAGTGTTCTCTTACGAAGAGATTTAACAGATTTTATTATACTTGGAAGTTCTAAAACAAATTCTCAAATCACATTCTAATTTCTAACACGAAGCTGCAAGAAGGTCCATAAAAAGAATGGCAACAACACCACCAACCACACACACATATGGAACAACACAAGAGCAGGGCAGGTTTCATGTATAATAACAAGCTTTTGTACATTCATTCATATACCTTAAGACACGACACAAAATCGATGATGATGATGAGTAGTTAACTTAGCTAGCCAGCTATATTGCTGCTCTAACCGCTCCCCTGGCAGCCTCGCGCTTCATTTCCGCGGCATGACCGCTCCCTCGGAAGTAGCTGTAAACTTGCTTCATAACTACAATGCTCAGCATCGACTCCACGCAGAAGAACGCGAACCCAATGAAGTAGAATATCTGCATTTCATACACCACACAATTTCAGATCACCACCCACCATTCTTAATTACATTTGTTTAAACAAGGCCAAGGGAGCTTTACCCCGACAAGAGCATGGTCGCCTACGAGATCCACCGCCGGGAGAATACCCCTGTAGCCGAGAACAAGATCAAGTTAGTTACTTACAGAGAGAAGGATTAAACAGCATAATGGATCATATTCACTCACGTGAGGGATTTTCCTTTGAAAACAATAGGAGGCGCGATGGCGGCAAAGATACAGAAGCCAATGTGCAGCTGCAGCGCCCGAGAGCCAAATCATCATAAGTTTAATCGAAGATAGGAAACTTGATGGATTTAATGTAAGAAAGAAACTTACCAAGTAAAATAGGAAAAACCACCCAAACTTGAATGCACTTTCTTTCCTGCATAGATTTTTTGTAATCAAGATTCAAAATATTGCAATCAATTATGATATAAGTAGTTCATCTCTTCTGTTTCAGAAGGTGGAGCGCTAACCTGAAAGCACGGTAGAGGGGACGATACCAGAGTACGTAGGCGCCAGGGATCCCGGATATGAAGTAGATAATCGCAAGAAACCAAATCTTTGGATCTAATAAACAAATGTTGTGTTAGGAAATACATACAGTGTAAATGAAGATCTAATAAAAGACACAAATGCGATGACAATCGATTGCACCAACCTCCTTGTTTAATCCATGCCGTAGTCACAGCTACTACATTCCACAATAGCGTAAAAGCAAGCCCTGATCATTGTCACGAAAAAGCATCATTGCTGATGTCCATACTCTGAAGAGTAAAACAAAAACAAAGAACTCGTACACAAGCTTGACGTACCTAGAAATGTTGCAAAAGCAATATATTGCACCTTTTGGAGATGAACTGGTATGTCATTAGCAATATCATGATGGATAATGGGAAAAAATGGCGGCCAATTTTTCTCTTCAAGAACAACACCAGCTGCAGGTACACATAAAGAAAATCAGTAGCAATATAGAGGGGACAGCATTTTTATTCATTACAAGGGGTGCTAAATTAGTTATTAAATGATGGACTAAGATAAGGGCGAAGCACCTCGGGCAACAGCTTCTTCTCTCCTCCTTATTTCCTGTTAGCAGAGGGATTTTCATGTCACAGAAGGTAATTCAGATTTATGTAATATATGACGTATGCAAGTTTCGAAGACATGCTAAAGATCTAATCGATTGGTAGGTAATACAGTCTTGTTTTTTGAGTAGTAAAACTCTTGAGGTTGTGAAACAAACATAAGAGTTTTAACACCATTTATCTCCCCCAAAAGTTTGTCAAATATAAAATGGCATATGGAAGAAATGCAGACATTTATAACAAAAAAATATTATCAAAAAGTACCTGTTCCCTCCTTTTTAATTCGGCTTCCTTGGCATGCAACTCTCGTTCTTTCACTTTCAAATCCTACAAAGAAATTTGATGGAATTAGAAATCAGGAGCATGCCAAGAAACTGGGAAAACGAAAAAGCAATGCAGTTTAACAAATTAAGGGGAAAAAATTAGGAATTACCGAAGTACTATCAAGAGATATATCAACTGGAGCCGTAGGATTGTAAAAATCGGCAGGTTCTGGAGGAAGGGGTGCAAGTCTTGAGTTTGAAACCGGAGCACTTGCATGAGTCTGCTAAGAAGGAAGAAAACCATGCCAGTTATTGTTATTGCAAGCAATCTATACATAAAATTGCACCACATTATGTCTAGACAAGCAATGTTGAAATAATTATAATGTGTTCGAACGCTAACTACTACATCCCTCTTCTTGAATTCATTGGGTGGGTGGGCAGATCAAATTGAAGCAATGAAATGAAGAGTCCTCAAACATGTTATATTCTCTTAATGAAGTCGGTCGGCCAACACGCCTACTCAGTTTTCGCAATACGCGAGAGACTACAGGAGATTATAAGTAATGAATATGCTACACAACACAACCTTAAACAGTCCCAGAGAAGAATATATTATTTGTGAACTCCACGGAAGAATAAATTTCCAGGAAATAGATCTTAAAGAGTGTTGCCAAATTGTTTCCTATAGACATGTGATACTCATATCATCCTAAGTTGTAATGCAACCAATGAAAATTAGTAAAACATGCTTGTTTACAAGAAGATAAATGAAACATATGAACTCACTGTTGTAGTAAATGAACCACCAAAAAACTTGGATTGATTGACTGGTTTTCCGCCCTTTCCATCCTGGATTCGAAAATATATATACACATCCATATATATGAATTCAACACAAAAATACAAAACTAAGGTGTAATGGTGAATAAATTCCACAAACAGTATCATCTATTATGATTAAGCACACGATTCTGATGGGAATTCTCTCCTTCCACCATTTTTGTCTGCAATTACATGGTTGTAAATTGTTCAGGTATGTATTCAAAACTTGGGTAACAACTAGAATTTCTTGCCTAAGACATCCCTGAAAGATGTATTGTGTTTTGATTGATACAATAGGTAAACTTATTACAAAACAACCAATTTTATGCATCGAAAACTCTATCACCACCGAATAAATGGATCAACACAACCCCGCCATCAATATTCACCCAATAGAAGATTGTCCAATGTTTATACAGCAAAATCCTCAATCCAAAAATATTAGCATACAGTAAACAAACATCTTCCAAACACCACAATTTCAAAAACAAGCTTTTCTCAGCTACAATTTCTCCACTTTTAATAGCATATAGAGAGTTCATCTTCCTCATCTCCAATTACAGGGAAACTAAAATAATTTTAAGGTCCACAAAAATTCAATACATCAAAACAAAGAAAACCACACTTACAGCGAAGGGATTAACTTCTTCTTCTTCATCAAAAGGATTCCTATCATAACGGCCAGCCATAATCTTGATGATGGATCAGTTGAACGACCAACCAACAGAATGAAGGAATTGAGATCCAAATAGCAAAAGTACGAATAGTTAGAAAAGTAGAACAGAGTGCTAAAGCTGAGAAGGCACTAGTTTTATTAAAAAATTATCGGATTCAAACGCCATAAAAGAGGTCTAACGAAGAAAGTTCTTTCATGAGGACTCGTCCTCGGTCAGCATAAGGTTGCTTTCAGAGAGACGACTTTTTTCCATCCAGAAAGAAAGAAACAGACAAAATCCTATTGCCCTTTCACACCACAGCACAATATCAGGGAAAAAACAGTACCTGTTTGGCAGCCTCCATAACTACTCCGCGGGGTAATTCCTGTGTTCACCATTCCACGAGCAAGACAATCCTGCAATTCACGATTCTCTATCTTACAAAAGACCATCATCACTTCCCTGCTTTCAGTCCCCCTCTTCATCTCCATGCCTAGAAAATTTCCGTCGATTTTTTTCTGGATGAAAGGCCAATTAAGAAACCCGCAAATCGTCAGACAAAATTTGCTGCTTCAGTGGGCCAAAAGTGCTCCCATGGGGGCAGAAAGCTCCTGAGAACAATCAACTGTGTTTAACAGTTAGTGGATGAATCATGAATGCTTTCTGGCGGGCGCGGAATTAACCAATCAAGAAAAGGGCAAAATTGTCAAATGTATGAAATTATTAGGCTGTGTTAGTTATTTAGTTAGTTTTTATGTATTTTAATTTCGGCAATTTGGGAGAATTCAATTGAATGATATTTTGTTATTAGAATGAAAATATCATTTGCTAAAAGAAAAGAGAGGAAATTAAAATTCCGGATTGTTTCAGACATTGGGTATATTTCAAATTGTATCGATTTCTTACTTACAAATCAAGATTTTTTGGTTTCTAACAACCTTTACAAAATCATAGTATTTTTTGGTTTCTAACAACCTTTACAAAATCACAGTGCAGGATATGGATAATCGTGCAAATAAATAATCGTGGACATCAATTTCATTCAATTCAATTCAATTGAAATAATTTCTCCTAATTCCAAAACCCTAAGTAGGAAGAACGACGTCGTCTGGGATCTGCCCAGTCCAATCCCTTGTCCTCCTTCACAGCCCTTTCCCATCTCTCCTTGAATTTCTCCAACTCTATTGAGGATTGCCTCCTAATCTGTGTATAGCACCAACCAATTCTCATTTCTCTTTTAAACGGGAACTCTTTTATTTTAGGAGAATAAAAAATAATAATAATAAAAAGGTTTCTTTACCTCTAACCTCACATCAACACCATGCCCCTGCTGCAAGAGAAACCAAGAAAACTAATCAGGAAATAAGAATTCGTCGCTACAGAACAAAATGAGGAGGAGGCTTGAGCCTGGATGCATACCTTTGTGGTCTCTTCAGGGTTCGAAACCTACAAGTATAGCAGAGATAATAGGTTCGGGTTAGTCAGAAATGGCCCCCTTAAAGTTCTAGCAGATTAGCATAATTTTGATCATGCTACAACCAAGTATATTTTGTGCAAACAGTTGATCAATTTTCCTTGGTATTTTGGTGGGGGACCAAGGATATTCCATTTATTAGTGTTCATATAATTTGGCAATTCTAGACTGCAGATAACATTTGGATTAATGCAGAAAAGATGTAAATCACCTTTCTTGCAGATGCACCACCACCCAGTGTCTGTATGCTTTGATGGACTACATATTCGCTATCAACTACACCCACCTTTTTGGTGCGATCCCCCTTTGGAAGTTCAAGTTTGTAAAAATATAAAAAAAAAGAAGGATGACAAATGAGGTCATAAAAGCAATTATAAAGATTTTGTGTGTACTTAAAGATAAAAAGAGATTTTGTTACCTGTGCACAGTAACCAAGTTTCATGTCCATTCCCCATCCATGTACAAGATCATTCTAGAATGGAACAAGAAGAGACCTCTGAGATTCGTGATGATGAGAGTGACATGAAGGTGCAGGACTCCACACAAAAGGGAATGAAGCAAATTTACCTGTATTAAATGCCAGGCGCAATGCCATGCAGACCTTGAAAATACAGGAGCCATGCCTTCCACAAAACTGCAAATTCCAGAGGATGACCACAGTATTTTAGAGAGACAAATGAAATGGTACCCCAGCTCTTGTTCACTATGAATAAAAGCATTTACAAATTTTAGTTATCTGGTCCTGTTAATCTTCATTAAAATGCTGAATAGTAGGGTTGTTTTTTTCACAAGATGTCTTTTTCTCAATAAAAGAAGGTTGTATCTGGAGTGATCTATGATCAGCACATTTTGTGAATAATAATGAGAAGCTCAGAGAAAGATGTTGACAATTACATGAAAAAAGCAGGCTGAGGAACCAACAACATATTAGCATGTACATAAGCTAAAAACAAAACATTTACAGAGCAAAGTAAAACTACCCAGTGCAAGGCGGCCCCTCACTATCATCTGAACACTTGGTATTGCCTCTGACTTCATACAGCCTCCTGCATAAATAAAATTCTCTCATTACTAAATACCAATTCACACAATTAAGTAAATAGTGCAAATTATAAAACCCACGTGTGGTATATATTCGTTCTGCTTCTTATTGTAATTCTGTGATGTATCCCAGTTGAGTTTGGATCCAAAGCTGGCTGGGATATTTCAAGTCCGGCTGATTTCACAATATTCAGATACCTGACAGATCAAGTGAGAAAACCAAAAAGAAATTGTACTGTATATTTAAGGCTAGTCAGCCCTGTGTTTCTAAATCAAAATGCTGATGTATTATTTTATGCAACTTAAGTAAGAATAAGCAGGAAGCAACTAAAATCAATATAGTACTTCTTAATCAGAAGAAAGTATTTATTAAGATGATAAATTACAAGTGATTACTCTTTTTAAGAAGACAAAAGTCATATGAATAATAGGTGTGGGGATCCACCAAGATTGATAATCCATTGGACCTAAGATTTTATGGAGCAAAGAAAATGATAGTGTTCAAGGAATATCATTCAAGCTAGTATCTGTTCAAGGAAAGATACTTTCCCTATGCTTTCCTCATCAAATCCAACCAAAAACTTATGGAAAGGGGCAGAGGAAAACAATCCTTGCAGAAGGAGAAAGTTGTAACAACAGTACCTGCCAGGGTGGAAATGCTCTACCCCCAAATCTTCATCCCACAGGAAGATGTAATCATATATAGAGACAACAGCTGGATGCAAAAATCGTTTTGCAAACCACCTGAAAATGTAAGGAAAAAACAGTACCCCTAGCTGTGAGGTGAAGTTCAAATCAGCTTATCCCACCCCAATACCATTTCCCATAAAAACATAACATATTAAAAAGGATATCAACATTTTGAGGAGTCATAATGTGTTTAGTGTAGATCCAAGTTCATCAGTTTCACTCATAACCTAATTTAGATAATGAGTAGCAAGTAAACTAGATGCATGGTGCAGACTTATATATGGTATGCACTAAAAATTAAATCTAGTAGATTATAGGTAAGTAGGCAAACATAAACTAAGACTTACCATTTTGTTTGGTTATGTGCAACTATATGTATGGCTTTCTTACTCCATTCCAGGTCCCACCACCCATCCAAGTGGCCATCATAGTGAAACAAAATTATTGTGAAATTTTCTGAAAGAAACTGAATATAAAGAAATTAGACATTGATTTGAATCATCATGATGGCATATCATTGTGTTTTTCTTTTATTTAAATCAATTGACAGGTGTACCTTTTGAACAATAGTATTAACATTCCTCTTCTGCTTGATACCAACAGACATTGCTAGCAAATTCTTAGAGCTTTGAACACTCACCTGAGAGTTTACAAGGATATCTATAATTGGAGATGCATCATCATAAATTTTCAACAAATGAAATTCTAGGAGATGGTTGAACAGTGAAGAATGGCCACATAGACTATAATCACTATTAAACTTTACCTTAGACCTGGAACTGCTCATTGACCATAAAGGCTTCAACTCTAGGTCTGATCTTGCTTCAATGATGCCTCTGGGCAATCCGTCCAAACTTTTGGAATCCAACACACCAAAGTCCTGACCAAACAATTAATTCATTAAGAAATAGTCCACATTATAAGGACATATCTCAAAAAGTGGATAAAGGACTGGGAAAAGATGAAACTCTTTAATACAATAAGTACCTTCAATGTGGAAAAAGGGTCCAATCTTGAATCCAGCTGATGAAAAGGAAAGAGGCGTAATACAGTGAGTTATCCCAAAAATAACAAGAATCTCGCAATGTTAATATATCTATGAATAAAATAGATCATACCATATTTAGCAACATTGGTACCAAACATATAAAGTTTGTGCCAAAACAACCTTTCAACATACCTCTGTTTGTTCATACTGATATATAGCAGTTCTATATATGATGAACAACATCAGTACACAGACAATACCCACAAATGGAAGCTGTCTCATCTTTGCCGCAAATGTTCCCTGACATTAATTGCTTTCAAAATTATCATTTTAACTTCGAAATAGAAATTATAGTCAATTTTCAATTATACAAACACTGAATTCTGCAAAGCATAAACACAGTACTATTATGAACAGATGTAATGCAGCATCCCTCATACCCAGTCAGAGAGAAAGTGTTGTTTCTTCATCAGCCACCTCCATGATCTGGCTGCCTTCATAGGCAGTTATAACTTATAACTGCATAGAGCTCAGTGGAGACTGCAAGAATTGCACATGTAACTGAAATTACCATTGGTCTAGATTTGTTTGGGACTGCAAAATGACCGAAAAGTGCCTCCAAAACTCACTAACACTATACCAACTCCTCTCAGCTACATATGAGTTTACATTCATCATCTCACTTGAAAAACAAAGTGGTGTATTGCAAACATTGCCATCACTATAGTCTGATCTTCATCCATTGACCCAAAAATTGGAAATGGACGTATATGATTACAAACTTCAGCACTAAAAACTATGTATAGAATTAAACTTTTTCTATGTAAAAATTGACACGACCTCCGATCAACTTAGCAAGATTGCATTACCAAATTCAAAACAAAAAATTGAAATAAATTAACTAACACCTCAATCCTACCACCATAATTCGAAAAAGGTTCATCTTCTTGTTTGGTAAAAAGCTCACATCCATCATTAACAAGAAAACTTGAGGTAATCACCACTGACCATTCCCTAACGTAATCGGAACACCAACACGATTTCATTAACAACTACTAAACCAATAATCTCAACAACACCACACCAAACGTACACAAGCAATATAAGAACATTTTCCGAAACATACTCGCCCCGCAAAGCTGGATCGAGGGTTTAATCGTCCTTTCGCAATTGAACTCGCTTCTACACTGCGAAAACACAAAATAAAACCCAACAACATGAAGAACACAAAACACGCATACCTATCTCAACCCAAACCACACGGCACGCGTACTTACCGCAGAGGATCGAAATCCTATAGCCGGAACGAATTTCCCACAAAAATCCTACCAACCTCCGCGTATCACCTTCTCGGCGAGTATCCCCGTATCTATTGCTATACACGTACAAGATCGTGGATTCGGCAATCGCACAGACAGGAGGAGAGACAGATTCAGGAATTCGCGTGTAAACGCGTGCGAAGACGACAATCGACAAATGATAGAGAGAAGAACAAGCGCCACGTCCATACAACACACTACATAAATAGAAACCATCCCCCAAACATTTCTCTCACATTTATACTAATAAATATATAAATAAATTATTAATTATGATAAGTAACTTTCACAAAAAAATTTATTCGGCGAAATTTTCGATAGCTTAATTCCGTTACAATCGAGTGGCGATTGGCCACTGTCGCCCAGGCTTGTTCATAAATATGTAAATTTGTATGAAAATAAAATAAACAATATACAACTTCATACTTATAAACTAATTGTATAATATTTTTTATAAAATAAATATTCAATATGATTTAAAGAAAAAAAAAAAAAAAAGTTAAAACATAAGTCAACATAGACTTATTAATAAAAAGTGAATAATTAATTGCGTATCACATGCCAAGGAGACATCATTAACTAGCCCCTATTTATTCTTCTATAAATGTATATAAAATAATACTAATAATATGCACAAGAAATTAAAAGGCAAAGAATATTAGCATGAGTGGAAAGTAAAACAAGAAATAAACAAAACAAGTGAAGTATAAATGTTGTTTTGATGTCAGTAAGATCCCAAAATCCCTTATCATTCATTATTGCTGTTACCCATAAATTGAATTAAACTAAACAAATGTGAAATTTTTCTTAAATTCTCCCTATTTTTGTTTACTATGTTTTTTGACTTTGACAGCAGTATTGTCAGCCAATTCAGAATTTAACTTTACAAGCCTCCTCTTGACACCTTTCTTAGCTTTCAACAAGGAAGATAGCAATACAGTGTCTTCAGGATCTTCATCATCATTCTTACCTTTATCATTAGCTACCTTGTCGGGACCGGAGAGTTTCTCCGGTCGGGGTCGGGGTGGGGGTCGAGGGCGAACACTCCGCGGCTTCACGGGACGGTTTAGAGGCGGGAAGGACGGCGACGCAGCTTCTTTGCAAGATCTGCCGCCGCCGTCGTAATAGTGCTTCTTGTATTCTTGGCTGACCAAGTGTCTCAGAGACAATGCTGACCTGTACTCCTTGGTCTGTCTCGAGTAGAACACGAGGGCGTTGTTGGCTAGCAGGAGCAGGTCGCGGAAAAGTTCTGCAGCCGTCTTGATCGACTGCCGGATTATTCTTGATCTTATTGTGCTCATGTCGACGTGCTGCATGATGAGCTTCCGGTACCTTGTTCGCTTCTGTAGTCGAAAACAGAGAGTTCGGTTAATCTATAGGTACGGGAGTCGAGCATAGTATGGTTTGTAGTTCTTGTACCTGACTGTCGAGTCGATGGCTGAATATGGATGCAGGCTGACTCTGCGCGAAACATTCGAATATTTTCATCACAGTGTGTCGCTTTTCTGGAATTTCGGTGGGATTGGTCACGGAGGAGTTTTTAGCTGTTGGATCGCAGTCGACAATGGATGCAATGTTTGAAGAACCGACATTGTCACTCTCTCCGATACTCGGTTCTTTGGCTAATGGATTACAACCCTTCCGCTTTCTCGGGCCTCGTCTCTTCTTAAGGGTTACCGGCCCGTGTCCACCGACATACTCTGCTAGCTTTTCGATGATCGTGTCCTTGTCCTGCTCGGTCGTTGCGGCTGAAATCCTTTTTGAGTGATTGCAGGTTCCTTTGGTGAAGCTTCCTGCAGAGCTTTCGTCGTTTGTTGTCTCTTTGCCTGAGGACTCCACGGCTTCACCTGAATTGAGCACAGGGAAAGGCGACGCATTCTTGATCAGATGGGAATGGTCCTGGCTGGAAGCTCGTTTATCTGCCTCGAGTGATTTAATTTTCAACTCAAGAGACCTGGAATTGACAGATAGCAACACATCCTCTGCATTATGATGGATAGCTATACTCTTCTATGGTTAGCTCAAATGAAACATACAATTGACAATGTACAAACTTATACGAGGTTTATTTGTGCTTACCCTATTGAATCTTCTGATATTGCCAATTCTCGCTTCAACTCTTCCACTCGTCTCTTCCTTAGCTCTTCAAACCAAGACCTGAGGCATTCCTCACAATGCAACCGTAAAAGTAGATGTTAGAACACAACCAAATAGTTTTCACATAATTTGCAAAACAGTTTTAGCCAAATATCGATTTTCACAATGATATGGATATAGGCTTTGAAATATTGTATAAATGGTAGTAGAAGACTAATACAGTATTATGTAAGTAATGATTCTATTTTCTTCAATTTGGCCCATAGTGATGCTCCCCTCGAGTCCATATCAATGTTTAACTCCTACTGCGTTTAACTGAAAATAAATTCAGTTTTGAGAAGGGAGCATTCAACTCACTTGGAACCACCAGAGTAATGCTTTTGCAGGTACTCATACTTGGCCTTACAAACCTGCAAACCAACTCCGGAATCGTCAATTTCCAATAAATACACGAAAGATAATAATGTTACATTGGCACTAAAATTATTCCCAATCAGTTCAAAGTGAAACAGTATTTTCATAACTTTGTGCATTACCAAAAGGACCATCAACGAGTTTAAGAGGTTCTACGTCATCAAGAAATATTAACCCCTACCATAGCAGCACATACTTGCAACTCAATGCCATCCAGAGACTCATCCATCCATACCTCTTTGGTTCAGTTCACTTCACATCTCCAAATAATTTTTGCAACTAACAGAGTTGTATAACATGATCAAACCTACCAGCAGACTGCAGCAATCATAAATTCACAACGACTAGCCATCAGGCCCTACTAATCAGGTGATTGATCAATTTTACAACCTCTTGAAAGCCCAAAAATAGCTCTAAAATAATGCAACAAATGGCTGCCTGCTGCTAAAAGTAGAGCATTGCCATGCCCAAGAACAGTGTTTTGTCAAACAATGATGAATAGTGTTGTATTTGAATTTTATGTTGACAGATATAATAACATACAGGGTAATGATTGGTTCTTTAAGCATCTTAGAATGCTAATGATAAAAAAATACTATACATTCATTTGACTAGTATTATAGTAGTTGTTGATTACACTTTATTAAGCTAGTTAAATAATTTAGTGTAATCATAACCCAATGTGATACATTAAGGATCACATAAAAGTCAATTTTAGTATAAAATAGAAAACGTTGAATTGGTCCAATAATACATGACATATTATAATTTGTTTGGTTCATATATTTTAATAGAAAGACTGTGCATGAATTAAATCTAGTCATCAATTATGATAGTCAATGAAAGTAAAATAGATTTAATATGATGCAATTTTTTACATTTTTACAGTGAATGTTACTGTATTACAGAGTAAACTTTAGGAGAGGTTAATTTGAATACAAAGTGCTAGTGGAAATTAATTATAATAAAAAAAAATAAAACAGGTATTCATAAAAAACATAATTAAGCACATCCTACTTGCTAACACAAAATTTTATGATATTACAAACAATGTACCATTCACCTAAAATAACATTCCATCGATCTTAATTAGGGTGTGTTTTGGAGTGTTCTAAATTGTTTTAGGACTAATAAATTATTGAATTGAAAATAATTTTTAATATAATGTTTGGAATGGCAAATAAATTTTAACTTAGTAATTTAAATAAAAACTTGAAATACAACATTTGAGGTTTTTTCAAATGTGTTATAAAAAAAATAATAATATTAAATATAGCAACTATGTTTGAAAACAAACACAACCAAAATTTAACATGAATAACACATGCAGCATAAATTTAATCTGACTGAATATGTGCAACGATGATTTTAAAAAATTCAATGTGTAAATATCCAAAGATGTTCAGTTTTACTTTCATGCATGCATAAATGGCTGTAAAAGAATATATATGGACATTAAAATAGAAAGACGTACAGAGGAGAGGAATCGAACCTCAGGAGTAAAGGATTGAGGGCGGTGGGAACGGGTTCGGAGCTCCTCAGCGACGGTGTTCCAGTCTTGGGTACCGTGCCTCAACACAGCGCCTCCCAGTACAAGCTCCTCCCACGTGTTCCACTCTTCAGGTGGGCCCACTGCAACGTCAGCGCCCATCCTACCGTCCACGTGTACGCTCAGTATCAAACGAGGGGTTGAACTCTTGCGCATAGAGGCATTGCGTCTGCTTTTCCGTCCACCGACTCTCGCCGCCGCTGCGCACGTTACCCACCGGCAATCCACGTCGACCGAGAACAGATAAGGATTCCTGCAAAAATAAACACATATTCAGCGTGGAAAAAATAAATAAATAAAATAAATAACACCAAAAAGTACAGAAAAACGAGAAGCTTTTGCCCGAAGCGGGAATCTCGGAAATGGATCTCTTAATCCACCATTATTTTGCGGGATTAATTTTCCGAAAATTAACAGCGACTGTAATGAAATCGGGAGAAAGACGAAATTGGACAATTGTATGAAAATCAATACCTCTCAATTTCCTTCTGATTTCTCGAAGAACTCCTTGCTTGGACGACAGACGCAAACAACGTATATGGGGTTTGGTCTTGAATCGAATAATTTATTTAATATTTATGAAATAATATTTGATGAAGATATATAAAAGGACTTTAATACCCTTCTCTTTTTCCAGAACTTACCACCCCCGTTTCTGTATTTGACAAATTGCTCCACTTCTTTCGACATATTTCGAGCAGGCCCAAGTAGAAACAAAACGAATATTACAACTTCGTCCAAAACTACAATTAATTTCCTATGAACTCCCTATCTTCGTTTTGAAATGATTTTAAATTGTCTTCTATGCTATACTAAGTTGCTAACGGCTACATTTGGACAACGAGGTTTAGCTGCTGTGCGTATCGGGCAACATTACCTCCACGCCTGCACAGGAAGAAATATGTAAATGCAAGAGCCAAAGTAACACTGCTAGAAGTAAAAAAACACAGCCAGGCGATTCCAGCGGGTCGAAAAAACTCACTGCATTAACTCCGGAAGTGTTGTTCGCAGCTCCTGGAGATGATCGAAGCATCGCTTGCAGCATTCAATCCTACAAGCAGAAGGGTTCATGTACAAGAGCCCAATGAAGGTAAAGATGCAAGATTTTACATGTTTAAGACATGAAGTGTACCTCTCCTCGGCATGGAGATCAACTCCGACGACTGGAGGTGCTGAGACTGTTGTATGGACGATCGGGGCAAAGACTGCGGCCAACTTAACGAGCATTTCCAGGGAAAGTATAATGTGTCTGTGGATGAGATGGAAGATGAGTATGATTTAGGATCAAACAAATATTAGAGAGTGCATTTGAATGTAATGTGGAAAGATTGCTACCTTTCTGTTCTGCTTTCCAATAGTGCTAAAAGCATGGGAAGCAAGCAGTAAAACAGGTCGAGCGTAATAATTTCCAGCCCACAGGGCATGAGAATAGAGATAAAATCTGCCTGCACCTGCAAGAGCGAGCGATATAGTAATGAGGAAAGATCTTGGGTAAATACATGGCCGGACAAAAAGGATAAAACGCACAGAATGATCAGACAATTTCCTCGCAGCATTTATGGCACCCTTAATATCATTCCTTTCCCAAAACTGCCGAACCACCTGTCCCAAGAAACTAAAATTAGATTTATTGAGGAACACAATTGGAGTCTAAGTCTTGTTAAAACGCAGTGTATAAACCTTGATGAGCAGTAATACCTGTAACTTAGTTAATCGAGACTCTAATGCTGGCAATGTCATTTGATGATTCTGCATTAGATTTTCTATGACAACGCTATCATCCACAATTGACCCTTCTCTGGTTACCAAATTTTTGTCAATGCTCTGCAGAACCGCGTAGTTTGATCAGTTATTGATTGCACACGAAATTGAGTAATAAGAATCTCAGTTATTCTATGAAAGATAAAGAATAGAAGATGTACCTGGGATGGGAGGCTTTCTGGAGGGCCAGCAATTGCACCAGCATCCCTCTCTGGCTTTTGAATTTCGTCATTTTTTGCAAACCTTTCAACCGAACTAGGCGTCCTTCGATGTGTAGCAGCACCTGCCATTATAAAAGAATAAATATCAATTGAGGGTTCATGTAGAACATAATTTATATGAAAACCAACCTCCATTGACTACTCTTGGGGAATTTGTCCTTTTACTGGAATCCAGAATCGGATTATCTGGAAAAATTGTAACAAGTCAATTTGGGAACTAAAGATGAGACAAGCTGGACCATAGTTTCCTAACAAGTGTAATGTAGTAGTTATATATAGAATAAAAATAATGCAAACGGTTCTAATAATCACCATTTATCAAAAAGCAAATAGCAACAAATGGTGTAAATGAACACAATGACGAGCTTTAAAAGGGAAACTTAACGTCACATACTTGTTGAGGGTAATGATAATCTATCAAACTTCTCCGTAACAATCTTGTGATTTGATAGTTTTCCTTCAGAGGATTCATTGGCAAATTCATCAGTGATGAGTCGGTTACGGAGGCCTGAATCCATTTTTCTTCTCAGAGGAGTTTTAATGTTATTGCGAGTATCAGACTCATGGGACACAGCCATTCTTTCCATATCAAACCTACTGCTAGATAGCCTCCTCGCAGAAGATGGCTTAACAGGCATGCCAATGAAAGCCTTTGCTGAACCAAGAGATTCCCTTCTAGACCCAATGAAATGCTTTCCATTGGAACCATCACGAGGAACTATATTAGGCATAACAAGGGTTTTCTTATTAACCACCGGCGTGCTAGGTTTTGGGGGAAAGCTATGCTTGTGAACTCCAATAGCATTACTTTCCTTGGAGTCAGATGTACATACACCCTTAGGAGTGTCTACGGAATCAATAATCTTCGGTGTTACAGAACTTACACCTGCGGCAAAACATATAATAGAAACTTAGGAATGATTTTACTGGGAAAAAATCAGACACATGTAGAGACTCAAACTTACAGTCAACATATATAGTTTTCACATCCTTATTATCACTATCTGGGGTTGTGGAATGCATATTTGATTTTAGCTTTGGATGGTCTGCTTCTTTGTCGAGAAGATTTCCCTGAGTATCACATTCCAGCTTCGATTGCTGTGTAGTCAATCTTGTGCTGTACGGCTCTATAAGCTAACAAAGAAGAGGGACTTTTGAGTATGTGTGGCACAGATTGTCATAGTTCTCTCCAAAGTAACAAAAAGAAAAGGTAATGGAAACAATAAAATATCAGAAAGACCAGAAGGATACCGAAGCATCTGCTACCCAAAGAGCAACTGAGTTTTCGTAATATGCACCACCCAAAAGTTTCCCATCATGAATGCAAAGATCGCCAAGTGATGACCAGCCCATGTCGACAGAATCGTGACAAATTATAGGTTCCCATGAGAAAACCTGTTGGCAAAAGAGAGGAGGACCCATGTGAAAAAATGAATTTTCTACAAAAATATTCATGGAATAATGTACAGTACAAAATGGACCTTTAAACTATCGTCTAGTCCACAGAAAATGGATTTTCCATCTGGGTGGAAAGCTAGTGATTTTATTCCAGAAGCCTGAGGGAGAGACAAATAGAATTTGGAACAACGCAATTACTGAAATACTTTAACAAAACAAAATAAAATATAGATATTATATGCATCTAACAGAAGAAATGAACATTATAAAAGGTCATTATCTTCAGTCAATCAATATGTGAAGAGAATAATGGCTTTAAGGGAAATGACTAAATACCTCACGTCTGGTAGATCCAATCATCTCAAATGTCTCCAGATCCCAAAATTTCACAGTTTTGTCAGCCGAACCTGTAATATTCATTGATGTCATTATCATCGTAGCTAGAGTCCTGCAATTACAGACAATCCACCATATACGCTGCTTACCTGACGCTAAAAGAAACTCAAGAGGGTGAAATTCTAAGGACCGGATATGTCCCTCATGAAACTTGAAATCATGCAACAACTTTCCTGCAGTCAAGTCCCATACCTGTATAAAAGGAATTATCTATAACCAAAGGAAAGGGATAACTCATATATAACAATTTTCATATTAAACCTTGCACCCATACCTTAACAACATTATCTAATCCACCGGATACTACCCAGCGACCATCAGGAGTGAATCTTATATTACTTATCCCTCGAGTATGACCTTTATATGTGTGGATGCACCCTTTCTTTCTAATGTCCCATATCTTTAGATTGGTATCCATTGAGCCAGATGCAAAAAACTCGCCAAATGGGTGGAATTCAACAGAAGTACAATAGGATCTGTGTCCAGTAAGAGTGCGAACCACTATATTTCAAGAACATTTAACCACATCAAAATGAATGTTATACTGATGTTATCAAAGTGGCATTTACAATCTGGAGAGAACCCATGCCTCAATAGCATAAGTTAAATTTTATGTCTTAACATGCAGGCACCCCAATCTCATATAGAAGCAGAATATGCAACTAAATATCAGAAATATTTATGTTTTAAATCTAAAAAAGATTCAACTTCTACTGCTATTTAGAAGCCAACAACGGATATTGAAATCTAAAATATAGAGGAAACATGGGAAATAGATTTACTTACTCTTAGTTTCTTCCAAATCCCACAACTTTATGGCTCCAGAAGACGAGCCAGCTACCACTAAAACCTCTCCTGAATCAAATGCTGCAGACTCAACTGGGCTATTGTGACCACACAGACTCTGCAATTACCAAAAAGTGATTTTCCTTTAGATGTATAGTGTTCAACCATTCACAGGAAAGAGTATCACTTCACTGGATGAGGCAAATGCTATAAATGATATCGACTGCAGCAGTATACAAGACATGGATAATGATAACTATGCCCCACCCAGAAAATAATAATAATAATAATGATAACTTAATATAAAGAGCAACAACTTTATTAGTATAATAGCATCAGAAGTGCTCCTGACACCAATAAAATATCCAAACAGCCAAAGACCTGGAGATGAGCAAATAGCAAGAATAGAAGAATATCATTCTAGCTTCAAACATTAACTCCAGGTTTAAATATCTTGATTGAAATTATGTAAGGACTAACTAAAAAGGCATACTAAGTCAATGCTCATCCTTAGAATAAAGAGGACTGCAGCCATAGTTTTCAGATAGAACAACGTCGGGCAGAAATTACGCAAATGAAACAGACTAACGTTGCCACAGTGCATACGAACATGTAGGTTCTCCTTTGTGTACATGAAACACAAGGAACAAGAGAGTAATAAGAAGAGAGTGGAAGAGGGGGAGGCAGAAAGAATGATTATAAGCAAAATTAATGAAAAGAAGAAAAGAAAATCAATTACCATGAACAAAAAAGGGGAAAGCATATTAAATTACAAGTAACATCCAAACTCATGAGTTTCCGAAATTCGCAAATGGTAAACCAGTTACAAGAGTACTTCCGAGCTCTTTCAATTATAAATGAACAAAGGAATTGAATTTGAATATCAATATTTAGCATTCTCTGGTGCCACGTGGATCAAACAAGGCGCAGACCAACATTCATCTTCAGAATTTAACAAACCAAGAGTATATTGAAATATATTATACATGACATTAATCACTCATCCTAATTCAAATGTTTCGACGCATTCTTAAATTATGAATTTCACTATTGCTAACATTGGTGCATTGCTTTGGATTACATGGCAGTATATTAGATTATTACGAAAAGGCCCAACCACCTGACTAACAGATTGAAATCACACAAGTCCCAAAGTTCATAGAGGAAATTGTCACCACATATCCAAACCTAAAGTGATATGTACAAACAAATCTTTCAAATAATGTTGTTTGCTAACTAACCGCAAGAGATGTGGGCTTTCCAATGGACCAAAGGTTCACTTTCTGATCATCTCCACCTGTTATAAACACTCTATAATTCTTTTTCCCAAAGCTCAAACAATTTACACTCCCAGCATGCGCCACAAATTCCTCTACATCATATTCAGTCAAGAATAGACAATTTACAAGAAAGGGCATTTTGAATACCCTCAAAATAACAAATTCTCAAAACTACAATTCGATCAACAAAATAGAAAGCATGCCACACGGTGAGTGGAAACAAATTTTGATTTCTTTTTATCTAAAGAACGCAAGAGTGTGAAAAAAGATAAGGACGACATCACCACACCTTTCTCGATCATCGTCAACACCATGCAATTTTTCAAAAAGAAATCACTCCGATCCAATATTTCGAGAAAAATCAAAATCCTACCCAAAACCGACCACTCAACTCCGCCGACATTCACAATCACTCGCGAAAGTTTAAAAAATGCAAAATGAAACAAACACCAAAATTAAAAAGGATACGCAGTTTATATCCACGCTTCGCCATTTCCTCCACCAAAATCACGCCGCTGTCGACTGTCGGTGCCTTGCCCCGAAACGGAGACCCAAAACCTCACTGAGGACGGCTGAGTACAACTCGAGAAACACAAATAATCCCTCTGTCTTCTTGTTCTTGACGCATCTCTGCATTCAATTCGCGATAAATGGCGAAGATTTCCAATCCAATCCAATCCAATAGACCCTCTCAAAGGGTAAACCACCGAAAAAGGAAAGCCTTCAGCGCGGAGAGATTTCGACAGCGCTCTACAAAAGCAAACGAGTCCTATGTCTGTATATACCCGAATATACACACACACACACATATATATATATATATAATTTATACTTTGAAATTTTAAAATACTAAAATATTATTTCACGTTCAATAGTTTATTTGTTGTGCTTTTGCATACAATGAATGCACTCGACAACCTTATTAAATAAATAATTCAATAGATTATTTGTTGGTATATTATAATCGATTATCTGCCAAATGATAATTTGTGTTAGTTCAATCTGCTGTCAAGTAGTAATCAACTATTTATTAAAAATATATATACATAAATTTTGTTAAATATTTTTGCTTTGTATTTTAAAATAAATATATATGTGGATGGTAAGGTTTGAGACAATTGAAATTCTGCAATCAATCATTTTCAATAATCTGAATTTGCTATGATTTGATTAGAGCTCATGACTATTATATACTAACCAACACCCAATTGCTATTATTTGCATCTAAAATATTATCATTAGCTGTTATATTTTCCATTATTCTTTTTTGGGTCTTATTTCTATTAAATTTTATAGTATTATTTGAAAAAATAAATATTGACTGTACATAAAATTTTTGGGTGTTATAGTAATTGAATGTAACACAAAACTTTGTACATTTCATTATAATACAAATATAAATATATTGATGAATTAATATATTATAATAATTCACGCAACATTGACTACTGATTCTATACTTATTTGATCCAATTAAATGATCCGGCTAGCATATGTGATAAATATAATTTTTACAATTTATACAATATTATAAAAAATGCTCTTAAAAAAAAATTAAAATCTAAAAGTTAAAAAATATTTTTATCAGTTAATATTATTATCTATAAAATACAAATATTATAAAATGAAATGATATAGTGCATTATATTGAATTACTATTTCATATAAAATTTTAAAAAGTAAAAATCTACTAAACACAAAAAGAATAGTATTTAATATTTATTTTTAATAAAATAAATGAAGCTTATAGATATAAGAGTACGTGAGGTCTTAAAAATTTGAAAATAGTACTTCCTTATTGAGGTTTTCGAGAATTTGTAATATAATAAAAATAATACTAATATTTTATTTATTTATTACTCGTTCTGTACCATATACCGTGTCTGCTATCTCATATATCGTGTCTGCTACGTTATATGTGTATACACGGTGAGAGATGTAATTAGTAGATAATTAAGAATGTATTAGTGAAAATAATTATCCGATAATATAAATATTTATAAATTAAGACTAAGATAACTAATTAGTTTAATTAAAATTTAAAAGAAATAAAATTTAAAAATTTAAAATGAAATTAAAGTGTGTAATCATTTTCCAAAAAAAAAAAAGAAAGTGACATGGTACGTGAGACGGACATAAACGGCAACATGAATATAGTATTTGGGACGGAGGGAGTATTTGATAACTCAATATGCAATTATTGTTCTTGCTACAGATATTAGTACATTTCATATTATCAAATATGTAAAATAATTATCCGAAAAAAATATATATATAAAATAATTTTGATATTTTTATATATTTATAAATTAAGTAAAAATAAAAAATAGTTGGTAATTAGTATGATTATTTTTATTTGATAAGAAGAAAATATTTTTAAATAAAACATATAAAAATTATAAAAAATAATATTTAATTTAATATTTTGTAAACTAAATATATTTAATGTTATATTTTAAAAATGATATAAAAATTCTAAAATTTGCTGTCTAACAAATCGGTTTAATCTCAACATCCATCAACGTCTAGTTTGAAATCTTACAAAAAAATCCAAGAAGAAATCAAACATGCTACAAGAGATGAAATCACCCTTCTGCCCTCGCGCGTGCACTATAGAAATATGAAGCACTCCAGGGACACAAGCGGGTTTTCCAGTGACTCGTTCTCTGTCGGTGTCGGCGCCGGCGCCCGTTCACCGTGCTTCTCTCCTTCCGCCTTACGAATCCTCTCCGGCGCCGGCGCAACACCCGTTTTCCTCGCGGACTGTGTCCGACTCAATCCCGTTTGCGACGTCGCCGCCGTGGCGCGTGGCGCAGGGGACACAGACCTCCGCCCGGAGATCTCCCCGCTGTCCCTTTTCCGTCCATACCCGGACCCGGATCCATTCGATGAGATTTCGGACCTCCGACCCGGGGAACTCCCAACAATTCTATCTCTCTTCATCTCGCCGGAATATTCCCGGTTCTTCGACCTCTGCCGGAATTCGCGTGCTTCGCCGTATCTTTCCCTTTTCTCCGTCACCGCCGTGGAAACGCTCGAGCTTTCACTCATATCGCTGCAGATCTCCGACAGACCTCCGTTACTGCGTACGGCGTCGTTTTGGTTCCTTTTGTCCTGCGCCGCCGCGCCGGAGAATCCTGCCGCGGGGTAATGTTCGGGAATCGTCGGTGCTTCTGAGAGGACAACCTCTTTGACTGCTTCTTCCTCCTCTTCCAACACCAGATGCAGCGGCGGTTTGCCGGATTTGTCTTCGGAACGTTTTGAAGCTGTGTTTGTGCTCACACAGCAACCCATTGCTGAGACCTCTTTCTTTGAACTTATTTGAAGAGACGATACCCTTTAATGGCTTCTCATTCCGCTTCTTCTTCGATGGTCTCAAACGGAGAAGACGACATTATCGACAGTAGAAATGGACATGGCAGGACCTTCCAATTTCAGCCTTTAATGGCGTCCCAACGCTCTGTCTTCTCCATCGGCGATCGGCTATCCTTTTCTACACCCGATCTACTGCCCTGATTACGCCTTGCAACTCCCGGGATCTCAGCTCCTCCAGCACTTTCCTAAAGTCGCGTTTATTATCGTAGCGTTTTCTGCGGAACTTATCGTTCTCACATGCAAAATGCACATGCACCATGCATTAATTTATACACTTTCTTAAATGTATACAATAATGAAAAAGGGCACCTCATTATTGTAATATTTCAATTGTCAACTCAATTATTTCCTCTAAGCTAATTTTGTTGCAATAATCACTCAAAAAATCAAAATCATATAAACATGTTATTTTTTATTTTTGGTATCAGGCACAAATCATTTTCCAATATACCTAGATTTTCAGCTAAACTTTATTTTAAGTACGGTATAATACGCAATTAACAAAGTGAGAAAGAATAGTTTGGGCCAATTTTTAATGGGCTGCCAACTTACCTTGTTTGCCTTAAGAAGCCTAAAAGCCCAATTTGAAGTGTTTAACGCTTTTCATATAAAGCGTGCTTATATTAGAATGTCGAAAATGCGCTTTCAGACTGATTAATGGCATCAAGTAGCGCCAAAGCTACAACATTAGTTTGGGCCAATTCTTAATGGGCTGCCCAACATACCTTGTTTTGCGTTAAGAAGCGCAAAAGCCCAATTTTTGCACGTGTTTCACACCTTTCATATAAAAGCGTGCTTACATTAAAACGTCGAAAATGCGCTTTCAGTTTATATTCGATTTTCTGATTTCTTGCAACTCAAGGCAATATTTAGAAAGTTGATTCGAGAGAAACTGCAGACGCATTCACGAGCTCTATGGAAGTATAGGGTTTTGTTTGATTGGGATTCCTGAAGAGATTTGTATAATTGTATTCAAGTAGGAAAAACAGTGAGATCTATTGCCCTCTAGTGCTCATTCTTCGCCGGCGCCTGGTTTGGAATGATTGTGATCTGAAATTTTGTACTTTATTCTCTGTCTCTGCTATCCTTCTAACAGATAGCTTTTAGTTCTTAAAAATATTATTCACTGTTTAATTCAATCAGTATGTTTATTAGCAAAATACGCATTCAGTTTTTACACGAACAATTCAATACATAAACATCCAGGAATGATGATAATATACGTAAGTTTCATGATCGGTAGAATTTAGAAGTTTAGGAGTTTCCATGGGCGATGCAGATGATGCCGCGTGGAGAGATGTGATGTGCCCAAAAATATAAGGAATAGGAAGTGGTTATTCTGTTGCCCTAAGGATTAGGATGTGATGTAATAATGCTCTTCCTCGGAATGGTGGAGTAGGGATTTGGTGCTGATTTCGCCCATTTTTGGTTATTTCTTCTCTTCCAGATTTCGCCAGTTTTCTTTTGATTTTTCTGTGGGGAATAAAAAAATAATAAAATTAGTGTGATGGTTTACACGTGGGATTTTGTTGGATAGTGGAGATGGTTGCGCAGAAATGCGAATGGATCATTTTGTGTGCTGTATTATCTTCTGTTTTTTTGTTTTTTTTTTTTTTAAGTGGGAAACAGTGACTCGGTTGCCAAGGAATTTTGTCGCGACATGGGTAACTGTAGGGACGATGTGGTCGAAAACTTTGACCTTGGAGTCAGCTAATATAAATCTTGGGCACAAAAGCTGCTTCTCTTTTCTCATTATTTTTATAATTTGTATGTTTACTTTATAACCAAAAGCTTCTTTTCAGTTGGGGGTTCATCATTGTATTGTTGAATGTGGGATCAAAGCAGTGTTGTTCATTCAACAAGACGTGATACTGTTGTGGCCGTTGAAAGGTACATATAATGGTTAATGGCTTTATTGATATTTTAGATTTATTGGATGTATGCTTTGAATTCTGATGAAACTTAAAAGTGTAGCTAACCCTCCAACTGTGATGCTCTGTGACATTTTATTTTATTCCAAGAGGCATGTTTGGATAAATGATCATTTCCTCCTTAGTGGTTAAAGGAATAAGGAATAAGTAAAGCAATAGCATACTATCTTGAGAGGATGCAAAAGTTCTATTCTGGTTGGCTGATGGCCAAAGTTGAATAGCAGAGCCTTCCTTGTTTAACAAAATCTAAAGAAGACATGTCTCATCTTAAATTAGTATCCTCTTGCTTGGAGCCCTCCATTTCCAAGATTTACTTTTGACTGAGGACTCCTCTGAAGAACATATTATGATTGTAGCTATCTAGTAGCTCCAATATAAAAGTATACGTTTTTCTGAATACAAAACTTATTCCAAGTGGGATTGGTTGGTACATTACAGGTTGATTAAATGATGGTCTTGATGTGCTGCACTTTCTTGTATGGAGCATGGACAAATGTTCTTATCACACTAATCTTGTGCTAGATTAAAAACAAAGTGGTAGCCTGTTAGGTCAAAGTTAAGAACCTTGGGAGTTATAATATAATGCCTAGAAGCTTAGGAGCAACCCCATCTAGGTCCAATGTAATAGGTTATATCTATTGCTCAATTGCCCACAAAAAGATATTGGATGTTCTTTGAATTATCTAGCCAAAATTTCTTACTTTTCTTGTTTATTGATCTGCTTTGTTGACCAAAAGTAGTTTTTGTTGTTTATATAACCCAAAGCAATAGGACCCTTGGTTACCTTTACATTATAATTGAGTTGAACTAAGTTCCCTGCATATCTTTCGTAAATGAGCTGAGATAAAGCTAAGCCACTTTCTATGTTGTGGCCAATGGCATCCATATTAGGAGGATAGGTATGCCTAACAGCATTGGAGGTTAGCTTTTTCCTTCTCAGTCCACTCAGTGATGATCATCTTAAACCAATATAGGTAGAAGTATATACAGTGGAAAAGTTCACAAAAGTGGCTTATCTCAAAGAGAGAGATTACCATCAACCAACAAGGATTTGAAACTTGGGTTCAAAATAGGATATTCTGCCAAGGTCAATGGTTTTTTTGCTGCGTGTTTGTCCTCATAAAATTTAGTACTTTGGACTCAAGCTAATAGAAGAGCTTTATCATGTCATGTGTATTAGCACTTTTTTTCTTTTTCTTTTTTTCTTTTTAACTTTTGGAGATAAAAGGAAAAAAGTGCATTAAATTTCATTTCTGACCAATGTCATGGTTGACTTGGGAATAAAGGGCTGGATGTGGCTGTTCACCAATAGGATCTCTCTCTCTCTCTCTCACACACACACACACACACGTATATTATAAAAAATTATTAATCCTTTCCATTTGCAGGGAATGCATATCTATGCATAAAAGCATACATCGAATATTTAGTTCCAAACAATTCAGTGGGTGATCTTCTAGTTTAGTGAATGGCGAGGAAGATTACTCAAGTGAGAATGGATCGGTTTATTATTCTTTAGGAGAGACCAAAACATAAAGTCATGATGAAGCCTTCCCATAATAGCTTCAATTTGGTAGGCCTTATGGTGTATTTGAGTCATTGTTAGTGTTGGAAGATCGACTATATAATATATAATTAATAATGCATTTTTCGATCGCCTTAAATTTTTAGGTGAAACTGTCATTTAAAATAGTTGTGTTCAAGTCCCACCGCCACCGTTTGTGAAAAAATAAATAAATAAATAAATTGTCCACAACATGCAGACAATGGCATAGTGTTACCTAAAAAACATAAATATATGTTCCCGTTATGAGAAAGTTGAGCTTCTATTAATTTGATATACCACAAAGCTTGATTTGGTTATTGCAATCCATAAAATGGGTGTCCTCTATATTCATTAAAGTCATTATTGCTGATATGACAATGTTATGCCCTACTTGTGAACTCTGGGACAAATTTGCAGAAATATTTATTCCATTAATCCTCACTATAGCAAGCTTGTCACACATACAACTTGCTTTATATTGTGGAACATATTAGTGGTTTCAAATTCACATGTAACCAAAGGTTCCACTAATTTGGTTGAGTCATACATATTGCTCCAATATGATATTAACTTATTTCATTTAGAGCCAACTTTATCGATTCATCTTGCTGCTTATTTTGCAATACATGTATGATGTGAGGGACTTAATTAGGGAAAATTTTCCCAACATAGGATGATATAGCAGCATTAGGACATGCATAAAACACATTGTATTAGCTTCAGTTGTGTTCAGATTTGTTCTAGTGGAAGATCTTGAATAAATCACAAATCCTTAAATTAGATTCTTCTTTGATAGATGATTTCCTTTGTTTCTTCAACTGAAATAAATTGAAATCCAATGCATGACTCACATCCAACTTGGCTGTTGTTATCATGTCCCATCTTCTTGATTAGCAGAAAATAAAAAGTCATAACCCATAAGGTTCGCCACAAACTTGTTTCTTTCTTTCCTCTGATGATGAGATTCCAAAAGGGCAGTCAACTTTTATCTGTATGTTGTAGACACCACCAATTTGGAATATATACCTTAATATCATTTCACTCACCACTTCAAAATGAAAAGAAAAATGGATTATTAGCTAATAGGTGGCCATATGGGAAAAAATAGTACATGCTGCGAAAATTTGTTCACGTTTAAATCTGATCCAGTCATTGCCTTTGTAATAGTAGATTGATGTCACAACAAAGTCATTACATTGATTTGAATGATGACATCATACTCCAACAAAAGAATGGTAATGTGTTTTTCTTTGACTGTAGCCTTTTTTTTCATGGGTATATATGAAAAAAGTAGCCAATGATGCCATCCATTAAAAAGATAAGGAATAATCTTCAAATGAAAGATGACTATACTGGGGTTTTGTTATAGTTGGTTGTTGCCTATGGAACATATTCAATTCCAAAATATGGAAAACATATGCTTATTTAAAAAAATAAAAACTGTCATCCTTGATGATCGAAAAAAGTATTGGTCTGCCGTTTATTATATGCTTCCTTTAGCTTAGAGGTGTGATGTTTTATTTGAAAATTGGACTGTTTGGCATTCTTCTTTTTTATTTTTACTCTTGCCTGTTAACTAGAGAGTATGTGTAAACCGATTTTGCCACCGAGGCTGTATCATGCTAACATGAATTTAAACCTGAGCCCAAATACAGTTAATGATGTAGCATAGTTCTAGTTTTATTTCAAAGCTTGTAATATGGCTGTTGCTCCTAGTTAAGAAACATCGAACTCTGGCTATTGCTTTTCAGAGTAAACTGTAAGAGAAAAATAATAGAGGCACGCTTTATAGGAAACTTTGTAAAGTTGTTACAATAACATGAAGGGTAAGAAGGATAAGATCCATAATGGATCATGAAATCAATCACACAAATCTGGAGGACTTATATTTTAATCTTCATGAGATATCCATGTGGTTTTGATCCAACAACCCACATATAAAATGGAGGCTCCACTCTAGTTTGTGCGAGTTCGGCTCTAGAACCTGCCTAAACTCATGTCAGATGCCACATAATTGCCGACCAAACTAAAGGAAACTCTGCCACATAGGATATCTTCACTAAAGACAATCTTGAAATTTAGGCTCTCTATTTATTGTTTATTCGGGGCGCTTACTTCTCTGCCAATATAAATAAGCATCCCGGCCTTTCATTTTTCTGCCTCAATTTGTAGCAACCATCTCTGAACGGTCATACTATATATCGCCATGACCGTTGTTCTTAATGTACTGCTTAAGCTCTCTTTGCTTATGGTTTTCATCAAACCACTAGTCGATGGTAGATATTGGCACTCTTCTAAAAAATCTAAATCCGGTTCCAATGAGCATCTTGTTACTAGTCTTCCTGGCCAACCCAGTGTCACTTTCAGACACTATGCCGGCTATGTAACAGTAAACGAACAGAATGGAAGGGCTCTCTTCTACTGGTTTTATGAAGCCACAAATCTTGCTGATGAAAAACCTCTCGTGCTGTGGCTAAATGGAGGTAATAGAGATCAAATAATGTGTCTGATTTATCATAATTCAACAAACACAAAACATCTGATTTTCTGTTTTACACCTCTTAATTGGTTGATCTTGCAAATCCCAACTTGCATCCTGTTGGTTCTAATACTTTTGACTACATTTCATACCTTCATATACAATCCTGAGTCCATTAGCAATTTTTTATCTAACCTCCTATCCATATATATATCTGTCAAGGAGATTGATGGAAGATTGTATATTCCCACTTGGTTGTGGCTTCATTTACTTATTACTTATATCTCAGTGGACAGATCATTTTCCCATTATCCAACTCATCCTAACCATTTTTTTATACTGTAAAGTAACTGGCGCCTGGTTTCCTGTTCTCCTCTGAGGTGACAAGTCACTTTTATGTTCCAGGTCCCGGCTGTTCTTCTGTGGGATATGGAGCAACACAAGAGATTGGACCTTTTCTCGTGGATATGGATGGACGAGCATTGAAATTTAATCCTTTCTCGTGGAACACAGGTAGGTATAGGTATAATTCCCACCATCATGTGGACACCATGTGCTTTCCTGAGATTTGTGAATATCATGTCAGATTGTGTCTTTACAGATACAGAACACTAACCAAACTCTGGTAAATTAATTCTAGTTTTCTAACAAAAGATGAATGGAGTTTAAAAATTTAAATGCTGTTACCCCTGTTCGATGTTGCAGAAGCCAACATGTTGTTCCTCGAGTCTCCAATTGGCGTTGGCTTCTCATACTCAAATACTAGTAGCGACTATGATATTCTGGGCGACGACTTTACAGGTAAGTAATGGAACCAAGAATCGTTCGGATTATATAACCACATAGATGAAACTTTTGTGCTTAATTTGCACCCCCCTTATTGGACTTACCTTATCAGCAAATGATGCTTATGCTTTCCTGCAAAAGTGGTTCCTCAATTTTCCCTCATATCGAAACCGGCCATTTTATATTGCTGGAGAAAGCTATGCAGGTGCGCTATCTTTTCTTTCTGTCTCAGACTCAGTAAGTCTAGTACTGCTTCATCTTATCGATGGTTATGAAAATTAATTAGGGAAATATGTTCCTGAGCTTGCTGAAATCATCCATGACAAGAACAAAGATCCCTCCTTGTTAGTTGATCTTAGAGGCATACTGGTACAACATTTGGTTATTGCAAAATTTTATCAGCAACATTGAAAAACAGACAGTCCATACAAGTTGTTTTGTTTGTAGCTGGGAAATCCAGAAACATGCGATGCCGAAGACTGGAAAGGCATGGTGGATTATGCCTGGAGCCATGCTGTTGTCTCGGACGAAACCCATGAAATCATCAAGCAAACCTGTGATTTCTACAGCAACAATACATGGAGTAACAGCAACTGCACGGGCGCCGTGGAAGAACTACTTAGCCAGTATAAAGAGATTGACATCTACAGCCTTTATACGTCGGTTTGTATAGGAAACTCATCTGGTTCATCGGATAAATCAGCTCACACTCTCATCACTTCCAAGAGCTCAATATCGAAGATGGTAATCACTAATCATACTCTGTTCAATCCCTTTCGCCTCCTCGTATCCACGTGTTTTGTGCACTAAACTAATTTTCCATGATCAAGTGATGGTTTGAGTACTGCTTTCTGAATAGATGCCAAGAGTGATGGGTGGCTACGATCCGTGCTTGGATGACTATGCAAGATCATATTATAATCGGCACGATGTCCAGAGGGCCCTCCATGTTATCTCTCAAGAAACCAAAAGTAGTGTGAGGAACTGGAGCATATGCAAGTGATACAAATTCCCTTCTTTATTGCAATGAATATCAGATAATTACTAAACCTCTTTCAGACACTTATTAGATGTGCATTCCATGATGCAGCATGACCGTGTTCGATAGCTGGTCCGATTCCAAGGGATCGGTTCTTCCCATATACAAGAAACTGATTTCTGAAGGGCTCCGAATATGGGTGTACAGGTAGATCAATTATAATATATAAATAAAATCGATGAACCTCTAGCTCACTCATCATCTTGTCATGATCTTGTTGTCGATGCAGCGGAGACACTGATGGCCGGGTTCCTGTGCTGTCGACTCGATACAGTTTGAGCTTGTTGGGGCTTCCGATCAAGGCGTCGTGGAGACCCTGGTACTATCAGAAACAGGTAATATTACGTTCTTGGATTCAAAAAAATTGAACAAAAGTAGTGATCATATATATATATATATAATATGTATGGATTTGTCTAAAATTAATTTAAGGTTGGAGGATGGTTTCAAGAGTACCATGGACTTACATTTGCAACGTTTAGAGGAGCTGGCCATGCTGTCCCCATATTCAAACCAGGCGAGTCCCTCGCCTTCTTGGCCGCTTTTCTCGCCGGGGGATCTCTACCTTCCCGGAGGTCATGAACGAACTCATTCAGTCTCCATACTACTATACACACATTCATATATATATATATATATGATGAAATTTTGGTCATGCCATGATCTGATCCGATCGAGCTTGGGTTGGGTACAACTTACTGTTCAACTGCAGGAAGGCGTTTGCTTTGATCATGTATTGTTATGCACTCCAAGAATCTACATATAAATTAATAAATAAATCGAAAAGTTTTTCTCTAATTTGTTGTTTGCATGTCGGGAGAACCTCCAAAAACAATCTTCTGAATTGATCGGATACATATATACATATATATATATAACTGATTGTAAAAACGTTTGGCTTAAAGTTAAAAGGAAGAATTCAGAATAGTAATAATGATAATAATGGTCGAAACTCGCAAACCAGTAAAATCCCCTCTCCTCCAACACAACGGCGGCTTACGGGCGACAGTGCACTTCCTCCGCCGCAGTGCTCCGGAAGAATGGGGACGAGAACCTTACACGACTGAGGCTGAGGTACATGCGCAGACAGAAAAAAAACGACAAACACGATCGATTTTACAATCGCCGATCCGCACGTTGATAATGTCGATCAACTCGTCCACAGGCCGAAGACGGTGGCACAGGCACAGAAGCTCCGCCTCATTCGATCGATCCTCCTCCACCTCCAGAGGTTCAGCGATTAATTAATGATGATAATCGCCTTATCAGTACGTTCGGAAATTAGGGTTTTGGATGCATCAAGACTAGTCTAGAAACGCTAATTTCACCAAAAAGCGTTTTAATATTTTCAAACACGCTTATTGCAAGCATGCATGCAGCAGTAGCAGTAGCAGTAGCTAGTAACCATCAAATCCTCCTTCCCAATTTTCAGGGATTCGACGAGCCATTGGATCTCCAGACAGTCCTGAGGACGACGATGATCTTCAATTCAGAGATTAAATGCTAGTATTAATTAGAGACAAAACTAAACGCCCAAGGCGGAAAACATGGAGGTACGCCTGATATCTCCCCAAGAAAACAAAAAACCAAAGAATCCATTTTTTTTCCCAGCCCCAATCAGGCTCTGAATAATTAATAATTCTCTCCTCTTGAAGAAGAAAATTGTCTCCGTCAGGGGTTTTTTCTTGAAGAGGCAGACCATATATCTATCCATATATCTATCATCTGGGCTGCACCTTTTCTGTTAATTAATTTCCTAGTTTATTTAATTGTTTATTAATGTCTTTTCTATTTCCTTTTAATTTTAAATCCGTAATTGGGGATTGATTGATCGATGCCATGGTGTTCGACTGTTTCTTGTTCTTGTTTATATTGTCATTATCTTCATATAACATTTGACTGTCAATAGTAGCAATCTATTTATTGTATATATATATATATATATAGATATATACATACAACCCCTTCCTTCTTCGTCTTGCCCATTACTCAATAATCCAATCTGGCCTGCCAAATTCTTCCCAAAATTTGATCGATAGGCAGCTCCAGGATCTTGGCAATGTCTGTGGGTGCATTTTGTGGTGTGGCACCTTTCTTGTTCCGCAAGAAGTCTACCAACCCTAAAAATGTTCAGGTATGCAAGCCATGAGTTTTCTTCATTTTAATTTTGATAAATGGAAGATTGTGTTCTTTATTTCAATGGCGGATATTCTGATTCATGTATAACAAATTTTAAAAAATGCCTCTGACTCAGGGAAAAGAAAGGTCCAATCACCGGCGCTACCGGAACCCCTTCAAGTCAAAGAAATTCGGCAAAATGAAAAGTTCCAAGAGTCGCGGCGGTAGCAGCCTTGGTTCGGGTGAGGTTTCCGGCAGCTCTGCCACCGTGACGGAGCTTAAGACAAAAATCTCCATCTTTAAAGACTTTCTAGATTTCTCCCCTTGTTCAGGTTCAACTTCTCTGCATGAGGTAATAGACATTCTCCATTTTTTGTCCTCCAAAGTTTAATCTGAGCTTCCTGATGTTATAATGGATATGCTCCACAGCTGCTGATCTTGAGCCTCAGGGATATTTCCAGGCGGTTTCCGAGCATTCGATCGGGGGCATCAACGTTGGAACTTAAAGATGAACCTATCCATAAGGTCGATTTCTTGCTTTGATTGTTTATTGAAAGAGTTTATGTTTTCTGTGTACTAATTTGAACAACATTGTTCCTTTTTTTCAATTTTTATGGTTTTACAGTCTCTCAGGCTGTTCTGTAATGCCCTGAAATCACTTGGAGATCTGCTGACGACAGAGGAATGGATGGTGACCTGTAAATATGATTCGTCTATGAAATTAGGACTTGCAGAGTTGGAGCTCGTAGGTAATCAATTTTAAGTCTGTCTTGTTCTGTGTAATTTTGTGTTGTCTGAAACTTGGAGTGGATGTTAATGTCGATCGATTTGTTGCAGCGTTGGCGCTGCTTGATGACATGATCAAGCTCGCTAAGGAGAGGCAGTTTTATGAGACGGACGAGGAAGATGAGATGAGAGAATGCAGACATGGATTTGGCAAAGCTGTGTCTGATTCTTACTGTTCCGACAGCGCGCAGTCATCTCTTTCTGGATCTCCGGCGACCCCGACTTCCGTTCTGCAACAGGCCCGGAAAGCGCGGGACAAGTGCTACTCTCCGCCGGCCGCCGGAAAACTGAGCCCCGTCGAGATCAAGCGCATTTCTTTCTATATGGTGCCTCATGACGTCACCGTCGCTCCCGAAAGTCAAATCGCCGACCGACCAGATAACGACGAGACAGAAGGTAAAACCGGCTATGGCGATGGCGATGGTGATGTAATTAGGGCTGGCGGCGAGGATTCTGCGGTGGAGGATGACGTGGAATTGAGCCATGTGGAGCCGAATTCATCCGAAGCACCGCCGGAGATTGTTACGGCGGAGTCGGGTGCTGTCCCCGAAACTGAACCGGCGACAGATGAACTAGAAGTGCCGGCGGCGCCAGCAGCTCCGCCGCCGGCGCCACTACCAGATTCGCCGTCAAATGTTGCAGAGCAGAATTTAGCATCGGATATTCCCCTGCCTCCGCCGCCACCACCACTACCACGACGACCCCTACCACCATCTGTATCGCCAAAAAAACAGACCGGATCACCCCCTCCACCTCCAACACAACCGCCATCCATCAACACAGCAACATGTCCACCTTCACCTCCGCCTCCACCGCCATCGCCACCGCCAACTATTGAACTTCCAAAGAATCCAATTCCCCAACCACCGCCACCGCCACCGCCAACTATTGAACTACCAAAGAATCCAAATCCCCAACCACCGCCATCACCACCACCATCACCAATAGAAACACCTTCAAAGGATTCAGTTCCGCCGCCTCCACCACCAACTCCGATTAACTCAGTTCCGCCGCCAACGGCAGGCAAACCCGCATCTCTGCCGCCTCCTCCGGGGCTTCTCCTGACAAAAAAAGCAAGCTCAAAGCTGAAAAGATCATCACAGATGGGCAATCTCTACCGGCTTCTCAAAGGCAAAGTCGAAGGCGCAAGCTTAGAAGGCAAGTCCTCCGGCCGCCAGAGCAAAATCGGAGCTTCCTCCGGCGGCGGCAAACAGAGCATGGCCGACGCATTAGCAGAGATGACAAAAAAGTAAGTATACTTAACCTTAATCCCTTTCCTAACTGTCTCCTCACATAATCGATTTCAAGTTTCAACCATTGTTGCTTCAGGTCTGCATACTTCCAGCAAATCGAAGAAGACATTAAGAACCACGCCGCCATAATCAAGGAGCTCAAAGCTTCCATCACCTCCTTCCACACTTCCGACATGAACGAGCTCGTCCAATTCCACAAGCACATCGAATCTCACCTCGAAAAGCTCACCGACGAATCGCAGGTTCAAGTTCAGCATCGATCATTGATAATCCTCTCCAAAAAAAAATTCGATCGCCGTTCACAATCATTAATTCATTTATGCGATAGGTACTGGCTCGATTCGAAGATTTCCCCTGCAAAAAGTTAGAAGCATTGAGAATGGCTGCAAACATGTACTCCAAGCTAGACGCCATTGCCAAAACATTGCAGGATCTGCTAGAAGTAGATTTGCCTCTCAATCAACTCCTCGACAAATCCGAAAGCTACTTCAACAAGGTATATATGTATATACATATTGATTCTAGCTAATAATCACTGGTTTTTCATCTTCTGAAAATCAAATTCAGGTGAAGGTGGAATTGGACGCTTTGGAACGTACTAAAGACGAAGAGTCGAAGAGATTCCAGGCTCAGAAGATCACCTTCAATTTCAGCATTCTCATGAAGATCAAAGAACTAATGGTGGATCTCTCTTCAAACAACATGGAATTAGCACTCAAGGTATAATACATACATACATATATCTATAAACTTCAACTTTTCGATGAGATATTATTTACCTCGATCCCAGGAGAAGAGAGAAACGACACAGCCTAAAGAAGTCGATCATCCAAAACACGACGCAGCAGTGATCAATATGCTGTGGAAGGCCTTCCAATTCGCGTTCCGAGTGTACACATTTGCCGGTGGACAAGACGACAGGGCGGATAAACTCACAAGAGAACTAGCCCGAGAAATAGAAACCAGTCAGTAATCTCATCATCATGCACCTCCATAAACACTATATATACATAATTCATTCTCAATTGCTTAATCAATAATTTGAGAGAGAAAAGACAGAAATTTGCCTCAACACAATTTACATGATATTTAGGGAATTGAGACGGTACATTTACCATCACTCTGCACCATTTTTTGATCTTCTTCTTCTTCTTCTTCTCCAAGTAGATGCTTCAGACAATATTCATCTATAAATGCAAATACTTTTGTTCTTTGTTTGTGTGTGTAAATATTATTTTACCTGTAGAAGAAGAGCAGTAGGAAAGATCTGTGATGAAGATGAAGCTATAAACTATATATTAATATGGATTCTTCATCCAAAATAAAATCTAATTTTATATACATATGGTTTTGTGGTTGAATCCATTTCTGCACTGCATTGCATTTGGAGTTCTTGCCGTTATCTTAACTTTTTTCATTTGAACTATTTTATTTTTTTAAAAAAAATAAAATTAATGGAACTATTTATAATAGATTATTATTTTTTTTTTCAAATAAATAAATGCATGTATATATTTCATAAAATAATTATATTTCTATTATATAATATCTATTTTTTATAAAATTATATTTATTGATTTTGACATAAAGAATGAGTATTTCAAAAAAATATATAAGCTAGTTAGTTAATTGAAGATAAAATTTTAGATTATAATTTTATAAATTAATGTAATGGTAAGTGATACTTCTTTTTCTATAAAAAATTGCAATTAGGCATGACTTTATATAACATCCACTACTAGTGTTTTCAGTAAAAATGCATAAAACATTTAAAATTTGCACGAACCCATTTTAATAAAATAAATAATTAAATAAATAATTAATTAATCTTTCATTTTTTTAAAATAAAAAAGTTTCACACAATAAATAAAATATTTTTGTACATTTTTATTAAAACAAAAAAAAAATTATATAATTTCCCCTTTAATATAAGTGTGCATTTTGATTATTTGTTAGGGTAAAAAAAAAAAAAAGTGATATAATGTTTTACTAAATTAAAATAAAAGTATTTTAAAAAAATGGACAAAAAAATTAAGCACGTTTTTAAGAGGGAATGTATAATTTAAGAAATATGTAGAAGTTTTTTTTTTTTTTTTGGCTACAAATAAAAGTTGTATGTTTTTTCTAGAAAATTTTTTTTTAAAAAAAAAGAAAAAAAAAAGCTAGAATAAATTTAATGGATAAAAAAATAAAGTATTTCATTAAATAGAATTTTAAAAATACTTTTGGTTTTATTTTTAATTAAATATATGATATTATAATTTTAACTGAAAACTAGAACTTCCCGCGGCTCCGCCACAATTTCAACGGAAAACCGACAGCAGCATGTGGAGGTTAATAGAGGGTTTGTGTTTTTTAAGTTGTATATATACTTTTGCCTGCCTTAATGGTTTTCTGTACTTTTTGTAATTATTTGCATTATTTAAATAATTTAATAAATAATTAATCAGACTTGTTTCATATTAGTCCAATGAGAGATTCTTGTTGTTAATTTATCATTTTAATTACAGATCATTGACAAAAAGAAATTGTGACTGCAGTTTGGTACATTGCATTTTGCATAGTCAAATTTTGATTAATTCCACATTTCCATATTTGTCACCTCTACTGTTCTTTGCTTTTAACTTTCAATTTCGTGTTACATAAGAGTTTGAATAATAATAATAATAAAAAAAAATACTTCACAAATAATTTATAGAAAAATCATACAATTTTAATTCCATGCGTCCAAATATTTGGGTGTGTTTATTTTTGTTTTGGCCTTGGCTTGCATTATACAATTCACAATTTTATTTATTTATTTATTTATTTTTAAGAATAAAAACACTTCTAATATCTATTATTTAATTTAAAAATTATATTAACCTATTGTACAAGTAAAAGTCAATATTGCATTAGTTGATTGTAAAATTTAAATTGTCTATCCTACATTAGATATATACCCACCCCTTTATTTAATAATGCTAAATCCAAAGGCCAACCTACCTAATCCCTAATTAAAATAATACCAACTTGAATTTGAAAATGTACAACAAAATCTTTAATAAAGTAACACTTCATTTAATTAATAATGTTTTAACTAATACAATGGTATCTTTTTAGCTGTCAATTGTCGACTATTTCGTTGTTATCCATATTAATTAAAAAAACATATCTTATATTTATCAGCGAAACTAGATGATTATTAAAAGACATTTCTATCATTAAATTGAAAATTAAATAAATAAAATACTGTGTCGCAGACTCTGATACATTTAAAAATTTATATAAAAAAAAAAATATATATTTTTTAAAAAATAGACCATACTGTCACTTTTGTTAGAAAATTCATTATCCAACATCTTTACAATATATATAATTGAATTATGACATTATTATTTCAAATCTAAAGTACATATTAATATATTAAAAAAAATTCCATTAGTATTAATAACATTAAAATATATTTATTAAAACAACAACAATAAAACAAAAAAAAAAAATGAAGTCACAGCGTGATATAAATATTGCCCTTATTATAATAATAATTATTATTAATAATTAGCAATTTTTTTTTAAAAAAAAAAACAGCAAACCGACCAAGCCAGTAAAAAAATCACGCCAATCATGATCCGACACGTCACCGCCCGCCGTCGTCGCCTAGTCGTCAAGCTCGATCTTAATCCCGTTAATGGTGACGGCGTCGCCGGAGTTCGTCGGAACCAAAGTCACCAAAACATGGTCGTCACCTTCGGTGTCGAGCTCCTCCAAAATGTCCGTAATCGACAGCCTGAGCTGCGTCTTGATCTTCCTCGTGTGCTTGTGCTTGTGCGGGACGTTCACAAAACTTCCGGCGAACTCTGTGTTGTCCGGCGTGCTGATCTCATCGTCCTCGTCGTTAATGAAGACGTCGAACTTCGCATACACATCTCTGTCCACTTCAATCCCCTCAATCACCAAAATCTCCTCCAATTCGTCCTTCTCCTTCCTGCTCCTCTTCTTCTTCGGCCTCTTCACCATCACTTTCACCACTCTATCCAGCTTCGCCGGAAAAACATCCTTCGGACCACGCGCCGCCGTATCCGCCGCGCGTGCCTTCACGAGATTCTTCAGCTTCCGCACCGCCGACGAAATCCTCGGCGTCGGCCGCGAATTCAGCCACGGGATCTCCACATCCTGGTAAACGTACCCTAATTTCCCCTGGTCCAGACAGTCCCGGACCTTGACTCGCACCATCTGCGCGTTCTCGTCGTAGAAGACAAACGACGCGTCGAGGTAGTCCCGGTCGTCGATGTCCTTCCGGCGACCGCCGAGGGTTTTCCAAACGGTCCATAGCCGGTCGATGTTCGAGTGGTGAGCGAAAAAAATCGGGTCTCGACCGGCCGAGTAGAAGTTCCCCATGTTCTCGAAATTCGGCTGCTTGCTGTCGCCGGTCCAGACGTGGACCGGCCCGTGTGGAATATTCTCGATCGACCCGCTTCCCGGATTCGGATCCTCCCCCCGCCGGTAAGGGCTGCCGAAGAACAGCCGGGAGGTCCTTGAATTCGACACCATTTGCCTGTACATCGTCGTCAGGTTCCGCTGCGTTATCTGATCGGCGGCGGAATCGCCGCCGCTGAAGTTCAAATCGACGACCGTCGGCGGCTGGTGGGCGCGGTCGCGGAGGGGGTCGTACAAGGCGGATCTCGGATTTGCGTACATCGCCGGAATCGTCATTCCGGCGGGAGAATCCCAATTCCAGAACGGCATGGCGAAATTAGGATCGTCGATTAGCTTGCCTAAGATTCTTTCGAAGAAATAGAGATAGTAGCGGTGGAAGGGGAAGAACAGCCATGAATTGTGGACTTGAAGCTCCAGGTCGGGAAATCCGGCCTGATCGTACGCGCCGTCGCAGTAGGCGCAGTGGACGTTCGCCTGCTGCTTAAAGCTCCGGGGATCGTCGTCGGGGAGGGCGCGCATGATCTCAACGGCTTTGTTGAATTTCGCGATGTATTCGTCGCCGGCCAAATGGGCGGCGGGGCGGACGCGAAGTTTCTTCGGCGGCGGAGGGAATTTGAAGTCGATGATCTGCGCCGTCGGCGGGGGGCAGCAGTTGGTCGGCGTTACGCCCTCCGGCAGGTCTGCGGGGCCACATTTGGTGACGTCGGGAGCAGTTATTGGGGCGGCGAAGGCCAACGGAGAGGTGGAGAGGGCGCTGGCGCCGTACAGTCCGCCGAGTCCGATCAACACATTTCTCCGGTCGAATTTTTCCGGCGAGACTGGTTGTCGATCGTTGTCAGAGTTGCAGGAGATTGTGTGGCGACGGTGGTGGATGTTCCTGGTGGTGGAGAAGATGTGGTTTGGTTTAAAGAGAAACGGAGAGGCGGAGGCCCCCGCCGTGGCGGCGGCGGCGGAGGAGATCGTCGCGGCGGCGGACGGTGGGATGTTAATGGAAGAAGCCATATGCCTTTCCCTGTGCACAATGTCTACAAATTTGCTTAATATTTATAGACTTTAATAATATTCGTCGCAGTACACTATTACTATTTTTTATAATTAAACTAACGTGGTACACGACTACTTGTTATATAGTATCTTACTTAACTATTATTAAATTAAAATTATATTAAAAGAATACATAATACATAGTATATTTAATTAATTGAGCACGGATTAACTATATATATATATCACTATTCATCTTCTTATCCAGTTTCATTTTAAAATAATAACAGCCATTACATCTTTTTGTTTACTCATATTTTCAATTTGGTCTTCATATTATTTTTACCAAATACATAACTTATTTAAATATTTTCACTTTAGACTTGTTCATCTTAATAGTCTTTATACATATAATCTATATGGTCTCGTTCAATAATTAATTTATCTTCAATTTTATTTTTATTTATTCAAATATCGTCGAACATTTTGTGGTTTTATTTATTTATATCACATTGAACAATTATTATCTGATTAACTTTTTATAATTAATAAAAACTATCAAAAATAAATAATAAAAATCTAGATGATTAGGAATCTACATATCAAAACAGCAAAGTCACGCTATAGAGAAATGAAATTAATTAATTATAGTTTGGTGGTGTCGCCATAAATAGTTGTATATATATTAAGGGTAAAACCGTAACTTAAGAACATGGTTTCGGAGGGTGACGTGGACCACTAGAAGTTTGGCTACTAAATTTATCTGTTCAACTACAAATGGCTTTAAAAACAATAAATTACTACAAGTAGCTATATACTTAACGTGGCCAAAATAATTGGCCAGCTTCACTCGTGCATGCATGCATGCACGCACGTCGGGCTCGACCTGTGATCCTTCCTAGCAAATACCAGTCAGATTATTCAATCAATTTTACGTTTCAAACTGAAATTTCACGTAAATAAATAAATTAAAATTTCCATGCTAATCTTTTAAATAGTCTATCGTGTACTTTTAGAATTTATTGAGAAAGTCCGCTTAATAATAATAATAATAATAATAATAATAATAATAATAATAATATAGTTATATTTTATCATTTCATAAAAAAAAAGTTAGCATTTCACATAAAATATTATTATTTATCTATTATCGACAATATTCCTTATACTTCACACACACATATATATATATATATATATATCTCAAACCAACATAAAAAAAAACAAACAAACTCATAGTTGGAGAATTGATTTGATTGAATAAAGAGATGTGATTTGATTATATGTTAGAATTGTAATATAATATATATATTTGATTAAAAATAAATTTAAAATATATTTTAAAATTTCATAAGAATTATATTTCAATCAAATATATTTAATATATTTGAATATTATCTTGTAAAGTAAAAACTTTCAATTTATGTAGTTTAAATAGATAATATAGATGCATAATCAATATAAATTAGTAATTTAGAAAAAAATAGAAAATTTTAAATATGTATACATATATTAATTTATTTAGTAGATATATAAAAATAAGATATTACGTACACATGAATCATACTTTAACAAAATTAAAGAAATAATTAAATAAAATAAAAAGTTTAATAATCAAACATACCAAATACTGTATTGTACGTCTTCAATAGACAAATATACACACATATATATAAATTTTAAAATAAAAGTCAATTATATATAACTTAAATATTAGAGATCATTTTGTCAACAAACTCCTATTGCTTTATTTAAATGAAAAGGAATGTATAAGTTTGGGTGTGATTATTTTGTGTTTTAATTTAAAGGAGATTCTTTTATCTGATTTATAGGAAATTGGTATGGATCAGTTTCTTTTAATCCAAACTACCAGTTTTTTATTATGTGAATTATGCGTTTTCGGAAAAAATATATATATACTACATTCGTCCGGTTTAAGGGTCTTTTTTTGCGTTATGATATTTGAATATTAATTATTATATTAGAACGTAAGACAAATTAAGAAAAAATTGCACAAGTATTTCAATTAGTGTTTTATAATACTAATAGAAGAATATTTATATAAAAAATTATATAAATATAATTATATTATTAATATTAAGCACAACGTAAAAGGTAAATGTGACCTTAAAGACTGACGAACGAAGTATTTCTTTTTCTCTCTCACAAAGCATCATATCAAATATTATTTTAATATCAAATTACTCAAATCAAACTTTTTTTGAATCTCGGTAGTATATTAACATTTTTGGATATACTCCCCGCATTCAATAATAAAAATATATTATTTTTTTCCATAAAAAATCATGTCTAACCCACTTATCAAAAATATATCTTAGGGTTTGCAATTGATGAAAACTTTTAATTGAGATAAAATTTTTATAAAAAATATCTTGATGTAACATTTCGAATAAAAAATAAATATCTAATTTCATAAACTTTTAAAATTAATGAAAAAAAAAAACCCTTAAATTTGTAGTATGAAATTTAATTCAACTAATAGGGTGGGGGGAATTGAATGAATATGTCTTTTTGGGAGGGTTTGGACTTGGAACGTGTGGAATGTACAATTTGTTCGTCCTATGTAGGTTTAAATTTAATTTGTTACATGTCTCAGCATGTGCATGTGCATTTTCTTTTTCTTATTTTGGTTCACACTTTTAAATGAGTTATTATTATTATTATTATTATTATTATTATTATTAAGCACGTAATTAAATAGAATAATTATATAACATTGTATAAAATTATACTATTAATGAATGAAATAATAACCTCTTTATCTCATCATGGTATTTTGTTATGGAGCCTAATTCTTTAATTGAAAAAGTATTCACTATGTTCACCTTGCATCATTTTTCAATTGCGAATTCGAGAAAATAATAATAAAAAATACAATATTTATATAAAAGTAAAAAAGACTTGATATAAAAAGTAAAAATAATTATTACAAAAGTTAAAAAATCAAATATTCAACCTAAAATAATATATTAATATTGTTGACACAATTCTCCACACCGCACACCAAAAATTATTTCATAAAAAACTATTGCGTGAAAGAGCATTGTATTGACTCACAGTCCAATTTTCTTAATAGTATAGTTATTATACCGTCAATATAGCTATATATATATTTTAAAAAGTTTTAATACTCTCTTAGTTCCAATATAATAGTTTTATTTACTATTTTTGTCCGTTCCAAAACAATAGTCTTATTTTCATAAATAACCATATCACCATAAAAATTGCCCATACTTTTTCATTTTTATTACACAATTGCCACTATTTTTACTTTAATACACTCACAAAATGCAAAAAAGTCTTTTATTCATACTTTTTACCAACTACCAATATAATATTAATATTCCTTAAATCTCGTGTCCAACCCAATTAAGACTATATTTATGGGATGGAGGGAGTACTATTTATCAATAATACTTTTTTAAAAATATACTCCATCCGTCATGCAAATGTGTGCTCATTTGACCGGACACAGATTTTAATAAAAGTGAGTAATAATTGTTAATTTTTTCTTTTATAGTTAAAAACAGTATAAAAGTGGAATGTTTTTTTGCTTAAAAAAGAAATAAGAATATTTTGCGATGACAATCCACAAAAGAAAATAAACATAGATTTGAATATTTGAGGGAGTATATCACATTAAATATATATATATTTTTTATAAAATATTATATCAAATACTCCTCCTGTCCCACTTAAATTGTCCATTTTTGTTTGGATACGGAGTTTTAGTTATTAGATACTTAATAAGTAATTAAAAATTATAATATTAAAAATAATTATGATTTAATAAATATAATTATAGATTAATATTAAATAACACCATAGTTTACTTAAAATAACAAAAATTACAAATTATGAATCTTAAAGTAGGATTAAAATGTATAATTATATTTTAAAAAAGACAAATTATATGAGATAAATTAAAATTAAAAAGTAGACAAATTAAGTGAAACCGATGAATTATTAATTTTGTTTTATTTAAAAAGTTTTAAAAATCTAAAATTTAAAGAACCTCTAGCCTATATTTGATACTTGGATTTCTATTGAAGAATATTCTATCCAAAATAATATAGAATAATCCAAGCTATATAAACACTCACAGTCCATTCTGTTTTGTTTTATCTTTTGCATTTATTACATATTTAATTTTGTATGTATATACAAAATATTATATCAAATAATTATTTTACAAAACAACCTATTAACAATAATAATAATAGATAATAATAAATAACCTCTTGCTTTAATAAAAAATTAGAGTACTACTTGTGTTATAACTTGGGCCGACAATGCAATTTATTTTATTTTATTTTTTTTACTTAATAAGAAATAGGCCCAAATTTGCCATTTTTAAAGTTTAGAATAATTTAATTTTGATTCCAAATCAAAATTAATACTCCGACCCCCACCGAAGGCATAACTTGTATCCATGCGCTTCATACTCGCCCGGAGTTCGCTCCCAGAAATATAGCCATCCCTGCCCCCTCACGTCAATCCCACGAGCCTCTTATCCATTCTCATTGAATCACGGCGGAAGACCACGACTCAGGTGTTTCATTTGAGCGTATATAAGGAAAAAATATAATTAATGAATAATTAAAAATATATTAATAAAAATAATTATTATATAATAAAAATAATTTTAGATTAAAATAAAAGTAATTAGTATAATTGAAATTAAAAAATTTAAAATGAAATCAAAATATATAATTATTTTCTAAATAAAAGTGATAGAGAATAATCGCAGTAGACACTGTACGATAAATTTGATATATATTTATAAAATATTAAATCAAAATTATTATTTAAATCAAAATCTGAATTATGTAGGGTGTGTTTGTACTTGGTTCGAAGTTTTGAGTTTGAATTTTTGAATAGTTAAATTTGAATAGCTTAGATGTTATATAAATAGATATTTATGTAATATTTTCAATGTAAAATAAATTTGTATTGTAATATATAAAAAAGTAATTATTTAATTTAATATTTTTAAATAAAAAAAACTCAATAGTAAAAATCCGTATTGAAACTTAGGGTGTGTTGGTTTGAAGGATTTTGGAGGATTTCCACTATTCATCCAATTTTTTTCCCCCAACATCAAATCAAACACCTATTTTTTATTTTTTATATTATACTAAAAATCAATTTTACATTCAAAACATCACATCAAACCCTATTTATATCACATCATACAACTATTCAAATTCAAAATTTTTACTATTCAAATCCCAATCCAAAATCCAAACCCCCAAACAAACACACCCTAACAAAACAAGACGTGTTTATTAGTTTAGTATTTTAGTTTGATAGTAAGTTTTTTATTTTTTCAGTTTAACGAAAATATGAATAAAAACACAGATAAATACATTACAGCACCCAAGCACCCGAGAAATTGGACTAATTTTGAAAATTAAATTAAATAAAATATAAATATAGCCGTTTCATAATGGTAGGCATGCCGGCAAAGTGAATAGTGGAATACCTTCATCCATCTTCCGGTGGTCGCTCAGATTTTCCATCGATGCCACGTGGATCAATCACAACAGTCCGATCAGGCTTTGCAAACTAATCATCGGTTCAAAAACTGCAGTGCAGAATATTTAAAGTGGACGTGACCGCACAAGAGCATGCCCACCCATCCTAATTTGAAATGTTTCTATGTTATATTTTACAGCCTTTTGTCTTCTCTCCGCTCCTTCCAGTGGACCCCACAATCGTCCCCTTCAAATTACACCGCTCAACCACAACGGATGAACCACTGTTCCACACGCGCCTCTCGAGATTCAAATTCACGCTTAAATACAATTGGCCTGAAGATCCACGTGGGAGTTTTCTATTGGTCCGTGTACACACGCGGTTAGAGAACAGAAAATCTAATCATACCCTAACGTAAAACATAAATTTAGGTTTTCTCGCTTGCTGTTTTTCATTTTAATTTTATTTTTTTTAATTGTGAGGAGAGAGAAGGGGGAAGAGGAGAGAGGGGAAAGAGATTTGCGTACGCACCCCGACCTTCGCACACTCCCATTGGTACTCGCCGGCACTCGGCTGAGTGGACGCGGGCGGAACTCATCCGGCGATTGTTTGAATTATCTCGTATTGTGTATTTAGATCGGTATATTTGTGAGTAGATATTTCGTTTTTTTTTTTCTTCGAAAAAATAGAAAATGTCGGAGGACGAGAAATTACTGAAGGAGGCGAAGAAATTGCCGTGGGAGGACCGATTGACCCACAAGAATTGGAAAGTGCGAAACGATGCTAATATTGATTTGGCAGCCGTTTGCGACTCCATTACGGATCCTAAGGACCCGCGGCTGCGTGAATTCGGTGAGGAATTGGTTTTAAATTTTGTAATAGATCTGATTTTCTGTGATTATATGTGATTTTTGGGTGTACCGTGGTTGATCTTTGGAAGAAACTTAATAATGTGATTACTTTGATGTCCGCCGATCCGTTTTTAATTTGTTCTTTTTAAAAATTTGTTTTCAATCACGCATTAATATTGGAGTTTTTGATTAGGCCATTTTTTTAAAAAATCTGTGGCGGACTCCAATGCACCCGTCCAGGAGAAGGCTTTGGATGCGCTCATTGCATTTTTGAAAGCTGCAGATTCTGATGCTGGGAGGTATATATATTATTGGAGAGTTATTTTGTTTGTATTTTATTTGTAAGTGTTGCTCAACGGTTTGAGCAGAAAATTGAACTTATTAAATATATAATTAATCTTTTTATTACTGTTTATGTAATTATGTGCTGAATTTAGATTTGCAAAGGAGGTATGCGATTCAATAGTGGCTAAATGCCTAACTGGAAGGCCTAAAACAGTGGAGAAAGCACAGATGTCTTTCCTGCTATGGGTGGAGTTGGAGGCTGTTGACTCATTCCTGGTATGTGCTGGGCGAGTTTGAACATTTTGAGCAAAGTATAGTAACCATTAACCAATAATATGTTGGTTAAGAATTGTCAATGCCTGGATCTTCTTGCCTGTTTTAAAAAGCTAACATGACGATGAACATTGCAATGCACTAAAACCCATCTGCTTAGTTACGGGAATGGCTCAAATGTTGCTCATCACACAAACAGCATTTCCTTGACAATGTTAGATTCTTGTAGCTATGGTGATGGTACAGGATGATGAGTGCTGCAGTTATGCATACATAGCTTGTATATGCAAATTTTCTATATTCTACAGGATTTTTAATGTTGGTAGAATTGTGTTAGGAAGATTACTTAAACCATTTTCCTAGACAAGAGTGATTAAAGAACTAGGTTTCTATCTGCTTGGAATATTCTGTATTACTTATTATTGTAATGTGCTGAGTGCTGTTAGTGGTTTTTTTCTTGCTGCTGGCATTATTTGTTCTCGACCACACCTGAATGTTACATGATATGCATTGGTTAAAAGTGGATAGTATGTTGTCGAAGAAAGCTTGTTTTTTATTTTGTTGTTTTTACGAGGTCCCTTCACTATTGTAGATTTCCAAATAAATGTCCGTTATTTATTTTGTAGGATGCTATGGAGAAAGCTATTAAAAATAAAGTTGCTAAAGCGGTTGTCCCTGCAATAGATGTCATGTTTCAGGCATTAAGGTATGAAAGTAATAGCTGATATATTGATTTTCGCATATATTTTCTGTTTTGTTATTTTATACTTAAATGAAACATGGTTGTGTAATGAATCAGTGAATTTGGATCAAAAGTAATACCACCCAAAAGATTATTGAAGATGCTTCCTGAGCTTTTTGATCATCAAGATCAAAATGTTCGTGCTTCCTCTAAAGGGCTCACACTAGAGCTTTGCCGTTGGATAGGGAAGGAACCTGTAAAATCAATATTGTTTGAGAAGATGCGAGATACAATGGTTGGATAATTTACCGTTTCTTTTCTCTGTTTCCTTATTTTCTTTGGATGCAAAGTCCTGATTCGCTGTACTTATATTTCTTTTAGAAAAAAGAGTTGGAGGCTGAGCTCACCAATGTGTCTGCGACTGCAAAGCCAACTCGAAAAATTAGGTAATTAATTATTATGTTACATTTTACTAGATATTACTTTGTTGTCAACTAGTTCTGCTTTGGCATTGTGTATGCGGCTTACTGAAAAAGTTAATTTAAAGGTCTGAGCAAGACAAGGAGCCAGAACCAGAAGTTGTTTCTCAGTCTGGGGCATCTGGTCCAGTGGAAGAAAGTACAGCTGATGGTATGTAATGGTTGTGTTAAACTGTTATATTCAATTCATTACTATAGATAGTTTTAAGGAGGTTAGGATAGACAATTGGAAACTTTATTAAGATATCGTGATTAATTTTATTCTTGTGTGTAGCATTAGCCTGGTTCCCAGTGCCCTTTTTTCATCTTCTGACACGTCTTATTCTTCCAGTTCCTCAGGAGATTGATGAATATGAACTTGTTGATCCTGTTGATATATTGACACCTTTGGAGAAGTCTGGATTTTGGGAAGGAGTGGTAATAATATCTATTTACACTGTTTAAATTTGGCTATACTTAGGTCAAGTTTCTTGCATTGTTCTATTGTACCAGAATGTTACATTGTGCATTGGGAATTTTGTTACTTATGCTGGTTTTGGTATATTTGACTTTATTTCAGAAAGCTACTAAATGGTCTGAGCGAAAAGAAGCAGTTGCTGAACTAACCAAGCTTGCATCTACCAAAAAGATTTCTCCTGGGGACTTCACAGAAGTTTGTCGAACATTAAAAAAGGTTTGTTGTGGGTTTGTATTGGCTATTATTTTTAAGATATAGTTATTATACAGCTGGTAGTTAATGTTTTAGCATTTTGTATTTTTGTTTGTCTTTTATATAGGGTGTGATGGCTGATGTCCTTTACTTAAAGGACGGGATCTTGTTTTGGTTGTATTATAGTCTAATGTCCCCAGCTTACTATGGTTGCAAAATAATGATCTCAATGAAAAAGATAGGATTGTAGAACAATTGGAGATTTGTTTGGTTTGTTTACTGGAAAATCTAGATTATCCAACTTAATATTTCAACGGTTATGCTTTTTATGGTAAGGCTTTGAGCCACTATTCATGCTTACTGTTCATTCCAAAGCTAATCTGTTTTTGAGAAAACAGAATATATTTCACCCTTGTTCTCTCACTTTGTGGTCTTCATATCATTCATTGTTGATGCCTTTGATCCTTGCATTGATGAATGAATGCATGATGGCGTGAAAGCTGTCTTGCGATCCTTATGAAAAATTTACCCTGTTAATGGATTTGACTGCTAGAAACATTTGTAGAAGCTCTTGTTGTAGTGTAGTGTAGTGCAGAAATGGTGCTCTATGTGGAGGGAGTGATTGCTAGGATATGTTTATTCATAAGGAATGAGCATGTGATAATAGTGCCCAAATCAATCCAGTATTTCAACGACGTGCAATACGTACTGGATAAATATGGTGGTGATATTAATAAATATCTAATGCATTGCGCTGTCACCTGAAGTTTGAGATTGCAGTTTATTAAGTTGATTTATAGAGTGACTTTTTAATCCTTATACTTTCTTTAATTTTTTTTTTGTTTAATTTTCTTTTTGCAGCTTATTACAGATGTGAACATAGCCGTAGCAGTTGAAGCTATCCAAGCACTGGGAAATCTTGCTAAGGGTCTTCGGAACCATTTCTCAAACAATTCTCGGTTCTTATTGCCAATACTACTGGTTAGCTTATTTACTGTGGATTTACATTTTTTTTCCTGTCATAATTGTTATTATATTATATATTTGTTTCGAATCTGTAGAATGTATTCAAACTTATACATGAAGATGATTTATTTTTCTGGCTATAAAGTATAACTTCATACTGTGGCTGGGGAACCTTGGATATGGATTATGTGATGAATCCCAGTAATTATTATCGCAATTTAACAATAAAGCGGTTTCCATTTCAAAATTTGTATGCTTTCTTATTTCTTCTGGTTTAAATTCAAACTGGGTTTCCCCAGAAGAAAGTACACGTGACTTATTAACTACCTTCATTATCTAAAAGGGAGCATTATAAACGTGCCGTTGAATGTTGTAGCCATTTAAGTTAGCATTGTCTATTTCTTCGAAACATTTATGTGCTAATGATCTGCCATCTAATCACTGATGCATTTGATTTTGATCTTTAATACTGAAATAGGAAAAACTGAAGGAGAAGAAACCTGCTTTGTCAGAAGCTCTTACACAAACTCTTCAAGCAATGTACCAGTCAGGATGCTTAAATCTCGCAGACATTGTAGAAGGCAGGATCTGTGACCTTTCCATGTCTCTGCTTATATTTCATTTTTTTGGAGATAATCACTGGGATTCTTGCTTGCCATTGGATCATGCTTTAGCTGTAGTAATATTACATTAGTTATGCATTAACACGCATCATATCTGTGATGCCTCTTTGTTCTTTCCTATCCTCAACTTTCTTCTATTCATCTTTGATATTATCTTGTGGATGATGGTGTTATTGTATGGCCACTACATGTCTATCAGTATTGCAAGTACAAATTGTCTCCTTGAAATTGGGGCATATAAGGTGTTGATGGCATTGATGCTTTCAAGTGAATGTTCAATATATTGTACTTTAATCTATGATGGTATCTTTTGGTTGTGCTCTGCTGTCCTTTTCTGCAAATGACCTTCATGGCTGAATTTATTCACAGACTGTAGATACATGCTAGCTGTTCTGTTTTTGTTAGAAGGCATTTGGAACCTGTTGAAATAAGTTTTTTATTTTATTTTTTTGCAGATGTCAAAACAGCAGTAAAGAACAAAGTTCCTCTTGTGAGATCATCGACATTGAACTGGGTTACTTTTTGTATTGAGACAAGTAACAAGGCAGCAATACTTAAAGTGCACAAGGAATATGTTCCAATCTTTATGGAGGTTGGTCAATAGTTGGTGCAATTTTTTTGTCAGAAACTAAATTGAACTTTCATTTCAAAATTTATATGTATATATGTCTTTTTTGAAAGTTTGTTTCATTAATATTTTTATTTAGTTATCTCATTGTGAACTCTGTACTGATTCATGAATTTTTCAGTCCCTCAATGATGGAACACCTGAGGTGAGGGATGCAGCTTTCTCTGCTTTGGCTGCTATTGCTAAGGTATTATTCTTCAGGATACTGTATCTTGCTTTCTAGTTTACTATCATGGATCTCTTTTTAATTAGTTTTTCTTGTGAATTCTTTTGATTTTTTGTCCAGATGGTTGGTATGAGGCCTTTGGAGAGATCACTGGAAAAATTGGATGATGTTAGGAAAAAGAAACTTTCAGAAATGATTGGGACAGGGGACTCATCTGCTGTCCCTGGTTCAGGTTTGTAACACAATGCTTATCATCAACCTAGATTCACATTATTTATTGATGCTATTTAGAGATAGCAATGAGATGGGTTTGGGTTTGGTGATGTATGATTCATCTCCGAGTTGGGTGTTCCTTTTGTGGGATATAAACTATTTGTTTTATATAAAGATTTCAAATAAAAAGTGATTTTTATTGAAAAGCTTTTTTGCAATATGCGGGGGAGCGTGCTCTCCTCCACACCAATCTAAAGCAATGGTACTTGTACCGGTCCTCCCCATGATCCTCCCCATTGTCCTAGTGCTTACTGTTACCAACATCAGTAGGCGACCATATTGCTGTTCTATATGATTATTTGTTTCTTGACATGTGTATTCATTACAATAATGTCAGTTGTGGTAGCTCAATCTTCTGGAGGAAGTTTGCCTTCTGCACAGGTTAGTTGGTTTCTTTTTTCTTTTTCTTTTTCCCACTTCAATAAAATTCTTTATAAAGAACAAATATGGTATCAAGCCGAGTTGTGTTTAGATTCTGCATTATTTTTTTGTACAAATGGCATGCATTCTTTTGTATTACTGCCCTGTATCTGCCGAAAAGCTATTTTCTAGAAGCTATTTGTCCTTATAAATACTTTCATATGAGTCACATTTACTTGATCACTATTAGATGGAATGTGTACATGAAAGCTCCGCAATCTCTTGTATGTATACTCAATTGTTTCATTGGAGCCTAAGGAGTAGTGAACTAATGTTTTCTATAAGATGATTGTCTAGTAGTGAGCAAGTTAAAAATAGGGCCTCTCTTTCCTTCCATTTTATATTCTGCAAATAGCTTGTGTTGATTGCTAGCGAGGCGACTATTGGGATACACATGTTTTTGCTGATTGCTGGAATGGCTTTTATTTAAACAATAATTATATTATTGGTTAGTAACTTCATATGGTTTTGTGTGATCATTATTGCTGTTTTTGTTGTTGTTATATGATCTTCAATGATCGGATTCCTTTATTTGCAGCATCTTTCGGTGAGGAACTTCTCTTGATGTGGCATTTATTGTTGTTTCTGATTTTCAGTGTGTTTCCATTGCTCTGTATTATCATCATGCAGGCCTCTGATGGATCATTGGTTAGAAAATCAGCAGCTAGCATGCTTAGTGGAAAGAAGACTACAATGGCTGCTGTAAGTCTTTTAGGGGCTCATACACTACAGGTTTTCCCACTTATGTTACATGGCTAATATCTTTCCTGTTTTTTCAGCCTGTTGCTGTTAAGAAAGCTGCCTCTGGAAAATCTGTTGCCAACAAGAAAGGTGATGGAAAAGGTCCTAAAGTTTCCAAGCCTTCAGAAGTGGAGGTTGTTGAGGTAAAGTTTTTCTCTTGACATGTGCTATCATGATAATGAATTTGGGTTATTAAAACGTCATTTATTTGATTACCTGCGGCATGACTCTTTTTTCAGCCAGAAGAAATGAGTTTAGAAGAGATTGAGAGCAGATTAGGATCCCTGATCCAGGCTGATACAGTTACACAGCTTAAGAGTGCTGTGTGGAAGGAGCGGCTTGAAGGTTTGCATCATTAAGATTTTAACTGGATTACAATAAAAAAGTCAATATAACTTGTATAAGTTACAATACTAAAAATTTTGTTACAATTTTTGGCAATTTCAGTTGCTTTTAGTTTACCTGTTTAATTATTTTAATTGGCCATTAAGGTTGACCATAAGAGATGATCCCTTAAATGCATGTCAGTTTGATCTGGCACTGTATCTATCACATTTTATTTTCATCTCTCTTTTTGACGGCCAATTATTTCTCACATTAATATATTCTGACATGCCAGCAATTCATCTCTCTCGTGTGTGTTTGCCTATGCTGCTCAGATGTGATTTTGTGTCTAAAATGTTGTAGAAAGTGTTTGAACACTTTACAACTGTTTGTTGCAGCTATCATGTCTTTCAAAGAGCAGGTAGAAGCCATAACAGACCTCGACTCATCAGTTGAGATTCTGATCCGCTTACTTTGTGCCGTTCCAGGCTGGAATGAAAAGAACGTTCAGGTATGATTTGCAAGCACTTGGTGGTGTTATACTAATTGCCTTATTCTTGTTAGCTGAAGGACTAAATAATTCTCTGACCTATTCTGATGTGCAGGTCCAGCAACAGATGATTGATATTATAACACACATATCTTCAACTGCATCCAAGTTTCCTAAAAAATGTGTTGTGCTTTGCCTTTTAGGTCAGCAACTCTTTTTGTTTCCACTGGAGTTAGTGTACTAATAGCGCACGTAACAGTGGACTTCTAACTTTTTTTTTTTTTTTTTCACTATCTCCATTTCCTGTATATTGATTGTTTGGAATTTATTATATCATGATTAACTGTTATTGGAATTTTTTGTCCCCTTTGGCTTTATCGATCACTTTCTAGAGATATGTTTGTTGCAATTATTTGTTTCCTCTTTGTATATATTTTTGTAAGTACACTATATTGTGTTAAATTGGGACCTGATACTTAATGTTTAATTTTTATCAAATATCAAATATTTAAGCATGGCAGCTGCATTTATGTCATGTTTTTCTATTTTTATCCTTGCGCAAACTTCATGGATAGTCTGTTATTTTGTCTTAGAGCCTTCCTTTTGCTATTGGCGGGTTCAAAAGTTTGTGCTAGTGCCTTGTATATTTGTATTCCTGAATCCCATCTTGGTCCCTTGGTTTTAGGTTTAGGATTTCCCTTCAGATATATTATTATTATTGTCATCATAATCATGGTTGTTGGTTGTTATTATAATATTGGTGTTTTATTTCAAAGTTTCGGCCTTGTGATCTTCAGTCATGCTAAGAAGCGCTAACCCTTTGGTAGATCATTTTGCAACATGTAACTTGTCCTAAGACTCAAATTCATCTATTGATAAACTTTTACATTTAAAAAAAAGGTTTAAATGCTGTTAGCCGTCAATGCGTCTTACTACCCACTATCAGCTTGTGCTTTTGATATGTGTTTCAAATATGTGTTTGAAAGGGATGATGGTGAATTTGACTGTGTTTGTGTTGCCTTTTCCTAGGAAATTAGAATTTTTTTTTGTATTGATAGAGTTATTGATAGTTACACAAATCTGATTTGTTGACAGGTATTAGTGAACGAGTTGCTGACATTAAGACTCGTGCTCAGGCTATGAAGTGCCTTACCACATTTTGTGAAGCTGTGGCTCCAGGGTTTATTTTTGAGCGGGTAATTCTACTTACACAAAATTTGAACTTTGATGTGGGTTGCCTGGGGGTTGTTTGGTTGCATCTCATGAGTCATGATATTGTGCCAGGTAGATGGGTATACTAATTTTTAAATTTCTGACTTTACACGATTGCTTTGCCAGACTTTCCTTCTCTTATTGGTATCCCAACAATGTTATTTGTTGCACAGTTTACTAATATAAGGGGAAAAGGATACTTAAATACATGCCTATGCCATTTCTGATCCCTTGAATTGGTTTGATGTGGTATCTACTTGAAAACTATTAGACATGGTATTATATAGGGAAAACCAATTTGGATGGTCGGGCGGCATTTTCACTCTTTTTTAAAAAAATAAAAATTGTTGGGTTAACTGCTTGCTATTTCTATTGTTTCAGCTCTATAAAATTATGAAGGAGCACAAGAACCCCAAGGTTCTAAGTGAAGGGCTATTGTGGATGGTTTCTGCAATTGATGACTTTGGCATTTCTTACATTAATTTAAAGGTGCTTTAAACTTATTTGTTAAAATTTTATTCTATATAATCATATATATAAATTTTTCTTTTCTCATAAGTAACGTTTATATATATATATATATATATTACTTGGCTGCTGTTTCAGGAATTAATTGATTTTTGCAAGGATATTGGTTTGCAATCTAGTGCTGCTGCTACTAGAAATGCTACTATCAAACTGATTGGTGTTTTACACAAGTTTGTTGGCCCAGGTGCTACAAATACCTTTTGGAATTTCCTCATTTTATTGAACATACAAAAATTGAATGACCGCTACTATCCTTGTAGATATTAAGGGTTTCCTCTCAGATGTTAAACCTGCTCTTGTAAGTGCACTTGATGCTGAATGTGAAAAGAATCCATTTGAGGTACTTGTTGGTTAAATTTATGGTTCAACAGTTTCTTTTTCCCCAGTCTGTTTTCACTCCATTAGTTTAATATCGTCAGGGAGGAGCTGCAGCTCCCAAAAAGACTGTGAAAGTAAATGATTCAGCGGCATCATTGGTTGCTGGGGGCATGGATGGTCTTCCTCGTGAAGACATAAGTGAAAAAGTCACTCCTACTTTGTTGAAGAGTCTGGAGAGTGCTGATTGGAAGGTAGCGTTGGTTATATGCAAAAGAGAATAAAATCAATCTTAGTTGAATGCATTAACTATGTTGTTTTTGAACTAGATTCGTCTGGAGGCTATTGAAAGTGTTAACAAAATTCTGGAGGAGGCTAACAAGCGTATCAAACCAAATGGAACTGGTATATTGTGTGGCTCTTAATTACTCTACTGCTATACCTATGTATAAATGTGCCAACCAGCTTTTCTTACTTGCAGGAGAGTTACTTGGAGCTCTGAGGGGCCGTTTGCACGACAGCAACAAAAATCTGATTATGGCAACATTGTCCACAGTTGGAGCATTGGCATCTGCTATGGGCCAGCCAATTGAGAAGACAAGCAAGGTTCTTGCCGGAAACCGGTCAATAAATTTATTTTATTTTCCCTTCGATAGATTTTGATGATTTTCAGTGTTATGTTTTATGCAGGGAATTCTGTCAGATGTCTTAAAATGCCTTGGTGATAATAAGAAAAACATGAGGGAGTGCACTTTGTGTACCTTAGACTCTTGGCTTGCAGCAACTCATCTTGACAAAATGGTTACAATCTGACGCCTTGTACTTTTTTCCCCTTGATCTATTTATATGATTTTCTAACCTTAATTGCTGTCTCATTTCTTTAGGTCCCATACATCACAACTGCTCTTGTGGATGCAAAGCTTGGTGCAGAAGGGCGCAAGGATCTTTTTGACTGGTTGTCAAGACAACTTGTTGCGATGAGTGACTTTCCGGATGCTGTACATCTTTTAAAACCGTGTGCTGCTGCTATGACGGTATATTCTCCAACAAACCAATATATTTTAAAATCTTAACTGGTTAATATTGACTTCTTTCATTCCTTATCATGATATTATTCATTAATTTCCAGGATAAATCTGCTGATGTTCGTAAAGCTGCTGAAACATGTTTCAATGAGATTCTAAGGGTTTGTGGACAAGAAACGGTATGTTGGTTGTGGAGTTCTGTGGTCCTATATATTGTGAATCAAGTATCTCTAGTATCAATATTAATATAATCTGTTTGTTGTGTAGATCGTCAAAAATTTGAAAGATATACAAGGTTCTGCATTGGCTATTGTTGTTGAAAGATTGAAATCTCATGGGGCTTTTCAGGGTATTCTTTTCCCCTTCAATCCTTATCACTCTCTAGATTGACATGGAAGTTACTTTCTTGCAAATTGCTATGTTGAGATTTTATGCTGCTTGTTGGCCTGCAGAAAATTTTGATTCTGGCAGAGCAATTTCAACTGGCATTACTTCTAAGAGCAACACTTCAAAGATTGGAAAACCGACAGGCTATGGTGCGCAACGTCCAGGAAATAGAGCTGCTGCTTCAGTAAGTTATTTCATGTTGGAAAGTATTTAATGTTACTCCAATAAAATCTTAATGTGTGCGTTTCCATATATATATATATGTTTTTATTCTACTCAGAGGAATGTTCCTACTGCCAAGGGATCTAGGCAAGACTCAATTATGTCAGTTCAAGACATAAACATTCAGTCACAAGCTTTGATCAATGTCAAGGATTCAAACAAGGTTTGATCAATATGTCTTGATATATGCCAGTTACTTACTCTTTGTGTATGTCATGGATTATGACTAAGTGATACTTTTACAGGAGGATAGAGAGAGAATTGTGGTTCGAAAATTTAAATTTGAAGAACTACGTTTGGAGCAGATTCAAGATCTTGAGGTTTCTATTTGTTGAGCATTGATTGCAATATTTTGTGATTTATTCCATCATGATCGTTGGATATTGCCATTGAATGCATTGCTTCATATTGAATTAAGTTTTATAATCAAGGGGATTGGTATACTAACAAAATGTAGATGACTTGTGCTTTTTAGAACTTTTACCTTTTTATTGGTATTAATTTTAAACATGAACGCAATGCTTTAATTGGTCTTGGAAGTATCTAGATGATGAAGTCACTTTGTGGATTAATTTCATCCACAGTTTTACTATTTCCTTAAACTGAGTGTCAGTTCTTCAATTTCTCTGCAGAATGATATCATGAAGTACTTCAGGGAAGATTTGCACAGGAGGCTTCTAAGTGCGGACTTTAAGAAGCAAGTTGATGGGATTGAGATGCTGCAGAAGGTTCTATTATTATGACCTTTCACACTCCTTTTGAAGTGGATATAAAAGGGTTTAGCTTGAGTTGGCATTCTTTTTTCGTTTCAGGCTCTTCCATCTATCAGAAGGGAGTTAATCGAAGTCTTGGATATCCTCCTGAAATGGTTTGTGTTGAGGTTCTGTGAGAACAATACATCATGCTTATTAAAGGTACGCAATCTTCATTTATTTGGAGTTCACCAGTTATATTATTTGTAAATAATGATATTATGCCTGTTTTGATTTTATATTGTGATTGATGTTTTGGTATGATTTCTTGAAATGATATTTATTTAATTGTTTGGTTTGGTTAAAAACAAGCTGTAATGTTTTTGAAATGAAGGTTTTGTTATGCATTTCTGAATAGTTTGTTAAAAAACTAAATGCATTATATCGTGAGACTAGAATACCTAGTCTGAATCAGTGCTAATGGCACAACAAAATTTGGCTTCACTTTTTATGTACTTTTTTATGATATATGAATCTATATTCTCTTTCTATGCACCTGATGTTTTCGTCTGTCCAATATATTGCTAAGGTGCTGGAATTTCTTCCCGAACTTCTGGACATGTTGAGGAATGAGGGATACACTATGACTGAGGCGGAGGCTTCAATATTTATTCCTTGCTTGGTTGAAAAGGTAATAATATATTCAAGCTGCGTATGGATGATGTGCACTGTTTTCGGTGTAGTATTTTTTGGGTTTTTGGCTGTTATTTCTCCATAGGCATGTTGTTAATCTAACTAAATTTGTAATTTTATTTTTGGAATTTGTTATCTTTTCCTGCTGCAGTCTGGGCATAACATTGAAAAACTTAGAGAAAAGATGCGGGAACTAATGAAGCAAATTATCCACACATATTCTGCTGCAAGAACTTTTCCTTACGTTTTGGAGGGCCTACGTTCGAGAAGCAACAGAACAAGGATAGAATGTGCTGAACTTGTTGGGTTCCTACTGGATAACTATATAGCTGAGGTTACTTGATAATTTTCTGAACTATTGTGAATCTCATTACTTACTGATGTATAATTGATGATTTTTTTTTTATATAATTTTTATCCTTTATGGTTTATTTTTCTAACTCTTATCAGATAAGTGGGCAATTAAAATCCTTGCAATTTGTTGCAAGCTTAACTGCTGAACGGGATGGAGATACTAGGAAAGCTGCTTTAAATGCTTTGGCTACAGGATATAAGATTCTAGGTTGGTTTTATAGCTTTCATGGTGCTGCTTACAAAATGTTGAGTTTTATTTTGTATTTATTTTTTTGTAAAATTATTGCCAATTGATCTCTATAAATTTGATATAGAAGAATGATTTTACACTGATACACACTGATATCATTGTTAGTTCTGGTGGAAGCTCATCATGTGTGTGTGGATTGAGGTTTCCTTTTGTCTGATCATGATGGAACTAATTTGTGCTTTAGGTGATGACATCTGGAGATATGTTGGGAAGGTGACTGAGGCTCAAAGAAGTATGCTGGATGATAGATTTAAGTGGAAGGTTTGTACATTATTTTGCTTTCTAGTAGATTTATTTCCTTTCCACCTGCCAGCTATATATATATATATATATATATATATATTAAATTTTTGTTTGCATCTTCCAGGCTCGAGAGATGGAGAAGAGGAAGGAAGGCAGGCCAGGGGAGGCTAGAGCTGCCTTGAGGCGTTCAGTGAGGGATAATGTGTATGATATGTTCCAGTCACTCTTTTCCTTCATTGTTTTACCATTTGGCAGTTCCATACACCTTGAAACATTAACACTGCTATATTTCATTTTCTTTTCGGATCCTTCAATTGGTGGTTTTTTAACCGAATATTGAAGCATGTGAGGAATTGGTTCCCTTCTATATTTGGGCAAGATACCTCAATAGCTACTTTGTAGTTAAACCTGCTACTGTGTATATATATATATATCTTTATGATCTGAAATGGTTTTTTTGACCTGCAGAACTGATCCTGCTGAGCAAAGTGGGGAGGTTTCACGCCTGGTGACTGGCCCTATCTTCAATAGGTGACTTACCTATTGTGCTATTTTAATGTTTTATCACTGATTTTTTTGTTTATGCACCCAGGCAGCATTGCTTTCTACTTGATGTGAACATTTTTTCTTTTTTTTTTTTTTTAGAGAGAATTATGGTCATGTTGAAGTTCACACTGATAGAGTTCCACTGCCTCAAGCTTATTCTAGTATGGGGCCCACAGACTGGAATGAAGCTTTGGATATTATTGCATTTGGTTCACCTGAGCAGGTTTGTTTAAATTAGGTTGCAGAGTCAAAGGAAGCACACTCAATGTTATGCGTTTATGTTAGAACAATTTCAGTTGTGGTACTCGAAAGAACTCATATGCTTCAATGTGTTTGAATGCTTTTGAAATTGAGTTAAACATTTGCTGTTTAACTTAAAGGTAGAATTAGTTGCCCCATAATAAATGGTTTTCTGAAGCGGCCCTGATGATTTATTCCCAAAAGTTTGTTTGTATAATGAGCTCAAAATCTGCTTTGAGGAAACTTTTCTAATGCATTTTGAGTGCACTCTGGGCTATTGTTTACCCCGTAATGATATTGTCAAGCTGCTCTGATGATTTATTCTCGAAAGGCTTTTGCATTATGGGCTCAAAACTTGCTTTGAGAGAACTGTTCTAGCGCATATTGTGTGCACTCGTTTGTGAACTTCAAGCCTTCCTCTTTCTGAAGTAACGTTGTCAATATGATATATGCACATATCAACCTCTCTTCTCTTAGCCTCATTTTGTTTTTTGTTGTGATGGAATTTTCCTGGAAAATATTCTTGGCCGCAGTCTGTCGAGGGAATGAAAGTTGTTTGTCATGAATTGAATCAAGCAACTGAGTCAGAAGGGAGTGCATTGGATGATATAGTGAAAGATGCTGATAGACTTGTCTCATGCTTGGCAAATAAGGTAATACTTCTGTTTAATTTTCTCTTTTGGTTTGTCTTTCCACCATGTTTTGCCACGACTCACATTTTTTGGGGAACAGGTGGCAAAAACTTTTGACTTCAGTCTAACAGGTGCCTCTTCAAGGTCATGTAAATATGTCCTGAATACTCTGATGCAGGTAATAGCTCTACTTTAGAAATTTTCTTGTCCTGATTTCATTTTCTGCATTTATTTACAGAAACTACCATCCTTATTGGTGCAGATTTTCCAGAACAAGAGACTAGCTCATGCAGTTAAGGAAAGTACACTTGATAGCCTTATTACAGAATTGTTACTTTGGCTTTTGGATGAAAGGGTTCCCCAAATGGATGATGGCAGTCAACTATTAAGAGCTCTGAATGTTCTGATGTTGAAGATACTGGTAATTCATTTTTCAAAACGTTTATTCTTATTTGTGGGGAGGATGGTAAGTTCACCTACTGAGATCACTGGATTCTACATTTAGGATAATGCCGACCGAACTTCATCATTTGTTGTTCTTATAAATCTTCTGAGACCTCTGGATCCATCAAGATGGCCGGCTCCAGCAATAAATGAGTCTCAAGCTACTAGAAATCAGAAATTTTCTGATTTGGTAGTTAAATGTTTAATTAAGCTCACTAAGGTACTGTGTTTATTTTAGTGGCTTATCATATTTTCTCCTACTCCTCTTTGCTTTACTATGAAACATCCTGTACAATTTTTTATGATCCCTTTCGAACATGATAGGTTTTGCAAAGTACAATATATGATATAGACCTGGATCGCATCCTTCAAAGTATTCACATATATCTACAAGAGTTAGGAATGGATGAAATACGAAGGAGGTGGCTTCCATAATCTTTATTTACAACCAAATTATTTTTCTTATTTAATTTGTGATGGTTTGATTGCTATTGTATCTTCACGATATTTTCAATACTTTGTTCTCACCTTTCCTTGTTTCTTTTTCGCATGATTTTGTCACAAAGAGCTGGAGCTGATGACAAGCCACTACGCATGGTTAAAACCGTTTTGCATGAACTTGTTAAACTTCGTGGAACTGCAATCAAGGGCCATCTTTCTATGGTCCCAATCGACATGCAACCCCAGCCTATTATTCTAGCGTACATTGATCTTAATCTTCAGGTGGCATCTTCTCTCTAGTCTTTATACAGTTGCTTGTATTGATGATTCTAAGTCATTAATGGTTGCTCTTGAATACATATGAACAGACATTGGCAGCTGCCAGAATGTTAACTCCAACTGGACCTGTTGGGCAAACTCACTGGAGCGATTCTACTGCAAACAATTCAGCTCCTGCAACACACTCAGCCGATGCCCAATTGAAGGTATTTTGCACTTATAAACAGTTATTTTTCATTCATCTTGCATTGTCCATTCCTTTTGCTTGCACTTAATGCAACTAATTCGTAATGTCTGTATTTTACCAGCAAGAACTGGCTGCAATATTTAAGAAAATTGGTGATAAGCAAACTTGCTCAATTGGTCTGTATGAACTGTACCGCATCACACAATTATATCCTCAGGTAATTTGTTTCCATCTTCTGATGGGAACGGTTTGTCTCATTTGATATTTATTCTGCGTGCTCTGGCAAAACTTTTCACTTGTTGTAGTTAATCTTATATGCTCGATTGCACGCAGGTCGACATTTTTGCACAGCTACAAAATGCCAGTGATGCATTTAGAACATATATTAGAGATGGTTTGGCTCAGGTCTGCATCTGAACTATATACTGAAGATTATTTCTTCCAGCTTGCAACCACCTCTTATCCTCTTGTATATAATATCATGTTCTGGCAGATGGAAAGAAATGCAGCTGCAGGAAAGACACCTACAAGTGTTCCCCTATCCACCCCTCCGCCAGTGGCGCTCAACCTTTCTCCGAGACAAGGCCCTCTATCCCCTGTAAATACCAATCAATTGAATGACTCGAGAAATCCATCAGCAAGAGCCGAACCAACAAGTTTTAGTTTGCCACCATCATATAGTGATGATGACAAGCATGGTAATGCCATTGCCCCAAGACTTACCAGTTACGAGCAAACAGCGCTACAACAGAGCTTGGAAGATTCAAGAAACGACAGATTACCTTCTGGCGGTAATTAGATCACATCTAAGCACTGTTACTGATGCTTCTATGCTCTCTCATCTTTCGGAAAGACCTGACCGATTATTTATCCCATTGCTTGCAGTCACAAATGGGGCATTAGACGCCATTAGGGAAAGAATGAAGAGCATCCAATTAGCAGCAGCCACAGTGGGCACAGACAACCGAAACCGGCCATTGGTACAAGTAAATGGCAATGTTATCAACAACCCTCCAGTTTCTGAAGGGCAAGGTACCACCAGTAGTAACAACACTGTGCAGAGTGGTATCCTTCCTATGGATGAGAAAGCTCTATCCGGCCTCCAAGCTCGCATGGAGCGACTCAAAAGTGGATCATTCGATTCCCTTTAAACCGCTGGTTTTTTCCGAAACAAAATATCATCTAGCCCTACAAATGATGCCTGCCATTGTTGTAAATGCCAGTAGAGGAAGTATTGTCTGTCTACTCAGGTTTAAGGCTGAAGATCCAGAAAGAGTTTATTCCATTGTAATTTTGTTTTACTGAGTGGCAGAAGGTGTGTGGTTATACTACTGTCAGTATTAGTTATAGGAAGGAAGCAGCTCATAGCCACTGCTATGGTCTATGAATCGATTAGTCACCCCCATCCTCTACAAGTTAGTTATTCTCTCTCATTCTGTTGCTGCAGAATTACATCGTTTTTTTGGCTTCTGTGTGTCTTATATGTTTTGAGTGATTGCAATTCCAAATACAAATTTCAGTAGTGAGCTTTTGGCTTAATATAAGGTGATTGATGTACTTACATGGCTCACATTTTATTTCTATATACATGCAGGATTATTCTCTGCCTCGTACAAAAGACTTGGCAAATTATTTCCACAAACCGTAGAAAATTCCCATTCCATTCCAATTAACAGATACAAAAAAAATACATAGTACAAATATTTTTGTCCACTTGCCTGAAGCTGGATTCTAAAAACTGACAGCTCCAAACTGCAGCAGCATATCTGATTGATGATGTTCTTTTTTTTTTCTTTTTTTTTTTTTTTTTTAACATTGATACCTTAACCCCAAACTGTACCACGGTCAAAGTTAGTCTCTCTCACAATTGCCATCACCATCAGAGTATTGGAAAGAAGAATGGAAGATCTCTATTTAGGGTTTCATTGCTGCCTCACCATTAATGACATCTTCTTCGTCCCACGCTAGGTCCAAATCATCTGCTGAAGTTAACGCATCGATCTCGCTCCAATTCCAGTAGCTGGTGGCCATGGCAGCGCCACTTGTCGACGGTAACTCCAACGAACAGTTGTTGGTTACGTCGAATCCTAGCCACGCGCCGCTGCTGCTGCTTGGATAATCCATGTTCGCTGTTGTGACGCTCGATTCTATCTCCTCCATTGAGTCCATGTTCGGAATCTCGTAGGGTGGAATCAACGACGCGGCGCTCATTTCCAGGCTTGAGAATTGGAATTCTGTGTTGCTAGGGTTCCGATCAGGCGCAGATGTCGCCGTACCTGTCGATTTAATCGCGTTCGCCGGAATCGCCGTCCTATTGCTTTCTGCTGTCGTCGTCAAGTTCTTCGCAGGAGATAAGCCGGCATTGATACCACGCGTAGCTTCGTTCAGAGAATTAGGCGAAGGTCGAATCAACGCTTGGTATAGAACACTCGATACGCCTTTCCGATCGCCGGAGGAATTCGCACCTAGTGCAAAACTAGAGCAAAATTTCGCCGCGGCGGTGGATGAAATCTTCGGACGCTTGTTCTTCCGGCAGCCGCCGATAGGGACATTCCGGAGAGTCCCTCCTTTGGTCCAGTGGCGCTTACAGGACTTGCAGAAATGGCGAGGCTGGGATTTGTTGTAGTTATTGTAGTAACAGAACTTGGTGTTGGTGCTACCACATCGCGGACACTTCAACGGCTCCGGTTGCTGCGTCTTCGCCATCTCCGGCGCACCTGAGTGTTGCAGCAGAGCCTGACCCCAATCAAGCTCAAGCTCAAGCTCCTGATCACCAGAAACCTGCTTAGTTCTCAAACCCATATATATCACAACTTTGAATCAAGGTACGCTTTCTGTTCTGTGCAATATCTTAATTCTAACTGTACGATGATCAGAACTAGCTAGGCTGCATTAACTTGTGAGGAAAATGAGAGCATATATAGAAATATATGATGATGGGGGAGGGGAGTTTGTGTATATCGAATTGTTGTTGTATTGTATATACGATGGCTGGCTATGTGGCCTTCACTGTCCTTCCATCAATCAATCAATCTATCTGTAAAACCAATAATAATAATAATGGAGTTGAGTAGTGGGAGTGGAGATCGATCTCTCTCTCTATATATATATGTATATATCTGTGGTCCTGGTTCCTTGCTGCCTTCATTCTCATTGATATTTATATAACTCATTCACACTTTCCAATTTAGATGATGGGTGGTCAATTCTTTGGGGCTCCACGGAGTCAGAATCCTGGCCCTTCTTGGCCGGATGGATGGCTGCCAGGGAGTTGGGCTCCCGGAGTTCTGGAAATCAATTCACTAAGGTAAATTATTTTTTTATTATATTTATTATGCTCACAGTTTGTTATAAGGTAAATCTAAAGTGAATTAGGTCGTGTTTGTTTATACTTATTTGGTGTTTTGTATCATTTTAAGAATAATTAAAATTTTAAAATTGGGATAACATTTATTATTATTCACTATTGGCTGTATGTATGAATTCGAAAACAATATGAAAAAACACAAAGGAATTAATAGTAATATCCTTGATAGACATCTGCTTTCTTCATTCCTAAGTTTGAAGTTGAATTAATTCTGCGCACACACAGACTGACTGTGACACACGCTAGCATGCATAACATGTAATTCACATGCTCTCTCTCTCTCTCTCTCTCTATATATATATATATATATTCTTATTCTATTAGGTGTGTGTGTGTGTGTGTATGGTTATGATGATGACAAGAGAAGCATGGCATGTGTAGTTTTGTTATTGGAAGAAATCGATAGAGGCATTAGGCAGTCGTCACTATAGAAATATATTTAATATATGTTTGATTTAATTAATAATTACGTAGAGAGAGCAGTACTGTCTCAAATTCCTTTTCCGTTCGATCTGCCTGCTTCATTTCGTTTGGCGTTTTGAGCTGCCCAAATTTTTGTGTCACATGTATGTCTCTAACTGCTATGATATATTATATGTGTACATATATAAGGATGGATTGATTAATTATGAGTGAGTGTTGGTAGGGGAAACCCTAGCCTCAGGTATAGTATAGTATAGGAAATAATAGGGTGTAACACCACATCACATATATATATATATATATATGAAGGTTTGTTTGCCAATTGTGTATGTATTTATTTTTTATTTAGCAAGTAGTATAGGGTGAGTGATGGGGGGTTGGGTTAAAGACAGTTGTCAACACGTGATTACATAGTGGGGGAGTGACATGCACAAAGCTAATTGCTATCTAGATATCTATATATATATATATATATATAGTTTAAATCTTGGAAGCCCATCTCCATAATCCCATGTCCATATAGCTCTAATTATATGTTATAATGTAATGAAATGAGTCAGAGTGTAGAGGGTGAGTGGTGGATGGTGTACATGCATTTGGAGATGGATGGGGTCCCAAGAATCATCCCCTCTCTCTCTCTATCTCTCTCTCTCTGGACCCATTCTTTCTTGCCTCAGATTTATGTATCTTCTCACATGCTCTCTCTCATCTAAATGCCCTTCCTCTTCACTTTATTTTCCACACACATGCACACACATATATATATATATATTAATAGGTAGATAGAGATAGAGACGTATGATGCTGAGCCAATTCTGTGATAGAGATATAAGGTAGCTAGGTAGCTAGCTAGCTATGTGTGAATTAAGGAAGGGTTAGGTGGGGTCTACGTGAAATTCAATTCCTTTCAATCTAGTGTAGTGATTTGAATCAATAATAGTAGTAGTAGTAGATAAAGAAAGCCCCTTCCTTATTGGCTATTCACCACAGACCACTCTTAAATCAGTATGTCAGTTCTTCTTCTTCATCATCTTCTACTTCTAACATCAATAGGTCGGTCTCTCTCTATTATCAATCACTCATTATGGCTTGTATTTATCACCAAAAAGTGGTCATTAAAACGGTGTCGTTCCATCCACTCAAGATGATCAACTTCGTGTTGCGTCATTTCTTGATAAACAGAATTTAGCATAAACACACCTGAAGTCGGTCGGCATCATAGTCACCTAAATTTATGATTATGATTATGATGATGATGATGACATATTGAAAAAACTAAAGTAGATAAAAACTCTTGATCATCATCTTACTGTAGTAACTCTTGATCATCATCTTACTGTAGTAAGTTTAATGACTACAATCTTTCATATATAGCATATATACACCTTTTCTATCTACAGATTGTCATGTCTCGTTTCTCACTTTATTACATTTTAACTTTTTTATACTATCTTAATTTTAATATATAATTATTTGTAGAATATAATCTAATGAAAAAATTAGGCTTAAATTTTTTTTGAACTATTAAATAATTATTTTAAAAGATATCATATTAATATTTACATTAAATACAGTATATCACATTATATATATATATATTTCACTATTTTTAAGTTTTTACAAAACTTACAAAAATACTACTCCCTCCGTCCCACATAATTTGTTATTATTTTTTATTTTCGTCCGTTCCACATAAATTATACTTTCTATTTTTGGAAATATAATTATGTACTTTAATCGCATTTTAAATTTTAAATTTTATAATTTTTTTAATTTTAATTAAATTATTTACTTATCTTAATTTTAATTTATAATTATTTTTATTAATATATTTTTCTTAATTATTTATTAATTATATTTTACCTAAATTTTCAAATATAGGTTCTTAATTATTTATTAATTATACTTTCCCTAAATTATCATACATACGGTAGTACACCCGACCAAGGTAATATGGACGAAGGGAATAGTATAAACGGAAGTTATAAGGGGTAACATGTGGGGGGAATATAATAAAATAATGAAGCGGACAAAGTGGACCTGTCCTAACAGATAGAGAGGGAATATTTGTCACATTGGGTGGGGACTTCGTACACTGCACTGGATCTCATCAACCCTTTCCCTTCCCTCCTTCATTATTATCTATTTGTTATTTTTTAATTAATAACTGAAAGAAGAATGAGAGAGATCATTACGACTCTTGTTGTTTATATTTTTCTATTCCGTTATTATTATTGTAGTTATGGTAGATAATAGAAATCTGTGTCTTAAGAGTTCCAAACATTACCAAACCATGTGGTCTCATAATTGATGCTTTATTGTATACATTAATGTATTGATATGAATCTATGCACTTGCATATATTATACACATAGCTGCGCGCATGCATTTTCTTTAATATCAAATATGATTCTTACGTCTATCTATTTATTAATTTATCTAACTCGGTTAGGTACATCATTAATAATTATTATTGTTTTTTTGAAAAAGACACTGTTACATCCAAAATATATTTTCTATTAACCATCCAATCTAAATAAGTAGTGCCTAAAACATCAAATTAAGAAAACTACTATATTAGATTTCATGAAATGGGATAGAAGTTGACTAGACGTGATTTGGGTGAAGGTCTGAATCAAGTTTGGTTAATAGAAATGATAACTTTAGGTAGGTAGAGTCGAGTAGAAATTAAAATCTGTCAAAGAAAAAGCACACAGCTACAGTATCAAGTCAATACAGTAAAATTACATGACAATTTTTTTTTCCAGTAATAAGAAAAAAGTAGAGCACCAGCAGTCGAATAGAACACTAAAACCTCTTAGGCAGCAAACAAGTAAAAAATACCTAAAACTTGAAGTCTCTCTTCTTTGCTTTGTTCTCCTTTTCCTGCATCTTTCGTTTCCTCTTGTTCTCGTTCTGGAACAGACCATACATTTTCGACATGATAAGTATTCTTGAATCGGGTGATGAATGAGAGCGCGAAAAAGATATGTGAATTTGGAATTGGGGTAAATAGTAAGTGTGTCTACCTCAGCAACCATGTCGCTGAAGTCCTCGCGCTGGTTCCGTAACTTCTCTTCTTCTCTGGCTTCCTCGTACCTGGGGTTGGAAACATGGTTGTACAAAATTAGTGTTTATATGAAAGATAAATATGCTGTACAATTAAAAATATGCTTAGGTTGGTAGGAAGACTGACTTGGCGGGCAGAACATTCTCCATCTCGTCCAGCTCTTCCGGTGCTAATGTTACATCAACTTTGTCGGATTTCTGGCCTCTCAGTAAATCAACCTAACAGGCACAAAACCAAATGAGGCATATAAGAGTGTCTGTGTGCGACACTGAGTTTCATGATTAATTTGTTTTGTACATTTGTCTTGTGGGTTTATGATAAAAGATCACAACAGAGTTCACTTACCCTTTTAGCCCCAGTTTTGTCCTGTGCACCAGTGTTGATAACATACCTGTATGAGAAGGAAAATATGTAAACATGATAATATTTTAAGAATACAAAACTGTAGTCAAACTGTAGTTTAAAGCTTTCATATAGAAGAGGATGGATTACGTATGGCTTGGGGCAAGCAAAGTGCCGGGTGCAATCTTCTCTTCTTTCTCTTCAAGTACCTTCAGCAAGAAATAACAAAAAAGATTATCAATTAATCCCAGTACAATGAAAATGAGAAAATGTCGAATTTTTGAAAGGGAAATGGAATTACTTGATAGAGAGGCCTGTCGGGTTCTTTCCTCTGTTGTTTACGAAGATCAATGACATCAGGAGTCTCAACCCCAGTTGGAGTGCTATAACCATGAAATCAGTGCAAGCAAATCAAGAGTGGCACAAAGGATATATATATATACATAAACAGGAGGATACCGAATCCAAAATAAAACTATCATATCACATCTACCACTCCTAAATTTCGCAATAGAAGATCTCAGAAAGAATGTGAATATAAGCACATAATACCTTGAGAGACTGTCAACAGATTGAATGCCATCTTCTAATTCCTCTTCCTCCATCTCTTCATCCTCTTCGACTTCTTCTTCCTCCTCCTCTTCTTCCTCTTCCTCCAAGTCACCCCAGTGTTTTGTCTTATCAACTGGTTCCTCCTGGAGATCAATTCCAACAACATGCACAAGAAAGAAAACAAAAAAAAAAAAGAGTAAATACTAGTCTTTAAAAGCCATTGGCAAAAGAGGCACAAGGAAATCTCATCTTCAGCAGTCTAAATTTACCTCATAATTTGGTTGCTCTTGTTGCAGAACCCCAAAAACATCTCCATAGAGGGGGCGCCCATACTAGTTCACAATTGAATAAATAACAGGTGAGAAAACTAATTCATAGAACACAGGGAAATACAGACATGAATGAATGTGAAACCTACTTCATCGACTGGTGGTTTGCCCCAATCTCCATGTCCATAGCCAAATTTAGCTCCAGGTGGAATTGGGGCATTGAGCCCTGGAATCTTCAGATGAGGATAAGAAGGCGGAGGACCATATCTCTGGCATGGAAAGGAATTATACAATTGCAAATTTACTCAATTTTCATAGAAAATATTAGAGGTACAAAATTACGGAAATGAAATACATGGAAAAGAGTAGAGAAACTATTTTATTCCTAACCTGCATATTTATAAGCCAGGGAGGAGGGGCACCGTCAGGCATGCCAAGAGCCTCTTTCAATTCATGCGACAATGAACCCGGTTTCATTTCTCGCAGTTTTACCTATGCATCGAAATAAAACATATATGTAAATGCTTTAAGAGAAAGTCACATGTTTTTGGTGTAATTTTCAGGACAGAATACAAAATCCAGGAAAATCAACATCTTCCAAACATGCTATTATTGATTAATAACAGGTGCAGATTTAAAATATGTATTTAATAGCAATACATATCTCACTGAATGTGTTTATACCTCAAATTCCTTTCCCTCATAATATAAATCACCATGCGATGTCAACTTGGGTTTTGTCTGATGCTTGAAGAAGGCATCATGGAGTACCTGTAGAGAGAACAAATATCACCTCAGACCACACATCACAAACAAAAGTTAATCTAATATTACAGTTAAAGATAGATCTAAAATGCAGATTCAAATCATAAAACAACATAGAAACCTGATAATCAATGTCCATCTTTCCCATTTTAGGCTGCATCTTCTCACGTTGCTTTTGCTTCAACTTTTTACTGTCCTCCTTCTCAATGTATGCCTGCCAGATACATAAACAATAAATGAAGCAAGGCAAGAAACAATTAAAAACTGAAACATTCCCCATAATTACACTGTAGCCATTGATGATTTTGATTGACAAAGCCATCAATCCACTATTGTCAAAGGCACACAAGAATGACTTCATAAAACAACCAAAGGGATTATCTAGGACTTACTTGTCTAATCTTCTCTATCCCAGTGGCAGCAATAAAATCAGGAAGTTGAAATGGCTGCTTCTCAATTCCCCTCTTTCCCTGCAAAGCAAGTAAAAAGACTGATGAGCTATATATCAATGCAGTATTTTAATCATCTAAGAAGCTCTACTAGTAGATTTAAAAACCCTGACCACCATAACATCAAGAGGCACTGTACAGATTGAATTCTCCAAAATGGTCGAGAAGCACACTATAATATTTAATTCTTAAAACGGTCATCCTTACAAATTATACTCACCCAAGATAATCATGTGGCGAAATCACCATTTCTCCATCATTTCAGTTTTAACCAAAGAAATGACAGATATTCAAACACAATATTTCATTTAGTTATGTGGCATTTGGCACATATTAGTAAACAAACATTAATCACGGGGATCCCTGGAGAATTCCTTAGCTGCCTTGCAGAGTTACAGGTTTAGTTCCCATATAAATGTTTTGAAAGAAATTTTAAATGTGGTATCATATACACCACACCCAACCCAACTAGCACACACACTGAATATAATTCATGAAAGGCCACCCTTGCAAACACCTACATGTCAAGGCTCCATAAGTCCCACCGCAGCACTCCTGCAAGAATCATATATACATATAAGACAACCTCATTGACTTATCGCCCATCACTCCCTAAACTTATCACTTAAGCCCACTCCCCACCATACCCACTGATAAACATTTTACATGGTACATAATCAAAACTCTTTGGGAATGCAAAGCTAAATTAGCCGAGTCAACAAGTTAGATGCAGAGACTCACCTGCAAAAACTTTCTCTTCTGGCACCAGTGTCGAGGTACTGCAACAGTATTTCGATACGACTTTAGGTACACCAACAGCTTTGGATCCGATGCAGTGGCATCCCACACCTAAATGTCATACATTATAATTTGGAGAGAAAGACACTAATGAGTTATAACTTGCATCTTATCAATACGCAGAAGCCAAGTTTTAAGTATCAGAGCAACATGTTCTCCATATACTGATATTTTAACCTTGACCTAGAACTATGCAAGAAGTAACATAAAAATTATTAATAATAATGACTATACATAAAAAAGGCAATGCAAAATATGCTTTATTGAACTTTGGATATTTTAATCTGTGTGTGCAACCAACATCAGAAAAGCAAAAATTCAGTTTTATAGAGTTTGCTTTTGGATGATCTATTGTCGTTAACACACCAAGAAGGAAATACCCAAGTTGTAATACGGTATGTCGAATACAAGAAAAGAGGAGTCTATCACCAAAACAAAGTCCATTGAATTTGTACAATAAAATTACACAGTGAGTGGAACATATTGCATTATAGAAGTTGGGATACCTCGACAACATCAGGCCGAGTGCAAATCTGTTTCAGTTCAGCAATCTTCATTCTACGTTGAAGCTGTAAAAGTGAAGAACGATTTTAGCTTAAGAAGTTGGAAAAAAAAAAAAAACAAAAAACAAAAACCAGAGGTGAAGTGATCAACCTTCTTCTTTTTATTGGAGACACCTTTCTCTTTCTGCTGGCTATCCTGTTCCTCCTCATCTGAATCAGAGTCAGCCTTTTTTGCTGCATCAGCAGCCGGGTCATCCTTTTTATCAACCTCCTGAAGAAAAGTTATTTGTATATGGAACAGCAAATAAGAACCAACCAAATGAAGAATCAAACAGAAAGAAGGAAGACTAACAAATGAAATATCAGAAACTAAATAGGATATTCTTGGACTTTTCAACACACCTCAGAAATAGCATTTTCCATAAAGCTGAATTTCTCAAAAACCTTTCTGAATTCCTCATCCAAAACTCCATCTAGTTCTGCCTTCTCTGGTACATACTCAACCTCCACAAGTTCTAAAGCCTGAAATGCAAACAAAAGCACAGTGAAATGCAATCAGATTGATTTAAGTGTTTGAAGATTACAGCACAAACTATCTGCCAGAAAGGTGTAGTCTCTTAAAAATAGATTAGACTGTTCATATACCCTGTTGATAAAAAAATGTATATCACCTCCTTGGATGTCTAAGAGGGTTCATGCCCTCGTAAGGAATGCCTCATAACTACCAATGTCATTGTTGCCATTTTACACATGAGAATAATACTACATTAGGTGATAAAATTACCCAGAGCCAAGGAAAATGAAATTTGCGTACAAATAGGCTTTTCCGCATAACGAAACAGAGCATAAAAATTTGGGCAAACCACCCTTTTATTTGAAGAATTAAAACGAATCATAAACATTTAAGATATAATCTGCTTGGTGTTCTATCAATACTTTATTATCTGAAAGGGAAACGTTGATTCAGGCACGATTAGAGATATGGTGCATGCGATAGTGTATGCTCTAGAATGTATTATCTATATTACGCCATTTTAGCAACCACCAAAACCGACGGCGGAAAAATCCAAACCAGCTACGAACTTCAATATATCTCGAAACAGCAAAAAACTCAAAGAAAAACTTCAAACAACCTTTTGAGGATCGGAGTTCTCTTTAGAACTGTGGTTGGCAACGCCGTCGGCGTCCTCCGCAGCAGTGTCGCTATCATCTCCAGCAGCCGCGTTCTGCTTGCTCTTTTTCTGCTTCCTCCGCCTCCTGCGCCCCTCCCGCGATTTCTTGGCGGCGCCGTTAGGGTTTTGAGATTTCAAATCACCGGTGGACGGCAAGACACCGTCGGAAACTCTGGTCGCCGCTTCCACTGGCATCCTCGAATTTCTATCCACAAAATATCTAAATCCAATCAGATCAGATTCAGAGAAGAACAGAAACTCACTGTCGAATTCCCTCCCCGCCCCGAAGTGTAGAGAGAAACTCACCCCCTCCACGACGGTCTCCTCCACCACAAAATATCCTCGACGATTCAAATTTGGGCTGGGCCTAAGCCCAACCATTTAAATACCATTCTTGCCCAGCCCAAATATTGATGGATCCAATCACTTGTAATGGGCTTTAATAGTTCCGTACAACCCACAATACCAAAATGTGATAAAGCAGTTAAAGCGGAATGCTTGTGTTGTGTCTCAACGAAGCAGTATAAGCATTTGCATATGACCAAACTACCTTCTACTGTGTTGTAACGCCCATTTTATGACATGTTTCTACCTTACATACTCTTAAGTTTTAACATTATTTATTAAAAATATATATTTTCTAAAATCATATCAAAGATTCAAAATTTTAAAATTTTAATGAAAAATAACATTTTTAATACTGTTTGAGTGTATCACACTGTGATATATCCTCAAAGAATGGTAAGGTGGAAGTAACCGTGAAATCATGGATTCAAGCTTAGGATGTCTTTAAGTCCAACTGTCACACATGATTGTGATTTACCTTGTAAAGCTTAATCTGTAGGATATCAAGTTCGGTGGAAAATTACCCAGAATGCATAAGTACACCAGCGTGTTTGTTTAGAGGATTGAATTAGATTTATATTATTCATCCAATTTTTTTCCCTAAAAAATATCAAATCAAACACCTATTTTTTATTTTTTATATTATACTAAAAATCAATTTTACATTCAAAACATCACGTCAACACATATTTATATCACATAATACAATTATTCAAATTCAAAATTTTTACTATTCAAATCCCAACTCAAAATCTAAATCCCCAAACAAACACACCCTAAATATGCATAGACTTAAGATGTTTATGTTGTTTTAAAAAATGTATTGTTTGCTAATTTTATATATAGTGATACAGAAAATCATATAAACGATTCTTTTTAATACAATCGAATAAAACATGGTTGGATTTGAGAATTGGAGGTATTATTCACTTTATTCTGTAACAACCGAGCCCATTTTGCAAGATATTAAATTTGACTAAAATTTATTCAAAGCGCATTCCACGGTGCTTGTGGATTCTCAAATTATCAAAAAAAAAAAAAAAAAACTAATGTAATAAAATTGACTAAACTTAGCTTCATTCTATGCTCTTTATTACACTCAAAGAAGAGAAGTTGCAAACAACACATGTGCTCAACAAAACATGCTGTATGATGCTCCCGTCCTCGACGGCAATGGCTCGGCTCTGTTTATTCCACAGATGAATAGCGAAACTATGGCCTCGAATCTGCTTAAGCTTCGCGAATATCCATTTCGAGTGACGCAAGCTCTTTGGCCCCATGAAAAGACTTCTAATCTTACTCCAATCGACAGGATAGAACGCCATTGGCGGCAGCACCATGAAGTCTAACCCCAACTCTTCACGGTGCATCCTCGAGACTACTCTTGATACCAAATACGGCCCATTGTGTCCCCATTTGTTTCCATCAAATGTCTTCGCGAATTCTTCGATAAACTCGCGAAGCAACGGATGGCCCCTGTCAAACGCCATCACCGCATTATTCAACCGGCTCCAATTCCGCGTGGCGAGATCGATAGTCTGCGCGCCGATGGCATTCCTCAGGCCTTCAAAGCTTTTCAAAACAATGACGTCGGTGTCGATGTATATCCCGCCAAATCGATAGAGTAGACCCATTCGAAGCAGATTCGATAGGTTCTGACCCAACGAAACCTCCCCGGGATTTACGTGCCCTTTCTTCAACTTATTGTACCAAGCTCGAGCTCCCGTCCCTTTGAACAGGTAATCGAAGTCGGGAGAAATTGCGGCAATGCGCAAACCCATGTCGGAAAACGGCCTCAAGATTTCCGTCCCTTTCGCCGAATCCATCGTATTTGAGACGATGATCAAGCAGCCTTTCGGATGCGCCTTGAAAACACTCTCCACACAGAGCATCTCTCTGTCTCCGAAAGACTCCGCCGAAGAAATCCAAGTCATGAAAAATCTGAACTTACAGGAAGAATGCGAAGAATCGGACCTGAAAAACTTCCTCACTCTTGATCCAAACAGCTTCGAATCCTCAGACTCCTGAAGAAGCTTCATCGAACGCCGCCTCCATCTCCCTCTTCGTGTAGCTTGCTTGATTCTGCGTCTGCTTATCGAATCGACCAAGTTTTGATCTTTGCGATTCAAATTCTCGACTCTGGCTTTCGCCAAATGCTGCATGGCAGGCCATAGTTTGGGGGAGGACGAAAAAGAGGAGGTTCTTGATTTTCCAGTGGCATTTTCCGGCAAGAAGCTCGCCGGAGGAGCCGGGACGGGGACAATGACATGGGTGCAGAATATGGTGGCAGTGTTGTAAGCTAAGAGACAGATCAGAAGAAGAGAAAGCAAAGCATAGAAAGATCTCTTAGTTCTCTGCCAGTGCAAAAGAACCAAAGACAAGAAAATGGAATTGCTTTCCATTAAAAGAAGAACAAAGGAAACTTTGAATAAGACATAGAAAGCAGAAAAGTGATGATATTTGTGATTTTATTACAACACTCTGTGTGGAGGTCAGAAACAGGCATTGGTCATTTTTCTTTCCCCCATTTCTGGTGTCTGCAAGAAACTGCTACTCTTTGTAATACCTTAGGAAGAAGGGTGGATGTTTTATTTATTCTTGCAAGCATAATTTGTACATGCCCACAAGCCATTGGAAACCCCAAAACACCCATTTGTATATATTCTTTTATTTTAATTAGAAATAGTCGATGCTTTGAGAAACACATTAAAGACAGATAGATCAATGTGTACAATAAGTATTTTAAAATAAGGTGTGTGCCAAATTGCTACAAACATTTGCTGCAATGTCAAAAAACAAAACATACATAAAGTTTTAAAATGGCTACAAGTTCTTAACACATAGTGAACTAGCAAATCAGTCATTGGTAGTTCAGTCACGCAGGAATAAACAGTTGATGTAATTTGATAACCATATAAATCACTGAATAAAGCACAAACAAACATCGATATGCAGCAGGTAGGGAATAGGAGAAAGAAGCTGCAGACCTGGCCGAACATCGCAGTCAGTGCTATAAGACAAACCAAATATCGATGATATGATCCAGATTTCGGTCCATAGAAACCAGCGCAATTAAAAGTATAGTCCAGCAATTAACCCAAACTCCACAGATTAAAATCCGATGCAGGGAGAAGGTCATAAGAGCTGCAATGGGCAAATATTTCATATGGATTATAGCAGATTCACAGAAGCCCTCTCCGACGCTTGTAGTCGCTGACAGTCAATGTCAGTGAATGCCTCTTGCCGTCGTTTTCTTGAACCTTGTACCCAAGGGTGGCTTCTATCCTCTGTTTTCTAGCCAGAAATCCGGCTAGTGCGCCCTGAGGTCCACCGAACTTCTGAAGGCCGGCTAATGAAATGGGCAGATCGAAATTATGTAGCAGATTTGACTCGGTCCCTTGATCTACAGGAGCACTTGTGTCGACCAACTTGCCGGCATCAGCTGCAGCTTCCAGTGCTGCTGCAGTAGCCGCCATCCCAGCCTCAGATGAAACTCTAGTAACTCCACTGCTATCAGGGACAGCAGCAGCAGGGGCATCACCGGCTGATTCTCCCCCTGCAGGATTCGCCACGTAATAATTCCTCGACCTGGTCCATCTCCTAGAGAAGGGATCATACCCGGCCTCGCCAGCTTTCAAAGCTGTGTTCACAGGCTTCAGTTCCGATGCATTTCTGAAATTCTCAACCCTGTTTCTTCTGTTCATTTCTGCTAACTTAACTGCCTTAGAATTCTTCACCTGCGTCTGGCGAGCAGCATCCAGTTCTTGCAGCCTTGAATTGATCCTCTCTATTGCAGCCTCGTCATCCTTCTCTTTGGCAACTTCCAAGGCTCTCCTCAGACGATCCTTCTCCGCAGCAATGTTAAGTGGCCTCCACGTCGCTGATTTTTTTTCCTGCAACATCTGCTTCACTGTGGCTGCAGAGTAAACAAAACTGTTCGTTTTTTGTATGGCCTCCAGCTTGTCTGAAACCTCTTGTTTGGTCGGCATGTGACCGCCACTACGCTCCACCTCATGAACCCAATGAGTAAATTCCTTCTTTTGTGGGGGTGAATCAGAAACCATTGTCATCTGCCACCTTGCAGCCGAGCTTTCGTTTCCCCACACCACATTTAGGTATTTATATGTTGTCTTGTTGTCAAAGGGATAATGTCTGTCAGGATCCGAGGCATCAACATTTCGTACCATGCAGAGCCTATAAATAGGACCATCTCGGGATCTTCCAATTCCAAGCCGCACAAAACAACCAACAATCAATTCATCAAAGAAAGGCTCCATTAACCATTTTGATAGCTTTGACCTTCGAATAGTTATTTCCTTAATGTCTTCAAACTTTGGCGACTCGGATGACTTGTCTTCATCACTATCACCCATTCCACCATCACCTGTTGAATCTCCCTCATCGCTATGAGATCCACTATCACTCCTGCTGGGGCTGCTCATGGTTGCAGGAGTGAAAGTTCTTCTTTTCACAGGTGAGTACCGGCTGCCAGAGCCCCCTCTAGCAGCATCCCTTCTTCGTTTTACTAATTCATCCAATGCACCAGCTCTTTCAGCTTTTGAGCGCATGTTTCGGGTGTGTGTTTTGGGGGGGCTACCTTTTTTATCCTGGCCCTTCCTTTTCTTCAATTTTTCAGTCAAATCACGATCACTTCTCTTGGTTGCACGGGCTTCCAATATCATTTCTCGTTCAAGTTCCGTAAGCTTGGAGAGTTTTTCTCTATCATCTTCATCTTTGTAGAGATCGCTCCCAACAGAGTCATTATCACTGTCATGATCACGATCATAATCACCATCACCTTCTTGACTACTCCGATCATCATCTCTATCTGCAGGATCCAGCCTCTTCTTGAGAGGCACTTGGGAGCCCGGTAGCTTTCTATTAGAATAAGCACGATCGCCATCTGAGTCATCATTCTTTGAATCACTTCCATCGTCGGAATATGAACCTTTTCTTTTCCTCCTAGATGGTGGAGATGAGTGGCGGTTTCGTCCAGATGCAGTTGTCCTTCCAGCGGCCTCCAGGAGCAACTTCTCTAGATCTGCCATAACTCACTGCCTATAAGGAACAGAAAGCAGCATACCTTAGAATCCTCGTGGATTCATACAAAGTTAGCAATAAATTTCAAGAACCAAAACAACTATCCATCTATCAAGGGAGATATTGGGATATGAAAAGGGAATGATATATTATGTTAAAAGTAAATTATGACTAAGATTTATTGAGCCAACTAAGAAACAAATGACCATGAAGTATACATTCATACTGAGAAAGAAAACAAAAACTAGCCACTTCACCAGGATAAAAAAAAACATGTAATGCCGGAATATGGGGTTGGAATATAGTCTAATAAAACAATCATTTCGGGAGAAGAAGATATCTTTAATTGGAAGGAAACACAGAATCAATGTCTAGATAGTATTATGGAATTGATTACTTCCTAGACTTCGAAGCATTAAGATCCACAAATAGACGCAATGGTGCGATCAGAGAACTATACTGGACTTTTCAGATCTTAAAGGGATTTCTTTGTTACAGTAACTTTCTATTTGAAATATTAAATGCATACCTTTCTCGGCCTTTTGGCTAAGATCAATGTTCTAATTAAATGGATAATTTCATCACAGCTGTCACCAACTTCTAGCGAGGGCGGGCTAATGCCTTACGCCCCATGGAATCTTTATATGTGCAAGGAATCTTTTTATATGTAGCAAATTCTAAAACAACGTTGTGCATTTAGCATATGTTCAAAAAAAGTCTGCCTATATACAAATTTATTCAGAAAGTGCGGATTTGCAAGATAAGGGATGATTCCTTCTAATGCTTTGAGTAACTCAAAAGATATGGTTCTGAACTTTAGAGCAATGCCGAGAATATGAAACATAGCTCAAGGAAGTGCAAATGAGATTTTGATGAATTCAAGGAGAAATGGGAAGAATGGCAAAAAGGATCAATAGCACGAATCATAGAAGATTGGAAGAACATTAAATACCTTTTGCTTAATTCCCATTCTTCATTGCTCGTCCATGAAAAAAAATCATAACTCAAAACAAATTGCTGAATTGACTAGTACTACTAACAATCTTATGGAAGAATCAAATGATTAAAAATCAGAAAAGAGTTTTTATAAAAAGGAATTTGAGGAGGTGGTGATTAGGGTTGAGGGGCGAGTGGGGAAGTGCAAAAAATATTTCAGAACCAGATCATCGGATCTGTACAGCCAGCAAACCGAACACTTTAAAATCGCACAATCCACATCCAAATACACAAGATTCCACTTACAACGTGCAAACCCTAGAACTTCACAAGGGAACACAGGCGATAGAGTAAAAAGCTTAGCCTTTTAGAACATAATCGAAATAAAATTCCATCCCCGTCTCAGAACATTAGTGTTTTAACAGATCTTTCACGGATTACCGGAGTTCATAGGCGCAATTACCGACAACAAACAAAAGAAACACCCAATTAATCAGTAAAGCACAAAAACTGATAGAGAATCCAACTAAAACAACGCAGCAGAACGTTCATCACGATGGACACAGACCAACCTTTGAAACAGGCGACACGGCGAGCGAAAACCTCCAGCCGGCGGCACAAAGAGAGCGGGGTGGCGGTTTCTAGACGCTGTACTCCCCTATTTATCCCCGCCGGATTTTTACTCAGATGAGGTAATTAGCGCTTTCTATTGTTTTCTAGTATTTGTCTAATAGCGCTTTTGACCCTTTAAATTGTGTAAATAGATATGGTTAGCAACGAAACCAGAATCAATTCAATAGCCATTTAGGAAGCTGTAATTGAATTTTTTATTATTTTTTTTAAGTCTATAAATTTATTAATTTGATGAATAAATAAAAAATAAAATTATTGATATATATAATTATATAAATTTATACCAATACAAAATTTATAAATATAATATATTTAAAATTCTAAAAAAATAAAATTAAAATTATTATATATTATCATACTCTCTCGGTCCTAAAAGATTTGTCTTATTTTTCAATTTTCGTCCGTTCCAAAACAATTGTCTTGTTTCCTTATTTAGTAGCCGTGGTACCCAATTTATAACAAAATTATTCCTATTTTTCCATAATATTCCTAATTATTACTCTAACGTACTCTTTAAAATCCTTAAAAAAGCAAAGGCATTTTCGTCATTTATATTCTATTTTATACCCACTTTCGATTAAATATTATTATTTCTTAATTTCCGTGTCAACTCTCAATAAGACATTTATTTTGGGAACGGAGGGAGTATTTTATAAAACAAATTTAATACTCCTTGTCCGAGAACTATAATCTTAATTGGGTTTGACACGGAATTTAAGAAATATTGATATTATATTGATAGTTGCTAAAAAGTAAAGATAAATGATTTTTTTGCCCTTGTGAGTATATTAGTGTAAAAAATAGTGGCAATTGTGTAATAATAATGAAAAAGTAAGGATAGTTTTACGGTGATATGATTATTTATGGAAATGAGACTATTGTTTTGCGACGAACAAAAATGGTAAACAAGGCTATTGTATTGGGACGGAGGGAGTATCTCTTTTTATCAATAAATTTATTCACTATAAATATATTTAACAAATATAAATTAAGACCCACTCAAAACTCTTAAATTTTATGTCTCATATATTTTATTGAAATATAATAATAATAATAATAATATTTAAAATAAACAAAACTATTCACATAAGAAAATAATAAAATAACTTATTATTAATAAATTATTAATCTAAATTACCTAAAATATCGGGTTAATAACCAAATGACTCATCTTTGCCAGAATAAAAGAAGTATAAATCAATTTAATTAAACTTTTAATCTATTAGATATATGAACCACTTAAACTTCTTTATTTATATTTTTCTATTTAATTAATAAATATTCTTATTTACTTATTTATTTTTTGTTTACAAATAAAAATAGGTGAAGTTAAATATAATAAAAATATATTTGTTTTTTTAAAACAAAATAGAATTAAAAAAATTTTGAATGAATTTTACAGTGATTTATAATATTATATATTATGCCGCTGATTTACTATTTATTAAGTATATTTTAATTTAATAAATTTTATTTAAAATAAAAAAGTATATATTATTATAAATAAAAAATAAAAAAAAGTATCACAAAGGGAATATTTTATATCTATAAAATATATTTTTTATTTATAATAAAATATTTTTAAATATATATTTTATCCGTCCAAAATAATTTATTCACTCTTTCTATTTTCACTAATCTCATATAATTTATTTTTTTATTTTTTATAAAATATAATTATACATTTTAATCAAATTTTAAAACTCATAATTTATATTTTTTTAATTTTAATTAAATTATTTAATCATTTTAATCCTAATTTATACTCTCTCCGTCGCAGATACCATGTACACGTTGATGTTTCTGTCTGTCCCATATACCATGTCACTTTTATTTTTTGGAAAATAATTACACACTTTAATCTCATTTTAAATTTTTTAATTTTATTTTATTTTTATTTTTAATTAAACTAATTAGTTATTTTAATTTTAATTTATAATTATTTATATTATAGAATAATTATTTACTAGTACATTCTTAATTATCTACTAATTATACCCATCATAAAATAGTATCTATAGTATAGACACAATATCTGGAATAAAATGAATAATTATTTTTATTAAATTATAATTATTGTTATTGTTATATTTATTAATTATTTACTAATTATATAATAACTTTGTGCCCAACTAAACTTAGACCAATTAACTGGAACGGAGTAGTATCAATCAAACCGTCCATATGATTATATATATATATATATATAATTTTTTTTTCTTTAAACGAATCACTCTATTTGTCTTGATATAAATAAAGAAAATATGGAAATAATAAATAAAGTGCTTGTTTATATATATTTTTTCTTTTTTCCATTCGTTATAGTAATTTTTTATTAAAAATAGTATTAAATAATTATTTTATTTTGATTTTAAACGCACACGCAACAATGAGCGGAAAAAAATAATCCAAAAGAACTGGAGACGCATGATTAAGCGCTAGTTAATTATCATATTACTAAAATTAGAAATAATAAATAAAGTGCTTGGTTATGGTATATTTATTTTTTTCTTTTTTCTATTCCCTATATTAAATTTTCATTAAAAAATAGTATTAAATAATTATTTTATGTTGTTTTTAAACCCACACGCAACAATGAGCGGAAATAAAAAAAATTCCAAAAGAACTGGAGACGTGTGATTAAGCGCTAGTTAATTATCATATTACTTACTTAAGCCCATTAGTTAGGCCCATTACTTTGTTAATAGCCCATCTATTATGATTATATATACGGCTGCAGTTTAGAAACTGCCCTCTAGTCTCTCTCTGCCTTCTCGATCTTTCGGTTCTGTCTAATGAATTCAACCTACCACTCCAACTCTCCACTCAATCCAGCTAGCAAAAGCTCTCAATTCGCTGAAAATGGAGGAAATCCGACACGAATACATCAAAGTGAACGGCCTGAAGCTTCATGTGGCGGAACTCGGAACGGAATCAGCGCCGGCCGTAGTATTCTTACATGGATTCCCGGAAGTATGGTACTCGTGGCGCCACCAGATTATTCCTGTCGCCAAAGCTGGGTTCAGAGCGATTGCTTATGATTACAGAGGATACGGAGAATCCGAGCAGCCTCCCGAACCGGAGAAAGCCACGTTCGCAGATTTCATGAACGATCTCCTCGCTCTTCTCGATGCTCGTATGCTGGTCAAGGTACATTAGCATAGATCGGAATATATTTTCTTTTCCCTGGCTGCTCTTGTAGCGTAGCTATTTGGATGTTTCTCCAAACTCTATGAAATTCATGTATCTTGCCGTATGAAATTTAATCGCAATGTTCCTCAATCGCTAGATCAATTATAGTTCTAGGTCTGCTTAACGAGTGATCAATTTGGAAATATCCCCTGTTTGCTTCCGTTTAAACTCAGGAACGAAATCATGCTTGTTCCTCCGCAATCTTCATCCCTGTGTGGATTCTGATACTTTGTTGGAATGCTCCACAATCAAATATATAGAAGTAGCACATTTAGCAAACAGTAACTGTACTTTGGTGCTAGCATCCAAACTTGAACAATTGCTCCACTGCAATAATCTCTGTCTCTTACACGCCAATTTCTTGCCTAAAAATTTTGGACAGGTTTTTCTCGTTGCTAAAGACTTTGGAGTTCGAATTGCTTACATATTTGCAATGCTTCATCCGGAAAGAGTATCTGGAATCATCAACTTAGGTGTGCCTTTTGCACCTCCAGGTCGCACTAATATCCCAAACCTTCCTGAAGGTTGCTACATCACCAGGTTTAAGGTGAAGATACATTTCTGTTTATTCTGTATGGGTAATGCTCTTGAAATACCCTATTTTGACTGTAATAATTGTTTCCAGGAACCTGGAAGGGCCGAAGCTGATTTGAACCGTTTCAGTTGTAAAACTGTCCTGCGAAGAATCTACATTCTTTTCTCACGGAGTGAGGTGCCAACAGCTGATGCAAACCAGGAGATAATGGATATTGTGGACTCAACAACTCCTCTACCGCCATGGCTGAGCGAGCAAGATCTTGATGTATATGCATCTCTCTACGATAAATCCTCCTTCCAAACTGCATTGCAAGTTCCATACAGGTAATATGCAACTATTCAATTTTTTTCAAAAGTATCACATTAAATACATTTTTTCTTCCTACAAAGTTGACTGATCAGATTCATTTCAGGTCTCTGCAAGAACAGTTCAACATAGAAAACAAGAAAGTCGATGTTCCTGTGCTGGTCATCACCGGTGAGAAGGACTTCTCGTTGAAGTTTCCAGGCATAGAAGACTACATCAAAAGCAATAAGGCAAAGGCATATGCGCCCCATTCTAAGACGGTATACTTGCCAGAAGGCTCCCATTTCATGCAGGAGCAATTCCCTGACAAGGTAAATCAGATGATACTGACCTTTCTCAGGTTGCACAGTTGCCATAGATAGAGAGGACTGTATCGGATGGCATGCTTATTTCCATGAATTGAATTTTGTTACAGACATATTACAAGAACCAAAGAAAATAATATGAAATTCTAGAGAATTTAGTTACTAACTTCAATCCAAATTGATTAATCCATGAATTTTACTATGATGTACACACAACCTAAGAATTTGTAAAATAGATTCGACAAAGCAAGTTACACTAGCCTAATTGAGAATTTTTTTTTTCCTTTTGGGATCGGAATAATTGAATAATATAGAAAAGAAATGCTCATAATATTAAACACATCCTAAGTAAAAGCTGAAAACAATGTTTAGTAATAATATATTATATATATATTTCAAATTTTGGGGTTTGTTTATTAGAGTAGTGTATTTTTACAAGAAATTGAAGTTGAAAGGGTTTGATGGTACAAAGAAAAATTCAAACTAAACTAAGATTTTGATTTGAAATTGGTGTGGTAATTTAATTTTTAACTAAATAGTTTTTGATTTCTAAATATTTTATGAAAAAAAATATTTTTTATTAATAACAACCTAAGAAGAATAATGATTTTTTTATTTGAAATAAAAGCAAACACATCCAAGGGTTTGTTTTATAGTTATTTTAATTATTAATTACTAATTTGTTATTATTATTTTTATTTTAAAATATTTTATATTTTTTGAAAATAATAATAATAATAACAATAATAATAAAAGAATTATATACTTTCTCCCTCCATATAAGGTGATTGTACTTACCATTAAAAATATTTTTATATTTGTATAATTTTTTTATAAAATATTTTTCTATTAGTATTATTATATATTAATAGAAATATTTTTGTATTTTTTTTAAATTTATATTATATTTTAATATAATAATTAATATTTAAACATCAACCCACAGTAAAAAGTGCAAAACCTTTATAGTCAGACACGATAGTATATATTTTTACGAGAGCCGAACCTATCATGGTATTGGAAAGAAAGAAAGAAATGGGCATCGTGCCAGGCCACCGCAGGGAGCTCCATCACCTGGACTCCCATATGCACATCCAAACTATAGATAAATATACAAGCTTTGTTTATACAATATATTTTTATTTATTTTGTACTATTTATTTTTTTATAAAAATTAAATAAAAAATACTTTCTTATCATAAAATATCAAATCAAATATTAATTTTTATTTTTTTCAAACATTTAAAATTTCAAAATCCTTCAAAACCTTCAATCTAAACAATGCCATAATATCTGATTTGTTGCTGAGATTATTCCACGGGCTCCCGCATGCTCTTGGAAGGGCTCTCAGCTAGAGCTTTTAAACGAGCTCGAACAAATTTGAACGAATTTAATCGAGTCGAACACGAATATGAGTTCAAACAACAAAAATTCTTAACGAGCCGAGCTCGAACATTACGAACAAGCTCGAAAGCTTAACGAACGAGCCCAAACCTTGTTCGCGAACGTTAACGAACACTTAAAATTTGGCTTGGCTCGACTCGGCTCGGATCGTTAACAGCTCTACTCTCAGCCCCATCCACGTTCTGCATGCTCTTACGAGTATACTGAACACAGAGATTTGAACTCAAGTTGCTAAGATATGATATTATTAATTTATTTATCTATAAAGGGGAGTTTTCAACAAATATAAGTATTTTAAGATGGATAAATGTCTTTTTATTTAATCTATTTTCGATGAGATGATCCAATATTCAATTCATCTATTATGTTAAGCATAAACTATTTTTCTTAAAAATATTACTTATATTTGAACATAAAATATAAATACAAATTGCAAATCAAACATACTCTTGGTATTTGATATTCATAATCCATAAAAAAGAAAATAATAAGTATAGGATAAAATGATTTCTAAATTGGAATTAAAAATAGATCATATATCATTTGTAATTGTTATTTTTTGGAATAATTTCACAATTGTATATTATAATTAATATAATGAGAGTAGGCAAATAGAGTTAAATAAATTTGATAGATTTAAATAATAACAATCTATCTAATAAATATAAATAAATTTAATTTTAACCAATCAAATTTAATATGAACCAATAATTGAGAGAAAATATGGAAAATAAAGAGAAACGCAATAAGTTAAATAGCAATGATGGTTACAATAAATAAATTAATGTAAGATAGAATTAATTTGGAGGGAGTTATAATGGACGGATTTGGACGTCCACAATCAACCAAAACCAGTCCCTTTTCTTTCTTTTTTATTCTTTTCATGTTTTATGCATTTTCTGTTGTTATCTCCAAATATTTTACCTTTTTTTTTTTATTTGAACTTTCTTCAATATCTAAAGTTTTTTTAGACAACGATCTAACTTATACTTTGTCAAGTTTTCTTATTTATCTTAATCTTCGATTATCTCAAATATTACGCATGAAATCTTACTTAAAAAATTTCTTGAGTTAGCCCGAAATCCATCGTCATATCCATTTGGCCGGCTCAACTCTGTGTACTGAAAATGAATTTTGAGATTCAATAAATTGACACGTCGAATAGGATCATTGAGCCTCTAGCATCGTTAATGCAATTACAAAATCAAGCTTTGGAAGATCCTTTCACGCTGCTGCTGTTTGTTGTGAAATTGTGGTGGCCGGCTGCAGGTTTTTGGATATGAATGTTCGTTTGTATTTTTAATTTATAATTTATAAATATTTTCTTTGATAATATTTTCAAATTTTAATCATAAAATGATTTTTTATATTATATATACTTTTTATAATTACGAGCTGCAGTTTTATAGTTCGATATCTTGAAACTTATTGAATATCTTTTTTTAGATTATGTTTAAAAATATATTCTCTTCCAGTAAACTTTTCATGTTAACAATTTTGATATTATTAACAAATTAAGTTTAGGCATCTTAAATATCACATATATCTCATGGACATTTGTTTATGAAGAAAGTATTTGTTAAAAAATATATATATACTTCATAGAAAAATTTGAAATTTTTTCAAATTCATAAAAAATTGATATAATATTTTATATAAAATATTAATATTTCGTATAATATATATATATATATATATTAATACTGTTAATAATATCAAAACTTAAAATATGTACATATATCTTAAAATACACTCGAAATTACCAACACACACACAGTACGTACATCTATTTATAGTTAATGTGAGCGGACGTATCCCCTGATTGCCGATGCGCATATCTCTCGACCTCAGTGATCGTACGAAAATGGAGAAAATTGAGCACAAGTTCGTCGAGGTCAACGGCCTTAAGCTTCACGTCGCAGAAATCGGGAGCCAAGCGTCGCCGGCGGTGGTTTTCCTGCACGGCTTCCCTGAGATATGGTACTCGTGGCGCTACCAGATGGTCGCCGTAGCTGAGGCAGGGTTCAGAGCTATAGGACTCGACTACAGAGGTTTCGGACTCTCCGATCCTCCTCCGGTGCCAGAAGATGCCAAATTCGCAGACCTCGTCTCTGATGTGATCGCGCTGCTTGACGCACTCTCCGTCCCCAAGGTACGGTTCCTTCCTCCTGCTTTAACTATAAACTGAGTGTCGAGAATCAACTGCAGCCTTTTAAGATATACTACATACAATCTGAGTTGAAAAAGTTCTACGGTTAGTGTTAAGCTAAGCGCGAGCGTGTTGGTTGTAGAGTGTTTAACTGTATCAAAAATACTTAATCCAAAGCTCTGTGGAAAGATCATTATCAATTGAGAACAGCGAAGTAGTCGTGGATCTGGTGCTAGATATTTTAACCTCGAGCTTTCGGTATCAATATATGGTGTTTGTATACCAGCTAAGCCATGTTTGATCTTTCTGTATTAATTTTGAGGTGCAAACTCTTAATGCATTCAGTGTGATGCATAGATACCTCTTTCGAATGTATTGGACACAGGCTTTTCTCATCGGCAAGGATTTCGGAGCATGGCCTGCATATCAAATTCCCCTTCTTCACCCCGAGAGAGTCTCTGGAGTAGTCACGTTAGGAGTGCCTTATATACCTCCTCCACCTCCATCTGCTGGATCGTTCCTTGCTCGTCTTCCTGAAGGTTTCTATGTAGCAAGATGGCAGGTCTGACACAAATTAATCCTCTGTTCCTTTTTCGAAGCACGTTTTTTCATTTTCATAATGTGCACAGAATTTTGAATGCATCTGCCACATTGTGTTCTTACTCCTTATAGAATTTGAGCTGACTCCAATTTTTCTGTATCCAGAAACCTGGTAGAGCCGAGGCTGATTTTGGCCGCCTCGACAACAAGTCAGTTATTCGAAACATCTACGTACTTTTCTCACGCGCTGAAATGCCAACTGCAGCTGAAAACCAAGAGATAATGGACTTGGTTGATTCATCTACTCCTTTACCAAGCTGGTTCACAGAAGAAGACCTTGCCGCCTACGGCTCCCTCTACGAAAAATCCGGATTCCGCACTGCTTTGAAAGTTCCATACAGGTAACCAACAATCTGATGAACTATGTTTCAATCCATACAAGTTTCAGCCTCAATTTATCATCCGTTTCTGCACCTCCATAGTTATCATGCATTATCTAATTTGGTTCAGCTGATTGAATCCAGATCATTCTCCGAAGAGTTGAACGTTACAAACTTGAATGTCGACGCTCCAGCACTGTTCATCATCGGCGAGAAGGATTACTTCTTCAAGTTTCCAGGAATGGAGGACTACGTAAAGAACGAAGGTTCTAAGGATTTTGTTCCAAAGCTGAAGACAGTTTACATACCAGATGGTAGCCATTTCGTGCAGGAGCAGTTCCCTGAACAGGTGAATAAGCTCATTGTCGACTTTCTCAAAGAGAATACCAATGGCTGATAAATAATCTTTCTTTTCAAGTAAGTCCTTATTTAAGCCTTAATTGCTCTGTCTACCCAACAACTTCCTTTAATTTCCGGATCCCCTCTATGTTTATATATATATATATATATAAGTTTTACAAATGTATGTTTCCTTTCCAATAATGTTGTAGTGAGAATTTAGAGAAAATCAATACTTTAGTGCTTAATCAATCAAAGATTTCAAACACTCTCATCCTCCTTGTTATTGTCTTTTGAGTCTTTCCCCTTATCATCCAAATTTATAGAGATCCTTACAATTATTGGTCATCAATCATCATACTACACCAACTATTGTAACATAATTTTTTTTTTCTTTTATCTTTTAACTGGAATTTACAACCGCTAATTTTCAAGTGCGTCGGTTTAATACTCGAGTTGAACACAATATTGTAATATACATTTGGCAAACTTTGACTAACATACTAAATGCATGTTTTAAAATTAAGAGGTTCTTGTAGTTACCAAAGAATTTCTCGATAGTGGATGTCAATGTGTTGATTACGAATAAAATAATAAAATAATCGTTAATAAATGATTTGGTAATGTAGAGATAGACTTGTAATTGTGAAGTTATGAATTTAAACGCTTAATCTGCCCACTATCAATTTGAAATTGTGATGTATAAAAAAATGTAAAAATAATAAATATATATAATATAAAATATGTTTCTTTTTTGTTTTTACAAAAAGAACATGTTCAAATGTAACTAGGTATTTAATTAGTAATTAATTTGATTCAATCATTTAGAGGGAAAAAAAATACAATGCTCGATCATATTCTAATCAACACAAACCAAAACTTGAGAATTTCTAAAGAACGGCAATTATAGTATTATTCAAATTCATATTAAAAATAAAACCAAACAATGAAGGAAGAGGATCACATGCTGATCTTGTATATAATTTCAGCAGTGCTGAATTAATATAAAAAATTATATATTTATTATTATATTAAATTTTTATAATTAGATATTAATTGAAATTAAGGGATGTGATTAGCTCCGGTAGTGCTGAATTATGTATTTCAGCATAGTATCCCTACCGAACAATGAATGCGCATCCCAGCACTTTTCTTTGACTATGATTAGATAATGATTGATACAATCCTTTGGAGCTCCCAGGAGTTAAAGACCACGTACAATCCATACGACGCAAATGTAATTTAAATGGTGTAGATTAATTTCGCGCTCTTCGTATAATCTCTTAACCAAATATATATTTACGGTCGATAAATATTTTCTTCAATAATATTTTTTAAATTTTAATCGTAAGGTTAGGTTTTTATGTTACATTATTTCTTTGATAACTGCGAATTTCCATTCCTTGTTATAAAGAAAATTGCAAATTTGGATAGTTCAATTCTCTTGAAATTTTGGATTTTCTTTTTTCTTTTTAAATAACAATTTAATGTAATTTTATGTTAGAAATAATAGTTTGCTATTCATTATTCTCACCTTTTTTTTTCTCTTTTTTTTAGTAAAAAAATATCATTTTTTTTTAACCTAATAAAAAATATTTTTATTTTTACATAATTTCTTAAAAGGCTTATCTAATTACATGAGTATACATTTTGATGATGGAGAAAATATATTTTTATAGAAACATATTTATAAAGAAAAACACCCCTAAAAAAATTATATCCATTATTTTTCTATTAAACTTGACATTTATTTATTTATATATACCATATAAGCTACTCTCAGCAAAGATGAAGCCTTTTATTTGGACTAATTTAGATAATATCGATTAGATAGTAAGAATTAATTATTTAATGATTAAAATTTTTAAAATATATATTTAAATATTTTTAACATTATATCATGAGATGTGAGATAAAAAGGAAAAAAAAAAGTTTTAAGTGGGTCTAAGTGTGAGTGGTTACAAATTTAATTAAAGTAATTTATATTTGTTACGTATATTTAGGGCACAATTAGGTGATAGTTGTTAGCTGATTCAATTAGCTGGTTTGATTAGTTGATTCGATTAGCTGTTTGTATTAAAATATTTGGTAAAATAGTTGTTTGATATTAACGGTTTATACGTAAAATGACAATTGAGGATATTTCTATTTTATTTTTTTCTAATATATTCAATTGTGTTCTTCTGAGTTTAGAATGTTAAAAAAGAATTTGTTATTAGTTATTAAAAATTATAAAAGTGTTATAAAATAATATTTATTTTTATTATAGTTAGATTTAAAAAATAATATATTTTTATTAAAAAATATAAATATTTTTTTCTATTGAAAATGATATAAGATATAAAATAATAAATTTTTTGTATATATTTATTATGTTAATTATCGATTAGTTTATTATATTTATAATTTTCAATAAATTTAATTATTTAATTTATTTTTAATATAAAATTTATATAATGTAATTTTAATATAAAAATAAATTATTGATATTTATATTTTCTATTTTGTGTTAATTTTAATAAATTTATATATTTTACAATTAAAATAATTTTTATATATAAATTAATTATTTTAAAATTTTAAAAGTAAAACTATAATATAATAAAATATTCTAATATAATTAATAAATAATCAAAATATATTTATTTATGTAAAATGCATAATAATTTTTTAAAGACAAATAATAAATAAAAAATTTTAAACGCGTGGTAAGTTAGTTTTTGAGAAATTAGATTTTTAGATCCAAAAACAGCTCATTTACCAAACACCTAATTAGCTGTTTGACCGGCTAAAAACTGTTCAAAAAATTAAAAGCTCTTAAAAACTCTTTACCAAACACCCTCTTAGAATATAACTTCCCTTCCCTCCGTAATAGAAAATTTTGAACAGTTTTCATAATAATGAAAAGTACATTTTTGTCTATAGATTTATATTTATTTGAGTAGGATATGAAATTATATAAATATAATATTATATAAAATAAAAATATTTTAAAAAATAAATAAGTTAATTCAAAGTAAATATTATATGAATTGAATATGTGAATGATTACAATATGCTTTCAAATAAATATAATGTTAGAAAAATATAAACTAAGAATCTAAAAATTATTTGTTATAAATAAAAAAATATCCTTCCTCAATCACAGATATTTTGGACAAATAAAAATAAAGAATATGGACAAATTAAATGGAACGAAATTTTTTTTTTTAATAAAACAATAAATATAAATTTGATTGATGGATAGAAAAAATAATTATTAGGACATGAATTCCAGTGTGATGCAATTACATCAACATTGTGCTGATGATTAAATTATTATTCGCTCCATACCACATATTGGGTTTATTATCGTAGATACGAGAATTTAGGTAAAATATAATTAGTAGGTAATTAAAAAATATATTAGTAAAAATAATTATAGATTAAGATTAAAATAAACAAATAGTTTAATTAAAATTGAAAAAATTATAAAATTTAAAATTTAAAATGTGATTAAAGTGTATAATTATATTTCCTAAAATAAAAAAGGACAAGTTAGGTAGACAAACAAAAATAAAAAATAGAGACAAATTATATGGGAGAGATGAAGTATATAATATAATATATATATAAACAGTATGCATAATATATTACTCCCTCTGTCCCATAAATAAATAAGTATCAATTTGCTTTCTGTACGTAATTTTAGAAATATTAGTATTATATTGAAATACAGTAGAAATAAAGTAGAAATGACTAAAATAAATTTATTAGTATGTGTGATATAAATTAATGGCATTTGTGTAATATATTGTAAGTTGTAAGGATATTTGTAATGTTAGGTAGATAATAGATTAAAATAGAAAAATTGATATTTTGTTATGGGAGGTTCATATACTCCCTCAGTCCCATTAATAAGTATCCAATTACTTTTTAGGTGTAGTTTTAGGTACATTAGTATTATATTGGGATATACTAGAAATAAAGTAGAAATGACTAAAATAACCTTGTTAGTACGAGTGATACAAAGGTAATGACATTTGTGTAATATATTATAAGCCGTAAAGATATTTGTAATGTTAGATAAATAATACAGTTACTTAAAAAAGAATGAATACTTTGTTACGAGAGGGAATAAAATAAAAAATTAAATTCGGAGTATATTGTTTACTTTTTATGACATTGGCTGATAGGTCAATTAGCATCACAAATCATAAAATTGGCGTTTAATATTATGAGACTATTTTATAAAAATAAATAAATAAAAATACTACTACACTCCAAGTCACCGACCGCATCAAACCCACTATTTGTACATCTATTTATGGTTCATGTGAGCGTATCTGATTCCCGAACGATCATATCTCTCGATCTCAGTGATTGTGCGAAAATGGAGCAAATTGAGCACAAGTTCGTCGAGGTCAACGGCCTGAAGCTTCACGTAGCAGAAATCGGGAGACAAGCATCGCCGGCGGTGGTTTTCCTGCACGGCTTCCCGGAGATATGGTACTCGTGGCGCTACCAGATGGTCGCCGTAGCTGAGGCAGGGTTCAGAGCTATAGCACTCGACTACAGAGGGTACGGACTCTCCGATCTTCCTCCGGTGCCAGAAGATGCCAAATTTGCAGACCTCGTTTCTGATGTGGTCGCGCTGCTTGACGCACTCTCCGTCCCGAAGGTACGCTTCCTTCCTCCCGCTTTCACTATAAACTGAATCTCGAGATTCAACTGCAACATTTTTAAAATATACAGTGTGAGTTGAAAAGGTTCAGCAAAAATCGGTTCCGCTCATTGTCGGCGAGCTACGGTTAGTTTTAAGCGCGAGCGTGTTGGTTGTTGAATGTTGAGTGTTTAGATGTATAAAAAATGCTTAATCCATAGCTCTGTGGAAATATCATTATCGATTGAGAAGAGAACAGCAATGTATTGTAGTCGTGGATCTGGTGTTTGTATAGCAGCTAAGCCATCTTCCTGCATTAATTTTGGTGTGCAAACACTTCAATAGATACCTCTTCTGAATGTATTGGACACAGGCTTTTCTCATAGGCAAGGATTTCGGAGCATGGCCTGCATATCGAATTCCCCTACTTTACCCCGAGAGAGTCTCTGGAGTAGTCACTTTGGGCGTGCCCTATATACCTCCTCCATCTCCATCTGAGGGATCGTCCCTTGATCATCTACCTGAAGGCTTCTACGTTGCGAGATGGCAGGTCTGCCACACACATTAATCCTCTGTTCCTTTTTAAAAGCATGTTTCCACATTTTGATTATGTGCTCGATATTTGAATGCATTCATCACTGAAAGCTGTTAAACGAGTCAAACATGTTATCGGTACATATTCGATTCAAACATATTATCGGTACAGATTCGGTTCGACTATTCGATCTAAAATAGTAGCTCGAGCTTGGCGCATTAGGCAGGATTTCAAGCTTGAACTCTGAGTTCAAATTTCATACATATTAATATATAAAACAATACGAATATATTTTACTAACAAGTTCAATTTAGCTACTCGCAAACCAAGTTCGAGCTCGGCTCGTTTTTAGAAATAACAATTCTCGAGCTCGAGAGCGCAGCTCATTTATCCCTATCTAGTTGAGTCGAACTGTTAACGAGTCGAGTTGAATTTGTTTCATGAGCTACTTAGTTTGTTTGACAGCTCTATCCATCGTATATTATTTTTGTTGAATTTGAGCCGACTCCAATTCTTCTGCATCCAGGAACCTGGTAGAGCGGAGGCTGATTTTGGCCGCTTCGACAACAAGACAGTAATTCGAAGCATCTACATACTTTTCTCAGGCGCTGAAGTGCCAATTGCAGCCGAAAACCAAGAGATTATGGACTTGGTTGACTCATCCACTCCTTTGCCAAGCTGGTTCACAGAAGAAGACCTTGCCGCCTACGGCTCCCTCTACGAAAAATCCGGATTCCGCACTGCTTTGAAAGTTCCATACAGGTAACCAACAACCTGATGAACAACTACGTTTCAATCCATGCCAGTTTCAGTTCAGCCTCAATTTATCATCAATTTCTTCACCTCCAAATCCAATCTATTGTCTAATTTCGTTCAGCTGATTGAAAACAGGTCATTCTCCGAAGAGTTGAACGTTACAAACTTGAATGTCGATGCCCCAGCGCTGTTCATCATCGGTGAGAAGGATTACATCTTCAAGTTTCCAGGAATGGAGGACTACATAAAGAACGAAGGTTCTAAGGTTTTTGTTCCTAAGCTGAAGACAGTTTACATACCAGATGGTAGCCATTTCGTGCAGGAGCAGTTCCCTGAACAGGTGAATAAGCTCATCGTGGACTTTCTCAAAGAGAATACTAATGGCTGAAAAACTATCTTTCTTCTCAAGTAAGTCCTTATTTATGCCTTAATTGCTCTGTGTACCCAACAACTTCCTTTAATTTCCGGATTCCCTATATGTTATTCTTTTCTGTTTTGAGTTCATTTCATTGAAAACAAAACCGTTAAGTGTCTTTTTCCTATAATAATGTTGTATCAATTCAGAGCAAATCAATAATTCAGTGCTTAATCAAAGCATTCCTCCGTGAAAGTGAATGTCCATTTGTTGGTGACGATGGAGGAAACCTACGTCTAATCCCAAAACACATTGCATGGTTAATGGTTTGTTTGGCTGTCAGTATAAAGTTTTGAATGAAGATGAAATTTGATAAGATGTATAAATTAGTATTTAATTAATAATTTAAATGTAAGCAAAAAAAAGTTTAAGTAATATTTTAAATAAAATATATACCTCTTTGATTAGATGCTTTAGAGAAAACGACAATGCAAGATCATATTCGAACTAAAACAAGCCAAACCTGAGAATTTATATAGAACGGCAATTATAGTAATATTCAAATTCATATTGTAAATAAAACTAAACCAATCAATCCATGCACACACGATAATTTCTGGGAGCTCCCAGGAGTTAAAAACCACATAAGATCCATACACACAAATGTGATTTAAATGGTGTAGATTTATCTGGCGCTCTGCCCCCAATCCCAATGGTGCAGGGCAAGCGAAAACGCCGCCCATAGTGATGATAGTAATATATATATATATATATAAGAGCGAATCTTTCCCGGTTCATTATCACTTGAGTTCAGCGATTGTGGGAAAATGGAGCAAATCGAGCACAAGTTCGTGGCGATCAATGGTCTGAAACTTCACGTTGCAGAGCTCGGGAGCCAAGCATCGCCGGCGGTGGTTTTCCTGCACGGTTTCCCGGAGATATGGTACTCGTGGCGCTACCAGATGGTCGCCGTAGCTAACGCTGGATTCAGAGCTATAGCACTCGACTACAGAGGTTACGGACTTTCCGATCCTCCTCCAGTGCCAGAAGAAGCGAAATCTGCGGACATCATCTCTGATGTGGTCGCACTGCTTGACGCACTCTCCGTCACGAAGGTAAAATGAACAGTCTCGAGAATAACTGCAGCGTTTAACATAACAGTGTGACTTGAAAGTGTTCGTAAATCTGTTATGCTCATTGAAGGCGACCAACGTTTAGTTTCAAACGTACGAAAAATGCTTGATCCAAAGCTCGGGGGAAAAATTATCATGAATTGAGAACAGCAATTTAGTTGTGATCTGGTTCTAGCTATTTTGACCTTGAGGCTTCAGAATCAATATATGATAAGTGTGTGTACAGAAATGATTTGCCTAAGCATTTGTTGCAGCAATCCACCCATTTCCTTGCATTTTTTCTGATCTGCAAACTTTTCAATCCAGTCACTGTTATGCATAGATAGCTCTTCTGATTATATTGCGTATAGGCCTTTTTCATTGGCAAGGATTTTGGAATTCGGCCTGCATACTTAATGCCTCTTCTCTACCCTGAGAGAGTCTCTGGAGTAGTCACATTGGGTGCACCATATTTGCCTCCAACTCCTTCCGCTACATCGTTCCTTGATCATCTTCCCGAAGGTTTCTACATCTCAAGATGGCAGGTATGTAGATGTTTTCGCATTTTCATAACCTGTGCTGAAAATAAAAGGCAATCTGTTTCACTTTCATTGCGGTGTTGTTGATTTTGACCAGACTACAACTGTATGCAGAAATTTAAAGGCATCTGTTTCATTGCGGTGCTGTTGATTATGATCTGACTACAATTTTCCTCTGTTCAGAAACCTGGTAGAGCCGAGGCTGACTTCGGCCGCTTCGACAACAAAACTGTAGTTCGGAACATCTACATACTTTTCTCAGGCACTGAAATACCAATTGCAGCTGAGAACCAGGAGATCATGGACTTAGTTGATTCATCTACTCCCCTACCAAGTTGGTTCACTGAGGAAGACCTTGCAGCCTATGGTTCCCTGTACGAAAAATCTGGATTCCGAACTGCATTGAAAGTTACATACAGGTAAAAACACCTGCTGGATTAAATTCTCTTTAAGATCATCATTTCGTACCATTTTGAAAGTCCCTCGCCAATAGCTATCACGCAGTATCATTCTCAGCTAATTTGATTCAGCTGGTTGAAACCAGGTCAATGTCCGAAGAGTTTAACTTGACAAATTTGAATGTTGATTCTCCGGCATTGTTCATCATGGGAGAGAAGGATTACTTCTTTAAGTTTCCCGGAATGGAAGAGTACATAAAGAAGGAACAGGCTAAGGCTTTTGTTCCAAAGCTGAAGACAGTGTACATACCTGACGGTAGCCATTTCGTGCAGGAGCAGTTCCCTGAACAAGTGAATAAGCTCATCGTCGACTTTCTCAGAGAGAATACCACTGACTGAAATAATCTTAATTTCTTCAAGTAAGTCCATGTTCATCAAGCTTTTTAATTGTTCTGTGTGCCCAATAACTTCTTCCTCTAAATTTTGGGTTCCCTATATGTATTTTGTTGTCTGTTTTGAGTTCAGTTCACTAGATAATTTTTTCAAGTGTTTAATTTTGCCATAATGATGTTGTGCCAATTTAGAGAAAATCAATAATTCAGTGGATAATCAAACTAACGGCAAGCACTTTCCTCCTGCTAGTAAATGTCTTTCGAGTTCTTCGGCCTTAACAGCAATCACAATTTTATTCTTACACCAACTTGATCTCCTTTTATAAGAGAGAATTTTTATTTTTATTTTTTTTATAGGGGAATTTTTATTTTTTATTTATATATATATAGGAAAAGAAACATTACTCAAATATAATTAGAATAAACCAACAACATATGTTACAAACCAAATCTGCTTAAAAGATGCTTAAAAGTTTGAATTCATAATTTCATGAGATTTTTTATTATTATTATTCTTTTATGACATGATAATTAGCAACTATTACTATTCGAATGTTTTTTGTTTTTCTAAATTTTATTGGAAGGGGCATCAATCTTCAAATTCAAAAGGTGATTATAAAGTGTCATAAAGATAGACTGGTGGTGTAGAAAGACACGAGGTTATGAGTTTAAATCCTTACGCCATCTGTGGCATATGATTTTTCTAATGTAATTTGTTTATCGAATTTAGTTTGTAAAATATTAAGTTTGATTGCAGGTTTAGCCGAAGCATATTTTAGGGGTACAGATTTCTATCTTATCATCACACAAAAAAAAAAAAAAAGAAGGACGCTGTAATACCAAATATTCTCAATACACATGTGAATTGAAAGTGAATGTATTGAATATTTTAAAAATAATAAGTCAACAATGTGGTAGGTGAACTGTTAGTATTAAATGATTTGTTTGGTTGTTTGTTTAAAAATGATAAAAAATATTAATTAAAATAATAATAATAATAATATTTTAGAGGTTACGCCTCCTCAATGAATGTTAGTATTAAATGATTTGTTTGGTTGTTGGTTTAAAAATGATAAAAATATTAATTAAAGTAATAATAATATTTTAGAGGTTACGACCTCCTTAATAATATTTTAGAGGTTACGAGTGAGCCCACAGCGATTATTAAAAAATGCGTACAGAATAATTCTCGATTTATGATCTTGCAAACTAAGTTTAATAGACAAATCACATAAGCCATATGCAGGTTACCACCTCCTTGAGTGTGTAAATAATAGTAGTATATTTATAAATAAATATAATTTTTAAAAATATATAATTAAAAAGTATACAAAATTTATTTGTGCACACTTTAATGAATAAAATATACATATATATAAATTTGGTAGGACCGCAAGAAGTATATTCTAAATAAAAATAAAATAAAACAACAACGCCTTGGCCGATGATTACATAATGATTGGTTGAGACTTGGGGCTCCCAGGACTAAAAACCACTAGAGATCCATGCCACAGAATGTGGTTGGTGAAACATTTCTCCGCCGCTTTGCCCAATAGCATAAGCGCAGACGGAATACCGCATTTATTTAAGAGCGAATTCCAATCCATTTCTTCTCGAATTGTGGAAAATGGAGCAAATCAAGCACAAGTTCATCGCGGTCAACGGCCTGAAGCTTCACGTTGCAGAAATCGGGAGCCAAGCATCGCCGGCGGTGGTTTTCCTGCACGGTTTCCCGGAGATATGGTACTCGTGGCGCTACCAGATGGTCGCCGTAGCTAAGGCTGGCTTGAGAGCTATAGCACTCGATTACAGAGGCTACGGACTTTCCGATCCTCCTCCGGTGCCAGAAGACGCCAAATACTTGGACATAGTCTCCGATGTGGTCGCACTGCTTGACGCCCTCTCCGTCTCCAAGGTACGCTTCCTTACTCCCGCTTTGACTAGAAACTGAAGAGTCTCGAGATTAACTGCAGCTTTTTACCAACCAGTGTGAGTTGAGGAAAAACAAAAAGGTTTACAGATCTCTTCCGCTCATTTAGTTTTAAACGTATTAGAAATACTCGATCGAAAGCTCTGAGGAAGGATGAATATGAATTGAGAACAACAATTTTTAATGGTGGAATAGAAATGGTTGCAGCTAATCCATGTTCCTTCTATATTTCTGATCTGCAATCATGTCAATCCATTCAGTGTTGTGCATAGATAGATAGCTCTTCTGATTGTATTGCACACAGGCGTTTTTCATAGGTAAGGATTTTGGAATTCGGCCTGCATACTTGATACCTCTTCTCTACCCTGAGAGAGTCTATGGAGTGGTTACACTGGGTGTACCCTATTTGCCTCCAACTCCTTCCACATCGTTCCTAGATGGTCTTCCTGAAGGTTTCTACATCGCAAGATGGCAGGTATGTAGATGTTTTTGCATTTTCATAATGCGTGCGCTGAAATTAAATGGCATCCGTGTCATTGTCGTCGTGTTGATTTTGAGCTGCTTTCAATTTTCCTGTGTCCAGAAACCTGGTAGAGCCGAGGCTGACTTCGGCCGCTTCGACAACAAAACTGTAGTTCGAAACATCTACATACTTTTCTCGAGCTCTGAAATACCAATTGCAGCTGAGAACCAGGAGATTATGGACTTGGTTGATTCATCTACTCCCCTACCAAGTTGGTTCACTGAGGAAGACCTTGCAGCCTATGGTTCCCTGTACGAAAAATCTGGATTCCGTACTGCTTTGAAAGTTCCATACCGGTAAAAACACCAGCTGAATTAAATTCCTTTTTGTGGTCATGATTTTTTACCATTTTGAAAGTTCCTCACCAATAGCTATCACGCAAGTATCGTTCTCAGCTAATTTGATTCAGCTGGTTGAAACCAGGTCGCTGACCGAAGAGTTTAACTTGACAAATTTCAATGTGGATGCTCCGGCCCTGTTCATCATGGGGGAGAAGGATTACTTCCTCAAGTTTCCAAGAATGGAAGAGTACATAAAGAATGAACAGGCTAAGGCTTTTGTTCCGAAGCTTAAGACAGTTTACATACCGGATGGAACTCATTTCGTGCAGGAGCAGTTCCCTGATCAAGTGAATAAGCTCATCGTCGACTTTCTCAGAGAGAATATGGTTAAGAAATAATCTCTCTCAAGTAAGCCCATATTTAAGTTTCAAGTACTGAACTTCTTCCGGGTTCGCTCTAATTTCGAGAGTCCTATGTGTTGCTCTGTCTTGAGTAAATGAATAAAAAAGTGTGATCTCAATTTCTGAATTGGTTTTGTCGGTTTATTATATTGGCATGTAAAAACACAACATGAAGTATAAATGAAACATCCAGCATCATATAAAACATACTGCCTACAAAATTGGCATGAACTTGCAGCTGCAATATCCAATCCCATGGCACAATTGATACAGCATATAATTTAGATTGTCCGCAATTAGAAATAGAATCTTCATCTAAAGAAATTGGACAGAAAGAACCGCTTGATACCTTCTTCATCTCATATTACCCTCACGGAGAACATCAATCATATCATATATCCGTTTGTCGGCATTCAAGTTAACCTGCATTTCACATGGATTTTGATGATCACATCAAAATGGCAACCGAGAAATAAGGTTAGGACAGCAAAATGAATAATATGTGTTCGAATAACTATTTCATTATCATCATGTTTCTCAACTTAAAATCTCAGGGAGAGTCTTAGCTGCTTGAATTATAAATATTCCAAGAACATAGATATAGACAATTACCTTCTTAGCAAGGAACAGAATGGCATCAACAGTACCCTCTGCGTAGATTGATCGACCACATACATTGTGCTGAAACTCAAAGGAAACACTTTTGCAGCAGAAAAACAGAGACGGAAATCAGACAGACCAGCGGTTGTAACCACATCGTATATAAAAAAATAAAACATATCCAAATGCAGATATCTTACGTTCCATCAGGTGATATTAGGCGATAAGTGTGAAATGCATGACCTGACAAATGCTCTTCTGGAACACCCATATCTACTTGTACCTTGGGGTCTCGTATTTGCTGCACCTGAAAATTCATTGAGAAAATATTCGCTTAAAAAGGCAATCATATGAGTGAAAACTTTTGAGCACTTTAGCAACAATGACGACTATTTCCTATCATCAACAAATTTCACAAATTAGCAATAACATGAACAGTAAGAAAGAACTATGAAAAATAAATGGATACAAACACTGGTAGTATTTACACAAGGAGGGCTCAACAGCCTCAAATCAATGTATGCTGTATTAGGAACCGACACAAGCTATTTGCAGCTGAGATTTAAAATTAAATTAAAATAAATCGCAAAAAATCCTCACTTTAATATTTGCAACTCCTTATGGATTTTGTTACAGAGCATGGTAGACATTATTCATGGGCATGCTTCATGTACGAACATGAACAAGTTTTCAGCATCGAAAATACCTGTTCTAATTCAAATGATGCCCCCAGCTTCTGAAAACATGATATGACAGCCTTTGCAGTTCCAGACAGGTCCAATTTGCCAGCTTGATGCGACTCTATTACCTTTAAAACTTTAAAGAGTGTTAAATGGATCTCTAAGAGTGCAATGCATTACAAGAATTCTAATGAAACAACAGGAAGGAAAATGTATGTGTGCCAGGAATTTGATATTTGAAGAACACTCAATAGTTAAAGCTTCTCTGTAGAAAGAAGCATCAATAATTTAATGGATACTTCTCGATTACTGTGGCAAAAGAAACAACAAACAATGCTATGCCAACCATGGAGATAAGAAAAGTTCAGAGAAATTACTTGTAGATTATACCCAGAAAAGGCACCAGGAAATTGCCCTGCCATAATTTCCATGGCTGCAAGAAATGCTACCACCTAAAAATTCCATCAAGACAGCATCGAATAGGTGAAGTACAAATTTACATGAAATAAATGAACATATGAATAGATATTGTCGATAACAAGCACCTGTTTACCCATTTGTGGAGATATCACGGCATAAACCTTCGACTCAGCCAGAGTCTTATACAGCAGCTCCCGGTCTCCACCAGTCGTTCCCATCACAAAAGGTACACCAACTTTGCAATACAGTTCAGCATTGGCTGTAAACCACAAGAAAAGCGAAACATCAGAATCTTGATTGGAACATATAACAATAATTGGAGAGAACGACATTTTCACACACATCGGTCCTGTAGGCCAGTCCGAGTCAACCATCACATGGAGAATTATAGGAATCAGAAGTGCTTACAACATATAATCAATAGTTCGAGATAACAAACTTATCCACACACACAATGCACACAGCTGTGAGTTTCTTGGTAAGGAGTTGGCAACTTATTCGGAAAAAGCCGAAAACATTCTAGAGCAGATTTTAAAGCATCAAATCATAAATGGTGGCATCTAACAAGCAATTATATGTACGAATGCAACTGTTATAATCATGATCATCAGAACAACAGCAATACAGAATTTGGTGCCACAGAATGCCATCAAACTATGCAAGTTCTTACAAGGATGACAATACAACATTTTGTACCCATGGTCAAACACAAAACGCAAATATCTTAAGTCTCCAAATTCCAAAAAAAAAAAAAGGATAAATAAAATTCAACAAAATCGTTTACCATTCACAGCAGCTGGCACTGTGTAATCCACAACAATGAGGTCCCTATAATCCTTAGACGCGGAAAACAGGATGGATTCTCTATCAGAAGGACCGTGCACCTCAATTCGTTTTCCAGCAACATCCACAATTTTTCCTGCATCTTCTGGACCGCCGAGTGCTACAGGCACGGGATTCAGGCCAGCAGAGATTGCAGCTTCGAGCACAGCTCTTCCCATTCTTCCTGTGCACCCATTCACCTGCAACAATCGCAGCAATTCAAAATGGATGAAAACAAGCTAATATCATTTCCTTTCTCTTTTCAGCATATGCATCTACAATCGACAAGTCATTCATTAACAAGCATCTACGATCCAACCATTCAACCAATCGAGCATGAAATCACTACAACTTGACACAAATTAAGAAAGTAAGGTATTTACCATGATTGGAATCCCCAAATTCCTTTTAACAACAGCAGAACCTCGTTCAACGGGCTCTACAGAGGTATTTCCAGCCATCGTAACAAAACAATTCCGGCTTCTAGATACACCGTATCTAAAGTGAGCACTCGCCAATTTTCCAAACGTCGGGTCAGAAAATGCACTCAACAGATTATTCCGCTGTCGCCAAGAAGCAAAGCAGCTGGTTGATGCTGCCTCGAAAACGAATGCCATCAAATAAGGCGATAGATATAGTTCCTTGAAATTGCAAAAGCCTGCAATAAAATACAGAAAAATCTTCAATGAGACCTTCTCCGCGGCTGCGAGAATGGGCAACGGCGGCGTACCGGCGGAGATCGGACCGGAAGTAGCTAGGGTTTAGAAGCGGTTTTGCAATTAAGAGTTAGAATAAATAAAAGGAAAATGTGTACGGCCTAATGTGACGCCTAGTTTGCATGTTCGGCACGGGATTTACCGAGCGCAGCCGATGCGCATTTTCACGTAATAAAAAAAACTTTTTGTTTTGTGTATTATTTTTATTTTTTAAGATATATTTCTTCAGATATATATTTATTTATAACGCAAAATTTAAAAAATAATACTCCTTTTGTCTATGATTAAATATTCGTTTTTTTATTTTGGTCTTTTTCATAAGTATTCATTTCTTTCTTTCGATATATTATACAAATATAATTATTTTTTATATCACATAATACTAATACGGTCAATTATTGCTACTTTATTCTACAATATCCCAATATAATAGTTTCTAAAATTTTGTAGATACAAAGATATGGGATAAAAGGAGTACTAGTATTTTAATTATACTAAAAAGTTAAAAGTAGTGTAATGATACTTTTGTTCTTGTTGTTTTTAATAAAAGTAATGACGTTCGTAAAGTAAATAGTATTTCTGAAAAAAAAAAAATTAGGTATTCAATAAAATATTTATTTTGTTAATGAATATTTAAAAAAAATATGTATACTAGTTTGATGATTATTGTTTAATTTTATTTTTAAAAAATATAATGTATATAATTTTATATATTCAAAGTTTTTTTTTTATAAAAATAATAATGTAACGTAAAGTAAGAATATTTGTAAAAAAAATATTCAATAAAATATTTACTTTGTAAATAAATATTTCAAAATAAAAATATATATACTTTTTATAATGTATATAATTTTATATATTAAAAGTTTATATATAATTTTATTTGTTTTTAGAAGTAATAGTATAATTTTATTTTTAAAAAAATTTGTAAAAATTTATGTATAATTTTTAAATAAAAAATAATATATATGTTCGGATTATAATGTAAAAATAAATTAAAGTTTGAGTATAATTTATAAACATGAAAAATTATATATCCACCATCCCATAAGAAAATATTTTGTTGGGAATTGACACATAAATTAATGAATAATAGTATTTAATTTAAAGTTGATATAAATGAGAATGTAAAAGATTAAAAATGTTCTTTTTTTTTAAAGAATTTAAAAAAAAAAGTTATAATAATAATTAAGGGTAGTTTGAAAAAATATCAAAATTTTGTAATAAAATAGAGACCACAATTACTAAATAATGAAACAAAATAATTGTTTTGAAACTAATAAAAATAGAAAAACTTGACAAATTATTTGGGAAGGAATGAGTATAAAGTAATACTCCATAAAAGATGAATAATAAAAAATATATTTATAGGGTAAAAGTTGAAGTTTATTGTTAGAGTAAAATTAATATAAAGTATTGTAAATATTGTAAAAATAGGGTAATGAATTGGAGATAGTCTGATAAAGATAATTCTGCACATAAATTACATGTTATCTTACAAAATTATGTCAAATTTTTGTACTTTAAAAATGCGTCAAACTTTTAACGTAGATGTCAAACTGCAAATGAGTTCAATATCTTCATTTTAAAACTTTTAAATTACACATACATTGATTTTTTAATATGATATTTGTTTAAATGATGAGACTAAAATTGATTAAAGAGATACTTTTGATTGGAAAGAATATAAACTTAGAGTGTGTTTCTTTGGAGGATTTACCAAAATTTTCACTATTTAGCAATTCTTTTTTTTTCCAAAACATCAAATCAAATACTTATTTTTATTTTTTATATTATATTAAAAATCAATTTTATATTCGAAATATCACATTTCACTTATTTATATTACATAATACAACTATTCCAATTTAAAATTTTTACTATTCCGATCTCAACTTAAAATCCAAACTCCCGAACAAAACACACCATAGGAAATCTTTTGTGAAAAGAAAATATACTTAACTCTATATTTTTCTTTAAAAAAATGGAATAATGTCGAAGTTCCAAAATTTTGTTGTATAAAAATTTGATTCAATTCGGAAAATTCAAATTAAATTTTAAATTTTGATTTATTAGAATTAAATATTCGAATTTTGAGTGAAAATTATTTTTAGTCTCATTCAATATTATAATTGTCAATTTTGATTCTATTAAAAAAAATTTCATCAATTTTAATCTCATTACCCTGTTGGCTTGAACACGAGACTAAAAAAAGATTTTTGATTTTAAATGAAATCAAAATTGATAATTATAATATTTAACGAGACTAAAAAAGATTTTTGCTCTCGAATTTTTTATTTTTTACTTAGTTCAGTTCAGAATAATGTATGAAGTACCACGGTTTGACCTTTGACCCTTGTATGTATTGTTGGTTTGGGATCTAGGGTTTCCTTCTCTTCGTCACATCCGGATTCACTCAACGAATGCTTCTATTTAACTCCTCCGGGCTCGCTTCAAGAACCTTGCTTGGCTCTCATTTTCTTAAATTTGATCCAATCAAATCAGGGATTCGACCACCGCCGGAAGGAATCTTGATTTATAAACCCTAACAACGTCGGTCTTTTTCTCGATTTCATCCATCTGTAAATCTGGAAAATTTGGACCGAGGAATTTCAAAGACAATTACATGGAGGAGTGTGCTTACACTTGCTTGATTATGCACTGAATTATATATATTTTCCCCAAATTGACGCATCACATTCCGGGAAAAGAAATTTCTAGAGTTTTCTAGTTAACAATTCTGGAGGAGGAACAATGTATAGAAAACTGGTGGTGGTATATGAAGGGGAGAAGGTGCTGGGGGAGGCGGAGTTGCACCCTCAGGACCGCGGCGTTTTTGGGGAGGAGCTGAGGGAAATTCGAGTATCACATTATTCACGGCCAAGCGAGAGGTGTACGCCGCTCGCCGTACTTCTCATCGCAAATTCCGCCGGAATATGCTTCAAACTGGAGTCTACGACAAAGAACCATGACTCTCCACTGTCTAATTTGCACGCTACCTGTCTCAGAGATAACAAGGTATTGTTCTGCCGGGAGTACAGAAGCAGCTAAATTGAGTGAATAAACTAATTGATTCAGCTGTTTGATGAAACCCTAATTGTTAGGAAAACCCTAGTTGGATGTAAGAACACAAAACATAAACCTGCAATTTAGTTTTGAAATGATACAGAAATTCCAGGGGTGATATCCAGGCTGCTTTCAAAATTTCCAAAAATAGCTATGATTCAGGAGACACTGATTTCTGCTGGGAATATGTATGAATTTTGGTTATTGAACAGGGGCCCATTTGTTTTTCCTTTTAAGGTGAAAGAATTCGAGTTCTGTTTCTATGGTTTAGCCTGAATTGGATTGAGAGATTCTTGAAATGATTCATTCCCCTCTCTTGATAAGAATTGAGATTCAGATACTAAATTGGATAGACCATGAGAATTTATTCTAACTTGCTGCCATTCCATTTTTCCTATTTTCTTGCATTGGTTTTGTTTCAGTGGTATTTATCCGCTTATAATATTTGCAGACTGCAATAGCATACATTGGAGGAAGGGAGGTTCATTTAGTTCCAATGCATTCTAAGAAGTACGAAGGACGGACCCCATGCTTCTGGGGCTTCAATTTGGCATCAACCCTTTACGATTCTTGTCTTCAGATGCTGAATCTCAGGTGCCTTAGCATTGTTTTCGATCTTGATGAAACACTCATAGTTGCGAACACACTTCGCTCCTTTGAGGACAAGATCGAGGTATTACATAGAAAAATGAGCTACGCGTCCGATCCACTTCGAGTTTCTGCCTTGATGGCAGAGGCTGAACGTTATCAGGAGGATAAGAATTTGCTGAAGCAATATGCAGAAACTGATCAGGTGATTGACAATGGGAAGATTATCAAGTCACAATCTGAGGTGTTCCCAGCCCTGTCTGAGACTTATCCATCTATTATTCGCCCGGTTATACGTCTTCAAGATAGGAATATTATTCTCACTCGCATTAATCCACTGGTAAGGGGATCTCGTATGCTCCTTTCGTATAACTAAATTGCAAATCCCTTGTTTTGTCGTGTTTTGCTTATTGGTTGGAGTAGATTGGTTATGCAGTAAATGACAAAACGAGCCGCTTTTTGTTGTAAATTAAATGATTAAACATAATGCAGCATGACTGCCATTTTGTATCGTGAGCTTTAAGTTATCTTTTGTCGTATTCACAGACACTTGCCGTACAATAAATGATTGAACATGATTGGAATTATATATCTGTTAGCTTTTAAGTCATCTTTTGTCGCATTCACAGATACGCGATACAAGTGTACTTGTAAGATTACGGCCCGCGTGGGAGGATCTTAGAAGTTACTTGATTGCCAAAGGTCGAAAGCGATTTGAAGTCTTTGTATGCACAATGGCTGAACGGGATTATGCTCTAGAAATGTGGAGACTTCTTGATCCAGATTCGAATTTGATAAACTTGGGGGAGCTGTTGGGCCGCGTTGTGTGCGTCAAGTCTGGTAAGTTTTCACTACGTGTATCTTGTACATTAAACTTAGAATGGAATTCATCTGCGATGACATGAGCATCCTTTTAATTTTCATACAGGTACTCGGAAATCACTATGCAATGTATTCCAAGTTGGAAACTGCCATCCTAAGATGGCATTAGTGATTGATGACCGCTTAATTGTCTGGGATGACAAAGATCAACCGCGAGTTCATGTGGTTCCTGCGTTTGCTCCATATTATGCCCCTCAAGCTGAGGTAACTTTTTTTCTTTAACAGCCTCTTTGAGTAGAAGAACTGAGCTAATTTTCAGCTAAAATGAATGAAATTTGTTTTGTGTAGGCCAACAGCACTGTACCCGTGCTCTGTGTTGTGAGAAATGTGGCCTGCAATGTAAGGGGTGGATTTTTCAAGTAAGTTGGCAAACATATTATATTTCTTGTCTCGACACTTTGTTTCAAGTATGGAACTTGACGTATTTATCACAGGGAATTTGATGAGTGTCTGCTGCATGAAATCTCTAAAGTTGCATATGAAGATGACATTAAAGATGTGCCATGTTCACCTGATGTGAAGAACTACTTGATTTCGGAGGTAAAGTTGTGCTTCCTTCTATTTGAGCTTCTATATCTTAAATAGTCATTTTGAAGTTGATTGTCCACATGCCTTCGGGAATTAAAATGGTAAGCATCATTTTCCATATTTTTTCGGGCAATTCTTCTGCTTCTAATGGAAACAAAGAATTTCTTGGTTTTGATGGTATGGCTGACTCTGAGGTAGAAAGGGGACTGAAAGGTGAAGTGCATTGTGCTAAACTGCTAATGAATTTGCTCTTTAAATTTTATTAATGTTAAGTGTTTCCTTTTGTTTGATGAATCCCTTTGGCATTATTTTTCTACACTTGCATTATTATTTATCGTTGCTCCGACACTGATCTGTATATGCATTTTGGATGCCCAACATTTTGCAAGAAATAGTATCATAATTTGTAAGAGTTGTCAACTATCAGGCGGCAATTTCGTCATCTTCAACTTCTCAACCTGTTCAGAACATAGATCCCAGAATTTCTGCAGTGCTGCAGAGCAAGATGCCATCATCTTTCTTTACCACCCCTCCATTAAAGATGCAGTTGCCAGCTCTGTCCTCTCCAAATCTGCAGTATCCTATTGCTAGTACACAGCTTAAACCAGCAGTGGCTCAAGTCCGGCAAGCAGAAACAACCTCACTCAGTTCTCCTGCAACGGAAGAGGGCGAGGTACCTGAATCAGAATTAGATCCCGACACAAGGAGGAGACTGCTGATTCAGCAGCATGGTCACCACATGAAAGGACAACATCATGCAAATGAAGCTCAGGTTCTTTCCCAACAACCCATGCAAGCATCCTTGCCTGGAAGCCAGTCAAGTGGTCGGTTTCCTGTTGAAGAAGAGTCGGGCTCGAGACAATTGAACCGATTTGCACAGCACAAGGAATTCCCATTGCCGGAAGATACTATCCCTAGTGATAAGATTCAGATTCAACAACAATGGTTTCCCCAGAGAAAGGAGCCATCTACACCACTTGGTGGAGTTGTCCATGAAAGCCCGAGGTTACCGAAGGTGGAAAATGATTTCTCTATGGTCTGAAATTACAACATTTATTATTCATTGATACGAGTAGGAGTGACATCCAAAATTTAACAACATATTGTTATTTTGTGCAGAGAGAAGAACAATCCAAACAAAATCAACTACTACCTCCTATGCATTCTTTGTCTGGTAATACACATGATGTGTTATATTTACAACTGAAATAAAAATTTCACATTATCTTTAGATTTATTTAAAAAAATCCTAGAACGTTCAAAATCACCAGAGACGTGCCAAAATGATTTTGCAAATTTGTCATTGTATTCTTTCTATCTGTAATAATTTATTCTTGCAATAGTTTATCTGAATTTCTGGAGTTTCCATAGTTCATATTCAAAACAACATCTTGTTTCCTTCTGCACAGTTTGCCTTGAGGAGTTTTTTCACCTTCTAGGCTAACAAGTATAAAGCAATACAGGAAAACAAAAGTTAAGAGAAAAAAACACTAATGGACTATATGTGATAGGAAAAATGAGCTAGAACTCAAGTACCCTATTGTACAGAAGTGTTTTGCTTCCAGGTTCTACTATTCTCATCCCATATTTGGACAAAACAGGCAAGAAGCTAATTGCTTCTCGGACTTAGTTGTTGATTGATGTCTTGTTGTACCTCAAACTATGAGAGTACTGCAAGAAAAACTGTTGTTTGCTGCGTCTTGATTTTGTTATAATGAAGGAGAGATGTTGGTTGAGTCTAGAGGTATATTGGCAAATCACTTCTGTGAATAATTTAAGAATTCAACTTAGTTCAGTCGATGTAGTGTTTTGCTATTTCGTATGCCATCTTCAGCCAACAAAGATTCTGATCTTGAAGCAGGACAAATTAGTCTGCATTCTGAAACATGTACTGGAGCATTGCAGGAAATTGCATTTAAATGTGGAGCAAAGGTATGAATCAGCAGTCAATGCCTTTTCTCCCTTTTTAATAGATTACTTTTCATTCCCGAGCTGGTTGAATTAGTGCTAGAGTAGTGCTAGACATTAATTTGTGTCTAGTGTCTAACCATTTCATCTTGCCTATATGTACAATGTACTTGTAGCATGAATCATCAAGTGAAGGGAATAGCATTCATCCTCCCCAATTCCAATTCATTTTTAACAGTTAACAAAATTCCCTGCAGGTGGAATTCAAACAAACTCTTGTCTCGAGTGCGGAGCTGCAGTTCTTTGCGGAGGTGGTTTCAAAGTCTTTCATCTTTCACGATACCATTTGTGCCTCAGGCATTTTAGAAATCCTTTACACCACCAATTTCATTGGATTTTCATTTGCTTCCGCAGGTTTTGTTTTCTGGGGTGAGAATTGGTGAAGGATTTGGTAGAACAAGAAGAGAAGCACAACGTCAGGCTGCTGAAGGATCACTTCTATATTTGGCTGGTAACACGCAAATACTGCATTTCTAATATAGGAAACGAATTGCATTTTCTTTTTTATTTTGTATTTAATATATCACTTGGCTTGATGTTTTGGTTTTTGCGAGGAAATTTTGTTCACTTAATTGGACGCAACATTTTTTTACAAGAACAAAGAAATTATGTCGGAAAGACAAACGGTTGTTTGGCCTCATGGTGGAGCCTTCACTAATTTGATCTTCATTTATAGTTTTTTGTCATGTTTCCTTAAGTTTGAGTGGTTAAAATTATTCTGTTTTGAAATTCTTGTTGATTGCTTTTGTTGTTCTCGTGTTACTCTTTTTTCCCACGTTTTGGAATGTGCAAAACCCTTGAACTTATCAATATTGTGGTAGTGTATGTCCAGAAACATGGGAGAACAAGTGTGTGAACTAAGATTTGCAAACTGCCGTACCTTATGGTTCTCCTAAGTGCTAAATAGCTTTAGTGCACATTGTCCTTGTCAAATGATTTGAGCAGAGGATGCGTATATATGTTAACTCATTGCACTAACAAAGCACATCTAGATCAATCATTTGGGGTTATTCACAAGATCCGGGACATTAAATGCATAGGGTGATTCTTTCCTGGCTTAACCGACAAAGATATGACGTCATCATCTATCATAAGTGGAATGTACATATGTTTTTTGCTTTGTTACCATTTATTGATTACTCTAAATTACATTTACGATTGCAAGATCAGTGTTGCTACACATGGCATTTTTAACAAGTTAGGAACTTATTTCACTTTCTATCTAAAGTTTTGTAGTCGGAGGCTGTATGCCTTAATTTGCTAACCGCCGAATCTTCCAGCAATATCTAATGACACATACATTATAGCACATGAAATTCATTGAATAGTATGAGTATGTTGGGAGACATTGGCTAACAAGTAACATATGGACACGGACAAGGTTCGACAATTCCTTTATGATTTTATTCAAGATATTTTCAGGGAATAAAATTTAAGTCTTTGAATTCCCCACATGGATATGTGTCCCATTTCTGGTAATGGAGCAATGTTTCCAAAAACATACTTGGATATATATGGGATGATGATTTTTTGCTTTGATATAATTGATTATTTTTGGCGTTGTCTTAAAGTGGCAGTTATGAACTGTTTTGCTGCAGATAAATACCTCTCGCAGCTTGGACCTGATGCCAATCCCTTGCGACTTGAGTCATCACCGAAGGAAGGGAGTATGAACCTATCAATGCTACCTTCACGGCAAAAGATTCTGGACCCAAGAATTGAGGCCTCCGAGAAGCAATTGGGTTCCATTGCTGCTCTTAAGGAGTTAGTACGTGTCACAATGTTCTATTGCTTTTATTATTGTTCGGTAATTCACATTTCTTTTCTCTTTTTTGGGTTTTTATTTTTTCAGTGCACATCGGAAGGGCTGAGTATATCATTCCAAGCCCAACCTCCGGTCTTGGCTAATCCCGGCCAGAAAGTTGAAGTCCATGTACAGGTAAAAATGGCCTTCCCTTTTAGTTGAAGACCTATCTCATGCTATAGTCTAATTTGCCTGTGTTTTAACTTCCTAAGTTGCTAGTATCCTTATAATCCATATTGCATTAAGTAGAAATCCCCAATCATGCATCCTGTCTGAAATGGAAATTTTCATTTGATGAAACACAGAGAGTGGCTCACGGTAAAATAATATATTTGAAATAGTTTAAATCCTGAGCTTCATCATTTTAATCTTTTGTACTGTTAATCAATGAAAAACTTGGGATGTTCGTCAACGTATTGCTGATTGATTCACTTCTTTTGATTATGATATGTCATACTCATACTACTAACTATATTGGCATTTAGGTTGAAATTAATGGGCAAGTCTTGGGCGCGGGAGCCGGGCTAACATTGGATGAGGCTAAATCACAGGTTCTATATATTCCTTAAAACTTCTTCATATTTGATCAACTAACAATTTTATGTGCCATGGCTGCAATGGAATGTTACTTTTTGAAACTTCTTTGGTATAACTTTCTCAATCTTAATGGAAATGACATTTCTCAGGCTGCTGAAAAGGCCATGGGAGCCGTGCAATCCATGGTGGCTCAGGTCCCTCAGAGGCATCAAGGTTCACCAAGGTGAGAAATATTTTAGTTTCCGACAATTTTTTTTTAAAAAAAGAAAGGCAACCTCGGCATCTTGCCATTGAAATGCATTGTGGAACTTCTGCTCTGTATAGTGCTAGAATACCTATATCTGTTATTGAGTCATCTAGGAATCAGATCCATGCAGGTCATGCCAAACAAAAGGATGAAACCAGACCCGTCTAGAGTGCATCGGCAAGTGCCATCATCGGGCAGGTATCAAAAGCTTGGATCACCTGTACCATGAAATCTTCATTTCCTGCTTTGTTGTGTAACCCCTGCACAAAGTTGTATGACATAGGCGACAAATGCCCCTGAAGTTAGGTGGCTGTTGTTTAAATGAGCAGAGAGCCCATTGGCCAAGCTTACATTTTTTCGTTCTTTTTGTTTCTTTGGGAGTTTGTTGAAGAAGAGATCTGTTTTTCTTTTGGGTGCTGGAGATTCACCAGCTCCCGCTTAGTTTGAAAATTGGGTATTGTTTTGGGGGACAAAATGCAAAATTGTTGTATTCCCCCTTTTTTGTTTCTAGTGTAAATAATTGAAGCAAGCATTGATTCAAGGGATTTCATAGAAAGTATTGCTAATGTTGCTGGTGTTCTTCCGACGCTGCTGAATTGGTTCTGTCATTATTATGTACAGATGGGGAAATTGGCTTGGGATGTTACCCTTTTTACTAATGGTGCTACAGATTGTGTTGCTAACAATTGGTGCCCCTATTTTGAATATAGTTGTGGTTTTTTCCTACGAGGAAAGGCGCCTATCTTTAATGTAACATCTCGAAATGTGTATATATAATAAGTAATATATGAACCCTTAATGCTAGCGGTGAAAATGGAAAATGATGATCGAGAAGAGCAACAAAAGCAAGAAAAATGCTGCTAGCATCCTAGCGCGCATGCAAAGAGAAATATATATATATATATATGTCGATGCAAGAAGGGTGGGAAGACATCACCTTTGATATCCAGGTGCCTAAGTTATAAATTGCTCTTGTCGATCCTCTCTTTTACTAGTTTCTGAAATGCTCTTCAAGTCATGACACACCCTTTGGTCTTTCCTACATTTGTGCTACCGCTGCATCCAATCAATCAATGTAAAATGAAGGCTATGTGAAGAGAGAATGTGCCGGGCAATATATAAATCATGGCGAGATTTGTCGCCCATCAAACAGGTATGCATTTGAGAATAGAATGTTGTGACTAAAAAGTTCATTCATAGCATTTATGTAGTCTTCCTGAATTCACATGCCCTATGTTTTGATGTATAAGCCAAACTTCTATAGCCAGGAAATATCCAACACACTGATCACTAGGAAAACGCTAACATATAATGAATGGAACATTGTTCAATTGAAAGCCCAATTTGGGAAATTGAACAAATGCTTATTCGATTGAGCTGACTTATGTTGAATTAAGATTTTAAGTGAATTCTAGATATTCGATCATCTTGGATTTACCTCAGTGATTGCTGTAGAGAAACGACTTACTTGGTAGCTAGTCGAGGTCCCTGATGATTGGGTCTTTAGTTGTCCCGAATCTTCAAAGAAACCAGGAGGAGTGAGTTGCTTCTCGTTTAGCCGTACATTCTTAGACAGCATCTCGATCACCTGGCTCATCGATGGTCTTCTACTTGTAACTGCTTGAGTGCAGAAGAGTGCAACTTTCATATACCTAAGAACCTCTTCCTCTGGAAATTCATCGAGTTCTTTATCGACCAGATCCCGTAGTTTCCCTTCTTTGTAGTGTTCCCATGCCTATAAAGTAACAATTACTCATCAGCAAAACAAGAGCACAACTTATATAAGCAAGATATTATATATTACCCACCCATTCAACCAGCAACTTTGGGGCTCCTCCATAATTAGTCTTTCCACAGCTCAGACCGCTAACAATTTCAAGTGTTAGAACCCCAAAACTATACACATCAGCCTTCACTGTTAAACGACCACCAAGTGCGTACTCAGGTGCCAGGTATCCACTGCTTGCATAATTTTATAAAGATCAAAGCAAGCCACAAAATCAAAGAGGAGATCAAAGATTATCTAAGAACTACTTTATTTCAACAGAATTGTTCAATAGAAGCTTATCTAACTTGATGCCGAGTATAAAAACAAGTCTAAATGGCGCATAATGCTTATAGAATGAAATCAGACAGACATACGTTGTTCCAGCTATTTTCGTGCTAATATGCGTGATGTCATCAGGAAAAAGTTTTGCTAGTCCGAAGTCTCCGATCTTTGGTTGGTAGTCTTCATCCAACAGTATATTACTTGCTTTGATATCTCTATGTACAATGTGAGGTACAAGTCCTTCATGAAGATATGCAAGCCCTCTAGCAGTTCCCACACAAATAGCAGACCTTCTTCCCCAGTCCAATTTTATGGATCGGTTTGAGCCTGTAGTTAAACAAACAGATGTTGATCAGTGTCTGGGGGATCTTTGAACCTGCTCGTAGAATTCTGGATTGTACCAAGATACCTCTTAGGGCATGATCCAGGCTGTTGTTTTCTATATATTCATACACCAATATCTTGTGAGATTCTTGAACACAGCAACCGAGTAACTCAACAAGGTTAGGATGTTTGACATTTGATATGGTATCGATCTCTGTCAAAAATTCACGCACTCCCTGTTTTGACTCAGCAGACAGCATCTTTACTGCAACTTCTACTCCATTTTTTAGGACCCCCTATGCAACACAATATGGACTTGATAAACAGTTAATAGTATGAAACAAAGAAAACCAATCTAATTCGTATTGCCCCCACAACATAATCTGTACAAAATATTCATTTACTTTGATAAACACAAGGAAAAGGCACGTTTTCATTAATAATTCACAGACAGTTTAGGACTTTCCTCCATTGTTAAACCAAAGTTTTATTCTATAAAAGAAGTCTTCCTCATAATTGATAGTTAAAATAACCTCTCTATTTATTTGTTATATCATCTGCTGCTTTGCATAAAATATGACATCATCACATATGGCAATGGACAAGTTGAAGCACATGTGTTGCTCCTGACCGGAAGAAAATTAATTCTAGCAGAATCTAAATCTAAAGGTTATCACCCCTAGGAATAACCCGATTCACTGAAGTAGCGCAATAATATGGCATTTAATTCCTTCAGAAACTCGTCAATTTATCTGCTTACTACTTTTGGGAACTAATTCAACACATAAGACAAATAAACTTGTTGGTAAAGGGATCAACTGTCTAGCATTTTGGTTATACCTTGTAAACTGTACCGAAACCTCCTCGCCCTATTTTGTTCCTTCGATGAAAATTGTTTGTTGCTGCAGTTAATTCCTTGTACGTGAACTTTTTCGTCTTTGCAATTGAGGCCCCTGGATAAAGGTAATGCATAAGAAACTATCGTTATAATGGATTGAAATTAGCTGGACAGCTCAATTCTCAAAGTTCAAAGCAGTGACTACATAAGCACAGTATTGAAATCAATTATTTTTAGGCCAAATTAAGTTAATAATGGATGTGCTGAGTTAACACTGAAAAAGTGTTTACCTTCATCCTTTTTGAGTTGCCGAGCATGCTTTTGACGCCTTTCCTGGAGCAGGTTTCTTGAGGTGCCAAAACAACGGCAATTCATGTCCTTGAACGGATTGAGAATGTTCTCCCAATCCTACTTGAGTGGTTTACAGAAACGAGCGGAGGCAATTCCCTTCACCTTCATGTTCCTGTTCAAATCTTTTCAAAGCATCCTAATCTTTGCACCTGCAGGCATTACCGTGAACGATCACAAAAAATAGTATTAGTTACACCGTCTTAAGGTCCATACTCGAGGTGCAGTGTAGCCTGAGGACTCTTCATCTGCGAGGCGAATATATTCATATATACAAACTGCGCTAAACTTATTCCTTTTAGACCTTTGAAAGGCAGATCATACAATCATTTGCACGCCGCTGAAATTCCACATGTGCTCGGCTTATATATCATTTCGCACGAAAAATTTACCTCGTACGTAGAAAAAGTAAACCTAGACAACACTCAGCAGTCAGATGCCTAAACCATATCACAAAACGCAAGAACTGGCTTTCAGCACGCAGCAGACAAGCTGAGATTTATCATCATCAACAAAAATGAACAAAACAACGAATCAATTATTGACAAAACATACACAAATGAGTAACCGCACAGTCGGATGGCTCACGCAACGAAATACACCACCAATCAATTCCAGCATCCACAACAGAGAGATTCTGAAGCGATTAAGCATCCAAGCAGGCAGGCAGGCAGGCAGGCAGAGGTAGGATCAGAGGCCAGTTTGCGCCTGAGATTTGTCTTGCTGCCTTCATTATAATATGCGCTCGAAATATTGACAGCGACGCCGAGTCTTCTTTTCCCATTTTCCCACTGGATTCAACCAATTTGTCCGCCGCCGTGTAGACATGTCTTCCCACTGTCCAATTGCCATTGTTCATCACTGTTGTTCACAAGCACTCACCACAATACAACCACTTATGTATATATACACGCGTATGATAGTGTGCGTTCCTATGCTTGCCACATCAACACAAGTACAAACATATTAAGTCGCTATTAATTGAGAAACCCTTATTTATGAAACCTTAATGCATGTGTGTGCGCGAATATTTATAGTTTTAAAATATTAAAAAAATATTTTTAATTAAATATAGATTATAATATGGATTTCAATTAAATAATATTTCGTTACTTACCTAAAACTATCGACTTTCAATTATTAATATTATTATTATTTTATGATATGGAAATTCACCATTGCAATTGTTATTTTTAAAGTTTTGGGTCAGCTGAATTTAATACTTTGCAAATTAAGTCGGGTAGGAGTCACCGTCAATCCTCATATAATCAGGCTTGAGTAGGTGCTGAATATTAAGACTGGTGTAAGATATAGAATTGTTTTCATAATAAAAAAATAATATTTTATATTAATAATTTTTTAATATATATATTATTTTAGTGGGTGAATATTCATATATATTTTTTAATATTTACGAAGAAACATTTGAAAAATGTTGAGCGTGTTTTTTTTTTTAAATTTTTAGACAGATTATAATATTTATTTATTTTTCTTTAAATATCAAATCAAATAATTACTTTTATTTTATATATTATATTAAAATTAATTATAAAAACTTTTTACTATTAAACAAATTCAAACCAAAAAAAATCAACCCACAAATAAACACACTTTAAGAATTTGTTTACACAATTTTTTTTGACACAATATCTAATATATATATATATATTATTTTTTAAAAAAATTAATATTCAATAACAAATTTTAAATTAAAACACTAAATTTATTTATTTATTTTTATAATATGAAAATTCATCTCTCAACCTAATAGGACCTAATAAAATATGAATCTATAATCTTATGATCTTGAGTATAACATATACCGCGAAGCCATACGGGCAGCACCGACCAAATAAACTCTTATTTGTTCAACAGATAATGAATGATATGTGATTTTGTTTTGTTTATTTATTTATTTATTTTTTAATTATTAGACTGGATTTTAATGTTTGTGGTAAATTATAATGGGCCTAATTGATAAAGACTTTTAGGCCCACAAAATAAAATTAGGCAGACTACATGGGTACTTTTACTAGTTTGGGGCCTGGTGAGAAAATTGAAGCCTGCTTCAACGTCTCCAACGGTATCGGACAAGGAAAGCGTAGGAGTAATCGTACTGCCCGCTGCCCCAAATAACATCATTCCCAAATTTTCGTGTGTTGTTCAATGCGAGGGTTTTCCATCTGAAGCGGATTACTCAAACATTTCTTTCTGAAGGCGGATGTGAAAAACTGTTGAAAGTTAGATTTCTTCAGTTTGCTGTGGGAAGAGAGAGATATCTATATATAATAAATATATTTGTTCGTATGGCAACAGGAACAGCAACAGGAAGAGGGTATTTAATGGAGGAGCAGTCATCAAAGGGAAAGCATTGACGAAAAGCGATAAAGGAACCAACAACTGGAATCTGGGTGCAAACCCTAACCCCACTTCCAGACCTTAAAGCCCGAATGCTTCCCTTCACAGAACAGCACAGCTCTCAAATCCCAATCGTCCCTTACCTTTCTCTCTCACTACCTATAGTCATTCCTGTCGCCTTCAATTGAGACTTTCCCCCCACCCTGCACTTTCTCTCTCCCTTCTTTTCACAAATTATATACATACACACATACATATATCTATATATTAGGGTTTTTGGTCATTTGATACTCTTTCTAGATGAATGAAACTACCAATAATACCAATTCCAATCAGCCCCCACCAGCACCAGCGCCTGCGCCTGCGCCCGCCACTGGTGCTAAGGAATCTGAGCAGGAACCCGCTTCTCCTGGGTCCTCGTCTTCCACCAAGATTTCTTCGGAAAAACCCGACGACTCTGCTGGTGCCGTGGAGGAAGACGTGGTGATGGCAGAGAAGGACTCTGCTGCTGTGTGCGCTAATTCCTCGGACGATCCTATGGAGGAGGATGCCGTGAATCCAGCTACTGTTTTCTGCATCAAGCTTAAGCAGCCCAAATCTAATTTACTGCATAAGATGATTGTTCCTGAGCTCTGCCGGACCTTCAGGTGTGGCTTCAAAGTTAAAGTTTTTGTTTTTATTTTATTAAGTTGTTACTCTTATAAATAACCTAGTTCTTAGTGAATCTTTTTTTTATGAACATTTAAGATTGGATTTGATATTAGGCCAAATTGGAATTAACAGAAAACTGGCAATATGTGCGTGCCCGATCGCATGAGTTGTCATTACGTGGATGGATTTACTTTCTTCATTGAATTTTGGGTATTGAAAGATTGTGGACAAACATGTTCTTGATGGATTCTCTTGCGCTTTTCCCTTGGAGCTTTTGAGAATGTTTGCTTTGTGTCACTGCAGTTGATAATCATTCCACACTTCACAAATTTTCTATTATTACTAAATAATTATGCAAATTGGTGAAATGGAGCCTACAGGAATGAGGATTCTTAGGTTTTATTTTTTTAATGATCTAAAACTGGATCTTAGGTCTAAGACTATATAAAGGTGGGGATTAGATAGATCCTCCTCGATGTTATTGAATTGTTCAATATCCCACATAATCTTCAATGGCGCAGTATCATGTTTATTTGTCTAGAAGTTTTCAATAAATTAAATAAATGAAAGGGAAAAAAGATAGCAATTTCAAACTTAGTGGCATTCAAGATCTTCATACAGCTTAAGATCTAATATAAGTTTTAGAAAAAGAATGTTGGGCTGAATTTAAATGGTTGAATTATCATTGATATTTTTTGTTTTCTCCTAAATTTTATTCACGCCAGCTCTTGCTTTGAGAAAACATGTTTGATAACTTAAGTGCGTGTGCACGCTCGTGATCTGGTGAAAAAATCAGAAAAAAGAACAAAGAACAAAGAAAGTGTGCATATGTTGTAACTACAAATTATTTTTACTTGGTTGGTACAACATCCTTGATTCCTTCTGGATGATTTCTTTCTTATTATCCCTGCAGTGCTGTTGCTTGGTGCGGGAAGTTGAATGCCATAGCTTGTGCATCAGAAACCTGTGCAAGAATCCCAAGGTTTATAGATAAGCTTCACCTTTTATTGTATAGCATTGATGGAAACTCTGTGATGCTCTACATTAATTCACATGTTACCTTTATTTTTCTTTGTAGCTCAACCACCAATCCTCCATTTTGGATCCCTATTCACATAGTCATTCCAGAGCGGCCAACTGAATGTACTGTTTTCAATGTTATAGCAGGTACCAACTGGAGCCTGTGACTTATATGGCTATCTAGTGCTAAAAAAAATACTGGATATGTTTTAGGATGGGCATTCTTCTTGTTGGTCATTTATCTTTCCAGAGGCAGCGCTTTGAAAATGATATATGTATGCCAGAGTATATAATACAGCTTCTGAACAAATTGATGTTGATCCTTTTATGCTACAAGATCAATGCCGTGTTTGATACCTTCATACATTTATTGTTTTGACAGATTCTCCTCGCGACTCTGTTCAGTTCATGGAGTGGTCTCCTACTTCATGTCCTTGTGCACTACTCATTGCTAATTTCCATGGTCGAATAACCATTTGGATGCAGCCTTCTCTCGTATGTTATCACTTGAATGCAATGTTGTGGAGAAAATAGCAGACTATCTCAATAGTTGTAGCTTAATGGAAATTATTATTGTCTTTTACTATAAGAAGACATCCATTGTGGTGTTATGCTGTTCTTATTTATTTGAAGAAGAAGAGTCATTCTCGTCATCTTACCTTCTCATTGGTTCATTTTGGATTGGTCATTTAGGGACCAGCAAATCTTGTGAAAGAGGCTAGTTGCTGGCAGCTGGAATATGAGTGGCGACAGGATATTGCAGTTGTTACCAAGTGGCTTTCAGGAGTTTCCCCAGTATGCAGTTCCTTGACCATTGATATTGTTAGCGGTATAAATGTTTCACATATGATATAAGTTTTGTGCTGACTTGAAGGTATTCGTGAAATTAGTATAGGTGGCTCTCTGCTAGATCAAGTGGTTCCACTAAATCTACATTTGAGGAAAAATTCCTTTCTCAGCAACCTCAGGCTCCAGGTCTGTATTAGTATCCATGACTCCTTACTGTTCTCTGTTTTGAAAGAAAAAAATATATGCGATATATGGTGGGTGTCATTCATTTTCGGCATAAATATTTATTGTGGGAAAAGTTATTGATGCACTATAGTCCGTATAAATATCAGATTGCAATTTATTCTTGGTTTGTGAGTCAACCATTAATTTTCTTTTTAGAACCTAAAGGCTAATCACTGTATGATGTCCATTTATTACTATTTATTAACACTCAGGTGCTAAATATTTGTTCGGGTTCCGGCATACTGTAATACAGAATTAACTCCTTACCTCATAAAAAATAATGATTTGAGTTGATTCCACATCACATTCTCCCATCTTTATGATATAATGTTATTTTCAAGCTGCTTCCCAATATTTGCGTGCGTGTGTGTTTTTTATCTGTCCAATTTTGAATTGTGGAGAAGGCATGAACACATATGGGCTGTGTCTCTCCACAAGCCTACTAATATATTTCCTTTCTATGTAGTTAAAGTGGATGTGCTATTCTTTTGTCTTTTTATTGTATATATATATTTTTTTGCTGTAGAAAATCAATTATACTAAAAACTTCGGTAATTTATGATCACTCGTCTCCTGAGTTTTACATAATTTTGTTATTCATAATTAGTATGTAATCATGTAAGTACTTGCGATACATTTTAGTGATCAGTTTCCTTTCTGAGACACAGAGAAATTTTCTTTGTATATATTGCAGCTGGTTGGCCGAATTTTCTTTGTGTTTGTTCTGTTTTCTCTTCTGGCTCCATTCAGCTCCATTGGTCACAGTGGCCACCTAATCAAAGTGGAGCTCCATCCAAGTGGTTTTGCACAAGTAAAGGGCTTTTGGGAGCTGGGCCTAGTGGAATAATGGCTGCTGATGCTATTGTTACAGATTCTGGGGCCATGCATGTTGCTGGCGTTCCCATTGTTAACCCATCAACTGTTGTTGTTTGGGAAGTCACACCTGGCCCTGGAAATGGCTTTCAAGCCACTCCAAAAACAAGTGTCAATAGTGAAGTTCCACCCTCACTTAACCCTCCATCCTGGAATGGTTTTGCTCCATTAGCAGCGTATCTGTTTAGCTGGCAGGAGTATTTGTTATTAGAAGCTAAGCAAGGGAAAAAAGTGACAGAACAAGATTGCTGTCAGATGGTAGCACTTCATTGCTCCCCTGTTTCAAACTTCTCTGCTTATGTGAGTCCTGAGGCTGCAGCTCAATCTTCAGCTACCACAACTTGGGGCTCTGGGGTAACCGCGGTTGCCTTTGATCCAACACGTGGTGGTTCTGTGATATCTGTTGTTATAGTTGAAGGTATTAACTTGTCCAAATCTTAAGTAGTTCTATCATATTCCAGAGCTGCTTATGGTTTTATGTTTGGAAGTCTATGCTGCTTAGATGTACTGCACTGTTTTATGCTTTTGCCATATTCATTTTCATTTTCCAGTAGTGTTCAAACTGTGCAAATGAATATAGACCTTTTTGTATTCATTCTGTTTGTTTACCTGAATAATTGATATATTGACATGGTTTTGCACTATACAAGGGAAACCAGTGAACCTGTTTATATGTTTAATTGACTCTTAGGCTCTCCAACCTACAACTTTGGTGTGGCATTTTTACTGCCATGGCGAAAATTTCCTTAAGCTGTCATGCTATTGAAATTGGTGCCTTGTAATTCTGTGTATGCAGGGCAGTACATGTCTCCATATGATCCTGACGAGGGCCCTTCAGTAACAGGCTGGCGAGTTCAACGCTGGGAATCATCTGTTGAGAATGTTGTGATCCATCAAATATTTGGAAACCCTAGCTCTAATTTTGGTGGGCAAGCACCAAAGCAAACTGTTTGGGTGAGTAAAGTGATTAAATGCATTCCAGCATCCAGTGAATTCAAATGTCCTGGACCTGCAGTCCTATCACCCGGTGATGGGAAAGGTACTCCTGAATCTGGTGCTGAGATTGCCAACAGGGTCAGTTTTGATCCTTTTGATCTGCCTAGTGATGTTAGAACTCTTGCACGTATTGTGTATTCTGCACATGGTGGTGAGATTGCTGTTTCATTTTTACGGGGTGGCGTTCATGTTTTCTCTGGTCCAAATTACACGGCTGTTGATGGCTATCAGATTAATGTTGGTTCTGCAATTGCTGCTCCTGCTTTCTCTTCTACTAGTTGTTGCTCTGCATCTGTCTGGCATGATACAAGCAAGGATTGTACTATTTTAAAAATTATTCGAGTTCTTCCTCCTCCTGTTCCTAGAAGTCAAGCAAAAGCCAACTCTGCGATGTGGGAGAGGGCTATTGCTGAGAGGTAAACCGACTACACATTTACATTGTTACAATGGGAATTCCTTATACATTCTATTTAGAGATTCATTTGGTTTATGTATATCTCCAATGTGTTTTGGCAGATTTTGGTGGAGTCTTTTGGTTGGAGTTGATTGGTGGGATGCCGTCGGCTGTACTCAGAGTGCTGCAGAAGACGGCATTGGTAAGGATGCTTCTCATTTTATTTGGAAAAACAATGATGCCCATGTTTGTGTAACTTCTGAGTTTGGATCTATAACAAACCCATATTCATAATCTTTTATCCCAGCATCAAATAACTCATGTCTGCCATCTTGACGAGAGATCTAGCTTTTTTGCTTGATTTGGATTTTGGACAGTACAGCACTTGCTGATAGCATGAATATTTTTTGTGTATTTAGTGTCACTGAACAGCGTTATTGCCGTGTTGGATGCTGATTTTCATTCCCTTCCATCAACTCAGCACAGACAACAATATGGACCTGTAAGTTAGTTGAATCCCACATTAATCTGTTAACTTCCACTTTGACTTAGACATTAGTTGGTACAAATCTTTGATATAATTGTTTGGAGCACAGAGTTTGGACAGAATAAAGTGTAGACTACTAGAAGGTACAACTGCTCAAGAGGTTCGGGCTATGGTTCTCGACATGCAAGCCAGGTTATTGTTGGACATGCTTGGTAAAGGAATTGAATCAGCTCTAGTTAATCCTTCAGCTCTGATGCAAGAACCTTGGCATGCATCGGGTGAGACATTATCTGGAATTGACCCGGAAGCAATGACTGTTGAACCAGCACTAGTTCTTACCATTCAGGTTTTTTATCCTGGCATACTTTGCCACATCCTCCTTAAATTTCATTTTTCAACTTGTTTGTTTCTTTGCTGCTAGAGCTGTTCAAAATGAAAGCACACAGTGCACGTGACTGGTTATGAAATTTACCCTTGAACTTGTGTTTTAACAATTCAGGCATATGTTGATGCTGTTCTTGATCTAGCATCACACTTCATTACACGTTTGCGACGATATGCAAGTTTCTGCCGTACACTGGCAAGCCATGCTGCTTCAGCAGGCACTGGTGGAAGCCGTAATTTGGTGACAAGCCCTACCCAAAGTACTACCTCTCCTGCTACTACTCAGGGTGAGTATTACATGTGCATGATGTGCTTACAGAGAAATGATGTAGACAATTGCATTTCACTGTGAACTTTCAGTTCAGATCAAGTAACTAACAATATTTTTATCATTTTACTTATAACCTTTGAACAACCTTGCCTTCACTTATCCTATACATGGGCTTTGCTCTTGATTCTTTCTTCAGGATCTCAAGGTGGAACAGCAAGTTCCACAGGTAGTACTCAAATGCAGGCATGGGTAAAAGATGCCATTGCCAAGATTAGCAGTACAACTGATGGTGCACCTAATTCGGCTCCAAACACCATAAGCGGTCCTACATCCTTTATGCCTATAAGTATCAATACAGGAACCTTTCCAGGGACTCCGGCTGTTAGGCTTATTGGAGACTGCCATTTCCTCCATCGGCTATGCCAGCTCCTACTATTTTGCTTTTTCTTCCGGCGAACACAATTACCCCGATTCATTGGAGCAGCTCAAAGAAATGCTGATTCGTCCATTCACAAGGCCCAGCTCATTGGGCCTGGCAAAACTGATGAAGCCAACTCTGGTGCTGCAAAACCCGTATCAGCTGCAAACAGAACAGAAGAAACTCAAGTTTCAAGGATTGTACAGGTTGGAAATGGTGCAAAAGGGCCTGAAGAAGTTCCAACAAACCGTTCAAGATTGGGTGCAGGAAATGCTGGTCAAGGATACACATTTGAGGAGGTAAATGACCTTGTTTTTCCTTAATGAAGCAAAGTAGTGTTAGTCAGTATAAGTTGAGTTGAATGCAATAATTGGTAGGAAACAGAGTCATATCAGTCAACTTGGAAACTTCATTCTGGTAAATATTAGTTTGGTAGTTGATATGCTAATATTCAAGCAGCATCTCAATCTGAGCATGTTTTAATGATAATACTTTAGCACAATGAATTTGATTTATATTGATAAAAGAGGTGTCAAAGGTGCTCAAATGTAAATCAACAGAACCAATACAAGTGAAGGTAATTTTAAGGTGATTAATTACACTGCATGATGCACTCTTGAATGGCATTTTTCCATTTCGCTTTCAGGTGAAAGTTCTCTTTCTTATACTGATGGATCTTTGCCGGAGGACCTCAGGATTGGCACATCCACTGCCTGCATCTCATGTTGGGAATAGCAGTATCCAGGTCCGCCTTCATTATATTGATGGAAACTATACAGTTCTTCCTGAGGTCGTAGAGGCATCACTTAGCCCACATATGCAGGTGAATTGAATCTTTGTACACTCCTGGCTCTAATCCTTTGAAATCTTTGTAAACATTCAAGATAACTCTGGCTGCTGGAAGCATAATGTGGTGATATATTCATTAGACTTGTTTTTCTCTGCAGAACATGCCCCGTCCCAGAGGTGCAGATGCTGCAGGTCTTCTTCTCCGGGAACTAGAACTCCATCCTCCGGCTGAGGAATGGCACAAAAGGAATATGTTTGGTGGACCTTGGTCAGATCCAGATGATACAAGCCTTTCAGATGACGGAACTAGGGCCAATAGCTCCATGGATCTTGTTGATTCAGGTTCATCTGAAAATAGTAACATATATAATGGAACTCACACCCTGTGGCCAAGAAAGCGAAGGATGTCAGAACGAGATGCTGCTTTTGGATTGAACACATCGGTGGGCCTCGGAGCATACTATGGTATCATGGGATCTCGAAGAGATGTTGTAACATCCGTCTGGAAAACAGGGCTTGAAGGGGTGTGGTACAAGGTAAGTACTATGTTGATCATGTTCGGCTTTCTTTTCCTAAAATTGCACTCATATTCACTAGCAGGGCTGTCATTTAAGCTCTTAGATTCGTCTGTTTAAAGTCTAGTTTTCTGGGACTATATGCCTTGATTTCAACATAGCTGACAGCCCATTGATACGTAAGCCGAGAAGCATATTCTATGGAGTTCTTGCTGATCTTCTTCTATGGAAAGTTGAATATACAGAAAAAGCATGCAGCCACTTTGTTTGTAGCTATTATTGGATTAAATTTATATTGTGCTTGCATCATTCTATTGGTATCCGAGTAACAAGCCACGTCTCTTTGACTTGTTACACTAGTTTCTGCAGAATGTCATTTGAATACTGTCTTTGTTTTTAATGCAGTGCATAAGATGCTTGCGACAAACATGTGCTTTTGCTTCACCGGGTTCTACTACCATTACCAATCAGAATGAGAAAGAATTGTGGTGGATCAGTCGCTGGGCTTATGGATGCCCAATGTGTGGGGGAGCATGGGTCCGAGTCGTATAATTTATATATAAGTACACAACTAGCCATCCATGACTATCGACATCCAGAGCTGGAACCTACCTGGAACGGTACATGATTCCCCTGTGCATATAATTTTCCTGTACATATCTATCTCTCTGAAATCAATGACCTGTACTATATATTTAGACATTGTTCAAGAAGAATCTCTACCACACTTACGGCTTATTTCCTAATTTAGAATTGAGTTTTCGGTAAAGCAGGAAATGTAGTGTGTTTATTTGTATACCCAACATTCGAAAATTTTCTGTTTATTGAACCTAGGGTACTCTCTAATTAGTGGAATGAGAAATGCTCAGTTTTAATCTTTAGAATATATCCATTGTTAATGATGGCATATATGTTGCTTATAAGTTGGATCTTATCTCCTGCACACGCTTATAATTTTCATTACATTAATACTCAGAATCTTGAGGAGAGAACCCCACTGTACATTGAAGCTAATACCTACTGGCATGAATACAGCCAAACAAGAACAATGCTGATAACCTAAAACCAAACTAAAACATCACAATAATCAAAAGGAAGAAAAGAAAAGAAAAAACACTAGAAGGGTTAGCGCTGAATTGAAGAAAAGCAAACGGGCGACTACTCTGGGTAGACGTTAGATCATTCCCAGGTTGCCCAGTTAGCTTGGCTCCCAACTCTGGGCATGCTGTTAACTTTAGAGTAGACGTCGAGTGCGAAATAGGATCCGCACATTGCCCCCTCGCTGTCGATTCTAGGCATGGCTTTCATCTTGTAAGTTGGATGCTCAAAGCTTATTAGTCCCCTTTCACTGTGATACATACACCCTGTCAAAACATTTGCTATTAGATTCATCCTTCATCCTACAACATGGTTCAATACTTTCGTGCAAACATACCAGGTGGGAATGGGGCAAATGATTTCCTACAGCTTGCTTTTATAAGACTGCTGTTGTCGGAAATCATAACCGAGCCATCGGCTGCTATTCCCCAGTAGAGGCTCACCTCATTATCGGCACCCTGCCAAAATAAAATAGGTTTCGAATTACCCATTTGAAACGAAGAGCTAGAAATGTCGATAGGGTAGACCGTGCTTACGAGGGCGACGAACACGTTTTTCGACTTGTGATCGAAGATCACAAACCCGAAACTTCCTTCGAGCTCTCTTAGAACTTGGTGCGCCGGGATTGGGTTTCTGTCCCGCAGCGTACGGTAGGCTTCCATCACGAACGTTGCGTCGTTACCGCCCTTCGTCAGCCCGTACTGCTTGTTGAGTGAGCACAAATTTGTCAAGCTCCCCAAGAACATGCAGTAAACCTCATCCATACCACAGAAGATTCTGTAATATAACAGTATACGTTTTTATGTCAGGAAGGTATAATTCATTCTGACTTATTCGGCTATTTGTAAGGTTAGTGTTGTTACCTCTGTTGCGCTGCGGCGGCAGAAGCTTCGGACGGAACATAGCCCAACATAACCTTGTCTGAAAACGAAACAGAGCAGCCATTGCTCGGATTCGAAGCCAACAAATCCTTCAATGCCTCCTTTGGTGTCTTAACCCTACCGAAGGGATGTAATGAGGCTGGACTATGCAACTCTTTCGGCGCTTGCAGAACGTCGCTCTTAAATACAGCCAACATTGTTGTCTTCCCGACGAAAAATTGTTGAAAACTGAAATTTATTTACTAAGGAGATGCAGAGAATGGCTTTTTAACATGAAATAATGAATGCAGACATCTCCGAATGGAATAATCGTGTTATTACATGGTCGGTGTAGGAGAAACCAGTCTTCCTCTGTTGGATAGGAGCAATTCTAGGAGACAGGATCTTCTCTCAAATCTTCTCCACAAACGCAGATCAATTCGCAATCACCAAATCCTCTTTTTCCTATTAATAGGAAGAAAAATTAAATTAGAATATCAAATTATGAAACTTGATGAGAGATCTGTAAATCTCTCCCCCTTCGTGATGCTGTTTTCTCGTGCCATCTATGTCTCATACTAGTAAATAAAGTGCTTTGTTGTCTTTGTTCTTAATTTTATATTATTATTTTTAAAAATACATGTAATATTTATTTTTATGCAAAATTAAAAATGATAAATGTGAAAGATACTCACATATTTTAGTCACTAGTTACAGTAGATGTAAATTAGAGAATAATTATTTAATTGGATTTGCAGAGAGACAGGTGTTAATGATTGGACAACGTCAGCGCTTCACGTGTGCTGTATGTTGACAAGCCGGGGAAGTTATCACTGTGATTATTTGTCTTTCTGTCTTTACAGCTGCTAATCAATCATTGATCACGACACTATTTTTACATATTCAGCCATATATATATATATATATATATATATTCTGTCAGTTTATCTTATGTTATATTTTTTTGAAAAAAAATTATATTTTTTCATTGCAAAAGAATTGTTTATTTTTTTATTTTTATTTGTTTCAAAATAATTGTCATATTTATTTATTAATAATTATAGTTCTACTTTATAATAAAATTATTCATATTTTTTTAACTATTCATAATTATTACTTTAATTTTTATTTTTTTTAAATCAGACATTTTAATCTTTTTCTGGAACTGGGACGGAGGGAGTATATTTTAATTACATTTCAAACTTGATAATTTATAATTTTTTAATTTTAATTATATTAATTAACTATTTTAAACTACTATTTATTTCTAAATTCTTGGACAAAACGAATACTAAATTTCACATATTTGAATTACATGTATGTTTTATTCTTTAAAGTTACTTTATTATTATTTTCATTTAGTTAAAATTACAAATATATGTATATACACAAAAGTAAGCTTTATATTATAATACTAATAGATTTGTTTACCTAACAATTTTGATACGATTTTTATACTATTATATATAAAAATATATATATAATATATACATATATTAATATAAAATATATAATTTTTTCATTACAAAAAATTAATAATTTAGTATTAATATATTTTATACAGTAATATGATTATCTAACATAAAAAACATACATTAATTCATAACACACTCATTATGAATCTAATATCTAAGAATATACATATATATTTAACATTGATTTTGGTCTGCCACTGTAGTATGTCATGAGCTTTTTTTCTTATTTTTTATTTATGGTGGGCCCCACCACTTATATAATAATAAAGTATAAAAAATGAAAAGAAAAGGACGGAATCATAATAATATTGTACTCCTCCGTGTCATATTTATCTGTCTATTTACTTTTTATATAAAATATTAATATTATATTAAAATATAGTAGAAATAAAAATAAAAATATTAAACTAATATTTATATTGTATGATATAAAGGAATGTCTTTCATCCTTCTAGGGTGTGTTTGTTTGGGGGTTTGGATTTTGAGTTGGGATTTGAATAGTAAAAATTTTAGATTTGAATAGTTGTATGATGTGATATAAATAGGGTTTGATGTGATGTTTTGAATGTAAAATTGATTTTTAGTATAATATAAAAAATGAAAAATAGGTGTTTAATTTGATGTTTTTGGGGGAAAAAAATTGGATGAATAGTGGAAATCCACCAAAATCCTTCAAACAAACACACCCCTAATAGACAACAAAAATTGCATTTTATTTTTTTTAAAAAAAATTCTACTAGTGTAGATTTCACAAATTAAATTTATAATTTTTTTTTTTGTTATACAATAATAATATTTTATAAATTCCTATGCATAGGACAGCGTGATCACTAGTAATACTCTATATGATTTAATAATTCAACGTTACAATAATATTTTGTGATTATTATACTTTAATAATAAAATCAACCATAATTAATTTAGATTATTATTATTATTATTGTTGTTGTTGTTACAATGGTCAGCAGTGCCCGCTCAAAACGCGGTGGTTTTCAACTGTCATATGCTTGCCCAGCTCAAAACGATGCCGTATAAATTCTCAAGTTGTTTGTAGTAACTTATTAGCTATGAAAACGCCTTATTTATTTATATCTATGCATTGCTTGAATAGTTGAATTACATAACAAAATTTAGATAAATCTTTAGCGTGATTGCGTTTGGGAATTGAAGATGACGTTGGTTGTGCTACGTGTCGACTTTTGCCATTCTTTGAATAAAAAATATCTAAATAAATACTACTGTGCCTTTGAAAGTTGTATGCAAGTACAGGTTTTGATAGCGACTTATCGGTAGTACGAACACGATTTATCCCCACCACAACTTAAATAAAATAATACTCCAATTAACATTTTAATTATTTATTGTACTATGAATTTTTATTTTTATATATATATATATATATTTTTTATTTTAATGTGATCCAATTTTTATTGACGGTGAAATTAGGGTTCAATGGCCAATAAATACCCCTCAGCCCGATCATTTTATTGCTAGCTGTTCTGCAGCACATTTTCTTCTCTTTGGGACTCTGAGGCTTCGTTCTCTACATTCGAGTACAATCGGCGGGGGTTTTTGGATCTGTTGCTCTTTTAACGTGTTGTACTGCTGTGTTGCGGCCGGATTTCTTCCTGTAGTTGAGGTTATTGTATGGCAGTGAGATTACTGTATGGTGAAATATCAGATTTGTGTGTAGGGAAGCCGAAATTGGGCTGGATCTCGGCGAGCGCCTCCATTTCTGAAGCCTTGTCGGCTTTGAAGGCGTCTGGAGATACTCAATTGAGCGTATGGGAATGTACCGGTGAGAGCGCCAATGGTCGTTGGATTTGCGTAGGCAAATTTAGTGTTGCGGATGTGATTCTGTATCTTTGCAGAGAGATAAATTTGGCCGATCCTTTCAAGGCTTTTGAGGCTCCTGTTTCTGATATTTTGCCTAAAGCCGAGTTTCCTATCGTCAGGCATTTAGAAGCTGATTCCAGGTCGGTTTAATCAATTTTTTGCCTTGCCTCGTAGTTGTTTGATTCTTAATTTCGCTATATCATAAGGAGACCATTATTGAGATTTCTTTTGGAGTTAATTAGTGTTCTGCTAAAGTTTGTTGAGTCAAAAACATTCCTGGCTTTTACTTCAATTGCTTCTGTTTTAACTCACACAATGTTATCGTCAAAATAATAAGAATGTGATTTCAAGCTTGGCGAATAATCGAGAGATTTTGTTTGCGACTTTATCTAATCTCTTGTCAGCTACATCTCTTGTGGAGTTAATTAGTTTATTACCAAAGTTTGTTGATTCAAAAACATTCCTGGCTTTTTAATTGCTAAAGGTCACAATCTTATCGTCAAAATGATCCGAATGTGATTTCAAGCTTGTCGAGTAATAGAAAATCTTTGTTTGTGACTTTATCTATTCTCTTGTCAGCTACATTTCCAATACTCTGTATTCTGAATCTAAATCTAACACCATAATTAATGCATTTGGCAGCTTGTTGGAGGCAATAGAATGCATACTCGAGGGCACTCAAAACTTGGTGATCCCAATCACAAACCACCGGACAACCGATGCAAGAAAGAAATCTTTCATCAGGAAAAAGGTTTTGAAATGCGACTGCCTCAACCGCCATCTACATTGTTGTTGGTTAACACAAGAGGATATGGTGCGCTACCTCCTCAATTCCATTGGAGTCTTCTCTCCAATCCCCACTTTAACCGTAGAGTCCCTTGACGCCATTGATTCTGATATTATCACCCTGCCTTACTACAAAGCTGCATCCTCAGCATTGGCCCAGTTCTCCCGTGCCCTCGCCCAACAGAAGCCTATTGCAGTAGTAGACGACGAGAATCGATTGATAGGCGAAATCTCACCTGTAGCACTGGCTCGCTGCAACATAACGACAGCAGCTGCCATTATGACTCTCTCTGTGGCGGATCTCATGGCTTACATAGAATACAGCGAACCACCGGAGGATTTGGTCCAGCTAATTAAGATGAGGCTAGAGGGGAAGAATTTAGTGGGAATGATGGAACTAATGGATGAGTTTTTCCATACTTCAAAAGCGCCTTCTTCGTACTCTCCTTGTTCTTCAGACGACGAGTCACTGTCCAGCTCCATTGACATATCAAAGAACGGTGGTTGGGGACGACACTCTTCAACAACAAGATGGGAGGTTGTTGTATGCGGCCCCGGAAGCTCACTGGTTGCTGTGATGTTCCAGGCACTTGCAAACCAAGTACCCTGTGTGTGGGTTGTGGAAGAAGATCAAACCTTGGTTGGGGCTGTCACACTTGCAGGAATCCTCGAAGCCCTCAGCAATGTTGCTCCATGATTGCTGCTCTGACAATGAATCAAAAGTCTTTAATTTGTTCAAGCACAGCAGTGCAGCCCAGGTTAGTTTGCTCCTCAATGCTAATCTTGCAAAGTTATTGCTTGTTCATAAAGAACTTAAATGTTAATGCAATTTTCCTTCCATAGTCTATTTTAAGAAATAATTTATGTGTACCATAGTATTTGGATGTCAACTGTGTAAGAGCTTTTGCTATATGAATATATTTATTTTTTGCTATAGGCGAGCCTTTATGTGTCACATTGCATCAAATTTGACTTCTTATTCCTTGTTACTTTCTTGAATTGTTCAATATATTTTTCCAACATGTGAATATACCATTCTGTCACCATCTTCTTTGGTCTCATTCTTTCTGTTTAATCACCATAGTCAATTTCTGCTGGCGCACACACATGACCAGAAAGAGTAGCCAAACTGGGCCAGCAATTTTTTGTGAAAATTACATGGGCCCAATATGATATTTTGGGCTTATACTTTCAGCCCAAATTGTTTTGATTGGGCTTTGTTAACTCAATTGCATCTGTTTAAAAATCTTCTTTATGTCATTAACATACAGCACATGTTAAAGTGATGCAATAATTACAATTTGTACATTAGTCTTCTTTACTATTGCGACCATAATTAAGTTATGATGGTACAAGTTTTATGACGCAAAATTAATTGCACTTTTCTTTTGGGTTTCAGCTACCATTAATATTTAATTAATTGTACTACTTGTAAGTTGTGAGAAAGATAAATAATAGTGGATGGTCACAGAGGCAAAACATCTACTCAATGATTAGATTCTTTGCACTTGGAATTTCTTATTAATTATCAGGCTAATTTATTAATTGGTAAATTGTTATTAATATTATAAACGGGACAATGCCTAGTGGTGACGTTGACAAGTTAGCTGGACAGCACCTTATCCAATTGAGTCGATATTTTTCCTTAGTCTCTGCTCTGCGTTCAATTCAATACTTTTAAATAAAATTGAATGGATGTCCCTTATTTATATTATTATCGTCTTTATAATTCAAAAGCAATTGCAAAATCGTGGTTGTGTGACCACGACAAAAGTACAGTCTAGGGATAACTTCAAATGCGATTTATAATATACATCTCCGTAACCGGTGAGATGGAGAAGCCCCTAGAAAAACATTAATGTAACTCAGTAATTCCAGTCAGCGTCAACCCTCAGCATTAAGAAGCTTGATTTGCTGATATTTAAAGCTGTTAAACGAATTGAGTCGTTTGTGAACTCGGCTTGGTTAAAGTTCGTTCGCGAACATTAATGAACTGAGTTGAACAATATAAACAGGCTCGTTTGGTTAAAGAACGAACTCGAGCTTTGTTCACGAACGTTCGGGAATGTTCGTTTAAATAATATATTTATTATAAATATTATATATACATATAAAATTATAATTTATAAATAAATAAAATATTAATTTAAAATATATAAATAAAATAATTTTAATTTTTTTTTTATAATTTATATATAACTAAAAAAAATAAGATAAACGAACACGAACGAGCTTAAACGAGCCGAACACGAACACGAGCTCAAACAAAAAAATTTTTTAACGAGCCGAGCTCGAAAGTTTAACGAACGAACACGAACCTTGTTCGCGAACGTTAACGAACACTTAAAATTTGGTTCGACTCGACTCGAATTGTTAACGGCTCTAGTGATATTACCGTATTATCCTCATTGCTTGGATGCCTATTTCGGATGTTTTGATGTTGAGGTTTCCATCCTAGTAAAACTTTTAAATTAGCATTGATGTTAAATATATTTATATTTATAATAAATACTAATATATTCAAAATGCAATCAACTACATTTACAAAATTATAGCGTTTAAAATTTTGAACATTTAGTTCAATATAATACTACTCTATTTTTTATTAATTTTTTGTTTTACAATACTAATACAATATAATAAAAATTATATAAAAAATTATACAAATATAAAAATATTTTTTAAAATTAAATACAACGATAAAAAATATAAATATAAACTTAAAAAAGATAAAAACATAATCAACAAATTAAGATACAACCATCCTATAAATGGGAAAAAAAAAAAAAAAAGTAAAAAATAAAATAGGTAAATAATTGAAGTTTGAATAAGTTTTGCGGAAAGTGGTGTCCGGAAATAAATGGACATCAATAAAGGCGCGGGCCCCCTCCCCTACCCAACGCCCACTGATTACATTTAAAAAAGAACACTAAACTACAGTGGTAGACACCAAAACCGCTTCATTCAATATATATATATATATTGTATATTTTTATTATACATTACTACTGTATTTTACGTCACATACGTACAATATATATAAAAAAACAAATTAAGATTTTTTTATACTTATATTTTCATTTTACTAATAAAAAATTAAATTCAAATGTAATTATTTTTGTAATATTATTATAATTCCTCGTAAAATTGCATTAATCATATAAAAAGATATTCAAGCAAACACTTATGACTTCACTTTGCCGCTTCAACTTATCAACATATCCATTGACCCATTTCTATCTTTATTATCCTTGTCTGACTAGTTTACATTATTGATAAATATTGGAAATTAAACAAAGCAATTGCAATTAGCACAAATAAAAAAATAAGTAAATATATTATATATATATAAAAAAAAAAGAGTGGAGTGGAGAGGGAATTGTGGATAAGGAGATCATAGAAAATCCAAATACCACAAAGCCCACAGATTTATTTTTCTATTTAAAGAAACACACCAACTGCATTACGATATTATCCTGCTATTATTTTTTATATTATTTTGTGCACATTATTAGTTTACGGTCTCCATCTTAATTCTTTATTTTATTATTATTATTATTATTTTATATTTTTCAATAAAATAGTATAACATCAATTTTATTTTTTTTAAAATACAAATATAAAACTAAAATAAATCACAGATCAAACATATGTCCGTAAAATTAGCTCAACTTGTCTCATCACTTTACTGCAATTTGATTTTAAAACCGAAATCGGTACCTTTACAATAATAAATTAATGAAATATTATGCATAAATTTTATTATGGAAATTATATTATATACAATAAATGTTATAAATAGTAACACATTTAAATCAAATTCATACTATAAAGTAAAATTTATCCATAGTTTTATATGAAAAAGGAAGGTGAATGATCTGCACTCTTCAAGTAAATTAGACTCTATCCATATACAATTCAAAATCATTTTTTTTAATATTATTATTTATACATTTTTATAAATTACAAATAACAATTTATTAAAATAACTCATCAAATAGCTACATCTTATCATAAAGTATCATATTAAAGACATAAATTTTATGTAATTTTTTTTGAACTTTCAAAATTGTATCGAAACAATCTCAACATTTTATTATTTTATTCTTGTAAAAATTAGAGCCTTCATTTTTTTAAAGAATAAAATAAAATTAAAAATGTCTTTATACGGTGAGAATAAAAAATAGTATAAAAAGGGTATGAGTCATCGTTGATGTACACGTGTCCCGTTAGAGGTCCGCTCTAAATTTTATCGAGTCAGTTTTCAGTCATACAGCATACGCAGCCTTGTGAAGTTTCTAGAGAGAAGAAGATCTCGAATTTCCAGAAATCTATAGGTGGATATCGGTGTCCATTGAATCTCCTTCGGGTTTTTCGGTTTTGATTTGCCTTTTTCTTCGACGCCGTTGAAGTTTCCGAGAGTCGTCGATGTGGATTTTGGTGGTTTGATTACCAGAAATTTAGAGAGTGGGGAATTGCTGTTCTATGAGGAGATGTACGCAAGCGGTGGCGGTTCAATGCGCAAGTCCTTCAAGGATTCGCTCAAAGTCCTCGAAGCTGATATTCAGCATGCTAATACGCTGTCAGTGGTTTTATCTTTGCGTTTGGTGATCACTTTTTATTGCCGAGTTTTAAAATAATTTTGCTTGGTTTAACGTCTTGCATTATGTGTTCTGTACTTGATGATTTCGTCTCCTTTTGCTGGTGATTTTCGTTTCGATTTCTCCTTGGAAAATTGTTGTGTTTGTTGTTTTTGAAGCTAGAAGTTTCTGTTCTGTTTTTATTTTTTCAACAATATAAAATTTCCTTCTGATTATCGCTCTGTTTCTTCTTTTTTTTTTTTTTTTCTTTTTCTTTTTTTTGCCTTCGTAGTTACAGAAGTTTATCCTGCGTCTACCGACTCAGGAAATTTGTAATTGAAGATAGTATGATTTTTGACTTTATCGGTTGCTTATCTTTGCGATGAAGGTGTCGTTTTCAGGTTTAATTGAATGATTAATTCCTGATCTCCTAAAAAAAATATCTTATTAAAGCGTTTGCGTACGTGTTCTTGATTTTGAGTAGAATTTTTCATTGCTGAGTCAATATGGATAACGAAGGGCCACAGCTGGTCCGGCATCAAATCACCATTATTAACATTTGTTTTGAAGAAATTACTTTCTTAGCATCATAACTGGATTGATTTTATCCATTCATTTTGCCGAATGATTGAATCACACACACACCCTAATTGAATCTCAAATTCCAACTACTGTTACAGGGCATCTGATTTCCCTCGTGAGTATGATGGCGCATGTCTACAAATGAGAATGTCATACAGTCCTGCAGCACACTTTTTCCTATTCCTTGTTCAATGGACTGACTGTCACTTTGCAGGAGCCCTTGGGCTATTGAGAATCCTAATTTACAAGGTTAGATTACCTTGATCAAAACTCAAATTTTCTATACTGCATTAGCTTCCTTATTTTCCCTGTTCTGTTATGATTGCACGCCACTGTGAATCTGTGATGGATTATTACTTCCTGAGCTAATGAATGAGATGGAAATCTTGCAATGGTACAGGTATATGTAGATGGCACCACCACTATGTCCACTCATGAGAGAAAAGCAAGCATTAGAGAATTCTATGGTAAACCTCATAGCTTCATATTTAGATGAGAACCAATGATTTATGGCTCTTAAGTATAAAACATGTCTTGTGGCCAGCTGTAATATATCCTTCTTTGCTCCAACTTCAAAGAGGCGTCACGGATTCAGAAGATAAGAAGCAGAAAGCTGTGTGCTTGGAGAGATACCGGAGGAAGGATGAAGAAGAATATAGACATTTCTCGGAATTGGATAATGAAAGGGAAGAAGAGTGTGGGATTTGTATGGAGACGAATAGTAAGATAGTCTTGCCCAACTGTAACCATGCCCTATGTCTGAAATGCTACAGAGAATGGTATGTTATCCTCCTTGTCTTGAATCTTTTGTTCTTCAATCCATTACTCGACACACGCATGCATCATATATTTGTGAGCATAATTATGTGGTAAAGCTTCATTGCATAAACTGAATCTGGCAAAACCTTTAGCGAGCACCATGTATTTTGAGCAGTACAATTTTTTATTTTATTTTTTTAAACATCCAATTAAATATTTTGGAACAACTCTGTTATTACGAACACACAAAACACGTGGATTTAGATTTATAAGCTATATGATTACTGTGAATGTGTGATTTAGTGAGCCCGTTTCTTGAAGACGTGTGTGAAAATATAGTGCTGATAATTTACAAACAGCATTTTGCTAGATTGGATTCTCCATTACAACGCAATAGATGATAAATGTCGGGGATGCAGTATAGTTTAAATGACCTGCCGAGTTTGAGATGTGAAAACTGGTTGATGTTTTTATATCAGTAGTAAACTTAAGGATATTGTAGTTCATTGGTAATTATAGATTTTACGAGGTCAGTGTAGCTACTACTTCCAAATGGCTTGTATATTATCTGAATGTTGGATAAAAAATGGCTGCAACATTGTTTGTCTGGTTCCGATCGATCATTATTTAAGGTTGTGTCTTCAGCGAACTCACACACATGCGCACACAAAATATTATGCATCTGTGATCCTTGCAGCATAACATGTCTTGAAAAATTAAATCTGTTTTGGCAGTCAGCGCACCACGGAATGTTCATTCTTTGCGTGTATTACCATTGCTGTCTTATTGCAGGCGTACAAGATCACAATCTTGCCCCTTCTGCCGCGACAGCTTGAAGAGGGTAAACTCGGGTGATCTATGGGTGTTTCTCGACAACAACGATGTGGTGGACAGCATGGCTATAACAAGGGAGAATTTGAAGAGGCTGTTCTCGTACATTGATAAATTGCCTTTGATCATCCCCGATACCTTATTCGATGCCTATGACACGCATGTGAGGTAATTAAGTTAAGTGGTTTCTTTTGAAGGCAAGACAACCCGTTCTGCTCTTGGGATCTCTCTCTCACATTCCTAGTATTACCGGAAGACCAAGAACTGATCTCTCAAGTATTAGGTAGAACGTCGAAATCTAGTGGCTTGTTCTACAGCCCGCCACAGAAAACTTAAAACCCAAAAAAACAAAAGTCTCAGCCTTGATTAATTGTTGGCAGAGGTTTATGATTAGAATTGAAACACCATGGGTAAGGTACCTATATATATATATATATATCTATTATGTGGTATAGAAATTTGTAAATTTCTGTACAGTTCTTTTTAAGTATATGCATTATCCAGTCTGCCGTTGTCAAAACTTCGTAAAGCATTCATGGCTTTATTATTCATGCCTACTCATTGTGAACAAAATTGTTTGTCAGCAACAACATGGCTGTTTGTATTATGGATGGGCAAAGCAATTGCTCCAAATGCAAATCTAGAGAGAGAGAGCTAAGTTAAGGGGAAGGGATACATACTTGTTAAATGGCTTCTTAGGAGTGGAATGTATGTAATAAATTAATAGGTGTGGAATCAGTGGTGGTGACGTGGCTTCAGGAGATTCTAGTATTGTCCCTCCCGAACACGAGGGTTGTCGCCCAGTTAACAGCCACGTAGAATCTGTTCCTCCAGCTGATGACTCGGGTCAGGTATGCCGACCGCCATACGAACCAGCTGATGAACCCGGCCATGGATATGCCACTCGAGTCCTCCTACATAACCAGTTTCATATATTTATGACATGCACGCGCATACGTACACGACACGGCCGTGTTCCTGATATTGTATCATATGTTTATGATAGCAGAGTGGTGTGGAGTAACCGTACGTACCTTGGACTCTCGCAGATCGACCAAGGCTTTGTACCTTCCGACCGACGCCATGCTTCCAAAGTGCTTGTACACAAATGGATCACCTAAAGGAATATCTTGTCCTGAGAGAGCTTTGCCGCCTCCCTCCCTCGCCATCCTGTTAAACATTTCAAGGAGGAACTTGCCTTCTCGTTCGGCGACCTGTGCCAGAGCCGGAAGGACAGGTTTTCCGACGCTTTCGAGAAATCCAGCGCAGTCGCCGAGCGCGTACACGTCTTGCACTGAAGGAACTCGCAGCCATTCATCGATACCAATCCTGCCAAACAGATTTAATTTATGTATTGGATATGGTAAGGTGCAGTGAGCTAATTGATCGTATACCTTCCGCCGGGAGATTTTGGGAGGTTGAGTGATTTCACAAATTCAGAAGGCCCGACGCCGGTAGACCAGACGAGGAGTCCGTAGGCGACTTCACTTCCGTCGCTGAGAATTATCTTGTCCGGAAGGACCTCTTTAACGACACCGCGAACAAGGCGAACTCCCGACTAATGAATATTATATCATCATATATAGTTGAGGATAAACTCCATCAATGGCGATGTATATCCAGTTGGTATAAAGATTGGTTTTTTGTAGAGTGAGTTACCTTTGTCAAGTGCTTAGTGGCATATTGTCTCAATCCAACGTCAAATGAGGATAGAATCTCGTTTGCCTGTTTATAGATGAGCCATGAAAAAAGATGTAAGATTGTAACTAATAATGTTCTTATGCTAAAATGTAGAGACACCATACCTCAATGAGGGTGACACGGATGTAGTTTTTGACATGAGCGTAGCGCTCCCAAACATCTCTCATAATGAAATCGCTTAATTCGCCGCTAAATTCGACGCCAGTTGGTCCGCCGCCGATGACGACGCAGTGCAGCAGGCGCTCCTTTTCTTCCTCACACATGCCTGCAATAACTGTCTTAGAACAAATGCTTTTTTTCTGCAAGAATTATTGTATGTAATGATGCAATTCACCTGGATTTTCAGAGAGCATCAGATTAAGCAGAAGCTTCTTCCTGATTTCTTGTGCATGAGATACCTCGCGAAGAAACGAAGCGTGTTCCTTTACGCCCTTGATGTTAAACGTCAGCGGCTCAGCTCCAGAAGCAATCACCAATTTGTCGTACGCAACTCTGAAACGGTAAGGCTTTTGAGAAGCCTCACCAGCAGTTTCACAGAACACCTGATGCAGGAAAACAATGTCAAATATTGTCATCAAATCATGTGTTTTTGTGTTTTTAAATTGAGCATAACTATGGCTAGCTGCTACTCACTTCATGCTTATCTGTATCAATACCAGTGCAGGAAGCAAGAAAATAATAGGAATTAGGATCCTTAGCCAAGGCTGTCTGTATCTGATTGACAGGCTCAGCCACTGATCGGAATTCCAAAGTCCCAACACAGGTCGAGGCAAGCAAAGGCGTGAAGACCATATGGTTTCTCGGCGAGATGCAGACGACATCGTACAATTTGGTGTCGATCCCTTTGAGGAATCTGCACGCCGCCCATCCGGTGCCGAGAACAACTATCCGAGGCTTTTCCCCAGGCTTTGTTGCTTCGAGAGTAGCATAAATCTCGCCTTCACAATCTGATTTGGATTCCACCTTAGTTGCTTGTGCGTTAGCAAATTGATGTTTAGGAGTCGTCCTGAATTCCCTACGCCCAAAATTCATGCCTGCCAATGCTCGGAAGCTCGAAATGGATGACAGGTTGTTTCCTAATACAGAGTTCTTACGCAAAACAGCAGCATTTCCATTGACGAGTGAATGATTTTGTAGCTCGAAAAGCTTGTTCCTCTCAGAAGCATAACTGCGCGCGACGCCGCTGAATCGCTGGTAAGCTTTATTTGCTATTCTCGCAATTGTCATGTTGTTCGGCTAAACTGAACTGCTTCGAGTTAGATTTTTCTGTAAATGTTGGAGAACAACAGAGTATAATATGCAAGCATACACTTTGAAGAATATGAACAGTAGCGAATGAAAAATGCTTTGAATTTTGCTTGCTCGTTGTTTACTGCAATCCAGAATCTATGAATTTCAAGGAACCGAAATTTCTAATGAATTTGCTAACCTAGTTCTTCACCTACATGGAAATATCTATGAATATCAACGAACAGAACGATGAACAATTGCACGCATCAGAAATCACAACTATTAATCATCTCATTCCATAACCGTTCCTTTTATGGCATAAGGATCCACATTCTCTGTTCTAAGATCATTGAATCAATCAAATCAGTATGATACAGAATCAACGACGAAGCGGAAGCAAAAATAAACACGCCACAATACAATGTCGTCAGTCTCCAACGGTTGAGAGCATTTCCAGCAACCGTACACAAATCAAAACCGTGAAAAACAAAAAGGAAACGAATTGTCACATCAGGATGCAGAAAATCGTACCTGTATGAACGAATGCAGAACGTACGCACGCGTTACAAACAGGCAGGTGTGAGTGCGGGGAATAGATTTGAATGCACAGTCTCTAGGGTTCCGAGCTTCGTGGAAAGGAAACACGTGAAAATGATCTCCACATTGCCGTGAGATCTATCAACGTGAAAATGACAATGAAGAACAAAAATAAACCTTGCTCGCCAAGAAAATCTAGATATTATTAGTCGGCTGCTCCGAGGCTACCTATACGATCTATATGGTACACAATAATGGCATTGGCTATAATAATAATAATAATATATAAAAACATTTGAGTGTCTTAAAATTACAATATTAAAATATAATTATATACCATTCCTTGTCTTTTCTTTTTCTTTTTTTTTTTTTTTTTTTTTTTTTTTTTTTTTGTAGTTTCACATATTTTTGTTTCCATCCAATATATAATTTGGTCAATAATGAAATTTTGCAATATAAGGAAAAACATTCAATAAGTCATGTATTTATAACAAAAATTTAGGGTAGATATGTTTTAGAGAATGTCCAAAGTTTAGGATTTTATTGAGAATAATAATAATAATAATAATAATAATAATAATATAAGTATTGTTGTTTCATGTTGTAGTTCATCATCTTGAGTCCATGGATCGCAACTCCCGCCAAGCTGACAACATTGTTTTCCCAAATGAATTCCGAATATTCATTGAATATTCTCTGGACTCCCAACAACGTCGGATCGGAGCAGTAGCCACCGTTCCTTAACACCCGATTCGCATCTAGAAGTGTTTTTACTCGTAATTAAGTTAATTGCATTTGTTTGACTGCTATACATGAGCATGACCCACACACAACTCAATTCAAACCTCTCATTTCTTGACTTGCATTTGTATTATTATTATTATTATTATTATTATTTTGATGAGCTGGGAATTTACAATTACTGTCCAAAAGTATCACTGATAAACTTTCGGCCGAACCTAATACCCTACAAACTAGACCCAACAAAGCAAATCACACTAAGCGAACCATATGTTGCAGATGACCTGAAAGCGTCGGGATTTAAACTCATGACCTCACAGTCATAAGTTCACGTCCACGCCATTAGCTCATCCCTTTCGGAACACCTTCCATTTGTATTATTATTACTACATCGCTTGTCTTCAATCAAAATCATAGGCAATGCCGCAATGACAGTAGACTTCCACTCTGTCTCAATTTTAAGAGGAAGTCACAAACTACCCAATTCCAAAGCGACTAAAATTTAATCTTATAGTAATTCATTCACGTTAGTTCATCCTTTTACCAATTAAGATCTTAAAACCTACGCCTCTTCTTTAACAATAAGAGGGCAACACATCGAATGTTAGAAGAAGGAAAAAGACAACTCACTATCAACTCCATGAATATATACATATATATAACCATCGGACATATTTGTAACTTACTCGGATTGGAAGGTGTGGCGCAGTTCTCTTTACACACATAACATAAGAGTCAATAAGCGAGCTGTAACATAAACACGGCTTCGATGACGTAGCTACGTATCTGTTTCCATAATCTACAGTTTAATCAAGTGGTTATGGATAACTGAATATTGAAGAAGAAGAAGAAGAAAGTAATTAAGAGCATAAAAAATACGTTAGTATAAACCCAAAGAAATTCAGAATACAAGAATTAGAGACAAAATTATATACCTACTGCATTGCATCAAGGTTTGTTGTAATGAAGTGGTGTGATCCACCTCAAGCATTTTCCTGCTGGACAACCTTTGAGCCCTCGTAAGAGAACAGACGAACTGCATTCTCATAGCTCAATTGAGCAACCTCTTTCTCTTCCATCTCGAGTAGATTTGAGACAAAAGTGAGCACATGACGAATGTTAGCTGGATGATTGAAGTTCTCATCGGATATTGATGGATTGTTCTCATCAACGCCGAGGGAAGAATCGCCTCCTTTGACGTAGAACAAGGAATCTTGACTATCCACTTTTGGTTGAGCATCAGGTGCATCAGTCTCCAGCAAAATCCTGTCATGAGGAACAGCCTTCAACATTTTCTTCGCCTTGCTTTCCTTCATCGACATGAGAAATCCAGAGAATGAAAAGTAAGCCCCAAGCCTGGAAAGCTCAGGAACCATTTCTGCAGAGCCGAGATATGAATGCAATACAATCCCAGAAGGGAATGGCCCTTCAGAATTAAGGATGTCCAGAAGATCACCGAAAGCACGCACACAGTGGACAGATGCTGGCTTGTTGAGCTGTTTTGCAAGTTGAAGCTGCTGGCGGAAGACTTCAACTTGATCATTGAAATCAATCTGCTTTGCTTTGGAGCCTTTGTCGATACCAATCTCTCCCACTGCTGCAGAAGGAGTTGATGCTAGCAACTCCTTCAATTTGTTGATCCAATTGGGAGTTCTGTCGGAGATAAACCAGGGATGAAGGCCAAAATTGGGAACAACTGAAGGATACTCGTCGCTCATCTCCTTAACCAAATGCCAGTCTTTCTCAGAGACTCCATTTACGGAAAAATACATCACGCCAGTATCTATGGTCTCCTTTATAAGTTTAGGGGCCAAATTTAAGATGCGTGTATCTTGCAAGTGGCAATGAGAATCGAAGAGTTTGATCATAGCTCCAAATTTAACAGACCTTACAAAAAAAAGACTGTTAGCTGCAACTTAGTACTCAATTAAGAAGTGCTACTAGAAACCACATATCAGTCACATAATAAATAGACAAACAGTCCCATAGGAGATAGCGTGGTGGTGGCGTGGGATGAACTCGTGACCGCAAGGCCAACGATCTTTCCAAGTCTTTCCTATCATACATGGTTCACTTAATATGACTTGTCTTTCTGGCCTAGTTTGCATAATATTAGGCTCAGATAAAAGTTTAACCAAAACGCACTCGAAGAGTAGCGGCAGGTCTACGTCATCCCAAAAAAAAAACAGACATACGAGTTGTAAAATTCTCTGTTCGGTACTTAGTGCTATTCTATTATTTACAGTTGCTAAGTCAACACAATTTCCCTCCACGTATGGTCACCTGAACCGAATACTGGATTTCAAATCAATCTTGCATACATGCTTTACAGGCAAACTAGCAAAGAAAGAACAAATTTCTACCAACATGATGGCATATTACAGCATTGCATTGTACTATGTGTATGTTCAGATTCCCAACATTGAACGTACCAAAGAGAGACATCAACATCAAATTCTCTACAAGGTATACATGTTTGTTGATTGTGATTCCGCAGACAAGTCCAGGAAATATATATTTCTCTGATTGACTTCAATAGTTTAAACGCAATGGCTAGGAATTCTCAGCTGAACAAGCCCTAGCCACAACCTCGTGTATGAACTAAATTTTACTTCACCAAATTTCTGATGAAACAGAAAGCAAGTGGAATGAAAATATCATCAAAGCAAAGCAACTTTCTGTTCATAAACAATATCAACGGAATTGAAACAACGGAACAACAAATTGTAGAGTACTTTCATTGCTGATGACAGTAATTACAGCCGCAATAGATTCAGCCATTCAGGTACAACAATCAACAAAATACGGTTGAATCAAAGGAAAGGATAAAAAATTACTGTTCAGAATCAATAGCATACCGTGGCAGAGTACGGTCAACCACGACGGTGATTGAGATTCCGAACTGAGCTCCGGATCTCAGCTATTGCAGGATTGCGCTCCGCTTCTTTGCTAATATCAAACTTGGGCTATTACATAGAACCCTGAATTGATGGGCTTTCTTTTGCAATCTATTAACAAATACTAGTAGATCTCACGTACTCCATCCTTCCCATAATAAAGTATCTATTTTTTATTTTATTTCATAACAAAGTATCCATTTATATTTATCTAATATTACAAATACTCTTACAATTTACAATATATTACACAAATACTATTACTTTTACATTCGAAACATCACATCAACACATATTTATATCACATCATACAACTATTCAAATTCAAAATTTTTACTATTCAAATCTCAACTCAAAATTCAAACCCCCAAACAAACTCACCTATACTATATATTTACATTTTAAAATTTATAATCGTCTCATTTATAATTTATATTATTATTATATTTAATAATTATTTTAAAATACAAAATACCAACAATTTTTTTTTTTTTATGCAATGTAAGTAACGTGCACTTTGGGCTGTGTCCAAGGACCAGCAAACAAGGGATGATGGGAACTACTAAACTAGGCTTACTCCTCGGATAGATCCATACCGTCAATTGGTAGGCCCCAGGCACGAACGGTGTGGATCCATCTAGGCGTTAGGCATCTAGAAAACACGAAACAAATGGTCCGGTGGGCATCTTTTTCTTCTGTTGGTCGGCTCGGCTCGGCTGCTTTATCCGCCAAGCCAGCCTGGAACCAACCGCAATCTGTCCTTTTCAAGTTGTCGTTTAGCCACGGATTGCTGCTGCAATACCGACTGGCTGACTGCTATATACCCACAAATAAGTCTACCATTTCTTTCAAAATCTCAGTCCACAATAATTAGATAAGAATTACCAAATTTGAATAATGAAACCAGTAGCCAGTTCATTGATAATTCAATAACTTGCAATTTATTTGAAACTCGTATCGACACTCTCTGAAGCCATTAAAGATTGACGCTTTTATTGTTGGATTCAGCTTTAAAGCTAAAAAGCGCTGCAAATTTTCCTTTACAGAGAAACACGACTTTAATTTGTGGAAAGCGCTTTTAAGCAGCGAAATGCAAGTGGAAAAGGTCGGTGAAGTAACCTGTATGTGGGACCCGCCCGCGCCTCCAGGACCGGTGCACCCGGGTCTTCCTACACCTACCCGGTTCTTCGTTGCAACCGTACGGAGTTAATTCGTGACCGGTTTGTTAATTGGTATACTTTCTCTAATTATTACTCAAAAAGTTACGAAATTTGTTTTGTTATTAAAAAATGGCGAGATACGATTTTCACGTATGTATATTTTGAGTTCGTTAAATTTGTCTTTAATTAAATAATTTTAAGGGCAAGCTCAAGATAATCACATGGGCATCGCCGACTCTAATTTTCACTATTCACAATTGCTAGTTTACTTTAATAAATAAATAAATAAATTTTTCTGATACTCGTAGTATTACTTAAGAAATTAATTAATTAATTATTATATTTGACCCACTTGTAGGCCAACCCACGCACACCACAATTTGCGCAATCACAGCCATGCAACGTACCTTTTTGTCTTCTAATCCAACGGCTAGGATTGCACGAAATCCTGCATACCGCGTCCCCCCATTCTTATATACAGCCAGTGAGCCAACCATGCGCGACTCACCAGAGTTGTTCTTCAATCGTCGCCATTTCCTGCGTAGCTTCTTCACTGTCGCGCCGGAGAGGAAGAGAGGAATACAATATAATCGGTGTGTGTTATTGGCATGGTTTCTATGAGTAGTTGGATGTTATCCGCGAAGGTAGTTTTGATTTCCGCTGGAGTTGCGTCGGTAGCAATGGGATTAAAGGTTTCTGTTCCGGTCGCCGTGGATGGAATTCCGGCGCTGTGGTCTGTTGTTCTCTCGTGGATGAAGCCTCCTTATTTGTACATAATCATCAATGGCATTATTATCACCATCGCCGCGTCCTCGCGCTTCCACCGGAGCCAATCGGAAGCGCCGGCCGGCCGATCGGAGAGGCTTGTTTCTGTTAAAACTCCGCCTTCGTCAAGTTTTGCGTCGTTCTCGTCACAGCAGTATATTAACAGCAGTAGTGTCGAGGAATCGACGGTGGTGGATGAGGTTGTGGTGTCGGAGATTGAAGAGATTGTTGATGAATTGAAATCTATAGCGCCGAGCAGTGTGAAGGCTGACTCAGAAGCGAACGAGGAAATTGTGATTGAAGCTGAATCCGACGATGTAGTTGTAGATTCCTTGACTGAGGAGAAAATCTCCGGAAATTTTCAGTTCGAATCTCTGTTGCGAGCTCGAGAGAAACCTCTGGTATCTTCGAGATTTGCACACCGGAAGCCGATTAGAAACAATCCTGAAGGTAATTTCACCAAAGAATTCTGCCAAAACTGTGGTGTATTGTTATTATTATTAGTTTTCTTTTGTATTTGTTCAATGGCAGAGAGTCTCATCGTTTCCGATGAGCTCCACTGCTCCAAACCACAAAACGCCGTCGTATTCGGAACTTATCATTTCACATGCGTTGCCGTTACGCTTACGAATGCAAACACGACGCCGTCCAAAGATTATTTGCACCATTATACACCGTTGCATGACCTATTTCTTAATAAAAAAAAAAATCTAATCAATAACAGAATTGTTCATGGATGCTTACAGTTTCTAGCGCGAGGGCTCTGAGAGTGGCTCGGCCGAAGAAGCAGGAGACGCTGGAGAGCACGTGGAAGATGATAACAGAAGGGCGTCACGTGCCGCTCACGAGGCACATAAAAAAGCCGGACGCCTGGGATCAGGAGCCGTTGAAGGAGCGCAGCCGCTACATCAATCCAACGTCAAGGATCATAAAGGAAACATCGCTGGGTCAAGACGAGTTGAACCGGCGAGTTGAGGCATTCATAAAGAAATTCAACGATGAAATGAGGATGCAGCGGCAGGAATCCCTCAATCAATTCATGGAGATGATCAACCGTGGAGCCTAGCTAACCCAGGCCAGTATTTTCAATTATTTTTAATTCCATTTATTTTCTGTAAATTATATATATTCAAATTAAAGGCATGCAATTAAGACACTAGAAAAATCAAAGATAGAGAACTACTGATTAGCAAAAAAACAGAGACAAAATTGAAGACGTTTTGTTATTTCAAAATTAATTTTGAACATGTGATTATAGGTCGATGTAATGATTGTTTGGTGGCTGGTCGGCATAGGTCTGATGATCCTAACGTTTCTAGGGGTCAAAAATGTTGAGGATTTAGAGTGTTGACTATGTAGAATTTATTAATGTGTGTCGAGATTTGCTTTGCGGAATGTAGGCGCTATTGCCATTTGCCAGCAGCTGCAGCATATTTCAAATATCCCACGCAATCATAATTAGAGTTTGACTTGAATTTGAGTCAATTTGTGTGAATTACTCAATTGTCGCGTGGATCCACCGTTACCAAGAAATTTCTTCATTACCACCTTATGATATGCTTCACATAAAAGTATCTTTTATTAATTAAATATCGTCATTGATATATTACTATTTCTGGTAATAAATTACAGAATACAAATACCACAACTAATCTCATCATAAGAGAGAGAGATTCTTACAAGATGCTTGTAGGTATAAACTGTCAACATATTTATATATATGTTTCAGTGTTAATATAAGTAAACTAACAAACTATATAGATATTGGTGGAATTGTATAAATAAATACCAAATGACTATTTATTTAGTCATGAGTTCTGATGGTTTTGATATCGCTGTATAAATATAAAGTTAAAACATCTGTCCGGGTATAATGAACCTTACAACACTTGAGACTGAGTTGATTATAACTTGACAAGAGAATAAATACCAAGCAAAGTTTCTATACAAAGAAAGGTCAAGAAGATGCAGAGCGCAACTGCAAACCGATTTCGATATGATCTTTACTTAGGAGCAAATAAAGTGGCCAGCCCCTGGTCGACTTTGATGAGCAGTTGATCGTATCTCATCAGCGTCGCGTCTTCACATTTATATGCCCCTATCCCTCTGGCAATAACTTCGCCATCGACATCTATAATTCCAGATTTGGCAGGGTTACCGTGTCGTGGCCCTGGCTGCAACATGAAAGCTTTAACCTGTATTCGATTGCAATCATAGGCAGGTCACGATTTTGAGTAACTGAACATATTTTAGCAAACATGTATATATATGGTGCTAAACATATCCCTGAGGTAAACATAGCTTTGCAATTCTCAGGAACTTGTATCGAAAAATAAGATCATATTAGAAGTTTAAAACCAAAGAAATGTGTGGAAGGGAATTTAGGACCCTGACCTTTAAGTAAGATACATACGGGGACTTGACATGGCCGCCATTGTTCAGCTCAGTCAACAACTTTAGCAAGGAAATTTTGGGACAGTCCTTTATCATGATGAGGTCCAAAAAACCATCGGAAAACTGCAAAAATAAATAAGGATTAAACTCTGGGTACTAGTAATTGTTTTAATTGGATGCTGTATATGAATATTGTAATTAACAAATTGAACAGACCTTAGCGTCGGGAGCAGCCATAGTGCTTTCACTTCCCCAGGGTACATTATGAAGCCAGATTGAAACAAAAGGGCCATCAATTTTTCTCCAGTTTAAACTCTTCAGGTCAAATTTAGGACCCTCATAACCTTTCTCCAGAGTTTTAACCTTCCCATCATTAGACTTGGTTTCATTTTCGCCTTCGATGGTGATTACACTTTCAAGATCTAATGTTTCTCCATAAGATTCAAATCCAGAAGCTGGTACAAAGAGTATATTACCATCATACTTCCTGAGACGAAATACTCGTATGAGGCCCTGAAATAATGGCATGAGAGAACACAAAAAGTTCAGCAGAACAAATATATCTTCAGGGAAATCAACAAGTTTAATCTTGGAGTTAACTATGCAATAACACACAATGAAAAAATAGAGGGAAATTCCATTGAAAAGATCAACATTCCACTCTCCAAGGAGCTCACGGTTCAATATTATTGTTATTATTTAACAAAAATACATTTCTTTTGGATGATAAGAAAGGGAGCTTTCAAATTGAATTAAAAATCAGGTAGATTTCAATCAAGATAGTTATGAAACTATGCTGAAAAATTAAGAAATATACTCTAGCTGAAAATAGACATGGGTATTTAATGAATATGATGCTCCAATTTAATGGTCGCAGATCATGATAGAAAACAGGTATTGTATATCCATAAAATTAAAAGTGCTTCCCCATAAATAGTTGTGGTCCTGGAATGTGGTATGTGCAGTTTTAGTTGGGCCAGAAATTGCATTGTTATGTTCATAAAAAATGAAATCCCAATTGAACACAAAGGACATATCAACCAAAAAAAACTCACATATACATCAAACCGTGCACTTCCCATCCATCTGTATTTCTCAGATTCAATATCAATATCAGCCACTAGACCTGCCATAATACCTCAAAATTAGCAGTAACTACAGTAATAAACTGCTTTGCGGCAAAGAGTGAATAGTAAATTAGTAAGAGCGATAACTAGTTCACGGGGTAAAACTATCCTTCCAATGGATTAATAGAAACAACAGCTTCTCAGAACACTGCAGGTATTAGAAGTAAGATCATATACCCCATGCCAACATCAATGCACTGAAAAATCTGGTGTTCTCTTGAGATACCGTCGCTACATCCAACAAACGCCTATGCCCTACATTAGTTAGATGGCAGAATTTTCTTACAACAAAATTTGGAGGAACACTTTATTATAAACAGGCTACAGGATTAATGAAGATATCCAAATTACCACGGATGATTAGAAGGGTAGCATTGGATGCTGCACAGGGTTCACCACATGAGTCTAGAAGCGACTTTGCCATGCCATTTCCAGTTCCTACAGTCAATGCTTTTTCAGTGTCACCACTCATAATATTGTTTTACTAGAGACGCAAGAGACGAAAAATTAAACAATAAAAGAACACACAGGTAAATTGGAGCATCCTAAAGAAAGCTTTAACTGAGGAAGAATGCACTTCAAGGAAGAAATATATTTTGATCACATTTAAAGAAAGTGATATTATAAATATGATTATCACTATGTGAAAAAAAATTCACGGAACTGATAGGTTCTTTAACAATCTCTGGATGAGTATGCATCAAACACAACGTCAAGCAAACAAGTGAAGGAAAAAAAAAATTACATAGAAGTAATCCCAACTCTGGGAAAAAACAACAGCAGTTGGTGAAAACAGAGTGGAACATCGAGTGCATGATTGTGAATTTGGGGTGTGTTTGTTTGGAGGTTTGGATTTTGAGTTGGGATTTGAATAGTAAAAATTTTGAATTTGAATAGTTGTATGATGTGATATAAATAGGTGTTGATGTGATGTTTTGAATGTAAAATTGATTTTTAGTATAATATAAAAAATGAAAAATAGGTGTTTGATTTGATGTTTTTGGGGGGAAAAAATTGGATGAATAGTAAAAGAAAAATCCAATCCCTCAAACAAACACACCCTTGGATTATTTATACAGTGGCATCCTGGGCAATTGCCACAATTCTAAGATATAAGAACCAGAAGTTGATGGAATCTAAAGTAATAATCATATAGAAGAGTTGAACCTGCAGGTATTACTCCGAGAGGGGTCTTTATTGCATTATTCCAATCTTCCCTGACGAGCAGCCCATTTAGTACCTATTAGTAAAACCTACATATTTATATTAAGACACAACAAGAAATGAAAAGTGCTGTAACTTTCGGGCATGGATGATTATCCTGTCACTTCTTCGGGATAGCAGGTTGATATAACTTACATACACATAATTGTTAATTGATCACCATGTTCAACTGTTTGTAGATCTCTACAGTGATAAATCTCAAGGCATGACATTAAGTAAATCTCAAACAGTTTGTAACCGAATTAAACGGCAAGTCAAGATTACAAAAGATATGGGATCGATTCTTAGAATCTCACTAAAACTAAACAAGACAATGTTTAAAATACAATGCTGATTCCTCAGCAAATCCAGCCACTGATAAGACCATAGCACATAAAGGGCTAGCAATGAAAGAATGATCACAAACCTACCTCAACTAGAATTCCGTCGCCACTAACGCAAACAAGGCCGTCATACCTTGATAGATCAAGGGACTCGACAACTTCCTTAGCGTGAAGCTGGTATTTAGTTTCTGGAATGAACAACTAAATATAGTCAAACATCTTGAAAAGAACAGATATGGCTTCCAGAGAAATAAAATATGTAGTGAAGAATGCTAACCTTGAACGGTGTAATCGATATTGGCGTCATCAAGTAAAGGCTTCACATCCTTGTCAAAGATCTTGGAGGCTGATTTCTTCCCTCCGTGCGGATTCACAAATACGAATAGCTTCTTCGGCCTACCTGAGAGTCCACACTCAAAAAAATCTAAATTACAAAAGTTTACTTGTGGATAATCTCACGCAAATTCAGGCGCAAAACGATCACTCGACATACAGCAAGCTAATGGAATAGTGAGATGAAACTCGATTTGTGATTTCGGCACAACACACAAAAACAAATCACATCGGATTTGTAAATCCTCATAGAACAAATTGACGTGTACAGGACAGCATGACAAATTACCTAGAGAATCAAGGTACTTCTGAAAGCTTTCAGTCCAAGTGCGTAGAGATTCATCCGAAAAGAGCTCGAGAACGTAGGTTTTTCTAATCAGAGCATCCTCGACGCCAAAGCAACAGACTCCACTCTCATCTCGCACAGCGGCTCTAATTTTGATCTTATATCCATCGACGGAGAAGCCGAGGACCTCTTTCTCCACATCCAGCCGGCGTCCACTCCAGCGCAATTCGCCTGCGGTGGAAAGAGAAGCCGTCGTGACTTCGCCATCGGCACGCACCTGTTCCGATAAAATGTATTCTCCGGCGCCGTCCATTCGGTCACGGCAGCAGCGCTGATGATAGCGAAATGTGCCCTCGGAAATTCAGGAATGCTGTCGAGGCCGCGTCACTAGGGCCGGGTTTCCTGTTTGCGCCACGTTTGGATTCCGATATTGGTAAGATTATTCTTTTCAGGTAATTTTAATAAATTATAAAAAACATCTCGTGCTACCAAACACGGTCTTAATGGGCCCCGCCTTTGGTCCAGGGTTATTATAATTATTGGTAAATTAAAATCCGGAGTATCTTTGGGCCGGATTTTTTTTTTTTTTTTTTTTTTTTTTAAGTTTAGGTAATTGTTGAGTAAGAAAAAATTAATGTGCAGGATTTTTGAATGAGCTTAGGGCTGTGGACCGACTTGTAGTTCAATGGGTTTGTTTAATGGGCGATCTTAAATGGGTCTGAATATAAGGCAAACGACTCAAATGTTATTAAGAAATGAGTTTTTTCGGAAGAAACTTGTGATTAGGATATCGGTGAATACGGAGGTCAGACAAAAGAAAGTCGGACGAAGAAAGATAGGAGGGCAGACACAGAGGTCGGACAAAAGGAAGTCGGGGAAAGAAAGATGAGACGGCCAATACGGAAGTCGGTCAAAAAGAGGTCGGACGAAGAAAGATGATATGACAGACACAGGTCGGACAAGAGGAAAGGTCTGTTAATTGGTCGGGCGAAGAAATGTCTGTTAATTGATCACTTAATTAAGCGAACGGACAAGAGGAAAGGTCTGTTAATTGGTCGGGCGAAGAAATGTCTGTTAATTGATCACTTAATTAAGCGAACTGTTAATCGTCTGATTGATTGGTCAGTCATTTAGTCAAACAGTAGTTCATTCGCTTGATTGGGCAACCGATGAATCGTCTGGACGAATGGTTATTCAACCGTTTGAAGGGACTGGATGGTGTTCGCTTGATTGATTGTTTGGTCTGGCTACCGGTTAGTATCTGGATTGGTCAGTTAGTCAATCGTTGAGTTATTCAGTAGGTTCAGTCGGTGGATAGTCCAGACGATTTCTCAGTTGGGTGGTGATTTATGATCCGACTAAAAAGGCGAAGGTTGTTTTCAAAGTTATAGGGTCGAGCAAACGGTTGCTAAATATAAATGCGACCAAAGACAGTTTTTCAGACAATTATAAACACAATAAGGTTTCTCTGTCAGTTATAACTGGTATTGCACGATCTGAAAAAACTGACTTAGAAGGCATATAAGGGAAGTTACAACCGGTGAGCGAATATGAAGGCACGACCTGGTTGTAGCTGTTGATATAGATTTTAAATAGGTTTGTTCATGACATAAAGAAACCATGATTTACTTTTTCAGTGATGATGAGATCATCAAATTACTTTTTCACTGATCAAATTCAGTGAATTACTTTTGGGATCATCGTTTACTTTTTCAGTCTACAATATTTATCTTAATCTCAGACATTTGTTTTATCAAATTCAAAGAATATTTTCTATTTTTGAATTTTACTTTTTATTCGTTGAAAATCAACATCAACTGTAATCTTTTCTAAATAATAATAATAATAATAATTAAAGATTACAAGTGTATATTTGCTATTATTCATACTATAATCAAACTTTTAAAATATTTATTGGTATGATTTTAATTTTAATTTTATTATTATTATTATTTTTTGCTTATTTTATAAAATTTTGTAATTTCGAGTGGTATTACTATGACAAAATAGTGAAGGTTTTCGATAAATAATTATTTTATTTTATTTTTCTTGTTTTATTTTATACTCCATATGTTTTTCATAAAATAGTAAATATAATTATCATTTAAATATAAAATACAGATTAATGGACCAAAACCTCCCAAAGTGTGAAAGGCGTGGAATAAAGATAGTAAATAATTATAAATTTAAATTAAAGTAATTAAGTAATTTAATTAAAATATATAATTATCTTTTCAAATTAATAAAAGAATATTTGATGTAGATGAAATATTTTGTGAAAAATATATTTTTTTAAGAATACAAAGTCCAAATACTGAAAAATAGAAAGTTTGGTGCAAAAAAAAAAAAACACACCCATGTTGATCGAGGAGAAGAGAAGGGCATACTAGCCTTTGTTAGTTATGATGTTTTTTATTTTTTATTTTTTTATTTTTTATTTTATTTTATTTGCTTTGCTGCTGTAATGAAAATGATTGAATGATTTTATTGTTGACTGTATAAATATGACATTATTTTAATTTTGAGTATTCAATAAGGTTTGATAATGCTCATCTTTGGGATCTTTTAAATGATTGTTATTATATCATCATCAATTTACTTTGGTTTAAATTTTTAATTTGAATAATTATTCGATGCAATATAAATAAAAATCAATTATATTTTTTAGAACACAAAAATTAACATTACACAACATAAACATACTTTAATTAAAAAATGAACATATGGGGTTAGGATTGCCACTAGACACGTAAACATACTATAATATATTAATATTCATTTATTCATTTATTATATTACCTCATTAAAATAGCATCATTTACATTTTGTGTTATAGTTTAAAAATATTTTTATATTTATATAAATTTCCCTATAAATTTCATTATATTTATATTATAAAAAATTAATAAAAATATTTTTATTATGTTTTCTTTATTTATATTATATATTGATAACCCTGCGCCACCGGGAATTCCTTCCGCATTTTGATAGACTGGAGGAGAGAGGGGATGTGATCTTAAATGATAGATCACGTGGCCCATGCTGTCAGTGATCTTCGCTATCAACGGTCCCGATCGATCCGGTGACTCGATCATTCGCCGTCCGATTTGGATTCAAAAGTCAACCTCAAGTAGCGATATATAGCATAAGTGCATCTAATATTAGCCATCAGCAATCACTATGAAGTCACCGCGCAAATTCGGAGACGCTGGCCCTGAAGCTTCCGCGAAACTGCTATCCTCGTTCCCGGCGGTTTCAATTTTTCCCGCTTATCAAACTCCTTATATTCTATCATCAACAATCGGAATCTCTCTACTTTCCGCCTGAGACGGTGAACTCGGTTCCGTGTTCACGGCTGCAGTGGTTTGCTGGAGTAGATCTGATCTGGATTAGGAAACATTATATACATTTGCTAAATTAAGCGTATTTAAGGAGGCAGTTTCGCGGAAACGTGGTTGAAAGATGCAGAATCGATTTAACGGTATGGCGGCGAGGGAGAAACGGAGTTTGGATCCAGGCAGTAGCCAGGAAGGTCAGCCTGATCGGAAACGCCCAGCTCTTGCTAGGTAATCATCGAAAATATGCTCACGCGCTTGGAGTTTTGGCTGTGCTAGTGTGATCGTGCGTATGTTGATCGATCTCGCGTTGTTTTTGAAGCTTATTCACTTATCGATGTCGAAGTAGATGCATCGACTCCACCTCTTTACATGAGAAAAATGTCGTGAAATTTATTCAACGATCTTCACATTTAAAGAGACTTCATCAGTTCGTGTATCTAATATATAATCGAGTAAAACAGCTCGCGAAGTCAGTAGCGTATAGAAAATTCAATTGATGTTGCCATTTGTGTATACGCATGGATGTTGTTGCTAAGAAAATCCTCTTATTTACTGTGTAGTGTACATATCTTGCAATTAGGTATGGGAAACTACAGGTTTTTCTTACCTTTCAGAGGGTGGGAATTGGGATTCGCATTTTTTAACTGAGGTTTCTTGGCCAATTGCAGTGTCATCATTGAAGCTCTCAAGGTGGACAGTCTCCAGAAACTTTGCTCATCTTTGGAACCAATTCTTCGAAGAGTGGTAAGATTACAAGATATCCAATTCAATATCACCATCTTTTTTCTCCTAGTGCTTGATTATGTATATGCAAGAAATCTAAACCATTCAACCTAAGTTAATGAGTACTGTCTTTACTTATTTCTTCGGTTCGGTTCACCATAACTGTCTCGCAATCATTTTTTTTTGGGTCTCGCAATCATTTTTTTTGGTCTTGCAACAAAATTTGTTTGAGGTTCATATGGTTAAACGATGTTCCTTGTGTTTGGTGCAGTTAAACATATCAGTATCTTAGGTTTCATGAGGTACGGAAACAATCAGTGTTATTTATTTGTTATAATAAACCAAAGTTGTGGCTTAGGTTATTCTTGAGCATGCTTATAACATCTATATGACCAAAAAAACCGAGGCATTTCTGATGGTTGGCCTCCGTCGCACTCAAAGCCACTCTTTTTTATGAGTCTCTCTGAATTGAATGCTTCTTGCAATGTTGCTCATTGCATATGATTGTGTGATGTGTGTCATTGTTTGTTATAACCATCTTTCTTTGCTGCTTATTCAATATAATTGTCTGATGAATGTCATAATTTTTAATAACTAGCGGCCTTTGTTGCTACCAGGTTAGCGAAGAGGTGGAGCGAGCCTTGGTAAAATTAGGTCCCGCTAAACTAAATGGCAGGTACAACCTCAGATGTTTTGTGTTTTCCTCTGTTTGTGCGTATGCTATTTATAGAAATTCTTATGAGGCTCAGAGACTTAAGGCTCAGATCAGCTACTGACATACAATTTTATGTAGCTATCAATAAAATGACCATATGGTTCAATAAATTGCATGTTCTGTTTGATTCTACTAGTTTTTAAGCAGTATGATTATATTGTTAGATGAATTATCTATTGATCATGCAATTTTATTAGCATAATCATTTTGTTGTCAACATGTCCTTAAAATATAAATTCATCCCAGGATCCCAACTGATTAAGATATCTTCAGTTCTATTCGGTTTTATCAAATTTGATTATCGAGTCTATAGGCATTTGTCCGAACTACCGCTCTACCTTTGAACTAGAGCATCTCTGAAATGACTTGTCTGCATGCATAGTCTTTATTAATTTATTTATGTTCCTTTGTAATCTTTCAGTCTTAAGTTGCTTATAACTCACATTATTCACCCCGACTAAATATGCAGGGTCTCTCCAAAAAGAATTGAGGGCTCTGATGGACGAAGTTTGCAGCTTCAGTTCAGGTCCAAGCTTTCACTTCCTCTATTTACTGGAGGAAAAGTTGAGGGAGAGCAGGGTACCTCAATCCATGTGGTGTTGCTTGATGCAAACACTGGTCAAGTCGTAACATCAGGACCAGAGTCGTCTCTGAAATTAGATATAGTTGTGCTTGAAGGTGACTTCAACAATGAAGATGATGATGGCTGGTCTCAGGAAGAATTCGAGTCACATATAGTAAGAGAGCGTGAGGGGAAGAGACCACTTCTAACTGGGGACTTGCAAGTGGCTTTAAGAGAAGGTGTGGGAACGTTAGGGGAGCTAACATTTACCGACAACTCTAGTTGGATTAGAAGCAGAAAATTTAGGCTCGGTCTGAAAGTTGCTTCAAGTAATGCTGAGGGATATCGAATTCGTGAAGCAAAAACAGATGCCTTTACGGTCAAGGATCATAGGGGAGAATGTAAGCTTATTTTCAAGACAGAAATTCAATACTTATCCTCTTTCCTTATCCATCCATCCAACGAGTGCTAAATCTGTGTTTTTCTTATTCTTTAGTATATAAGAAGCATTATCCTCCTGCACTGACTGATGAAGTCTGGAGGCTGGAGAAGATTGGGAAAGATGGCTCATTTCACAAGAGGCTTAATAAAGCTGGAATAAAGACTGTAGAAGATTTTCTGCGGCTTGTAATGAGAGATCCATCACAACTAAGAAATGTGAGATATATATATATACACACTCAACACAATGTTCCGATCAACAGATATTCTCCATTTATATAGACATATATATATATATATATTTCTGCCCGTCCACCATGAATCCGTTCTAATTATTTCAGATTTTGGGAAGTGGAATGTCAAATAAGATGTGGGAAAGCCTTGTTGATCATGCAAAGACATGCGTGCTGAGTGGAAAACTTTACGTTTACTATCCTGACGAGCTAAGGAATGTGGGGGTTGTTTTTAACAATATCTATGTACTGATTGGGTTGATCTCCGGCGGGCAGTATCATTCAGTTGATTCACTCTCCGACAGCCAGAAGGTTAGTGAATGGTGGTGTCTGATGCACAGTTTTAAGATGAAATTGTTCAGATAATATTACCTCATGTGGATTAGAATTCATACTGAAAGTTCTTGCCGATGCCAAGCACACTTAAGCATTCGATTTCCTTCTGTAACTTAGTTTCATTTATAGAGAGCACAAGTTCTATAACTTGAGTCTTCTTGTTATCGATGAGTTTTGAGCCCGGAAATATCACTTGAATTTGGATGGATTGTACAGGTTCCTTATGTTTCTTATGTATTGTAGGGCTTCGTCGACACATTGGTGAAGAAGGCATACGAAAACTGGATCCATGTCATAGAATACGACGGTGAATCCCTCCTCGGCTTAGGTCAAAATAAAAGCTCGGATGCTTCACCAAATGCCACCAAAAAACCGACACATGCTCCGGCAGACTCTTTCGAACATCACACTTTACCTAGTCTCCCACCTTCAATTCCTCCTCAGCATCCATCCATGAACTCAGGATTGGGAATTGGAGGTAAGCTTATTTTCGATTCTTCATGATTTGTTGCAAAGTCTTCCCTTTTGAAGCATTCTTTCCTCCATCCTCCATATTACAGTGATTGTATGTTTTGCTTATACGCAGCTCTAACCATAGTTTTTTCGATCTTTTGCTAAGGTTACAATGACAACATTGGAAGTCGATACCCTATGCCACCACAAAACATGAACCTCAATGTCGCGGCAGAGTTAGCCGGCGCTTCATACTCCCCACAGAATCACCAGCTGATCCATTCAGGGCAACAACATGGAAGCGAAAACTCGCTGGCACTTGCCTCTACCTCAACAAATCATACTTACACCAACGGGGGATTCGAAGACATTCCAGTAGACGAAATCCGCACAAGAAGTCACGAAATGCTTCAAAATGAAGACATGCAGCACCTACTTTGCCTCTATAGCATGGGAGGGCAAGGACACAGCGCATTCAACGCCGGCGACAATGACAACAACTACGGGTTCTCAGCTTACACACCTTTCACTCCGTCAAACTTCATTTTTGAAGAGGACAGCAAGCGCTCGTCAGGAAAAGCAGTTGTCGGTTGGCTGAAGCTAAAAGCAGCTCTGAGATGGGGCATTTTCGTCAGGAAGAAAGCTGCTGAGAGACGAGCACAAATTGTGGAGCTCGACGAACTGTAGGTACACCTCTTTTTCGCGGCATATCTGAAAGCAAATTTTCAGGGAGCCAGTGTGGTTTTATACTTCTCATTACAGGTTGTTGTGCTTAACCCTTTTTTATCAGCATAGATTCTTCGATTCCTTTTCCAATTTACCCGGTGTAAATTAGAGATCGATCAGTATAGACAAGCATCTAGTCCTTTCGACAAAACTTTAGCTCCTCAAAGGAACATAATAGTATTATGTATTGTTCTAACTTGTAAGTCATTTTGGTCTCTAAAACATCATGTATGCATTCTAGTGTACACTCATGAACGGCATGCTTCTTGTTCTAATACCCATTAGAGATGAGTAAAATATCCGAAAATTACCATTGAAATTTAAATTTTGGTTTGATTTTTTGTGGATTTTTGGATATATATTTTGGATTTTCGCATTGGTATACTAAAACTTCGAACCAATCCAAGATATAATTTTTTTAATATATATATATTTAATATTCGATGAAATAATAAGTAAAAATTATTAACTATATATTAATTTATTTTTTTATTTATTATATATGTTATATATTATAAAACAATTATAAGAAATGAAATAAAATTTAAAATTTAAAAAAATCACACAAAATATAGAATCGGATTATTTCGGTTCAGTTTAGATTTTGTAGTTCGGATTTTGGATTTTCGAATGTTCGGATTAGTTTGTGCTAAAAATTTGGATTTTTGGATCGATTCGGATTTGGTGAAATCCGAACTGAAAAACCGAATGATCAGCCCTAAATACCATTATCAGATCCAAAAGCACTTAAATAGAAAAGCTATAGACAATAATAAGAAAGTAGAAAAATAAAGTCGAATAAGTCCCGGTTGTAAAGTAGCAGAAGCTGAAGACATATAGCAATGCTCCACTCCACACACCAAAATTTTTAGTTCATATATCTGAGTTGTGGAAGAAGGACAGCAGAAATTCTCCATATTTGTGAACTCTAGCGACTCAAAAATTTGGAAATCGAATCATCGCGGATGGAAACTCACATAAAATCATAATCGTCATAATCTTCATAGGTTCCCATAGCCACATCGTCGTCTGGCTTGTCAACAAGCAGCTGCTTTTTCTTCCCACCTGAAGGCAAGGATAGGGAAACTTTATACATACATTGTGGGAAACGATGAACATGAATCAGCCTGATATGTCGAAATGGAGAATTGGCAGACCTTTCTTTTTGCCGGTATTAGCTTCTTTTTCTGCCTTGATCTTTTCGTTGGCAATTGCAGTGATGGAAGAGGCAAGCTCTTTAACATCTGCGCCTTTTAAAGAAGTCGAAGACAGCCTCATTACAGCCTTGAGCAATCCAACGTAGTGAAAACTTTTCTGTAATGGAGGAAATGAACAGATTGTGATTCTAAGGTAGTAAATAATCGATGGAATAGAATAAATTCGGGGACTGCCATGAACCTCGTACGGACGAAGTTTATATGAAATAAGTTCTGCATACTCTGCAAAGTCACTTTCAGTTTTAGGAATAAAATTGTCTATTGTCTTCTCATCACCCTTCTTCGCAAACAATTCGGCAGTAGACTTGAAATCAGCTTCTTCGACAAGCCTGTATGAACGAAATGAAACGATATTTTAAATTTAGTGAGACAGAATATTGACTATATCAGAAGACTAGTGATCTTAAATTTGATCAAGTTGATGAATTTGTTATGTAGCACTACTCAAATATAACACATACGAACCTCTGTTGGCGAAGTTTTTCTTCTACAGGATCCAAAAGTGTTTCTTTTGCTGGTTGATGAGTTTTCTCTTTCTTGTCTCCGGGTTTTGCTGCAGCCTTCTTAGGTGTTTTTTCGGGGGGCGGAGGCTCTGTTTTAGGTGCCTGACCACATTACGTAAAATGTTATAAAATTTAAATTTAACAAAGAGAAGACCCAATCAATTTATCATAGAATGACATGGGGGGCACAGTAGTTCAGAATTCTCTGCTAAGAAAAATCGACAAGCAAGAGTAAACGAGGCATTTCAAAAAATGTAAAGAAAGCCTTATAGTTTACTTCCAATCAACCAGAAACTCTTAGAACAAATTCATGAATCCATTCATACTCCTGAACTAGCTTTATGTATCTTTCAGGCCATATTATAGATATGTCATTAAATAAAGAATAAAAATGGGCAATTTCTGCAGGAGAAATGAATCTTCATTTAACTGGTGGTGTGGAACAATAGCTGCTAAAAGTTAAATTGACAATCACTACAAGAAGAACAAAATGGATGAGCACAAAGACTAATTAATGATCCACCTTTACTGATAAAATATACTTTCGAAATGTGTTATTCCTGATAACCGTTCCTTGGAAGCATAAATCAAGAATTTTCAATATACTATGAACAAAAATGTATTTTCCTGCATTCTTGTTTGATGTACACAATATAGTTCTTCTAAAGGCTACCTGAAATTAATAAATATCTAACCAAAGAACATACACCATCATTATACTATCACAAAAGGATATACGACTTTCAATGGCGATACACTTTATCTTAGCAAATTGGTCTCCTTACGAGGATAGAAGAGGAAGGGAACAAAGTTCACATTTGAAACACTTATCAAAGAGATAAATAAAACACCATCAATCTGTATATAATATGATCTTAAGATAATAAAATAAACACTAAATGGTAGAAAAAAGTACCATGAGCGGAGCACAAGAAGATTTACAACAAAACAACTAATTTTAATGTAACTTGATTTTGACCTATAGAAACGGTTAGCCACTAAGAAGACTATATATAGAAATTGAAGATATATACCGGAGCAGGCTCATCTTCTTGTTCCCAAGATTCCTTCACATCATCCAAATCTTCATCATCCCAGTTACTCTTTGGTAGGATTGGTTTTGCAAGAAGATCTGGAATCGGCTCATCCTCTGAAACATCACATGAGTTAAAATGTAACTAACATTATTCATCCAACATCTTTAATTATTCATCGACAAGCACAAACATCAAATGAAAATGCTACTTGTAAGGCGATGAAACAAGAAGTCATAAGAAAAGATCCAATCTTCTGTTTCAACAACACTGTAGTTAACGGTGAAGATTTACCCCAGTCGTCAGCCATTTAGACTCGATTCAACCAAATGCTTCAAAGTTTTGAGAACTCGATGATCCAAGTTATATGCTACAAAACAAATCAGAACAAATCCATTAGAATTGAGAATGCATCCGTTCGAATTTAAAAAGAAAACCGTACACGAAATCAAAATCACACTCGAAAATTAAGAAGATATAACCAAATCACTATCCAAACACTGCAAGATTTTGAAAGTGGAGCCTAACCTTGCAGGTGAAAGACGAAAATCCAATACAAATCCCAAAAGCTCCAATCAAGTGGCTAAAAACCTCACTCACTAAATCCGAATTGGCAAAGACCGACCGACGACGGAGACGCCCGAGAGAATCTGTCGAATTCAATTAGGGTTATTGTTGGTATCAATCCTTCGTGCCGTCAATCTTCCCCGAGCAACAACGCCGGTTTATATTCTGTAAATTTTTTCGTGCCCAGGAAGGTAGGTCTGTTTATTTGTTTGGATGCTTCTCGAAATTTATATGTAAGACCTTGAAATGTTTTTCTTCCGTCGCCATTTCTTTGTGTAACAAGTACAGGGTCTGTTTGTTTTCCTTTTATTTGAATGAAATTTTTTTTTTTATACAGATACATAATTGTGTATATAATATAAAAAATAATTTATATATATAATACAATAGTATTGTTTTAGCACAAATAAAAATAGTAAAATACTACTATTATATTTTAGACTAGGGGAGTATATATAATTTTATTTTTTTTTTAAAAAAATATGTTTAGTATTTTTGAAAAAAAATATATTCCCTCCGTCCACTAAATAAGTATACATTTACTTCTGTCGTGGAGATTAAGGAATAATAGTATTTTAATTATAGTGGGTAGATAAAAGTAGTGAAATGACATTTTTGTCTTTACTTTTTTGGTATAAAAGTAATGATGTGACGTAAAGTAGGGGTATTTGTGGAAAAAATAAGGTATTTAATTAAATGGTTACTTTGTAATTGAATGTCCCAAAATGGAAACATGTATATTTTCTAGCTGGACGGAGGAAGTATAAGAATACACAAGTGTATATATATAGATATCAAATATTAGATATATAAAAAATAATATTTTATATTAAATTATTAATTTTTTTATAAATAAATAAAATACATATATTATAAATATTATGTTAACATATGTATATTTTATTTTTAAAACTAATATATATAAAAGAAATGCACTATCTAAAAATATATTTAAAATAAAAATCCACAAAACAAACAGAGCCACCCTACTTACTCCCCTAAAATGCTAATTGTTCGAATATTATTTATTGGGGTTAATTGTATTGCAAAATTTAGGAAATTTATTCAATGCTATTTGTTATTATTATTATCATTATTGTCCCTAGTTGCAAATTTAAGGATTATTGTTGTGGTAAATATTTTGTCATTTTTAAGTAATTGTGTTAACTTTACAATCTGCATCTGTTCAAGAAAATTATGTAATTTTGGTTAAATACGAAAAATTTAAAAAATAATAATATATGAATATCAAAATAAAACAGACAAAACAATAAAATGGATATTATAAGTAATTTATTTAAGAGTTGATAATAATAGTAAAATAAATTAAAAGAATAGTGACAATAATTATTACTTTTGTTATAAGAAAATTAATAAAATTAAGAGTAGATAAAACTTTTTATTATAGATAGAATGGACATAAATAATAATAATAATAATAATAATAATAATAATAATAATAATAATAATAATAATAATAATAATAATATCATAATTTTTGTGGATAGAAAAATAATATCATGCTATTATATTTATTTACACAAATGAACATAAACTTGGCTTTGCCCTATTATGGTTTGAAATAGTGTGTTATCTTAAAATTTTGTTTAAATAGTATTTTGATGTATATTTTATGAGAGAAAATACGTATTTTAATTAAATTGTATATAAAAAAAATATTAACTTTGGATTTTTTTTTAAAAAAAAACTAAATATATAAACTTTATTTACTTTTATATATATTGTCTATTTTATAAATTAAGCAACTTAGAGCAAACACAAAAATAATCACAACTAATTTAACAAAAATAATTGCAATCAATCCAATGGATGCACAATTTCAATCGACACAATATGCGATTCAATTTTACTAATTATATCGCTCTTAAAATGATCGGGCGAGAAAATATGTGAAATTTAATTGAGGTTATTTTATTAATGTAAATAATTATAATTTTGAATTTATGTGTAATGTAAATAATAAAATATAATGCGGGCTTTTTATTGCTCAGCCCATTTTATGAAGCCATGATGGGCTTAATTCCATAGTAGGGCCATATAAATTTAGGCCTATTATTTTGTAGAGGCCTAATGAAGTATTTTCCTTTTTTTTTTTTTTTTTTGCTTAATTTTATTTCTTATGTCCTCGGGAAAAAAAAAGTATTTTTTATTATTTTACACCTTTTTAATAATTGTGTTAAGTATCTCATATTGGATGTGCCACTTATCATCAATTGGTTTTAAGTTGGAACCATTCCGTTGTAACAAATTGTGTATTTTTTTTTCTTTTAAAATTATATATATATAAAAAAAAATAGATTTATTTTTTCATGATAGATAAAGAAATAAAGTGATTTATTTTTTATGATAAATTGAGTTTATTATTGGTCATAGCAGTAGCTTTTTAGAATATTATATATATATATATTAAATTTTTTAGCTTTACAGAAATCATTAATATAAATACAATTGTATATATTAAAATTACTTGTTGCAATAGTTGCTATAGAAAATATCACAACCTAGGTGGGTGTCCCCATTGCACATGGAGCTAAAGTTTAACAGGAGAATTGCAGACGAGAGGGCAATGAATGTGATAGCACGTGACATGCCTCACTTTAATGAAGTTATCATTTCATTGGCACCATTTCGGGGGACACAAAAATATTACCACACTATAAATTAAATTAAAAAAAAAAATCAAATTGTGTTTTAAATAACAATACTAGAGTTGAATTTAATACTTATATACTATATAGTAACGGATTATATAAATATATATTCTTCATTCGTATAATCAATCACAAAATTGAATTTTTATTAAATATTCTCTTTAATTATGAGCTCCCTAGTCTAGTGGGGTTATCAATGGAGTCAGGCTTTCATCATTTAACCCACCCTCCCCTGCAACGGACGCATTTCCAACGAAGACCCGGATCTCAACTCCGGAGACGCTAAAAACAATGCTTCAAATCACACCGGGATCCCAACACCTTGGAGTTCCAAAACACATAGAATGGTCTGATGATGAGTTCCACGAACACAGATCCCCATTATTACAGCAACTGTAAGAAGAACAAGATCGAACAATCACAGCTTCAACTGCTATAATACTCGAACAGTAATTCAGTATATATTACTAACCCAATTAGTACAACGTTACAAAACGATGACCTACAAACCCAAGAAATTGCGACACAGATAAAGCTGTCCTGACAGTCAGAGAAGAAGGGACACCTCTCTTTTCTCCGGTTCCTATCCCTCCAGTGCGTACAGTGCAGTGCCTTCATTACATTGCCCAGAAAAGCCAAGCCAAAGTGAATAGGGAACATTTCGGACAGGTCGCCGTCACACCAGATTGATTGACTGTCTGTTCCTTTCAAGGGTTTCAATTCGGATATGGCAATTTCATGGCATATCTGAAATTTGTCATTTTCCACAACTTCCATGGCTTGTCGCAGCTCCCTGGAGCTGATGCTGGAGAAGATTCAGCAGCTGGAGGATCAGCCCGAGCCCGAAGACATTCCCCCAGCTTTGCCCGTCAGGCCCGTTTCCAGGGCCCGTATTCCCCCGGCCCGACGGATTCACTTCCAAAAATTGAGTTCTGATTTATCTGCTCCGAGCTTTAATGGAAGCTTCAATGGCGGTTGCTGCACTGAGAAAGGGGTAATGTAATAAGTTGGATCTGAGATTGTTTTGACGAGTTTCGAGCAAGAGATTATGAAAGGATTCTCGCTTATGTTTGATTTAATTATTACAGATCGAAACATTGGGAAAATCAGTGGAGAAGAGAAGTCAGATTATGATTCAGAAATGGTATAGAGGCCACAGAGTTCGACGCAGCTACAAGGAGATAAGAACAGGAGCAGTTGCGCTGCAATCATGTAATAAAAAATTGCAGTCTTGAAAATGAAAATGGATTCGATCTATCTATTATATATCTTTTCGGATAGGCTAATGATCAGTGCTGCATTCCTGCAGTTGTCCGAGGCGAAAATGCACGAAGGAAAAGCGTTGGGGCAGCAGTCGTTGTTGGAGAGAACGTTAATGTCAGAAAACTGGATATACATATATGGATAATATATATATATATACACTTAGGGTTTATCCATGGTGGTTTAATTATTGCAGGTCCGTTACGATGTTCTTGTGGATCTGCAAAGGCGAGTGGTGACGACGGAGGCTCGAGCGAGGCAGAAGGAGGCGGCGAACATGGCGTTGAAGGTACGGATTAAGGAAATGGAGAAGAAATGGGAGCTTGTGGAGGAAAGGATGAAGTCCATGGAGATGACGTGGCAGGATCAGTTGCTGCACATCCAAGTCAGACAATTACAGATTAATTACTGAAATTACATACATTCTTATTTCTTACACTGTAATAAGTATAACTCTCGAATCCAATCCACAGAAATGTCTGCAGGCTGCTGCACCCAAAACGCAGCCACGTCGAGAAATCAGGTTCAGAAAATACAATCTGGACGATGATGATACCCGCAGCAATGGCAATGGCAATGGCAATGGCAATGGAGCATTGGTAATGGATCTGCCATTGATGATCGGTCCTTGTGGTTGTGATGATGATATTGATGACGACGACGACAGTGATGTTCGGAAAGAGGATCAGATTAATGTTCTTACACTGCATCCTCAGGAGGAGCTCTGCAGACTCAACTACAGATTCAAAGCCTGGAAAAAGGACTACGCCAAACAGCTCAGGGAGGCTCAGTCTGCCATTAGAAAGCTCCCACGAAATTCTCAACCCCACAAAAAGCACCGCTGGTGGGGAAGATAATTTATTTATTTTTTATTTTTTTTAATTATTATTGCTTTCAATATTTACATATGAAGCACTATTTTTAATTTAAATATTCACAACTATATTGATTTTAAATTTATAATAATAAACTTTTTTTTTTATGACGATAATAATAATAATAATAAACTTTTGCGTGCACATGCATTGGAATGTGCCTAATTTCATACATGTACCTTAGTCACACTTTAATTTGATTTCTTATATAATTAACTGTAAAATCTAATCATACTGTAGCTTGCATTGTAATCATTATTAAGCTCATTCTATATTAGTGAAACGCGACTAATACTTTCTCCGTCCACAAACTAATGTCCTATTTATTTATTTCGGACGTCCAATAATTATCGTTCTATCTTTTTTAAAATACAAATTTTACATTTTTATCTTTCATTCATTTATTACTTTTAATCTCTACTGTACAATCAAGGACAAATTTGTCAATTCAGAACAAAAAATAATCACCTAAAAAATCGTACAAATATATTTTTAAGACAATAAAAATTAGATGGAGAAAGTATATAATTAAATACATTATTAACTTACTTTTCTAAGCTGATATTTTACAAAATTTTAAATTTAATTTTAATGCAGCCTGAAAGTTTCTTCGTTAGCGGGACTAACCTTAATATATCTCTAGGGAGATATGTAGCAACTACCTTTTAGTTGCCCTTTGAAAAACTTTCGAGTGAACTTAACAACATGCAAATTAAGTTCGATACTAAGCAAATAATTAAAATAAATAACTAATTAGTTTGTTTATTAATTTGAAGAAAAAAAAAAAAAAGGCTTCACTAATAGTAAAAATGTGATATTTTATGATATGAAATATTGTATTCTTATAAAAAGTTATGATAGTTGGGTATTAAATAATAGAAATCAAACTAAAAACAAAATAAAATATTAAAAATTAAAATTAAGCCTAGACTTGTGATATTAAGAATGAGGCTTTTACTTCTTTACCCTTACGCAATCACTGTCTTAATTAAGCCATTAAGGTGGGATCACTATGGCCCAAATCCCATGTGATATATCATATATATCAATATATATATATATTTGTGTGTGTGTGTGTGTGTCCAGCCATAGATGACACGCACGATCGAGCTTGTGCATGTGCCCATCACTTTGTTCTTACAGCTAATTAATAATAACAGTTGGGGCCTGGGCCGGAGTATTGATTGAATGGACGGCGTGGATGAATTCAATCTTGGGTTAGGATGATCGTATCCATTCATCCATAAGCTAGCCACTGATCACTCTGTCCCTTGTTTTCCAGAAACCCCTCAATGCTTTTATTAGATTCGACAAATCCGAGGCCCATCTTTTGAACGTCTGTCTCATGATCTTCAGACCGCTGGACTATACATACATACATATTATTATTATTAATATTATTATTATTATTATTATTAAACAAATTAAAGGGCTGGCAACTAATTAGATAAATACAAGCACACATACAAATTCGTTATAAATTATTGGGTGCTATCATTGTTTATTTATTAAGAGTATTTGTTGCACTTGATGAATACGTATATTAATTAATTAATTAATTAATATGATATTATATTGACAGTAAAAAAAATATATATATATTATTGTGACATGAAGAAATATCGACTAGTAAGTTTGATAAGTTGAATTTGTAAACTGTGTGTATAATAGTAACAAATTTGTAAAATAAATATAAGGTTGCATTGTGTAAATTAATTAAATTCATTTGGCTGCTAATTATCTTGATAGTGTACAAACATTTCTCGGAAAAGTATATATATATGTATAGAATTCATTAATTTTCGCAGGTTAATTTATTATATCGATGTAATTCTATTTTCTCCTATTATTTTCATATTTTTGGATGAAAATTTGCATTGTGCATAATCTGATCCTTGTACTATATGCATGCATGTGGTGTGTCGATCCATTTAATTTAATTTGTCACCACATGCAGATAGATTACGTAGAAATTAAATTTAACCAACAGTTTGGGGTACCACCAAATGTGATGATTGTATCATTGCCCTGGCAAACAAAATTTGGTGGATAATATATATATATATATATATATCTGCTTCTTGATTATTACATGGTGATCAATTAATTTCGTCTCATTCCGACATCTTCTTCAATACTTGTCTTGATGCATTCAATTTTAGGATTCACACACATACACAAACAAGCATTATTGAGTTCCCTTAGGAACCCAATAACATACAGCAATGGTCAATGGCATAACTGTCTCTGTGTTTTGATTAATTAGTTATACAACATTATTTATTTATTTTTATTTTTTTGCATTTTTCGTATCATGTAATATAAAATTTATTTTTTGATTCAAAATAGTATGACATTATATTTTTAATTAAAAGATATACTATATATTTCATTTTAAAAACTACACCTAAGGTTCAGTTATGCTAAAAATGTAATATTCTATTTATATGCAATATTTTTGGGTAGAATAGATATCTGTAGGGCAGGATGACCATATAAAATCTATACTTATTTTGATTGAGACTTAGCTTTAATTTATCATTTTTGCATTTTAGAGAGTTCCAAACTTGTTACGTATTTCTTATAATAATAATAATTCCTAATATTAGTGAGATTTTAATGCTTCGATTGTGTCTAATTTTCCCTAACTTTGTCAAAACCCCAAATTTGTTCGTTGATCTATTTCATCTATCGAATTATTATTACCTTATTTTTTTTACTTTTTGGGATGACAATACGTTTAATGAATTTTCCAATCATAGTCCAAAAATTATTGCCCATCTAATTTTATTTTATTTTAAATAATAAAATTGTTTTATTTAAGACTGTGACCATTTAAATCAGCCGCAGGCAGTCCACATTCACAGAATAGTCATTCCATATCAGTCACCCTTTAACCATAAGTCCCGGACTAAAAATCCTGGATTGAAGAACGGTAATAGATCGGGTTCCCTTCGCCTATCGACGGCGGAAATTTGTTAGGATCCGAAGACCAGGACCGTAGCTACCCGAATCTCCCAAACATCCACACTAAAAACTCTTCCAATTTCCATCGTCATGCCTTTTGTACACATTCATCATCTTCTTCTTCTTCGCCCAAATTCATACAGATTTCAATCATTATCTGTGCAAATGCAGCGATTATTTATTGAGATCGATTCGAAGCTCTTTATGTACTCAACACATAACTTAAATGATCGCCATTTTCCGAGCTCTGAATTCTGAAACCCTTTTCTTTTGTTTGGCTGTAATTTTTATATATCGTCGTCGTCGTCGTCGTCTTCCCGGCGGCCGGCCGGCGCCATGGACTTTCTGGAGAGATCCGTACGATTTATATCGACAGATTCTCTCTGCTCGACCATCGTGGCTCTCTACACTGTTTTATTCATCTATTTCCCTTTTCTGGTTTTCATCCAGTTCGTGTTCTCCCCCGTCGTTCTCACCACTTTGATTCTCTTACTCTACCTTCTCAGACTCGGCGCCGCGCAGTCGCGGATTTCAGAAATATCCGATTTCGAGCCGCCGCTCAGTTCCGGCGCCGCCCAATTGTCGCCGGAGCAGATTCCTGATCATCATCCGGATTGTGATAATTGCAGTCGGATCCAACCGGTTATGGAAATTGGACCCTGCTCCGGATCCATACCCGACCCGGAACCATTCGTGGAATGGGATGTGAGAGCTCCGCTGGAGGTTATCTACGAGGAATACGACGAAGGAGACGACGGCGACGCGGAGGAGACGAGGGAGTCGGAAAGGAATATAATTCAGAAATACGCGACGTTGTCGTTGTTTTTCCCCGAATCGGACGGGGACTCTTCGTCGGAGGGAGATTTTCCGGAGAGTGGATACAGTTACTCGCCGGAGAGTGGCTGTTTCCGATGGGAGAAAGAAGATGATGAAGCTGCAGAGGGTTTGATAGAGATTGAGTTGGACGGGAAGAGCAGAATGGACGGGGACGTCGCCGACGAGGAGAATCTGATCGAGATCGATCTTTCTCCGGCGGTATGACGTGGATTCCCGGCGAGGTTTTGGTAAAGTTTTCCGATACGTCCCTGATTTTTTTTACTAAATTGAGGTTTTACCGTGTGTACTATTAAACAATTAAATTTAGGGACTAAATCCAAAGATACTTATTTACACATTCATCGTGAGAAAATGTCTCATCTGTCCCTCACAATATCTCACCTTCTTAATTGATTTTTCACATACAGTTTATGTACAAGCTAATATAAATTTTAAAAAAAGATTATTATAAGTAAATAATATTAAAAATAAAATTTAAATGTAAGTTACATCGCCTTAATAATTCATTCGGCCTTAAAAGAAAGGTCTCTTTTTTAAGTTTTTGGTCCATACCATAAAGCCTAAAGTCTCCAAAAAAGTAGTGGTTATTTTTGTAACTTTTTTGCACTTGGGACAGCACTTTGCATAATCATGGTCTGAGGTTGGGACACGTGGCATTAGGGAAGCGCATTTCACATGTGAAAACGTGTTTTGGTTGCCAAGATAGCGTTTCTACAGAAATGGATTTGACATATGAAAGACATTCATTCGATCCCACGGGTGGCTCAATCTTTTTTATAATTAATTATTCATTTATTTTTACAAATTATTTTAAAAAATATTAATATTATATTAAAATTTAATAGGAATAAAATAAAAATTACTAAAATAATTTTATTAGTATGTATAATATAAAAATAATAATATTTGTGTAATATACTGTAAATTGTAAATGTATTTGTAATGCTAACCGATACTATAGTTATATGATACTTTGTTACGAGAAAAACTAAAATAAAATAATAAATATTTATTATGTAACGAAAAGAATATTCTATTTAATTAACTTTTATTTTGATAGTAGTAATTTTTTATTTTAAAAATATAATTTGCCATCAATGGAGTACAAGAGTCGGAATTTCCGGCTTTAATTTCTGTCAAAGACTCAAAATTCTAATCAATCAGTTTTTTCCAATATATTCAATTTCCCTATAATTCATGATTTAAATTATTCTACCAGCTTGTAGAGGAGTTTTTCAGTAATTTCAAAAATAGTTTAGTGGACTTTGGTTTACGCACTATTTTTAAAAATACGATATTATTTATTGTTTTTTAAAAGATAATATCACATTAAATATATTATCCTTTCATTTTACATTTTACACAAAATGTTACTTTCTTCGTACCAGATACCATGTCCACGTTGTCGTTTCTGTCCGTCCCACGTACTATGTCATTTTCCTTTTTTGGAAAATGATTACACACTTTAATCTCATTTTAAATTTTTTAACTTTTTTTAATTTTAATTAAACTAATTAGTTATTTTAACCTTAATTTATAATTATTTATAGTATAGGGTAATTATTTTCACTAATACATTCTTAATTATCTACTAATTACACCATTCCTAAAATACCGTATCTACTGTGTAGCAGACACGGTATTTGGGACGGAGGGAGTGTTTTTTTATTTTATTTTAATCCGTTCTAATTTATCATTTTTAAAAATATATTTATATATTTTAATTATATTTTTAAATTTAATAATTTATTATTTTATTTAAATGATTTAGTTATTTTAATTTTAATTTATAATTAATTTTAGTGATAAATTTTTTAATTACCTGTTAATTATACTTAAGGTGTGTTTGTTTGGGAGATTGAATTTTAAATACATTATTCATCTCATTTTTTTCTTCCCAAAAATATCAAATCAAACACCTAATTTTTTTTTTATATTATACTAAAAATCAATTTTACATTCAAAACATCACATCCTATAACTATTCACATTCAAAATTTTTATTATTTAAGTCTCAACTCAAAATCCAAACCCCAAACTCCAAACAAACACACCCTAAAAAATATTCCCTCCTTTAACTTGTAACATTTACTTTTGGTGTTGATCTTTGAATATTAATTATTATATCAAAACATGGTATAAATAAAAAAAATGTCAAAAATATTTATCTTAGTGTTTCGTAATACTAATATAGTGATATTTATATAAAAAAATTATAAAAATATAAAAATATTTTAAATATTAAGTATAATAACGTAAAAGATAAATATAAAATTATTAAGCAAACTGGAGGGAGTATTACATTAACAATAACTTTCTACTATTATTAAATTTTTATAACTCCAAAACTTCTCAAAGATAGGGGCTTGGTTTATTAGGGTTTGTTTCTTTTGTAAAAATTTTATAATATATTTTTTAAAATATTAATATATAAATATATTTATTATTTTTATATTATTTATTTTGTATTTTACATCAAAAAGATTTCTTTAAACCAAAATACAAACCAAACAAATCCTTAGAATTATACTGCTGATTTTATTTACACGACTTTTGTCTCCATTGTGTCCTGTTTTGGGCAGCATCATGCAAGCCCACACATGAAGTACCTGGCAGACCCATCTCAGAACTGGGCTTTCCTATAGAGTATTAAGCCAGCTGCAAGAATATACTTAATTATATTAAAAATATTTTTATATTTATTTTTTTAAAAAAATTATAAATATCTTTTTATTAATATTATAAATGCAAGTATATTTGCTATTTATAATAATTAAGATTTAAATACTCCCTTAGTTCCACCTTCGTTCCACATAATTTGTTCATATTTTTTATTTTCGTCCGTCCTATATAATTGTCCATTTTTTTAAAATATAATATACACTTTAATCTCATTTTAAATTTTAAATTTTATAATTTTTTAAATCTTAATTAAACAATTTAGTTATCTTAATCTACAATTATTTTTATTATTATACGATAATTATTTTTACTAATACACTTTCTAATTATTTACTAATTACACTTTACCTAAATTCTCGTATCTATCGTACTAGACCCGTAATATATGGGACAGAGGAGTATCAATTATGGGCAAAAAGTTAATAAGACCATCATAGTATAATTTTGGTAGTACAGATAAAATCTATTATATCAAGTATTAATTAAATATTTATTTATATTTTAAAAATTATTTTAAATAAATATTAATATCACCTAAAATAATGTATTGAAATTAATTTTCTTTATTTTTAAAATATAAAAAACTCCTTCTAGAAGCAAATCTAAACAACCCCTTTTTCTGTTAAAATTTTTCTTCCGAAAAATCTCAACCTCAGTATAATAAATCTTTTTCAGATATGCTTATTCCAATTTCAACAGCTGTACGCTGAGCATCTGGAGGTTGTACGTTATGATTTTCGCCTTTAATTACGATTTGATGTCGGCGCGGCTCTTGCGTTTCTTGGGCGCCAAGTCGGGCAAAAAGTACAATATAACAACTGGCGTTCAGCTTTAACCAATAGCCAGCCAGCCAGCCACATTACATACACAAACCCTAGCATTCAAGCCACGTTCTCCAACCTTTTTGGAATATTCTCGGCTTTAAATACAAACGTGGTAAGTGACTTCATTTGATTGGAGAAGGAGTTCATTCACGTTTCGCTGTTTTCTCTCGAAATCTACAGGTAGGTCGCTTTTTGTTCAATCTGTGCATGCATACGTTTCTACAATATTCGTATTTGTGATCCTCATGCGACATTTTTCGCTTGTGTTAATTTCGCAGCGTTTCATCTGAAAGAGGCAGAGGATGGAGGCCGTCTTTCAGAAAATTTCGACCACCTTCCGCGAAAAATCTTCGCTTGCTAAAGTGTTGATTGCTGCCACCGTCGGGTATTGCTTTTGTTGCTAACGATACCGAATTTCTAGAATCTAATATTTGGTTGTTGTTGCAACATAGATGCAAGCTTTGTTTTCCCTACTGTTTTTGTACCTATTTGAAGCTTGTATTGTTAACTCAAATTCCGTAGAGATGTTTGCCAGAATTTAGTTGTTTTGATCGATGTTTACTTGAGATCCAATCATTCGATCAGATTGTCAAAAGGCTAATAATAGCAGTTCTAAAAGGTCAAGATTCGTGATCAGATTGTCCTGCTTTCAAGGATCCATATTTTCCTTATTCGTTTTTCCTATATTTTATTTTGATTTCTTACAATGTGTAGGATGAACCTGGATGAGATGTGAGAATGCAGAGCTTAGATTTTGATCACTTTCTAAAATATATTCATTATAGTGACAAAAGTTCTAAGGAATTTTGGGTTTGTTTATATATGTTTTGGAGGCAGATCGATGTTTTATAATTTTGATTGATAATACTAAAGTTAAGTTGAAAACATGAAAAGAGCCTTAGGATTGAGTTTGAGAGAACAATTTTAGATCCACACATGGTCTAAAGATGCAAGTAATATTCAATCTCCTTTTTGTTCTTTTGAAGTACAGGCATTAGCTCATTGTAAATCTTCACTTACTGTTGCATTGCATAATATGTGTTTCTGATGATCTGCTGCAGTGTTCAAATGATCATAGAGTTGACGTATATTTTCGCATTCCTGAACGCCTACTAGCGATTTCATGCATCATTTTCTGTTTTATGAATTTACAGTGGCGGGAGCATTATAGGATATTATTCTCAAGCTAGCTCTTATGATGATTTAAGCTTCGCTGATTCATCCATGACGGATAAAAAGAAAAAGAGAATAGTTGTTCTTGGAACTGGTTGGGCTGGAACAAGTTTCTTGAAAAACTTGAAAAATTCTTCATACGATGTTCAGGTGATATCACCGAGAAACTATTTTGCATTCACACCATTGCTTCCTAGTGTCACCTGTGGCACTGTGGAACCCCGCAGCATTGTCGAACCGATCCGCAACATTGTCAAAAACGTAAGTATCATGAACTACCTTAATTTGATTCCTAAATTAGCATATAAATGACTGATCTTTGTTTGATAGATTCATAGTTGTTTATTATTTGCAATGAACTTGTACATGTTATTTGTCACCTGCCTTTTCCTAGAGGATCTTGTAAGATGATATAATTGCATTCTAGTAGTTCAATTATCTGATCAATATGTGAAGAATACACAGAGGATTGCTATGACCGCACCTTTAATATACAATTAAAGCTGTAGATGGTAACATGTATCTGATTTACCGCTCCTATGTATGTTATGTTTCTGTGCTCGAGGTAGTATTTACTCATTACTTGCACTTTTTTTCATGCCAGAAAAATGTTAAGATTCAGTTCTGGGAAGCAGAGTGCTTCAAGATTGATCCAGAAAACAAGAAGGTCTATTGTCGGTCTAATGTGAAGGACAATTCAAATGAAAATGCGGAACTTGTCGTTGACTATGACTATCTCGTGATAGCCATTGGAGCTCGTCCAAATACATTCAACATTCCTGGTGTGGAAGAAAACTGCCATTTCTTAAAGGTATCACATCACAGCGTGTTGCCTTTCCGCATGCTATTGTATGACTATACATCTGCCTAGAATAAAGTCAATTGTATAAAGACTTGGCTCCCCTACAATAGCCTGATTGCTGACGACAATTGACTTTTTATAGCCATTGTCTCTGGTCATATTGGTGAACAAAGTTGATCCAGTTTTGTTACGATTATGTATAAAATATACTTTTAGTAATTCCTCATTCAAGTGATCTGTGGACTTCTTCTAACGCAGGAAGTAGAAGATGCTAAGAATATACGCAGAAGCATAGTTGATTGTTTCGAAAGGGCTGCCTTACCCAACTTAACTGAAGAAGAGAGAAAGAAAATTCTTCACTTTGTTGTGGTTGGTGGAGGTCCAACAGGTGTGGAGTTTGCAGCAGAGCTTCATGATTATGTCAATGAGGACTTGGTGAAACTGTACCCCTATGTTAAAGAAGCAGTGAAGATAACACTTCTCGAAGCTACAGATCATATTCTGGGCATGTAAGTCTGCTCTTTAGCTGAATATCTTCAAGCAATATTCTTGTTATTGAACATTCTCCTGAATTATAAACTAAACCAAATCTTTCTGTGCAGGTTTGACAAAAGAATTACTGATTTCGCTGAGGAGAAATTTCAGAGGGATGGTATTGATGTTAAAACTGGGTCAATGGTTACCAAAGTTTCTGACAAAGCCATATCCACGAAAGAACTTAAGAATGGAAAGGAATCCACTATGCCGTATGGCATGGTGGTTTGGTCAACGGGTATCGGAACACGCCCGGTAATAATGGATTTTATGAAGCAAATTGGTCAGGTAATAGCTCTGAGGCATTCAATGCTGCATTCTCTTTGTTGCAATTTCGTTATTGGTCTTGATTCCAAAAGAGTTGGATATTTTGAAAAGAGAGAAATATTTGTCACTCAGGCAAACAGACGAGTTCTAGCTACTGATGAGTGGCTTCGAGTTCAAGGATACGACAACATCTACGCACTCGGGGATTCTGCCACAATAAATCAGCGCAGAGTCATGGTATCTACACTATTAGATTGGAAAAATTCATTTGTCATATCAGGCATAAAATGTTCTTCACATTCATACACTGCAATCTTCAACTAGTTTTGCCTTGCTGATTTCCTGACAATTCATAAGTTCTGATACATTAATTTTAACCCTATTTATATTCACTTGCAGGAGGATATTTCTGATATATTTAGCAAAGCAGATAAAAATAAATCCGGGAAACTTTCTGTTAAAGAATTTCGAGGTCTCCTCGATGATATATGCGAAAGATACCCCCAAGTTAAACTTTATTTGAAGCACAAGAAGATGAATAACCTTGTTGATCTGTTGAAAGAATCCAAGGGGAATTCAGTAAGCGAATCAGTTGAAGTGAATCTTGAAAATTTCAAGGCAGCTCTTGCCCACGTGGATTCTCAAATGAAGTCTCTCCCAGCAACAGCACAGGTTTTTTGCAATCAGAATATGAATCAATAATGGGTTCTAATTCTTCCATGCAAGAATGATATGATGTAAATATGTATACACGGATGGCATTGCAGGTTGCAGCACAACAAGGTTGGTATCTCGCTGATTGTTTCAACCGAAAGGAAGAGTGTGAGAAGAATCCAGAAGGTCCTCTGCGTATCAGGGGTGAAGGACGCCATCGATTCCATCCTTTCAGGTATTACTACTAACTGACTCTGTACCTTCACAGGATATACACCATTTTTGACGCAATACAAATGCCACTTCAATGTAATAACTCTATAATGCTGCTAAAGGTACAAGCATTTCGGACAATTTGCTCCTCTTGGAGGAGAGCAGACAGCTGCTCAGCTCCCCGGAGACTGGGTTTCCATCGGCCACAGCTCACAATGGCTCTGGTATTCTGTGTATGCTAGGTGAGTTCCATCTTCCATCACTTTTCTTTCGAATTCTATGATTAGTTCCATTGCCATTCTTCTAAAGCCATTTTTACACATATAAAAGCATTGTCGCAATTGTTAATTTGGGTGGCCTATTTGTTTTTTTCCAGCAAGCAAGTTAGTTGGCGCACAAGATCCCTGGTTATATCAGACTGGGGAAGGCGATTCATTTTCGGAAGGGACTCAAGCTGCATTTAAGGGAGACGAATTGGAGCTCCCTCCCTGATATACACCTATCATCACTAAGTGATTCTTTTCTAGTCGCGGCATTTCTTGTTTTTTTCCCACTCTTTTCACGTAAACATATTTTTGAGGCCAAGAGGATCAGGCTATATCCAATTTTGTTGCATTTCTTGTTATCCATTCTTTTCGCGTAAACGTATTTTTGAGGCCAAGAGGATCAGGCTCAGGCTCAGGCTCAGGCTACATCCAATTTTGTTGCTGAACGGACACTTGGTTCAGTTTTTGCTCAAAATAAGCAGTTTTGGTTTCAATGTTGAGGCTTTGAATACATTGGTATTATATTGATTTCAATAATGTTTTGCAATGTGCATGTCTGAGTTTTAGTTTTAAAACGCAACACATTTTTACGTCCCAAATATGTAATCAGCATGGCAGAACATCATATTTATATGTATATGTATATGCTTGACCACTCAGAGAATAAGAATATATTCTTCTGCAACAAAACACAAGTAACCTTCTTTCCATGCTTTTCATGTGAATGAATGAATGCATATTTCAACACACACAAATACACACATTTTAACTATTCTTATCTCTCGGAAATGGATGTCGCCGGAGGGGGAGAAGGAGGCGAGGAAAATGCAATGATCAGAAGCAACAAAGAACTCATCGATGGAGCTCAAATTCAGGCAATGGCAGACATTATGGTTTTAGACAATGCTACTAGTGACACCAACATCCATGATGTCCACGGCGGAATCAATATCGGCTCTAGTTATTCGACATCAGGACACAGGCCGATACCGCCATTTTTGCTGAAGATATTCGACATGCTCTGCAATGAAGAAACTAACTCTTTGGTTTCCTGGAGTTCTACAGGCACGAGCTTTGTCATCAAGAACCCTCACTCATTTGCAGCCAATGTTCTTCCCATGTACTTCAGACACAACAACTTCCAAAGCTTCATTACCCAACTCAACTCCTATGTAAGCAATCTATTCATATATATATATATATATACACATGTATCATAATTGCAGTAAAGAAAGAATGTTATAATTGTACATTCAAAAGGGGTTCAGGAAAATCAGCTGGGAGCAATGGGAGTACAGGAACGATTACTTCAGGAAAGGGGAGAGGCATTTGCTCAGAAACATAAAGAGAAGGACACACATTCAGCAACAGCAGCAGCATACTGAATCCGCCATGGAACCTTCCTTCGACAACGAATCCCAGTTCTTGATGAAGGAGCAGAGTCTGCTAATGTCTGAGATCGCCAAGCTGAGAGAGAAGCAGCGTATGCTCGAAGAAAAGCTCGCCGAACTGAAATACCAAGTGGCCGGCAACGAGAGGGACCGGAGCATTACGATGCAGAGAATTCTCTGCAACCTGCGCGATCTTAGTAAACCGGATGATGACAGCAGGGAGAGGGAGACGCCATTGAAGAAGGGGAAGAGGAAACTGGAGGACAACACGGCCGTGTTGACGTCTCCTCCCCCTCCTCCTCCTCCTCCTCCTGGTGATGGTGATGGTTCTTCCAGTGGCGTCTTCAAGGTCGATAATGGCGTTGAGTCCAACTGCGAGATTGTGCTGGAAGAGGACATGGGAAAGCATCATCCTGCCTGCACCTACATTTCCTTGGAAGATTTGATCGCAGAATCCTCGTCGGATTGCGTCGATTACATCAGGGACTTGCAGGAGAAATCAAAGCCATCTCAAATCTTTACTTTGGACTGAATTAATGGATGTTAGTTTGCTTATTTTACTTCAAATTAATGTAGTTGTTAATCGTAACCAAGAGTTTTGAGTTTTGCATGTTCAAGAAATACTTATTTCCGGAGATGGCGTGGGCCCATTTTGGGTGGACACGTGGCGGTGCCCTAGACTGGGTTTGGTGGGGGTAGGGTTAGGATTAGGAAGCGGACAAAAGAGCGGAAATGGATAAGAGAAAAAGGAGACATGAAGAAAAGGAAGAGATGATTGCATTTGCAGGTAACATGGGGCTTCTCGAAAGATGGGGAGACAAACAATCTCATTTCAATCAATCAATTTTATGGCCCATTTTTAATTTTAATTTTAAACTTTTTTTTTTTTTTTCTGGAGGAATTATATAATGTAGGGCATAATAATACTATTCGGCCAATATTATTTGTGTTGGCGTGTAATTGGCTATGCAACAAAGATTTTTTATTATTATTATTATTATTTTTTATCTCATTCGGACAATTACAATATGAATCCCTCAAGTCCAAGAGTGGTTTGTGCAACATGATTATCACCATTATTATTAAATTATGCCCATTGGATAATGCTAACTTGGTCAAGATTTTTAAATGATATTTTCGTCTTTTCATATATACATTATTGAATCTTTTATTATTGTACTTTTTCTTTTTCATCAAACACAAGAATTTTGTTTCATTTTTTTTTAAAAAAAATAAATTATTTTATTTGTCCTTATGCTATTGTGTTTCAGCACACTAAAACTCATATATTGTTGTTGAGTAAAATATAATATTTTCTCATAAAAACTTTATAATAAGGTCACGTAACAACTATTTTTTATAAAGTAAAAAAACATGTCTAAAGTATTAAAAAAAAAAAAAAAGGATAATAAGGATAGATCCAATTCATAAGTGATCAATAATCCATTTTAATCTTAAAAGCATATATTCCCTCCCTACCTTTGAAATTTTGGCAAAAGTTTTCTTAGGTTGATTTAACCACATTCTTTATCATCTTAGAGTTTGCTCTTATTTTAATTTAAATCTTTTTTAGTAAGACAATAGTTAAGGACGACTATTTTATACAAATATATATTTATAAAATTTATAAAATGTGTTTGATTTGTATTTTAAACATAATCAGTATTATCCAATTTATACCATTATTTATAAAAATATACTCCCTCCGTCCTATAACATAAGTATCAATTTTTTTATTTTGACTCATAACGAAGTATCTATTTTTTTTAAGTAACTGTACTGTTCACTAACATTACAAATACCCTTACAACTTACAATATATTACACAAATGTCATTACATTTATATCACACATACTAATATTTTTTTATGAGACGGAAGGAGTATTATTTTATAAAATATTGTATCAAAATATTATTTAAAACAAAATTCAAATCTAAACCAATGACTTTAAATTTGTTTATGCCAATATTTTATTTGTATATTTTCTTAAGATGAATTGCAAAAAAATAAAAAATTAAAAAATCATAAGTATGGAATTTTATTTTAAAACTTGTTTGTAAATGAAATTGTTAATTTAATTATTTATAAAAGTGTGTTTGTTTTGTGAGAATTGTGCCGCTAATATAAATATAATAAGTGTGTAGTATATTAATTTCTTTTTAAAAATGTATTGAAAATTTTAAGGTAAAAGAACAAAGCATAGTGTTTTCTTCTTTTGTAAAATCAAAATAAAATTAACATTATTTATTCGAAATACTTTTCAATAAAAAAATACAATATTCTATCTTACCAAATATTACACGAAAATAATATTTGAATAAAAATTCAAATCAATATTTAATTTCAAACTAATTTATTTATTTGTTAATTTTTTTATTTTAATTTATTAGTTTAATGTTTTAATACTTCTAAGGTTAAAAAAAAACGCGTTTACTTGTATCCTTAATTCTACTTTAATATTGTGTATTTATGTTTTCAAAAAAAAGCTATATCTAAAATTTTATTATTTACTTAAAATTTACTAAAAATATATACATATATAATTTAAATTTTTATTCTTTCAAAAACTTATTATTTAATTGAAATTTACTATAAATATATTGTTTAATTAAAATTATTACTATTTCAAAATAGCATAATTGATATTGATATATTTTTTATATTAAATATACAAAGATTTTTTTTATTATTTTTTCAAGAAAAAAATAGTTGAAATAACGCACCAACATTCAAACATGTTTAACCAAACCTATTTACACAATAATTCTTTTGAACTATAACACTATTGAATTTTTAAAAAATAACAAATCAAATATATTTTGTTTTACAAAATATGACATGAATTATCAACTTTTTGATATTTCTAAAATTCCAAAACTCTATCAAAGTCTTTTATAGGCGTGTTCATCCAATTTTTACTCCAAAAAACATCAGATCAAACATCTATTTTTTTATTTTTTATATTATACTAAAAATCAATTTTACATTCAAAACATCGCATCAACACCTATTTATATCACATCATACAATTATTCAAATTCAAAATTTTTACTATTCAAATCCCAAATCAAAATCCAAATCTCCAACAAACACACCCATACATGTCTTTTTCGCATAGTCAATTCTTTACATTACTGTATACTATTCTACATGTACAGATCCATTGTGGGTTGGAATGAAGATTAGGTTTCCCTCAAATCACGACAAGAATGAAGAGGGAACATGAACATGAATATGAACATGCCACCTCTAATTATTCCATCAAGATTAATATAAATAAACAAATAATCAATTTATTAATAGACCCCTCTCCTTCCTCTTCTCCAAGATTGCCCCCACCCCACTTCCACCCTCTCCCTGTCTCCCATTGCCACCTCAATATGCACTTTATAATTTTATTTTAGTTTTATTATTATTACCATCTATCTCCAATCATACTTTTTTTAAATTAAAAAATAAAATTAGAATGCCTTAATTAAAGGTCTTCTTCTCCAATCAAGAACAAATCTTGATTTGATGTCGCTGTAATTAAATTACTCATTAATCTAATGTAATTTTGCATATTTGCATTTCAAAGGGTTGGGTGAAAATTCAAGGAAAAAAAAAAAAAGGCAGAAGAAGAAGAGACTGTACGTACACATAGATACATAGATACATACATACATACATACATACATACGTGGCGCCTAGTGATTGGACAGGCGCACATGAGCCCACGGTGGGTGCTTCCCCTCCACTGCCTGTCGACCTCATCAAAGTTGGGACTACGCCAAATAATTAAAAGCTTGACGTACGTATCGTATAAACACCACATTCGTATGGTATACGTACATGGAATTATTAAATAGGGCAAAAAAAATCCATTCTTTTTGCCCCTTTTATAATGCAGCCAGTAAGCAGCAACAGTAGTGTATCATTCATTATTATTTTTCGATCATCTGCAAGTGGGTTTTTGCCTTACCACTTCTTCTTTCTCTCTGCCCACCTTTCATCACAGTGAAGGTATAATCTCCCACCACTTCTTTCTTGTTCCTTTTTTTTTTTCTTTTTATGATTCAAAATCACAGAGATTCAAGTTGTTGTCGTTGCATTTAATTTGTAAAGCAAATAGTTTCTGGATCTAGTGATTTCTAGGTTGTAGTGATTCTTGGTGGATCTTTGGTTTTGGTTATGGGTTTGAGCTTTCATGGCATTTTTATTTTTATTTTTTTTAGGTTTTCAAGATTGCAGTTTAAAGGGCAGGATTGAGGTTTTCAAAGTTGAACTGGTTTAGTTATTTTGGTTTTGCAAATTTCCACCTTTTTTGTCTTTTTCTAGATATAGTCTGCCAATCCCTTTCTCATAAAATTCCTTCTTGTATAATATTATTGGTGCTACAGTGAAAAAAAATAAAATAAAACACTTTCTCCATAACAAGAATTTTAACGAAATGAGTTCTGTAATATTTGATTTATCAAAGTTGTCCTTTGATTTCTTTAATGTACAGAGATTTCACCTGTTCAATAGGGTTTGTTCTGTTTTTGTACTTTTCCTATTTATGACTGAATTAGCATACATAAGCATTTAATTGGAATGATTCTGACTTATACATTTGATTCTGTATATATAATCAAGGAGCCATCCTCCAAGTTTTAAATGGATCTTGACTCCGGCGACGACGGCGAATTTCCGGCGAATTCAGCTAATTCCGACGCCGAAATTCAGTGCCATTCGCCATTCCCTGATGAGGTGCTGGAGAAAGTTCTTTCTTACATTGATTCACACAAGGACAGGAATTCGATTTCCCTTGTGAGAAAAGATTGGTACAATGCTGAGAGATGGACAAGATCGAAGCTTTTTATAGGCAACTGCTACTCAGTGTCGCCGGAAATTGTGGCTAGAAGGTTTTCAAGAATTAAGAGTGTCACACTTAAAGGGAAGCCAAGATTTTCAGATTTTAATATGCTCCCTGTGGATTGGGGTGCTAATGTACATCCATGGCTGGTTGTATTCGCCAAAGTTTATCCGTTCTTGGAGGAGCTGAGGCTCAAGAGGATGACGGTCAGCGACGACAGCCTGGAACTGTTAGCCAAATCTTTCCCTAGTTTCAAGGCTTTATCTTTGTCGAGCTGTGATGGATATAGCGAAATCGGGCTCAAGGCAATTGCCGGATATTGCAGGTAAATGACAATCCTTTTTGTCACCGATGCAGCCTGTTCTTTTATGTCTATCTAGTGATTTGCATTCGGCATCTTTGGTTGAACTAATTTAGGTTTCTGAAAGTGGCTTTTGTCTTGAAGATGTGAAATTAAGGACCTTTGTTTTTGGTTATTTCAATAAAATGACTAAGAAAAATAGCTTTGTGTCCTAAAGAATTAGGTGAGGATCGAAGCTTTACATATTTTGTCTCACGCAATTTGCTGTTTATCTTGAGCTATCTTCGTGAGATTGTTGATATGACTTGAATCTAGTTTGCCACTTCGCTGAGTTTCACGGGGGTCAAGGGGGTGAAGTCCTCCTTGCCTGGGATCCGGGGGCGCAGAGTGGCCCCTGGCCCCGATCGTATGCAGTGTTGGGCTTTTGAGTTCGTATTGGGCTGAGTCAGTCTGATTTATTCTCTTAGTTTATATTAATAGAGTTAGAAATACGAAATCTGTAATCTTGCCGTTGTGAATAAATTTGTATTTTGTTTTTGTCCGGGGACATAGCTAACATGTTGCTGAACCACGTAAATCTGTGTCTTCTTTACGTTTTGTGTTTGTTATTCGATCATTAATTTTAATTTGTCACACCAGATATATTAGTTGTTCTACAATGTTATTCATGACTATTAGAAAGTGAACATATCCGTGTTGTTTTTCTTCTAGCACGACGAATCGATGGAATAAATCTGAGTGAAAATAAACCTAAGAAGACAACTAAAATGATTTCCTTTCTTGTTTTTCTCATGGAGATTATCTGATGTGAATGTTTTGCTTCTAGGAACTTGACCGAGCTCGACATACAGGACAGCGTAACAATCGAGGTCGGCGGAAGCTGGTTGAGTTGCTTCCCGGAGGATTTCAGCTCGCTGGAAGTACTAAACTTTGCCAGTCTCAGTAGTGTCGTAAATTTCGATGATCTGGAAAGACTCGTCAGCCGGAGTAAGTCGCTACGGGTTCTGAAAGTCAACGAGAGTATAACGTTGGAACAGCTGCATCGATTGCTAGTGCATGCTCCTCAGATTACCGAGCTCGGCACGGGTTCCTTCTCGCAAGAACTTACGCATCGACAGTATGAAGACATCCAAAGCGCGTTCAGCAACTGCAGAAATCTTGAAGTTCTATCGGGATTATGGGAAGGCGCAACCTCGTTAAATCTCCCTGTTCTTTACGGCGCTTGCGCCAATCTGACGTTTCTGAACTTGAACGAAGTCCCCCTTCAAAGCAGTGAATTTTCGATGCTTCTTGCTCACTGCCCCGATTTGCGTCGCCTTTGGGTGAGGCTTAATAATTCGTCATCGAGACAACGTTAAACTTACGGAGATGTTTAATGAAAGTATTACCTTTGTATGTAGGTAATGGATACGGTTGAAGATCGAGGGCTTGAGGCTGTCGGGTCGAGCTGTCCGTTGCTGGAAGAGCTTCGAGTCTTCCCGGCGCAACCTTACGATCACGATCACCACATCGGCGTTACGGAATTGGGATTTTTGGCAGTGTCGCGCGGGTGCCCCAGACTGCGTTACGTGCTCTATTTTTGCCGTAGGATGACGAATGCTGCTGTTATGAACATAGTTCAGAACTGTCCGAATTTCACCCATTTCCGGCTCTGCATTATGATGCCGCGCGAGCCTGATTACTTGACGAACGAACCTATGGATGACGCCTTCGGCGCTGTCGTGAGAACGTGTCGTAAGCTGAAGAGGCTTTCGGTTACGGGGCTGCTCACCGATCTGACGTTCGAGTACATCGGGAGCTACGCGAAGAATCTGGATACGCTGTCGGTGGCGTTTGCGGGGACGACGGATCGGGGGATGCAGTGTGTTCTTGAAGGTTGTCCGAAGCTGCGAAAGCTCGAGATTCGGGATTGCCCATTCGGGAACGTCGCGCTGCTGTCGGGGCAGGAGAAATACGAAATGATGCGATCGTTGTGGATGTCGTCGTGCAAGGTGACGGTGAGGGGCTGCCGGATGCTGGCGTCGGAGATGCCGAGATTGAATGTTGAAGTGATTAAGGATGAGGGGAGCAGCGACGGCCTCGCCGATAAAATTTATGTGTACCGGACCGTGGCGGGGCCGCGGCGGGATGCGCCGCCGTTGGTGCTCAGGCTTTGACGGCGGAGTAACGGTTGAGTTTTTGCTGCTGATCGATGCTTGTATGTAAATTGATTGTGAATTTTTATGTGTCGAATTATGATCCCAGGTTGCGGAATACGTAGTGTTTGTTGCTTTGTATGAATATTTGTGTTAAAAAGAACCGAAAATTATTTAAAATCAAACTGCAGGTTAAAAAATAATAAATAAATGGTAAAAAGCGCCGTCTGTGGGAATCGAACCCACGACCACATGGTTAAAAGCCATGCGCTCTACCGGCTGAGCTAAGACGGCTGCTTGTAGTTACTATTTAACTATTATTTATATAACTATTAAAAATAAATGACGAATTTCATGTTGAATTGTTATCGGTAGAATTTATACTATTAAGCCATAATTCAATTCACTTATATTTTGTCCTTCCATACACCAAATTGAAGTACAGAAAATGAAAACTATAGCAGCAAAAGAAGAATTCAGGCACCAGAAGAAATTTATTGTTATTTCTCTCTAACTAGGTTAATTAGGTTAGCATTGTAATACATATACATACATACATATATATATATATATAAACTTTATGGAATAGGACATATATATATATATTGATGATCTAAAACCAGTATATTAGTAGCTTAATTCCATAAGTCTTTGGCTGTTAACTCTTGCAATAAAAGCTTCGACTCTTTTGTGCAGCTCCTCTCTTGGCATAACAGTCTCTTCTTCTCCTCTACTTTTTTCAGTCATCATCTTCACTGATGTTGTCCTGATCTCCTTTTTGACCTTTAATGGCTCCCTTTTCTTCTTGATGTTTAATTCAATCTTGTTGCTCATGGTTTTTTGCACGTTAATATTCGAGCAAGCATATGAATAATTAGATGCATATGGCGATGGTGCTGCAGCAGCCATTTGATACCTTCTTGCAACGTAGTCATCGTACATGTCCGAGGCCGGCTGTGGCGACATCTTCGACTCTCGAATTAGGATAATCACGATGAGGTTTCCGAGGACGAGGAAGAAGCACTTGGCATCCACAAGAACATTCATTTTGTCTGTAATTAATTGGTGTGGAAGAGATGAGATTGAGATGATGAGGTGATGAATGATTGAAGGGTTTGAGGGTAGCCAAAAAGGGTATGAGAAGAAGCCGAAGCAGCAAGTGATCAGTGAGGAGAGAGAGTAGAGAATGAAATTGTAGAGAAAGTTGTGATTCTTGATCACCTTGTCATTCATCATCTTCTTCTTCTTCTCCATTGAAGATGAAGATGAAGGGATCATATATGATGGAATATTGAATTAATATTGGGAAATTAATTAAACATCCATGGAAAATTGAAGAAAGTGGAGTTGGGGTTTATATAAGGGAGGATATATATATGAATGAGAAATATAATAATATTATATGGAATTAATTTATTTCTAGTTTCTACATATGTTTTTAATTTGCATCAATCATCAATCACTCTTTATGTAAAGTAGAAATTTTTTTAGGTCTGTCTGTGCTTTTTTTTTTTTTTTTTTTTTTGAACTTTGAAAAGCAATAAATATATATATATATGTATATCTATATAGAAGTGATGAATTAAAAGAGTTTGATTGATTTCATGTTCCACATGGATTTCAATTAAGTCGTGCTTGCTTTCTTTCAGATTTTTGTTTCTAGAAGAACTATACCGAGTTTTAATTAATATTATATTAGTAAACTATAACATACGATATAAATATATATATTTTACGATATAAGAATTCCCAGCCGCTATCCAAAAGTGCGTACTGGATAAACTTCGATTGAACCTAATACTCTACACTAGACAAATCATGTATCGTAGGTGACCTGAAGTGTCGGGGGTTTGAACCCATAATCTCACGGTGATACCATATAAATATTTTGAAAAGTAATACGAGTGAATTTATAAAAAATAATAATAAATTATAAATAAGTATGACGTTGTTATAAATAAATATAAAAATAGAGATTTTTGTTGAGTCTCTGTGCAAGTACAAAGAAAGCATTTGCCACTCCAAGTCCAAGTGCACTTCGTGGAGATTTCCGATTGTCTTTTTCCTAAATAATTGAGAAGCTCATACTTAATTATATTATATGGACGCATTAATTAACTTTTTTCTAATTAATTATCACAACTAAGTTAAAAGCATATGATCAATCTTTTTAAACCATTTACATGATTCTCTACACACACACACAATATATATATATATATATTATTAATGACCCAACTTTATTTGGTGTAAAGCAATGAAAGTTATAGTGGATTTGTTAGGTGCAATGCATATGTGCTGATTACTGATTTTTTACTTTTCATTTTTTACCTTTTCAAGAATCATATTTGAGGGGTGGAGGAAATTGTTTCTTGTCTTAATTTACTTTGGGAGTTTAGGTGTAACAAATTGACACTCATTAAAACTATTTAATTCTAACTTTTGAAAAACCCAATAGCAAAAAATTTAGTTTGAAGTTACAAAAAAAAATAAAAATGAAAAAACCCATGAGGCAGATGGACAGCCACGTTTAATTACGTATTATTTGGGCCACAAAATAATTTAATACTAAGAATCAAATTTTGAGCCAAGTAAGAAATGGGCCGAACCACCTTTAATAGGTTTATATACATAATACTGTTTCTATATATATGATTTGTACATTGATTTTTTTTAATTTTTTTCTAATTCAAATTAATTTTAATTCCTTGTTAAAAAAATATATGTATGCTATACATGAATTTTCTTTTATTTATATTAAATAGTAATTAAAGAAAACAGAATTTTTTATTGAGCAATAATATTTTAAAATTGTCACCATATATATCTCTTACACAATTTGCGTTACAATCTCTTACACAAATAATTAAACATGTTAAGAATATAACAATATCCTAAATAAGACCCAAAATATCATAATTATAAAATATGAAAAAACTCATATATTCTAAAATCCTAAATAATACTAACAAAAATAAATTCTTTAGATTTGGTAAATCCCAAATTTGGAAGTTGCTGCAGCCTAAACACCCGAAAGTTAGTAAAATAATGGTATGATTTAAGTTACTAAAGAATTGACACAACTGATATTTTAGTGGCCAATAAATATTGATGTCATTTTTCTTATTATCAAATGGTACAAAAGAATGGTGTCCAGAATACGGACACGAACACTCTCGTATTCTGAACATGACAGTGAACAGAAGCATAAACATGATCGTGTGCAGTATTGACTGTCTGAAAAATAATTATACTGTCAAAATATCATTTAAATAATATTAAATTCAAAATTGTGGAACAGAAACACAACCAATATCTTCAAAAGTTAGTGAGTTAATTAAAAAAAATAAAAATAAAAATAATAATAAAAATGATCTATTTATAAGTTAATAAGTTAATATCACTTGCATATTGACGATCTATACATATTGATAGTTATTGATTTATGGTGAAATACTATTATTTTACTGAACTGTGAATAATTTTTTTTGGTCAACAAATATATATATATATATATATTACATCAATTTTGTATGAAAATTATTATAGTATTGATTTTAAAAAATCATGACTGACTATATTTAAGATTAATTGCAACTTTCAAATAATGTTGATTGATTCTATACATTTGAAAATATAAGAATTAAATAGCCTTTTCCTTATATAAATAATACTTTGAATATCAATAAGACATATTAGTAAAATTAACTTAATTTAAATTTTAAAATTTAAAAATAAAATATTTAATATCATATTTTTTTTTAAAAAAATATTAAATAAACAAACATCCAATACATTATAAACACATGCACGTAAAAAATTGTATAGAATATATAATTAGTGAATGTAAATGAATATTGTGTAATATATATATATATAATTGTGTGAAATACTTGAGTGAATTAAAATGATTTAAATAAATCAAAATTTTATAAAATTAATATTTCAACTTTCCAGGACCATGTGGACTCTATGACTTCAATGGGTAATCATGCTGAATATTAATGATATAATTATTTAAATTTTTTTTTAAAGAAGGGAAATATCCTTGTAATTTTCAGAAAAAAATTGCAGGAATTAAATCAAGATCATACTTTAAAATTTGGTTAGTTACTATTATGTTTCAAATTTGTGATTTAGCAGTAATTGACATTTATTGAATTAACAAAACTAAAATCCGACGAGATTATTTTTATTATTTATTTTGGATAAATACAAAATATTAAGTGCTGAGTCAGCGTCACCATTGTGGCCGAAGACATTTAAATTGCAGAGTTAATTTTGTGAAATTTCCAATTCATAATTAGTAACAAAATAATTTTAGAAATTTTTATTTGACAGCTAATATATACACACACAACTCGTCGTTCCGTACATTAACGTGAGTTTTTGTGTGTGTATAAATAGTTGTCCAGAGTTGGGTGTGGCTGTGAAGATACTCTTAGTCGTTAGCTGTAATTCTCCATTTTCAGTTTTTCATCTTCTGATTTGATTTTCGGTGGTGGAGAAATGGCCGGCGGTGGTATTGCACCTTCTCCCGGCGGCGGGAAGGCGTATCCGGGGAATCTGACGCTGTACGTGATTGTGACGTGCGTTGTTGCGGCGATGGGAGGACTTATTTTCGGCTACGATATTGGGATTTCAGGTAGGGTTTTGGTTTGTTTTGGATATTGAAATGGATGATTTCGATTGGATTGTGGTTTGTTTGATGTTTGATTTTTCTGATTTTGATTTCGATTTTAATTTGTGGAGGCGGTGTGACGTCGATGGATTCGTTCCTGATGCGTTTCTTCCCGTCGGTTTACCATAAGGAGAAACTGGATGCGAACACGAACCAGTACTGTAAGTTCGACAGTGTTACGCTTACGCTGTTCACGTCGTCGTTGTACCTGGCGGCGCTGGCGTCGTCGATTGTGGCGTCGACGGTGACCAGAAAGCTCGGAAGGAAACTGTCAATGCTGTTTGGAGGAATCCTGTTTTGCGCAGGAGCGTTGATCAATGGCTTCGCGCAGAACGTCGCCATGCTCATTGTCGGTCGGATTTTACTCGGATTTGGAATCGGATTCGCAAATCAGGTTTTCTATGATTGTTTATTCTGAAGATCTATTTTCCTAAATCCTTAATTGATTGATTGATTGATCGAGCGATTGATTGTTTGTTTTTTGCATTTGTTTGCAGTCTGTTCCTCTGTACCTTTCAGAAATGGCTCCGTACAAATACAGAGGGGCACTCAACATCGGATTCCAGCTGTCGATAACCGTCGGCATTCTGGTAGCCAACGTACTGAACTACGGCTTCGCAAAGATCGAAGGCGGTTGGGGATGGAGGCTGAGCCTCGGCGGCGCGATGGTTCCTGCTCTAATCATCATCCTCGGATCACTCCTCCTCCCGGAGACGCCTAATTCCCTAATCGAGCGCGGCAAGCGCGATGAGGCTCGAGCGAAGCTCGTCCGAATCCGCGGAATCTCCGACGTCGACGAGGAATTTCACGACCTCGTCGCCGCCAGCGAGGCGTCGCAGAAGGTCGAGCATCCATGGCGGAATCTGTTGCAGAAAAAGTACAGACCTCATCTCGTGATGGCCGTACTCATCCCCTTCTTCCAGCAGCTCACCGGAATCAACGTAATCATGTTTTACGCGCCGGTATTGTTCAAAACCCTAGGCTTCGCCAGCGACGCCTCTCTAATGTCCGCCGTGATCACCGGAGTCGTCAACGTCGTCGCCACCTGGGTCTCCATCTACGGCGTCGACAAGTGGGGCCGCCGCTTCCTCTTCCTCGAAGGCGGCTCGCAGATGTTCATCTGCCAGATCGTGGTGGCGATTTGCATCGGCGTTAAGTTTGGGGTCACCGGAGTCGCCGCCGAGATCGAGAAATGGTTCGCGTCGTTGGTGGTTCTGTTCATCTGTGTCTACGTGGCGGGCTTTGCGTGGTCGTGGGGCCCTCTCGGCTGGCTGGTTCCCAGCGAAATCTTTCCGTTGGAAATCCGGTCGGCGGCGCAGAGCATAAACGTGTCGGTAAACATGATCTTCACGTTTCTGATAGCTCAAGTGTTTTTGTCGATGCTGTGCCACATGAAGTTTGGGCTGTTCTTGTTCTTCGCTTTCTTCGTGGTGGTTATGTCGGTGTTCATATATTTCTTCCTGCCGGAGACGAAGAACATTCCTATTGAAGAGATGATGTACGTTTGGAGGAATCACTGGTTCTGGTCGAAATACGTCACTGATGATGATCTTCCTGCAAATGGACGATCCGCCATGGAAATGCAGGCTGCAGGGGAGAAGAAGGTCTGACTGAATTATTGTTACTGTTACTATTGTTATTGTTATTATTATTATTATTAGGTAATAAGTGTAAGGTTTATGATGAGTAAGATGCTGTAATTGCTGGATTATTGTTTTTAATTTTGTGTTTTTGTTACAGGACTTTGTATTTTGTCACATTGAATTGTTTAAATTTATGGTTATTTATTATTTATTTATTTTATAATGGGTAACGTTTCTCAAAATTTAGTGTGTTTTTATTAGTATAATTTTATGCGCGCCCGTTTAATGTTTATCGAAATAGTAGCATTGTAATTTGTTATCATCTCATTTAATAACTTATATATGACAAAAATGTTTCGGATTTACTTTAGTTGAGAAATTCGAATGATTTGGATAAACTTGACCCCCACTACAAAATAAGGACTTAATTTTTAAAAACAAATGTAACAACACCAATGGTTAAAAAAGAGTAAAAAATGTTCATTTTGATACATATATTCAATCGAGCTTAATTAGTAAATAGTCCGAAATTTTATTGGAATGGATATGTGGATAAGGAAGGCCAATAAATAAATAAATAAAAATAAACAAATAATGAAATAGAAAAGTAGGAATGCAAATAATCACATGTGGTTTAATGAGAATCACCCTTTACATCGACAGAGAAGTGAATTCATTCATGTGTTATTACAATATCATGGAAAGAAAAACATATGGTACAATGAATTCAGTCACGGTCTTGCAAGAAAAAAGCAATGAGGTGAGGTGGGGTGGCAATAATAATAATAATATTCATACACAAGACTACGTTGCATGGCTTGTAATTAATTGTGAATAGATAGATCTCCGATAAGAATAAGAAGTGGATAAAACAAACAAAAAAAGGCATGTTTGAAGTCACGGGGGATTGGATCGCAATTGCATCACAAGAAACATCCCATCATTTAAATCACCTGTGTGTCGCAATGACCGACCATACAATAAAGTTAATTAATCATACATAGGATATATAATTGGATAAAGATATATCCTATAAAGATTTTAAAAAATATAAAAATAGATAAGTGCATGACTACGAATGAATCCATGCATTGATTGATTTATAAGATCTGTGAAAATTTACTCAACTCTACTTTTCATTTGGACGGGGTATACAAGTCATTTCACCTTGGCCCATTAGAATAAGAAAGCTTAAGCCCAAATGCATACCCATATATATATATATATATAGGATGATCAATCAAGCTCGTACTGTTCCGCATCAAACATGAACTAAGAATAAGAATTTAATAAGCTTTTATCCATCACAAAACAAACAACCAAAGGGTCCCGTGTTGCTACAATATTTATATTTATATATTGAGTATTAGTCGTTACCCTATCGATATAGTATTGTTTTTAAATATATGATTTCATTTCGAAATCTAATATGCTTTTTATTACATTAAAGGTTATATATTTGTAATATTAATTTCAAAATGAATTGTATTATGTATTGAGTTTTGATTGATGTTTGCAGGTGGATCATACAACACACCCATGCAAATTAATCCCTTGGTTGATGACATAACAAATATGTTGTAACAAAATTTTAGTGGAGATTGCAGTGCATAAAATTGATGTAATCGATTTAGTTTAATCATACGTGGGTTAAAACTCCAGATGTAAGTATCTTGTGATCGAATTGGATTATCAATTTCATGTGTTACATTTTTTAGCTCCTAGAGTATATGTCCGTGTTGTTTAATCGGTTCATGAATTGTCCGTCTGCGTAAGTCAGCTTGTGATTATGAGCATACAACATACTAAATATATGTGTATAAAATACTTACTCAAAGTTAAAAAAAATATATATATATCTATATTTTTCTCTTAACAAAATATTACATCAAATTATGTTTAAATAAAAATGCAACTTTCAAATCCAATCTAAATTGAAAAAAAATAGATTTCGAATATAATCTTTACATTCTTCACTCTCACTATATTCCGGGAGAGTGAATTCTCTCGCATCCCCCCGGCCCCTTCGGCTCTCCACCATAACAGCTACAGCAGTAGCAGCAGCAGCCACACAGATTCTCCCCATATCTGTATGTATATGTTAGCTCAATCTTGTCTGTATGTATAGGCAGGGACAGTGGTTTTCTTCGATTTCTAGGATATGAGGATAAGGTTGTTTTGTCTGCCTGTCTCTGTCTGTCAGCAATTTTTTTGTCCCAACACTGACTCTCTAATTCTAATTCTTGATGCATTTAGCAGTTCAAATGATTACCATCGATCAACTGTAATTCTTGATCCACGAGCAATGCAATATATTTGATCAAAGATCAGATCAGATCAGAGTTGGGATAAAAAGATAAGGGCAAGATAATGCCGTTCATAGCCACCACAGACAACAAGTACAAAAAGAACAAAGTATCTACAAGCATGTATGTATATGTGTGGCAAAAAGCCAAATTAGTATACCTTAAAAGTTACAGAAAATTCGAATTAAAATGGCAGATGTCACATTGATTGCCTTTTGGAGGAATAACTATGATTAAAAAAAAAAAAAAAAAAGAAAGATTGAATGCATCATTGAAAGACACTCATGGAAGCTTTCGTGATAGAGCAACTCAACTCATACAGCAGAATCTACACCTTCGCCTTGTCGGGCTAGATACCGCTCTCTTCTTTCCTTCTGCAAATGCAAGAATCGTGGATGGTGAGGATAGAGGTCAGACAAGAATGACATTGAACATATTCAAGAAAGGAATTCAAAGTGAGAGAAGTCACCCATTCGTCGATAACCAGTCCTTCCCCAATAAACTTTGGGACCGTTTCTTCCAAAGGCTTTTTGCGAGCCTCCGATTCGGCCTCTGCCTCAGCTAATTGACGCTTCAGTTTATCTAGAGCCTTCAAATGTAAAGCAGGCATTTCGGTAAATTGAATTGCTTTATTCTTTTTGAAATTGCTAAGTAAATACACTTCACAGCATATAAGGTGCAGAAGATTTCGAATACAAAGTATTAACTTACAGGAGTAGGACGTTCGATGTCAAGAAAAACAACCCGTAGTATTTGCTCAACTGCCACTTGGTCCTTGTTCTCATCAAACTGAGCCGAGAAGGAACATATGTGAAAAGTCTATTACAGATTGTAATGCATGGAAAATGGTGTTCACATAGATTTTCAAAATACTCAACTACTCATACCTATAGATTGTCGTAGCAATGAATGGCTTATTTTCCAACTAAAATTTTCTTAGAAGTAAAAAGTATGTAGAGAAAAGTGGATGCAACGAACCAGTTCGGGTATGTAGTCCATAGGGCCCTTCACTTTTAGGCTCATAATCTTAAACTTGACCCTGCTTTTCTGATCGGTTGGTTTTTCATTGTTCTCTGGGGGCTCCACAAACTTAAACACTAATTGGAAACAGCCAAGACCAAGAAAGATAAGTAATTCATGTATAAGCCAACTTGCAAAATTCTTTAAACTCAGCAAATGTCTATCTATTCACAATATTGGCATTCATGATTACACAAGTTCAAGTTGAAGAATGACCAAATAATTACCGGTTGCTATTATACTCTCGCCAGGAGCAAGAATGGCACCAGGTGGACGCATAAAACAACTTTTTGGTGCAGTTGTTTGGAACTGGAGTAGACAAAATTAAAGAGTCAGACCAAAATATCTTACAAAATTGTCTATAGTGCACAGCCTATGCCAATTGCATATTGGAAATAATCCCAAAGACAAAAACAATAAAAATAAGTGCTCTAGAAATACCTTGAATGCTACATGAGACTTGCTCGTGTTTTTTATTTTGATAGCACTCCGGACTTGCTTACCCGGCTCATCTACAAGTAGGCACAAATAAAGGACTTTGGTTTGGCCAATGGAAGTGTTACAATATTTGCAGATAAAATATGGAAAGTAATAGTAATTTACACAAAGCATTTACAAAAATATACACTTTCATGAGCATCCTAATAACCAATCAGAAAAGCCATGTTTAAAGCAGATCTAGTGAAACTCAGAAAGTTAACTGTGAACAAGAAACCAAACAAATAATTTCTTGATAAGCAAAATTTCTCAACATAATTAAGCAGTTCCAAACAGGTTTTGTCAAAACTTCATGGCAAAGTGTCAATGTTACTTGCCAATGTATCAGTTTATTCTCTATCCAAGGCAACTGACTATGGAAAAAATTAAAAATTTAAAAAGCTTGTTTTGCAGACAGTAGGCTACTTCGATCAACACAAACACTCTGAAAGGTCACAGATTCAATGGCAACTTCCAGTTTTCTCTCCAATTCCATTCCCATAAAGTATAGATCGGGGCTGCTCCCTTTGTGCTGAGCACAATTTGGAAAGTAAAGATAGAGTCTTGTAAGTTATAAATAAGTTCTTGTTTCAATATACCAGATTTAAATTTCATATTTATACTCTATAAAAATTAATGGAAATTTGTAAGTATTGACAGAAAAATCTTAACGCTTTTTAAATACACACACACATAAATATAGAACAAACAATAAAAACCTAATTAGTGAAATCATTTATGTCGAATACCCAACAAGTTAGGTTGAATTAAACCGAATCGAATTTGATTGTAGGCTTCCTGGTCACACCACCACAATTTAGTAGGAGATAATAAAAGATAAGAAGCAAATCGTCATAAATGCTCTCAGTTCTATCATCAATAGCATGAAAATTGCCATATACGAACACCAGCAGAATTAATTCTAACAGTAGAGGGGGAAAAAAAAAAAAATCAAATCATGGAAATAACCACCAGATCAAGCACAATAAGGAATCTAGCTGGAAATCTTCACGAAAAATTGGGTTCAATAACCAGGACCGTTTTCCTTGTTAGAGAGAGATCGAAAAACGATAATTTAAGAACTTACAAGGAAAATAGAGCTTATTAGATGGATCAAGCTTCAAACGACGGCGCGTGGGGAGCAAGGATCTGGCGACGGAGGAGACGGAGACGGTACCACTGGACTGAGCACCACCCGATCCCTCCACTTGAGTATTAGAATTCGTGTTCCCATGGCCGTAATTGTACTGATTATAATGATGCAAATTCGATGAAGACGACGACGTCGTCGACTGAGAGTTCCGGAAAGGCAGCTTGAACAGCCCCCAGACCTTCCCGTCCGTCTTCTCGTCGTCAATCGCCATTAAATTCCTGTCGCGAAGGAATTGATTCAACTTTTTGGAGAGTCCCTCTGCTCTGTTCTGCTCTGCGTTTTGGAAATTTCAACGACCACTCGACCAGCCACTCCCAATTCCTCTTTTTATTCTTCAATTATCAAAATACTTAACGCTAAAAAATTAATAAATATTCCTCATATAAATATTATTATACTAATAGCTCAAATTCAAAAAATAAAATAAAATTTATTAAATAAAATGTAGCTAAAGGTATGAATTATGGCTTTCAATTATTTTTTCTTCAGCCACTTTTATGAAATTTAATTTACATGCGTTACGGGTGGGGCTGAGTTAGGTGCTGGAAATAATGGTGGAGTGGTTGACAAATACGTGTTGACTCCCACCAAATTGACTTTTAAATTACTCAAATTAATTTTAATTCTTTTCACAAAAATAACCTTAGTTGGGCCATTTGACAAAATGGGCCAACAATTTCATAGACTCTAACTAATAATGGGCTAAAGCCCATCCAAGCAAATGGACCAGTAAATCGATTACAAGCCATACATTACTAAATTATTTTAAATAAAATAAAATCAGATTTTGTTATGGCATTGGAATGAGGAAGAAGTTAGAAGCTTCCAGATTGCATGGGGTTGCTAAATATAGTATACTTGGCACACAGGCAACCACTTCTCTTGGCAAATGCAGAATTATTCTTAGTAAAAAATAATTTACAATTTTAATTTAATACTAAGGGTTCGTTGGAGGAAACCAACATAGCTGACGAAAATAAATTTAAATATTGTTTGACCAAATCTAAAACCAGTAGAGCTGTTTGTGATAAAATGTGGACAAGCAGACACCTTTGCCAACGTACACATGATTTTCAACGTTCTTAATTATTTAATAATAAAAAATAATAAATAATTCATGCAAATATTAAAATATATTTTTGAATTGTAAGTACTGTTAGTAAGGGTATTTTAAGGGTATTTTAGTAAATACGGCAGTATTTTATAAATATTATAGAGTAGAAATATTAATTGTGCGGATAATTGATTAATTAGCTGTTGAAGACTTGTGATGGATTGAGGTTCCCAGCTGATGCAACCACGTGTCCACCCTGAGATCGACGGCGGGGATTAATTATTAATAAATTTTCTTGTTCGAGATTTTTGGCTTTTGATGTTACTAAGAACTATTACCAAAAAAAAAAGAGCTATTTTTCTAATTGTTTGAAAATTAAATTTTATAGATCGAGGACAGTGTCGTTTTCATCCATTTTTGTTGCGTTCTTTGATAAATAATGTTATCATTATTGCCCTAATTTGGTTCTATTGAGATGTGAAATCATTTTTTTTTCTACAAATATGTAATAATTTAAAGAAGAAAGTATGTATGTGCATGTGACTAGCTTTGGTACATATGAAAAAATTGAAATATTTCAAATTATTAATTGTACGAAGCTGGCTGGCGTATATACACATGTACACACACAATAAATGCATTGCGGCAAACGGCAAACTCAATTATTGCACCCATGAAATTTAATGCAAAATTTGAAGTCCTCATTGCATTAATTATACATATACAAAGATAACGATATATATTAAATGATAAAAAATATCCAACCACAGGGAGACGACCACGTGGCGTGCACAAAGAAAATAAGTAAACGCGGAGGGCAGAAGCGTCATTTCGCTCGCTAGGTATCGGATAGGCTAAAAGCTACATGGCTCGAATGCGAAGCCATGCAGGAGATGACATGAGATGTTCATTATAATAATGCAATAATTTTTTTTATATATATATTTTTTAAAATATCAATTATTTTTGAAGATTTAATTAGTTAATTAAAATATTTACTGTGGCTAATTGTAGTTGAACAGGTGGAGATGTATAGATATGATGGGAATTTCTCCAGAAATGAGGGACACGTCGCCTATGGAAGTAACAGGGACGGTCACCGAATCCTTTTGACTTCGATTTTTGTGCTGTTTCGTACATGAGCTATATGTATCTATATATATATATATCATCGTGCCCATCACTCTGCCAGTAGTGTTTGCCCTCGATCTGCCTGAAACTAATAATATCTCTGGAAGAAACTAAAAACATTTAATGCCATGGGAAGAACACCGTGCTGTGACAAAAATGGACTCAAGAAAGGGCCATGGACGCCGGAAGAAGACCAGAAGCTTATCGATTATATTCAGAAACATGGATATGGTAGCTGGAGAACTCTTCCCAAGAATGCTGGTATATATATATATATGTACACATACATACATATATACCCATATCTATATGCGAAGAAGAAGAAGAATATATTACTAATGGTTTTTTTAATTTTGGGGGTTTAGGGTTGCAGAGGTGCGGAAAGAGCTGTCGTCTCCGGTGGACGAATTATCTCCGGCCGGACATAAAAAGAGGGAGATTTTCATTTGAGGAAGAAGAGACAATTATTCAGCTCCACAGTATACTCGGAAACAAGTTCGTTCTTGAATTCTTAATTCATTTTCTTGTTTAATAATTTGATTCGATTGGAATTACTGATTTATTTTATTACACAGGTGGTCGGCGATTGCGGCGAGGCTGCCGGGAAGGACGGACAACGAGATAAAGAACTACTGGAACACACACATAAGGAAAAGGCTTCTGCGAATGGGGATCGATCCAGTCACCCACACCCCTCGTCTCGACCTCCTCGACCTCTCCGCCATTCTCAACTCTAATAATATTCCGACAGGATCATCAGGACCGATGAATTTCTCCACCTTGTTAGGGCTGCAGCCTCTGATCGATCCTCAGTTGATTCGCCTCGTTTCGTCCCTGCTGTCCTCACAAAATCAGGGTTTTCAGACAATTGCCGATGGTAATAATCATCTTCCCCAATCTTCGATCCAGTTGCCCTCGCAAATTCAAGCTCCTGGGCAGGATAATTTATCAGCGCCATACGACGTCGTTCCGCCGGAGAATCTCGACGGGCAGAATTACGGGGAATGGCAGCAAAGCGCTGACCAGTCGATGCTTTCTTCTCTTACAGAAGATTACCTGCAAATACCTAACAACGGCGGCTACTACGCGTCGGACCAGTCCGCCGTCGGTGGCGGCGCGCCTTCGTCGGAGACGACGACTTTTCAATCTAATTACGGCGGCGCCGGCGCCGGCGGTGGTGGAAATTTTAGCTTTCAATCTGGTTTGTCGAATATATCTACGCCATCGTCGAGTCCAACGCCGTTGCATTCGAATTCGAATAATAACAATGTTTACAGCACGAGCAGCAGCAGCAGCAGCGCCGAGGACGAGAGGGAAAGCTATTACAGCAACATTTTGAAGTTTCAACTTTCAGACATCATAGACGTTAACGATTTCATGTAATTAATTTCCTCATGTCGTCGTCGTCAAGATCTGTGTAAGGTGATACGGATCTGTAGACTGCATTCTGTTTGTTTCTGTTTTTAATTTTCAGGTCACATACGTGTCTTGTAAGGATCAATATAATTTCAGTAGAAGTAATTAGATTAACTTTGCTTAATTAAATCAGTTTATTTCTTCTTCCATGGCTTTCCGATCTTAGTTCATGTCATTGTCAACAAATTTGATTAATCAATGAAATCTGCTGTCCAAATGACAGACAGACATAACAAGTGATGCTAATCTTACTAGTCCATGTCCGTAGCTCGTTAATTAAATTAATAATTTAATTAATTTAGACAAACCTAGAAGCTACGAACATAAACAAAAGGAAGTTATCGGATCATAGATGGTGAAATTAAATATTTGCATGGATACTGTACGTAGACGTCAGCACCATACATGTATGTGTCTCAGAAACAATTGCTTGATGATGGAGAAAACGACAATTAATCAATTGAGTAATTAAATATTACGTAAATACCTCATCATTTATATATCGTTTGAGCAATCTTGATCCGCTGTCAGATTATTAGGTTGTCCAATTGTCTCGTTAACTTGCTTAATCGGGAAAAATATATTTCAGGCATTAAAAAAAATTAATAATTATCCGATCGGTCCGTACAACTATCGGGAAAAGAGAAAAGTGCTCCTTTGTATTAGTATAGTGTGCATGGCCTCATATATCACGACAGAGAAATGAACGCCGCCGCAGACAGCGGCCGGAGTTGTGGGACGCGATGCGGTGGCGCCACCTGTATATATTGGCACGGCAGACACACTAAAACGTAAATTTTTAAAAAAATTATAGTAGTAAATTAAAATAAAATACTCCCTCCGTCCACAAACTAACGTCCTACTTTGCTATTTGGAATGTCCAACAATTATGGTCATTTTTTTATTTTTATACACAAAATTTACTCTTTTACCCTTATTTTATTTACTCTTTCATTTTATATATACAAAATTAAGAATAAATTTATTATTTTATAATAAAAATTCTAATTTAGTCTAAATATGTATATAAATATCAAATAGAACATAAAAAAAACGGAGGAAGTATAAAATATTTGGCGGGAGTTTGACTAAAAGGGTGACACGTGTATCGGGAGGATAAGGTTGTGGGGACCACGTTAAAAGAAATGTCTTTATCACTTGTAATGAAAATCACGGCGTGGTTCCTGTGCTATTTACCATCTTTTCTGTCCTCACTTGCAATTAATGTGCGGCGAGTCGATGCACACGTGGCTCGTGTTATTTACCGGTTCTCACGGTTGCCAGTCGTCGTCTAGTTTAACTGAACATGCGTAGATATATATAGGTGCGTTTGACAATTAGCCGAGCTGATTTAATTAGCTATTAATTATTAGCTGATTCAATTAGTTGGTTTGACTAGTTGATTCAATTAATGATTTGTATTGAAGTGGTTGGTAAAACAATGACATTAGCTGTTTATATATAAAATGACTATTAAAGACATTAATATGTTATTTTTTAAAAATTTTAATTTTGTTTATTTTTATTTGAAGTTTATAAGAATTTTTGTTATTAATTATTAAAAATTATCAAAATATTATAAAAAATTTTTATTTTTATTTTATTATTTAAATTTGAGAAAATTATTTTTACTAAAAAATAATAATTTTTTTATTGAAATTATGTAAAATATAATTTTTAAAATTTTATAAATAAAATAATTTATATGTAATAACTATAATAGTAATTATTTTAAATTTATTAAAATAAAAATATAATTTAATAAATTAAATATATTAAAAATAATTAATAAATATTGTTATAAAAAATATATTTATATATATAATAAATAATTAAGTTTTAAAGGTAAATAAAGAATAACAAAAATTAAAATTAAAATGAAAAAACTTCTTCAAAAGGTAAATGAACTTTTCAAAATTAGATTTTTTGAGTCCAAAAACTTTTTCAAAAGATTAATTTACCGAATATTTAAATTAACATTTTGACTGATGAAACAACTAAAAAACTGTTCAATAAACTAAAACCTCGTAGTAGTAGTAGTATTTATTTTATTTTTTAAAGAAAAAATGGATGGATCGAAAAAGTGACAACAATTTTCATGGCTCCCATCGATTGCTTCCGCGAGATTCCCGCGTTCCCGCGCATTTCCAACTGTCGGTAAAATGTATTCCATAACCGCCTCTGTTGATCCACTTACTATATAAGCAATCTCTGAAATTTTACCCTCTTTTGGTTTCGCGAAGAACACTAGATTTCCTTCGGGCGCAATCGAATAACCGCCTTTGAAATTGAGGTAAATCGGCTCCGCAATGGAAGAAGATGAATAGGTTACTCAGCAGTCCGGCATCGCACCTCCGCCATTTCCGGGAGACTATAGCCCAACACCAGTCCACTATCTCGGCAGACGAACCGAATGCCCTAAGCATTCTATGGCACCGCCAAATCCTCGATCCCAACAGCGACATTGTCAGCCACTGGAACCACATTTTTTTACTCACCTGTTTGATCTCCCTGTTCATCGACCCCCTCTACTTTTACCTCCCGTACGTCATCGAAGAGAACGCTTGTATGACCATTGATAATGAAGCGTCTGTTAGGATCACGTATTGTCGGACTATCGCTGATATATTCTTCATCCTCCATATCGCGATGAAGTTTCGAACGGCATTTGTGGCTCCAAGTTCTAGAGTTTTCGGCCACGGGGAGCTCGTCCTGGATCCCAAACAAATCAAAATGAGGTATCTCAAGTCAGATTTTATCGTTGATCTAACAGCAGCGCTTCCATTGCCACAGGTAAATTCATTGCGGAGCGATCTCTTGAATTAGTCATTGGTTTCTCATACATGCTTTTTACTTACATCGACATGATTAACAGTTCTGCATAACGAGCTTCAGATTAATTGATGTGTGCATCTAAACAATCAATAACAATAAATTCCGAAGAAAGTGTGATGTATGTTGAAATCTTCATTCAGTTTGCTTGTCTTGTTTGATACACGTTTGGGAATTGGCTGTGTGCATCTAAACAATCAATAACAATAAATTCCTACTGCTTTTGACAACTTCTTATTGGTTGTTAGATCAGATAGTCATCTGGTATGTGATTCCTGCAACGAAAACCGAAGGGACTGGTCATTCTAACAACACGCTTGCCCTCATTGTCCTCACCCAATATATTCCCCGATTATTTATCATATTTCCTTTGAATCGGCGGATAATAAAAACCACAGGGTTTATTGCGAAGACAGCTTGGGCAGGGACTGCATATAATCTGCTTCTGTTCTTGCTAGCCAGCCATGTAAGTACATGTTTGAAGCTTCTCATTCCCTGAATTACTTTCTATTTGTATGACATATGATGCTCTCTTTTTTAGGTAATAGGAGCTGCGTGGTATCTGGCATCTATAGGGCGGCAATTCTCTTGCTGGGAGCAGAGATGTATCGATGAGTTTGAGAGCATCCCACCCTGCCAATTGGTATTTCTTGATTGTTTGAGTTCGGAAAATGATAGTCTCGAAAGGGAATACTGGTTGAATGTGACAAGCGTGTTCACTCGTTGTGATCCCAAAAATGATGACTCTGGTTTCAAGTTTGGAATTTTTGCTGATGCATTTACCAGCGAGGTTGCTTCCTCTGTTTTTATGCACAAGTATCTTTACAGTCTCTGGTGGGGCTTAAGAAATTTGAGGTCTGGTGTAATGTTTTTCTCCTTCCAATTATGTCGGAAATTTCTGCTTTCTGGTTTAATCATCATGCTCACCCCTGTTGCCATTTCTTGGTTCTTTCCAGTTCATATGGACAAAATTTGAACACAAGCACTTACGCAGGGGAGACATCATTCTGCATTGCTTTGTGCATTTCTGGCCTGGTTCTGTTTGCACATCTGATGGGCAATATCCAGGTATCGATTTTTCGCTTTATTTTTCAGTTGAGCACATTCACAATAATATGTATGTTTCCGTGCAGACATACATGCAATCGTTGACAGTGAAACTCGAAGAGTGGAGAATCAAGAAAAGAGACACCGAAGAATGGATGAGGCATCGGCAGCTGCCCCCGGACTTACAGGAACGTGTGCGTCGATTCAACCAATACAAATGGCTCGCCACGCGCGGCGTCAACGAGGAAGAAATCCTTCAGTCACTGCCACCAGATATCCGCCGCGAAATCCAGAGACATCTTTGTCTCAACCTCGTCCGCCGCGTATGTTTCCCCGTCTCTTGAACCACAGTTTTAATTACTAAACTAACAACCCCTTTATTGCAATATCGAAATCAGGTCCCATTCTTTGCCCAAATGGACGACCAACTCCTGGACGCCATATGCGAGCGGCTTGTCTCCTCCCTGAGCACCGAAGGCAGCTACATTGTCCGGGAAGGCGATCCAGTGAACGAGATGCTCTTTATCATCAGGGGACAAATGGAGAGCTCAACAACAAATGGAGGACGATCGGGATTCTTCAACTCCATAACTCTCAGACCAGGTGATTTCTGCGGCGAGGAGCTTCTGACATGGGCGTTAGTACCAAATTCATCTCTAAACCTGCCTTCCTCCACGAGAACTGTCAAGACTCTAACCGAAGTCGAAGCATTCGCTCTGCGCGCCGAAGAACTAAAATTCGTGGCCCTTCAATTCAAGCGCCTGCACAGCATGAAGCTGCAGCAAGCATTCAGATACTATTCCCATCAATGGCGGACGTGGGGGGCTTGCTACATCCAGGCCACCTGGAGAAGGTTCAGGAAGAAGAAGCTGGCGAAGGGGGTGGCTATGCAAGAACAGTTTGATGATCCAGGGCCCAAGGGATTGTACAGTGATGATGAGGATGAGGAGAGCGAAAGTGATGAGAGCAGTAGTTCTGGTGGAGCTCATTCTGGAGATAACAATCCTCAGAATCTTGGAGCCACGTTTTTGGCATCAAGATTTGCTGCAAACACTAGGAGAGGGATTGTTCAGAAGACACAGGCTCCTGAAACTAATGCTTCTGCTTCGTCATCCTCCAGCTTGAAGATGCCTAAATTGATTAAGCCAAATTTGCCAGATTTTTCTGAAGAAGTTTAGAACATTGATTAATGTTGTGTTGTTTGTAGATTAATGTAATTGTAGGGGCTTGTTTTAGAATTAGTGATAAAATACAACTCAACAAATTCCAAGTTTTGATCCACCGTTTCCCGCGGTATGCATTATTTTATAATTAAATTATTTTTATTTTTTACTATTAATTTTTAATTTTTTTATAAAAGTATATTACTATTTCTTTCTTGTAAAATAATATATACTATAGAGGACCTCTATGATGTCAGCAGGATGTCCTATAGGTGTGTGGATATGCACGAATACTTTTATTATTATTATTATTATTCTTAATGAATGAATTAATTAATTGTATATATTTCTACTGCAAAGACAGCTTGAAATGTAGTAATAAAAATATTCAAAAAGAGTAATGCAATATAAATTATTGTAGAGACACGTGACAAGTGAAAAGTTTTGATTCAACCAGATGTTGAATTTGATGTACATGTACGTATTTCCGATGATGATTACTTATTTGTGTGATGGATAGTCAAAATTTTATTGTACAAATTGGAAAGCATATCCAATAATCTGACACGACCATTAATGGCCCTTTTGTTCGTACGACGTCGCTGTCTCAAAGTCAATGCCTATTTCCAACCATTAAAATTAAATTAAATTAGACCCTCCTCCACTCCATCTCCATGCACAGACGTCATCTAGATGTCACAGACTCGTCATTTAAGAAGAATTATACTTATTGTCGCGTAAGGAATGACCTGGTGTGTAGGAGTTGGATTTGTGACCATGAGGTTATGGGTTCAAACCTCCGACGCCTCAGGTTTACCTGCCAAGTTCGTCTAGTATGACTTTTCTCATCTCCAACCCTCCACTCTATTTTTGCAGTTGATCTAGAGTAATTTTACTCCAACCATAAATTTCAATTTTTACTCTAAAAATATATTCCCTATATATTCCTCTTTTATATTATTTTATATAACTTTTCATATTTATAAATTACACCCCAACTTTAATTATTTTTACTTTAGATCCATACACATATAATTTATAAATTATTTAAAAATTACATATATAAAAATTAATATTTATAATTAATAACTATTACAAATAAAATAATTTCAAATAAATAATTAAATGTTATCAGGACAAATATGATCATAATAATTAAATATAATTTTTTACAAAGTAAAATTACACGTTAATTTAAAAAATAAAATTACATATCACTTTTAAAAAAATAAAAATTATATCACTTTTCAAACGGTAAAATTATATATCAATTTAAAAAATAAAATTATATATTACTTTCCAAAAACTAAAATTATACCACTTTTAAAAAATAAAATTATATATTATTTTTCAAAATAAAATAAAATTACATGCAACTTTTTAAAATATAAAATTATATATCATCTACTAAAAAATTAAAATTACACAATACACAAAAAAATACAAAAAAATATAAAAAAAACACCACAAAAACTCAACTCAAAAAATGGAGTGGAGTAGCACTGTTTGTTATTGCAAAAATGAGGAGAGATTTGGGGGTGGGTTGGAGCCCCTCCCCCCATTTTTGGTGTGAGTTGGAGATGGTCTTACGTGAGTGTGAAAAGTTCTGAGAATGACGTGCACTTGGTGTACATTCATGTTCAAATGCAAATGCAGTGAATTTAACCTTTATTTATAAGAAAAAATAATGTCTTTTTATAAAAAATTAGTAGTAAAAATAAAAATAATTATCAATTTTGAGAAACATGAAATGAATGCATACCGTGGGAAATGGTGGATCATCGGAACTTCCGATTGTTAATTTTGTCACCAATTCTAAAAAATCAATATTTAATTATATAATGATAATAATTATGATGTTTGATATATGTATATGTTTCATTATCATGCTCGACCGTCCAAAGAAAAATTGTGCCTTCAATTCTAATGATTCAAATAATTTGACTAAGTCCACTCTTCTATAAAAGTTGCTTCGTGTCTTTTCCTTATTTTAATTTATTTTTTTCCATTTTCTTTCGCTTATTCTCATATTTTACAGTGAATCAGTCTTTTTAAATAATCAAGACAATCTTATTTTCTATTTATTTTTTATTATAATTTTATAAATTGTATTGATAATAAATTTTTTGGAGTTTGTTTGTTTGTTTTTTTTTAAATTATTATTATTCAGTTTATAATTTTTAATGCTCTATTATTCCCAACTTAATAGTCTTATTTTTATCATGTATGTTCGTTTTAAAATAATAGTCTTACTTACACACACATAAATAATTATATTACTATAAATTTATCTATATTTTATTATTATTATATAAATATTACTATTTTTTTACACTTAAATTTAAACACACACATAAAACCATATATAACTTTTATCTCAATCATATTGAATTGGCAAAATCTCTTCAAATGTGAAATTATATCTTTACCCTTCTTAATCATCGGTATTAAAATCAATCGGAGCAAATAATACTAACCATTAAACTAATTGTATTTCATTTTATTGAATAAAACCATTATTTTATTTTTCAATGCACAATAAAAAAATTATTTCGTCTTATAATGAATATTAATTGGACTTTTTATTGGGCCTATTGGGCTGCTCGATCGATGGCCCAATAGAAAGGTATAAGAAATCTCCTGCTTGAAGTCCACGGGCAAGACATTTCCGGGCAGCGGTCAGAAGGGATCCCGAGCTACCTCGAACACAAATACCCGAACCGGACGGACCGTACAGGACCTTACGCCACATGGTCCGACGATCTCCGCGTCCATCGCTGACGTTGCTTTCTGCTTCTGTGGCTTCTTCTTCTTCTCTTCTCTCTGCTTCTTCGCGCATTTCTATTTTCGCCGCCTCAACTAGGTTTTCGAAACTTCCTTACTGATTCTTGTTATTTTCACCGATATTTTCTTCCAATATCGGTTCCTTAGTTAACGATCTTTCCCATCCTGAACAGTAGTGTTGTTACGTTGATGACGAGATTGCAATCAATGGTTTTTATTGGCGGCGAATCTTGAATTTGTAAATGGTATGTGATCCACACACGGTTGAATCTTGATTAATCGTTAGGAAATGCGCGCTGACGACTCAGTAGGTTGCGCGTTAACCTCCTGTTAGTTTTTTCTTTTCTTTTTTTTTTTTTATTTTTTTTATTTTTATCAGCTCGAATTTTGTTCTTAGGAGGTCGATTAAAGCGCGGTCTTAGTTCCTTTGGGCGTTCGGACTTGTCTGCACATTTTCGTCCCAGATTTTGCCAACTGCCCTTCTTTTCTGTTTGAATATATACAATTCTCCTGAATGTGCAATTGCCTTTCTTGTTAGTATTGAAATTTGAGTTGTTAATCGTCTGTTATCATCATCTCAGTAGTTTTTATTTCTGAAACTTGGGCACTAATGAATTTTGATTTCATCTGTATTCTATTCAATCAACGAACTCTTAAATATCTAAGCAATGCTCATTCGGTTCCATTGACTGCAGACACTGATTATGAAATTTTTACATTTATATTGTTGAAATCTATCGTGTGTTAATTCTTTAAGTCTTGAAGTGGTGTTAAGGTGACAATGCTGTGATGTTTTTCTTCGTTTAATATTCTTATAGGTGGGTATTTCTGCCTCCTTCAGAGGTCGCAGATTGTCAACAGTTGGAGCATTTGGGAGGGAATTGCTATTTTCTCGGACAAATAGGATAGGCACCAGTCTGCATGGAGGAAATTTTGATGCCATTAGTGGATCATCTGTTACTTCTACTCGACATAGATTGTACTCAAATGTTTGGCTTACAAGGAGGGGACAAGCTCGGAATGCCATCCATGAGGTGGGTCAAGGTTTATCTAGTGGTCACTTCAGGAGTTATTTAGCAGTTACAGCAAGCACTGCTCTAGCTACTCGTGCCCAACTTGCTTGGAAGAGGTTAGCTCAAAGCTCGGTTCATAATGTTCAAACACCCCCCATAAGCAAGATTGCTCAGGCAGTTAGCCTGGGCCTTAGCCGTTCTTGTATTGCTGTTCCTGGCATTTTTACAGTAATGTGTGGAACCAATTTAGCATGGGCCAAAGTCTCTTCTGATACCTATTCTTTTAAGCCGGGAAGTTCCCTGTATTCCCATGCTCAAGACAGCCACCTTTTATTAACCAGATTGTTACATGCCCTATTTGAAGGTGTTTTCATGTTGCTTAGAGCTTTTTATTTGGCTGCTCTTTTCACACCAAGCATTGCGATGGCTCCATTTGCAGATAGTTTTGGACCTAATTTCAGGAAATTGTGGCTTCAGACTGTTCATCAAACCCTAGAAAGAGCAGGTCCAGCATTCATAAAATGGGGTCAGTGGGCAGCAACACGGCCTGATCTATTTCCTAGAGACATGTGCATTGAATTGTCAAAGCTTCACTCAAATGCCCCAGAGCACAGCTTTAGCCACACAAAGAAAACTATTGAGAAAGCTTTTGGCCGGAAAATTTCTGAAATTTTTGATGACTTTGAGGAGAAACCTGTAGCATCTGGCAGTATTGCTCAAGTGCATCGAGCTACTTTGCGATCAAAGTACCGTGGTCGGCAGATGAAACCAATGCTAGTTGCTGTTAAGGTTAGACATCCACGAGTGGGGGAATCCATAAGAAGAGATTTTGATATAATTAATTTAGTGGCAAAGACTTCAAACTTCATTCCTGGACTGAAATGGTTGAGGTTGGATGAAAGTGTACAGCAGTTTGCAGTCTTCATGATGTCTCAAGTTGATCTTGCCCGAGAAGCTGCTCAGTTGAGTCGCTTCACATACAATTTCCGCAGATGGAAGGATGTTTCTTTCCCTAAGCCAGTTTATCCTCTTGTGCATCCAGCTGTTTTGGTGGAATCTTTTGAACATGGTGAGAGTGTTGCGCTCTATGTTGATGGACTCAAGGGGAATGAGCACGTCAACAGTGCCCTTGCCCACATTGGTACCCATGCTCTGCTGAAGATGCTTCTGGTAATGTTATTGTCCTTTCTTCATTCATGTATTTATCATTCTTATTGTTCTATATTGTTGATTCATGAAGCAGCTAAATGGTGGGTGCCTTGCGATAAGATCTCACATTAGGTGAAATGCTTTGTCATTGGAGTTTCATGCTTTTAAGATTGGTGATAAAACACATCATGTCACCCTAAGCTCATTATTTAAATAAGGGAAACTGATGAACACATAGTGCAGGTCAAAATTATTTTCATACTGATGGGCTTCTAGTTTTCTTTCCAGTGTTTGGAGTTTGAACTAATATATGTACTGAATGGCTCCATTCCACACAGTGTCAGCTTGTCTGGTTATGTGACAAAATCTAATACTCCATAATGGGCTTCTTGTTGTGTCTTAAGTCTGAATAGAATATCTGTAATTGTTTTTTCTCCTTTTTTGTTTTGTAAGATGATAATTGCTTTCTATCTTTGAGGAGTGCTGAAGAGGCCTGTACCCAAGATATTAATAAATGTAAAGATTTTCAGGGGAGTTCTGATTGTTGAGAATTTGTTTTGCCAGGTAGATAACTTTGTTCATGCAGATATGCATCCTGGAAACATCCTCGTTCGTCTCACTCGGAGCAAGCGACCTAAAAGAACATTGAAAACCAAACCTCATGTCATTTTTCTTGATGCGGGCATGACTGCCGAACTTTCTAAAAATGATCAGATCAATTTACTGGAGTTTTTTAAAGCTATTGCTCGAAGAGATGGTCGAACTGCAGCAGAGTGCACCCTAAGACTATCAAAGAAGCAAAATTGTCCCGAGCCAGAGGCCTTTGTTCAGGTTAGTAGCTGGAAATTGTATGTATTTGGTTGCCTTTCCGATACTTTATATATTTGTACAAGGTTTATTTCTTCTTTTGTTTTGTACATGTTCTATAGATGTGGGCACCTCATTTATGACTCTTTTGAGGCCCTTCTGTGCAGGAAGTGAAAGAGGCTTTTGATTTTTGGGGTACCCCAGAAGGAGATTTGGTCCATCCTGCTGACTGCATGCATCAACTACTTGAGAAAGTCCGTTGGCATAAAGTAAATATTGATGGCAATGTTTGTACTGTTATGGTGACAGTTTTGGTCCTTGAGGTAATATCTTGTTTATCTACTACTCAAAACAGCAGGAAAATTTTTATCCACATGGTTGAGTGCTGCAAAACATATAATTATAAGTCTTCGGCATTTTAACAATAATATTTTTGTTAGATATTTGATACTATAATCATAACTTGAAGATTTTTGAAATATTTATTCATTTATAAATATTCAGCTATCCTTCAAGAGGTTGGAGCTTTATTTATGCCATTGATAGCAATACTCCATATAATTTCTCTTGGCTTAAACTTTACAGGGCTGGCAGCGAAAGCTCGATCCAGATTATGATATTATGCATACGCTGCAAACACTGCTCCTAAAAGCTGATTGGGCAAAATCACTTTCTTATACAATCGAAGGACTAATGGCCCCGTGAATGGTTTCTGAAAGCTTAGAGTTATAAATATTGACACTGATCCCTACCAACTATACATCGCCTCGTACAATTAAATGATGCCCTACAAATATGATTTGTTAGTCATCAAATGCTGGCTCTTATGCGTGGCTAGCTACAATTTTGTAAGGACCTAGAGCTTTGTTTCATTCATTTGATTGATTTTCTAAGCACTTGGTGATAAGGCTTATGCATGTTTATTCATCCTACAAGTGTTAGTTTTCCGCATCTTATGTATATACACATATGTACAACATGTTTTTCAAAATCCCTTATCTTCTTCGAAGGAATGTTTTTCCTTGTGCATCTTCATTCAAAATTTGCAGCAGCTGATTTGGAGGGACATGCCAAATCTCCGGCTGCTTCAGTTGATGCCCAATCTGTGCAAATTTATCAGCAGCTCTGTTTCCTTCCCGATACACGTGCGTGTGGATGCAGTTGCTTATCTTTGGTATGATCAAATTTATCTTTTCCACATGATTCTCTAATTCTGTGCATGTAGCTTTCTTTTTAGCTATTAAGTCCATTAAACTCTTGGAATCTCCTTCTAGCCACACATCATTCCAACCGTTTTCTAACACAATCTCAAGTCCCCTCACTAGGGCGGCCAGCTCTGCTATCATGCTGTTGCTTTTCCCTATGGATTCTGCATAGCCCAGCATAAATTCTGCATTATGGTCTCTGAATACGCCCCCTATGCTTGATTTTCCTGTTCTGCACTTGCAGGATCCATCGTAGTTCAGCTTTGTCCACCCCTTGCCTGGCTTCACCCATTTCACATTAATGGCTTCATCGTGCCACTTCCTGGCGAGGATTCGACTTGGCGCGCCATAACAGAGTAATCTTGAAGTTATTGTCATAATCTTGTTGTATATTTAGATGTAGAAGGTTTACTAGCGTGATATATATACATACATTTACCCAAGAGGCATGATGTTGATTGTTATGATGACAATGGTGTTCAAGTTTTGGGGGGTTTAGATTAGCCACATTTATGGAACACTCATGTTTTGTTGATGCATTTTGTGGCGAAAAGTTGGGGCTGGAGACAGGCAATTTAGTTTGAGAATTTCTGAGGTACAAGGCAGAACAGAATGGCATTTGCTTTTAGAATATCTCTGTCTTGTGGAATATCTTTCTTCATTCTCTAGTCTTGGAATTTTGAAGTATGCATTAGGGTAATTGTATAAGGTTAGGGTGCGTGTGGATTTGGTTTAAGGAATTTAGGCCATTGCTTGAATTTAGGGTTAAACTGCAGTATCTGTATTGCCCATGAATTTTGGAGCTGAAATGCCTGATTCTCAGGACCCAAGAATTTAGGCATTCATTTCATCTTTTACTATAAACAGGGGTGAATCTTCTGCCAAACATAATCACTGGTAGTGAGAAGAAAAGAATCTTTTTTGATACATTTAGTTGTTTTCATTTCCCCCCTAAATTCTTATTTAGTTATTGTTTCTTGCAAGAGAACAGACATGCTAACAAAGTTGTACAAGGTTGTCCACTTCTGCAGGTAAGTAATTGAAGAATACGTGCAAAGTTTACACTGGGATTTTGTATTTCGAGGTATATTCTATGTACTGCCACTATGTCGTCTCTTATGATGCCTCCTACGCTTGCTTTTCCTGTTTTGGATTCGTATGATCCATCGTAGTTTAGCTTTGTCCAGCCCTTGGGGGGCTTCACCCATCTATCTTTTCTTGATTGAATTGGACTAGCTGCTCCATGGATGAGTGATCTTGGAGTTATTATTGGAATCATCTTTAGTTGTACATTTGCTAATTATATATAGTCATGAACTTGGTGGTGTTCGAGTTTTGAGGGGCTTAGATTATTAGCCACGTTGGGATTTATTGATGCCTTGCTGTCGGAATTCACCGCTAACAAGTGGTAAATGCTAAATTCACCGCATCAAATATTCTTATTTTTCATTAACTTTTTATTATTTTAAAATCTCTTTATAATTTTTCAATAATTTCTAAATATATAGACAAACCCCTATGCAGTTGTGTTTTAATCCATAAGACTACCAATAAAACACCCATTTGATCAAAGTTGAGTCCCCGACAATGCTTATATAAATATTTTTGAAAATTTTAATAATATACTGTATTTATCAACATAAAACATCACATTAAATAACTCATTTTAATTGTTTTTATTTTTATTATTATTTTTTAAATCTATAGCCTAACAAGTTGAAAAAAGAAAACAAGGTAAATTATATAAAACTCTTGTATTTTACGAAAATAGACAAAATATTTATTGGGTGAAATTATAATTGATATATATATATATATTTCGTAATATGAACCTAATCAATTAATGCTCTATTTTAGAATTTTTTGAAAATGAATTGTTATTTGATTTTTATATAAATTATAAAAATAGAGGATGATCAATTATTTATTTATTGATTTTATTAAAAAATTATTTAAAATATTATACCTATTTTATTATATAAAAAATTGTATAATTTATGGCCATATTTACAACCAAATATGACAAATAGAGTGTTATATAATTTTTTTTTAAAAAAAGAAAACAAACGATTTTTGTTTGAGTTGGTGTTTTCATCGTATTAACACTGCAAATTCCCATCTACTCACAAGGATTATCATAAATTTTCAAGAAGTGATGATGGTCATCAGTTTAGAAATCCAGGCCAGTTTAATTATTGGTCTTGTAAGAGAATGTACCTGTTAAAGATTTGTACAGGGTTGCCCATTTCCTTATAACCAGTAGGATTCTGTTTATTGTAAGCATATTATTATAATAAATTGTAACTTTTTCCGGGTTACTTTGGATCAGAATCTTGAAACAAGTCTCCCTCAAGGCTTACAGAGAACATTCAACATCAATCTTTTGATATTTACAGTTAGCAGCAGCAATAAACTCTGATTCACCATCAAACATTGACAATCGCCCCAGACAGGATCACTTGGTCCGAGGTTCTGATGAATAAATACTTGTTTTCGACGCTAGGGAATTCTCGAGGGTGGACTCAGCTGCACAGGTCGGGGCGCAGTAGGAGCGTCTTCAGACAGGTTTCCGATGCATATTGTATCTCCTCTGCCGTGCCAGACGCCGTCTTGGACATTGTTCATCTCCAATGTCCTGGATTCCTGTCCCAATTCAGACAAAGCAGTTAGATTATTCATCGAATTCCTAGGACCTGTCGAATGTGATGGCAATAATGCATTTTCAGTAGTTTAAGAATGTGGATCGTGCTATCGAAATCCTGTAATCAGCGCACCTGGCTTAGAGTGCAGCACGGGCAAATTAGAGGGTAAATGCAGTCGTCCAAAGAGCTGTCACCATCCTGCGCCGTCGAAAACAAGTCCGAGGTTAAAAATGCAGACATTGCCATTACCAGCACATGATATGTAAAAACGAGGGATTAGGCTTTACCTTTATATTGAACTTTTTCCTTATCTGCACACGGTGATATCCGAGGTACATTCCGATCGATACGATGAATGAAATGGACAAATACAGAAAGCAATGTCTTCTGGTGATCATGAACGCCAGCAGATTGGACATGGCGATGACAGCAAGAATCAAGAGAAACCATCCCTGCCCAATTCACCGAGAAGATATGCAGTTTTAGCTATAATGGATAAAATTAAGACAACTTTGTAGAGCTTCGACAGACCAGAGATCCATTAATGGTCTAATTCTTCTATCCAGACTACCTGAAGAAGACACGAACCCAGCCCAGCTCGTTTCATATTTTTGCCGAATCTATAACAAGGACAACTGCAGTAAATGTAGATTTCATCAAACACAGCCATCAATTTGATTCGAAGTGCCAAAACAATGATTCAATAATCGAAAGAGAGAAGATTTTAATTCACGGAATTAGGGGTAACCCTAACATTGAAATGAAGAACAAATTTGGGAGTTACATATTCTCGAAGTCAGTTAATGGCGATTAGGTATTACCAGGTGGATTGAAGAGCAATCCGGCGATCATCGAAGCAGCCGGACACTAGCTCTCCTTCCCACATCCTCAAAACTCCTCCGCCATAATCGAAATGCTCAGCGCCCAAATCGTCTTCTTCGCTGCTGTAGCCATTAAATTTCCCCCAATTTCCCTTATGCGCTTGCTTTGCAACCGCCGAACAGAGCATGTCGATATCCAGAAACTTCACCTCCTCAATCAGCGGCCTCTCCTCTTCCTCCGGCGCACTTCCTTGCTTTTCCGGCTGCTGCGCCATGACCTAGCTCCGAATGCGTCGCCTCCTGTCCTCGAAACTCCCCCTGCGTTGGATTAAAGCTCCGCCGTGTATCTGACTGATTGCTCGTCCCCGTTTTGGGAGAAAAAGGGAAGGGTTTATATTGCAGCGATCAGATAACGACGAAGACGACGATGGTAACTGGCAGAGGAATCTGTATGTAAAGCGGGGAAATGAGGATGGACGGTCACGATTCGCTTTAGTTTAAAATAATTGAGGGCTCCGCCGCTGCCACGTAAGACTAGGGTTCTTCTGCTTTTGTATACATTTATTAAACAATTGTTTATCGAAATAAAAACGAGTTAATTAACGGTCAGGAGTAACCATTCAAAGTAATTTGGGCAGGCAATTGAGATTGACGACAGTTAGAATTCCTACATAACCCATATCTACTTGCCCATGCATCTGTCTTTTTTTAATAAATAGAAATATGTATCTTGAAAATTAATAAAAAATAATGGCACTAATTATTGGATGGATTGGATTAATTTCAATAAGAGCATTCCCAAATAGCCAACCCACTATGACCTGTAAATGCACCACCAACTTGTTATAGTCATCATTATTGCCAAATTATTGGCACCACAATAAAAAATATAATAAAAATGAATTGGATAACTATGGGCTGTGAATTAAAGGGATATATAGTGGCTGCTGACAAATTCCAATTCCACTGGTCAACTACGGGAGACTGTTGCTGACGTGGCATTAAAGGATGAAGAAGTCAAAATCAAATTTGTCCACAGACCCACGTGGTCAAAAGTCAAAGAGGAAAGTCGGCTGTCACAGAAAACATTTAAGAATAATCGATTGCACTCAAACCACATGTAATATTACAATTTAGGTCAAATGAAACAACAAAAGATGGTTGGTATTTGGTAACAACAATGTGTTTGGTTGGGTATAAACTCGATCAATCTTAGGTTTTTGAGGCAGGTCTTACAAGCCCTAGCCCAGAACCACTTCCAAGATGCTTGAAATCTGTTGCTTCAAGATGATCGTCGTGGCCCGCGAATCCGGTCCCGCCTTTCGCCAAGTTGACGAGATGCCTCTCTTTGCACGGCTTGTCGCAGGCCAGGCAAACCTTGTCGACCGCCATGAATTTATCCGCACATTTCTTGCAGAAGACATGTCCGCAAGAACTCAAGGCTACGAGGGGGAGCGTGTTGGTTAGCGTCACTTTGCAGCTGGGGCAGATGTAGGTCTTGTCGATGGAGGTTGCGTGTTTCTGCTCGCTGGTGTCTTCTGTGAAGCGGATGGCAAAGAGCGTTTTCAATCTGAGCTTTTCCTTTCCTTCAGGACAAGTAGTGTCTGTTGATGGTGCGGCTACTTTCTTAGGAGCATCTGGTGTTGCGGAAGGCAGCCAAAATGCTTTCATGGTTCGGAGAGCTTCCTCTTCGTATGATGTGGCTTTGACACTGTTAGCTCCATGGAAGCCATTCTTATCATTCCTGTAGTTCTTATCGTTGAACTGAGGCACTGCCCCGTGGTTCTGTTGATCAAATGCATCAAGCTCTCTAGCCTTTTGCATCTGTAGTTTCTCCTCCTCCTCTTCCTTTTCTTGCTTTTCCTGCGCAGCATAGGCTGCTAGCTTTCTGCGATTAAGTATGAACAGCACGATAAATTATAGGGGTAGGAATGAGGGAAAAGAAAGTCCAACGGAATATGCATTTTTCTGCTATGAAAACTCGTATGGATCCAAAACTTGCAACATGACCGATATAAGCAACCATGTTTCAAGCAATTGAGCATTATTCTACATACAAACGCAATACCGATGCCAGAATGGTATGTAGTTCCATAGCATCTGTCTTCCTTCAGTTATTGATGATTAGTTTGTCTCTACAATCCCATTGCCTAACACAATGGGATACTATTCATCAGCAAAGAAACACTTTAATAATTTTGATACTATTCATCAACAAATAACTTTTTTTTGTTCAAAAAATTGTTCACATTAAATACAAATTTTCTAGACATTACATCAAATACCAACATTTTAATATTTTCAAAAATTTCCAAATCTTCAAAAACATATATTTAAACAGAGCAAGTGTAAATGCAATGTTGACAAAGGGAAACCAAGTTTTTCCCCCTTAGAACGGACCAATGATCAATGAACAGCATAATCTTGGCCTAGGGCTTCTACTAAAAAGCCACAGTCGGTTCCAAATTATTTCATAAGTATTTACTAGAGACACTAAAGATAATCAGATGGCCCGCCACACTTCACTGACTCAATCAGTTGGTTGGATTCTAACAAATTTGCATACCGACTAGCATGGAAATCAATTTCCCAATCGACAATTTCCTGCGCCGCCTTCCAGCATATTTGAATGGTAAACTATCAAAACACTAGGAAGGCAGAAAAACCATGAAGTTAAGAGCAAACCTCTGAATATCTTTCTTCTGCGATAGGAGGCATTCGAGAATGCACTCTTTGCAAAAAACATGACCCTTGGAGCAGGACATGGGCTCTACCAAAGGCTTCAGACAAAGAGAACACGCGTCGAATGGCTTGATCGAATCCTTGCCGAGCCTCTCCTTCTGCGTACCGTACCCTAACTTGCGCTTCTCATCGTAGGTGAAGAACGCTAAATCGTTGTTGTTCTTTGAGTGTCTCTGAGGCATCTTTGTGGCACAAATATATCAAGAGCTTCAGTGTATCAGAATTAGGAGTTAAAAATCGAAAGGGGATTGAGGGAAGAAGAGGAAGAGAATTCCAAAACCCTAGATCCAAATTTGGGGATTTTGTTGACTCACACACAATCTGGAGTCCTCTACATATGTACGAGTCAATCGAAAGTCGCCGTCGGTTCATTGTGTTGGCCTATTGTGGGTTGGGCCGGGTTGATTTTTTGGGCTACACTAAACTGGGCTGTATATTGGGGCAGAATGGCCCAAAAATAAAGGAACGGTGGTTTTTATTTATTTATTTATTCATTCATTATTTTTAACCAGGTAAATTGCCGCCGCTGTTGTGTCACCGGCGAGCGGCGCCGCCGCTCGAAGCTGAATGCTTATTGCAAATGAAGTCACTCAGGCAATCTATTTCTTTGAATATGGAATCCGCTCGCTGTCAAAGTTATGGTGCGTTCATTGCAGTATCCCAATAGCGTGTCGTGCGATGCGAGAGTCACCTGGAACAAAGCGAAGGGTGTGGGGTTGACAGGGTGGGATCGGTAAGGCTTCCCTCAGTTGGAGGTTTTTTAGTATGCCTTCAGTAAGAATTTGTCGTTTTCTCCAGTCAAATCGAGAAGCTACGCAGGAAAACCGCCAATAGCCGCCGGGGGTGAAAATGAAAGCACCATAAGTCTTCGTCCCCGGAACCAACTCATGTCTTTTTCCTGCTTTGGCGCGACATGTTTGCAACTGTTTATTCAGTATTATTGAATTGTTACTCAGACACTGTAAACGGAGAGTTAGATTTTCCACTGGATATTGATCTACCGTCTACGTGTATCCCTGCCTGTTTTCTTGATTTCATTAATTTTCTAATAGCAGCAGCCGATTAAACTATGAATATCCTTCTGTCAACTTTCCTTCTTGCTGAAAGTATATGTGAAGCGAAGCAAATTAGGTTAACAGACGCAGAAAGCTATGGGCGGTTTAAGTCAGTCAAGTGGGAAGTGGCATCATAACCTTACAACTTGTTGGGCAACTTGCGCTTTGCATCCCAACTGGGCCCTATTCTTTAATCAATAAATACAATGATGGATAAATTTTCACCTTATAATCTGTTGCTTTTTTTCGAGGAAACCAGTCGAGTTTAGGAGTAGCTTATTCAATTCTGAATCGTTGAGCTGGGAGCTTTACTGTATATTAGCTTTACTGTTGTTTCTTTTAATCTTCGACGAGCAGATGTCCAAAATGCTGCTCTCTCCAACCAGCCTAAAGCTCTTTCTGGAGTCCCTTCTGGTGACGCTCTTGATTTCTTGTTTAGGTTCTTGTTTGGAAACAGACACCATTACATCATCCCTGGTGGTGGAAGATCCAGACAGCATAGTGTCAAGTGGTAAAGTTTACAGGTTGGGATTCTTCAGCCCTGTGAATTCCACTTCTCGATATGTTGGGATATGGAATAATGTTTCGGATATATCGATTATATGGGTAGCCAATAGAGACAAGCCACTCAGAGGTGATACCAAAGGCGCAATAACAGTGTCTGAAGATGGGAATCTTGTTCTTATGGGTCCAAAAAAGGAGATCCTATGGTCATCAAATGTCACTAATTCTTCAAGGAATTCAAGTGTTCAGCTTTTGGATTCTGGGAATCTTGTTTTGCGAGATAGCTCAAACGGGAGCGTACTGTGGGAGAGTTTCGCGCATCCTGCGGATGTGTTTGTTCCGACCTTGAAATTGACAGACAACATATACACAGGGAAGAGGATCGTCTTGACATCATGGAAGACACTGGAGGATCCAAGTTTTGGAAATTATACAGCTGGGCTACAAGCTGCAAGCATTCCACAAATCTTCATATGGAATAACGGTCGACCACATTGGAGAAGCGGGCCATGGAATGGTCTGATTCTTACAGGGGTGACCGATATGTATGCCGTGTATCTTGATGGATACAAGGTGGCTAGGCAAGATGATGGCACTGTCTCCTTTACTCGAGATTATTACGGGAAACTGCTAATGAAAATCATTCTGAAGCCGAATGGAAGCTTTGTGCAGACTATGTGGGATGTTGGTAGGAAGGATTGGAATGTCACATGGGTAGCTCCCATTGATGCGTGCGATGTTTACGGCGTTTGCGGTCGTTTTGGGAACTGTAATCCGAGGAATTCTCCAATATGCAGTTGTCTGAAAGGGTATAAACCAGTGAACAAGACGGAATGGGATAAAGGGAAATGGAGTGGTGGATGTGCAAGGAGGAGCACCTTGCAATGCGACAGAAGTGATAACTCGAGTGAGAAAAGCCATGGTGATAAGTTTTCTAAGCTGCCAAATACAAAAGTGCCTGATTTTATGGAGGTGTCACAAGGCCGATTGGATGAATGCGAAGGGATGTGCGCCAAAAATTGTTCCTGCATAGCCTATTCACATGACAGGGGCATTGGCTGTATGTTCTGGAGGGATAGCTTGATCGACGTTCGCCAATACCCAATTGGTGGCTCTGATCTTTACGTTCGAGTTGCATATTCAGTGCTCGGTACGCCTTACTCATACAATTTGTTTCCATATCTTTCAATGGTTTAGTAGCAGTAGCAAACACGATATCTATATACACATTGAATAACAGTGGCATTGTGTTTTGCATTATAGATGAGAAGAAGGACCATAAACTATCAATCATAATTCCTGTAGTCATTGGCTTAGTTGCCCTCATTCTTTTCATCTTCGTTTCTTGGCTGTGGTGGAGTAAGAAAAAAGGTAACTTCAGCACTTGATAGTTCTATGAGATGAGTTATATCTCCGGCCATTTTTTGATAATGTTTGTTTTTGTGAGTCAGGAGCCAAAAGAGCTGCAAGCCAGCCAACAGCACATTCGAGGCTAGCACGTCCACCTCATTCTAATGAGGTAGTCATCCTTAAAGATGGTACAAAGGAAATTAGTCTTGACGAATTGCCATTGTACAGCTTTGAGACGCTTGGAATTGCTACAGATCATTTCAGCGAATCGAATCTACTTGGGAAGGGAGGTTTCGGACCTGTATATAAGGTATAACTGATACCTTTTTTTTTGGTAGGAATATCTTATCCAATCCCTTAATTTTGGAAAGACTGATGAATGACTCTTCACATGAAGGGGAAGTTGGCAAATGGGAAAGAAATCGCGGTGAAGAGGCTTTCGGGCGCATCTGCACAGGGATTTCAAGAATTTATGAACGAAGTGGTGGTGATTTCTAAACTCCAACATCGAAATCTTGTCAGCTTGCTAGGCTGCTGTGTGGAGCAAGAAGAGAAGATGCTCGTATACGAGTTCATGGTGAATAGAAGCCTGGATGTGTTCCTCTTCGGTCAGTCCTGTTTTATTTCCTGCAGCTATTTTCAAACATCCTGTCTTGTTCGATTTATCTCTGACAACGTTCGAATGCACAGATTCTTCTCAAGGTATCCTAGATTGGAGAAAACGTTTCAATATTATTCAAGGTATAGGTCGAGGCATCCTCTATCTCCACCGCGACTCACGGCTGAGGATAATTCACCGGGACCTGAAACCAAGCAATATATTGCTGGATGAGAATTGGAACCCGAAAATATCAGACTTTGGCATGGCCAGAATATTCGGTGGGAGGGAAGATCAAGCCAACACTGCTAGAGTTGTCGGAACATAGTAAGTTAATCTCAAAACAGACAATGCATTGTCTGAATACTCAACTACATGACATGGCACAGATTTATAAGCTGGATTCACCGCATTCATTGACATAATATTATTTCAGCGGATACATGTCGCCCGAATATGCAATGGGAGGAAGATTTTCTGAGAAATCAGATGTCTTTAGCTTCGGAGTTTTAGTGTTAGAGATTATAAGCGGGAGAAAGAACATGAGCTTCCACAACCACGAGACGGACAGCCTCCTCGAATATGTAAGGCTTTAAGCTTTCGACTTCGTCACATTAATGCAACCTCCTCACCTGATGAACACTTTAATTTTCCCAGGCCTGGAGATCGTGGAAAGAAGGCAGTTTCGAGTGTCTAATAGATGCAAGAATGGGGAGTGTTGATTCTCTGACAGAGATCATTCATTGCATACACATTGGATTGCTGTGTGTGCAAGAATTCCCTGACAACAGACCCACCATATCAGGTGTCCTGGGAATGCTTGGTAATGAAATCGCTGAGTTACCCGTTCCAGAACAACCAGCTTTCGTCCAAAAGCCAAGCAGGGGTCGTCCTCTGTCGTCTTCTTCCAACAGTCATAGCCAGGCTACCACAGTCTCCTCCATTAACAATGTCAGCATTACAACGCTCGACGGGCGTTGACTCTGGTCTGCCGTGGATGGCCCAGGATCTTACAGTTGCAACAAAGTCTGTATTAAATTCTGGTTCACGTACAAGCAACTGAGAATATATTATGATTTTGACGAAGACAAAATGTGTAGCGACAAGAAAAGAGGTTAGGAAAATTAGGGCTGTGGACATCAGCGTTTTTGAATTGAAAATTTGAATTTGCAAGCTATGCGTTGGCTGGCTATTGGTTATTTTGGGAATAAAAACAATATCCAATATTATGCCCAGTATTTCTTATTCATTTGTTTATGCAACTTCCATTTTTTAATTTGTAATGAGGACCAAAGGTCACCTGTCGTTGTGCAGTCAATGTCAGTATCTAGTTGCATTAAACCCTAATGGCTGACATTGCCATCCAAGAAACCATGAGAAAGAGGGGACTCTGATCAGTAAGGAAATCTGCAGTGATTAAGATCAATATTTGTTTAGAGTATGAATCGAATGAATATGATTGACTCGAGGAGTGATTAGCTTGATTTGAGATGCAATTTCGAATGTGTAACTGAGAATTTACCCAAAGTCAAATTAGATGGCTTGTGGCTGAAATCCTGGGCCCAATTTTGGCGTGCTTTCAAATTATAAAACCGTTGGAATTCATTTCTCGAATACTGGTAATTTATCTGGAGCTATGTTGGTGGATGATGGCGATTTTGGTAGTAGGGCGATGGCCAAATACGTGGACTTAGTGCTGTTTTCCGCCACCGTCGTGGCGGCGATCTGGCCGAGGGTTTGTACGGCGCAGGAGAACAACACTTGCGACACTCACGCGAGGTGCGGCGCGTTTGGGAGCTGCAATTCGCACGATTCCCCAATTTGCAGTTGCTTGCAGGGATTCTACCCTAGAAACGCGCAGGAATGGGACGCCGGGAACTGGACGAGCGGCTGCGTGCGGAAGGTACCGTTGAATTGCGAATCCAATAATGGCGGACGAGAGGACGCGTTCCTGAGGCTTCAGGAGATGAAGATATCGGGCTATTCGGACCGGTGGTTCGGGCCGGCGGTTCAGTGCGAAGGTCGGTGCCTGTCGAACTGTTCCTGCATCGCCTACGGGTACGACGTAGGCATTGGGTGTATGTTCTGGCGCGGAGCTTTAATGGATATTCAGAAATTTCCGAGTGGATCGGCGGGCTCCGATCTCCATATTCGCGTAGCAAGTTCTGAATTGGGTGAGAGTATTTAGAAGACTCGTTGTTGTTCAGAACTAGTTAGTATTGCCATATCCAATTCTTTCTGAATCCTTGAGTATTTGCTGCTTATTCTCCATTGTTGCAGAGGGCAAGAAGAGCTCTAATAAGACTGTTATTATTGCTGTTGTTGTTGCTGTTGTTTTTGGCCTAGCTGCTGCAGCAATCTGTTCTTATTTTTGTTGGAAATGGAGGACTAAACGAAGAGGTAATCTTTATAGGATTAATGCCTTGAGTTAGCTATGAATTTGTAGTTTAAATTGTTTTTCGTTTAGGCCGCGAAAGGAGTGAGCCTCCAAAACTGGGAGGATCTACTTCAGTTTCTTCGTCGGCCCCTGATTCATTGATTCCGGTGAATTTAGAAGAGTTACCATTGTTTAAGTTTGATATACTGGCGAATGCGACGGATAATTTTTCTGAAGGTAATAAGCTCGGGAAGGGTGGTTTTGGCCCTGTTTATAAGGTAATTGTTTGTTGTGTTTGTCTCATTCGATTTGAGTTCGTCTGTATAGTGAGTTATGATGGTGCATTTTCAGGGCGTGTTGGCGAATGGAAGAGAGATTGCTATCAAGAGGCTGTCGAAAGCATCGGGACAAGGCGTGCAAGAATTTATGAACGAAGTGGTCCTAATTTCCAAACTCCAACATAGGAATCTTGTTCGATTGCTGGGGTGCTGTGTCGAGAATAGAGAGAATATGCTGGTATATGAGTTCATGCCCAATAAAAGCGTCGACTTTTTTCTATTTGGTTAGTCAAAGATCTACTCTGTGTTTCATCGATGTAATGCAAATCCTTGGTTTAATTCATCTATCCTATGTTCGTCTAGATCCATCGCAGGAGATCTTGGATTGGAGAAAGCGAATGAACATTATGAAAGGAATTTGTCGAGGCCTCTTGTATCTTCACAGGGATTCGCGATTGAAAATCATCCACCGCGACCTCAAGCCTAGTAACATCTTGCTTGATGATGACTGGAACCCGAAGATCTCCGACTTTGGCATGGCCAGAATATACGAAACCAAGCAAGATCACGTCAGCACTGTGCGAGTGGTAGGAACATAGTAAGTACACTTGTTGTCGAACCCTTACAACGAATGGATCTTCGTCCGAATTTTGTGCTTATAGTGATTTTGTATGTTCTTGCAGCGGGTATATGGCGCCGGAGTATGCAATGGAAGGAAGATTTTCTGAAAAATCCGATGTTTTCAGCTTCGGAATCTTGATTCTGGAGATTACTAGCGGCAGAAAAAACTCGAGCTTCCATCGACAAGGAGTCACGATGAACTTGCTTGGACATGTGAGTGTAGCTCAGAATCTCCTATGGATCGAAATTTTAATTCTGCAAACTAATGATCTAAATTTTCAGGCATGGAAGCTCTGGAATGAGGCAAATATCGTCGCCCTGATCGATCCCAGAATTTCAGATCCGAGCTGCGAATCCGAGGTCTTGAGATGCATCCACATCGGGTTATTGTGCGTGCAAGAACTTCCCGTCACTCGGCCATCCATTTCAGCCGTGCTGTCGATGCTAAGCAGCAGTGCCTTCGAGCTTCCCATCCCAAAACAACCTGCATTCGCCGTATCCAAGTCGAGCCATTCGAATACGGGCGCCACGAGTTCTTCGCAGACTAGTTCGTCGGCGAACGATCTCACGCTCACAATGGTCGACGGGCGATAGTACTACGATTTGATTTCCGATGTCGCTGACGATGCCGGAAAATAGAAAATGTTAGAATAATGACATTAGGTATATACATACATATATTGTTCATTTTTGAATGTATAGAAGCTTCCAGTTCCAGTGGCTAAAATTAAATCAATTCCATTGTTTCTTTGACAAAACAAAGCAGCTCCAGATCACAAGCTCTACCAAAACTAATTACAATGGCGTCTCAATCAATCGCAGAAATGAAACGAGAATCAATGATGATGATGATGGAGCAGCATCGATGTGGCTTGAGCGAGGAGATGTGGACTCAATCGGAACATCAACACACAAAACTCCTTCTGATTCAGGCATCCATCGCCGTCCAGATCTCCTTCCCTCAACATACTCCGGAGCAGCTCCTCGTCGCCGGCGGCGTCCTCCACCCCCAAAACCGCCGAATTCCTTCGCAAGCTCTCCAATGTGATTACTCCTTTCTCCCTATCCATCAGCAGCCGGAAACCCTTGCACAGCTCGCTCATAAACCCCTCCGCCCCCAATTTCTCCACCATCGCCGGAAAGTAATCCTCGAACACCACATCCTTACCCTTACCCCTACCCTCACCATTACCACTACCGTTAACCCCCATTGATGAATTGACGATGAAATCAGCTAATTGCGAGGGGGAACTATATATAGCCAACAGGAACCGGGGGGAATGAAGAATGCAGATGAATCGGAAGGAAGCTAGGGCAGAGGTTGAGGGAAATTTCGCAATTCATGCCAACCAAAGTACAGTTGAGATTGGATTGGATTGGATTGGATTCCGTCTTACACCGGCAACATACTAATAATTTAATCCTAATTTCAGGGAAAGGAAGCAAGCCAAGCCGGCAAGCATTGTGGGCGGAGCAGGTCGATGAATTAATGGCGGAAGCAGGAGTTCCTTCCTGGAAGGTGCGGGGAAACGTGGGCGATCGATCAACATCAACTGCGGCAGGCATCGCATCTCATCTCATCTCATCTCATCGTGCTCAGCATCACTTGCTTTTTTAATCTAGTAAGCAACGCTACTTAATTAATACTTATGGGCAAAGAAATCGAATCCTCCTCTCAATTATGGAATCGATTCCCGATGCGATGCCTCCATTTGAAACTTCATGTTCATATCTGCAAGAAGCTTCCTCGACTCTTAATCGTCTACAATTTACAATTTATATAATAATTTATAAACATGCATCTACTTTTGTTGAATGAAGATTACTTTTATCTGACATTTAATGTTATTTTGAGCAGCATCTGCTCAAATTATGATAAATTGAGTCTTGAGAGCATCTTAAGTAATTGCGCCTCCATTATCATATGAAAATATTTCCTATAAATTCGACCAATGAAAAATGATTCAGCAGCACTTAATATTAGGGTGGGCAAAACAATCGAATTGATCTGACCAGCAGTCGAATCGAACTGAATTTTCGGTTAACCTAGCAAATCTAGTTCGAATACAAATAATGCATATTTGATATTTGTTTCATTTGATTTTGATTTTTTGGTAACTTTTTTGATACTGTTAATCGAGCGGAATATATTTATATTATTAAATTTTAAATTTTATATTAATAATTATATTATGTTCTTATTTTAGTTAAGTTTCTGTTGGAATATTTGTAGATATTTTAATTTAATTAGAATTTAATTCACTTTTTAATATAAATATATTTTTAAATTTCAGTTCAATTCCAATTATTTAAAGATATTACAAATATTTTTTATTAATCGAAATTTTCAATTCAAATACTGTTAGCTATTTTCAGTATTTATTCTGTTGGGTTCAATTTGGATATAAAATACCTTCGTATTTGCAAATTGAATCTTGCCCACGCCTACCTAACACTCTTGGTCGTTACGTAATAGCACCAATTGATTTATTGCTGTTGGATTAAATTAATATTTCTAAGTATGTATTTTAAAAAATATAAGTCAGTTAGATCTTATATTTTATTATGAAAAGAACAGGAATATGATGAAATGAAATCGACATCTGACTAACCCTAATTAATTCTTTTTTCGTGTTTACAATTTACAGTCTTATTGAGGGCTGTCTACTTGATAATATTTTTGCCCGAAACGCCCGTGTGGACATGAAGACGTTTCAAATTTGAGGGCTTCTTATTCAACGGAAAAAAAAAAAACAAACCAAATAGTCAGATTCTACAAAGTCAACGACAGAGAAAGGTCGGAAGCCATTGATAGATGTTGAAGGAAGAAGATCTTCGCAATGGAAGAAATCAAAAGGATTCTGAGACTGTAAGAGAACGAACGAGCTTGATGTTTGGATGGGTTTCAGGTACACAATGGATTTACATTTACATTTACATTTACATTCACATTTATTACTTAAGCTCTTCCTCCTCGGATGGATCAAATTCGCCATTGTCATTGCCACTGATACCTTAAGCTTCAACCAATCCATCCGTGGCACCCAAGTTCTGATTTCCAGTGGTCGAAATTTCAAATTCGGGTTTTTCAATCCATCAAACACCACTCGCTATTACGTGGGGGTGATGTACAATGTCCCTGTTCAAACTGCTGTATGGGTAGCTAATAGAGACAGGCCACTGAATAATTCTGATGGAACAGTGGAGCTGTCGGAAGATGGAAAGCTTTTGGTGTTGGATGGGCAGAATCAGATAATCTGGTCGTCGAATTCGACAGGTCCTGTAGGAAATTACAGTGCTACTCTCCTGGAAACAGGCAATTTGGTGCTTCAAGATTTCTCCCGATCAGGCACCACTGTTTGGGAAAGTTTCGAACACGCTTCGGATTCTTTCCTGGCGAGGATGAGAATGACGACTGATTTACGGACAAATCAAAAGAACACATTGACATCATGGGCAAGTCCTGATAATCCATCACTTGGTAGTTACACAGCTTCAATCGAACCTCATCGAATTCCGCAGGTTGTAGTTAGGAATGGCGTTGATCCTTATTGGCGCAGCGGTCCTTGGAACGGTCAGATTTTTATTGGAATTCACAGAATGGAAGTTTACTTCTATCAAAATGGATTTGATCTTGTTAGTAATGATCCTGATGTTGCTTATCTAACGGTCACCTGGTCGAATTCATCGTTTTTGTCGTATTTCATCTTGGACAGCTCGGGGATCATACAGCAGAAGTGGTGGTCGGATGAGACACGTGCCTGGCAAGTGATATGGTTGTCGATCGAAAGCGAATGTGACGTGTATGGAAAGTGTGGACCTTTCGGGTTCTGCGATCGCAGCGCAACGCCAATATGCAGTTGTTTGCCGGGGTTCGCGCCAAAAAACGTAAAAGAATGGAATGCAGGGAATTGGACGAGCGGCTGCGCGCGAAGGGCGGAGCTTCAATGTGCGAAGAACAATTCCGATGGGAAGAAAGACGGATTTTTGAGGCTGAAAGGAGTTAAATTGCCGGATAACATTAGTTGGATTCTGTCTTTAGAAGAACTCTGCGGCGACGCGTGTTTGAGTAATTGTTCGTGTATAGCTTACGCTTACAATGACGGCATTGGGTGCATGCAGTGGATTGGAAGCCTAATCGATGTGCAGAAGTTTTCAGGAGGTAGAACGGATTTGTACATTCGATTGGCGCATTCGGAGTTGGGTAACAAGAGTGACCGGAGGGCAGTGATTGCAGTGGCGGCAGTGTCGGGGTTTATAGTCGCCGTTGTCTGCGCATGGTTGTTGTTGAAGAAGTATAAAGGTAAAACGGATTCGATTTAATCTAAACTGCATGCAGATTTATGTCCTCATCATTTTGCTATTAATGTTATGAATCAGCGAGACGTAAAAGGCGACACCAGCCGTTGTCGATCCTCAGGGATGTTGATCCGGCGCATTCGGGAGAAAGTGTGCTCAAAGATAATGTGGATGGAGTTCGATTGGAAGAGTTTCCGTTCTTCGAATTTCAGATTCTCTTAAACGCAACGAGCAACTTCGATCCCATCTGCAAGCTCGGGCAGGGTGGCTTCGGTCCAGTTTACAAAGTATGAAGTACTTATAAGACTTTGAATTTTCGAAGTTATTGTTGTGATCATGGTAGAGTTGATTCAAGTTCTGGTTTTCAGGGAAAGTTATTAACAGGGCAAGAAATTGCTGTGAAACGGCTGGCAAGATCGTCGAATCAGGGGCTGGAGGAGTTCAAAAACGAGGTCGAGTTGATCTCTAAGCTCCAGCACCGCAATCTTGTTAGCCTGCTCGGTTGCTGCATTGAGCACGAAGAAAAAATGCTAGTTTACGAATACATGCCTAATGGAAGCTTGGACGCGTATCTTTTTGGTAAGTCGAAGATCGACTAACTTTAATCTGTCGATCTTCTGTTTACAAGCAATCTAGAAATTTGTCCAGATTCACACAAACAAGAGATTCTTGACTGGAACCGGCGCATGCTGATCATCGAGGGGATTTCTCGAGGATTGCTATACCTTCATCGCGACTCGAGGTTAAGAATTATTCACCGGGATCTAAAGGCGAGTAATATTCTGTTGGACGACAAGTTGAATCCCAAAATATCGGATTTCGGCATGGCTAGGATATTCGGAGGAAATGATGATCAAGCTAATACAAACAGAGTTGTGGGAACACTGTGAGCACATTCCAACTTAGTTATGGTTTTTAGTCTTTTTTAACGTCGTCGCATTGTGCTTATGTCGAGTTTATTTGCAGCGGCTATATGGCCCCCGAATACGCATTGGAAGGGCGATTCTCAGAGAAATCCGACGTCTTTAGCTTCGGCATTCTGCTGCTTGAAATCGTCAGCGGAAGAAGGAACACGAGCTTTTACGACAACAAAGAAGCTCAAAGCCTTGTTGCATATGTAAGCTTTGATCTACATTGAAACTTCTATTCAGTTTGCAATTTGGGAATTAAGTCTTTTTTTTTTTTTTTCCAAGGCATGGAAGCTATGGATTGAAGAAAAGATGCTGGATTTGATCGATCCTTCCGTATTCGATTCGGATATGGTACCGGATATTGTAAGATGCGCGCACGTCGGGCTGTTGTGTGTTCAAGAAACTGCGCACGATCGGCCGAGCATTTCGACGGTGGTGTCGATGCTTAGCAGCGAAATCTCGGAGCTTCCGAATCCGATGAAGCCGGCGTTCATCGTGTATCGCCGCCGGAGTTGCTCCGGAGCTGAGAGCTCTGAAAGAAGCACTGCAGGTATGTTGTCTGTGAACGATATGACAGTGACGATCGTTGAAGGCCGGTAGTTGAAACAGGCGTCGATATAACGGTATTATTGGATATTTGATTGTGTAGTTAGTGAATTGTAAATTCATTCGTTTAGAGGAATTATGGGTCGATAGATTGTTCTGTATTTATATTTGTTGTACATTCTTTTATGCAATCGCTTTATGAAGATTTTATAAATTATTGCATAACAAAATCAATAATTGAAGACAAGACAGAATATATATGGTATCTTTAATGGGCCTAGCCCAATAAACAAACACATGGTCAAACCCAAAGGTATACAGCTGGGCCGAGCCCAAAGCACCCCACATTTAGTGGGGCCCCAGACAGATTCGATGCAAATTTCAACAAAATGCAATTCCGAATGGTCAAAAATTATGATGTTAAATTCTGTTGGACTTGGTCATGGGGCAAGGGAAAGGGCACTACTTCCCAGTCTACGCAGTGTGACTGAGTAGACTTGGAAAAAATTTAATCAACGATTGTGAAAGAAGCAGTGCCAGTGCAGGTCTGGTCTGTAATCTGTTCATGTCTGTGAACCACATAATTATATATCGTTCTCTCAAGTTTTATATAAAATCAATAATAATTTAAGATTAGACAAAACATATAACAACAATACGGTGTCCACTGTCAACACACGTTATCATAATTCGAATAAATGTAGCAGTCATGTCATAATCAACAATCGGGATTTTAGGAGAGAGAAAAATGAAAACATAATAAAAATTAATAATATAATAAGGAACGCGTAATTTCAACGTAAATTAAATTAGAAACAGCCATGTCCGAATGTCAATGTGATATAACAATTTCCATCCGCAAAGGTTGAAAGTCCTTGATAGAGCACACAAGGTTTTCGCGTTAGAATCAGAGCTCAGAAGAAAGAATTTCATGGGTTTCAGGTGCAAAATAGATTTTATAATTTCAATTCTTCAGGTGCTTTTGTTTGTATGGATTAAATTTGCGTTTGCCGTTGATACCTTAAGCTTCAATCAGTCTATCCATGGCTCCCAATTTCTGATTTCCGATGGGCAAACTTTCAAATTCGGGTTTTTCAATCCATCGAACACCAGTCGCTATTACGCGGGTGTGATGTACAATCTCCCTGTTCAAACTGTTGTATGGGTAGCTAATCGAGACAGGCCCCTGAATGATTCTGCTGGAACAGTCGAGGTGTCGGAAAATGGAAAGCTTGTGGTGTTCGATGGGCAGAAGCAGATTGTCTGGTCGTCGAATTTCACAGGCCCTGTCGGAAATTACAGTGCTACGCTCTTGAAAACCGGCAATTTGGTGCTGCGAGATTTATCCAGAGGCACAACTGTTTGGGAAAGTTTTCAACATGCTACAGATTCGTTATTGCCAGGGATGAAACTGACGACTGATTTTCGGATGAATGAGAAGAACATACTGACATCATGGACAAGTCCTTCTGATCCATCTATTGGAAGTTACACAGCTTTCGTCGATCCCCTAGAGATCCCACAGGTTGTAATTCGAAGAGGTTCTGATATCCACTGGCGTAGTGGTCCATGGAATGGCCATTTTTTCATTGGTGTACCGAGGATTAGTAGATTTGTATACCAAAATGAATTCGATCTTGTTCATGATGATCCTGCATCTGCATATCTGATCATCGCCTCTACCGTTGAAAACATCTTGTTATTTTCCTTCGACAGCTCCGGAATTTTACAGCGGAAGACATGGTCGGATGAGGAAGGTGATTGGGAAGTACACTGGTCGTCGATAGAAACTGAGTGTGATCCTTATGGAAAGTGTGGTCCTTTTGGGATCTGCAATCCACAATCTTCTCCAATATGCAGTTGCTTGCCAGGCTATGTGCCGAGGAGAATTAATGAGTGGAATGCCGCGAATTGGACGAGTGGCTGCACGAGAAGGACCCTTTTACAGTGTGAGAAGAACAGCTCGGCTAGTGAAGCTGGAAAGAAAGATGGATTTGTAAGAGTGAAAGCAGTGAAAGTACCCGATAATGTTACTTCGGTTCCTCTGACAGAAGCATTCTGTGGTAGTGAGTGTTTTGATAATTGTTCTTGCATAGCTTATGCCTACAATGATGGCGTTGGGTGTATGTTTTGGTTCGAAAGCCTGATTGATGTGCAGCAGTTCTCCACGGGGGGTGTAGACTTATACATTCGCTTGGCGCATTCCGAGCTTGGTAAGAAGAAAGACTCGACTGCAGTTGTTGCGGCCGTGACAGTCTTGGGGTTTATAGTCGTCGCTAGTGTCTGTGTGTTCTTGCTGTTGAAGAAGTACAAAGGTAAAACTGATTCGATACTGCTTAATCAAAGTTTTAGTAGCAATGTCATTCTCAACATTTGGTTGTTTGTTATGATTCAGGGAGCAGAGAAAGAGACGCAGAGTTTTCACCGGCGAGTGTGCTCAAAGATAATGTGGAAGGAGTTCAATTTGAAGACTATCCGTTCTTCGACTTTCAGATTCTGTTAAATGCTACAAGAAACTTTGATCCCATCTACAAGCTCGGAGAGGGTGGCTTCGGTCCAGTTTACAGAGTATGAGCTCCTTCGACTTTAAACCTCAGATATTTTTATTGATCCATGAAAGATCATTTGATTGAGGGTTTTTTCAGGGAAAATTATCAAATGGCAAAGAAATTGCCGTGAAACGGCTGGCGCAATCATCGAATCAGGGGCTGGAGGAGTTCAAAAACGAGGTCGAGTTGATCTCTAAGCTCCAGCACCGTAATCTGGTTAGCCTGCTCGGTTGCTGCATTGAGCGCGAAGAAAAAATGCTAGTTTACGAATACATGCCTAATGGAAGCTTGGACGCGTATCTTTTTGGTAAGTCGAAGTTCAGCTAACTTTGATCTGTCGATCTTCTGTTACTAGAAGTCTAGAATTTTGTCCAGATTCACACAAACAAGAGCTTCTTGACTGGAACCAGCGGATGGTGATCATCGAGGGGATTTCTCGAGGATTGCTATACCTTCATCGCGACTCGAGGTTAAAAATTATTCACCGGGATCTAAAGGCTAGCAATATTCTGTTGGACGACAAGTTGAATCCCAAAATATCGGATTTCGGAATGGCTAGGATTTTTGGAGGAAATGAAAATCAAGCTAATACAAACAGAGTTGTGGGAACACTGTGAGCACATTCCAACTTGGTTATGGTTTTTAGTCTATTTTTAAAAAAACTTGGTTACATTGTGCTTATACCGAGTTTATTTCGGCAGCGGCTACATGGCTCCCGAATACGCATTGCAAGGGCGATTCTCGGAGAAATCGGATGTCTTCAGCTTCGGCATTCTGCTGCTTGAAATCGTCAGCGGAAGAAGGAGCACCAGCTTTTTCGACAACAAAGAAGCTCAAAGCCTTGTTGAATATGTAAGCTTTGATTTATATTGAAACTCGTCTGTCTATTCGCTTTGCAATTTCACTTGATTTAGGAATGATCTTTTCTTTTTTCTCTTCAAGGCATGGAAGCTATGGATTGAAGAAAAGATCCTGGATTTGATCGATCCTTCCATATACGATTCGGATATGGTAACGGAGATTGTAAGATGCGCGCACGTCGGGCTGTTGTGTGTTCAAGAAAGTGCACATGATCGGCCGAGCATTTCGACGGTGGTGTCGATGCTTAGCAGCGAAATCTCGGAGCTTCCGAATCCGATGAAGCCGGCGTTCATCGTTAACCGGTGGAGTTCTTCCGGAGCTGAGAGCTCTGAAAGAAGCACTGCGGGTATGTTGTCTGTTAACGATATTTCAGTGACAATCGTTGAAGGCCGGTAAGTTAAATACTACTTGACGATGTACGGATATTATATAGATATTTGATTGAGTAATGAATTGTAAATTCTATTAGTTTGGAGGAATTATGAGTAGAAAAAGATGGCTTATTTTTACTATTTGGACTATGCGTTTTTTCAAAAAAATACATTTTTTTCTCAAACAAAATTATCTCATTGGAAGTTATTTTAATAGCAAATGTGACATAAAAGTTCCGTTTTGGAATTTATTTATTTATTTATTTTGAAGTATACAAAAATTATATTAAATCCTCCCTCCGTTCCATGATGAAGTATCTAATTTTTCATTTTAGTCCGTCTCATAACAAAATATTTATTTCTTTATTTCTATTATATGTCAATGTAATACTAATATTTTTAAAATTACTCGAAAAAAAATCAACAACGGAGTATGATATTTTACAAAAATACATATAGCTGGGCCGAGCCCAAAGAATAGAGGTAATCGACCCACATTGAGGGAGGCCCAAGACTGATTTTGAGCCAAATTTCAACAATATGAAATGAGAAACACGTTCACACGCAATTCCGAATGGTCAAAATTTATAATATGATATTCTCTTGGACTTGGTCCTGGCGGCCACAATTCGGAGAGTCTATATGTCACTGTCGCTTTCAGCAAAGTGATAATAGATTTCCATCCTCAAAGGTAGGAAGCCATAGATGGAGCAACAGAAACATTTTCACATAGTATCCGAATTCAGAAGCTAGAATTTCATGGGTTTAATGTCAATAGTTCAACTCCTTTGGTTTGTATGGATTGAATTTGCATTTGCGTTTGCCATTGATACCTTAAGCCTCAACCAGTCCATCCATGGCTCCCAGCTTTTGATTTCCGATGGGGGAACTTTCAAATTCGGGTTTTTCAATCCACCGAACACCAGTCGCTACTACGTGGGTGTGATGTACAATCTCCCTGTTTTAACTGCTGTATGGGTAGCTAATCGAGAAAGGCCACTGAATGGTTCTGCTGGAACAGTGGAGGTGTCGGAAAATGGAGAACTTGTGGTGTTGGATGGGCAGAAGCAGATAGTCTGGTCGTCGAATTTCGCAGGCCCTGTCGGAATTTACAGAGCTAAGCTCTTGGAAACAGGCAATTTGGTGCTGCTAGATTTCTCCAGAGGCGGCACCACTGTTTGGGAAAGTTTTGAACATGCTACAGATACGTTGTTGCCGAGGATGAAACTGACGTCTGATTTGTGGAGAAATGAGTGGAACATGCTGACGTCATGGACAAGTCCTTCTGATCCATCTCATGGAAGTTACACAGCTTCCATTGATCCCCTAGACATCCCACAGGTTGTAATTCGAAGAGGTGGTGCTACATACTGGCGTAGTGGTCCGTGGAATGGCCGAACTTTCATCGGTATACGTCGCATGATTAGCTATGTATATCAGAATGGATTCAATCTTGTTAACGATGATCCTGGAGCTGCACATATGACCTTCTCCTTTAACAAGGAAAAGATCTCGTTATTTTCCTTAAGCAGCTCAGGAATTTTTCAGGGGAAGGCGTGGTCTGCTGTCAAAGGTGATTGGGAAGTATACTGGTCATCCATAGAAACTTTGTGTGATGATGCTTATGGGAAGTGTGGTTCTTTTGGGATCTGCAATCCGAAATCTTCTCCAATATGCAGTTGCTTGCCAGGTTATGTGCCGAGGAGCATTAATGAGTGGAATTCCGCGAATTGGACGAGGGGCTGCACGCGAAGAACCCTTCTAAAGTGCACGAAGAACAGCTCGGTTAGTGAAGCTGGAAAGAAAGATGGATTTTTAAGACTGAAAGCGGTCAAATTGCCCAATAATGTTCGTTCTGTTCCTCTTACAGAAGTATTCTGTGGTAGTGAGTGTTTGAATAATTGTTCTTGTATAGCTTATGCCTACAATGACGGCATTGGGTGTATGTGGTGGCGTGGAAGCCTGATTGATGTGCAGCAGTTCTCCACAGGCGGCGTAGACTTATACATTCGCTTGGGGCATTCCGAGCTTGGTAAGAAGAAAGACTCAACCGCTGTTGTTGTAACCATGACAGTCTTGGGGTTTATAGTCATCGCTATTGTGTGCGCATTCTTGCTGTTGAACAAGTACAAAGGTAAAAATGATTCTGACACTGCTTCATCAGAAGTTAGTAGCCATTTCATTCTTAACATTTTCTTCTCTGGCAACAATTGTTATTATGAATCAGGGAGTAGAGAAAAGTGCCGGCTGCGGCAAACAATACTCAAAGATAATGTGAAAGGAGTTCAATTTGAAGAATTTCCGTTGTTCGAGTTTCAGATTATCTTAAATGCAACAAGCAACTTTGATCCCATCTACAAGCTCGGACAGGGTGGCTTTGGTCCAGTTTACAAAGTATGTACACCTTCAACTTTAAACCTCACATACTTTAATCGATCCATGGAAGAGTTGATTGAAGTGCTTGTTTTCAGGGAATACTATCAAATGGCAAAGAAATTGCTGTGAAAAGGCTTGCAAGAACTTCTAATCAAGGGGTGGAGGAGTTCAAAAACGAAGTCGAGGTGATATCTAAGCTCCAGCATCGCAATCTGGTTAACCTGCTCGGATGCTGCATTGAGCGTGAAGAGAAAATGTTGGTTTACGAATACATGCCCAAAGGAAGCTTGGATGTACATCTTTTTGGTAAGGCAATATCAAATTAAGTTTAATCTTTTGATCTTTTTTGTAATGCTAAAAGTATGTGACGGCATCTTGAAATAACTCTCATCAGATTTGCACAAACAAGAGCTTCTAGATTGGAACAAACGTGTGCTGATTATCGAGGGGATTTCTCGAGGACTGCTGTACCTTCACCGAGACTCAAGACTAAGAATCATCCACAGAGATCTAAAGGCAAGCAATATTTTGCTAGACGAAGAGTTGAACCCCAAAATATCAGATTTCGGCATGGCCAGGATTTTCTCAGTAAAAGAAAATCAAGCTAATACAAACAGAGTTGTTGGGACATAGTGAGCAAATATTGTTTTATTCAAATCTTTGCTTGTGGTTTATAACTTGGTTGCTGTTGTGCTTGTGCTTATGATGTGTTTATATTCTCAGTGGCTATATGGCACCCGAATATGCGCTAGAGGGAATAATCTCGGAGAAATCTGATGTCTTCAGCTTCGGCGTGCTGTTGCTTGAAATTGTCAGTGGAAGGAGGAACACGAGCTTCTACAACAACAAGCAAGGCAAAAGTCTCATTGCATACGAAGCTACGCCATGCATCGAAAACTTTCTCTACTGAGTTTTCAGTTTGTTCATTTAGGATTATTTTCTCAGGCGTGGAAGATGTGGATTGAAGGAAAAATGATGCAACTCATTGATCCGGCGATATATGAGCCCAATATGGAGTCGGATATGGTGAGATGTGCGCATGTCGGGTTGTTGTGCGTTCAAGAAACCGCGCAAAACAGGCCAAGCATTTCTATAGTGGTTTCGATGCTTAACCGTGAAATTTCTGAGCTTCCCAATCCTATGAAACCAGCTTTTATTGAGCATCATGGCAGTTTTTCAAGAACTCCTGGTGGTGTGTTATCTGTAAATGACATTTCATTGACAGAGGTCGAAGGCCGATGATTATGGCTGTAGATGATAGGCCCTACATTGTTAAGAGGAATCAAAGAGAATAGGATAACTCAGAATCAGTGAAAAGTGAAAGTAAATCGATAAGTTGATTCTTACAAGTTCCGTTCCGTCACTCCACTCCTTGCTTGACCGAAATATTATTTTATATTTATATGTGTTGTACGTTTTTCTAAACAATAGTTAAGTTTCATAAATTAATGCATATAAAATCAGTAAATGATGATGAGATAAAATATAAAATACATTACTGTGTCAACACACGTTATCATTATTCAAATATATGTAATCATGTCATAATCAATAATCGGGATTGTAGGGAAAAGAAAATGGAAAAATCATGAAAGATAATAAAACTTATTACACTTTCAGTTGACTGTAAATATAATAAGGTATGCGTAATTTCCTACGTAATTAAATTAGAAACAGGAAATTCCGAATGTTCAATGTGATATAAGAATTCTCATCCTCAAAGGTAGGAAGCCACTGATTGATCAACAAGAAATATTCGCATTAGAATCAGAACTCGGAAGCAAGAATGCGTTTCAGGTGCACAATAGATTTAATATCAATAGTTCAAGTTCTTTTGTTTGTATGGATTGAATTTGCGTTTGCCATTGATACCTTAAGCTTCAAGCAGTCCATCAATGGCTCCCAACTTCTGATTTCTGATGGGCTAACTTATAAATTTGGTTTTTTCAATCCATCGAACACCAGTCGTTATTACGTGGGTGTGATGTACAATTTCCCTGTTTCAACTGCTGTATGGGTAGCTAATAGAGACAGGCCCCTGAATGATTCTGCTGGAACAGTGGAGGTGTCGGAAAATGGAAAGCTTGTGGTGTTGGATGGGCAGAAGCAGATAGTCTGGTCGTCGAATTCGACAGGTCCTGTCGGAAATTACAGTGCTACGCTCTTGGAAACAGGCAATTTGGTGCTGCGAGATTTCTCCGGAGGCGGCACCACTGTTTGGGAAAGTTTTCAACATGCTACCGATACGTTCTTACCAGGGATGAAACTGACGACTAATTTGCAGACAAATGAGAATAACATACTGACATCATGGACAAGTCCTTCTGATCCATCTATTGGAAGTTACACAGCTTCAGTTGATCCCCTAGAGATTCCACAGATTGTAGTTCGAATGAGGAGCTGATACATTGTGGCGTAGTGGTCCGTGGAATGGCCAATCTTTCACTGGTATACCGCCGAAAAAGACCCATGTATATCAAAATGGATTCAATCTTGTTAATGATGATCCTGGAGCTGCATATCTGACCTTTGCCTATACCACTGAAAATATCTTGTCATATCTTCACATGGACAGCTCTGGAATTCTACAGCGGAAGAGGTGGTCCGAATTGGAAAAGAATTGGGAATTACGATGGTCATCTTTAGAAACTGAGTGTGATGCTTATGGAAAGTGTGGTTCTTTTGGGATCTGCAATCCGAAATCTTCTCCAATATGCAGTTGCTTGCCAGGTTATGTGCCGAGGAGCATTAATGAGTGGAACGCAGCGAATTGGACGAGCGGCTGCATGCGAAGGACCCTTTTACAGTGCGCGAAGAACAGCTCGGCTAGTGAAGCTGGAAAGCAAGATGGATTTTTACGAGTGACAACAGTCAAATTGCCAGATAATATTAGTTCTGTTCCTCTCACAGAATCATTCTGTGGTAGTGAGTGTTTGAGTAATTGTTCTTGTATAGCTTATGCATACAATGTTGGCATTGGGTGTATGTGGTGGCGTGAAAGCCTGATCGATGTGCAGCAGTTCTTTGCGGGCGGTGTAGACTTATACATACGTTTGGCGCATTCTGAACTTGTTAAGAAAAAAAACTGGACAGCAGTTGTTGCAGCCGTGACAGTCTTGGGGTTTATATTCATCGCTATTGTCTGTGTGTTCTTGCTGTTGAAGAAGAAGAAAGGTAAAACTGATTCGATCCTGCTTAATCAAAATTTTAGTCGACATTTCATTCTCAATGTTTTTCTCCTCTGGTTGTTGTTATGAATCAGGGAGTAGAGACAAGAGCCCGCTGCAGCCAACAATACTCAGGGAAAGAGATGCAGAGTATTCAAGGGCAAGTGCATTCAAAGATAATGTGGAAGGAGTTCAATTTGAAGACTTTCCGTTCTTCGAATTTCAGATTATCTTAAATGCAACAAGTAACTTTGATCCCATCTACAAGCTTGGACAGGGTGGCTTTGGTCCAGTTTACAAAGTATGAACACCTTCAACTTTAAATCTCAGATACTTTTATTGATCCATGGAAGAGTTGATTGAAGTGCTTGTTTTCAGGGAATACTATCAAATGGCAAAGAAATTGCTGTGAAAAGGCTGGCAAGAACTTCTAATCAAGGGGTGGAGGAGTTCAAAAACGAAGTCGAGGTGATATCTAAGCTCCAGCATCGCAATTTGGTTAGCCTGCTCGGTTGCTGCATTGAGCGTGAAGAAAAAATGCTTGTTTACGAATACATGCCCAATGGAAGCTTGGATTTATATCTTTTCGGTAAGGCAATATCAAATGGACTTTAATCTTTCGATTTTTTTGTCATGCTATAAGTATGTGACGGCATCTTGAAATAACTCTCATCAGATTCGCACAAACAAGAGCTTCTTGATTGGAACAAACGTGTTCTGATCATCGAGGGCATTTCTCGAGGACTACTGTACCTTCACCGAGACTCAAGGCTAAGAATCATCCACAGAGATCTAAAAGCAAGCAATATTTTGTTAGATGAAGAGTTGAATCCCAAAATTTCAGATTTCGGCATGGCGAAGATTTTTGCAGTAAAAGAAGATCAAGCTAATACAAACAGAGTTGTTGGAACATAGTGAGCACATCTTGCTTTATTCAAATCTTTGCTTGTGGTTTATAACTTGGCTGTTGTTGTGCTTATGATGTGTTTATATTTTCAGTGGCTATATGGCACCTGAATACGCGCTAGAGGGAATAATCTCCGACAAATCTGATGTCTTCAGCTTCGGTGTGCTGTTGCTTGAAATTGTCAGCGGAAGGAGGAACACGAGTTTCTACAACAACAAGAAAAGCGAAAGTCTCATTGCATATGTAAGCTACGCCATACATCAAAAACTTTCTTTACTGAGTTTTCAGTTTCTTCATTTAGGATTTCTTTTCTCAGGCGTGGAAGCTGTGGACAGAAGAAAAGATGATGAAACTCATCGACCCGGCGATATATGAGCCCAAAATGGAGTCGGAAATGGTTAGGTGTGCTCATGTCGGGTTGTTGTGCGTTCAAGAAACTGCCCACAACAGGCCAAGCATTTCTACAGTGTTGTCGATGCTTAGCCGCGAAATTTCGGAGCTTCCACATCCTAAGAAGCCTGCTTTTATTGAGCATCATGACAGTTTGTCAAGAAGAACTCGCGGTGTGTTCTCTTTAAACGACATTACATTGACAGTGGTCGAAGGCCGATGATTATGGCTGTAGATGACTAATAAAGCCCCAAATTTTAGTGCTAGTATGTTTATTTATCAAGTGTTCTTGGAGTACTTGAAATTTGAAATTTAATTTTCAGAGGAGTAATTTTAGGACATCATCAGCTCAACTTCAAAAAAGATTTAAAAAAAAAAAAATAGAATTGATGATGACGTCGATTAAAGAAAAGAGGGCATTGTAATAATGTGAACGTTCTCCGTTAAAACGCAAATGTCGAAGCTGTATATGATTCGCGTCATTACTGAGAGTTAATGATACAATCAGTAAGTCCCCAACCTTCACATCTATACATTAAATTCGGACAAATCCATAATATAGATAGGATACCCACAGATTTCCTCACCCTGATTAATCTAAATTCGGAAAATACTCATAACCGCATTCGACTCCCTGCCTGCGAGGAGATGAGCAACTCTGAAAAATGGGGTTTTTCCACATCTCCCTCAGCCTCTGCTGTTTCTTCACAGTCGTCTGCTTCCCCTCCGTCAACAGGTCTGTTTCCGACAGAATTACCAGAGGCCAATCCATAAAAGACGGCGACCTGATCGTGTCGGCGGGGAAGAAGTTCGTCCTCGGATTCTTCAGTCCCAGCAATTCCAATTCGAGATACGTCGCCGTATGGTACCATAACGCTGCCAACGAATCAGTCGTGTGGGTGGCAAACAGGGACCGTCCGATCTCGGGGACAGATGGAGTTCTGACAATGGGCGACGACGGCAATCTGGTTTTGAAGACCGGCAACGGAAACATGGTCTGGTCGAGTAATGCACCATGCGCGTTAACGAACGCCGCCGCAGTTCTACTCGACACAGGGAACCTCGTCGTACAAGGAACCAGGGAGAATCCGAACGCCGTAATCTGGCAGAGCTTCGATCACCCAACGGCTACTTGTTTGCCGGAAATGGAAGTTCCCTTCTCCTTACAGGGCGGAGAGATTGCTGTTTTCTCTTCTTGGACAAGCGACTCCGATCCTTCTCCGGGGAACTATACGATGGGTCTCGATCCAAATGGTTCGCCGCAGATAGTGATATGGGAAGGGCAGCGCCGCCGCCGGTGGCGAAGCGGGTATTGGAATGGGATGTTGTTTATAGGAATTAACGATTCGAAGACAAGGTACGAGGGCGGGTTGCGGCTCATGGGCAACAAGAACGGCGGCGGGGTATACTTCGTGTACATGCCATTAAATCGATCATCTTTAGCTAAGTTCAGGATTAACTCGGAGGGAGTCGGATTGCACGAGAAGTGGGACGAGGAGCGGAAAGGATGGATCGTTGAGGTTGCGCATCCTGTCAACGATTGCGACATGTACAACCATTGCGGGCCTTTCGCGACATGTAATACGATGGTGACGCCGATATGCAGATGTCTGAAAGGCTTTGTGCCTTCGGACAATGATCAATGGATGAGAGGGAACTGGTCGGGGGGGTGCGTTAGGAGGGTGCCGTTGCCGTGCACGACCGCGGCTGGGGAACCCGATGGTTTTCTGCGGATTACTTTCGTGAAATTACCGGACTTTGTCGATTATGTTGGGTCGGAAGATGCTCGAGGATGCAAGGAGAAGTGCTTGAAGAACTGTTCGTGCACCGGATACACTGTCGTCGATGGAATCAACTGTATGATTTGGACACGAGAGTTGGTCGATTTGCAGAGATTTTCGGATGGAGGGAAAATTATGAATGTTCGCGTAGCGAGCTCCGAGCTCGGTAAGAAGAATGTCTTCCTCCTCGACTAGAGAAGTTAAAAAGTACTTGTCTGATCGATCTTTCGAATTTTTGAATAGGTTCTGGAGTGGAAAGTCGATCCAAAACCGTTTACTTGACAATTTTAGCAGCTGCATTGCTGTGTATTTTAGGCTCTCTGTGGTGGCTCTTCTGTCCCAAAGAAGAAGGCCTAGGTAGAGTTTTTATTACCTGAAGTCTTTGCATTTTATGATTTTAACCTTGGATCATGTTAGGGAATGGTTTTATCTGTCAAACCTTGTCTTCAATTTACTGCAGATAATAATCGGTTTTCCGGCGAGGAGCAGCACGCAGCCGGAACTGATCTAGCAGTTTTTGGCTTCGAGGAAGTTGCATCAGCCACAGGCAATTTCTTGGAGAACAATAAACTCGGACGAGGTGGATTCGGGCAAGTTTACAAGGTTAAAGTTTTCGAGTGAGACGGCGTTTAAGACAGGGAGCCAGATTAACTTCTTGAGCGTTGTCTGATTATGCACATTATGTGTTGGTATCGTCGTTCAGGGAACGCTGTCATCGGGACAAGAAATTGCGGTAAAGAGGCTATCGAGAATATCGAGCCAAGGATCAGAGGAGTTCAAAAATGAAATCACACTCATTGCCAAACTACAGCATAGGAATCTTGTTAGATTGCTGGGCTGCTGCACTCAGGGAGAAGAAAGAATATTGATCTATGAGTATATGCCCAACAAGAGCCTCGATTCGTATATTTTCGGTTGGTTCTTTCGAAGAAGACACAAAAGAAAAAAATGATTCATACATCCATAATATTAATGGTATGTTTGTAATTTATTACAGATGCTGACAGGAGAGCCCTGCTCGATTGGAGCAAACGGTTCTGCATAATCCAAGGGATTGCAAGAGGGCTGCTGTATCTACACCGCGACTCGAGGCTCCGGATAATTCATCGCGATCTGAAAGCTAGCAACATATTGTTGGATGCAGAAATGAACCCGAAAATTTCGGATTTTGGCATGGCTAGAATCTTCGGAGGGAACCAGAACGTCGCGACAACTATAAGGGTCGTAGGGACATAGTAAGTAGTACTAAGTAGCGCGTACACTAATTGAAGGAAGAACAAAAATAACAAAGACTATTAATACACTTAAAATGGCATGCAGCGGTTATATGGCGCCGGAGTATGCCATGGAAGGACTGTTCTCCGTCAAGTCCGATGTCTACAGCTTTGGGATTTTGCTGCTGGAGGTTATAACCGGGAAGCGAAACATAAGCTCTCGCTCGCCGGAAGAAGACTACTCGAACACCGTTGGATATGTAAGAGCATTACATATTTACATGACTATCTTTTTCGATTTGATTCCATCTTCTTGGTTTCTCTGATTGGAGCTGGTGTGATTACATTGCAGGCGTGGGATCTTTGGAGAATTGGTAGAGCAGGAGAGCTTCTGGATTCTTCTATAGCAGAGACATGTCTTGATAAAGAAGCTGTGGAAAGATGCGTGCAAATTGGGATGCTCTGCGTGCAGGACATGGCGAGGGATAGGCCGGGAATGCAGGCGGTGGTGCTGATGCTGGAGAGCGAGACGGCGGCGCTGCCGGCGCCGTCGCGGCCGAGCTTTACGTCGCGGGGACAGCATGGCGGCTGGGATAAGGATGCTGCGTGGGATGAGAATGCGGAGTGTGTGTCTATAAATGATGTCTCTATTACAGAAGTTGCAGGTAGATGATTATGATGATTCTCTTTCATAGTTATACCATTTTTTTTAAGAAATAAATTAAATTAAGGGTGTGTTTGTCTTGGATTTACATTATTTATCTCATTTTTTCTCCCCCTTTTTTTCCTAAAACATTAAATCAAACGTTTATTTTTTATTTGTATATTATATTAAATTAATTTTATATTTAAAATATCACATCAAACACCTATTTATTCTACAACTATTCAAATTTAAATTTTTTACTATTCAAATCTCACCTCAAAATCCAAACCCGCAAACAAACACAACAGGGTTTAGGATTTGATTGGATTCTTAAAAGTTAAGTGCATTAAATTTGAAGTTTTAAAACTCTTTTAAAAATATAATGTATTAGGGTTGTGTTTCTCTTAATCCGATTTGGACAAAATTACTGTATAAATACTGTTTGATTCTATAATAAATTAAAATAATTATTTTAATATTAAAACTAGAATTAATAATTTTATGTATAAATAAAATCAATTTTGATTCTTTTCTAAAATTTTAATAAGCTTATACATTAGTATTATAACAATATATATATATATACATTAACACAATGTAGATATAATATATTTTTTTCCTTTTAATTTAAAATATTTTTTGTTTATAATTTTTATCTGTCTCATTTTAAAGTATCGCTATTATACATTAACATTAAAATTAATTTAAAAAAAAATACTACTCCCTCCATCTCATATAGCATCATTGTATTTAACAATTGAAAATATCCTTTATATTTGTATAATTTTTTATACAAATGTTATTATATTAGTATTATAAGACACCAATAGAAGTATTTTTGTTATTTTCTCTTTATTTGTAATACGATTTAATATAATAACTGATCAACACTCAAAAAAGTAAATGGATACCGATGGAGGGAGTATTACATATACAATTACTTTATAAAAAAATATTAAAAACTCTTGTATATTTTCACTGATTAATAAAATATTATTATATATTAATAGTTACAAAACTCAAAAACCGATTGAATTGGGAGAGAGGAAATATATATATATATATAGCCTATCTACTTATCAAAATTCAATAACATTATTATTTTACGAAGGATAAAAATAACAAAATATGACTATTATTTTCGGATAAAGTATTTTATTTATTTATTATATTACTTAAATTTTATATTATATTAAATATATTTTATTGATATATGACTGTTTGAGTATTTAAATATATATTTTAAATTATAAATTAAATATTTGTATTTATATTTCAAATATAAATTAATATTATTTAATTGTTTTCAATATTAATATTCTCTTTGGTTCATAAAAAATTATCATATTATATTTTTGTTAAATAAAATTTTTTTTTTTTTAACTTGGTAATTACATGTCAGATCCTCGATTTTATTAACACATTTTATCCCCGATCCCCACACATATATTGTGTATATATACACACGTCTGTATGTATTATACTAATACATATATATGTGTATATATACATATTATGTGTGAAAATATAATTTAGTTTTGAAACGGGAGATCCCATGGTAATTAGTAAATACCTTTGTCATTTGCAATATATTATATAAATATTATTATATTATTATACAAGAGATATTTTTATAATTTTTTATCGCATTTTCACTACATAACATATAATTATAATATTAAAAGTTTTACATACAAAAAGATAAAGAGCCGTATCCTTAATGGAGAGAATATTTTTTTTTTTAAATATTGTATTAAAATAATATTTAAAAAGTAAAAGTAAAATAAAAAAACACACCTTCAAATAAAAACTAAATAATATTATAGCATTCAACCTAATTTTTAATTATTATTTTCAACCAACACCCAACAACAAAATCATTAAAAAGCATTAAACTAGTAGTGAAAAATTTCCAAATATATATCTACAGTAATATTTGATTATGACAATCCGATTATTTTATTAAAGATTGAATAATAATAATAAATATATTCAGTATAAAAGAGACAGTCTTATATTTCTAATTATTTCTTGCTGTGTTCAGAAGCAAATAAAGTTGCGACTGTCATGCCATTTTTGGTTCATTTTCCTTTAATATATTTGAATATTCGAATTTAATCCATAGGAAATGAGCTTCTATTACATTTCTAAATAAAAAAAAAATACCGACATTTTAGTATTCAATTCACCACTCACCTTGTCACACCAAAAGCCACATTAGGTACAAGAAATCTGATATAAAAATGCCTGGATTTTCTGAAAGCGATATATCTCATGTGCGTTGGTCAAGTTAGGTAAAAAAACGGCCGCTGTTTATTAATCGTCTTTCGAACACGTTTTCAAACTCGTCCAAATCGCCACCTACGTGCTAAGAAGACAGACTTTTCGTTTTCCCTTTTGGTGGGTTTCTACAAGAATACCACGATTCGTGTTTTATCTGCGGCCATGGGAGGCCAATAGAGAGAGATGGTTGGTCAATGAAGAAGAAACTTCAATGAACGGGAGCTCCCAAAATCGTCATCGAAAATTTTTCTTACCTTTCTCTACATTAAACCCACACCAGTTTGTAATCAAGAACAATCGTGTGCTCCCATCCCCAGCTTCCCCAAACTTAATTGGGAAAATTAAACCCTTACTCCGAAATGGGCTCTAATTTTGGGTGTTACTGGCGTCGTCTCCTTTGGAGGTTCTTAATGATCTGTTCTTGCTTTTCTGTGTTCAGCTTTGCCGCCGATAGAATTTCGACAGGTCAGTCGATAAAAGATGGAGAGACTATTATTTCGATGCGGCAGAAGTTCGCGCTGGGATTCTTCAGTCCTCAAGATTCAGAGTTTCGATACTTAGGAATTTGGCACAATCAAGTTGCGAACGAATCGTTCGTTTGGGTTGCGAATAGGGACAGCCCAATTAGGGGGAATGGCGGAGTTCTAACCGTTGGTGGCGACGGGAAATTACATGTCGTGAACGTCAATCGGGAGACGGTCTGGTCGAGCAATGGAACACAAATTGCATCTGGGAATTTCACTGCAGTTCTTATGGACACAGGAAATCTTGTTCTACAGTCCTCTGAAGCTTCAAACAGTGTGGTTTGGGAGAGCTTCGATCATCCAACGGATACATATCTTCCGGACATGAAGGTTCATTACAGAGCTGAGGATGGGGAGAGACGTGTCTTCACTTCATGGAGAAGTGCTACCGATCCTTCGCCGGGGAACTTTACGATGGGCGTCGACCCTCAAGGATCGCCGCAGATAGTGATATGGGAAGGGCTGCACCGCCGGTGGAGAAGCGGGCATTGGAATGGACTAGCGTTTATAGGAGTTGCCGGCATCCGGGCGACGTATTTGTATGGTTTTAGGCTCTTGAGCGAGCGGGACGGCCGGATGTACTTCATATATTCACTGTCCGAAGGGTCGAATGTGATCAAATTTCAGTTAGATTGGGAGGGAACCGAGAGACAGGTGAGGTGGATCGAGGAACAAAATGAATGGAGTCTTATACAGTCGCATCCGGTGGATGAATGTGATGGGTATAACTATTGTGGTTCTTTTGGGAAATGCAATCAGATGGAGATGCCAAGATGCAGTTGCGTGGAAGGATTTGCGCCGAGGGATAGTGATGGGTGGAGCAGAGGCGATAGGTCTGCCGGTTGTGTTAGGAAGACGGATTTGGAGTGCGAGGGAGGCGATGGTTTTCGGGAGATTGAGAATGTGAAGCTGCCCGACTATGTCGATTATGTGGGAACAGAGGATGTCATAGAATGTGAGAGGAAGTGTTTGCAGAATTGCTCGTGTACGGCGTATGCTTATGTTAGTGGAATCAACTGCATGATTTGGAGTCGGGAGTTGGTTGATATTCAACAATTTTCCGAGGGTGGGAGCTCTTTGTTCCTTCGCCTTGCGCTGTCTGAACTTGGTTAGTATGTATAAACTATAAAGCTTGTGTATATATTCTCGATTGTTTGGTATTTCTTCTAATCGTCGATTTTATTAGGTGGGGAGGAGAATCATGTAACTGTAATTGTTGTCGTAGTAATAAGTGTGATCGTCGGATTGGTCCTTGTTCTTGTCTCAATTTGGCTGCTCTTTCGGCGCAAAAGAAAATGCAGGGGTAAAGGTTTATTACACCATTGAACTGTATACTGCGTTGTTGTCGTGATTGTGTTAGTTAATTACAGAGGAATCTTCTATTGTATACTGCAGTGATTCTAGGTAGAAATCCAACGCCTCGAGTTGGTCCGAGTGGAGAAATAATCGCAGCCACTGGTGACCAGCTTGGTATCGAAGGGCAGCAGGCTCCGGGAACTGAACTCGCTATGTTCAGCTTCAACTATGTGGCAGCAGCCACAGACAACTTCTCGGATAAGAATAAACTAGGACAGGGAGGATTCGGACATGTTTACAAGGTAATAGTCTTGTTAAATTAGGCCGGGAGAAGATTGGGATTTACATTTCTGTTTATCGATTTGTTGTTCTTTAATGATCAGGGAACTCTACCAGGGGGGCAAGAGATAGCTGTGAAGAGGCTCTCGAGAATATCGGGACAGGGATTAGAGGAGTTTAAGAATGAGATTACAGTAATTGCTAAGCTACAACATAGGAATCTTGTAAGATTGCTGGGCTGCTGCATTGAGGGAGACGAAAGAATGCTGCTTTACGAGTACATGCCCAACAACAGCCTCGATTCCTATCTCTTCGGTTAGATAGATATTTTTACAGCTTGTTGTTCTTTCCTGTTTTAGCTGCATCAGTTGTTGTAGTAGTAGTAGTAGTCAAATCTCTAACAACACAAATGTTACAGATTTGGACAAGCGAGCGCAGCTCGACTGGAGCCAACGGTTCATTATTATAGAAGGGATCGCAAGAGGGCTTCTGTATCTGCACCGAGACTCGAGACTTAGGATAATACACAGGGACCTAAAAGGTAGCAACATTCTGCTGGATGCAGAGATGGAGCCGAAGATCTCAGATTTCGGCATGGCTAAAATCTTCGGAGGGAACCAAAACGAAGTTAGCACGACGAGGCGCGTTGTAGGCACATTGTAAGCAATGCTAAAAAAGATCGATACTTTTGTTTTTCTGCTGCTGCCAAAAAATGTAAAATTTAATGAATGCTGTGCAGCGGCTACATGGCGCCGGAATACGCCATGGAAGGCTTGTTCTCCCTGAAATCCGACGTGTACAGCTTCGGCGTGCTGCTCTTGGAGATTATAACAGGCCAGAGGAACTCAAGCTTCCGATCAACGGATCACTCGAACATCGTTGGATATGTAAGAGAGCCTCGCTGCCCTCGATCTTTATCATCCTCGATCCTATTTTTATGTTGTTTTTTTCGATCTTGACGCGGCAGGTGTGGGATTTGTGGAAAAGAGGCGAGACGATGGAGCTGCTCGATCCTTGTATTTCGAAATCGAGCCAGGAAGAACAAGTGGCGAGGTGCGTGCAAATCGGGCTGCTGTGCGTGCAAGACGTCGCGGCTCACCGGCCGGATATGCAGGCCGTGGTGCTGATGCTGGAGAGCCACAATGCTGCCCTGCCTTTGCCCAGAGAACCTACCTTCACATCAATGAGACATCAGAATGTAGATTTAGACGATCAGATGTGGAATGGAAATGTTGATGGTGTGTCCTCGAACAATGTCACCATAACTGTCATTCTTGGCAGATGAAAAATTGGTTCGATTTATTTCTTTTTTTACAGTTGTGGTCATCATCCCCTTATGTGTAAAGTGTATATTCAGTCATTGACAGAGTGTAAAGTGCATACAATGTTTTGGATTCGTCATTTGTTTTGATAAGGTTTGACTATCAATGGGCAAAAAGAAATGGAGCTAAACTATGAGTTGGTACTTAGTTGTTGTTTTGTTACTTATAATATTCTTGAATTAGGTGATCCGCTCAATTCTTTTGCTATAATTAAATTCAATGTTTGCCGAATTAATCAATCAAATAATTGGCCAAAGAATTCGTATTTGGTGATTTTTCATTTATTTTATTTTTGAAAAGTTTGAATTTCATTTCCAAGTGTAATGTGCCCAAATTAAAGCAAGTTGTGGTCTTCTTCCCCACCGCCGTGACACGGCGGATGTTGCCCACCACTACTAATGAGAAACTCCGCCGGCAGCCTCCGCCGCTGCCTCGTTACATTATTCTTTCTCCTTCCTCTGATGGCTACATCAATTGATCTGATCACTCCGACGCAATATCTCACCAAAGATCAGACATTAATCTCCGCCAACAACGAATTCGAGCTAGGGTTCTTCCCCGCCGGCATATCCAACAATTGGTACATCGGAATCTGGTACAAGAAGACCGGAGACCGAACCATCGTTTGGGTTGCTAACAGAGATGCGCCGCTGGGGAATTCAACCGGAGTCTTGAAAATCAGCTCCGGCGACGGCCGCCTCACCTTGGTCGACGGCGCCGGGAAATCCGTATGGTCGTCGAACCACACCGCCGGAGCTTCCAACAGCGTCGCAGAACTACTCGACAATGGAAACCTCATCCTTCGCCTCGCGAACGACGACAGCCCGGCCGAATATCTATGGCAGAGCTTCGATTACCCGACGGATACATTACTTCCGGGAATGAAGCTCGGCTGGGACTCCAAATCCGGGCTGTACCGGTACATAACCTCCTGGAAGAGCGCCGACGATCCGGCCGCCGGAAACTACAGCTTCAAGCTCGACATCCATGGCTTCCCCGAAATATACCTGATGGAGAATAACGACATACGCTACCGAAGCGGGCCCTGGGACGGGCTCGGGTTCAGCGGCGTCCCGGAAATGGAGCCCAGCCCGTTCTTCTCCTTCCGATTCGTGGTCAATTCCGACGAGGTATCGTACTCCTTCAATTTGAAAAACCAGTCCGTTTACTCCCGATTGGTGGTCCGGCACGGCGGCAGCCTGCAACGATTCACCTGGATTCCGACAAGCAAAGCCTGGAATCTTTACTGGTACGCCCCCAAGGATCAGTGCGACGATTACAGAGAGTGTGGGGTTTCGGGGATCTGCGACACCAACGCCTCCCCTGTCTGCAAGTGCCTGAGAGGGTTCGAGCCGAAGCACCCGCAGGCCTGGAATCTGCGTGACGGGTCGGGCGGGTGTATTCGGGTCACCCAATTGGATTGCGCCACCGACGGGTTTGTGACGATGAGCAACGTGAAGCTGCCGGAGAGCGGTTTGGCGTTTGTGGACAACCAAATGGATTTGAATCAGTGCCGGGAACTCTGCCGCCGGAATTGCTCCTGCCGCGGCTACTCCAACGCCAATATTACCCACGGCGGCTCCGGCTGCGTCGTCTGGACCGATGACCTCTACGACATGCGGCAGTTCGCCGCCGCGGAAGGCGGCGAGGATTTCTACCTCCGCGTGGCCGCAGCCGATTTAGGTATCGCTTATCCGTTCACTTTTTTATTTTTTTATTTTTAATTAAAATTGAATTAAAGAATTATTTCTACATTTACCATGTTTGACCTGAAATTTACCTCAACAATTTTTATTACACAACCTATAGTAGGATTACGACAGTCGACGGCCCTGTTTTAGTTAATGATAAACTTTCTAGTTTATTGTAGAGTAGTGGCAATATCTTATTATTTTCAAACTGGACAATAGGCAAATTATCAAGTCAACTGATGTATGTACATATTGTTGTTTGATAGTATTTGCAGATATTCTTGCATAGCACAGTCGTGTTAAGTTATTCTTTTAAATCTCACCAAACGCAACTAACAATCTGTCGTTATATTGAATTGATTTCGTACCAAAGATTTTAAAATATTTGTACAAGAATTGGGACATGTGACGTGGGCCGTTACAGTTTTCCACGTGTCAATATTGGTTGTGGATAAAGGGGCCCATGCTATGTCAATTGCTGTATTGGGCTTTAAAGCCCAATTTCTAATGGATTCTGATTCTGGGCCATGAAATGAGAATCACCTAACCGCCATGATGTATCGATTTGTTTTCAGGGGCATCGGGAGCCGCCGGCGCCGGGGATAAATCGAACAAGGATGGGAATCAACTCAAGGTCGCTGGAATTGCCGTTGGGATTGGGGTTTTTCTGGCTGGATTGTCAATTTTCTTCTTGTGGCGAAGGGGGAAATCGAGAATGGCAGAAACGAATGTATTGGAGCGTACTCGTAAGGAGTTGAAGTTTCCGATTCAGAGTAGTGTTCTGTACACAGATTTAGATGTTGTTTTTCATGGGGTTGTTATTTTCGATCAAATCCAGGGTTGAGGGAAAGAAGTCAGGACCTGGTGTCGAATGCGGGGACTGTACTGAGCAGAAGAGAACAGTGGAAGGAGACTGCAGCTGAAGAAGACATGGATTTACCTGTGTTCGATTTCAGCACTCTGCTAGAGGCTACAGACGAATTCTCTGATGCAAATAAGCTTGGGAAGGGAGGGTTTGGAACTGTTCACAAGGTGTAATTTGAATTGGGGGATTAGATTGTAACTTGTAAGAGAACTTTTCATTAAACTGTTGCATGACTTGTATCGATCTTTTGAGGTTTCAGGGAATCTTGGGAGGCCAGGAAGTTGCAGTGAAGCGCCTGTCAAAGAATTCAGGTCAGGGAATCGACGAATTCAAGAACGAGGTGAAGCTGATTGCCAGGCTGCAACACAGGAATCTAGTCAGGCTGATCGGCTGCTGCATCGAAATGGAGGAGAAGCTGTTGGTATACGAGTACCTGGAAAACAAAAGCCTGGATTCCATTTTGTTCAGTAAGCTAATTCTTGATAATGATCATCGCTCCTGAATTGTGTTCTTCTTGTCTTACTTCAGACACTGCTTCTCCTTTTTCCAGAGAAAGATCGAAGCTCGATGCTCGACTGGGAGAGGCGATTCAACATCGTATCCGGGATTGCGCGAGGGCTCCTCTACCTGCACCAAGATTCAAGATTCAGGATCATACACAGAGACCTCAAAGCCAGCAACATTCTCCTCGACAAAGAATTGAATCCCAAGATATCCGATTTCGGAATGGCAAGGATATTTGGAGGAGATCAAACCGAAGCCAACACGAAAAGGGTCGTCGGAACATAGTGAGGCCTAACAACATTAAAAATCCTCACACCAAAAACGTACTAAAAGCTAACCACATTTGTAATTCTCTCCCAGCGGATACATGTCCCCCGAATACGCAATGGACGGCGTCTTCTCCATCAAATCCGACGTATTCAGCTTCGGCGTATTAGTCCTGGAAATCGTGAGCGGGAAGAAGAACAGGGGATTCTATCAGACAAACAATCAGCTCAATCTTCTTGCATACGTAAGCCTTCAGATCAATTCCCCCAACCAATCCCTCCCCCACTCTTCAATACTAACAAATTTGAATTCCACAAACAGGCCTGGAAACTCTACAGGGAGGGCCGAGCCCTGGAACTCGTCGATTCGGCAATCGGCGATTCGTTCTCGAGCAGTGAGGTAATGAGGTGCATACAAGTAGGGCTGCTGTGCGTCCAGGAGCTCGCCCAAGACAGGCCGGATATGTCGACGGTGGTGCTGATGCTAAGCAGCGATTTTGCGACGATGCCGCAGCCGACGCATCCGGGATACTGCCTGGGAAGGCGACCTGTCGACAATGTGGATTCATCTTCGGGTAAACAGGACGACGAATCTTGCACCGTTAATCGAGTTACCGTTACCATCTTGGACGGTCGATAGCCGTCGGAAAAACAGGCGGGACGGACAGAAGGAGTATATTTTTGAATTGTATAACATGAAATTTATACACTAGTTAGCATTAGTTGAGATTATTCCAGCTCCATTACCAGTTCCATCGTTAATAATTACTCACGTTTATAATAATCAAGACTCAGCATAGTTGGAGTCATCCTTGTCTTATAAATCAAGAAACTTTCCACATTTTTTCCAATATTAAACAATAATTAATACTTTAAGCCTTATAAAAAGTGGATAGTAATAATTTTTGTCTTTGTAGTAAAAGAAATAAATGTTAAAATATATATATATATATATTTTTCATAACAACAAAAATAAAAATGAATATAAACCTAGATGCAAAGATAAATATTATATTGTTTACTTACCAGTGTATTTTTATGTATTGAATGAGCTAATCAGAATCGTAACGATTATCCGTTCACCACCCTAACTATTCACCAGATTATTTATTTAAGAAATTAAATGTAAATCGTTAAAAGTAGAAAAATAAAATTTCAACTGCGTATTGTTGGTGTATACGTAGAGATACAGAAAAATTAAAAGCAACAGTTAATAGTATTATTCAAGTGCGGACAGTACACGTTTACCGGTAATTAGGCGACGGTTTCGTTTCAAGGCGCAACGGCCAATTAATGTCTGTGGTACTGGTAATCCACTCTTAAATGTAATAACCCAATTATCATCAATTAATACGACTGATTAACAAAATCTGGCATTTTTAGAATATAATTGCCTCCAGCTACTTTTTCTTTTATTTTCAAATTTTACTGAAAGTCAAAAGCAATAGAAATAAAATCCTCTTTTATTTTTATTTCAACACATATGTACATATATGTCAGTTATAAAATAAATTGTCAAAAAAAAAAAAAAAAAAGCTTTACTACATAGGAGTATTTTTTACTACACATTGATGTCAAATTCCCATCCGTACTATTACAATGTCAAACAAAAAAAGAAATATTTTTAAACAACTTAAAAAAAAAAAAAAATCAAGATTACATGCGATATATATATATATATATATTTTGTTATATATTAAATGAGAAAAATGAATAAATGTAAAAATAGGGTCGTCCAGGTTGCAGCTATATTGGGACGTGCTTTCGAGCGCGTGTGAATATAAAAAGCTGTGCAGCCTTAATGGCGAAAGGTGATTAGGCTGTATCCGTAAGAGCATCTTTATTTATTATTGGTCTACGGAGCCCGGTGCAGGTGGACGTGGAGCGGAGGATAACTAGCCTTTCTTCCTCACACAGCAATATATACACGGCCTGCAGCGCTGAAATTTATAAACAAACATCGGCTTCGCTTTCCTTGGGGGCGTTTGCACTCTTCAGTAGTCTCTGGTTGTTTCCGATTGTCCGATACAGATAGAGAGTGTGTGTGTGTGAACATCACATCACTCACCCGATTGTTCTCAAAATTGGTTACTGTGGATCGCCGATCGCCGGAATTAATTAATGGCAGGCGTGATTTGGTCGGTGATGATCTGGGTAGCGTTGTGTGTGGCGTCGGTTGTACGCATTGATTCGTGCAATCATACCCTAAGCGTGCACCAGAATTTGAGGCTGGGGCAGACCTTGGTGTCGCTGAACGGGAGGTTCGAGCTGGGGTTCTTTAACGTGTGTTCCGGCGGGAGAGACGCCGGCGGCGCTGATTTGAGGTATTTGGGGATATGGTACAAAGGCATCGAGCCATTGACGGTGGTGTGGGTCGGCAACAGGGAGAAGCCCTTGCGTGGGAATGACGTCAAGCTGTTCTACGCTCCGGGGGGGAGTCTCATGGCACGTGACCAGGAAGCCACGATGATCTTTGTCGCGAAATTGAATCAGACTCTGGGACGGCCATTGCTCCTGCTCGAGAATTCAGGCAATCTTATCTTAAGAGACATCGAAAGGCAGCTCGACAGGCCTTACGTTTGGCAAAGCTTCGATTACCCTTCCGACACGCTGCTGCCGGGGATGAAACTCGGCTGGGACATGAAAACCGGGGCGAACCGGGTTCTGACATCCTGGAAGACGTCGGAGGATCCCTGGACCGGCGATTTCGTGTTCAGGATGAGCACGCCCAAGTCGCCGCAGCTGCTGCTCGAAAAGAAAGGGTCAGTACAATCCAGGTGGGGTCCCTGGAACGGGAAGAGATTCAGTGGGACAAACATCAAGGAAAATCAGGTTTTTTCGATTGTTTATGAATCCAGCCCTGACGAGATTTATTTCACGTTTCAAGTGACGGATGACTCCAATTTGCTGAGAATGATGGTCACTCCCAACGGTGCAATACAGTTACTGAAATGGAAGAACATCTCCCAGGGTTGGGTTCCAATGGTGGCTTTAGACCAGGATGCCTGTTCCAGATATGCTTCCTGTGGACCTTACGGGATCTGCCATGGCGATGATTCAAGTTGCCAGTGTCTCAAAGGGTTTGTGGAGAATTCACCAAGTGATTGGGGAAGATTGGATTGCACAGATGGGTGTAGGAGAAGGACAGCCCTTAATTGCAGTGGTGGTGATGGTTTTATGAAGTTTTCTGGGGTGAAACTGCCTGATAACTTCACAATCTGGCAGGGTTTGAACCCTAAGGAATGCAGTAGTTACTGCTTGAAGCAGTGCAATTGCATGGCTTACACAAGCCTTGATGTTTTCGGAAATGGGAGCCAATGTGTCGTGTGGTTCCATGAATTGGTCGACATGAGGGATTCCCCCAGCCATGGAGATGAAATTTATGTTCGGATGGCGCGTGCTGAATTAGGTATCGCTTTTTCTTTAATTTTTAACGGTTGATTGAACTTTAGGAAATGAATCCTATATTCGTATATATGTCGCTTGATGGATCGAGTATATAGCTTTCATAAGGTTTTGACGGTTAGTTCTATTTTCAGAGATGACTATAAATTTTTTATAATATGCGGTGAATTAGGTAATACTTTCGTTATCTTTTAACGACTAATTTACTTTAAAATTGTAGCATATAGTAGGTTGCTTGTCGTGTGCTTGTATATTGATTGCTTGAAATTTCATTTGAATGTGAATATATTATATATCATGATGATAACTTTATCTTTGCATAGGCCGTGGTGATCTAGGTTGCTTAAAAGGCGTTAACTTTATTTTAAGATTTCGACGCTATAACTGAATTTAGTATTCTTGTCGTGATCTTATTAAGTAGCACGTGATGCTTTGATTGCTTGAACCCTTAATAAAGATGTGAATCAATGATAAGTACGGAATCATCTATGATATTTGAAACTATACAAATGCACTTTATATCTGAATAATACATCGTGAATTAGGTATCACTTTCATTAGTTTTTGATGATTAACTTTACTTTAGAAATTCTTGTTGTGATCTTATTTTTGCCACACGCGTATGCTTGTAATCGTTGGAATTCTCATAAAAATATAAATAAATTACAAAATGTAAATAAAATATCAATTACCTCCGAAGTTCTACAAAATGATTAGTTTATATGAGCATAGCACGTGATGAATTAGACATCATTTTTATAAATTTTTAATAGCCAGCGCTAATATAAGATTGTAGTGTGCATACATTTAGTATTTTTTTTTTTTCATTATTTTAGTTAGCATTTGATTTATTTAAATTTTATTCAAATGTGAATTAATTATATTATGTTGAGTACAAAATCATCAATGATCTTGAAAATACTAAAAAATAATATATGCATAGCACGTGGTGGATTAGGTATCGCTTTCATTAGTTTTCAACGGTTGCCCCCACTTTACAATTGCGGCGTGACTGAATCTAGTATTCTTGTTGTAATTTTATTTAGCCAAACGTGTATGTCTTTTATTGCTTGAACTTCCGATTAAATGTAGATCAATTACGTCATGTTAAGTATAAAGTCATCCGTGTTCTTGGAAACCTTATAAAGTGATGAACTTTATACCGACATAGTACATGGTGACTTGAATATCTTCGTTTTTGATGGTTAACTCTATCTTAAAAATGCAGTATAACTGTATTCTATATTTTTGGCGTGATCTTATTTAGCTACACGTGTATTTAATGGTTAACTCCATTTGCTTGACTCTCATTAAAATGTAAATCAACTACAAGATAAATATAAAATCATCCATGATCTTGAAAAGACACATCTATGACTCAAAAATACATGTGTAAGTGCACATATTTAGTCACTCGTAGATGAGTCACATTTATGCATCTCATTGACATATACCCTATCCGTCCCAGACAATTTTGATATTTTTACCTTTTGTATTTTATGTATATATATAATGATATCTTTATAATTTATATAAAAATTAAAGATATTTTGATATTAATATATTATTATTTTACTATAATAAAAAAATTGATACTTTTGAGTGAACATAAAAAAATAATAGAAAAATACACTTTGACGAATGGAGTAACATACATAAAAATGGCTTACACCACTTCTTTTATCTTCTGTAGCCATATATGTTTAAGGGAAGGATTTAGTTCCAAAATAAAGACTCTATATAATTAGGGTTTTGTTCCCTTGTTTATGTTTGAAGTAGTTCTCTTCTGATATGGTTATTTCTCACCACAGCTTCATGGAATGACTAACAATCTGTGTACATTTGCTGCTTCAGATTCTGCATCCCAAAAGAAGAAGAAGAGGAATATTATCATATCCTGCAGCTCCATTGGGTCAGCAATATGTGCACTGGTAATTTGGTATTTCACAAGAAGATTCATATTAGCTTGCTTCATGACATGTAAACGAGGTACCAATGTGCTTTTTCCTTTGATTAATATTTTTGATATTCAATTCGTTATACTCACTTAATCTCTTGACTAAAGAACTCAAAACATTTAACCTTTTTGTTCTTAATTGACATTGTTTCATTTCATGTACATATGCATAAGTGAGGCTTTGTGTAATTGAGTTCGATTTAATATATTCTCTAGGGCTACTTGCTGGACTTGGAAATAGAGAATCCATGCCGAATGACAACGATGATCAGATTGTCAAGGTATATGATATGGCCACCATATCTGCAGCAACAAATGGGTTTGCCACAGAAAATCAGGTTGGCCAAGGAGGGTTTGGTACAGTTTATCAGGTAATGGCTTGCCATATCATACATACATACATATATATATATATATATATATACTGGGCTCGTTACTGAGTCTCACGGGCTGGGGCAAAAATATAAATTAGGCCTTATTTATTATTAATTATATGTAATATAATTTCTTTTAAAAAGAAGGGGTTCTTGAAAACATTTATAATTTCAATATTTAAAGACTTCTACAAAATATTTATATATTAATTTACAATTTTATTAGATTCGAGGATTTTAAATTGTATTAACTGTAAAGCTATTTATTAAATTTTCAATTGAAAGATGATTATATATATATATTCTAGGGCGAATTACCAGATGGGCAAAAAGTTGCAGTGAAGAGACTGTCGAAAAACTCCCATCAAGGAGTGGATGAATTCAAGAACGAAGTCCACACCATTGCACAGCTTCAGCACCGGAATCTCGTCAGGCTGTTGGGCTGCAGCGCCGCCGGAACCGAACGGATACTTATCTACGAGTTCTTGCCCAACAAGAGCCTCGATCAAATCATATTCAGTAACTCCTCATCCACTTTAATTCCCCTTTTCTCCCTACTTTTCTGTGTTTCACATAATCGATCATGATTAAATTTCTGTAAATCTTTGCAGATCCTGATAGAAAGCATCTTCTGCAATGGGAAAAACGAGCGAACATCATCAAGGGGATTGCTAGGGGACTGGACTATCTTCACTTGGGTTCGAGGTTGAGAATCATCCACCGGGACCTCAAGGCGAGCAACGTGCTGCTCGATGAGGATATGAACCCTAAAATATCCGACTTCGGCCTGGCGCGCAACTGCGAAGGAATGGAGGAAGAAGAGACTACCAAGAGAGTGATTGGAACCTAGTGAGCATATATATATTTACTTCTTTCAATTAGATTGCATTTTCTATCGATAATTAGAATATGTTTTGTCTGATGTATATATGTAGCGGATACATGTCGCCGGAGTATGTGATTGAGGGCCATTACTCTCTAAGATCAGATGTCTTCAGCTTCGGCGTGCTGGCAGTCGAAATCATCAGTGGCCAAAGAAATTGGGGTTTTCATCATCCAGATCACGAGTATAACCTAATTGGACATGTTAGTCAATTAAACCCTAATGTTGTTCTTCATTTGCACCTGGACTGATCAATTATGGCACTGCAATGGTTTACGGGCAATTAATTTATTGAATCGGTGGTGGTGCAGGCGTGGAAGCTGTGGAATGCAGGGACGGCGTCGGAGCTGGTGGATCCTGCGGTGGAAGAATCAGTGGTCATGAATGAAGCCATTCGATTCATCCACGTGGGGCTGCTCTGCGCGCAGCACAAGGGCGACGAGCGGCCGACGATGCCTCAGGTCGTCGGAATGCTGGAGAATGAGAGCATAGCATTGCCGGAGCCCCAAGAACCTGGATTCTTCACGCAGAGATCGGCGGCGGGAAATGCCGGTGCGGGTCTCGCCGCCGGTTGGACCCAGGGAAGCGTTAATGGGCTCACGGTGACGTCCATATCTGCAAGAGAGTGAACGCCGCCGGCCGCCCAAAGAACGTAGCATCCATTGATGACGATGACGAAGCTTAACTGATTAACGAAAGCTTTAAAATTTTGGAAAATTATATAATCTTTTATGTTTGATAATATATATATATATCTGTAGATCAAATCATTGCATAGATTTACAGATATATGTATATATATAGAAATCAAACAACTATAGTCAATTCAATTAATTTGGTATACATTCAATTGCATAATTTACAGATCGAAACCCTAATTTTGTGGCATATAGCCCTAGTTTTGAAATGTCTTCAAATCGCCACATTGATAAATGGACAAGCTAATATACATATAGGAAAGATGTTTTGAGGTTATTGCATAAGAGTTATATGAATAAATCCTAATTTTAATTTATTTAACGTATATGAATCTTTAATATATAATAATTATAAGGTCATGCACGTACTGTAATTAGTGCAATAATTGTTTGTTCATTTCTTTGTAATAATTACTTAATGTTTATGTATTATAAAACATTAATTAATAGTAAATACTTAATAATAAGAATAAAACCTACCCTTAAGGTCTTGTCTCTATTAGGTTTTTGACCTTGGTAGTTTGAATTGATATGTTGCTCGTCAACGTCAAACCAGGAAATGGGCCTGATCAAATGATGATCTTTTGGGCCTCTTCTAATTGACTTACCTCTTGGGCCGGACTGGTTTTCTGGGCTGCTAGACTGTTTCGAACTTCTTGCTCACTCTTTTGAACTAATTAAATTTATTTTCTTAACAAATACTTTTCCTTTGGATTTGATCTTCCTCCATTATCGAGATGGATCAAGAAAAGGCTTTTTTTTTGTGTCTTGCTCGTTTTTTTTTTCTGTGTTTTTTCTCAATTTTTGCAATAGAAAGAAACGAGCATCTAAAATAACATGTTTTGTCTCACCGGGCTTCCATGAAAGACACTGTCAAACCATTTACAGACATGTTTTCTTGTCCTGAGCTCGAGCTAACTTGACTTCGTCCGACGGTGAACGCCGGGTGCCGCGGCGTCGCAAATGAAGCCGGGTCACCGTTCAGCATGGCGACGACATCCACCATTGTTGGCCTATGCAAAGGACTTTCTTGAACACACAGTAGACCTACATGAATGTATCTCACGGGAGACGACGATGGAATTTCCATTCTTGGATCAACAAGCTCCATCACTCTGTCGTTTATCCACAGATTCCACACCTGAACCCGACCACATATAAATCCATAAGCTCTTGCAATAAAAAAACAACATCAATCGAAATTCTAAGCTACTTCAGGTTCTTGATTCAAAAGAAGTTCTTACATGTCCAAGAAGATTAAGGCAGTCCGAACCATAAAACCCGGTGTTCTTCCTTCCACTCACGATCTCGAGCAGCAAAACTCCAAAGGCGAACACATCCGACTTGATGGAGAAAAGTCCCTCCATCGCGTATTCGGGAGACATATAACCACTACACATAAAAATAAGTCGGATTTTTTCATGCAAATGTTCATGCAGATGAATATCCATAAAAAAAAAAAAAAAATACATTTTCATTACTTACTATGTACCGACAATTCGATTAGTATTCGCTTGCAATTTATCCCCACCAAAAATCCTCGCCATCCCAAAATCAGATATCTTAGGATTCATGTCGCCATCGAGCAGAATGTTGCTGGCTTTAAGGTCTCTGTGAACTATCCTAAATCGAGAATACTGGTGTAAATATAGCAGCCCCTGAGCAATGCCTTGGATGATCCGAACACGAGTTCCCCAATCCAATAATTCATCGTTTTCCCCTGTTTTCATTACATCAATGCAGATTCTAGATCAGAACAGAACAGGTAGAATGAGTCCAAATTTCAAATATAAACAATTGCAACTACGATTAAATCACAAACCGAATAGGAAGAAGTCCAGGCTTTTGTTGGGCATATATTCGTATACTAAAATTTTCTCATCTTGTTCAACACAGCATCCTAAGATCCCAACAAGATTCCTATGCTGCAGCTTCGCAAACAGCTCGGTCTCGTTCCTGAACTCCTCCAGTCCTTGCCCGGATCTTCTTGAAAGCCTTTTCACTGCTACAAATTGTTGGTTGAGCAATTCTCCCTAAAAAAAACGACCATGTCCATCCAACTGTCAGGCAAGAGTATCGAACTTATCCATTTAAAAGAACCTTAATGCATACTAAGCAAACCTTGTAAACAGGTCCAAAACCACCTTCTCCCAGCTTGTTGGAGACAGAAAAATTTTTTGTCGCGGAAACTATGCTCGAAAAACTGAAAATAGGCAACTCATATGCACTACTTTCCACTTCTCGACGGCCATTTCTGGCAGAAGCACGCGGTTTATCTGATGAGCTATTTGCACTCAACTCAAGCAGTAATAGATTCTGATGAGAACTCTCAAGCTTGAGGCCTGGGAATCAATTTAAATAGGGTCAAATCACAGAATCGATTGAACCTAACAAAAGCTTCGTTGCAGCGCAACTAAAGATCGCAGTACCTTTGCTTCTTTTCTTCCTCCACAAATAAAATGAGCAAGAACATAAAAGCATCAATGCAGCAGCAATGGGGAGGGCTATAGCAAGAGGACGTACATTCTTCTTTCCTGGCATCAAGAAAATGTCGGATTACTACATTGCAGTTCCTGCTAGTGTAATAGTAATCAGAAAGCTTCTCACCCTTACCCTTAACAGTCGAATATAAGTTGGTAACGTTCATTTTGACAAATAGATCATTAACTGCAGAGCCAAATTTCGCCGGCCGCTGCAAATCCAACATATCTGATGCATACAATAAACAGCCTCCCTTGCTGCTGTAAGCATAGGCATTGCAAGAACAATTCACCGAACACGCAAACCGGCAAATGTTGGACATCCCGACTGCCAAGAATGAAGGATTTGCAGGCAACCTTAAACCCGTTACTTTCTCATACCCTGCATCACTCTCAGTACATGGCAATTCAACTTTTCGAACGCAACCATTGGAATTGTCCATTGACACCCATTCTTGATTGTTTCTTGGCACAAATCCAGGCAAACATTGACACACTGGAGTACGGTTTATATCACAAAATGCATTCGCCCCGCATCTGTTATACTGCTCGCAAAAGTCTCGAGGTGAGTTAACGAATAGTATCCAAGAATTAGAAGAAGAACTCCATACCAGAAGCCTGAACAGTCCTTCAGTAATTAATTGTAATCTAGAAATGATCGAATCATTCAGAAGATTATACATAAAAAACGCCGAATTATCCGTCGAGACAAAGGTAAAATTGTATGGGCCTGGGAGGGGAACAGAAGGAAACTGCCCGTCTTGCAAAACGCCACTCCGCCATACCTGCGACCGGTTCTTCAGCATAAAGATTTCAGCGCCGCCGCCGGAGTTTCGATCCATTCCTAGAGAGTAAAGGCCCGGCGAGGGGTCGGACGGATTCTGCCAGGAAACAAGTCGGGCTTCTTCATCACTGATCTTACTGTATCCCACTCTCCCACCAGGCAGCCAAGTGTCCGTCGGGTTATCGAAGCTCTGCCATATCAGTCCTGAAGCGTTTCTCAAAACAAAATTCCCTGAATCTAAAAGCACAGCCTCACTTGCATTTGAAGTTTTGAGTGCCCAGACAACTTGGGACGAGCCATCGAAAAGGTTTAGACGGCCTCCAACCAAATCCAATCGCGAATTGTTAGCAAGCGCGCTGGGAATGGGATTGTTCCTATTCGCGACCCAGACAACTGTGCGAATCGGTATGTTTCGGTACCATATTCCTACGTATCTGCTGGTGGAATTGTCGGGGGAGAAGAATCCCAAACTAAACTTATTTCCTATGGAGTTGAGTGTCTGATCTGATAAGAGCGATTGTCCCTCTAATATGATGTCGGATCCGCCGCAAGGACTGGTGGGAAAGACGATGGAAATGCAAAGCAGGTGTAGAATCCATCTGAATCTGAACGTCATTGATTACTTGAACGAGAGGCTTCTGAAGCTGAAAACATCGAAGAATCAATCAACCCAAATAAGAAAGCTCTCATTGAATGATTTATGGAGTTACTTGATTGGCCAGGAATATTGGATCATCGTCTACATTCTTGCTTCATCCAATTGATTACCTTGAGAGTTTTGACCAGTGTGGCTTGTAGGATCCTCCAATCATTTTGAGGGAAAATATTTTTGTTGTTTCGAATCAGTCAACAATGGCGGATGACACGTATGCCGACCAGAGAATAAGATAAGGAAGTCAAATTGATTTGTGCCCATCGATTGCTGAAGGTATCGGATAAATGCAACGCCTCGGAATAAATTTTTCTTGCTTAATTTTCAAATCGACATTATTGAAGTTTCTTTGCTGGATCTTCTACCAAAACATTAGATTCCACACCATTGATGGATTAGTGGTAACATATGCCATGAGTTTCTGCTTAATTCTACCAATGCTATTGCAGACAGAGTTTCTGCTTATAATCACAAGTCCAAGAATGTTTATTTTAATATTTCATATGATGAAGCTCAAATAAAAGCAAAGAAAATGTCAAAGGATTGTAATAGCAAGAGTTGCAATTCATACAAAATATTAAAAAAAATATAGAGAGTGAGCTCATTCTACAAAATTGTCTTCACCAAATCACAAGTATATCTTCTGAGTATATATAATATAGCAGGGGCATAATGTTGGTTGACTTATGGCACAAATATACAATTAATTAAGGATTGTATGACTTCATTTATATCTCATTGAATGTATGGTATCTTCAGAAAATTGCGGTTGTAAATAGATTATGTAGAGTTGCAGAGGCTAATGGTTGTTTTGGAATAACATTTCAAACAAATACAAATTGTTAGGTTGTGATGGAGAAATCAAATAAATGATCGATATTGGTGGTGTGTGGCTAATGGCTAAAGACTAAAATCTGTGCAGTTAGTGGTCCATAGTTGAAATTCCCCTTTGTTTCCGGCAAAAGAAACCGACAAACATCATCACTCTCCGTCAGAATTCACCCTATCACCAAAATATTTTTCACTAATTTACCCTCACTGCATTAATCCATTTATGCTTCTTCACTGCTCATTTCCAGTCCTACGGCAAAGCCCCCTTTTTCCAGAATGCTCCATTAAAACAGCTTCTCGAGAATAATGGAAATTATAAATAATAAAGTTGCATTCTTGGGTATGTAGAGAAAGAGTGGATCTTGGAAGCACCATAAAGACTTTTGGGTGAATCTGGGCCGTTGGAAGTAGGAAGTCTACTCTGTGAGCGGTGGAGATTTTGGTGGGAGCTGGGGACCCGGAGTTGCCAAGAAAAGAAAAGACGAGTAATGCCGTCATTGACAAACGCGCAGAGACAGCGGCAGCAATCTAATTCGTAATCAGAGAGTCACAGCCTCACATTAATCTTCTCAAAGTCACCTCCCAAAATCGGCCCTCGAAAGTTAAAGGTGAGACCTTGCGAACCCTCGTCTTCCTTGTTCATTTTTCTTTTGGTGGAAAGAAATGGCAGCAGAGTTGCCGGACGACTTCAAGTGCCCGATTTCGTTGGAGGTAATGGCTGACCCTGTTATTCTATCATCGGGTCATACCTTCGATCGCGCTTCAATTCAGCGGTGGCTGGACGCCGGCCACCGTACCTGTCCGATTTCCAAGCAACTCTTGCCGGAGCCCCTTTCACTCATCCCCAACCACGCCCTGCGCAGCCTCATTTCTAATTATACACTCGGGTCTTTGCCACAACCGCAAACCCAACCATTTCCTCCCAGCCCACAAACCCTAATCCAGCTATTGTTTTCTCCTTCGTCTTCCTTGGAGGATAAGATCATCTCTCTCGACAAGCTCAGCAGGATTTCCAAGCACGACTCGGCGATTCGGCGCCGACTAGCAGAGTCTGGGGCGGCATCCGCCGCTTTGAACTGTGTCGGCTCCGGCGAACGGGGGCTCCAGGAAAAAGCCCTTCATTTGCTCCTCAATCTGAGCCTGGATGACGACAGCAAGGTGGGGCTTGTGGCGGAGGGGATCGTTGGGAAGATTGTTTACGCGCTTCGGTTCGGTGTTGGTGACTCACGCGCCGTCGCGGCTACAGTGTTGACCAGCCTCGCCGTGTTGGAAGTTAACAAGGTTACCATCGGATCTTACCCAGATACAATTTCGAGCTTGGTGTTTCTCCTCCACGACGGCAATTCGAGGGAGAGGAAAGAAGCGGCCACCGCTTTATTCACTCTCTGCTCTTTTCCCGACAATCGAGTTCGAGCAATTCAAAACCAGGCCGTCCCAATTCTAATCGAGAATGTCAACTCCGGCCTCGAGCGGGCTGTCGAAGTTCTAGGCCTGTTGGCAAAATGCAAACTTGGGCGCGATGACATGGTGAATTCTGCTGGACTGTTGGATATTCTGATCGACATTGTGAGGAATGGGAACTCCAGGGGCGTGCAATACGCCCTGTTAACATTGACCTATCTCTGCTGTTACAATGAAACCATGGCTGTGGAAGCTTTGAAAGAAGGGCTGTTCGAGACCTGTGTCGGCTTATTGGAAGATGACAATGAGAAACTTAGGCGCAATGCCAACAATTTGATTCAGATATTGCAGGGGAGGAGAAAGGCTGTATGATTTTCTAGAATCTTGAAGATGCAATTGATTTGAGTTGAGGTGAGGTATAAAGAGATTGTAATTTGATGAGAATTGCATCTTGGAGGTTGAACAGGTAGTTTTTGTCAATGTTTTTTCCAGTTCTTGGATAGATTTTTTGTACAAAGAATGAAATACTTCAAAAAAAAAAAAAAAAAAAAGGATTTCATGTTCGTTGGATGGATTTTTTCTGTTTTTTTTTTTTTTGTGATCAATGGAGACTTGAGGCGTCTTCCTAAAGTGACTTCTTCACGAATGGATCTTATTTTATTAATTTGTGATTGGGTAGGCACATGTGCAAATCTGCAAGGGGTAATATTATTATAATAGTAGAGATTTGAGTATATCTTGTCCTGATTCTGCCATTTTTGTATTTCGAACTTTCTATGGAGCATGTGCTTGCATTTAGCTACTTACATTGGTAATGTTAGTCTTAAGACTGCAATAATGCAACTCTGCAACTAATTCATAGGAATGATAGTACTGATTTGTACAGAATAGTGATCGAGACTCCGGTGATGTGTATTAGTTTCAAGAAGCAGCTGCTTGAGTTGTAAAGATTTAGGTTGTTGTATTTATGTGCTTACAGAAGGCATCACTGACGAATGGCTTGCCCAATTAGGTACTCTGCAATTTCTCAAACCTGCAGCTGTTTAAGAATCCATGTTCTGTTTTAGATTGTCTTGATCTTGTTGGTTTTTCATGTTCATTATCTTTAGTTCATTACCTAGTTGTGCTCTTGAATTTTTGTTTGTTTCTCATTTAAGGGTGCAATTATTTCCACCCCAAGTGTTCTGTTACAGCTTACAATGTGTTGTTAAAGTGATGCAGTTGCAGTTCTATTCTGAATGAAGACATTAGGAGCCTTCTTATGGTGTGGTACAGACAAAATGTTCCATTCCGAAGGTACAATTCTTATAGATTGGTTCTTTTAAGTTGCAAGTGTTTGTTTCGCCGGCCAGAGTGCATTCCTATCATCATTACATTCTGTATGGGTGTCCTAAAATAGAAAACCTCGAAACCATACCGCGCACAACACTAGCACATGATAGTGGCCCCTCCGGCTCCATTCCTTCTTTCTATGTTCTAAAAGCGGCTCCACTTGCGCATATGCGAGTATGGCAGGGAATGTTAGTGCTTCTCTTTACATATGTTTGTGAATAGCAATTAGTTCATGCAAATCTAGAATGTCGAATGGAAATCTTTAGAGCCATTTCTTGACTGGGAAATTTGCTTCTGGGGCAGGCGATAGCTCTTGTTAGTTAGACCTCTGAATTAACTTTTACCGAATGGCAAAACTATTTGTCGAATATAGAAAGCCAAAGGAAAGGCAGTCGAATGCATTGTCTCGGACGAGACGATGCTTCTGCCTAACTTCCCACTCAATCAATGAATGCCATTTCTGATTTTAGAAAACCTAACAAAATCTGCCTGTGTTGAAATGAATATACTGTCATGGATCTTTGTTCATTTCCTCGAAAATGATCATCCTGCCTTTATTACATGTAATTCTTATGTTGTGTATGGACTCTTTCATACACCCACAATGTCGGGCCTTGGCGAGTATGGCACCTGTCAACAAAAACAGTTCCATATCTCACTTACCAAATATGTGGCTTGAGGATGATCGACGCAAGGTCCTAAAGTGATCGAGGATTGCTAAGAACCAAAGCCGGAAGGAGGCGGCCAAGAGACAAAGCTAAGTTCATTAGTGGAACCTCTCGGAATGTTCTGGAACCCTCTGGAATGAGTTAAGAGTACTGTGACTAAGTCCGTGCTTATTCGATACACTAGACTTAATAGTCGATAGTTCTTATTCAATGGTAGATAGACTTGGATCTATGTTAGGTCCGGCCCATAATAATGTCTCTATATAGGAGAGTCACCATAACCATCTCTTAGTGAGTTCATTTAAGTTTCTTTGTTTTTGCTTTTTAGTACTTTTGTGTTAACATTGCTAGCTGTACTAGAAAGGTTCTCGAGGGTGTTGGTGTTCGATCCGAATTCATTACACATGAAAGAAATGGAAGTTCGGCAACATATGTTCAACATCAAAATGTACAAAAAGTTGATCTGGCAAACTAAGAGAATGCGAGAGGTTCCTTTTCTCATTTCTTCATCGAAAAGATGAGCACAAAATGAAAAAGCCTTATCGACCACCTCCAAAAAGACAACAAACAGCTGGGGGAAAAAAAACACGAGGTAAGAACATGCCATGATTACTGATTAGCCAAAATAGCTAAAGGCATCAAGTGAGCATGGCCTTTTACCTTGATGTGTTACTGCTTTTCAGTCGTCCATTAATCGAATAAACCTTCAAATATTTCACGAAAGAATTCATTCATGATGCCCTTCGAGCCATCATTGTCGAAAGATTATAAAAGCAGCACGCGCCGTGCCATTTTGGTACGAAGAATGCCAACCAAAGCACTTAATTTAGATCTCTCAGTTTCGCTTTATTTTCAGGTTAACGGGTGAAGAAACTTATTCGTGTTCGTTGTCGAGACAGAACACTGTAATGTACTGGAAAGGTAGCAAATTAAAACAAGTTATGTCAATCAGTTAGCAACCAAAGGTAGAAGAAAACAAACGGCCTGTGTCGTCTAGAAATGGTTCTTATTCGGATAAAAAGTGCACGCAAAAGTGCCATGGGATATATACTTGCTGGCTTATATTCCTGTATTGGAGCATCCTTGTTGCTTGAGTAAATTATCCTCGGATTTCAGACCAACTTGTATGTTGAGCTTATACTGTAATAATTGTGGTTATTCGAACAAATCGATCATGAATTTTACACTAAATCAAATGGAATTCAACTTTTTCTTCAATTAATTAATCGAGAGAAACTGGAACTAATTAATACACATATCCATATCATATGGAAGCTGCTAAATTCAGCACTTATAATAAAATTGATGGTTCGTGTGATTGTTGTGTTTGTCCTATATATATATATATATGTATGTATGTATATATAATTGTATGAATTTTGGGGTATGGCCCAGGATGGGGCTGTCTTTCTTGGACGGCCACTTCTTTCCCTTCTCTCTCTCTCTCTCTCATGTTCCTCTCTGTCATGCTTTTCTTGAATATATACTTTAGACAACACAAAAAATGTGGTTGTAATTGTTGCAATAATTTGTATCTAAACAGCACATTTATGTCCAAAAGAAATCACTTTAGAATTATAGTAATTGAAATCATCAGTCTATTTATATATATGTCTATAATTTGAAGCTCCCTCCGAACGAAGGATTCCAGAAATCTGTAGCAGCACCGGCGACGGGGAAGGTGCTTGATATGGGGACAAGACATAGCCCTCCACTTCTAAGATCTTCAATCACTTGTTGCTCTTCTTCGTTCAGTTTATGGTCGGTGATTTGTGGAGATCCGTTTTTCAAGTACGGTGTACACAATGCCTGAATTGGACAACATTAATTTCGACGACGTTAGAACTGCAGAAGAATTTACAGCTCAAAGAAGAGGGCTTGATTAAAAGGTAGTGGACATTGACTTACGCTGACTTGATCGTGGAGAAACCTTATGTATTCGATAGCTTCGTGGAGAACTGATGCAGTATCAGTCTGTAAGAGAAAAAATAAATAAATATAAAGATTATGTGGAATGAGCACTGATCAATATTTTGTAATTTTAACCAAATCTTTACCTTTCCGAAAGGTGAAACCAACTGCTGGAGGGCAGTGATTCGGTCCCCAAGTTTCTCTTTTCGAACCTGTTGAAAAAGGAAAAAAAGAAGAAACCGCAATCTTGTCACCAATTCCTTGTGTAAATTAATTATGAATTCTCGTGTCTGCTGTTTTACCTTAAAGGTTGGCAATGGCGATGGAGTTTCGATTCGTGGACGCTTTGGTGTAGTTTCATTACAGCCCTTTTTGGCCGCCGAAGATACGCTCCCACCTGCTTCATTTTGACGCTGTAAAAGCATCGAACATATTTCCTCCAAATCAGTCAAAACCCTAATCCCCAAAAATTTTAAAATAAAGAATAACCTTAATCATGATCATATATATCACCGACCTTTGTATTGAAGCTGGGAAAATCATTGCTGTTGGTGTTGTTAATTGGTGATGAAAGATACTTGGGCTGTGTCGAAGCTTGAAAGCTTCCATGATCGTCACTCATCAAGGCCGCAGCAGTGTTGTTCCACAAGGGCACTTGATCAGCAAAGTGTTGTTTTCCAAATGTTAGATCATCGACCGGCGGGACTTCCGGCAAGAATTCCGGCGTGGTTTGAAAGTTTGAGTAGTTATTCATGGCGTGGTTTTCTAACAAAGATTGCTGATTATCAGATTGTTCGGAATCGAAGAGGGTTTGCAACAAGGAGGAAGCACATGTGTACGAGGTTGGATTCAGAGGAAATCCGCCGGCGGCGGCGGCGGCGGACAGCCGTTGATTACAGTATGTTTCTGAGCATTGATCAGAAGAATTGGGATTGCAAGAAATTTGAGTGTAGTCGACCTCGACCTCAATCCCCGCAGGTTCTTGCAGGATGTCGCCATAACTACTCTCATCGGATCTTCTTGTAGTACAACAATCATGTCTGCAACACAACACGACAAGCAATTATATACATGGATAATCCTAATTGCATCAACGGATCGATCAATTCAGTTTTCAAGTTCTTTTGCATATGATTACAAGGACAAAGAGGCAAATTAGTGGCACAGGGAGTAGTGGTGGGACAACAACACATGTAATTGATTTCTTTGTTCAATTATTACCAGAAACAACACATAACTAAACTTAAAAACCGTACCAAGATCGAACAGTCCCCAAATTAAGACAAACTTACAGCAAATCTTGATTCCAGTCATGGATAGAGTTAGAGGTGGACGATTGAAGGACACCAATTTCCATCATTGACACCGGCGGGCCGCCGGTCGAAGTATTCTGAACGTTATGAAGAATCATAGAACCGCCGTCGCCGGCGGCGGCGGAAGGTGAACCGGCCAAGGCATGATGACCCGGCCGATCTTTGGCGGCCGGATCAGGCCGGTGCCAGCCGAAGGTTCCAACCTCGTTTCTTTGTAAGGAGCAGGGAGATGAACCGAAGAAATTACTTCTGTAAGAATCCCACCAGCTTCCTCCACATACTCCCCCTTGAAATTCCTCCGCCATAGCCGCCGGTTCCGAGGTTTTGTTCTTCCTGTTTAACTGCGTTTTGCTCTATCCTGCCACCGTTGACGAGGTAACTGAATGCAATGTCTGCCGCTACATATATATATATATATATATATAGAGAGAGAGAGAGAGAGAGAGAGAGATTAGATAAACGGGTAAGATATGAGAGAGCGAATGTACGGACAGGTGGATTAGGCCACAGGAATCATATTTGGCTACCCCTTACTGTAATTAAAGAGCATTATTATTAACACCAAAACATTATTACAATAACTATACTCAATGATTTTTTTTTTAATTTTTTTTTTTTAAGGTTTGGAACTATTAAAATAAACTAATTACTACTATTTATTTATCTTGAACATTGATGCGATTTAATTTATATTTTTTCAATTTATGTCAATAAAGATGGGTGTATTAATTTTGATAGGTTTATTAAGTATTGCTGGATTGGGTAGCTGCTGCTGCAATTCGGGTTAGACGTCTTGGATTAGTTTAATAATTTAATTTAAGGGGATCCACAAAAGTTTCCAACTTGCTAATAAATTAAATTAATTAATTTACACGTCAGCGTTAGGACAAAGGATGCACCTTTTTTTGCTGCTATAATTTTGAGGGCCGCAAATTATTTATTTATAGAGACCTACCGGAATTTGAGGACCATTTCCAGCATTATATATAATTTATCTTTTTTTTTATTTATTTTCAGTTTGATATAAATAAATAAATAAATATATATATCTTGAAACTAAATAGTTGTTTTTATTATGATTATTTATGACCAATTCTGACCAAATGATTAATTAAACACCTCATCGACAAGATGGTTATGTGTGTCCCGATTCGGTGGTTTTGATTCATTCCGAACAAGAAAACAAAAGTCAATCCGTAATTTAAAATTTAATTGGCTATGACTAATCCACCAATATTTTAATAATAACCATTTAAAAAAATATACAGTAAATTTGGACAGAAAAACTTGGCAGAGTGATGAATGATATGTTCCTTAATCATAAATCCTTCCATCATAATTAACGAGGCACGTTTTCTGGTACAAACGTGTTATTCCCCCAAGTCAACGTTTGACTTTCTCGAGGAACGTAGTTGAAATAGCTTAGAAAGTTGACCTGACCCGCATGTTGGCATCACACATTTTATTTCATAGTTAGGCCTGTCACATAGTTAAATTTACTTCAGGGTTTAGAGTTAAATAAAAATAATAATTTGACAACGGTCATTTTGCTGATATACAAAGGGTGTCTTTGGTTGGAGGATTTACTTTCAATTTTACTGTTCATCCAATTTTTTTGTTTATTTTTTTTAAAAATATCAAATCAAAACACCTATTTTTTATTTTTTATATTATACTAAAAATTAATTTTACATTCAAAACATCATATCAACACCTATTTATATCACATTATATAATTATTCCAATTCAAAAATTTTACTAAATGTCAGTTTAAAATCCAAATCCCAAAACAAACACACCCAAAATATGTAATAGAAAAATATACAACATAAAAATTATGTTAATATAAATTCAAACGCTTAACGCATAATATAAACATAACATCATACAATATATAAATAAATACTACATATATTATATTAATATAATATGAAATCAACATATGAACTGACAATAGATAAAATAGTCTCACACAATTTACATGTTACAGTTCATTTAAAAATAAAATTTATATCAATATTATACACATGCATATTTCAATTATTGTATTAAATACAAATTTATATTATTTTATTATTATATATTATTTTCATGTGATTCTAACGATTTTATTTAATTTTTTGTCATTTTATTTTATATTAAAAATATTTATATATTTTTTGCATAAATATTATAAAATATTAATAAAAATATTTTTGTAATTTTTTTAATTTAGATTATATTTTTATATAATATTTAATATTAAAAAATCAATGTGAAAAAAAATAAATAAAATTTTTAGAACCAGACAATCAGCATGTGCTAACTAAAAATACTTCCTCCGTTCCGAAACTAAATATCAATTTGTTTTTTGCACATAATTTTAGAAATATTAGTATTATAGAGGGATATAGTAGAAATAAAGTAGAAATGACTAAATTAGGATATGTGATATAAAATGAATGACATTTATGTAATATATCGTAAACTGTAAGGGTATTTGTAATGCTACGAAGATAATACAGATATTTAAAAAAAATGAATAGTTCATTATGAGACGGATTAAAATGAAAAAGTGAATCCTTTATGAGACGGAGGAAGTATATACTATTATAACAACTTGCTCGAAATTGACATCTAAATATTTAAGAAAATGAATTCATTTTCACTACTATACTGTCGTGAGTATATTTAAATCGGTCAAACATGGGTCCCACATCGGCGCACGCGCGCCACCCAAATAAAGAAATTGATTTTGGACCGTTGGATCTATAGCCATCAAAATCTTGCATTAACGGTGGGGAAGTGTTTAGAAGATAAGGCCGTGTTTGGATTGCGGGGAATAAATTATGGTAAATATAAGTATTTCAGTGAGTATTTATTGATTGAGCTACAGGTACTCGACTTCGAGAATGGGTTCCAATGTCTAATTTATGGGCTTTATATTATTTTATTTTTAATTTATTTATTAAGAGATAGTCATAGTGGCCACTTTCATTTGTCACACCCATCCACTCCCTGGACTTATGTCCTTGTCCTCTTGCATATCTGGAATTCTTTTCCTTCGTACTGTGAAATCCCCACATTGCCCCTCTAAACACGCCTATCTATCTTCGATACATATATACTAACTCTTATGTGTATGTATATATACAGACATTGATTCTTGAACAATTTATTTTTATGAAGTAGATATGACGTCACCTTGACGCGCATGGATGAGGTGCCGCTTTGCCACGTGGCGGGCAATGTCGGAGCCAGTGGCGTTGGCAGTAGCAATTATCATTAAACAAAATAAAATAAACGCATATATAAATTAAAGTATTTATATTTTATATACATATATATATATATATATGTGGTTAGAAAATGACAAATCTTTGTTCCGTTTCTTATATTTTTCATTCAATTTTTTTTTTTTTTTTCTATATTGTATTGTAAATCTGTAATGATGACATTTGGGCATAAAATGAGATTTATTTAATTTAATTTAATTTAATAAAATATAGTTACTACTTTATATTTGTGTGTTGACTTATTAGTTATAGAATCATGGAGTTGAGAGGCGTGTTGAACCTACTCTTTTTATTTTATTTTTTTTAAATTAATTTATCACAGCCCTCCCTCTTTATTTTTATTTTTGAAAATATATTTGTGTAATAATATAGGTCACGTTTTAAGACCAGCAGTTTGCCTAAAACACTATTGCAATTGTAATGTAAGCTACAAAACGACAACTCTGCAATCGTTTAGTTAGAATCCCAATTCCCCAACAACACTAAACCCTAATCATTCCAAATTTATATATATATATATATATATCTTAATTATTGGATTGGAAAAGAGTAGTAGTAGTTTGCAAGCAAGATAGGTAACAAAAAGTCAGGGGTCAAATATTACTAAATTTATATTAAATTAAACAAAATAAAACATCGTCACATATCTTTTTGTGCTGGGTTTTCACCTAATCTTGTAATTAATTAAATATAATTATGTATAAATATATATGATATATATATATATCGGTTGAATATGTTGGTTGGTTGACCTGTGAGGTCTGCTGGATTTTGGACCAACATATAAAAATAATGTATGTAGTTATATTTAATTGGAATATTATTTCAACCTAAAAATTTTTAATATATTGAATTTGGAATGTTTTTAAATTCTGTCAATCATCTACTAATTGACAATCATCGTTGGTCAACCACCCTTTGACTAATTGAATTTGTGGAAAATCTAATTTGGGTGTAGGGTTTTTGTAAAGGTTGGCTAGGCTAAGTGATATTGGGCCTAATTAAAATTAAAGCCCAAATAAGTTACTTCAGGGTAGGCTTTGATTAGAATAATTTATGGGCCTATATAAATTTCTTAATGGGCCATGATTGGCCCATTAAATACAATAAAACGCAGAGAGATTTTTCCCCTTCATTTTCGTCGTCTTCCTCACAGTAGAGCTATGGCGACTCTGAACCTCTCGGTACTTCCCAAAACCCTAACGCCAGTCACTAGAAATCTGAGTACTCTTCTTTCGTTTCCTTCGTCATCTGTTCTGTCCTTCGTCCCGTGCGTATCTCCTAGCTCGATTAGGTCAACAAGTGTGAATTTGTCGGCCACGAAGGCGCTGGCCAATGGGGATTACTCCTCGAGAAGAAACAGCGGTAGTGAGGAGAGGGAGACGATAATGCTGCCCGGTTGTGATTACAATCACTGGCTCATTGTCATGGAGTTCCCCAAAGACCCTCCTCCCACCAGGGAACAGATGATTGACACCTACCTCAACACTCTCGCCACGGTTCTTGGCAGGTTTTTAATTTTGCTTCAAACTTTTCCTTTTATGTTCTTGGACTCTTAGATAATGATCTCGCTACTTTGCCGTTGTCTTGAATTTATGGTGCCATTATAAATTATGCTTGTATACATAGGCGTAAACTAGCTCGGATTCTTGTGTTTCTGTATCTTACTTCTCTCATTTTAATCGGTGGGATACTGTCCTTTTTCTATTTTCCTGTTTCTGATGACCCTCCCGAGGATTAAGAATTTGTTAATCTTGCTAATAGTTCTAGATGCTTGAATGGTTGCAACGTGAAATTTAGAAGAATAGCATCTCAAGGAAATCATGTCGTACCTTGTGTGCAAGGAAGTTTTTAGCATTGTCGACAATCTCACGTTTGGTTTGAAATGATCTATGTTAGCATGGAAGAAGCAAAGAAGAATATGTATGCATTTAGCACCACTACATACACAGGGTTCCAGTGCACTGTGTCTGAAGAAACATCAGAGAAATTTAAGGGTATGCCCTTCAGTATATAACTCTACCTTTTCTTGTCTCAACACTGGTGTTCTCACGACAAAAATGGTTTTTTTTTTTTTTTATGCTTCTTTATTTGTAGGTCTCCCTGGTGTTTTATGGGTCTTGCCTGATTCATACATAGATGTCAAGAACAAGGATTATGGAGGTTTGCCGCTTTTCGTTTTCTTCTGAAATCTTAATGTGAAAGCTTTCTTATAAAATCGCTTACTGGTTATTACTCCTCTTTGAATTCATAGGAGATAAGTACATTAATGGAGAGATAATTCCTTGCCAGTACCCTACGTATCAACCAAAGCAATCTAAAAGTCCGAGAAGCAAGAGCAAAGCTTATGTAAGGCAGCGAGATGGCCCTCCTGCCGAACGAAGAAAACCAAGAGATCAAGCCACTCCAGAATCGGCCTCTTGATTATCTCTATGTAATGTAAGCTCACATCTCCCTTGATGATGAATGAATTCATAGTATCCTTTAATCTCTAACTCATGTTGGATAATGATGCCCTTAATTCTTAGTTTTCCCCTAAAATCCTCGAACCTTCTGCCCTGAGTTTGTTCATCTATATTCAATTAATTTGTTCTCAGGTTGCAGATGGTGTCATCAGTTCCAAACTGTGGATAGTGTTCTTACCTTGGTCAGTTTTCAAAAGACTGGGAACCATTAGCCAATCCCATATATCAAGATTGTATAACCAGAGGAGCTCTACAGCCATGGAGAGAGTTTAATAGTTACACTGCTGTCTGAATATGTAATCTGGAAGTGCCAGTGATGTTCTACTAGCTAGAATTTCTCAAACAAGATTACCATCAATGTCACAGATGAATTTACAAACTTTGAAGTCTGAACCTTGCAGAACAACTTGATTCACTTTTCTACAGCAATAGTGTTCTTGGATTTCTGAGGAAGTTGACTTGTCCTAATCACGATCTGACGTCTGTGCTTGTCTTAATAATCAAACACAAATGATCCACTTTCAGAAAATGCCCTATGCCATACCTATCCCTAAAATGGTACCTAACCTCACCCCAATTGGATAAGAAGCTAAGAACTCACTGGCTGAAATCAAACCCTACATTTTGCAGTGCCTAAATTTATATCCCCATTCTTGAAAAACCCTTTCTGCAAATTCTTCCAGAATGGCCTTCAATGGCGATGATGAACATTTCCACTGGGCTCCCTACAGCCTTGCCTATGGCAATTCACCTCTCGATGAATTTGGTGAGTCTGATTACAGCCATACAGATCGTTCTTTCAAATCTCTATTGGACTTTGATTACTCTTCGTACAATTCCTCTGAGCCCAAGTCACAGTACGATCCCTATGATTATGGGTTCTTCATAAATCAGCACCAAGTGGGCTACAGTGACGCTAGGTATCTGCAATACGAGCCGCCGGTTTCTGATCGGAGTTATCATTTTCCGGCGGAGACGATTTTCCGAATCTCCTATTCTGAATCGCCGCAGCAGTTCAACGAACCTGAATTTGAAGAATATGATCCAACTCCTTACGGCGGAGGGTACGATATTGCTGCTACCTATGGTAAACCGATTCCCCCTTCGGATCTCATCTGCTACCCTCGTTCTCAGCCCCAGTCCGGCGGCTTCCCGCCGGAGAATTTCTCATATAATTCCGTTCCTCCACCGTACGGGAAACGGGAAGACGACGATCTTCCGAAAGCTGGGGACAAATCAATTGGGGCAGAACCTGTTGCCGAAGCTCCTGTTGCCGGTAAGGCTGCCGGCGTTGACTCCGCCGATGTAATTTCCTCCGGTGATGATTCTTGCCGAAACGGATTCGAGAATGGGATCGGGTATGAGAGGCAGATTGATCGAATTCCGTACGGAGCTGGTTTAGAATCGATTGATCTTTGTGAGAGTATATTTGGGCATTGGCCATGTTTGGCCAAGATTGAACAGCAGCAGCAGCAAAGGGCTAAATGTCTGGAAGATTATGATCGAGAAAGAAGAATGGATCCGTGGAAGAGTGCAGCAGATTATCTGTTCGGAGCTCCGGCGATGTACGGCTACGGAAGCTATCATCATCTCCAGCAAGAGGGTGCTGAAAATCCATGGCTGTAATGAAAATATCTTCAGATTATTACATTATTAACTCTTCCACCATGTAATTTTATTGAAGTCCAGTTGAATAAGCAATCATCAGTGTGTATTGTCTTGTTGGCTTGCATTTGATGAGGCAAGAAAACAGAGGTTAAGACAAATGATCAAAAAGGGGAACAATTATAGGCCAAGTTGATGACAGGTACAACCACCACCAAAAAGAACAAATTGGGATGATTAATATGGATCAAGAAATGGACAAAAATGCTCATTACTACCCAAAGGCAAGTTGGTATGAATATCATTGAAAAGCTACCATTAGTCCCCAAAAATGTTTGTTTTATTAACTGTCCACTTTCTTGTTGATTTTCCAGGGGATTTGATTAATCAACAAGTTTCTTCAGGAAAACTGTCCATATGCAGAATCTGGTCACGAGAATCTCATGGGAAATGGATCTTCTTCTTCCAAATTACCTGCTCGTTTACTGTAGTGATACTAAAGCTTAATATTATAAACAGCCTGTGAATACAACACTGCCAAACTCCTTTAATAGCAATAATTGGAGACATGTGGAGAGAAAGAAATCATTATCGAAGACTCTTCTGTATATATACATATATATAGAAGAAACACTTCAGAATCTTGTAATCCTGTTATGGCTATGATGTTGAAATTTCTGCTATATCTGTTGGTCTTTCGTTTGGCTGCAGCTGCATCTATGTCCATTCATGATCTGCTAAAAAGCAGGGGATTGCCAGCCGGGCTTTTTCCGAGGAATGGCGTAAAATCCTATGAGCTCGGGGAAGATGGGCTGCTGCAAGTCTACTTGGACAGGCCTTGTGTCGCCAAGTTTGAGACGAGAGTGCATTTCGACAGTGTTGTGACAGCAAATCTTAGCTATGGGGGATTGATTGGAGTTAAGGGACTGTCTCAAGAAGAGCTGTTTTTGTGGCTGCCTGTTAGGGACATCATAGTTTTCGATCCTTTGTCTGGGCTTATTTTGTTCGACATTGGATTGGCTTACAAACAGATGTCCTTTTCGCTGTTTGAGGAACCCCCCGTCTGCAGTCCTCAAGGTAAGAAAGATCCAAGATAATCGTTGCATAATTTATATGTCATATCCATCTGAAGCCAATTCGCTCATCTCGGCCATGCAGGTAGACTCTCGGAGGAGAATCCTCGCCATGATTCGGATCATGAAGTTCAGAGATGAAGTTTTGAATTATATGGAATCCTGCTGCAGCCTAGGTCTGTTATTGTTGCTATTACCATTTTCTGTTTCTTGTCATCGATTTGCAGAATGTTTCGAAAAGTTAAGAAGGAAGAGTGATGTTTCCAAGCATATTGGATTTCGATGTTGTATAAAGTTAAAGATGTTACTAACTTTTCGAAGCTCCCAATGCATCTTTACTAATCTAATCTTTCGCGTTACTACAACATTTTTGGTTTAAATGTTTGGTTATTGATTGTTTGTTCTTGCGATCAAAATGACAAAATTTTCGATGGAAACTTAGTCCTACATGTTGTGAATAATCTCGAGCAGGAAGTTTTTGATCTTGTCGGAATCGGCCACTCCTCCGAGAATCCCCTGCCAATTCGAAGAGCTCATTAGGTAGTTCAAATATCTATATATATATATATATATTTATGATTTACCTCTGCAAATGAAGTGACGAGAACGACACCTTTGGATGTAGTAACGTTGGTGTTTGTAAGATCAAGTCCGAGGCTGCTCATGGCCTCGATCAGCTTAGTAATGGCTCCTCTCTTCTTGTTGAACAAAATCTTTATCCATAGCTTCGTCCCTCCTACATGGAGGACTTGAACATCTGGCTGCTGCTTAATTAATTAATCAATCGATCAATCCACAAAAATCATCAATTACGATCATATGTAGTAGATTTGATCATACAGTGAGTTCATAGTTGATCTTCTCTTGCGCCTCAACGATGATCTCTTCAGACTTGCTGTCGTCTTCGTCTTCACGAGCTGCATCGAGCCGCAGTAACTGGTCGCTGAGTTCTTCCACAGAGGTTTTAAGCTCTTCAATGTAGGTGATCGCGTCGGTGATAATGGTGGCCTTCGTCATCTGATCGATCATCAACACAAGACAATCAATATATATAATTAATTAATTAAGATGATGTGTGGTTTGTTTCTTGCATTGGTGATAATGGGGACTAATGAGCGCAGCTCGAGCTGTCTGTCGCTGAGTTTCTTGCGGCGGCGCCTCTCCGCATTGAGGTTCTTGGACTTGTATCTCCCATCTTCCTCGTCCTCGTGCTCGTCGTCGTCGTCGTCCTCAAAGCTCCGATCGATTTGCTTCCTCTTGTCCATTAATAATACAGTTTATGTATGCTCTCCTCCTCAGATTAATCCAAGTTTGGTGAATGGGTGCATGCTCAGGAATGTATGTATATATAAGTGAAGTTCACAAGATTGAGCGAGAAATGTTGTTGACCAAGAAAGTTGGAAGATTGGAATGGGAATCTTCTTGTTGCAGGTTGTTAGGCTATAATTTATTTATTAAAAAATAAAAAATTCTAATTCTAATATTACTATTATTATTATTATTTTATTTTTTTTTGAAAAAAAGAGTTTATTGAACAGAGTAAAAATGGATTTCTTTTCTTAATATGACTGACAGTGACAGCAGTCAGAGAGAGCAGAGTGGCATGCACCAGTTTGGTTCAAAAGTGGGGAGCCGTACAGAAGAATGAGATAATAAGAGTAGCTGTCAAGTCAAAGTACATTGATTATTCTCGCTTTCTCTGCTCTTTCTTACCACTAATATACAATGGCTACGTTTTTATTGCTTTCTACATTCCTTTAATTATCTACTCGTATTTTTTTATTTTTTTATATTGTAATAAATCATAGTATTATTTTTTTAATTCACTATCAATATAATTATTTTCATTTCATATAGTGTTTTTTTTTTGTTTGCCTTAAATTTAGTGTATTGTATCTTTATTAAAGAGATTCATATTAATATGATTAGGGTGTTTTTCTTTGGATTTGTTTTTTTTTTTTTAAACTTTATTTTAATTCAAATAATAATTTCACTTGATATTTTGTAAGTATATATATATATATTAAAAAATACGAAGTCTAAATAGTTTCAAAACAATTTTTTTTTTTTTAAAAAAATAATATTTTCTCCGTCCCATAAATATAGTCTTAATTGGAAGAATAGTAACAATTGTGTAATAAAAATGAAAAAGTATGAGTAATTTTACAAAAATATAAATAAAACTATTGTATGAAAATAGTACTATTTTTAAGTTTTTAGAGCCATGCTCCTATGTTATGAATTTTAGGCCTAGGGCATTGGCTGAGGCCTTATAGAAGGCCTATACCACAAGAACTTAGCCCATAAGCATGGCCCAATAACTTCTCTAGCACGGCCCAATTACAAAATACAATTTATGATAGTTGGATGAAGAATTTTGTGGCTATGTTTTTAAAAGGCAAAATTGTACAAAATCTACCTGTCGTTTTATGTTATTGTGACTAATCTCCTATATTTTTAAAACTGCGTCAAACTGATTTCATAAACTTTGCGTTTAACCTATTCGGTCGTTCTTATTTAACGGTATTTGACATAAATGCGCCAAAACTGTTAATAAATTTTAGAATTTCAATTTCTAAATCCCTAAAATTATAAATTTTTTTTTTTTTATATTTAGCCTCAAAAAATAGTAAATAAACTCAAATATAGTTAATTTTTTTCAGATTTTAAAAGTTTATTTTTACAGTTTTATTAGGCTAAATATATATATAAAAAAATAAATATATTTGTATTTTAGGAATTTAGAAATTGATATTCTAAAATTTATGTGCAATTTGGGCGCATTTAGGTCAAATAGCGTTAAATAAGGACGCTAAGGGGGTTAGATGCAGAGTTTATAAAACCACGAGAGAATTATAGAGGATTGGATGCAATTTCGTGAAACCATTGGTAGATTTTATGCAATTTAGCCTTTTTAAAATTTCAAAACTCTTCCAAAGTCTCCATGTAAGGGACTTTAATATGTACTCTTAATTCTATTGTGTCACCTCAGCAGCAGCCAGGGAACCAACGGTAAAACTTTGGGGACAAAATACGAGTTATTTTTATCGATTTAATATTGTCTTCTTCGATTTCTTCCGGTGTAACCGGATAAAGAAAAGGAAGGAAAAACATTTGAGAAAAATTAAATGTTTAGAATGTATCTTACCTTGTTTATTTATTTGATTAAGGATCACTTGTGTTGGATTTGTATTTTGGTTAATTTAAACAAATATTTGTTATAGCTAATTAATTTTCAATGGATTATGTTAAGGGTGAATCCACAGGTGTTAGTTTCAAAAAGGATAGAAGTAATATTGACCATTCATTTAAATCTAATTATTTCAAATAATTTAAAAGACATTAATTCTTTTTGGTTAGGAAACATTTATAAATGGGCTAAAGAGAAAATTAAATTAATAAATAAACAAAAATCAATGTTTTAAAATACGAATTAATTAGATAATTTAAATAGATGGAACATCATTTAAAGGCTAACTTATTTTCTTCTATGATTTATGTTGAAAAAAAAAAAAAAAAAAAAAAAAAACCTACCACAAAATCTTTTATGTGGCATGTGAAAATCTCCAAATATATACATATATTCCAAAGCTATCATACAAAAAACAAATAAATTAATCTATCGTAGTAGAGTACTAATATTGATTTAATGTAATCCAAGCTTCTCTTATTTATTTATTTTATGTTTTACGTGTAACATGTTTTAAACTTGTATTTCGATACTTTACTAGGAAAAGGACACTTCTTTATTCATGTACTAAACGATTAAACTATTAAATAATTAACATTTTCTTGTTAATTATAACTGTGTAAATTTTATTTATTTTATTTATTTTTATCACTAAAGCATTAAAATCGAGCATTATATATATATAAATATATATATGTGTGTGTGTGAAATTAGTGTGGAAATGATTTTCAGAAATATGAGTATATTTCTTTTAAAATTAAACAATTCTATTTGCAACTATGCAATAATTGGTTTACTTAAAATCCGAACCAATTCGAAATATAATATTTTAATATATTTTTTTATTATATATATTTAATATTTTATTAAAAAATATTATAATTTAATATAAAAAAAAAACTCAAAGTTATTAATTATATTTTAATATATTTAATTTTATATATTATATATATTTAATATTATAAAATAATAATAAAATATAAAAGAAATTTACAAATTAAAAATATTTAAAATTTCAGATTTTTCGATTTGGTTCGGATTTTTTAGTTCGAATTTTAGATTTTCGGATTTCTGTTATTTCGGTTCGGTTCGAATTACTTTTTTCAAAATTTTCAGATTTTCGGATCGTTCCGAACCGAAAATCCGAATGCTCACCCTTTAGTTTACACAATACATTTTCACTAATTTGATACTATTTATTTTTTAAAAAATATCACATCAAATACATTTTTTCTCTTAAAAAAAAATATCAAATCAAATATTAATTTTTTATTGTTTTCAAATTTTCAAATTTCCAAAAATCTCGATTTAAAGTTTAATTTATATTCCATATGATATATAATGTGACACGATTGATGTGGACTAAAGAAAAATTAATACTCTATCAATTGCATTATTTTGTCTAGTATACTAGTATAATCCAAAACTTTAAATAGTGATATAATTTATAAATAATTAAAAAATATATTAATAAAAATAATTATAATATAATACAAGTAATTATATATTAAAATTAAAATAATTAATTATATTAATTACAACTTTCAAAAAAATTATAGATTATGATTTTAAATATATAATTAATTATAAATATATTTTTTTAAAAAAAGGACAATATGTAAAATAGACCAATTTGGGATTAAATAATCAATTTCCAGCTATTAGTTCAACTTAAAACCAAACACACCCTGACATGTTTTATTAAATTTAAGCACGTGGTTGGTCTTGGGGATGACTTCTTCATTTCAGCTGTTTCTTTACACCAAAAATCCATATTTTTTACTATTTAAACTATTTTTTTAAAAAAATATCAAATTTTAAATTAAAAATTTTCTAAATTTATAAATAAATTAAAAAAAAACCCTAATTCCTCTCCTCCTAAGGCCACAGATTTCTTCTTTATATATATAGATAACATAATCCCATTCACTTACTACCAACCAAAAATTCACACTCTGCTAAATAAAAAACGTTTTCATTTTAATGGAGACGACGACGACGAGGAGGTCAGCAAAGTATGAATCAAGCATTTGGGATGACGATTTCGTTCAGTCTCTCACCTCTCCACACAAAGTATACGTACGTAATAGATATATATCATTACAATTCTGCTAGCTGTTAATTCAATTGTTCCATCGTCTTCTTCAGATCAATTAATTAATTATATATGCATGTAATTAATAACTGGGGAGTTATCATCAAAATTCGAGAAATCCAGGAAAAAGAACTGGTGGAGCAAGCAGAGAAGCTAAAATGGCTGGTGCAAGTAATGATCGACGCCGCTGAACATCTCTCCGACAAACTTGACCTCATCGACACCCTGCAAAGACTCGATCTCTCCAACCAATTCTCCGATGCTGTCGGGAGATTGCTGGACGACATTTTTGCTAATTATAATAATCAAGATAGTAATGGATTCATAGTACTGCAAGAAAACCTAGACTTACATATCACTGCTCTCCAGTTTAGACTCCTCAGACAACATGGACACCATGTCCCTCAAGGTAATCTATATATATATATATATATGGTGTTACGAATCTGTATGTAATTAATCAATGGCTGTATGATTGCAGAGGTTTTCAGGAGTTTCATGGATGAGGTAGGGAATTTTAAGGAGTCCCTTGGTGGCGATGTGAAGGGGATGTTGTCTCTATACGAGGCTTCATTTTTGTGTGTGGAAGGCGAGGCCATATTGGATTTGGCTAAGGATTTTGCAACTCGTCATCTAAAGAAAAAGTTGGAGGAGACTAGGAATGCGATTCTTGTCGACGAAATTAGGCATGCGTTGGAGGTTCCATTGCACTGGAGAGTGCAGAAGCTTGAAGCCAGATGGTTCATACAAGTCTACGAAACTCGACCCGACGCGAACCCGATTTTAGTCCGTCTGGCTAAATTGAATTACAACATGGTGCAAGCCAAATATCAGGATGAGATCAAATACTTGTCAAGGCATGCAAATTTATTTTTTATATTTTCTTCTGATCTTGATTATAATTAATTAAGAATTGAATGAATGGTGTTATGCACAGATGGTATAAGGAGACGTGTCTTACAGAGAAGTTAGGGTTTGCGAGGCACAGATTGGCAGAGGGTTTTTTGTGGGCTTTAGGGTTTAGTCCTGATCCTGAATTTGCATTTTCGAGGAGGGTTTTGTGTAAGATAGCTGTGCTGATTACGGTAATGGACGACATATATGACTTGTATGGTACATTGGACGAGCTCCAGGCCCTTACAGACACAATCCAGAGGTGGGACATCAATGGATTGGACAAGCTCCCAGAATACATGCAGATCAGTTTCCTAGCACTATTCAACTCTGCCAATGAAATGGCTTACGATGTAATGAAGGACCAAGGACTCAACATCATATCACACCTGAGAAAATTGGTGCACAATTAATTAATTAATTCTGTGCAATTAATATAAAATTATAATGTACATGAATGAATGAATTGCAGTGGGCAGAAATGAGTGAATCCTTTAATGTAGAAGCAAGATGGTACCACAAGAGGCATTTCCCCAGTGTGGACGAGTACCTGAATCTGGGGTGGATCTCAGCTCCGGGACCTCTGGTCCTTCTCTACGCTTACTTGTCGGTGGTCCACCCCATCGACGACGACAAGGAATTGGCCTATCTGCAGCAGTATCCTGGAATCATCTTCTGGCCCTCCATGGTCCTCCGCCTCACAAATGACCTGGCCACTGCATCTGTACGTAATACGTATAGCTTTCTCTCTCTGGATCTCTCTTTCTCTCTCTCTCTCTCTCTCTAATGATATATGTCTTTCGTAGGGTGAAATGGAGAAGGGGGACGCACCGTCGTCGATGGAGTGCTACATGAGGGAAACGGGGTGCAGCGAAGAGGAGGCCCGCCGCCACATAAAGCAGCTGATAGAGGTGGCGTTGAAGAAGATGAACAAAGAGATTGTGATGGAGAAGGGGGTCCGGAATAATGAAAATAATAATTATTTGACGGAGGTGGACCATCGTTTCTGTAAGAGCGCCATGAATCTTGCCAGAATCGCACTTTGTGTTTACCAGTTTGGCGATGGCGATGGGATGGGAGCTCCTCACGGGGAGACCAAGCGCAATTTGATCTCCCTCGTCGTCGACCCTATCCCTACCCCTGCAGACGACGACGACGCCACGTGCTGATCCGACGACGTGGTCACGTGCCAATATAGTATTAATTTTCTATGTTAACCACGCCTACTAATCGTGATTAAATAATTAGTATCTCTATTTTAGGCTCGTGATATAAAACTATTTAAAACCTCAACCCATGTACGTATTCTATATATATTGGCTTGATCACTAGATGGGTGTCCATTAAATCTTAATCATGTAATATACGTAAAAGTAAAAATTACGTAACAATAATTTGAAATTTTCATTCAATATATATATATTTAATTAATAATATATGCGATGCAAAGTAGTTATAAACACAAATTTAAAGTAGTTATAAACACAAATTTTATGTTTAACAATAAAAAAAAAAAAACATATGCGATGGAGTCGTTTAGTAGGAGGTCTGCAAAGTATGAAGCAAGTGTTTGGGATGACGATTTCGTGCAGCAGCTAGCCTCTCCATACAAAGCAATCCAATCCAATCCAATTCAATCAATCATAGTTACCAATGATTTCGTCTAATCAAACAGGACCATTAATTGTTTTGATCCATTCGATTATGAATGCAGGAAGAAGAGCAACACGAGGATCTGAAAATGCTGGTGAAAGCAGCCATGGAAGCTGCCGAAGACAAGCTTCGATTCATCGACAACTTGCAGAGGCTCGATGTCGCCTACCACTTCCCCCACCAAGTCCAAAAACTACTCGACGACGAATTTTCATAACACCACCATTATTGTAGACCATCAAGACTTGCATGCCACCGCTCTCCGATTCCGCCTCCTCAGACAAAACGGATATCATGTCTCCCAAGGTCACTCTACATACAAATTGCTCATCAACACGGCCGTGTTCTCCAATCTCATGCTCTGTTTCTTGTCCAGAGATTTTCTGCTGTTTCATGGACGAGGCAGGGGATTTCGACGAGGGCCTTGCTAGTGATGTCGAGGGATTCCTGTCAGCTCTACGAAGCATCCTTCTTGTCGATGGAGGGTGAAACGATATTAGATTTGGCCAGGGATTTTGCGACGCATCATCTCAGGCAAAGGCTGCCGGAGCAAACGGGCTGCGCTGCAGACCAAATCCGGCATGCATTGGAGCTGCCGCTGCACCGGAGAGTGGCGAAAGTTGAGGCCAGATGGTTCATGACAAATCTGGATCATCATGTCGACCCAATTCTGCTACGGTTTGCTAAACTGGACTTCAACATTGTGCAAGCTAATTATCAGACTGAGATTAGATGCATGTCAAGGCACGTCTTGAAATTGATTTTCTAACCCCTTTCAGCTTCAGTTTTTCGATGCATATGATCTGAAAATTCATCCCTGACTGGTTGTTCTTCATTTTTTCCATTTCTTTTTTTTTAATTTTAAATCAGTTTTCAAAGATCAAGATGAACAGAATTGTTCAAGTTTCATTGCAACAAATATAGCAAGTCACTGACTTTATGTCGTCTTAGATATCGACTTCTGATAGTTTCTACCAATTTTTAATCTTTGGTGAGATATTGTTCAATTGTGGTGATGATATGTTTGTTTACGTTATCTGTGAAAGCTTGATCGCTCCAGAATCTTGCCAACGGCTATTTTATTTTATTTTATTTTTCTGTCTCCATCCGATAGATCTCTCCCAAATTTAAAATAAAAATTCAAGTTCAGAAATTTCTAACGATTATTGATGCAGGTGGTACAAAGAAACGGCTCTTCCAGAAAAGCTAGGGTTTGCCAGGCACAGATTGGCAGAGAGTTTCCTGTGCGCCATGGGAGTGACTCCTGAGCTTCAGTTTTCATATTCCAGGAGGATTCTGTGTAAGGCTGCTGTACTCGTAATGATACTGGATGATATTTAGGACGTATATGGCACCAGAGAACAACCCGAGGCGCTTACCGGCACAATTCAGAGGTAATTAATCCGTTGAATGTCGGAATTTCATAGATACTAGCTGCAGCCAAAGAGCCTAACTGTTTCTTTTGCAAGAACAAATCGATCAGGTGGGACATCAGCGAATTCGAACTGAACAACCTACCAGAATGCATGAGGCTGTGTTTCCAGGCAATCTTCGACTCAGCAAATGAACTGGCTCGTGATATTATGAGGGTCCAAGGTATCGACATCATCCCACATTTGAGGAACTCGGTAAGCACATGGCGTGTAATAAAGTTTCCTACTTTCATTCAAAAATCCATATCTGCAATTACATCGATGCAGTGGGCCGAGTTGAACAGAGCTTTTAATTTAGAGGCAAGATGGCGCCAGGATGGAAAGATTCCGGGCTTAACTGAGTACTTGAATACAGGGTCTGAGTACTTGAATACAGGGTTGATTTCATCGACAGGCCCTCTGGTTCTGCTCCATGCTTATCTTTCCATCGCAGACCCCATAGACAGGAAGGAATTGGAGGTCCTAAAGCAGTCCCCTGGTGTTGTTCGCTGGCCATCAATGGTGTTTCGACTGCCGAATGATTTGGCAACTGCAACTGTAGGCAAACTCCTTCATAAAATTATCAATCATGAATACATAGAGATAAGATGAGTTTTTGATGAAAGCATATGTATATGAACAAGCAGAAATGAATCGAGGGGAAGGGCCCTCGTCCATTCATTGCTACATGAGCGATACAGGATGCAGCGAAGAAGATTCTCGCCGTTACATAAGGTAACTAATAGATGAGACATGGAAGAAAATGAATAAAGAGATAGTCATGAAGAGGGGGGAATGGCGCAAACGAAAGCTTCTGCAGAAGTGGTATGAACCTTGCTATAATTATACAATGCCTCTACCAGTTCGGGGATGGCATTCAGCTATCCCCGTCATGGGACCGAACAAAATTTGGTCAGCCTCATTGCTGAACCTATTGCAATGCCATGAATTATATGTATCTGAACCAATTATGCAGAAGGTATTATTTCTAAATTCAAATGTTCTAGGGTTTGATTTCAAATCCAAACAAATATGAATTCGAACAATACATCCAAGTGCGAGCATACTATAGGTAGAGAGATCAATAAGAAATTCATGCCTAAATTTCATCCAGAAGATACTCTTTCAAACATCATGATGCACTGCGTGCTTGTTATACTTTCGAGCAAACCAGTCACGTCGTAAAAGAATTTCATGATTGTCCCAACATATGAAAAAAAGTAAAAAAAGCTTGGCTCACGTATCTGGATTTCTCTTGTAGCAGGCTTATTAGATCACTTCAGCTTTCAACCACCCGAGTTAAATATTGCCACCCCAAGGACCTCCCACCCACTGCCTATCGATCACTTCACCAAGGATGCAACAAGCAGAGAATCCAGCATATGGTATTAAACCAAACCTCATGATTCAGCGACTGTTAACCTGTGGTCTTGGTGAGGGCCCCATAAGTCGAGAAAAAGGCATCTGACTGCTGCGATTGGGGATGCCCTTAGGACCAGGAAAACAATCGGCAGCAGCTGGATTGGAGGATAGAGATTTGGAGAAGGCCTGTGCAAGCTCGACTGCAGAAGCAGCTTTGCCAAACTGCAGCGGGCGTGTACCAGAGGATGCTGGCTTAGCTTGCTCTACTGGCTTACGCCAAGTTTCTGGTGACGGAGATCGGTCCTGTAGCTGCTTCTGTTGCTGATTGTGGTGTTTCCCATCTCTATTATTTCTCCATGTCTCATTCTGCTTGATCCTTCTCTGTGAGTCGTTTTTCTCGCCATCCAGTTGGTGATCTTGTCTGCCGAAGTAATTAGCTGTTCTCTGATCAGTAGGAATGGCTTCGGATTTTTTGTCAGTGTAGCGCACAGGAGCAGCATTCGTGAATGTTTCAGACTTTGGCTCTCCATCCTTCAGCCTTTGCACCATATAAATTGAAAATGAAATTGAAAAAACTCTTGTCATTTGCATTAGTTATCAATGCATCAAGCAGACAACACATAAAATTCTGAACCGAATTATTACCTCAAGGAACGTTGACTATCATAAGCGCTCACATCTTCATCACTTCCTCGCTCTTTTAGAACCTGGAATCAGGATCAAGACCATATGTTTTGGCAATAATTCTCACCAAATGTAAAGTAGGAAGCAAATAGAATACATTACTTATAAGCCTGAAAAGAAACAACTGAAATGCGTCGACTGGAACAAAAATTTCATGAGAAAAAAGGGTCACTACATCAGCATGAAGGAAAAAGTTAAAGCTATTGAAGAAAATAAACTATAGCAGAAGCGCTAGACAATATACCCCAGTATCTGACATGATTATAATTTCTAAAATCACATCTGAAAGCAAATAAGTGCTTTCCAAAAATGAGATAAGAGTGAACTCACCACTTCCCTTGGGCGAGCTTCACCGAATATAGTCCCTCTGATTAAACAACAAGAAAGAGAGAGACAAACGCATCAGAAAGCAAACTTTCCAGTTTGAAAGAAAGAAATTGTTAGGCACAAAAATTGGTAAACAATATGAACCATTGTAAACCATTTAATTTCTCCACATTATAGCAAGGCTTATATCGGACATGCTCAGACTACTAAGATGGCTGCGAAGTTGCGGCCAGATGATACATTTTCATGCTCATATTATTGCAGGCTGTGGGTAGACTGATTCTTTGTTATTTGTCTAAGCATGATTCAATGGTGAGATTTCAGCAATAAAGAGAAAAGAGTAAGTAAAAGGACAAAGAAATATTAAAATTCCATGGACCTTCTGCCTCCACCGTTTCCTTCAAGTTGCTCCAAGGACTGTGACCGTGGCTTCAAATTCAACTTGGGGCGCTCTGGTGGGCGATCTGCAGCCACTGGTCCCGCCACACCTGATTGAACTGGATGTTTAAGTTCTTGAACTATATAATTATTCTCCATATGATAATCATCACTGCTCTGTTTATTTTCCTGGAATCGAATGATATAATAAAATAAGATCAAATAGGAATTCTAAGAGAGCTCAATGGAAAGTTTAACAACCAATATTAACACAATTACCTGATTATAATCAGAAGTCTGTCCCAAGTTCTCTACCGGCTTGGATCTTGGAAGCAATTTCAACTTAGGTCGCTCCGATATCAATGTTGCCTGAAACTCAGTACCACCAGATATTCCTTGATGCTGATGTGGCTGAACTCCATCCACAGCAATGGAAACAGTTTTCTCATGTGGCTCCAAATTACTCACAGATCTATCCCTCTCATAAGACGAAAACCCTTTCCCACCAGCATGAATCTCATTGTTAAAAGTCAGGCTTCTTTCAGCATGCATCGCCAGAGGAGCATCGTAATGGTCAGTGTCGCTCCCCACATCTATCCTATTATAAGTTTTTTTACTGTACGCCGTATTAGCATTGTGCTCAAGCTTTCCCCTGGTTTCTTCGTGCCCAAACCCCTCAGCATTTTTCAAAAGATGGACTTGCTGCTGAGTGCTCCACAGACCAGAAGAAACCTTCTCAAGAGCACTGGCATGTGCCAATTTCAATGCGGCATCAGGAGCAGACCATGGAGCCGATACAGGATCTTTCATGGGTACAGCTTCCTTCTTTAATCCCCAGGCATTTTGATGAGATCCGACCACAGTCTCCCCTTTGCTACCAATAATTGGATAATTAGACGTCTGGTGGTTTGATTTCGTAATATGCGGTGCACTAACCCTCCCTGCATACGAGCTGCTGCCAGTGGAACCACTTGTAATTTGAGGCATTGGACCTGAAGCGGGCCTTGAACCAACTTTAGCACCAGATTGACTGTCGATATTACGTACATGACTGGATTGAGAATGAGTGTTTTCATCACCAACTGTTCGGCGTACACCTGATACCCCACTAAATGGCTTACGCTCATCCTCATCAAAATTCTGGCCTATATTTGTTGAATGACTTAAAAATGGAGTGTTGTCATCAAGATTCCTAGCAGAGCCGGCAGACGCAGGACGCAGCCTATGATCCAACCTTCCCGCTGGATTGCTCAATGGCATCTGCCTATCGAATCCGCGGCCATTCATTGGCCTTGCAGTTCTGTCAAAATTCACACATTGGGGATAATTAATTGGCATCCCACCATAGATAAAGACTAAGCAAAGACAAATAAGCTGATTTTATCAGGTTTAAATGAACTAAAACTTTAGAAAAATAAGAATATCGCAGATCCAAAATGAAATCAGCAATAAAGAAAATATTTAGCCCTAGGTCGTTCACAACAAGATTCATATCATCATTCACAATCCCTCCAAAAATAACACCCAATATTCTTTCGCAGAGGAAATAGAGGCTAATTATCCAAAAATAAATAAATATACAACAATCGAAACCCACCATAAAGGTTGAATCTTGAGAAGAAAAGAGAAGGAAATACACTGGACCATGGAGATGGATTGATATAATCGACGCAGATTTTCGAAGAAGAAACTCATCCCGCAACATAATAAGGGTTAATAAAACAGACCACCTCATAAGATATTAAGAAGAGAGACTTACACGCCTGGTGCTGATGGGAGGGGAAGATCAGAAGGAATGGAGCCGCCATGGAAGTCTTTCAGAGTCATCGTCGCCTTCTTCTTCGACATTCTCTCTGCTCTTCCCCAGGAATCTGGATTGCATACAAAAAAAAAAAACAAACCAAATTGTACGATTTATATCAAAATCGGCAAGAAACAATTAATAAAAGGAAAGGCCCTTTCCCCTAAGTATGGATGAATTACAAAGATCTGGGTTCGCGGACAACAGAACCCGGAATCTACCTTCGAATTCGAATGATACCTAATGAGATAGCTGATCCAGACGCAAGAGAAGGTGGAAAAGAGAACAGCCGGGGAAGGGAGGGTTTAGAGAACTCGGGATTGGAACCAATATAGCGTTCTCTCTGTCAGTACCTGACGCTTCGAGGTATTGTACTTCAAATTAGCATTTGTTATTGTTGCTTATCTCCCCATCATATGTTGTACTTTTTTTCACATCTGCCTTCTTTTCCCAGTTCCACACTACCACTTTTTTTTTTTTTTTTTTTTTTTACTGCTTATAAAAAAATCTCTATTTAAATTTTTATTTTATTTAAAAATATTACACCAAATCTCACTTATCATCTAACCCTGATTTGAAATCAAGAAAGCAGTGTGTATGTCAACAGGGTTTGTAGACAACCACAAAACAGGGAAGCAGAGCTCTGGGGCTCAGCAAATACAGCTCCTCAATGTTCGAGTGCAGCCCTACTTTCCCTGCCAACGAATCAAACCCTGATTGACCTGCCATTGCCATTTTCTGCAAATTCTCCAGGGGCTTATGCACTCTCCCTGCTATCACTCTGCAAACGACCAGGGCCTTCTTCCTGGATCGATTCTTCTCATCTTCCAACGCCTCGATCGATTCCAACGCTATGTGGCTTGTCGAAGCTGTGAAAACTCCAATCCCACCGCTCAGCTCTTTCTTGTCTGAAAATCCGTACCTCAGAATTCTGCACACTCGGCATTTTTCCGACGTGCAGAGGCTGGAGTCGCCCTTCACCCCCAGGTTGCATTCCATGGCGGCGCCGTGGAATCTGAGCAGCTCGTTGCCGTCGGCCAGACACCGCGGATGCTTCTTGTTCCGGAGCTTGCTGGCTTTCACTTTCACTAGCTCACGATACTCCTCGAATTGGGTCAGGGTTTTCTGTGTGTTGTGGACCTTAAGAATCCTCTCGATCTTGCTCCACTGGCTGTCGCCCCAGCCATGGCTGGCCCGACAGATTATCTCCACGATCTTCCTCGATGAATCTCCCTCGACTAATTCGGTAACTGGTGTGGACAAACAGGGAAAATGGCAATGTACTAATAAGTATAAACACTAGCATAATGTATAGCAAGAAGCAATGGAAGTTTCATCTCATCTCATCTGACCGGCGTGTTTGGACAAATGATGATCTTCCACAGCCTCCCACCGGAGAAATTGCTCGCCGCATTTATTGCAGAACAGGGCTCCTGGAAACTCAGGCCCGAAAGAGGATCTTGGCCTGGCAGCAATGGTAGCAATTCCAGGGCTCCTCCTGGAAAGGCTGCTGTTCGCCCTCCTTATAGGGCTAATGCACGTCCGGCCAGGCCCCGGTGTGCCGGGCCTCAACATCCCGACGAAGTTACAACCACCATCTCCGGCGCTGCCGCTGCACGAACCACCAAAATCTTTGGAAACACATCCAGCTGTTATTTTGAGTTCACAAGCTGAATTATTGAGCACAACTTCATGTGTGATTGGATTTCGGAGATCATTGCTGCCAACGGATCTTGGGCTGCAGATTGGCGGGCTGCAGATTGGCGGCCTGTCCATGTGCCTCTTGCTCCTATTAATTACGACATCTTTAAGGTTTGCAATGGACCTCGAGCAGCCTGATCGACCACAGCCACATTTCTCCATTTCCACGACACTGCGCACATTCGCATTTCCTTTGCCCTTCTTTGGATCATAATAATCTCTCGGCCCTGATTCACATGCCATCGACCTCTTCAGAGCAAGCAAAACTGCAGGCATTCTTCGCCCTGGTTTCTCTTCTCCCTCCTGCATCAGTCCCCTATTCATCATCATCATCTTGGTGTATATAAAGAATGTGAAGAACAGCCATCAATGGTGATTCTTCAGCCATGTAGTTCTCCACCTCTTGCCAGAGAATAGGCGTAGCCCAGCAGTCCCCTTTCTTGACCTGTCATATGTAGACTCTACAGATACATACATATATATATATATATATATACACATAGATGCCAGCTTCTTAAAACAGTTTTTCAAACTTCCATGTGCTGAAATGAATGAGGCATCATAACTAATCAATGAGGAGAAAGAGGGACCATTCAACCTGAATTCATTTGCAGTTAAGCTAACTAAGGTTTAAATTGCAAGAAACAGAAGATGATGTTTTCTTTTATGCAGATGTACAAGTGGATGAGATCAGAAAGGGCCCTCCAAGAAAGACATGGTAAGTGAGTTTCTGAGTTTGGATTTTCTAAAGATCAAATTGCAAAGCATTCACATGCATCTAGCTACAGACAATTTGCTAGATTAAAATTATTAGCACGTAGCTTCCACAAACTAAATCGAATCAAAGTTTGACAAATTCCAATTTATCCAGAAACAGGCCAGTTTTTGTGCTCCAATTAGACAGTGTTTAGTATATATTATTGATATCTAAAATAATCTGAAAGGCTAGTAGGTGATGCATTATCTAATTATTATCAGATATGGGCAATTAAATTCATTCTTTGGATTAATACATGTATTTATGTGTCTTCCATCAGATACAGACAAAATCAATTAGAAAAAAAAAAAAAAACTAATAAAAGGGAAAATTTATTGGCCCCTACCCGCCTATGGCCAATCTTTGCATTGATTTGGGCACATGTTGTTGTGTCTACAGTAACCATCGTACCATAAACAAATTCCCAAAAAAATAAATAAATCCTACCCTTTGGTGATGATCAAGTTTGCATTTTTGCTCTGCCCTTTATTCAGTTCAATACAATTTTCCATTCTTATTAAAATCAACCAAATTAAAGCACAATTAAGGGCCAGCAATGGAGGGAAGCCAAAAAAAGCACATTCTGTCGTGTAGCTAGAAAGTAGAAACATAGGAACATATCAGTTCTTGAATTAAATTCCCAGCTGATCTGATTAAACTTTGAATTTCTGTGTGGGGGTTTTTAATCCAAAAGTAGGAATTAGGGCAAGAACAGAAACCTTCCCAGAAAAGATGCATTGAGTAACATGCAATGCAAGTGAATATATACCACAGAATTATTCTGCAGCAGTGCCTTGGAGGCCATGAAAGGGATTACTTCCTTGTGCAAAGTAAATTAAAGAGATCAATGGCAGTGGTTTAGTTCATCTTTCAACCCAAAAGACACCTTTTGTCACAACACACAGGAATTTGGCAGCCTGTCTTTGTGAACATCTTCCACTTTATTCCGATTCCCACTCACAAACTGCAACTGATTTATATGATAAGTATACCAATTGAGCTTGCAATCAACATTGATCTACTGCCTCTGTGATTGTGGTCAATATGGCGAGAAACCTCGACCTCTTTGTGGTCCTTGCCATCATGGTTCTGGACATCGTAGCCGGGATTCTTGGAATCGAAGCTGAGGTTGCTCAGAACAAGGTAATGGATGCAAAGCATGGATTTTTATAAGTGACAATAATTGTGATAGTGATGTGATGGACAGGTTCAGCACCTGAAGCAGTGGATATTCGAGTGCCGAGATCCGAGCTACCAGGCATTCAAACTCGGACTGGCTGCAGTGGTGCTCTTGTGTCTGGCGCACGCCGCAACCAATTTGTTGGGAGGGTGTATCTTCATTAGATCGAAGGAAGAACTCGACCAGGCTTCCTCCAACAAGCAAATGGCAGCTGCTTCCCTCGTCATGTTATGGTACCTTACCTACTAATGTCTGTTTCGATCTTAGTAATATAATCCCAAGAATCTTATGAAGTTTTCGATGAATCATTGTCCAGGCTGATGCTGGGGATCGCGTTTATTCTTCTGATATCAGGGATCAATGCAAACTCGAAATCCAGAATGCACTGTGGAATATCCAATCGCCGGCAGCTCTCGATTGGAGGGATCCTCTGTTTCATCCATGGCCTCTTTGCAGTCTCCTATTATGTCTCCGCGGCTGCAGTCCTGCGCGAGGAAAGGAAGCATCATCTAGAAGGCCAAGAAAACAAGCCGAATCCGCAAACAGTCCCTTCTCCTGCTTAATTCATCTTCTTGCATTTCTATTCCAAGATTTTCGATCTGTTTATGTTATATGGTTTTCAATTAATCTACTTTGCAATAGAGATTTGGATCCAAAGCATGAGATAGGATCATTCATTTATTTATAAACACATAACAGGCAATGTCTAATTCTTGGCTATCAGATTCACATTTGTGATTTAAGGCCTCAGATCATAACAAGAAAGTCCACCATTGTTGTTAGCATGGTTTGTTGAACCCCATGCTCTGGCCACTGGTGTAATCCCTCCATGTTTCTATGGCACCAAAGGTAGTCATAAGAATAGTACTCAGAGCCATCACTGTCCCGACAGAGAACACAATGAGCGACGCCCTCCGGTATTTTAAAATTGCGCGCTGCACCAGCGTTAATCCTACTAGTGAAGCCACAAAACAAACAGCTGATAATACTAATGCGCCGCGAATATGTTGCATCCCCAACAATAAGTACTGGATCGCTGACATGGACGAGGAGAACAGCACCATGAAGGAGCATGTCGCGGCTGTAACCTAACGATATTCTCGACTTGTCAGCAGAATTAAACTCAAAACAGAGTAATTAACTGTGTGATCAAATGACACACAATTGTCACCTCTGGTTCGATCCCGATTTGGAGCAGAAGTGGACTTATGAGCATTCCACCTCCAATTCCAAAAACTCCGCCGAGACCTCCAGCTAACAGTGCCATCACCGGGAAAGTAAGCTTGCCGGAGCGACGAATTCCAGGTAGACCTCCATTGTCCTTTTGCCAAGGAAGAAGAGGAAATTAGTCATTTTTCATCACAATTCTAGACAAAAAGTGCATTCTTTTTTCACCTGTTCAGCTGAAGTATGATCCTTAGGAGTGGCAACATGAAACAAAATCCATGTAGTGAAGATGACTGCAAGAGGGATTTGCATCATTGAGATCATCCAGTATGCCTTCCCACAAACCTCAATCTGAATTATACCCTACACCAGATGCTAAAAGGTTAGACAAATCTTGATCCGATCTACCTTTAGATATGCCTCTTGTGGGGCTGTTTTTTTTATTTCTTTAAAGCTTTTCTGTCTCATCATATTCATGTCTATCTTATCTTTCAGAATGAATAAATGTAGGGCAGATTCTGCGGGCCTTATCTTGGAAAGTTCTTCCCCACTTGATACTCACTATCAATAATCTATCATCATTAATTTGTCATTTTATGTTGATGAAAACTGAGAAGATAATTTACAGAGCTTGCTTACTCGTCCATGGCGATCTCCTCGGAGAAGATAGAGCAAGAAGAAGGAAACCCAGATGACCACCAGCATACCGAGCTTCATCATCCATGGATGATTCTCCACTTCAGGATCCTCTTCAAGAAGGGGCTTTTCGTTTTCGATTTGGGAATCTTCTTGCATCACCTGCGATTCCAGCTGCCAATAAAGAATCCCTGATTTGAAGGTCTTGAAGGTGCAGAAAGCGATGAAGACGACGAAGAGTCCGGTGATTAGCCACTCCGGCAGGACGAGGTTCAGAATCACGCCGCAGCTCACACCCAACAGCATCGACGGCTCCGACAGCAGCGCGATGTCGTAATCGATCTTCGACCCACATCCTCTAACGATAATGTGGCTGGCGACATTAGCCACCGCTCCTCCGGTCACCATGAAAGCCGAAAAACTCGACGCCGTCTTCACGTCCAACCCCGCCACGATTGTCAGTATCGGCACGAACAGCCCGCCGCCGCCGATTCCTCCGGCGCTGGAAATCGCCGCCGCGATGAACGACAGACATCCGGCCACCAGAAACCTCACTCCAATATGCAAAAACCCCGAATCAGCAACCGGCGGGGATGACCCTTGTGCATAATTGAAATCGATGACAGCAACGTAGCAGAAGATGATCATAAACAGTTGCCCTAACGATTTATTCCCCATTTCCCTTATCCTCTTTGTTTTCTTTGTCTTAGTACTTACTCTGAAAAGAAGTCTGGACAAAATGGTTTGATCGATAGCAATTAAAGGCAAGCAGCAAATATGCCTTACTTTCGATTCTTGTCATTTGGGATGCAGTTAATTTTAGGGTTTATATTATGGTTGTACGTCCCTTTCAAAGGTGCGATTTTTTTCTGCGCTGGAGAGCACCAGGCACCACCACGTCCCACTGTCTCTCTGATAAAATGATAGAAAACTGAAGATCTGTTAACCTGTAATTGCTTAATGGAGGAAACAGGTGCAGATCAGTCTTGGGAGTGAAGTGATGATGCCGACTGAATTGATTTGATTGACTGCCAGCTCACTCTCCTCAATAGATATATTGCGAACATTTGGGATGCCACTAATCTGATTAAGATCTCCATTAAAACGAAGCTTTTCTTGGTACCATCTGCAAATCCAGAAGTGTGAGTTTGACTCGGGCAGTCCTGTCTTCTTACTTCCTTACATGTCTGTCAACTAGTGCAAGTACAAGACGATAACCCAGATATGGATTGATTATCCCCAATTGGGCTGACATGGCCTGCCTTTTAATGAAAGCTTAAGCAATTAATGTGCATAGAATTGATTAATCTGCAACTTGTGGTCGATTTTAATCAGAGCCTAAAGTCAATTCATTTCTGGGCCCAGTTGGCTTAACTATTAATTAGTACGAGGAAATTTCTTGTCAGTCCCGGTCGAATTAGTTATTGAAATGAATAGACATTACAGTGATCCGACAGGTTTGTACACCATACTCTAACTCTTAGAGCATATCTATACGAAACGTCCAGTTGACCTAAAAAAATATTCATGAATTTTGACATTGAGCACGTCAATTATGTCTGATTCATTTTCAGTCAAATCCAAACTCATGAGCAATATATATACAGAGACTTCATCGAACCTGGAGATCACAACAATGGCGGCCTCCAGTTGGAATTCCCTGCTAATCATCATCATCTTCTTCTTCTTCTTCTTGATGGCATCTTGTTCTGCAGACACCAACAGTTTCCAGGGCTGCGTCTGCGGGACGTCGCCGATGAATGCAAGATCCCGGTGGGCAGCTAATTTGAACGCCGTCTTTAACTCCCTGGCAGCCAATGTCAGCGCCGGCGGCTATTACAGAGCGGAGGCGGGGAGAGGCTCCGACAGAGCATTCGGCCTGATACAGTGCCGAGGCGACGTGTCCCCGACGGACTGCGTCGAGTGCACGCGCCACTCCTTCGCCCTCGCCGCCAAATTCTGCGGCGGAAGTAAGACCGCCGTCGTCTGGCAGCGGTGGTGCTTGCTGCGGTATTCCAACGCCACATTCTACGGCCAGTGGGAGGGGTCAGGCGCCGCGATCCTGCCGGTTAACTCGACGGGTTTGGGCGATCCGGCGGCGGCGGATGCGGGGATGAACATGGTGTTCCAACTTGCCGGCGACGCGCCGAATGCGAAGTCGATGTTTGCGAGGTCGCCGGACGTCGGCCGTAGCTGGAAGGGGTACGGCCTGGCGCAGTGCACCCGGGACTTGGCGAGGTCGGATTGCGGAGACTGTTTGAATCACTTTTTGAAGACTTTTCAATCGGAGGTCCGGAACAAGACATCGTGGGAGATCTACGGCCAGGGTTGCTTCATCCAGTTCGATGATCATCAATTCTACTTCAACTCTTCCATTAGTAAGACTCTACGCTATTTAAATTATTAGTTGGGCCCCTTTATTTACATAATGGGCTGATGATTTTTTGGGGCCAGGTTTGGGAAGGCCCAATAGCGCCAATGCAGCAAACACAGCTTGGGGTGGCTTGTTCACCATTTTGAGTGGTACCATGGTGATGGTGATAGTGACATTTTTTTAAATTAATTGACTGGTTACTCAATTAATTCCCCTATCTTCATGCCTAAAAAATGATATTCCAACCCTCCTTATCCATAAAAACAACTCCAATTTTAATGCTTTTTTAGTTGGACCAAGTCTTGTCAATTTAAATCTTCTTTCCTTCTCTATTTAGAACATTCGGATTGAAAATTGGTTCAATATTTCACCCGGAATAGAAATCATTTGAATTTTCTATATATATATTCTCAACAATTTCCTAAGAGAGCAATGAAATCAACTCTAAAATATCTCACCATCACTTTTTCTATCAACCTGTTTTCTTGGGTAAGTGGTGGGGTGGAAACGTAATTAGCATTAATGTTGGGGCTTGAATGGAATTTCAACATAATTTCTTTTTAGTTCACAATAGCATTTTTATGAAACTTGGGTCTGAAATGTAAATAATGCATAACCAGTGCATGCAATGCAATTTACGATCAATGCGTATAGGAAAATCTTGTGAAATCAAATTTGAGAAAAATGACAGTAGAAAATTTAAAAGTACAAAAACGTACAAGCGTCGCAATCTTTAAGAAAATTGTAATGTGACTCATAATTTTGTATTTGAATTACAGTATATAAAAGAATATTAAATAAATTGACTAGTCACGTAATTAAATCAAATTCGATTTCTTAATTGGAGTAAAGAGCAAATCAAATTAAGTTGACTTCAATGCATGTTGCACAATTGGGTTCAAAAATTTTAAAATAAATAAAAGGTCAACCATTTGACTTGCATTTTTTTTTCATTTAGAAGTAATGATAATTAATGAAAATAAATATTACGAATTATATCCAAATACGCAATAATAATAATAATAATAATAATAATTAAACAATTAAAGAGGCGTGATAAAATTAAATATGCGCCAATCCGGTAGTGACACGTAACACCCACTTTGAAGGTAATATATATAATGTTTTTTTATGTATGTATTTGAGTCGCCTGTTGCATTTCATAGCGCACGAGGAGAGAAGAGAAGGATCGTTTCTTCTTCCAAATCCTAACTTTTTTCTCTCCGTCATCATATCGAAAATCCTGTTTCGTCTCCGATGAATCTGCACTGAAAATTGGGAGGAGAGAGGAGCGCCTGCAGTTGAATTACGTTGAATCAACGGAGCTCTGCTTTTGGTATTGAGGTAAGCTGTGAATACCTACTCCTGTTTTCAACTTTAAAATGAACGGAAAGGAAAAGTAGAAAGGTGTTTTGTAAAAGAAGCTATCTGTTTCTTACGATTCACGGGAGTTTTATCTCAACCAATCTGCTTTTTAGTCGTTGATAAGAGCGGATGAAACTGACTAAAGGCGGTATATTTGTTGTTTGGATGCGTCACTTTTTCGATTAGATAGCGCAACGTGGAAATCTATTTGTTGATTAGGAGCACAACCTTGCGAGCAAATCACTCCAAATCAGTCGTTATCTATTCTCTCTGTACGTACTTCAAAATCCTGGCCGTGGCGGTGAAGAAAACGACTGAAAATCCAAACCTGGTTAGCGCCTTTCCCTATATTCCCTGTTTGTTTAGTCACTATTCCATAGGACTTTCGAACTTGACTAGTCCTCATCTTGTACTGATTGATATTTCGTTCTTTGTTCACGTCGTGTGTTTTTCAGGAGAACATGGACGATTCTGGAATTCTTAGGTCAAATTGCCACAGCAGTAGAAATTTGGGCGAAAATGGAGGCCAGAAAATTTGCGTTTCTGATAACGGTGAAGGCATAACTAAGCCTGATAGTTTTGTGGTGGAAATAGAAGGACTATCTCATCTCATAGAGAACGACATCAACGCAAATTCGAGGATTACAGTAAGTTCCTGTTCTATATATTAAATCTCGGTCAATCTGAAAAATCACTGGTGATATTCATCCAAAACTCTGCACAGGGAAAGTGGCCACTAACTTCTTAATTATCACTAAATAATTGCAATTTAGAAAGAATTCCGATGATGATGACATAGCATTAAATTATTCCGAAAGTGTCATTTCTTTGTTAATCACAATTATGGTAATTGATTGTCTTTCTCCTTTTCCCTTTCTTAATTATATGTTCGCTTAAGAACTGAAGAAAAAACCGATTAACATGTTTAATGTCTTTGTTACAAGAAGCTGCAAAGAAAGCTTACAAGAAAAGCATCATTGAGGAGCGTAGAAAAGAAAATCACTGCCCACGACAGAGACAACACTACACTTATCTCTTCACAAAGAGGTACATAATGATTTTGTTTGTTTCCTTTTTCTGTGCATTCTCTTCCTTCTTTTCTCTATGAGTTACTGGAATGTCTTGTCTGATGATATTTCTACCCCGCGAGGGATGTAGTAATTTTCTTCTCTTCCCCATCCAACACGAAAATAGGGCAAGAAATGTTTAATAATAAAGAAGTGGGAGAAGGTACACAAATTAATAATGATCCATGGTTTGAGGGGCTCAATCAATTTTCCCTGTGTTGCCCAATAATACAATTAGAATGCTAAACGTAATTTGATGACGATTTTGATACTGATATGTGGGGCTGGAATGTCTTGAGAGTTTCATCCATTTATTTGAATCGCCTTCTGATTTCTGAGTACAGCTAGTAAGTAGATAGATTTACACAATGCTTGAACATTTGGTTCTAGAAGGTAGAGGTGCCAAACTCTGGGTAGAGCCCTCATTTACATCCAAGAGATTAAAAGACCTAACTAAACACAAAAATTTGACCCCTCAGCAGAGTAGCTGGTACAATAGTATGACCTTAGAGTTGCTAGGATATTATCTTGGCGCCAATTACGTTCCAGATGATATCAGCAAAGAATTCTGGTTTCACATGGAATTCAAGATTTGTCAGGTCCTAAATGTCTTGTTTATTTTCAGTCTCGGGAATCCCTCTACTCCAGCTGTTAGCCTTACTGAGAACCCATAAGATAACTGAATAATTACGCGTAAATAGGATCATCATACCCGTGATGTGCGGAATTTGACGGCCCAGAAAAAGCAAAAGTGCCCCGAGAAGAAGATCCCACACTAGATGGTATATAATAACCACCGATTACCTATAGGATTGCTAATCTGTGTAACTATCTAGCTATAGATGGTAGAGCCAATGATAAGTGGGACTAATCCATTACAATACACTAAAACTTTTACCTTTATCTCTGGAGGGCACCCTTTCTTTGATGTCCAACCACTAACTGCAGGTGCACTTTCTTGTTTATACTAAGGTGTTGTTCCTTCTTTAATTTTAGTTTGCAAATGGCAGGCATTGTATCCGGAAGCATCAACAGCAACGGAATCAGCAGCGTCGTCCCTGAAATGCCGGTTGGTGTAGTGCCAATGGGGCCAACTGATCATCATCACTTGGTAGCTGTCCCACAAGTCCATCATCAGATTACCATCTTAAACAGCGGCTGCACAAGTGGCAAGAGATTTGGCTTTCGCCGATTGCCTCGAGCCTGGATTCTTGATTCCAGAAAGATATTCTTCTTCTTCGCGACGCTGTAAGTCTGCTGCACAACCTTCCTTTCGTCTGATCATCTGTAATTGTCTGTGCTTATCCTGCTTTGCCCCTGCAGGTCATGCATGGGCACTATTCTGCTCATCTACTTCACTTTGTCGATGGGAAGAGTTGTCGATGGGGATGATAGTATTCTCGAGTGATCAAACCTGCACATAATGGATCGACCGCCCTGACTCTCACTGTATAGCTGCAAATTCTGCAGACAATCTCACTTTTTGTTGTTCAACCTTCACCATCATCCAATCTTCGTAAACTAATGGCGGCAGGCAGACGACCCCCCCCCCCCCCCCCCCCCCCGGAGAATCCTTGTGAAGCTTCTTCAATGACTCTACATTTTTTCTATTGCCTGCACAGTTGCAATGAAGAGCCCAAAAGAATACCAGTTTTTTTTTGCCTGTTGTTTCTCTCTTCTATTCCACTTCTATTTCTTGGTCTTTGTCTCCTCATTGCTCTTTTTTCCATTATTCATTAACAGGGAGTAACAGAATTTAATGCAGATGCACCAAATTGTTTGATCCAAATGTAACTAATGTGTATATCAACCACATTAGATACCTAACAATGTGCCATATTGTTTTAAAAAAAAAAAAAACAAGAAAAACAAAAAAAATGTGATCATAATTTGGAAGTGCATCACAGCAAATGAATTAAGTGCCTTTTGGCATCATCAGTAGACAAAAGAACATACATTTGACACTAGATATTTTTTTAAAAAAAATTGTATGAGGAAAATTGAAAGCCAACAGGATCATATTAGTATTGCATTTTGCATCTTCCTCTGTTACCAAGAACATTTGTATTTTCATACATTTTTTCTCACTATATAATCTATATAAATGTATAAATTGTTGGAAAATTGATTAAATATTTAATCAATAAAATTTAATTTATATTTTTCGAAATCGATTATTCGGTTAGTTGAAATGCATGTGGATTGTAGAGTAGTTATTGATTGTGTGGTTAGATATATATATACCCGTAAGCTCTGAATCCAAAAATTATAACTACATGCATGTATAAAAAATAATTATTTGAAATTCGAAAATTCAAATAATGTATTTATGACCGGGAATTAAGTATGATGTTTATGATCGGACATTACCGATATTATGATCGGCAGTTACCGGTTATTAAATGTCGACGATGTAAACTCGAAATTAAACACCTCTAAGGTTGGAATGTTTATGTAAGGCCACTTTCACCATTCCATTCAATACACGAAGAGGAGAACACTTCTCTTCCTTTCTAATCATCTTCTTCCTAAACAATTTCCGGCGAGTTTTCTAGTGAGCTCTGGAATTTCTACTTTAGCTCAAGTCCTCTCACCTTGGTTTGTCGGAGCTTCGGAGGGAAGATCGTTTTATTTTTGGGAATGTTAGTGTTACAAACCGGATGCACTATCAAATCTATTTCGATAAATTATTACGATTATCGAATTTATTTTGATATCGAATTTTATATTTTGATAATTATTTGATATGGTCGCGATATAATAATTTTTTAACAATAATAAAAATAAATATTTTGATATATTGCGAGAATATCATCGCTCGATCAAATTACCAACATCATGGATAATTCCGGTAATTCAAGTGCAGGCAAGTTCGGCATCCACCGTGTGTGTGTGTATATATATATATTCAAAACATTTAAAGATACTTTGATATTTTATGTTTTAAAATAAAAATAAATTACTTCATGTATAAATTATACATTTTCAAACCCAATAAAATAAAATAAATTACTTCATGCATAAAAATTATAATCAAATTAGAAAATTACTTATTTATTCGTGGAGGGAATCAATTGATTGTCCTGGACCTGGACCTGGACGTGCAATTAGGAACCTGGAAAGGCCAGTTTTGTAGCCGTAGATTTTGACATCTTCCTGCACCTGTCTTCGATAGTCCTCAAAGGTGAAGCTTCGATACACACCACTCTCTATCACAGTGTCCTGACATGGACACAAGAAATACGCACTCGAATACCTCTCCTTCTCCACATTCGCCACAACCCTATGCTCCACGCTTCTGTACACGTCATTGCTCCAAGCCTAATTCATTCATTCATTCACTCATCATCGATCCATTCTATTCATATATATATATAACAACCAATTTCATTTCTTACCTGGAACAGGTCACCGATGTTCACAATTAGGGCAGACGGGTTGGGCTTCACGGCGATCCAGCGGCCATTGTTGACCATCTGCAGGCCGCCGATGCTGTCCTGGTGCACCACCGTCAGAAACGCGCTGTCCGTGTGGGGAATTATGCCCAGCATCTTAGGGTACGCCGCCGGGCACGGTGGGTATCGGTTCAGACGAATGTAGCACCTCGCCGCCACACATGTCTGCTTGAACAACGCCGTCGGCCGCCCGATTTCCTCCGCCAGTATCTCCGCCACCGCCTGCGCTAGCTCAGACATCGCCGCCGCAAATTGCGCCATCGCCGACCTGCATATATATGAGACAAGACATGACGATTCATAGTATCTTAATTCCCGATGAGAAAAAAAGAAACAAAACAGTTAATTAATTAATTACATGAGGCTGTGGCGAGCAGGTGCAGCAGATCCCAATTCAAGGTTGGATAAAGGTATATGGAAAGATTCGGACCAGGAGAGGTGCTCCAGGCAGTTCGCCGGCGGCGTACCCCATTGGTAGATTCCGAGGTTTAGGTCTTTGGACCTTATCTTCTCGAGAAAGGGCTTCTTGAGCAGCTTCACCTGTTCTCTCCTCATGACCTCCAATACGTCGCTGGAAATCCCATGGTTTATGACCTGGAAGAATCCACATTCCTGGGAGGCTGTGGATATCAGTTTCTTGCAAGCCTGCTGCTTGTCGGGATCTCCGAGGTTTAACTCGTTGAGATCTATTAATGGCAGGTCGCACCATTCCTCCAACACCGGAAAGCCCTTATGCTTCTGCTCCAAGTTTGCCTCCGCCATGTCGAAGAGCTTCTTGTACTGAGTCTCGAATGGCGGATCGGGGGATAATTCATCCATTATTCCTACAGGCTGAAGCTGATTTATTACAGATCAGAAATCTCGGGGAGACGAAAGTACGTATACAGAATTGTGTGATTGATGTGATTTAGCCTGGAAAGTAATTTGTGATGAAAAAGTAGAGACTTCTTTTACCCACATTCAGAAGTTTTTTCCTGTTCGAGATCCTCAACGAAAAACATGTTGTTTGCGTTGCCACATTTGTAATTAGATTAAGACAAGACCTAGCCTTTCCGACAAACGCAATATATAGATCGTTCATTTTCTTGATTAAAAATCGATCAGATCCATCCTTCTTTTTTCTGAGAGGTGAAATGAAATACAGTAGAAGATATCCATATATCAAGCAAGCTAGGTCAAGTCCAAATTCAGCTGCATATCTCACTCAAGAACACTACATACAAATAAGATTCTAGAATCTAGCTTGTGTCCGAATGAGATCGCATTAACTGAACCCATAAACAAACCAAGTAAGAACACAAGCCACTAAATTAATACGAGGTAATTAAACAATTAATAAAAACTTGTAAGGATCAAGAAGCTGGCTTTCTTACTGGCATCATCGTCGTCTTCCTCTCCACTGCAAATGCGCCTTCTGAACTTCCAGTGCTAAGCTCCATGAAGAACCAATTAATTGTTCTCATACATATACATATATATATAATTATCAATCAATCCATATCTAATTCGATCGAGTTATAACCACAAAACAACCACGACAGCGATCTAGATCCGATCCGATCCGATGCAATCCTAAAAGGCTATGCTAATCAAAGATTATGAGGTGTTTCAAGGGATGGGACCTTTAATTAATTTCCTTTAGAACAAGAAATGAAAGCAAGTGGTGCAGTGGGCTTATATATAACTAGCTAGGGCTAAACTTGTGTAGTTTTCTTTAACTATTCCAGAAATTATTACTTCGATTGAGAGTAGAGATCAGTGGAGGGAGGAGAAGCTAAGAGGGGAGACTTTATATATAGATATATCACCACTTTATTTTGAAATTCATATTTATTGTTGTTTTGATACATAATATAATTGTTGATTGATATGACAATGATATAGATAAGAAAATTTTTGGAATTATAAAATTTTGAAAAAATTTATAAATAATAAAAAAAGTATTTAGTACTATGATATTTATGAAAATAAGATACATTCCGGACACAAACCCTACAAATTATTCCACTGTATGATCTAAGTTATTAGAATGCATATAGAGTAAGTCCAAAAATGCAGAAACCCTACAAATTATTTATTTTCTGGACACAAACCCTACAAATTATTCCACTGTATAATTTGTACTATTACTCGAAGCAATTGTATTTATTTATTCCAATTTCAACTTTATTTTTTATCCCTTTTTGAATCAATTATCATGGCACTTCGTCTTTTTCTTTTTTGGCAGGTAAGGGTGACCAGTTACGTATTGTGACATTTTAAATTATTTTAATGTATATATTTATTCACGTGGTATTTTCAATATAATATAATATTTCAGGTGAGTAATTAAAAAATAATAGAAAATTTTCGAACAGCAATAGTGCAATACTATAGAGATCGATGTATAACATACTATGGAAATGGAAATATAACTGCCCATGCACGACGTCCGTAATAAGATATACTATAAGGAATTACTATGGAGTCCTCTCTAATAATAATAATAATAATAATAATAGTGATTTATTATTATTATTATTTATTTTGGTCGGAAATAATAATACTTCCTCCCGTCGTATAATATGTTATATAAAAGTAATTATATTTGTGTAATATAATATAAATTAAAAAAATATTTATTATGTTAGGTATGTAATACAATTATTAAATTCAAAAATAATTATTTTATTTTATTTTTTTGGCGAGAAAGAGAAAGAGAGCTTTAAGTCTTTGTCGCAACAATAGTTGTAAGTTGGAGTGTGACCAACTCTCCTGAGGTCCACGTCAGCATACATGCTGATGGCCACGCGCACAGCCCCCCAATCACGTGCTCACCCGCCAAGTCCCACGTGGCACTGTGGTGGTACTAACTCAGATTTACTTTCTTATGTCGGCATTTGTACGGTGATACCGACATCTTTTATTTTATTTTTACTATTATTATTATTTTTTTTACGAATTTTTAAATTATAGTTTTATTTTTATCGTAAGTGTTAATAATAATCTTTTATGTATATAACACTTTATTTTCAGACATTCATTGTGAAATTTAGTGAATAAAAATTTACTTGGTTTTGTTTGGAGGTTTGGATTTTGAGTTATAATTTAAATAGTAAAAAATTTAAATTGGAATAGTGGTATGATATCAATAAATAAGTATTGATGCGATGTTTTGAATATAAAATTAATTTTTAATACAATATTAAAAATAAAAAATAAATATTTGGTTTAATATTTTTATGGAGAAAATTTTGTATGAATAATGTAAATCTTTGCATACCCTTCAAAACACACCCTTAATATATATATTTCTCAATTTTGTAAAATTATTTGTACTTGCCACTAAAATATTTTATTTTTATTGGAAAAAAAAAATTGAAGATGAGACTTACACTTGTTTTGCAATATTTTTACTAATTTGATTTATATTAAAATTAATTTATTTTTATTTTTAGTATATACTATTGTTTTATCTTTTTTTTTTACTTGATAAAAAATTGAAAATAGAGACTCACAATGGAAAAATCAATTTATATATATATATAATATGACTTAATCAATATATATTATACGCATAATCAACTTATATTTATACATAATATAATATATACTAAACTATCATATAATATATGTTGAATTATAATATTAAATAACTATCATTTATATTATTAACAGATAAACATTATAAATCCATATACGTATAAAATTATCTTACAATAAATCTATTCTTAATTTTGACGTAAATAATACTTCTTCCGTTCCATATAATTTGTTTCTATTTTATATTTTCGTCTGTTCCATATAACTTATCATTTTTTTTAATTTTAATTAAACTATTTAGTTATCTTAATTTTAATCTATAATTATTTTTATTATATAATAATTATTTTTACTAATACACTTTTTAATTGCTTACTAATCATATTTTACCTAAATTCTAATTCTCGTATCTACGGTAACATGCCCAAATTAGCTAGGACGGAGGAAGTAGATTTTTAAACTATTATTCAATTTTCAATATAGGAGCTTTTTTTTTTTTTTTTTTATGTGGGCATTTGTATTTATTTTATTTATTTATTTATTTATATGGGGTAGGTCGTGTATATTGTCTTTATTGAGCCGAAATATCTACAGATGCTCTCTCTAGGAGATATTTGTTCCGTTTAAATATTGATTTTTATAATTTAAACTCAATATTCGTTTTGATTTTTTTTTTTTTTACAAAATATTATAATATCAAATTATTGCTCAAATTGAAAAAACAAGAAAACAAAAAACACACATAAACACATAAAAAACATGATAATTTAGTGATTTGATCATTTCGATTAAAATGATATATATATATATATAGGGGTGATGAAATCAAATAATTTTACTAATAATTTTAATATGTTTTTTAATCTTGGCATATAGTCCATACGTTCCCTATATATTGTTTTATTGGAGTGAATAGCATGCTGAATTTAATTTGAATTCTTAATTAACTAAATTACTTATTTAATTAAAATGGTTAAATTTAAATTAAAAATCAAAATTAACTTCAACATGTGTTGAATTAGCATTCAAATTAGCACTTGATCCAATTTCTTAATTATATTATACTTTCATAATATGAATTTTAAAAATTATTTGTCATCTAAATTTATATTCATTTGCTTTAAGAAAAATAACTACAAATATGTTTGTCTTTTAAAGTAAAAAAAATAATGATATGTTTTTCTATATGAGAATTTTTTTTTCTTTATTACAACGAGAAAAAAAAAAGTATAAATTTAAATAACAAAAATAATAATATTTTAATAATAGTAGATATAATATAATACTCGTTCAGTCTCAATTCAAAGAGGGACAATTAGAATTTTGTAGTGTGTAAGATGCTTTTGATATTTTTGTTATTAAAATTAAATTTATAAATCAATTATATATAATGATATATTTGTAATTTATGTCAAAATTAAATGATGTTTAGTATTAGTTATTAGTATAATTATTTTTATTATAATAAAAATTTATTTTTAAATTAGATTGACAAAAATAATAAAAAAATATACTTTCAGTTTACTTGGAGAATATTTGTCTATTTTGTTATTATTAGTGAATATGCTTTATTTAAATGTAAAAAAATAATGGTCTATGATTAATAATTTTAAAGAAATACTTGAAAACACGTTTACTATTTATGATGATAGTTGAATAATTGATATGCAACGAATAAAATTGATAAAATAGGACAATATGTATGAAATATATAGAATATCTTTGAATTATTAAATATTTAATTTTTTTTTTTTATTTCAAATTTTGTAGAACTTAACATTTTTTTAAATTCATAAAATGTATTAGGTACAAAAAAATGTAGAAAAAGAAATGAAAATAGTTCATTTGAGTAAAAAGTATATATAAATTGATAAATGAATGACTTTTCATTATCAATTATTATTATTTTTTATATAAAAAAATATAAAAAATTAGAAATGCAAAGTGTGTTTATTTGGCATTTTCCCCCCTAATATTAGCTTTCATATTTTTTTTTTATAATAATGTAGTATTTCATTGTCAACTACTACAATTTACATATTTGTATTTTCATTTAATAAACTATCAATCATATCATAGATTATAACACTCATATTTTAGGTTTATTTACATTCTTCATATAAAAAAAAAAAAAAGAAAAAAAGATGGAAGCATCACATTTTAAATCTCTTTAACATATATATATATTTATATTATAGTAAAATAATGAATATTGGTGGTAAGTAGAGTGTAATAATATTTTGATAAATTGGTATTTTGTATTTTAAATATAAAATAATACAAATATACTGAAAGGATAATATTTATAATTTATATAATATATATATATTATGTTTTTAGGTGAGACAATAAAATATATTTCTGACACAGTCTCAACAATGCTGAAATGATAAAATCATTCTCTCTCCGTCATTTAAATTTATGCTCACTTTTCTTTGCATGACGGAGGGAGTATTATAAATTTGAGCAAAAATTAATAATAGTTCCCAATCAAACTCTTTTTTTACATTTTTTTATCATATTCAAGAATAATTATCAAAATGAGTTCCATACAAAAAATAAATTATCAATTTTTGTTCCACCATTCTGATTTCAACGAAATATGCTAACGTAACGGTAACAAAAGCTGATGTAGCATCCGATTTGAATCGAACACGGCCGTGTGCCAGAAACACGAAACACGCCCGTGTGTCCACCTTCCATGCCACAACAATTCGAGCACCATTCAAAAAATTCAGAAATGGCCTATGTTCCCGGTGCTACCGCCAACGACCTCAAAGTATTTCCTAAATCCAAAACCCTAATCCCCGAACAAAATCAATCACGCAAAATCACAGGCTTTCAATTCACCAAGCATCCACTGCAAAATCGAGGGGAATCCTCTACTTGAAAAAAATTGCAATCACCAATTCACCACACGCTGCCGTCGATTGCGGAAGCAGACGGAAAGGGTTCAAACTCCGGAGACCGGAATCCGCTATCTAACGTCACGGTAAATCAGCGACAGGATGTCTTCCGCCGCAGCCGCAAGTGGAATTCCCTCTATGCGGCGACGATTGCCGTCGTCGTCGCGATGCATACACTTTGTTTATTCACTCTTTTCACCTTAAATTGGAGTGTCATCGGCGTCGTTGCCGTTTTGTACTTCATCACCGCCCTCTTCGGAATCACTCTTCTTCCAAAGAAACCTCTCTCACAGAAGTTTAAAAAATCTCCAAATTTCTTAAATTCCTTTTCGCCTACTGCAGCTTTCAAGCCCTTCAGGTCAATCAATCGTCTATGTATATGTATAGATTTGTATATATAATTTTGAATTACTACAAAATTGCAGGGAAATCCTATAGATTGGGTGAGCACATACAGATATCATCGTCAATTCTGTGATACAAAAAAAGATCCACACAGACCAGATTCAATCGCATTGATAATAAACACAGGCGTGTGTTTCAAACAACACGGCCGTGTTTATATATGTTGGATTTTGTATTTTATAACATGGGCGTGTTTCTGAGCACGCGGCCGTGTTCGATTCAAATCGGACGCCACATCAATTTTTGTTGCATTTGAAATTTTAATGGTGGATCAAAATTTATAATTTATTTATTTATTTTTTTTTTTGTATAAAACTAATTTTAATAATTATTTTTGAATGTAATTAAAAAATATAAAAAATGAATTTGATTGGAAGTATTATTGATTTTTGCTCTGTAAATTTATTAATAAGAAATATCTTTAGAAAAATAAACGTGCCTATCCAGCAGTCCACGTGGGCAAAATCGTAATTTCGCGTCTACCTCCTTTCTTCCGCCGTTCAGTTGACAACTGACGAATCTGAAATTCCCCCAATTCTGAGAGGAGAGGAGATCCTGCCTGCGCCGCTATGGAGGCGGAGCCATCAGCTGCGATACGCTGGTGCGCCCCAACTTTTGTACTCGTGCTCTTCCTCCTCATTAACCCGGCCTTCTCGATCTACTGCGACGAGGATGACTGCTACGATCTATTGGGGTAGCTAAACCTTGCTCCGCCTCTGATTTATGTGCTTAACATGGTTCCTCCACCTCCATTCGCATAATTGTTTACACATTTTGTTTCCAATTTCAATTTCAAGGGTTTCTCAAAGTGCCAATGCCTCCGAGATAAAAAAAGCATACTACAAGCTGTCCCTTAAATAGTGAGTCCGTTTTATTGGTTCCCTTTTGATATATCAGTATGTGACCTTAACAATTGATTGATAATTTTTGTATGCTGCCAGTCACCCAGATAAAAATCCCGATCCAGAATCAAGAAAGCTGTTTGTGAAGATAGCAAATGCCTACGAGGTATTTTCACTTTTTTTTTTTCTTTCAATTTATTTGATCGAGTAATTATGTATAGACCTACTTTATCTTTTGTTGATTTACTTATTTCTTATATGTTGTTATTGGTAACGATCAAGAAGCTGTAATTAGTTGATAAAATTATGATTATAATCACTTAAGGAAAAATTAAGGCGTTCTCTTCATGTACAGTGGACTCTTCACTTGTTTATGTGTAATAATTAATTCTACATGCTGATTTTCTTCTATTGGAATTCAGTGATCACCTAAAACTTCTTGGTGCTACAAGGGGTTTGTTTATCTAGATATGTGTTTATCTAGTTGGTAAGCTATTTTATTAATATGAACTTATTTTTGTTTTATATCCAGATTTTGAAAGATGATGCCACTAGAGAGCAGTATGATTATGCAATTGCACATCCTGAAGAGGTTTGTGCACTGAATGACCTTTCCAACTTGGTAGAATTCTTGCAAAAGGATTTTGCTGATTATAATTATACATGTGGTGCATCCACTATTAATTGTTGTTTTAAATCATATCTTCTGCATGTATAGCACATTATTGAAAATCTATTTTTGGGAAAGTGCCCACCTTGTTGGATGATATACATAAAATGCTAAAAAAATTGTTGTGTGAATAGAAAACAAGAGTAATATCTTGAGAAATTAAGAAATGCATACATTTTGCATTATATCTCCCCCTGCCCCAAACTAGTATACTTGAGCAGTCAAGACCATTGATGTTGTGGGCATTTGATGATGCATATGTTTTGAGATATGTATTTAAGATTCTTACAACTAACTTTGAACACCAAAAGAAACCTGTGTTGATATTTGACTCTTGTAGGTATTCTACAACACAGCAAGATACTACCATGCATACTATGGTCATAAAACAGTAAGCCAATTTTATTTCTAGAACTACTTCTCTGGTTTTCTTTGTGGACAAACATGATCATGGAATTTAAAATTATTACATTGTACATAATTGTATCTTACTGTATTGGATTCGAACTGTTTTCTTCAATCAGGACACTCGTGCTGTCTTTGTCGGTCTTCTTCTGGTGCTCTCAGGATTTCAGTATCTAAACGGGTGGACAAGGTATAATCAGGTAACAGGAGCTGCTTGCTGTATCATGCCAAGTATCATTTAGTTGTTTACTGATGTACTGTGAATTATGTAATGAGGATTTACGATATATATATATATATCAGTAATGTTCCACTAGCTTTCAATCTACCATGACAAATCCTTGTTGGCAAGTGCAACAGTTTTAACAATTACGTTACTTAATAGCATTCCACAAATGGATTAAGTTCTGAATTCTGATGAAGGACAGGGATGAATTTATCTTTGGTAACATCAAATACCTTTCACTCATGTCAATTTATATGTGCACGTCTGATGTTCTAACTGTCATGTTCTCTGAGGTTCATCATGACAGTAGAGATTACTGGTATCTAGTTCTTAGATGCCAGTTATTAGTTTGTAGATTTTATGATGTCCAGACAACTTTGAGGCCTTTTTTTTTTTCTCTCTCTCTCTCTCTCTCTCCCCTTCCGTTTCCTTTGTCAATTAATGATTCGTAGCCACTGTATGTACACTCTGTGTTCTGTGTTAAACCATGAAAGTTGCACCTACCCTGCTCTCAGGTCCCACTCCTGGTTTAATTTTGTTTCATGGCTTCAACTTCTACTGCTTATCTTGTTCTTCCATTTTTTTCAGGCAGTTGACATGGTGAAAAAGACTCCAGCTTACAAAAACAAACTAAAGGCGTTGGAACTAGAACGCACTGGGGGGGTTATAAATAAGAAGAAGGGCAACAAGCAGATAAATAAGTATGATGTTACATATATCGTCGTTTATCAATATTTCATTCATGCATTCTGCTAGTTGGTGTCCTAACTCTTTTTCTTTTAGCTTATGTTAAAATATTAACAAGTGTTGTTTGTACTTTTTTGGATAGGAAAATGGAGGAAGATCTTAGCAAGGATCTTGAGCTGCAGATTAAGGGAGCTGAAAAGCCATCTGTTTGGGAACTCATTGGAGTTCGTTTCATTTTACTGCCTTACACTATCATAAAGGTTAAATTAGTTGTCTTTCTGCTATTTTTAACACATAGCTGCTTCTAGACCACACACACACACACACACACACACACACACACACACACACTCTTTCTAGTATGAGAATCAAAATCTTTTGAATCTATTTATTGATGGATGCCATTTACAGCTATTGTTGTGGTATACATTCTGGTTCTGGAGGTACAATGTGAAAAAGGCACCTTATTCTTTGGAGGATGCTTCCTATCTAACAAGACGATCCCTTGGAATATCTCTTGATTCATGGAGAAGCATAGGTGTGCTAGCTACTCTTTTGTGCTATCATTTTTACTGTTTTGATTATTAATCTAGTTCCGATGAAGTTCACTACTGCCTCCGTATTCTATCAAATGATTTATTCTCCATGATGCTTCTTTACACTTTCTGCATGGTGAACACATTTTCAATTTGTTATTTCAGTCCTAGATTTTAGCATGTGCTGTTTCATCCAGTTTAAAGGGACTCGTTTTTTTGGCATTTTGATGAAGAAAAACCATGATCACAAATGCTATTATCCTTTAGAGCTTCAAAATCCATATGGTTTTCATCAACCAAGTTTTGCAACTCACTGTAAGTTTGGTTGCTTACCAGATGACCCAACAAAGGAAGATCTGGTTCAAAGACGTCTATGGAAAAGAGCCAACTTGGAGGCGTATCTAGCAGAGGTGCGCAAAGAATACAAGCGTAGGAGATAGAGGAAGTTAGCCGAGAGGGCAATGTCTGTGTGTTGTTGGTAGAATCCAATTTTGCAGGAATTTATCATTTATGTTTGGTCTGATCGGTGTTAGCTCCATGTATAACAGAAGCATAATCACTCACACCTATACACACAAAAGGCACAAAAGCAGGACCCCTTTCCTTTATTCTATCTTGATAAGATTAATCAAGAACCACCTCAATTACATCTTGGGTTCAATTGTGAGACTGTAATACAGCATATAAACACGGTGACTATTTTCGGGGGTTTTGTATATTCATTACTTTATTTTTTGAATCAAATGAAATATACTGACAAAAACCCATGCTCCATCTCCAGAAGAGGAGAAAAGCAGTGCGCCATGATTTCTATGCAGGTCAATTAAACCAGATGTTTTACTTACATGAGATGTCTACAACATGACTTCTGTAAGATTTTTATAAACTTGAATGGTAGATTCCATTATTTTTAACAGGGGGAAATGGCTGCAGGTACTAAAAGAACTCATTCAAGAGAATATATATTCGAGGACCTTAAGAAAAGGGTTCTGCAGCCAAAGTTACAGTGACTAACCCCAAGTTCTCTGTGAAATGCTTTTATGCTTTATTATGTTAATGATTGCAGGTCCCATAGATCCAAGCTGAGCAGATGAATTCAGGTCTTCATTGCAATGTGTGCAGAGACTCGAAAATGAATGTATGTTACTTAACTCTCATGAATTAATTTATTGTGTACAATGATAAGAAACCATAAGTTTGATGATATAGTTGTTCAGATTGCAGGTCTAAAGTTGTACTGTTGCAATGGTAGTAGAATAGAATAGATCTATTATTTGGGCCTGGAAAACATTGGCTCTATGTTATACTAAGGGTTGAAACGATGTGCACGTGCTGACAACTTGTTGGTAAGCAATAGACAGCCATTTTTGTCTTCTTTGCATCAGAAGAACATTGTGGCTATAGTTCTCACTATAAATTCCATCCTCAAATGGGTAAAGATAATCACAAGATTCGCCCTTGCGCTTCCCCTGCAACTCTATTATTACTCTGCAATATTATACTTATCCACACCACCATATATAATATTATTTTGTGCTGTCAGACCTGACCCTCCAATTCCAATAGAGATGGAGATGGCGGCCTGCTCAGGAAAACATTCTTTGGATAGCTATTCCACTACTGCTCCTCCAGGTACTTCTTCTGCCCCGGCCCTCTTTCACCTGTTTCTTGAATTTCTTACAAAGATTTTCAGAATTTGTTGCAGCAATGAACAGGAAAGAATCCGAGGTGAATTTCTCCGAAGATGAAAAAGAACTGATGTTGAGGATGTACAATCTGGTTGGTGAGAGGTAGGTACACAAATCTTACATCCCCCACCCACCCCACTTTCTCATCCCTCCACCCTCTTATGTTTTTAGTGTGTGAATTTGCTTGGCATCAGATGGTCCATAATTGCTGGGAGGATCCCGGGAAGAAGCGCCGAGGAGATCAAGAAATACTGGACGTCTCGATGCAGTGGAGTGGGGAAATAGAATCAATCGATCACTACACATAATATCAAATTCAAGACCAGTACTGTAGGTAACAAAACTTCCATTATTAGGTTGCTGCTGTTCAATGGTCTGTGTATTTTATTTGGGGTGGAAAGGGTATTATTATTATTATTATTATTATTGTTGATCATTATTTGATCTTCATTATTGTTGTAGAAGATGCTACTGCTATAAGCTTGTACCTCATTGGTGGTTTTCATTTTTGTTTGGTTATGTTTTCTCGTATTTTATATGAGATATCAAATTGATTCTAAATTTATAATAATTTATTTCTTATTTCCACAATACACTGGGAACACAAATAATCAAACAGCCTTGTGAATTGTATGTCATTGAAGATGGAAATTGAGGTATCATGATGCTGCCACGTGGCATCTTATCTAAAAATCAGAGTTCCGACTTTGATTTTTGGACGCAGACAACAACGCTCTCTGCCCCATTTGGATATCCCTATCAGCTTTACAAATCAGGCTTTGTTAACTTTATCCACAACAATTCTCATATTTAATAGTAATATCAAAATACTAGCAAACAAACCTCAATGGTGATTGGTTCCCTCTAAAATATTTCATTTTCGTAACAAATTTAATACTTCAAATTATTTAGACATGGAAAGGCCACAATTTACATTTGAATAATTTTAGCATACCAGACAAAAAATAATTATGAGTAAATTAGATATTTTTTTTATTATTATTTTTAGTAAAAAAAATGCACGAAATATCCTATATTTTATTTATTGAGTAAATTTTGTGTTAATATAAAGTTGTCCAAAATCGATGATTCTAAATAAAAATATAGATTACTCAAGTTTTATATAAATAAATTTTTTTTTTTTTTTAATAAATTAATGAAATAATTCATCAATCATTTAATTTTATAATTTTGTAAAAATTAGATAATAGTTTATCTTAAAAAAATTATAAAATTTACATTATTGAATTCATATTTAAAAATTTAAATTTAATTATATTAATAATAAAATTTAACATCAATAAGACAGTTTGGCCGAGTGGTCTAAGGCGCCAGATTTAGGCTCTGGTCCGAAAGGGCGTGGGTTCAAATCCCACAGCTGTCAAAATCTTGTTTTATTTTTTACAAATCAATATTGTTTCTGGTTTTATAATTCTTCTGTCCATCTCCTCCAAGCCATCGCAGGCCAATCTTTTTATGGGTGATACATATTTGTGGTCGTCCAGGTCTTTCATCTTCTCTCTCACACACTACTTTTTTTTTCTCTCTCTCTCTCTCTCTCTCTCTCTCCTCATTCATTCCATGTAGGTCTATGGTGTCGCCATATCCGCAGCCTATATTGCTCAAATCTTGAAGAACCCAACCAACCCACAAATTTTTCCTGTCTATTTATTCTCCATTCTTTTTGCCCTTTTAAATGTTTGGGCATTCTTGCTAAGCTTTTCTTCGATATATCACTGAGCCCCATCATCCATTTCTTCTTCCTTCCTTCTGCGTGCCTGCATATGCTTATCATCAACAGATTACACCCAATTAATCTTACCATGGATATTCCGACAAGATATGTAATTAATTATTAAATGGGGAATATCGCAACGGGGAGAGATATAGAAGAAGAACACCCTTCTCTATTGCTTCTAATTTCTCCCTCTGTTGTCTCAATTATTCTTGGTGTGTAATTATTAATTAATTATCAATGTCGATTCTTTGTTTCCCTTCTTTACATGTCTTATGTATGATTAATTTCTTGATCATTGTGATAGCTAGGCAAATAAATTAAGGGCTCATCGGCAGTGTAATTTTCCTCCTACAATATCTATCTTCTTTCGTATTTATCTGGAAAAAAGACAAAGCAGCAGCAATAATGAAAGGATTATACAAAGGAGTCAAATATACACTGTCTCAAATGTTTGGTAGAGATTTTGCAATTTTTTGTCTCCTTTTGAATTAATCTGCATTTGCAGCCATGTTGTTCGAAATTGACATCCTTTTTTTCGACATCGTAGTCAAGGAGCCTCAGCTGGAAATTGGGTGTCCAACTGATGTTAAGCATGTGGCTCATGTAGGGTGGGATGGCCCCTCTGGGGGTAACCCGAGTTGGGTATGCACTACGGTCGTATATATGATATTATTGTCTCTATGATGGGTCGATGGATTGATCATTTTTATCTTTATATATACTTTTAGGGTTGATGATTTTATTTTTTTTTTTGTTCATTTCTTTGTTGAATTGTAGATGAATGAATATGAAACCGGCCCCGAATTTGCACAAACATCCGTCGGTAATCCTACTTCGGGCCTTCCCACATACTCGACGTCTCGAGGTTTGTTCTTATGCATGTTCTTGTTATCTTTACGCAATTTTATTGATTTTCTTGATCCATGTAATAGTTTCAAATTATTTACGAACTATTCAAGTTGCAAAGATTTGTGCTATTGTCTAAAATTTAAATGATTGAATGAACAATTTTTAGGGAAGAATAAAAAATTAAAATAGAATGTGATGTTTTATGAAAAAAATAGGTATTTCATATTATATTTTCGTAAAAAAAAAAAAAAAGATAGTGCAAAAATTGAGGCATATCTAAATTTCGAAGAAAGAATAACAAAAATCAAGATCTTTCTTTCTTGTTGGCAAAGATATTCTTTGTTCATGTTATGATCCTAACACATACATATAATTGTAAGAGATGTAACAATCACAAGATTCTTTGCCTAAAAAATGGGGAATTTTTTACATCATTGGACCATATTTATTAGGTATATAATGAAAATACACTTGCTTGCTAATTAAAACACCTCAACTATGTACTTATTGAAGGACACACTTATTATTGTTACATGTTACTTAGTACGTACCTAATTAATCTACACGAAAATTCACAATAAATCCTCGAATCCCTCAAACCATTTAATTAAAGTTTCATCCCATTGCAGATTGTGGCGAGTCGAAGCAGGAGCAATCATCATCGGATATGGCTGTAAGATGTAAAGACATACCCGAATCATCGGAAATTCCTCCTACTAAGAAGAGGGCGAGGAGGAAGAAGTGCAAGCAAGGCTCATGCTCGGATACGGGCCCGGTGAGGCAGTCAAGAGCTGCAAAGCAAAAGGTCAAATTCGCCGAAAATAATCCAGAGCCAAACAATGTCGAAGTTGCATAAAAAATTAATTAACTATAAAGCTTAATCACAAAAGCTACATGCGAATTCAAGAAAATTTTAATAACAAGAAAGGTAGCCATTACTAATAAAATTCCACGCATGTAGCTGCCTAAAGGATCGATCTTTAATTTTTATTTTTTTTTTCGATCGCCAAACCCTTCTCAATTCATCGTAGTACACGACAATGCAACGAATACAATCGATTTTGAGTGTTCTTGAAAGGGAAGGGAAGGGAAGAAAAGAAAATGGGAGCCTAATGATGCAAGGAAAAGGCAAGAAAAAAATGTGTGTAATAATATAGTTTTGGTTTCTTGAATACATTATTTCCTTAAATTAGGTCATATGATGCCTTTGTAATGAGATGAATATATAATAATATTTATAACAATTCTTGATTTATTTGGACTTATATATAGACATAATTTATTTATTTATTTATTTTAATTAGTGTATGTAATTGCATGTTGGAGATCGATGCTCATGCAACAAGAAACCTTAATTGATTACTTAATTCTGAGAAATTAAGAAACCCTTTTTCTTGTAGCCTAACCTATTTTGGGACATCCACACGTTTGATTAATGCCAAATGCCAAATCCATTCATTTGTTGGTGTCATTTATTCAAAAGGGAAGTTAATTCTATCCCCTAATAGAGGGTTTCTTGATCATCACTAGCTAGGGTTTGGTTTGTGCTAAATATTAATTAATTAATTAATTAATTTTATCACTTGGAAAATTATTAATTAATTAATTTATATAAATTGATTACTCTCCAACATGCACAATACTAGGAATATTAGTTCCTTTGCATTAAATAATATCCATGTGTGTACTGTAATAGGAAAAGATGTGTGGTTTTTATTTTTTATTTTTAAAATAAAATGATGTTAGATCTGATTTACTTTATGTTATCCATTTGTCTCGATTTTATGTATTTACTATAAAATTTGTAAACTAATTTATTATATTTAAGCATAGGGCAAAAAATATAAATAATTTAAAAATTATTCTAATGCTTATCTTTATCCCTCATCACAACTACTACTGGTCAATTAAAAAACCAAAAATAAATAAAAAGTTACTGTTATATATATATCAAACATAGATAATATATTGTATATAAAAAATATTATGATTAAATTCAGCTGCCCATGGTATTAAATAAAGCTTCTGGTCTCATTTATATTTGTTGAAGGCATGCATCCAATTTTTTTATATTGTTTTTATTTTTATTATTAAAAAATGTTGTGACTAACATGGGTATTTTTTTTTAAATTTTATAAAATTATTAATTTTATCTATAACAATAGCTTTTTACAATTATTGTTTACAAGCCAAAAATACAACCAAACAAACTCTTCATATTTACAAATATATATGTTCAAATTAATAGTTTGAATTTTCAAATTGGTGTCTTTTTTTTTTTTTTATCTAAAAAAACATTTATTATTTTTATATAATTTACATAATTTTCTATATTTCACATGAAAATAAAAAATAAATCTTTTGGATCATTTCACAAAACAAATAAAACCATTTTCTCTTCAAAAACAAAATATAGTATAATATACATATTTTTTTATTTAAAATAATATATAAAAAATATTTTTAATTCAAGACATCATATTAAAAAAAATATTTTTAATTAAAATTTTTACTATTTCAAACCAGCTTCAAGCATATCAATTATGTAATTTTCAAGTCCGGTAAGGGATGGGCTTGGTGGTTGGATTTATAATCGTGAGCTCATGGGTTCAAACCCCCGACACTTCAGGTCACCTATCACACATAGTTCGCCTAATAAATTTTCCGTCGGGCCTGGTTTGCAGGATATTAGGTCAGACGGGGTTTACCCGGTACGCGACTGCGGATTCCAGATATGTATGTAACATTCAGTAGCTGTTATTATTATTTTAATTTATTTATTAATTTTCTGGATTTTAAAGTCCATAAAGAAAAAGAAGAAATTTCTGAAATAAAAATGTCTATTAATTCAATAACTAATTAATTAATATATTTTTAAATTTTGTAATGTATAGTAATTGTAGGGACCATATTATTAAAAGATGCCATTGAATGAGCTAGGGTTAGTATATATGGCTGCTACTGCTGTCACACTCTTTTAATTATATATACATATGTGTGTGTAGTATTCACCATAAATTTCAATCCACTGTACGTACGTACATACATACATTATTCATTTAATGATAAATATTTTCAAGTATTTTGACATACTAATATTTTAATAATAATAATTATTATTATTATACTATTACAATTTCGTTACATTAATTGATAGGATTTAATTTTGAAAATTGCATCAGAATATATATATATATAAATAAATTTTGTGTTGTAGATATTGAAATTGTGAATATGATTAGTGGAATTGTAGCATTTATTGTTGTCATTAATTTTATTAAATATGAAAAAAAATGTATAATAAAGGGATGAAAATCATGGTCATTTATTAATATATATTCATTAAATGCACCATCTTCACTGGCCTTTACGCACTAGGGAGAAAAAATTTTGTAACAATTTTTTTTTTTTCTCTAAATCTATTTTTTCTGTTACTAATCACATCAGAGACGAAATTATGAATGAAATTAGAAATGAAATTACGTTAGCTATGTGAACTTTATGGACAAAATTCCATTACAAATATTTTTTATTTTTTTATTTTTTATTTTTTTGTAGTGATGGGTGAATTCAATTCCTGGGAAATATATATACACGATTTTAGTACAAATCTTCAAATTAAAATTAAATTATTATAATATAGATACAACATATGTATATATACCATATAATATATATATTTTCTTTATTCAAGAAAATTAGATATATGTGTGTTTGCAACATCTAGAAATAATTAGGGTTTACATTTCATTGGGTTTTGATTTTTATTTTATTTTCTTTAAATTTACATAATGTAAGCACAATATATAAAGAAATAAATTAATTAATTAACATGTATAATTACAGCTGAATAAAATCAAATACAAACAATTTTATTTTCATTTTATTTGTTTTTTTTTTAAATTGTTTTTATTTAAAGTGAAAAAATATAAGTTGGTAAAACAGTAAGTAGTAAATGGGATAATGATAATGAGAGGTTTGGCCATTGCTCCCTTGTAGATGGCGATACATACAGAATATATATATATATATATAGAGAGAGAGAGAGAGAGAGAGAGAGGGGAAATTTAAAACGTCATGAGATAGATAGAGAGCAATTGCTTGTTGGTGTTGTTGGTGGTGTGTGTGTAGAGAGCAATAAAGGCCCCTCACCTCCAACCTCACCATTAATGCTCTCCCAACCTCTCTATACCCTCTGCAATTACTACTGCTACTAGTCCTCCTCCATATCGCTTCTCTCTCTATTCTTATCTCTCTCTCTTTCTCTCTCTCTCTCTGCCATCTCCACATCTTCTTTCTTTCTTTTCTTCTTCATCTTCTTCTTCAACCTCTCATCTCCTTTTTCTTTTGGTTCTGATTATCTATCGTAGAGACTAATTTCAGTCTTTCTCTTTCATCTCCAATTCTCCTTAAATTCTATTCACAAGAATGGCCTGAAACCCACCCTCCCAACTTGCTTCCTAACCCATTAACTCCTTCTCAGCCGTCGATTTGTTTTTCAAATTCAGATCTGAATTCCTTCTGTCTTCCTCCTAACCCTAATTCCTTTTATTAGGGTTTTCGTTTGGCACGATGAAGTCTGTCTGAGATCGTTTCTCAACTTCTCCACTCAACAACTATTTAGCGCTAAGCTAGCTGGAGTTCTTCACCAAGCTTCTGCCATAGCCATATACATCATCAGTCAATCTATCTATCTATATATGTATGTATGTATATCTCATCTCTACTGCTTCTTGCTTTCCAGTTTCTGTAGTTTCAAGGGTTTTTATTTATTTATTCATTTCATTTTATTTTATTTTATTTTAAATTTGTTCGTTTCGATTTGGGTGAGAGAAAAGATTCGTTTAGAATTCCAGCCAATATCTCTGGTGAAGGGGTGGGGGTGGGGGTCGGGGTGGGGGTAGGGGTGGGTTTGTGTTGAAAATTGTAGAAATGGTGTCAAAGGGTATTATTAGACAATGTCAACACTCTGGCGATGTGATTTTCTCGTTTTAGGCCTCGGGCACGTCAGGACAGCCAGGATAGCAGTTCTTGTTTGAAAACCCCAACCAAGAAAATTATAAAAAGTCCTTTTGCCTAAAAACTAAAGGACAAAAGTCCATTGATAGTCAGTCAGCTGTTACATGTAGCCATCCCCCATTTGCTTCGCTCAGACTCTCTGCCACAGAATATATATATTTATATATATCATCGTCATCATAATCATCTCTCTCTCTCTCTCTCTCTATATATATATATATATATCTGCTCAACTCAGCTCAGCTCAGCTCAGCTCAACGCACTCACTTTCGAAATCCCAAAAGGCTACTACTTACTTCTACACCCCATGATTCCCCCACAGAGATACTGAGAAATCTACATCGGAAAAAGGGTTTTCTAGGGTTTCTCCGCAGCTTCAACGGCCCCTTGACGATGAATGCCTGAAAAAAAGGATATATCTCTCCCGGCAACTTGGAATATCTCTCCCCTTTCTCAAAAAGGTAAGTGGAATTCGAGGGTTTCTTTCTTCCAAAAAAGAAAAACACACCAAAGAACAAATCGAGTCGATCAATTCGATTATCATATATAAAATAAAATTGTGTTTTGTGTGCGTGTGTATATATACATATGCTTCTCTCCCTCTTCTGCTGTGTACCTCCTTTTTGGCCTTTTAAAGGAGTTTTGTGTGCAAAAATTCTGATGAAGGGTAGGTGGATTAACATACACTGCCATTTATTTCCCTGTAATCATTTATTTCCTTGGACAGTAACCCTTCCTTGGCCATTTAATTTCCCCCCCTCATTCTTAACAGCTCTCGCATTCGAGATCTGGATAGTTCTTGAGCCTGCTTGGGTATAGATTTAATTCCTCTGAAATTGTTCCTCTAAACAAATCTAACAACTGGAAACTTGTGTGGATCCTTTTCTTTCCTGCCAGTATTTTTCCTCTCAAGGTAAAATAAAGAGAGATCTACATCTTTGGCATCACAATCGCATTAATTGCAGTGGTTTATACATCTTTTGTGACCTTGATTTCTCATTTCTTACCTCAAGATCCAACCTGGGATGAATGGATTTTGGTTCGTAATTATATTACTTTTAAGTTTATGGTAATTAATGAAAATGTCCATAATTACATACTTGAATCCCTCGCTTTGGATTAAGAGATTTTTGTATCTTGAACTAAAATGTTTATGCATAAAGCAGCAAGCCAACCAAAAATAAAAATAAAAAATCAGGTCTTTTTACCCTCTTGTAATTAGCCCGTGAGATTCATGTGATATGGTAATATTTTGTTCCAATTAAACTGTGACATTCCAAAGGTCATTTGCCCTTGACGGTTTCTGTTCATCTTCTAATTTTTATTAGTTTAATTTTGCAGAACTGCAGATTTACTGAAGACCTGGTTTTATTTCGATAAAGATGTTTCAGCCAAACATATTTGATAGTCACCATCAGTTGCTGGACATGGCAACTCACAAAACCCCAGAGAACGAAATGGATCTTATAAGGGATGAAGAATATGAAAGCAAATCAGGCACTGATGTTATGGAAGGCCACTCTGGTGATGATCAAGATCCTAATCAACGTCCCAACAAGAAGAAACGATACCATCGCCACACACAGCATCAAATCCAGGAAATGGAAGCGTATGTGCTTAGATGATTGATCTCATGTCCCTTATTGTTAATTATCTCTTATTGATCATGTGTTTATTACAGTTTCTTCAACGAGTGTCCTCACCCCGATGACAAACAAAGAAAGGAGCTTGGGCGTCGTCTGGCTTTAGAACCTCTTCAGGTTAAGTTTTGGTTCCAAAACAAGCGTACACAAATGAAGGTAACTATTGTCATGAAATATCTTTTTACTTAATGGATGTATTTCTATCGAGAGATTTGTTTGTGGTTGTGGCTAACATTTTAGTTGTTTCTGCTGCTGCAGGCACAGCACGAACGCCATGAGAATTCGCAGCTAAGAGCTGAGAATGAAAAGCTTCGTACCGATAATATACGGCTTAAAGAAGCTCTAGGCAATGCTACTTGTCCAAACTGTGGAGGTCCAGCAACCATTGGTGAGATGTCATTCGACGAGCAGCATCTCAGGCTCGAAAATGCACGCTTGAGAGAAGAGGTAAGCATCGAGAATTCATTCAAATTAGGACTCAAAACATCTTAATTTATTGAACAAAGAAGCATAATTTGTGATAAATTCATTCATCTCATTGACAGACAAGTTTGAGTTATAATTTGTGGATATTTTGCTTTACCTACGTTGTGAATCCAGATTGATAGGATATCAGGAATAGCTGCAAAATACGTCGGAAAACCAATGCTTTCATACCCTCATCTTTCCCCGGGAGCATCACGATCCCTTGATCTTGGAGTAGGGAATTATGTGCCACAGGCAAGCATGGCTGGGGATATGTATGGAGCTGCAGATGTTCTTAGAACTGTCTCTGGACCAACAGATGCTGACAAGCCAGTGATCATCGAGCTAGCCGTTGCAGCAATGGAAGAATTGATTAGAATAGCTCAAGCAGGAGAGCCCTTGTGGATTGCTAGCACTGACAATTCAGGTGAGGTCATGAATGAAGAGGAGTATGCTCGAAGTTTCCCTCGCGGGATTGGGCCGAAGCCCCTGGGATTCAAATCTGAAGCCTCTAGAGAATCTGCTGTTGTGATTATGAATCACATTAACCTTGTCGAGATCTTGATGGACGTGGTATGCAAACATATATATGTATCTATGTATGTGGTGTATAATCAAATATGTTCAGGAAATGGTTGATAATTGGAGTTCATCTTCATTGCAGAATCAATGGTCAAGTGTCTTTGCCAGCATTGTTTCCAGAGCAATGACTTTGGAGGTGCTGTCCACTGGTGTTGCTGGAAATTACAATGGAGCTTTACAAGTGGTATATATATATATATATATAATATACTTAATACAGTGCTATTTATTTTACTAATGTCATACACTCGATTAATTAATCAATTTCTTGAATTTCAGATGACTGCTGAGTTCCAAGTACCTTCTCCTTTGGTCCCAACTCGGGAAAATTACTTTGTAAGGTATTGCAAGCAGCACAGTGATGGAACTTGGGCAGTCGTTGACGTTTCTTTGGACAACCTCAGACCTGCTGCTGATTCTGTAACAAGATGCAGGCGTCGCCCTTCTGGTTGTTTGATTCAAGAATTGCCTAATGGCTACTCAAAGGTGCACTAACATGAATATCTTCTCTTATTTATATACAGATTATTCTAACCCTTTAATTTCAAATGTTTCTTTGTCAATTTAGGTCACTTGGGTTGAGCATGTGGAGATAGATGATAGGGCTGTTCACAACATATACAAACCCTTGGTCAATTCAGGGATTGCATTCGGTGCAAAACGTTGGGTAGCAACTCTGGACAGGCAATGTGAGAGGCTAGCAAGTGTGATGGCTAATAATATTTCAGCTGGAGAAGTTGGAGGTAAAAATTCTTCCATCCTTCAATTTTGGCAACATTTTTGTTAGATACTTGCTAACTTTGGGTCATTCGATGGAAAATTTTTAAGTGATATCGTCCCCAGAAGGTAGAAAGAGCATGCTGAAACTGGCTGAAAGAATGGTGATGAGCTTCTGCTCGGGCGTGGGGGCCTCGACTGCGCATACATGGACAACTCTGTCGGGCAGTGGCGCCGATGATGTCCGAGTCATGACTAGGAAGAGCGTTGATGATCCTGGCAGACCTCCTGGAATTGTGCTCAGTGCTGCAACTTCATTCTGGCTCCCGGTTACCCCCAAAAGGGTTTTCGATTTCCTCAGAGATGAGAATTCTAGAAGTGAGGTAAAAAGGATAACTTTGATCTTGATTTTGAATTTAGATTTAGGGCTGCTGATGATCCTGATCGGTTGTTATTACAGTGGGACATTCTTTCTAATGGTGGGCTTGTTCAAGAAATGGCACACATTGCCAATGGCCGTGATCCAGGAAACTCAGTCTCATTACTCCGTGTCAACGTAAGTGCGAAACTTATTCAGACAATATTTGAGATTACATATTTACATTGTACTGAATCTTGAAGTGATCTTCGTTGTTAATGCAGAGTGCAAATTCCAGCCAAAGCAACATGCTTATACTCCAGGAGAGCAGCACTGATTCGACAGGCTCTTATGTGGTTTATGCTCCCGTCGACATTGTCGCTATGAATGTTGTCCTCAGCGGCGGCGACCCTGATTACGTCGCCCTCCTGCCATCTGGTTTTGCAATTCTCCCCGACGGACCCAACAGCCATGGCGGCGGGAACCCTGAGGTCGGCTCCGGCGGATCCTTGCTGACCGTTGCGTTTCAGATATTGGTCGACTCTGTCCCCACTGCAAAGCTCTCTCTGGGATCAGTGGCAACTGTTAATAGCCTCATCAAGTGCAGCGTTGAAAGGATCAAAGGAGCAGTTCTCTGCGATGGTGCAAGGCCTAATTAAGTTAAATTAAATTATTACTCCATCATGGTATGAGCTTTCTTCTTTATGATTGATCAGTAATCTGCAGCACTCGAAAGGGCTTGATTGATTGATGTTATGTTGTTAGGTAGGTTGGAGATGGAGGGGTTACTGAAATTAGGGTTTGTCTGAGGAGGAAGAAGAAGTCAAGAACGCACCTTGGATACTTAATCATATACATCCTTCCTTGCCCAGCTTTGTGGTGAATTTGAATGTGACAATGGCGATCGGGTTTGGTTCACCGCCGGGGTAAGGGTTTGCGGGTTCGGGTATTGACTCTGACTACCATTATCATCGTCAACAATATAATATTAGTAGTGAACAAATTAAAGACACCCTTTTTCTTAATTGATGAATTAACTGTATCGTCGTCGTCGTCGTCGTCTCATCCATCCATCATCGTCTTCATCAAGGTAGGGTTGGTTTTTTAATTAGTTTGATGTCTGTCTGTCTGGCTGTCAGTCATATTTTGTTTGGGGACTCGATTACTCTCTGTAATCATCATCATCGTCATCATCTTGCATCCTTCAATCCTGCCTTCCTCAATGTGGGTTTGATTTTTCTCACCAGACGATTTGCCTGGACTCCATTATTCTTGAACAGAAACCACAACTGTGCAGGGTACAATGATTAGGCATGGCTGTCTAATCTTGGCTTGAACTGTGGTTTCTCGCACAATGATTCTAACAGAGCATCCCTCAAATGGTAAACAAATTAATCATATCCATATGCAGGCGTTGAAACTGATCTACAAGCCCGCACCTGCTCTGCATAAACAAGAAATGGACATATGCATATGTACAGCTGTAATGTGAGATAAGCTGTCGAGAATACAAAATCGGGCACCAAATTCTCATCGGTATTTTTGTCAGGGCAATCAATCAAACAAATTTGAACAATAGAAAGCCAACAACAGAGTTCTTGCTCACAAACTCATCAATGATATTCACAATAGCAATCTTAATCCATTGAAAGAACCCATCACAACCTCAACAATGAAGCAGAGAAAAGCAAAAAAAATAAAATCAGCAGGTAGTTCAAGAAAGTGCATCTCCATGAAACCTTCACACCTTTTTAACTTTGAGCAAACACAAGACCCACCACAAGTGCAAACAGTTTGTATAATTCCGTTTCATCTCTCCACAGTAAAAGGGCAATGCATCTCATTCACTACACACAGATTCAGAAACCTCTACACTCTAATGCACCAAAAAGATGAAAACATCTGCAGCAACTATGGGATGAGCAATCTTCTTTCCAGCAAACATCAACCAGCACATATATTTTAAAGTTGTGGAAAGAAAACAAATATAGCATACATATATATATATATATAGAGAGAGAGATTATATACAGCTGCACCGCTGACGAACACCTACGTTCCAGCTGAAGGTAGTGCCGCCATGAACGAGTTGTAAGATGAATCCAGATCAAAGAGCAGCTGCCGAGCCTGCTGCTCAGTGAGCTCATCAGCAGCACCCATTTTCGAAAGCTTTGCAATCCAGTCTCTCATTTTTGTCTTCCCTTCAAAATCCGGTGGCAGTATTGGCAACTTATTGAGAGAAGCCGACAAATCAGACAACAGTGGATGGACCTGATCAACAGCAACCATGTTTAATTTCAAAGAATCCATAGCAGTAATGAAATTCTGTACACATTCCGCCACAATAGCAGCTGAAGTGGTGGCTGACATTGCTGCAGCAGCCTTGTGCTCGACAGTGGCAGGAACCCCAGATGTTACGAGGCGATTGAGTGCCGCCGGGCAGTCCATCTTGTAGGTATCATGGAAGCGTTCGACACTCGGCACGATGTCTTTCAACGTGGAAGACAAAGTCTTGAATTGGGCAATCAATTTTTGGCATTCGGCCTCATATTCCGCAGCAGAAACAATGTCACGGACATAAGCTTTCTCGAGCTTTTCCGTTGCCTTTATAATGGCGAAGAGCTCTGCAAAGTTATCATACATCTCTCTTTCGCGCTTGTCGTTCCATAGCTTAACCTCCATCTATCTTAACTGTCTAATAATACTATTATTATTATTACAATATAAATATAGGATTGGAGAAGAGACTGGGACACGCGCAAAGAGAACCGAACCCTGGTCAATGCAAAAAATCAAACGCCCAAACGATCATCAGATCCATCACCAGACACTACAGTATCAGGAAGAAATTTCACGGAAAGGAAGTAAATTTCCAATGAAAAGAGGATGAGCAGCAAACAGCAAGAAACGAATCATGATTAAACATACAAAAACACATTAACAACATTCCTACTCGAATCAAATCTACGCAAAAAAATACGCAATGCTGTATTGCCAAAACTTCACAAATTAAAACGAACCCTAGGTTCACCCAAGTCATTAGAGCTTCACTAAATCCAAATATAATGAAGAATATTCACCGATCACGAATTAACATTAGAAAAATTCATTCACGTGGAAATTCACTCAGATCCCCACATACCCTCAGGACAGGGGCAGCATCGCAAGAGCGAAATCCAACCAAAATCTTACGGAACCCAGAAATGATAATTTATACACAAAATTACAAAATACACAGAACCGAACCGACCCCATAATCTCTAGAGAGAGAGAAGGCATTACTTACGGAGGATAAACAACACGCGTTTTGAATAATGGGAAGAGTGTTGCAGAGGTGAGGAGAGCAGGTTGTATCCAGTCTGAGATTGCGTGTGGGGTTTACTCGAGATACTGTTTTCCCACATTAAATTATTCACTCCTCCTCTCATCAATTCTTCGTTTTTTCCTTTCTCGACATTGTCAATGTCACCTCATGGGCAGAACAAGAAACGCATAATAATGTCAGCTCTGCAGTTCATTTCTACTGATCTTAATGGGCCCTATAATGGGCTCCGAAAAAATGGGCTGAAATTATTCAAGAACAAGCCCAATTAAAAAGCTCAACATAGCCCACTTACTCGGTATAAATACGTTCGACGGCGGAACAGTCCTCCGTCCACTGACGGGTCGACGCTGGTGAGGTGCCGAGTCATGGACATGGAGTGGTATGCGTCGATGCCAAAGATTGAATTGCATGCTCATCTCAATGGCTCCATCAGGGATTCTACTTTACTGTATGTTGCGCTCTCACTTCAACTGATTCTTTCTACCGTGTTGGATAGGGCTTAGTTCAATTTATGGCATGGAAATTGGGGTTTTTGAAATGTTGAGAAGGCTAATTATTTTATCGGTTGGGAAAAAATGCTGTGTGCAGGGAACTTGCTAGAGGATTGGGTGAGAAGGGTGATATAGTTTTCTCAGACGTGGAGCAAGTTATAATGAAGAGTATGCCTCCTATGTTTGCTCTTGATCTTTTTTTTTTTTTTTGTTTTTTTCTTGATCTTTTTGATTAAATGTTTGGGTATCCTAATTATTAAGTTGTTTTTTGTATTTTCTGTGAATGTGTTGTTTTCTTGTATATCTTTCGAATTTTTCGCGTTATATCTTTTTTGGGTGAAATTTTTTTTTTTAGTTTCATTTGTCTTATGGAATTCGATTGGTTGCCTTGTTACTTGAGTACTACTTTACCCTAATGCAGATGATCGTTCACTCAGTGAAGTGTTTAAGTTGTTTGACTTGATCCATATCATTACCACCGACCATGAAACTGTTACTAGGATCACCAGAGAGGTTCGACTGGATAATTTTTGGGTGTTTGCCTTGTGTCCTAAATATGTAGTGCTCATCATTTTATTTTCTTTACATTTAGGTTATTGAAGACTTTGCTGCTGAGAATGTTGTTTACTTGGAATTAAGAACAACCCCTAAGGTATATATTTACTATTTTTCCCCCAGAACTTTAAAGAATGACAAGACAACTGTAGCATTACAGCTAAAACATGTGACTCGGAAACAAGAACGGGGAGTTTGCTTTGTAGAAATTAGTCGTAAATACATATATCTTGATTGTTGACGCAGATGTGAGAGCTATGCTTTTTTTAAATACAGAGGAATGATTGCAAAGGGATGAGCAAACGTTCTTATGTGGAGGCAGTTCTGGAAGGCATAAGATCTGTCAATTCAGTGGAGGTTGATCTTTCGGATGAAGTAGTAAACCCGGATACTGCTACTTCTCATGTTGTAGGTGATATATCTAATGGAGAAGCTAGCAAGAAGGTATATGTCAGGCTACTTCTCAGTATTGACCGTCGTGAGACTGCTGAAGCAGCAATGGAAACGGTAAGTTTTGCGGTGTCTGCAATAGCGTTTCTTCAGTTTTGTACATTATTTAACTCTTGGAGTCTGTTTTCTGTTTAAAAGGTGAAGCTTGCTCTGGAATTGAGAAATATGGGAATAGTGGGTATAGATCTTTCTGGCAACCCTGTAGTCGGTGAATGGTATTGTATGCTGTCATTCTTCCACATAAAATGAGCCCATCATTTTGGTTGTATGAAGATAATGATTTGTCATTCTTGTGCTAGGAAAACATTTTTACCAGCTTTAGAGTTTGCTAAAAAACAAGGACTTTCAGTTACTCTGCACTGTGGCGAGGTGCATTTGATTGTTCTCATTTTGCATCAAATTGATGTAGGCATTTCTATCATTCTGAGTGCTCTATTTTTTCAACCTAGTGCTTATAGGTGTACAATCCAGATGAAATCCGTGCCATGCTAGATTTTCTTCCTAAGAGGATTGGACATGCCTGCTGCTTTGGAGAAGACGAATGGAAAACGTTGAAAACACTTGGGATCGCGGTTGGATTTAATATACATTTGTGTATCATTCCTCGTATTTTTTCAGCTGAACCAGTCTAAGAACTTAGTTCATCTTTCCATGATAGCCAATATTAGTTACTGCCTTATATATTTTTACTAACCTTTGAAGGACATTGCTATTACAAGCATTTTTATCTGTTCACAATTTCTGCATTCTAACAGGTTGAGATTTGTTTGACATCCAACATCAGAACGGAATCAGTTGCTTCGGTGGAAGTTCATCACTTTGGTAAATTTTTCTTGACACAAGACGGAAAGTGAAGGTCTTCTTTTTTTTCAAGTATCCATTTTGCGATGACATTATTAATCCTTTCAGCTGATCTATATGAAACAAATCATCCATTGATCCTTTGCACTGATGATTCTGGAGTTTTCTCCACCACACTATCTGCCGAGTACTTACTTGCCTCATCTGCATTCGGTAGGTGAATCTTGAACAGGATAGTGAGAAATTACCGCAAGCCATGACCATTTTCTCTGCTTCTGTCTTCTTTTCAAGGTCTTGGAAGGATGGAAATGTTCGAGCTCTCCCGGAAGGGCATTGACTACATATTTGCAAGTGATCGAGTCAAAAGAGAACTGAAGCTGAAATTTGACATTCTCTCGCACCTCGGTTTGTGACTAGAGTTTCAGGTGTGATTCCGAGTGAATACTTTGGTTACAAACAACATAAATACTAAATCCTTTGATATTCATGGACTCAATTTCTGCTGTCTAATTCCATTATAGTAGTAGCAATTCTCTTGGGCTGTTGATATTCTGGAATTCAAATGCTAATATTACTTTGGGCACATCATTTTTTGTGACCCAATGTTTAAAATCGGAGGTGTTATGTAATTCTATGTTTTCAGTTTATTTTGTTTGGGAATTGGATTTTCAGTTGAGATTTGAATAATAAAAATTTTGAATTTGAATAATTGTATCATATGATAAAAATAAGTGTTGATGTGACGTTTTAAATGTAAAATTGATTTTTAGGATAATATAAAAAATAAAATTAGGTGTTAGATTTGATATAATAAAATTGAATGAACAGTAAAATTGAGGAAAATCTTCCAAACAAATACACCCTAAAATGTGCATTACATCAATTTACTATTCCCTACTATGTTCGGTGCAAGGTTGTGTAATATAGTGTAAGTTACAAGGATATTTATTGTATTAGGTTAAGAAATGACATTTGTAATATAGTGTAAGTTACAAAGATATTTATTGCATTAGGTTAAGAAATGGTAATCTGAACAAAAATGAAAAAATACCCGTGAAAAATAAAAATTGGACATTATTAGAATTTAAGGCCTCATCACAAATTCAACCTAACCTATCTAGAAGAGAACATGAAGGGTGTGCTTGTTTGGGTGTTTGGATTTTGAATTGGGATTTTTTTAATAGTTGTATGATGTGATATAAATAGGTGTTGATGTGATGTTTTGAATGTAAAATTAATTTTTAGTATAATATAAAAAATAAATAATAGGTGTTTGATTTAATGTTTTTGGGAAGAAAAAATTTAATGAATAATAGAATTTTTCTACAAACGAACACACCCGAAAAGGAACTAAAAAAACATGAGTTACAAAAATTAAATAAAAATTATTTTACCATTTAATTTATTTAAAATTTTATATTTATCTATATAATATTATAATACTTATTGTTTTATTTAATTTATTTTTTTTAAATACTAAAATATTTTTAAAATATATTTAAATATATTCATAAAATTTTAAATTTGTTATGAATATTTATAAATATAAATTAATTAATTTAATAATAAAGATATTTTTTTATTACTGCTAAGGCGTAGTTGTGTGTAGACTAGAGGCTACTAGTCTACTACTGCTCAAAGTCTCATTTTACGAGTATCACCAATACGACGCCGTCCCACCGTGCCGACTTAAACAGAAAGAAAGAAGGCTGAAACTCGCAGAAAAGTAAAGGAGACTATGGAGTATAGATAGATTCCTGCAAATTCTACATAAAACAAAGGAAACAAGAGAGAAGAGAGAGAAAAGGGACAGTGGGTACCTTCATCATCATCATGCAATGGAGGATACGACTGTTCTTTAATCGAAAGTATTTCCTTTTTTAATATCACCTACCTTTATATTGCATTCATATTCATTTGCATTTGGAATTGGAGGGCGTATATCACTTGTTTCACTTACCAAATCAGCAATCTTTATCGATAAATCTTTGCTTAACCACATTTACGTGATCTCTATACAAGCACGCAAGTGATTGTCTTTCGTTGAAAGCCATCGCCATTCTTGAATCCAGTCCGGGCGGATCGGCGCCGCTATTAGTCCGAGAAATTCGAGAAGGAAGAGAAGTCTGAGGCTGCCTTGATCTGGTTTGACATCAATGTCCTGGGGACTGGGATGGAAGCGACCATCGGAAGTCTTCCACCTGACGCTAAGTTACGGCTCCGACGCCAACGATCTCGATGGCGTGGCCACGACTTCATCCCAGTCGCCATCCGCCGCCGCCGCCACCGCCGCCGCCTCCCCGCGTTCAGGATCATCGCCCACGTTTCGTGAATCCGCAGCCTATTCGGAAAACGATCAAGATCGACTAGGGTTTACGATTGACCTCGATTGGAACGCTGGCGATGACGAGGATCAAGTGGCATTGAAATTGCAGTCGCAGGTAATGGTCGCCTTGCCCACACCACAAGACAAGGTAGAAGTTGAATTGATTGAGAGGACAGAGAATGGGAAAGAGAGTTTGGAAAATGGTGGTGGCGTGGGAATTAATCTAGCAAACAATGGAGAGCAGGGTTTTGAACTGGGGGTGGAGATGACAGTCGTCAAACGAAGGGAGCCATTAAGGGCCGTGAAAATGTGGAGAGCAGGGGGCTCGGGACAGCTGAACGATGGAGGAACAGGTGTTTTGATGAAGTTGATGAGATCAAATTTTGCCAATGGAATTGCAAATGGAAGTGCGGTGGGGTCGGTCTGTGCTGAGCATTGGCGTAATGTTTCTGTTGTCAGCCTCTGCGGTATTGGATTAACTGTGAGTCTATTCGTCTGAAAATTAAATGATTCAATATATGTTATTGGTTCTCCTCCAGTTCGAAGAATAATTGAAGATAATTCTATCTAATGTTTTTGGATCAATCTGGTGTCCAAATTTTATTTCTTATGCTTTGCAGGAGATCTTATCTTTCTGTACTGCTTATTAAGCGTGTTCTTTCTTTTTCACTTCCAGTGAATGTTTATTGTGCTTGGGTTAGTGTTGATCTATTTACATATGTTGATCTCTTGGTTAGTTATTTATAGTCTTATCGAGCTTGTTATAGTGGAGATGCAGACTTTTTGATTACTCTTTAGAGGGTGTGTTAGTTAGTTCTCTCTAGCTATGAGATATCCTTGGCTTGTTGATTTCAGAATGTATGTAGTCTTGTGTTAGGTTATCTCATTGATGCAATTGAGAATACTCGAGCTGACTGAAATGAGCAGCAACTTGTGATTACTTTTTTAAGTATCTTGAGTGTTATGTTAGGAGTACATCAATATGATTGCTGTATTAATTTTTTATGTACTGTCTTCAGGCATTTCCTATTGAGATAACTCATCTACCTCTTCTTGAGAAGCTATATCTTGATAATAATAAGCTGTCAGTTTTGCCACCTGAGCTTGGTCAGCTGAAAAAGTTAAAAGTTCTTGCGGTGGACCACAACATGCTTGTTTCTGTGCCTGGTAAGAGTTGATGTTTTATTTGGTGGTTCAGACTGCCTTTAATTAGTGTCACTAGGTTGTCACTGCTTTAATTGCAATATTATGCAGATTGATGAGTTCTTAATCAATAGCATATAATAAGCGATATTGATTCTAACTTATCATGTTTCATCTTCTATGGGAATTATTAACAGTTGAATTAAGAGAGTGCACTGGCCTTGTTGAATTGTCACTGGAAGACAACAAGCTCGTCCGTCCTATTCTTGATTTCAGGTCATTAAATTTTCATCTTCATCAATTTCTTCTACGGGATCTATCCCTCCCATCCCCTCTCTCCTTGTGACATGATAGGAATGTTCCGAAGCTTAATACGTGCCTTCAGCTCATTGACAGGGCTATGGCAGAGTTGCGTGTATTAAGGCTTTTTGGGAACCCCCTTGAATTCCTTCCAGACATATTACCATTGCATGAGCTTCGCCATTTGTCTCTTGCAAATATACGGATTGTGGCTGATGAAAATTTGATATCAGTGAATGTGCAGATTGAGGTGCTGTGGTGATGAGCTTGTTTAACCTTTTAATTTGAAAGTCATAAATACTAATATGCTAAGTGAAGTTACACTTATTTTTTGTGGTTGACTCAGATGGAGAATAGTTCATATTTTGTTGCATCTCGGCATAAATTGAGCGCATTCTTCGCTCTCATATTTCGATTTTCTTCTTGCCATCACCCTTTGCTGGCATCTGCCCTTGCTGAGATAATGCAAGATGAAGGAAACCGAGTAGTTGTGGGAAAAGACGAGAATGCCGTGCGACAGCTCATAAGCATGATAAGCAGTGAGGACCATCATGTGGTATGATGCGGTTTAGCCCAGTGCCGTTTTGTTTTGTATTATTGCTATTAATTTTTTAATCTTTTATTTTTTACTCGCTATTTGTGCTTTGTGATAGGTTGAACAAGCCTGCTCTGCACTCTCTGCTCTTGCTTCAGATGTTTCAGTGGCAATGCAACTAATAAAATCTGACATTGTGCAACCTGTTGAGAGGGTTTTGAAATCCACTGGGTTGAAAGAAGTTATTTCTGTTTTGCAAGTCGTGGTTAATTTGGCTTTTGCATCTGATATTGTAGCTCAGAAAATGTTGACCAAAGATATATTGAAGTCATTAAAATTGTTGTGTACCCACTCAAATCCAGAGGCAAGCACCACTGCATATTGTCCTCGTGCTAATTAATGAGGCATGTTTTGCCAATGACTGTACTGAAAGTGGTGGTTTATCTCTTCTAGGTACAACGATTAGCATTATTTGCAATAGGAAATTTTGCATTCTGTTTGGAAAATCGTCGTTCACTGGTTACTTCAGAAAGTTTGCGGGAACTTCTTCTGCGGCTGACGGCTGCATCTGAGCCATCTGTGTGTAAAGCTGCTGCTCGCACCTTGGCCATATTAGGTGGAAATCTTAGGAATCCTACTTTTAGGTTTAAATGTCTTCTCTGAGTCATAGGATGCAATCTGACATTTCATATATACCCATCATTTCAGGGGAGAATGAGACCCTTCGCCGTGCTATTAAAGGAAGGCAGGTCCCCAAACGGGGACTGCGCATACTTACAATGGATGGTGGAGGCATGAAAGGATTAACTACCGTGAGGATTTTAAAAGAAATTGAAAGGCGTACTGGAAAGCAGATCTATGAGCTTTTTGACCTTATTTGTGGAACATCGACTGGTGGTATGCTAGCTGTTGCCCTTGGAATAAAGTTGATGTCCTTGAATAAGTGTGAAGAGATATATAAAGACCTTGGTAATATTCCCACCTCCAGTGAACAGCCTTTGCTGCAATGGATCAACCATTTTCCTTATCTTTTTCTGTGACTATTATGTTGTTTCACTTTCCCAGGAAAACTTGTATTTGCTGAACCTGTCCCCAAGGAAAATGAAGCAGCAACATGGAGAGAGAAATTGGATCAACTTTACAAAAGCTCATCACAGAGATTTCGTGTGGTTGTTCATGGATCTAAAGTAAATTGATCTTTCCTTTCTCTGGCTACTGTTATATGTGTGCGGTTTATTTTCATATGTTAGATTAAATTACTTTGATTAAGGCACTATTATTGTAGAGTGTTGTCAGATTAGGAGTTTTATTTTAGAATGATTGATATGGCAGCCAGCGTCCAGATTCTGTTAGCTGTTTCCACAAAATTCTCTGCATTTGTGGCATCAGTTCAACTACTGTATTTTGAGAAAAAAAAAAATCCTGTCAGAGAACTTTCTGGAAACATATCTTCATCATCATAATACATACCTTTTCTTCCAGCACAGTGCAGATCAATTTGAGAAGCTGCTGAAGGAGATGTGTGCTGATGATGAGGGAGATCTCCTAATAGAATCAGCAGTTAGAAAGATTCCTAAAGTTTTTGTTGTATCTACTTTGGTTAGCGTTGCACCTGCTCAGCCATTTATATTCCGAAATTACCAGGTTTGCTGCATCCTTCAAATGTTTTCATGAGTTCCATTTTACAGAATTATTTAGGTTTTACATGGTATGTTTGGACTTTCTCTTAACTGCAGTATCCTGCTGGAACACCAGAGGTTTCTTCTGCAGTTTCTGAGAACTTGACAATTGGCGGGCAAGGAGCAACAACAACTGGAGCTCAGGTTGGATATAAACGCCATGCTTTTATTGGAAGTTGTAAGCATCACATATGGCAGGCTATAAGAGCATCATCTGCTGCCCCGTATTATTTAGATGATTATTCTGATGGTATGTTGACACTCTAACCATGTGAAATCTGTCCTTCCATCTGTAGCTGGTTCTCTCTCAGAAGTTAACCTTTGTCTCATTTTGACAACTTAAATGTTACAGGAGTATATCGCTGGCAAGATGGGGCCATTGTGGCAAACAATCCTACAATTTTTTCTATACGAGAAGCTCAACTGTTGTGGCCTGATTCCAACATTGACTGCTTAGTGTCAATTGGTTGTGGGTCTGTTCCAACAAAGGTATTAATATATTTATAATATTTAGCTCGAATCTCCTTTAGTAATTTGTCTAACAATTTCTTGCATGATGGTTTCAGAAATTTTTCATGCATATAATTCAAGTCAATATACCATTCATGGCCTCTTGCACTGTTCTTTTGAGAATCTGTTGCTGTCAAACTATTTTAAGTAGCTGGGTTCATATGTGAATAAAGAATGTCCATATATATTGCATAACTCCAGATCGATTACCAGTGATCTTTGTATTGTATATCTCATTGCCCTCCCGTCGAATTTAACTGTGTTCTGCTACCTGCATAAATTGACCAAAAATAACATTCTTTGACTAAGTAAATTGTGACTAGCCTAATGTGAACTTATTGTGGATGTTCATTCTTCTTTTCCATATTGTCGTTGCCATTGGAACTATTAAAGAAAGAGCTGTTGCTATTACTTTGTCAATGTTAAGCTTGATAACATCATGTCTATTTACCATTTAGATTAGAATTCTAACCTTACCAATTTGGCGTTTGAGAATCGGAAATAAGGAGAGATTGATATCAGACTAATAATATCCATAAGCCCTACTAGTTTTTGAAGTTTGCTTGAGATCTGTTGTATGAATTAAAGAAGACTCACACCAGCTAAATTTGTAGAATTCAGTTTATTCTTGAATTTTTGTTTGGAGGATTGTTTATCCATTCTTGATTGAATTTCCGGTTTTCATTCTTTACTCTAATAGGTTCGCAAGGGTGGCTGGCGTTATATGGACACTGGAAATGTATTGATAGAAAGTGCGTGCTCTGTTGATCGTGTGGAGGAAGCCTTAAGTACATTGCTTCCCATGCTTCCAGATGTACACTATTTTCGATTCAATCCAGGTGACTTTTACATGCTTTGCGTAGTGAGTAGGAATTTATCTAAGGATAATGTGGAAGGCTTAAATTTTGTTGAAAAACAATTGCAGATGCCATTAAATATCTAATAAAAGAGTTTTAAATTAGGATGAGAAATTCTATCAGGAGGTCTCAGTAAGGACCGAATAATCTTGAAGTACATTAGTCAATTCTTTTGCCAAAAGTAATGTACAAGTTTGTTGTGAGTGTTTATATTCTTGTAAGCACCATATAAATCACTTTGATAAGTATTGCTAATTCATTGCAGAAGAAAACATTGAGTGTGGCACTATAGAGGTGGTATTGTTGCAGTAATATGATGTCGCGTCAGAGTGTTGCATCTTTTTACTTGTTAAGGTGTTTATGGAGATAATTAGACTTTATAAAATACACCTTAGTGTGGGTTTGCATATGTTTTGTGATTCAGCAATGCTCCCATCTTCATCCACACATAGAAACATTGTTATATGTTTTGGATATAGATATTTCTGGTCTCATCTTGCTATCTTTCTCCTAATTGCAATCTGAATTTGTTTTACACTTTGAAATCATTTGATTGCCTGTACAGTTGATGAACACTGTGATATGGAGCTGGATGAAACCGACCCTGCCATCTGGTTGAAGTTAGAGGGCGCTACTGATGAGTACATTCAGAATAACTCTACTGCATTCAAAGAAGTTGCTGAAAGATTGCTTGAAAGCACACAAGAGGAAAAAATTTCAGATGGTTCAAAGTCTCAGCAGCACTTCAGATCTAAGGGTGTGAAAATATTATTGACCTTGATTCATTTTTAATATCTATACTCAATGCAACTGTTTTTCCTTAATTGGTGCTATAAAGTGCTGCGTTTTTTCTGTGCCAGGATTAAATGAGAATATCCCCTCATTGGGATGGAGACGCGGGGTGCTTCTTGTAGAGGCTGCTAATAGCCCAGATTCTGGACGAGTCTTCCACCATGCAAGTGCACTTGAAGCATTTTGTGCTAGTAATGGAATAAAATTGTCACGAGCTAATGGAGTATCTAGTTCCATTAAGGCAGCTCAAGGGTCTACATTGCCAACACCATTTGCGTCACCTTTGTTTACAGGAAGTTTCCCATCCACGCCCCTAATATACAGCCCTGATATTGGTCCACAACGACTTGGTAGGATTGATTTAGTTCCCCCATTAAGTTTAGATGGACTCCATTCTGCCAAATCAACTGCTTCTCCCCCTGAGTCTCCTCCAAAGCGCAAACATCTTTCTGTTCCTGTTCTATCTTTGCATGAGAAAATACAAAATTCACCTCAGGTTGGAATAGTGCATTTGGCGTTACAAAATGACACACATGGCTCCATTTTAAGGTACAGACTACCCCAGTCTTGGTGCTTACGTATTTTTCATATTTTTGTATTATGTATTGTGCTTGTAACTTGTAAGTTGTTCCTGAATCTTAGTTGGCAGAATGATGTATTTGTGGTTGCGGAACCTGGAGAATTAGCTGATAAGTTTCTGCAGAATGTTAAGTACAGCTTGTTATCAATGATGAAGGGGAGAAGAAGGAAGCATGCTTCCGTCATTACCAACATATCTACGATCTCTGAACTTGTGTCCTGTCGGCCATACTTTCAAATCGGTGGTGTTGTCCACAGATATATAGGACGCCAAACGCAGGTATGATCCAATACTTTTTAATAGTGATGAAAATTTGTAGCCTTTTTGCGCTGTAGGGATAAGTATTGAGATCTGAGGAGTAGTCATATTCTGAAGGTCATGGAAGATGATCAAGAAATTGGTGCATACATGTTTCGAAGAACTGTTCCTTCCATGCATTTGACTCCTGAAGATGTCCGTTCTATGGTACGTTCTTGTATTCAGTGTGTTTATTAATCATTTGATGATATGAGCAATGTAGCTGGATGACTAGTCATTATGGTTCGAAATGGCCACACAATATAAAGAACATTTTTACTTGATATAAGCACTTCTTGATTTTCTACCAATGTTGTAGGCTTACTAGGTTACTGATTAACTTTCCAGTGACTTATCCCCATTTGTAGCTGCTGGATAACCTTATTTCAAGCGCTGATGACACTAACAGTGCTCATTGGTATGCAGAGAACCGGCATTACCCTGATGGGTGATTTAACATCTCCATATATTAGTTATTACCCTGAGTTTTCTCTCATTTTTCTCCTCATCTATTTCCCTGTTTCTTCTCATCTATGTTACTGAGCTGTCTATAAAGACTGTCTTCTCTGGTTTGCAACTAAAATGGAAGTGTTCATCTCATTATGCTCTTGTTTTTTTCCCAACATTAAAATGTTTGTGTTTTTAATGACTATTTGTAAAGTTGGATGATAATATCGATGGTACACTTCAAATTTTATGTCTTGCAGGTTGGATCTTGGAGGGATAGGATCATAATCTTCACAGGAATATATGGACCAACACAAGCCTTGACAAAAGCCTTTCTAGATTCTGGTGCTAAAGCTGTAGTCTCCCCTTCAGCAGAACCTGAGGAGATGCAGCTGACATCCTTCTACGGGCCTGGTGAGTTCAGCAGTTATGAGAATGGAAAGTTTGAAATTGGAGAGGAAGAAGGAGAGGACGATGAAGGAGAAGCTGAAGACAATGAACCCGCCAGTCCTTCAAGCGATTGGGAAGACAGCGACCCTGATAAGAATGAAGAACCATCGATGTTCTTCTGGGAAGATGATGAGAAAGACCTGTCTCAATTCGTGAACAAGTTTTATGATTCACTGTTTCAGGGAGGCGGAAGAGTCGATGTTGCCTTAAAAACTGCTTCAGCGTCACACCGGAGCCTGAGATATTCATGCCACCTCCCAAAATTTGCATAGATTTTGGCATGCCCCTTCTGTAACATTTACTTCTTGTAAACTACACCATGCCTGGTTTATATGGACAAACTATAGAGGAAATACAACAAGTACAGGGAGGAGTAAAAAAAAAGAATACAGAAATGGACATTTTGTGTAGACATGACTTGAAACCCTTGTTTCATTTGCATTCAATAAAATATGTAGAGGTGTGATACACTAATGTCATTGCTTTGAAGTGTCCCAAGCATGCAGATCAGATCCATGGGATTATAAAATAATACGTGGAGGCATTGAAACTCATCATGTAAGATGATTATATTAAAGAAAGCTGTCCTTATCCCACTTTGAAGCACATAATAATGACCACTCACCTAAAAAGGCTATGGCTTGATCAACCAACCAGAATGGTCTTTTAGAAAGAGCCCTTCAATAAACTAAGAGAGGAAGTAAGTAATGAAACAATTTGAAGATGATAAAGCAACAAGAAGATTGTTTGGTGGTGAAGACAATCATCATCATATGCTTCTTAGTGCAATCATTGCTTGAAAGGGCAAAAGGAAGCACCAAAGTAGAAGAGTAAACTACAGTGTTGTGGTGCCTCCTGGTTTGCAAGACACAAATGATGAATCACATTTCCCCTTAGTTATAATCATGGAGAGTCTCATGCTTGTCCACTTAATACAAGTAGCCATGTTTATATATACCATTCTTGAAGGCAAGTTCTGCCTCAGACATTAACAGGCAGAGAGACTTGCAGCCCAAGCAGTCCTTCATTTTGTCTCTCTAAACTGGTAATTTGTATAAAAGCATGGCTACAGGGAGGATCCCATTAGAGGTTGGTACACGAGGAACCATAGGATCACTCCTCAAGAGGGAGATTGAGTACTTCAGAAAGCTGGACACGGAGCCCGGCGACAGCAAGATGAATTCAGACAGACAATGTCAAGAAATGAAGATGGATGGATGTCCCTCTTGGCCTAGTTTCAGATTCTCGCGGGTTCCTTGGAAGAGAAAGAAGAGACGGAGTAGTGGAATCACACCAGGGATTTGCTCTTTGGTGGAAGTTGCAAACAGCCCCAGACTAGATGAAATCCCCGGATTCAGTTATCAAAATCTCAGAGCTGATTCCAAGAGATATGATGTCTAATTTATTACTTGTACTAGTTCTATGTACTTCTATTGATAAACCATCTTTTGCTTTCGGAAATTGCTCTCTGCCTGTCCTTGCCTTCATGCTTCTGTTATTTGTATGGAGAAAAATCCTACGCCATATCCGGAGGAATTTTACACTCGGCTGTGTGTAAGTTGTGTACAAACCATTTTTAAGTAGGATGTAGTTTGTGTGGGCTTTAGGGAAGACATACTTTAGTTGCATTATGAAGTTAACATCTTCACCTCAGTTTTAAATGAAACCAGAACTAAACAATCACAGATTTCATCATATACAACTGTGCTTTTGATCACTGCTTGCAAATTCCATTTCACAATAATACAGTGGAAGCATTCTTGATAGAAATCGGTCCTTCCTACACAAAACCAGTCATAACAGGCATACGACAAAGTTCCAATGTGTTGAGCACAGCAAGAACCTTTGTTGCACACAAAAGAATCACAAATTCTCTCTTTAATGTTTTCTCCATGAAAATGTAACCATCCGGATATGATCTTCTTACGGCTGTGTCTCACTTAAAACTTCATCTGTCCTGCTGGCCAAGTATTCAAGTGCTGTCACGACATCTCCAATCAGGGGCCGCGTGTTGGCTTCCTCTTGCAGACACATTGCTGCAACAGCTAGTGCTTGGTACAGGGCCTTCATTGGGAAATTTCCTTCGAGCAATGGATCCACAACCAAAGTGAACTTCGCCCTGTCTTTGAAAAGTGGCTTTGCCTGCAAATTGGCGGCTAAAATCAAACACCATCTAGCTAGGATTACCGAGGCCTGTATATGAAGTCAAAACATAAATTTTAACTGACCCAAGTTACTAGATTCTCCTCTTCAGGTGATCTCTGGTTGTCAATAGCTCTTCTTCCAGAAATGAGCTCGAGGAACACAACCCCAAAACTATAGACATCAGATTTTGCAGTCAGCTGTCCTGTCTGAGCATATTCCGGTGCGCAGTAGCCATACGTCCCCATCACCCTTGTGGACACATGATCCTCTCCTCCTGTTGGACCCAACTTAGCAAGTCCAAAGTCGGATAGCTTTGGGTTGAGCTTCTCATCCAATAAGATGTTGGAAGGCTTGAAATCCCGGTATATGATTGAAGGATTTGCTGCGTCGTGCAAGCACTCTAGGCCTTTAGCAGCACCTTTAGCTATTTTCATCCTAGTGTGCCAATCCAGTGGCTTCTTATCTGGACATAAATCTGCAAAAAAACCATCAGAAACATCAACTCAAAAAAGCTCATCAGAAAACCTAACAAAAGTTGGCTTAAACTTACCAAAGAGATGATCTTCCAAAGATCCATTTGGCATGTACTCATAGACCAATATTCTCTGCTGTCCATCAGCACAGTATCCGATTAGCCGGACAAGATTCGGGTGGTGAACCAGGCTCAGTGTCAGAACCTCTGCTAAGAATTCCCTGTTTCCTTGCACACCATTTCTATCCAGCTGCTTCACAGCCACAATCTGGAGACAACAGCAATGCAGCATGAATCTGCTAATATATCTATATATATATATATATATAATAGGAAATATAGTTTTTAATCAGTCAAAAAAAAAAAGATGGTATTTAACATATACTTGGTTTGATTTCTTGAGGCATCCCTTGTAGACCCTCCCAAAACCTCCTTCACCAACAAGCAGATTGATATTGAAGTTCTCAGTGACCATTGCTAGCTCTCGAAAGGTGAAGACCTCTGTATGGACTCTTACATTTCCATGCTTTACTGCAGCATCTTCTGTTACCCTTGGCTTCCTTCTACCTGGACAACATTATGGTTCAAGAAGTTAGATTTCAGGTAGATCCTGAAATAACAGTGGAAAGACACTCAAAAACTCAAAATTGGATGCTTTGTGGATTCTAACCAGCAGCATTCATCGACATGCTTCTGGGAATGTTTGACAATCCCTCTGCATTGACATACTCATACTCGTTGACCCCCTTAATGTTGTGAAGAGTATCTTTGGATACCTTGAGAGAAGCCTTCCCCATTGTGTCACTTGGTCTCATCCTACAACAAGACAGAATACTCATCTCCTACCTTAGTTCTTTGATTCACAAGAATCATCACAAATTGCAGTATCTCTTTGTTTTGCTTATATTGCTGTTATGGCCATCAAAGTAATATGCCAAAGAAGACCTTAAAGATCATTACAGAACTGTGTAAAGATTGGTCTTAAAGAAGGCACACAGTTAGAAAGCAATCATTCAAATTGAAATTTAATGAGACAATTAAGAAACATGAACAGTAATCATGGGAACAAACAACCACTTTTATTGCCAGCTTAGTGACAACATACCACATTGGATTCGGGTGGGGGATTAAAGGGGCTCTTCCTTTTTTTGAACAAACTGTACGACTAACCATATCGACACTTCAATTTTCAAACAAGAAGTTATCCATCCACCAAGTCATTTTCCATAGATGAGAAATGATGCTCTGTTGTTTTGTTTGTGGGCTTGGCTTTTATGAACACTTCAATGGCCTTTCATACTCACAACTACCATTGACAGCTGAAACAAGTCCCAAATCAGCACTTGATGATGTAGCTTCTATGGGTAGGTAGGGAGGACCCCTACCCCTAACCCCACCCCCACCCCCACCCCCACCCCAAAGGCACCTGCATTTAGACGGCTCTAACAAATGACTGAATTTATTACGCGGTAAAATCGTTTTTTTCTCATTCAAACAAAAATTTTGCTTGATTGGATGACACAGGTGACTGGGCAAAATTTTAGTTTGAATAGGATCAGAATTTTTTATAAAATTTTTTTCAATGGATAAAAATTGATAATTATAAATATAATACATTGCTTGTGAAGAAGTCGCTTTCCAAGAATAATTTTTACTCATTTATTACGAAGGGAAAATGCTTGTGAAGAAGTCGCTTTCCAGGAATAGCGCCTTTTGAAGAATCGTTGTTAATTAGCAAACACGTGCTTCGACCTTGGCACGTGCAGCCGTAGTTGTCTTCCTCCCCTGAACCCTCGTCGCCTGAAATTCCTTGTTAATGGCCATCTTCAGATCAATCAAAACCCTAGCGTCGAGAACAATCAAGAACCCCAATCTTCGTGATTCCGCTAAATCCAGGGCTTTCTTCTCGCTATCGTTATCCTCTCGTTCGTCGGCTGCAACCTCGTTTCTGCAGCCGGCGGAAAGTTATACTACCCGACACTTTCTCGGCCGGTCGAGGTTTCTTTCACCAGTTTGGGGACCGCTCTTCCTCTCTAACCCTCCATGGAAGCTTTCGCAATCCGCCACTCCTCTACTGCTCCAATCCGGCGCCGTTTTGAGCTTATTTAGACTCCGGGCCCTGCAATTGATTCCCCGGCCACCCTTTCGGTACAACATTGGATGTGACCCTCCGAGGCAGTTAAATCAGAATGGTAAGGAGGATATTAAAAATGGCGCTGAGGTTGATGCTGGTGTTGGAGACGGTGGGATCAGTGACAGTTACTTGAATCTTCCAAACTTCATTTCATTCAGTCGGATGCTTTCTGGTCCGTTGCTTGGATGGTGAGTTCTTGGTATATTCATTTAATTCTGACTTATATTTAAGAATTTTCAAATAGAAGAGAGTACACTAAGCTGTCTTTCTAATACATTGCGATCTCCAGATAGGCAAAATAAATGTGTTCCCTTTTTCTACCTATTTCTGATGCTAGTATAAACTTTTGACGTTGTTGGTTTTGTGATTTAAGATTCTGTCTGAGAAATCATATGTTGTGGCATTGGTACTGCTTACAAAATTTTGCCATTTGTGAGGGATTGTGTCGAATAAGAGTCTATGCTTCGGGGGGATGTTAAGGTTAACCAAATATATATGCCATGATGATTTCACATGAACTGGAACTTTTCTTTGTTGAGGCTGAAGGAAATATTTAATTTGTTTCTGATTGGAGCATTCTTTCAGGATGATTGTACATGACATGTATTCCTCGGCATTTGTTGGACTTGCTATATCAGGAGCTACTGATTGGGTATCGATTTATTTTCTCCTTTATGGTGGGTAGAGGTTATCGATTGTGATAGTATGGTGAATTGACCCTTTATGTATTCTCCCTGTTTAATTTTCAGTTAGATGGTTTTGTGGCTAGAAAAATGCGAATCAATTCTGTTGTTGGTTCCTATCTTGATCCTCTTGCAGACAAGGTATGTTGAAAGTATTCTCTATTTTGTATCCTATGAGTAGTAAGGAAATTTTCCTTGGTGATTGTCTCCTCACCTCATTTTTCATTTTGAAACTTATATAGGTTCTAATTGGATGTGTAGCTGTGGCAATGGTGGATAAGGGTCTCCTACATCGTAAGCAATTTATTGTTTTGGCCCCCCTCGTCCTCTCTTATTATATAGTTTTTGCTTGTTGATCAATTTATTTTCCCTTGGAAACTCTGATGCTTGTGTGTATGTGTGTGCGCATGTGAGAGTGATAAAGACAATCGTTCCTGCTAGCAATGCATACATAATAAAGAAATATGCTGTAGTTACAAACCCAGAGGGTGGTTGGGTCCTTTGACTCATTGATTATTATGTTTATTGTCATAAAGCTTTTTGCCCTCTCTCCTTCTCTTCAAGAATGGAGTTCAGATTAACTTGATGAAAATTTTACTTGCTTTTTTTCACTTTTGGGTGAAGCTGGACTGGTTGCACTTGTTGTGTTGCGCGATGCTGCTCTTGTAGGCGGTGCAGTTTACAAACGGGCGACCAATTTTGATTGGGAGGTGAGTAAAGCAAGCATTGATTTATCTATACAGTTTTGTGTACTTGAGAATTTTACATCATGTGAGTCTTTGTCCTATTAGCGGCGGAAAAATTGGCGCGACTTCTTTGATCTCAATGGAGCTCATGTCCAAAGGGTTGAGCCTCTCTTGATCAGCAAGGTACATATATTCACTTTTGCTTGCACCATACAAGTTACCTCAATACAAACATAATGAAATCTCAAAATTTCTAGTATCTTTATTGGTGATTATTTGATTCTTTTGTGTTTGTTTAGATAGTAGGTTGAATGTGATATTCTATAAGATGAAATAGCATACGACATAGTAAGTAAATTGAGAAAAAAGAAAAAAAAAAAATCGAAGTAATCATAGCCTTAGAAGTTGAGCTTTTGTTTTCAGTATCCGACTACTTGTGTTGACTCACAAGCATCATATCAAGGTTCTAATTAATGCACAAATGCAAACACAGGTGAATACAGTTTTGCAGCTCATCTTAGTTGCAGCAGCTCTACTTCAACCAGAATTCGGAAATGATCAGACCCAGATTTACATAAACTATTTAAGGTATTTTTCTTGCATCACACCAGCATTGTCCAATGTATATGAAATATGAACAGCCCATTTCTCTTCAACCTGCATCGCAGTTGGTTAGTGGCATCAACAACAGTGGCTTCTACAGCAGCATATGGTGGACAGTACTGGAAAAATGGAGCTTCATTGATGAAGTCTAGCTAGCTCTTTTAAGTCTGAAGAACACCAGTTGGGAGTTCTGGATGATGCCCTCAATACCCTTTTCTCTTAGCTTAATGTGTTCTTTTATTTTTTTTTTTATCTACAGAAGAAAGTAAAGGTTGATATATAAGATCCCCTGTCTCTGTTTTTTAATGCTTTTGTAAGGGGTCTATCAGTTTAGTGTAGAAACAACAAATAAGACTAGTTTCACGGGCAAGTTAGTACATATTTTATATCAGCTATTTATGTAAAATCACATCAACATCTGTTCTAAATGATGAATCAGATTAGAGGTTATCTTATTTTGCTGTTCAAATAGTGAAGAAACACTTGAATCCTTAAAATGACAGAATTGAACTCAAGTGGTCATCCTAAACCAAGACAAAAAAAATACCTCAATCCAATCCTTCCTCAATCTCAGACCACATAGAAGAATTCTTGGAGAATTTCCCCTTCACCGGGCAATCTCCCTGGCTTCCCTAACCTTCCCAATGCCCCACCAAAGCCATACACCAGAGACTTCATCGTCGTAATATTCGGGACGAAACCCTTGGACATGCAATCCTTGCATACACTCAATGCTTCCTCAAAATCCCTCCCCTGACACAAGTAATAAGCCAATGTGAAATAACACTCAGATCCAGGTTCCATCCCTTTATCTATCATCTCCTTGAACAAGCTCTTCGCCATGCCCAGCTTCCTTTCTCCCTGGCCAATATCCCATCAAACAATGCCTTGGCCTCAGCTGATCTTTTGAGCTTGCATAAGCTTTGGATTCTGACGTTGTATATGCTAATGTTCGGCACTATGCCGTATTTCTTCATCAATGCTAAAATCACCCCAACGTCACTGAACTTTTCCACCATGTAGAACCCGGCGATCACTGTGGTGAACGTTTTTGTAGCGGGAGTTATACCTTTTGTCTCCATCTCCGCCAGCCTGGCGTGCGCCTCGCTTGCGCTACCTGACTGGCAGAACCCCTTGAGGACGACGTTGTACGTGTCCAAATTCGGATGGAGATCGTACTTCATGGGGAATTCGTGAAAAATCCTCTTCATCACGCCGTATTTGCCGGCTAAAGTGCACGAGTACATCAACGAATTCAACGTCTTCACATTCCTCTCTATGCCTTTCTCAGGCATTTCGTCGAACAGCTTGATGGCGTCGTCAATAAGGCCGCCCTGAGCGTAGAGGATGATGAAGTGAGAAGCAACTCACTCCGATCTGTTGTGGAGTTTATCCATGGACTCTTTGATGAAAGACCTGATTCCGTCGTAATGATTCGCATCTCTGAGCTTTGAAATCGCTTTGGAATAGGCAAGTCAGTCGTGGAAGGACTCGGGGCTAAGGGTGGAGGATCGGCAGATATCGAGGATCCGCTCTGGATTCCGTTCGCCGAGGATGAGAGGCAGCAGTGAGCGGGAACCGCCGCTGCCGGTGGCTGTGGAGAGCAGACGCCATTGGAGTATGACTGACCGGAGCTTGCTGCAGTGCAGAGCCATTATCCAAGATTATATTAATAAGAACAAATTTTTATATATCTGCTGTTTACCTACCATCGAAAAAAAAATCAAAAGTATAAAGGAAACTCTTTTAAAAACATTTTATTCTTTATTACAATTTACAACCATGAATTTAAGCTATTTGGACTATAGGATCTATAGATTTTCTTTTGAACATTCTTTCCATGTAAATGTATGCATCACATTCACATCACACCTTGTTTCGACAATGGCATCAAAGGATAGAAATACATCATTGTGTGTTTATGTTTTGTATGAATGAGAGAGTATGTCCAAACGCTAAACACAAAACAAACTAGTAAGTGCCACAAGCATTTCAGTTCAGTTCTTCATGGGCATTGGCTATGACTGCTTCTACTTCACCAACACGAGGCCGCTCGATCGATTGCACAATCGACACAGGTTTCATGTGGTGGATGATGATGCATCTTTACGCTATACAGGACAACCAGAGTTAAAAACTGGGGAAAATTGAGCTAGTGAAAACATGTAAGCATTCATCGGTCTATCTGAGCATCATCTGCCGGTGGAGCAGCAAATCTCACATTTGCAGGTCTAGCCGCCACTACTGGCTCGTCCGCGAAGAATGATCTAATAAGAGCAGGAGTTTTCAGAGGCCTCCGGCCTGTCATCCGTGGATACACATCTTCGAGAAAATAGTAGGCGTGGCCAGCTATCATTCCCTGAACCAAATTGAAGAAATTTTTGATAAATCACCACAAATACCTGTCTCCAATTGAAACCACAAGAAGATTGTAAAGAACCTAATTGAAACAAAAGGGCATACCAGAAGATCCACCCAAGCACTAGCACCAACAAGGACAGAGAAACCAAGAAGAACCTGCAATAGATGGGGATGATGGATTAGCAAGCGCCGTAATCAGGCGTGTGGAAAGAAGCCACAACACTAATCGGACTATGATAAAAGCTAAATTGTACAGGCATCATACAGTTAGATGCTGTTATGTACATGCCCACATTTATAAGAAATCATTAACAGTGTGAGAAAATAGGAAGTAGCAAAAGAACATCACAAATTAGGCAGATTGATGCGAGTAAATTCACTAACCCATGGCAAATACGCAGCAGTGAAAGTAAAAAGGCCCAAGAAGCTCATGTGGATGAACGGGTTTTGCTTACTCCAGACATAAACCTACAGTACAGGATAAAGCCAAATTCAAGCAAAAACAATTACAATGTGGTTTCATGGTAAACGTGGTTTATATCAAGTTACTAATTCTATGCAACTAACCATCATGAACGTAAGTGAATTGCTGAGGAAAATAATTTTAGCAAACGACTCAGAAACATAAGGAATCATCCCCCCTATAAGCACAATGCCAGTCAACACAGTAGCACCAAACAGCAACATGTAGAAGAAGTCGGCTGTCCTCCCACGAAAGGAGTTCTCTTCAAGAAGTTTGCAGTAGCGAGCAAGAAAGAACATGTGAAACAAGAAATCTAAATCTGCAGAGAAACATATCAAACTTGTGTCAGCAGAGAGTACAAGCTTTCCCTCCGCTTGATAAAACTCTCATGCATAAACGGTATAATAGATCAGCATCACAACAAAACCTCTAACAAGTCAACCAAAATATAAGTACAATCAATAAACTTATTAGTTAAATCTCATCGAAAATTTGCTGTTCTAGGGAAGAAGTTTCAGGATGAACTCACACATCATCTGATAAAACCAATGTTAGTGTTCTCTACAAGCTATGTAAGTATTCCAATACCAAAATATGTCATAACAAGGACAATCTAAACTAAAAAATATACATCAGAAATTTAACCTTGGCTAGTTTAAGGTTATGCAGACACATACCCATCTTGCGGAAGTATAGAAAATTGGTGATAACACGCCACACTTGGTATTGCTTCACGACCAGCTTCGGGTTCAAGTACAAATCATATGGAGATATAATCTACAAATAAAAACAGCAGACGAGAAAGAAATCAAAGCGCAGCCATGCCTTCAATGGCACAATAACATAACGATAATTCTATGTATTACTGAGCACCACAGAAATCCTCTACGAGACCATATCTTGAACATAAACAGATTATTATTTGAATGCTAAAAGAACAGGGGATTACATCGAGAGAACATCCGATGGTTGTGACAATGGCAGCTGTGAGATACGACCGAGTAATGATCGGCATCTGCTTGTACCATTCCTCCACTGCTTGCGCCATTGAATTCCCTTGGATGGTGATTCAAAAACCAAGAAAAAAACAAGCAAAGAAAGAAAATTGAAACCCTAGCAATTCTCCCCGCGAAATCAAGTAGCAACAAATTACACCCAGATTGACAGACAATAACCCAGCGTTGAAGAATCGATCGATAATGCCCTCTTTTTAGCTCGAAACAAGTCCAAGAATCGAAAAAGGGCAGGCAATCTTTCCTGGCCTGAACTACCACACGAGTGTATCGATAGGAACGAACAAATCCGAAATTGGGACAGAATTTTCACTCACCGTCTGTTCTATTTCATTTCATTTTATATAAATACTCTTCTCGAGTACAGCTCAAGATTGCTGTTTCTGTCTACCAAGCGCAATGGCAACCGCGTGAGAAACACGGACCAATAAAATACTCGATCGACGAAGATCAACCAATGAACACATGTCCACGTGTGCAATGATGTGATTAAAAGCGTGGTTAGGCTCACAGTAGAATAAAAAAATAACCCCCTTTTTAGGTCAAAATAGTGTCGTTTTTAACTAATTGATTTCTATCTTATTAGAGCCCATTGTGCTCATATCAAGTTTCTTGATTACAAATTGGCTTCCCGAATCTTGAAATCAAAACAAGCCCTGATAATTGATGAACTTTACACTTTCTTTTCTCATTTTTCCCCGTTACATTATGCAGATCAGATGACCCAGACAGGTATGGTGGAGAAGATGATCTGAATCAAATTCCAAATTTTTGCTAAAGCTAAATTCAAGAAACCAGTTGAACTTCAATACAGGATCCAGGAAAACCAGAAAAATCCCAATTCATGGGAATGCAATGAATAGAACCAAAGATTTCAAGCAGCCCTAGCAAGAAAATTGGTGTCTGGAGATACATCAGCAGGGTCGATGAAGAAACCCCTTCTCACAAAAGATCTTGGCACTGTAACCTTCAACACGCCGGCGGCGTACTCGGCTGAAATTCCATCGACGTCGACCTGCCCCGGCAGCCGGAATTTCCTATGGAAGCTCCTACTGGGGTCCTCTGTCGATTCCGCCCTTATTATCAGGTACCTTGAATCCTCCACCTCCACGCTTACCTCCTCTCTCCGCACACCTGCAAATCAAATCAAATCAAAACCCTAAACCCTAAAAAATTGGGGAAATAATTCTGGAGACTTTCCGTTACACGTACCTGGAATATCAGCTGAGTAGAGATGAGATTCAGGGGTCTCAACCCAGTGGACATAGTTCTTAGGGACAAAGGGGAGAGTCGAGTTGAGGGCATAGGCGATGAAATGGCTGCGGGGAGACCATGGATGGAATGCTGCAATCTCCATTTCTCTTTGTCAGTGAAGATGCTTCACGTATCCATTGGTGTAATATAGACCTCTGCCTGCAACCCTGCAACTTGCAGAGCTACAGTTAGGCATGATTTGATTGGCTCCACAAGTTGGCTGATTAAAAAAAGTTATCCCTTTCAAGAAAATTCCGTTGCGGGGTTCTTATTTTTTGTGCATCACTCAAAAGCTTCATGGCAAAATATCTTCATCACATGGGCCATGTCTGAATAGCAAGAACAACAAGAATGAATGATAATCTGCAATACATTACTTCATACAAAGGTTCAACAAAAACTCCCCTCCTCCGGCGGCTGTTCTGAATTCTCTGCAGCCGATCTGTTCTTCTCCTCGTATCCCTGATTAGGAGGATGTGATATCGTAACAGGGACGAGGTCATTCCCTTTGATCACCATCTCCATTGGCCATTGAACATCCACAGTCTCAATAAATGGCTCGAATGATGCCGATAAAGGATACTTAGGACCTGCTTGGATGCCATGGACGAGGAGTGGATGCACTAACGAAACAGCCTTCATGACAGCGCAAGCAAACCTAAGCTCCTCGCCAGTAGGATTCCTAAACCCCAGCCCACCGGACGGCGTGCACCGTGCAACGTCGAAAATAGGATATCGATCGTCGCCGGACCTCTCCAATGCCAGCAAATTCATCAGTCTTTTTTGGGGTGCAAGCATTACAGATTCCAGTTCATAAGTCACCCTCAGAAGCTCAACGTTGGGAACTCTGAGTGTCTCCCGAGGTCCGGTCGCCTTCTTTGCATCGTCCGGCGACCTGAACATATGAATCCCCAAAGTCCCACCATCTCCACCGATGAACTGAACACATGGGAATGGCTGCCTCCTCCCATACCAATCCCTGTCCTTCCCAACCTTCACCCCAAAAAGGTGCCCGGGGCGCAGGCGCTGCCATGGATCGGTCCTGTACAGAGATGCAGCTGCTTTATATAGTGATCTGATGAAAGGGGGGCCGATCCCATCCACCTTCATCAGGCATGTTCCAGATCCAGGACCCAGTCCAGGACCCGACCCGAATTGCTCTTGAAACCTAGAGAACAAGTTCTTCAAATGCACATCCATCTCAAATTTCCAGATCTATCCGTGCTCCTCTCCAAAGCTAAATCGAAGAATACGTACAACTTAATGCAACTGAATTTGCAATTTGAACTGCTTGCTTTCTATGCAAGCCACTCAACAGCTAAAGATCAAAGACAGCAAGAAATTCACGCACAGGGATGAGTGAAGTAAGTTCTCAAAGAGTATACCTCTACCGGAAAAAGGCAAAATTCATAAATAAACAAGTAGAATGCACGATTGCCAGAGGAGTGATCCCGATCCATACCAGGTAAGTTATGGGGAAGAAGAATCAGTAGCTGCTCAACGCCATGGTCAATCTTAGTCAAGCTTTGATTTAAGAACGTGGGGGAAGAAAGGAAGATGGGCCGACAATTGGGCCACGCGTGTAGCCCAAATATGATTAATTTAATTAGAAGTTTCGGCATTTTTTATCGGATCTGTTGATGAAACGTGGAATCCATATCCATGAAACCCTACTGGATGAGGGGCATTTTCGGTATTTCAAAATTGTAAACAAATTAAATAAATATATTTTGTGTGTGGCACTGGCAGCCGTATTTGAATCCAAAGGCTTTAAATTCGACCCACGTCGCGTCTGGACCCTTCTCTGGCATCGTCCTCTCGTTACCCTAATTAGGGTTTCCTGTCAATCCCAGTTTCTCCTCTCGCAACAAATCTAGGGTTCGGAAGATGATGCAGCCGGGATCGAACATGGTGCCCCCTCCCATGGCGCCACCACCACAGTACCAGCAGCAGCCACCGCAGCAGCCGCCGTCTCAGCAGTGGATGCCGCAGCAGCCGCAGTATCAGGTTCCACCGCCGCAGCAGCCGGCTGCCGCTGGTTATTACTATCAGCAACCACAGGGTCCTGCTGCTTCCGGTGTCCCGCCGCAGCAACAGCCGCAGTACGCCCCCGCGCCGACGGCTCAAACTCAACCGATTGTGGATGATGGAATTCGGAGTTTGTGGATCGGGGATCTGCAGTACTGGATGGACGAGCAATATTTATATAGCTGCTTTGCAACTGCTGGCGAGGTATATACGCCTATTTATACATCGATTGCTTATGCATAACAATGTCTATTATTCGTTATCATTCGTAATTCGTAAGGTTTGGGACGTACGTGCGTGGAAATTGGGTTTAGGTAAAAACATATGTATATCTTGTGTGACAGATATGCATATATTTTAATTCTGCAATGTGCATTTCTAGATGAACCTTTGTGACGTGATTTAAAAATTCGATCTTGTGTCTACGCTAGCTTCACATAAGTTGTTATGCGGCTTGATCGCTATTTGTTTGTGAAGCTTGTGTGTTTTACTTAGTTGTTAAATTATAAACAGTAGATAGAACAATAAGAGAATCCCTGCTTTGTGTGTTGAATTAGCAAACAATTTGTTGATATACTGCTTTGCAAAGAAGGTTGGATATGCTGGTTATTAGGTTGTTGGTGTTGTTAGTTTGTGGAGGGATGGCTCTATTGTCTATGAGATATAGACATAATTGAATCATTTTTTATGTAGGTTGTCTCTACTAAGGTTATCCGAAACAAGCAAACTGGCCAATCTGAAGGCTATGGCTTCATTGAATTTGTCAGCCATGGTGCTGCAGAGAGGAACTTGCAGACATTTAATGGTGCTCTAATGCCAAATGTTGAGCAGACTTTTCGATTGAACTGGGCATCCATGGGTGCTGGTGAAAAGCGTGATGATGCCCCTGATTACACTATCTTTGTTGGAGATTTGGCAGCTGATGTTACTGATTACATGCTTCAAGAAACCTTTAGAGCTAATTATCCTTCTGTTAAGGGTGCCAAGGTTGTCACAGATAGGATTACAGGACGTACGAAGGGTTATGGATTTGTGAGGTTTGGTGATGAAAGTGAACAATTAAGAGCTATGACTGAGATGAATGGGAGGTTTTGCTCCACTAGGCCTATGCGAATTGGCCCTGCTGCCAACAAACAAAAAGTCGGTGGTCAGACCAAAGGTAAGCCTATATGGAGCTTTTGAACCAGGGATTAACTTTCCACAATTTGTGCTTACTGTTATATTTCATTCTTATTTGCTATGATGCTTTGTTTCAATTTGGCAGTTTCAATGCATTGGTGGCTTTTTTGTTTTGGAATAGATGTATCTTTGTTCAGCAATGCTATTAAGTTGCTTTCTCTTAGATTTCTTGAAGATAAGCAAGGATTGCGACATCATTACCTTCCAGTATTATAAAACCTTTTACGGTTCTGAGTATTAAAATTTGCATATTCTTATAAAAAACTCCGGTTGTCTCAAAGCAGGGTGTCAGGAGGCTCTATCATATAGGGTCCTGGAGCCAATATCAGCTGAAATGATAACCCTTTTAGTGCCTGGTTTTGTGTAGGTCAGTTTTAATTAATGTTTTTACTTTTTGGTTTCGAGGCATTCATTCAATTTTCTTTCCACAGCCGGTCCTTTACTTTATAAGCTCCAAGTCAAGTTACATTTTGCTCAACCCCCTTTAAATATTATTCTAAATTACAGCCCCTTTAATTTTTCTTTATCGCATTGTACCTTTTCCTTTTTGCCTTTAATATAGTGGATGGTTTTGTTTTTTGCCCCCATCCTATTACTCTCCAAGCACTTATCACTGGATCTACTCCTTATAGAAATGGCTCATGATGGATAATGGGTGACAATCTAAGGTCAGTGAAACTGCTTACAGCACACAGGTTCAATTGTGCAAACTTAGAGCAATTTTTTTCCAGCATCTCTTTTTGTTGAGTTGCTTTCTTTTTTTAATATTCTAAATTTCTATTTTCTTTCCACAATTATATCCTCAACCTAATAGGCTTTGGTTGATGCCTCCTTTTAACTTTTATAAAAAATATAAAGTCGGTGTTAAAACATGTGTCACTCTAAAAGTTACTCAATGCCATTTAAGCGCTACAGTCTGCTGGATTCTAGATAGGCTGGTGGTAGTGGTTTGCAAATTTTATTTTTTCCACACTGATGGGAAACTTAGGAGTTCTAGCAGATGAATAAACATACTCAGAGTGAATTGGTATAATTTCCTTTCCTTTTTTCCCCATTTGGTGGAAAAAAGTTAATAGTAAATATTACAGCCAAGAGAAAAATTTCATGAAACCCCAATGGATGCTCTTCCTGCAATTCATGTTTCTTTTTTGCATCCCATTGTTTTATTTGAAGCCAAGGCTACAATCTTTTCTGGTCTTAGTAGCGCCATCTATGGTTCACTTATGTTGACATTTTATTTTGGTGGTTTTCTTGCTATTATGCACTATGCTTTTTGAGTTTTCTGGTAAGCTAATTTATGATTTCATCTTGTGTGTTCTTTGCTAATATTGGTAGTCGCTACTCATTATGTTTATTGATGCATATAATCTACTGTTATCTATGGAGCTGAAGAGCAAGCTTTTTTGCTTCCTTCATTGGAAGAATTTCCTTTTTGCTTGATTGTTTCTCTCCCCTGTGTTTTCTTAAAAGAGGTTATTGCATCTCATTTTGATATGGTGTAGTTGCAGCATCATACCAAACATCGCAAGGAAATCCAAGTGAGGATGATCCAACAAACACCACAGTTAGTAAATACATTATTGTTCTATAATTTTTCTATGAAAAAAATGGCTAGACACAATTATTCACTTTTTTTTTCTTTTTCTGTTGCAGATATTTGTTGGAAATTTAGACTCAAATGTCACAGATGAGCATCTAAGACAGGTTTTTGGACAATATGGACAGTTGCTTCATGTAAAGATACCAGTGGGCAAAAGATGCGGTTTTGTCCAATTTGCTGATAGGTAATTGGATAATGGCAGCTGCTCTTTCTTTTCTTTTTGATGAATGCAAGGAAAGTAATTATATAGTTATGCTGTTCCCTTCAGAATTCTAATGCATTTATGATTACAGAAGCTGTGCTGAAGAAGCCCTACGAATATTGAATGGAACCCAGTTGGGAGGACAGAGTATCCGACTCTCATGGGGACGTAGCCCTTCTAACAAACAGGTTTGTCTTTCCCAATGTTGTGTTATTCGCTATTTCGCTGTATATGGCAACACTGGTTACTAAAACCTCCAGATTCAGGTTGACCCGAACCAGTGGAATGGAGGAGGTTATTATGGATATGGCCCAGGATATGAAACCTATGGTTATGCTCCAGCTGCACAGGATCCAAGTTTATACTATGCTGGAGGGTACCCTGGATATGGAAACTACCCGCCACCTCCACAGCAGCAGCAGCAGATGATGCAACAACCTCAGGTATGCATGCATGCATGCTTGCTGATAGTTTTCTATCTTCTAACATGGTCACTGCATTTCCCATTAGTTTTTAGTGGGAAAAAAAATGCATTGCAGTAGCCCTGATTAATTTCCATAAATATGTGTACCTAGAAATTGTAAAGTTTTGAATCCCTTACTAGAAGCATGCTCGTAGTTCTATTTGAATAAAATCCAATGCACTTCCCGTAGTATTGTTACCCCCGGTATGTCTAGAGAATTGTGGAGTTTCTTAATTTCTTTTTAGACACAAATAAGAAATCCAATACTCTTGGAGTTACCATGCTCTTTTATAAATCTTGTTATTCCAGTACTGAAAAAAGGTATTGAATTCTTTGCAGTGATTAAATCCAATGGCGTCAATGGGGCATCAAAATGCAGCAGAGCAGTTGTATGTTGTTCGGTTTCGTTCGTTCCAACAATTATTCACTGACTCTCTTTAATGCCAACCTGTTGGCTGGATAGTGTTTCTGAACGAGAGTAGTTATGATGATTTGAGTGTGTTTGTGTGTGTTTTCGACTCTGTTATGAAGAGGGAGCGAGTGAATGAGAGTTGATCTGATTTAATACTGTTTTAGATTTCTTTGTGTCAGCTTTTTATCTATATGAAGTTATTTGCCCTTATAATAATGTGATGGTTGTTCTCTGAGGATGCATTTACTCGTATATGATCTGATCATGGCTGAGTTTGAGACCAATTCACCACTAGGTTACTATGATTATGTTGAAAAATGGCATAATGATGCATATTTTTTTTATTGAATTGCATTATAGGATTTGAGATTTGCAACCTCAAATAACATGAAGAATCCAAATTCACCATGTACACACTAAATAAACAACCAAAAATCAAACTAGACTACATAATCTGCATCAATTAGTTGATCAATCAGGTTTCTTTAAGTTCAGACAGTTATCTGTGGCTTGGCTGAATAGCTCCTGTACCTGCTTCAACTCCTTCTCTGGAACAACACACGCAATCATAACCAATCGGTCCATTTATATGCATTCCAAGCGTGAAATAGCAAACAAACTAACAAATACAACATGCTGGTTGAATCAAATCGATGTAGTGAAATTTTAAGAATCTTGGTGTGGTTTGAGTTCCAGCATGGAATGAAATATATACCAAAGCTGATGGATGAACAAAAGTAAGAGATATCTCACCTGCAGCTTCCAGTTGCCTTTGTAGTTCCTGTCCAATTGCATCATTTTCAACCTGCAAGTGAGATTCTTTTTGTGGTAAGGCATACGACAGGTTCTTGTGAAGAAAATGACCACACCCGGGGCAGCTATTAAACTAGGATGGATGGACAAAGGAATATAGGATGATATGAAATTAGGGGTATGCAGCAAACTGCAGGCAACTATGAACTAAAGCATAACCTTCTCACAAACAGTGGAACTTTCTCACCTGGAGTTCTTCAATTCTTTTTAATTGAGCTTCTTCTCCCCCCTCGGATAATGGGAGCGCAGCAACTAATGCATCAAACTGTGGAGGAAATATTCATTGAAAATCCAAAGCAAGATAAGGGAAGGGAAAAAATAAGCATAAGGTGAACTAGTTTTCCAAATAGATGAGAAGATAACACAGAATAAGTTTATCAACCATCAACAAATTTCTTATAGAAAGTAGAAACTACTATTTACATTATTTACATAGCTCTCCATGCCTATATTCAAGGAGTTCACTTAAAATTAAATAGGAAGGATTAAAGTTGGTCTTTTTCAGCATAGTTTGAACCTCTAGCAGGCACATTATTCGTTCAGTTAACTGATCTGCAATATGCGTATTATGTTTCCAAAGCTTTACCTACAACTGTGCCCAGATTTTACCACATTAAATTCTGATCACTGAAAACAAGCAAAAAACCAGGAATCAAATAAAATGAAGCCTATTTAAGCTAGTTGAAATTCATTTCAAACAAAAAGAAACTGGGAACCAAAGCCACTTCTTAACTTCATGTGGGAATAACCATTGAACATACAATACAAGTGAATGGACTTCTATCACTCCGGCGATGACAAGAAACAAAAACATCTCAGGAGCTGTCTATCCTTGGAGGCCAGATAGCATTTGCTAGAAAAGAGAACTGAAGAATATAAGCTACAAAATGACAGCTTTCCAACCAAAACAAAACAAACCGCAGCCCAGATCAGTGCTGTTAACAGGTGGTGTATCAATATCAAAATTTTCAAAGTATGATTTCACTTGCCTTAATTTTAAACTACTGAAAGCATGCTGAGGTTACTTCAATTTCTAATATCATAGTATTTACTAACACTAATCCCCATTAGATCAAAACCATGATTAACTAACAAGTTGAGTGATTGTAGTCTCTAGCAAGTAATTTGTGTGTATCTACCCCAATGATTCGTAACCTCAAGGAATTCCAGATTTCAATTGTAAAATATAAAACGAAACCAGGCATTGAAAAAGGAAATAACTAGATATGAAAATCAATCCACCACAATGCACACAAACTCCACTGTAAGCATTATCCAATTAAAGACGTAAACTAATTGCCTAAGCCAGAACCCGCAAGAATTTCCTCCAAATACACTCCTAATTTAAAATTAAAAAAAAAACAAAAACTAACCTGTTTGGCCGCCTTTATCAATTCAGCACTAAGTAGCTTGGGCTGCTCGGCCAGACTCGTCGGGTCTTCCACACCGGTAGCATTGGCGGGAGGCTCCGGATAATTAGGCGACAGCTGCACCGGCGGAGCATCCCTTTGAAGCGTGCCAAAGGTGTTGAATGCAAGAGATGCTATCGTATTCACCTGTTCTTGCAGCTGTGATATTATATCCATAATTCGCAAAAGTGTTTCAGATCAGAAATAACAAAGCGAAAAACGTGGATTAAGGATAATATCCGTCCAACCGGTGGAACCGCTCCGGTGCGGCGGAGGGCGGCAGTCGGGAAAGGCAGAGAGAACCCACTGGAAAAATAGGGTTTGGAAATTTTTGTCGTATTATCTACGTATAATTTAAGTATAAAATCAAATTAGCGTGGCCATTTTCTATTGGGCGCGTGGCAAGCACGTGAATTGCTCAGAAATCAGCACCCGCTAGCCACAGAAAAGAGGTCGCTGGCATTTTTGGGTACTCTCAGATCAGACATTTCAAGAAATCCCATATAAATTTGATGAAATTTCCATCTTCGTCTTCAATTGCACCAAATTCTTGAAGCTATGGCATCTCTTCTAGCCAACGGAATCTTACCTTTCTCGCCGCAGCCTGTTTCTGAGCTCACCAAAGGCTCTCTATTTCACGCCGCCTCCAAATTCCCAAATTTTCGAAACCCTAATTCGAAAACTTCCTTCAGGATCAGGGCAGACGTCAGCTATGAGCCGAAGACCACCATCGACGCTCCGGATAAGAAGCCCTCGTCGGAAGACGACGACCCACTCCAGAAGTTCTTGAAGCGGGACTACAAATGGGGATTCAATCAAGAAATCGACTCGTTTTCGATTCCGAAGGGGCTATCCGAGGAGACGATGCGGTTAATTTCTTCACGGAAGAACGAGCCGGATTGGATGCTGGAGTTCAGGTTAAAATCTTACGCTAAATTCGTCAAAATGAAAGAACCAACATGGTCAGATAACAAGTATCCCAAAATTAATTTTCAAGATATTTGCTATTATTCAGAGCCCAAAAAGAAACCTACTTTGAATAGCCTCGATGAAGCTGATCCTGAGCTAATTAGGTATTTTGATAAATTGGGGGTTCCTTTGAACGAAAGGAACAGATTAGCTAACGTAGCTGTTGATGCTGTTCTAGACAGCGTTTCCATTGCTACTACACATAGAAAAACTTTGGAGAAGGCAGGGGTTATCTTTTGTTCGATTTCGGAGGCCATTCGGGAGTACCCTGAATTAGTGAGGAAGTATTTGGGCAGGGTTGTTCCTGCAGATGATAATTACTATGCTGCTTTGAACTCGGCCGTGTTTAGTGATGGTTCATTTGTGTACATTCCGAAGAACACCAAATGTCCGATGCAAATATCGACTTATTTTAGGATAAATGCGATGGAGACCGGGCAGTTCGAGAGGACCTTGATAGTCGCTGATGAAGGGAGCTTTGTGGAGTACTTGGAGGGCTGCACGGCTCCTTCTTACGATACCAACCAGTTGCACGCCGCAGTGGTCGAGCTTTATTGCCATGCCGGGGCCGAGATTAAGTATTCGACTGTTCAGAATTGGTATGCAGGGGATGAGAATGGGAAAGGAGGGATATACAATTTTGTTACCAAGAGGGGACTATGTGCTGGTTCTCAATCGAAGATTTCGTGGACACAAGTGGAGACTGGATCGGCTATTACGTGGAAGTACCCGAGTGTTGTTTTGGAGGGCGATGAATCTGTCGGCGAGTTTTATTCTGTGGCGCTCACTAATAACTACCAGCAGGCTGACACGGGAACGAAGATGATTCACAAGGGCAAGAACACTAGGAGTAGGATTATCTCTAAGGGGATTTCTGCCGGACATTCGAGAAATTGTTACAGAGGTCTTGTCCAAATGATGTCTGGTGCAGACAATGCTCGAAACTCCTCGCAGTGTGATTCGATGCTAATCGGAAACAATGCTGCTGCGAATACTTATCCTTACATTCAGGTAAATATCTTTGAACATACTTTTTATAAGGAATATACATGACTTTATTTTCGATGTATTTCGCTTAAAACTATATTAGTCATTTGACTCTTCTTGTTCTACCTACAGACCAAAAACCCGACATCCCGGATCGAGCATGAGGCCACGACCTCCAAAATCGGCGAAGATCAGCTGTTCTATTTCCAGCAAAGGGGCATCGATTATGAAAAAGCTATGGCTGCTATGATATCTGGGTTTTGCCGCGATGTTTTCAACGAACTTCCAGATGAATTCGGTGCAGAGGTGAACCAGCTCATGAGTTTGAAGCTGGAAGGATCTGTCGGTTAGATTCTCGCACACAGATAAAGCACCAAAGCTCTGTAAATCTCTCGACATATCATATCGGTTTTTGTTGTATCGTCCAAGAAAATCCAAACATCGACCATCTCTTACACTCTTCATATAGCTCAGCTTTACTATCTGTAAATGTTCGGTATGCATTTCATCTTCCTAATAAGCTACACTTAGCTTTGTTGTCTGTACTATGTACACGTTTTTATGGAACGCCGTGTGATTATTATTCTTAATAACAGATGTCTAATTTTCACACCTAAGTTATAACAAAAGGGGTCTGTAAAAAAACAGGTCACCTTGTTCCAGCGCCGGTTGGCTGTCGGTCTCCTTAGACAAAAAAACCTTAATGACAATCAAAAGCCGTCAGCCATGGCCGGCACTGTTGGTGGCGGTGGCTCTTGGTGTCCCCATGAGAAAGGGGAAAAAAACAAGAATGCCCCCAATTGGCATTGCTACATCTTGAAATCATAGCCGTACGAAATTTTGGTGTTTGACTTTCGACCATTAGAGTCATCGCCATCACAACATTATTAAAAAATGAGAATCTTGCAGTCAGTGAGGGGAGAACGACAGGGGCCACTCATCTGCTGTTTTAGTTGACTTCTATTTAAAAGCGTGGTCGCACTTCAGGTTGTCGTCAGAAGTCACAGCCAAATGCAGCAGTAAATAAAAATAATTGTCCTCCTCAGTCCTCACCGACGATGACGATGGTGTCCTGTAAAAAACTTAAAACACATCTTTGCTGTTCTCTTCTCCACATAACTACTGCTCCATCTCCATCATTAATGGCCTATGTGAGATTATTACCCAGCTGATGATAAATCCCCCACCCACACATGCAGTGTCAGGAAAATGGCTGCCCTGGTAACCAACTGATGGCCAGCATTGATTTTTCTTTTTTCTAATCATTATTATTGAATCAATAATTTATGAAATTATTGAACTCAAAAACCTCATCACCTTCCCCACGAATCCACTGAGTAGTTTATTGAATTATACGTCACAGTAGCCGGCCCCATTGCCAGCTCACGAGTTTCTTATTAATCACTGGACAGACTTTACTATAAATACAGCACCAAACCACAGTTTCCATATATCCTCCCTTACTTAATCAATCAATTTCATATCTTGACAGGGAAGGGAAGGGAAGGAATGGCTGCGATGAACAGATCATCGTATGGATACTCGAGAGTGGATAATGAGGATCCTGAGGAAGCACAGCACAGGCGGGCACAGTTCTTGATCTACAAGTCTATGCAGAGGGCTGATCAAGCCGGGAGGCGGCGGCGGCGGCCGTCGTGGCTGAGGGTGAAGATCTCAAAATTGAGGATCAAGATTGGGAAGAGACTCAAACGTCTGACATCAGCAGTGTTTTCTGCCAAGATGGACTTGTGCAAGCACGTTTCTTGTGTGTTCAGGTCTTGCAAGACGAGCTTGTTGCCTGCCAGACATGTCAGGACTCTCCCTGCACCATCTGTCTGTTCTTGAGTCTTAGTTAGTTAGTTAAATCCTTTTTGTATTGGATTGGATTGGATCGGATCACTCATTTTGTTAATGTTCTGTTTTGGGTGTTTTTTTTGTCACAAAGGAAGGGTGGCATTTGTGTGGCCATAGCCTTGTTTATGTTAACCAATCAATGGCTACTGTCTGAACTCTGAAGTGAAGAAGACAAGTTTAATTCACCAACACTTCAAATTCCATTCAATCCACCATCATTAGCCATGGCTATTAGAGATCATAGTTTGCATGACTACAACGGATGATGATTAATCTATGAAAACAACCTAAATGGACATAGAAAGAAAACAGACAGACAGACAGATAGATGGATGTGCTTTAATGCTTGGCACGAAAGGGTTGTCCTGTGTCTGTGTAGCATTCTTTCAAAGATGTGGGCCTTGCCCTCGAAATAATAAAAGAAGATCTACCCAACATTTGGCCGGCCGTACGCAAATTAAATACAGTCAAAGATCCAATCTTGGAAACTTTTTTCCTTCGATGGATGCTTTTGTCTGAATCGTCATTATTCAAGCTGCTAAAAAGCACTTCACATTGTGCTTCACGAACAGCAACACAGCTGCAGTGGCCCCAAGAGATTTACGCAATTTCGATGGCCCGTTAGGACATATTTCGTTTTGGGCCTTAGCAATGGCAAGTGTGGAAATTTTCCATGGGTTATCTAAGCATTGGTGAAGTTCATATTGTTCGAGAACTCTTCAATGGTGATTGGTGAGATATATATAATAGTATTACATTTTCTTCTCTGAATTTTCGACAAATCCGGGGAATTTTCTCAATCGGCCATTCCTTGCATCTCTCCAGGATTTAGGGTTTCGATCCTGATGGTCTATCAAAAACAAACAAGAGGAGGTATCTTTCGATGTTCTTATCTCAAATGTATCCCCTGATTGTTACGTAATCAGGGTTCAGTCTAGCTCTGCCTATGCTGTTTTATTCAGTTCATCTTGAATGTATGAAATCATCATGTACGTAAATACCTTGTTTTCCTTTTAGGCTTTGAATCTTTGGTTTTGATGTTGAATACTGAGTAATCAATCTGTTGTTGAAGTTTTTGAGATTGTTTTCCTTAGATTGATGAGATGAGTGTAGTGGGGTTTGACATTGGAAATGAGAACTGTGTAATAGCAGCTGCTCAAGAACGTGGGATTGATGTCTTGTTAAATGATGAGTCGAAAAGGGAAAATCCAGCTGTGGTTTCATTTGGTGAAAAGCAGAGGTTTATAGGCGCCGCCGGCGCAGCCTCTGCAACAATGCACCTGAAATCGACAATATCTCAGGTCAAGAGACTAATTGGGAGGAAATTTAGTGAAGCCAGTGTTCAGAATGACCTGAGATCACTCCCATTCGAGGCATCCGAGGGACCTGATGGTGGAATCAAGATTCATCTCGAATACTTGGGAGAAAAACAAACATTTACCCCAGTACAGATCATGGCCATGTTGCTCGGACATTTAAAACAGATTGCGGAAAACAATCTTAAGACACAGATTACCAGTTGTGTAATTGGTATACCTGTTTATTTTACAGCTTTCCAGAGGCGTGCGTATTTGCACGCTGCAGAGATTGCAGGGTTGAAGCCTTTGAGGCTGATGCATGATTGTACTGCAATTGGTTTGGGCTACGGTATCTACAAGACAGATTTTTCAAAGAAGGGTGCGACGAATGTTGTGTTTGTGGATGTTGGCCACTGTGACACACAAGTTGCTGTTGTGTCATTTGAGTCTGGACGAATGAAGGTATTGTCCCATGCTTTTGACAGCAGCTTAGGAGGAAGGGACTTTGATGAAGTTCTGTTTAAACATTTTGCTGCTCTGTTTAGGGAGCAGTATAATATCGATGTCTATTCTAGTGCAAAGGCTTCTATAAGGCTCAGAGCAGCGTGCGAAAAGCTGAAGAAGGTTTTGAGTGCTAACCCAGAGGCCCCCCTTAATGTCGAGTGCTTGATGGAAGAGAAAGATGTTAAAGGATTCATTAAGAGAGACGATTTTGAGAAATTGTCTTCTGCATTATTAGAAAGAATAAGCATTCCGTGCCGTAAGGCTTTGCTTGACTCTGGCCTGACAGCTGAGAAGATTCATTCTGTGGAACTTGTTGGTTCAGGCTCTCGAATTCCTGCCATTACAAAGATTTTAAGTTCACTTTTTCGTAGAGAACCGAGCCGGAAACTCAATGCAAGTGAGTGTGTGGCTCTTGGTTGTGCTGTTCAATCTGCTATGTTTAGCCCCACATTCCGAGTGCGGGATTATGAGGTTTGTCTCTGGCTTTCATATCCTGTAAATTATTTTTGTCGATATTCTCTGGATCTACTTATTCTTTGTACATTTTTCTGTTTCGTATAATTATCCCTTTTCCAGGGGACTAGTTATGGATTGTGTATGTTTGTAATTGTGTGTATATATTATGTAAAAACTGTATAATTAACAATCTTGCGAGGATAGATAACATGTCCCATTGATTGCTTGTGAAGCGTTTTCTTGCAAGCATTTGACTCTTAAGAGGACAAGAGTATCGTTATTTTTACCTCGAATATTGCATCTACATGTGCTCAGTATAGAGTGATGTAACTGAACTTTCTGAATGAGATATTGAAGATGCGGATTTGCTATTATTCAATTTATTGGATACACAAAGTAGGCTATCAAGCTACTTACAAAGGTAGGAGTTCTATTGTCAATATGTCCATGTTCTGAAACATTATCAATCTATCATGCTCCAAATGGAATTTCTAATGTTGCATAACTTCATATTTTATATGCTATATCAAAGAGGTAGAGAAAACTCCTTTCAGGACCCTCTACGATTTATTTTCCTTTTCATTGAAAAATTGGTAAAAATTATTTGCCCCTTTCATTTTCAGGTGCGGGACTGCTTGCCGTTCTCAATGGCATTTGCATTAGATGAAGGGCCAGTCTCTTCATTTGCAGATGGAGTGTTGTTTCCGAGAGGAAGTGCTTTTCCGAGTATCAAAATGCTTACGTTGTACAGAAATGATATATTTCAGATGGAAGCCTTTTACTCTAATGAGGAGGAATTGCCTCCAGGTGCATCTACAAAAATTAGTTCTTTCAAGGTATGCATCATTTTATAGATTATTCAAACTGTTGTTTAGTACTTCTAGATGCAGAAATTCACAACACAAGTGCTTTTTATTTCCTTGTTTTTGCCTTTGCTTGCTTCTAGCTACTAACAAGGTTTCTCTCTCTCTCTCTCAACCTTAGCAATCATGGACAAAAATCGGTTGGAAAAACATTTAGCTTTTACTTTTACATAAAGCTCTATGCTATTTGATTTCTGTAAAATTCCGAGTTTAATGGAAATTTTTCTTTGAATTATATATCTTGAGACTGTACTGATTATGTGTGTTTGTATAACTTTATATATGTGCTCCCTCCATTTGCAGATGGGACCATTCAGAGTTCCACATGGTGAAAAAATGAAGATCAAAATTAAAGTTATTGTTGATCTCCATGGTATTGTTACCATTGATTCTGCCTCTGTGAGTAAATTTGATATTTTATTCATATATCACGGTAGGAACTTTGACATTATGGTGGTAAATGTGGTATAACTACTGAATTGCATCTTGGCAGTTGGTGGATGATCAAGTTGATGATTCTACTGTAGATAACAGTAGAGACACTGTTTCTGAAAGTCTGGAGCAAAGTTCTAGCAAAGCCAATGGCTTAGTAAGTCCTATTAGGCATCTTTTGGATTATATTCCTGAGAGAAACTGGTCTGTTTAGGATTGATTGGCAATTAGCTACCACTTAATTTCCAGTTTCAAAGTGTTTTGTCTTGTCTGATACAGTGGTCATTGTTTCCTACATAAGATGATAATTCAGTTCTATTAATGTCAAATGATCCCATAACAAGTCGAAATGGAAGTTGTTTCTAGTGATGTGTATTCATGATTATCCATAGAATTCTATATCTTTTCGCATTATAAATGTCACAATGAGTAGTTCATAGAAGCTTCTTGATACTGAAGAAGTATGACTATGTGCACTCTTAAAATTGTTCACTATCATCACCATATGCTTTTCTATTTTTTCACCTTTTATCAGCAATAGGGGTTTTTGTGCTTCAGCACTGTGATTTTACTCTGCATTTTTTATTGATTCCATCAGCAGAGTCAATACTCCTGTTTCAAAATTTTGCTATAATGTTGGCAGGCCTTTAGGTTCTCCTTAGCTGTGTAATTATGAACACATTCGATCTACTTTGTCTGAGCCTTGAAATCATTCGATCTAATTTATCAGAATCCTGAAATCAGAAGGCTAAAGGCTATGAGAAGGCAGGACATATATATTGATGAGGTCATGTACGGTGGAATGACACAAGGTGATCTCTCCCAAGCCAAAGAAAAAGAGCTTCAGTTGGCGCAGCAGGATGTGAAAATGGAGAGGACCAAAGATAAGAAAAATGCACTCGAGGCTTATGTATATGAAACCCGAAATAAGGTCAATTTTGTATATTTGGCTTTGGAATTTTATCTGCATGCTGTAGTATTGCACATGATTTTTATGCATCTCTTTTCTTGCCTTAACATTGTTTAATTACTTACTTAGATTCAACAATAGCTTGGAATTAGGATGGGACAAGTCTTCTTTATTTTGTTTTTGGTGTTATTCTGCTTTTAACAAGCTTTTTAGTTTTCTGCACACTTTTGTCTCCTGCTTCTGGTATAGTTTCATCTATTTAAATATATTTGATACACATTCGAAACAGCTTTTCAATGCATACCGGAGCTTTGCTTCTGATTCTGAAAAAGAAGGAATATCCAGCAGTTTGCAGCAAACTGAGGAGTGGCTATATGAAGATGGAGATGATGAAACCGAACATGTTTATACCGAGAAACTACAGAGTTTGAAGAAGGTTCTTTAGATTATTTAGCTTGGTTACATCTTGAATTCAATACCTCCTGTTTTGATTATTTGTTATGTTTATATAGATGTTGGATCCAATTGAAAATCGATACAAGGACGAAGAAGAAAGGGCGAGGGCCACCAGAAAGCTACTAAATCGCATAATGGAGTTTCGGAAGGCAGCAGAATCACTCCCCCAAAAGGAAAAGAATGCAGTATGGTCCTTTCTGCATCAATTTGTTTAGATTAATCTTAGAAAGTATCTGTTCAGGTGATGCTTGAGAAGATGTGACCTAACATATGCTGATTTTGATGTTTGGAGATTAATGGAGAATGCAATAAAGTAGAGCAATGGTTACAAGAGAAAATGGGACAACAAGATTTTCTACCTAAAACTGCAGATCCTATAATAAAGTTCGAAGACATAAAGAAGAAAGCCGAGGAATTCGAAGAGTATGTCTGCCAGCCCATGCATTTATTATGCAAAAGTGGTTACCAATTTTCATCTAATCTAATGCTTAATCCTATTTTCCAACTGAGATTATACAATAAAAGTTGCCCCATTGTTGGTAGATCCACTCTGCAGGCATCATTTATCCCATAGAGGTAGGTACCTGAAACATTTGTTAGTTACCTATATTTTGAATAATTCCCCGAAGGCTTCAGGAAGGACCCTAATATAAGGTTATTATTAAGCTCATGTGAACAATAGATCACTAGATTTTATTTCAACATCAACACAAGACTTTTGCTTTACATTCGATCAGTTTAAATTCATGGTTTCAACTTTTCTTGTTTATCTCAGTTCTATTCACATTTGGAAATTTCTTTTCAGGGTGTGCAGGAATGCAACAGAGCCTAAGTTTCCTGGCCGCCAAACTGAGTGAGCTAGGGAATCCGATACCAGAAATAAGATCGGATGACATGGAAGTTGACTGAGACACACTTGGTGTCTGTGCAAGAAAGAATTTGATGCCAAAAGTCATACTCGGGAACTTAAACAATTCGTTGAGGTGGCTATGTCTTTTAGACTCGGTGCTATCACTATCTGCACCTTCTGTAAGTTCTCCCTTAATATTACTGGTTAGAAATGCCTGCCAATTGACATCATCCCATACATGAAGCAAGCACACGGCTAATATAATTGATTCCCCACCCCCTTTTGTAGCCTCTTTTGTTGGGGAGCCTTCAAGAAGACTCACTAGCATTTATTCCAGACATCTATATTTCCCCACTCTGTTTTTCATTTTTTAATTTTCCTCATGGTTCTTTAGGACTCTTTTCGCAGCCAACACTTGAGAATTATATCTCATGTTTTCCATGATCTAAAAAATGATTAAAATACTGTGATTCCTCTCTTCCTCTATAGTATTCTTAATGCAATAACAAACAGTGTTACTTTTTATTAGTTATAAAATCCTAGAAATACTTATGATATCAAAATGTTCTGATTAAGTGGAATTAGTAGTGTTACTATTTAGTTTAGGAATACCAAGTGATTACCTTCAAGTCTTTGCCTTGTCAGACTTTGGAGCTATATTGTGATTTGAGGTCAGTATTAGGAATTTAGGACTATTGATATGTACTATCATTAATAGCATATTTGGCATGGCACTTACAACTATTGACTATTAGTAATTTAGGACTATTGATATGTACTACATTAATAGCATATTTGGCATGTCTATTTCTTGATAGCGTTGCACTTACAACTATTGACTATTATTGTGCATCTTTCTTTATGTACTGTTGTACATTAAAGTTCAGATATCTTTTCTTGAATGTTGATTGGTGACTTTGCATTCTATTGCACACTAGATAAGCTCGTAGTAATTTGAAGTAACTTAATATCCCGGAGAGTATTCTCAAATTATCTGTAAATCCAATGGGAGGGGATCACCAGCCCCATTTTCTTTCAGCCCACCCAGCCCCATCAAATGTAGTGTATATATATATACATTATATATCACATTGGGTGATGGGACTGGCAAAAGCCGATTCCGGTGATCCTGTGCCAAATCCAATACCAAAAGGTAAAGATGAGGACAGAACAGTACTGATGTACAAGTCCTAACTTTTTGTGAGAGAGAGAGCATCTAGGGGGTTGCAATAAGCAATATTAATGTAGTAATAACCGAGTAATAATATCTAGAATGTAAAAACCATTACGGACTCATACTGGATTGATATAGTGTTAGTTTATTACCGTTCATCAGAGACTCCTCATTTCTTTTTTAGCCTTTGCTGTAGTCTTTGAGAAGAGGCTCTTTACTGGTTGCCCTCTTGTCCAAACGCTCCCTTGCCTTCTCCACCTAGAATCAGAATCCAAGTTGTTATTTTGGATCATAAATCTAAAGTGTCTTGGTATTATTACACAATTTCCCAAATATATAACATGTTAAATATACTGTCCATGCTCAGCAAAGGCAGACCTCTTTATTCCAGTCTGTTCGGCATGTTCTCCAAAGCAAGATTAGAGTTTGCATCAGTGTTCCTCCTATCATGCCCGACCAAATTCCCTGCAAGCATAGGGCAGTAGTTGTCAAGCGCCAGTTTTGAATTGCTACTTGCAGTAAAGCACTAGTTGATTGTAAGACACATTTTAAATGTCAGTCAAGACCCGTGGAATTCTCACCTTGACACCAAGGTTGAACTTGAAGCCGAGAAGGCAACCTAATGGAATTCCCACTAAATAGTAACATCCTACATTAATGTATGCCACAAATGACTGCCACCCGCAGCCAACGGCCACCCCTTCAAGATAATCAAAATACATTTCAAATCACAGTTGCTAATATTACCAAATGTTCAGAACTCTCAGAAAATACTTAGATGCTAGCTGGGCCCGCATACAAAGAAGTTCTTAATGCCGTGAGAGTGGAAGAAACCCGCATTAATGCGGAGTAGGCTACTGTGTCAACAAATGTAGTAAATTTCACAAAACCCCCTTTAATGCTATAGATGAAGTGTAGTAAAATTTACGCATGATAATAGGCGTAGGCCATAGCATTTGTGTTGTCAACAATACCAGGCCAAATGCTAACCGAAAAACCAAGCCTACCAGGCCAAATGCTAACCGAAAAACCAAGCCAGCTGCTACATATTCAGATAACCAATCGATTATTATGTTTCACAAGAGTAAGTTCTCTTCACCACAACCAATCTAATTAAGTATTGCACAAAGTGGATGCAATGGAATCACTTTTCATCGGTATATTGTATAAACAAAACTGGAAATAAAACCACACAAAATTTAGCATTGCAAAATGCTGTGAGCATTGATAGTAGTATCTACTTGAAGTTGATAGTATCAGTATTTGTAATTTGAATTAAGGAGACTTACCGGACAAAACTGGTTGAACGCCGTTGAGAATGAGGGTTGCAGCTAGGAATGGACAAAGGTCAGACACAGCGGTGGCCACTCTTTCCCCTCCGGTGAACATGTAACTTATGACGTGTCGCTGCGATAATACAATGATCGCCACTGCCACCGCCACCATGAAGGACACTACATTCACTACCACTACTGAGAAAGCTGCCGATTTCGGATGCCCTGCTCCTATCTCGTTCCCAACTCTCACACTGCATATTCAGATGAATTGTAAGTTTCTAATACGAATTTTTAGCTAGAATTATTATGATTTTATGAAGAACTACAGAAGTATACACAATGCGGAAAAGGGAAGTCTAACCTAGCGGCTGCATTGAATCCGATTGAGATCACAAACAACATCCCATTGACTGCCATGCTGCAGAAACAAATGAGATCTCAAAACATATGCGATGCTTTATTTATTTTTCAACAGGTTTTTCTCCATCTGATCTGAATCCATAAACGAATTTGACCTCAGACGTAAGACATATGATTTACCACGCAGTAAGTGCATCCAAGGAGAGCTCAGGGTTCTCCAGCAATCCGGCAATCAAAACGAGCACCTGGAAGTACCACGCCTCTAAGCACAGCATAACCGCTGAAGCCATAGATAACTTCACAAACTCCCAAAGACCGGTCAGAGCCTCCGATTTGAACCCAGTCCACGTGTCCTTACATTTTTGGCTTTTCACGACGTACACGCACTGCCCTGCAACAATTATCCACCATGACAGGCTCACTACCAACGCCACACCCAGCAATCCCATCCCCATCCTGTACACAACGATCCAGCTGACCAACAGGTGCACTCCCAACGTCGCCAGTGAAATCAGCGCGCTCGGTGCAACGACGCTCTGCGCCTGGAGAAATTTCTGAGTTGGAAAATACACTGCGTACGCAAATACCTGCGGAATCAGGCCGTACACGTAAACCGACGCCGGCGTGGCAACCTCCTCCGATTCACCGATAAAAAGCAGGAGCTGTCTCGATAGCGCGTAAACCACAGCGATCGGGAGGCTGAAAATCATCAGCACCACGGTGGCGCGTTGCAAATACACACCGAGCATTTCGTACCGACCTGCGCCGTATGCCTGACCGCAGAGCGTTTCCACGGCGCTCGCCATGCCCAACTGCGAGTGCCATCAAAGTAATGTGATAGCAGAATTTTCCGACGCGGAATTAAACGTAGAGTAAAGAGTGTGACTACTCACGAGGAGACCGTAAGCGAATAACTGGATGCCTTGATTGCCGAGAGAGGAGGCGGCGAACTCGAGATTGCCAAGATGACCGGAAAAGATACGAGCGGAGAGAGACAGCGCATAGTTGATCAAGTACACCATAACTGCAGGACCTGCAAATTTGGAGAGGAGTTTTAACTCGAGGCATAAGGCTTTGGTAAAGCGCTTCAAGCATGGCAAATCGGCGTCGGAAAGGACGGTCTCGAGGTCATAGGAGTGAAGAAGTGGTGGATTGCTTCGATCCCCGGAAGCAGAGCTCTCCATTGCAAATATGCAATGCAAGCTCGCATTCCCGCCGGGCATATAACGAATTGTCTATAAGCTAAGCAACAAGACCACGTGCCTATTTATTCCTTACAAACGATTAGTAGCGTATCATTGTCGGCAAATTTATTATTTAAAAACTTAATTATTTATATAAAATAATAATTATATACTATAAAATATTTAAAGATATATATATATATATATATCTTAAACTATGAAGAAAATATTACTGAATAAAATTTCGAAAATAATTATCATTTTGAAAAGGAGCATTTATATTAAAAGTAATAGTAAAGTGCTGATATCTCCAATTAGCAGACGTGAAATAGTCCTATGATTCAAATGTTTTTTAGTTTATATGATATGTTTGAAACAGTCCTATAATTCAAATGTTTTTTTAGTTTTTGTGATAATATAATACATGTAATAATATTATATGTTGTTTAATAAATTGAATTTTAAAATTCACCATATTAATATTCACTTTATTAAAAGATTCAACTATCTCACTCTAATTTTTATTAAATAAATTCATGAGATGAGAAGAAAAAAGAAAAAAAAAAAAAATGGAAATATACCCACAATAATGCTAATTCTTGGGTAAAATTCAGAATTATGAATAAGGCAAGTTGGACATGATAAATGTTGAAAAAATATTGAGCTTCTTGAATGGAGTTTGGATTCCTTTTGAATAATATTTATTTTTTTGCAAGCAATCATGTATACTTAGAACAGAGTAATTGGGCTCACTTATGTACATGATACATACATACAATATAAATACATGCTAATTAATTATTATTATTATTATTATTATTACATTGACACAAGTTAATTTGGAGGGAAAAAAATAACAATAATGTACTGCTACTATTTATTACATATGAATTAGACCAAAACCATACCAAGAACACAACTAATCTCATAACTGAATATATATATATATATATATCTTACCAAACCTGTTGGCTGTGCTGCTATGGCTGCAAATGCAATCTCCTAACTGCCCTGGCTGTTCTTCTTCAGCTACCAAATCTGCTACTCAACAAACACTGCCCCTTTTCTTCTAAGTGTTTTTACAAGAGAGCCAAAACCACAGCATAAAAAATCGAGCACAGCAACGAACACATCCTCGCGCTGCCAAAACCTGAAACAACAACAGCATTCGCAGTCACAACAAAAACAGTAACCAAATCAAGAAACATTGATCATTCCAAACTCTGTCCCATAAGGTAAAGAATGGATAATTCAAAGCTTACTACTTTGGCCCGAAGCAGCTGCAGGGAGGGCAGGAATTTTCACAGCTGCAAATTAGAGACAATTATGAATACTTGGGAAGATTTAATTAAATTCCGAGAAGAAGGGATTGTGGAGTGCGTACTTACTTTTGTTGCACGATGAGGCGGGCAACTGAGATGCAACTGGCCAAGGAGCCGGAATGTTGTCATTCAAATCACACAGGAAGCTGACCCCGGCAGATTGGTCGAGTATTACATCTGATGGCAAGCTTGGCAAAAGGCATCCCGACTCTGTCCCAAGGCAAGGTCAATCGATCAATCAAGAACCTCAAATTGGGGGAATGGAGTTTTTCTTAAGTAAAATGGGAAGAAAGTGAATTACCCACCCTGAGCACCGACTGAAGCAGTCGAACGAGATTTAGCCATCAGGACACAAGACAGGAATGAAAATGTTTCGACTATTAGTACCAGCTGAGTTTGTATATACGTCAAAAATAATGAAAATGGAAGTAGTGAAGTAATAGCGAATTGATGACCTTGGATGGAGAAGTCCTTGAGGCTGACGCGGCACTGGCTGTACACGTTCTTCGTAATGTTTGCTTTCTGTAGCTTCACTCCAAATGCCGTGGCGCAATTTAATGCCTGCAAGTTTGTGACGAAGCTCTGCCTTTGCAGGCGCGCTACATAGTTCTCGACAGAATGACAACATGCAGTCTCGTTACTTGTTCCAGCGCCGCATTCTTCCATTACGTAACTCATGTTTGGAAACTTCAGAGGACACCCTGAATCAGAATTAAATAAGGGGAAGAACTTAGGTATAAATATAAAAAGATTGTCGTGAATCTTTCATGGCTTCTCTATCCAGAGCTCACCTTTATTAATCCTGCAATTAGATAATCCTCGAAGAACTTCTTTTGCACGAGAAGGGTCGAGTTTACTTCCAAGCCATCGGAGCACTACACTTTTGCAGTCATTAATCCTATTCGAATGGTCAGACTGTACGCGAGAATCATCCAAGCTCAGAAGGTTCAAAGCTTTCTGAGCAAGCTTCTGAGCAGCATCTAAAATAGCATTCTGACAGACTTGTTCACAACATTCATTAACACTATCAATCTTCTCACAGGCAGAAAGAAGGTTAGATGAATCTACCATACTCTCGAACTCAGAAACATCAGTAACAGGGCAGGAACCTTCAGTAAGAGTTTTTGAACGAACAGAGCATATCTGAGATAGGCTATCATTGGCTCCCTGACTCTCCAGAATCTGTTCAAAATCGGAAAGGCAATGCGCCGCATGGGTCCCATTTAAAGAAAGTGTATTCGTGCGCTTGCTGGATTGACCAATGAGAATGGTCAGCATGGCCTCCACCTGGGGACAGCAAACCACATTGGCTAAGACCGGCGCAAATGCAGCCATACAATCAGTCGATGTCACCATCATCATGCTTGTGACGGCAGTGAAGTTCAGAACACAAATTCCTGCACAGAATCCAAGCATGAGCACAGAAACTTAAACAGATAGAATTTACAGTACATACGGATTGCATAATCTGGACGGTGCATAAGACAAACCAGATAATTTTGGGACTGTACTATTTGTGAATGGTGTTAATGGAGAAGGTGCAAGAAGAGGAAGAAACGGCTGAGGCGCTGCAGTAGGGGATATTTGGGGTAAAAGCTCATCGTTTCTTCTCTCAGCCAGAGCAAACCTAAGACTCCCATGATCACCCAACAGGAAGCTAACTGGATCATGTATACCTGCATAAGCATCAGTCATTCAAATGGATATTCAGATCACATACATCTACAACGACTCAACGAGCACTTGCACTTACAATATGTACTACTCAGAACCCTTTAGTACGAAATCTATTTCCTCAAATCAATCTAACACAACAAACTGTTACATACCCATAAAGCAATGATCACGTGATGTTTTTGCAAAAAGGAAAGCCAAATATGATGTTTAAACAACAGCAGCAGTCCATCCACGACCAAAATGCTAAATCTTTAAGAAAGACTCATCCAGTGGAATCCATTTCTTGGTTGAGATATATAATTAATGTCATTAAACGATAACCCGGAAGAATCCTAATTCAAATCCCTAATGTTGTAATGGAAGCAGCCATGAAAACTAAAGAGCCTAGTAAAGGAATCTATACATGGCATTTATTACAGCAACATTCATAGCAGTTTAAGGCTAAGAGGAGGCAATGCACTCGAAAATTAAAACCAGACTCCATAAATCGACTGGAATTCGGGGTACACACTAATTGAAAGCATAAATGTTTAATTTCACAGATCGCAGAACGAACCAAATCCAGATGACGAATGAAAACAAACTTAGAAGCTTCAGAATACTCACAGAGAAGTAGAAGAGCCGTTAGGGCTAGAATGCTGAAGCTTGGAAATTCTCCTCGCCTCATTCCTTCGGCTCCAACTCGCAATCTGCAATCGAATTGGGAAACAGTGCGGAAACCGGAAGGCACAAGGCTCTGACCTAAAATGAAAAATTGAATTCAAAAAGAAGTAAAGGGGAAGAAATTGGGGGAAATTGAGAGGAGTAAAGAGGGGAGAGGAAGAGGGGGTTGGGGCAGGGGCAGCCATGAATGAGGTGCTTAAGTGAGTGGGGACAAAAGCAGTAATCAAGAATAGCTGTACCTGCAGCTGCTGCACATAGAGTGTGTGATCTGGACCCACCGAGCTCAGAGAATATGAGTGAGAATCGTGATTCTCGGTGTGGAACCTCTGCGAAAAAAAAAAATGCATACATCCTCAGCAGCGGCGCAGCATATTTGCTCCGCCACAACCACCGCCCCAGCCGCTTCCGGACAGGGCATTAAAGTCCACGGACCTCCTTTTCTGTTACTCCTTTTGTCTGTTTCATCACGTGCTCTCCACGTGACTTTGTTTCTTTAATGGACCAATCTATGGTACCTTCTAAATGGGGCCTTATTTAAGGCCCAAATTTACCGAACACACTAATTCTTAAAGCCCATTGGAAATATGTATTAGTATTTCATAATATTAAAGTGAATAATACAGTGTAATTGTAAATGGATACAATATTTTATTATAGATAAATATGCATAAATTTATCTGACATTAAAAACATATATACTTAATGAAGAATACAATAGTGAGTAGTTTGTGGAAAATAATTATTTAAATTAGTTACTTTATTTACTCCATGTGTCATAAAAACCAACCAGTTCTGAAATGAATAATGTTTAATTGGTCCGAATGAATGAATGGTCACTGTCTCAGATGCCTCCCAATGTCGAATGTCATATTCTTTGCTGATAAATAGGTTTTTTAACTTTCCAATATTTGATCCAACATGGCATGGCAGTGGCACAATACAAAATTACAACTACTGCAACTTATTTTTCTAAAATTTGTAATAAATCATTGTATATAACAACAACAACAAACACACTACAGACAAGAACATTACGAATATTTTTCAGCAAGAAATGGCCCACCAAATTCTTGACATGGCCTCCTTAAATCTCCTCCAACCAATATGCCACATTGGTCTCCATCATTGCCCAATTAAATATTAGTAATTCACTAATGGGGAGAAAATTAAAATAAGATAAAATCTAAATAAAAGTAAAAACTGTCGCAATTTAAGTCTATATTCCCAACTTACGTACTTAAAACGATGATGTGATGTAATTATAATTTGTGTATTTGTTATTTTGATTTGTCTTTTTCTCTCCTCCTTTCATATGTTGTCATTTTTATTTATTTTTGGGTTCCGTCTTCTTTTGCCATTTATGCGTTCTTTGTTGTTGTTGTTGTTCTGTTTTTATTTATTTATTCTTTTTTGCGGCTAAAAGTAAAATAAGAAGTGGTTTTTTTTTTCTTTTTTAAATATAGAATTAACAGTAAAATTGTATGAAATCTCAAGAGTAGAAAACAAACATTGGCTATTCATTTTATTATTATTATTATTATTATTATTTAATGCTACTAAACTTATTATGATTAATGATTTTGTCTCAATAATTAATTAATAGCAATGATTAATCATACATACACTCATTCACCATACAGACCGTTGGCTCGTACGGTTAACCATCGAACCCGGTCTGGCTCCAAACCGCATCGCGAACCCGGCTCAGGTCCCTGCCCTTGAGAGTTCGGCCGACGCCTTCGAACACCGAGTGGGCGGCGATCCGGCGGCTGCGCGCCAAGTACTCGTGCGGCGGCACCACCTCCGACTCGTCCAACCCGTCGTCGGAGTCGTGCATCGACTCGACCGAGTCAACTCGGTAGATTTTAGACCAGTCAGGGACGTTCACCGGAACAGAGGTGCCGAGCCGCCGCCCGATTGGAGGCTCCGCCGCGCTGCCCTGCGGACGATGGTACTGGTGCACGATCCTCTGCGGCGGAGCGTTGACGGAATCGTCGAAAGCCAATGACAGGCCGCCGACGTGGCGGTGGTCGCCGCCGGCGCGACGGTTTCTGTAAACGCCGAAACCTCCGGTGCTCTCCGCGGATGCGCGCGGCGGCCACTCCCCGTTCTCCGATCGATCATCCTCGTTGCGCGCATCATCGACGGCCGACCAAACGTCCGCCTCCACGAGCTCCGACGCGCCGCCGATCATCGATCCATGGCCCTGATTGCGACCGAGGCTCCCCAAATAACGCTCGCTGCGACTCGTAGTTAACTTCCGACCTTTGTTCATCAAAAAATCGCGAATCCGATCAACGAATCGACGAAACTGGTTGTTCTTCCGACGACGGGAGGCCGGAATTTTAGCATCCCATCCGCCAGATTAAAACGAAAGAAAAAACAATGGGGCGGCCATTGGCAAAACTGATTGAAAGGCTGCGGAGCGGTGGTATATATAACGCTTCGAAAAGACAAGATGAGGACCCACTTGCATTTCATGTGAATTTGTGTTTAATTTCATGTGCATTCCATTCCAGTCTCCGAATGGTAAGATCACCACGAAACCGTGAAAATCAAACATTACGCCATGCCAACACCAAGCAGAACAGCCAAAGGTGTTCACCAGCTCCACGCGCGAACCTGAGCGCGTGTATGAGACGTCCGGGTTTTAGTAGAATTAGCGATTCATGTTTCCCACCAATATTCTCATAATTAAGAATATTAGTTTTTTTTTTTTAATAAGGAGTATTTCATAATAAATAATTTGTTTTTATAAAATTTTTATATTTTATTTTATAAAAAATAAAAATAAAAATACTCCACATGCTCCATTCACTTAAGCTTCCTTTCACTATTTTTACTACATAATTATTGTAGTTACTTATAAAAATAATTATTTTACTTTACAAAAAAACTATACTCCAAATCACTGTTAATACAGTACATATTGCCAACAATTTTATGGTAAGCTTTCAATGGCTTGATGGCTGTTTGGTAAGTTCACTAATTGTTTAAATCGAATAATTGAATATTTGAATGTTTAATTCCAATGACCATGTTTGACAACAAATATATATATATATATAACTTCTTCCAATCTAATTTATCTATATTAAGTTCTTATTGACTAATTTTCAAATAATTGAATGACAAGATGAAGTATACTATAAAAAATTTAAAAATAAAAAAAATCTCCCATTAGTTATAACAATTCTAGTAATAAAAACATTCATTTCTGAGATATAATACTTTTATTAACACGATCTTAGTTTTTTTATTATTTTTTTAATACATTTGACTACTTTATGTTTAGATTTAAATATTTAATTTGATTGTATAGTGATAGTGAATAAATCTTAAGCATATCGAATCTATTATTTGAATAATGCAGTGATAATAGTATTATAGAATATATTTAAAGTAATTTTTTTTTAAGCATATAATTAGAATAAAATGTACACAATAGTAAGTATAAAATAAATAGTACATTACTACCATGATAAAATGATATGTTCGGTTTGAGTTTTTTAATTTGGGTTTTGATTATTATATTTTTTTTTCACGAAAAAATAGTAATACATTTATACAGACAATAGCAAGAATTACATAATACTCATTTTGTCTCAATTTAAAATATATTTTTAATTTTATTTATTTATTATTTAAAAAATAATTATTATAAATTAATATCAAAATATTTTTAATTTTTATTTAAATTATAAATACATTATTATACATGCAATTATTTTATAGATAATAAAACAATTGTTTGACAATTCGACTCGACTTGACTCGACTCGAAACATGGAGCCAATGGAGTGGCGGGGCCTCTCTATCCTTCCGCGCCAAAAAGTTTGCGATGTGACCCCTCCTCCTATAACGTCATTATCATATTATCATCACCCATCTAATTTATTACTTATATATATATATATATATAAAATAAATATAACACTCTCCATCGATCATCGTAAATTAAAATTGCCCTAATCCTCAGATTAATAATAAATAAATAAATAAATAAATTTTGAATATATACATATTTATATGTGTGTATTTTGTCCCCTATGTCCGGACCGTGACAATTCACTCATCCAATTGAAGTAGGATTTAGACGATACGGTTTTTTCCCTGAAAATAAGGAAAATAATTATCTTATTTATTTAAGAAAAAAGAATATTCATTTTGTTTGTAACAATAACTCATTCGTGAGTGAGTCCAGATGGGTTCGGATCAGAGCTCCCATATTGGAGGGCTCACAATTCACTTGGGTCCTCCTCCAAGCAACTTGCACTATTTAATAATAATATATTAATATTAATATTAATAATTAGATACAGATACATTTAAATTTCATTGTCAAGATTATTTTAATTATTGTTACATAAGCCAAAGCATAGTATAGTACAGCATTGATGGCTTTAGTTCAACTAATTTGATGAGGTAAGAGCTACCTAGCTAGTAGATTCCTCGTAGGCATAAGTGAGTGTGCTATTATTTTGCTGATTAATTTAAATATTCATCTATTCTTCATCAAAATGATTCTCTCTGTCTCAATTCAACCATTCATTTTTAAATTTCTACATGTATATATAAATCACAGTAATCATTAAGCGTAGATCATCATCATCCACCTGCAAATCCCTTTTCATTTATCAAACCCTAAAAGATCAATCTTGAAATTAAGAAAGAAGATTCGGTCTTGGTGGTCGAATTCATGTAGATCCATCAAATCTTTTTCCTTCTTCTAAGCCAGAAGTTTATTCCTACTATAAACAATCTCTCCTACATTAAACAAAAAACCATATATATATATATATATTATCATCTTCTTTGCAGATGCAAATTATATATATATCCAGCAAATACTCTGGCAGTCAGTCATGGCAGCTCCACTTCAACTACTCTTTGGACAACAATCAATCATTTCATTATTAAGACATTGGAGGAGAATCTTTTCTTCCATGCCCTTTCACTAACTTCAAAAGGACTCCCACTGACTGATAGAGAGTGTGCCACACCACTGCCATTTCTAATTTTTTATGAACTCCAAAGGTCACACCACATTATCATCATCATCATCATCATATCTTAATTCTCTATGCATTTTAATGGCACCACATCATGATGCATTCATTAGCACATTTACCTGTCTTTCCACGACAAGCAATTTGGGGATTTCAGGGAATCTATATGCATTCTTTCTTAATCATCAATTAGCATCGTCTTGGGCTCATTTTGATGATTTATTTTGAATGAAAAATAATACAAGTAATGTGATACCTCTCTGCTTTTAATGGGCTCTCCATTGCATTGGGTGCCATTAGCACTAAGCTTTTGTAACATTTCAGCCTTGGGGCTGAATTATTCAGAGAACTGCAAAAGTGAATAGGGAAATGAGGTTGGATAAGAGTTTTAAGCATAAGAGGATCAATTCAGTTTGTTACATCGAAAAAAAAAAAAAAGGATCGTTGTTTACCTCTAACTCCTCTGTTCAAGTATGTCGCGCACCAGCATTTTGGGACCGACTAACTTGGTTTTTAGAAGTTTAGAAGAAGAGCCATGTTTTTGGATTCGGTCCTTTTTCGATGAAGCTATTCCAGGCTTGTTCCTATGCTTAACTAAACCACATGGATAGGCAAGATTATGGTTTCCTTTTCCTAAAACTTGTTTTGGAGACAGCCAATGTTTAGTTGAGGATATCCATCTCTTCGAAATGCTTTCCCTCTCATTGATCCGGATGTTATCGCACGGACCTTCAGTTCTTGGCATGCCAACACATGATGAGCTTGTAATGTTCTTCGAGTGAGCATATGGAGCCAAAGAAATTTCACTGTCCTTATTTCTATAATCGCCGGGGGTTTGGCACGAATTCATATCAGCTCGAGTCACAGTCTGTTTGCCGTTTCTTGTGTCTTCCCTGATCTCATGAGCATTATTATGGTGGACAATTGAGGAATAGTGTCCTTGGCCATGGCTAAAGCTATTAACAGCCATACTACTTTCTTCAGCTTCCCTCATCAAATTCACATGTGTTGTTGAATTTGATGGATTCATAATTGCTTCGCATTCCATTATGAGATTGTTAATCTTCGTAAGCTTATCTTCTAGAATCAAACTTACGTCGATTAACTTCATCTGCACATATTCTTCCCTCCATCCTTGGCCCATTTGCAGCAATTCCCTCTCTCCATTGATCTCATGAAGAATTCTTGCGTGATGATCCCTCAATGCCCCGATTTCAGCTCTCTTGACTTCGAAACATTTGCTTAGTTCATCGAAATCATTCTCAAACAGAGCTCTGGCCTTCTTCTCCTTCTCGAGATTTTGCAGGACTTTCCATGATGATTGCTTCGCTCGAACAATGTTACTCAACAGTTTGGAGTTAACAACCTCCAACTTGCTGCATCTTCTCTTCTCCTTCTTGATGCTGTCTGCTAAATTCTTGACTATCGATCGCATGTTATCGTGCTCTGTTCTCCTCTTTGATGCCCTTTCTTCCTTCGGCTTTACTCTTGGTCTGAGTTCATCTTTCTCCGTTGCGAATTTAGGAATTGGCAACGATGGAAAAAGCTATAGAAGATAACAGGATTGATTACACAGTTTCAGAAAACAATTTGAAGTAGAAATTCTGAATCACAATCTCCAAAAAATTTAGGTCAATCTGAAAGCATGTCAAATTACCTCAGATTGATGGTTCCACCGCCACGTCACGCTTCCACTACCATCGGTCGCCGCGGCGGACCGCCACAGTGAGGCGGCGAGCTTCCTCGTGGAAGCAGGCGCCGGCGCCGGCGCCGGCGCCGCAGCAGAGTTTCGTCTGCGCATAATCCAATGTGAAATAGGAGTGACGGCAAGCACACTTCCGCTCGACCTCCTTCCTCTCGGAAAACGACCAATCCACCGGCCAATAGTGAGTACCTCACCGTCGGAAACCATGTCCGCCAGGAGAAATAATTAATCATAAGCAGCAAGCACGCAGCGGATCAGATCGGATCGGATCGGATCGCGTGGGCGGTTGAATATGAGGGAGTGAAAAGTGTACGCGAATGCATTGATTGGTACAGACATCACGCACGCAGAGGGCGCGTGAGGAGGGGACAGCCATGGCTGAAGCTTTGTTACGTTACAGATGCAGTTGTCCTCTTTCAGGTATATTGCCCGCAACTATCTCTGCTCAATTTCTCTGCGTCATTCCACTCCTAAAGAAACGAAACACAGCAGGCCCACTTTTTCTAGATGAATAAATACGCATTCCTTCGTCAACTGTCGTTTTGTAATTTGTTTGACATCGATCGAATTGAATGGAACGGGTCAGCGAGCAGCCATGCAAGAACCAATCACCAAACACCCAAACAACCAACGAAAAGTAAACCATTCATATTTCCAAATTTCTTTTCATCCCTCTGTTTATAAATAGCCATTAAAGTTCCCCAACACATTGACTTCGTCGTCTAATGCAATGGGCAATTGCTGCAGACGTCAATCGGTGGCGCCGGTGTGGGCGTCTGCATTCGAGGAGTGGGACGCCGACGCCGACGCCGACTCCGACGCGGAGTCGCCGACGGGAAGTGGAAAGGAATGCTTTCTGGGTTCAGATGAGAACGATGGAGGTGAAGAAGGAATGGTGGAGGTGGAGGTGGAGGTGAAGGTGAAGGTGAAGGCGAAGATAAGAAGGAGAGAGATGGAGGCAATGGTGGCTATTGCTCAGATGGAAAATGAGCCGTTGGATCGTGTCTTCTACCGCTTCATCAACACCGTTGATTGTTCCCGCCCCTGTCTGACACGTCGGCAATCCTACTGGGCGCCAGCTCTGCAGACGATCGCTGAGTAGATAATAATGTATATTTATTTATTATATGTATTATTATTAGCTACCAAATAGGCAAATACTCCACCAATTTTGTTATTCTTTGATGATATTATTTTCTTGGCAGTATGGTAAGTATTATTTACAATCACGGACCAGGTACACGTTGTCGATTCTATCCGCTTTCATATATTATGTCTATTTCATTTTTTAAAATAATTATACATTTTAATTTTATTTTAATTTATAATTATTTATATTATAAAATAATTATTTTTATTAATCTATTCTTAATTATCTAATGTGTATGCAGTAATAAAGTACTAATAATTAACGAATTGTTTAACGACAAAACTATCCAAAAGCAAAACGCGTGGAAGCCACTCAACCCAGTTCTCGAAACTTGAGTCTTGCTAAGTCAACTCCCAGAAATCCCAACTCCTTAATCATCGTTCCCAAATTAATCACTGGAATTCTTCTCTAACCTCACTCTCCGATTCTCCCCTGTATATTCTTAAGGAGGCTCCGAATCTTATGTTTTCTCTCACCCAATCATAATTTTCTTCTTCTTCTTCTTCTCCAACTGGTCGCAAGACAAACCCTTAAGACTGTTAAATAGTTGGGAGTTTCGATAGAAATCCACTGCAAGTGATAATGGGAGATTGCTGTAGCAAGACCAGAGGCTCTGATTCAGATAGCAATGGTTACAGAGAGTTTCGAGAAAGCCAGCAAGCTTACCAGAAACATTCAGATCAATCTGACAAACAGAGCCACACAGCCCCGGCCCCACGCCCACAGCCGCCGACCATTACGCCCAACACCATATTGGAGAAGTCCTTTGAGGATGTTAGGTCAAAATACAAAATTGGGAAAGAATTGGGGCGGGGCCAATTTGGGGTGACCTTTGCTTGCACAGAGATGTCGACGGGGCATCCGTACGCCTGCAAGTCCATCCTGAAGAGGAAGCTGGTGAGTAAGAATGACAGGGAGGATATGAAGAGGGAGGTTCATATTATGCAGCACTTGAGTGGACAGCCCAATATAGTCGAATTCAAGGGAGCTTATGAGGACAAGAGTTCTGTGCATCTGGTGATGGAGCTTTGCAGTGGAGGGGAGCTTTTTGACAAGATTATACAAATGGGGCATTATTCTGAGAAAGGGGCAGCTGATCTTTGCAGGCAGATTGTCAATGTGGTTAGCCATTGCCATTTCATGGGGGTGATGCATAGGGATCTGAAGCCTGAGAATTTCTTGTTTTCTAGCAAGGATGAAACAGGGATGTTGAAAGCTACTGATTTTGGGCTCTCTGTGTTCATTGAAGAAGGTCATCATCGACTACATTGCTTTATTGCGTTATCTTGTTTATTTCCAGTTAAAATTAACAATCTTTTTATAGTATTGTTCTTGAACTAAATTGTGATCATCCTGCCATGTTAGATAATCTTTTGATTTTGTATAATGTTCACTTCAGATCACTGAGCTAGCTTATTGTTATCTTCTATCTGCAACTGCAAAGATACCAAGTTTAGACCGAAATATGTAATGTGTAATTTTGATTTGAATCACTATTGATAATGCCTTTTTCAAAGTTTGATTATTTGGCAAGCATTACTTTTCTGTTTACTTAGTTCAACTACAATGCTGCACTTGAATTGCTGATTGTTTCGTGGTATTAATCCATTTCAGGGAAGGTGTACGGTGACATAGTTGGGAGTGCATACTATGTAGCTCCTGAGGTCTTGAGGAGAAGTTATGGGAAAGAAATAGATGTGTGGAGTGCCGGAGTTATTTTGTATATCCTCCTCAGTGGTGTGCCTCCATTTTGGGCTGGTGAGTTCGATTTTGTATTTCAAAATGAAGACCAAACCTTCTAATTAATATCGATTGTCATTGAAGTTCTTTCGTATTTTTGTTTCATGCAGAATCTGAAAAGGGCATATTTGATGCTATTCTGAATGAACAAATTGATTTCGACAGCTCGCCATGGCCCTCCATATCAAGCAGTGCCAAAGATCTCGTTCGTAAAATGCTGACAAAGGATCCAAGAAGAAGAATTACCCCTACACAAGTACTTGGTACTATATTGTTGTCCTTCCAATCCAAAATGTATACTGTTCGATCCATTTTGCAGCCTATAGTTATAACTAATTTAACTTTCTTATATGTTTTTTTTTTGGTTAATAATCAAAGAGCATCCATGGATTAAGGGACAAGCATCTGACAAGCCGATCGACAGTGCAGTTTTATCCAGAATGAAGCAGTTCAGGGCTATGAATAAGCTCAAGAAACTTGCATTAAAGGTACACCATTGGTTATTGGATAAGCCTGCAGTTCAAGAATTTCGACTCTTGTGGTCTTGCCATGTTCTTATGGAAATATCCGCAGGTCATTGCGGAGAGTTTATCGGAAGAAGAAATTAAAGGTCTCAAGGCAATGTTTCTGAATATGGATACAGACAACAGCGGCACAATCACTTACGAGGAACTGAAATCTGGATTGGCTCGACTCGGATCTAAACTGTCCGAAGCTGAAGTGAAACAGCTGATGGAAGCTGTGAGTATCGCATTCTTGTTCGTGCAGCCTCACATATAAGTTTGCCTATTCCTCGCATTCACCTAATGTTCACTGCAGGCTGACGTTGATGGCAATGGGACGATTGACTACATCGAATTCATCACTGCTACGATGCACAGGCATAAGCTGGAAAGAGACGAGCATTTATTCAACGCATTCCAGTTTTTCGACAAAGATAACAGCGGGTAAGTCAAGATAATCTTGTCCATCTTCGCATCAGATAACCTTGTCATTAATGTCAATCGATTCCAGATATATTACGAGGGACGAGCTAGAATCTGCTATGAAGGAGTATGGCATGGGGGATGAGGCCACCATCAAGGAAATAATTTCGGAGGTCGATACTGATAATGTAAGTCACTCAAACAAGGCATTGAATACTTTTGGCTTCGTCGACAAATATAAAAGATAAAGAAGAGTTACAAAGACTGCATTTTTTTTCGTTTTTTAACAGGATGGAAGAATCAACTACGAGGAGTTTTGTGCAATGATGAGAAGCGGAACTACACAACCCGTAAAACTGTTTTAGGGTATCTAAACAAATGCTCGCGTCAAGTAAAGAGTGACAGGTTAACACTCTTCACCTTCTCAGCTCATCCATGGATGAATCTTCTCCTGTTTTGTGAGTTTGGGAAAGAAATTTAGCTCGAGTTTTGTGAGGCTCTTTGAAGAATTGAGAAATGCTTGTAATATAATTGCTACCATAATGGATGCTTCTTTGTGTAAATTCTGTTAGGGTCTTTGAAACCCATTTTGATCTTGATTGTAATGATTCTCTCTTTTTGGTAAGTTTGAATCTTTACCAAACAAGGTGTAAGCAATGGAGTCAGGGCCACACAACCAACTCCTGACATTTTTTATTGTTTCATTTAATAAGTACCTGCTACTGAAGACCAGTTGATAATTCTACTGTTTTTGAGCACTGATCTGACTTTACAGCGAGAATCTGCCGACACAACTCCATGGAATCATCACTGTAATCCATTTATGGATGATGCAAAAGTCGCCTCCTATTAAGGGAATATTATCTTGCCAAGATCTAATTATTAGGTTAAATTATTTATATTTAGATCAGAAGAAGAAAGGGAAAGGGCTCCATTGAACTCATTCAACCTTCATCGTTCCAAAGCATAGATAATTAACACTAATACACCATGATCAACCACCATTCCATTCCTTACAACAATCTCCAAACCCATTGATCTGAAATGAAAAGAAAGCAAGAACAAAGAACAACATCCAACATAAACATGGCTGCCAAACGAAAACCAGCAAGAGACTTCCTTGTTTTATTCAGGAAAGCAGTAGACGGCTTCGATTTCAATGGAGCTTGTTGGCAAGATTGCACTGCTTCCTGATCTCACCCTTTGTACCTGTGAGCGGATTGTTCTCGGACAAGATGGTGATGGCCCTGGAAAACTCCTTGAAGAAGTAGTTTTGGTTCTTGGCCATTTTCTTGACGAAGGGCTTAGTCCTCTTGTTAGTGGCTAACTGATGATCAACAAGCATCAGCCCCTTGTTGTCCAGAATGTTCCTGTAATAGTTGTTGTCAAGCTTCATAGGGGTGCCACGATCATTTCGCACATACTGGACTGCCTTTGGGTCAGGAATTGCATCGGGGCACTTGCGGAGCATGTGTTCGACATGGCCGGGATTGAGAGAAGGATCCACCTCAGGGTAGAGACGGTGAACCAGTTTGACACAGTGAGTTCTACCCACACTGTGAGCACCTGTCAACGATGATATTTGGGGTGTATTGTTATTTATGAGCAAGTTTCATTACAGGGTGTGTATGTGCATATGTAATGTAATTTACTACCTAGTAAAGCAACAACTCCGGAAGTGTCGATTCCAATGTTGGCGAACCGATCAAGAACAACGCTCATGCTGTCGTTGTGGTCTGGCAGGTGCTGTTCCAGGATGTCTGCCCTGCTTTTTCTCCCATCCCTTCTTCCTGTTTTGAGTGGGATGTGTGGCCCTCCAAGCTGCAGAATTGATGCAAGGAAATTCAGGGTCAAACAGCAATTTTTTATTAAGAATCTGAGGAACTAGTTGCAAGAATACCAGGGGAATGGAAAGTCCTAAAATCTGGGGTTCAATTTCCATACCAGAAATGAAAATGACATGGTACCATCAGTACTACTACTAAAGGAGGAAAACTTACTGCAACAATGCCATCTCTGGCGGACAAAACAAGAATATCTGCACAGGAAACGACTCCAGGGCATTCTCTCTCCAAAGCCTCCTTAATATCCTCGATGTACCTGAAATTCCTCATACCAAAGCTCCTATCAGTCTCCTTCTCCGACAGCATCCTCCTTGTGGAATCCAGCAACAAGGATGCATCACATGACTGCAACAAGAAAGTAGCAGTAGAGCCTTTAATCTTCTATAAGGTAAATTAAAGAAGTAATTAAAGTAGTTAAAGAAGTACCTCAACAAAGCAGTCATGGAAGATGTTTCTCAGCCAAGAGAAAGCAGTGTTCTTGTGGCGCTTGTAGAGGAGCTGAACCTGTTCCTTGATGATGTCTTCAGCTTGAGGGCAGGAGTCCTTGTAGTAGTCCATGGCAAGGCCAGTGCCTCCATTGTCAGCGTCTGCAAAGGCAATAGCAGAGAGTGCAGAGAAGAAGAGGGCTGCAAGGAAGAAGACAGCCTTGGACGCCATTACTGATTTTCTTCTTTCTTTTCCTTCTTTACCTTTCTCTTTCTGATAATCTTTTCTTTTTTCACTGAATCAAGGTCACTGACCTCACTGCCACCTCTCTTAGCCTTCTCACTTTAAATAAGAAGATGAAGTGGACTTTTCTTGCCTCACTCTCATATGGAGTATATGTTAATTATTGATTTCTATGCATAATGCAGATGCTTTTCCCTTACACTACTGCTGATTATTTTTTTAAGCCTCAACTTGGCCCTTTATGACTGCAACAGTCAAAACGCTACGTGATCTATAATGAAGATCAAAGTAAAGATAATTAACAGTATATCATGCAAAAATAAATGGGTCTTTGGATATATGTCATAGTTTGGATCTTTTAATGGATTCTGTTACTAAAAGGGTGGATCTTGATGATTAGAATAATCTGCTTCATAATGGGATCTCTGTTGATTTTATTTACCAAAGGGCTTTCTAGTAATTTGATTTACTTACTAAAGCTGAAGCACAAAAACAGGCACTAAATCAGTAAAGGGGGCAAAAATCCAAAGAACCAGACAGATAAGACAAAGAGAAAGAAACATGTGGCAACTCCATAAACAGAGATTGAATTATGTCGTCCCTAATGTAGATATTAGCAGTTGATGAGTGGGTGAGAAGGAGCCATCAATGGCAAGAAAAAGAGTGTAGTAGTACAAGCCCCACCATTACATCAAATTGCTTCATGCCAACATCAATAATAAAATAAGAATATTAATAACAATGCAGCTGATAATAATTACAAAAGACCAGGCCCATTGAAGGCAACTCAAGTTCCTTACTCCACATAGCCCCCTCTCCCTCTGCTTTATTCATCAAGAATAAAGGAGGAAGAACAATCACAAATTATTACAATTCAATTATCACAGCAAGAAATGAATTATTTCAGGACATGTGATATAAAACGTAGGATCAACGACCCGGCGCAGTGTGTCGATTAATCTAACATAGCATTGTCAGGGCATAATAAATATACTGTATACCGACACTTGTAGTCCCTACACACACGTATACCGATCTTCAATAAGTGAGCCTAAACAATTGGGACAGCGACTTGATTTATAACTACAAATAATTTGCTGGCAAGCAACCATGCTATAATGCATTACCATACAGTAAATTTACACATTTATCCAAGCTAGTGTATACTAATAAATTATCATAGATTAGACTAATGTTTTTGTCGTTATACATGGTTCATTAATGATCAATAATCCAAAAGAATCTTCAGCAGCAGTTCCAAGATGAGGGTGCAAAATACTGTAATTCAGTAGAAGGGTGGTAAGGAATTATCTTCATAAATTAAGACATCATCTGCCATACCGACACAGAACAAATGTTTGTGATAAGAGAGTCACATGTGCCGCCAAATTCACAAGAAACATCACACACAACTAATGAAGGTTACTGCACCTGAGGTTGGCCTGATGAAACTAATGTGCAGCACTTCACATCAGCCACAAGGTGCCGTATATGGGGAGCATACCATTTTACTCTCTCCACATGCTCCACTGAAACCTTCCAGTTCCGGCCTGCACATAGACGTGCATGAATTATGACCCAATGAATTAGAGATGAGCCTGCATCAATGTGGTTTGGAGGGGTTTACCTTCGGACTTGGCAATGCTAGAAATGGACTGGACAACATGGGTGGCCCATGAAACCTCCTCTCTGTCTTTGACATTCCCATGGATGTGTAGCATCCCACCTTCATCCCTGCATTTGGCCATGTGTGGTAACTTTATAAGAGAATGGCAAAGATAAGTAACTAGAATGACGATGAGTAATTGAGTTCAGACGAGCAAGACCACCGAACACATTATGACATTTGACAGAAGAGTGCATTAAATGTCCAAATAAAGGAAATATATGCATACATATATATCAAATATATATACAGGACAGAGGAAGAAGATAACCACCGTGATGGCTTACACACCTTAAGACTCTCACGGCAGTGACCCAACTACACTCACTTGATGGCAGCAAACCAAGACAGACTCGATCAGCAACTCCCTGTGCCATGTGAAGATTATCAATACAAAAGCAACACAAGGAGAATCTCATCGCAAATTACAATAAAACGATGGGAACCTGAGACAAGAAGGAACAAGATTCCAATTTTGAAAAACGAAACCATCAAGAATAAAGAAATTGACTGTAAGCATAAAATAAATAAATATATAGAACGATTATTAAGCAGCCACCACGCATGGTGAAACACCATACTTTAGGAGCAGTGACTCTATTATCTCCTTCCAGTACAAGACAACGATCAGCCACAGAATTAGTTTGAAGATTGTGATGGAGAGCCTCAATGGCATGTGGATTCCACTCACAAGCATAAACCTTTTTGGCATTGGCCCTGCATAAGGATTCAAGATTGGCACAATTTCAAGTTAGAATAAGTTTGCCCCAAACATAAAAAAGAGAAACGAAACAGATCTGTCAGATAGCATGCCTAACAAGAAATGGAAGTACAAAATATCCTATGCCAGCAAACAAGTCTACAATAACTTCATCTCTGCAATCAAGATTGGCAATCCGCAGCTTCTCAGACAGATTTCCCCAAGAGAACATGCATTTGGTGGCATCAAAAGAGTAAAGAATGCCATTTTCACGGTGACCAACCCAGCCATTCTCTCCAACAAGAATCTCTAACTTGCTGTCCCTTGTTCCAGTTTGCGCAACTCGTCCCTTCACATCATAAACAAACCCCATCAATACACAGATTAAATCTAAATCCATAACCATCATGATGGATCTTTGCAATTTAAATATCATGTTGTGTCCATTCAACTGCGACATTCCATAAATATGTTCACTCCCAGTGACTGAAATTTCTATATGAATTGGAACATATCACTTTTCATCATCCACCAATGGAGAGACGCACTGCTGAAAAACTGATACTACTGACTCCTACCTGCCGGGCGAGGCGACGAGCCCCAAGTGATTGGGTTATAAGAGGCCAAAGTTCCTCACTGATGGAGCTCCAGCGTTCATCCTCGAAAGATGTTACAGGTAGCACAGTGATGTCACCTAGCTGTTCCCATCTGCAAAAAGTAACAATTGATAAATCAAAAGAACAAGGAACTGAAAATAAAAGAGAATATGTTATGCCCATATTCCTGAATTACATATATATGCTCATAATCATGTAAAAATATTATTCAGAAATAACCTTGAGGGCAGTTGTTCCAGAAGTTCTAATGGCAACCCATGCCGATTCAACAAAGTAGCTACAGCATCCTTCATTATTTTGTAAGGAGAACTTGGAGTTTTCTTGAGTTTAACAACTTCATCCACAATCTTAGTAGCACGGCATGCTAAAATAAGTTTAAGAGCTTCTGAGCTGGATATATCTCTTAAGAGAATCTGCCACTGACTAGGTTTAATAGACTGACAGACAGTTAGTGCTTCATGCCCCAAGTCCTTTTTATCACCAAATATGCTGCAGAATTTTTCAGTAATAGGAAGGCAGATGTGCATTCCATCCGCCTGTGAATAAACTTTCCTCTCCTGATCTAACCAACCAAATTTTTTCAGCAAGTCTTTACCCAGTTTTGCGTACTGTTTTTCTAGCTGAAGAACACAAGGGACAGCCACAGCCAAGCCTCCTATTTCTCCCCTATGCTCTTCAATCTGAGTATCAAAGTCAACCTTACCGGTGTGTGCATTTCTAGTCGGAGAATGTAAAGGGGTGCCATTTTTCTGCTCAATGGAAGAATGCAGATGGTTCTCTCCAATAGGTATAGATTCTTTATCATCACATATGGACATTAGTTGAAGCACGTTAATCATCATTGGTTTGCTGAACTTCGTCCCAAACGCATAACAAGAAGCTCCACCACCAATTATTATTAGATTATCACCAACCACGCTCACTGTGCTACGGACAAATAAGCTTTCTCCAATTGAATTGACAGTTACATTCTTCCAAGAAAGAGTCTGAAGATCAAGTAAGAATAATTTCTTGTTTTCAGAAACTGGACATCCCCCAATGATGCCAAGATACCTTGAATAGAGAAACATTAAGTGTGAAAACCTAGCATTTGGAGATTGCCCACTTGTCTTTGGCTTACTCCATAAGCCCGTTTGAATATCAAAAGTATGCAAATCCCCAAGAGCTTTCTCTCCATTATATCCACCAAACATATATAACATATGCCCATTTGCACACATTGACTGGGAATGGTGGGAACCGGGATGATCACCTTGAATTTCTATCTCAGTCCACTCAAAAGTGTCTGTATCAAGGACGTAAAAAGATGATAATGTTTCATCATTATGAATTCCACCGAACACATAGATCTTTGAGTCAACAACAGCTGCAGCATGCCGATGCCTGGGGAGTGTCAGGATATACAAAGCAAAAAAATCAAGAGAATAGCAAAGATCCTTTTAAGTTGCAAAATGGTTTAATCCAATAACAAGATGAATGACAACCTAATAGAGAGCATGGCCGAGATGAATATACAGCTGATGGAATGATTACTGTCAGAATAGAATGTTATTTTCCCCTTTTCCTATAATAAGTCAAGGAAAGCAATTGTCCATTCAATATACAATTATGTTAAAATATTTATTTTACCCTTCATCAATAACTAAACTACCAATAATTATATCGTATAAATCAAGAACATTTTAGACAAAAATAATAATCCAATCTAATAATCTATTTAAAATAAACATTGCATTATTTTATCTTATTGAAATATAATCCATTAAACTAATATCATGTATTATAACCCTATACTACAGAGCAAACACACCCTCTAAGTTAACATGATATGCATGATCATATACAGCCTTCAGAAACTAACCTATAGACAATCGTATTACTTAACAATTACCTTGGTGGGAAAAAACTTCCAGAACATTGCAAAAGCTTCCACTCCTTCTTTGCCTTACTGAATACCCATACCTCATTCAAAATATTTGTTGGGCCTGCCCTACCTCCAATTACATACATAAAATCTCCAATGACAGAAGATGTATGACCTAGTCGTGGAGATGGAGCTCTTGCAACACAAACTACATCTACAATTCCAGATTCTGTATCAATCAGCAGCAGATCATTTCTACGTGCATGTCTTCCAAAGCCTCCAAAACCACCAAAAACGGCAACCTTCTCTTTGTCGAGCACACATGCAGAATGCCCCCACAAGAACAGTCTCTCAACAGGTTCACCAGTGACCTCAAAAACAGAGAGATCGGCATCATTCACATTCATTGCTCCTGTCAATGATAAAGATTTAAAGTTCCTGTCACATTAACGGAAAGGAGTCCTGCAATCAAATTTATATAAGTTTGTGAGAGTAGTCACACACTGTCAATAGTAAATTAGAACAAGTGTATGTTATATGAAACAGCATCTCCTCAATGCTTGTAAATACTCATTAGCAGCAGCACTTGATAACTGATATACCAATTATCATTAACTAGTAATGATAATGTCCAAAGTACAAAACAATGATAGTTCATTTACTTAAAAACACATCGACCTATTTCAAAATCAAAATGTTTTATACACAGTTCATTTATTTTAAATTTTTCCTTGCTAATAAAAATTTAGATAACTTGATACCTTGAGAGACTCATGAAATTAATAATCTTCTAGACTTGACAGGACCTCAAATGGTTTATAAATTAATTAGCTCTGATACTTATTATTAAAAAAAAAAGAAGGTACTTCTCATCCAAATAAAAGCAAATAGAGATGTCTAAGATTTTATCTTTCACATATCAACAGACATCCAATCATTTGAATCACCTAGCAAGCATGAGCAGTTTAATATATATACTTCAAGGTCAAATTTTTTCACTCTTCTAAGTCACAGCACAAAATCATAGAACCTACTTAAGCAAACATTGCTGTGTGAAAAATCACTTATTTCTACCAGTGAATCAACTTAAAAAAGCAATTCATCAATGTTAATTACCATTATCAGTGTTATGATCGGATTTCCTCTCAAACGCAACCTCCTCTTGGGTGACTTCCTCTCCAGTCTTCACAGAAATCCCCAAATCCTCAAGCTTTGTCGCCTCAGCAAATGGTTCAGTCACACCATTTCTTGTTTCACCGTTCACACAGAACCCATGTCCACAAGCTATCAGTTTATTATAAAAGAGATCGGTTCTCTTCCTGTTAGCCTCCATTTTCTCATTAGCAACATCAACAAGATACTCTATATATTCAGGAGACACCATAAGTTTCTGTGTATCCCCCAAAGGCACTTCCAATCTAATCGAGCAACGTATGGCGATAATAACCCTCTTGCTCACACTTGTAATGCCACTCTCTCTGAAACCACTAGAAATAGCCAGAGAAACCAACGACTGAGCTGCCTCCACGTTCTCACACTCCACCGCAATTATCAATGGCTCAAACCTGAACACAGCGCTCTCCCTCCCTCCATCCACGTCGTCTAATTCCACCTGGTGGGCTGCCTCCGCGTGACGGGGGAAAAGGAGTCTGATAATTGAAGCAGGTTCAACTGGGTCATGGGATACGAAAAGCCAGGAACCACCCCTAGCCTTTTTCCGGGGGGCGGGGCCGGAAGGAGAGGCAATAGGCTGAGACAGAATCGAGATACGACCGGAGCAAGAACTAGTTGTGAAGTAAGAGGGGTGGGAGTTGATGGCGGCTAAGAGAGGGATGATTGGCGCGTCTACGGTGCCTTTGGGGGATTTATCCGGCGTCGGTGAGTTGATAGCGGCGAGTGCGGCGGCCTTCCTCTTTTGAAACTCCATTCTGTCTCTCCCCGGCGGCGATGGGGCAGCCCGCGGGGTTTTAGCGCACAGGGGTTTGGAGAATTTTCCAAATGCCTGATCCTTAATACAGCCCATATTTCTCTTCAAATTTTAGCCCAACCCTAACATAACCATTGAAGCCCATTTCTTCCTGTCATCTCTGCAGAGTCAAGAACCGAGAGGCGCTCGTAAATATGGAGTCTTGAGACTTTCAACATGTTCCAGGGTTTTATATTCGATCGTTGCTTTCTTTCCCTCAATAACCTCCCCAGTTTTTGATGCATTCCCAGTTTCGGTTTTTACGTACAAGTTGGGGTGTGTTAAAGAACTCTGTTGTTTGTTATGCCGTGGCTGCTGTTGAACTAGTTCAGAGATATTGCAATCTTCAGGTTGCTACTGCAGTATGGTTAGACTCGGGAGTGTTCAGTCCGGTTGAATGTAAGCTTTACTCGAACCATACATTCTATCTTTTGGGTTTCAAGCTCAGTTACGTTCTGTCGATAGGTTACTGTCTGCGGAGTTTTGGTTTTCTTTCTTGGAGAAAAAGGAACCCTGTGAATTGGGTTCTATATCTCTATGTTTTTGGGTTTGTTTTTATCAAGTAGAAGCATTTTTGTCAGAGCCCTGCATCTTGGTAAGCAGTTCCCACGCCCTGGTGTTGAAGACATTATCTTTAAGGCTGTCTGTGTTAATATAAGGCAGAAAAAATGGAAGTTCTTGGACCAACTTCATTCAAGTATGACAGATTCTTTGCTTTATCGTGTTTTTCAAGAGTTCCGTGCCTCGCCAGGGATTCTTTTAGAGATTTACAGGAGAATTGGAGGGCAGGAAGCCATTTTGGATTCTTTAGAGTCATGCTGTCTTCTGATTCATGTGATGGTTAGTCAGAGGAACTACGAGGAAGCATTGTTGTTGCTGAAAGAATTGATGACATCCAAAGGTTGTCTGCCATTGGAAGTTTTGGAAGCATTGATTAAAAGCAGCTCCAATGTGTATTCTCCAAGTAGCATCGATGTTTTTGATGCACTGATAAGATCTTGCACTCAAATAGGGGCAACTGAAGCTGCACATGAGGTGCTGAAGAAACTGAGGATGAAAAACTACTCGGCTTCGATTCATGCGTGGAACAATTTTCTCAACCATCTTCTGAAGATCGGCGAGGTTGGTAGGTTTTGGATTGTGTATGGAGACTTAGTATCGTATGGATATTATGAGAATGTGAATACTTTTAATCTGTTAATTTATGCTCTTTGCAAAGAATGTAAATTAGCCGAAGCTTTCTCAATGTTCTACAAAATGTTGAAGATGGGGATTTTTCCTAATGTGGTTGGCTTCAATATGCTTGTAGATGGAGCTTGCAGATCAGATGCCCTCGATTTAGCGGTTACTCTGGTTAGAAAGATGGGAAGTATGTCCGGGGGCTATGTATCCCCAAATGTGATTACTTACAACTGTCTCATAAACGGGTACTGCAAGAATGGGAAGCCGGGGCTTGCAGAAGTAATTCTAGACGAAATGATTGAGATGGGCGTGAAGCCGAATGTAAGGACGTATGCTACGTTGGTTGATGGATATTCAAGAAATGGGTGTGTAGAGGAGGCATTTAGGCTTTGTAATGACATGGTTGAAAGAGGGTTAGTTCCTGATTCGACAGTTTATAACACTCTTATGCACTGGCTGTACATGGAACCGGATATCGGTGGAGCTTCATTACTGTTATCCGATATGATGGAAAATAGCGTGGCTGCAGATCGATTCACTTATGCTATCATTGTCGAAGGATTGTGCAGGAATGGCCGCATAAACGAGGCTCTAAAACTTCACAAGTGGATTGTAGAAAAGAAACTTGTTGAAGATTCTTCCCTACACAATATCTTCATCAAATACCTTTGGAGAAGAAACGATATATCTGGAGCCGAACAGATGCTGTGCAGCATGTTTATTCGTGGATTAGTCCCTGACGAGGTCACCTACGGCACCATGATCTCTGGATGCTGCAAAACGGGCAGAATGAGAAGTGCAATTGAGGTTTACACCGACATGGTTAAGGTGGGGAAGAATCCGAACCTGGTGATCTTCAATTCCTTCTTGGATGGACTATGCAAAGAGGGGTCTGTCGGTTGTTCTGAGTCTTTGGCAGGCGAGATGAAGCGAATTAACATGTACGATGCTATCACCTACAACACTTTGCTGAATGGTTATTGCACTGCTGGGAAGATCGACGAGGCATTTGATCTGTTCATTCGTATGTGTAAAGTAGGTCTATCGAACAAGGTCACATTTAATACCATGATTAACTTCTTCTGCAAAGTTGGATTATTTGAGCAAGCTAAAGAACTTCTGGGAGTCATTCTATCCCGGGGCTTGACCCCGGATTCTATTGCCTACTCTATCCTACTGAGGAACTTGAGTAAGAGGAGCAGTTGTGAGGAAGTTGTCGAGGCGCACGACTACCTGGTAATCCACGGGGTGACACCGGATTGCCCGACATATGAAGCCATTGTTAGTCCAGCTTTAAATGAGGCATTTCCTGAGGAATTTTAGAGTGAATAGTGTAAGAGTGAATAGAGTCATCCTTTCTGATTCATGTAAAGATTGTCTTTTTACAAGAAAATTTTACATTTCAGTTACCATCTGCTCACTGATTGCAATAGACGAATGGATACAGATTACAGACTGCAGATATTTTCAATTGTAGATAATAGAGTCAATATGCTAGAGAAGGCTAATCTTTTTGGCAATATTTGGAAAAGAAGATATTCTGTTTCTATATGCTCTGTCTATATAATCTTAAAGTGGGTCTGTCAAATACTTTCTAACTAGAGATTTTGTATATTGAAGTCAAGTATGCCAGCATATAATCAAAAATACTATAATAAGCCTAGACCAGAGTGTGGATTTAAGATAAATTCATGTAGAACAAAAAACATTTTGGTAATAATTTAAGCTACCATGAATTTCTACGTCCAATTTTCAGCCCCTTTTTAAGCTGAGGGTATGATTTTTCTTGATGTCATTTCCCGACCGCACAGCACTACTAAGTTGAAAATCCTTATCCTAACCTCATCCCATCAGACCCCTCTCCCTCCACCTCCGCCTCACATTTCTCTTCCCTCTCCCAAACCAATAGAATTCAGAATACACTCATTAGAGATAACACAAAACGCAGCAAGAGATACAAGGCATACCTTCATCGTGTCCTCTTCTTCTGCTCCAGATTTCTGCAGAGCTCCTCCAACCAAGCTAGGCAGCACTCCCAGCATGGCTTGCCCCAATCTCACAATGTGGGTGTCCTCAAAAACCGACCCTTCTGCACTCTCCTCTCGCTCCTTCATTGCCCCTTTTCATCTACCAAATCCCAACTCGTCCACTCCTTCAAGATCATCATCCACCTCCACTCAAATTCAGTGCGGTCTCCGCGAACTTCGGGATCGAATTGATTCTGTGAAGAACACCCAGAAGATCACTGAGGCCATGAAGCTTGTTGCTGCTGCTAAGGTGAGGAGAGCACAAGAAGCTGTGGTGAATGCCAGGCCCTTCTCGGAAACTCTTGTGGAAGTTCTCTACAACATCAACGAGCAGCTCCAGACGGATGATATAGATGTCCCTCTCACCAAGGTTAGGCCTGTCAAGAAAGTGGCTCTTGTGGTTGTCACCGGTGATCGTGGCCTGTGTGGCTCATTCAATAACTCCATCATCAAGAAAGCAGAAGCCCGGATTGCAGAACTCAAGACTCTTGGCCTTGATTACACTGTGATCAGCGTTGGCAAAAAGGGGAACAGTTACTTCAACCGCAGGCCTTACATTCCTGTGGATAGATTTCTTGAAGGTAGTGCTCTCCCAACTGCTAAAGAAGCCCAGGCAATTGCAGATGATGTGTTCTCCCTGTTTGTAAGTGAAGAGGTGGATAAGGTTGAGCTGCTCTACACCAAGTTTGTATCTTTGGTCAAGTCTGATCCAATAATTCACACCTTGCTCCCACTGTCTCCCAAGGGAGAAATTTGCGATGTCAATGGTGTCTGTGTTGATGCAGCAGAGGATGAGTTATTTAGGCTAACAACAAAGGAAGGAAGGCTTACAGTGGAGAGAGATGTCGTGAGGACAAAGACTTCTGACTTTTCTTCTATACTGCAATTCGAGCAGGATCCAGTTCAGATTCTTGATGCTCTGTTACCACTCTACTTGAACAGTCAGATCTTGAGATCTTTGCAGGAATCCCTGGCTAGTGAACTTGCTGCTAGGATGAGTGCCATGAGCAATGCTACTGACAATGCTGTGGAATTGAAGAAGACCTTGTCTAGAGTCTACAACAGACAGCGGCAGGCGAAGATCACCGGCGAAATTTTGGAGATTGTTGCTGGAGCCAATGCATTGGTCTAAGCATGGGGGCTGGTTTCTCGTCTCCCTGTAATGGTGCTGCTTCTGCGTAGATCCTTTTGTGGGCATTCTCTTTTGCATATTGATCATGCTTGTAAGAACAGTGATTCGGCATAGATACCACTTGAATTGTGATTCTCAACTGCACACAAATATAGTGAGGGATGAGGACCACCATTTTATCCTGTACGATAAAACTTACCCAAACCCAACTTGAATATGTATGTCAAATTTTCTATATTGTTTCATAGCATGACATGACCATCCACTTCTTTGATTTCAGCCCTGCAGTAAGTATGAATATGAGATTCATTTTCTATGTTTCTTGATACCATTTGTATGGAATAGTAAACTGAAGTTTGCATTATGTGAAACTCTGATGCCATTCTCAATGCAAACCATACAGATACTAAAGAATTACAATGCATAGAGCCGCTAAACGGAGACTGTGTATCAGTTTTTGTTTTAAAAAGCAGTGCCACAAATTTCATTCTATTGCATCCAGAAAAGGAGTTAACAATCTGCTATCACTCAGTTGCATCGAAAGTCCGACACTAAATTGAACTTGTAAAATTAGAGAAACAATAACCACATAGCTAGATCAGCATAATACAAGACTATGTGGTCAGTGGAAATTACCTAAGATAGACCAGAACATAAATAAGAAAATCTAATGAACTATATCAGCTAATCTACAAGATGTAGGCACCAGCATTGATTATATTAACTACCTGCATTAAAAAGTACGAAGGCAAAGGCTTCCAGGTATCCCATGTAGAAAAAATGACCCAGCGTCCATATCCATCATGCCACAAATCTGCAGGATGATACGCACATATAAACTTCTTTGCTTTTTTTGTCAATGATAAGCTCTGCAACTTCAAATCCAACTAATGAATTGATGAGAACAGAATACAGAGACTCACAGACTCAACCAAATCATGATCAACTGAATATTGTACATGAAAGAGCAAAACAAGTAGGAGATAGATACACATTATTAGAAAATACACAAATGAACAGACAGCAGAATTTGCAGAAGATGAATCGTTCAACATCATCGGAAGAGCACTATTGGCCATTTTAGAGTTAGATCAGCTTGCGACAATACAACTTGACCAGAAATTTTTCAAGCGGAAGCTAACTAAAACTTCAAAGCCAATATCTGATATAACCCGAAGCAAGCCCAAACACTAAACATTAATCAGATAATCACACCCCAATAACTGAGAAAAAACACAAACAAATAAAGGAAAAGCATTCAGCAGCAAGCTCTAGGAGGCTGAAAATTGGTCATATATCAACGGTTATGAACAAAGCATCTTCCCACTCCAGATAAGGAAGTAGGAATTCAAGACGTCTCATTAATCAATCATCCCCCAATTTCAAATCAGGTATAGCAACTTGATAACTAATTAAAACAAAAAGGGAACACCAGATTCACGCAGGAACTGAAAGGATCGAATAATAGATAACAGATCTTTCATATTATTATTCATCTGCGATTATTCTACACTTCTGTGTATCAATTACAACAAAGTCCGCCTAAGAATTCAGAACTAAGAACATCCATCCTAAAAACAATAAAAAATAAAAAAAAAAGATCTTTTCACGGGCTTTTAAATCCGGGCAATCGGCCACCAACTCGCACAAATCAAAGCTTAAGTCTGAGTCTCAGAGAAAAGCGGCGTAACAGCAACGAGTTTCTTCCTCTGAAGGCACCTGGGGTATCTCTTCGCCCTCCCCCTCACATTGAAACACGGAAGCCCATCCATGTCCAACCCCACCTCGGAACGAGGCTGTGAAGCCTCCGAACCTGAAGTGAAATCAAACTGGCACAGCGCGAGCAGGGTCTGAGCACTGATTTCCTTGGATCTGGCGGTGATCTTCGAGTACCTAATCTGCGCAAGGGCACCGGGCTTAAGGTAAGTGTAAAACGACGGCGAAGATGGTGGCGATTTGGGTGCCGCACTCTTTACACTGGACTTCATTGCGAGGGAAAAGAAAAGAGGCTGCAGCAGGCAGGGAAACCCTAACAAGGAGTGATGATTGAGGAATGTGGAGAAAGCGGGAGGAGGTAGGGTTTTAAATAAGCAATGCAGAGGCGGGAAAACGAAGATGGCGGTCCACTCTAGATTGAACCGCCGTCGATTTTCAAACCGCTTCGTCCGTTTTTTTAGGGATACGGTGCAAGTGGTAGAACACAACTGTTAGTATATATGGATACGGACACGGTGAAACTCAATGCAATGTCTTAGGGCAAAATTAAAAATAAAAATTATTATCGATAAATAATAGTATTAAATTTTTTAAAATTTTATATATAAATAGTATATTAATTTGTTTAAATTAGTCATATATATATTAATTTAATATCCCGCAAACTATGTTCCACAATATTAGATAGGTTGAAAATATAAAAAATTTAAACTCATAATTATATAGTCATAAGTCAGTCTTCACTCCATCAGGCATATATTAAACATTTAGAAATGAAAAAAAAAAAAATTCACTTTCTATTTTTATATTACTTAAATAATTTTTTATATTTTACATTTAAAAAAAAAAAAAAACTAAAACACAAAATAAACACACTGAATTTTCAAAATTCTAAATTATAAGTATACTAAAATAGATGGATTGCTTAGTAATTAATTATTACTACTTGAAATATGTAAGATTGCCATTTTTTTTTTTTATCCGTTGAGCATAACGTACCATAATTGCATTCAATTAACATGATTTACCCTTCTTATAAATAAAATTTTGTTTCTATATATAAATAGCAAATTTATAACATAAAAGGTATAACATTTAATAAAAATAGCAGCAAAGATTTTGTCTGTTTGTAATTTTAAATTGAAATAACACTATTTATTATTTACATATATTATTTTTTCATAAAATATTAAATTAAAATATTATTTAAAAAAAAAAATCAATTAGACCAGAAATTTTATTTTATTTTTTTTATTTTTTTCTTCGCTTGCTCTTTGCCTCTTTATAACTAAATCAAAGCATTCTAAATATAGGACAATAATTCACATAATATGCGACATAATTAATATCATCATATATATATATATATATTAATTTTAACACAATACAATATATGTTATTCATTTCATTCGTTAAATTTATTTTTATTTTTTATATATTACTATATTTCAAAAAGCTAAAAAGGAATCAATATTAAATTAAATTCAATATTTATTTGCTATAAATATGTCCGACTTTATTACATTCTATCTTCTTCTTTTTTTCTCTAATTATTAGTTAAATTTTTAAAAATATTCTCAAACTATCTTTATTTTAATTTTTTTGCTTTTGAATAAAATATTTATTTTTTTAATTATTGTATTCCAAATGGGCTAAATACGAAGGATGGACGAAATATAAAATATATCGACAACATACCAACAACATACCATTATTATTTTAGTTATCTCAATCAACACTCTTAACAATCCCAATAGAAAAATTATTTTGTACTCCATCCGTTCTAAACACTCTTGCAATTTTTATTATTTTTTCTTCACATCACTCAAATAAATATAACTTTTTTTTTTCTTATCACAATGTCACTTCATTCCCAAATTATCATATTTGATACTATCCATCTAAATTTTTGTGCCGGAAACAAATGTTACACTATGAGGGTGCTTAGAAAACAACGTTTTGAAGAACTTTTAGCTGTTTGACCAGTAAAAAAAACTAATTTGGTAAATTAGCTTTTTGAAAGAGCTTTTTGGACCCAAAAAACTAATTTCTGAAACGTTTTAATTTTGATTATTCCTTATTTACCCTTAAAACTTAATTAAGTATTTTATACATATAAATATATTTTTATAGTAGTATTTATTAATTTTTTTTAATATATTTAATTTATTAAATTATATTTTTATTTTTGTATATTTAAAATAATAATTATTATTAATTATTACATATAAATTATTTTATTTGTAAAATATATATAAATTTATAAAACTAAATCAAATAGAAAAAACAAATGTTATTAATTTATTTATATATATTAAAACAATGATTAACATAATAAAAAAAATATATACGAAATATTTATTATTTTATATTTTATATAATTTTAATAAAAAATTATTATTATTTAGTAAAAATAATTTTATCAAATCTAAATAATAAAAATAAAAATATATATTTTATAATATTTTTTATAATTTTCAATAATTAATAACAAAAAATTCTCATAAATTTTAAACTAAAATGAACAAAATTAAATATTTTAAAAAATAACATATCAATGTCTCTAATAGTCATTTTATGTATAATCAGCTAATGTTAAACAGTTATTTTATCAAACACTTTAATACGAACCGCTAATTGAATCAGCTAATCACTAACAGTTAATTGAATCAGCTAATTGCCAAACGCACCCATTTGTAACGAAGAAGTACATGTTTAGTCCATATATATATTATTCTTTTATTAAAATTAACATTCAATATAAAATATTATTTTTATATTACTTTAAAAAATCACCCACTCTATAGCTTTACAACATTAGCTTATCTGGTGTAATTTTTTTTACTAGCGCACAAATTATTACGTTGGATTGAATATTTAGTTAGCAAGTACTTTGAATAGTAACAATTATGAATTCTAATGTTATTGAAAAATAGATTGCTATTAGCTATAAAATTGGTATAAGTTAGGAAGATTAATAATAATATCATTTTACAAATAAAATACTACAACAATTTTGTTACCATTTCATATATTATTATAATAATACTTTCATTTTATATATAAAAATACTAAATATTTCAGAGGTACAATTATGATTCATCTAATATAAAATTATCTCATATATATATATATTTTATGATGCGAGAATCTGCAATCGCTGCTCAAAAGTGCGCACTAGGTAAATTCCCGACCGAACCTAATATATTGGATGCATGAATGATTGTTTTATAGTTTTTTTAAAAAAAAATTATAAATATAAATATATTTTTAACCTTACATGTTTTTTAAAATTATTTTTGTTATTTAAATAAATCAAATTTGTATAGAATTAGAATTATATATAACCTATATATGAACATTGAAAAAATCATTTGATATCAATACATTATAATTCTGTTAATGTTAATATGATGACATTAATACCCACACAATAGCAAAATATAAATTTCTATCATGAAATATTGACATTGATTTAATTTTTTAATTGACTAAATATTTGAATACTATATAAAATTAAATTCACTTATAATTTGATATTGAAAATGGTCACAAAAAACATTTCACATGAATAAGAATGATATTTTCATTAATTAAAAATTAGATATAAAATTATACTCCATCTGTTCCACTTACCATGTCCGAATGATTATGCATTTTAATTTTTTAAATTTTAATTAAACTAATTAACTATCTCTAATTTTAATGTATAATAATTTATATTATGAATTAATTATTTTATTAATATATTATTAATTATCTATTAATTATACTTGTCATAAATTCTTATGTCTACCGCAATCAAGACTTTCAATTCCAATGTAGAACAGAGAGTAGTATTTAGTAACGTAGCCAAAATATTTAATTGTGAAGGCACCAAAAGAATTTGTTGAGTTGAAAAATAATTTTTTTTTTTTTTTTTTTTTATCATTTTGTATAAAATTATAGTAAAACAATATATTTTAGCATATTCAATCAAAATAAAAATATAAAATTGATAAAAATTATTCGAGTTAGATAGAACAAACATTCCATGTAATTAATGTTATTTCGAATGAAACTGAAAAATATACTTATTATATTCATTAATAAAGTACTACTCCATTCGTCCTAAATACTATGTGCACGTTGCCGTTTCTGTCCGTTCCACATACTATGTTATTTTCCTTTTTTGAAAAATGATGATACACTTTAATATCATTTTAAATTTTTAAATTTTATTTTTTTAAATTTTAATTAAACTAATTAGTTATCTTAATCTTAATTTATAATTATTTATATTATAGAATAATTATTTTCACTAATATATTCTTAATTATCTATTAATTACACTCCTTTAAAATACCGTATCTATATTATAATAGACACGTATCTGAAAAAGGGAGTATTATATTTAAAATAATAATATATTTAATAATGATATAAAGCAATCTTTTTATCCGAGGATTGAACAGTTTTCCGATGCAGCGGTGCCCAGCCCAGCCCCATGACGCAAAGGGAAACCACAGCTGCACCTTTACGCCCTCCTCCACTATTCTTCCTCCACGTGTCATATCATCAATACATCCTCCTTATCCCTCAATTAAAATATAAATATAAAAAATCTTTTTGCCAAACTGGCGCCTAAACAGTAATCACTGCCTTTTATATCCGGTCAACACAAGGTCAAGACAATCTCAGCCGTTGGTTCCTACTGTCTTACAATCAACGCATATTCTAGAACAAATAATATTAAAATAAATAGATATATAAAATAATAATATCATCGAACTTCCTTCCCTGCTGATACAAACCCATCAGCAAACCAAAGAGAATTCGCCATTTTTCTGTGCTCTCCGTTGGCGGTAGCAACGGCGAGCTTGCGGCTACGAACGACGGGTATGATTGGCGGTTACGACGATGGGGTATGAAATCTCATTTCGGTATTGCTAATTAGTCCAAGAGGTGGAGAGAGTGAGGCAGAGAGAAGGAAAGATAAGAGAGTTTGTGTATGCGTGATTGCTGCATCTTCTAGAGAATCTCCCATTCCATTGCATTTTGCGATTTGTTCGACGTTCTAAGAGTATGGAAGTTCGTTTGCCACTGGAAAGGCCTATCGGTAACCGAACGGTGTTAAGCCAGTACAAGATCAAGCCATTTCTTGGATTCCTGCCCCTCCAAGTAACGCCTTACTCGATATTAGTTTGTACTGTTATGTGTTTGTGGCTTTGTTACTGTTTAAGTTAATCGAATAGTTAATTTTCGAGGTTGAGGCAATCAAATGTTCAGGAACGGTTGCCGCGATACATATAATAGAAACGCCAAGAGTAGTGTTGTTCTTTTTTTGTTTCCTGAAGTGTACTTGTCTGTAGTCTGAAGTGTGTAATTTGTTTCTTCAAGATTTTCTGATCTGTATATCTTTTGGTGCTTGATATTCACCAAGCAACTAAGATTCGTCAGCGAATAAGCGGCGAAGTGTTTTTTAGTTTTTCTGGAATCGATTTTGTTTTTGGTTGAATTGCTGAATCTATTGACTTCAGAATTGTAGCTGATCTTAGCTCAGACCGTTGAGTTTATTCTTTTGGTGATTTCTGAGATATCCAACGAAGGAGCATTTGGATATTTCTACTTATTGTCTTATATTATTTTATTTCAAATTGTCATTGCAGTCTTTCAAATGGAGCGGAAATGAAATGGTAGCAAAGGCTACACATGGAATTACTGCAAGTTCAGGTCGGCATCTTTGATGGTTTAGCCATAATTTGTATATTGCACAAATCAAGACTCCATTGTCATTTGTTGTATATCTATGTCCCTTATAGACTTTTCAAAAAGAAGGCAGAGGAAAGTTTCCAATCCACGGTCAAGAGATTCATCGCCAAAAGGTTTTACCCCAAAAACACAAATCCCAACAAACATCCCGAAGAAGTATCAGAAGAGCAATGATGAAGATGATGTTTCAGGTTCTTCATCACGCAAGAAGTTTGAGGAGCCTAATGCTAAAACACCTGAATTAATATTCGTAGGTGATGATGAAGAGAATCTAGAAATGGAGGTAGGTGATAGCATTAATGCTCAAAGTACTGATATTGGCTTAGTGGTTGCATCAATTAAAGAATCACATTTACATGATACAATTAGTTAAGTTGAAGAAAAATGAAGGAATTTCTGAAATTGGGTCAATTAAATCAAATAAAGCAGGCAGAATTGTCATGAGCAGTTCAATATTGATGCAGGTGGAACATAACTAGGAATACGTTATTGGTACTTTCTGATAATAATAGTATCAGATGGATTGAATCATTGAATTGATTGTTTGCAGGAAAATTTAGCAGCAACCCAAGAGGCTGATGGTTCTGAGTATGAAAAATTTATTGAAGAAAAACATGTATATGAAGGTCAGCTGCATAAGAATGTGGCTAAAGACAAGTTCAAAGAAGCACCTGTGACCTTGAAAGTGGGAACAGAAATGTCAGGTGAAACAGATTCAAGGTCAGCAGAGATCGGAAAACTTTCAAAAAATGCAGAACATGTCAAGAGTATAGAGACCACTGATGATACACAAGAAAAATTGTATTTGCAGTCTGTAGCAGTTGATAATCATCCCACTACAATTGAAAAGGATAAATCAAGTGGTGAACTTTTCAAAAAGCTAGAATTGGATAGGAAAAAAAAATTATGGAAAGAAGCATTTCAGAGGCTGGCTGATAATAATTTCACTAGAGGGAACCGATTATTTCACCACCCACAGCTGGTAAAACCTGATCAAGATGTAGAGATTTTTTTTAACAGAAGTATCTCCAGGTTGAAGGATGAGCCCGAAGTTTTCATCATGGGAGCTTTTAATGGCTGGAGATGGAAATCTTTCACATTTAAGATGAGCAAGAGCCATCTTAAAGGTGATTGGTGGTCTTGCCTAGTCCATGTTCCTAAGGAAGCTTATAAGATTGATTTTGTTTTTCATAATGGGGAATACATCTACGACAACAATAATGAGCAAGATTTCTGCATTAGAGTGGAGGGTGGGATTGATGAATTCGAATTTGAAAATTTCTTGCTAGAAGAAAAACGCAGGGAGCAAGAGGAACTTGCTCGTAAGAAAGCTGAAATGGAAAGACAAGAAGAGAAAAAAATGCGTCTAGAAGCAGAAAGGATTGCAAGTGAGGCTGATAGAGCTCAGGCAAGGACCGAAGTTGCAAAGAGAAAGGGAGAGCTGCAACAAATGTTGAAGAGTGCCATGACATCGATGGATGATGTCTGGTACATGGAGCCGCCTTTATATGGAAGCAATGACATAGTCAAGCTTTACTACAACAAAAGTTCGGGACCACTTAAACATGCTGATAACATATGGATTCATGGAGGACATAATGGTTGGAAGGATGGGTTATCAATAGTTTCAAAGCTCATCAAACCTGAGAGAAAAGCTGGAGATTGGTGGTTTGCTGAAGGTATGCACGTTTATGAAACATCTCAGTGTATGCCAATGCATTTGGCTTGTTTTGATATCCACATTTCTTAATACGCATTGTCATTGATGACTTAGGCCTGATGATATTATGGTATTGATGTATTCTCTACTGACTTTTTGACTCTTATTGCAATGCATTGAACTATAGTTTTCTCAACTAAATGTTAACATCTTTGCATATGTTTCTGTGAAATAATTTCTTACTGTCAGTACTTTGGATTTTATTAGTTGTGTTGTCTTCAATCTCTTTCTAGTTTTATCAGGGCAAAATTTATCCTGCAGTTGTTGTACCTGACAAGGCCTTTGTGTTGGACTGGGTATTTGCTGATGATCTACCTAGCCGGGCAAAAGTTTATGACAACAACAATGAACAAGATTTTCATGGTATTGTCCCAATGTCCCTTCCTGATGACCGATATTGGTTTGTACAAGAGGAAGAAATATATGAGAGACTGCAGGCGGAAAGGCAGCTGAGAGAAGAAGCATTACGAGCTAAGGTGAGTTTTCTGGAAGCCCATATGGAATGGACTGGGCAATGCACCATATGCATGTGGTGTTATACAGTCTAAATGCCTTTCTAATTGTTCATCAAATTCAGATATTTCTATTCGAGCATTTCCCCCTATGAGTAATTTTTTTTTTTCCCTCCATGTACAGGCTGAAAAAACTGCTCGCCTTAAGGCAGAAACAAAGGAAAAAACTTTGAAAACGTTTCTGTTGTCTCAAAAGCATATTGTTTATACGGATCCACTTGATGTCCAAGCTGGAAGCACAGCCACCTTATACTACAATCCTGCTAACACTGTTCTAAGAGGAAAACCAGAAGTTTGGTTGAGATGCTCATTCAATCGCTGGACTCATCGTTTTGGTCCATTGCCACCTCAAAAAATGGTCCCTGCTGAAAATGGTTCTCATCTTAAAGCCACTGGTATGGTTGCTTCCAGTAGAATATTTATTACATTCACATTGTTTTTTTACATAATCTCAGCAAAGAAATGCAAATATAAATAACAAAGGATTACTTATAACAATGCTTTCAGTTACTGAAATTTTGGTGGTTAGTTTTTCATTCTCTTCTTTGGAAAATTACAATTTCATGTCATAAAAGATAGGATAAGTTGCAATCTGAGAATGTAGGAGCTCCTGATAGAAAGAAAGACACTGAAATATAAGCGACCTAAACACATAGGGACAGGCTGAATGTAGGAGCTGAGTATACTGTATAGGGAGTAGAGCTATGGAGTCAACCAGATATGCCGAAAATTACAGCCAGACTGACAAGTCTGCGAATCCTCTAGCTCCAAATTTGGTGAAGGATTCTGCAAACCTTTTTTTATTTTTTACTTTATCTTTTTTTAACTCTGCAAAGTTATTTGTAGAGGGAGAGATGTTATGAAAAGTGTTGCTAGGACATTTAGAAATGTAGAGTAAGAGCTTGTTGATGTTCAAGTTCAATTTCCAAGGAGCGCAGCGTCGAAAATCCAACCGAGTGCTTGTTGTCCCATGACAATTGACTTAAATTTCCATAGAACAACCCACTCAAGGACATATGGCAAGGCCAGCTTTTTCATTTGAGTCTGCCATTTGCATGTGTAATAAACTGAAGAATTCAGTCCCGTGTCTCCCATTTATGTCTCTTCTTGAGTTTCTGTTAGAAGCCCTTAATCCTGTACTGATGTAACTTGTTCTAATCCTTTTCTTCCCTCCACCTCCTTCATTGGCAGTCAAAGTTCCGTTGGATGCATATATGATGGACTTTGTGTTTTCTGAAAAAGAAAACGGGGGAGTTTTTGACAACAAGAATGGTATGGACTACCATATACCTGTGTTTGGAGGAGTAGTGAAGGAGCCTCCCATGCATATTGTACACATAGCAGTTGAAATGGCACCCATTGCAAAGGTGATCACCCACAAGTTGATAAATATCTAGTAGACATATTATTCTGTTTGATTCTCCAGTGCCTAACACCTCCTCACTCAAATTTGTGACAAATATGTAGTAATATCTTATTTTGTTGCCACTGTTTCCGTGTATATGCGTTCAATGTTATTCATAATTTACCTCTTCAATTGTAGGCACCTTGTAGTATTTATTATTATTAAACTTTTGTGATTGTTCCTCTTCAGAAAAAGTCTTGTATTACTCCAATTTATTTAGCAAAACAGCATAATTGCAGGAATGGGTGTTATTAAATCTGTGTTTGGTCTTGGAGGATTGATTCTTTTTTTTTTTCATGAGCTGCTGGCTTTACATGTATTTATTGATTCTCTATTGATGCAGGTGGGAGGTCTTGGTGATGTTGTCACTAGTCTTTCCAGAGCTGTTCAGGACATGAGCCACAATGTGGATATTATCCTTCCAAAATATGATTGCTTGAATCTTAGCAATGTGAGTTTAATGTATATTTTTCTTTGATATTTCCTTATATTTCTTGTATTTTAATGGAATTTGAGTGGTGTTTTGTATCTAGAAAAAGATTGAGCTTGCATGCTTTAAGGGCATCCTACACTACAATAGGGAGAAGTAGACTTTTTACAAATTAGAATTGAAAGGCCTCAAACCAGTGCTATGAAGAACCATAGGCTGTGTTTACATGAAAATTATTGTTATATCAATTTATTATTATTACTACTAATTTCACATGTTATGGATTAGGTGAAGAATTTGCATTTATATAAGAGCTATATGTGGGGTGGAACTGAAATTAAAGTTTGGGTTGGAAAGGTGGAAGGCCTCTCTGTGTATTTCTTGGAGCCTCAGAATGGGTAACTTCTTATGCTGCCTTTATTTTCATTCCATATAGTTTGTCTCTCTTTTTCTGAACCTGTTCTTGTTCACATTATTTTAATGTTAGCAGCTTATGATATCTGATTTTTATTTTCTACTTGCATTGCACATTATCTTTGTTGATCATTCAAAGTATTTCTATCACACATTCAAGCTCTCTCTTATGAGTTGTTTATATGTCGAATATTCAGATTATTTTGGGTCGGCTGCATTTATGGACGCCATAATGATGGAGAGAGATTTGGTTTCTTTTGCCATGCAGCTCTTGAGTTTCTTCGGCAGAGTGGCTTCCACCCCGTAAGTATCATCTCTCACATAAGCATCAAGTTGAATCTATTCACTCATAATGATATGCAAGCAACTTCTATATCTAAATTCTTGATAGTATTGATGTTCTAAATCCAAATATTTTACGATGATAAAACAAAATAAATTGAAAGGAAAAAAAAAAAAAGAATTTCCTGATGTCCTGCATGGATATTCTCTTTATCTCAAGCCCAAAGACTGGTTCCAGAAACTACTAATCCATAAATAGCAAAGGTTAACCCTAAACATTTATCTAAAAAACTCTTCTTCCTAGCAATCCCACCCTCTTTAAGAGATTGAAAGATTTATCAAGAGGAGGCAGTGACAGACAGTTTGAGCAAGCGAGGTGGTAGTGGTGGTTAGACTCCCATTCAGGAGTGGTGACTGGCTACGATTCTTCATGGTAGCTCTTCTGTTTTGAGTTACTGGAGGGGGAGGGGTGGGGGGATCCCGCAGGTTGGCCACTGTCACAAAGCGGTATAATTTATTATGAAAAGGCAACAAAATGAATGAAATATAGGAATTAATTTCTGTTCTACAATGTTATTATTTCTGCCTTAACCAAAAACTCAATTCCTAAAACTCTTTAATCAATAACTTCAACAGTAACCCTGAATACTTATAGCAAACCTAGTTGCCCTAACGGGCCCTAACCATGATGAACATTACCCTAATACTATTCGTCGTAACAAACGACAAGGCATATTGGAGTGATAGTTGTATAATGGCTTTTTCTTTTTTTTTTTTAACCTATAAGGTGTCCAAATTTGATCCCTAATGTTATTTACTTGTCTGTCCAACTTGTGTATCACCTTCGATGTCGTTATATGCACCTGAAATTGCTTGAGGTTAAAGAACTGAATAAATTGTGTAATGGAGATGCCTAAGGCTATTCATTTTGTCTCACATATTATTCTTCTTAACCATTCAAGTGTTTGGTTTTTCAGGATATAATTCATTGTCATGATTGGTCTAGTGCTCCTGTGGCGTGGTTGTTCAAAGAACAATACATGCATTATGGCCTTGAAAAAGCCCGTGTTGTATTCACCATACACAACCTTGAATTTGGAGCACACCTGATTGGGAAAGCTATGGCATTCTCAGACAAAGCTACGACTGTAAGTACTGCCTGAAGTGCTACCGTCCACAAACACTTGGCTTCATTGGTTTTTTTCAATTATTAGGAACCTTAAGAGTATAATTTCCTTTCTCAACATTACAGTATATTATTCTTGCAGGTCTCCCCAACTTACTCTAAGGAAGTTTCTAGCAATCCTGTAATAGCATCTCATCTTCACAAGTTTCATGGGATCCTAAATGGAATTGATCCAGATATATGGGATCCTTTAAATGACAAATTCATTCCAGTAAGTAAAATACACTTCACATTCATGAACATTTTTTGTACTTTATATCTTTATTTTTCCTGCGTGTCTTGTTGTTGTTTAGAACCATTATTTACCTTATTGCTACTTTTGCTTTACTAACCTCTTATGCTGTTCTCATGAATGAGTTTGGAGAGATGGTTGTTGTTTGATGGTTTTAATTATTGATTACCAGATAGATTCATGGGTCGAATCTGATTTTGCATGTTTGAATCTGATTCCCTTTTCATGCAAATTTCATGTACTTGACAGGTATGTTATACATCAGAAAATGTTGTTGAAGGCAAAAGAGCTGCCAAGGAAGCTTTGCAGCAAAGACTTGGGCTGGAAAAGGCTGATCGGCCCTTGGTAGGAATAATCACTCGCTTGACTCACCAGAAAGGAATCCGCCTTATTAAACATGCCATCTGGCGGACACTTGATCGCAATGGACAAGTTTGTCTAATTCTCTACTTATTCCACTTCATTAAACATTATACGGTTTCTTTTCAGTCTTCTGAGTGATGGGATTTATCTGGAACAGTGTAGGAAAGCCTATACTGTTGCACTCATCTTTTTGTTAGTTGATACTTAATGGTCAATAAGATGCAAGTTTATTAAATGTACAAAAGAAAGGTGGATTTTGACAAATCCTAAATCAATTTTTTCTCTGGAAGGAGTTGAGTATCTAATTGTTATGTTTGTTTCTAACAATAGGAAATGAGAGTATATTAGTTATGTTTAAAGTTTATATTACTGTCAAATGTCTTTGATTATCCTTCCATAAACAAACTAGCAATTAACATTCTTGACTATGGTGATGATATTCTCATAGGTTGTTCTGTTGGGCTCTGCTCCTGATCCACGAATCCAGAATGATTTTGTGAATTTGGCAAATCAATTGCATTCTACGCATAATGGCCGCGCACGTTTATGTCTGACATATGATGAGCCTCTCTCACACTTGGTATGAAACTGAGATTTAATTTTGTTGGAGGGTTAGTTTGAATCTTTGCAACTATATTTGTCACAATTCTTTGCAGATATATGCTGGTGCAGATTTCATTCTGGTCCCTTCAATATTTGAACCATGTGGACTAACCCAACTTACCGCAATGAGATATGGTTCAATTCCTGTCGTTCGTAAAACTGGAGGTAAGAACATTTTTTGTTTTCTCAGTTGCATCATGAGCTTTGATGCAAAGAAACTCAATAGGAAATAAAACTTATGGTGTGATGTACATATTTTCACACTTAGCAACTGTATTTCATGCAGCCTTAGTATAGCAGATTTTATTATACATTATGCTAACCTTTTATGGTTCAGGGCTCTTTGATACTGTTTTTGATGTTGATGATGACAAAGAAAGAGCAAAAGTTCATGGTCTTGAGCCAAACGGGTTTAACTTTGATGGAGCAGACGAGGCTGGTGTTGACTATGCTCTTAATAGGTAATAAAACTGTTGTTATCTGTTGCTAGACTTTCCTGTGATGGCTTCTGAAATCACATGTTCGTAGTTCTTTACAATGTCAATTACATTAATCTAATAGTGAGGTTTGTAATTATTACATTATCTGCTGCTCAGTAATAACTTAATTATCTACCCTTATTAGAGCAATCTCTGCTTGGTATGATGGAAGAGAATGGTTCAACTCTTTGTGCAAGCGCGTTATGGAGCAAGATTGGTCTTGGAACAGGCCAGCTCTCGATTACTTGGAGCTCTACCACGCTGCTCGCAAGTGAGATATAAGTTAGCAGAGGCTTCTGTACAGGTCAATTGTTTTATTTTAAAGCAAATCTAACTGTACATGTACATCGGTTGTTCAAATGATTTTGACATGGGGTAACATAAATTTCACTGTTTACACAATAAGCAACAGTGCAAACAACACGATAAATGTTTTCTTTTTGCCCCGGTGGGATGAACTTGATTATTGCCTCTTCTTCCATTACATCAACTGCATGCCAGACATCATTCTTTGCTCGTGTATGTTAAAGTTACCAAATATTGGATATAATGTGCTGATTCTTGCCCCATTTTTATGTCCTTTCTTGGACACCACTTGCTAGTATATGCCAAGGTTTGTGTCTGCACAGAGTAGGGTGAGATAGACTCATACACATATTAGATATGATAATATTGAATGTAAAAGTGAGACCAGATTTCTACATTCTGCCTTCCCTATATCTTGCACACATAAATGATTTTTATCCCAAGACTTTAATTTTGAAGCCATTTCTTCATGTCTAATTTGTGGTCCTCAATTTTACATGATGCAATTTGTTTGTTGTTGGGCCCTGGAGAGAGCAGCAGCTTGTGCAAGTGTTGTATTGTTTACTTGCTTTTTTAAAGGCCAACATAAAATGAAGGGCCCTTTTTGCTTATCTTGTTAGTTTGCCTTTTCGGTATTGTGATAGTCACTTGTTAGCAATTTGTTTAGGCAATATTTAAAAAATCACATCAAATAATAATATGTATGGTTGTTTTTATTTATTTAAGACAGCGCGGGGTTTGAACTTGAACCCATGACCTCATGGTCGCAAGTCCAACCCTTACACCAGACTATTCTTACAAGACAGATATGACTCAAGACTTACTTTTGTTAAATTGTTTGTGGGCTCCAATGATGTGCCATTTTACTTTCTTTTATATGATTATACTAGAAATAGTGCCAAGTCCTTCATTAATAAGGAGGCTTAGGTACAATTGGATCCAAACTCTTTTAACTTTTTTTTTTTTTTTTTTTTTTCACATTTATTAAATATTTATTTATATTTATATTACATCAAACATAAACATCTATTTAATTTAATTTTGTATTATTTTTTATATAGTATCCAAACACATTTAATGAATATTCCCAACTAGGGATATTGACTAATCAAGTTGAGCCCAATTAGCACGGTTGCTCGGGTTCGACCAGCTAATAAATTTTTAAACTTGAACTTAAGTTCAAGTTCAAATAATAAGTTAAACTTAATTTGAACTTGAGCTCGATTTTGAATAAGTATCTATCATAACTTAAATAATCAAATTTTCTCTTTTTTCTTCAAACTATTTGATACTTAATTCAAACTTGAGTTTTTTGTGTTCAATGTGAGTACATTAGTATTCATAACTTGCTTCAATATTACATTCAAACTATTTATGCTTACTTCAAATTGAATTTTTTGAATTCAATCAATGCTAATGGTCGCAGAATCAGCATTTGAGAAAAAAAAAAAAAAAGGGTTAATTTTTTGAAGTTACAAATAATATAATTTATTATATATATATAAAAGAATATGTCTATTTGTTTTCCAATAATTTTATTCTTCTTGTTGTCATGTTTTGGAATAATTGCAAAATAAAAAGCTAAACCAACATCATTACCCTATATATTGGTAAATATTTATCTTTGTATATTTCGAAATTGATAAATAAATTTATCATTAAAAAGATTCTTACATAAAAGGTTTTTAATATATATTTTTTTCATTTCAATTATTATTTTTATTCTAGATATACACATGTTTTAAAAAATAAATATAAAAGAAATGATCAAATAAAATGGGTGAAGGGGCGCGTTGCCCCCGTCTAGGTCCACCTCTACATCCGAACACACCTACATCAGTCTAAACCTTATTTTTATGCTGTTCTTAGCTATATTTTCAATACTATGTTTTTAATGTTCATTATTTTTTATTTTTATTTTTATCTTATTTTTTATTTATTTTTTACATTCAATACTTAAGTTTTATTAAAATAATATATATATTTTGTTCAAAGTATTACATTCATTTACCTTACATCAAATAATTATTATTTGTTATTTTGTGTTTTTAAGTTTAATATTTTTGTTGAACACTCCTATTTGCGGATATATAAATTAATGATTACGTTTTCTTAATCGTTCGAATTGGTGAGTCGGTTATTCTACATCCGACATGGTATCAAACTCTAGCACTTCCAGATCTTGTCTGTCATGGTTCACACAGTGTGATTTGTCTTGTCAAACAATTTTTAGCAAAAACTTCTTACACTAATTTATGTTCAGCTTTACATGTTTATTTAAAAATATTTCAAATTCATTTATTTATTCGATTTATCTAAAAAAAATTCTTTAATTAACTCATTTATATATTTGCCACAATATTCTTACTTTGTATCACAATTAATCGAGAATATAATATTATGCTCTCTTCATTTACAAAAATTATGCAATTTGGTTGGATACAAAGACCACTACAAGTTAGTTATCAAATTATTCAAGTATATATTAATAATAAAATTAGTCTGGTAAAGAATGATTTGGTGGTGTAGGGTGGATCTTGTGACCGTGGTACTTGTCTAGTCGGTCCTAATTTGCCAGTAACTAAATATATGTATATATATATATATATACATATGTATATTTATTAAATACCATATCAAATATTATTTAAAAAAAAAGCCCAAATAAAGACCTAAACCTCAAGCAAAAAGCAAAACAAACCCACTATTTTCGTACCTGGGATCAATTTACAATTACAAATATCACTTGAAGAAATTTTCACATAAAATATTAGTGAAGAACACACTATTCTTTCTTTATCCTCATACAGGGAGACTGATCTGAACTCAATATTAAGTATACAAAAATTGCAAAAGCTTCACCAATGATTAGTCTAACTATTTCTTCTTCCACATGTAATTTCCTATGTAACAAAATAATTATTTCCCTTTCCCCATTTGTGTGCTTAAAACAAATATGTATTCGAGTGTGTCCAGATGCAATTTTTTTTTGGGGGCCAATTTCCATTAATGAGTGGAGGTTCTTATTGCAGTGTATGTCTACACACAGAGAAGCCACTGGCATCGATCATTCTGATGATTTAATGATTTTAATCTGATCAGAAAACCCCTTTCTCTGGCTATTCATCTTCTCCATGAATACTGCAACTGAATTTCTGAGTTGCTGCAAAATTTTGAGTGTTTATTTCATTAGTTTGTTAGACTGCAGAGTTCCATTTCAGGCATCAGATCATCAATAAATTCAAGAAAACAAAACCCCAACAAGATGGTGCACCAGATACAGACCTCATCACTTTCCCCTCTCTCTCTCTACAAATCTCAATGCCCCATTGCAACAAACACTTGTGAATTGTGAATTTGTGGTCTCTCTCTCTCAATCGCTCTCTAACACTGCTGCAAGTGCAACTGCCACTGCCAGTGCAACTGCATTGCTTTAATGTCGATTTGGTACGTGGAGGTGGATGAGTGACAGTGTAGGTTGGGAGGTAAGAGTATAATTGCAGAGGTTGAATCTGTTCTTGGGATAAGGTTTGCAGAAAATCCAAGTGAGGTTAGCAAAACAAACCCCCAATCGTTTTCGAACATCTTGCCCTATTACAACCCACCGCTCGCAGGATCGGACTCCATTGCCCCAATTTCCTACACGTATCCTCAACCCTGCGTAGGATCCAAGAGGTTACCTACGTAATACATTACAATACCATACACTGCCTACGCCCACGGTTTTGCAATTTTAGCCAAAATTAAAATCATACATACGCAACAAAAACAAGAAAACCAAACCCCATTTCCAGAAACTTGTTCCATTTTACCCAAAAAAGGGATAAAAATCGAATCTTGGCGGTCTGTTTCAGAAGCCCTAAAAGGTTATCCAAAATAGACTCGTAATTTTCTGTGGGCGTCTTGTACCTTTCTCCATCTATGCCCTACTATACTTTTCAGAGATACCAATGGATATGATTATTACAATTACAAATAAGGTTAAAGTTCAGAAATAAGTACACGAGAGAGAACATCTATATAATAGTTTGTAACTTGGATTCTTAGGGCCCCCTTCCTTTCAATTCTAATTTACCGATTCTTCTTCTTCTTGTTATTTTTTCTTTTTTGTTTGTTTTGGGTGTCAATGATAACTTCCTATGTCATGTGCAGCATCATCCATCCTTTCTGGGGTTTGTCCTTTTCTCCCTACTGCTGCAAGAGCCTCGTTTTTTCAGACCTTGATATCTGTAATTTTTTTTTGGAAGTTTGTAGTAGTTCCTGGGATTTTCACACAATTTCTGCTGTCCCATTCCCTTTTATGGTTACTGGAATTAAAAAAAATAAAAATAAAAAAAAATAAAATTTTAGGTTTGTTTTGGTATTTTGGAAGGGCTTTTCATTTTACTGACAGCACAGCAGCAGTAGTAGTAGTATTAGGGCAGATAGATTCCCCGATTTTATTCTCACAGAAATCCTCAAATTTCTTTCTTTTTCCAAACTGCCCCTTCTTTTTCGCCTATAAATAGCGACCCTTCTTCCTTAACCCCTCCTCACTACAATCCCGTCAAAGTTCCCAATTTTGCCCTTCTTACTGTTTTCCTCTCATCACTTTTTTTGCAATGGCTGCAGGTCACAGCAATGGAGAAATGGCGGCGGCGGCGGCGATCGCGGCGGCGGCGGCATTGCCGGCCACTCACCAGTTCGAGTTCCAGGAGCACGAGATCCTCTGGGGTAAGACCGCCGCCAATTCCTGCCGATGCCTCCGCCGCCACTTCCCTGGAGCTGGAATCCCGAAACCCCCCTCCGGCCTCCGGAGCTTCATCCCCCGCCGCATCCCGTCGGCCCCCATCGACATCCCGGGGTCCAGGACCCTACGCCCACCCTACTCCCGTCGAAACCGCCTCGACGACTTTTTCGTCGGCGCGCCGCGCATCAAGTCTGAGTTCCTCCGTTACAGCGACGAGGACGACGAGGAAGAGAAGCAGAAAGAAGACGAGGAGAAGGAAGAAGACGAGGATGGAGAGGAAGAAAACGAGGAGGAGATCATGGTCCCTCCGCACGTGTTCTTACAGAAGAGATACGCCCGTCGGCGCGTGATGTCGTACTCCATGTGCGAGGGTATTGGAAGGACCCTGAAAGGAAGAGACCTCAGCAACGTCCGCAACGCCATTCTCTACAAAACTGGATTTCTCGAGGACCCCCCGACGAAATAAATCTCCACCGCCGCCGCCGTCGCCGTCGCCGCTGAAATAAAGAAAGGGTTTTTTTTTTATGTCTGTCTGTTTTGTATGTCTGTTTTTGAGTCTGTCTGTGAGAGTCCTATCTGTCTGTTGTCTGTGAGAGTCTGTCTGTCTGTATCGTTTTTCGATTAATTATTTCTCTGCTGTTTCGATCCGTCGAATGAAGACGACGACGATGCATGTTTTGTATCAATGGAGTTTGCCCTTTCAGTACTGCTCTTACTCCTTCCTGTTCTTCCTTTCCATTTTTTTTTTTTTTTTTTTTTTAAATTTGGGTATGCAGACTCACTGTCTGGATAATTACAATAAAACCTGCAATAATTGCATGGATTAACGTTGGACTCAATTATATTAATTATTAATTAATCCAAAATCCAGATTGGATAATTAAATGATTATTAATTCCAAATCAGCATCACCATCAGCATGAGGAAAAAACGAGGGTATGGTAGGGGTAGGGGTAGGGATAGGGGGTAGGGTAGGGTCACCGTGAATTCAAATTTTAGGTGGTGTGGTGGTGTCGGTGCGTTTGTTTGTTTATTCGTTTGTATGTTTCTTTTAGTTACTTTCCTTTCTATTTTTGGCATATTGCGGCTGCCTCCTCTTTTTATTTTATTTTTATATTCTTTAATAGCTACAGTACACAACAGAATACATCAGGCTTCTTATTATTACACACAATATATTTTTTTTAAAATAAATATATATATTACACAATTTACTCTTTTATTATTTTTTCAATGACTTGTGTGTTTGTTTGTATTCACCCTTATATTTATTTTTTTTTTCATGTAAAATATATAAAAAATATATATATATATATTAAATTGATTTATATAGTTGGATTAATTGATTTATATTAAAATTAGATTCGATACCATGTCATCATACACGTGATCCAATTCTATAATTAGAAATTTTTATTTTAATGTGTTATCTAAATGCGAACATAAAACAATAATGGTAAAAAGTTATTATTATTATTATTTTTTTTGTCGGTTTGTATTGATGTTTATATCAAAGTATTGGATATAGTTCGTTATTCACGAGCGTTGTAAATGTTTTAGATTAGTTTTTGTCGGTTTGCATTAACATTTATGCGAGACAGATTTGATCTAATTTGCTATTTACTATGTTATCTATGTATTATAATTCACGTGTACTTATTGTTGATATTTTAAATAACTTTTTGTCGGATTATATTAAAAGTAATAACATAAGACTTAGGATAGATTGCTATTGATTATGTTGTTTCGTTAGTATTATAATTCACGTGAATTGTCAATATTTTTAAATTACTTTTTGTCGGATTATATTAATGTTTATATGAGAAGATTCGATTTTAGTTCGTTATCGACTTTGTTGTAATATAAGTAACACGTGTTATAGATGTCTGAAATTAACTATTGTCGCACTATATTAATGCTTATATAAGAAAAATTTGAGATAATTTGTTATCGACTATGTTGTTTTCTTAAATACTATAATTTACGTGTGTTATAGATTTTTAAATAACTTTTTGTCGGATTATTTAATATTTATGTTATAACATCCAAGTATTATCATTTTTTTAAGTATTTTACTATATTAATGTTTACATCATATTTGAGTAATTATTGACTTGGAGGTGTTGTAGATGTTCAAAAATTAATATTTGTTGGACTCTATAATTCTTTTTATTTTTGTTATTATTACTACATTAAAAAAAAAAAATCATTTAAATGTATTATATTCCTTTAACATCCAAGATGACTTGTTAATTTTATTGTTTTAACTATATAACATCGGTGATGGAAGATAAAAAAAAAAAAAATCATTATAGTGTTGATAATATTTTAAATATTGGTAGTCAACACATGAAATATAAAGTAATTGATAATTTATTATTCTTAATTTTATAATTCAATACAATATTGATATCATATTGTGTGCTGATAAATAATACATAATATAATTATAGACAACATATTATTTGCAATTAACATAATATAATCTCTCACAATCTATATTATAATTGATTTTAACAAATAATATAGTCATATACAATATTCCTACAAATATGAACAGATAATATATTTCCAAAATAACGGTACAAGACAAGGCTTGTAATAATATAATATAAATATAGCATACGAATCACAATAAATATGTTCATAAAATATGTCTTATAAGTATGAACGATTTTTCATTTTTTATTCTTTTTTTTTTTCAAAACTGTAAATATATATTTATATCAGAAAATTCAATATGTTTTTCTATTAGTGTTAGGATTTTATTCGTATTAGCATTGTCATTTGATGTAATGTTCTAAATACAACTATTTGTCGGATTCTATTGATTTTTTTGTTGGAAATTTTAGTTAAGTTCGTTATTGATCTTATTGTTTAACTGATATTACAATTCACGTGTGACATTAATGTTTCAAAATTAATTTTTGTCGGATTACATTCATATTTATGTTAGAAGATTCAAGTAAATTTTGCTATTAGTTTTTGTATTTTATATGTATTATAATTCTCGTTTAACGTCAATATTCTAAAGAAAATATTTGTCGGATTGTATTGGCTTTTGTGTTAGAAATCTTACTTAAGTTTGTTACCCAGTTTATTATTTAACCAATAATACAACTCACGAGTGACATCAATGTTCCAAAATTATTTTTTGGCGGATTGTGTTCATATTTATACCAAAAGATTCGGTAATATTTCTTATTAGTTTTAATATTTTATTTGTATGTATTATAATTCTGTCAATGTTCTAAAACAAATGTTAATTTGTCGGATTGTATTGATTTTTATGTCAAAAATTCTAGTTAAGTTTGTTATTTATTTTATTATTTCACTTATATTACATTTCACGTGTGACATTAATGTTCCAAAATAAGTTTTTTCCGAATTGTTTTCATATTTATATGAGAAGATTCGGTAAAGTTTGTTATTAGTTTCAATAATTTATCTGTATTATAATTCTCGTTTGACGTCAATATTTTAAAACAAATATTTGTCGGATTGTAATGATTATTATGTCAGAAATTCTAGTTAATTCCGTTATTTATTTAATTGTTTACCTGATATTACAATTCACGTGTGACATCAATATTTTAAAATTAATTTTTGTCGGCTTGTATTCATATTTATATCAAAAAATTCGGTAACGTTTGGTATTAGTTTTAATATTTTATCTGTATTATAGTTCTCGTTTGACGTCAATGTTCTAAAATAAATATATGTCGGATTCTATTAATTTTTATGTTAAAAATTCTAGTTAAGTTCGTTATTCATTTCATTATTTCATTGATATTACGATTCACGCGTGACATCAATGTTTCAAAATTAATTTTTGTCGGCTTGTATTTATATTTATATCAAAAAAATTGGTAACACTCGTTATTAGTTTTAATATTTTATTTGTATTATAATTCTCTTTTGACGTCAATGTTCTAAAATAAATATTTGTCGGATTGTATTAATTTTTATGTTAAAAATTCTAGTTAAGTTCGTTATTCAATATTTCATTATTTCACTGATATTACAATTCACGCGTGACATTAATGTTACAAAATTAATTTTTGTCGGATTATATTCATATTTATATCAAAAGATTCGGTAATGTTTGTTATTGTTATAATTAGTTTTATTAATTCATTTGCATTATAATTCTCGTTTGACGTCGTCAATAATGTTCTAAAATAAATATTTGTCGGATTGTATTAATTTTACGGTTAAAACTTCTAGTTAAGTTCGGTATTCATTTCATTATTTCACTGATATTACAATTAACGTGTGACATCAATGTTCCAAAATTAATTTTTGTCGGATTGTATTCATTTATATCAAAAGATTCGGTAACGTTTGTTATTAGTTTTAATATTTTTTATATATATATATGTATTATAATTCTCGTTTGACGTCAATGTTCTAAAATAAATATTTGTCGAATTGTATTAATTTTTATGTTAAAATTTTTAGTTAAGTTCCGTATTCAGTTCATTATTTAACTGATGTTACAATTCAAGTGTGACATCAATGTTCCAAAATTAATTTTTGTCGGATTGTATTCATATTTATATCAAAAGATTCGGTAATGTTTGTTATTGTTGTTATAAGTTTTAATACTTTATTTGTATTATAATTCTCGTTTGACGCCAATAATGTTCTAAAATAAATATTTGTCGGATTGTATTAATTTTTATATCAAAACTTTCTAGTTAAGTTGGTTATTCATTTTACGATTTCACCGATATTACAATTCACGTGTAACATCAATATTTAAAATCAATTTTTGTCTTAATATATATATATAATCAGTTAAGCTCGTTATGATTATATCCACACGATTTATTTTTATTTTTTATTTTTTATTTTTTTTTTACATTACACATAAACTTTGTTACAAAGTATTGATGAAATCACTAAGTAAAGTTTTAAGTTGAAAGATAGATGACTAATTAACGTATACTTCGAAAACATTGGTGGATAAAATAATGCATACAATCATTCGGACAATTATTAAGATATTTTACATGGACAAAATATATTAATGCATAAAGATTATTATTATTATTATTATAAGATAGTTCAAACAATTTTGTTTTTTTATTGGTTTGTGGTCTAGAACAACTTATGGCCCATAGAACAATGCATAACCAACTTATGGCCCAAAACATGTACCGTAACTTCTTATAGTCCAAAAAAAAAAAGTTATTTATTTTTAAAAATAAAAAAATTATTTTCTTGTATCAAATTTTATAGTAGCAAAGTATATCAATTTGTATAACAATCATTAAATCTTATTTTCCTTAAAAATAAAATTGTAAATTGTATTATGCTATTATTATTTTTTTTGGGATGACGTGGAAATTCGCAGCGATTATCCGAAAATGCATATTGATTAAATTTTCGGCCGAATCTAATATCCTGCAAACCAGACTCGACAGAAAAATTATCCTATATTTTATAATATATATATAACTTTAAAAATATAAAGGTGATGATATCAATTCAAATGAACCCTTTCAACTATATTTTATACTCTCGCTGTGCCATTCAAATTTTTTTACTTTTTATAATAAATTTAAAAATAATAATATTTTATTACTTTATAAAAATATATAAAAATTTTAATATTTTGATCCTCTTGTCAATAGGTTCTCTCTTACCGATTTTTATTATTATTATTATTAAAAAATAAATATTTGGATATTAATTTATAATTAATTTTATTTGTATTTGTATTTGTATGGGTAGGTATACTTTTGAGTGCATAAAAAGGGTACTGTATTTCTACTGTGCAGGCAAAGATTCCAGTTTTATATTGATTTGGATAGGTGGATTCGTCGGTGCGAGGATTCGGAGATGGAGAATGCTGGTTCGTTAGAACGGGCGATGGCGTGAAACTGTGGGAATCTTTCAAATTTTATCCACTTAAGCAGTTGCTGAGCTTTCGAATGGTGTACTTACACCCTAGCCGTTTTTTCTGAATAAATTCCGCAGCATTTTATGGTAAAGTTTTATGTATGAGGGAGCAATATTTAGTTACTACAGAAAAATGATGTTCATTTCTGTGTGTCGTTGTTGTTAAAATTCTGCGTATAGATTCAATAATCACGACAGAACTGTGTAGTCTCTGAGTGGATTAACACTAGTTGATTGAATTTGGTGTCTTTTAGAATCTAGCATAATATGTTCGCGTTGTTGTTGATGTGGTGTTGTTGGAAAGAAGTATTTTATTCCTGCCGAATGCCTGAATGAATCAACTGAAGCAGAAGACAGAAGAAAATGCATTTACGCATATTGGTGGTGTCGCTAGGGTATGCTTATTAGTTTGATTAATAGTGTTTATGATGTAAATAGAATTGTAAATTTGCCCATTATATTTTCCCTACAATATGATTTCTATTTATGCATCTCATTTCCGCTTCTGTACAAAATAGGATGATATTATTTGTCATTGAAATAATTTAAATGGCATTGCTGTGCATCATATTGGTTTACTGTTGTCCCTGCACAAGCACAAGTTGACCTGAAGATCTTTTTAATCTATTACTATTATTGATTTTAGGGAATGCCATGCTAACTCATTTCATTGAACACAATTTGTGATTCAAATGTCATATCTTGATACATGGACACATAGAAGGGAATACTGGATTTACATTCTACTTTTGTTGGCTAGATATCTTCATGTGACATCTTCCTGTGATCAATGTGTGTCTGTTGGTTTTACATGCTTTCGTTCAGTATACATCTTGTTGTATCCGTCAATAAATTCTCTCCTAAACAGGACTTCACTGGATTTTGATGCTTACATTGGCATCTCTGTTGGGCAAGGGCTCAGCTGATTTGAGATCTAAAAGGCAATTTTTTTTTTACATGCACCTGAGAAGTTACTCTGGTATGCACTTGTGGCCAGTGAGCCTGCTAACTTGTTATAGATTTTTGATATGTGAAGGTGATTTCACTTCTTTTTATTGTGCCTCAAATGTGTTGAGGTGATGATACTCCATGGAGTCGTATGTAATTGAGTCTAGTATAAATGACACTTAGATCTTAACCAAAAGGCTGGGGTATAGAGGGAATAGAGGAAAGTGGGAATAGAGGATTTGATGCCAATGCTGGGATAGGTATAAATGACACTAAAAATGCCAAATGTAGTGTTTTGGTTTTTTACTAAGATGGCTGCCACTGCCAGGCAGCAACTCCTTCTACAAATATCCCAGAGGTGTTATATGCAGGCTGTGTCATTTCATTTTCTCAAAGATTCTCTTCCCTATTGAGTATTGTGCTGCTTTGCTTCTCTTTTTACACTTTTCAGTAAATAGCTTTATTTTCTTCAAAGATTTTACCTAGATGTTCAACCCTGACTCCAAGAATATGTGTTTGAAATGCAGAAATTGGTGAAAGAATATCTCAATATGTTTGTGATTTTGAACCTCTCAATCAACCTGGTGGCCACTGCCACTCTTCTGGCTGGAGAATTTCTTTGTGATATAACAAGTCCTTTTTCCTTTTCTACAGTTTGTCTATTTGGTACAACAGGGTAATAAAATTTCCCAATAGAAAGCTTGAATTGGATAACTTCTTGTTGAACTGCAGTGCAGAATCCTTTTTCACTTGTTACCATTCCCCTGCATCAATAATATCTATTTTCACCTTATGCAACATTTCTACTGCAGTCTGTGAGCAGTAATGCCTAAGCATTTCATCAGTGGAGAAGCAACAGATTCACACCATCAAAGCAGGGAAAAAATCTCAACGACCAACTGCAAGGGGAAATTATCCATGGAATTATTACAATTCCAGTTTAAAGCATCTAATAAAGATTCTTCTTTTTGCAACTGTTGCTTTCGAGTGGTTATTAAAAGTGTTAGGCAAATGGGGCTATCGTGTTTGGTCATGGATCAGCAACACTAAAACTCAAGAGATTGTTTGGGCACAGGACATTGATGATGATGTCTCATAAGTGGAGCCTCAAGACTAACACATCATCTTTCCACTCAGATAAGGATATCTTTTCCCTTGCTTCTTATATGTTTCATTCACCTTTACTTATTATATATGTATCTAATGTTGTCATATCTTGTGCAAATCAAGGAAAATATAACGTAAGCCTACATCTAGAAGCTACCTAAGATAGGTCATACACACAGGGTCATACATGACTCTGATTAGAATACATAAACGGTGGTTATACTCACAAAGCTTTACTATTGGCTAAATTATTTAATTGTGGGGTTTGAAACAAGAATATGATAGAGCTATACTTCAACTTGGAAACTGTTGTTTGCTTCTTTGAAATGACATTAAATGATGGGGTAGAAAAGATGGAGTGTTCCACCTACCAACAATGCTTGGTCAAAAAAGTAGGATAGCTTTAGGTAGAGGCAAGTAATTAAATGCTGTGTGAAATGGACTTCTTCTCCTTCCTTTTCCACCACATCCCCAGTGTTTTTCCTGAAATCAGCATCCAATCTAAAAACTCTAAGGAAATAACAGATAGATAGATAGATGTGGTAATAATACGATTCAACTTTGTATATTAGATAGCTTGGTATTACATGAATCTACTGTGTACTGATGATCTCATAAACTACCACATTTATAGGGTCGAAGATTTAGTAACCAATAGCATGGCCTAATGTAGACAAGCTTGGTTTAGAAGTTAGAACCACAAGAACTCAAAACACAGTTTGGATTGTAACTATATAAATCTGCTATGCTTTTGTAGTACCTGTTTGTCCATGGATCTGATTGTGAGGGGCATACATGTTCCATCTTTGTGTATTCCCAAAGAAAAATAGAGAAATAAAAACACAGTGAGGTAGCAGAATGAAAAGAAACAAAATCAAAGAAGATTGATGCACCTGATTTTGGATTTTCATGGACATATACACCTGTGGTAGTATTGTGTGTGTATATATATATATATATACGTGATATTGGCACGGCTCAATCAAAATGACCGAGCTCTATAACCATGGAGCACAGCTTTCTAATTGAACCGCACCAATATCTCGTATGCTTCCTCATTGCTGCTCTCATGCTGCTGCTCTCTTGAGTAGAACTTGGTTATCAACCAACATTCTTTGTAGCTAAGACTATGAATCGAAAACAGCACGGAAAAAACAAGTACTGGGGTTGCATAGTACTTAAATTGCTGCCGGCGTATGAGGTAGCAGAAGGGATTTATTTATTAACTGATTGATACCAAGAGAGAGCTAGGCTTGTTTCAATGAAGAATATGACTCCTTTCCTTCCCATGAGGACTATATATACATATAGATAGATATGTAAGTGTTGTAGAAATAGATGTGTTGTGAACAGGTTTTGGGGTGGTGGGGTGGGGTGGGATGGGATGTGGGGGGGGGGGGGGGGGTGTATAAGCAGCAGGCATTAAATTTGCCAACAACCAAAACAACAAAAAGGAGGGTATATTTACTCAAAAGCAATGTAACGATGAAAAAGGTCAGTGGAGCAAATCTGGAGTCTTGAATGTGCATTAATGTGGTCGAGGAAAAGGTATGGCAATGCTATCACTGCTGTTTGTGTTTTTGAATTTCAAATTAAAACCACATTCCTTATTGCTCATTATATTGTTTCCTTTCTCTTAATGAATGAGTGAATACTAATAATAATATTCTGCCAAAACATGCATGCATGCATTTATAGGTCACCAAACATAAACTACTGTGCTTATTATTGCACTTGTTTTCTACATCTATATATATATATATATATTGTTATGTAATTTAGATCCATGCTTATTCATTGCACCGTGATTTTGGATTTGAAATATTTTGAATAAGAATTCTATCTTAAATGTTATATTTGAATGAAAATTTATTGGCTGATACTATATGTTTTTTTGAGGGGATCTGTGGATATCAATAAATGGTAATACATTTATGAGTGTGTTCCGGATGGAAATTTATTTATGATTTTTGGGTTGTTTACTTGATGTTATGAAAAAAGTAGTAGTCATTAGTTTTTATAGGGAATACTAACAAATCACATAAATGAATAATAAGAAATACTTCCATTGTAAGAACAGTCACTAGTGAAGAGCCATTATTGGGATATTTCTTTAGGCGACAATTGATATAGTATATAGTATATTGAATTATTTTGCACGTTGAAAAATATCATTACAATACAGAAAAATGGGTATGTTAGGATTGTACTTGGTATTATTTTGGTTTTAATTTTTTATTCAAACAGTGACTTAGATGTTATATTTTGTGAGAAAATGACTATTTATTTTGTGTTTTTGGATGAATAATGTTAGGTATTGAGAATTGTATTGATAATATAAAAAACAGTAATATTTGTGTTTAATGATTGAATCTTTGTGTATATATATATATTACATATATTGTGTTAAACATGTATATATATATATATATATATGATATAAATCTTAGATTTGTTTATGCTAGGTGAAGGTGTAGAGAATGAATTTAAAATTAAGTTTGTTTATTTATTCGTTTATATAAGATTTAATAAGGGCGTGTTAGCTACCAATGGACCATTTAAATTTTAAGTTTCTTGAATGTAATGGACCACTGGCTTTTATGCATCTATGAATTGTCATGATCTTGAGCGTACAATGCTGTAAAATTACTTAGGGTGTGTTAAATATTATTTTCGAACTGTTGTGGTATTTTTGAGTTATCTTTGGGAAAAAAAAAAAATGAAGGAGATATAGCATTAAATAATAATATAAATTTAAATAAAAAGTCATTTTGTGGGATCCATTTGGCTGTGGTGTTTTGAATTGTTTTACTATTTTGTAAATTAAAAGTAAATTGGATTATGTTATTTTAGCATCATTTTCTATTTCTTCAATTGCAATCTTTCATTTATTAATTTTTTTTTCTTCGTAAAAGATCACATTAAATTACTATAGACATAAGGCTGCTTGGGTTTTTTTTTTTCCCTGTTTAAATAATATTTTTATATTATATTTTATAAGAGAGTTCATCTTTCTATTTTGATTTCTAACTTATTTGGTCATTTTATACACTTTAATTTTATTTTAAAATTTAAATTTAAATTTTTAATTTTAATTAGATTAATTTGTTATCTTAATATTAATTTATTATTAATTCTATTATACAATAATTATTTTTACTAATATACTTTTAATCTGTTAGTAATTATATTCTTCATGAATTTGTGTATTTACAATAAAGTGGACCACCCGATAAGGAGAGAGAATATTTTTATTTGAGTGGCCATTATTATGCAAATAAAGCACACCATGTGTACAAGTTTATCACTTGACAATGTATTGTTACTCTCGGAATTTATTCTTATTTTCTATTTTCGGTTCCACATGATTTGTTCTTTTTTTTTTTGGAAAATTGATTATATACTTTAATCATTAAAATTTAAATTTTTTTTAATTTTAATTAAACTATTTAGTTATCTTAATCTATAATTATTTTTACTAAATAATAATTATTTTTACTAATATATTTCTTAATTACTTAGTAATTATACTTTATAAATTTTTATATTTACAGTAATGCGTTAATCTTATCTAGGACAGAGTGAGTATATTTTAAAGTAAATTAATTTTTGAGTTTATTTTGCATTAAAAAAATTTTGATAAAATATCTCCTTTGTCTTAACTCAATGCATACATATATATTTATCATTTTGTTTATTTTACTAAAATTATTTTTTTATTATAATAAAATTAATTAAATATCAATACCAAAATATTTTTATATAAATTATAAATATATTATTAGATATATAATTAATTTAGATGTAAATTAAAAAAACAAAAATACTAAAATTATTTTATGTTTTTGTTAACTAATAAGATATTATTAATATTATTTTTTAATCTAAAAACTTCAAAGGTCTTTTAAATTGAGACGAAAGAAATATTTTTTTGTTTAAGGGTTAAAAAAATAATACTAACTAAACCAACCAAAAAATAAAATTATATATATATATATAGTTGACTTTGCGTGGTTGGTGTGGCTTTTTGTTTATGGACAAACATACAATCTAATAAAGAATTTATTTCTTCTTGGACTTAAATCTTGAATTTACTAATATAAACATTACCTACGCTCTTTGTATGTATATGTGTACTTTTCAAACCTACATTAATCAATCCAAACCCAACCAAACAAATCCTCCAATTTGTATATAGAATATATATATATATATATAACCTAGGAACTGCAGCCGAATCACAATGATATTTCTTGCCAACATATAATATGACACTTCTGACTCACAAATCACTCGAAGCCAAGCATATCGGAATTCCAGGAGGGCCTCACAAATCAATACGAATCCTTTAAGTATGTTTCTGTCTTCATTGAAATATGCATTCTTAATTCTAAACTTCTTTCTGTGGGGCTTTCGAAAAAAAATATGCAAATTGGTCTGTTCAATTCATTTAACTTATCTTCAACTTCGTATGGTCTGACATCGACTCATTCACGGGAGTTGGCGTAGCAACGGTCCAACTCCGGAATATCACATACAAGCATGAAAATGCATCTCCTAATAATATATACAGAGCCTCGGACCTTTCTTCTCTGCACCTATTGTTGCCGCCATCCCTTCCACAACCTTCTTCTCTGCGTCACCACGGCCGATGGTCCCGACTCATTATGACCACGTCGCCCAGCCCCATTGCTAGGCTACCTTGCTTGCTGCATTAATCCTTATTACATGAAATTAATGACGACTACATAATTGTATAATTCAGAGGTCCATATATACCCCATCTTATGTATAATATTTGTAGAGCTAGGGCCTTAACTTTGCATTGCACGTGATGCAGGTAGCCAGTGCACGTGATGCAGGAAGGAAGGAGGACCATATAATATATATGTATATGTATATGTGTGTGCATGTATGTACTGCCACTGCTAATTGCTATTGAATTCGGTCAGATTATCCAAAGTGCATTATTATATTTATATACTTTTGTCTAAAAAAAATAATTTACGTATTTTATTCAATACAAATTAAACAATAAAATTCTATAAATTAGTATTATTCTATCACATTTGTTCAAATATATTAAAAAAATATATAAAATTAAATCTTATTCTATCGCACTCTGTTCAAATATATTAAATAAAAATATAAAATTAAATCGGATAAAAAAAATTTATTTAGAGTTAGTTTAGATATTAATTTTAAAAATTATTCGATATAATTTCGCATAACAAAATTTGACTAACTTTTTTTGAGCAGATACAAGAAGAAAAAATTCGCAAATCTCATCCATAATCTAGAGCGCGCGTGAAACTGCTAAACGACGTCGTACCGTACGTATGCAAGATTTGAACCAGCCACCTTTTTCGGGTGAAAGGAGGTTTCTTTGTTGATTCAAATATCATCTTATGTATGCATCCATTTTCGTGTACAAAGTCACAAACCCTAATTTATTTCTTCAAAACAGTCGCTATTAAAGTAGCTTTTTTTTTCATCTGCTTGATTTTGACGTCCATCAAGTGCTCGTGCTCGTCCTTCCAGGCTTCTTCTGTAAGTTTGGAGAAACCCCTTTGCGTGAATCTCTGTTTCACTCTTCTTTGCGGGCAAGAATTACAATAATGTGGGAGGACCATATGATTGTGTTTGTGATTTGAGTGTTTTTTGAGTTGCTGCATTTTATTAGAGCAGAAGAAGTTCCTTTACTGGTTTGTTCTTGATGTTGTTTCGATGTCTCGAATTTGCAGACAGAAATAGGACTTCCAGTCTTGCGATGGCGACGAGTTCTTATAAACACTCTAAACCTTTTGGTACGTTCTTGCAAATTTAAATATTTTGCATTTAATGCCGGCGCTTTTGTGACGATGAATCATTGCTTTATTCCTGGGGATTCGTTGGTGTGTAACCGACCTTAGCAATGACCTTTTTCTTACACCTCTTTCGTTAAAGTAAAATTAATGAATTGGGGAAGGAAGTAAACTGTTTCTTTCGTGGATTTGGTTTCTTACTATTAATTTTTGATTGCTTATTTATGTTTTCACATTGTTGCAAGTTTTGTAGAAATCCGTTGCATGAGTATTTTACATTACAGTAATCTTTTAAAAGTTTTTCGCTAATGTCATTCAAAAGATCCTTTGAGGCTTCGGTTTTAACTGACTGATATGGAAAGCTTCTCAAGATTACTATTTGATCGAATGTAAATTATGTGCACTAACCAATGTGGATTATCTCTTTGATGTGTTTTTATTTAGTAATTCGCTAACATGTGTTGAAATTGGGCTTAATTCCTATCCATCCTGTTAATAATCTATGCGGGAAGGAGATTTAATTGCAGTTGCAGATACTATGATCAAATGGTTGTTCTTCCAATGACAATGTGGTATTTGTTCTGGCTTTTTATTTTCTGAATATGCTAATGATTTGGTTTTCGTCACTCAGAAAAAAGACGGGAAATATCTGCTCAGATCAGGGAGAAATTTTCTGATAGAGTTCCAGTAAGATGTATTTTTTGATTAAGTAGTTATCTGTTTCTTGAATCTCCAACCTCTTTTTTTACTATTTTATCTCTTTTCAGCTTATTATTGAGAAGGCAGCAGGAAGTGAAGTTCCTGACATTGATAGGAAGGAGTAAGTGACACTAAGTTTCTTTGTGTATGCATATATGCATTATTGTTCGTATTCATTTAATATATGCTTAATGGTTAGTTTATGGTTAGTGAAGGTAGGTGTAAATTCTCAACTGTAATTTAACGAACAATTTGTCTTGGTGTGGTAACAAACTGAATGAATCTATTCCTCATGGTTCTACTGTCAAATCTTAGATGTATGTGTTGGATTCGATGCTGTCTATTTTGTTGTCTATTCCTCGTTTCAATGAGGGTCTTGATAGGATGGACTTTTAATCATATATATGGGTTATGAAGGAGCTCTGTAAATTCTTTTGGCACATTTTCTATAAACATTTGACTGTCTTGTGGAGGATGGTTCGATAAACTGTATTGTGAAATTCGAAACTATAGAATTGTTGGATAAGCACTAGTTTGCTCCAATTGACTAGATGAATGCACCTTAATTGTTCTTTTTCTGTCTCTACAGATTCCTTGTTCCTACTGATTGGACTGTTGGACAGTTTGTTTATGTCATCCGGAACAGGATCAAATTGAGTGCTGAGAAAGCTATATTCATATTTGTCGATAACATGCTGCCTCCAACAGGTGAGTTGGCTGTTTATGTTGTTGGATTGTCCTATATATTGACTTTCACGTTCTTAATTTACAATGTGTTCAATATCGATCCAGGGATGCTGATGTCTGCAATTTATGAGGAACACAAGGATGAAGATGGGTTTATCTACATGACTTATAGTGGTGAGAACACATTTGGTTAGGGAATCGGGACTACGTAGATATGGGTATATATGCATAGCATTTTTTAATTTTTTTTTAACTGTAAATTTTCATCCATATTCTATTTTGTTTGGGTATATTTGCCTGACCCTAGCTGACTACCATTTACATTTTTGAATCATTCTTTGGCAAATTTACAAGCACTACTTCATTGTTGAGACTGATGATTTATCAATTAGTTGATTTACTTTACTATATGTTTGGCACAGAATATCTGTTTCTCATTGCATTTTGCTAGTTCTACTGAGGGTTGGGTATTTTGTGCATTTTTATGTAGAATTTGAACAACTCCATTGTTAAGTGAAAAAAATAAGCCCATCTAGAGACAAAGCTTTTCATTGGCAACCAAGACTCATTTGAAATATCAATGATCTTCCCTGATCATGTTGTAGATGTTTTCTTTTGGCATTTACTTCTTACCCACTTAATCCCCATTGATGTGCCCTTCTTCATCTTTTGGGCACCTGCCATCGCCGCTGCTTTGGCCTTGCCAAACCCGGCTGAGGCCGTGGCCTTCTTGTCTTGATCGGCACCTTTGTCACCTTTGCTTTTGTCTTCTCCTATGGCACCAATCCCCCCTTCACCCCATTGATCTGCCCAGCTTGGCCCTTCACTTGCCATCCAATCTAAGACTTGCAAAATCTACAGGAGAAAGAAAAAGAATCAGAAGAATTTGATCAGGTATAAGAAATAATGAATAGAGAGAAAGAGATTTGATTACCTAGCTCTACAGATGTGAGAGCCTTTAGATTTGTGAAACTGTGTTCTTGGAAGAGTTTAAAGGAAGATGTTCTGGCTTACAGGGTGTAATCAAGAAGATTGTACATGTGGTTAGGTTGTCATTTTTTGCTAAACAAATCCCCTTTTTGGTGTACACAACCAACTTGCCAACTCATTGCTCACTGTCTTTAATTAACAACTCCTTTGGTTTGCATCTCTTTAATTCTTTTTTTTTTTTTTTTGGTGAAACTGCCTGCCTGCCTGTCAATACTAATCATGACTCAGCTTTCTCCACATACCCTTCTTTGTTTTCAATTGGACTGGACAGACTAGCATTTTAGATGACTCTCAATTACCCTTTATGAGGTCAATTCTAGTCCACATTGTTTCTTACAGGGAACAAGCTGACAAGCTTCAAGTACAAGCTTCAAAGTTTGGAGAAATTAATAATACTAATAATCATCATATAATTCATATGATTTCCCTTATCTTTACTTGTTAATATGGTCAAAGAATCCACCTGGGGCCTATTTAGTTTAGTGTATGCTTTCCAGGTAGATACAATTAGGCAAAGTGGAGAACGCAGATTTGGATAGAAAATAGTGTATATATCAATCATCAGATTGATGCTTTTCAAGAACAATACTGTTTGTTGTGACTTACAAATGAATCCAAGTTAGAATCACTACTCCATCATCGTCATCTTATCTTCTCTTTTCACTATATGGAACCTAAAACCTTGATCACATATTCATTTATTAGACTTGGATTTCTTCGATGTTTTCTTGTTCTTGTCGTCGAACCTGCTCCAGCTATACCCGGTCGGGATGGCGAAGGGATCCCCTTGCTGTCGGCTACTTGGCTGGTGGTGCCGGCTAACGCCGCCCCTCAGCCAAGACGACAATCCACCGGAACCACTGCGCTCTTCGTCGCCAAATTGCGCCGGACTAGATACCGGAGTGTAGAAGCTCTCCGCCGGCGGTAGCTCCGTGAATTTTGTGAATGTAATCACCACTCTCACTGTAGGAACCACAGGGATGGCTACCTGAGACAAATAAGCAAACATTTTAAATATTAATTAATACATTATGGGAATCAAAGAGCCAATGAGATGGTTACACGTGGAGTCAATAATTTGGACAGGCCTTATTAAAGGAGGGGCGGGCGTTATGAAAAGCGCATTGAATTGAATTCAAAGGGAAAGGGAAGAGAAGACAGGGTGGGCCCCGCGCAGTGAGTAATGTGTTCTACAGTTACCTTTACGGGGAATGACCCCGCCGGAAATGTCGCCGTCAGGACCTCGCGCATGCGCCTCACCGCCTTAACTTTGCTCGCCAGAATGTCCAGCAATGGTAGAAGCTCCTCCGTCTTCAGCGGGAACTGTTCCGTAAGCCACAACGTCGGCCGGAGGTTTTTCACGTACTCCTTTTCCTTAGTCTGCGGCGGTGTGATGAATCTGTCCGCCGTGCTCCGCCTCCGGCGATCGATGGGGATTATGTCCACGCTCTTCCGAGATACCGTCACGAATTCCCTCTCTTCTCTGACGAAACTGCTGTGGCGGCGGTGGCGGTCGTTGGAGACGCTGAATCGAGGATTCTCGGCGACGATGAAACCTTCGTCGGATTCCTCGTCGATTTCTAGCGGTAACACGCAGGTTGGGGAGAATGGATCGTCTTTGTTCTCGGCTGCGTTCACCTTGCGTGAGCGGAAAGAGAAGGTGACGTTGTGCATTTCGTAAACCCTAGCTTTCCATTCTCCGACGCTATCGGTTTTCTCTTGGCGCCTCCAGTTTGTACGGCTGATCAATTCGGCTTTTGTGACGTCCATTCCCGGACGGTAAACGCTGGTCTGGTTGCAGAAATTTGAAATTTCGGAGTCTGATAATGGATTACCTGCGTTCTCGAATGCGTCGTAGATTTTCTTCTCGTCGTGGTTGAGGATGAGGAGTGAGCCTTGGGGTATGTCTCTGTCGCCATTGTTGCTCTGGTTGAAGTCGTTGAGGAAGAGGAAACTCTGATTGGCGCGCTGAATTTTGAGGCCGTCGTAGCCGGCAAGTGACGTGTCGGCGCGCAAGTTGCCGTCGCGCTTCCAGATTTTGTAGGTGTCGGAGGGAGCAATTTTTCCGACGAACGGCACGATCGAGCTCTCGAAATGGAAGGAGATCTCCATATAGAAATCGCGCATGCGCCGGAGCACGGCGACGAGGCGGGGAAGCCGCCGTCTCCACTTAGACCACGCCGCTAAATGGTGGTGTTGAACGAGCGGCGCCACAATCTCCGGGCATCGCCGGAGTATCGCCTCCTGCAGCGGGTTCCACCCGGCCGCGTTCTGCAGCGACGCGTTGGCTCCCGCCGCGGCGAGCGCACGCGCAGCGGCGGAGTCGTTCAAACGGACGGCGAGGTGCAGCGGAGTCTCTCTGAGAGAATTCTCCCGGTTGTCGACGACGGCGGCGATTTGCTCCGCCAGTCGTTCTTGAGCCACTGACTCCGATTCAGATCGAATCTGGTTAATGTCTGCCAATTTAGGGAGGGTAGACAGGAGCTTGTTGAGAGCCGCGTGATCTCCAACCGCGACGGCGTAGTGCACGGCGCTGTTGGCGTAATCCTGCGGCCGAACCGCGGCGGCGGAGCTGTCCATCTCGACGGTTGAATACGACGACGTACGGACGGACCCAACCCAACGCTAGAAACAAAAGCAGCAGCTAATTGAAACTGAATCCATCAATTCATCAATGGCAAAGTAAAGTAGGAGGAGAGAAGGTAGCAGTATTAATTATTAATGGGCACTCGAGGGGCAGGTCAGTCTTTTCACAAGAATAGCTTGAATAACCATGCACGGCTTTTGGTAAAATAAAATTCTGCAGAGAAGAGAGATGGGCCAATGTGGGGATCTCTACATCCATTTTACACAGAGAGTTGCCAGATTTTGTCCCCTCACTTCACCCTATTTTTGTACACAGTTAGAGAGAGAGAGAGAGAGAGAGAGAGAGAGAGAGAGGGTCACTACCAAAAATCGATAATCCACTTTACACCAGAAAAACAAACACGAAAATAAGCAATACTATTGCTACTACAAGATTAATACAGCTTGTGGGCCCAATGTGTAATGGCTTGTGGGGCCAACCCATGATTGAGTCAACGCTGGGCCCGAAACAGACTTGCTCTGGCGGGCCAGCCCAGCCCAGTCTGAAACCTCACCATCTGATTCTGAGAAAATATTTATTGTTTATGATTCTATAGATTCTCATTCATTTTTCACGCCTGTTTGGTTTGATTGGTGCAGCATATACATTGATACTGATGTATAATGTATTATTAGTAATATACATATTCATAAAAATCGAGTATTGGATTTAGGAAAGTAGTTCGTTATGTGGTCCTGGTCTAGTTGTCAGACAGATTGAGTCATGTCAATCTATATTTTTATTTGTTAACCAGAGATGTAAAAATAGCCCAGTAATATAGAAGGGTTTGAAGACGAGCATAAATGGGTCTGTCTGTTAGATTTAGGTAGCGCAGAGTTGGGCTATATTCTTAAAGCCCAATTTAAATAATTTCATTAAATCAAATCGGACAATTTGTGATCTTCTCAAGTTGTAGCTGATGGTCATCTCTCATTGATCGATTCGATGTGCATATTGGCTATGCAGAAGTTCTAGGAAATTATGCATTGATGGCCTTTGTAAATGCTCTCCAGTAATGGAACAACCTTAGATACTAAGCATGTGATTCCTATACAGTTTGTCCATAAATTTGTTGTCCTTTTGAAGTAGTCACTCTCTTCAATCATACCCATTTTCCCCTGTTGTCTCAACAAATCAAGAATTAGTTAGTCATACCTTCAATTGACCTTACAGTTTAGGTAAACCACCTGCCCTTTTGTTCCATCAGTTCTGCTTAAGCATTTGAGGTTGTGAATATGAGATCAAGAAAAGGTTAGCACAAATGGTTGTGTCCCCAAAAGCATCAGACTAAAACAGAGCATCCAAGAAAGAAGATGGCTTTCTGGAGTTAAACTATGGGCTATTTCATTAGTTATGTCTTTCTGACTCCATAGCTGCTGCACTTGTCATATTCAGTGGCATAAATGTCCCACTTGCTTTCCATCTTTACAGATCTCTGTAAGGACACGCACTGCTCACTTCGTTTAGGACAAATTTTACCTCAGAGATCCAGCCTGGAATTGGAACAAGAATCCTAGAAGAGAACCCCTTCTTCTTCATTGCTCCAATTTCAATCATCTTCTACATTAATACTATTTCTTTAATTGGCATTACTTTTCCAACACTGTTCAAACTTTGTGCACCAAAACCCACCCAAACTGCCATTTTATCTCAACAAACAATCTCCTTGTCGGTCTTCGGGGAAATTATTGTAATCGGATACTGCAAATCTTGAACAAAGTTGCTTTCTTTCACGTCCTGTTGATGTGATTGATGTTCCTTACCTCCCAATTTTGCTCAAATTAGGTTTCCCAGAACAAGAAGATGACCCTGCCCCTGCCCCTCCTGTGTCACTTTCTATAATGGATGTTCTTATTAAGCTCGTCCCCTTCTTCTTCCTCATTGCTTCCACTTCACTTTCTGCAGGTAATGTAATTACATCGTTCGTAATAATTAACTGTATCTCTACTCTCTACCAGCTAATATTTTTTGGCTGCAGAGCAAGACAAGGATGAGCCTTTTGTAGGCGTCAACATCGGCACGGCCGTGTCGAACTTCGTCTCCCCGCCGGAGCTGGTGGCGTTTCTGCAGGTGCAGAAGATCAGCCATGTCCGGCTGTACGACGCCGACGCCGACCTTCTCAAGGCGTTGGCCAAAACCAAAATTAAAGTCATCGTCAGCGTGCCGAACAACCAGCTCCTCGCCGTCGGTTCCTCCAACGCCACCGCCGCCGCCTGGATTGGCCGCAACGTCGCCGCCTACTTCCCCGACACTCTCATCACCGCCGTCGCCGTCGGCGACGAGGTCCTCACCACCACCCCGAGCTCCGCCCCTTTACTCATGCTGGCGATCGAGTCCCTCTACAGCGCCCTCGTCGCCGCCAATTTGCACACGCAGATCAAAATCTCCACCCCCAATTCCGCCTCCATTATTCTCGATCCATTCCCTCCTTCACAGGCCTTCTTCAACCAGAGCTTAGCCCCTGTTCTGACGAACCTCCTGCAGTTCCTGTCGAGAACCAAATCGCCATTGATGATGAACTTGTATCCTTACTACGTGTTTATGCAGAACAAAGGAGTCGTCCCTTTGGACAACTCTCTCTTCAAGCCATTGACGCCGTCGAAAGAAATGGTCGATCCCAACACTCTTCTGCACTACACCAACGTCCTCGACGCCATGATCGATTCCGTATACTTCTCAATGAAGAATCTCAACTTCACCGATGTCGCCGTCGTCGTTTCCGAGACCGGCTGGCCGTCCGCCGGCGACTCCAAGGAGCCCTACGCGACAATTGACAATGCCGATACATACAATTCGAACTTGATCAAGCACATTTCCGATAGGCCCGGGACACCATTGCACCCCGAAACAACGCCCAGCGTTTACATATACGAGCTCTTCAACGAGGACTTAAGATCGCTGCCATTATCGGAGGCAAATTGGGGACTATTCTATGCGAATTCAACTCCGGTCTACCTGCTGCATGTATCCGGGAGTGGCGCGTTCTTGGCCAACGACACGACGAATCAAACATACTGCGTCGCCAGCGACGGCATCGACACGAAGACGTTGCAGAGCGCGCTGGATTGGGCGTGCGGGCCAGGGAGGGCAAATTGCTCGCAGATTCAGCCGGGGGAGACGTGCTACCAGCCGAACAACGTCAAGAACCACGCGTCGTATGCATTCGACAGTTATTACCAGAAGGAAAGCAGAATTTCGGGGTCTTGTGACTTCAAAGGCGCTGCCTTGATCACTACATCTGATCCTAGTAAGTTGTTTGATCGATGAATCATGGAAGTTTTGTTGCAATTATGATTTTCTAAGTTGTTGTGGGGATGATCGCAGGTCATGGGAATTGCATATTTCCTGGGAGGTATGTAATGTAATAATGTTATGTATGATTTCTTTCTTTCAACCTTACGGATATGATCTAAACTACAACCAATTCCATGTCTTATGTTTGTGCAGCAAATTGGTGAGTAACAACAAGACAAGGCAAGTTGTGAATTCAACACGAGCAAGTTCAGATGATAGAGTGACAAGCAGTGATGTAAAAGGCTCACTGTTTTGCCTTGCTTTTGCTGTTGCTGCTCTTCTTTTTCTTACCTAATCATTTCATTTCATACCAAGTGTAAATGTAATATTATCTAATTACATACCATTATTATCACGATGCATGCCTGCCAACAGATTTTCACCGAATAAGAAAGAGGGCTGGAGCTGCCATGGAAGATGGATGAGTAATTGAGTTGTTGAGCAACTGACATGAATGATCACAGGGAATTGAATTGAATTGAAATTAGGGTTAGATGGCATCTGAATCTGAATCTGAATCTGATCTGCAATGCAGGTAGGTGCCATGGCGTTGGGAACCATTCTGGAACGATGCAGTTGTCCTGTATCTTTTCTTCCACCATAGATTTCGAATGACCACATTGATCAAACCATTCTCTATATAAACCACCAATTATATATCTCTCTCCCATCCACCACTGTAATTCATTTCAGGTTTAGTATTCTTCCAACAAGCTAAGTCACAATATGGTGGCCAAGATTATCTTCCTCCTCGCTTTGGCGGCCGTCGCCGGAACAATCCGCGGCAGGACTCTACCTGAAGGAAACGCCGCCGGAGCCGACGTCCAGACGGCGTTTTTTCACCACCATATCCCGCCATACGGCGGAGCTTTCGGTGGATACGGTGGCGGCTTCGGAGGCATCGGCGCAGGCTTCGGCGGGAAGCTCGGTAGTGGAGGATATTTTGGTGGCAGCGGCGCTAGCGCAAGCTCCGCCGGCGGCGGCGGCGGCGGCAGCAGCAGCAGCGGCACTGGGAATGGCGCGGCGGATAACGGCGGCGCTAACGGTGAAGGAGTTCATAGTGGATCTCTCCCTTGAAGAATATAACGGCAGTTAATGTGGGAAAACGTCGTTAGTTCTGGAAAATAAAGAGTAATTTAAATAATAAAGGATATATAATAGCTTTGCTGTAATAAATAAATTTGTGATTTGTCTTTATAATTTAAAATAATTTGTACCGTTTGATAATAAATGAAGCATTTTTCAGAAATTTTAAATTAAAGGGAGAATGCAGAAGTACCTTATGGGCCGAAGCCCAAACAAAGGCCCATTTTAAAAATAAACCTAAAACCCTAACTTCAGCCCATTGATAAAGCCGAGAGACACAATCTTCTTCTCTCTCTCGACAAACCGGCGAAAGCCAGCGTTTCCGACCCGGCGCTGAGATATCGACTTCAGCTGATAACAATGGCGGACGTAGTACAGTTCAAGCTTGAGCGCATGCTCGATGAGCTAGATGATTTGAAGCGGCGCGGCTTGTTTACCCGTAGGGAAATAGCCGAGGTTGTTAAACAGCGTCGTAAGTTCGAGTACCGCCTCAAAAGGCCGAGTCCTCTAAAGCAAGATTTTTTGGCATACATTGACTACGAAAAGCAACTTGATGCGCTCCGTCGCCTTCGGAAGAAAGAATTACTGAAAAAATCCAATAGCAAAAAAGCGAAGAAATCAGTTTCCGATTTTGCCGGCGTAGCCAGGATTATTGAAATTTACCGGCTGGCCACGAATCGGTTTAAGGGGGATATTGAACTCTGGTTTAAATATTTGGAATTTTGTAGAGCGCGAGGCCACGGTAGGATGAAAAAGGTATTGCTTGTCTTTGATTAACCTTGTTGTGTTTTTCTGTTTGTATGATTATCGATCTCTATCAATTTATATGCAGGTAAATTCCTACAATATGTTCGATGGAGCTGACAAACTCAAATGTTCAAATGTCTGTATCATATTTTCAGGTTCTGGCTCAGTTAGTTAGATTTCATCCAAAAGTACCTGGTGTCTGGATCTACGCTGCTGCTTGGGAGTTCGACAACAATCTGAATGTTGCAGCCGCCCGTGCTCTGATGCAAAACGGTCTGAGGACATGCCCAACTTCAGAGGACTTATGGTTAGAGTACCTTCGAATGGAACTCACTTACCTTAACAAGTTAAAAGCTCGAAAGGTTGCCTTAGGGGAGGATATTGGAAGCATAGCTCATGGGCATAAGAATGCTGATGAGGATAAGTGGAGAGATGAGAACAAAGAACTATTTATGCCCCTCAATGAGACAGGGGATTCAGATAAGACATCTACTCTTCAAGATGGTGATTCTGAGGATAAGCCGGACGTGTTTGGAGAGCATGGATTGAACATTCTTCAGACTGTTTACGGTGGTGCAATTGAAGCCCTGCCTACTGCCTTTGATCTCAGAACTCGGTTTCTTGGTATATTAGAAGCAACAGTGCTGCCTCATTCAGACGAAATGCGAAAGACGATACTTGATGACATGAAAAGGGACTTTTCACAAGAGCCATTCTACTGGGATTGGTTGGCAAGAGCTGAAATAACTGGCGGCCTCAAGACAATAAACTCCGACCAGCTGGCGAAAGCGGTTAAGGTGTTAGCTTTCTCCTTCATTCTTTCTTTTTCCTAGTCTTTGTATAATTGGTGTGAATATGCACGGTATCTGTTTGTGCATGGAATATAGCATTCCGAGATGCCTTACCTCAAGCTTCAAATGCAACATGTTGCATCGTGTTATTTGTTATTCAATGGCCCTGCAAACAGTTAATAAGATACGAGTCTAGTAGCATGGTTGATTACTTGTTATTTTTGGGCTAAACATTATAATTCAGTTGAAGTTCACTCAAATGCTTACATTGCTTAGAAGTTAGGTCCTTGAGTAGTATTACTACATGATTTTCAAGTTCAGTTTAATTGCATCCACAAGTTGATGTATTTGAATTCACTTCCATTCAATTGAAATTTCTGTGCCACAAAAGCATTAATTCTTCAAGTTTTTCCTGCAATTTTCTTGTGCTTGGGTGGTCTGGTTGTGAGTATTGGATAGTCCTGCTGCAATTTCACATGTAAATCTTGTGCTTCATGTTGGTCTTACTTATTGCTTTCCTACTTGCCCTTTCCTACAGTTGATGCTCGCACACTCACCTTTGGAGTTTGAACCATTCACAGGTTTATGAGGAAGGCATGAAGTTTGTACCATCAGCATCCATGGTGGAAGCTTATGTTAAATTCCTCATGGATGCAGTCAACAGTGAAAGCCAGGGTGGAGATACTGCCATTCAATTCCACTTTGATGGAAATACCACTGACCTTATTTTGCATCTCCAGACAGTGTTCGAGAATGCTGAAACCTTGGATTGTACAACTGAAGATCTTGCATGCCAACATGTTTCATTGCTTCTACAGCAGGGAAAAGTGAACGATGCCAAGATGCTGGTAGAAAATCTTTGTTCTGGGAAATTTTTAGACGGTGTACAATTGTGGAGTTTGCGGCTCTCCATAGAGATGAAATGCATTCAAAATAGATCTTCTTCACCTGAGAAGAGTGATCTAGTGTTCATCTTTGAACTCTTCAAAACCATATGGATGAGAGTTAGCATTTCTAAAGCAGAAAACCTGTGGATAATGGTAAAGACTCTTCAAAATCTTGGTTGGCAGTAGACGCATCTTTCTTTTTCTTTTCTCTACGACTCTTTATTATTAGTGTGGTATGCATGAGTTTCTAAACTTATCTGGAAATGCTTAAACTGAAACTTTAACTAACCTTTTTGTATTTTGTTTCCCCTCGGATTCTTGAGGTGGTCAATTCCTATATGACTCTTATCTTTCATTCATTCAGAAACCATGGATTTTTGGTGCCTGCTTATTGAAGTGATTTGCAATTATGTTGTAGGGGCTGAAATTTTTTGCCAATCAGAGACCTTTTTTTAACAAGCTTGTGAAGTGTGCAACTCTTATGCTGGCTAAAGATGGTGGAAGTGATAGCGGCTTCTCTCTATCATCAACAATTGTTAACCACATCCTTCAAAAGGATGGAGTTGAAAGTGCAAGAGAGATGTATAACAGGTATATCTCTCACCTGGTGATATACATGCGCTGTGCACTTAGCATAATGGCTTCTAATTACTTTTCCTTTTTTACCCAAATGCAGATTTCTTCCCTTGCCTCATCCAGGGCTGGCTCTCTATAAAACTTGCATAGAGCTAGAATTGAATCTTGCATCCACCGGTGATAAAACTGCTCTTAACATTGCCAGAAAACTGTTTGATTCTGCCCTTTCTACTTACCATGAAAATGCAAGCTTGTGGCAGGACTATCACAGCATGGAGGTCAAGGTAAGCCCAAGATCTATCTCCCATAACCATAAAGGTTTAAGAAAGACAAAATCAATTACATATGAATTAACAATGCTATGATGGACAGACATTACGGAAAATGCTTTATAATACTGCATCTTTATTAACAGATGGGAACATCAGAAACTGCTGCAGCCGTACACTGGCAAGCAACGAAAGCACTGAAAAACAACATTGTTCTACTGCGATCGACGGAGTAGTAAGAGAAGCTATAGTCATGGTTTCTGTATATTTCAACAACATTCAGTTTTGACTGCACACCATTGTTATAATTTAGTTATCTTAGTCCATTTTAATGGAGATGAAGCTATAGAAAGTGGCATTTCTTGAGCTTTTTGTATTTGCTTATTTATTGAATCATCCATCCATAGACATGGGAATGTTACACCATAAATACCCACTAAAATTTCTTCAAATGGCTCAGAATGCTTCTTGATATGGTCTTACAATGTCACACTCTTGGCCACTGTGGACTCACAACCTGCTTAGACACACAATTGAACAATTCAATCAATATATGTGACAATAGCTTAAGCCAGTTAAAGATGCTTTTTTTATGTTCCTTACCTCAAGTGTGCTAAATACTAGTCTCATTCGGCTCGATACAACCGAAGGCTCTTCAGCGCGGCCCAATACCGCCATTTGCTCCAGCTGGAGGGTCTTCACCGGAAGCCTTGAGTTTCACAGGCAAAAGCATCAATGCATGATTTCTTACTTGAAATGGGCATAACAACTTGAGTAGGATCTCACCAAGCCATTCCCCTCATAAAATAGGCATTCGCTATGATCGCACAGAACCCCTTCCACTCAACGAGCATGGCCTCCGACACTGGAGGAGTAGACGACCATCGCACTATGGTAGGCGGTGGCGTACAAAGAATCGTGATGAACACAAGGCTCAGCCACATTATACATTCGTCAACCTACGCAAAATTATCTAATCAATTCAGGAATAGCTTTACGTATACTTGTGCATATAACCGGAATTCAATAACTTACTTCTCGGAAGGTAATCTTAGACTTCAAACCCGTATTGCCACCGTATGATTGCATGGCTTCTATTTCAACGCCGGATTCCTTCATGGCAGTAAGCTCTTTCCTCAAGCTTTCGTCTGTGCATCCTAATGCATAAGCGTTCACGCCTGCGCTGATGAACTCCTAAGAACCATTCCATTAATGTTTCATCCGATATGAGAAAACCTTAACTCACAATATACCAAAAATTTGTAAAATACTACAGAATATACTTTTAGGTTGTCACCTCCTCCACGCTCAACATAGTTTCGATATCGCCTCAGCAAGCTGATTGCTATATTCCGCGATGATCTGTACTCATTTTCAGGACTTGTCGACTCTTGAGATCGACACTAGCAAAACAGAAAAAAAATACATAACAACAGTATATATATAGGATCAAACCACAGTTTGTTCTTCTTAATCTGCAACAATTTCCTTCTATGAAACTTTATACATCGAACTACCATCATATAAAGGTAAATGCTCACCAGCCATCTCTTTGAGCTGATTTGCTGCGAGAGACATTGGAGTTTGAGATGACTGTTGGGAATTCGCAAGAAAGGCCAGCTCGACCATCCTTTATGACACAGAACCTTAAAGGGAACTGTGGAATTTATATGAATCAAGGAATTAACATGCGTCCACTTGGGTGTAGTTACGTCTACCGCCATATTCATGTCTGCATATGTCTGGCAACCGGTCAAGGCTCCATGGAAATGACCCGCCAACATATTTGAACCAGAGCTTTCGAACCCTAATCAGTAGCAGGAGACACTAAATCTGAATCAGGGATATCAACGAAAGAATGGCTAATTGAAACGAATCATCACTAAAAAGAAAACCTTTTTCCTTCAAAGATAATGAAAAAATAAAAACAAAAAAGCGAATGATCGATCCAAATTTAGGGGCAGTAAACGTCGATCACATGCCAATAGGTATGATAAAGTTATATCACAAACTTCATAGAGAAATGAAGATTTGTATAATCTGAAATTCAACAAACCTCGTCAGTCTAAAAAGAATTTCAACCTTAATAAGTGACGCCAGCCGGAACCAGAAATTGCGAAAACAAAAATATCTGGAACCCTGCTTCTTGGTGCAGTCGTATAGCGAAAATGAAGATGCAAATGAATATATATATATATATATATCCAAGAATCTAGATGGGGGCCACGGTTTCGTGAATGATTCTGGAGATTGGCGCATATGATCCAGAAAAAAACACGCGACAATTTCACTCACTCAAACACTCAAATTGATTATTTTTTTTCTGGTCGATAATGCGTTTGGACTTCGACGCTCAACAGTGACGAGGCAAACAGCTATCCGACGTCGTATCGAGGAGCATCAATGGCGGTTAGGAGAAGGAATTTCCATTCCTGCCCTTTGCCCATCCCCCCACCAAACGAGACAGGAATAGGGTAACAGAAGCCACTCGCTGCGGATTGGTTTTGATTTTGGCAGAGAAAGCCTCCTCCACCCACTAAATCCATTTTCGATCCACCTTTCAATCGCCCGTATTATAATTAATTATAATATACTATTACTTTAACATTAGTGGATATTTCGCAAGCAAGAATAAAAGCGTTTTTATCTTGTTTATACAAATACACACATATATATTTATATATTGCGGTTCTGCAGATGCTGCATTGGGTTCCCCCATAGATTTAATTTTTCGTCAAGAATCTTGCAGCATTCGGGTACTAAGCGCTGTTCTCTCCCTACTTTCGATCTGAATGCTGATATGATCCGAGATTGATTTTAAATCGGTTCTTGATACTACTGCTTTTTGTGTGTATTTGGTGGGATTTCTTTTAACAGTGTCCCGATTGGATCTAAGTTTCAATTTATCGTATAAGTAGTGTTTCTGTCTTTATTTCGACGGTTGTGAGATTCAACAGACGGATGAAATATCAAATTTTGTCCGAATCATGTAGGAAGAGATTGGATTATTGTGTTATGTTGTGAATGTCGTGTTTCGAAGGTTGTGCATTCAATCTATTCGACGTATTGCTGGCTTATTTGAATCTGTAACATTCTTGTTGTTTGATGAGTTTTTCTATCTTTGAATTACCCTAAAATGATGGATTTTTATTCATCTTTTTTTGGAGTATGCTTTTCCAGTAAAGAACTACACTTTCGCCAATGGCAATAAACAGACCAAAAACTGTTTTTTGTGTGTTGATTTCTCATTAGATGGTGAAGCTTCAGCCTTACATGGTTATCGAATCTGTATGCATACTCTAGATGCAACTGCTAAATAGATCCATGTGCAAATTGATACAGAACTGAACACTATAAACATTACTACTGTTAGCAATGCATATTTCAATTTGGGCAGATAATTCGGAAAAATGAGAGGAGGGGGCTTGTGGCAGCTTGGTCAGGCAATTACTCGTCAATTGGCTAAGGCTGAAAAGAAGACTATTGCTCGGCGATGCTTTGCATCAGAGGCTGACCTGAAGAAGACTGCTCTGTATGATTTCCATGTTCAAAATGGAGGAAAGATGGTTCCCTTTGCTGGTTGGAGTATGCCGATACAATACAAAGACTCTATAATGGAATCTACGGTGAACTGTAGAGAAAATGGAAGCCTTTTTGATGTCGCTCATATGTGTGGTCTAAGCCTCAAAGGGAAGGACTGCATTCCATTTCTTGAGAAGCTCGTGATTGCTGATGTTGCTGGGCTGGCACCCGGAACGGGGTCTTTGACTGTCTTCACGAATGAGAAGGGGGGCGCAATAGATGATTCGGTGATCACCAAGGTGACGAATGACCACATATACCTGGTTGTGAATGCAGGTTGCAGAGACAAAGACCTTGCTCATATTGAGGAACACATGAAGGCGTTTAAGTCGAAAGGAGGTGATGTTTCTTGGCACATTCATGACGAGCGGTCCCTTCTGGCTCTCCAGGTTAGTTTTTGCATTCCTCTGTTTTTTTCGCAACATGATTTGTACTATCCGGTTCAATTCTTGATCTCTGAAAGAGCTTGGATGTGATATTTGTTATTATTTTCCATCGTTATTTTTTGAGTTGGGAGATTCTTTGCCATCCAATCCTTTTTATAATCGACAAAACTCATGGTACAGGGTCCTCTTGCTGCACCTGTTCTGCAGCACTTGACGAAAGAGGACTTAAGCAAGATGTACTTCAGTGACTTCCGAATGTTAGACATCAATGGCGTACACTGCTACCTCACAAGAACAGGGTATGCTTCTTTATGCATTTCAAATATGATTTGCATATCCGACACAATTGATGAAGAAAATGTCGTAGTGAAGCCATCTTTGTCAGAATTTAAAATTCAATTACTCTTTCGATACCATCACAATGAGTTTGCCATCTTTATACGACCTCACAGGTATACCGGCGAAGATGGTTTTGAAATTTCAGTTCCTTCGGAGAATGCTGTTGATCTTGCAAAAGCCATCCTAGAAAAGTCCGAAGGTAAGGTTAGGCTGACAGGGCTTGGAGCTCGGGACAGCCTCCGCCTAGAAGCTGGTCTGTGCTTGTATGGTAATGACATGGAGCAGCATATCACCCCTGTCGAAGCCGGGCTAACATGGGCTGTTGGAAAGAGGAGAAGGGCCGAAGGAGGATTCCTCGGCGCCGAAGTGATACTGAAACAAATCAAAGAAGGTCCGCCGATCAGGCGAGTCGGATTGTTCTCCGACGGCCCGCCTGCCAGAGGACACAGCGAGATTCAAGATGAACAGGGGCAGAACATTGGGGAAGTTACCAGTGGAGGATTCAGCCCCTGTCTGAAGAAGAACATTGCCATGGGGTATGTTAAATCGGGGAACCACAAGGCGGGCACCAAAGTGAAGATCCTGGTTCGTGGCAAGATCTACAATGGATCCATTACCAAAATGCCGTTTGTCCCCACTCAATATTACAAGCCACCATCGTCTTAAAAACTGTTTCTTGATTCTTGACAGACGATGTTAATTCGTTGGTGATTTGTATCTTTGACATTAATGCTGTTTCTTTGGTTAATTTAATAACGAGGTTTCTTGCATTTGATTTGATCAGTCGAATGAATTAGATTGGAATTTTTGGATCTTGTTTGTGTTAAATGAGATTAAATCCGATGGACAGACGAACATCGCAAGAAGGTGTAATAAGCACTGTAATAATGAGGGCCCCCAGTACTATGGCGACGTCAGCAATAAATATCTTAGTCCGAATTCCTTTTTAAAGACTTTTTAAAGAATCCCTTCTGAGCAGAAATACTGCTACTCGAAGAAGGGATGGGGTCTGTTGCGAAGAACGGTTTGCAGAAATATTTGGTGCAGCTCCAGCAGCACCCTTTGAGAACAAAGGTTTCCATCGCTCTCGTATCTCTGCTGTAATAATAATTCTTTATTTTTTTAAAAATCTTGAAATTGGAGCAGGTGATAACAGCTGGAGTATTGTCGGCGATCAGTGATATAGTAGCGCAGAAGCTCTCTGGCTTTCAGAAACTTCAGCTTAAACGCCTTCTTCTCAAAGCGGTATATATAGCTTTTCTTTTTTCCTTAATTTGGTTGAATGAAGTTAGTTCTTGGGCTGTTCTTCTGAAGAAATGCATCAAGATACAGTGCTAGAAGTTTGGTTTCAATTTTGCATACTTTCTTGAAAATGAAGAATTGTGTTTATCTGCTGCATATACAAAATCAAGCTTTTGACAGTAGTTAATTGTATGATTAATGATCATGCTGAGTGCAGGTGTTTGGTGCTGCCTATCTGGGGCCATTTGGGCATTTTTTTCATATATTGCTGGATAAACTCTTCAAGGGGAAGAGGGACTCCAAAACTGTTGCCAAGAAGGTATGCTTTACTTACATCTCCTTCCAAGACTGTTACATACCCGGCTTTCGATTCTGTAGATTTCATGTTGGAGTTTAGATTTGTTCGGATTGAGAAAAAAACAACTGGAGAAAATTAATGGCAATTGAATGTTCATTTCAGGTAGTGGTGGAGCAGCTGACATCCTCACCATGGAACAACATGCTGTTCATGATTTATTATGGACTTGTTATCGAAGGTGAGTCTTGATTTTCAGCTCATTAGCATATTGATCATACACTGGAAAGATTTTCCTTTTCCTTCTTGGAGAATGGCATGAAATGAAATGGAGAAGATAAACACTACATTGCAGGGAACAATGAACATCAATCATAATATCCATCCATTTATATTCATGTTTTTTGAAAATTTTGATGGAGGAGGTAGCCATTAATAATGTAATCTCAATCCACAGGAAGGCCATGGATCCATGTGAAATCTAAAATCAGGAAAGAATATCCAACTGTGCAGTTCACATCCTGGACAGTATGCTGCTTCTGCTGCTATTATTAAATCTCTTAAATCACTGCTCTTTGCCATATTTACAAGCATTGTTCTGATTTTATCCGGCGCAGTTCTGGCCAGTTATCGGATGGATAAATCACCGGTATATGCCTTTGCAGTTTCGAGTTGTTCTTCACAGCATCGTCGCGTGCTTTTGGTACTCACCATTTCACCCTAGGTTAAATCTTGTTTTTACTTAGTTTGAATCATTTTATAGTAATTTTTAGTGTGTTCATTTTGCAGGGGAATATTTCTGAATCTGAGAGCAAGATCCATGGCCATCACCAAAGGATAAGCTCTTATAATTTAGAAGAAAAGATAGCCAGCCACACAATAAGTTAATATATTTTGTTGTTTTTATCCAAATTGCATATATATGATTCACAGATCTGTGATTGTAGTTTGTATGGCTGAGATGAGATGGAATGAATGGCTCTTCTTCTTCTTGTTCTTGTTCTTGACCATGAAAACTTCAACTTTGAATCATACATCTTCCACTGTTTGAACATTTTGAATTTCCCTCTTGTCAATTTTTAATTCAAGACTAGTTTCAAAAGAGGACGAAAATAGATTGGTTCAACTGCCTATCAAATAGTATTGGATTAATAAAATACTTCTTTGGTAACAGCAGACACAAGAAAATCAAATAAAGTGCAAAATCTATATGTATGTGTTAAATATTTTGAGATATACGCCTTTATATTTTAATTCTTTTATTATATAACCTTTATAATTTTTTATAAAAATATACTTTTATATTTAATCGTTATTTAAATACAAATAGAAACCAAACCCACTGCAATTTACGCTACCTTTTATTTTATTTAATTCTTCATTTTTTATTTTATTTTTTCAATTTTTCAATGCCAAGATACACAAAAACACTAGTTATTTGTGGTATTCTTTTAAATACAAATTTATATCATTATATATTAGTTTTTCAATCAGCAGTGTTGACGTTGGCTCGTACCTTAATAATGTTGCAAATAGGTTTAATTAAATAACTTATTTATTCAACGTAACCGTTGATAAATTAAACAAAAACATTATAAATAATTAAATTTAACTGCCCTACGCTCTTGTGGACTGCCAAATAATACATACACACACTTTCTGACTCTATTTATATATTGTTATTACATGTGTACGGATTTTAAAATAATTTAGATTAATTTTCAATAGGGTTTTTGGCCAATAAGAAATTTTGACTCTTGATTATTTCCATTTCGATGTATTTGAAAGTCAATCCCCAACTGCTGCTAAATAAAAATACTAACCTCTATATATTATTACTCCAATAAAATGCTAAAATACATAATAATAAAACTTGATCAAATCAAAGACCAGAGAAACAGTCTTCTTTTCTTGTTCATTCAAGAAATTGATTCGGAGGGAAATTTTCAAATGTTCAATTCATGGTCAGAGTCAAATCCTTTCTTCTTTCTATATATAACCACACGCCCTCTCCTTTCTTCTTCATTCTCACCAGAGATCCTTAATTAGCTCACCTTACAGTGAAATCTTTGTACAAACGAAAGCTTAATACATACATTAATGGCAACCTTGAAAATGTCGAGTGTTATCCTAAATTCATCAGCAGTTTCTGCTGCCGCCAGACAAAGAGGGCTAATTAAGGCCGCCATTAACATTTCTTTACCGGGCCTTCGATCTCGAGGAGGATTAATGGCGGAGGAAATGGAAGTTAAGAAGAAACAGATGAGCCCTGTCAAAATCCCGACGACAATCCGGCGAACTAATGATCGGAGCGACGCCGCCGATCCGGCGGCGATGGCGAAGCTTTACGCGGTCATGGAGGCCGTGGCGGATAGGATTGAGATGCACAACAACATTGGAGACCAAAGGGCAGATTGGAATAGGCTTCTTTTGACATCGATCAACACTATTACTCTCGCCGCGGCCACCATGGCGGTTATTGCCGCCATCAACGGCGGCGCTGCCGTGAAATTCTCTTCCACCGCCATGTACGCCGCGGCGACTGGTATGCTGTCGATTGTTAACAAAATTCAGCCGTCGCAGCTGGCGGAGGAGCAGAGAAATGCCGTCAGGCTATTCAAGCAGATTAAAAATCAAATCGAAACCCTGATTTCAATTGGGAATCCGACGAACGATGACGTGAAGGAGATGATGGAGAGAGTGCTGGCCCTCGACAAGGCATTCCCGCTCCCCCTTCTCGGCGTCATGCTCGAGAAGTTCCCGGCGGCGATGGAGCCGGCGGTCTGGTGGCCGGAGCAACGACGGCGGCGACAGCTTAAACAAAATTCAGGTTCCAACAATGGCTGGAATGGGAAATTGGAGGAAGAAATGAAGTCAGTCGCGAAAGTCTTGAGAATTAAAGACAAAGAAGATTACATAAAATTGGGAACTAAAGCTCTGAATCTCAACAAATTCCTCGCCGTCACCGGGCCAGTGCTGACGGGGTTGGCCGCCGTGGGCTCCGCTCTGGTGGATTCGCCGACCCACGGCGGTTGGGCGGCGGCGCTAGGAGTCGCCGGCGGGGCGCTGGCGAGTGTTGTGAACACGATTGAGCACGGGGGACAAGTGGGAATGGTGTTCGAAATGTACCGGAGCAACGCCGGATTCTTTAAAATGGTGGAAGAATCAATTGAATCGAACCTGAGGGAAGAGGAACCGGAGAGAAGGGAGAATGGAGAGATATTTGAACTGAAGATGGGATTACAGTTGGGAAGAAGCTTGTCGGAGCTCAGAAATCTGGCGGCGATGGCGGCGGCCGTCGACAGGGAAGAAGACATTGATGAGTTTGCAAGCAAGCTTTTCTGATAGCCCATTTGCATGCATGGGTAGACGATGACAATTCTTTTTATTTATGTAATTGTAGGAAATACGTGTAAAAATCAGAATAAATAAATAAATAAATTCTTTAATTGATTGTATACAGTGAATTCCTTTTTGATCCATTCATTAACTAATTGGGTGAGTACGCAGAATTTATTGCAAATAAATGTAGCTCTGAATTGTGCGCAAACTACTAATTAAAAAGCAATGTCGGCATTACATAATCAGCTGATTTCTGTATAAAGTGGTATGTTTTTATGCGTCGATGACGATGCTAATGATTGTGGCATGTCGGTAAAATATTAAAAAGGGAATTAATAAAACTGAAGGGATCGTTATGCAAATAGAAACAATGAAGTTATGGTCCTCCTGTAAATTAATTTGGTTCGGTTCAAATACAGGTCAGGTATGATAAGGGCTTTCAGTCTCCCTCCCTCTCCTCTCCACCCTCACTCATAGTCATAGTCATAGCTGTCTGTCAGAGATCAATCGCGAACCGATTTCCATTGAAGATGCAGCTTCAATTGCTGTTCGCTCTCATATTCGCGGAGATGGCGACGATCGTGGTGTTCCTGTTCCGAACTCCGCTGAGGAGGCTCGTTATAATCGTCCTCGACCGTACTAAACGCGGCCGCGGCCCAATCGTCGCCAAGACGGTGGCGGCGATTTTGTTCGCCGTCATGTCGACCGCCGTCTACAATGCGGCGGCCGTCCGGCGGCGTTGCCTCCTAGAAGGCGGCGAACTAAATCCGACGGACCATATTCTCCTCGCTCGGAACCTTCTCGAAGCTTCTCTCCTCGGTAATTCGCTTACAAAATCCTCACCTACAATCTCATTTAAATCCGATATATTATGGATCATTCATTATTGGTGGTGTTGTATAATTATTGTTCACAGGATTCTCTCTATTCCTAGCACTGATGATCGATCGGCTGCACCATTACATCAGAGAGCTGCGCGTGAGGAGGAAGAAAATGGAATCTTTGAAGAAACAAACTCGAGTTTTCCAAGACATTAAGCCTCCAGCATCTGAGGAAATCATGGTACTGGAGCAAGAGGTGTCTAATTTGCAGGGAAGAGTAAAGCAGCTGGAGGCACAAATAGAAGACAAGACTAAAGAAGCTACCGGCGCCGAAGCCGACGCCGAGGCATTAAAAATGCGATCGGAAGAGTTCCTTCTCGAATATGGCCGATTGCTCGAGGAAAACCAGGCCCTCCGAAGCCAACTGCAGTTTCTTGATCACAGGCAACCTGTGTAAATCGGATTTACTTATGTATGCGTTGTCTGTCGAAAAGTTCCATAAGTTTAAACAAAAACTGTCCTAAACTACTAATCCAAACTTCACTCTTTATCGAAACGAGCCAGATAGATATGTTAGGTTCTAAGACAAGTAAAACAAACGCAGTCTAAGCAGCTTCCGCAAACCCGACTCTCAGTTTGCCAAAATCGAACACGGTGTGATATCGGCCCATAAAGATGTCTCCCAAGATCCTAGACATTGAACCAAGCAGAAAGTCATAAATTATGGAAGAACAGATCATATGAAGGCTGAGAGTTTATTGCTAAGTTCAGAAATTTTTACCAAAGAGGCCCTCGAGGAGGCGGAATGTCCAAGCCGGTGAATCCGCTAATGCACTGCGCAGCAGCTCCCTCGCCGATCTTGAGTATGTACTGCATTTAAGTTCACATTGTTATAAAAAAAAACAGCTAAAATGAATTGAGTTCCACTGCTGATTCGATGATTGTGTTCTTACCTCATGTGGGGAGAGATCGAAGACCTTTTCACCAATAGTGAAGGAAATGGAAGGCATGGAAGATATGCGTTCACAGTTAACAGTCGATTCTCCGGTGGGATTTGGAAGCCGCTCGCACAGCTTCAAGTTCAGTTTAACATGGTGAGCGATTAGAGAAACTGCCTCGTCAGCCTTATTAACACAACATATACCTCATTTGCATAGTCGAGGATACGTTCTTGAGTCTGGTTCCTTTTGAGCTGGTTTTGCATCCAAACGACGGCCATTTCACAGGAGGAGCACTTTCCATCGCGCAAGCCAGATGACTTTCCTTGCTTTTCATCTACTACGCTCTCAATACCCGCACTACATGAAAAGAACAAGAATGTATCCAAATAACGGTTCGGGAGGGTGGGGAATCAAAGGGGTATAGTAACAAACCTAACACCATGATTTCCATCGAAGGTGCACAAACCAACTTGGGAGCATATCTTCTTAGGTTGAGCCTGTAGCGCATATGGTTGATCTGTGAGAAAATATACACTACTTTGAAGAGGACGACAGTATGCTAATAGCTAATCCTTACGTCTGATAAAAGAAGATCGACAATAGTTTGCCCATATTGTTCAACCACAGCCTTGCATTCTTGGCTGACGAGTCCAGTAGCCCCAATGGCATGATTGATCATCGCGACCAGAGTCTGAAAACATACAAAGAGACTAGGAGACTTGTCAACAACCAAATCAATTTAAAGCAAGTCACCTTGTTCTAGACTCAAAAGCAGCAATTAGTTTCAGAGTGAAGCCAGAACATACAGTTGGCCCAGCTAACAGAGAAGTCCCAGAGTCCGCTATAGCTGAGCATCCTCCATTGCAGAATCCTAAGAAGCTTAACGATGTTAGACCACAGCTTCAGGGAGGGCATTTTAGATTTACACGATGAACTCGGCTTAAAAAGAGTATGATTAAAGTTGCATACCGCTTTCTTTACCATCAATGAGTACATCACCCATATCAAACTGTCAATTAACCACACAAAGATTATATACTTCATTCAGAGTATGGTCCAAGTAAAAGAAAGAAAGAAAGCAATTGTATAGCCAACCTGCCAGTATCCTTTCTGTGTCACAGGAACATATGTATGCTTGCCTTTAAAATGGTGTTTATCAACCCCACCAAATACAATTTCACCACCCTCTTCATCCTCCGGGTTTCGATTGAGCCAAAAGGAGAAGACAGGATCCTTGACAAGACCTTGTTCAACCATGTTGTACCTTAAACAAACATAAGTAGTGTCGACAAAATATGAAGCAACTAACAGGCAGCAACAAAATTATTATCCTTGAATGCTCACACACTCCCAATAAGAAGATTTAGCTCGTACCATACTGGTGTCGCATTTCCAGCAGAGATCTCTTTGAAGCCAAGCCCCAATAGGCCATCGAACTTGGCCACCAAAAACGTAATACTAGGTTCCCTTGTAGCCTCAATGAATTCCTAGAGAATTCAAAACCAATTATTCTCCATGCGTAGATAAGCATGTAAATCATAAATCCAAATTCAAATCAGACAACCTGTCCCTTTACAACTAGGTCACCAACTTTGACACTATCCTCACTAAAGAATCCAGATATAGATCCAGTTCCATAGCTAATTGCAGCAGGTTTCCCTGGAAACGAACAATGTCATCAGATATCTTCCCAAATTCTTACGCAACTTGTTCATGTTGGAAGAAGGATAACCTTAATCGCAGCAACCCTGTTTCTGATATCTATATATGACATATTCATTACATTGAAAAACATACACGATCGTTAATAAACCCAAATCCAACTATTCAAAGCTTATGAATCCTCTTTGGCTTGGAATTACAGAGAGAGCAAGTGGTTGAATCTTTTTTCAGTAACAATAAACACACCCACAAAGTAAATGGGAGATTAAACAAACCGTTCTTTTTGTAAGTGCTGGACTGGCTGGACTTGTACTTTGAGTGGAAGTAACAAGGGATCTGCAACAAGATGAACAAAATCAAAAATCTCCCAATAATCCTTCTTATCTAATAGCTGAATACTAACTATTTAACAAATGCCGAGCCTTACGGATAAGTAGCATTTCGAGGATGGCACCCACAGATTGGAGCTACCAGTGTCAAAAATGACAGTGAATGTCTGAGGGGGAGTGCCTATACCAATCTCACCATAGTACTGCGCATCCAGGTAATTCTTCAGTTCAACAATGTCAGTGTCATGTTTATCCTGGAACTTATAGCTCCTGATTGGACTTCGTAAGGCCCCTGCTTTTCTGGACTTAAGACGAGCTGCAAACCTGTTGCTTTGATCCAACTTCACCCTTTTTAGGCCTATCCTGAGTAGTCCGTCATTTGTTGTAGTAAAAGCAGTAGAAGACAACAACAGGCTTGAAAGTAAAAGGATTATGGCTGAAGTTGCGATTTCGATTTTCATATTTCACTGCACCATCAAATAACCACAACAGAACCATTTTAAAACAACAATTGGGGCAAATCTCTAATCTATAAAAGCTTCAGTACTGTTTTCTGCTTGCATGCATTGGCATTATCAGTAAGGAACAAGGTTTGAAAATTCCTGTACATAACAGAATCTTCATCCCCAATATCACAATTCATTGCCAAAATATGAAACTTCACCCCCTAATTGTTTCCTTTCGTTTGGTATTGCACCGTAAAACAAAAATTACGCTACCGAAAAATGCCCTAAAATTTATTGAACAGGAATCAATCAAATATAACAAACAATCATACGTATAGAGACGCAAATGGATGCATACAAACCCACAGAGACGACGATGAGAAAGAGGAGATGAAAACATACACAACAAACAATCTTCGAAATCTGAAGGCGAAACAAGGTGGTGTATGTAATACCAGCAGTGAACACACTCTTTATGATCGATCACAACACAGCTGCTCTCCCAAGAAAAACCATCCGTCGATTAAGATCAAGAAATGCTATTCACGACCGTAGGATTTCGTATCGAAGGGCCCAGATGGACGGGCATCGAGCGCCGTTGGATCAAATGCATTCCGGTGTGATCCGACGGTAATAACGCCACTAAAAAACCTAGAAGCGCGAGAATCGGTCGTATTCGTGGATGATGGACACCCAACGTGCAGAATAGCGACGTCGGAGTGATGCCAGGTACTGCCACGTGTCCTGAATATAATCACGTGTCAGCCATGCACGTCTGTAGTTTTTTTTTTAACTAATTTTTTAACCAATAAAGAAAACCCCAAATAAAAAATAAAAACACAAGAATTGGGCTTTCAGATATTGGGGCAACCAAATAAAATTTATTAAAAGGGAAACTAAATAAAAGGTAACGCGGGAAATGACGAAAAAGCCCAAAGGTACATCATCGTACGGTTGGATTAAGGCAAAGTACAGTCGGGCGGGGCCCGCCCGAAATCTCGCACTCGCACGTTGGGCGATGATTGATTGATTGATTTGCTGTCCAGTCAAAAGCTATCGTCGTACTCCACTTTCCCAATTGAACCAAATTCTTAAATTGGTGTGGATGTATTTATTTATTTTCATTGCAAACTCTTGTCTCGATTTAGTTATGAATACATTTGGTGTGAATGTACTAAAATCGGATCCACACCCAAATCAGCAAATTCTGACTTGTACACGAAATGGAAGCACTCCTCATTTTGCTATTTTTTTGTTGGATTGGATCATTGTGCCAAATTTGCTCTTTGCCAGAAACTGAACGAACATGTTTCGTGTGAAAATGGAAGCTGTGGAGAGATCCGAGATAGATAGATGGATGGATAGACATTACTGAGGTTAATTTGGTCATTGGTGTTTTATTTGTATTTTCTTATCACCTGTATAAAGTCAAATAAATAATTATAATTACGAGGAATATTATAATTATACATATTTTTAGAATTTCAAGAAGCTAAGGGGTTTGGTTGGTTAGGATTTGGCAATGATCAAAATTTATCGTAATTTACACAAAAAGTTTGAAATTTGTATTTTTATATAAAAACCATTTCCAATTTTCTTTAAAAAAAAAATAGTCTTGATAGCTACTACAAGGTCAAAGGATGTGTAATTTGTCTGTTTGTATTAATATAAAAATAGATGATTTTATTAGAAGCGCCGTAAACTTCGAAGCTAACCGGTTCTAATCTAATCACGTCGTCACATTGCAGGCTATATATATAAATATATAAAACTAATTAAATCGCTAGTATTAATTAATGCATTTATGATAACCCACTATTTTTATTTTTATTTTTTTTAGGTTACATTATTGGGATTGGAATAGTTCAAAGGAAGTTGGCTTCAAGTCTTCAAAAAGTCCAGTATAGTATAGTATAGTATACAAATATTAATTGAAGTCCTAATTTGTTTACGTGTCAAACAGCTATGGCCGGAGTTGTTGACCTCTTAGATTGTTCTGCAACATTTGGTCCTCCCATCTTTATTACTGCAGGTCCCGAATTGTCTGCTTCTGCTTCAACTTCATTTTTCTTTGTTCGTAAATTAATAATGAAAATAGATTATTGGATTGGGAAAGCATAGGAAAGAATTGTGTGTGTCCATTCAAACATCGAACAATATATGAACATGTTAATCCCACTGGGAAAGGCCAAAAAACTAATGACAAAGTACATCTAATACATGTCTGGGATTCAAACAAAAATTAACCTAGTAACAAAGTACCAATGATGAAGCTGTCGGAAAATTCTTACTCGTCGTATTTACGGTGGGGGTTGTTGTTGATTGTCGTTGGGATTAGAAGATTCGCTGGTGTTGCTCGGCTGAGAGCCGCCGCCGATCATGGAGGAGATTGCGGCGACGAGGACGGCTGTGAAATTAGGGTCTCCGGCGATGGCAGCCGTGGCAGCGCGGAGATTCTCTGCAGACAACGGCGGCACCGTCGCCGGAGGATTTTGAGACGACGACGCGCCATCGTTGCTTTGCTGTGAGAGCTGAAGACCCGAAAACTTGGACTGATTGTACAGTGCCTGGCCGAAAGGGAAGGGAGGAGCTAACTGATTTGGGGGAGAAATTAGGTTTTGAGGCGGGAATTGCAGCGCCGCCGCCGCCGGAAGTGTCGGAAATGGCGATGAATTTGAATTTGAATTTGCATTTTGGACTTTTGTCAAGTCAAGAGTGACGGTGGGGAAAGGAGCAGTAGCTGAGATTGCTGCAATGTTTGGATTAGATAATGGAAGAATGGTTGCCAGGATTTTAGGATCAATCGTCCCGTCGGCGGTCGGCATGGCGCCGGAAAGAACCACGCTGGCGGCGGCGGAAGTGGCCGCCGACATGGATTGGGCGGACCCGGGCAGTACGTGGTTGTGCACTCCTTCGTAAGTTGTGATCAGTACTCCTCGATCTTCAGCACACCTTTGAATCTGCCAGCCATTAATGAATCAAGTTTATCAGTAACATGAAATAAAGCGAACCAGAATCCATTGAAATATAAACTTCTTTACCACATACTTGTTTCCGAACAGGACAGTTCTTCGACATTGTGCAGCGGTAATAAGCTCGTGGGCACGGGTTCCCTTTCGCTATTTTTTGTCCGTACTTTCTCCATTGACACCCGTCTGCGATCTGCACATCGTACAAATATTTCAGCACAAACAAACTGATAAAAAAATTTCGATCAACGACGGCGACACCGGATCGTTAGTTACCGCGGGAGCCTCCGATCGGGCCCGGACGGCGACACGTGTCTTCTTAATCGTTGCCTCGGAGGGCCGGGCCGGGCTCGGGCTCGGGCTCCGTTTGGGAGCCTTGTTGCTTGCAGATTCGGGGCTCTCGTCCCTTACACCTCTCTTCTTCCTCGACATCTCGAAATTGTTGTGAGCTGATTCGGAAACGGTTCTTTCTTCCGACAAGGAATTGGACGGCGCCTGGTTGGTTGCCACGTCGAGGAACCGTCTTGGAAGGATCGGAAATCCCTGGATTATTTCTTGCCTCCGATCATTAGTAGTTATTGCCTTGTATTGATTCTGTAACGCCTCGTAATTGATAGTCGCTTTATGAAGCATTTCTTTTAGCCTCCGATTCTCAAAATTCATTTGCTGTAATTGTAGTTGAAGCTGCGCCAGCTAAGCACCATCACAAAATCGATATATCAAAACGAATCCTCCCAGTCCCAGAAATTCAATTGAAGTAGTCATCAAACGACGACGTTGCATACCTCATTTCTGGCCCTCCGATCTTCCGCATCGGAAGACAGCCCATCGTCCACCGTCGATTGATCACTGCCGGTCGCCAGCTGCAAACCAGTCTACAAATCGAAAACAAGAAATGGTGTCAATAATCAGAAAATTAGATTAATTTAATCTAATTTAATTTCTGGGCTTAATTTACAACTCACGTTTACATCCAAATGTCTGGCCGCAGGGTTCGAGATTTGATTTACATTATTATCCTCCGCAGTATCTCTGGGTATGTTCTTCCCTAAATAGTCCACCAGCTCTTTCAAAACCACCAGCTGTTCATCGGCGGTTTGGTCGTCGTCTTTCCCACTCGAATCCATCGGAAACATAATCAATCCGTTGCTCCGATGATCCAATCTCGGACTGAAATTAAACCCAAAACCTTGTCTATTCCTAAAAAACCCAACCTGATCGGAATTCTCAAGGGTGAGACCACCCCATCCTCTATCCATATATCAAAATCAAGAACACAAACTTCAAAGAGAAGAGATGGAGAGAGAAAATGAAAGAAAAACGAAAGAGGAAAGAAACGTGGAGAATCCAAGAAGGAAGTCTTCCACAGGTGCAAGAGACGAGTGTATATAAAAGGATCGATCGATCGAGGAGTGGGGATGTTGAAAATTTTCAGTTTGGACCAAGAAAAAATTGCCAATGGGATTTCGATGGGTCGTATGTGTGGGCCAATTGAAGAGCGAGAGAGGCCCCCCTCCCCCGTCTCTATGCTGACGTAAGGTGGTGCGTCAGGCCCCCCCTACTGACAGGTGGCATCGGCCCCTCTCATGGACTTTCGTGAGAACTCTGTAGCTTCGTCCAATATTCGTCGTCGACATTTCAGTTTGACTCCTTCGCACCATAATCCACAGCTTTTTTTAAAAAAATTTATTTTAGCTTAATAGAAATAGAAATCCGCCGGCCCGAGCCGTGCGCCGCGTTCCACGTGACGAATAAGAAAAAAAGGGCTCCGAGAACACCCCCGTTGAGAGAGTCAACGTCTTGACTACCTGATCCTACGCCGGTCCGGTGGTTTAAGGTCAGTTTAGATTACCGTAAAAAATAGATAGGTGTCAAAACTACAAGTAATATATATTTAGATACATAAATAATTTTTTAAAAACTATTTACATATAATAAAATTAAAAATATATTTAATTTGTCAAAATTACCGGAAAAAAATATATATATTATTAATGCAAAAATCAATTTTCTATTAATTATATAATTTATCTTTTTAATTATATTTAAAAAAAAAAACTTCAATTATGGAGTATAAAAAAGTCTATTTATTAGATTTTGTAACTTATTTTTTTATTTTAAATTTAGTTATAATATAATAATTAAAAAATTAATTATACTTTATAAATTTAAATTGTATACTATAAATTTTTTTTAAATATTAATATCTCAATTATAATTTTAATATATTATATAACTTAATTATTTATTATTATTAATAAGGAAAATTACTTTTACAATTAAAGTATTTTTTTTATTAGGAGTAACTCCAATATGATTTTAAAAAATATTTTTTTTTATTTTTTTTTTACTTTTAAACAAAAATAAATCTAAATATATATATCAATTTTTTTAAAAAAGTAATAAAAAATTATAAAACAAATCCCCACCGAAATTTTCGTTCCAAAACAACCTCTATTCTTCTATCCCATTGTAAATATTAGTCCTTTTTCTTTTTCTTTTTTTTTTTAAAAAAAAAAAATCAATCGAGGCCGTACTCACCGATCATTTTTACGGTCCCTCTGTTTCAAAGATTTATGTCATTAATTATCCAATCAGATATTACTTTTAAAAAAAATGAAAAAAAAAAAAAAGTTGAATTGAATAGAATTGGTCTAGTTGTAGGTGGGGACACGTAGGGGTAGGGCGTGCGGACAAGGCGGTAATATACGCCCCAGGCGGGATTTGGCTATGGCTATGGCTAAGGCTAAGGCTAAGGCTATCCTATTAGGCTAGGCGAAGGCTAAAATTAGCCACACGGACGGGGTCGGGACCGCGTCGTTTGCTTAGACTTAAAGCGTTGAACTTTTCGGACCATATTTTTATTGATTGTTACATGTAATAAATGAGTTATTAAATGGACAAGTCAGTTATCTAACTCTAGTTATTTTATTTTTTTTAATTATTCTTTTTATAAAAAAATAATTTAATTTATTTGAATATTGTTACTTCAAGTTAACTAATCACCCGCAAGATAATGTAATGTATTGAAATAATGAATGAATGATCTGCTCAACGCATTTTAGAAATTATATATTAAATTATGGTGGAATTTTATGATACATATGTTGCTGACTGATTGGTCAATGCCTTGCGCAGAAGGGCTGTCTGTGGGTATGGGTTTATTTAGACTAACGTGTTTCCTATTTTCTATATATTTTCAATATTCAATTAATAAAAAGTCACATCATTTTCACCATGCCGGCTGCCCAATTTCACATCTTCACTCTTTATTATTATTATCATTATTTATAAATTATTATTTTTCTTTTTTAATATCATTCAAATTTCTTCATTCAAGCACATAAAATTGACCAATGACCAACTTTTAGTCTTACACAAAATCGTATATTGCCTTTTTCTAGCCCCATTTAATAAATGATCCAAAAAAGATTTTTTCTTTTTATTTTTTTGTGTGTATTCAGAGACTTGTCATTTGGTGATTTTCCAATGTGGGTCTATCTTCATAAATAGAAATCCCATGACACCTCACACCTCACACTACCACTTGATAACTATCACACATGCTTCTATCATCCCATACTTAGATTTTCAAACAAAAAATTATTTCCAAATTGTATTTCTATATTTATACTTTTTTTCTCTAAAATTTAAAAGAGTTATAAGAAAGATCAATAAACAATTGATTTACATTTTTTTTTTTTTAATCTCAAAATATTGTAAAATAATAATGTATAGCCAATCTATTACCATCTCCATAATCCCATCAATGGGACCATGAAATCTCGTTATAGGAAAGCGATAAGAACTTTTGTTATTGGGTTTTAATTAATTTATAATTTTGAATAAAAAGAAAATGTACATGTTTAAAAAACGTGGGTCTAATTAGTGTGGGAAACAATAATGGAGGGGCTGCTACAACTTTTTTAATTTATTTCAATATAAAGGATACATGTGTGTGGAAAATAATTCCATTCTAAAGGAAGATGATTTGTTGGATAAGTCATGCATGCATGCACGCACGTAAAGTATCTTGTATTTTTCCACACAAGCCTAACAGTTGGCCACCACGAGCTTTAATTATATATATATTGTTGACACGGACGGATTTAATTATTTATTAATTTATTTAATTTCTGGAAAATCCGGAGGCGATAGAACTACCAATTTTTCAAGATTTTAATTTAATTTTCACCCATATTGCAGATCAATTAGCTATGTATAGGCTTGAAATTTAAATCCCTTTTTTTAAAAAAAAAAAATTGACAAATCTATTGGAGTATATGTTCCTTTTTGACTCACAATTTCTTGAAATTAAAGGGCCATGCACCATCCTTATTTCTTGCCAACTTTTTTTCAACCATTATATTCGATTTATTGATTTCGATATAGACTATACGATGATATTATTCCTCAAATGATCTGATTTGTATTGGAAAAATAATATAATTCGTAAATTCAAGAGATATGAAGATAATACCAAGAAATGAAAATGAATTAAAAAAATTTGTTTGGTTGGCTCGTGCAAGGCATGCACCGCAAATTAAAGGCATATACATGCATGACCAATTTTAAATTAATTTCTCTCTTATATTAAATTAATTTATTTGGTAACTACGTACGTGAGCATGTGTTTATATATATACATATTATTTAATTTAAATTAAAGTAGTGGACAACATATTGTCTGCCCTTGTGGCTTTCAATGGACAAGCTTTTCCTGTCTATGAAACAGCTGGTCACCCCAATTCAACACCACCTTGGCCCCATTTCTAATAATAATAATAATAATAATGATAATGATAATAATAATAATATATCTGTATCTATATATAAAAGTGTGTATGTTATAGTATTTAGATGCACTTAATTAAATCAATCAGACAAAATATTTTTTTCTTCAAGAGTAATTAATTAATACTACAAAAAAATAATATATTTGTAATGGAATTCTGAGTTTACGTAGCTAACGTAATTCCATTTCTAATTTCGTCTCTAATGTTATTAGTAACGGGAAAAATAGATTTAGAGACAAAAAAATTTTGTTATAAAAATAATTTTTTCTTGTAGTGTAATATATATATATATATTTTGTCACCATAGATATTATAGAAATATCTGGTCTTCCATGAAATATGGAACCAACAAAACAAAAAACTTATCAGTAGAAATACGTCGATAATTATCAAAAAAATTATTTTTTAAAATAAAAAATTAAAATAAAATTATGTGAGATTTATGTTTGACTATAGGCAGAAAATGCTGACCAGCTCAAATCCTCCGGAGAACCCGCCTCTCCGAACACCCACCCCATCTTCCCCATTAAAGTATTCGTATGGGATCTCAGGTCCCGGACCTCAACGAAATACAAACATCTGCCGTATTTGCTATACTTGATCACGTAGAAATTGTGGCATGGGATTAGGTAAGATTGTGACTGAGACTTATTCGGACAAAAATTGTAAGATAAAGCCCATAGGTTACAAGAATTGTAAAACTGACCCTTTAGAATTTTGGGGGCAGTATGTAAAAAAAAAAAAAAAAAAAAAAGGTCGAAAAATGGTATTTGAATTTCTGTACTATAAACATTCATTTACATATTTGAGAGAAAGCAATTTCTCAAAATTTCAAAATTAGTCCACTTATTTTGATTAATTAGCCAATGTGGAAAGGGCCCACCAATCGCTCTCAAATTTAATTTCTTGACCACTACTCTCCTATTATCTTAATTATGTCATAATCAGTACGTAATTGCAATTTGACCCCAATAAAAACAACATTATCGAATAAGCTAAATCGGCTGGTAATAGATAATAATTATGCACTCCGACTTTGGAGGGATGTATTTATTTTTAAATTATTTATAAAGATTTAAATAAATTAAATGTATATCTCATTAGTTTGATTCTTTGTCATGCTATATTTTAAAATATTCAATACTTATTTCAATTAAAACAATCAATATCCAAATACAGTGATAAAGTAGACTTTGGTGGTTAATTGAATTAAAGGGTGAATGAATTAATTGCTGAATTAAGGTAAGAAATTTAAAGATTATTATTAAAATCACAAGAGAGCTATGATGTATCCTCGTGCGTGCGTGATCCATGTGACAAACACTCCCAACTCATTGACTTCAACTTAATAATAAAAATTGAAAAAATAACTTTATATATATATATATATTACAAAAAACCAGCTGGTACCCAAAAAAATAAATTAATTAAATTAAATTTTTTAGCTAAATTAGGTTCTTGTGAGAACACACCAAAACCTAGTTAGTTGCTAGTACATACTTGAATATTTATTTAAATTGAATCAAAACTACTACATAAAACTAATAAAGCATAGTTGTAATACCATTCAACCAATTCTGCAATACAAACCATTTTTCAAAAAGTGTTGAAAGAAGAATAAAAGAAGACAAAAGATGCTAAATAGTTAAAAGTATATTTTTATTATAAAAATATTGTCCAAGAAATCCATAAATTAAGTGAATATAGCTCATTATTCAAAGGTTCATAAAACGAAAAGGACAGAAAAATAACTTTGCTCATTCAAACAATTTTTAATATATAATATATATTTTATTTTTTATAATAAATAAATATTTAACTCAATATATATATCAAATTTTATATTACTGATGTAAATTTTCATATCTCTCGTATACATAAAAAAAAAAAAAAAAAAAAACCCCAAACTAAAATATTAAATGAACACACTTCTTACATCATATTCATAAATGGATGTTTGAGAAAATTCTTCATGGAAATTAATGACAAGATGACTATGTGTTGTCGCGATGACCAACACAAGAAAATTATTTTTAAAATGAGACGGTAAAGTTGAAATTTTATTGAGTGTGTTTCGATTTTTTTATATATATTTTATTAATTGAAATTTATATTTTTTATAAATTTTACTTTTTTTTTTTTTTTCATCTCAATTCAAAATATTTTTTTATTATTTCCGTCTCTCGCATTTGAAAGTATTACGTTCTTATTTTCTTACACTCAAAATCCCAAAAGTATACTTTATCTTTTTACAAACTATCATATAAAATAAATCAATTCCATACCCAATAGAACCACACATGCACCCATAGTATTCCTTTTATACTTGGTTTTGCATTTAAAAATTTTATTTTATCTATACAAAATATATTTTTAATTATTTATTAATTATATTTCTTTTACTGTATCAAGAAGAATTCGAATACGATATACCAATTGGACGAAAAGAGTATAAGTAATATATGTATATATATATAATATTTGTCTGATGAAAAAAGTCTGAAAGACACCGAAAACAATAGAAATAAAAATGTTGAAAGAATGAGGACACACTCTTTGTCCAAATCAAGTCAGGAAAAAGCAAAAAAGAAAAAAGAAAAATAAAGCGTGTACGTACGGCTGGCGGAGTTGTACTCTTCTAGAAGTGAAGAAATGCATCCTGACGATTTCCCGCAAGTTGTGGTAGTCAACTTGGTGAGAGTCATCTTTTTACAACTCATCTTAATTCATTCATTTCTAATTAATTCCAATATATATCCACAAAAATTGCACTATAATAGAAAAAGATCATATATAAAATTTTGAAGTGATAGGCAACAAAACAAATGTTAACTATAACGTTTTTCTTTTGGAAAATAAAAACAAAAGAGTAAGAAGTATACAAAGAATAGAAAATTTATCTAAAGATGTAAAAAGTCTATCTATCTGGGAATGGGATAGACAGAAATTGGGCTTTTGGATGGCCTGTCTGATTCGGCCACTTAGAAAACAAAAAGTTTGGATCCTTATGCCTGATTTTAGACTTCAAAATCAACAAACCTGTGCTGAGCTGACTAAAATCTAAGAAGAGCACACTGGAGGAATTGTAATAAATAAAATTGTGTTTATCTTCTCATGTATTGGGTTAAGGTTACAGAGTGTGGCAGAAAAATGGTGGATTTGTAGATTGAGAGAGGGTACTTTGCATTGCATTGTGTTGTCTGTTTGTCCGAATTATCTTTGAGGCAGCAAGCAATGTGTAATAGAAACAGCCAACACAGTTGCAGTTGCAGAGACTCAAATGTATGTATGTATGTGTGTGTCTGGAAATGGACAAGGCGATCCATTGATCGATTGGTTTATTATGGTCCCTGACACAACCAACAATCTCATCACATCGCAATCCCCGCCATTGATACACCCAAAATTCTTCTGAAATCCGTATTGGGAGGGAGACAGCCCAAGAACACAACTCTGCCAGAATTTTAAAAAAGCCACACTCTCTGTGGCAGAGAGAGAGAGAGAGAGAGCAGCATCCAGCAACGAGGATTTTGTGTGTTCGATTATGACAGCCGATGCCTTACTAGCAGTATATAATTATAATTATAATTATGTGTACGTAATGTAAGGAAGGAAGGAAGGAAGGAAAAGAAGCTGCTTGCTTCCCTCCTCCGCAAATGGCGTGATGTCTTCACATGGCTCTGTGCTGTGCTCTGCTGTTCTCTGCATATTTTTAAACAACAAAAACAAGACACGCCCAGAAACTAAAAAGATTCGGTTGGCGCAAACCTCGAAGAAGGCGCACTGTACATATACATATATACACATATACGATTCTCGGATAATATCTCCAGGATTCGGTGGGTGGGTGGGTTAGGGTGACTGCAAAATAGTACAGCTTTTATTACACCACTCCCTGCCACGTACACTCACACTCTGTCCTTCTTCGAAACCCCCACACGCACACACACAAAGATGCACATTTTCTTTCTTTAATCTTTATTTTTTATGTCTCTCAGGACGTCAGAAAATGGTGTCAATATACTAGTCCGAATTAAGAATCAATCTCCCCAAAGATATGGGAGAGATATCATCCAATGAAATGCCCAAGAAAAGAGCCGTTGACTTGTACTAGTCTTGTCCCCAAACAACAACCATTACTCACCATTAATTATCTCTCTCTCTCTCTCTCCATATACATATATATATATATATATACACGATAAAGTGCAGGAGGGCAATGCCGACTCCATGAAAATGATTTTCATAATGTCTGCTGCTCAACTCCATCTCTCCACTGTCGTCCCCTTCATCATCTACACTTACCTCTGCGTCCCATTCCTCCGACTGCTCTCCGCCATTGGCAGGATCCTCGCATTCCTACTGAACCCCCACGATAGCGGCGGCGGCGGAGGAGACCCGGCTCCGGTGGAGCTGGATCTTCTGGTGTCGACTTTCCAGGACCTGGAGTTGGAACTGGTCTCAGAGTTGAGAGAAGACGACGACAACGGCGATAACGACGAGGAGCAAATTTGCTCGATTTGTTTGGCGGAGTTCGAGAGGGCTGATATGGTGAGCAAACTCCCCAGATGTGGGCATGTATTCCACACCGAATGTATCGAAAAATGGCTCGACAGATGCCACTTCACCTGCCCCCTTTGCAGGTCTCTTCTCCTGCACCATGTCGACCCTGCACCCTCCAAAACATGGTGCAACCACCACCATGGCTAGCCTAGGCTCTGCTTGTTGTTCTTGAAATCAGTATCTGTACATATCAATTACTTACTATATGATCCTTAAATCAGCTTTGGTCGAATTGTATCCTCTATTTCTTAAGGTTCATTTTTGACTCCTAATCTGAAACATTACACAATTTCCCCCTCACTGCACAAGGAAGAATCCAACATAGCTTCCCCCATGGAAACACATCTACAAAAGATTTTATATCTTAAAGAAAGTGAATGCATCAGACTGTGTCCGGTGAAGACAGCATCATTGTCTGGACCTGGTCTGGTCTGGTCCGTTCATTCACTAACAGCAAAAGAAGAATTTGAAAGATTTTTCGAGCACTCTTAACGCCATTATGCTGGGAGGAAGAGGTTCTATTTAGACAACTCTGATTTTTTTTTCTGCTGTGTATTTGGAGCTCACTACAAAAATATAATAACCATCCAGTACGGACCAACATGAGCATCTAATCTCAGGTGACAGCCACGACCAAATCAGGCAAACAATTTATTCTTCTTTAGAAACACCAAGTTCCATGTGCCTTCGGATCTATTTTTATGCAGACAGTGATCCTGATTTATCTCGTGAGCTACAGTGTAACAACACCTTTGTTTATAGATGCTGTTTCAATTTCTGAAGAACCATCAAATAGATTTCAATAACATAAAATGAAGAACAAATCGCTGCTCGGGAATGCAAGGCCTTCTAATGAAGAAACAAAAACATAAATAATATTCATAAGTCACATTTTCGCCCAAATGCAGTTTCTAAACTAAACAGCAGAAAAGATTAATCGACTAAATTACAAACCTCATCGCAATCCAAATATCTCCTCCGGAGGATCATAAACACGTTGTTCAGGGAAAATTTCTTCAAAATCTTGTTTAACCTTATTCCTCAACAAGGGGTGTGGCAAAAGTCCTTTTAACAATATTCTAAACGGCAGTTGCTCCGGGAGATCTGGAGACTTCTTCATGTCCTCATAAATGTTCATGGCATCAGCAGGAGAACCCGCCTGTAAGAAGCCTCGAATAACTTCTGTGTACGTCTGAGAATCAGGGTATAAATCTTCCTTCCTCATATCCTCCCACAATTTCATCACTTCATCCATCTTCTTGCGCTTTGCCAACGCAACAATTAAATCCTTGTATAGGTAGACATCAGGTTTGTACCAATCTTGTTTCTGAATCACTTTAAACATCTGAAAACATCGACCAACAGAACTATTATGATGGTTTACATTGTTTTCTAAATAAGATTGAAGATATATCTAGCAAGAAGAAGCAATCTATATTTCATTAAACAGAAAATGTCGAGATTTGGAAGAATGTAAGAAGATAACTTTGAACCAAACAATCCTGAGAACCCCAAATTAGAATGTGAAATTCAAAATGATAAAAGAAAACAAGAAGCACCACAAACAGCTTACAAGGAAAAGCTAAATTAGAAACAAACCATGGACAGCAGGAGGAGAAAATCACTAAAATGAAGGACAAATTACAGAAGGGGATCACTGCTCTCACTCTCTTCGTTTCTTTCAAACTTTAGAATGTCAAATTTACAAAACTCAATAACTCATTCTTACAGTACAATGTGTATGATTACACAAAAAACAATATAGCCCCAACTCTCAACGTAATCTCAATTCGCTGGAGTTCGGAGATGGATAAAATGGATATGAATTGGTTCTCATCAATCAGACTAAAGGCAGAATGTTCACATACTACTTCATAACATGAGCCAGCCTGAAATGGGAAGCCGAATTCGCCTTAATGGAGTTTAATAGCTACTTCTGGCGAATTGACTGTCTACCATCAACAACTTTGAAGGTTTTCAAGAACTCAATGATAATCCAATTTTCAGTTAATTTGTTTCACAATACACATTCTCAAAAACAATGACATTATGGGGCCAATATGAACTCGCGCAAAAATGATTTCTTCAAACATTCAATCTTTACACAGAATTCATCATTACATTCACTGCCTAAAATACAACAACTTTGAACTTTCTGCACAATTTTTATTTCAAACAGCATGCCAGGATAGACAGAACCATGGAATCGAGCTATCAAGAAATTTCCAGCAAAGCCCGGAAGCAAAATCACTTCAGAAAGAGACACGCAACAAGCAATCGAATGCATCTTTGTCTATAGAACGCAACACAACGAAAGGGTAAAAAGAAAGAAAATTTAGGGTACAACCAGAAAAGCACGCTGTACAACCAGATCAACCCACCTTAACAGCGAGAGAAACCTCCTCTTGGCGCTCGAGTTCAGTCAGAACGGCGACCATATCCATCTTGAGAAGTCTGAGGACGTGAGTTTTGATGAATTTCTGAAGCTTCTCGTCATCGTCTTTGAATCGTTTGAGCCCTAGGATGACAAAGAGCGCCTCTTTTCCAATGAGTTTCTTTCCCCTCCACAAAGGCCCTCTAGGTCTACCGTCGTGGTAGGCCCGATCAAAGCCCAATGCCCGCGGAAACACACAGTTTCCGGAAGGTGGTGATGGTGATGGAGATGGAGAAACTAGAACAGGGCCGTTACTGCTGCGAAGGGATTGCAAAGAAAATACAAGCTTGGCTAAAAGGGATGTCGACGCGGGAGTCGGAATCTTTGATCTTGAGACTACGGCTGCAAATTGCATATTGTGGGGGAATCTCCGATCTGTCTGCAGAAGGGCTTTAGGAGACGAGACGAGAAGAGACGACGGGGTTTAAGCCAAGAACGAGATATGAGAAGAGAAACAGGGGTTTTGAGTTTTGACATTAATTGATTAGAGCCAAAAATTATTTCAATATTTTCTTTAAAGTTATTTTATATTTAAATTTAATATGGCCTATTCAACATAGATTCTTGCATTCCAATATCCCAACCATTCGACGAAGACAAAATAAAATGAAAAAGAAAATATTACATCTATCCCATCTATGGGTTGCCCGTTAGATGAAGGGAAATCTACACCACCATTTGAGACAAAAACAAAGAAAAAAAAAAAGGTAGTGTGAAGAAGTCAAGCTCAAGTCAAGTGCAGGGTTTATAAGGAGTGCAGGTTAAAGGGCCAGCATCAGAGGTGAGAAGAGGCACCATGGATCCATCAGCGACCTTAAACGACTGCGTTTTAGAGTAGCCTGGAGATATGCTGCCATATCCTGACTGCACAAAATACGCCCCGTTTACAAACTTGTCCCTCGATGATCTCCATTTCCAGCTCTCCCACCCATTCCTGTTAGGCTCCCTCTTTGTAACCTGCGCAGATATATACATAAATTCAATATCTATCTATCTATCTATCTATATATATATATTGAATGCTGCATTAATTAATTAATTACTTGTTTGAGGTCATGATTGTTTGGTGCTGCGAAATAGTTGCCTTCACTGAAGATGGTTGGATTAGCACTCCCGCCAATGGCGTACATCATCCACTGCTCGTATCTGTTGTTAGCTACATGAGCATACCCTAGCCTCAGCCTGCACCACCCACAATTCTAATTACTTCAATATATAAATATATATAAATTGAATATATTGAAGAATCTTGAATGTCCATACCTAGGCATTCTCTGAACCAAACCAGGCCCGAAATGGTTGAACGCCACTGTGACTTTGATGTTCTTGTCCTCCATATTCTTGTCATCGTGTCCGAACAACATAACCTGAAGAAACAGCCAAAAATCAATCAAATTCAGCTCATCGATGTAATTAATTCATGAACGTAGGATAATTTAATTGATTAATTAATGAATTACTTTATCGTGATAAGAGAAGAAGCTATTCGAAATTGTGATGCCAGTAGAGCCATGAATGACATCGATTAGCCCGTCCGAAGCACGCGACAACGAGCAATGATCTATCCACACATCGGAAGAATCGAAAACAACGATAGCATCTCCGTCGGATCCTTTCCGATGTCCGACGTGGACGAGGCTATCCCGTACGAGCCCAGACTTTCCAGGCTTACAGTCATGAATGCTGATCCCGTGTACGATGATATGGCTCACGTGCTGTATTGTGATGCAGGGACCATAACCAATCTCCACTTTGGCTCCCCGTCCATCAATCGTCTTGTAGCTATTGATCATCAGCTCGTTCTTCAATTTTATTACCATACTTCTTGCGAACACAATCCACAATGGCTTCCCCTGGATCACGCCATGTCTGAGCGTTCCGGGCTTAGGGTTTGCTGGATCATCCGACGGGTCAGTGACGACGTAAGTTGCTCCGAACTTCCCTCCGACGGCGTTTCTTCCGAACCCGACGGCGCAATCGGCCAATGCGCGGCGGTTAGTGGCCCAGTTGGATTTTGACCTCCAGCAGGCGTCGATTGGGTTCATGACCTTCTGGTAGTAACAGTGGCCACATGATGTGGAAAGACTGAATACCAGGCCGATTAAAATTAGAGTTTGAGAGGGAAAGCATGGAGACGCCATGGATGGATTAATGGTGAAGCTTGAGGGAACATATTGAAGTTAATATATAGATATATATATATATGTCACCGATTCACGTCTGTGGGAGAGTGAAGACGGTTTCTCAGCTAGCTAGGGTTTTTTCTCTGAGAATCTTTTTGGGGAATACAGACGTGATTGCACGAAATTAGGGTTCTTGACTTCCCTTAAAATTTCATTAATTATTTCGCCTTCAATTAGCCTTGTCACAAATTGGAGGATTGACAAATTAAAGTACCATTCACTTATTTGACCTGCATTTTTTTTTTTTATGTATTTAATTAGTGATGAATTCAATGAACACATGTCTTGCCATGGATCGATACAATCAAACCTAAAGTCACAACAATAAATAATTGACAAACATTTCATAAACAAGAAATAACAATACATAAGGAATCAAGAACTGACTAAGAACCATAATATATATATCTATATATATATCAGGACAAGTTTATGCATAGCTGCACATTCCGAACACACATCGTCGACTCCCATGGCTGCACACGTTACTACAACCTCCGCAGTGCTTCTTGTTCGTTGAGAGGTTCACGCATTTGCCTCCACAGCAAGTCTCCGAGTATCTGCACTTGTTCCCACATTTACCACAATTCAGTCTATCTCTAGAGACATCGACATATCTTCTCCTGCAGCAATCCGACCCCGGACTACCCTTGGCAAGGCAAATCCTTGGGTATTTATTGCACATTGTTGTCATAGGTCGTCTTGTCTGTTGAAGGAAATGACTCCCACCACCTTGAAGTGATGGAAGGGCATTAGAAGGATGATCGGCTGAAAGAGATAAGGCTAAAGCCATTGACATTGCTACAAGGAGGATAAACTTGATTGCAAGATCTCTCATTGTCCACTCTTCTTTATTGGCAATATCGATTGCTATTTAGAGGGATAAGAAATACTTGTAAGAATGAGTTGATTAATGCATGCATGGATTAGGGAATGTGTGTGCGTATATATTTGTGAGGTAGTGGATTGGTCTTAATACAACAGCCTAGGTTCGAATACAAGGTTAAGAATTTACTATCCAAAGTTAGGCATTGAATTGTTGTATGAGTGCAATTATGTTATTCATGTTCGTGTTTGAAAATGACAATAATAATAATCTTATTATGAAGTGAAATAATCATTTGCTTGACATATTACCAATTTTATGATAATTATACATAGTGCTAACGAATTAAATTGATCCGAATTTTCATATTTGAAACCCGGACTCAACTTTTGTTTAACAATTGTATTTAATTTAGCTTAACTAACTGTTAAGAGATTTTATTTAATTTATTTGACTATCTAAACAAAGGCAGATAGGAATGCACTCTTGCTAGTCTGGTCGACCCTCTCTTTTATTCATATTTTTCAAAATAATTAAAACTAGTGTAATTTTATTTTATTTTATTTTATAACTATTGTAGTAAGTATTAAATCAAATATATCACACATTCCAAAATCTAACCAAACATATCTTATTCAAAAACCTAACAACCCTCAAATAACTTTAATAGTAAATTCTTGAATTAAACGGCTAGTGATGACAAGGACCAGGAAGGCAAATTCAAACCAGTCAGGCTAACTTCGGCACATTTGAATTGGGTAATGAAAGAAATATGGTTATGTCCAAATTGAAATGAAATAAAATCATTCTTATAAAACCAAAATCTACACACTATCATTTCAATCATGTAAAAAGAAATTACAGAATTGGTGACATCCACAACCAGAATTAAATTTTGAGTTGAACTTGGATATAATTGCAAACAAAAGCTTGTTAAGATATGACTCCCAACACAATCACCAAACGTCAAGTATTCTTGACGTGTTTCTTCTTACCTCCATTTTTATTCATAAAGGTTTCTAAAATTCTTCAACAGCTCCGGGATATCATAGCCAAGCATGTCGTCAACAGCCTGAATCAATTTCGGCTTCAACTTCTCAAAATCGTCGATGTTGTAACGAACCAAGACCTCCTTGAATTGCTCCACACTCGGAAAGTCTCCAGCCGGTAGATGAAATTCTCTTTGAACCTGTATATCGAATTCCAATCACAACCATTCGAGCATAAGTATGCATATTGGTCATCAGTTATTTTACCTTTTGGAATACATCTTCGAGATTATCTATAAGCCGTTTCTGAGCTTTGGCTTTCCCCACCAAAGCCGGCATCTCCTTTTTGAGTTGGCTGATTATGTAGGCGTGGATCTTGGCAGCTCTAGCTCGTTTCACAAATTCGTTGATCTGCGCCATATGTTTCAGGTTAATGTTTTAAACATCACATACATTTAACTACGTGGTAATTGTGCATACCCTTCTGTCACAAGCCTTCTTTGGTATGTCGATCAAGTCTAGGAGGAGGTCATCTTGTTCTTTCTCAAAGAGTTCTTTTCCAATAGGACCCGCGCTATCTTCATTCACAGGCTTGTCATTGAATGATCTAGAACGAGCATGAAAAGAAAAAACCACGAAGCTCAAAATTTGATAAGGCATTCTACTTGTAATAAAGCAAACTAGTAATTAGGACTGAAAAACATAATGCAAGATTTGCCGAAAGGATATACGATAATGGAAGATAAATTTTGTAAAATAGCACATCAAATAATGCAAGATAATTGCAATGAGTTGTGCCAGCATTGCTCATGTTGCACAGTAATAATACAAAGTAATCAGGTCCTAAAGATCAATAATAAAAATGAATCTTTTTTTTTTTTATCGGAAATAATAAAAATGAATCTTTTAGTATGACAGGACAGGGCTTACCCAATATAGACTCGAGAAACCTCCGGAGTGTTAAGAACTTTTCCAAGCGACCACATTAGAGCACCATAAACTCGCATCAACTGAAGCGAAACAGAGAAAATATGAGATGAAGGAGCTGCTTCAGGGAAACTACAAGAGAAAATATACATGATCTAACGCAACAAGAAACATTTAATAGAGCTACACTTCCAAGGATCGTACCTGTTGGGTATCAACTTGATCAGCTTTATTCAACACTACTCGTATCTTGTCATCATGACCACGAAGTGATGAAATGACCCGCTTGAACTCATCACTGATGTCAAGTTTATGAGGATCAAATAGTAGGAGTATTAAATCACATTTTGCTGCAAACCATGATATTACTCCTGTGAAATCATAGCTTCTCTGTGTTCGTTGCTTTTCTCCAGATAGAACGCCGGGAGTGTCAACAAATGTTATATGTTCGAGCAACTGAGTAGAAATAAAGTTTCATCAGCTGAAAGTTCAGTTTTACAGAGGAAGAAGCCCTGAAGTCGAAAAATTACTACTCACTGGATGTGGCATCTGAGAACACTCAAACTTTGACAGAAATGATCCACCAAAGGTAGTCAAGCCAGTAAAAGGCATATCAGCATGGACGGCAATAGTATTTCCAGGAATGCTTCTTTCATCAGCCCCAGACTAAAGACAATACCAAAACAGTCACCCAAAAGTAAATGAAATAATACATCACAAGTCCTTAATAATTGAGTATACACTATCTACTATTATCAGATCAAGAGAAAATGACATGAATACACAGACAGGTCAACCATGTGTAATGTTTTACCATGACAACAATAAATCGGTCAGTCGTGGGCTCAGGACCAATATGAGCACCTAAAGTGAAAAATAAAGTACAAGAGTATAAGTAGTTAATAGAACACAAGAGTAGCCACTGGTAATAATTACATATTCTGGTTAAGAACAAAAGAATTAAGAAAATAACCTGGATAGCTGCACTTGAGTAAGTGTTTGATAAATGTTGTCTTTCCAGTGGAATACTGTCCCAAAAGCATAACCATAGGTTTGGCATCAAAATCACTACAAGTCTGGGGAAACAAGATACAAAAATGTCAATAACATGTATCTATTAACCTCCAAAAATAATCCCATAAACCCCAAAGAAGATACCAGAATTAGTTTCTGAAACTTTTACGAATATGCATCATATACCAAAAAAGGAGACACGAAATCATTGAAAAGGTAGGTAGATTCCAGGGGCTTTAGCTTCTCGTTGTACAATATCTTCAAACCATCAATCACTGAAGTCACAGCAGGGAGAGGATTGTGGCTCTGTAGAAATTGGAAAGATACGTCAACCAACTGCTACGAGAAACGTAGCAAAATGTGCACAAGCATAAAGAGTAATTATCACCATCTAAATTCTTCTCAGAAAAGGTTCGACAAGTGCAAACAACAATAACTCTTCTCAGAAACATAATTTAATTCATTCTTTGTTTAAGAGTGCAGTGGCACCTGAGATCCTCAACAACTTTTTACTATTGTTCAGACACACACCACAATGCAAGAATGCCAGAATAAGTTGGCACAACAAATTAGACAACCAAAATATAGTACCTTCTTTTTGGACTTAGTGCTGAAAAAACCCTTTCGTGGAGTTGGGGGTAGCTGTATGTTTCCTGTTTCAAAGATTTGCCTTCAATACCATTTGAAAGGAAAAGGCGAAGTAGAAATGTACTAAAAGATAATCTTTTTCTCTTTCTTACCATTTGTTTCAGAATCATCATTTGACCCATGACTTCTATTGTTCTGTGGCCAAATGCAAATATGAATTGTCAATGGAGCATAATTTTATCATATTATAAAAATAAAACAAACAAACAAACAGGAAGGCACTCGAGGCTGCAAAATACTTACTTCGAGTAGAGCATTCTCCAAACCTTCCATACAAGGTGGATCAAGCTTATCCAAATTGGCTGCAGCAACAAAAGAGAAGCCTTGTATTGATATAATAGGAATGTTGTAGCTTGGAAATGAGTCTTAGGTACTATCGTTTAGCACATAACTCGTATTAAGATATGAAATTTCAACAATTAGTTGCTAAAATGTTAGCATAAAGCTTTGAGAAAGCCTAGCGTATGTATGAAATGGGGACGTGTTAGATATTTCTACAATTACCTGTGCTCTTTAGAAGATCTGATGTCAGCGTGTTCCCTTCTTGGGCCAAAGATATGAGCTGGAAAGATAATTGAAAGCTTGGTTATTGGCAAACATATAAGCATATGAAGTGTTATTCGATTAAAATTTTCTCAATGTAAGGCAACCTGCATTGCAGTAACAAACTCCTTCAAATCTAAAAATCCCTGTCGCTTGGAATCAGCAATTGCCCAAACCTTAGATGATATGACATAAGAGAAAGACTGTAAGTGACATCTCGAAATCCACTGTTGTGCCCAAAAAACAAAAAAGTCACCAAAGAAATGGAAAATTAAATCTAAGATAATCTTCTTCATGTTGATTGTAAAACCCTACAGGTAAGCTAAATTCATTTCAACTACACATTTTCTATATATTACTCATGCAATCAAGAAGAAGAATAAGAACAATAGAAAGATTCAGAGCAATCTGAAAAGTATTTTTATGCAACCCTAAAAATTGAATTACCAGTAAACAGTAGTAAACTCAAATCGGTCCCATCTAAGTTTGAACGAATAATATCCATCCAAGATATACAATAATCGAAGTGACAAAGAAGTCAGTAAGTTATTTAACCTGCTTGAGTTCCGGCTTGGTTAAACCGGACATGGCAAAGAAACTAATGGCGTCCTTTCCAGTCAACCTACCATCTCGATCTGCAAAATCAACTCAATCAGCATACGAGATAAACAAAGGCAATATACCTTGGACCTATGATAGAAAGTAAGCATTTGATAAAAACAGAACATAGAAATGGCGAAGAAAATACCTGAATCAGCGTAGTTGAACCAAGTTTGGTAAAGTTTGAGTTGCTCTTTAGAAACCAGACCTGAAGCGATTGCCATACCTGGGGAGTCAATCGAATCGGCAGAGCGTCTACAGGTGAAAAATGATTGAGGGGAGAGAGGCGATGGTATAATTTAAATTTGAAATTGAAGGGGGAATGTAATTATGCGACCCAGTCCCATACCAATTTTATAACCTCCTCTCAAGTACTATTGCTCCAATGCTATACAGTTTCTACTAGAGTCGCGTTTTCAGTTATAGTGCGTTTTTTGAAACTATGAACAGATAGATATAATTGAACTTTCAAGAAAGCGAACTTCAAGGTTTAGAATTTGTTATCTATACATACCTACAATATTGGACCAACTTTTTTTTTTAATTCACATTTATATATAATTTTTTTATATTAAATTTTAAACTATCTATTTTATTTTTTTAAGAATAATTTAAAATATCAAAATATAATTATACATTTTATTCGCACTAATCTCTAAATAATTTTTTATATATTGTGTAGTCCGTTACGTTATGTTATGTGTAAATTTTTATTAAAAAAATAAAAAAAATAAAAGGCTAATCCAATTGGCTAATTTGACCAATTTTGGTTCAGTTTGACAAACAATTTCGAAAATAACTTCACCGATTACAAATTGTGACATGTCTTGGTGATAATCAAATTCAGAAACCCTAAATTGAAATGTTGTGATATAAGTATAATATGTGTGGGTTTGGGTGCGGGTGTGGGTGTGGTTCTTCAGAAGAAACAGCCGCAGCATCTCTGCAACAACAATGGAGATTGAGCTAGATCATCAACGTCAATCACTTTCGGACACAAGAACCAACCCAAAGAGTGAAATCATGGTTACCAATCAAAAAAATCACATTTCGATCCTTACCCGTGATCTACTTTTGTTGTTCTGATCATCGTAGCCGCCGTTCGTCTTCAACGGCGGCGGCACTGCGGGGAGCTTAGCCGAGGCTGTGTGCTTCTCCTCCTTCACTTTATTGAAAATGACAGTAAATCCTTCTGCAGATCTTGGATCGTTCTCATCCCATGCTCCGAATTTCGGCACCGACACGGATCGTCCGGACTGCACAATTACAGACATCAGGTTTTTGTATTTGAAACAAACTTAGGAATTAATTAATGATTTCTCAGCTTACGTAATCATCAGGCGACGGCGGGACGTGGCCGTCGTTTGTGAATTTACTCCGGCGGGACTTTTTCCGATTGTGGCCGGGGTTGACGGCCGAGGCGACGTCGGACGCCGCGGCGGCGCTGTGGGTGCGCTGATCGGAGCTGAGAAGATTGGCGGCGTTGAAGGCGTCGGGGTTCTGCTCGGGATCGTTAGGGTTTATTCTGACGCCGGCGCCGGATTTTTCCTTGCGGGCGTTCTCGAAGAAGGCTGTGTAGGGAACATTGTCGGCGTCCCAATTGCCGAATTTGGGAACGTGCGGCGATCGCTGCTGCAGAATTAATTAATTAACATGTGATGAATTGTAATAATGAATTAATTGCAATAGGTTGACGATGAAGGAATTCAGAGACTCACAGCCATCGATCGGCCGGTTGATGAATTAATTCTCCGGCGCCGGCGGTTGTTTCTTGAGATTTTCCGGTGGCGTCAGTTCAAATAAATGAGTAAGAGTTTCCGCGTGGATCCATCCACTTGTGAATGGAGCCGGCCGGAGATTCCAATGTGTTTAGGATTCAGACAATTGGTTCGATGGAATCAAGATTTTCTTTTATTAGAGAATATACTTCAAATTGGTGGGATTTTTCTTCCTTTTTTGTTTTTTTTATAACTTTTTGATTTGTCGGAAATATTATTTTTTATATTATCAATATAATTTTTTATATAAAAATATAAAAAATAAACAAATCCAAAGAGTGCCAACTAATTATTATTTAAATATAATATTCTTTAAAAAGTTTATTAAAAAATAATAATAATAGATGTAAATTATTTTTCAAATACTTAAAAAAAAAAATTACACTATTCTTTGACAATAATTTTCTTAAAAAATATTATGTAAAATATATTTTTACTTCATAAATATATATATTTTTTTTTATTACTTTTTAAATTTTTCAAAACTTGTAAAACTTTTGTATAGAAGGAGCCTTAATCTATGCTTAGAATTTCGTTCAATTTTTAGAAGTCAATCAAAGGCCATTAATCCAATATCATTAAATCACTCAATAATACTAAACATATACATAATTAATTTACCCAAACTCGATATCAATATAATACTTCCTCCGTCTCAAATACCATGTCCACATTGCCGTGTCTGTCCGTCTCACATATTATGTCACTTTCCTTTTTTGAAAAATAATTACACACTTTAATTTCATTTTAAATTTTTTAATTTTAATTAAACTAATTAGTTATTTTAATCTTAATTTATAATTATTTATATTATAAAATAATTATTTTCACTAATACATTCTTAATTATCTACTAATTACATCTCTTACCGTGTCTACAGTGTAGCAGACACGGTATTTGGGACGGGAGTAACACCCAATCAATCACCAAAATAAACCAACACAAACTTCAATCATATCCCCAATATTACAATCAAATCAACATATCAAAATCATAGGAAAATTGATTGTCATTGATTCCAAGAATTAATTAATTTTCTCTCCAAATTGCTCCCCACCCCCAAAACACAATCTATAAAAACAGCCCAATTCAATTAACAAAATATCACTCAATCAAAAAATCATCACTTCAATCATCCACACACACAAAAAAAGTTAAAATAAAATAAAAAAGAAGAAAATATCCTCATTTGATCATTAGTTGGTTTATTACAAAATATTGGAGATGAAGATGAACACAATTTGGATTATGGGTTTGGTGGTGTTGGGCATGGCAACAAATTTGCATCAAGCCATGGGTACAATTAGTTGCTCGGACGCGTTGCCGAGGTTGTTACCGTGCCTCGGATTCTTGATTGGCACTAGTAATGAAGTCAATGTACCATGTTGTCAAGGGGCGGCTTCGCTGAACCAAATTGCCAGAGGGAGCCGGGAGGACTTGAGAGAATTGTGCACGTGCTTAAAAAATGCGGCTCTGTCGTTTAGTGTCAATGTCGAAAGGGCCAAACAACTTCCACAATTATGCAACATTCAAGTTATTGTGCCTATCGATCCTAACATCAACTGTGACATGTATGTTGAAAAAATTTCGATCTTTTCGTATCCCATTTGAATTTTTTATTTTTTTGGATTTGATTTATACTTTGTTGTGATTTATTGTGTTTCCTTAATGGCATGATTTTGTGTTGTTTTTCTTGCAGCCTTTGATGAAGATTGATGGATGGAGAGGAGAGGAGAGGACACGACATTGGGGCAGAAATAAATAGAAAATTTTTGGTTTTTGAATTGAGTTTTTAGTGAGATATGTAGAGATTGTGAGAATTGAAGATTGTCCCTTGCAATAATATTTGTTCTAGTTTCTACTAGTTTTAATCTATTTATATTACTTTTTATTTATTGTTATTGGCTTGAATGCAGAATTTTAATTTAAAAACTAATCTATGACACGTGACATTTTAATAATAAAAATTTTGAATTTGAATAGTTGAATGATGTGATATAAATAGATGTTGATTTGATGTTTTGAATATAAAATTAATTTTTAGTATAATATAAAAAATAAAAAATAGATATTCGATTTAATATTTTTTTAAAAAAAAAATAAAATGAATAATAGATTTAAAATCCAATCCTCCGTACTACTCTCTGTCACTACATATATCCGTGTATTATTAATATTACACCATATATATATATATATGCATATGCTTTGTATCTAACATTTTTAATAAAAACATATTATTTTTCAACAATATTATACTCCCTCCGTTCCGCTGCAAGATTGTCATTGCATTTTTGCATGTTCATCTTTGAATATTAATTATTATATCAAGACGTAGTATAAATCGAGGAAAAAAAAAAAGACAATAATATGTTTATTAGTCTCTTATAATACCAATACAATGACATTTTTAGAATAAATTATTCAAATATAAGGATATTTTTAATGTCAAGTATAATGACGCAAAAATCAAATAACATCCTTGCTGCGGGACAGAGGGAGTATTAAAATATATTTAAATTAAATTTTAATTTCAAATTAAACTCAAACAAAATTTTAATTCATCTAAAAAATATTTCGTATCATTAAACTTATATGTTCTAAAATATTTTTATTTTACTCTTTCCCTACTTATTTAATACTCCCTCTGTTCTTGAAAGAGTTTATTGAGATTTTGTAATAAATTAAGAAATATTAATTAGTGAAAGTACCGTGAGAAAGAAATGTGACATTTTTACATTTTGACTTTTTTATATAGTGATGGTATATTTATAATTTAAGTATAAGTTAAGAATATTTTATTATTAATGTATGATTAGATATACTTTTTGAAATGAGATATACGAAAATATTAAAAAGAGTATTTTGAATTATGACGGATTAAGTAATTCGTCTCTCAACAAATTAACTACCTGGACACAAATGTCATTATATTTATATCATAGATTATTTTAATTATTTCTATTTTATTCTAGAGTGATATTTTTAAAAAAATTTAGGGCGTGTTTGGCAATTAGTTGATAGTTGTTAGCGGTTAACTGTTAGCTGATTCAATTAGCTGATAGTTGTTAGCTAATTCAATTAGTTGATTTGACTAACTTATTGGATTAGCTGTTTGTACTAAAATGTTTGGTAAAACAACTGTGTAATATTAGCTGTTTATACGTAAAATGACAATTGAGGACATTTCTATTTTATTCTTATTTCTAATATATTCAATTATGTTCTTTTGAGTTTAGAATGTTTAAAACTTTTTGTTATTAGTTATTGAAAATTGTAAAAGTGTTATAAAAGTATTTATTTTTACTACAGTTAAATTTTAAAAATAATATATTTTTATTAAAATATATAAATAATTTTTTTTATTGAAAATGATGTAAAATATAAAATAATAAATTTTTCGTTAATATATTTATTATGTTAGTTATCGATTAGTTCATTATATTTATAATTTTTAATAAATTTAATTTATTTAATTTATTTTTAGTATAAAATTTATATAATGTAATTTTAATAAAAAATAAATTATTAATATTTATATTTTTTATTTTATGTTAATTTTAATAAATTTATATATTTTACAATTAAAATAATTTTTATATAAAAATTAATTATTTTAAATTTATAAAAGTAAAACTATAATATAATAAAATATTCTAATATAATTAATAAATAATCAAAATATATTTATTTGTGTAAAATGTATAATAAATTTTTAAGAGCATATAATGAATAAAAAAGAATTTTACAGAAAAAATTATTTCAAAAAGTTGGGTAAGTTAGTTTTTCATAAATTAGCTTTTTGGGTCCAAAAAAACTATTCTAAAAAGCTAATTTACCAAACACCTAAATTAGCTTTTTGACTGGTCAAACAGCTAAAAGCTGTTCAATAAGCTAAAAGCTCTTCAAAAAGCTATTTGTCAAACACTCCCTTAATATTTTTTATTTTTTATATCTTATTATAAATTAATTATAACAAAGTATCTATTTTTCCATCTTAATTCCTCCCATAACAAATTATTCATTTAATTTTCTTTTAGTAACAGTACTACCTAATTAACATTACAAATGTTCTTACAACTTACAATATATTACACAAATATCATTACATTTATATCACATATATTATTTTAATCATTTCTACTTTATTCCTACTATATCGCAATATAATACTAATATTTATAAAATTACGTGTAAAAGATATATATATTTAAGTCGTTTATATAAAAATTAAAATATTTTGCTAGTGTACAATTATTTTTATTATTATAATAATTGGAATGGAATAAATAAAAATAGTGAAAAAAAAAAAATAGACAAGGGTAGAAAGAAATCAGTCATATGTTTGTAATAAAATTATTAGTATTATTTGCAAATACATTTTAAAAATAAAAACAAGAAAATCATTTCCAAATATTTATAAGAATTTCTTTTAAAAAATATTCCCTCAGTGTCACGTAATTTGTCATTTTTTTATTTTGGTATGTTCTTATATAATTTGTTATTTTTTTTAAATATAATTATCCACTTTAATCACATTTTAAGTTTTAAATTTTAATTAAACTATTTACTTATCTTAATCCATAATTATTTTTACTAAATAACAATTATTTCTACTAATACATTTCTTAATTACAATTTTTTTTTATTACAAATTTTATACTATTAAATATTCCATTTTTTTATTATTATTTAAAAACTAAAAACCTCCAACATAAAATAGTGTGCAGCTGTCGCCGTCTCCCCGATTTATGGATTTACAGACACCAACAATCGTCACTGAACTGATCACGCTCTCCCCACGCCACGCCACCCCACCCCACCCAGCCATGGCTGCCATTGCCACCCACCACCAACCTCACAAAAAACGCTCTATTTACTCACTCTACTCTACTCTACTGCACGCCTATCACCATCCCCGATGAACCAATTTACACCTCCCCTCTCCCCCTCCCCCTCCCCCTCCCCAACTGTTCATCGATCATCTCCCACACATTCAATTCCATTCAATTCAAATTTCAATCCAATCCAACTAATCAATCTATAAATAAGCCAACATGATCCCTCCCTCCCTCACACCGCCATAACCACAACAACAACAACAGTGATCCATCGAACCAGACCAGCACCCAACAATGACAGCTCTCTGCACCACCAGGTGGTTCGCCGCCATGGCCGTTCTGGCAGCCATGCTCATTGCCAGTTGCGACGCCGTCATCCGCTGCAACGACGCCGTCACGCAGGTCATCCCCTGCGAGTCCTTCCTTCTCGGCCAGGCCACTGCGCCGACCTCCGTCTGCTGCAACGCCGTCAAGAACCTCGACAGCGTGGCGTCGGCGTCTCAGCCCGACAGGAAGGCCATCTGTGAGTGCTTCAAGCAGACTGCCAGGTCCTTCCCCGTCAATCTCCCCAAAGCTCAGCAGCTCCCTCAACTCTGCCAGGTCAACATTCCCGTCGGCATCGACCCAAGCGTCGACTGCAACACCATATGAAGAAGAAGAACAACAACAAGAGCAGCAATGGATGACAGGAAGGGCAATTGGGACAAGATTATCTTGGTTTTGTATCTTGATTCCAATTGGTTGTTTTTGTAACAGCTTTGATCCCTTCTTGTGTTCTTAATGAAATCCTCCATTGATGCCAAAAAAAAGAAGCCAAGTATAGCAAGAATGCATCCCTTTTTTATACAACAACCGATCATAACTTATACATATATACAATACAATGCGTAGTAGCAAGTAGTACACACAAAAATTTGATAGAATTGTAGCTCTTCAATGCTGCAACTCTTCAAAACAACCGAGGAGGCGATGACGCCAACAGCCAAATATCAAACTGGGAGGACACATTCATGTTGTATAGCAGCAAAACAGTATAAACAGATCAAGAAATACCAATTGTCTTGTTCAGTATCCACAGGGTGAGGGAAAGCTGGATCGCGAATATCGTGTGTAGCCATGTCCTGTCTAGTATGAACCCGTAAGCCGTGATCCCAGCCTTGTTGTGCTCGAAATATGTAACTGCAATACATTTCCAAAAGATTCCATCTAATAAGCACATCATCACCATATTGGGACACAAAATTTAAGAAACACTTCAATGAAACTCACCGAGTGCTTGTCGCTTCTGGTAGGTTATGGTGTGGGCATAAATTGGCACCAAGTTGGTATTATCCAGATCGCCCTCATCCCCATCTTCTTCCTCATTGTCCCAATCTGGGGCGATTGCACATTCAGGCCGTGGAGTAGCAATCTGATCTCTCGGTGTTTCCCCATCTAATTCATCGAACGAGTCAATTGTGGCGCAGGCGTGCCATTTTGCTGCAAGAGATGTAACAGCCTGAGCTTTGTGCGTGATTTTTGCAGCACTGCGTAAGCAGATGAAAAGCCCCATTACAAGGGTGACCGAGCACAGCTGCACCATCAAGAACATAAGCAATTACAAATTCCGATTGTGTTATCGTTTATCATTATCATTTCTGAATTGAATTACAAGCATGATTACCGCAAGATCGCCAGCGGTGTTGAAATCCGTCCGAGTGCTCGGCTCAAGTGTAACCAGCAAGGAAGCAAACTGACTTGCTGTAACTAGGATCAATGTCGAAACTATGAAGAATCTAAACCTGTGGCTTATAATTCGAAGAGTCCTTCGGATCCTGAGATGTTCGATTAAGATTGCGGCAACGTCAGATTCTCTCTCGAAAACCTGAGCAAAGTCCTCCAACCTTAGGATCTGCAGATAGCAGGTGAGGCGGAAGAGGAGACACACCAGAAAACAGACTGAAACGCGATACAGCCATGAGCATATCAACATGGTGCAAACTATGGCTTTGGTTATCAGGATGCTGTAGACGTAAGGAATTTGAGATCCAACAGTACTGAACCACCAAATTTTGTAGACGCCATCGGCAAGGACGCAGGGGAGGACGAAGGCCGACAGGAGCTTCAACGATCTCTGAATACAAAAAAATGAATCGATCGAGTAAAGTCGAGAGCGAAAATTAGGTTAGATTAGATTATCAAGTAGGGATGATTCGAGGCCGCAGAATTTGGGGAAAATTTGAAAACCAGAACTTACTTGAAGCTGATGAGTGTAGCCTTTCCGAACCTTCTCACTTTCATCGCAGAGTTTATCGAGAAAGAGAAATCTCCTCAGGCCGAATTTACGCGCGTAATGGGAGAGACAGATGAACGACAGAGCAGCGAATAACGAGAGAGAGATCTGAACAATACCATCGAAGGGCCGCTGATGTCCGAGATCGCAATTCTCGCAGGAGTAGAGGAAGTGGGAAACCAGAGGTACGCCGATGTTGAGCGCCAGGAACATCCCCCAACTAATTCCCGCTTTCCATGAATTCGAGTAGTCGATAAAAACCCATTGCAAAGCCGAATTGTAGCTCTTCAGGTCGAAGTTGGCTTTATGGAATGAGTTTCCCGGCGAAATCGCGCCGCTTCCCGGCAAAAAATTCTGCGTCTCTTCAGCCTCCATCTCCGATTACAGCAGCAGCAGCAGCTTCTTCTTCGACTGAAACTGTTTAGGGTTTCGAATCCCCAATTGGAACAGTAACCGGTGAACAAGTGAATTAATACTGAGCAGATTGGAAATCGTAGATGAATTCTTCTACAATTAAGAAACGACTCATGGCAGAGATGCACCTAATCAACACATTAATATCATTAATTAATAACCCTAAACCCTCAATTTACAGCAACCTGTCATTTCTGGAAATAAGTTTTTTTCTTCAAAAAAAAAAAAAAAAAAAGATCAGGTGTCGTGTACTAGTAGAAGAAAGGGGACCCAGATTGCACTTGCAGGCTAATCTGTATTGGAACACCATATATCATTCCTTTCTCGGAGCAACAATATGAAATAGGTTTCGATAATGATTTTTAGTCAGCAAAGAAGAATCCATTTTTGTTGGTAAGAACACAGCAGCAGAAAAAAATAAAAATCATCAGTTGCAGCAAAAGCGCGGGAGCCACGTCGCAGACGATGAGCTCTTACGTGATGAAGTAGCCAACATACGTACATGTACACACCCTAGTGACCTTGCCACATATTTCAAGAATAAATTATCAAATTGAAAACTAATTAACAATAAGTCATAACCCAATTAATGAATTCGAATGTCAACCAACTCCACTCCACCTCGTGCTGATTAGAATCCACCCAATCTGTTCATATTTTGGGCCACTAAAATAAACTAAATCGGACCGAGCCTTAAATGGGCCTTCTTAAAATTAGTACAACATTAAGCACAAACATTTCAAGGCCCGTATAATATTGCACAACTGGCCATCAAAATTGATCCGAGAAACGCCAAGCAACTTGTGTCCCCGATTAGTCTTGGTCAAAATTTCTCTGTATAAATCCAAAAAAGAAATTTCTTGTTTGAAGGCAATATATCGAAAATCAGTTATGTTTGACCGTTGACTGACGGGATTGGGTAATTCTTCTAGATTTTGAATCGGCGTTAAGAACGCTACAGAGAGAAAGAAAGGCTTCCATGGTGGATCTTTCAGAAGATCCTCAGAATCAAACCCTTTCTTTCGATGGTCCTAAATCCTCTGCTTTGGAACAGATTAGCCGCCTCCTAAAGAAGGAACGAACGTCTCACATTCTCCGCTTCCCAAGCCAAGTATATATCTCTCTGTGTGCTGTTACCCGCCAATTATTTGATTTTTATTTACGACTGCTTCGCAACCTCACCTCCGATCGAATCGCGCCGGACATGTCGCCGCTGATATCTCCTGCTGCTGCAGCAGCTAACGGCGACCTAGCGCCGCCGCTCAATTTCTCTATGGTCGATTACGGAGTGTTTCGCTCTGGATTTCCTGATACTCAGAATTTTCCGTTTTTGAAAACCCTAGGTCTCCGATCGATCATGTTCGGTTCAATTCGGAACCCTCTGTTATTTTCTTTTGTTTTTTCTTGCTGAGATTGGGAAATGTTTAGGGTTAATTGTTTGGTGATTTTGTAGATATTTATGTCCGGAGACGTATCCCGAAGCAAATATGCAGTTTCTGAAAGATAATGGCATTCGTCTCTTCCAGTTTGGTATTGAAGGATCAAAGGTGCTTTCACTTCACTTCATTTCTTTGGTTTAATGATATGTGCTTCATCAAGAATTGGTTGTAGAAAGGATAATCTGGTTGTTAAAATTTCTTTAGATAATTAGATACCCACTAAAAATTGTTAGGGGATAATCTGAACAATTTAGTCCAATTCTTTTGGTAAGTTCTGATGCAATTATGGCTGTTTTATTTCATATTTCCCTGGCACAACTTTCTCTTGAGAAGTGGATATTCAAAGGCTTTTTTGTTTAAACTGTCCATAGCTATCAAAAATGAATCATCAGTCATCACTAACATGAAACTTACTGCAAGAACTCTAAATTTTCATCTTTCCCCTGTCAATCTTTGCCTGCAGGAGCCATTTGTGAGCATCCCAGATGAAATGATTCGCAAGGCACTACAAGTATTGTTAGGTAATCCAAAAATACTAATTCCATTTTGGATATGTACATTTATGGTTTTCCTCTGTTTCTAATTTGGATCATTATCCCATTACAGACGAAAGAAATCGCCCCGTTTTAATTCACTGCAAACGGGGGAAGCACCGAACTGGATGCCTCGTCGGATGCCTAAGGAAATGGCAAAATTGGTGCCTAGCCTCAATTTTCGACGAGTACCAAAGGTTTGCTGGCGACAAGGCTAGAGTATCGGACCAGCGATTTTTGGAGGTGTTCGACATCTCCTGCCTAAGGCAAATTAAGTGCTCAATTGACTCCCCCATTGATCCACAGGAATCACTGTGTGGATTAAAAAGGAGATTATGAAAAACACTGTAATGCATTTTTGGCATAAGAAAACACAGTCCAAAGGATTATCATATTTTGATTGCAACTTTTGAGTTTTGTTTCCTTTGTATCTGAAATCCAAACCTCAGCCTTTCTAAAATCCATACGTAGTTTAAATTTAAATTTGAATGAAGATGTAATGTTCTTAATTTCCAGTGGCATGGATGGGACAGAAAAAAGCTTAATCGCACGACACTAGTGTTTCTAAAGCTATGATTAGCCATTATTATCAATGTGGTGATCCAATTACAGATCGCACACCGAGTCACCAATGAAACCAAAAATCTAGATAAATTGAAACGGAAGGATGTGGACGAGCAACAATCGAATCGTCAATCGAAGTTATGACGACCGAAACGATATCTCGCCTTCGTTAGTATACCTCTCAGCCTAACGACGAGACAGAATCAATAGACCGTCCCGTCACTGAATCACCGGCAGAGGCGAAATAAATCAAAAACAAATAACTAAAATTATCAGATCACATCCTTCGCCATAACTAACGGCGAAAGGAGACCGGCGGAGTGAACATTTCCACCACCTAACTCCGGCGGCGGAACTCGAGCTGAATCCTGTTCTTCCTTCCAGCCTACGAACAGCGATGATTTGGGCCTTTTATAGAGATGGAAGCCGCTAACCCTAATTCATACATTTACCATTTTACCCCGTATGGTAAGTGCGACTTTGTATCTGTAAAGAATCGTGTTTTCGAATTACGCGACTTATCCCTGTTTCATACAGTATATTAAAGAAGCAATATTTGTTTACATTATCACCCTTCTCATTCTGAAGTTTCTCCCTTTTTTAAAAATAAATAATAAAATGGAATGCTTCAAGGAGAGAAAAATCACGGAAACTGCCACAAAAAGTAGAAGAAAGCCATTCAATAAAATAAAACAAAATCATGACGATAAACACAACACTCATCATCCTCAGGAAGAATCTGAGAAACTGCCTCAAAGTGGGCAATGCATAGGTGCCCCCCAACCCAAATTCATTCTTTATTTTGCTGATAACAATAATAATAATAATAATAATAGTCATGTCCAAAATATATTATAAAAATCCTAATCTAGGACTCCATAAATCATCAACATTAAAAAAGAAAAGATAGATAGATAGATAGATACTCATCAAGTGTGCTAAATAAGTAAGCAGCAAGTGAAGTGGCCCACCAGCAGCAGCCCCCATATCCCGCTCACTCATATCCTAATATATATTTAAAGCTGTCCTCAATAAATCCATATATTCAGGGTGGACACAGATAACATCATTCTCTAGCAGCTTCCATTTCCATTACACAAGAACAATTATTTTGAAGTGTACCCACAGACACAGATACAGATACAGATACAGATACAGATACAGATACCCCTTTACTTGATCACGCCACTCCAAACCGGACAAACTATTATACAACACTCAACGAACATGCAGTAAACATAGGATTAAGACAGTCATAGATATTATACTTAAGCAGTTGCATCGATCGGTCCGACATTCTTAAAGGCCTCGAACCTGGGCTCCTTGGCCTGGAACTTGAGCCCTGCATACAGCTTCATGTAGTCCTCGAAAACGAACTTTGGGTACAGAGCGCCCTTGCTGTCCTCCTTCTCCACCAATGCCGGCGCCGGATAGATCACCGCGTCGCTCCCCGGATTGTAGAACGACGCAATCGACATCCTCGTGCCGTCCGTCTGCGCGATCACTCGATGCATCACGCTCTTGTACTTCCCGTTCGTGATCACCTAATCAATGGATAACGATGACTTAGAAAAAATAAAAATTGATTGATTGATAATTTGATGATTAATTTATTAGCATACGAAGAATATATCCTAACCTCGAGCTGGTCCCCAATGTTGACGACGATGGAGTGGCGCATAGGCGGCACGTCGACCCACGCGCCGTCCTTGAGGAGCTGCAGGCCGCTGACCTTGTCGTCCTGGAAGAGCAGAATTATGCCGCCGGCGTCGGTGTGCGCGCGGAGGCCTTTGATCAGGTCCGGCTTCGGGCATGGTGGATAGTTACTGACCTTCGTCCCGAACGTTGGACCTTTGGAGCCGTAGAATGCCTTCTTCAGGTAGCCTTTGTCCAGACCTAAATTCTCGCAGAGTAAATCGAGGAGATGCTCCGCTAATTTCTCGAGCTGCGCTGCAAATTCCTTCATTACCTTCCTGCAGATCGGATCGGGAAATTGAATTGAAATACTGAATTCGATTAGCCCTAGGTTGCAGGAAATCGAATTGAACTGAATTAAATGAACCTGTAGCTGTCGTCGAGGTCGGGGACGTCGGCGATGTTGGAGACGGGGAGATGACGGAGGAAGAAGGTGGTTTCCCAGTCGAGGTCACTGATCTCCGACTGGACAGCCTCCAGACCTTTGGTCGACACCATGTCCTTAAACCTCTGCTCCATGCACTTCTTGTAATGATCCTTCGTCAGCCTCTCCACCGTGTCCAGAAACTCCGGCGAGATTCCATGGTTCACCGTCTGCGTCAAATTAAGAAGCAAAAAAATTGAGTCAGTTCAGCGAGGAATGGAGCCAGTGATAAAATCAATCAGAGGTAACGTATAGTAAGTACTAAGTAGGCAGCACCTCGAAGAAGCCCCAGTTCTCGCAGGCGTCCTTGATGACCGCCATTGTCGCCGCCCTTTCTTCTCCGTTGAGCTTGGCCATATCCACCACCGGAAAAGCTGAGGCCATTTCTGTAAATGTTTTTTATTTCTGTGGCGCTGCTGTGTGTGTGTTGTATGGAGTGGAAGTGTAGTTTGGATTGGAAGCGCCATGGAGGGAGGGCTATTTATAGGCCGTCTCCCGTTAATTCCAATTACGTAAATTCATGGATCATGTAATTAATTAAATTATTATTATTATTATTATTATTATTATTATTAAAAATTTTTAATAATAATAATAATAATTACACGTACAATCATAAAAATCACATTGGACGTTATTTAAATTAAAAAATCAAATATAAATACCTTTCAATATAAATTTGTGAATATTTAAAAAAAAAAAAGTCGAAATTTTAATATGGTGCACCTTTTAAAAATTAGACTATTGAATAATATCAAGAATTTCAAAAATACTTATGCAAACAAAGTTATTTGGATTTGTTTGATTGTTGTATGAAATTGATTCTTTATATAATTATTTTTATATTATTTTGATTTAAAATTTTGTGAAAATAAATTGTATATTTTTATTAAAAATTATGTTGAATTAATAAAATTGATTTGAATTTAAAATAATAAATTAACAAATTCTTGTTCACATTTGAATTTATTTAATCCTTCCGTCCTGAAACAAGGGTGGCGTTTGCTTTTTGCACGTAAATTTTTTAATATTAGTATTATAATAGATTGTAGTGAAAATAACGAAAATATCCCTATTAGTATTGTGTAATATAAAAGTAATGACATTTGTGTAATATAGTGTAAGTTAGAAGGATATTTATTATGTTAGGTAGGTAATACAATTACTAAATTAGAAAATGGTAACCTTGTTTTGGGACGGATGAAAATAGAAAATGACAATATTTCAATGGGACGAAAAGAGTATTTTTTTTCATAATATAATATGTTATCTATGTTATTTATATTTATGTCAGGTAAACTTAGAGACATTTCACTACCCACAACACCAAGCTATTCGAGGACTAGTTATATTTGTTTTGGCCTTTGAAGCTTGAGTTTTAAATTCTAATTTTAATAGTATAATATAAATAAATATTAAATATTATGTTAAAATAAATTTTATATTTAAAATATAAAATATCACTTATTTCCATCACTAACACATAACTATTTCAATTTTTTTTAAAAAAAAATCTTATATTCCAAACTCAAACAAAAAATGTAAAACCCCACTTCAAATTTTCCTTTTTCATTAAATGAAAGTAAAATATAAAGACAACCAATTACTCCATCCATCTTAATATACACATGAGAATTTAGGTAAAGTATGATTAGTAAATAATTAAAAAGTGTATTAGTAAAAATAATTGTTATATAGTAAAATTATTTATTGAGTAAGATTAAGATAACTAAATAATTTAATTAAGACTAAAATAATTATAAAATATAAAATTTAAAATATAATTAAAGTATATAATTATATTTCCAATAAATGAAATGATAAGTTACGTAGGACAGACAAAAATAGAAAATAAGGACAAATTACATGGGACTGAGGAAGTATACAGTACTCCCTCCGTCCACAAACTAATGTCCTACTTTCCTATTTGGGACGTCCAACAACTATTGTCTTATTTTCTTTTTTAAACACAAATTTTACATTTTTACCATTAATTCATTTATTATTTTAAATTTCTACCATACACTTAAGGGTAAATTTGTCCATTTATAACAAAAAGACAATAGCGTGCAAATATACTTTATGACAATAGAAATTGAACGAGAAAGTATATGAGTTTGTATGTAGTGGTACGAGAGGTGCGTGTGGATCATGTTATATTATCATATATGGACCCCTACCAATCGTGGATCGACTTTGCAACTGAAAAATAAATAATAACAAAATAAAAAATGAAATGATGCTTTTTATTTAATTATTTTGACTGGCTTTTATTTTAATTTACTTTTAGTATTCATTCATTCACAACTCTGTAACTCGGATTTGGTGGTTGAGGGACCTAATAAGTGATGCCTAAATTCTTCCTATGGCCCATTTTGCAAAGTAATAATTCATCCGTTTTAATACAATAGTTTTGTTTATCAATTTTGTCGGTCCAAAAATAATAGTCTAATTTTCATAAATACTCATATCACCGTAAAATTATCCTTATTTTTTCATTATTATTACACAAAGCAAAAAAAAATCTTTTATTCATATTTTTTATTCACTATCAATATTTTTTAAATTTCGTGTCCAACTCAAATAAGACCATAGTTTTGGGACGGATGGAATAATAATATATAATATCCTTTAAAATAAACAGACAAAGGTTAATATTATTGCATCTAATAGATCATACACTTACTTAATCTTATCTACATTACTAATTAAGTCATAAATAATGGTTATGATTATAATGGAGATTACACAGTACTTCCTCCGTCTAAAAAACAATAAAATTTATTCATTTTATTATTTTTATTTGTGTACAAAAAATATATTCATATCATATTTAGTAAAAAAGGTAAATTATTTTTAATTATTTATTTATTTATTATATTACTAACATTGTAAAATTTCAATTTTTAAATAAAATATTCCCCCACCCCCAACTAAGATAAAAAAATAATAAAAAAAAACATAAAATATTATTCTCACCGTCTATAAAAAAAAAAAAAAAAATATGTTTCTATAAATTTGACACGAGTTTTAATAAATATAGTAGTATTAGATAAAAATAATTTAAAAAGCTTTAAAATATTTTTTGTATAATCTTTTGCATAATTCAAGGCTTTAGATGCTCATATATTTGCTTTTAGTTATCTTTTAATAAAATTCAATAACATTAGATAATATTTCAGTCATGATTTTTATATCATAATAAATACATTTTTAGTATTAAAATTATTATCTAAAATACATTAAAACCTATTATCTCATAGAGAAAATAAAATTTTAATAAACTACTTATGTAATATTTAGTTATAAACACATACTACCTCACTCTCATATAATATAAGTTTATTACCGTAGATACGAAAATTTAAGTAAAGTATAATTAGTAAATAATTACGAAGTATATTAATAAAAATATTTATGTTATTGCAAAAATAATTGTAGATTAATATTAAAATAATTAAATAATTTAATTAAAAATACAAATAAAATTGTAAAATATAATATTTAAAACGTTATTAAAATATATAATTATATTTCAAAAAATAAATGACAAATTATGTGATACAGACGAAAATAGAAAATAAAAACAAATTATATGGGACAGAGGTAGTATCAAATTTAATACAATTATATATTATCATAAAAGTATATAATTTCATTTGATAAAATATCATACTAAAGTACGATATAAACGATAATTTAAACTCAAATATAAAGAGAAAACGCCGGGAAATTAAGCTCCTCAATCATTAATATTAGCTTATCTTATTTAATATTTCCTCCGTCCCATATCTATATATCAATTTGTTTTTTACACGGAGTTTTAGAAATATTAGTATTACGTTGGGATAAAGTAGAAATAAAAGTAAAAAGACTTAATTAACTCTATTAGTATTGTATGATATAAAGATAATAATATTTGTGTAATATATTGTAAATTGAAAGAATATTTGTAATATTAAATAAACAGTACAGTTACTAAAAAAAAATATTTTGTTATAAAACATACCAAAATAAAGAAAAAATGGATGGATTGTCAAGTGAACGAGGGAGTAATATCAAAACAACATAAACCAGCAAGCAACGTTGTAAAGAGCAACAAACACAATTATTAATGTAATAATTAAATATGATATGTCATAGCTTATTTGTTAATTGCTCCATCACTGCATTAATGATTAATTGGCCAACACTTAGCACTAATAGTTGTTGTAATGGTACTATGTTTTCCTTTCTGCTTTGACTTGTTTTGGTAATTTGGTATTTGGTTTAGAGCTTACGTGTCATTTATTTTTGTTGAATTAATTTACTGGTTTACTCAGAGCATACTCAAATGATAGTTTCGATATAAAAAAAATAAAAAAATAAAAAAAATCAATTCAAGCTATATATATGTCACAGAGTTGGTTGTTTGTTTGTTTTTTTTTTTTTTTTTTTCAAGCTAATATATAAGGTTTTAATAAGTTGGGTGATCTCACAATTATGAAATAGAGATGATCCATTTAACTTTGTTAAAATAATTTATTTATTTTTATTTACTTATTTTTTTTGATAGTCTTATAAAAATATATTATTAAAACATAACATAGTCAGTGTGATGAGCGGACTATACGCGACAAGCAGGACGTCGTAAAAAATTTGAATTCATAATTTCAAGGGATCATTTCCTCCATCTTCGTATTAATTTTATATGTAAGGACTTGTTTGATGATGTTCTACCGGACGAGATCTTTTGTCCCAAACAGAATCTTGTCACACTGTCTCGTACACATATTGTGTATATATACACACTATATATGTGGAGATAAGGGAATATAGTTTCTTTTTGGCAGGTGATACCGTGTGATGTTCTAGATTCTACAAAATGTATTTTAATAATTTCCTAAAGCGAATGCTCAATTATGGCTATTATCAAACAACAATTCGGTTGTTTCAGGAATTAATCATCAACGTAATAATTGCGATACCAACTATGAGTATTTGCAGTAAATTAAAATTATTATAATTCGGCTATTATTGTTAAATCAAACAATTACAATATGGCCATTTAGACTCGTATAATATTTATATGTAATTTACCTGAAACCAGATCAGTTATTTTTTAAAATCGAATCAAATTTAATTATATAGAAGTATCAAATAATTTTAATATAATAATAATTGAACAAACGGACAAATCATTGAACACGAAGGGATCAAATGGGTCCCATCCCGCTTTTGCTCGTGGAGATCTACAGACTACGCTACTCTTTACATTCTTCTTTCGTTTAATTTTTATTGTTTTAAGTATATTTGCACGATTATTAGGTGATTGTTTTTTTATTATAAATTGATAAATTTGCCTTGTATGATACAGATTTAAAGTAATAAATAAATATAAAATTCGTGTTTAAAAAGAAAAATAGAACGATAATTATTGAACGTCTCAAATAGAAAGGTAATGCATTAGTTTTAGTTTGTAGATATAAAACGTGTTCTACTATCATATATTTTTTCTAACATACTTTTTGATTAATATTACAAATATATATATATTTATTTATCTATTCATAATAAATTAATAATTAAATATTAAAATATTATTTTTATATTACCGATGTATTTACACTGAATATAAAAAAACATTTCAAATTAAAGAAATTAAATAAACATATTCTTTCTAATTTTTTTTTATACAACTTTTATAAATCTTTATATAAAAATATATTATTGGCATAATATTATACCCAAATAATTATTTAATACTAATAAAAAAAATTAACCAAATTTATAACAAGATTCTTCAATTTGAGCTGGGTCTACATCTACATGCACTAGCAAGTAGCATCTATCTGGCATGCAGGGGCGGACCTAGGGTAGGGCAGCCCCCCCACCCCATTTTTTAAAAATTAAATATATATATATATATATATAATATAATAAAAAATGCTGAAAATTAAAATTGATTAGATTTTAATTTTAAATCAAAATTATTATTTAATCTGTATAATTTTTGTAATAAATATATATTTTAAAATAGCACAATAATATATATAACATTTTTTAAATTCAAATTCAAATCAAATAAATTTTTAATTGTGGGAATGAAATAATTTTAATGATTTTTTTTATTAAAAGTAATTTTTTCAAAAAAATAAAAAATATATTTTTTTGGCAATTTTAAATAATATAAAAAATATCTACAATATTTAATTATTATTTGTTAATATTTATCATATTACAATTTAGTAAGTAATGATTATCTCTAACCAACATCAAATTTAGCATAATTTTTAAAATATAAGAACTCGAAAATAAATCAATATATATTTTTATATATATAAATTAAATATAATTGTATTATTTTCGATTTTAAAAAATTAGCCCTCCTTTCGACTAAGCTCTGGTTCCGGCCCTGCTGGTATGGATTAACTTGCTCTGTAGTAAAATTTACATTTATCTGGCATTTTTATTTTTGAATTTAAGCACCAAATACAAAAATAAATAAATAAATAAATGGACAGAAAAATTACTAAGGATGTGTTTGTTTGGGGTTGGATTGGATTTACACTATTCATCCAATTTTTTCCCCAAAAAAATATTAAATCAAACACTTATTTTTTATTTTTTATATTATACTAAAAATCAATTTTACATTCAAAATATCACATCAACACATATTTATATCACATCATACAACTATTCGAATTCAAAATTTTTACTATTCAAATTCCAACTCAAAATCCAAATCCCAACCAAACAAACACACCCTAAAAAGTATGATTAATGAGATGATGAGAATTCAACGTTGGCCGTACCTTTTCAACGCATTAGCCACCTTTTATAATTATTTGTTTAGTGTCTTTTTCATTATTTTTTAAAAATTTTATTTAAAAATAATAAATGTGTATAAAATATTAATTTATTTTTTTCAAGAAAAATGTGTTAGGAAATTTTTTTACCAAACAAACAAACCCTAGGGTGTATCACAAATTTGGAACAACTATTGCCGACTACTTTTTAAATGGTTTATACTAATGTCTATGAAATTGCCTAATTAAAGTGTGTTTCCAATAATTTGTAATATTTTGAATATGAAAAATTTTAAATAACAATTTTTATTTTGTTTTGTTATCGCAATATTTAAAATAGAAGTGGTAGATTTTTCTTTAAATTGTGTTTTGGCATTTTAAGTAGTTAGAATTTTTGACAATAATCATAAAGAAAAGCTAATGGTGTATTTGTTTTTTATTTTACCACTTTCTCAATAAAAAAATATAGTATTTTTTTTTATAAAATATTAAATTAAAATACTATTTACATTAAAATTAATTTAATTATCAAACACATCTGGAGTCTTGAAATTGGTCACAAATTTCCCCAAATCAACAAGCAACCCAAAGTCGTGTTTCTCTAAGAAAGCGCTAATCAAACAAATGCGACTAACACGCAATTTAATTTTTATTTATTTTTTTTAAAAAAAAAGATGAAATCGAAATTGAATCCACCAATTGAGTCGAGGAGCAACACAACGAGACCACATGTCGCCTGTCCAATTTGTATTTGGTCTAAGATTCTATGGATTCAAGATTTCACACACACACACACAACTTTGCTTTATTTTTATTTTTTTTGTGGTGTCTGTCTAATCCAAATCTAATTCCACATTTTTATTGCAAAAATACCTACCTACCTGCAGTACAGCTGTAATAATCATACAGTGGGGCCCAGAAATTTCATTCAAATAATTTTACATTTTTCAGTCATTTTACTTTCTTTGAGCAAGTAATTACCAAATCAAACCAATTTATAGACTCAACCATGGAAGAGTGAATCTTGTCTTAATTTAGACAGCAAGTAGAACTTAAAAATTTTCTGAATAGATATGTGTCAAATAATAGAATGGATAAGCGAGAGCAGGAACAGACAGGATAGTATTACCCGACTGAAAAACGGACTTTAAATCAAAGTAGCAAAAGCAAAGGAATGTATAATAATGGGACGTGGATGGGGATGGGGATGGGGGTGTGCATTTTGTTAATGTCTAGATACAGTTCTTCTCATTACACATCTTCCCCACCTACAAAAGCAGACATTGACATCGACCCAGAGCTCTTATTACATCATTTGTAAAGCTTTGCATTGTGATGGACAGGTTGACCATAATTATAAGTTGTTGAATATTGTTATTGTTGTATGGTGAAGTGATTTTAAGTTTCTTGATTTAATTCTATGGCCAAGAATGATGTATGGGCCTTTTTGATCATCTGGGTCAGTCCAGAATTTCTGATTTCAGACAGTCTACTGTTGCATTTCTTGTCCCAAGTTGAAATGGTCCAAAATCTGAATCCCACACGTGGAGTGTCGATTTCATGACTATCAAATTGGTGTTCTTGCAAGTAGACATTATTGGATGTGTAATTTTGTGACAGCAAATAGTCCTGTGTCGTATTTGTAAATTGTGTGGTGATATTTTTGAATAGTGGCTCGGGTGCTTTTACAAATAAATTTCTGGGCTACACAGGAAAGCCCAGATTGGGTTCTAATTGGGTTCGAAATTTACAAATAATGTTTATATTTATGTTTAGTATATGTCGAGGATTTCGAGGATGGGCCGGTTGCAGAGGGGACAGGACCCCCGACTCAGCCAGAGCTCCCGGGAGCACGCCCGGCAGAAAGTGTGGCCACAGGGTATAAAAGCCGCGCCCTTTTTCCTTACCATGCAGACGCAGCACACCGAATCGCAGCCCTCGTAGTACGACGTATAACGGAACTGATCCCTTTCTTCCTCTTTCTTCTTCATCTCTCCATCGCAGCCGTCCGTTTCCTCAAGCAATCTCATCAACGACACGCGTCCCGGGGTCCCCACCGGAGTGATCCCCCTCCCCTCGCCGCCGTTGCGCCCCAGCCGGAAAAGACTCCCTCCCATCTCCGACGACTCCAGCGCCGCCCTCAGCTGCCGCTCCGCCGCCAGCGCCGCCGCCAAATTCATCCCCGCGCAGGGCGGCGGAGGGTCGATCTCCACCGCATCCTCGGCCGCGTCGGCGACCATATCAATTTCGGGACTCAGCGCGGCGGCGTCGTCGCCGTCGTCGTCCCGCACGCTCATGGTAGTGGGCCCGGACCCCCAGGTGGCTCCACAACAGCCTAATCCCTTCAATCCCAGCCGTTCCTTCAAGGTCGGCCTTCTCTCGGCGCGATCCAGGCCGTCCATCCTGTCCCGCAGGAGCTCCACGAACGTCGTCGCCGTGCCCCTCTGCAATTGCAACCCCAACATTTCACCAATTTGACCCATCTCAAGATGAAGAAATCCAACCACACAATTATATAGCAACAACAATAAATGGAAACAAAAGAATATGGTGAATCTAATTTACACACACACATACGTACAGAAAGAAGATAGAAATGGGCCAGAGGAGGCAGTATGTCCAGTCCAAATCACGTGAATCGCATCAAAGTCCCTGATGTTATTGCAAGAGAAAATTCAGCCTCGCCACCGCCACAGCCGAGAAAACGACCCCACGAACAGTTCTAATTCTAGAACCAAATCAAAGGAGACCTAATCCCAGCCCCATCTCATGATTGCCATAAAAAGACAGCCATGGAGCGGCTGTATTAATAATGGAATTAGGAATAGGAATATCAGACAAGAAACAAACCAAGCTGAGAAAAAGGATATGGGACAAAATAGAACAAGTGGAAAGTGGAACGGGGGATGAGAATGTACGAGATGATCGGAGGGAGAGAACCCTTTTTATTGTTTTTAACAAAAAATAATATTTCTTTCCCCAGGAGACGAATGAATAATATGAATTAATATAATGATGTCCTGAGGGTAACTGTGATATTGGAGTATTTTAGCATAATTAATTGGTCCGTCCGATTTCTTGCAAATATCGCCGGCAAGGGCAGGCCATAAATATAAGTCAAAAGGTCAGGTCGTCAGGTCAGCAGGCGCTGCAATCGAGATCCATGGCACCATGTGGACGAGGACGACGAGAGAGTTTACATTTGTTTAGACCGTTTTTTTTTTTTTTTTTTTTTTTTTTTTTAAGTTTTTTGGAAATTTAAAAAAATTAAAAAAATATATTTTAATGTAATATTTTTTAAAAAATAAATAATATTAAATGAGCAAAATATGCTGCGTAAACAAAGACAATCAATCAGGATTCTATAATTCTATAAATCTTGTGATTGTCGTCTCCTAGTTAGTGTTAGGGCACGGCTACTCTGTCTTGTTTCTTACTCTCCATGTATTTGTCAACACTCGTGTTTAAGGGTTTCTCCTACTTATATATACATATATATATATATATGCACATATTAAAATTGGTCCCTTTAATTTGTTTAGGGCTGTAATTTTCTCACAATTTGTGTGTTTGACTTTAGTTTGGTTAGAGATTGACAGAGGAGAAGAGAATAATTCAGACCAACCAGTTAAAATAATATGGTATGATTAATTGATTCAAATACAACTAATACGTAAACTTAAGAGATTCAATACCTAACGAATTTATTTTAATGGCTGCCTATAAGTGATAATAATAACTATCTGCATGGGACCACAGGGAGTGGATGATACATATATGGGTGTGTTCGTTTGATGAATTTGGATAAAATTCTACTATTCATCCAAAATTTTCCCCCCAAAAACATCAAATCAAACACCTATTTTTCATTTTTTATATTATACTAAAAATCAATTTTACATTCAAAACATCACATCATCACCTATTTATATCACATCATACAACTGTTCAAATTCAAAATTTTTACTATGGGTGTGTTTGTTTGGGGGTTTGGATTTTGGATTGGGATTTGAATAGTAAAAATTTTGAATTTGAATAGTTGTATGATGTGATATAAATAGGGTTTGATGTGATGTTTTGAATGTAAAATTGATTTTTAATATAATATAAAAAATGAAAAATAGGTGTTTGATTTGATGTTTTTGGGGGAAAAATTTTGGATGAATAGTAGAAATCCTTCAAAATCCTTCAAACAAACACACCCTATGTATTTGTAAATTAAAACAGGCTTTAATATTGTAATAGTTACTGCATAAACATCTCGCACATATAATATATCTATATAATTCGAATTTAAATATTTAATCCAGTCTAAATAATTACGTCAGGACTGCGGGCAATAGCGGTGGTGTTTTGCTTCCACGTCTCTGCGCGTGACACCATCTTAATTTATTTTATTATATATATATATATAGTATTTTATTCTTGTTGAATTATTCTTGAGAGTTGTTATTGATAATTACCAACATCAAACCCCCGACGCCTCAGGTTCATTAGTGTGATTTTTTTGGATTTGATTTGCAGGGTATTAAGTTCAGCCGGAGATTTACCAGTGCACACTTTCGAATAGCTACTGCGAATTCCCACGTAATCCAAATATATATATATAGAACGCTTTGATGCAAGTGTGTCCACAATTTAGATTTTCTAAAATAGTAATGAAACATAGGTTAGATGTAATATTTTTAGTTCAAATAAAATATATGCCTATTTTTTATTTTTTTTAATTGCCGGTTCATACAAATATATATATTTTTAATTTTAATATAAAACTCTTATAACATTATACTCTTTATAAATATGCTACAACTATTTATATATTTAATTTTCTTTTTAAAAAAAAATATTTTACTTCATTAATTTATTCTTATCTTTTTTCAAAATATTATTTATATCACAATCAATTAATATAATATTGTATTAAATAAAATTTATATTTAATTCAAATGAACATATATATCATGGAATATATTTTATATAATAAAAATAAATAAATAATAGCCTAATTGTTGAACCCTAATTTTCAAATCTATGATTCAGCCCAAAACTTGAAATATTTAGATGGGCCCACTAAGGGCTAAGCTCAGTGTAACGGCGGCTCGTGACTGATCAACCCAATTTTTGACCCTAGAATAAAGTATGAGTAATTAAAGTGAAAGAATATCATATTGCTGTTACTGAGATATATTTGGCCGCAGTGACCGAATTCAAGTAATTTCAGATTATTTCAAGATGGTTGATCAAAGTTTCATTTTCTATTTTCCTCTCAAAACAATGTACTATTTTTTAATTTATTAATTGTACTATATATTTAATATAATAAATACCCTTCAAATTTACAATATACTCCCTCCGTCCTACATACCATATCAACATTGCCGTTTCTGTATGTCCCGCGTACCATGTCACATTTTTTTAAAAAATGATTACACACTTTAATCTCATTTTAAATTTTTTAAATTTTTTTAATTAAACTAATTAGTTATCTTAATTTTAATTTATAATTATTTATATTATAAGATAATTATTTTCACTAATGCATTCTTGATTATGTACTAATTAAACCCCTCATAAATACAGTATCTACAGTGTAGCATACACGGTACGTGAGACAGAGATAATATTACATAAATGGCACCACTTTTATATTACACCAAAGGTATTTTTGTTTTTTTTTTTTACTACAATCCAATATAATATTAAGAGTAAAAATTTTTACCTGTAAAAAACAAAAGTTAATCTTTATAAGAAACAAATGAAGTATATGAGTCATCAATGGTGAGAGAAGACATCTTTGGATTCTCATTACAATTTAAAAAAATTAAATTATTGAAATCACCACTTTTATTTTTTTGACATAATTTTACTTGTTTATTTAGTTAATTAAATCTGGTGTTTAGAGACCATCGTATCAAACGCAAAAGTAAGTTTAAAGTTGTATTCAATTTTTACTTTTATTTTGTTGAAAAATTCAATTCAACAATAATATAAAATAAAAATTAATAAAATAGAAAATTTGTTCACATTGTATTTTTAAATGATATTTTCCTATAAATATTATAAAAAAGATAAATATATTAACATATTAATACAATATATATATATAATATAAATTTTATCTACTAATTATCAACATAATTATTTATATTTAATATAAAAAAAATAAATCATCAATTCAAAACACAAAATGAACCAACTCAAGGAATGTATCTGGCGGAACCTAATACCCTGCAAATCAGGCATGACGGCAAAATCACACTAGGTGAACCGTACGTGGCAGGTGAACCCTTTTCAGCTAAAAGAAGTTTGGTGTATTTATATTCGTTTATTAAAACATTAAGCTAGAAAATAGTAATTGAATTTAATACTTCATCCGTCCCATTGGAAATGTGGTGTTTGTTTTTTTTACGTAAATTTTTTAATATCAATATTATATTGGATTGTAGTAAAAAAAATAAAAATACCCCTATTAGTATGTTATAATATAAAAGTAATAACATTTGTGTAATATATTATAAGTTGAAAGGTTATTTATTATGTTAAGTAGGTAATACAATTACTAAATTATAAAATCATAACTTTGTTTTGGAACAGACGAAAATGTAAAATGATAATATTTCAATGAGACCGAAGGAATAGTTTAAACGTACAATGTAGAATGATTGTCTCACCTAAAAATTCGAACGATTAAAAAATGACCATCATTAATTATATATTTGCAAACGAAAGTTTCCAACATTAAATATAAAAAATATTATGAATAAATGTATGACATTTTCCTTTTTTTCTTTTTCAACTATAAAATTTACAACATAATATCGAAACAAAATTGAAATATACAAATACTAACTGGATTATTAATAAAACGTAATGATGTTGATTAAAATTAAAAATTTAATCCTACTAGATTATTTTTTAAAATAACTATACGTATTATTTAAGTTTGAAGTACTCACGTTATTAAGGCGATTTTTTTTTTTTTTTTTTTAATACGGCATGTGATTGTTGAGATTCGGGTAAGGTGTTGAATTTCCGAAAGTACCCGCGTTAATGAGAAGAGCATTGCTGGGAGCGTGAGGGTAAAGTTGGTATAACGCAATTTACACCTGTCAAAATCCACCGTCATATTTGGCGTTTATTCATATCAGGGGAAGTCAAAGGCGTCATTCGCTTCATTTCTTCTGCTGAAAAATGTCTTCGATACCGTCGATTCATCCGTTTCTGCCTTGCCAAATCCTTCAGCAACCCCATCGGAATCCGGGACTGATCGCAAGCAATGCCTGCCGTATTGGATTTTCTGCTCTTTCTGCCAGAAAGTCGATGAAGTTGAATCGGGAATTTACGGTTCAGGCGGCGGAAGAAGGTGCTTGGGATGGAGGTGTGGTACGACGAGTGACGGTTCATGAGGTGGATCCTGAGGACAATAACTCGACGGAAATCGAGAGTTTGAAGAAGCAACTGATTGACTCTTTCTATGGAACGAACAGGGGATTGTGTGCCAGTAGTGAAACCAGGGCGGAGATCGTGGAGTTGATCTCTCACCTCGAGGCGAAAAATCCGACTCCGGCTCCGACCGAGGCTCTCAGTCTGCTAAATGGTAAATGGATTCTCGCGTAAGTTATCTACTTCTGGAATTTACTGATAGCCATTTTCCTGAGTGTTGTTTATAGCGAATGCGAGTATTTGAATATTCAATTTAAGCTAGTTTACCAAAACGATAATTTCATCTGCAATAAAATCTAGATCGACAATGCATATGCGTACTACATACAAGCATTGGTGGATGAACTTTTAATATCAATTGTATTTGGATATCGATTATCTAGGGTTTTGTATTGTTCAAATTGAGTTGGTATTTATTAGCAGTAGACGAATTGGCCAGAGCCGTTTTGAAACACTTTCTACAGGAGGATTTTGACAGGTCATAATACATAGAAACAATCTCGATTGCAATCCATGGTTTCAAAACCATTACTATTTGATCTATGTTGTTACTTCAGCCAACCATCACAAAATAGGAAGAATGACTGGAACTGAGAATCCTCACCAAGTAACTGTTGAGTTTCAGGTACACATCCTTGGCAGGTTTCTTCCCCTTGTTCTCAAGGGAGGAAGCTCTGCCATTGGTAAAGGTGGAGGAGATATCGCAGACAATCGACTCCCAGAATTTCACTGTCCAGAACTCAGTTGTGTTTGTTGGACCATTGGCATCCACAGAGATTTCAACAAATGCCAAATTTGAAGTTCGAAGTCCCAAACGAGTTCAGGTTCAATTCTTGTACTCTCCATCTTCCTTAAAGAAACTCCCCTTTCTTCAAACCAAGAATTGTTCTGCTTCCATTATGATCTACATTGGCAGCATGTGCTGATTATCCATCTGCACTGTGATTCTAATTCTGAATGGCAGATTAAGTTCGAAGAAGGCGTCATCGGAACACCCCAGCTGACAGACTCCATAGAATTGCCGGAAAATGTGGAGTTTTTGGGACAACATATTGATCTAGCACCTGTCAAAGGTCTGCTGAGTTCAGTAGGCGGCACGGCGTCTTCTGTGGCCAAGACCATTTCTAGCCAATCCCCATTCAAGTTCTCCATGTCCAACCTCAACAACGAGTCATGGCTTCTTACAACATATCTAGATGATGATCTTAGGATTTCCAGAGATGATCGTGGCAGCATATATGTGCTCATCAAGAAAGCCAGCCCCCTTCTGATTCCCTAGACAATTCTTGCAAGAATCCAGTCTTCACAGCAACCATTTACACTTGAAATTAGTGGAGAATGGATTTCACAGTATGTTGGAACTTGGAATTCCATGAAATTTCGAATATCTTGGATTGGAGTGATGCAGAAAGTATAATGTAGAAACAACAAATTATGTCACTTTCATAATTTTCTGCTTCTCCTGTGCTTTAAGGAGAGAAATAAGAAATACATTTTCTACTGGCCCACACCTAATTAAATGGGCTCAAATTTATTCATTCCCCCACAAGGCCCATTTAATATTGGGCCAAAGGCCTGTTTGAACCATCTTTCACCTACCACGAGGCCCAAAAACTCGAACTTGAAGGAATATTGGAATATACTTCCTCCTATTATTCACCTACCCTAACCCCGATGGAAACAATGCAACAAAAATTTCAGAAATGGGAAAAAGGAAAAATTCAACACTGTGCTGACTGATTACCGAACTAGAAAATAAAAAATATATAATAATAATAATAAAATAAAAGAAAATCGACGGACAATTCAGTGTGAAACCCTAATTGCCAAATAAGATAAATCTAATTTTATCACGTGTAGGACGAAATTACGAAACTAGCCCTGAGTTTTGCGGAGCAACCAAGGAAAGCAGTTCAGTTCGAATGCCCTCGCAGGTCAATTGCGTTTAAACGCAGATAAAAACTCGTATGGGCAAGCACTAAGACTAAGTACAGTCATATCAGTCAAGAGGCTGAAGATCTGAGGATTGGTGCTTAGGTTTGGTCGCTCCCAAGTCGTTTGAGAACCATTGTTATTCTCTGATATGGCGGTTGCTGCTGCTGCTGCGCTCATTGGCAACGGCGATTATACTGCCGCCAAGGCCCCGTCCACCGGTCGATATGCCTCCGTTTACAGCGAAGTGCAGAACAGCCGTTTGGATCATGCGCTCCCCTTACCTACCGTAATCAGAGATTCATTTAAGGTAGTCGATGGCCCGACTAGCTCCGCCGCCGGCCATCCAGGTACAAGCTTATTCGTGTTTTTTTTTCTTTTTTCCCCTAAAATTTGAGAGGATTTATTTTCACTCAAGAGTCGAGGCATTGTGTGGGATCTGGATTTTGATAATGTTTCTCTAGTGTTGGTAATAGAGTGCTTTGTTTTGGAAATCTAACTCCATTCGTGTTGTGAGGATTAATGGCTTCTTGAATTTTCAAAGGTTGCTTAAAGATCATGGTTTGTATGGTTTCGATGCTTGAGATTGGATCCTTTGAATTATACGAAGAATAATTGTATACATACATATTGTCTTGCACTTTTTGTGCGAAGTGATTAATCTTTATACATATATTCAGAGGGATCAAGGAGTCTAGTAATTATGCACGGTTCACTGATGTTGTGAATCATAAGATGGTTATTAATTCATTTAAAACTTAGCATTTCGGTTCAAATTTTATTTTTTATTTATTTTTTATGTAATGACTCTATTGTTAACTTTTCACGGGACTAAAATGGTGCTAATGTACTTTTATATGCATTAACATCGTAACTATGCCGAGTCTTTTGAATCTTACTCATTTGTTCTCATAAATGAAATAGTTTTCATTTCATTGTAGCTTACATATTGACTTCAATTTGACCAATTACTGACATAGCTTGATATTCGTTGGTGGTTGGTTGTCATGCAGATGAGATTGCAAAATTGTTTCCTTGCCTCTTCGGACAACCATCCGCAAGCTTGGTAGCTGGAGATCCTGCTGAGAATTTGCCAAATAAGAGCTTGAAGATTGGAGTGGTTCTCTCTGGAGGCCAAGCTCCAGGAGGGCACAATGTTATTTCTGGAATTTTTGGTTAGTGCTGAATTTTGTCAGTCATTGGGTGTTGGAATGTATCTTTTGTTTGGTTTAATCAGTATTCATCTGTGAATTGTAGATTATTTACAGTCTCGTTGCAAAGGGAGCACCTTGTATGGATTTAGAGGTGGACCGGCTGGAATAATGAAGTGCAAGTATGTAGTACTGACACCAGAGTATATCTATCCTTACAGAAATCAGGTAACATCATTTACCCGACCTCGGTTTTATACTGGGTAATCAGTAACAGTCTTTAGAGACCACTGATTGACAGTCGATGAGTTATTACTATTGTTAAAGTTGTGGCATCTTGTTTGATACAGGCAAGATCTATGGACCTTGATGCATTTTTTTTTTCCATATAATTGATATAGCTCATATCTGTACTTCCTCTTGGATATGTAAACATATGGTCATCTTACGTTGACATTGTGTGTTAATTGATTGAATTTAATTCTTTTATTGATGAGATATGAAATCACCTAAAATATGCATAGTTGTCATATCTGTGCAATTCGATAATCCATTATGAACAACTTTCAGGGTGGATTTGATATGATCTGCAGTGGGAGGGACAAAATTGAGACTCCAGAACAGGTACAGCTTTAATTTGATTTGTACTTGTTCAGTACCCCAATTCGACTTTATGTTCAAGCTGATGGAAGCTGCACTCTCTGGTTACAGTTTAAGCAAGCTGAAGAAACAGCAGTGAAGCTTGATCTGGATGGACTTGTGGTGATTGGTGGAGATGATTCAAACACAAACGCGTGCCTTCTGGCTGAAAATTTTAGGTAGGTGATATTTGAGGTTCTCTCCTCACATGGTAGCCGTTATGAAGTATGAACATTTCACTTAAAACTCCTTCCACTTTATGTGCAATGTGAATTTTCAGGAGCAAAAACGTGAAAACCAAGGTTATTGGATGCCCAAAAACCATTGATGGTGATTTAAAATGCAAGGAGGTCCCCACAAGTTTTGGGTTTGATACGGCATGCAAGGTAAATTGACAACTGGAATCCATGGTTTATTGTACATAACCAATCCTTATTATGTTCAACAGTACAGCCATTTTAAAATTTGATTGTGAATATCCATTTCCCTGTGATGACATTCTTCAAGCATCCCCGTAGCACATTGTTTAAGTCTAGATTTTGTTCATGCTGTTCCATGATCAGAAAAAGGATATTACAAAATAAACCTAATGGTAAGTATTTATCCCTTTATGCAGATATATGCTGAAATGATTGGTAACGTCATGATTGATGCCCGTTCAACAGGGAAATACTATCACTGTAAGAAATTGCATTTGCTACATTTGGATGAAGTGCGTTCTTTATTTCTTTCACTTATGCGAATATGGGTGTAAGTTAGGGCATTCCTTTGATTATCCTTTAGGGATTTCTGGTGTCTGGTCTAATTTTTGAAGTAACTCCTTACCTGTTTTTCTGTTGAAGAAATGATCATCTACAGTTTCAAATATTTACGCAGAAATTTCTTGACTTTTGCAGTTCATCAAATGTTTGATTCCTGAGTCATCGAAATGTCCATTTTATACCCTATTTGGAATTGTGCTGTTTGTCACTATAAGTTGTCATTATATTTAGAAAGCAAGTTTCTGAATTCTTTTTCTTAATAATTCTATCAGTTTTCTGATGATTTTTATTTATTTTTTCTTACTCTGATTGTAATGCTTGCTCTATGCTGACCTCACCCAGAATTTGGTTACCATGCTGATGGTTTCTCTTTTCAGTTACATATGGTTTTTTATTCTTTCTTTTCATCTGTTCCCGAGCCAAGTGAACATTTCTTCTTGCCTGAAACATTGGCTTCCGCCTTAGATTTTATAGCTGAGGGGATTATTGTAGTTTTCTTTTCACATGCATGCTATGAAAGGCTCTTAAGCTTCTCTATATGTGCAGTTGTTAGGCTTATGGGGCGTGCTGCTTCTCACATAACATTGGAGTGTGCTTTGCAAACACACCCTAATATCACTCTAATTGGAGAAGAGGTACCTTGTTCCTTCGTATCTATTTGTAACGTATATTGATTTTCTAGCAAATTCAGCCCCGCTATACACTTTGATGTTACATGATAGACTCTGAGGATGAAGTGAGAAGGTTCTTAATGGTCTCAGTGAGAAACACAATTTGAAAATTGGACCTCTGGTCCATAATCATATCAAATTGGAACCTCATTGCTGACTTATATAATTGATTTTTTGGTAATTGAGATGGGATCCCGATTTATTAATCAAGAAAGTTGTTAGGAAAGATGTTTAGGGAGACTGAAAGGAATATTATTGGTGTCCTATTTGCTTTCTCTCTCTCTCTCTCCCTTATTTCCCTCTTGTTTCTGATGTATAGAGGGAGAAGATATGATGTGTAAGCTGTTCATCTTATTGGTAATTTGGAGTTTGCTGGTAAAATAATTCTACGTACTACTGTGATGCATGACTTATGCTGCCAGTATATGTTGGAAGCACTAGCACTATGTATGCTGTATGCGTATGAAGCTTATGTTTGGGTCAACATATTGAAACTTATATCTTGCTGCAGGTTGCTGAAAAGAAGCAGACCCTTAAAAATGTTACAGACTACATTGCTGATGTAGTCTGCAAACGTGCAGAACTTGGATACAACTATGGTGTTATCCTCATACCCGAAGGACTAATAGATTTCATTCCAGAGGTAAACCATGTTTGTGAAACTGTTTTGTTGATATTATGCTCAACTGTCTTCCCACAATGGTCTAAGCAGTATTAATTGTTTGTGGGTTACTTGGTCATGTTGCCTTTTATGAATCTTTCTTCTCTTTGATGATTAAGAGTTTACTAATTGTCACTTGACTGCAGGTTCAGCAGCTCATCTCTGAACTGAATGAAATATTGGCCCACGATGTTGTGGATGAAGCTGGGGTTTGGAAAAAGAAGCTCACCCCACAATCTCTTCAGCTTTTTGATTTCCTACCCCCAGCAATTCAAGATCAGTTGATGCTTGAGAGAGATCCACATGGAAATGTTCAGGTATGTGACGCTTGTCTTGCTTTTGTTTCTAGATCCTTATTTGTGCCTTGCAGTGAAGCTATATCTGATTATTTACTTTCATGCAGGTTGCGAAAATTGAAACTGAGAAGATGCTTATTCAAATGGTTGAAACTGAATTGGATGCTAGGAAGCAAGCGAATGCATACAATGGTCAATTCAAAGGGCAATCTCATTTTTTCGGGTACTTCACATGCCTCCCCTCCCTCAACTTGTGGTGGTCAATTTTTTAGTTGATGTGTTTGAATCGATAATACCTTACATCTCTTCTTGACTTTTACCTCCCAGATATGAGGGAAGATGTGGGCTGCCATCTAATTTTGATGCTACGTATTGCTATGCTTTGGGATATGCTGCCGGGGCACTGCTTCACAGTGGGAAAACAGGATTGATATCCTCGGTTGTGCAGTCTATGTGTACATTTTCATAGCTGTTTTACACAAGTCTTCTTACATCTCCTTTTTAATTTACAGGTAGGAAACTTAGCAGCCCCAGTGGGTGAATGGACTCTTGGTGGAACTGCATTGACCTCCCTAATGGATGTTGAAAGAAGACATGGTATGGCATTCTTTATCTCATTACTATGATTTCATAATGCTAAGATTTTTAATAAGGATAATTCATCTTAGATTGTGGTTACATGGAAAACTCTCTTGGTTCATTTCTAGGCTTTTGTATGGTTTTATTTAGTTTATATATAGTAATATTTTTCCTGTGCTAATCTCCAGGCAAATTTTTAACGGCAAATAATCTATTGTTGTCCATTTCTCTTAGTTTATCATAGTCCCCTCTTTAAGACTAGGTTTTGTTTGTAGGCAAATTCAAACCTGTGATAAAGAAAGCCATGGTTGAGCTGGACGGTAAGCCAACCTGTATCTGTACTCAGCTTAATCTCACACCATCCTCTATTGAATATATCTGAATTGTGGAGAATTTTTCAGGTGCCCCATTCAAGAAATTTGCATCTATGCGGGAAGAGTGGGCCCTTAAAAACCGCTATCTGAGTCCTGGTATGCATTTAATATCGCCAACTGAATCAAGCCATTCTGTGGTTCCCTTGTTTCGATTGAATATCTTTCTCCGCTTCTTTCATCACCACAAACCAGTATTCTGAAGCTCCACCAGTTAGCATGCTCTTTGGTGTTGTGTTCTACTATTCTTCCTTCTATATCAATTCTGCGTCATTATCTATCCAAACATTGCAGGTCCCATTCAGTTTGTCGGCCCTGCGTCTGACAAGGTTAACCATACTTTGCTGCTGGAACTCGGAGCTCAAATCTGAATGTGAGCATTCTGTTCATTATCCTTTGCGATTGCGTGACACACTGTTTGAGTTTTGTCGTCCGCGAGCACCCATTGTTACCTATCTTGAGTTGTTTCCATCCCTTTGGTGGACTAGTTGGTTTAGAATTCTTTATGTTTGTTTCTGACCTTTAAACTTATAAAATTTATTAACGTGTTTGAACTCTTGGTGCAATTTCAGAAAATCAACTTTGAATTGTGAAATCATCTATCACTATAATTTACTTTTTCAAAGAAATTTTCGATGGAAGTGTCATTTTAAATCACAATCTTCCATCTTTTAGAGTTTGACCTAGAAAACAATTTTATTTGAACATAGAATCCCAAGGTAGGGAGAATCAGACTAGGATAGATATCAACATCTCCATCATAAGCTGCCCTTTTAGCATGTGAGCACAGTTCCCCAATCAAGTAGTAAAGCAGGGAAAGGAGCAATTTGGATGTCTCCTTATTAAATATGTATAGGCATTGGTTGGTATGCATCACATCATAAGTGCTTAGGAAATGGAGCATGTTAGACAACCTGGATCCCAAACTCACAGATCTTCATGCACAAAGTTGATATCAGTTACACATGTATATACTGATATTGCAATTTGACTTTGGTGATATTAGAGAATAAAGATGATGTGCTCATATTCTTGCTCAGCACCAATATCTATAGACTTAGTTTTGCCTGCCTTGCTGTCAATAATTCACCTCATTGTCATCCTTTTTATAGAGTAGATAGCAAATATACCCACAACAGTGCAAGAATCAAATCCCATTTATAGCTCCAACCTGTTGTTTTGACTTCATTTTAAAAACACACACACACAGGCATGTATGCATGTAGTTGGAGTTTCCTCTTTGTCTTATAATAATAATTAAATAAAAGTGGGGCAAGAAGCATATTGAAGTTGACAATGTAGGCATGTGTGTATGTATGCATATATATATATATATATGTATGCATGCATCATTCTCTATCAACCAATAATTGTGCATTGTAATTATCAATTATTGTGTCCGATGCTCTGTGAAAGGCTGGTCTGAAGTCTGATCAGATCAGTCTCTCTACACACTTTTGTGGGTGTGAATCAAACCTCACATTTTTTAAAAAGTCAATAAAACTGTAGTATGTATATGTGTGGTTGTGATTGTCAGCTTTCCATTGTCTTCTTTTGTATTTGGAGTTTCCAGAGCATTGCACGGATGGATCTATAGACTATGGCTTATCATTTCATATGGTTTCTTTCTTTATTTCTTAAAATTGCTTCTTCTTCTGTTTGTTCTTATTTGGACTTTTCCCTCAAGTTTTCCTGTGCGTAGGTCCTTCAATCACATGGGAATATGAGATTATTACTTAGTTGCTAACCCATCTTCATCATCATAATAATTACATTTTACATCAACCTTTTACTCACTGACTGCTCACCACATTCTCCATTATTTTCCATGATTAGATTCATTATTATCATTATCTATATATTCTTCTTTCTTCTTCATCCCCTGTTCTTTAGGATAGATGATGATCTTGGTGAACAGTGTTATCGTCCACTAATTATTTTTCATTTATTTTTAGTAGATAGTAAGTAGTACATTCATTAATATAGCATCTTTTGGAGGGTTTTTTTGACCCCCACACAAACTTCCTTGGAATATACCTAACCTATCTCACTCCACCCCTTTAGATTTTTTATAAATATAAAAAGAAAATGAATGGATCAATTTAATCCTTTTGTCCCCCTTTTTTATATTAGTTTTATTATATTTTAGGCATCGAAAAATGATTGCATTATTGACGTTCAATACCTTCTGTCGGGCTCTCTATAGTGTTTTTGCTGCCAACACTACTGTTGATTCGTTTATTTTTAGGAAGGAATAGTACTTCCAAATGATTCCCTGAGGGTAAATTTAATTATCTGATTTTTTTATTTTTATTTTTTGTCTGACATAATTATAGATTATGGGTAAATGCATTTTGCATTTTTATTTGAATCTTACATTTCAATACAAATATTTTATTTGTTAAATAATTGAGTTGTAAATTCATCTAATAGTATTCAAGTAAATGCAACCTAACCAAGCATTTGATTTATTAAAATTTATATGGCTGATTGTGCAATTAATTCAGAGCCTACCTCTTTATTGCTTCTGGAGAAAATTAACAGTGGCTCAATAAAGGCGATATAAAATTCCAATAATAGAGAGAGCCAGTGGTTGATTAAAAGCATGATGATATTTCCAACCACTTTTTGTGACCTATTCTTTAGGTAGTTTGATAATTCCTTTTTTTAATGCATCATTTTTAGATAAAATTTCCCTACTATTCTCTTAAAAAAATCTAATATAAATGTATATAATAAAAATCAACATTAATATTAATTGAAAATTCAAATTAAATACTAATTAAGATTATCAAAAGGCGACAATACAATTCCATTAAAGACAATAAAATCTAGTACATTAGACTTTGTTGAAAGTGTATCCATTTTAACAGTGGATTATGTGTTTATTTTAAAAATTGTAAGATGATGTAACTTTTACTTTTCAATACACTATTTTAATTTCATGAATTAGAGAAGGACGAATCTTTGTCTGGATTTACTCAAATGTGTTACCCTTTTAAACATAAAGAAAGTATAATCAATTAGCCTCTATTACTGGTTAATAATAATATATTACTATTATTTTTAGTAAATAACTCAACAACAATTTAATTATCCAGATTTTGTAGTACTACTTTTTTCTGTTCTATATTATTATGATATTTTTATTTATTATAAATTGTCGTGTTTATTTAGTGTAAAAGTATGTCATGTGGGCAGTGCGCTATAAATGCGTAGCAGAAGCAGGAAATGTAATCTGAACCGTCCAATCTCTAAGCCATCGGACGGCTGATATAGCACACGCCAGTCTTCATTAACAACGAAGTAAAAGAGGATTCCCACTTTAGTAGGATCTTCGTTCTTCTTCCCCCTTCCAAACAGAGTTCTGATTTTCCCAACTCAACTGTGAATTCGAAACCCTAGAATTGTGGAAGATAATATTTTTGAAGGAAATGGAGGCGCCGGAGAGTCTCCCGCAGATTCTGACACCGTCCGGCAGCGGGAGGAGGAGGAGCGGAGATTCAAATTCGCCGGAATTCGAGTTTTGGATGGTTCGGAACCCCTCCTTTCCGCCGCCGAATCTCCTATCGGCTGACGAGTTGTTTTCCGACGGCGTTCTTCTACCGTTGCAGGATCTCCGCCTCTCCGACGACATTCCGACTCCGACGGCGGGAGATGGTGACGGATCGGGGTTCGATCGGTTGATCTCTGAGCCTGAATCTTCTTCGGCTGCTGAATCGGCGCAACTGTCGGCGAGTTCTGCGTTCACTTCGTCGAAGCGGTGGAGAGATATTTTTAAGAAGAAGTTAAGCGCGGAGGTTAATGGAGATGAACATAGTAGTAAAGCGAAGGAGGTTAGTGTTTTTGCTAAAGGAAAGAGGAGAGAGAAGAAGAATAGCAGCGGAGGTAGTGGAGTGAGCGCGGCGGAGCTTAATATCAACATATGGCCGTTCCGGCGGAGTAGATCCGCCGGAAACGGAGGAGCTAGGCCGCGGTCATCAGCGGCGACTCGGAAGGTGAGTAGCGCTCCATGTTCGAGGAGCAACTCCGCCGGCGAGTCAAAGTCGAGGAAGTGGCCGAACAGTCCCCGCAGAGGCGGCGGCGGCGGCGTTCCCGTGGGAAGAAGCAGTCCTGTTTGGCAGGTCCGCCGCAGCGACGGCGGAAATAACCGCAAACCGGAGACCGCAGATAGCGCCACAAACAACCACCACCGCCGGAAAATCCCCGCCGCCCTCGGTGCGTCGAAAGTCAAGGCATTCACCTTAAATGTCCCGACGTGCATTGGCTATCGGCATCACTTGAGTTGTAGAAGCGACGAGCACACCACCACCGGCAACGGCGCCCCCGCCGCAACCCACGGTGGCGCCGACGCGACACGTAGCAGCAATTTACTCAATATCAGAAGCCTATTTACCAAAAAGGTGTATTAATCAATTCCCTTGTAATCCACAACCACTTTTTTCCCCTCTTTAATTTCCTCGCCCCATATGCTGTAGTTAATATATATATGAAATTAGTAATTTCAGAGCTCCATGATGGGACTGGAAATCAGTCCATATTATTAGCATTAATTATCACCGATTAAGCACAGTTTCTGACTAATTAAATGGTATTGTTTAGTACTATCATCAGCATCAGTAGAAGAAAATAGCAATCAGAACTGACATAATTTGTGCAGAAGAACAGACAGCCTCACATGACACTACTGGCTGACCATGTTATGTTATGTTATGCTAATGTCAGCAGACATTCTTCTGCTTAAGCCTTTTCTATTGCATTCTTGATCATTTCAGTAATACTATAAAGTATATCATGCAAGACTAATGTTCAAGTTCAACCTTAAATCTGTCTTCATTTATTCTTGGGGAAAAAAATATTGGGCTAGTTAGTTGGTGTATTAGTAATTTATGGGACTGGCCCACTAGATTTGGGCTTTTCTTAGATTTTTTTTTTGGTCCCATAAAATCTAGAAGAATTGAAGATTAAATCGATGCAAAATGTGTTATTTCTTGTATCATAATTATCATTATTATTAAGTTCTGCAGATCGTAAATTGCTTAGCTAAATCTTCCATCTTTGAGTGTGTGCTTGTTCAAGCAGTCAAATAGTCTTATGGGAGGTGAGTGAGAACATTTTATGGATTACCGACTATTTGCACTCAAACTATATGCAGAAGACGAGACAATGTTTCATCAATCCTCAAGGGGCACTATGAAAATAATGTGTCTTAAATCTGGTGAGGTTCACACCATTCTTCTGAGTCCATTAAATTCCATGTTTAATCAATCCTCAAGGCACAATATGAAAACAAGTCACCTTATACTTTGTGAGGTTCACACCCTTGTCACATGTTCATTCAATATGCCTTTTTGTGAGACGATTTCTTCTTGGGGACAGAGCTAGCTGGCTCGGGCTTCGGATGCCTGTCAGCCTCGAGCGGTTCCAACCAGTTGAGAGGGTGCCGGTTGAAGAAGGGCCAATTGGGAATGGTTATGAGTGAAGTTAGCACAACCCCAGCAGCATAGATTAGCAGCATGATCTGAAATGACCCCAAAACATATCCTGTGACAAATGCAACTACTGCAAACGACACCAACATCAGTTGCATCAACTGCTCTGCCAACTTCTGCCCTTGCCAATCCATCTAGCAACCTACTTCAGTTAACAGCGGTTAATCGAGAGTGTAGCACATGGGAACAAATCCGAGAAACTGGTTGGTATACAACACATGTGTTCTGAGAATGATACAATGTGCAAAATGATATTGAATTGATGTCGCAAAGGAATGATAAAAGTGGAACTCCCAAAGTGAAATCTATTCAATGAAAAAACCAAAAACACAACTCAACAATCCCCTTATAATCAATGCAATGAAAAAACCAAAACACAACTTAACAAAAGTTCTCCTTAGGAAAAATAAAGAATTTAATATTTCATATATTTATTTATCAGGCAATAGTGAATGTTATTCAATGATTCTCTCTTGCACCAACTATCAATTTCACCCAATTTAAATCTAGCAGAAGTCAGAGCAAACAGCCATTGAGAAAAAATGTAATTATCATACAAGAAATTAGAAAGGCAAACAAAGGCAGCACAAAAGAAGTGAATTGCCAAGGAAGAATCAATGCATAGACAAAAGCAGGGTATAATTTTTCTTAAGCCATTTTCTTACGCCTGAAATTTATTATGGACCTGTTCACATAAGGCAACGGGATCCCTGAGTATATTCATCACTTTACAAATCTAGAATCGCTCAAAGAAGACTCAAAACGCCATAGAGGCAAAACCACCAATAGTTGCTGTTTTATTTACAACACAAATAGTGAATAAATTAAGCATAACATCATAAAATCATAGATCGGCCGTATATTTAATTCCGAACCTTGAACTTTGAAGGACTCTTAGTTGAGATCGCCGAGCCTGGAAAGCTGTAAAAACATAGCAAATCCACGGCAATAAGAATATGGTTAACCAAAATTAGTAATTACAAATACACCTAAAGCTCAAATCGAAAAAACAACGAAGAATAAGGTGCAGAGAAATCACACACGGTAGAATTGCTGATGCTTCACCTGAAGAAAATATCAGCCGAAACGAAATCCTGAAAACCAATACAATTAATCACTTACCAGATTCAAAAATCGAATGAAAATTAAATGCACTATTAAGGATGTGCTATGATCTCTGCAGAAGCGGCGTCGCGCGGCTGGTGAACCTTCCCTGTAGCTTTTCTTCGCAGCCGGCGAGAGAAAAATGAACTGCCGTAGAAGCTAGAAACCCTATTGAAGTGAGCTGCAGACGCGCATTAGTTACACCCCCAATATTTTGGCCATATTTTGATAATTCTTAATTAAAAATAACAGATAAAAAAAAATAAAAATAAAATTGAGTAGTATACTTGTTATTTAAATTTATTTTTGTTGTTATTTAAATACTATCTTTTGTCTGCTATAAGATTTTATATTTATTTTTTAAATTAATATTTAAATATTAATGATTATATTATGATAAAATTATATAAATTTAAAAATATTTTTAATAATAAATACAATTAGTTAAAAAAATAAATGTAATTAAAGTATATTCTTATTTTGGTTTTAGAGTTTATTTTAGTAAAAAATATTAGTCCTTCGGTCTTTTTTTTTTTATTTTTTTTTATGTTTATTTAAAATAATTGTTCTATTTTTTTATTTAGTAACTATGTTATTTTTATTTTATAATAAAATTATTATTTTTTTCATAAACTCCTATTTATTATTCTAAATTATTATTTAAAATTATTCAAAAATAAAATAATTTAATTTTATATATTATATTTTTTATTCTTTAATATGCAAAAATTGTTATTATTGTTTTTAATATTATTATTATCATTATTATTTTTCATTATGTAAAAATTAGGTGTGAACTTACTTGGAGGCAAAGTTTCATATTGGGATTAATGCCGAAATATAAATAAATTTAGGGCGTAAAGTGGAATTTCGTACGATTCACCGACTCTCACGAAGAAGGGTATAAATTCGCAGTACAATAAGCTGTCGTTGATTTGGCAATGCGGAGGCGTACTGTGTGAAGCAGTGAAGCGCGAACCAGACTCTTACCTTCGGGAAAATTCTGCTACGTGAAGCGATTGGCCTTGCTCCTATGTCGTCGATTAGGCGCCTTGCTCGAGCGATATCAGCCGTCAAAGCCTTAAACCCTCGTTTCCCCGTCGTTCCGTCTTTCCAGCTCATCCCCTCGCTGTCAGTGTATAATGGTTCGAGGCCGTTCTTTTTGTTTAACATCTCGTAATTTGCTTTCAATCGTATAGTTGGTATATATGAATATTATTTTCTAAAGGTTTGATTTCGGTTTCAGCCGATATCACATCGAACGGAAATGATTAACTATGTATATTGAGCGGCAAATTCGTTCGTTTGGGGTTGTCCTCGTTATTATTTCTGATTTTTTCTCCAAAGAAACAATTAATTCACTTAATTCGATATTGGGTTGACGGGGAATTCTGTATGTAACACGATTATGCGATCTTATGACAGTACATCATGTATTTCTGACTGGATGATACCTTAAAGAATGCTCTAGTGTTTGTTTATTAACGATTGTATTTCTGTTAGGATTTTTGGTCGCGATGGTATGTTATTTGAAGGCTATTTACACACTCAGCATATATCATTCCCGGGGATATGTACCAAAAATTTAAGATCCTCTTGGATGAGATGTTTTACCAATAAAATGGGTATATTTAAATAAATAAATAAATAAATAAAAACTTAAAAAAAAAAAAAAGAAACTCTCAAAGAGAACATAGAAGTCTTCTGACATTATAAATATTTTTTCGGGGGCGGATTCAAAGTAGTCTTTTGCATGATCTGTTGGTTTCATCTTACCTTAAGTTTACTGGAAGCGATGTAGTAATTCCCTCCAAAAATGGAATATAGGGGAAAGGTACAGTGGTCTTGTTTCTTTGTGGCTCTGTGTGGGATTTGTCAAGATGGTTGGTATTATTTTTTTATTGATATTTACTGGTTGACAGCTTTGGAAATTGCATTTTTTGACATGTGAATTGCAACTGCATCATGTACATTGTTTCTATTGTCTTCTGAATTGAAACAATTTGATAGGATGCTTGTTTATTTCTTTCCACCCCTCTAATATTTTAGAAGTTTTCGTTTTATGCATTGGAAAATGATTTATCGTTTTTTCATGCACCAGTGTACTTAAAATTTTGTATGATCAGGTAGATTTGAACAGCATCGGAAAGCATATGGATCAGAACCAAAAGAGTTTCACAAACTCCCTGTTCAGATGGCCTTAGCTGGATTGCTTGGTTTTGGAATGGTAGATGTTGCATATGCCGATAGTGATGAGGTCAGCCCACGATACTTCATTTTTGCCCTCACACACTGAAGGGTTTAAATGGTTGTGTTGCATGATGTATTCTTGTGTTTAGTGCGACTCACTTTTTTGATGGAGATACGTGCCTTTACAATGTGAACGGAAAGCTTGAGCGGCATAATATGCCATCTATAGCAAAAATTGCATGTCATATGCGTCCTTGTTGGAACTTGTTAAAGAAGGTTCCGAAGCTCCATCTTAAAATCAATTGACAATGAAAGGAATTGCCTTGACTCTCTTTTAAAAATAAGTAAAGTAACGTCAATTTTTGTGTATATAAAAAATGAAATAATATATTCGACCTGATCCTAATGTGTGTGTTTGTTTTCTAGTTTGCTTTATATATATATATATTATAAACATTTTACATAAATGTATTTTACATCATAATTTATTACATATTTATAAATAGGGTAGCTCCCAACATTTTATTGATGTGGGACACTTAACACTCTCCTCAAGATGATATCCATCACGAAATCGAATTCTAACTAGGATCAATATCATATTCAATATGAACACTCATGGCTCTGGGGCTCTGATACCATGTTAAGAATAACAAGAGATCTGTGATTCAATCTCAAAACCAATTGGCAATGAGAGGAGTTGCCCGTGATCCTTATAAATAGAGGAGCTCCCAACATTTTATCCATGTGGGACACTTAACAGAACTCTTTGGTAAGATTCCTTTGGATATCTACCACCTCATTTTATTTGAATAAGGAAAATGAATTTTGATCTCATTGAAATTCCACTTCATTAAGCAGATCTGTAGTCTAAGGTCACCATGTTAAGTCACAAGCTTTCAGTTGGCTACCACTAAGATTATGTCTGGAAATCTCATGATCAAAGATCCAGAGGATGAAAAGTTATACTTACTATGTTCGCTTGAAATTTATGAATAATTTTTGGAGCAAATACAAGCAGAGATTGGGTTTTGATTGTTCCACCCAACCCTACATGCGCATAATTCTTGCCAAACTTGTAATGTATTGGTCCATGCAATAAGTTCCTTACTTATTTGTTGGAAGATGAATTGCTCTGATGTAGTCTCAAACAATTCTATTTGTAGGCAGTTGCTAAAACTCCCCCACAGCCCGAATCTGCACCTGAAACTGGGAAAATTCCTCATTCTGAATCTAATCAGAATCTGGATGAAATAGCAAGAAGAGAGAAGGCACGGTTAGAAGAAATACTTAGGAGCAAAGGGGGCCAAACTGGTTTTTATCCTCGTTTTATAGTTTCTGTGAAGGGCCAAAAGGTTGGTAGAGTTCTCCAGTTATTTGTAGGGTTTCTATTTTCTTCCCTCTCTTAGTGCTTACCATGTTCAGAATGAAGACATTGTAAAATTTAACTTTCAGTGAGCAATATCATGAAGCCTCTTCAATATTTATTTACATTTATACTTTGAGTTCAGAACTCTATGAAGATGTTATAAAATTTATTACCTTTCAGTGAGCCATATCATGAAGCCTCTTCAGTATCTATTTACATCTAAACTTTGAAGGAGCTTTTGCTGACATATTCTCATGATTAGGTGAGAATCAGATTTCAAGTTCCTGCTGCTTGTGAAATTCCGCTTCTAATAACAAACCTTGTTTCACGCCTTGGGGTTAAACCTGAAGACAGTAGTGTTGGATCCGACATGATATTGCGAGCTTGGGACAGGTTTCTATGTGATATGTTTTGCAACTGTCCTTTATTTCTAGTTAAAGTTAGTACACTTTATATTTTTGTTCTGGAGCATAATACTTGGATCTTCTAATTCTATGCTGTAAACTGCAGTACCTCTTAGTAATCTTTTTTTTTTTTCTTTCTTTCAGTGGAGTTGCTTGGCAATTGACACTCACTCGCCCAAAAACTCAAAATAAAATAAGTTCCCTCCAACTTCAACCAGAGGACAACAATGTGAACAATGGGGAGTTGTGCATTCTCCTGTTTCGACCACTCATTAGCTCTGATAAAACAGTCAGTTCTTACAACTAAATAATTCTCCCTCAGTTTTTTAATTTTATTCCAGACTATAATGTGTTGATCGTCCTTCTACTAGTGTTGTGATTGTAATGAAAGGTTGCCTATATGCAGGAAATTGAGTTCATGAAGCAAGGGAGTTTCACTTTTGAGGAGCTTGATGCGCTGGCAACTGTCTTACAAATTTCTGGGCAATCGAGGAGCTTAGAAACTAAGCCAAGGGGAGATACTACTCGACTCCCGACAATCAACAAAACAATATCTAGTTTGGAGGGAATGGGTGTTCGAGTTTATGGGCTCGAACTACAAAGTGCCAAACATGGAAAAGTGGATATATCATGGGATAATATTGCTGGTTATGACAATCAAAAGAGGTGTGGGCTGTAGCTCTTTGGTGCCAATCCTTGTTTACTTGACCATGTAGTAGAGAAGTTTAACATATTGAGTTCAATGCCAGTAAAAAATATTTTCTTCTTTTCAGTAGGTCTGTCCACGAACTGTGTGAATTGATGGTTTGGCCTTCCACTTATTTGGTAACTCTAGAGTTTTTGATATATGTATAGGTCCCATTATATTTGTCCATGCAACTTGTGGCTTTTTGAATGAATCAGCCAGAATTTTTAACGTCATAAATATTGTTGGTGTCCATTTACTTAGTTCCGTTACAATTGTTCAAATATATTTGAATTCGTATAATACTTTATTATTGTATGTTTTTTCTTTGATCTCTTGTAATCTATGGGAATGCAACCATATTTCTTATAATTTTCAATTGTTCAATCTTGTAGGGAAATAGAAGATACCATATTGTTTGCTCTAAAGAGTCCTGACGTGTACGACGATATTGCTCGTGGCACGCGATGCAAGTTTGAGTCAAACAGACCACGTGCAGTGCTTTTTGAAGGCCCACCCGGTAAACTGCTCGAATCTATTGTGGGGTGAATTGACTTGCTTTTGACATTTGAATAACACTGAAATTTTGTGTTCTGTGTGTATTACCATATCATATGTCTGCATATTCTCTCCTTAAAATTTGCATTAGGAAATTTTGGCACTTAATTTTTCACATTAATCTAATACGATTTTTGTCATTTTTATGTTTATGTTGAGTTTGATAAATGATCTGTTTCTAAATCTATCTAGCACCATTTTAATTGCATACTAGTAGGCATAAGCTCTATTGTTTTAATCTTCTATTTAGGTGACTTATTTGGGATAGTTTATAATGATTGGCTGATTGTGACAAATGCCCAAATTTTCTGAAAGTGTTGTTCTCTCTCTGTGCTGTGTTTGATGTATGTTCTTAATAGCCTCTTAGAGTTAAGTTTCCAGATTGATTAAAATTACACATGCTGCTGCTATTTTCATATTATGCTGAATTGTTGATGTAAGTTTTGATTCCTCTGAAGTTAAGGTATTAGTGAAATTGCTTGTGCGTGTGCTTCTAGTTTCTATTGTTTCTTCAAAGTTTTGATATTTGTCTGTTTCTGATAACACGAGAACTTAAGAGAACCAAAAGACTAAACTTTATTGATAACCAAAGAAGAACTATTCTTCCCGACTAAGCCGAAGCAGTGAAACTCAAGGAAATCAGAATGCTAATAATGTTTCAAAATAATACTTAAATACTAGGGCAAAACTACTATGGGCCTAGCCCAATCAACCTAACAATTTATTCAAAATAATCAAATAAGAAAATAAAGAATTGAGATACTTAATAATAAGCTTAGGCTTCAGGTCATTGTCACAATTAGTCCAAAGCGCACTTGCTCTTTCTTCCATTGTCGTGAATCAACTTTTAGCTGCGCCCACCGCGTACTCAGTTTCTAGTTAAGTCATGTTTTATTTTATCTGGGCGGGATAATTGCTCATGAATAAGTACTACCATTTTCCCCCCACTAATGTGAAAGTGTTGAGCATTATGAAATAATCAAAATTACCTTGGCAAAGTTCTTACAGAGTGAGTTTGGTTTCAGGTACAGGGAAGACATCTTGTGCTCGTGTAATTGCCACTCAGGCAGTACGTACTGTTGTCTCTTCAATCTAGCACATTGATTTGATTTTTAACATTATTTATGATTCTTCTGTATTTGGATGGTTTCTGCGCTTGGGAAAAGAATGTTAAATGAAAATTCATTGCCTTTTATGACAGGGTGTCCCACTGTTATATGTGCCATTGGAGATTATAATGTCTAAATACTATGGTGAAAGTGAGCGTTTGTTGGGGAAGGTGTTTTCACTAGCTAATGATATTCCAGATGGCGCAATAATTTTTCTAGACGAGGTAATTTAACTGCAGATGGAGGTCATATGTGCTTTAAACCATCATCTGCTGAAAATTTGCAAACCTATCATTTGTTTTGTCGGGTTCGTTGTAGGTTGATTCTGTTGCTACTGCACGTGATACTGACACACATGAAGCAACACGCAGGGTTCTTTCTGTTTTATTACGACAGGTAACTCTAATCGAGTCTTTCCAGTTGTGACAAGAAAATATTACATTGTGATTGGTGGAACAATTACATTTGATCTTTGGTTCCCTGTTTAGAACAAGTTTTTGGCAACCATTATAGGAACTTAATTGAGGCTGAAAAAGAAATATTTACCACCCCTACCAACTGTGCTTCCAATTCTTAAGTTGCAATACATCTCTAGTGTTCCTTCTGCTGTAGCTCCCTTGCTTTTGAATAATCTGTGGCATTGGCTTATATATATTATTTGGTTTTACCTCTCCTCTTCTTTATTGAAGGCTTTTGTATTACACTTCTGCATTACAGTTTCGATGCTACGGTTTTTCTTGAATACATAGTTTTATTATTCTTGCTTGTTTCACTTCCCAGCCTAGTTCTATATATTCCTCTTTGTCAGAAAGTGTACAAGATTCTCTTATGGTGGTGTTATGATAAAATTGGTGATGATTTAATAGGATAAAGTGTTTGGTTTCTCATTTTTAGATTTTTGGTATCTCAGATTGATGGGTTCGAGCAAGAGAAGAAAGTAGTGGTTGTTGCTGCAACCAACAGAAAACAGGACCTGGATCCTGCTTTACTTAGGTAACTCACAGTTGCTTCTTGTTGCCTGATTAGCACCACATAATTCTCTCAACATTGTCTCCTAACCTGCCATTCATTTCCTTTCAGCCGATTTGATTCTATGATCATCTTTGGCCTGCCGGATCATCAGACACGTGAAGCAATAATAGCTCAGTATGCAAAACAGTTGACAAAATCTGATATAGCTGAACTTGCCACTGCTACTGAAGGGTAAGTTTGAGAGATTGAATCAAACTTGAAGATGAGTTGTTACTTTATTCTTTTCTTAGTTTGAAGCTGTGAAGCTGGGAGATGATACCCTTTATTTATGTTTTACTTATCATCAATTCATATTTCTGCATGCAGATTGTCCGGCCGCGACATAAGAGATGTCTGTCAACAAGCGGAAAGGCGTTGGGCATCAAAGGTACCATCAAGTCTATATGAATAATGTCTTGCTCCATCAGCGAGCTTCAATTCATTGATGTGGAACATCTCTAATTTCTCCTGTTGTACAATTAGATCATTCGTGGACGAGAACAGAACAAAGAAGAAGAGAGCTTGTTTCCTCCCCTTGTGGAATACAGTGAAAGCGCACATAAAAGGAGAATGGCCATTATCGATTTTTCCAACCACCGGCGAAGCCCCAACCCTCTTTCAAAGAAGCCTCAGTTCGACTTTCTTTAAAATTTCAGTGTGAACTATTTATAGGATTTACCCTTACAGAGAACAAGCAGTCATCCGTAATAATGAGACGATTAGGCATACATAAGTATATTATTGGATAGAATATCCCATGAATATGCCACTCTCCTTAGTGGCTATGCTTATTGTTTTATCAATGGAGAAATGAAAAGTAGTTCGACACAGGCTCTTGACTAGAACCGCATTTTTTTATGGTAGATCTAACATTATAAACTAGTACATGCTCTGTTGCAGATTACAGTTTTATCAAGGCCGTGTATTGTTCTTCTTCTGATGATGGACAAATGAAGCAATCTGGGACTGTGTCTGCAACATCATCTGAGCAATCTCATTCTCCACCCGTGCTCTCCTCAGCTGTGCCTGCAACCAGTCAGCCTCTCTTTTCTTCATCATTTCCAGCTGTGCGAGCTCCATCCTCAGCATGGAGTCGGCTACAACCTGGAGGCCTGCTATTGTGCTTGTGCTGGAGTTGTAGGATGACTCGGAGCCCTGTCCACGTTGAGGTTCGCAATGATTGGTGTCGTCGGCAGGACTTTTGGGTAAGAGTTGGCCATCAAATGTGTATTTAAGAGGATTGGTGCGTCTGTAATCCATTTTTGTTTTGGTTCCAGGAAGTTGCTGGTGATGAAGGGGAGATATGGAAAGGCAGTCAGATCAGCAGATGCTTCATCACTTTGAAAAGTTAAGGTCAGAGTGCTTTTAAAACCTTTTGAAGTGGGCAACCAAAAATTGGCCCCCCACTATTTGGTACTGCATTCCCAACTCCTTTCTAATTGCAATATACCACCACTGAAACTGAATAAAATTAATAAGAAAATTTCCATTTATTCAACATTAAAAAGTAATTCCATCTGTAGGCGTAACCCATAATTTTTTAAGTTTTATTTCTACATTTATTAGGCCAAGGTTGATCTTAATTTTATAAAATACAGGGTTTAGAAAGAAGGGTTGTATTTAAAATATATATATATATATTACTGTGTCTAATTTTAGATTTATGTTATTGATAACATATAATATAAAAATTATTATCTTTATTTAAAATATAAGCATCTGGCTGCATCCAACATAAAATGGCTATTGTACTGGGCTGGGCCCAAGCATATAAAAGCTGGTTAGATTTGGCCCATTAAATAGAATGGATTGGATCGATTGGTCTATGTTAATTTGGATACAGGATTATAACGAATAATATTGTATTTATTTAATTGTAATATAAAACAAATATTTATTTGATATGTTTATCAATAAATACAGATATTACACAATATATAAATTAAGGAAGGTACCCGCTTTATTGTATAACTGAATTTTTTAACCCAAAAGTTGAGCCCAGTCAATATTAGGTCTTAAAAATTTATAGGTAGGCCAGAGCGCATCGAGAATTGGATTCTTTCTTAAACCCAATCTTGTTCATCTATGGTCTCACCAAATCTTCCGAAATTTGTACAAGAAAAATATCCAGTAGCAATTCTTAAAATAATAATAACTAATTTCACAAATCATAACGGTTTAGGCTCTTGCTTCAAGTCCGGTGACTAATTTCTCTAGATTGTGATTAGGGTTATTTTGCTCCCCTGGCAGCTGTATTCTATTTTTTGGCCTAATCTACGATACCAGTCCAAATAATTAGGCCCAAGTCGGACTCTCTAACTCTCTGAACAGGAACTCCCACGAAAGAAACTATACGGAGTTCCGCCGTGGAGCATCAGTAGCTTGTTTTTCGCATTCCCATGTCGACAATGGCGTCCGCAGGCTCTTCTGAGAGAAAGAAAACCAAGCGAAGCTCAAGGAAACGAGCCTGGGTTGAGTCGGAGCAGCAGCTTGAACGTTTGAATTCACTTCCATGGAGCTCGTCGCTTCCAGAAAGTAATGGCGGCGAGGATGATTTCTCTCTTTTTATGGGTTCCAACGAACTCGAAGGAGGTATTTTCGAGAAATTTCTGTTAATAATATGTGCTATTGTGTGGAATCTTTTATTGGAATTTTAGTTGGTCACTTTTTATTTTATTTTATTTTTGTAGTTGTGTTATTAGAGGCGAACTGTCTTACTCGTTTTCGAGTTGTTGTTGTTTCTTGCTTGTTTATCTGTTTGTTTTTCATCTTTTTGGTTGACAGGTTGATTTAATATATGTTAACTTTTGTTGCTTACATTCATTTGATTTACTATGAATTTTGTGTTTCTATCAACCAATGCGTTCTGTAGTAGAGTCTAGATAAGGGAAAATGTTAACTTTGTGCACGAATGTATCTGAAATCAATTCAATCGTACACGTGCTATCTTCCTCATAAACGCTCAATTTTTCACCGATGCAGGATTTCTTGGTCTTGAGGAGATTGATGAATCTGAGTATGGGTTGGAAATTCCTGGTCTCAATGTAGAAAATGAGACGAGCAAGTTGAAAAGAAAAACAAAGTCGAAGAAACATAAGATAAATGAAGGTGATGTTGATGATAGCTCCAGTGGTGAACCTTATACTGAACATGGTATTGAAGCTGGACAAAGTAAAGGGAATGAGAATGATGAGAAGAAGGACAGAAAACCGAAAAGGAAGAAGAAGAAGAAGAAGAAAACAGATAATAATAAGAGAAATGATCATCAAGAGAATGCTAGTGCAGACGAAGAAGCGAAGCAGACTACTGGTTTGTATTATCATTTATTATATTTTTTTCATTTTTCTTCTTCTTGTAGTCGTTCAGGACAAGTGAATTTATCAATATATTTTACCGTTAATAATGGTTAGCCTATAATGTTTTTTGCAATTCAAATTCAATGGCCTTTTGGATGGGCTTTTCCACTAGTTATAGTGGAGGTCTTCCCTTAGAAAACTTCAATAGCGTACTTCTTAGACAAAAAAAACTGATGAAATTTGTGGTTGAAAACAATAGGCTGATATTTTTTGTGTGATTGTTTTGTTCAGTTTCTGTTTGTTCATTTCATAGCAGTTGGCTGCATAAATTTCAATGACTACAAAACAAATAATTATCTGGAAATTTATGTGAAGCTCAAACACATGATATTGATAGTTCAACTATTTTGGCCTTTGTTGGGGATAATTTACTTTAGTATAATTAAAGCTTGTCTTTTGTTTAGAATTTTTTTTTGATAATATCACTATTTCAAGATACTGTGTCCCCTACTCAAGTTGTTGGTAGATTAAAGTTTTAACTCCATATAATCTTATTTGCTACTGCCTGTTGATTATTAAATGCGTGTGTGTGAATAGCTTTCTAAGTGCTGAATACACTGGTATGATTTTCATCTTAATGGAAAAAGTTTATGGCTTCTCCATCAATTTAAGCAATCATAATTTTGTGACGAAAAATCTTTTTTAATAATGATCTGTTTAGAGTGCTCATATTGTTGAAGTTTCAGTGAGTCTTACATAGTGTGTTATTCTATATGAAAAATCGACTTCAGATACTGATGGGAAGGATAATGATATTGGTGAAGAGGATCCCATTGATGAAGAAGAGTATTATGCATGGAATGGACTGAGGCTTCATCCAATGATTATGAAATCAATATACAATCTCAAATTTAAAGAGCCTACACCCATACAAAAAGCCTGTATTCCTGCTGCTGCTCATCAAGGGAAGGTTGTTTACTTATCTGTGAATGGACACAGAAGTAAAAATATCTATTTCTGATGCCATATTATGACGATAATTATTGGCTTGACAGGATGTGATTGGAGCTGCAGAGACAGGATCTGGTAAAACTCTTGCCTTTGGTTTGCCAATCTTACAGAGGCTTCTCGAAGAACAAGATAAAGTGGAGAGGGTTCTGACAGTAAAAGGAGAGGCAAATGAGAGAATAGCTCCACATGGTGTCCTGCGTGCACTAATTGTTACGCCGACAAGGGAGCTTGCACTCCAGGTGAGAATTTACTTCTTTCGTTGTGTTGTTTGGTGTTCAAGCAAATTCTTGTTTGCTAGAACTCTTTCGAATTCTTATAATTTTATTTATTTATTTGTTATTTCAAGTTAAATTAATGCAATATGTCCGTTAACAAGTCTCTTTGCACTGAAGGTCACTGATCATCTCAAGATGGCAGCATTAGGCACCAAACTTAGAGTAGTTCCTATTGTTGGCGGAATGTCAACAGAGAAGCAGGAGCGGCTTTTAAAATCTAGACCTGAAATTGTAGTTGGAACACCTGGGAGACTGTGGGAACTCATGTCAGGTGGAGAGATTCATCTTGTTGAGGTAAGCTGAACATGGCCCCAAGTTGGCTATTTCAAGGGGAGTTCACTTAAATGTCTGTTATTGTTGGGGCTTACTTTTTCTCATTTAGAGGTACTCACTAACTTTCCTTGCTTACTTCTATTTGTAGAGGAGTGACGGTGGCATACACTACCTGTGTATAACATGATGTCATTGAAATTCATTATGCTAACAGGACAGTGACATATCATAAAAATGCAACAATAAGAATTTTTGTTAAAGATGCACTTGGATGCTTCATGATTTCATCATGGTGGCTATGATTCTGAGTCTCTGACACCCCCACTTCAATTTAAATGACTTCTTCATTCTGCTTGGTTTGTTTTGTTTTATTTTTATAATTGAATCTTTTTGGCTTAGGAGTTCCCCTATTGAATGTCCTTAATTGAGTCATTGACTACAGGATGAAGCAAAATTGCTACCAGTTGCCTTTAAAATGTTTGGTGTTACATTTCCTTTTGAAACAAGTATCATGCTGGTTCATATTTTGTTAATTGCAGCTGCACTCCTTGTCATTTTTTGTGCTGGATGAGGCTGATCGCATGATTGAGACTGGTCATTTTCGTGAGTTACAATCTATAATTGACATGCTTCCAACAAACAGAGAATCAAATGACCAGCACGCACAAAATACACAGAGCTGCATGACAGTGGCAAATGTCCAGAGAAAGAAAAGACAAACCTTTGTGTTCTCTGCAACTCTTGGCCTTTCTGCTAATTTTCGAAAAAAGTTGAAGCATGGATCTCTCAATGCCAAAAAAGATGAGCTTAATTCAATTGAGACTCTCTCTGAAAGAGCAGGAATGAGGGCAAATGTTGCTATTGTGGATCTTACAAATGCTTCTATTTTAGTTAACAAGCTCATGGAATCAGTTCTTGAGTATGCTTCTTTCCCTTTGATATATTAATATATGGATCACTGTGTCTTTGTGCTGATCATGCTTTGTGAACTTCCTTTTACTGCTAGAGTTAAACCCCTTCACTTCATTATAAAACACATTCCTTCCTTTTCTGGCTCACTATATAACTTCATCTTCCTATACTATATATGTGTACATATTTATTTATTGAGAGAGGTTCACATGGATATATGGTTTCAGGTGTAGGGAAGAAGAAAAAGAAGCTTATCTATATTATATATTAAATGTGCATGGACAAGGTCGCACTATTGTCTTCTGTACTTCAATAGCTGCTTTACGTCGCATTTCTTCACTGTTGTGTATTCTCAAGATAAATGTATGGACTCTGCACTCAGAGATGCAGCAACGGGCACGATTGAAGGTTAATATCTTCATAGCTATGCTATTGTGTCTTGATGTGCTTTAATCTGAGGCCATTTTTATTTTATTCTTGTGTGGAAATATTTCAACAACTACAACATTACTGAGGATTACAATAGATTATCGGAAATATAGGTACTAATTTCTCACCCACCAGAAGAGGGAAGTCATCTAACTGTATTTTTTAATTTGATATATAATACAGTTACCTTGTTTTACGAGTTATGCCTTTACGGAAAGAATTTGAGAATGTTATCAGTTATTACATGATTTACCATTATACCAAATTACCTATGGAGTTGTCTATGTGACTGGAAGCTTTTACCCAAATGAGATAACTTCTCTCTGCTATGTCTGAATTACACTATACAACTTCACACCTGTATGTTGGAAATTTGACATTTTATAATAGAGTAAATTCGATTTTATTCCTGCTTTATGTTTTAAGGATGTCAACATATCTGTTCTGATGGATAGAGACCTTTTCCTCTGATGCTTTGCTTTGGTTTGCCTCTTATGCTTTGTGTTTAATGCAGTCAGTGGACCGTTTTCGTGAAAATGAACATGGCATACTTGTTGCTACAGATGCTGCAGCTCGAGGGCTAGACATTCCAGGAGTTCGAACTGTTGTTCATTTTCAGCTTCCACTTTCAGCTGAAGTAAAGTCTTTACCATTTTTCCACTTTTAGGTTATCTTCTTATAAATTATTAAGAATGATTTATTGATATAGGTATATGTTCATCGATGTGGAAGAACAGCCAGAGCTTCTAGTGATGGGTGCAGCATTGCTCTAATCTCACCAACTGATGCATCAAGATTTGCAGCACTGTGCAATTCCTTTTCTAAGGTACTCGTATTTTAGATTAATACATTAAAGAAAAAACATGATTGGTAATTCAGCATTGAAGAAATGTGTTAAAAACGCAGAAAAAGGTCAAACTTAAAAATCAGAAATTGTGTTGAGTGACTCTAAAGTTGCCGTTCCTTTTATCCTTGGAGCAAGTCCCCAATGGCAGTTGGAATTGGAGATTAATATTCTTCACCATGTTATGTCAATGCCCTTCTCTCTGCTTTGCTTACACCCCTTGCTGCACATTTTTTTGGCTAACCATTTTTCTGAAGCATGCTGTGCAAGGGCTTACCAATCTTATTATTTGTCTTTACTCTATTGTATTTCTCTCTGAATCTTGTTCCTCCTTTCTTTTTTTTTTTTCTTCTTTTCTAATCTATTACTTTTTCTTATCCCAAAATAAATAAATTAATAAATAAATAAATTAGTAATAATAATAATAATAATAATAATAATAATAAAGGAGAACAGAAGTAGCATTGTTGTTAATGGGTTGTTTTAAGTCTATGAACAAAATGTTAAAAAGTCTCAAAAGTATGTCTCTTTAGCATTTAGGCTAGGTCTTACCTAGAAATTATCTGTTGTAAGAAATATTGTTAAGTTTACTTGCCTTCCCACTTAAAGCTCTTTATTCATGAGATAATTACATATTGCTATTTTGAACTTTAGATTCTTTGCTAACATCCTGTGACTATGAACTTATAATTTAGTGCTTTATTAGTTAGAGTTAGTATGATGTTAGAAACTACTTTAATGAGTTAATGAATTTTTATGTAATGTTGTATTATTTAATAGGCTTATATGGATAATGCCAGTTAAAGAAGGCAGCAAGTTGTTGGCTATAGCGAAGACAACTCATGCTTGGATAAATTTTCACCCTTCTCATCTTTTTAATGGACCTTCCTGATGGTTGTTTGTGAACAAGTAGGGCAGTTATTTCAAGAGTGCATAACCAATATAAACCCTTGCACTATTTTACGTTGTACTGTGACTGAAATGTCCTTCCTAGGCCAGTGATAGGCTATATTTTTTGGTATTGTATCTGTGCATATCGTTCTTGTGCTTATCAATGAATGATTAGCATGGAAATTGTAAGGGGGCTTTTGGGCAGCATTACAGAGAAGTTTCCACGATTTGTGCTTAATTAAGTTGTCCACGGTGCTTCATTGCTCTCGACATGGTTTATTAATATGCTCTGAACTAAAATAATGTATTAATGTTGCATGTGAAAGCAAGTTGACTGAACTTCACGAATTTGTCTGGTTTTACTTTTTAGCTGACATGTCTTGATAACTTCTGTGTCACCCAGGAAAGCTTCCAACGATTTCCTGTTGAATCCTCGTACTTGCCGGAGATTAAGAAACGATTATCTCTTGCACATCAGATAGATAAAATTGTGCGGAAGGAATCACAGGTGATAAACCTCAAATGGTTACTGTTTCTTCTAATTAATCATTATATCCTTTTTAAAACGAGGAGGACGTAGAATAGTACAACTCCCTGCAATAGCCCATGTCTGTTTTCAAGCCCCCCCCCCCTTTTTTTTTCTGGATATAATTGCTTGTTTGGAATAGTCTAATTTGAAAATACCTCAATATTGCTGAGCCTGATCATATCTAGACTCTAGAGTTCGTTTTCGAGGTTGAACTAGTTGCCACCACCCTCCTTCAGTAAAAGCGGATCTGGTTACTATGTGATCTTATATTCTGCTTTAAATTAATATATATTATTGAGATACTAAGTGCAACATCATTTGCAACTACTTTCCACAGGAAAAGGCTGAGAAGAATTGGTTGGAGCGAAATGCTGAATCCATTGAACTTGTTCTAGAGGAGAATGATAGCGAGGAGGAAAGAGTTAAGAAATACAGGCAAAAGAAATCCAAATCAAATCAGTTGAACAAGTTGCAACAGGTATAATCTGACTATATTCACTTTTGTTTAAACTTTCATCTCTTGTCTTAGGATATAAAAGGGATGACCTTTTATTTATATAATACCATCCTTGTTCTGAATATCATTCCCTAAAATTTCAGGAGCTCAATACACTACTTTCAAAACCACTACAGTCCCGAACATTTTCAAGGCGCTATTTAGCTGGGGTAAGTACATGGATTTGCTCTATCACACACTAACTGTGAATAACCTCATGCACACTCTCAATGCAGTAAAATCTCTCCATCCTAGACGCTGTTGACAATTTATTAATCAGTTATTTAACTTGTCAGTTTGTTTCATGTGCACTTCATCATTAAAGATATGCTTTCCAGGATTTTATCAGTTGTAGACTCAAAGCTTAAGCATGTCTACATAAATGAATTAATCAATTGCTACACTGTTTGTCAACATTTCTTCTCACTGATGAGCAAGCTGTACTAATGGAATAAAACTTGGAGGGTAGCATATATATATATATAATTATATATATTATTTGTTATTCATGGTTTTGTGTAATTTCTGAAGAACTTGTTGTAGCTTCCTTTATTTGGATTTTATTTACTTATGGAGACGCCAATATTCATATAAAATAAGCATTCATTTCATTTTAGCGCTGGAAGTATTTAATGTTTGATCACTGGTTGAATAGTTCTCAACAGGCATCTAGATTATATTAGAAATCCTCCTATATAGTCTTCATTCGAAGGATAACTTTTGACAATACACCATAATTATGCTCAGAATTCAGGTCTCTAAAGGACTATTTGTGAACCTGCGGTGGTGTTCCAATTCTGGTTTTTCCTTCTATGTGCATCCAATCATAAGTGAATCAGATTTGTAATTTTGATTCTGTAATTAAAACTTTCATTTCAATGGTGTTGATTGATTGAACCATTTGCAGGCTGGTGTGACCCCTCTTCTTCAACAACAATTCGAAGAACTAGCAAGGCAGAAACCTGGTGACGGCAGTACATCAGAGCAAATCAAAAGGAGAAAGCTGGTGGTCATAGGCCAAGACTGTGTGGAACCACTTCAGGCATTGAAGAGTGCTAGTAATGAGGTAATGTTGATCAAGACTTCATGTTCCTATCTGCATCTTCTTATCTGAAATTTTCTTCTCAAGTTCTGATATCTGGTATCATGTTCTCAGGAATGCTTGGATCTGAAAGAGATTGCCGAAAAGCGAAAGAACTTAGACAACTTAAGAAGGAAGAGGAAAGAACAGAAGAAACGTAACTCCCTTGTCTTTCTTGCAGCATTCTTCTTCACTCAATCCAACTTTGTTTTAATATTACAAGTTTACAATAACTGTGGTGATTCTCACCAGGTTTGCACGAGCAAAGGAGAAAGCAAAGGAAAATGTTGAAACAAAATCGTGATGGCCCCAATGACAATTAGTAGCCCCCACATCATCATCAATAGGTTATTTAATCTGTCTCATTACATTTTTTTTTTTTTTGGGTTTGTTTTGGTTGTTATTTGTTTTATTGCTTCTTACCCATTGTTGTCTCAGAAGTTCTTATTCTTGGACGCACTCATCTAATGTGCTCTTCTTTTGTATTAGAATTTATTAATTACTAGTCTATACATAGTAGTCTGTCATTGAATTGGATGATTTTTTTTGTATTTGAGAACAATACATTATTATTATTATTTAAAGCAATTATATAATGATTGAATACATTAGTATATTCAAATAGTTTGCATAAATAAATATTATTTACAAAAAATTATGTTATTTAAAAATTATTGAGAATGTTTTTAAATTCATTTTGAAAACAATAGTCTTTTTTAAAAAAAAATCCAAATAACATAATGTAATTTTCTATGGCACTATCATAATTCTCAAAAATTAATTACAAATACTAAAAATAAAAAAATATAAGGGAACACATTCATTGTATTAAAAACAGAAAAATATAAAAATATGCTCCTGTTTCATCAGGAGCAAAGGGGCACCGACCTAAATATCAGAGGTTGAGGGGTTCGGGTAAGATTACAGTTTTATTTTCATCTGTCTATTTAATTAATAAATGTTTTATTTATAAATTTTATTTTTTTATTAAATTAATTTACAGTAATAATTAATTATTTATTTTTATTATATACGAAATAATATAATATATAATACAATACAATACTATAATAAATTATTATTATTATTATTAAGTGATCCGCAACAGACCCACCCTCGTGGCGGGCCAGCCCACAGTATGTATGGGTGGGTCATTGAGGATGGCCCAATCAGTGGAGGGGTAAAATAGGAAAGGAATAATTACATTGTACATACGCTATAAAATTCCCTCGACACGCATCTATTCGCTCCTGTTTCTCTCTTTTCTTCGTTACATATTCGTGGAATCACAGTCTGATTCTTTCGCCACACGAATATGTCTTCCCGTGATAAGAAACCCTCCGGCAGCCGACCCGGCGGCATCCGAACCCTTTCCGACCTCAATCGCCCATCCGCTCCCGACTCCGACAGTGATTCCGATCGCCCTCAGGAGTACTACACCGGTGGCGAGAAAAGGTCGTATTTTGTTTCTCAACACTACATATTACGAATATTTATTTATCTTTAAATCTGGCTGGGTTTTGCTTTCTGTGGTTGTCTGAAATTCACTTGTTTATGTTAATTTTGTTGTTATCTGAAGACTTGATTTTGATCTGTATCTAATATTTGGGAGTACGGATATATACATACATATTCGATTGTTTTAGTTCTAAGAAACATTCTTGAGATTATTTCCCTTATGGGTTTACTGAATTTCTCATCTATAATAATTTCAGCGGCATGCTTGTGCAAGATCCATCCCAAGGTCACAATGAGGTTGATGCAATTTTTGAGCAAGCTCGACAATTGGGTGCAGTACAGGGTCCTGTGGAAAATTTTCAACCATCTTCTAGTTCGAGAAGCTTCTCGGGGACTGGAAGGTTGCTTTCAGGTGAAACTGTACAGAATGCTCCACAGCAGCCAGGATCTGTTGTGCACAACATTGTTTTTTGGAGAAATGGATTCACTGTTAATGATGGCCCTTTGAGGAGGATGGATGATCCTGAGAATGCTCAGTTTCTTGAGGTAAAAAGCAATGGAAATAAACATAACAGGGATGAAGACTTAAGGGCTAATTGAAACTGAATTGTTGTTTTACAGTTGCATTCTTTTTTAGGGTGTTTGATTCTTATAATGGGTCAAACCTTGAATGATTTAATTGATGCATTTTTATGTAATGACTTGTGTAATGTTTTCGTATTGCAGAGCATCAGAAAGTCTGAGTGTCCTAAAGAGCTGGGACCTCCTGATCGGAGATCTCCTGTTCATGTTAATCTCATCAGGAGGGATGAAAACTTCCCTGTAAGTGCATAGCCATTTTGTCTTAACCTGATATGTTCATCTTGGTACAAGCAGATGGATATTGTTCTTATTCCGTATCTATCAACATTATATGGTTATTCAATTGAAGTCCCATTTTGAAGCTAACTTTCGGGCCATGTTTTCTTGAAGAATCGACTTCCCTCCTATTGTCATATCTTGCACTTTTCTCTCATTAATGGAATAGAGATGTGATTTCTATGAAACAACTATTAACAAGCTTTATATATACAATTGTTTATAGTTATTATCGACCATTTCCTATTTTGGGGAGTCCTGTCAATAGCTTAAAATAGTGAATTTAAATGACGTATGGTAAATACATGGTTTAGAGTTTCTGTTAATGTCATGGACGATAATCTTAACCCTCGGTAATATTCTATCGGCAATGGCTTATCTTCTTAATTCACAGGTTTGAACCTACAAAGTGATATATTAATGGGAAATTTCTTATACTTTTGGTTTCTTTTACAGGAACCCGATGTTTCTCAAGTTCCATTTCAAGGAGTGGGAAGAACTCTCGGAAGCAGCTCTACTACCGAATCAAATCCTGCTTCTGCTACACTTCTCAGTGCTCCGCCCCCTTCCAGAGGACTTGTGGTGGATAGCTCACTGCCATCGACTTCTATTCAGCTTAGGCTCGCCGATGGAACCCGAATGGTTGCACGCTTCAACCACCACCACACAATCGCTGATATCCGCGCCTTCATTGATGCGTCCAGGCCCGAGGGATTGAGGTCGTATCAACTGCAGACTGTCGGATTTCCTCCCAAGGTTCTGACTGATCTCGACCAGACAATCGAGCAGGCCGGACTTTTGAACTCCGTCGTCATTCAGAAACACTAAGCAGCTACACAAATCTCTACTCTCCTTATGTACTAGACTCCCATCATTTTCTTCTTCCAGACATACTTTTGCTCCTAAAAGATAAATGACCTATTCTTAATATTGTGCTGATATGTTGTTCTTAGTATTTGCGTTTCTTCATGGGCACTCTATGGGTGAGCCAAAGATTCTATTTTTCCTTGTTTATATTCATCACTTTGTTCCTATTTTAGTTAACTCAAGCATTTGCACAAAGATTATGAAGAAACACTTGTTTAATTACAATGAATGAATGTTTACAATTTGTTACATGAATGAACCTCAGATGTCCTAAGACCCAAATCCACAAATCGAAAAGAATCAAACATAAAAACACAAAAATTTTGAATGCTCCTGACCAAAAATTTTCAAGATCACAACTCTATTCTGTATTGCACATACAATCCTGGCATCGAGGATATCTGTACACGCTTCTTCCCACGGGCCGCGAGAATACTCGTTTGTTTTGTCGAACGGCTTTTCTCACTCTAGTCTCGAAGACTTTCCACTCTATCGTGTTGTTTCTTTCGAATATGTCCGCAAGCCTGCGCTTGTTGGGCCGTATGGTTGGCATTTTACCTCCGCCGTAATATATCCGATAACCGGCTATTAAAGAAGAAAACTGGCTCCCGGAATCTGTCATGGCAAATACATCAGCAGCTGTGCATACTATGAAATCGAGCGCCGCCAACTGCAAGAGTTTGAAATTTTCAGATTATGATGAACTTGTGCATACTCATTACAAGGTTTTGTACAGAAAATTAAGGTAGGGTAATGAATAGAGCAGAATTTACCTGAGATGAGAAATTCCCAAATGGTTCGATTTCGGCCGGCGTGAGCAAGTTTTCTTTGGTGACCAGATTAGGGAACAAGGTAGTCAATGCATTCAATCTGGAATATCCCCCGTAAATATGGGAACCGGCGAGGTATATGTGGGTTCTCCGGTTGAAACCAAGGGCGGCAAGCATCAGCACAGTCTCCTCTGGCATCAATGGACAAAGTCCTTCCGACCTTAATTGCTTCGGGGAAGGAAGCCTGCATGATATTGATCTTTTAAAACTATTGCTCACAATAGAAAATTGATTAGATGCTGCAAATATATATTCAAAACAACAAAAAAATGCACTTTTTAGGACTCATGTAAGTAATATGCTCGGCACAGAGACGTAATCAATCTCCAACACATGCTGACATTCTTGAGTAAAAAGAAACTTTATAAATATGGCACATACTTTTTTGTTTTCTTTTGTTCCACCAATGCAGGGAAATGGACTTTCCGATAAGCCTCCAATTCATGTCTTTCCTCTTCACCTCCACCAAATTCACATAAAGAGTGGGCAACCATGTCAATTTCGAATCTCAGATGCAAAGCCAGGTATCGTGATTTTTTAGGTGGACTATCTTTTTCTCCCTTCTTTTTTAACTGTGCATATTGACCGACAAGATAGGGGTCCAAATGCCCCAAACCCGTATCATTTTGACGCATCCTTCGAATAAGCATGGCACCAGTTTCTTGTATTTTGGGGACAAATCTCAAGGCATGGAAGTTGCATCTGCACCGAAGCCTCTAGATGGCGTACTTTAATTAGGAGACAAAGTGACAAATAAAGAATGAAAATTTAAGTGAAAGAAAAAATTGTAGCATAAAGAAAATTAGAAACAAGGTTATATTCATAAATGGCATTAATTAGCAGGCCTAGAGTACCTGTAACTCATGTGGCATTGGATCAGATGCCAATCTGTTACCAAATCCAACAAAGTGAACAACTTTGTTAAGATGCAATATGGGAAGAATGTATTTCAAGTAAAAACTAGGCTTGGCCTCTTTAATGACATCTGTGTCCATAACCTGAAGTATAAGCCAACATGATCTGAAGATTTAGTGTTGGAAACTAGAACCGCCTATTTACTTTACATCGATATAGATCTCACCACACTGCCAATGGCCTCTAAATCTAGTGACCGCAGCTCTTCTGGAAGTTCCTTGACTATTGGGATATCATCCTTTAAGTAGTTGATGAAATGTTCCTCCTGATAAATATCGCCGAACTGACTAAGAAATTACAGAATTTAGCCATCAAATTTCCCCTCAGAAACATACAAGAAATATGTAAAATTAGAGTGAATATATAGCTTTCAGCTGAAGATAAAGAAGATATAATCTTATTAAGCCACAGATTCAACATTAGAATATCATATGAAAAGTACATGCAGAGAACTTGACAATAAATGGAGAGTGACATGCTAATATAGCTTAATGTATGGCTAATGATGCCAAGTTAGCGTAGCATTATGTATTGTAATGGGTGAAAGGAGTATAAAAAATTAAAATTACTCAAGTGTTCTCTCTGAAGTTATGAAAAACTGAATAATGTGCTCGGAGGCACAAATTTGGTTACGTAATTTTCAGCAAAAGTATGCTTGCATTGATGCAAATTCTTAAAAATGTCCAGCATAAAACATACACATTCATAGAAGTTTTATTAAATTAAAAGGTACTTCACCTAGCATCTTTCCATACGCTGCTGTACATGAATTTGGGGAGAACAAGAGTGGCATTAAGTAATCTAGCCACAGCAACGGCATTGCAAACCTGTTGGCAATATCACCGAAGAATTTTTCATACTTCCAACAAAACGGGTTAGAAGGAGAAGTACTATATGAAATTGATATTTCTCAAAGTTGAGATTGATTCACCAGGAAATCAGAGACATGGATAACTTACAGCAACTCGCTGCTGATTTATTCCACCATTTGCAGTGACCATTATATAGCCGTTTTTACCCTCTGCAATTGATAAGATAGCATTAGTCTGTAAAAGTTAATGCAGGCATAATTAAATACTGGATTTAGATGGCATGTAGCATATTCAAACACACACACAAAGAGAGGGGAGAGAGATACCACTTGGTTCCCAATTGCGTATGTGGGAGCAAGGGGTCCAAAATGAAGACCGAGCATAAGGTTCCAACCACAAGTCCTTTGGCTCTGGCTTGCGCTCTCCCTAAAACATCAACACAAAAAGACCATAAATTTCCATGAAACATAATTAACAACCATCAAACTTAAAAAGGAGAACATGCCTCAGCTAAAGCATGAGCAGCCTTAGCCAAAAGCCGCGCATAAATAGTTTTCTGTGGTTTTTTCACTCTACCAGTTTTTTGCAGTTCCTCCTGCATCCATAATAAAACAAACAGACATTCTATAATGATTGGATAACACTCATATTAAAAACATGGAATTGAAAATAAGAGTGTGCTGCCTTCTACACTTGCACAAATAAACTATAAAACTAGCATCACTTTGGGATGAGCTAAGTCTTTGCAACATTCTCATCCAATCTGAAGGGCAACACAATACATGCAAAAGTACATCAATTAATTCCAAGCACCCAGCAACCCTGTTTTTCATGAAAGTGCGCGGCAAACTGGAATGGATAAAAGGGTACATATGATCTTCATAAACTGACAATAGATAGTTAAATTATCCTTCTGTAAAGCATTTATTGTAGTTTAAACCAATATGCTTGGATTCAAGATGAAGAACAAGTTCTTCCCTCAAGATTTTCTACAAACTTCCATTTGCCAGCTATCTTACAGTAAAACAGGCTCTAACTCTTATAATCAATATACTGAAAAGAAAACAGAAGTGAAGCATAGCCTTCTCTCCTTCAACTTCCATCTACGCAATGTTAAAGAAAAGCATTAAGATATAGCAAGAACCTCTTTAGGTCAATATAAAGAACATCAATTTTCTTTCCCAGGTCCAACAAATGCTTTTAACACTAAATGGCCGCGCCAGCCAGCGACATTAATCATCAACTATTGCTTCCAAATAAGCGAACACCGGAAAAAGTTTCAATTCTACGTCCTGGTGCAACAATATGAGTAAATTACATTATTAGCTTTTTCTTATGCAGACATCTAAAAAAATCTCACAGGTCCTTCCAGATCACAAAGTCGCCAGCTTCAGTTTTCTGAAGTTGAAAAGATATCCAAAATCCATTCTATATATTCACACCTTTTAGTCTTGCTGACCCACAAATTCAATACACAACAACATTGACAAAACAGGTATATATATATATGTATATATATATAAAGAAGGAAAGAAAAGAACATACCCGGATGAAGACTGTGGAAGAGTTCCTCTTCAAGAACCTCAACTTGACGCCATCACGTAAACGAGCAGGCTCTTGGATCCGGGAAATCATCCACCAATTTGTCAAGAAAAAAATTCCCAACAACACCGCCAATCCTAGCGTTGTCCTTTTCCCATACCACGCCTTCTTATTAGATTTCCTCATTTTCTTGGGCTCGGCGCCGAGATTTCCGTTCGGCGGCGAGAATGGATGAGCAGCTGACGACGATTTGGACGGCGGAGAAGGCATCGGATTTCTCGGCGAAAGGCTCATTCGGGTGGTGGAGCTAATTAGGCTTCGGCCGGGAACCCAAGACCCTGATTCATTTGCTAATCCGTCCTCATCGTCGTCACTGGACGCATTAGCACCTCCAGATGAGACGATTTCAGACAGGGCGGAATTGGGCATGTTGTAGCAGCACCACTTATATGGGTTTAGAATGGATTTACGGATGCTCTGCCCTGCCCTGTCGTCGAGGGAAGACGGACCAAGGCTATGGAAAAACGTCAACTTCGGGCTTGCCGTCGGATTCTCGGACACTTCAATTGCTTGTGGGGGCGAGATTCTTTCATCCTTCACCATGGGTCAGGTAGGTCCCGTCCCAAACTGCCAGCTTTCTCAATTCCCTGTATTTCCATTTAGCCCCCTCAATCCTGCACAATATCAATTGGATCCCCGAATTTTGATTTCTCAATCGGGGCAACATTTATGATTTGATCCACAAGAAACATTTTACCAGATTTGTCTCCTTTTTATAGAGCAGCCTTTTTGGGTCTTTATTTAGGCAATAAAGGTAATAAAAATGTGTGTATGGTGGTGTGCGGGGCATTCCTGAGTTCTAAGGGACCCTTATTTATTACTAATGCTATATTTATATGGAATTTATTAGTATTCATTATTAATTTTAATATGAAGAGAACTCCAAATGGCCCTCAAGATGTGTATATACATTATAGTTTGAGTTCGGTGCTATATTTGTAACAATACATGCACACTGATAGTCGCCAGAGCGATACTGTCGCTGCAGAGAAGATGAAAACATTACTGCTCACGTTGTGCTTGTTTCTGACACATAATCCCTCATCAATCTAATGTTACGTTCTTCCACCATCTGCTATTATCATAAAACACTCACAATCAGTAGGTGTCACAGATTAACCAGCTATAGCATAAGCAACATAGACAAGAAAATGACGCAAGTGATGCATATACATACATATATAAAAATATATATGTATATATTGAAGAAGATGAGTGGTGTGCATGGGTTAACCTTTGTTGACAATCGTTTCAAATTATCCCATTCAAAATCATTCTTGCAATAGGCAGATCGAACCTTTTGTCAGACACCAAAACATTCATTGTGTTCAGAAACATATACAGCATATATATGAAGGCAGTTAGTTAAAAAAAAAAAACATATGTGGAACAATCTGGAGTTTTGAGAGAAGCACAAATGATATGGCACTGACCTCTAATATGCGCAGAGCTGTATGTCATTAAAAAAGCAACAATAGAGATATCAGTTTGCGCAAATAATAAGGTACAGTAAAATCATGGTGAGTGCTAATAGTATGCTGTAAAGCTCATAATCAGAAGCACACTACGCACCTAAACTTTTGTGTCTGGATGATTCCCTCATCAATTCAGCGCAGAACCTATCCCCATCGCTCAGCGAATGTTTTTCTAGGAACTGCATTAAATCTGCATGCGCCTCTGGGTTGTAGCTCTGTATTAATAAATAAACTCATTAAAAACACCACTTATTGATCGCTAATCGAGAGTAGAGACTCCGAAAATAAAGGATCGAGCGCGCTCGCGAGGATGCTACGAAGAGAGAAATCTAAACTAACCTGAAGCTGTGCATTGACAATTTTAACTGCAACATAAGTGAAGAAGTCGTGAAGGTGCTTCGCTGCTTTAGATTCAGGCGATGCCTCTCCAAAACCTAAAAAAACGAACACCAGCACGCAATTACAAAATTTCATATCCAACCAATATGAAAAGCTGTGCAGCCATGCGCGCACCTACCAGGCACATACATCTTGTGGCATTGGAGAGGAGCTGTTGATTTCCTGGAACTGAAGACAAGAGACCTATTTGCGCCAGGCGATTTTGGTAGAGAAAAAGGGAATTGAGGAGCAGAGAACACTGTAGAGGATTCCATGATTGCAGTACAGAGCTGTTATCTGTATGTATGTATGTATGTTCATATACGCGGTCCCTGCAAAAATATCTTTGGTCGCCTTCTGGAAATATATAATAAAAAATCTCTAGCTTAGCTGGCAGGCTAAAATCAATTAAATCGGACCGCATTCGAATAGAATCGGGTCGGGTCGGGTCGGGTCGCCCCACAAAATATAATTTAAATTCTAAACTAATTTAATATTGGTGTAAATGCGATTTAAAACAACAGGTGTTATATGGAAAACGTTCATCTAATATAAAATTTAATGAATAATATTTTTATATTTATTAACATTTCTTCCAAACATAAATAAATGTCATGCAAAAAAATCGCATCACCTTTTGGAAAAACAAATGCTAAATGGAACAGACGCACTGCGTCTAAACATTCCGTACACTGTCCGACGTCCCGACGCTCCGCCGCTCATCTTCCCCTTCCAGCCAGTGCATGTCTCGTGTACGTGTATAGGTGAGCGTCTCTTCGTGCTTTTTATAATTATGGTTTAGGTTGTGGGGAATGTTCTTGGTTTTCCATAGATTCTACTCCTCAGCAATCTATTTTCGCTCTTTGATCCGACTGACTGTTTGTCTGTCTGTGGTAGTTGTAAGTGATCTCTTTCGATTTTCTTCAAGTGTAAATTCTTTTATGTGTTTTGGTTTCACTGCACCGGCCAATTTGTGCTGAAAAAAGGTGTTTGGCTTGCATATCGCCGGTGGAATGGTTGTTGTTCAGGATGAGGTTTAAGAGATACTGTGTACTGTTTCATGTGTTAATCAGTGTTTGTTTTCCTTCAGGAAAACGAACGATTTATAGGATTTTAACTTTGCTGAAGAAATACATAATTCACTCTTTTGTTTCTTAAGCATACAAGGTTCAGCAGTTGGTTTTATTGCTTTTTTCTATCTGATTCTTGTGTGATGTACGTTATCTAATATAAATAACACACTAAACATGGAATTTTTATAGCCGGAGTTTCTCAAATAACAGTGAATCTAATAAATGTTTTGTGCTTGACCATATCGAGGCGCTTGATATTCCGTTCCGTGGTTTTATGCTCCCATGGAAAGTTATTGCTATATTACTTCAAGATTTTCAGTTATAAGATCCTGCGTTTGGTATACATTTTTGTGGTGCATAGAAGCTGTGACTAGCTTGGTGAGAAAGTGAATAAGAATTTTCTTTTGCTGGCAAATTAGGTTGTCTTTGTAGGGGCACGAGATGGCAACATTGGGGGATATAGGGCTTGCAGCAGGAGTAAATATTCTCAGCGCGTTGTTTTTTCTTATAGCGTTTGCCATACTAAGGCTTCAGCCTATCAATGATCGTGTATATTTCCCAAAATGGTACCTCAGGGGATTGAGAACCAGCCCCGCTCATACAGGCATACTTGTAAGCAAATTTGTTAATTTTAACTGGAGAGCGTATATTAGATTTCTCAATTGGGTGCCTGAAGCACTGCAAATGCCCGAGACAGAGCTAATTGAACATGCGGGATTGGATTCAGCAGTTTATTTGCGAATTTACTTACTGGGGTATGACTATCGTTTGATCTTTTCATGATTATGCACTACAGGGTATACGATGCAACTGACTATCTAGATTTCCTAATGGTCAAATATTATAGTTTCCTTGTTAAAATTATCAATGAAACTCTCATGGAAGAAACTGTGACCTTTTAATTCTTCCCATGGTCAATTGAATTAATTAGAAACGAGATGAAGAGTTTTTTACCACAGTTAGAGCACACATGATTTTGTCCATTTATCACATTTATTTAAGATGCCTCTGAATCTGGAAGTTGCCTATGGTCTCCTTTCTCAGTTTAATGCTTCTTTTCCAGTAAAGAATTGTAATGACTGTATAAGAATTCTTTATATAGGGCGAAACAGTTAGGCTTTGTCATGTTGAAAGGCTCAACTTCGTTGGATTATCATCTGTATCTTGACTAGGTAGCAGTGAATTGTTTGATAACCACCAATCCTGCTCTTGGTTATGCAGACTTAAGATTTTTGCGGTTCAATTCTTAATAATAATACCCATCAAATCAACATGCAGCTCAAGTCTTAATAATAATAACCAATCCTGCTCCTGGTTCTGCAGACTTAAAATCTTTGTTCCAGTGACATTCCTTGCATGGGCTATTCTAGTGCCTGTCAACTGGACAAATAACACTTTGGCAGTATCTCATGTAACCCATAAGGTACAGTACAGTGACATCGACAAGCTCTCCATCTCAAACGTTCCAACTGGATCACATAGGTAATTTCACAGTCTTCATTGGATTCTGTATGTTATCCTTGCTTTTACTAAGAATCTATTCAGTCATACTTCTGAACCTTTTGTTGCCCACTATATGGTTCAATAACTGTATTGCTGGCTTAGTATAGTTTAAATATTGTGTAATAGGCTATGCAAATATGCTTTGTCTACTTAACCCCTTCAATTATAATTGCCATTTTGGATAGTTGAATGCTCTATCACCTACAATGAAGTTGAAACTAAATTTCTTGTAGCATCTTGGAGTACAAATAGACTAAGGAACAGCATATTTCCATATGTCATCATCATTAAATGGTCTTTAAAATGTCTTGCAATGATGTTGGTGTTAGCAAAGGCGAGGACCCTAGATTCCCTCCAATCTATTGAATTTTGAGAGAGTGAAATATAAACTACTTGAGATAGTTTAGGTATATGTCTCCATTCCCTTGGATCCCAGGCACCCAATTTTTTCCTTTTTCTTTGGCTATATTGCTCCATGAATTGGTAATAATTTATTCTGTTCTGAGACAATAGTGACCTCATGTTTCCTTTTAAGCATTACTATGTCTGAAACTGGTGCTATGTATATATTTACAGGTTTTGGGCTCATATAGTAATGGCCTATGCCTTCACGTTTTGGACATGTTATTCCCTGCGGAAAGAGTATAAAACAGTTACTTCAATGCGCTTACACTTTATTGCCTCAGAAAGGCGTCGCCCTGATCAATTTACAGTAAGAAGCAATCACTGGGGTGTGGAAGTTTTCAGAATGTGTCCGAACACTATTTGATACTTGGTGTTTTTGTATATCTTTTTCATGTTCTACATAAAAATGGTTTCCTGCTGCTGAGTATGAGGCTTTTACATTTATTTATTTGGTTGGGTTTGCCTGATGTGCATTGGCCTTTTGTGATTCCTTTGATAGTATAGGATAGGATATCTGCATTTCACCTTATATCTCCATTGAATTCTTTGCTTTTTTATTTCTTGTTATTGATTTATTTGTGCACCAGACCAATTTTTATTCTCCTTTCATTTGTATCTGCCAGGACTGCTCACAATAGGTTCTTTGCAGGTTCTTGTGAGAAATGTGCCACCGGACCCGGATGAATCAGTCAGTGAGTCCGTGGAGCATTTTTTCTTGGTCAATCATCAAGAAAATTATTTGACTCAACAGGTTTCTATATGCTGAAGTAGTTCTTGTATTGAATTGAGTGCGCAAATGGTTTGCAGCAGTATGGATTTCATCTGATGTGTAATTGTCTTTGTGTGAATGTTTATGATAGGAATTAGGGCATTAGGCACATAAAATGACAAATTAATGACTTATAATAATGGGTCTGATTCTGAAAATTTAGAGATGGTTCTAATAACACAAGGCATAATTGGGAAAGCAAACACATGAATTGCAAAGAAACATGATCTTAATTTCAGTGCAGCTAGTTTCTATTGTCTTTGTACCTATTACTTTGCTCATCTTTAGCTGGTTCCTTATGTGTAAGTTTTAAGGCAAGGAGACACTTGAATTGTATGTAATTTGGTACTCAACAACCTTTCTTATTGAGAATATATCTTTCACATATCTTTGCTTTAGATGCCATACTTGACTATTTGTTACTTTAGAAACATAGCTGTATATGTGCCTCATCCCCCCCTTTTAATTCACGTTACTTGATCTGATACTGAAAAATGCATGCAGGTTGTCATAAATGCTAACAAACTAGCAAAATTGATTGAAGAGAAACAAAAAAGAGAAAATTGGCTCGACTATTACCAAACAAAATATTCTCGTGATCAATCAAAACGGCCGGTGACAAAGGTGCTGTAGTTTATTACAATAGGGCCCCATCTGTCTAATGAGTGCAGTTTTTTCACTTCCTTACAATCATGCAGACTGGTTTTCTTGGTATCTTTGGAGATAAAGTTGATGCAATTGATTACCAGACCGCTGAGATTGAAAGACTTAGAGAACAGGTGAGTTTAAAACTCACCTTTCTTGTGGACCTGTGGTTTTCAACCACAAAACATATTTCACACTGAGTCTGGATTGAAAACCAAAAATGAAAAAGAGCATTTTCTTTAGTTGATATAGCTTGTTTGAGGATATTGAACAATCTCAATTGAATCCATGATGATCAATACATATGTTTTTAAACATTGAATGAATTATTGATAATTTCTGCTTTCAAGTACATGAAACATATATTTAAGAACTTGTGTGATCATATTTCTGGTTAGGCCAATAGCATGTCCTTTGTCTCATATTTCTTCGTTACAGTATGTTTCTATTTTAAGAATTCATATGAACATAGTCTATCCCATTGCAACAATTTACAGATAGCTGAGGAACGGGAAAGGATGAAAGCTGATCCCAAATATATTATGCCCGCAGCTTTTGTCTCATTTAAGACTAGATGGGCTGCTGCTGTTTGTGGACAAACTCAGCAATCAAGAAATCCAACTCTGTGGTTGACTGAGTGGGCTTCAGAGCCGCGTGATGTCTATTGGGATAACCTGGCAATTCCCTATGTCTCTCTCAGCCTTAGGAGGCTCATTGTTGCTGTTGCTTTCTTCTTTCTCACATTCTTCTTCATGATCCCTATTGCTATTGTGCAATCTTTTGCAAACATTGAAGGCATTGAAAAGAGGGCATCATTTCTTAAGCCGGTCATTGATGTGTGAGTATATTTTACTGCTCGGTCACTCTTTCCTGTACACAGTTAATTTTTCTACTTTTTGTTATTATTATTTTTATTATCCTGTTTGTGTGCTACAGCAAGAGATTTATTGTTCAAGGCATGTTGGCAATTTTCATTGTTATCTTTGTTATTCTTCCTTAAGAACTAATATGATGTTTTCGTTTCAGGCCTTTCATCAAATCTTTGATCCAGGGAGTTTTACCCGGGATTGTTTTGAAGATTTTTCTTATAGTACTACCAACAATACTGATGATAATGTCCAAATTTGAGGGATTTATTTCAACTTCAGCTCTGGAGAGGAGAGCTGCCTTGAGATATTACATATTCAATTTTATAAATGTTTTCCTGGTCAGCATAATAGCAGGGACCGCATTTGAGCAACTCAACAGCTTTCTTCATATGTCTGCAAATGAGTACGTCACTTCAAAATTCCACACTATCCTATTAGTCTCATAACTTCAACTGTGAACAACTTTGGGAAATTTTAGCCATTTCTGTTTATGCCATTATCTTGTTTGTAGTTGTAACCTAAATGTATCATTAATATGAGTAAATTCATTATTGACATGCTCTATCAGCTAGAGTGATCAATTCCTTTATTATGTTGTTGTGTTCCCTTTCAAGTTCAAAGCAATAGAATTTGTTCTTCGATAGAATCTCTAAGTGTTGCATGCCTCGATGTATTTTATGTTAATCTGAGAAGCCTAGAGGATGAAACTCACGTCATAATGAAAAAGCTGGTTGAATTCGATGCTTTCATACTTATTATATGTTATTGTTCGATGCAGTATTCCAAAAACAATCGGGGTTGCAATTCCTATGAAAGCAACCTTCTTTATAACCTATGTAATGGTTGATGGTTGGGCCGGCATTGCCGGAGAGATCTTACGACTGAAACCCTTAATAATCTTCCATCTGAAAAACTTCCTCCTGGTGAAGACTGCAAAGGATAGAGAGGAGGCAATGGATCCCGGCAGCATTGGTTTTAACACCGGCGAACCTCAAATCCAACTATATTTTCTTCTTGGCCTTGTCTATGGTGTTGTCACTCCATTTTTCCTTCCTTTTATATTGGTCTTCTTTGCCCTGGCATTCGTCGTGTATCGGCATCAGGTAGAATTATACTCAAAAACTCCCCCCCCCCCCCCCCCCCCCCTCCCCACTAATTCTATGAGCTGCTAACATAGAATCCCCTGTTTTTTATATGCAGATCATAAATGTGTACAACCAAGAATATGAAAGTGCAGCTGCATTTTGGCCAGATGTACATGGAAGAATAATCTTTGCACTGATCTTCTCACAGATAGTTCTGATTGGATTAATGAGTACTAAAGAGGCTGCAGCGTCGGCGCCATTCCTTCTTGCTCTTCCAGTGTTAACCTTCTATTTTCACAAGTTCTGCAAGGACCGATTCGAGGCTGCTTTTGTTCAATATCCATTACAGGTTAGCTACTCCCAATCTATACCTGCAAACTTCTTTTAGAGCAATCCACACATTGGCTTTTGATTGATTCCAGGAAGCAATGGTAAGAGATACACTAGAGCGAGCCAAAGAACCGAATCTGAATTTGAAAGCCTATCTCGAACATGCTTATGTCCACCCACTTCTCAAAAACGACGAGGATGAAGACGAAGGGTTGGCAAGAAAATTCAATGACAATGATGCAGTGACCATACAGACAAAACGACAGTATCAAAGAAATACACACGATGCCACTAGCAGTGCATCCTCTTCATCATTACAGCGCGAAGCCATCCCCGATCACTAAGAGTCTTCAATGTCGCAGCTTTGTAATGGAAACTCGCTGTAAGCAATCCTGCAAGACAACTACCGAATGCAATGGGAGATGACGGACTGATCAATCGATCCGACACTTATTTCTACGTCCGATTCAAGATTGTTGTCAACCTCTATTGGGAAGTTCCAATGCTATTACATCTTCCACGCCCTAATGAATATTGAGGTACGTTTTTGCCATTAGTTTAAAAACCTTTACATTATTTGAGCTTTCTTTTAGAGGACCATTCTTGGGTTGTCTGGTATAAATCGAACAAGGGCCAATTGATCAATAAGAAAAAGCATAAAGAAAGTTCTTAATATGGCTGCAATTCTCTGTGCCCTTATCTATAATAACAATAATAATAATAAATGATATGCATATCATTAATAGGAATGATCATGCAGATAAAAAGTAAGGTCCAAAAAGCATCTGATGCATGAGGAATTAATGAGGGGATGGGATAGTGGGAGCAATTTGTTGAAAGCAGCCAATTGATTTGATCCCACATAGTAACCATTATGAGACAACTTTTGTATTGTTGGATTCAAAACCTGTGCTTTAATACCAGAATGTAAAATAAAATAAATATATAATATAAGGGAGCCATTTTGGGTTTAGTCCAATCAATGGAATCTCACCTTTTTCACTTTGTTCTTTTCTTGGTTAATTGAGCACTTTCTCTTTTGGAACTCCTTACTTAAGTTTACACTTGGGACAACAAATTTGGCAGTGACCCATCATCCACCTTTTTTCCCCCTCTTTTCTACCTTAGCCATTTTAAGGATCTTTGACCATATTCACAATGCAAATTAAAGAAAATTATAGAGCATGTTTTTCTTCAAAATTTCCATCCATGGCCACTGCCTACTTAGTTTAATCTTGAAGTAGGATTATTGCATTAAAATATTAAAGAAGTTATACGCTATATTTGTTTATTTGAGACCCATCCCTTGGTTGCTCCAATAAATAAAATTTCTAGGAACCTCCTTGTCAAGAACTAGGTCAAATCCCAGTCATGGCTGACACTGCTAATGCTGAATTTTGAACCATTCATATATATATATATATACACATCAGTGAGCAGTAATCCAACACGGGCAAGTACAAGACAGGAATTAATTTAAGTCAGATGCAAATGGTGATCTGAAGAGGTCTAAGCCTATGGAGGAATTGTTATAAGAAAAGTTTTGATGTCACGATTCCATGGCAGAAATGGCCAAAAATGATGGTTGAAATTTCAAGTTTTAATAACAAGCAAAATGTGTTGACTAATTCTGCACCATTTTGTACTCCTCAAAGTCAAATTCAATGTTTTTAATGCTGAACAAGACTGATCGGGTTGAATATTTCGATTACAAAATTTACCTATCTGGATAGCAATAATTAATTGGGGTTTGAATAACAACATAGGATCTTAATCCCTAAGATGATTTTGATAGATCTCATATCATTGAATTCTTATTAATGCTTACAATAGGATGTAAAATTGATCATTAATTAATGTAATTATTATCAGGATTCACTGACTATAAACCAACGGTTTGTAATACAGACAAGTAAAATAATTTGATGGGAGGATAGACAAGAGTGTTCTTTTCTTGAAATTTTGTAAATTCACAAATTTGGTGGGGTTTTTCATTTTTTTATTTTAAATATAAAACTATTGGTACTCATCCAACATACTTGGAGTTGCTATAATAAGCCTCTCTAGTAAATGAAGTAAAAATTGAATTGGATAAATTATGACAGCACTACATTAAACCCCTAAAGGAGGACCTGGTTTCTTGTTGGGAGCTCCAGGGAGCCCAACTCCAGAATTATGCATTCTATAACATTACAAGTACCAAACATCCAGATCATCATCATCATCATCATCATCATCATCATCATCATCCAACACAGAAATTCACCAATAGGAGAGACTGATTGCATAGATAGGCACAAAGAACTTCAGAAACACTGATTGCATTAATAAATCAAAAAAGGAATGATGGGCAAACTATGTCCTTTTGTGGCTTGATCCTAACAATACTTTAATGTAGCCATTTTCCCACTAACCCTTTCCCCCCTCCCTCATCTTTTCTGGGATCATATCTCATCACAGGCACAGCCCAGTATTAATGCACCAAAGTGCGAAATCTTTTATGCTAAATACCAAACAACTTTAGCATGGGAAGACTTGTCCTGTAGCAAATGAGGGTTTCTTTAGAAACTCAATGCTCAGTGATGTAAGAAGAAAATAGATCTGTATACAAAGCACTTCAATCATATGTCACTAAAGATTGGGGCCCTTTTCCTAGATCAAGACATTTAGTACTTTTTTTTTTTGTTGTTGTTATTCACCTGATTTTAGTGGTGACTCCCGCAGCTGCAGAACAATTCTTTACAGAGAACCCTAAAGCAGACTGTCTCCTACTGAAACCCTAGCTTAGAGAAGCAAGAATTATTGATTTGGTGTGTGTGTGAAAGAATCATCAGTAATTTGTAAGGACCAGAAGGTTAAATTCTGAAAGGGTGGGCTATAAAAACACTTTTACTCACAGGTGAAGTTAAAAGTGAATTTTCCCAAGGGGAGAGGAAGCAGACAGGGTAGCACCTAAACCCTTCGAAAATGTACAAAACAAGCAGGGGAGAAAAACAAAGAGAACATTGAAAAAAATGATGGCTTTATTTGATTATACATAGCAGAAAGATAAATGCAAGAAATGAAGGGATTGGCTAGCCTCACCAAAGCTTCCAAAAACGACCACACCAACAATAAGCAGAGTAAAGAGAAGCCATGAAATGTGAGCTATATCTCAGATAAATTCAAGAATGAAACAGAAAACTACTGCACTTGCTGGAAATTTGGAAATGGAAAATCTAAACGCTGCTAATGTAAATGAATGGGTAATATATGCAGGGATGAGAAAAGCCTTCAAAATTTGCTGGAATTGATGTAAAGGGATTGTAATGATCATTCAAAAGCTAGACATGGAGCATAATTTACAGTGCAGATGGAGTCTCGATCAACGCAAAACAGATATATAATTGCTGCAAAAATGGAAAACAGCTTCAATTGCATGAGCTAAGTGTAGAAACTGAACCAAACCTTTTTTTTTTCCTCTGGTTCTTCCCCAATTTGTTATCCCTCTTCTTCAACCCCAGACGCCCCAAATCCTCTCCCCGAGAAAACTCACAAACCTCCTCATCGAACCCTTCTCCACTTCTTCCTCCTCCACGACGCTGTCATCCTCGTCGCCGCCACTACTGCCGCCGCCGGCAGCAGTCTCCGCCGCACTCTCCGACGCCGCGGTTGACTCGCCAAAGTTAGAATCCTCCATGACCGAACTTAGGTCAGACTTATTGAACGACTCATCCAATACGAGAGTACTGTTCGCCTTGCCACTTTTCCCCTTCCTCCTATCCTTCCTGTTCTTCTCCTTCTTGCTCTCCTTCAAAAGGCTGTCCTCAAAAGCATCTAATATCTCGTCTATAAGCTGGCGGTTCGACGACTCATCCCATCGCACCCAATAACTCTTGTAGCAACGGAAGCAACTGCAGTTAAAGCAAGGCGGATGGTCGTCGCCGCAACCGCCGCCGCCGCCCTTAGAACAGCCGCCTTTGCTGCTCCTGCGACTGGTATCCGAAAAAGTGGACGAGGAACAAGATATGATGTACGCGAGAACCTCCCTGTCCTCCGGCGACAGAGCAGCAGTCAAAGCCAATATCGCCGCCGGCAGCAACGAAAGCAAATGGTCCGACACAACCGACGGCGTCGGATGCACCGTACTCTTCCTATAAAGCTTCTTCATGACAGATACAAACCCCAATCAGCCCAACGTTTCAGACCAACTCCGAAATGCAGCAGCAGCAGCAGCAGCAGCTCTAGGTTCAGCAAGCAACCAGATATAGAGAGAGAGAGGCTAAAAGAGAGAGAGGGGGGTTTTGATGGAGTCACGATACCGGAGGAAGGGGAGGAGCTTTGCATAGAAATTGGTGACGTGTATTGAAAGGGGAGTGATCACATGCGACGCAGCCCTTTCTGTAGGGGCATTGGTGAACAGTGATATTGGGGAACGGACGATCTCTGATTGGCCGCCCAGCCATATGATGGCCGTGGGGCCCACCCTGCGAATCCCACGGCCATATCGGATGGGTTTGATTTTGCCTATTTTATTATTTCAATTTTTTTTTTTTCCAAAAGTATTAAATTAAATATTTAACTTTTATTTTTTTTATTACATTAAAATTTAATTTTACATTCAAAATATCACATCAAACAACTATTTTAATTCAAAATGTTACTATTCAAAATCAAAATTTAAAACCAAAACAACCTCACAAGTAAACACACCCGATCGTCATTCTCATCACTCCCTCTGACAACCCCACCTTTTGGGCTCCGCTACATATTCAAAAGCCCATTTAAGGCCCAAATTTGTTAGGCCCAATTGTACACACATACAATTTCTTACCATGGAGGCGATGGAGAGTTGGGCACAGTAATTTGACTTTTCCTTTCGGCAGGTCATAATAATTAATTAATCAATTTACCAAAATGTGACTGACAACTCTGGTGAGGCCCACCAAGATTCATTAAATCCATCATTTAAGTACGTACGTCCACACCCAAGGCAGCTGCTTTTCTGCACGACAACAGCAGCAGGAGCTACTCTATTTATAATCAGATTCCCCGAGGGCGGATTAGTAAATTCACGGACCAGGGCAGAAGAAATAGCTTTCTCCCCTGCTGCTGCAAATTTGACAGGGAAGGAGGAGCTTCTTTCAGGATGAACTCTGTAGGCGAGATTTGATCCATGATTCCAAATTGGTGAGCTCCTCGGTGGTTATGGAGTGGCCGAGACCAGGGTATGCCTGAAATATTTCAGAAAATCAGAGCAACATTCAATATCGACAAAATCAGTAATTCAATCAGTCAGTCAGTCACTTGGAAAAGCATCCCAACAAAATATACTTCACCACCACCAGTAGTACCCACACAGCACAGAGGCACACACAATGCATGTATATTTTATAACCAGTATAATAATCATAATAGTATTATTGATTGCTACATACTACATAACTATTTGTATAGAGGTAGGTGAGGTGCTGTGGTCCAGGAACAAGAATTACACAGCTCTGCTGCCACCAATAACATCCATCATTCATTATTGTATATGGGGGAGGGGAGGCGTGTTTGTTACCTTGAATTCACAGCTTAAACCAGCTTTTTCTAGGAATGGTGGCCCAGCTTGTCCAGCCTCGAACAGTACGGTTCTGTCAGCCATTCCATGGGACCACAGTATAGGTGTCTGCAAGTATATTCTCAAATATCAGAGACCCTTCAAGAAGATAAATGCAAAACTGGTCTGGACAGAATCTCTAGGCTAATTCAATAATGCAACCAGGATAAACACCAATTGTGCTCGATTACAAACAACTGGGTATCATCCAAACTGGTGAGGAAGAAGACTATAACAGGATGGACACAACTCTTTTGCAATGCCAGGGACTGATGGGTATCCATCAAAACCAATGTAAGTTCTGCACATTTTTCAAGTCTTACAAGTCTTGACTGTACATGAATAAAATGTAAAACTCTTTGCATCCATCGAGGAAAAAACATAACAAAACAAAACACGGTAAAAATGGAGGTTTGTTAAGCAGAAGTGAGGCTGACTATAACCTGTAGTCAAATAGTATAAAATTTTCAAGTAGGCATAAACAAGTAATCCATACGCTAAACATGTGGTCCTGCACTTAATCATCACATCGGAATTGTGCCTCTCAAACAATAACTATACGCCTTCAACAAAGCTATATGTGCATAATGTCCATAAAGTAATACTAAAAGATTATCAAACAAGTATTTTAACTGGAATCGGGATTTGATATACAGCACTAGTAACACACGAGTCAGCAAGCTTTTATCTAAATAATTGCAGGCTACAGTCATGACATAAATTCAAAGACCAAATACTCTAAATGTCACTACATGCACCTGATTAGCAACCTAATTGAGCAATGGGTATAAAATGATGAACTTGTGGTGAATGAAAAAAGTTGAAACTTGAAAGTGTATTAACACACACATATATATTCATTGCAAGGATCACATGTTGTAAACTAAATCTACCAATACAACTTAGTCACAAATCAGTTAAAAAATGTCGTGTTTGAAACTGTGACATCAGACGTGAAACCAGTAATGCTAGGAGATATTTTGAAGAGAAAATACAAAATGCCTACAAGTAAATAGACTTGACCTTTTTGGCATCTGGAGTGACCTGCTCTAAAACTGAAGCATTAAACGGAACCCATCCGCTAAATACAGCACCACCACCCAGAGTTTTTGGGTACAAAAGAACACTTGCCAACGTCAAGGCTCCTACAAAGTCAGATATAACAAATACCGGAACAAGCAACAGTCAACAAATGCGAAATTGGTACATTAGATGAATATTTCTGTAGAACAGAATAACTAACCTCCTTGACTGAATCCACATAAAAAGACATTTTTTGAGTCGATGCCAGCAGCTATTTCATTGTCAATCATAGCATGAATATTTTGAACTGCTTTGAGCACACCAGCTTCATCTTTTGGAGAATCCTGTTGCATGCATTTAAATTTACTTATGCAAATCAACTCAATATATAGAACCAGAATGTCATTCCCTGTTTTCAGACACAATTAGGGGCAGGAACACAGGAATTTCACATCTAAGAAATGAGCTTGCAGAGATTAGGGCAGAAGTGGCATCGAGTGACCAAGAACAATCACCCCCGTGTTCTATTCATTCCAGGGATTATAAATCCCATTGATTGAAGTTTATATTGTTATGGTTATTGCAAAAATTCAGCAATACAAATTAAAGCAAGAATACAACTTAGCCATATCAAGTAAATATAAGAACCCAAGGCGGAACTTACTGCTGTTACTGGTATCTCATGAATGTCAAACCATGAAGGCATCACAGCACCATCTGTAATGAAAATTATAACAGATGCAGAAAGTTAACAATGTAACGAAGTGGCCAGATTCACTGGGGAAGTTACATGCATATACACACAATAAAGTTTTCTAAATATTACAGATATTTAACAATTAACAAGTCTGACAACCCCAGCCAAATCTAAATGAACCACACATCATTTTCCTGACATCTGAGATGAATCTTATGTTACTCAATCTCCATAGTGTATCCAAGTATAGTAAGAGTCAAGCATGTCATATTGGGTCAGATTAAAATACAACAGATAAGTCAAACATAATATGGCCAACACAGGTAAGCTTTTCAAGCTCCCCATGTAGAAAATCCGTTGTGATCAGAAAAGAAGAAAGCGTTAGTTTTAATAGATACAACAAAGTTACATTGAAAAGGAGGTGTTCCAATGGTCTATACAAATCAGATTATATCACATACTTCATTTGATTATGCGAAACCTTGTTATATCCACAAAACATTCAATCCAAGCACGGAAGTAAGGAAAAATTTCATGCCCTGTCTATGTTCCTCTTTTCTAGATTTCTCAGTAATTTCTACCTGAAATTGAAATTGCTCATGAGCACAAACACTCTGGCACGTCCACACTCAAGCAGCCGAAAATCCATAGAATTAATATCATTCAAATTACTTTACTAGCATGTTAGTATCTTCCAAAAAGAATCATCGCTATCACCATCAACTTTCTAATATGCTTTCAACTAGAGAAAGGTCTGCAGATCCGTGATTCATTACAATTGCATAACAACTGCCTAGGGCACGATGAATCGAAACACGACCAAACTACCGCAACGAGATCAGATTCATAAAATGTGAAACAAAAATACTAATGAACAACCTTACATGGATGGTGCTTCATATTGTGAAACCTACAATTCGAGATACAATCATACAAACAATTCGCACAAACTCAATAGCGCCAAACACAAATAAATTAAACAGAAAGCTACAAAACATAATCCAGTTCAGTTTACGGACCCAATAGAAACAGGAGAAGAAAGTTCCAGGAGACTTACGATTGCAGCTGACAGGATTAGAAGGAGCCGAAGGGAAGGACCACTTGGCATTTCTGAACTCCGGCGAAGTGAAGAGCGTCCTGATGGGTTCGTTGGCGGGCCCTGAATCGCCCAGACCATGTAACCACAATACAAAGCTTCGCGCCATAGGGTCGATCTCAATTGAAGAAGGGCTATGTCGACTAAATAGCAGGAAGGAAATTGTGATTCCGAAAGTGAGGGCAAACGGAATCAGCTGTTTCAGATTCCTCCCCATGACGCCGCCTGCTGTCGGCTTATATTCACTCCTCCCCGTTGTCGAGTCTCGGCATTTTACCTAATGCGATTTGCGTTTCTTACAACTTACGGGAATAGCGTTTTCTATGTCTAGGCAGCCAGCCAACCGATCAACTAACGCTTTTATTATTATTATTTCTTGTAAAGTCGAATTTGGATTTGTTGATTGATTCTCTCTTTATGTTAGTCCCGTTTAAATATGATTTTTTTTAAGTTACGTAGCCTCTATTTACATAATATTTTCACTCTAAAAAATATTATATTAAATATATATATTTTTTATAAAATATTAAATTAAATATTAATTTTATTTTTTTTCAAACATTTAAATTTGTAAAAATTTTCAAAATTTTTTATCTAAACAAATTCATAGTTTTAAAAATTATAAAAATAAATATTTTAGTAAAAAAAAATACTAATATTTCGAGTAAAAAAAAAAGAGAGATATAAATGGAATGGAACGATTGGTATTAATTAATTGATTAATAATACACGTCATCAGAGGGGCAAAATTGACCGGAGGTGTTTACTTTGTCACCAACCCCTTTCGTCCCCAGAAAAGCTCGTAACCCAAACGCAGAGAAGGATCCAATGGCGACGTCCAAGCTGCAAGCTCTGTGGAATCATCCTGCAGGACCTAAAACAAGTCAGTCTTATATTTTCATTTCGTTATTGCCTTCGCATGCCTTCTTTTGTTTTCTTTATGTTCTTCTATTTCTGGATGTGTTTTTAGATTTGGATTTTTTTTTCCCTCGTATTCAAACCCTAGATTCTTATACAGTCGCTTACGCTCTCCTCGATTCCGGATGATTGATTTGATTTTATGAAACTGCGGGGAGATCTTTGAATTAGGAGAATTTCTAATTATATGGATGATCTTTGGAACATAGTATATGCAACTCGAAGATTCAATTGGTAAATGTGGCGAGGCGTTGTAAATTACGAATTTTAAAGATTCCAGCATCGTGTTTCAAATCCTACAATCCAAAATTGTACAATATCCTGGACCGACATGATCGATCAAATACAGCTGTTGCGTTGGTTTATCTTTATTTTCTTATAGTGGATTTACTTTAACTTTTCTTCACAGCCTTAAGTGATTTACCATTTATACACAGATAATATATGCTTTTTTTTTTTTTTTTAAAGTCTTGCGCCACTTTTGGGGACAAACCTCATGTATTTATTTTTTGTGGTCTTCACGATTCATATCTCAGTTCATTTTGAAGCACCAACCTAATGCTTCTTTCTGTTTCACAATTCATATCACAGTTCATTTTTGGGCACCAACCTTTAAATGGGGCATTAGCATAGCCAATATTGCTGATGCTTCGAAGCCGCCAGAGAAAATATCATACCCTCAGCAGATTGGTAAGTAAGGCTTGGTCCCTATCTAGAACTGTTCTCAACAGTTTGTGTAGCCATAAATCCTATTGGTAATTCAAAATTCACAGGTGAAAAATGGCAAAAAGGAAAGCATTCACAATTAGCTGCTTTATGAGTTAGCCATATTCGTATTCCTTCTCCTCATCCTGAAACTCTAACCAACATATTTTAATCAATTGATCTGTTTTACACATGATTATTTGGCAGCTGTAACAGCAACTGGACTTATATGGTCAAGATACAGCACTGTCATTACTCCTGTAAGTTCATGTTTTTCCTTTGCACTTCAACTGATAGTTGTAACAGATTCTAGGCTTATAGGTATAATGGAATTGTTGCTCAAGCCTTAGATTGTGGAAGCTATAATACCATATTAAGTTAGCATCTTGCATCAAATTTCTCTGAGTAGTTGAATTATATAGGAATTGAAAACCTCACTACAGACATCCTGGAAAAGGAATCTGGCTAACCAAAGCAGACAATTGACATTTTGGTATTCTTTATCAAGTTCATTACCCTGGTGCATCTTCCAGATGCATATGATTTTAGCAGGCATATCTACTATGAGCAGAGTAAAATCTTGTTGAATAAAAATGAGAACTTAAAAGAAAATCCACAAGTTGCCATGGCTTTCCCCTTTTCTGAAGTATGCAGAGCGATGTGAATTGTTGCTTGTTTTAGCACTATAGTAACTTTCATTTTTTCTACCCCTCAATCCCATAGGACAATATGCATCATAAGTTGAAGGGGTATTATGACTAGTGTGAAGCAGAGATTATGGGCTTGCCAACATCTACTTCGAATAAAAGGAGACATCTCTCATTTTTTTATGTGCTGTATCTCTCATTCTGTGTTTCTTTTCCTTTACTCCGTGCAAGTACTCACTATTTATTGCTCTTGTACACCCAACCCTTTGCTTACTATTTGGATGTGTTTTCTTATATTAGCATTTTAGTCGGAAATTAATGGTTGGCACTTGGCACAGTTGTGAGGGTGATGGAAAGACTTTCGATTGTGCTCTTTGCTTTCTTGTGCAGTTTTGCTGTCTAGAGGTAGAAAAAAAAACATTGAAACATGTGAGAGGACATGGTAGAATAATCTCTTTTAAGCTATAATCTACTTAAAATTATGTATGTTATGTGCACGCAAATTTGATATCCTCTCAAATTTTATTTGCTTATTGGAAGTTTCTGGTTATGAAACACCTAACCTTAAACCTTCTAACAAATTGCTTTACTTTCTATTTATACATATAATGAACTGCAGAAGAACTGGAATCTCTTTAGTGTAAATATTGTAATGGCATGTACTGGCATTTACCAGCTCACCCGAAAGATTCAGTGAGTTCCTCTTTGTTGTGTTTAAATGTTGTCAATCGGGACATGAAACCCCTTGTATGATTATACATTTCCTCTCGTGATTGCAGGCACGAATACTCCAGTGACGAGAAGCAAGCTGTTACGGCCAAAGAATGACGACGAAAATTCCCTCTTATTTTGCTTAGCTTTTGGCTTGAGTGGGCTAATTGTGTGCCCTTTTCATTTCTGGGGCAGTTCTTATTGAACCATCACCTCCCTTTCCATATGCATACTTGTGGATCTGATATTGGATCAACACAAAACTATCTTGATTATTGCTGGTAATAAAATCTTTGGATATTTTTGGCTTCTCAATATTAGGGGTAAAAATACACATAAACGTGAATAATAGGAGGGGGAGAGACTGTTCATATGATATTTGCACAAATTGTAAGTATCTAAATAAATCATTCCGATAAACACTGTAGTCTCATTGTAATGTCCTCCTCAGAATTGGCAATGGGGATTTTTGTTACATCATCAATTTAAAAAAAATAAAAATGAAATAAAGTGTTCATCTTTCCAGTATTTGTTTCTCAAAGGCACATTTCAATTCTCTTCAACAATGGACGCCCTAAAAGTTACACTGTATATTTGCTCGAATCTAACTCTTGCGGTTGAGCACCAGAATCTCAACAACCTCAACAAGTCGAAGAACAGACATGGGTAGGCTATAAATGAATCCTCGAGCTCATTCGTTCAAACTGATCATCTTAAACTTGCTCAGCTCTTCTGATCAGATTCACTCTCCCCATCATGAGCCTTCAAGCCTAAACTCAGATCCAACGGGCTCTCATTCAGGTCACGCTGTTCAACAGTGTTCTTCTCAAGAGCCTAAAAGGAAGGATGAGAATGATCAAGTGCTCAGAAAATCGGACTAGTAAATATACCAAATGGATAATTAATAAATTGCGTCTTACACAAACAACGGAAAACATCATAAAACTGGATTAAGTTCCTTTAAAAGTATGAATGATCATAAATCGACCATCTAATAAGGATGTGTGTGCAGATAATGTTACAGGGCACTTGGACATCATCCAAGTTGTATGAGAATGTGGCATAAAATACCTCACTTTCGTCCATTGGCACATCGTTGATGTCAGGCTTTTCATCAGATCCATCATTCTTGGAGGTAGCCTCTGCTGTGTTCGGATCAGACTCAATTGGCTTAGTTTCATCCTCACTTTTTTCTGTAGACTCATTCTTTTGTTCTTCAAGCAGAATAATCTGGCAAAACGGTATAAAAATCAATAACTCATGGAACCTATGCACCTGCAACTAACTTTACACAACAGCAGACTCATGGAAAAGACCACCCTTCAAAACTAGACAGATTTGTAGTTCTTTTTCCTCACGACAAGAGGTATATATGTGTCACATTATCATTATACATAAGAATATTGATAAATAGATACAAATGGTAGATTCTACTTCCAAGTTCTGCAAGCAAGGTAGCAGAAAAAGAAGACAGAAAATTTTGGTCACTGTTTTTTATATGCCTTAATCCCAAAGTAATAGGTTGAACAAAAGAGAACTTCTACAACTGTTAAGGTTCTAAATGCCGCATTTTAAACCCCTCATAATCAACTTTAAGGCCACACCAGAATGCATTCTAAATGAAAAATAAAACCTTTAAAACAATTTCTTTCCCACAGATTCACATAGATTAAACACAACTGTATATACTGCAATCTTGCAGAGGCATGTAACAAGATAACGAAACATCAAAGTGCTTAGTGGAAAGTAGAAATTTTGGCTCAGCAGCATTGATAAACTAATGGACATAAACTAAGACGAGAATCAGTCAAGTATGTTTTTCTTTTTTTCAACCTTCTAAGAAGCAAAACACTCATAATCATTCCCTTGAAACTCAAGTACATATAAGAAACAATGCAGATCAAGGCAATCTTTATAACTCATTTTGACTACAAATAACCCCCACTCTAGAGGTACAAGTAAATCAGTATAAAGCTAGATAGCAACAATGCAGCACATAGATCAAGCCAATCTTTATATCTTCAACTGTTCTTACTTCATGGCAAACCATCCTTGTCCTCTTGGAACAAGTAAGAGCAGCATAACTAGGAACAACAAAATTAAGGGTCACATCTCATCCTCACCACATTAAATGCTACTGACACATTCACCATATCTAATTCATTTTGCCGCATAAGGAATACACTCACAATATATCATATCAAATACTTAACTTTTTATTTTTTTTTCAAACTTCCAAAATTCCAAATGCCTCCAAAAATCCCTATCTAAACAACCACTTTTTACCTTATTTCTTCCAAATAGACATCTTAAAAAGTAACTCAAGGCCTGACCAGACCACCATCCACACCATTACAAAACTTCACCTTAACATTTTATTATAAATCAGTCTAATTACATTGTTTTCTTTCTCCTCTAGAATTTGGGAACAAAGTTTCAAGATTGTAACCAGCGAGAAGTCGACACTCATCCCCAAAAGTCACAAACTTGGGGTACAGATTCATCTAAACCCTAGGATCCTATCTAACCACTAGAAAAATTAGTGACTAAATTACAACTAGAATTTGATTATGTTTGTCTTCAATAACAAAGTTGGAACAAATCGCAGACAACCAGAAACAAAAACCAAATAAACCAAGGTGGGATCAAACGCGGAAATTTACCGGAATGTATTTGAATTTTCTTTTGGGCGGCTCTTCTGCCGCGGCGTCGTCGTCTTTGTTTGAAACCTTGGATTCGGCATTGCCGTTAACACCATTGCTACTAGTGTTGCCGTTACTATTGTTATCCTTATTTCGGCTGGGGGTGATCGGAGTCCATTTGTAGAACACCAGGTGTGATGATGCGTTAGTGGTCCCATTGACTGCCCCATTGGCCGTCGTCTGGTTGTTGTGGTTGTTGGAAGTCGGCGGCGACGGGTGAACCCATTTCTTCTTCCACTTGCGAACCGGACCGGTGAAAACAGGGGCCGGTCCGTACCGATTCGAAGATCGCCCAAATCTGGCCCCCACTCCCTCCATCGGAATAGATAATTCGTTCGACGGCGATGGTGGCCTGCCGGCGGCGATTTTGCTGAGGTGGTTTCGAAAGGAGACTCTTCCTATTGCATCGTCTGCGCATGTATAATATATATATGTATATTTCTGGTTTATACTTATAAATACATCAACAAACATTGAAAGGCGCGTTTCTAATATGAATAAAGCGCTACTTTGACTGCTCGTAGTCGCTGACAGCTGTTTCGCGATTTTATATCACGTGCTTTTTTAAACAAAGGGTTTCAATTCTCATTATAATAAAGATCTAATTTTATAATTAGTTGAACCAAAGTAGGAAATATTATTCACCTTTGATTTAAAATTTATTTTTTTTCATTATAAACATAATTTTAAATATTATAAAACACATTAATATTCCAAATAATCTTCTCCAAAAAATAATTGATTTTGTACATTATACTAATTTCCATAATAAATTACTATGTTACATATCGGACGAAGAGACGATGGCATGCAACATGCATTTAAACCCTATCTTTATTGTTTAACACAATAGCCAAATTTCCGACGCCAATCCGGCCGGCGGCGACCGTAAAATCCTCCCTGCAGTGCATCGGATTTGAAAACAGTGGCGCCGGCGGCGGTTCAAATCCTACCAAGGTATTCCCTCGGTTGTCGTTCATGAAGGTCGCCGTCGTCGTCGGAATTTGGTTTGTGGTTCGCTTGTAAGGTCCAAACCATTTGATCTGCGTGTAGGAAAGGCGACGCCATGGCGGCAATTTCAGGTCTGTACTCTTCATCGACTTCTTAATGGCTTTGCACATGAGCTTCACAATCTTCTTCAGTTCGTCGGGTTTGCCGACGAAGATCGTCGGGAAGGCATCGAGCAGCGACGCGTAGCCGCTCGTCGGACGGGCGATTGTGAACTCTCCGGCGAGGAATACTTCTACTATGAAGCGATTGCCGCCGGCGTTGATGTCGACGTACTCGTAGTCCCCCGACGGGCGGTTGCCGTTTTTCTCCCATTTCGATTTGCAGAGCCCTAATTTTGAGAATCTATTGGATTAGCTATGGCCTGTGGCCTAATTAATTATTTATTTGATGTTATATTTTATTATTTTGTAAATTTGTTTAAGTGTAGAAAATTATTTACCGGCATCAAAGCCGCGGTTGCGCAGCCAGGACATCAGCCGCCGTTTAAAATCTCCGGCGGCAGCGACTTCCGGCAACGCCGTCTCCACCGCTGATCGGAGGCTTCTGGTGGTGCGGTCGAGATTCTCCTCATCAAACAGCTTCTCCAGAGAATTTCGAAAATCAAAATCAGAGACGTTGCTCCGACGATCAGATTCATCGTCATCGTCACCATTCGTCCGATTCCGATCATCGGAAATATCCTCGTCGAATTCGTCGGAGGCGGTTCGCAATTCTCCGATTCCTCTCTCGAGAAAGGAGTTGACGAGAACGGACAAATCCGCGGCGGAGTGGTCGCTGCCGCTGCTGCTGTCGCACGAGCGCGCCGCCCTAGCTGCGTCGTCAAACGCCGCAGCTATCCGCCTGAACTTGACCGGAATATTCACCATATCCGCCGTCGGAAACCAATGCTGTTTTTTGTTAATTAATGGTAGTGAATGATGAAGATGACCATACCTTTTATTTAGAAAAATAAATTTAGCAAAAATTATGTCTTGATTGTGTCAACATTCATCAACTGTTAAGAACAGTAAATGGTCTCACTATGATGTATGGATGAGGACATTTTGTTGATACCCTTTCTGGAAAGAAATACAGAGTGGATAAATATATAGATATAGATATATATATATATATATAGAGAGAGAGAGAGAGAGAGAGAGAGAAAGAAAAGGATGAACCTGGGATGGAAACATGACCAAATTCAGCATGAATCAAGGCGACTAATGACTTACATCCACGGAATTAAGTGGGATTTAATATAATAATATAAAATCAATTATGAACACTATTAGCTTGTGGCTTAATAATACGCTCAATTAACAATCTAATACTCCAACATATATGGGTTGTTATTGTACTAAATTTTAATGCATATATTATTAAAAACAACATATTATTAATATATATATATATATTTTAATAATAGTATTACTGTTTTTTAAATTATTACTATTGATTAGCATTGTAAAAAATATTTTAAAAGTATATATATAAACTAAGTGGTAAAATTTGGACAAGAATGGTGTGCGTACCGTCATCCAATTGTGAATTTTAATTGCTCTTTTTTCTTCGGTACAAAAAAAAAAAAAAAAATTGTACTTAGTAAACATTGCAATTAATCATAAGAATTAAACATTAGTTTGGGAAGCACTACAAGAATTGATAGTTGAATAAATTTTACCATAATAGACGATAACAAATTAAATAAATAGAGTGTGTTATGAGTGAAGTGAAGATTGTTTAGTTATTTTTATTTAAGTAGAGACATGACATGAGTAATGAGTCGAATGTGGAGAATCGATAGCGTGACTGAGGACACTCTCATTTACGGCTAAGTTCATTAGAACATTGTAATGTGTCCAAATTCAATGAATCATGTACGTATGTATGTAGTAAGGCAGTTTTTTGTTGCAACTGAACTGTGTCTGTCCAGTCCGGATAACTTATTGAAAGACTCAATTATTACAATTGCCTTACATTATTGATTGTTAATACTCTTTCCTCTGTATAAAGAACAATGTTTGTTTTTTTAAGTAAATTTTTAAATATTAATATTATATTGAATTGTAATATAAAAAGATAAAAATATTTTTATTAATATTGTGTAATATAAATATGGTGACATTTGTGTAATATAGTGTAATTTATAAGAATATTTATTATGTCAGAGTACAATTACTAAATTAAAAAATAGTACATTTACGAAAATAAAAAATAGAACCTTATTATGAGCATAGGGAATATTATATTTTATTTTTTTATGAATAAACAAGGGTTTGTTTACCGTGCTCTATTTTTTTTTTTTTTTTTGAATCACTTATAAATATTATTAAAATATATATTAACACAAAATATATATTTTTTATTAATTTATTAAAAAAATTCGATAATTTAATACAAATTTTTTTATATTACCAATACAATTCTTCGTAAATAATATAAAAAATACATTCATAGAAAAACACAAAATAAACAAACTCAATATATATATATATATATATACTCCATATTTTTAATTATATTCATTATGAATATAATCTTTTTTTACGACGATATTCATTATGAATCTTGCTAGTAAAAAAGTTGATAAACACACCCTTACATATATATTTGTTTCTGGCCTTATCACTTTTAACTCTTTATTTTATTTATTTTTGTGCTCCATGCAAGTATTATCTTTTTATTTTTTATTTTTTTCTCATTCGTAAATGATTATTTATTTATTCATTTTGTTATTTTCCAAAAAAATTTAAGCTTGATCCATATTTATATAAATATCTAAATAATATCTATATACAGATAGGCAATGAAAGTTTTATATATGCAAATATATTAATATCTATATATAGATATCTAACATCTATATATAAATAGGCAATAAAAAATCTAATATAAGTTGTAGCTCAGTTTACTATTTTTTTTTAGATAAAATAATTTTTTGGATGTGGCGTTGAAAATTGTGTGAAATATATAAGATATATTATTTTAAACTGAATACTTTACTTATTAATTTTTTTTTTTTAATGAGTATTTGAATTATTATTATTATTATTTTACTTTTTGATCTTTTGTAATAGTTATTTAATGTATTTTTTTAGTTTCGTATAAGATATTTTATATTATTATTATTTTTGGAAAATTATAATTCAAAAATAGTATTGAAAAAACAGAGTCTATATATTAATATCTAAATAGTTTAAGGGTTACATTTACTTTTTTGTTTTATATGTATTTTCATTTATTTATTTTTTGCATAATTAAACATTTTTTGTTATCATTGCAAATATATATAAATTCAATTGATTTATTCATAAATCCAACACAAAATCAATTATGTTTGTTTTATGTTTTAATTTGACGAAATAATTTTTTTTTTTGAGATATAAATAACTGTGTGTATGTAATATAAAAATAATAAATATATATAATATATTATTTTTAAAAATATATATAGAATTTTTTTTTTTTAAAAAAAAGCACACATCCCAATGTTTCGTACGGTTAACTATTTTTATTGCAATTCAACAACATTTATGTTGCTCAATAATATTATATCATTTCACATCAAATTCCATAAAAGTTTCTAACAAAATAATGCACATAAAAATAAAATTAAATACTTCATAAAAAAATAACTCCATCCGTCCTAAAAGAGATGTGAGTTAGAACGAGAATTAAAGAATAATATGTATAAAGTAAAATGTAAATAATTAAAATGTTCTTATTGTTTTTGAAAGATTTTAAAGAGTAGATTAGAGTAATAATTAGAAGTAGTATGAAAAAATAAAAATAATTTTGTTATAAAGTGGGGATTACGATTACTAAATAAGGAAACAAGATAATTATTTTGGGACATACGAAAATGAAAAAACAAAGACAATTCTTTTGGAAACGGATGAAGTATTAAATTCAACACATATTTATATCATATTAAATAAATATTTATTCAATTTTAATTACTATGTCCACTACTTAAAATATTTTCTTTCAAAACATAAAAATACCCTAAATAAGTAAAATTTTATTAATAAAAAGATTAGGAAGTAGTAATACATTATTTTTCTTATAAAAATGTTAAATTAAAATACTATTTTAAAAATTCAAAAAAAAAAAAAAAGAAAAACTCAATATCTATTCAAAACCAACAAACATATATTTGGGAAGTTTCTGAATACTTAGCAAAAATCACACTGTACACATTACTAAGGATTTGCTTTATAAATATATATATATATATATATTGCTATTATAGCTAGCATGTCCACAAGAACATAGCTTGTTTCTCTAATTTATCGTCAAATATATATACCAAGAATATTCTTACCAATAATGCATGCATAGATTTAATTCGATGTTCATATTTTATATATATTTATATATAAATCGGTGAAATAAATTGTATTTGAAAATTTAATATAAAATAAAATGTAAATACAACATTAAATAAAAATGAATGAACGTGATATTATTTTTTTAAAGAACAATATTTTAATAATAAATAATATTATTATGTCATCTAGATCTATATTTACTTTTTTTGAATTGTAATACAAAATATTTTCATTTTCTTAAATAAAAAATTATACAATCTGCATACTTTTTTTTCACTAAAAATGTATTATTCTTTATTTTTATTAAAGTTAATGCATATAAATAATAAAAGCATTAGAAAATAGAAGTTCTAAAAAAAAAAAAAAACACACACACACACATTGTATATGCCTATTTGTATATATAGAATTTATTAGTTCATTCGGAGAGTCCTATGATGGTGTGGGTCGATATATATGAAGCTAATTAGTACAACACATAAATATATATATATATATATATATTTATCTTTGTACGTAGTTTTCATCCCAGCTTTGTGATGATGCCCACGCCAGGTAATATATATTTATAGATAATTAATTTACCAAATTAACCACCTTACTATATATACAATAATAATATAATAATCCCCAGTCAGTCTCAGTCCCGGCTATAAATGTACGTATGTATTAATTAGCGTTAATTAGTATTATATTTATAGAACATTAATTGATTAATTAATGCGGTGGTGCTGGGCAAGGCCGGCGGAGAGCAAGCCGGTTTCGTCATCCGCAGCCACGACCAGCTCGCCGGAGGAAAAGTCGGCGGTAGAAATTAAAATTAGTACTAGTAGTAGTAGTAGTAGTAATAATAATAATAATGATAAGAGATCCCTGAGTGTAGTGGTCCTAGAAGAAGAAGACTGCCTACTGCAGGTGAAAAAGCTGGATGGTTCATCATCACCAACTACTACTACTACTGCAGATCACGATGATCAGCCGCCGGCGGGAAGCACCGGCGAAGAAGCCGTGGTACTTGAGCCGCCGGATTTCAGTGGCGCCGGCGATACTCCGTATTACACTCCATGTGTGAGTTTCGACAAAAATAATACTGTCAATGAGAATTGTTTAGAATCATGGGAGGAGATGCTCATGGCCATGACCAACACCAACACTAAAACAAAGACGACGAACAACAAGAAGAAGAAGATAGTGAGATTGAGGCAGCTAATTATACTCTGATATCCCACCAATATAATTATAATATGGAAATTAATTAATCAATTGCAGAGTACGTACGTGTTAGTTGGCAATTGGTGCATCGTCATCATCTTCGTATGTAATGAAATGTAAATAAGCTCACTGAAATTATGCTAGCGCTGTATCCAAATTGGTAATTATAATTATTACTTATTTACTGGAATGGTAATAATGGATTGGTGAGGGAGGGGTAACTAAGGTAATACTCCGTAAGTAGTAATTAATGAGGGTCAGGTGGAACATGTGATATGGCACGTGTTTTTAATTTCTTGCCCTCGCTCATTTCCCGTCCCCACGTATCGATGCGCGTGTGCGTCGGGAAACGGGCACGAGTCCGAACCCAAGTGGGTGGGTCGGATCACCGTTGGCCTGTTGGGCTTGGATCGGCACACCTGTCCCTTCCCTTATCACAACATGAAAGCGATTCATGGTATATGTATGGTCGAGTCGTATTCGATTCATCAGTATTCAATTTCATCACTTAAACCATGCAACCTGGTTTCATTTGAATTTCTTCATTCCCTAATCGATCGATCCATCGAGCCTATCCAGTCCTGACACTAGTTACGACTCTGACTCATTATATATATATACACACATCAATATATAAGGCAAAATAATCCTAAAACACGACATGTATGGCGGGATTCTTGCCAAATAGCAGGATCAAATCAAGAAAGCAAGAGAGCTAATTGAGTACAAGCTTAGTGTGGCAAATTCAAGAAAGTGATGCTAGATAATAGCAAGGCAAGAAATTAGACAACGAGGAAGATATACATATATATATATATAGTTAATGTTGACATTGGGGGATGGAAGGATAGAGTGGGTGGTGGTAGGTGGAAATTGCCACTCCCACAGCATGCACGTGTCCACTGCAGATTCGTTCCCACAAAGGGCACACAGACACTCTCACACACACCAACCAGTCGCTCCTCTTCCTAGAAAATTAAAAAGGGCTTTCTTTGCATTCATTAATGTCTAACCTCTCCCTATATATTCTTGGCGTTGGTTCGAGAGCAAAGTATAACTTCGTTCTGTGAGATATCCGTAACCCTAATTCAAGTTTTTTCTTGGCATGGCTTCTGGACTGGGTGTTATCATCATCGCCGTGTTGGCGGCGGCGGCGGCGGCTGACGTGCCCGACCAGTCAACCCACCACGTCGTGGGGGGAGACGACGGTTGGGGGCCTGCTTTGGACGTCACTGCTTGGCTTTCCGGCCGGGTTTTTAGGGTCGGAGACAAAATCTGTAAGAAATTAGGAGTTTTTTTGTTTGAGCACGACACTACTGTGTTGTCCGTACATGTCTTTCATTTTAATTTCGTCTAATATCTGTTTGGTTTGATTTTGGCAGTGTTCAAGAAGTCGGGAACGGATGAGAGCGTGGTGGAGCTCCGGGGGCCAGAGGAGTTTCTGAAGTGCAACCTGACGAACCCGATAAGGATGTACACGGAGGAGGTGAGCCACGTAGCGCTGGAGGAGGAAGGCGTGAGGTATTTCGTCAGCGGGAACCTCGAAAGCTGCAAGAAGGGGCTCAAGTTTCCGGTGTCCGTACAGTCTCCGGCGGCCAAGGACTGGAAGCCGCAGCCAAATCCGTATGGACCTCCCTCGCCGCCGTTCGACCCCACTCCTGCGTTCTGGCCGCCGCCGCCGTTCCATCCGTCGGCCGCCGCCTCCTTGAAGGGCGCGTCTGGCGTAGTCGCCGCGGGGCTGCTGATTTGGTGTATGGGCGGCGTATCCCTGTAGAGTAGAGGCGGCGCCTTGGTTTGGCTTGGGTAGGACGGACGACGCCATTAATATTAATATTAATTAATGGTGAAATAATTATAACAATAATAATAATAAATAATTAATAGTGGTCTTCAATAGTTGGGTAGTGTGAGCGTAGTATTTTGTGTGTGGATGTGTACCTTATTACCACGGCACGGCTGGAGTTTGTCAAGGCCGGGCAGACTGACTTGGTTGCATTTTGTGTTTCTCACTCGACTTGTTTGTTTCTTGATGAAATAAACTTTTTCCAATGAATTATTATTATTATTATATGCAGTTTAAATTCCAAACTTAATCCAACCCTAAATCTAGTTCGTCATATCGGTTTTCTCTCTTCCATGTATGGAGAAAAGGGTATTCAGGAAACAAATTAAGTTGCCCAATTGGGCTGGGCTAGCTAGGACAGGCCTCGGCCCATTATATCAAATAGCGAGGATATGTTTGATTGTCATCCTTGGCACTATAGCACCAAATTATATATTAAAATTTCGTATAAAATAATATTTATATGATTGTGTTGGTTAAAATTAAAAACCCAAAAAAAGCATTTGTATATGATTGGGCATTGTAACATCATGGTACAGGCTGCTTCTGATGATTATCCAACTCAACTGTACCGACTTTTTTCACCCTATGGAGATGGGCGACAGTAGCAAGCCGATAGCGTTGCTGTTGTTTGGGTAATGTGTATGTTCATGTTCACAGAGTAATATCAGTCAGATGATTGGTACAGTAACTACCACACACAACATGGCAACTCTGAGATTTATCAAAGATGAGCATACTTGATATCTCTTATCTCTATCTCATTTCATCTCTCTCTCAGAACCACGTAATTTGGGCCGTTGGTCTTCTGTATCCTCGATATCCTTCTCAACACCTCGGCGAAAGCATTCTTGTCCTGCACCAAAAAGCACCTCAGATCAGTCTTAAAACCACAACATCAGCAGAAGCAGGCAACTCAGTTGGCTAATTTGATTAGCTCAGACTCTTCTAGTTTGGCAATTTCGGTTACACATTTCACTACTGAATCATTACTCTACCAACAGTGCTTCACATGAATTAGTGTTTTTCAGTTTATAATTATCATGATTATCATCCTTTGGTATCTGCCCTGCCCCACAACTCAGAATATGAATTATTAGGACAGGAGAAGCAATATAATGGCGAGCAACCTGATTAGTCAAAAAGCACTTTGGAGATAAATAAAACACCAATAAAGAGAGAAATTTCTCACATCTTTGGTTTTTAATCTTGATTTGAATTTAGCCACCAGATCTTGCGTGGTCACAGGTTTCTTCTGTAATAAAACAGCCCTGATTTCATCTTCAGAAACTGGTCCGGTTGGGGGTGGTGCAGATCCACTCTTTGACGAAGGTGCTGATGAAGGACCTTTATTTGGTGTAGTAGATTTTGTAGGAGCATTCTCATTTTTCACAGGTTTGACGTCCTGATTCCCAACAAGAAGTTCCAATAAGTTGCCAAACAGAAGAAAATAACAATCGCACCAAAAAGAATGCAAATTATATATACTGAAAAGGGAAAAAGCATACTCTGCAATGAAAATACAAGGAACCATTAACTCACAGTTTCAGTTTTGACTTTCTTTGCAGGTGCACTGTTGCTTGCTTTCGATTCCTCTCCACTACTTTTCCTTTTTCCCTTTGATGACTTTGAAGTAGATGGTGTTCCACGACTGGCAGCAGAAGTAGTTGCTTTTGCGGGACTGGTATTATCAACTGGCTCTTCCTTAGGAACTTCTTTCTTCGGTGCAAGTACAGGTGATATATCATCTTCCATCTAACAATAATAGGAACATTATAATCATGCTGATGGAACAAATGACATGTATCGGCTAGAAGCAATTCTCTCTTCCACGAATTTGGTCTTATCAATCTATGAAGCCTTCACATCTAGGTAATTTCTAGAATTCATTACAGTACAACAACTATGTAAAAGAATGGTAAGTAAACTGCCATCAAAAGACTTACATCATCGTCATCGTCATCATCCTCCTCCTCTGCCTCTGACTCATTCAGACCATTAGCTCGTCCAAGCAGTTTCTTCAACTCTTTTCCGGATTTGCTCAGTCCTCCCTCTTCTTCCTCACCTTCATCCTCATCCTCATCATCCTGAAATAATTGGAATACGACTAGAATAACAACTGCGTGCCTCATGACATCATCAATATCATACAGACAAAGATAGAAAAGCACTAGTAACCTACGCATTTCAAAAGTATAAGATCTTTCAGAAAATTAACTAACAAAATCAAAGAAATTAAGAAATGTAGATTGGAACATAATAAATTAATAATGGTTCTCTTTGAAGCAGAAAGAATGGCAAATTTCTGTTTTGGATATTACACAATGAACTGGACATCCACCATCCAGCAAAATTAGCATTCCCTTCCCAAGGGAAAGATGGACACAAAAGGGACAAGCAGGTTACTAAGGTAGTTGTCTTCAAAAATAACTACTTGCATCATTTCCTTTGTTACCCATACCAATTACCAATCATGACAAGTCGTGAGTTACAGGAATGGGGCACTGACAAACTACAATGGCATCAACTCACAAGTACTGAAATTCATGTCTTAACTAAGTTTCTTGATGATAAAAAATTCATGTATAAACTTCCAAATTAAATCATTCACAAGGATGTAAGTGACATGAAATTGAAATAAGCACCTGCTTAATTTCTGGAGGAGCAGGAATCTCAGGGGCCAAATCATCCCTTTCCTCGGGATCATTCCCAACTGCTTCATCATCATCAGTGAATATCTCCTCATGCTCCCAATCATCACCTAGAATAAACAAAAGGTGTTAGAAGACGAATATGGGAAAAAAAAAATTTAAAAATTTATCTCACTTCCCATGGAAGTTGACACAATATATAAAAACATGTTTATGAGAATGTTACAACATGGCCATGAAAAGAAGAATCTGAACATTAATGAATCATGGCAAATTAGATCATACTTGATGTCAAATTTTTTGCAGAAAACAGAAATAAGATAAAACAATCACACATTAAAAAAGAAACACATGTGAGGCTCCAAGGAAGAGGGCAAATGTTGATTGAATGCATCAAAATATGTAGAATGTCATCACTCACTGAGAAGATAGTTGGTTAATGTTTTTTCATACATGTAAAATTCATTTAGTACTAAATACTGAATTTTAAAATGATCTTATTGTCATAAACCAAATGACCAGTTAGATTTTCAGTAACCAAATTTGTGCCAAGAATGGAGCCAAACCTTTAAATACATATTTAAACAAGATGAAAACCCTGAACAAATAGCTAATATTAGTAACAGTTTAGAAACAACAGAAGAACATGAGTTCTTACCCTTCTCAATATCATCATCATCAAAGTCAAGGTCACCCCCTCTTGGTCCTTCCTCATCATCATCCCCACCTTTCTTGTTGAGTCCTAGCCTATTTTTTCTTGCTGATTCTTCTTCTTCATCTTCTTCTCCCCTATCTGAAGCATTGACTTCCTCCTCATCCCCTGTTTGTTTTTTACGCCCCTTCCCACTAAAAGATGAACTTTCTTTATCATCAAATTTCTCAACTTCACCAAATGCAGCAGGTCCATTGTTTGCTGCTTTCATCATCCACCTCTGATAACCATCAGCTGTTTTCCTTCTATTTTTCATCTTCTCTTCTGCTTCCTCTAAAGTGAGTTGCTTATATTGTGCCACCTTGTTAAAATTGTACCTATAATCACTCAAATTGTGACCCTAGCATCTCTGTGCAAATATATAATAGTTGCTGTAATATGTATGCTAAGTAACAGTGATTACCAAGAACCTGCTGGGATAGCAACAAATTCCTTCCCTTGAAGCATAAGAAGGTAATATGTTGCTGACTGTGAACCCTCAAGTTGACCATGATACTGAAACTGGCCTGTTTCATCTTCAAGCGTCCATGGTTTATTTTTGAACTTCTCCTACGCAATGCAATCATATGACATTAAGCAAAAACTAATCGAAAGAAACAGACTTATTGGCAAGTAATATAAAGCCATTTATCCTTAAAAGAACATCAGCCAATAGGGCTTGTACATCTGCATAGCAAGTTTCTTTCAACAAACATGTAAGGTTACAAGTGTGAAAAGCTTCATCTGGTTGCATAAAGTGGAGGGATTTGATAAACCATAAGAATCATTTCATATTAGTCTATTTTGGGAAGATTGATTGGCTAAAACTCTAGCTGTTGCCAGCAGAGGCAATGAAAGAATTTGGCTAGCGGAGTTCTTCCGACATGCCCACCTCTCTTTTGCATGAAAATATATCACGAAATTAAAAAGAACGAAAATTGAAAACATTAAAAAATTGTTATCTGGTTGAAACAGTACACGCAAGGTATCAGTAACATGACGCCCCTGCAGGCCTTCTTTCTGAAGTGACCATTTATTCTCATTCTTCTTCTTGAAAGTTGGTAGTCCCGTGGCAAATCTTCCAATGAAGTAATTTTTGTCGCCACTTGAACTTGCCCGGACATTGTATTCCTATATTCAGCACGTGACAACAACATTAATTATATGATACAAAAGAGTGTGTTAGCAGAGGTTTAAATTAAAACACTTCGAGTTGTAGCAGTTCGGAGGATTCATTAAATGTCCCTGGTAAAATCATTTCAACAAATAAATTTTTTTTTTCAAAAGTGGCTTTAGAAATCACTTTTTTTCTTTATACTTGCAAGTTGCATTGGTAAACCACATGCATCAAAACAACTATAGTCAAATAAATGTAAAGTTTTGCAGGAGATACTAATATTAGAGAAAAACCTCAACTGTATACAGCTCAAGTGGAGGTTCATAAACCAACTGAATACAACACATCGTGCAACTAATATGCATTCAGCACAAGTTTAAAATCCATTCCCCAGAATCCTTACACCTTAAATTAACAAAGTGATCAGTTAGCAATGTTTCCATGTAATACTTTAAGCTGTAACAAAGAAAAATAATAGTCCATTTATCACAGTTATACTGCTGGTTCAATCACTATATAATCATCTAGCATTTTATAGTTTCAGGAGAGGGACAAACTTAAGCTAGAAACCTCAACAGCTCCATCAACAAGATCAAACATAGTTATCTACATTTGTAATAATCCAAACGCCGAGTGATCTAAATTGTTGCCCTTATGTGATGTGAAACATCTATAAAATGGATGCACTGGCAGTGAAACTAACATCAAATTCCAAACTGATTTCATCAAGTATTACGAGTACTTGCGAGAGCATGGCATGTGAAATCGCACTTTCAGGGAAAATATCAATTAATCTTCAGCAGTTGTGAAGAATGCGAACCCTAATCAAGCGGGTGATGGGAGCCCCGCACTCGTAGCAAGCAACACGTTTCTCAGCCATATTTTTCCCACAAGTCACGCAAAGCGTCAAGTGCTTGCACGTGCTTCCATACAGCTCCACCGTCGATCCGCAGCCGTTGCACGACGGCTTCAATACCAAATCGACCGACATTCTTTGTGCTAATTCCCAACTATCCTGAAACGCCCACAAGCATTCTTCAAAAACCAATAACACAAAAAGAAATCAAAGCCAACCGATCCAGAAATCGGAAGACTGCACCTTCATTCAGATAGCAATGAACGTCCAAATTTCACCTCCACAATGATTATACTAAATAATAAAAAAAGGAAAATTACAACCTTGACGGCTAAACTATGCAGAATTCCGTGCGGTAAAAGACTATATACGGTTGTACACTAATTGATCGACCATCCACAGCTAGCAATACAGGACGATCCTGCGCCTTGTTATACTTGTGTCTGTATCCTGAGACTCGAAATTGGGGGTCGGGGGAGATGCAGACTTGCATTCTGATCGCGTTCTGTTCGGTGTATTATAGTATGAGATTGGGCCGTTCTGGCCCATGGGCCTTAGCTAATAAGACTTGAACTCGTAAAATGTTGTACTTTATTATACAGGTCCCACTTGCCAGCATCGACAAAATCATCAGCATATGCGGATTGATTAGATTTTTTTATGACATGTGGTAGAATATAATTGGTTAATTAAACCCCCATTTTTCTCCTATGTTTATCAATTATTTAATTTATTATGTTTAATATATATTGAAATATTTATGGTGTGTTTTGGTAGGGAAATGGACATTAAAAAAGAGGAATATTAGTTTGTTTAAATCAAAAAATTTAAATTCGACATAATAATCTAAATAGTAATAAGACAAATGAGAGCATAAAATAATAACAATAATAATAACGCACCTTTAAATTTCCACAATTTGGACTGGTGGTGGATACAAATCTGACTTTTCTTTCTAATTGTTTTCTAAAAAAAAAAAATTGAAATAAAAATACAGCGTCACTAAAATTGGACCGCTAGAACAAAGTCCTTAACAAACGCGCCGACAGCGGCGATCTCCACCATGGCTCTCTCGTCCGCTTTACACCTCAGCAGCGGCGGGAAGAACAGCCAGAATCCGGTAGCCATTACGAATCCGACGGTGAGGATCGCGCCGGCGATCCTCGGCAACCGCCACGTGTCACCCACGGCCTTCTTGACAACGATCTCGATCACAAGGCACGCGCCGTGGAGCACAAAGAAGCACGTGATTTCCCACGTGGGACGGACCCGGCCCAAATAGAAGAATATAAGCTCGTGCATGAGGCCCGAAACGACGAACGTGGACATCACCGCCGGCAGCAAGGCCCATCGCCGGCCGACGAGCCGAGCCGCCAAGCCGCGGACAGGGAGGTAGACGGTGGGGCGCAGCATCCGCGTCACCGTCAGGTTCCAACGGTGGCCCCAGAAGTCCTGGAGCGAAGCCGACAGGTACGGCTCGTCGAACTGCGGCTCAAGCTCGGCGGCGAGCAATGCACGTGCCACTGCGGCGGCGACGGCGAGGATGAGCTCCAGGCAAAAGTATATGTGGAAACTGTAAATCACGAGGATGATTCTCGGATGAATTCGATCCTCGTAATCGTAGCACTTGATGATCGCCGCAAACAGAGCTGCCTTAACGGCGTAATTGAACGCCGACGATTCCCGGCGGGATTCCGATTTGTAGTTAGGGTTCCGGTGGTGGAGCCTGATCGGAAGGCAGGCGACGGCGACGAATTTTGGGAGGGAAATTGAGGGGTGAGATAAGGGGCCTTGGTCGAAGGCGAAGATGAGGAGCTTGAAATTGGCGAGCCAGGCGAGGAAGAAGGCGGTGGTGCCGCCGAGGTGGACTGAGCGGAGGTGGAGGGGGAGGAGGAGGAAGAGGAAGACGACGGGGAGGAACGCCGCCAGTCTGGGAGGTCCTTTGCGGAGGATCTTGCCGGAGAAGAAGCAGTAGGAGAGGGAGACGCCGGCGGAAAGCCATATTTTGATGAAGTTGTTTATCTCGCCGGAGGTCCAGGATCTTATGACATCCACCATCGCCGTCGTCTCCATTGTTGTTGGGGAATCAGGAGCTGTAATTAGCGACCACTACTTTATATCGGTGGTTAGTTGGTTACTATTGAATGGAGGGATCTTAAGGCAAATAATGGAATGTGCAAATTTGATTTGTCGTTTGTTTAAGACAGGTAGGAACCTAACTGGAAAGAAATTAGTCTTAAAAAGTAAATAAAATAATTCTGACATGTTGTTTTATGAAATTAAATACAGTATTATTTTTTCTTAAAAAAAAAAAAAAAAGAATCAAACACTTATCAAAATTATAATTGACATTAGTTTGCAAGTGGAAATTTGGATGTCTTTTTAGCATGGTTAATATAATGTAAAATGAAATTAAAATAATTGTATCACATCATTTTTTTTCAAAAAATATTTACAATAATAAACACAGAAAATTTCAGTTTCAATTACCTTATAATATTTGGAGTGAAACCAATAATATAATTCAAAGTGAATAAATCCAAAATATTTTATCCAATTGAACCCGCAATTACTATTCTTAAAGTACGTTTACAAATCAGACGACGAAGCATGTTATAAGTCCAATTCTCGTACCATTGTATCATCGTTTACACGAAATATCTTTTTGCAATTTGTGTTTGTGGCTATCAATATATTTGAGGCTAATAGTACATTGGACCACCACAAAGTATCTATCAATATATTTAATATTTTTCTCAATCAACAGTTCTAAATTATTTCAATAATCTACGTAATGTTTATCAATCAATAGTTCCAAATTTAAGCATCTTACGTACCAATTCTTGTTTCTATCTTTCATCACCATCCAACTTCATTAAAACATTCTCGACCCTTCCTTTACTTATATATATATATATATATATTTATTAAGGCCACGATAGTCGATACTCAAAATTTTCTATACAATTTTGGATTAATATTAAAAAAGAATACAATGTCTTTACACATTGTTTATATATAATAATAATTTTTAAAAAAAATCAATATCCATAAAATTATTAATGTTTATACTAACAAAATAATTTTCATATCTGATATAAAAAAACACATTTAAACCTAAAAGCAAAGTGCTATGGGAAAATGAATTACTAATTAAAAAAAAAAAAAAAGATATTTGGGAACGTCGACTTAGCCCCGTTTGGATTGGCTTTTTGCAGGAGTTTTTGACTTCTACTTCTAAAAAAACAGTTTGCACCAGTTTGCATTAGTTTCTGTCCAAAATTAGAAGCAGCTTTTGAAGCTGAAAAATGTTTTCAAAAGCATGTTGGAGCAACTTTTGAAATAAACAGAAGTACTTTTCAGTTAAAATTACTGTTTTATTCTTAATAATAATAATAATAATAATAATATAATATAAAAATAAATAACTTATATATTATATTTTAATACAAATTAAAAAATATAATTAATTTATTATTTTTAATTTATGTACTATATTTGGATTAAAATTTAAAATTTAAATACCTAATGTAAATAGGAGTATATAAATTTTTTAATTATACTTAAATTACTAAATATAATTTATAAAATTTTAAAATACATTATAAAATACAAATTATATAATATTATACTGTAATTTTATGTTTAATTGATATATTATCCTTAGATTAAAATTTTAAAATATAAATAATCAAAATTTAAAAGTACATTTTTTTATAGTTTAATTTAAAATCTTTAAATATAATTTATAAAATTTAAATTAAATTATAAAAGTATTATAGAAAAATATTTGTATTATATTAACAACATGTCCTTTTAAGTAATTTTAATGGTTTAAAAGCACTTTCAACTATATATAACATCCAAACAGTTTTTTACGAAAAATTGGTTTTATAATAATTTATTTAAACACAAAATTGAACTGCTTCTGCTTTTTGACTTCTGCTTCTGCTTCTGCTTCTGTTTTTAGCTTCGACTTATTTTTTAACCCAATCCAAACGGCGCTAAGAATTGTGTCAAATGCTGTCCAGATTCGAACAAGGTGTGTATTTGGATTTTAAAATAAAATCCAGCATATATTGGTAATGGTACCCAATTTTTACTTTATAATATGTTATGGATATGTTTATTTTTAATGATTGAATTATATTATCTAATCATTGTTTAACAAAATAAGATAACTATAAAAATGAGTATAATAATCACCGCTGAAGATAATAAGAAGTATAATATAAAATATATATCCATAACAAAAAAAGGGTCAACAAAAATACACAAAAACAATTAAAATTATACCCACTAAAAGAACACAAGCATGCACAAAGAAAGTAAGTTTAGTCATCATGTCTACAGCTCTGATGCCATTACACAGAACAAACATTAAACATGAACTAATAGTCAAATAACTATGCTTGTCTCAATTCTCTGTAATTTTGGTAACATGGACTAATGCATTAATACATACTGGAAACAACATGTCCACAACTACCAGTCTTTCTTGATCTCGAACGTATAATTCAGCTCGAGGTACCGACGGTTATCGTCGTCGACGAATTGGGTTCTCGCCGAATACGATCCTCTAGCGAGGATGCCCGAAGGGGTAGTCTCTTCTTGCATCTCATGGCTGTAAGAATCCGCTTGGGGGCTGAACGTTCCGATCATCTCTTTCGTGTTATCCACTGATAAAAAGTAAATCAGCTATTCTATTAGTCCAAAAATAATTACTCCGATAATCAATCTTAAAATACAAAACTATGTTTGGACCTCTAATGCCTGCTTTCCAGACAGTGTTCTTGTACTTGAGGCCTGATACGATGTTGTTGCTGACCTGGAAGGTAAAGATAAGCTTATAACGGCTACCTTCCTTCAATGTAAACCAGGGGGCTTTGCCTTTCCGGGGCTCAGAGATTGGAAGAACAATGTCGTCCCTGCCATGGGCTTTGATTGCCAGGCTCAGAATTTTCACTTCAGGGTCGATCGATTCTGCAATAATTTTGGAAATTAATCGATTTGATATGTGGTCGTGTAAGAGAATTGAATTGGGTTATTTAATTTATTATTTATAATTTATGATTACCTCCAACAGCATTGACATCGACGCTTCCAAGAAGCTGTTCTTTCCATCTCCTCAAGCTCTCGTCGTCCTAATCGACCAAAAGGACATATAATGCGATAGTACAAAAGGGTATTATTTGATTCCCTTTTTTTTATTTTACAAAAAAAAAAGACAACCACAACAAACCTTGTCTTTCTCAGACAACTCTTTGAGAGTACACTGAGGACCCAATTGTATCATGGCCTCACCATCTTCGTCCTCACAGCTCTCACTTTCACCAATTTCAGGGCCGGGTTTCTTCGCCGGAGTTTCTTGAACCGCCACCGCCGCCGGCGCTGGTGCCTCCAGGAGCTCCTTATTTTCGTCCAATCCCATGAAGTTCTTGGAGCTTGAGACAGTCCCAATGTCGGAAGACATGAACAGATAATGTTCAAGAGCAATTCACAAAGAAGAGAATCCTAATAATGGACAAGAAAGAGCTCAAAGAGGAAAAAGAAGGGTTTCTCCACCAATAAACAATGAAGGGAAAAAGAAATTAAATTAAAATCAAATCCGCCATTGATGTGATAATAATGATTTGGAGACTAAAGTAGGGTGTGTTTCTTTTTCTTTTTCTTCACTTTTAAATGAACACAATAAATGGAAAGACAATCAAGAATGGGAACACACCCCACACTGGATAACCAATTCCTCACCAGAAAAGGACACCAAGAACCAATCAAGAACCAAAGATTATAAAAAAACAAATATATGTGAGAGGCAGTAGGAATCTTTTCGGGGAAGCCTTTTATTAGTACATTTCATTCATACACATTACATTACTCAAATCGAATGTCATGTGATGATCCGTGACTCATAATAAATGAGGACCGAATGCATGCTTCAAAGATCGAAGATCAACGGCTCAGATTTCCTGATCTTCTTCAGAGAGATCAACGGCTCAGAGCTCGCCACCTTATTACTAAATCTAGAACCAAACCATTTCGCTGCAATCGTAAGTCATTCTGTTTCAAGATAGGAAATTTGCACCTGAAACAAAAAGTTATACTTCTTTCTCTTCTACTCACTCTGTCGTGCCTAAAGTTTCCACAACTTTCCCCAATTCATACGATAATTCAAAATCGAATCTTGAACTTGTGAAAGAATCCCATGTGTACGCATTACTACAATTTAATTTTTTTTTTTTGGTGGGTATCCAAGAAATTTTATATTTAGTAAATGGTGGGCCGATTGGAGGGTTAGGACATGGCCCAATTGTGTGCTGCCGTGTCCGAAGCCATATTGTCTTTTTCTACCATCCATGCTTCCTTCGCACGTTAGCATCTCTGGATTTTGCTTTAGCTTTAGGCCCACTTACTTCTACTTTTGGGGCTTTGCTAAAAATATCAATAAAATATATAATCACCAATTCTAATCATCCATCTGTCTAAAGATGGAATTTTTATAAAACCCTCTCTCGATAGATTGAGATTAAAATATGTTAATATACTAGTAATTGATATTTTCGTAGCTTACGAGCAATATCAAATTATAAGGTGATTAATTTATCTAAAATATTAATATTTATTTATTTATTTGTGTTTAAATGAACGTCGTAGTTGTTGAACAAAACTTCACCGTCTTAAATAGGAAAAAGACAAAAGAAGGCTCACCTCGTCGGACTCAAAGCAAACCGTTGATGATGAGGAAGCTTCATATTCAATACAGCATCCACGAATTCCCTATCCTACCCCTCAGAGGATACACGTTTTGCGGAAGAAGATTGGGGTATTTCAGTCATTACAGAGAGATGATCTCTTTATGCTTGAGCACAGTGCACACTGCCCACAGCCCAACCTCTCGTTTTGACCATTCCTATTTTTGTTCTTTTTCATCTTTATCTTTTCTGTTTCTTTCTCCCAAAAGCAATCCACCCAGCAGCAGTCGAATTTACGATATTAACCTCAGAGATTCAGTAGAGTTGTTTGGATCTTGTGGGGGTGGTTATGGTCACTTCACGCTGTCTGAAGCAAGGACATTTTCGTGATTCTTTAATTTTGTGGTATATCTGTGAGAGAGACGGATTGAGTGATTCCAAAGAGAGAGATAGAGAGGAGGAGAAGAAAGAGAGAGAGAGAGAGAGAGAGGAAGAGACGTTTGAGGGGGGTCCGTTAACTGTCCGTTAGAGGTATATGAAGGTGGAAGCGAAGGAATAGTAAACAGCCATGGTGTCGGACCAAGAAATAGCGAAGGGCGTGGAGACAGTGCTCCGTCAGTCTGACCCCAACGCCGTCACGTCCCTGAACAGTGTTGTTCAGCAGCTGGAAGGGAAGCTAGGGTTGGACTTGTCCCACAAAGCGGATTTCATCAGGGACCAGATTACGTTCCTCCTCCGCTCGCAACCCGTGCCCAAAGAACAACTTCCCACTCAACCTCAACAGCAGCCACAGTTCCTTGCTCCTTTCCCGCAACCTCATTTCGCCTTCCAGCAACACCAGCAGCAGCAGCAGCAGCTCCTTTACCAGCAGAATAACGCCGCCTATGCGCAGACGCAAGCTCCACATCACCAGCAGCTGCAGGTCTCTGTTGAGAAGGACCCGAATGCAGCGGCTAATGTTTCTGAGACGCCGAAAGGGGGGAGGTTTGTGCCTGTGTGTTTTGTCCTCCTTTTTTTTTCTAGGGTTAGGGTTAGGGTTTCAGAGGGGATTTGGGCAAAATTAATGAACTATCTTGGTTCAAAAAACTTTTTGCTTGCTGATCTGATAGTAAAATTCCATTGGTGTTTTGTTGTGGGCTGATGAAATTGATAACTAACTGCTTGGAGTTTTATTTCTTTTGGGGATATTCAATCTTTGAGGAGTTGTTGGATCCAGAAGAAGAAAAAAAAAGGAATTTGTCATTACTTTCTTGTTGTAGACTAGTTTTGTTGATAGCTAAACTGAATTAGGGTTTTCATGTCTTGAATATTTATTCAATCAATCGAGAGTTAGGGATTCAGAAATAAGAAGATATCATTGCTTTTATAGCCAATGCCATTGTTGTCCATTGTTGCTGCTGCTTAAATTACAACTGTGCTTCCACATTTCTGGAAGATTTACTTGTAGTTAAGGCCCTGCTAATACAGTCTTTAATAGAAGCAATCATATCGAAATCATTTAATGTGAATTTAATGAATCAATTCAATTCCAGAGCCCCAGTTGGAACCAAAAGAAGAGGTGGGCCAGGTGGTCTCAACAAGGTATGTGGTGTTTCGCCAAAACTCCAGGCAATCGTCGGAGAGCCAGCATTGCCGAGGACAGAGGTCAGATCAATTTAAATATGAGATCACTTCATTGAATTACGCTACTTTGTATAGTCCATTATGTATAGTTGTATCCTGCCAAAGCAGTTTCATTGTTTCGAATCCAGATCGTGAAGCAACTGTGGGCATATATCAGAAAGCACAACCTTCAGGATCCCGGGAACAAGAGAAAAATTATTTGTGATGATGCCCTCAAATTGGTCTTTGAAACAGACGCCACTGACATGTTCAAGATGAATAAGCTGCTGGCGAAGCACATTTTGCCGCTGGATCCGAGTATGTGAAATGAAATTGAGATCTGCATTCTTTTTATAATCTCTACTTTTTTCTCAGATCATTCTTGAAAATGCTTGCAGAAAAATCCGATCAAGCTAAGAAATTGAAGATCAACGATGACTCTGCTAACGAGAGTTCAGATTCTGGCATTCTCAAGGTTATGCTATCCGATGCACTTGCAAAATTTTTTGGAACAGGAGAAAAGGAGATGCTCCGGTCAGAGGCTCTGGAGCGAGTCTGGGATTACATAAAGGTTAATCAGCTTGAGGTTAGTGGTAAAATGCTACTAATGTCCGCCGATCTTGTTCAAAATCTGAATTTCAGTTTGTTTCTGCAAAGTTGGTTACGAGAATGATCTCATTTCTGGTATCGTATTGGCAAATATCGTGTCGTCTTTCCAGGACCCGCTGAGTCCTATGGTTGTCCATTGCGATGCAAAGCTTCAGGAGCTGTTAGGATGCGAGAGCATATCTGCACTGGGAATTCAGGAAATGCTCGTGCGCAATCATTTGTTGAAGCAATGATGATGTAATGTAATGTGAATGGTAAGAAATCTTGTCTTGCACGTGTCTATCTAATAATTTTCTTGTTTCTTATTTTTTATCGATACACTTGGTGAGGGCCTTTATTGATAATCGAATCATTCTACTACTAGTTAGTTCTTTAAAGATGGTCGTTGGCTGTTCGAAATTTATACGACACTTGTTTCAAGGATTGTAGAATTTTTTAAAATCTGTTCCGTCGATCACGTTAGCCTTTTGTGAAATGTGTGTGTTCGGTTTGGGATCTTTTTTCTAACTTGGCGATTGTTTGTATTCTCGACTTGGCAGGTAGTGAAAAGCTGTAGGAGGTAGTTGTTAGTGATGATGACAGGAGAAATGCCGAATGAAGATGTTGTTTTGGTTTCTTTTAATTTGCCTAACCATTAGGTGCTATCGACTTCACTCACCTGTTAACAGTTATGTCGATGTGAGCGAATGCGCATCATCCCTGTTGTCGGGGCTGGAATTGTTATGTAATTATGCCAGTGGCCATCGTTGTTAGGGTGTTTCCTTCTGTGCACTTGGCTTGTTTTCTTATGACTCTGCAAGTTGTAATGGATTCCAAAAACTGGATTAATCAAAACACCTATGTTACAATTGGTATTACTGTATATACTCCATTGGTTCACAAAATATTATTTAAATTCAATTTCAAATCAAAATATGATTCAACTGCACACCCTCGAAAAGTATGGCTGAATTTGATTAGACCAAATTCAAAAGACTTGTTTCAAATCATATGAAAACCCATCCCAATTGCCATTAGTACCACTGAACAATAGTTCATAATTCTTACACAGAACTAACAGCACTATACATAGCAATAAACAACACATCTACTTTAATATAAATACAACACATCACAAAAAATATATTCACAAGGATGGACAAACACCACATACTTTTATTTAATACAAACATTCAATACAACATATGATGTATTAAATAAAAATATGTGATGTCCGCCTATTTTATATGTTGTTCGATGTAAATCACTTGATTTCACCGATCAACGCCATATCTACCACTACTACTACACAGAGAAGGGGGTAAAATAAAAGCCCGACTTCTTCCTTACCTCGAATATATAATAAGTTACCGACTCCATATTGACAATTTAAACAAGAGGGCATGAAGCCACTGGCACTAATACATGATCACTCCCAAATCCCAATCTTCTACAATGACACCACCAATCCAATTTCCTTCCTTCCCGCACATTACATAAAAGTGTCTGTATATAGTGCCAAAATATTCCGATACTCAAAGAGTCTATTATTTACATGCTTGATCTTGATGGACACAAACTTCTACAATGTACACAATCCCAAACCTGGTTTTCACCAAGTACCAAAGCTGCAGCCGACGTGTTCCTGAGTGATTATGCTGAGGCGGTTGTGCATTGTGCTCATGCTAGCGTAAGCAGGGAAACACAGCCGGTAAAAGCATGTATGAGATGAAGGCAGACGATCAGAGGATTCGGTGGTCTTGTAGATGTAGAGACGAGAAGCCAACCCGCTGAACCCTTCAACTGGTAGATATTTTATTGACGTCCAGAAAAACAGGAGAACCTTTTTCTGCTCTGTTGACATTTGTCCAACTATCTGCAAGGTTCGAAGTCATTGTCAATTTCAATCTCTCACAGATACAACCAAGTGCTATTCAAATTACATTTATACGAGTATCATAAATTAATGGAGCGGTTCTATCATCAGAAAAAGAAATAGACCTTTCATCTAAAACAAACTCTCAGAGATAAATTACAAGCACTACTTCTAAAAATATGAAAATCCTTTTGTTGTTTTTTGAAATCAATTTTCATTTGAATATCTACATATGCCTATTTTACTACCAGAAGCTCGCCTCATTTATTAAAGCAGAACCCCAAAATACTGAAACGGATTGCAGCTACACTTAATCGAACTGACAAAATTTACACTTGCCCTGAAATTCATCAGCTGGCACAGGGTATTATTATTAAGGATATCATTCTACTCATTTGCTCTCCTTTCTGTTTTTATGTTGTTTCTTCTATTCCTCCAATTTAAGCTGTAGGCACGTCATTCTTCACTATATATACCTTAAATCTGTGAGCAAACAAGATGACTGGACTACATAAAGGTGCATAAACTACAAACAAAGAGACTGAAAAAATGATAGAGCTTCTACAGGAGCATTTTCAACAAGGGTGCAGAAACAAATGCATAGGAATGGGAAAAAAAAGGCACTCAGAAAGAATTTCAAAACATACCTTCCAAAACCAGCATATTTGGGCATCAGTTTCACTGAAGCCATGATACTCTGTATGTGCTTTCCAATCATCTACAGATATTTCATTTTCGCTACCATGTAGCATCAAGTCAAGATCCTCGGGTATCAAGAATTTGAAGAAGGAAGTCTGGAGCTGTCTGGAATTCATAATGTCAGCAAAACCTTGAGCAAAGTGGGCTACCTGTTCAGCAATTGATATACCGAACCGCTGTTGAATAAGAGAATCAACATACTTCTCCCTATTTTTACTATTCACAATAATGCTTCTCCCACCAGGACAAAGCTCAACAAGCTTCCTTGTTCCCAACTCCTCAATTTCATAAACAAATGTAAGACCCAAGGCATCTTGATCAATGGCCTCCGAATCCATCTCCAAAATTTGCTTGCAACTACTGTATAAGTAAGGGTCTGCATCTTTTACATCCTCTAAGGTAATTGTATGCCCGGCTAATTGTGAAAAGAACACTCGATCGAGTACAATGCCAACTTGTACCTTATGCATCAAGGCTAAGGCAATCACCCTACCAGAGAAGTTAAAATATTCAAGGTGCAAGGGATCCACCTTAGATGCTGTAAATGAGAAAAATGCAGAAGACAACAATTATTTTCCGTATTATGAAACAAAGAAGCACAAGTAGGTTGATTGGCATATGTTATCTCTAAAAAGGGGCTATAATATTTAGTCTCCTTGGTAAGATACTACGTCAGGATCCTGTTCTTCTACTACTGAAATGTTATCAAACTTTATGGGTATGTTTAGTACAAAGCTCTATAGGATAGAAATACTAAGAGAATCTTTAAAACCATGTTTGCTACATGATTAATAAAATCAATGAAAATGTCAAGGACTTCAGTAAAGCCTATATATGATGGAATGTTAAATCCTCCTTTATTCCATTTTAGAAGATAAAATAAAATATTTACTTATTATTCTATGGGTATCTATTTACTTTTATCTTTTAATAGAATTTCATTATATTATTTTTTAACCAATGAAAAGTAAATAAAATACCATCTAGTTTTATTGCATACCAAACAAATTTTAAACTTTTCCATTCCTTTTTTTCATTAGTATTTCATATACTCACCCCATTCCTTTCATTATCCTCTCCAGCACACCAAACATATCTTTGAGGTCTTAGGTGTGCTGGGTTGACCTGTTCCAAGCCTTACATTTTACATAGGCCATCAGATTTTAAGACCTTAAAAGAGACCTTGGGGAACCACCCAAGTTTGTCCAGTGCCGGCACTAGCACTCATCTTTGTTTTACACATAAGAGTGAAACAATTCTATATTCACTGATGACATTCAATCCAGAAAATCTTTGTTAAAAAACAAAATAACAGAGAACAAGACTAATCTAGTATGTGCTTTATCACCAGAACTTGTAAGAACTCGGAATTTATGAAATTTACAAGTTTGTTAAAGGCCCCAACCTTGCTTTAATAATCACTTCAAAGTAGGAGGAAAAAATAACCACTCAAAACCAATGTATAGAATTCATTATCTTTGCAATTCTTTTTATCAAGTCAATTAGGCTGGCAATGGAGGATCTAAGTCAACTTACACAATAATTATAAGCAAATATATAAGATGTAACTTTAGTGGTTGCAACCTGCACAAGGCAAAAAAGGCAGGATCCCTAGATAGCCATGGGATTTTAGTCTAAACTCAACTTTCTCAGTGACCAAATCTTGAAAACAATAAGACTTGAGCAAATTACATTGGAGAAGAAGTCTTTGTTGATACAATTTGTCCTGGGGAAGAATTCTCCATAGAAGGAAAATGACTTGAAAAAGAAACCCCTTCTATAATATTTGTTTGCTTAGTTAATTTTAGCGTGCTGGGTGGAAATATGTGTTGTAGTCTTTGGAAGGTCAGCACCATAGGCTTTAGAAGGAAAATGATTCAAGAGTGTGTCTCAAAGTGTGTTTCCACATGGACTAGAGTCTGAGATTTGAGCTGGTTCTTGTGTGGGAGCTGAGATTGGATACTGTATGGAATTCACTATGAGATTGGAAGGAGGGTGAGTCTCACTTGGGACATTTGTGAGAGTTCTTGGTCCAGGTTGGAACTTCCATCTGGAAATATGACTCTACTCTCCATTATGGTAAGTGTAATTCATTGTGGATGTTGCTACATGTAAATGCTGCATCTTCTAACCATTACACTACTGTAGAGAGTTTTTTTTTTTCCCTAACAAGTGGGTATTAAGAGTGATTGTATTTTCCTTTTTTTTTTCCCCAACATTAGTCAATTATGTTATTCGTCATAAAATAAGAGCTACATTAACTCCACCTAACTACCAAGAAGGTGCTCTTCTAGTCCTTTTGTATTAACAATCTACTAATTTCAATCCAACCTAAAGTTGAATCGTCAAAAAATCCTCCAAAGTGTAGCACATTCAGATCAAACATAGAGAAAATAAAGGAGAGGACAATAGTAATTTTGATCAAAGGAAACCTTTTTGCATGGTTAGTTTAACTAAAGCGAACAAACCCACAGGATACTGGATAGAATATCAACAAAATGGAGAAAGTATCATTGCAGCTTATACTAACTTTTAAGCTTGGAACTCAAAGTTGATTTAAACAGGGGTTTTCCAATAAATAGCTTACGCGGAACTAACTCAATAAACATGCGAAAGAAAATGATACTAGAAGAAATCTACAGCCTTTCGCTAATGCATAAAGGTTAAATAACTATTCCTAATAGTGAGAACTCAAAGAAAGCAAGTACAAACAACATAAAAAGTCTACCAGCCTCCGGTAAAGAAGTGGAATTTGTTAACGTAGAAGAGATAATAAAACAATTATTATAAGAGTGAATATGTGGAATCATTTGAATATATTCCTCAATTTTTATTTTTTATTTTTTTTTGTATTTTTAGAAGTGTGAACATATTCCTCGATTGATTCTAAGTTTATCTGCTAGGTAAAATGAAAAGTAAAAGAACTCTTTCTCTTATCCTTCAAAATCAACACCACCCAAAACCTAAAAACTTCCTACAAAGTGATATACGGAAATTCCATATACAGCTGCCCAGAAAATTTTATGTTGTTTCTAGAAATAAAAAGATACTTAGCACCCTTCTCAACTATAGTTCCTAAGTGCACAACTGGAAAGGTAACATATCTAAAGAGCACTTTTTCAAAGGGCTTCAGAGGTGCAAAGACATATAGGACATGAGAACATCAGCCCATCTTGTTATAATTTTTTCCAGCATGGAGAAAATTCAGAACCATTATTTCCATGCCCAACAACTTTGGGAAATAAATTTTCAAGTCACAAACATATCCAATCTATATTCCAGGTAAACAAGCGGAAAAGTGACCTTTTTTCCAAACTAAAGAGATTCTAGCAAAGTTGAATATAATCCACCATGCCCTACACTCAGCAGGAAATGCATCACAGGAGCATAAAGACAGATGCAAATGTACATGCATTAATAAGTTGGGCGCTGGTTCCTACAAGATATTGTTTCATAAACTATCTAGCTGGGGAACAATTTTCAAGAATTAATTATATTGTATTAGCAAAATACAATTGTACTATACTATCTACAGCCATCCAATTTAGAGATGAAAGATTAGTCACACTTAAGAAGCACCAACCAACCACATATCTGACAAGAAATACTTCAATTGTAAGATCAACATCCAAATTCTGAGCACTGGTATCAAGATCTATACTTATGAGCATGAATGTTGTTTCCTCTCAGGAGTTGAGGTTTAACTTTTGATCTCTTGGGATCAGGTATGCTTCAAGCAATATTTGAGCCAGATGACACATTTACTAGGAAATGCATAAGCATGAAAAAACATTCAATGATAATTTAAGCAGCACACGAAAGACCAGACACGTCGCACATGATTTTAAAAGTATTGAATCTTTCCTGTGTCTATCCAATCTAATAAATGCTTTACACATAATTGTATGTATTTACATGATATGTTAAAACGAATTTTGCCCGTGATCAAACTTTTAAGTTAATCCATCTCCAACTGATCATGATTTCTTGTAGCATTCCTTATTCACATAATATCAGTCCCTTGATCAACCATTCTAATGAAGTTGAGTTTTACATCATATATGCACCGAATAGAATGCAAAATAGTTAGAAGAAGAAAAAAATAATGATTGTGAATTTCTACCTAATATATGACATGAAAAATCAAAACACTACAAGATAATCAAAAGTTATATTTAGATTTTTCTTCTCTATCCACCATTTTAGATTCTGACTGCATGCATCTTAATTAGAACCATTTGATATAGGATATCACGATAAAATTAAGGGATAACTGTAACCAAGAAAGAACAATGCGTGTACAAAATGACAATTTCGCACCTGGGTTTGGATAGAACCTTCTTCGATCATTAGGGCATGCAACAAAAAGAGCATTTTGGGGATTGAAAATTTCCTGGCAAACCAAGAAAAACCACTCCCGAAGGACACCAGGACCCGTGGCCTCTTCATTCTTGAACTCCATAAATAAACCAGCACGCAGGGATTCAGCACTTACATGTCCAACGTACTCAAATGATTCTGCCAACAACTGCGTGCGATCAATCAGCATCTCATGCAGCTCTTCATACTCATCCTTCACCTCGGGAAGCATCATCATTGCTAAATGCCTCCTTGCCTCAAAATTAGTTACTTCCTTCCGGTCAAAAACCCATGTATGGTCTTCACTCCTCTTTGCATACTTCACAATAAGATAACATAAAGCATCCTTTCTCTTCTCCATGGCTTCCCAAAACAATTCCTCACAGCCATAATAAAGTTTTGAAATGCTATTAAGTTCCTTTAGAAGTGCAAGATAATGCCAGGTCCCACCAGGAAGGTTATCGCCATTCTGCGTTGTTACCAAGTCCATATATTCCTCAACTCTGGTTAAACATTTCTGTAATATACGCAACAAATCCTGAAAAATCCCGTGCAAAAAGTTTATCTCATCTGCATGGCACATTGGTGGGTTGCAGTGTTCCTTGCCCAAGGGTACCTTAATTGGACCCCAATACTCGGAATCTCTCTTCATTGCAATCTTGACCTGGAAGATAAATGAAGTGAAATCACTAACTTCATCAATCGAAGGCCCTGGGGAGGTGGTTGACTCCAAGCTTAACATCAAATCTTCCGAAAGCTTAGCAGCTATTTCACTAACAAATGGTAATACATCCCGAAGTTCAATCAATCCCTTCCTTAAACCTACTTCAAGATCCTCCAGCATTGCTCCCAAAGTAGTTCGACACAAACAATATAAAGGATCATCAATTCCTGCTGCCCTATTCAATAACCTACAGAATTCCAACACTATCGGTATGCATAGATGATAAATAGGTCTGGGCAAAATACTCTTACTGGAACTGAGGAAGTGTTTAATGGCTTCATCCGCAACGTCCCTGTTGGGATTATGTGAAGACATGTAAAGCATTACCAGAGCTGCAGGCGCGGACGAAGCACAGAAAATCTGCAGATGACCAGACGCTAGTTCATCATCGTTCTGCGGAGTCTTCCTCAAGAAATCACTGAGCATCCACTTTATAGTTTTAGAAGGCGGCAGCGGCAGCAGAGGCGGCCTGGAGGAATTGTTCTTGGAGAGATGGAAAACCGACGAAACGACATCGTTAATTCTCTGCCAGGCCTGGGGGTGCCCTGTGCTCCTCATCCGGCCAATCAAGTACAAACTGGCATCGTTCTGAACCTGGGATCCCCTCAACGTTTGTTCCCATTGCAACTGCTTCCCACGGTAAATTAAACCCTGCTCGATGATGGGAATACCTGTAATAGACTGGATTTTCTCGTGAACCGATTTAACTGTGTCCGCCGGATCAGCCTGAAGCACGAGGGTCTGATCGGAGAGCACGCGAACGAAAAATTGGAGGCGGGTTGAGTCGGCGACGGATGATCGAGGGCGGGAGGCGTCGGCGCCGGCGGCGAAGCGGGGTGAACTGCTTGAAGAAGATGATGATGATGATAGGGCAGACTGGTCCTTTCGCATCCTGATGGGATTCAGCTGAGGAAGGGCGTGGGCGTCGTCGACATAATCATCCAGCTTTCGCTTGGAGAGAGGCGAAGACATCGGCGGCGGGGGCTTTTCTACGGAGGACCATGTAATCGGACACCCCACCGCTCCAAAACCCTCTTCTTTATAGCACAATTCGGCCACAAAACGCGAGATATAATCAGACCACCGCAGCCCAACACAGCAGACCTAAACGGAAACCAACCACTGTCATGACAATTGATGTATGTAAGCGCTGCGCTTTGCTTTTCCCTACGCTACTTAACAAAATTACCAATTTAGACATTATATGATTCCCGCGGATACGTCTCTTTCGTCTCTTCACTACACTGTACTACCTTAAACACAAGAAGATTTAACAAATTACACCCCCCATTGTCTTTCTGATAAGGACGATTATGTGTCACCAAATTCAATATTTTTATTGTGAAAACCTCAAGAAAATTATTGGAAATTCAATTTCAAATTCACCTGCTTCATATATTTGACTATTACTCTCTTCAGATCCACCCAGTGTAAGCAGAATCTCATGGCGAAACCAAATGGGAAACTTCAAAGACTGCACCTTTTTTTAATTCACGAGAATATAAGCAAAACAAAGGAGTAATGGAAGCAGCAAAATCGAAGTGCACCAAGTCTATAATGGAACTTAATACCTGCAAATCAGATCCGACATAAAAATTATCATGTGTGACAGATAACATGAGGTGTCCAAGATTTGAATCCATGACCTTACGGTCACAAGTCCAGCCCAACATCATCTCCCTTGATCCCATTAATTGTTAGAAACCAAGGCGGCAATAATGAAATTGTTAGAAGCCCAACATGATCTCCCTTGATCCCATTAATTGTTAAAAACCAAGGCGGCAATAATGAAATTGTTAGAGATATTATGATTATTTAGTTTATAGTTTAGATTAAATTTTAATTTTTTTGTTTATACATAATTATTTCGTTACATCTATTATATTATAATGTTATTATTTAAGTCTATCGAATATAATATATATTTAATATAATTTTTAAAAAAATTATAAAATAATTTTCACAATAATAAACAAGAAAGAAAAATTGAGTCAAAAGAAAGGCCATTTTTTAGTAAAAATGTTACAACCAGTGTATTGCTTCTGTGTATCTCTATCCCAAAAGTACTTGACTGCTTATAAAAAGACCTCAACAAGATGTGAATATGAATGAGATCAGAGAATTTCGATTTTGGATAGAAAACTTATATATTTAAAGTAGACAAAACAGCAAAAAAAACCCAATGGTTTCCACGTAGTCCTAAAATTCCAAAAAATCTACCTGTAGTTTGTAAAATATTGCCAAAATTCCCCTATGTTAGGATTTAACGGAGTGATATATTTTTTATAAAATTACTAAAATATCCTTGTTCACTACTTTTTACAAACAACTTCTTCCTCGTTCTTTTTCTTTTTTATTCTTCTTCTTCCTTATTATTTTCTTTTAGTTTTAAATCCGCTAAACACAACATAAATTTTACCAAATTTATCACAATTAATTGACCGGACATGGAGATGGAAATGAGAATGCGTAAGTTATTATTCACCGTAGATTTTTTCTTTTGTTTTACCAAACCCAGAAATCTAAAAATTCAATTTGACATCAAGATAAGATTTGAAATCAAAAGAAAGAAAGAACTTTGCTGGTGGTTGCAATCGTGTACGAAAGAATTAGGAAAAAAAAAAAGAAAATTGAAGAAAAAGAGACAGAGAAAGAAAAATAAAATTGGAGAAAAAAAAACTAATGTCCAACCACTTATTTCTCTTATTTCTTTCCCTTATCTTCTTTATTCTCTTTCTTTTCTTCCTTTCATCTTTACTATTAATCGGTGAAGAAGAGAGAAAAATTGAGGAAAAAGAAGAAAAGAAAGAAGTGGATGGAACTGCTATGGCCTGAAGAGAAAAATTGAGAAAAAATATGTGTAAAGAAGAATTTGAAGAAGAAAAGAAGAAGAAGAAAGAAGAAGAAAAGAAGAAATAACATAATAGAGAGAAATCACAGTGATATAACGATAAAATTTAACGGCGTCAATGTGATTTAAAAGGGGGCGAGTGTCCAACGTTTTAGAAAGCATGAGTAGATTTTTTGGAATTTTAGCACTGCGGACGATTTTCAGCAGATTTGGTAAACCTGGATTTTTTATTGTTTTGCCTTTAAGTATTAAGAATTTACAACTGTTTATATTAATTTTCACTAAGCTTTCTAATTAATATTTTGAAAAAAAAAAAAAGGAATATACCATAATTAAGAAATTAAAATAAGTAATCGTAATTATGGTGAAGACCGACTAGCATACTTAAACATTCGATTTAAATAATGATAATAATTAAGATAACACAGAAAATATTGATATTGTAAAAATTTATATATTCAGCATTAAAAAAACAAAAAATTTATATATTCAGCATTAAATATAATTCTATTTTTCTCTAGAACATTTATAATTATTTTAAATTTTATTAATTATATTTTAAAATTTTAAATTATATAATATAAAATATATTTTTTTAAAAAATTTGGTAACTTATATTTTAATTTAAAAATAATATAAGAATTCAAAATAAAATTACAACCCCATGTTAAATTATTTGTATTTATAATTTATTATAAAATTTTATAAATTATAGTTAATATTTTAAGTTTTTAGTATAATTATAAATTTATATTTTGAATTTGGTATTATATTATAATTTTAAATTTTAATTTATATACATTATTCATCCTCAAAATTTATTTTTACTTTTTTTTTTAATCACTTTTAAATTTACTCTATTATTTTTCAACAATCAATATATAATTATTACATTTTATTTAATATTTATTGACAATCAATATCAATATTTTTATTATATTCTTCTTTTTTATTTATTTTCATTTTTAATTAAATTTTTAAAAATACTTTATACTATCTTTTTATTTTTATTTTTATTTTTATTTTTTTTTTGCCATATCCAATTAAGCTAATTTTAATAGACGAAAAGAGTATAATACAAAAAATAAAAATAAAATAAAATTTTAAATTTTAATTACAAATAAAATATAAAATAATTATTTTTTATTATATTATAGTATTAATATTTATTTATTTATTTTTTAAAATGGTAATTTTCTGAATTTATCTATCCCACAAATGTCCAATATAAAAGCTTATGGCTAGCACATCATTAAATAATGTAATACCGATAATTACATTTTACTCTTTAACTTATATATTTCTTACTTATAAAATGTCAATTTAATTTTCAAATTAAATAACTTATTCCACCAATTATTTACAAGATAAATGCTGAGAAATCCCTAACCTAGTTGATGCCGCCGGTGAAAAGTTTGAATACATTTTCACCTCGTTTGCTCTGTTCTTAGCATCCTCTCCAAAATTGCTTTCAAACTAGCAAGTTATGAAAGCTATTAGGTTGAATCGATCAAAAATATACGTACACACAATTGATCACCAATTCATGAATCCTTACTGGAACTCAGTTAAGAGTATTTGATTTCATTCACCATATTAATTAATCAATTAATCATCTCATTGCATCAACAACAGGAAATGCTTAATAGTTAATAGCAGCAGCAGCATCACTCACAACTTCCATGTTAGGATCATAAAAGACGTATAAAATATTACCAGAGAGAGAGAAACAACATCGATAATCAGCAGCTGCCATGGGAATGAGATACGAGCAAACTCGAGTTATCTTGCAGTTTGCATTCGCTTAACCTCTGCTCCGACTGCAACTGCTTTCCGCTGTAAATGAATAATCAAAATCAATCTTACTGTAAAACTCTGAGATATTTGATTGGGGAAAAAGGATAATGAACTTCAAACAGGAAGGCATCATAAGAGCTCTGGCAAATGCATGTTGGGCTGGATTTGGTTCAAATTCTTATTGGGCTTTGAAACCACTTGGCCCATCCAAATTTAAAATCAAATTCTTCTAAATTATTTTGTCATTATTGCCTTATTGGATATTTGGATTCCTACCACAATGCAGTAACTATCAGGAACACAAGCAGAAGAAGAAATGGAGTAACACACAAGCATAAGATTAACCAAAGACAAAACTACATAGTGCTTCAAAAGATAGATAATTCTCATGTCAGTATGAGTTTTAAAAAGTTAGTTAAAAAGACATATCCACAGGATACTTAGTTGATATTCATATTTACTCCAGCCTAGAGTGCTTTAATTTCTCCTGTTGCTGGTAACAAAAGAAGCACCATGGGAGTCGTTGGCCGCGGCGCAGCCAAGTGACTTTCCGACAACACTCAGAAAACTATCCTTCAATCTTGACTAAGCACGCGGGTCTTGTTGAGGTCACCCAGCCAAACTTCAACTTTGCTCACCAACAGCAACCACAGATCTATGTTGATTGCTAGAGTAGTTAACCTTGACAGAAGAATAGAGTGAGCTTTTTCTTTCCCCGGTTGATTTCTTGGCAGCCGAGTCCATTGCTATTCTGCAAATAAAGAATCAACGAGGCTTTAACCAATCATGTGTAAGCCATTTCGAGAAACAGAGCTCTATTTTGAAGTAAACAAACAATTACATTATCCAAAACAAGTAGAAGCTGCATGATTGAGCAAACTAACAATAAGCAGATTATGGTTTGTGGCTCGAAGCAAATGAAAATTCTTCGCCAATATGTCTATAGATAATTAACCACTATGCTGAAATCGACAAGGCTTAGCATCTAAACTCAGATCATGCATATATTTTGCCCAGATCACAGGAAACAAATAGAATCATAACAACGGAGTCAAATATAGCTCTAAAGAGAAGCTCAACTAAATCTAAAACTGAATTTAAGTGTATCAAAACAATTTCAATGAAAAGTAGCAAGCTTTGAGAAGACATGCAAATAAGGGAGGTGGGAATATTTTGGTGGGCCGTCGGAATCAACTTTACACATCTCTTCTCAAACTACAGGAAGATCTATCCGATTAAAACTTCCTCCAGCATAAGGGTCCACATTGATAGTAAAGAAGCATCAGCATAAAGTTGACATGACAAAAACCACACAATGTTTACAATTACCATTGCTCCCAAAGAAAAAGAAAGTGTTACAAACTCAAATTCACAAATGTAACTATCAAAATCAAAGCAATGAAGCAAACAGGTCAACTATCAATATGAAAATGGGCATAATAACATACCACTTTAGCCTCCATAAATACGCTCTCTGTATATTGTATGTTTGCAATTCCTAGAGTACCAACTTAAATCCTTCTGACAAGAAATCGTCCCTGATACAGCGCACAAACAAAATAAGCCGACTGTCGGTATCAAGAGTAAACAAGAACTAAACTTCTTGATGTTCACTTATCAATTAATACCAGTAGGCCATACAACCAAGCTTATTGACAGAAAAACCGAGACCCTTTAGCATCAATGAGACAAAGAACCTCCAATAACCGCACAACCCAGATATTACACCCTTTTATGTTTTCATTTCCTTTTTCTTTTTCAAAAAAATGGAGCATTAGCAACGGATATATCAGGCATGATCTACCATAATCTACGATCGCTTTCTAAATAGAAACACTAAGAAAAGAAGGGAACCATTCACACCCTGCAAATGTCTGAAAACATAAAAACAATATTCAAAGTTGACTGCAAGAAAATCACAAGTCAACACCATAAAAACCAAGACAATCAATCATATAAAGAATCAGTGAGCCCAATGTTGCACCACTAATTCATTCATTCATTCACCTTTTATTCCTGATCTTCTGCACCTTCCTTTTCTCCTGGCTCCGCTTGGTTTCAACATGTTGCAGTTTCTTGACCTCTCCAGAACTGTCAGGAGAAATGAGCGTCTCAACACAAGCTTCAGCATAGAACACGAAAGGTATACCTTCCACACAAACTTTCTCAGCAGTTTTCTTCCTCAAATCATACCAAACAAGCCTCTTGTCATCACAATTCAGCAGAACCCTATTCCCATCCTGGGAATATACCAGAAGCTTCAGGAAATCATCCCTTTCGATTTCAGGAAAGCTAATGGAAAACAGTTTAGTCCAAGATTCCTTCACTCCATACTCTTTCATCACCCACACTATCACCCTGGATCTGCGAGAGCAAACCACAGAAAGACACCCACCAATCATATCCAGATTCAGATCGAAGTTCCTGGCTTGAATTCCAGGAGGCATCGTCAATTCATTATGCTTCTCAGTATCCAAATCGAAGGCCATTATCCTCGCGGAGTCCATCAGATCGGATATTTCGAGAGTGTGCAGCGCGCCATTGACGTGCACACGCCAGTGTCCTCTCAAGAACGGTAGCGGGTAAGGGAAACTGTCGATTTTCGTCCAGCAGTTGGATCTAAGGCTGTAGATCGAAGATTCCGCATACATCCAAAAATGGTTGATTTTATGCCTAAATTCCACAACCCTAACGACCTTGTAATCATCGGTTCTCGAAACGTAGCCAAATCCATACGTCGTCCTGGGGTACAATTCCACCTCCGTCGGAGATCCATCAGAACATTCCGGCAAAACTTTGAAATCCGCAGAGAAAGGGTTCCAGAGAACAGCGGGCTCGCACATCACCAGAACCACACCGTTGCATGAATTCGAGATTCCATCAACACTCCTATAGTAAAACGGGGGTTTGATAACCTCAGCCTCCTCGAGCGAATCCAAACCGATCCGGTAAAGCCCGAGCCCGCCGAGAATCAGACTCCGATTGGTGTTCGAAATCAATGACTGCTGCAAATGCAACTTGGCGAAACGCTCGCTGTCTATGAGAAAACACCACGACTTGGCGACGGCGCGGAACCGCTTCAGTGATTTCACCGGCAGCCGGCGGAGGATATCTTCGACGATCTCGAAGGGCAGAGCAGGCATTCTCAGCAATTTTTTTTTTTTTTCCTCGAGCACGGCGAACACTCACAACTTACCGAACACGCCTGACGCGTGAAGCTTCGTAATAAATAGAGATCAGTGAAGGGAGGGCAGGGGAGCCACAAAATCACAGAAAAACGACATACAAGGACTAGTGGGCATCGGCTGGAACCGTCGCAGGCCACAAGTGTCGCCAGCAGAAGGACTCCCCTTGAGGTAAGATAAGCATATGTGGAGCCTTCTTCTTGACGGTAAACGATACACTATTATGATATGTATATATATAGTTTTCTTCTTTTCTGTGCTTCCCTTTTCCTTTTTTCCCCTTTTAAGAAGTGTCTTGGAATCGGCGGTGTAAAGTTGGAGGCGAGGACGCCATGGATGACATGAGGAAAGGAAAGGAAAGGAAAGGAGCAGGAAGAGTAAGTGGGTTATACTTATTTCAGAAGAGAAATACGTGATGATGAATAGAGGGGGGAGGGTTGAATTGGTAGGGTTTCGTCCATGGTGTGGTTAGTCATGGTGTCTCTCTGTGGTGGAAGATGCATAAATAAATCATAATGCATTTGGTAGTGGTTAGAGTTACGAGAGCAAGCACATACAGGCATCGGAATAGGGATTTTTCTTTAGCCTTTACCTTTACCCACCTCCACCTCCACCTCCACCTCCACCTCCAGGGGATTGAAGCTCCAATTTCAGAGCATATGTGAAAGATGTGTCGATCAATTTGGAGTAGGGTTGAAACACTGTTAGCTGTTAAAATGAGTTGTAGTTACAGCGTTGAAAAACTTTTTAGGTCTATCAGGCTTTTATATATATATATATATACATATATATATATACTTTTAATACTTTCAATACTCACTCCGTTTCATATTTATAAATTCATTTGCTTTTTTACAAAATTTTAAAAATATTAATATTATATTGAAACTAAATTAATTGTATTAGTATTGTATGATATAAAGGTAATGACATTTGTGTATATTGTAAATTAGTAGGATATTTATAATATTAATTAAATAGTACAATTACTAAAAAAAAAAATGAATATTTTGTTATAGTACGCACCAAAATGAAAAAAATAAATAAATTTGTTAAGAAGAGACTGAGAGAGTATAATATATATACTTCCTCCTTCTAGTTGTCTTGTTTTTTCATTTTGTAGTCCCCAATTTATAACAAAATATTTTTTATTTTTTCAAACTATCTCAAATTATTACTCTAATATACTTTTTAAAATTTGAGACCAAAAGAATATTATATTGTTAAGTGTTTATATATTTTTTAAAAAATAATTTCGCGATAACAATTAAATCTATAATTGATTTATTTTAATTATAATTATATTTATGTAAAATAATAATTGTATTTATTTTTTTATTAATATTAATATTTTAAAATATAAAAAAAGATAATTGGTAAAATACACGCTATAAAATAAGTTAGGCATAGGTTTACGATTTTTTTATAAAAAAGAATATTTTAAATTAAATTTTAATTTTTTAATAGAAAAAGCATATATATTATATATATTTATATATTGTTTATAATATTAATTGTGAGGCCTGTCAAATATATTTATATTTCTTGATACTAATTTGTTTTTAAATAATACTACCTCCGTGATACGGAGGGAGGGTGTAATGAGTAGATAATTAAGAATGTATTAGTTAAAATAATTATTTTATAATATAAATAATTATAAATTAAGATTAAGATAACTAATTAGTTTAATTAAAATTTTTAAAAAAAATTAAAAAGTTTAAAATGAGATTAAAGTGTATAATTGTTTTTCAAGTATGTGAGATGGACAACAGAAACTATGGTATATGGGACGAAGGGAGTAACATATTACTAATATTTATTTACTCCAAGATAATATTATATTATATATATATATATTTTTTTATCAATTTTAATTCTTTTTAAAAAAATTAATCAAAATTCCAATGATCTTTGTATAAATGAAGAAAAATATAGTTGGTTGTAAGTCAATTAATCTTAGGGTTGGAGGGTGGTGTCGTGTTAGTGACCAAAGCCATTGGTGCTTTCTCTAATTTTAGGTAAAGCTTCGAGGTTTTGAAAGTGACACCTACGTTTTCGGTTTATATTTATTTACCTTAAATGCCGCCATTGTGATGTGTTTACTTGGTAGCTTGAATTTTGGAATTGAGATTTAACATATAAAAATATTAAATTTAAATAATTATATAATACTATGACATAAAATAATATTGACATTAAATAAAATTATTAAAATTTTTAATAAATAATAAAATTTTACTCTGTTAAATTTAAAGATATTTTTTATATGATTTACAAATAAAATTTTCTTAAATTTGTTTTATATAAATAGTACTCTCTCTATCCCGGTTAAATATTTTTAAATTTATTTTAGTTATTATGTAATTCGTTGCTAATTAAACAATACATCAAACTTTGTGCCTAAACTAAATAATATTAATTTATTATAATTAATTTTATTAAATTATAATTATTTTTATTAATATATTTTTTAATTACTTGCTAATTACGCAATTTGTCTGGTGTTAACAAATTGAAGTTGCAAATTTATAGAGAATTGAAAATTCAAATTCAAAAAAATATAAATTCCCAATCCCAATCATATTAAACAATTTAAATTTTTTAAATATAATTAACAAAATTTTCATATAAATTATTAATGCATCTATTTTAAAATTTATTGAGTTTAATCTTTATATCACTTGAGTGATTTCCAAAGTTAAAAGCACTAAAAATTAAATTAAAATAATTTTGCTGTAAAAAGCTCATTCCAAATTACAATTGTGACTAAAAATAATTAAACCAAAATACGAAAAGAGAACATTTTGATAGCACGAAAAGATTTAAAAGGAAATGAGCTATCAAACTTTTCAAAGGCAAAGGGCATTTATACAAGAGTTTTTGGAGTTTTTTTTGGAAATTTTAAAGTTGGAAAAAAAGTAAAAATTTAATATTTGATTTGATATTTTATAAGAAAAAAAATATATTTAATGTAATATTTTTTGAAAAATGAATAATATCAAATGAGTAAAAGTGTGTTCTGTAAACAGGTCGAACCAAATGATCACTTATCCCATTGGGCTAATAGAAATTAGACCAAAATCCAAAAAGAGAGAATGTTTTGATAGCAAATATGCACAAAAAGTTTCAAAAAGGATATGAACTATCAAACTTCACAGGACAAAAGGATTCGAATCACATTACCAGTAACATTTGTTCACAGTACTAATTTGAAGCCAACTGATAGGAAGTCATCATCCCTACAAAGAAGTGAAAGAATCAAGCCCGCATTTAATGGATTCCAATCGAAAACTATGGAACAGAACAAAGAACACATACAGCAACAAAGAAGAGAAAACGATGAATGAACTAGAAAATAGCACAGCACATACCTTTTCTTACTAATCTTCTTTCTTCCTGTCTTGCCTTCTGCCATGGCTGGACTATGAGGGGAAACGAGGCTGCCAACACATACCACAGCATTGAAGGTAGGGATCTTATCATCACCAGAGTCGCCAATAAACGGACTACCATCAAGACAAGCAACTCCTCTGGTTTTCGTCTTCAAATCATACCACATGAGCAACGCGCCATTGTAGACCAGCAAAACCTTGTCACCGCATTTAGAATAAGCCAGTGGACATAGATGTTGGCAAGGCATGGAGGTTAGTGGAACCAGAGCCAGTAATTTCACCCATGACTCCTTCACACCATACTCCTTCATCACCCAAATCTCACTGTTTATCGATTCTCTAGAAATAGCAAGCGTAAGATATCCTTGCATCACCTCCACCGACACCAAGCAGCAATCCGCTCTATTGTATTCTGGCTTCGGAAATTCATAGTGCTCTTCCTTCGCGAGATCAAACGCCATTATTGAGCCAGAGCGGTTACCGCTCTCAACAAACGTATGCAGGGTATCGTTCAGATAACCGCCCCAGTTTGTTTCGCCTGGCAACACGTAAGGGAAATCTGCGATCGTTTTCCAGGAATTTGATCTGAGACTATACATTTTAGCACAAGGAAAACATTCACTGCCTACTTCACTTTCACCAATTGGCTGAACCACTCTAATAACTTTATAGTCGTCGTGCTTAGAATCGTAACCAAATGCACATCGCACCTGCATAAAAACAGTATAGTCTGGAAAATCCAAAGGCGTCGAAGGCAATTTATTTACCTTTCGCGTGGAAGGATTCCACAGAACAATATTATCATAGGCGGATGAAATGAGAACGAGACCGTTACAGGAAACCACCACAGATTTAGGTTCACATGGAAAGTTCCCCGTATCTAATCGCACCAATTTATCATCGAAACGTAAGTGGAAGAGTTCATCGGAGTCCAACAAAACACTGCGATTGGAGTTGCTTTCACGGGACTGACGCAGTTGCTCGTTGATGAACTCTTTGCTGTCGATCAAAGAGCACCACGCCTTGCAAACGGAGCGGAAACGCAGCAAGGACTTGGGAGGAAGCCGGTAGAGTACCAGTTTGATGACATCCTGAGGCACGTCGGACATTGTCAAGGAAGATCGTCGACGAGAGTGAGTTATTAGGGTTTTGGTGGGAATCGCAAAGGACGACACCCGGCCGGTATTCAACCCTGCTATAAATATAACTGAGTGCCAAACTGCCAGTGCAGTTTAATTAAAATAAAAATAATTTATATATTTAAAAATTTAAAATAAAATTAAAATGTGTTAAAAAAAAAAAAAAAAACAAATTGGAATCAGATGTAAAATTGATAGAAACGAAAATATGAACGGAATAGAATATGTGAGTGAGACGGAAAGAGTATGATACTACTGAATAATTATAAAAATTGTTATATTAATTTAATTTCATATTTTAAATAATAAAATTTATTATATATTTTATAATAAAATTTTGTATAAAGATAATTAAAATTAATTTATATAAAAAATAAGCTATAAATAAAAAATACTTAAGGCGAATCAAAATTTTATAAATATATACTTCAATTTAAAATCAAATATAATAGAGATAAAAAAATAATTATTTATAATCACTTTTAAATTAAAAATCAAAATAAATTTAAAATTATTTATACTTATGAGATTAAATTTATTTTCTATTTTTATAGACGTTTTTCATATTGGAATACTTTTCAATTGAATTCGAATAGTATTCGGTCCAATCATTCTTCTACAAATATTTTTGTTCGTAGGCATTGAGATTTAATATTCGGCTACAATATTAGTCCGGAAATTTTCTTGACGAAGCCGAGAACCCAATTCACGTGGAACTCGACTGGTCCAATAAAGCGTAATCGACGAATTTCAGAATAACACATATTCAATTTTTAATGTTTTTTTATATATATATATATAAAAATACCAATTCGATTGATTGGGTCGGATCCGAAATATCCGACCCGAACCGCCACCCCTAATTAGTGTAGATAGGATAGAACCTTGAAGTGATAAGAGTAAGTAGGCAGTTCAAGATAAGAGTAAGTAGGAACTGCCGCGCTCCACAGACATGTTGATGTGTAGTGTAGTGTAGTGTAGTTTGTACGCTATTGAAACGTGGGCACCAAGTGAGAGATTATATTTATATATGTAGTTATAAGTCACGAAGCTTTTTCTGTGGGAATAGTAGAGATCACATCAATCGTGGAGTCGTCCTTAACTGCCTGTGGAAGTTAAAAAATTATTTTTGCTGTTATTTTTCTATTTATATATATATATATTTTTTTATTTTAACATATTTTGTTCGGACTAACGATTTAACAATGTCCATATATAAAAATTAATAAATAATAATCGTTGTTTTTTTATTTTTATTTTTTTATGATCTAGGATTCCGCAATTGCGCTATCGAAAGTGTCTGCTGGATAAACCTCACACTTTAAATAATATTTTAAAATTATAGGATATGTAAAAAGTAAAATAAAATATTATAAAAAATTTATTAAATAGTTAATAATAAAATAATAAGATAAATATAAAAAATGGTAATAAATTAGTTATTATTTATTAAGTAAAAAAAAAATGTGGTTACTATAGCCATAAATCGCATGTCGCATGCGTTAAATATTTATATTATTTGCGATATTTGATTAATTTTGATTAAATTTTATCTTATTTGGGCGTATATTATTTATTTATAATTTGTATGAGAAAAATAATAAAATTGATGTAATTAGTGAGAAAAAAAAAAAAAGGTCCAACGTACAATTGTTACAAAATTATGGCAAATATAAAAAAAAAAAAGAAAGAAGAGGAAGAAAGAGTCCAGAGAGAAACCGCGAAAAATTCTTCCAAAAAAATTTCGATTCCTACCTACCAAGATCATTTTTATGCGATGTTTTTTTTGCTTCCTTTTCCTTTGTTCTTCCTCGGTAATTTACTTTTCTAATATAGGAGTGGAAAACAACTTTGTATGGATTTGAAACATTTTATATTTCTTTGGTTTCTAATTTATTTGAGTTATAATCTTTTATTTAGTTGGGTATTGTGGCAAGATATTTCAATTGGATTAAGGATTAATTGTTAAACTAAATTGGGCGTCCGTAATTGCGTTTTAATTGTTAAATCGAATTAGGCTATTCTAGTTCGTAAGACGGTTAAACTAGTAAATTATTTGTGGCGTCGCTAGGGTTCTAGTCTAACTAGGGAAGCAGTTGACGGGCGTACCTAGACCGTCAAAAAATTAAGGAAGATTTGGTTATTAGGCGCGTGTCGGTAACTATAACTAATTTATTTAAAAACCAATAAAATTAAATACTTATCGACGATCATATCCACTATTCAAGTTGTCAATTTTATTAAAACTTATTTTTATTGAATTTATCATTTAGTCGTATAGTTTTTAATTTGTTATTTTATTTTTATTTTCTACTTCCAAAATCTCATTTTATTATATTTATAAATAAAACAATAAAAAATAAAAACTTTTTTAATATCATGGAGAGACCACCCTACTTTATCTGTCTTACATTATTTTTTATTGTAAAAATAAATTTATTTTATTTAAATTTTGCCGCCTGAGAGAAACGTTGGTCAATTATGCTGCTGCTACCGCTGAATGCACTAGCATGGTGCTGATTTGTTGTACGTTGTCCGAAGTCACGTTAGATGGTAGAATTATTGTTTAATAATGTTAATCAAGTAAATTTGCATTTTATAAATTATTCTATAATGGACTAATATTTTTTACCTATTTTGATAGTTATATGTGTTAGTATTTGAATAATATTTTGGAAAAAAATTATTTTTGGTTTCAATATAACAAAAATTTATCAATTTTGGTCCCAATATAAAATTTTTATCAATTTTGGTTCTAATATAATCAAAACTTATAATTTTTTGTCCCAATATAACCAAAACTCATTATTTTTTGTCACAATATAAAATTTTTATCAATTTTAGTTCCAATATAATCAAAACTCATCATTTTTTGTCTCAATATAATCAAACTTTATTTTTTTTTGTCACACTGTCAACAAACCGACGGAAAATGCTGACGTGGACTCGCAGGATTGTGCAATTTCTTCAAATATAAATATAAGGTGTGATTTCTTTTCACATCAGCATTTTTCGTCGGTTTGTTGACGGTGGGACAAAAAAAGATAAGGTCTGATTATATTGGAACAAAAAATGATGAGTTTTTCTTATATTGAGACTAAAATTGATAAAAATTTTATATTGGGACAAAAAATGATAAGATTTTTATATTTGAACAAAAATTGATAAATTTTAGTTATATTGAAACTAAAAATAATTTTTTCTCTAATATTTTCTTAATATATATTTTTATTATTTTTTATATTATGGAGATTTGCTAATCAATTTAGTAGATATTGTTTATTTATTTATTTAACTTTTAGATATTTAAATTTGCACCGAAGTTAAGTATTTATCACTTTTTTTTTCTTTGTTCACATATTAATTATATTACACGGAGCAAAAATTTACACTATAATAAGTACATTTTGTCAAACAACAAATAAATTGTAAATTAACATATTATTACGTTTAAAATGGTATATTTGTAATTTAATATATATTTATATTTATAAATCAAATACTTATATTCTAATGAACATATTAAACAAACACACAACAAACAAATTGTAAAATTAATATATTTATATTTTATGTTACATATAAAATTATACTTATTTTATATTTTATCCATTATTTTAAAAAATTGAGCATATTTTTAAACAATGTAGAGAGTATCGTATTAAATATTCATTTATTATTTTTTTAAATCTCACAGTCATTATTTTTCGTATGTGTTTTGAGTAACTCCGATCAAATTTAAGAAGTTCATACCAGATGAACCATATGTGAAATCCATCTTTACATCACCCGACCATCTCTATGTCTAGTAAAACATTACACGGTAAATTTTAAAAAATATCTTGCCTTTGTTTTATGGTTATATCGATTCAATACCACTTCATGTGGATAAGGCCAAAAATCCAACCTCCATTTTGGATATGAGATTAAAATTTGGGCTTTTGCATAAAATAGATGCTGAGGTTTTTTATTTTTTATTTTTTGTTTTGTATTGGTTTTTTTTTTAAAACAATTTTTTCTTTTTATATTTAATGTAATATTTTACAAAATAAAATAAATATTTTAATATCATTTTTCTTAAAATATTTATTGGTAAATTATATTAAAATATATATATATAGATAGATAGATACACATATCCTCACTTTATATACTTGTTAAATTGATTACATTTGAACCCTAACACATTAGTCACTTTATTGAAGTACATTGGTATTCTTTAAAGTTTTCTTTCAATTACATCACCTCACTCCACTTTGTGTGTTTTTTTCAATTTAAGTTTAATATTAAAATAATATTTAATAAAATATTTGTAAGAAAAAAAAAATATATTTTTAGAAATTTAGAATTCAAATAATAAAAAATTGAAAATTTTAGACTAACGAAACACACAATATAAAGTACAAATAAAATTAACATAAATTGAGAAAATATTATAATAATAGTTTTTGCATGATCTTCTTCTTATTATTATATCTGTGATTGGAGTGTACAAGTTTGTTTGGTTATGATTTATATCATATTTTAATTTGATTTTCTGTAATAATAATACCCCATCCGTCTCATAATAAAGTATCTATTTTTTCATTTAACCCGTCCTATAACAAAGTATCAATTTTTTTTTAGTAACTTTACTATCTACCTAACATTACAAATACCCTTACAACTTACAATATATTACACAAAAATGTCATTACTTTTATATCACACGTACTAATAATGTTATTTTAGTTATTTCTACTTTATTCCTACTATATCCCAACATAATACTAATATTTTTAAAATTATATGCAAAAAAACAAATAAATATTTACTCATGAGACGGAGGGAGTAATAACAATAATATATTTTTATTAAAAATTATGCAAACATAATTATTGATTTTAGTTCGACTCAAAACCAAACAAACCATGGTGTTTCTATTTGTACGTGTGACTTGTATGTGTGTTTTAAATTGTAGTTTGACATAATATTTTATAATAAAATAATATTGTTGATGTATTTTTTCAACAAATAAAAAGTAAAATTAAAAAATATGGAAAATATCTTTAAACTTGATTAACTAGCGTTTGAGATTAGGAATCTCTATACGGTACATAAGATAATTAACTAAAAAATTAAAATACTGAAAATTTAAAGTGGTGATCCCCGAATCTGACTTTGCTTTTGTTAAAGTTGATTGAAGATAATTTCTTTAGAAAAATCCAAATCCTTAAATATCCCCTGAGAAACAGTACTGGAAACCGTCGCCCGAACGATTACAACGTCTCTTTTTTCAACCGTCTACTAACCCTTCTCCTGTTGACACGTGCCCTCAACGGACCAAAGTATCATTCTTACTTACTCTCAAAAGTATCCGCCCCTTTGGATCGACCGCAGATCTTCCGCCCTTTTGGCCCGAACGCAACTCTTCCGCCTTATTGGTCCTACTACCAACCTCCCGACTTGCAAACCACCCGACTTGTTTAATCCAGCCGCAAACCTCCCGACCTATAGACCATCTAATTTGCGGACTATCCGACCTGCGGATCTTTCGACTTGAGGACCTTCCGACCTGCGGACCTCCCGACCTGAGGACTTTCAGACCTGCGAACCTCCGACCTGAGGACCTTCCGACCTGCGGACTTCCCGACCTGTGGACCTTCCGACCCGCTATTTCCTTAGAAATATATCTATTTTACCGGAGTTTCCCATGATGCCCCTCGGCCAGTCTGATCAACTAGATTGCTAGGCCCATTTTTTCTTTTTCTCTTGGGCTTTTTAACCCAATTCTAAATTTTATACATAACAAATATGTTTTCACAAAAAAAGTATAATATTTCCTCCGTCTCATTTTTTTATTTTAATCCGTCCCATAACAAAGTATCCATTTTTTTTTTTTAGTAACCGTACTATTTACCTAACATTACAAATGCCCTTACAACTTACATATATTACATAAATGTCATTACTTTTATATCACACGTACTAATAAGGTAATTTTAGTCATTTCCACTTTATTCCTATTACATCTCAATGTAATACTAATATTTCTAAAACTATTTTAAAAAAATAAATGGATATCTTGTTATGGGACGAAGGGAGTAGTATATATTAAAAAAAAATTAAAATTAAATTTTAGTATTTATAACATTATAGTGTTCTTTCTAAAATAGTACTTTTTACGTCATTGTATTTAACATTAAAAATATCCTTATATTTTTATGATTTATATACAAATGTCTTTCTTATAATATTATAAGACACTAATTAAAGTATTTTTACAATTTTTTTTTTCATTTGTACTACGTTTTATATGAAAATTAATATTCAAATATCAATATGCAAAAAATAAATGAGACATTTAGTGTCAGACAGAAATAGTATATAATATTTAATAAAAAAACATTTTAGAAAATTTTGATGAAAGTTAAATTAAAATTAACGTATAAAAAATTGTCATACTTTCTTAAAGATTATATATATATATATATATATTTTTAAATACAAATAACGTTTTCCCATGAGAAGAATATGGACATTGCATAGCAGTGCTGTTTTGCACATGGAGAGGACACCTATCAAAATCTACAATCCACAAAACACACACAGCCACAATATATCAAAATTATTGCATTAATCATAAAAAATAATCTACCAGATATTTCGTGAAGCTTGTGGTCCAAACCCTTCCATTTGTTTGTCTAGTACATATACTTACATAACAAAAAAAAAAAAAAAAAAAAACATTAAAAACAAAATTAGATACTGTGGTACAAGAATCGTGTCGCCACACTCATAATAAGGGTACAATAATTTTTATCATTTGAAATTTTAAAATTTTTTTACAAAAACAAAAGTTAAATATTTAATTTGATATTCTGTGGGAAAAAAAAATTATGTATTTTATTTTTAAAAAAATAAATAATACCAAATAAATAAAAATATATTGGACAAAAAAAATGTCCACCAAGTGTTTGGGACATGTCACATGTGGTCATGTTTTAATTCAAGAGCACAATTAATAACAGAAAAATAAAATAAAAACGCAATTATCCAATTAATTACGAATAATTAAGAACACGTCATCGCTCAAGTTCATCCGACTAAACGTTGTCCCACACGTATATACTTTTTTTTTTAAATAAAAAATAAAAAATTATTTATAATATTACGAGTCCAATAATTGACACCAAACCTGACGTGTGATATTTTGTTCTTGTGGACGAAAAGCATTCCACTTGTGCTAATCGATTTTCCTGTTTAAATTAGGTCCCATATTGCCACGTGGCTAGAAAATGAATTAAGATTAGTAACACTTTGATTTTGACCGGCAACTGTACTAACGGTATTACTAAATTATAGGTGTAAAAGATAATAACTGCTGACTCATAGTCAAATTTTAAATAACAGCAAGTAATTTTAGAAGTTGAAAATTCAATTTTGACCATCGCTGAAACTAACGTAAAACTACCTGAATCGAATTACTGAATAATATTGTAGATATTAATTAAATGTGTGCAGTACTGCAATAGATGCATATATTTGTAAATAATAGTAATTGAGTATATATATAAAGCTCCATTGTATAGGGCAATTATTTCATTGGGCCGAAAGGGTGAGGATACAGTATTGAGAAGAATAATTTTCTGTGATCGGAAATGAATGGCGGCGACGGAGTTGAGGCGGACGACCAGAAGGCGCCGCTGCTTCCGACGCACAGCTCGCGGAGCTACGGTTCCTGTGCGAGCTCAATTTTCACGTTGAAGAATTTCTGCATCCTGCTAGGACCGCTGCTCTGCGCCGTCGTGTGCCTGACGGTAAAGTTCGACGGAGGCAGCGGAGGTACCAGCCGGAACATGCTGGGGGTGCTGGCCTGGATGTTCGCGTGGTGGCTGACGGAGGCGGTGCCTATGCCGATAACCTCCATGTCGCCTCTATTCCTCTTCCCGCTCTTCGGAATTGCGACGGCCGATGACGTGGCGCATTCGTACATGGACGACGTGATTTCGCTGGTGCTCGGGAGCTTCATCCTCGCGCTCGCCGTGGAGCATTACAACATACACAGGAGATTAGCTCTCAATGTGAGTATTCCTGAATCCTCTAGAAATTTTTACCGCTGTTCCTTACAGTTGATCTTATTGTATGAATTTGTTGATCTGCAAATTGAAGAGAGTTCATTGAACACATTAACAACAACAGCGATGAAGATGATGATGATCCTGCTGTAGAAGCTTAGGCAAACACGTTACTTTTTGAAATATATTTTTCTTATCGATTCATGATTCATCCACCTGTTCGAACTTATCATCTCTAGAGATTTCTACCGTTTTTCCTTACTGTTGATCTTATTCTATGATTTTTTATTTTCATTATTTGAATTCGTGAATCTGCAAATTAAACAGTTGATTGAACACATTAACAACAACAATGATGAAGATGAAGATGATCCTGTTGTAGAAGCTTAGGCAAACACGTTACTTTTTAAATTATACTTTTCTTGTCGATTCATGATTCATCCACCTGTTCGAACTTATCATCTCTCTAAGACGACTTCCTGATTGAAAATCATTTCAACCTTTAGTCAATAGAATAGGAATTAGAAGGGGCCCTCGACATCTCTGTCAAGAGCAATCAGTACTATTTTTCCAAACTGCAATTTACAAAAATAATTACGAGTGCATCAAATTAAAAATTCTGTGCCCTACCTGCAGATAACCCTTCTATTCTGCGGCGAGCCGTTGAACCCGCCCCTTCTCCTACTGGGAATCTGCGCCACGACGGCGTTCGTCAGCATGTGGATGCACAACGTGGCGGCGGCGGTGATGATGATGCCTGTGGCGACCGGAATACTGCAGCGGCTGCCGTCGGGACCCGAGCAGCCATGGCTCGTCTCCAAGTACTGCAAGGCAGTGGTGCTTGGGGTCATCTACTCCGCCGCAATTGGGGGTATGAGCACCCTCACAGGGACAGGTGTCAACCTGATATTAGTCGGGATGTGGAAGAATTACTTCCCTGATGCAAATCCCATCAGCTTCAACACCTGGTTCTTCTTCGGCTTCCCACTTGCCGTCGTCATCTTCATTGCTCTGTGGGGCATTCTCTGTTTGCTCTACTGTAGAAAGGGCTCCAGCCAGGCCCTCTCAGCTTATCTGGACAAGGCTCATTTAAGAAGAGAGCTTGATTTGCTTGGTAGGTCACCTACTAAGTCATTTTATTTCACTTTCACATTCCATTATTTGACACCATCTCTAAAAATGGCTACAGGTCCAATGGCTTTTGCAGAGAAGATGGTTCTTGCTATTTTTTCGGTTCGTGCCATAACTGATAGCAATCGTAACAGAATTTGGTAATTCAGGGATTAAAATTTCTGATTTGAATTACAGGTTTTGATAGTGCTATGGATGACAAGGAACCTGACAGATGACACCCCTGGTTGGGGCTCTCTGTTCAATGGCCGTGCTGGCGATGGAACTGCCAGCGTACGTAATAATACAAACATTATTACATTTTGCAGAATTCAAAATTGGATACGATTAACACAAAATTAGAGACCTGCAGGTGATGATGGCAACTTTACTGTTCATAATCCCAAACAAGAAGCAGCCAGGGGAGAAGCTCATGGACTGGAACAAGTGCAAGAAGCTCCCCTGGAACATTGTCCTCCTGCTAGGCGCTGGATTCGCCATTGCCGACGGGTTCCGGACGAGCGGCCTGGCGGATGTGCTGTCGAAAATGCTAGACTTCCTCGAGGATGCGCCGTATTGGGCCATCGCCCCTGCGGTGTGCCTCATCGGCAGCATCATAACAGAATTCACTTCCAACAATTCCACCACGACGCTTCTGATTCCCCTATTGATTCAAGTTGCGGACACGATGAAATTGCACCCGCTGCTGCTCATGATCCCCGGCTCGATCGGGGCGCAGTTCGCGTTCCTGCTCCCGACCGGGACGCCTTCGAACATTGTCGGATTCACCACAGGGCATATTGAGATCAATGATATGTTGATCGCGGGGACTCCTTTGAAGATTGCTGGCATTCTTGCCTTGTCCATTTTGATGCCCACACTTGGTAATATACATATACATATACATATATATATATATATGCTTTTATTTTTTGGTTCATTTTGATGTGTAACACCTTTTAATGTTACGATTGCATTTGCAGGGGCCTATGTATTTGGAACAGATAAAGGAGTTGCGGATTTTTCCAAGAGTTTAAAATTTTAACAAAAATGGGATCTTCAATTATCTTCCACCACTGCTCCTTTTTTTTGAATAAATATTATTGTATATTTGTATTTGCATTGAAATTGAAATTGCAAGTTTGATGAATCCTGTAAATTACTCTGAAGATATTACACACAACCAGAACAGTGGTGTGTTTTTGTGTCTACAAATTAGCTTCTAAACTATGCTTTCTTTTGTGTTCTAAATTTTATGTACTGTTTAGGTTAGTATGAGAAATAATGTTTAGGTTTGCATGAAATTGGAATTTTACTAAATGAAATAATATACAATTTTTACTGCAAACCGTGCATAATAAATAAATAGTAAAACAAATATTTGAAATTAAAAATAAACACATCCTTTCACTTTAAGCAAATTTTAATATATTTTTATTAAAATAGATTTAAAATCATAACCAAACACACAATATTACTAACTAACTAAATTCGTTTATATTTCAAATATTAGTGAATATAACTATATACATTCCAAGCATAGCAACAACAGATATATTTCCAACTAAATGCAATTTCCAGTATTGAAACTCAAACACAAAACGTTATCCCAATAAATTACCATATTTGACGAACAAAATCCAGAAATTACTTTCCGCAGCAAATCAGGCTGTGATATTTTCCTCCCTCCCGTTGCCTATTTAACGTACGGACCGACCGCAACGTTTCCGCAGAATCGAGTAAAAATCAAATGGCGCGAAAATCTCTCCCTCTCCTACTCCTAGCCGCCGCTCTGGTGGTTGCGCTTCCGTACGCCGTCGCCGTGGCCTGTTGGACTCCGGTCAACGTCACGGAAGCGTTGGTGGTAGATATCGCAAAATTTGCTGTGCGGCAGAACAACAGGTGGAGTGGAAGCAATATGACGTTCGAATCGGTGGTGAGCGGCGATCAACAAGAGTTCGCCGGAACGATATATCGTCTCGTGATCGCAGCCAGCGACGGGAAAGGTACGAACAACTCGAATGCTTTTGTTTTGTACCAGGGATGGGCGGCGCCGCGCTTCTACAAGCTTCTGTTGTTTGAAGCACCTCGCTGATACGCACGTGCGCCGCACGTGTGTGATGGAGAACGGTCGCGATATATGTTAATTATATAATAATTTGGGTCTTTGGTATTAATCATGTCGATATTGGTGAGTTGTGAAATAATTTATGCCATGGAATAAATTTACTGTTGTGATTTTGAAGCATTTCATAATCATGGGATTGTACAAAGAAATAGTATTGAAGACAAAGGGTTTGTTTGCCGGACAAGTTTTGTTTTTTACACTATTCATAATATATATTTTTTTAATAAAAAATTTAATATTCAATTTAAAATATTATTTTTATATATAAATATAATTTTTTTATCCTTGACATTAGAAAACATTTCAAACTAAAATATTTAACGAATACATAATAGAAATCAGAAGATATAGTTTGGTTTAAAATTACAAAAATACTTATACTTGTCACTTATAGGCACTTAAAGGTCAAAAGTTAAAGGCTTCGCTAATTATATTATAAATATTTGTCAATGCATTTATTTAATAATAACTATAAATTTCAAGCATAGTAACTGGTCCCTTACCATTTCTCTCAATCCAAATTATGCAACTTCCAATATTGAAAATCAAATAATAATACTACAAAACATATCCAAATAATGAATTACCAAAATTGATGACGGAATCCATAAATTACTTTCCGTTATCTCAAACGGCGGCAAATCATGCTGTGATGTCCTTCCCCTGCCCTATTTAACGGACCGTCCGCAACGTTATCTCTTCATTCAATGGAGCGCAAATATCTCTTTCTCCTCGCCCTAGCCGCGTTGCTGGTGGTTGCGCTTCCGTACGCAGCCGCCGACGGCTGGATTTCGATCGGCGACCTGAAGGATCCGGCGGTGGTGGGCGCCGGAAAATTTGCGGTGCAACAGCACAACCAATGGAGTCGAACTAATATGACGTTCGCAGCCGTGTTGAGCGGGGAAAAGCAAGAGGTGGAAGACGGAACGCTATTCAATCTGGCGATCGCAGTCGCCGACGGCCCTGCTTTTAAGAAGTTTATTGTTCGTGTTAAGTACGTCTACAGGCTTTCGTCGTGGGAACCAGGCTTCTGATCACATGGAAAATGCTTAATTTGCTCTTGTAGTAATTTACTACTTTGTCGTTGATGATGATATCGTATCTCTCTCTCTCTCTCTCTCTCTCTCTATATATATATATATATATATTTGCAAAGTGGTGAAATTATGTGTATGCTTTTTTTTTTATAGATTTGGAAAAAATTTGATTTGGGTTTGGTATTAGAATAATATAGTATGGGTAGATAAGAAAGTTGTAACATATGTATGTAGAGACTAAGTTCCTACTTTACCGGACTTTTTTTTTTTTCACAATTCATAATCTATAATATGTGTCTTATATATATATAAAAAAATCTAACTTTCAGGATAAAATATTATTTTTATATAATAAATACAATTTTTTCTATTTAACATTTAAAAAGAATGATTCAAACTAAAATACTTAACAAACACTAATTAAACCGAAATTAAAAAATATAGTATGGTTTAGGTTCATTTCTTTTAAAAGTTTTGGATATCTCTTTCAAAAAAAATGTCATAAATATATATCATTATTTTCACCGGAAATATAATATCAAATATGAAACTTTTTTTTTTTATTATTTTCATTTTTTTTAAAAATTTTGAAACTTGTAAACAACATTAGGTTTTTGGGGTGAAATGTAAGGTTCATAAAAATATTATTTCGACAAAGTATATTATCAAATGTCCAATTATTAAAAAAAAATGTTCTTTTCACAGCTATGTCATATTTTTTTACGATTCATTCCCCACGTACAAGTAGCGTAACTAGGTTTTGGAGGTGAAATGTAAGGTTCATTTCAACTAAGCCGATGCCACCTTTTTTGTTTCCCTTGCTGTTAGTTATTTACTTATTTTCTTCTTTGGATGACAGATGGGCTTCTGCAAAAGATTGGGCCTTCACGATTAGGGCCTAAATATTATGAAGGCCCGTTTGGTTGCTGATGATTCTAGTAACGAATATCCAATAGAGAAGAATCTGACTTTGGTACAATGATTAGTGATTGGTGAGTGGCAGTGTAAGGTAAATATTTTGATAGTTTCAATGGAAAAATAGTGAGTGATTATCGATTATTATTAAGAGTGAGAATGATAGGGTGAATAGGTTTTGGGTTGGGAAAAAATCAAGAAATAGGCGTGTTCATTTCTCGATGTGTATAATTCGATTGTATCCACGATTTTTAGCTTATGTTTCAATGATTTCAATAATGAATTTTGCTTGTGTTGGAATCCTTAGATTTGGGTCGTTGATGACCGAATTGAATCGACAAATTGTTTTGTACTTTATATTCTTGTCGTTACCGGTATGTGTATTTTCGATCTAATCTGAGAGCTAACAACCCGTTTGTATAGTATGGGTCTAATGAGGCCACTTGACTACACCTCATTTCCATATAAGTCACAGAATATTAATTCACATTAATATATAAATTATTTATTCAATAATAAAACATTCAGCAAGATTATCAATTGTTTAATATATATAAATACAATTACATTAAAAATATTCGTCAATGAATTTATTTAATAATAACTACAAATTTCAAGCGTAAGCGTAGTAACAATATATAACTGATCCCTTACCAATTCTCTCAATGCAAATTATGCAACTTCCGATAATGAAAATCAAATAATAATAATAATAATACAAAACATATCCAAATAATAAATTACCATATTTGACGACGGAATCCATAAATTACTTTCCGTTATCTCACACTAACGGCGGCAAATCATGCTGTGATATCCTCCCCGTGCCCTATTTAACGGACCGTCCGCAACGTTACCACTTCATTTCAATGGAGCGCAAATCTCTCCCTCTCCTAGCCCTAGCCGCGCTGCTGGTGGTTGCGGTTCCTTACTCAGCCGCCGACGGATGGATTCCGATCGGTGACCTTAAGGATCCGGTGGTGGTCGGCGCCGGAAAATTTGCGGTGGAACAGCACAACCAATGGACTCTGAGTAATATGACGTTCGCAGCCGTGTTGAACGGGGAAAAGCAAGACGTGCAAGAAGGAACGATATTCAATCTGGGGATCGCAGTCGCCGACGGCCCTGCTTTTAAGAAGTTTAATGTTCGTCTTAAGTACAACCCAGCGCCAGGGGCGCTATTCGAGTACAGGCTTTTGTTGTGGGAACAGGGCTTCTGATTAATTCAATTCGCTCTTGTAATAATTTACTACTATGCCGTTGATGATGATATCAGATATCTATATATATATATATATATACACATATGTATGTTTTTGCAGAGTGGTGAAATTATAATTTATGCCATGATCAGGAATGACATATGGACGATTTCTTCCCAAGAACAAACCCTCTTTTTGGATATCAAAACTAGTTGACTGTTATTTTCGAATTATACATCACTCATCAATGGATTAATGATGATTCTTGTTTTGACCAATTAAGGAGCTCTTTCTTTTCTGTCTTGACAGCTTCGAACTATATGTCGAGGGTTTCATAGTCTTTATCCAGCTTAATTAATTCTTTGTGGATCTTCCACCTCACCAGTCTTGATCTGTTGCGGTGGGAGCTCCTAGAAATAGAAACAGAAGAATTCTTTGTTTTTTTTTGTTTAATCCGAATTAGGCGACAACTCATCTTTTGTTACCGCTACGTCATCACATTCCGTTAAAGTTTTAACGGTAGTACTAAAAACAATAATTTATTTTTTTGTGTAGAACTAATTTTGATAATTATTTTTTAATGAGATTAAAAATGAAAAAAATTGATTTGATTGAGATGAATAATAATTTTTGCTCTTATTTAAATTATCTATTTCCTTATTCTTATTTTTTTTTAGTTATTTTGTCCTTTAACAATATATTCATTTTTTCATTTTGGTTGTCACGTAACAAACTATTCATTTTCTTCTTTAGCAACCTTAATATCTACTTAATATTACAAATATACTTTCAATTTACAATATATTATACAAATATCATTACATTTATACCATATAAGGATAGTTTAATCTTTTTACCTTTATTTCTACTATATTTCAATATAATATTAATATTTTTAAAACTATGTTGTAAAAAATAAATGGATAGATAAATATGAGAAGTGAGGAGTATTTATTGTGTGTGTTATTTTCTAAATTGATTTGATTCGAGTAATATATCATATATATATATAACTATAAATATTATTTATTAAAAAATATTAAATTAGAATATAATTTAATACTCTCTCTCCGTCCAAAAACAATAGTTTTATTTTGCTATTTCGTCCCAAAACAATAGTCTCATTTTTATTTTTAGTAACAAATTTTCCATTTTTTTACAAAATTATCAACACTTTTTCAGAATAATTACATAAATTAGAGATATTTTGGTTTTTTAGAAATATTTTTATACTCACTATTAATATAATACTTAATTCTCGTTTTGATCCTAAATGTCTCTATTGTTTTCAGACAAAGGAAGTATAAAAAAACTTGTGCTTACACGCTAGTAGTTACACTACTAGAAAAAATAATTTCGGCCTCAGAAAATTGTCTTGAAATTGTGATAATATATATAATAGTAAAATAGTCTCAAATTTTTTGAATCCATATTAAATATATATTTTTATTATATTAAATAACTTTAGAATTATTGAAACATATATTTTATTATATAAAATAATTTTGAAATTTTCGATATCATATTAAATATATATTTTATAATATTAAATGACCTCGAAATTTTCGAAGCGATATTATAAATTTCAAGCATATTATAAATAAATTAATTAATTTAAATTAAATTAAAAAATTATAACTTATAACATTTAAAAATAAATATAATTAAAAAACCACTTTTCCAAAAAGGATAAATTATATGAAACTAAAAAATATGTGGAACAGCTGAAGATAATTTTGATAAGTTCTATACACAGATTTACCAAAATATAAAAAATTATACTATAAATTATACTTATATTATCTTTAGATATAAAAATATATTATGAGATATAAGTATAACTAAATGTAAATTGCAATATTTTTTTAAATAACATTTCTTTTTAATTATAATAATAATAATTATTATTATTATAATATTAATATTGATAGTTCATATTTATATATCATTTTCAGATGCATATTATATTCCTTCATTATAATAGTAGAATGATTAAAAAATAATAGTATTTTAATTTAAAAATAAAATATATAAACAATAAAATGATAATATTTTGAAAAATATTTATTAAATAGTTAATTAAAAATAATAGAAAAAATAAAATAATTATAATAATAAATTGATTATATTAGACAAACAAAGTGTAACATACATAATTACATATTTTGAATATTAAATAATTGAACAATAATTATTTTTTTTTGTTCAGTTTAGCATTTCGATAATATGTATTAGCATTTATTTTTTATTAAAATAATTAAATTATTATTAATGAAAATAAATTAGCATTTCATTTAATTCATTTCAACATTTACGTATGTATCAAGATCATTTTATACTCCCTCCGTCTTGGAACAATAGTCTGGTTGTGTTGGGCACGAGATTTAAAAAATATTGATATTATATTGATAGTGGGTAAAAAGTATAAGTAAAAGACATTTTTGCCCTTGTGAGTGTATTAGTGTAAAATACAGTGACAATTGTTTAATAATAATGAAAGAGTAAGGGTAGTTATACAGTGATTTTATGTATGGAGATAAGACTATTATTTTGGGATGGACAAAAATAATAAACAAGACTATTGTATTGAGATGGATGTAATATTATTGTTGATGTAATTTTTCAACAAAAATAAAGTAAAATTCAAAGATATAGAAAATATCCTTAAACTTGATTAATTAGTGCCTGAGATTAGGAATCTCTAAACACTGTATGGTACAGAAAATAAATTGGAAAATAAAAGACTGAAATTTAAAGTGGTGATCCCCAAATCTGACTTTGCTTTGTTGAAGTTGATTGAAGATGCCTTGCCAAATGATGATCCAAATCCTTAAATATTCTTTGAAGAAAACGTTCAGAACCGTCGTCTGGTCAGTTACCATAACCGTTGTTAACCGCCCCAAAAGTTCTCTTCTATTGACACGTGTGTCAACCGTTCTACTACGTCCGACCTTCAAAAAACCGTTCGCCAGTTGCAACTTCCTCTAACCGCCCCAGAACTGCTCTCTCACCCGACCTGCACATGCTACTTCACTTGGTCCGAACTTCGTATCACGTCCTGACCTCAATGCCCGACCTGCTTCTTCGCCCGACATCATTTGGGCCGACCTCCGCATCAGCCGCCCTCCGTCTTTGACCGACTTTAATTGGTCCGACCATGGACCAACCAAATGTGGTCCCGACCACGGACCAACCGACCGGCTCTATTTGCCTTGTCTCTTTAGAAGGACAGACTGTCCTCTGGACAGACTTCCGCATCTGTCCGTACCTCTTCCTTGCCCGACCTTTCTCTTGACAAACCTTCGCGTCTGCCCGACTTCGTCTTTCACCCGATCTACGGTTTACCCGACTTGGGTACACCTTTTTTTCAGACTCCGCCCGACCTTTCTTCCTTCCCGATCCTTGCATCTGTCCGATTGCACCCTACTTCTGGGTCATTTAACTTATATCCAGACCCGTCCAGAATCCCACTGCCATTATTTATTATTATTATTTTTTGTGCTTAACAATTATATTCTTTAACGCGATATTTGATCAAATTTAACATAGATTTCAGTATTTTCTATTATGTATGAAACATTTGAAATTTCAATAAAAAAATATATTATTCAATATTTTTCAACATCTAATATATACATGATTCATAAATTGTGAATTAATTTATCACATGTTAAACTATCGAAATTATTGTTAATTATGTGAAACTATTTTAACATTAATTAGTAATCATTATTGTGTTAAAAGACTTCTAATTGAAATAAATTAATATGTTGTTGCATTGATTTCAATATTTACATATACATGAAAAATCATTTTATACTAGAACATTCAAGAAAATATAATAAAGATAGTGATATTTTTTTAAAAATAAAAATTGAATTAAAGATAATAGTTAAATATTATTATTAATCCAAATTATTGCATTTTCCAATATTGACTAAAAATACCATATTTGATGGCAGATACCAAATAATTTAGTTTCCGTTATCTAACACTAACGGCGCCAAATCAGGGTGTGATTTCCCTTCCCCAACCCTATTTAACGGACAGACCGCACCGTTACCAATTCGTTCAATATCAATGGCTCGAAAATCTCTCCCTCTCCTAGCCCTAGCCGCGTTGCTGGTGGTTGCGCTTCCGTACTCAGCCGCCGGCGGTTGGACTCCGATCGGTAACCTCCAGGAACCGGTGGTGAAGAAGGCCGGAGAGTTTGCGGTGATTGTGCATAACTGGTTGGCTATAGATCATTTTTCGTTCCCAAGCCTCGAGACTGGGAAAAGCAAGACATGAACGGAACGACCACGTTCCGTATGGTAGCCGTAACCTACAATTCTCCAAAAGATCTTTTTCAAATGTGGAATATTGTTGTGGAGTACCTGTCATCGAGGAACCTGACTGTCCCCTACACGTATGTGTCCTTTGAATTAGCATGATATATTATACTCCCTACATCCAGTTAGAAAGTATATATCTTTCTATTTTGGAACGTCCAATTACAAAGTAAACATTTCATTAAATACCTTATTTTTTTCCACAAATACCCCTACTTTACATCACATAATTACTTTTACACCAAAAAAGCAAAGGCAAAAATGTCATTACACTACTTTTAACTACCTACTATAATTAAAATACTATTATTTCTTAAACACCGCGCCAAAAGTAATTGTATACTTTTCTTGTGGACGGAGGAAGTATTATATATATATATATATATATAGGTGAGTTGTGGAATAATATAATTTATGCCATTGGAATCAGAGACCGATGTAACGTTAGGCAAGGTGGGTCAATTGACCTACTAAAAAAATAAATATATAATACTAATTATCACTAAAATTATAAATATATTTTTAAATATTAGTGCTATATTTATTTCATGAATAAGTGACAGTTGTAGTATTTGATAAGATCCACCAAAAGAGTTATTGATGTTTTGACAGAGGGTCGCCTATAGGTGGTAGGGTGGGTGGTACCGTCAGATTGCAGCCAATCTTCCTTTTTTTTTTTTTTTTTTT